CTATCAGATCGCCGGTTTCCGTGTTCGAATGTGCGTTGTAGATGTTGAGTGGTCGGCTGAAGGCTTCAGCGATGACCTGACAGATTTGAGTCTTGCCACAGCCAGTCTCACCAACCAGAAGGACAGGCTCATTGTTCTTCAATGCCTCCGAAACAAGCACAAATAGTCTCCGCATGGCTAAAGTCCAGACGACCTTGCCAGTCGACTGGATCGAGGAAGGTATTCTTGAAATGCCGTACAAAATACTCTCGTCGATAGACACCTTCATCGTTTCCTCGATTGTTCTCTTTACGATCTGCCGCTCTGCTGCATCTCGTACTCGCTCAGCCAGTAACATGAATCCATGATAGGCTAACTGCTGTCGATCATCAGCTGGTCGTGCAGCCCATCTAAAGAGATCTCGCAAAGTAGCGAAGCTGTTACGTTGCTCAAATAATCTGGAAGATTGTCGTTGCAGCGAGAGCTTCTTGTAGACAGCGACAATCTGAGTGCAGTAAGATGGCGGGAGTTGTGCTCGTTCTCGCAGAATCGTCTCAAGCTCATCTTCAGGGATATCATCGAAGTGTAATTCCAGAAAACGATTTCTGAAAGCCCGAGACAATCGCTTGCGTCCTCCATACAAACCAGCGGGATTTTGAGTAGCAAAGAGCATGAAGTTTGGGTGTGGATGAATCAGTTCCTGGGTCTCTGGAACCAGAAGTTCTCTATTGTCATCAAGTAGCCGGTTCAAGGCTTCCAGAACGTCGCTAGGAGCTAGATTCAGTTCATCAAGCACTATCCAATGTCCCTTTCGGAGTGCATCAACCAGCACACCTTCATGATACTCTAGCTTTCCGTCTGTGCCGGATATATAGCTCCCCAAATATTCTTGCAAGTCTGTGTGTTCATGGTTGTTGATTCTAACAAACTTGTTGCCAGATAATTTACAAAGATATTCCACCATGCTGGTCTTCCCTGCCGATGTTGGACCTTGCAAGAGAATGGGAAAGGTTCTCATTGACGCTGCTCTTGCCAGATTGAGCAAATTTCGTTCAACGGACATTGTTCGAATGTAGTGCGGCTGGAGGTCGGGAGTCATTGGGCCCTTTCTGACTAAATGGTGTCGAAACGCAACGAATTCTTCGCCCTCGGGGGTTAATTTTGGTTGCCTAGAGAAGAACGATTTTCGGTTTTTGACGTTGGAAAGCAGATGGGTTTCCAACACAGTCAAAGCCAGTGCTTCGGATGCTCTGCTTAGGACCGTGAAGAAACTCATTGCAAATCCTTCATAAATAGCACGCCTCAAGCCATGGCTAGGGCTGTGCTTCTGAATGTACATCAAACATCGAACCAGAGATCGAATGCTGAAATGAGGTATCTCGCCCGCACCATCTGTCATACGGTGCTCCTGATTTAACTTTTTGAGGTCGAGATAGGACCGTGCGAGATCAAGAGCTGCTCTCTTGTCGCCATCAAGAAGAGGTCCCAAGTAGGTCAAAATGATTTTTGTAAGGTCTTCGAGATTGCTGTCGCCGGAGTGTACATAGATCTCGGTAAATCTCGACCTCAATGCTAACGAGAGATCCTTCTTCCCAGCGTCCGTAGCTGGATTCATCGCTGCAAAAACTCGGAAATTGGAATTGGCAACGACCGACTCGATCTTGCCTGCCTCTGCGAGAAGTAAAGAGGGACGTTCATCATCTCCATTATGTAACAAGCTTATGATAGCGTCAAGAGTGTCCGGAGAAGCTAAGTTGATCTCATCGAGCAACAGCCACTCACCATCACGGACCGCCTGAACAAGGCGACCCTCAACGAATGAGAATACGTGGTTCTTGTCACCTCGCTCAATTTGTGCTTGGATCTGTAAGAAGTCGTCTGAGAAGTTGGCCCATCTCTTTCGCAGGTCATCGTACTTTGGATTTGCCAATTTTCGTTTTTTGCTTGCATGTGTGGACCCATTTGGCGTTGTAGGCTCCGAGGTTGGGTTCAATGAGTCGGAAGCAAGCTGAATGGCTTCACGCCAGAGAACTGTGAGCCGCGACCAATTCTGTCTGTTAATGGATTTTGATATAGCCAGCTGGAATTTCTCATTTCGTTTGGTAGAAAAGGTGTCCTCGAACAGTATATTGAACTTCTCAGCGAGTGGCAGAACCAAGGATCTGGTAGTTACTGGCTTCAGCCCACCAAGTAGATCGCTAGCCTCGCTCTGTTGTGAGAGGTTGACCACAGTGAGTTTCTGACCTACCAAGCTGGCGATATGCTGCACAAGTGTCGTCTTCCCGACACCTGTTTCGCCCACTAGCAGACAAGGTTCAGAATGGCTTGCTCCGGCAGAAATGCGATCTAGCGTTCTCTGGGCAGAGCCGGTAAGCGCAAATGAATTGTTTCGATACTCCGCTCGACGACCCGACACTTTGCTTAGCGAGTTACGACCAACACTCAACGTAGTGCTTGATTTGGAATTTACAATTGATATCTCTTCTGTGAGTGCATGACGCATCTGTTGCGGGGAAATATCCATCTCTTGAGCTATACAAGATGCCAACAGGTCGTGAAGTGCTTCATCATTGAGATACCCAGCGTAGATATCCACAGCGTCTTTGAAAATGTCGACCTTCGAGCGCTGGGGAATGGAAATGGGTGCCATTGCTTGGTGGGTGAAAGCCAATCTGCGGACAATTCTGCGTGACCACACGAGGAGGTCTCGAAGTGAAGGAATGCGACTTTGCAAAGCCTTAAGACGGGGCTCATCCTTATAAATGAGGGACGCTTTCTGATGGACTCTCAGAATGGTGGGGAGAAACGACTGAGCTGTAGGGTATCGCGCTTGGAGCAAGGTTTCGATCTCTGTGGGTTCATAGGTAGCAATATTGACAGTGTTCCACAGTCTTGGGTTGAATAGCCAAGAGTAACGACTATTGTAAGTCTGTCGTTGATTGCCGCTGGACCTCATTGTAGCCAGAATGCGGAATCCATCCACTGGGAGGATTTTTTCTTTTCGACTAGCGATGAATAGCTCACCGGTCTCGAGGATAGGACGGAGAACGCCCATAACTTCAGTAGGGGCCCGGTCGATGTCCTCAATCAGCACCCACCTTCCTTGTTGGATGGCCTTTGTCAAAACACCGGGCGTCCAGGAGAAGGACTCGCCGTCGGCTGAGGAGGTATAAAGTCCTAAGAGGCTTTTTGCATCAGTTTGCTCGTTTAGATGTAGCGTTATCATGGTCGATGATTTGTTCAGTAGCCTGGCAGCTTCACGAATGAGAGAAGTTTTGCCCGAGCCAGCTTCTCCGAGCAGTAGAAGTGGTTTTGGTGACAGCAAGCCTTGACCAACTAGGGATAAATTTTGTCTCGAAGTCGGGGTCAAGATGTAGTGAGAGTCTGGAGCCTCAAGATTACTATTCCGTGGTACCAAAACTCCCCCCATCACGGCCGCGTTTGGAGAAAGATCTTCGAGGGCGACTCGTACATTGGAGGGCGATGGCATAGCTTCCATCCATCGGTTCTGAAGACGAGCGATAGAACCTTGGATCTCTTTCCATCTGTTTTCCTCCCATAGTTTCAGAACTCGAAAGTCAATAGTTCGCCCTTCCCACTGATCCAAAATAGCATCAGTCGAACCATACGGTCTCCTTTGTTGTCCACAGGGCTTGAGATAGGCCAGAACGAGAGTCTCAGAATAAGCGTCCGCAAAATGCATGTACATACATAGACATTGAATCGAGAGATATTTCACAGAGGGTAAGTGATGATGAAGAAGTGAAAAGAAGAAAGAGGGACCAATGACAGTGGAGAGCATATCCCGGTTGTATGATAGTAGGCGAAACAATGCCAGCAAAAGTACGGAGAGATCCTCATCTGCGATCGGGATGGTGTCTGCGCTTGTAGCCTGAAAACATGGTTGCAGCTGCTTTGTCTCCAACACAGTCCGGACATGGTGTTGGAGGTAGGTGGCGAATGGCAAAAGCCGGGCAAGCGCAGATAGTGTCAAGGCTTGGTCGTGTACATTACCACGTTCTGCGGCGGTTGCTGTCCATCTTGCAGCCAACTCCGGTAGAAGTGGTATATATAGTGGGAGAAGAACGTCTGAGAACTGTGGGAGCTTTGTTGTTTCGGCAAGAAGGTTCAGATATTCTGGTCCAGATGTCCGAACAATCAGCGAGCGAAGTTCGATGGGAAGGGTGTCGAGGAAAGTGTTGTCTCGATCTAATTGCGCGTTTGCCCAGGAGCAATACACTGTGATATCCTCCATGGCTTGTAGTTGAGTACTGGACATTGAGTCCGTCGCTACACCAAGGTATTGACTCGTTGGTGATTGGTATATGAAATGTTTCATTGAGAAAGATCTCTTGCTGGGCTTGGCATAAAATAAATTGAAGTTTGTTGTCCAGGAATGGTCTAGTGCCTGACGGGTGGCGCGAAATCACGTGCCCATATCTGCAAGGCTGTCGGAGATCTGTGGTGATGGTCGTTCCAATATCCAATATATTCTACTGCAACCGACTCGGCGATGTTACAGGCGGTTTTCCACATTTATCAGTTTGATTTGAATCGATGATAACAACATTTATATCTTAGCAAGTAGTTTGGAAAAAGTCGAAGAGATTACAAAAGAACAATCGTGTGTAAATCGTGAAATACAACGTTTTCATGAAATATACATAGAGACAACGTCGTCTATCAACAAAAGTCTACAAAGTAAACAAGAGCGCTTTAGGCCGGTAATCGCTTCACGACTTCGCTATCTGGAACAAGATGGTGTGGTATACCAACACAACATAAAACCCATTTTCAATCAAGGCCGCCTGGTCGACGCTTGCTTTCTTATCATTTCACCCGTGACAAGAAAACTTCCGGAAGTGACATAACATCTGTCCAGCCGCCCTACCAACATATATCGTGCGCTCGCTGAGACGTAATTCGAATTTTCGACACACAAACCGAAAGTGTGTAAAGAAGAAGTAGTTATAAGTTTGTACATGGGAAAAGGATCAGTCGTATCGTCAAGACCTCGTTCATTATTCTTCAGTGAGTGCATCATCACCAGCTTCTCTCCAATCTCTCGAGTGTTCGGTGAGTCGCTTGATGCCGGCGACGCGTTCTGCCCAGATGGACTCGGAGGCGGTGCGAAAAGTATAGGCTCGTTGGGATGAGATTACACCAATGGCCTGCAGCACAGCCTTGCGAGAATCTCGAGAGAACACCGCAGGATGACTGATCCATTCCAAGCTGGACTCGATATCAGCATCGAGGGCATTCATGGCATTGTGGTCGACGCCAGTCGTGCGGGGGATCGGTGTGCTCGCATCAGAATGAGGACTATGATCACGATGATGGTCTGGCGTTTCGGCTCGCGGGCTGGACGATTTGGCCGGAGGGGTGTGTCTCTTGCTCGTGGCATTGGGAGGCAGCGGAGGCAGTCCCCCCTTACCCAATCCTTTGAGAATTGTCCTCGTCTCGTTCAGGAGATGCTGTGCCCGTTCGTGTTGCCCTCGTGCGACCAAGGTCAATGCTCGGCTCAACATGTCCGAAGTCAATAGTTCCATCCTTCGCTGTACGATATGTGGATGCGGGGGAATGGGTGGCGTTGGCGGTCTTCCGTTCTGCCGAGAACGAGCATTGGCTGGAAGCATGGTAATGGCAAGTAGGGAAGGTCGGGGTAGCTGCATAATTGAGCCATCGCGGAGGAGGTCCCCATAGGCCAAGTCAGCCTGGAGGAGAGGCAATTCCTCCACGCTTTGCACGCGTTGGTCCTCGTTATCCAGCGAACCTCCGAGCGCCTCCAATCCTGACACAATCGACTCCCAGGGGTCTTGTGGAGCCGGGTCTTGAGTACCAGTGTCAGGGTCAATCACAAGTTGCACCAAGATATCTCGTTTGTCTCCGAAGTGCAGATCTCCTAAAGTTGCTTCGGCATCCCTGCCAGTGGCTCTCTTGGTGGTTTGTAGAGCACCGTTAATTTTGACGAACTTGGCAGGCGAGCCCTCAGGGAGCTTAAGTTTAAGCTTCACATTTTGGTGAGAGATTGATTGAAGAGCCCCCAAAACTCCGGCGGCGCACTCTCTGAGCATCATCCAGTCTTTGACGTAGAGATAAGATGCCTTTGTGCGACTAGATAGTTCGATCATGCTGTCAGGCTTGTGGGTCAACCCAAGGCCAAATGAATAAATCCCGACCCTGGAATGGCATGGTTAGTGGGTGTCAACACGAAAACGAACAGGATATAACGACTTACTTGGCAGCTTCAGCTCTCTGCACGACGAAGTCGACACTATCACTTTCAGATGTTGAGGAATCGCTGATCAGGAGGATTGTCGAGATAGGGTTGGCGGCTTTTCGCTGCATCAAAAGATCCATGGCCATATTTGCGCCCTCAACAACATCTGCTCTAAGGCTTTTTTGACCCACGGGACGAATTGAATTGAGAACTTTATTCCAGCCAGGCCAGGTTTTCGTGGTCATACCAACAACAGGAACGCCTCCACCACTGGAGCCGAACGTGACCAATCCCATCCTGTCACGATCTCCAAGGTTGTTGACAAGGAACCGCAGAGTATCTCTCAATAACGTGATTTTGAGGCCTTGCATAGAGGATGACACAGGGATGACAATGACAACATCGACCGGAACATGTAACGAGGGTGGAACTCTTCGATCAGTCACCAGTTTATGAGTCGAATACTCGGTTGCAGCGGTGGTTGCAGATTTCGGCCCTCCATAAGAGGAAGCGACAGAGGGAACTCTTCGTACCGTTCGGTTCTGTCGGCCATATTCTTCCTCATCGGTGCCGGAGGTGTCTTGCTCGTAATCCAAGTTATAGCGGGATGAATCATCGACCGAGTGTAAATCTCTCAGGGATCGCTGCCACTGTTCCAGTTGGGATCTTTCTGCAAACAAGAGATGAAACGTTGGCAGTTCGGCGACTGAGAGATTCAAAGTCAATATCGACTCATCGGGAGATGCATGAACCTGTCTGAGATGCTTCTTGATGAGGATTGAGCCTTTCAAGGTACACCGAGAAAGCCGACGGCCCGAGGAACTGATTAGAGGGGGTTGTGCATTCTTCTTCTCCTTCACACAGATAAGCATTTCCCCAAACAGATAACATTCAAGTTCCTGCCACGAATGACGATCTTTCCCCACTCTAACAGTGTCGTGCAATCGAAGTTTACCAAATCTTTGGAACTCCAATCCGTGCCAATTATCCACACGGATGCGCAATTCCTCTGTGATTTCCTCGAGAATTTCAGGCGACTCGTAGGGCATGATAGGTGGAAGTTCGGATCGGGACGATTTCGATGGAATGCTGATACCGGAGTCAGGAGGAAGAGTCGGCACTGGTGGTGTGCTCTGAGCATCGTCAAATTGGGGGTGCCATTTGCCTTCAGGAACTTCGATCGTCACCAGGCAGGTAAGAGTTTGTTGTTGTCGAGATCTCGTCAAGGTTGGGTATTCACTCCGGACCGTGACAATAGGTGAGGGAATGGATTGTTTATTGTCCTTGATTGTGGCTCCTCGCACACTTGTCTCCATGGCGTGGAGATCGTAATCATGTTTTCGGGATTGTGTGTGATCATTGGCGAAATCGCTTGAGGCATTACCACCGCTATCAGTTCGTGCATGGGAGTGGTGTGGAGCATGAATAGATCCGCCGTGTTGAGATGGCTGTATTATCGACCCATGTTGGGATGGCTGTAAAGAAGGCTGAGCTGAATGACCAATCCCGAGGCGTTCTATTCTCATTCGTTGGCTGTCTCGGCTGTCTCGGTTGGAATTCTCGCGACTATGTCGGTTGCTGGTATCCTCACGGGTACTGTTGGTATCATCCTGCGTAGTTTGTCGATCCCACGGCATGGGGGTATTTGCGGAGCTTCTCGGAGAGTTGAGGTCCTTCTGTGCCACGGCTCTCACCATGTTGCTCAATTTGCCTGATAATGTTAGTCTGACCGAGTATGGGTAATGGGTAGGAGTGAACGTACTGAGGTCCAGGATACTTCCGCCACGGAAGGAATCCAGGCTGAGAGGAGCATCACATGTTGGACAGTATTGAGAATCCGAGTCACGAATATATTCGTAAAAGCATGCCTCGTGAGCTACGTGACCGCAAGAGAACTGGAGAACTCTTTCTCCTCGCAGGGTGTGCTCCAATAACTCTTCACAGGCGGCGCACTCACCACCGACAAAGGTTCTGTCCCGCCGTGAACGAGCGCGATCCGAGTCGAGCATGCCTGCCATGGGATGCCCAGCTCCTGGGACGCTTGCGGTGGGTGAAGGCGGGATACGTTGATCCCTCGTTCGCGGGCGATGGTCGTTGGGAGTATGAGGTCTTCCTAAGGTGCCGGAGGAGATGCTGGACTGCTTGAAATTTTGAGAGGTGCCGCCGGTGGTCGATGAGGGGCCAGTGCGATGATTATAGGTGTCGTGTCTCGCTCGTGGAGGTTGGTCTGAATAAGGGAACAACATGTGTCAGTTTTGTCTTGGGTTGAATGTCTTTGAACAAAACAGCCTCCTCTTTCGTTTGAGAATGCGCGAAACCTCAATTCTTTGTGGTGAAGAGAGTCTTACACTGCGCTGACCTGCTGGCGTCGGTGGTGGCACCGGCCCTTTGACGAGAGCGAGGACGATTGAGTAGACCCAACTCGTAGAGGTTCTCGGTGGTCTCTCTCGACACCTCGGCTTGGGAAGATGATGATCGAACGTGTTTGGGCATGGAAGAAGAGATGCGCAGGAGGAGATACTCTAGTCGCTCGTCTCTAGTCCCAGTAGCGTCCAAGCAATTTCATCAGCCCAAAGGGTTAGGGAAAGCCTGCAACGGGGAATGGATCAAGGTCCCAGGTAGGTAGGGAGGGAGTAGTAATGAAAACCACGTGGAGACTGTCCACTGCTTTCTGTTGCAGTGGGTTCACGGAAGAGGGCGGGGCGTGTAAGATCAACGAGCAGATGGAGAGGTTACAACTTGCAGCTCTTTTGGTTTCCCTGAGTCTTGAATCCAGAGTCGGGATCGAGAGTCCCTGACGCGAGCTGGATGCTTTGTGTTTCCTGCTTTCAAGCTGGCTCCTGATGCCACTGGTGGGCGGCCGTTCAGTATCAGAGTTTCTGGCCGATTCGAGGTGCAGTTAGGGCAAACAGAGACAGGCAAATTTGTGCGTGCAGTAGTAACACCATTGGCGTCGAGTTAGCTCTGCTTCAAGGACCTGGGGACTAAGAAGTTGTATCGGTGGAGACAGTGGATAGGGAAGGGATCCATACGAAGTGATTCTTTTAACCTTTTCCACCTGCTCGACCTTGGGTCGAAATACCACGAGCGTCCAAACTCTTTTCAGGGACGACCAGAAGTCGCTTGCGACCAGCGCTGCGGGTGCGTGCCATGGCGCAACGACGGGGGATGGGTCTGAGGCTTCGATCCCGGTGAGTCGCCAGTGCAGCGGACAGCAGGAATCACAGATGCCGGTGGGGTCAGAGATCAGGATGGACCTGGCAAAGGAATCCACCGCCAGATGGACCAGGGTGGAGTGATGGTGTTGCACTGGTCGACTGGAACCAAACCTGCTGGGGGAAGGACAATAAATCCCGAAGGTCTAAAGCTCCGCCTAGGCACCTAACCCGACCATTACAAGGGCGCTGCGCCCCTAGCGTCCAGATTTAGGGGCTAGGACCGCCTAGGACCGCCTAAGACCTCCGAGGACTAGTTCCCTCTCGGGCTGCTGCCCATTCAAAGCACGGGTTACCTTTGCTGCTTCCTCTGGAGCATGATCAGCATGAACATGGCCTGGAGGGGTATAGCTGTCTCGAGGTAGCAGAAAAGGCTTAGAATGTCATGTCAGTGCTCGTCTGCCATCATACAGACCTACCCATGTGGGACATGTGTCAAAGTCCCTCGTGTCTCTGTGCTCAAGCCGTGAGTCTGAGCGTCCACTAGACCTGTCATATTGAATGTGATGAATTGGTAGTGACGTACTTGGACCAATTCTTGTCTTGCAATCCTTTGTCACTTGTAGCGAGTAGTACTCAATTGGAAAGCATTGATCACAACTGGGTACAGGCATTGATATCTTGTGACGAGGAGTGATTCAAGGACGACTATGTTTAGGACATGATTGTTCTCGAACGACTTAGCTTGATTCATCTGGAATTGAGGGGAGCAAGATGGAGGGAGGCTATAAGGAAGCCTAGGTACCTAACCAACCTGGTTAAGTCCCAAGTGCCCGTGCAGAGGTGACTTACCCCGTAGGCATCATCAACCAGGCACCAGGCACCCTACCAGGCTTGGGTCGTCAAGTCTTAATCATGGGTGGCGGGGGTTACCTGTCAACACGTTCACTTGGTACCTGGTACCTACCACTTCAAGTTATCAACCTGCAGTGGTACTTGCATTATTGTGCATTGCATTGTACCTCTTCTAGCCAGTGAACATCAGTTAATTCCTGCTTCTGGGACTGGATCTGCTTCAAAAACGCAGAGGTAGCTTCCCATCACATCTCGGTTAGACGATCTTACTAGGTTGATTGAACTCCTACGGATAACAACCAAGGGAACAGAAGCAAACGTCTAGTATCACGGAGTTCAAGGCATCCGAAAGCTTGAAGATACGGATACAATACTCGGGAACCATCGCTGAGATTATTAGAAAATTCACAGCTACCAGATCTTTTCATTTAGCACCACGCGGATGGTCAATTAGACTGATTTACCGAGTATCTAGGAACATTAGTTATCTGTACTCGACCTTTTCTAGCCAGGATACCTCGTACCTTAGTTTAGAAGACTTACGGTTAGCTACCGGCAAAATTTAGGCAGTCGACCGCTTGATCAACAATTGAGCTTCCTTCCGCTTTCCGCATGCAAGTGCCGCAGTCGAATTGGTCTGGTGTGGAATACTAGTATTGGTAAGGGGATTGCCACCCACAAGAGAGGAGGTTTTGCAATTTCTGGAAGGGTAGTTATTATAAAAGCTCCCAAGACATGATCATGTCGTACCTGAGATGGAAAATGCGTCTCCCCAGACTGCAAGTACGGATGTATGTCCATCTCTGCCGATCAGAGATGAAGGGATTCTGATGTCGTCAGCTTCCACGTACAATGGTTCGCGAGAACACATTTGAAACGTGTGCAAGATACTCGAGGGTACCTCAATATTCTGCCCAAACATGGTATGATGAGAAAATAATCACATTTCTCGACCGTTCCGAGTGGACCCCCTTGTTGGACATATCTACATGGGACATCCATGCATCCCCCCAAGGGGCACACCAATGTGCCGGCCATCAAACTGCAAGCACAGAGAACGGAATACCGTCGCACTCGATAATCGGTACCTCGCCCAAGTGAACAAGAGGTTCCATGTGGATGCTTCACTACTGCAACTCCAAATGCCTGATGATGTTCCTACGAATATTTTTTGCACAAGGATACTGCTTGTTCGAGTACCGAGCATCACAGAATGATCAGCGTTGACCGTTTGTTGGGTTCGTAACCTTAGCCTTTCCGGTACACAGACGGAGTCCCTAGAGAGTGAGTTCTGCGGAGTCTGGTGTACCGAGTACACTGTACACTGAAGCAAGCAAGCCACCACAAATCACAAATTCGAAACACCACACCTTTCAATCTTGCTAGGACTTTGAGTTCTACACCCCGAAAAATGCTTGCTTGGTTCGCCATCACTGAAGTTTACTGCCCTGGTGCGAGTCGCGTCTCGTAACCGGAAATGTCAAGTCTGACGTCTTGCCACCCTTACCACCGAGCAATCGTCACAATCCCATGCTTGAACTTTCCACCCGGCCTGTGGCGCACTTCAACGTCAGGTGTCATTGGGCGGCCCCTAGGGCTAAAAGAGTCCGTTCCTGAGGAACGATCTGTCGGGTGTCCAAGGTCTCTCTGTCACTTGTCCTCTACCAGAGGACTGGCGTAAGAGACAAGGTTTACACCCTGTCCGGATGTGGAAGAATTGACATCCGCCATTATTAACCAACGCTTAGACTTGAGTTCCTGAGTGCTCATGTTGCCTCAAAGCACGAACTATTCACTTGTAGGACGGCCGTGCTTCATATTCCCTCGGTTTGATATACCGTCTGTATTGCATCTATCCACATCAAAAGTCGAACTCAAACCCCAATTCACAATTGTTCGGGGCTCCTTCTACCATCCTGTTGGTGCACGGGGATGTGCCGAAGTTATCCGTCATGCTCACATGGGCAACACCGAAATTAAGGTCTTGAAGGACGTTTTCAGGCCGGAAGCACTTGTGTGAGCAGCCAAGCCTCAGAGGGGCTCTCTTGCTCGCCTGGGAGGCAATCTCTGGAAGGGGCCATCTACTCGTATGATCTGGGCCACCGGGAAGGGATCATGGCCTTGGTGAGTTCACGCCAAAGGAAAACCTGCGATTGCCCTGGAAAGAGTCTATAACCGAGTTTCACGTGGACTGTCTTGATCTATTCAAGCCGACTCTAGTCAAAAAGTCAGGCATGTTCCCTCTTCACCCGGAACTCTCTACACAAGTTGGTACAAAGCATAATGCACATTGACATTATTCAAGGCCACACCCTGATGTCTGTTAAGCCCCGAGGAACTTCTTAAAGTTTTGAAGAATCTCGGTCGAGCTTTGATTAGGGAGAACTCACACCTCCAGAGCTTACTATATCCATTGGCTTTGAACGTTCGTGTCATACACGCAATGCATATCGTTTACAACTCATGAAGTACATCTACTACTTCTTATGCGGTGCCAAAAAAGCATAATAACCTGCACAACTGATTCCAATTGTGGCAGGTCCGTCTGTTTCAAGTTCTCTGGTAGGAACGTGCTTTGAATATTGTGGCTTGCATGCCATAACCGAATTCAGAGAAGTTCTTCTTTCCTTTGCGCAGCGCATCATAGTTCCTCGGTTGGGTAACACCCATATCTATGCCGAGTAAAGCGGACACCATTGGGACCCAAAACCTACTCGTGCAAACCTCCCAGCTGCCAAGTTACTAAGAACACTCCGTAGGAGGATAGTGATAATACGACCCCCTTTCATTTCACAGCGTTGCACTCATAAGTTCATGCTACTTTAGTACTTAACTATCTTAATCTGACAGCTTTGTGGCACCGAGGGCGTAAAGTCCGCGTGCTTTACAATCCCCACTGGTACCAAGTGTCATGTCATTGCTATCTGCTTGCTGAATCCTCTCAACTAGTCGTCTCCTAGAGGGGAGCCTCGTGCAGCTCTAGTTCCAGGACACTGATTACTGGAACGACCTGGTGGGGGCGCCTGAAGGCTAAAAGCGCGCAAAGTTCCATCAGAGGATCTACAGACTACAGCCTACTCGGACCCTCTAGGTACGGGATAGGAAAGGCCATCGCGCCTGCACGAATAATTCAATTCGACCCATCAAGAAAGGCTGCTTTCGTGATTGTTACTCATGCACACGAATTTGCCTAGGGGTGTGACTCCGGGTGAGGAAGTACGTACTCAGTGCTTCTTGGGTATCAATCTACTCATTCCGTGTGTGTGTGGCTCTGACAACGAGATCTTCATTGCAGCGCCTCGAGGTGGGAAGTATGTAACTCTGTTCGTGTTTACTCGTACGAAAGGGGGATTGAAACACCTGCGTGGTCAGCCAGTTCAATGTCAACCCGCAGTGATCGACGGTCCATGTGGGAAATGGAGAACATGCAGAGTTGGCGCAGATAATAATAGTCAACTGGTTAATCCTCCGTACTCGTCAATCGTCCCCGTCAATTTTCAACGTGGCGTTTACCTCATCCCAGGCTCCCGATGATGACTGGTCACAGACGGATGGGCAGACGTCTTGGTCCGCCGCCTCTGGATTGAAGGCGTCTCTTAGTACCTCGTAACTCGCTACCTAAAGAATGGACGACAAGTCGACGAGAAGATATCTCGTGGAGATGCCGAGCGAAAGACGGCGCACGACACGAGAAAGGACTCCGCAAGTAGAGGGAGAGCGCATCATTAATGCATCACAAACCTTACAACCTCTCCTCATCACACGCTACTGACTCATCCAGTGTGTTTCAGCCTGAAGAAAAGGGCATCAATGTGACCATCTTCACTACTTAGTATGCATCATGATGCATGTCCCAAGTTTCCAACGCCACTTGACGTAGACTCAGCATAACCAGCGGGTTCTACGGCGCAGTTCCATGTCTTGATTTTTCAACGCCCGTGTCGACAAGTGCGCGTTACCTCCTGCAATTGGGTGCACGCATATTCGGGGAAACGCTTTCAAACCAGCTGACAGCGACAGAACCCACACCACCTTCAAGAAGAATGCTTCTAGAAGAAAACAGATCGACACGAGGTCATCGGAACAAAAATGTGTGCATGCAATCCAAAATTAAATCGAAAGGCACTCAGACTATTCGTTCTTGTAGGTGGAATCTTCCGTCCTATCCAGGCCATCCACAAGTCCGACACGAATCTGCGTGGTATTCGTAACTCCAGAGGCAGACGTCAAGCCAAAAAGTATGACTATTTGGACGCCGCCAAACACAACACGAGAACTAAAAGTCTCCGAGTACGAAATATCTTCCCCGAAAAGTTGCAAGCTGCCTCCAGAGCATGAGGAGCCTAATCGGAGCATTAGCCGTTGAAGTAGCCTACCCACATGCAGCCAAGGAGCGACGGCCAACGAAGCCCAATTCAGGCTTCGGTCGAGCGTCGAGCACCACTTCTTCTCCCTTTCTTCCACCAATTCCCTTCCCCGAGCCGTGCTTCGCTCCGCTAGAAGCCGTGGGAAGCGATGTCTTGAATTAGCTTCTCGTGGCTGCATGGATTAGCCGGGGGATCATTTCTGTTTTGAGCGAACCGCTTGATGCTCGCTGGATGGAGGACTAACTCCTTTGTCCTATCCTCTTTCATCTGAGAATTGGCGGAAGCGTTTCCATCCTCCCAAGCACAGTTATTTCCTAATTCATACAGCTATGGAGACGAGGGGGACCTCTGAAAGCTGAATCGACGATAGTGCAGCTGAGGCGAAATGACTAGAGTATACTGAACCGGACTAATCAATGTTGAGGGAGCATCTGAGCACCAAGATAATAGGTACGAGCAGATACCGCTGACAAGGCCGAAACCCATCAGCCATCCTTGTACCTACAGGTATCTAGGAACCTTGACACCAGCATCGCAATTCTCGGAATCCATTCGGCCATCAACATCAGTCAACAATCATGCCATCTATGTATCATGTATGCCAGACTATGTAAGACACTCATTCAAAACTACAAAAAAAAAGGACATCATCCCGGCCAATAGACAGATGTTTCAGGAAACCTTTCCCGCAAGACCTCCCACAATAACAAGGCCTAATCATAAATCAATCAAATCATGAACAGATCGACATTCGAGAAAAGCCACGACGCCATTCCAAGCTCCTACGGGCAGATAGTGTACGACAACGTCCCTGATGACAAAGGTCAGAGTCAGTATTCGTTGAGTCGGGAGAACGACCAGAAGAAAACACGGCCCTACGGCATGTCTGTCTACTGTATCAGTTTGACTAAAACCAAGCATTCTTAGATTGTTCGCGAAGCGAGAAATATGTAGATCATGACCACTTTTCTTCTTAGTGTTGGGTGGGAACGTTTTCCGAACCCTCGCTCATCTGTTTCGATTTAAATGCAAGTAACGTGGCGTGGGCGATCATTCAAAAACAAACTGGAGTTGATCGACGGCAGCAGCAGGAAGATGGAGCCTGGAAACAACACATTTGGGCTGGGATCAATCTGCACCGTTGCAGTAGGAGATGCAAAGTGGGCTATCTGGCCGCTTTTGATGTGGTCCGCTTGTGATTGGTGATCTATAGCTTACCCACAATTCCCGAAGGACTTGAATAGAGCGGCGTCCCCAGGTCCCTCTTCTGGAAATTGTGATTTCGCCAAATCTCCGCCGTTGCTTCTCCTGAATCGGATGCCGACCGGGACATGAACCAGAGGCTCGTCGTTAGTCTGATTTGGGGGGGATTGCGTCTTCGCCTCGTGGTATTCCTCTAGGCCTCCTGGCCCTCCAGGAATTAGCAGTTCATCTAGCCATCTACAGATTACTGCTTACGGCTATGATCAACGGTTCTCTGGATCCTCTCGTATCCCCCTGACTCTCGTCTTTGCTCCATGGTATGGATATTGCATCTTCCTAGTCGACCCTAAATAGGTAGTGGAAACATCCGAGAGAAGATCGGTTTCGATAGTTGCGGGAATTGCCCTCCGTAAGATCCCATACCAATATTGGCGAGGTTGTCTGATGTGACCTGCTCAATGGACCATGGGTGTTCGTTTCAAGGTTCAATACCGTGTGTTTCCGCACCCAACAACCCCGAACGCAAGTATTTTGGTGAATAGGCGAGCTGCCAGTCGCATACTAGTAGATGCATGCTGGCAGATCATGTTCGCAGCAAACCAGCGGTGAACAAAAGACATGGCACTGCAAGGATCCATCTCGTGCAGAAGCGATGTGAAAAAGTCCAATAGATTCAAAGATTTCATTTCAACCTGGTCTCGCGTGTCTGCTTGTCTCCTCCGTGTCTTGTTGTTGTAAAAGTCCCCTGGCCTCTTCTTCTCCTTCCTCTTCTGTATCTGCAGTTTCGCGGAGCGCTCCAGCACCAGCGACAAAGTCAACAGACTTTTGCCGTTCCTTTGATGCCGACAAAATCCACCATACGTCCTTTTTCGTGAGAATGCCTCGAAAGGCCCCCCTGTCAACAAAGAGTAAATATCGAAGTCCAAGGTTTTGGAACATGCTCACAGTCAACTGGAGTGAGCTGTTTGCATTGAGCGTTATTGGCGTCTGATCCATCCAGGGCCTCAAATCTACACCTCTCGAAGCACCCACATCGGCATGGTAAACGAAATAGCAAGGCGTTTCGGGTGTAATAATGTCTCCGCCGGGCCGGTCAATTTGGGTGTTTGACTTTGTCATTCGATCCAGGGCAAATGTAAGTTCGACTCGTGAAATGTACCCCAAGAAGGTGTTGCCTCTTGGAGAGTCCGGCCTTGTTATTTCGCCCGCAGAACTGTCATCGTGGGTTTTTCTGAAGGCCACCACGGGGAAGCCACGGAAGGTGGTCGTTCTCAAAGTCTTCTGTAGGCTCGCCACGGTATGGCTCTTATTAGCATCTAAGCAATGCATCTCCTCTACCCTTGTCATAAGATTTGAGACCGCAACATGAGGCATCTGAGTATCGTCCTTGTTCTCAAGATATGGATATTCCTTGAAATTGATCCAGCTTTCGTAGATACCTCGCGTACTGAAAGCATCGCCAATCCATTTGGCAAGCATGACAGATACCATGATAGGTAGTACATAAGTCAGAGCACCTGTCAATTCGAACATAATCACGACGATCGATGCCGTCATCCGTGTAACACCGGCCAGAGCTGAAGCAGCTCCGACAATGGCGTAAGTTCCTGGGATGATACAAGGTACATCAGGTTCGCAAGCAGAAAAGAGTACACTGGTTGAAAAGTTCCTGTGTACAAGTTCCACTAACGCACCTATCGTTCGACCATACAGCGCTCCGATAGCCAACGTTGGGAGTATGATACCGGCTGGAATTTGTAGACCAAAAGTTAAACTGGCGAGTAGAAATCCAAGTAATGCAGCTGCAATCAATAGCCATGCCATTGCTAGCGATCCTGCGGTGGTAACTTTGCAGAGACCAAAGATATCGTTGTTACCTATACTTGCACATTCTGCGAATAAGTAGTAGACAAGTTCTGATAATTGGGCGCGCATGAATAGATTTGGATAGTTGACAATTGCAGAGATGGCAGCGACGATGAGAACTTCCAGAAGTGGTCGCTCTCGGAGAGGATAACTCTGTGATTTTCGTAGTCGAGCGATGAGCATGTTCAGTTTGATAAACAGACCGCCGTAAATGCCACCAATGACACCGAGCAGTACAAATGGAACAATCTCGAAGCTGTGCCATGCTTCCGAGTAGGTGACCTGATACAGGACAATTTTTCCCGTATGGAAAGGGTTCAGAGCTTGAAGGGTGACGGCTGCCACCATTGCGCAGACGAATGATTGCCACATTGTCTTGTCGGGAAAATAGTATGAGAGCTGCTCCAACGAAAAGAGCACTCCACCTATAGGAGAGCCAAAAGCCACGGAAATTCCAGAAGCAGCAGCAGCTGACAAGACTTCACGCTTTCGCGCTTCATTTTGACTCAAAGAGTCGAATGGTTTCATGATGATGTTGGCGCAACAACAGGCAAGATGAACAAAGGGACCTTCTTTACCCAACCACATGCCTGAAGCAACCGCTAAGCACTTTAACTGTCAGCTCACTCTTGAGAATACTGTGCAAATTCTTACCAAGCCGATTGACTTTGTAATCAATGTCCAACCACCAAGGAATCGTCTTATAACAAAGCCGCCGAGTACAACCTTGATCTCCGGTATACCACTGTGCCTGGCATACAAGGAGTAATTTTTGACCAAAAGGGCCGCAGACACGGCAAAGAGGATCTGCGTGGAGGGGTCAGTATGGGTGGCGAGTGTAGTGTATCGATAGTTGTACGCACCGAGAATAGAATGAAGAATATGTAACTGATCACGTACTGGCCTCCAGCAGGCCCGACACCCATTGCTACTGGCCATGGAGTCCAATCCTGACATTGAGCGAACTCATCATGACCCCAACAACAAAATTGCTTGTTTAGGTAGAACTGTCCTCCGTCCACTCCGGCCTTGCAATAACCGGTCTTGATATCCCCAAGCCAGTCCGACGCAATGTTGATGGCTGCGGCAAGACATCCAACAGAAACACCTGTTGCGACAAGAACCACCCAGACATGGCTAGCATCAAATAGTTGTCGGAGGTTTCCGACCAAGCCTTGACTGCCAGACAGCAGTTTTCTCAGCCGATGTCTTTCCTTGGTGTACTCATAGATCCAGTCGATGGCGGTAAGGTCGTCATAACCCACTCGACGGCCGGGTCCTTCGACATACCAGTCTGGTGGACCTGGTTCCTTTTCATCGTTTTCATCTGACACAAAAGGAGGAACTGTAGGGTCAATATTCCGGTTGCGGGTGTTCACTGGTGGCCGGTCTATCGGGGGGTGCTGGGGAATTTGATTCGAGGCTGAGCCTGAAGACAGTGTTTGAGAGGGTGAAGGTCCCGAAGTCTTGAAGTTCGCATTTCGAGGCGTACTGATGACATGTTAGCGATATGAAGCGAAGAAGTAAAAAACTAGAAATACTGGGAAGATATGTCGCCTGCATCATCCGCAGTAAATAAGTCCAAATCCGAATGGTCACTATCATCGGGACTGGACATGACTGCACAGTGATGTGAGGCAATTTGTTTGAACCGAGGTCTGAGATCGCATTCTCAATGACTATTCGGATCATTGACCATTTGGAAAGCCTTCAATCCGATGGCTATTGCTGGTGCAGAGCGCGATTCAGTCTCCTCTCCCCTCAAGTCCTCCGAAGGAGCCTTATTTGACGCGGAGAAACCTCGAAAGGGGAGACGTGCCGCTTTTGTTGCTCTCCAAGTCGCTTAACCTATATAGCTAGCTGGTCATTACAGCAGCTTAAGCAAGAAGCAAAGCAGCAAGATTGTAGTCCACTTTAAGAAAAGCCTTCTATGGCTTGGCATGGCTGCAGCCTCGTCGATAATTTGCAGGCCCGCCTCCAAAAGATAATTTGTCCCGCATTGGACACCAGGAAACCAACTCAGTCTTCAAATTCTCTGTTTGCGGGAGATATCTGGTCAGCTTTCAGTTCAAATGTCTTTATCAATCCCTCAAGCCTCGCAGGCCGGCCTTTTCAAGGCTGGCTACAATAGTTATGACGCCGAAGATGGTGCAGTTATCCGCAATGTAATGCCTATCCCATCTAGCGTTGAAATCTCCCAGCTCATACCATTTACAGATCGATGCCTGTCGAACAATAGCACAAACAGTCCAAACCTCGTTGGGTCCTTATGGCAGGAACAAAATCGTCATCAACCACCTGGCAAAGATGATCTTAACCTCAGACGCTGCAACAATTCTGCGAGAACTCGAAGTGGTACACCCGGCCGCAAAGTTATTGGTCATGGCCAGTCAACAGCAGGAAGCGGAAATGGGGGACGGCACAAATTTTGTCATAATCCTCGCAGGCGAACTCCTCAAGAAGGCAGAGGAATTAATACGGATGGGATTGAAAACCAGCGATATTGTTTCGGGCTACGAAAAGGCACAGGCATTCACTCTGAAGGCCTTGGAAGGTATGATGCACGCCATTACTCGTCTATAACAGAAGCTGAAAATCTCTAGACCTCGAAGTTGACCGTCTATCCAATCTACGATCGGCCGAAGACTTGAGCAAAGCCCTCCGTACAGTGGTTGCTTCTAAGCAGTCGGGCTCGGAGGACGTTCTGTCGCAGTTAATTGCCGAAGCAGTCCTAGCGGTCCTACCCAAAAATCCCACTCAATTCAATGTGGACAACGTCAGAGTGGTCAAAATTATGGGCGGCGATCTATCGGCTTCAAGAGTTGTCAGGGGAATGGTTCTTGGTCGTGAGCCTGACGGTACTGTCAAACGAGCGAAGAAGGCCAAGGTTGGCGTATTTTCCTGCCCAATCGACACATCTCAAACCGAGACTAAGGGAACTGTCCTCCTCAAGAATGCTCAAGAAATGATGGATTTCTCTAAAGGCGAAGAACAGCAACTTGAGACTGCAATCAAAGAACTATACGACAGTGGTTTGAGAGTCGTCGTCGCAGGATCAACCGTTGGTGAGCTGGCACTCCACTACCTCAATCGCTACGGCATCCTCGTTATCAAAATCTTGTCTAAATTCGAGTTGCGTCGTATTTGCCGGGTCTGCAATGCCACACCTCTTGCTCGTCTTGGTGCACCTATGCCTGACGAGATGGGCAGCATTGACATCGTGGAGACCACGGAAATCGGTGGCGACCGAGTGACTGTCTTCCGTCAAGACTCCGAGTCTGCAACAACTCGCACAGCCACGATTGTCCTGCGCGGTGCGACACAAAATCACCTTGATGATGTGGAACGTGCTATTGATGATGGCGTTAACGCAATTAAAGCGATCACAAAAGATCCCCGTTTGGTCCCTGGTGCGGGTGCGACAGAAATGCAGCTCGTCGAGCGAATCACACATTTCGCTGACAAGACACCCGGCTTGCCCCAATACGCCATTAGGAAGTATGCTGAAGCATTCGAAGTAATTCCTCGCACGCTGGCTGAAAGCGCTGGACTTGATGCTACTGAAATCCTGGCACGGCTGTACACAGCACATCAGCATCGCCTGAGCTCGAAGACAAGCGAGGTCAAACACAGACGACCATCTGGGGAGGACTCCGCGTCAGCATCCGAGGACGACGAGGAAGAAGACTCATCATCGTCCAATGACACCTCTGAATCTGAAGAGCCATATTGGACAACAGGTGTAGATCTAGACGCATCTGACTCAGCTACTGGCGTACTCGATGCGGTCGAGGAGCAGATTTTGGACCTGATGAGTGTGAAGAGCTGGGCTATCCGGTTGGCCACAGAGGCAGCAAGAACTGTGTTGAGTGTAGATCAGATCATTGTCGCCAGACAAGCTGGTGGTCCCAAACCTCCAGGACCCAATGCCAACTGGGATGAGGACTGAGCAGACCCAACTTCTCAACATAGGGCAATCAAAGAAATGACGACTGAGTTGATGTGATGTGACTACAAGCGATAGGATTATGCAAAGCTCAGAGGCGACCTTGAGCAGAAGATACCCAGATCGACCGAAATAACCAGCAAGTCAAATGTCATACAACTCCCCCAATGGACCATGAAACCCTTGATCTAGCTGGAGGCTTCTCAATCACATGCCCCGTTCTCCTTTGATCACAAACACCAAGCAGTATTTCCCACAAATGTGATTATTAAAGACTCTTCGCCGGCCCCGCGTCGCCTCCCAAGCTATACCAGGCGCCATATCATCCTACAGCATCACAAAGGCAGACCACTACTACATCCTCCGCCCACAGGAACAATCACCATGGCCCTCAAGCACAAGTTTCCCCACACAACACCAACAAAACACGACCTCGCACCCACGAAACAGAAAACAAGGCTGGGCAAAACCGGACGGCAGGTCTGGCCGGTCACAACCAGGATCTCCCGCGTTTCACGCGGCGCGCCATACGAACAACCATCTTCCATGTAGCCGTTCCAGGCAGACGGCCGACGGCTCATCAACGGCCCCAAAACTCGAAATCCGACAATAAGACCATTGATGAGGCGGTGCTCATTACTCCTTGTCTTTATGTCTCCCCCTGCCCCAGATAGACTACGGTGGGCATGATCCTTTTCTCGGAGCCTCCGTATTGAAGCGAAAGAAGATTCCAAGAAGAAGTGAGGGAATGAAGAGAAAGCGAAGTTCGCAATTCCAGCGAAGCGATGTATCAAGTATTGGGGGCGCCGTTCCTTTGGGTTCTGCCTTCCTTGCCTGCTCTGCCCAGGGCTATATTCACTCAATTCATCATCATTGTCTTGATCTCGTCCTATCCTTCGTCTATCCTTCCAGACCCCATACGATATGGGGTTCGGAGCACGGCTGTGTCAGTCCCCTGACAATCTTGAAGATCACTGGATAGGTAGCAGTTGAGTAGACTCGGTAGCCCCGTACAACAGGATCGTGTCACCGTTATACATAGCTAGCCGTGGCGAGTTGTGCATACTCCTTTTCACTATCCTAATCCCTATTCGTACAATGACAACCTCCCGGACTTTGGACTGACAGAGAGCATACCCACTCACTGGGTAGTCGGCTGTATCGCCGCATACTCTGTATTTGGGCGTGTGTCAGATGCAGATCTATATTCAGGAACAAGTAGGCGAACACCGCCAGCACTGATTCATGGTTACCGTTTCTTACCCTGCCAGAGTGGACTAATTGTCTCTGCTCCCTCTGTGCGCCTTTACTTCCTGTACTGCGAATAGGCCTGCAGGTGATGATGGTAGGTGGGTGCGATTATATGAAAAGGGATCAGAAGGAGTCTAGAAGACCTCTCGAGGATGGTGTGTCATCAGACGTAATTTGTGAAAGAGAACCATGAGGCAGAAGATATTTTATATTGTAATTCATGAAGTTTTTATTTATGCGTACCACGAAATCGCCCGTGGTCATTCTAGCTAAGCGTTCCTCCGGGCATGACGAACCCATGCATCCCCAGTACTAATACATCTAATCGAGTTGGACGGAAGACGTTCGACGGTTTGGGTGGCGATTGAGCCTCCCTTGGAGCGATGGAGTGCGCGGATATGCAGGAGCCGACGCTTGGTCGCAAAATACTACGAGAATGCCCATAAATTGCTTCTCTAGACTTGGTGCTGGTGGTCAAGTCTGCCGATGGTCATGAGCCGCGTTGCATTTCAGTGCAGAATTGACATTGAAGACAGCAACTATAGTCTTAGGGTCCAATGAGACGGGTTGAGCCACTGGAAACCTTGCGGGTGGGTTCTCTGCCCATATTTCATACTAGGTTGAAAGATAAGTCAGAGCTCGGTGAGCCTCGATCTTGGGGCATAGCGGGCGATCTGCTGTGGTGCATATTGATGTGCTGTAGAATGTTGGCTTCTTGATGCATAGTGGTATTCAGTAGGATAATGATCTCTAGTTGCATATCGATGTCTCGATGCATGGTGAGCCATTCGAAGATTTTGTCTATCCAGCGAAGTCGCACGGAGGCTGTCGTTAGGGTTTTCATGCTATGAATTTGCAAAGGCACTGCTTGATGCTTCACGTCGAGAAGCTTTCTTCCAGGCGTCCATGTTGGCCTCATATTCCTGCATTTGTTCTTGGTATCTGTCATCCCAAAGCTTCCTGTTTTCAGGACTCAGTCCATCCCACTCAGATTGAATCCGTGCGGGAATTGCGTGATGTGCGAAGTCGTCAGCCTCAAGTTGTGGGCGCATGTGATTGGTAAATTGGACAAAAGGAGCATCTGGTCTTTCAGGTCGTGTTTGGACAGCTGGGCCTCGACTAAGACCATTGGTATCAAGATGGGCGGCCCGCTGACTAGGAGAGTGCAGACCCAAGTGCTCATTGCCAGGAATGGGTGAGGATTGAGCATACATAGAGTCAGTAATCCCCAATTGTGCACCATGCTGCGGCGTGTTCGTAGACAGGCGGGAAGAACGAGGTAGAGCCGCTGGCTCTATAGGGGTTGCAGACGAAAAGGAATTCGCAGGAGCCAAGTTGGGCAGGGAGGACTGTTGATATGGTGCAGGGGATGGATCTCCGGGGAGATTGGTATTCAGAATAGTTTCGCCTCGATAATTGTTGTTGGCTCTCCTGCGTCTTTCAGGTCTTTCTTGAGGCTGTACCGAGTAAGCTTCTATTACCACCGGTGAAAGGTCGACCAACCTCAGGTTCCTCTTCGTCACTTTCTTCTGAACTGTCATCTAATAATCCATCACCCTCCGGTCGGGAGCGCAGTAGTTCCTGGGTGATGCCAGGTCCTGCCAATTCTGCGAGGTTGCCTCTTCCATTTGCTAGAAGACCGAGTCTTTCGCGCTGTTCGGGAGTGAGCTTTTTGGCCGGTGTTGTCATGATGTCTTTGAGTTGGTTAAGCAGGATGGCTCGTAGAAGGCGCATTTTCTCGACATGTTCGGTCTCTTGTATGATTTTGCGGCGCGTGGCATCATTGTTTGTTTCGATCTCTGCAAGGCGCCTTTTGAGGGCAATGCATTTCTTTCGATAGGCAAGTTCTTGTGTAGGTGCTAGAGGAGCACTGCGATGTTGGTTTTCACCAGGTGGGGGAAATGGTCCTTGAACGGCGTCCATGTTGGGAAATCAGTTCACCTATGCTCAAGAGGTCCAAATTCAGTCTGTTTGTTTGAAGTTATGCGGGTGTAAATCAGTAAAAAGATTATTCCAAAGGCATGGAGAGTGACACTGTAAATTGAAGACGTGTGTTCATGGTTGTCAGTCGCGTTATATCACCCAACTGAAGGCATAGTAATGCCATGGTCGCTCCTTCCAGTGCCAAGCCATAGTTGAATGGCGCGCAGTTGACCCCCGATTGGGAAGGGGGAGATGCCGCCCTTGCTTGCCCCGAGGAGCCAGCCCTGGGGGCAGCTAGGGGGACAATTAGGCGGTCCACAATGGCCGTAGGGCTTTGGTAATGGGCCTTAGGCGACACTGGCAGGGTGGTTGGACGAAGGCATATTCCTAAACCAACCTGCTGTTAACCACACTACCCGTTGATGACACCTAGGTAGTTAGTTAACTAGGTAAGCACGCGAATATCGGGTGTTCAGCTACACTGTACTGGCTTGACTTCTAAGTACCTTTAATCTATCCAGAAGTTAACATGATCCGTCCCTACTTTCACCTCACAGGTCTGTTTCGGGGCCCCACGGTACTGCTCTATGCTTCTGATGCGGGACAGAGTGAATCACACTGAGTCAATTCTCATCATTACGCAATCTGAAGATTCCACCAATTAATGCAGTCGTTTATTAGTGTATCTCGGTTTTCAACCTTCGAGGAGACAAGGGTTCAGAACTTGACTCTCGAGAAGATAGATACCTCGATTCTGGCTGCGAAAGCATCAACTTGTATCCTCCTCTGGGCTTCCCATTGTCAACTCTGATACCACAGCACTTCCCTTTGTGAAACTTATGCTATTCAACCCGCTGGCTGGAATCTAATGAAGGGAGCAGACTGATGAGAAGACCAGCGCGAGGATCGAACGAGCATGGTCTAGTTCCTTTGCCGCGCCAGTAGCTGACCATACCGGCAGATCGATCGAATGGTCAGCATGGACGACAACGACATATGATTTTGGACTCTGACCCGGGAGCCTCTCGTCAGTATCGATCGCCATTGAACAACTTGATGCATCCGTTGAAGCGCCCTCTGGCCATGCCTTCAGAGCCGCAAATGCGCCGCAACGCCCAACCGCAGGCTTGTGAACAGTATCGCAGGTCCAAAATTCGCTGTGATCATGGAAGTCCGAATTGCTGTCTCCTTCGGAACCTGGAGACTCTATTCCTGCCAACAAGGAGAGCGCCTTTGTATCTGGCCATGTAGTTAAGAACTCCTATGTAGGACGCCTAACCGACTCCAAAAGTAAGTCTGAGTAAAACTCCCCATGAGCCTCACCCAGCGGCTCATCGATACACCGACTGTGCTTCCTGAACACCATTCTCTTTCACCTCCTTGGAAACAAGGATACGATTAAACACTCTTTCCAGTCGGACCATGGCTTCGTCGAGGATCTGATAATGGACCACGATCCTCGCACCCATCAGCTTGAGTCCTTCTTCGTGACCGACGCGAATAATGTCATCAACTGGGACGCCGCTGTATGGCAGATCCAACCAGACCATATTAGTCTCGACCGGATGGGTGACCTTCCCTCCACGCTCGACCCACATCTTCTCAATAGCCTTGGCCTTATAGTGGGTTTCGCGCAATCGACCGCCTTCGCCATTGGGTCCAGTGCCAAATCCTTCCGTGACTGCTACTCGTGCCGCAGCTGCGATAACCCCAGCCTGGCGAATCCCGCCACCGATACTCTTTCTAACCCATCGGCAGTGCTCCAGAGTTTTGCTCGGGCCGACAATGATGCTACCCATGGGAGCACCGAGACCTTTAGAGAAGCACAACTGGGCTGTATCGAAGCACTCGAGATAGTTCTTGAGGGAGCCGGCACCTGCAGAGACAGCCTCCCAGAGCCGGGCACCGTCCAAGTGCATTTTGATACCATTGGTATGCGCGAACTCGGAAATCTTTTGCACCTCTGTCAAGGGCGTAATGACACCGGCCAGAGTGTTCTCGAGAGAGATAACACGGGTGGGAGCGACATGAATGTTGTTGCTTATCACAGCGTCTCGCTTTATGTCCTCGAGAGTCAAGTATTGACCATTGACTGGGTAGCAGGCTTGCATATGAGCCTGAGATAGTGACGAGCAGCCTCCCGCTTCGGCGACTAAGATATGGGACTTATGGTGGCAGAGAATGGCGTGTGGCGGTTGTGTCAGAAGTGACCTTAGGGCAATTTGATTGCCCATCGTTCCTGACATAACTAGCAGACTGTCTTCCTTGCCAGTTATCTCGGCGATAAAGCTTTCAAACTCTGTGGTGGTTTGATCCTCTTGGTAGACGTCGTCCATTAGAGTTGACTGGGCTATCGCTTGTAGCATCGACAATGTCGGCGTGGTGATAGTGTCGGTACGGAAGTCATATGCTGCTGGACCTGGCCCGCACCACGAGCTCGAGACCTTGATAACATTGCCGGACGGTTGTTCCGCATGCACGGGGGAAATATCAATGCTACCCATGAGGACTGTTGTTCGTGGATACTCTGTGATAACTTTGCCTCTGAACGTGGCCAGCGGTCAAGGTACGTTACGGGCGGGAACAGCGAACAGGATATACATATCAATACGCCTTGTGATCAAAAATGACGGTACGAATGCGCTAGTTGATGCTGTTAGTTTGATATGACACAATTCTCCGTTGTCGCTGGGCGTTAGCCTGGATTTCACGTGGAAGATGGAGACTCCAGTCCTCACCGGAGTCCCCGGTGTTGCACACCTACTCCGTAGTCCCTGGCACCTTGATTTCGGCGTGCAACGTGGAGTTGACAGATGCAAATGTCGCGTCACCGAAGCAGGTTGTCTTCTAGGACAGTGCTGAATCCGATACCGGGATTGAGTGCAACTTAAATCTTTCTGTCCTTTTTGCTTCAAGAGCGAAGGATAGAAACAACTGGAAGGAAAGGAAAGATGATGTGGGGTGAAGTCCGCCTGGTCAACCCCTTCGACTTGTGCGTGGTTCAGCGCATCCTTTGCAATAGGATAGTTTTCTACCTCCACCACGGACGCCCAGGTCTACACAAACATTCGATGCTGAGAAGCATTCTCGAAGTTGCGACATCGAAATCTGGATTGAAGAAATTATAATATACCAGTGCCGTGGTGCTACTACTTCGTACCCCAAGAATTGGCAGACCAACCCGTCTCTGGTAACGGGTCGAGAACGCCCGGGGAGCCCCTGGCATTCTCACGTGCCCTTCTTGCCTGTGGAAAAGCAGGACCTTGACCTGGAAGATCACCTTGAACAATCAAATCATCGTGTTCATCCAAAGCCACCATATTACTGCCAATCTTGAGCAAAGTGTGTGCAAACATGGGACTCAACATGGGTTCACGTCAACCCTCGTTCCCAACAATTCGCGGTAGGTTCAAATCAATCATGGGGGGCAACCTCTATCGCGATCAGAGAGTTCAAAGGCGTGGATATTCCTCCCGTTCTTGGGGATAATCGAAACTCTTATCACTTTTATCAAACAGAATCTCCAACAGATGAGTCCCCTGAAGTCCAACCCCAGATACTAATTGGCCCCCTTTCCAACGTATTTGATGCATGAACATGAGGGGAAAGGGACACGCCACCAGAATGCAGACGAAGGATGGCTTCAAAATCCCATCATCCCACCCGTAACCCTCGATGTGTGGAAGTTTACCTGTGGTGGCGCTCAAGGATCAGCGTTGTTCAACTGGCCTCTTCTCTGGCTTTTTGTCCGTATTGGCAGGACTAATTGTCCGATATGCAACCAATCAGTCCTGTCAGCCTCGAATTCCTCTAAATATACCCCTGCCAAGTCCCCTTTTTCGGATCTATCCAACACACGCTAACGTCTTCCTCACGACTTCTCGCGTCCCCTTGGTCAATTCCCCAACCGCCTTCACACCATCCAAGGCCTTCTTCACGCGTTTTTGGTCAACACCACCCATCTTCAACCCGCAGCGACGGCACGTACCTGGATGGAAAATGACTCTTGACCAGGTTCTACATTGGCTATCTTCCCAGGACTGGAAAGGTTGTCTCTGCCGTAAGCCAGAGAGACCACCTCGTGCCATGCCGTTCCTAGGGTCTAGAGCGCCATTCATACACTCAGGACCTGATCGATCCCTCGACTCATATACCGTTGCATCTGCTGATTCCTCTCGAGTTGTAGCCATAACAAACTTGTCTCCTTGTCGATGTTGTGAACAGGTCGCCTATTTTCCATATTCTGAGCAGATTTGTTACTTAACCGCTGAATATTCAATAGAACGAGTGATAACTGACCCGGTTTCCCTATTGGGCAGTCCTGCCAATCTGTCAGCCGCTTCCGCACGGGATGAGCCAGGTTCCAACAGATCTCCTGCCACATGATAATGCGGTAGGAGAAATCTACAAAGTGAACATCTCATTCATCGCTGTGACGTCGTTGATCATTGGACTGCGGTTAGTAGTCCGAGGTTTCGTCGTCAAGCATATTGCTGTAGATGACTATCTCATGGTGGCGGCTGGACTATTTTCCACTGCATTCTCTACCATGACTATAGTTGGTAAGTCCTGTGAGGTGTGACTATATTCCCAATGTATTCTGATCCAGAATAGGCATCAGATATGGCCTCGGAAAGCACATCTATGATATCCCACAGGACCAACATCTGATTGACAGGACGAAGAAAGTGATTCAGGTACGTTCAGACTTGGTCATCAATGAAGCGCGCCAAAACTGACCATCACAGACGCTATGGACCTGTCAGATCATGTACGCTACAGCACTCATGCTGGTCAAGATCTCCATTGTGACGTCCTATCTACGAGTCTTCCCAACGGTACTCTTCCGTCGCATAATGTACACCCTCAGTGCTGCCATCATTGCTGTATGGATCTGCAGTATCCTAGTCACCATCTTCCAGTGCAAGCCTGTACGAGCAGCATGGGACTTCAACTTGACAAGGAACTGCTTGCCCATCGTCAAGTTCTTTTACTTTGCGACAGCCTTTTCAATCTTCACTGATTTCTTGCTGTGTACGCTACCACTCCCAGTGTTTTGGAAGCTGAAGCTCCCGGCCAGGCAGAAGTACATTGTCTCTGTACTGTTTGGAGTCGGGTTGTTCGCCACTGTTGCTTCTGCTCTCAGGATCACCGTCATTCCTGCTGTCGATGATCTCGACGTCACGATGGGATCAGTATCTACGATAAAGTGGTCGGTTGTGGAAGTGGGAACTGGCATTGTCTGTGCCTGCATACCGTGCTTGAAACCACTTTTTAAGAACCTTCTGCCGGACAAGAACTCATCTCACAACCGATCCGGTGGTGGAAGATCGGACAGGACTGGTCCATACACTCCCAAGATTCCTCAAAGTGAAGAAAGCCACGAACTCACCAAGCCCACAGAAGGATGGACGTCTTGGAGTCGACAAGACTCAAGACTCAAGGCTGCTCCTGTGATTACGACGAAGAATTTTATCTGATGGCGAAAACCATCGCAGCAGTCGGATTGACAGAAGTTTCTGCTTGCAACCACAACATTCTTCATCTGTGAGTGCCAACGACCAGCCAGCACAGACTCTACTTTCCAATTTCTTGCACAATATCTCTTTCTCCCTCTCTTCGAGAGTCGACCTGATGGAAAGTCCTGTCAGGCGCCGGGTTTCATTTGATGTTTTGTCCTTTCAAAGAATAGCAGCGCAAGCAATCAGCCTTATAAAGCATAAATTTCAACCAAGACCAACCACAGCGATCATGAATGTACGACACGAGACCTCCGGCAAAAGTAGCCACGAATTGTAATGCCAAATGGTGGCTTACCTCTATCATTCGCTTGTTCGCAGGCATCATCGACGACATGTCATCTCTCGTTGGTACTGTGTGTTGAGCCCCTTTCAAACAGGGATTCACACGAAACTATCACTTCCTGGGAGTCATACGCCTCCCACAAAAGGGGAACAGGTCTTCGACTGTGCAGCACATAATTCTCCTACTACATTGTTATCATCTAACGGCGGATCTATGATATCACTATCCTTCAGCAAGTTTCCCTTCTGGTTGTCATCATATCGAATTCCATGGAAGGAGGGTGTGGAATTCTTTTCCAAATCATTCTCCTTGTGGTGGGATATTCTGCTTCTAGCAAACAATTCTAGTGCCTTGCATACCGTCACACAGATAGTCCACACGGACTCAGATGTGGACAGTGAGCTCGCAGCCCTGGGAGTTTTGCATATTGTAGACCAGACTTTGTAATCGCTTTCTCGAATTGCTGAATATAAATATAGTGCCTGGCATGGCACTCTTTCTACGTTTTTTTGATCGCTGTTTGCGCTCGTAATTACAACATCGAGGGAAGCCTCGTCAACGATGATGCGAATGCCTCTAATGCCGGTATTTGGCCCTGTGCCCCCAGATATAATGCTATATGCTGGGCCGGTCTTTTAACACGATTAGCTCCATCTGTATGAGACACGAGCGCCGTCCCATAGATTCCGCGTTCCCAAAACCCCAAGTTCTATCGATGAAAGTAGGTGTCTCATCAGTCTATGTGTCTCCCAATTAAATAAGCGTCCAGTACCCGAAAATAGGAAGTCTCAAATTGAACCACCCATTGAAGAAGTACCCTTCTGCTCACTCGTCCCTGGGCGTCAGAATGGGCCTAACCCAACAGTTCTTACTGTCGGGACAAACAGCGGAGCGATCGAGCTTCTTATCCCTGGGGCCCGTCGGCCCAGAAGTATACTTCCGCTGGCCAAAGATATTGACCTGTCCCGGCGTTTTGTCAGGCAACTGCTTGTCGCCCCACTTACCCGCGAAATTGAGGTACGACACTGGATCCGCGCCGTTATAAGCGGCGAAGGACCTGGCACCGACGTCGTACGTGTACGTGTACGCATTCGGCGCGGGATCCCAGAACACGCCGCGGTCGGTATGGTCGACGAGCGGGCCGACGACAGAATTGAAGTTCGGGATCGTGTGGTCGTGAGGGCCGGGGGTCGCGTAGTTGGCATGCGAGCCCTTGGCGACGTAGACGACGGGTCGCACGCCGTCGCTGTGCTTCTCGACCGCGCTGTACTGGAACGCCTGGCCGCCCGAGTGCTGGCTGTAGTAGACGCTCTGGGGCGTGCCGTTGGCGAACCGCACCATCGTGTGCTCCCAGTCGCCGACGTGGTCGCCGAACTCGAGCCCCGGGTTGTCGAATACCCAGTTGCCTTGGTTGTATGTGTAGTAGTAAAAGTAGAAGGCGTCGAGCACGTTGTTGGCCTTTGCCACCGTAACGATCACGCTCGCACGCGTGTTGCCGATCGACCCATCGGTCGCTGGTCGTGTGCCTTGGAACCAGCCGGGGAGGGCGCGGATTCCTTCGTTGGATGTCAGGAAAACGTCGGCGCCCCCGTTCGCGAATGCATTGAGGCTGTCTAGGTTTCCTGGGTTTAAGGGCGAAGGCGCTGCGAGCGGAGCACCATTTCCATCTACTGGGCGGCTGTTGGCGATATGTGCCGCGATGTCAGAGGGGAAGTATTTCTCCGATGCTGAGAGATAGACCACAGGTGCTGAGAGTTGTCCGATTAGTCTTTTCTCTTTAGCCCACAAATCTAGGAATGAGGGATCACAGTACCATAACGACGAACGAAATCAGGTATATCCCGCCTTTGAAGGTTCGCTGTCAAAGGGAAAGAGAATGAACATGACGCAAACAACAGAATAAACGCGCACTGAAATACGAATAACATTTTTGCGGCCAAAAGCAAGAGTTCCACAACTTAACCTCTGCGTTTCCTTACCTCTTTGTCGGTTTTTGAGGGCCATGCGACCTTTTTTAAATGTATGCATTCTATGTCCATGGAGGCAAATTCATCTTGGCCATGCTCTCACCAGTTGAAGAGCAAGCAGCTTCAAATAAACGGTCATTGGGCTTTGCAGTCACCAGGTCAAGTGTTGGCAATTAGAACGAAGCCCATGTTAGCAGAGTTGGTCAGCATTCCAGTTGGTCCAGGGGTTCTTTGGAAAGAAGGTAAAACCTGGTGAGTGGTACAGAAGAACATCTCGTTCCGGATCGTGATGTTAAGCGAATGCTTGGTTGCTTCACGGATAAGATTTGGGTGACGGACTAATCTTCAATTTCCTGGGTGGCGGCCAATAGGATTGATGGGGGAGACTCCTATTATACAGGACCCTTGGAACGGTTGTTTCTAGACACCGCCTCAACGGTGAAGAGAATGAAAAAGAGATTGATGATCTCGAGTTATCACTGATGCAAATGGTGAATGCATTCCATGGTACTGAGGAAAATTTGTTGTCGATTACGAGCAGCACCCCCGAGTCGCAGCAAAATTACAAGATTGGTCTGCGAGTTGGAGAGCGAGGCTTGGCATAGGGAGTCAACCACGTGGCAAGGTCCAGCTGATAGCATCACCAGGCTCTGCGTCGTACAATAAGGTGTTCCAAGACAGTCCAGGTAGTTGTTCCCCTGGGAGAGGTGAAACTTTCATGGGAGATCGATACGTCGAAATTGCGGCACTTCAGCCAAAGGCCATTGGATGTGATTTCTTCTTCGTCCTGTTCTTTATGATGCATATGTACAAGAGTGCTTTATAATCATCTTGAAGCACTTTGATCCGACGGTCCTCTCCCATCATGACCTCTGAAAAGTCTACCACAATGTCTTGTGGCCAAAAAGCAGGCGAACCATGCCGACGAAAGACAACGTTACGCTGCCGTAAAGCATAGCGTAGTAGGGGTATAACAAATATCCGCTTCGGGAGGTCTGTCAAGTAAGACGCGGTCAGCATGTATGTAAGAAGAAAAATGATTGTAATAGATCACGGTATGTAGGTAGGATCTTTCGGGTAACCTGGTGAATTCGTCCAACAGAAAATGCAGGGAAACAAGGTATCGCATGTGGGCTATTCGTCGTGCACCTGCCCGGGTACAGAAATGTTTTCGAGGTAGATCGGTTGAATGAGAGCTTGAGATCCAGAGAAAGTGGTCAATGACCATGTAACGGTGGATCTAAAATGCCCATCCAATATTCCCACGTCTCTCTAGTCGCCTGATCGATCACGTCCTCCCTCAAAAGGTTGTGTTTGTGCTCTTGAGGCTCGTCTACCCGTTTGTTGATCGATACGCGAAAATTCCAAGATCGAGTTGGATGGGGAACTGTGACGGGAAAGTTGTATGTGAGGAGAGGCCAATTCGCTGGCAGCTCCGGGCTTCGAAATATCAAGACTGAAATCCACTAACCTTCCACCATTGTCTCTTGCCATCGTGGTTCTGGAATAGGCGTTGATAGTAGGGAACTCGGTTTTCGCGGAAGGTATATCTAAGCAGATACAGTCATTAGCTACCTGTATAGTCGAAGTGTCCTTCGCAGGAGCTGGAATTGAGAGTTATGTACTCACCCCCACCGTTGAGTTGCTGTCGGCCTGAACATGCGAGCTCGGGTGGCCTGCATCATGCGAGCAGCTGTAGGGGTAACCATCGTGCCGACTGAGTAGAGATTGAGACTGGATTAGGCCACGTTGAGTATTGTGGTAGAGGTGACTTGAGAAGCGCTGAAGTTGAGGTTCGGACGGTGCAGCAAAGCAGCCGCACCAGAGCTTCGGCGCCAAGGCCAACACGTGACGCTACTGTAAATTTTGGTATTTGCTGGTATTGACATCTCCTGATCCTAGAGAAATCCGAGAAATCCGAGCTACCTTTCCAATAATGATGCCTCCAATTCTAAGGCAATCGAAGTCATGATAGTTGTTTTACAGTTCATTGATCAGTTGTGTCCAATTGGTTATTTTTGCCTCATTATCGCAAAGAGTCCCTCCCCAGTTTTTGTTCCCCTACATGCGATTCTTGGGGAAGACAGTCGCGCAATGTAACAAAGCACAGCTCTCATATTATGGCGTCTATCGCCTTACACGATGTCAAAGACGGGTCTTGCATCTATCGCCATGGCAACATTGGCATCCAAGCGCTTGCTCTCGAAGCTTTGCAGGGCCGGTATTGTCGTGTCAAAGTTCTACGTTGTCGACCGTAAGGACCCGATCGGTGTCGACTGAAGCCGATTCATTGGAGTCCACGACATGGGAGGATCTGCTCACAGATGCCTTCATGTATGGTCTTCGATCCAAGGAAGAGTTACTCTTTGAGGCCGATGTTGACCATTGGCGAGACCTTGGGAGCCGTCTTGTTGACGGAGCTCCAGGTCGATATAACATTGAGCTTTGGCTGATCCTTCTGCGAGCCCAAGCTCTTCAGTATGGCCACAATGGCATCAAGGCCATATGGGAAGGTCTCCGCATGCGTGGTCCCATGGTTCGGCTCGATGATGATGATCCACGAGTCAACTCCCTCTGGAATGTTTTCGTCGCTGCCGGGTCGGCGGACGAACAGTTTCTGTGGATCATCAGCACCAGAGCCCGAGAAAGCAAATTTGTTCGACCGGCAATATATGCGGAGATTGTGTCCGCCGCTTTGGAAAGTCAGTATCCTACACGTGCTTTGAAATTTTCGAATTATCATCTTGACTCATTCCGTGGCCGAGACGACCTGATCGCCATCTTTTCAGCCGCCATAAAATCAAATCACCCCCGTGCACTTGAGGGATTTTGCAAGATATACGACCGGGTTCCACGATACGATATATACTCAAGTATCATCCCCCTTTTGTGGGAACAGAATCGGCCTTCCGATGCATTTTATATGCATTTATTTCTGTTATCGAAAGGAGATCTGCCTGATCGCTTCGAACTGCTAGAACCGTTTATTCACCATCTCGCCTCCAACGATCAAAGTGTAACTCCATTTGTTACTGCTCTTACTTCCGCTGGTGCATCATTCGAAGCTCAAATTCGCCATTTCTGGGCTGCAGAAAAGAATATACACGCAGAGTATCCTTCAATATCTCAAAATCTTGTTGCGAGTAAACTCGCAAGACCTCCAAATCAGAAACTGAGCGATCACTTTGTCGCACGAGCATTTGCGACACGGGCCTTCTCATTCGAGTTTGCTGTAAACACTATGCGGCTACTCGGCCTTGTGGAGATTGGCCCTTTAGCAACACGCGAGGTGGTAATTTGGAGTAGTGATGCCAGCACGTTGCTAAGTCGATTTCAACTCCTCCGCAAGGTCGGTGTTGATAGTGGAGCTTCGACTTTTGTTCGAACAATTCACAATGCTAGCGAAGCCGGCCAGTGGGAGATCGTGCAGTCCTTAGCCAAATCTGATCTCCACCATGAGACATTTGCTGACAGAGCTTTACAAGAACGGTTACTGACGCAATACTACCACGAAAAGGACTGGTCACAAGTCAATAGAACACTTGCTATCATAAACATGGGGAAATTTGGGCACAACGAAAAGGGACGAGCTGCCACCGCTCTTTTGCTGATCATGTTGAAGGCAGGCCACTTCCACGCTGCTACTCAACTTATGTCCAGAATGCGGCAACAGAACCAGAATCTCGATGGACGGACCACATCGAAAGAGATCGGACTTGCACTACGCCAATGGTATCAACGGTCAAACCAAGAAATGGTCGCTGCCAAATCCAGCAGCGATCAACTGGCATTGCTCATTGGACTTTTGCAAGACCTGGTAGCGTCTGGACCATACGTCTCACTGGAGACTTGGCGAGTTCCATTGATCGCGTTGGCAAAGGCCCAGCGTTTCAAAGCATTCGAGTACTTAACCATCTGGATCGCAGAATGGTATCGACCAAATGGTTTGCATTCCCAGTATTGGGATATTTCACCATCAGGTCCATCCAGCAATTTAAATAACCTCTTCACACCTACGTTTCAGAGAATGCTTGTCAGCTGGTGTTTTCGGATACCAAAAGGACGAAATGCCCCCTCTGCTAATCATTGCATGAGATGGGCTCCGATCTTGAAGAAACTGCAAGCAAATTATGGTCTTACAATTAACGACGGTGAAATCTGGTGGACCTATGTCCGGCGTTTACGGAAGATTTTCTCGATATCATCTCATTCCTTTATTCGGCATCATAATCGCCTCATGAGATCACGCAACCGGATGGCCCTCTGGGAATATTGGCATATGTATAAGACCATGTGGGACTGCAGACTGAACAAGTCCGAAGTTGATGGTATTAGAGCGACAGTTCAGGGTTTATATTCGACGAATCGATCAGAACGGAAGTGGGAGACAACTCGGCGGCGTGGTCAGCCTAGCTTTCGCTTCGAAAGTACAGATGACGCAGCTGCAGTAAGAGCTGCCTTGGTCGCTAAACGAAGAGGCACCAGGCATGGGAAAGGTCATATTGATATGGAGGATGATGCACGAAGTACAGTCCCATATGGTAGAATCATCCGAACATGATAAAAGCAGCGTCGTTTCATGTCAAATATATGGCGCCGCTTTGAGCCTCCAATCGTCGCCTGGCAACCCAACCTTACCATTTCAGGCTAACCCTATGCGGTTTAGCTTGACATGTTTCAATAACCACTGCACAAGTCAGCGCTGGTAAGCGAACTTCGAGTCTTTGTCATATCCGTCACTTGTACACCGACATGACGGACCTCGGGGCATTAGGCGAGGTCTTTAACCAGTCACGACCTGCACGCCGTGCAGACAAGACTTATGGCAAGAAGAAATCAGCCATGGCTCAAGCCAGAGCCATGCATTTCGACCTTTTTGGTGGGCGACAAGAAAAACTCGTACTGGAAAAAATGGCAGGGATGACTCTCGAAAGTGAGAAGTCCGAGACTCCGACAAAGGTTACCGTTGCAGATCCAATGCCTTCTACTGAGAAAAACGATAAGACCGAACTCAATCCTCGCTTTCGTGGACGAAGGAAAGTATATGCTTCCAAAAAGATCGCGGTAGGTTGTCATTATGGAAAGCAACGAATGCTGAGATCGGTTACTGAGATAGGCCTAGAAACTTACACAGGACAAGATCGAGGCCTTGGGCCCGTTGTTGTCTTTGATTAAAGGTCAAGTGCAAGATTTCCACGAGTTTGGACGGAGCATTGGGAAGAAGTACGACTGCACGAAGCTTGGAGAGGGTGCTTTTGCCGACGTGTTCAAACTCAAAGCGAAGACTGCCGAGGAAGCTACTGAGCTGGATAGGTATGGAGGACTCGTGATCAAGGTCATTCCATTCAATATCGAGAACGACTCCAAGGACGAAATTGCAGACCTGGAATCAGTTACACGAGAAGTCAGAGTGTTACAAGCTTTAGATCCACTGCATGGTTTCGCACGTTGTCGAGGCGTACACGTCGTCAGCGGTAAATATCCCGATGTCCTATCCGAAGCGTTCAGTCTCTACAAAACAACCGACCCCAAGGAGGCCATTAATCCTGATCCCACCAACAATTTGGACTCGGAGCAACTCTATGTGATCATTGAGATGAACGATGCAGGCCGTCCAGTGTCCAAGCTATCCGTAATGTCGGCTTTCCAGGCATATGACAGCTTCTGGATGTCAGCCATAATCCTGTCCCTCGCAGAACACAAGCTTGAATTCGAGCACAGAGATCTGCACAATGGGAATGTTTGCTTTAAGCATAGGGATATGGATGAAGTCGACGATATTCCGCGAGCCACTGTTGAGGACATGAAGGAAGTACCTGAAGTGAAGCTCGGGCTATCCAATCTCGCAATCACCATTATCGATTATACCCTTGCACGAGCGAAAATCACCGACGGTGACGGAGAACTAGTCGTGTTCGATCCGATATTATTCTGGGATGCCAATGACGCGGAGGGCGACACAAAGTCCGACGCCAAGCAATACGATACCTATCGGAAAGTACGAGACTGGGCGAAGACAACCGACGAAGAAGCAGAAGCACAGGCACATTTGGAGGGAGTTGAGCACCAAGCGGTCAACAAATACAGCCGATTCCTTCCCAAGTCAAACGTCATGTGGCTGGGCTATCTCGTGACCGACTTGCTACTGAGACGAAAGGAAGGCCGCGGAGCATATGTACAAGGCAGCAGCCGAGCAGCCAAGAAGCTACAGCTGAGCATGTGGAAGACACTGGAGGCTGTGGATGCGTACATCAACAAGACAACTCCCACACTACTACCACGGAGCGCCGACGATTTTCTCTCCCTGGCGATGGAGCAAGGTTGGCTGACCTCGGCGGATATAGAAGCATTTAGTGCGCAATTGGAAGGCTGAACAAGAATAGCAAGAATGCGTTGCATCGAGCATAGCGGAGGCGTTTACCATCAAATCCAGAGCGGCCATTGTGCCGACATGACCATGTCCAAAGCGTCCAGCGATAAAATATTTGAAGATCCCGCGAATGATACATGATTAAAGCCACAGATCTTTTTCTCCCTCTCCCCATCGAGACCTTCAACCCGGCATGCAGCTCATCCCATGGGAGTGGGAAAGGTACAGTTATCGCACAGATCAGTCGGTTGCGTTCTCCTTGAGTATCAACATCAAGGAGTATCATCTTTATTGCCTAGGTCTGGATGTGCCAAGGCTGGGACCTGTCACGTCAAGAGTTCGCGAGCCAGACATATTTATGTCTACCTAGGTATGGATCTACTATCAATGACAACTACAAAGACAGTCGGTAGCAACCCCCGTATCATGCTGCCTCATAGGGGAGTGGTACCAAGCCAACAGTCCTCATCGGGTGACCCTGTTACAGTGGGAGCGGTCAGTTCCCCTGCTCGCAGAGAGAAGGACATTCTCAAACTGTCCCTCGATGTCGCTTTTGTCAGAACCAGAATGCGGGCGGTGTAGGCATCGGGCGACCGCAGCAGCCAGAGACTGCTCTGTCAGATTGGCCGCGGGAGGACTTCGGAATGATGGTCGATAATGTCGCAGAGGAAGCTCAGGACGATTGTAGGCCTTTGCCACCGCCGTTGGTTCCGCTGAACCCACAGCAAAAGGGGAATAAGGCAACGGAAACCAAGACGATTTGGAGCAAGACGAGGATATGTTCTTCGACAATGAAGATCAAGGCCCTTGGGAAGCCCCTCCAATGGATCAAGTTCAGACACCCCCCCAGGACGAGGACGAAAACCAAAAGCTGGAAGACGACGAGGATGAGAATGACACGGATATGGACATTCTGCCTATTTCCACCTTCAAACAACTTCCAAGGTCAATTCCCCTCCTAGGTTGCAATATTTGGCGAAGTATACAGAAGTGCAATGGAGATCTCTGTGGGTATAATACCTGGTCCGGATGGGAAACATCTGGACAACAGTTTTCAAATATCGTTATTGTCGAGTTGGGTGAAGTCTTGTGGCAATCGAGAGTCAGGAAAGGGTGAAGCAGGTTAGGTCTACAGTAGATAGCGAATCCCTCCGAGGACTTTAGGCAAGACTGTGGGTGACTGGAGTAGGAGCTATAGTAGCTTTCTAACTTGGAACACGCCTAAGATAACTACCTAGGTATCCGTACTTAGGTAGTTAAGAGGAACAGTTGTATAGAGCTGTGCACCTTTGGGGGCAGGGCAGGGCGCCCGCAATTCTAGGTGGGCGCCCGTAAGCCGAGGGGCTCGGGCGCACCTGCCTGTTGTAGGTATGTGCTGCTGCCTGGGAGATTTGTGTGGGCAGCCTTTAGCGAGTTCTCCCTCGGGAGGTTCGCGTCATGTGCCGGCCTCTACCACGATCTATCTTGATAGATTACGTCGCGTGGCATCACTTGATACCAGTCACAACCGACAGATGGAAATGGTCCGTCTCTGCCCAACTACCAATTGATGACTGCTTCGTTCCTCCTCGGCACGACTATACCATGAATGTGTCTCTCTAAACCGACCAAAGACTGTTCCATGGCATCGTTCATTACCCTTCATGCCAACTACATCTCAACGATCTGAAGCCACCTTTGAACTGCAAACTCTTTCCAAAATGGACAGAGTCCGGGCCATGTTTCGTCCCAAACCGGACTACGAGCCTTTGCATAACGATGGAGAAAGAGATGATGAGAGCGTGCAAGACGATCTGGATGGTGACGGCACTGCGGCAGAGTCACCTTTCTCCTGGGTGGAATACTCCATCTTTCTGTTACTAGGGATTGCCATGTTGTGGGCATGGTATGCACTCGAATCCTGCATTGAAGACCAAGGAATAGATGATTGACAGATTTCTGTACAGGAACATGTTTCTCGCCGCCGCTCCCTACTTCCAACACCGATTTCGAAGCAGCAACTGGATCTTCAATCATTTCCAAGCGGCTGAAATATCAGTGTCAACCGTCACTAATCTGACCTCGATGCTTATCTTGACCAAACTCCAGAAGGGAGCCTCGTACCCGAAGCGGATATCGTCCTCCCTAATCATCAATACGGTCGTCTTTGCCATTCTGGCACTGTCCACCTTGATACATGCCAGCGCAGGCGTCTACTTTGGCTTCCTCCTCGTGGCCATCTTCTTCGCGAGCTTCTCGACCGGCTTAATCCAGAATGGATTGTTTTCGTTCGCATCGGGTTTTGGAAGGAGTGAATACACACAAGCGATCATGACTGGTCAAGCAGTGGCAGGAGTGCTTCCGGTGGTCGCACAGATTGTCTCGGTGGCAGCCTTCCCCGCCAAGGAGTCAGAAGAAACACCCACTTCCGCACTGGTCTACTTTTTGACCGCGACGGGCATTTCAATTTTCTCGCTGTTGGCCTTCTTCTATCTGTTGAGACGGCACGCTCATCACGAGAGCCTCAAGGCAGTGAAGAGGACCACACTACATGGTTCATCGGAGGGCGATGCTTTGACCGGCAATGTCAGACTTTCAGGCACGCAAGAAGACAGCGATGCGAACGATCGACCATCTGTCCCTCTTACAACACTATTCATGCGGATGCCGTTCCTTGCTGCTGCCGTGTTCGTCTGTTTTGCTGTCACGATGATATTCCCAGTCTTCTCTGTCTCCATTCAATCAGTCAGTGGGGTTGCACCGGCAATTTTCATACCCACAGCTTTCCTACTATGGAATGTTGGAGACTTGGTCGGACGACTGTCGACATTGTGGAAACCCATTTCACTAACACATTATCCGTTCGCTCTGTTCTGCCTATCAATGGCCAGACTACTATTCATCCCACTTTACTTCCTGTGCAACATTAAAGGGAAAGGAGCCGCCATCAACAGCGACTTGTTCTATTTAGTGATTGTGCAGTTTCTTTTTGGACTAACGAATGGGTATCTGGGCAGTGAGTGTATGATGGGGGCTGGCGAATGGGTTCTTGCTGAGGAGCGAGAAGCAGCTGGTGGATTCATGGGATTGATGCTGGTTGGAGGTCTCACGGTAGGCAGTTTGCTCAGCTTTTTATTGGGAAATATATAACCTAGATGAGCGGTGTTATTTGGCGCACGAAGGATCGGGGCAAGATGTCTGATGGAATAGACATGAGTATACGACGTCTTCAGATCACGAGACACGCTTGCCTGTGGAATTGCTATTGTTTGCTTTGTACTCGGTAGACCGACGAGATGTCAGTATTATTGTCGAATGACAGGCACAGCCCGACAAACACCTAGTCCGTTACTTTTTAACGGGTCTGTGTGAAATAATGCGGGCCTTTTTAAACTCCAAGACCACCCAAACACAGCCTCGTTACTAACTAGGCGAGGCTTTCGAAAATGTCTTAGATGCACCGCAGATGGCAGGATAAACATATCATATGACAGCTTACCCGATAGGAAGGAAATAGGGGTCGTGCGAGCACAGTCCATCTTTCAGAAAACGCTTGGGGCGCTGCGAGGAGGATGACGAGGTGGATGAGGGTGGCTCGGAATGACGTATGTGCTCCTACATACTACGAAGTACGGAGTAGGAGGCTGTAGGGCGATTACCCCTGAGATTCTTTTGGGCGAGGGAATCCCGCGCAGCGGACGGAGAGGACGGGTACTTGCACCCAGCTGGTGCGTTGTGCGTGTTCGTGTGCTTGTGCTCGTTGATTTATGTTCTATTGGCATGTGCAAAAGGCACTTGCTTCGAGAAGCTACGAGTAAGGTTTCTAATAGATCGTTGATTGATCCAGGGAGGTACTAAGGATACCTATGCAAGATTTTCGCGCTTTACACATTTCCAGAGTCAACATCAAGGTATCTACTGGTTGGAGGCAGCTACTGAGTACCTAACGGAATAATAATCATACGAAGTGATAGTACATGTGGCATATGGTCACACGATAGCCGTCTAGAAACAAACGAAAAAGCGCGCAAGCATGGGCCCAAGATGGACTACTCGTGACATGTCGGGTGAATGGTGGGAAGCCTTATGTCTGAACCGAGTGAGAATGACAGACAGAATCTCCGTTCCACGACACCGACGTTGTATCGAGCTTCGTAGTGCTGTGTCAAGTTCTGCTATAGAGAGAGTGGACGTGTGGCAAGGATCGGGGATTTGATATTTGCGTGTTTGTGGATTGTTGCAGACTTTGCTCTTGGATACTACCTAATGGACGACGAATTCGTTGGCGAATGCTTGGGGTGGTCAGTGGTCATTGCACCTCTTCACATGGATGGGTTGCGTGGCTTTTGCATAGGGATTGACATTGAATATCTTCTAATTGGATGCTTTGAAAATGTAATCGTAAAGCTACCCGGTGTATGCGCAATCGCGAGTACTTGCCCTCTAATCAGAGCTCGAAAAAAGACCTGTAAAAGAGCCTCTCACCAAGTGTAATCTCCTTAGAGGTCGGCATGTCGGGACTTACTGGGTTGGACCTGGAAAAGCTTGAGCAAAGTCCGGTGAGCGTGTTGTCCGTAGCGTTTCAGGAACAGGGAAAGCTCAGGTCTTGAAAGGTCCACATTCGCGCCAGCCATGCAGTGATCAAGTCCCATAAACCTGGCCTTAGACTCTTAGGTAAACTCTCAGCCCTGAAAGAGACAAAGCTCGACGCCACTGCTGCTCTCTCTAGCTGCCTGAACCCAGGCCGCCAATTCACATTTGCTAGAGAGATCCGTTTGCTGTTGATTAGGAAGAGGACTCGAGCAGCCCATTTCTTACTTCGTATACTCCGTAATTGTACTTGTCGATGATTCTCAACGATCAACAGGGTAGGAGAGTCAGTGGACTCACAGGTTGGTGGCCCATGAACACAATACTCCATATTCAAAAACTGAAACCAGAACAATCTGCCGTACCCGTTGCGCGTGTGGTGATGACAATGCCCGTGTAACACAAGGATATCCAGTCTGTAAACTCGTATGACATTGTCGAACGAGTTCGGAGCAGGACCTGTATCTTATCAGCACGGAAAGGGCTGTGATGGGGTCCTTTACTGCCCGTTATGAGACTTCCAAGACTTTCTTCCGTCAAAGCAACTGTCGTGACCCGTCAAAGATTCGCAAGAGATGTGCAAGGACAAGGCCCGTCAAGGGCAGCCTTCCGCCTTGGTTCACTAACATCATTCGTGATCAATCCAATCGAGGCCGCCTGTCATAGTTCAGCTATTCTATTCTCGAGCCTGCAAGCGCCATCTCCACGGCACTCCACCCACCAATCCCGACCCCAAGTAGCCTATCCAACGTTTCAGACTGCAAGCCACTTAGTCCAGGTACAGGCCAATTGAGTGCCCATTGGGTTTAGTTTGTTCCGCCTCTCCATGCCCCCCGGTAAGCCCCCATGCCCATGCCCATTGCCAATGTCCATCTGAAAATGCTTCCCTTCCCCCCAATGGCCCTGATACTTGTCAAAAGAGCCCATCTCAACCTCAGCGCGTCTCGATAGATGCTTCAGCTCCTCCATCTTTCCGATCCCATCCTCGTACTATTCTTTCGCTTCACATAAGTGCTTAGTACCTTCTCCACTGCTTCAAAATTCCCCTTTCTCCCTCTACTCAGCCTCGCCTGCATCTATTCAGGAGCAATTCCTTCATCCCCAGTTAACACTTCTCTAACCTTCGTCATATACCCTATCTCAAACCGTATCATCTCATTTATTCTTTGCCCGGTGCCCTATACGCTTGTCATCTCTCATTCTATCGCTGGACGAGAGCCAACCATCACCTCGAGCATTTCGTTCGACTTTTTTACCCATTTTTCACCACTTTAAATTCGCCCATCATGTCCCCTTCAGCTTCGGTCCTATTGCTATCAGTCATCCTGACTGCCCTTCCATCCACCGCGAACGCTTCACCCATCTCACATCTATACAGACGAGATATGGGAACCGGCGCCAAAGCCGGTCTCGGAATTGGAATAGCTGTGGCCGCCGTCCTCGTCGTGGGCCTCTTCATTTTCTTCATTATCCACTTCAGACGTGCCCGCCACCTGGCCGCCATCAATAAAGAACGTGCCATTCTCGCCGGCGAGAAGAACAAAGACGGTTCGGATAAACCAGATGTATTCGCACCACCACCCGAGAAACCTGCACCTACTTCAACGGGCATGCCTCGACGAACCAAATCCGTCAAGGACAGACTGATGGGTCCTCTATACCGTGGCAGCACAATTGACCTTATGCCCCTCCCCAAGGCTCGCACAAACAACCCCAATAGAAGCAGCACAGCAACCATGGAGGGAGCACACTGGGACAATATCGACGGACAACCTTTCCTGCATAAACCCTGGGCACATGGCGAGAGCTCCCCCAGACCCAGCTTCAGCAGCAAGCGTGCAACGAGAATGATGATGATGATGTAAGACGAGCAAAGAAAGCCTCCTGTTTATTGTCGTTTGCATCATACCATATAATCTTGCTCTCGCCCCTCTCGGCTTTTTCGTCCTCACGCCGATCGACACTACACCATCTACCTTGTTGCGTACTTAATATGGCGCTCAAATTGGAACCAGGGTCTTGGGGATTTGGAAGGAGGGATTCGTCGTCAAATGCAGATCCGAAAAATCACACAATTGCTTTTTATATCTTGTTATAACCTTGTTGGGCGCTATCAGGAGCCATGGAGTTCAACAGTACCTCTTTTTGTTTGCACAGCACTAGATGTTGCTAGTAGCTTTGGTCGAGAGGAAAATGACCTCGGCGGTTTTGGAAACTGCGGAAATGAGAGATGTAATCCATTTCGTGGTTGTCGTCAGCATTGGCGGTGGAGCTGGAGAGAACAGAGAATCAACCTTGAAGATATCAAGAAATCCCAAAACACAAGTTGAGAAAACATATATTCACATACATTCCCATGCGGTGTGCTTACTGGGATGAGTATCGAGGAGGTTCTTCATACCACATACACAGTTGTCGGTATTCACCCATCCACATCATGTTGTCCACCAACTACGTCCTTCCTCGCTAAATAACACATAACAGCAAGAAACATTCTACCAGATACTCAAGAATTCAATCAATGAGAAACAGTGGACCATGCCCGTAGATAAATAAGCCGACTGAAGTTCATGCCTCGGTTGTGGCTCGCTTTGAGTTGTCCTACGCAATAGAATTTTTGGTGGCAACTAGGGCTTGCGTGGACTTCGATCACCGTCTTTTTCATTATCAGGCCCTACTTTTGAATCGCCCGTTCTACCATCCCTCGACGACAGTCCCGACATGAAGATATATTGTCGAAGAAAACCAGCCAAAGGGTTTGTCGAAGAGTACCGCAGAAACGCCTTGGTAGCTGTGATTTAGCCTCAACCATGGAAACTGAGGGTAAGAAATCGAGAGCCTTATTAGTCGTGTCGAGAGTTGAGAAGTTTGACGATTCAACGCAGGTTCGCTGACACTTAGTACCGAAACGGACACACAAAATAGAGCATGACCGAGACCTCACTTCCAGAGACGAGAACAGGCAGCCCGAAAGGCACACATCCAATAGCAATAGCAAGCACGTAAACAATGGCAATGATAGACATCGCAAAGACTCCCAACACCCGATACAAGCAGGCATGCCGAAAATCACACAGTTCAGTCAACCAACGAGTACAACGTGCTCGCTCATCTCTACTGTAGGAGTTCTGACATTGCTCGCAACACGGGTTTAAGTCCCTCTTTTTACTCCTGGCTGCCGCCAGATTACATGACCATACGTCAAGGATTTTCAAACGTGGTCGACCAGTTCTGCGTAATAATGGAGGGAATGTGTCTTTAGGACAGCCTTTTGCCTAGAAGCTCCCCTGGTCCTATCGCGGGGTTTAAGATACAGCCATCATATCGATGTCAAGCTATGGGCATCGTTCTGCCTAGGCTGATGCCGTTTCATAACACTTACATGCATCGTGGAGTTCGATTTGTGGTCAACTTTGTACTTTTCCCTGTGTTATGTAGGGTGGGTGTGATACCTTTGAACCACTGTTTGTACGGCGGACTATCGTGGGAGAGACGTGCTGGGCTGTGTTGGCCAGTCTCGTCTCGCGGCGTGTAACTATTATTCTGCCCCTGCAGATTGCAGATTGCAGATTTGCCACGGGGCTGATTCGCAACTTCCACAAAGGACTGACGAGCAGGGATAGTAGACAATAATACCTGTCTCTGCATAATGCTCTAGATAACTCTCATATCCGTTTCTCCCCCTCTGCTGAGGCTCTGCAAGCCCGTTATCCGCTGGGGTCACGCTTCTTCAGCAGCAAAGGTACACACCACCGCCAGCAGGTGCATCGCTCCGTAGTGTAGACGGCGGACGAGGTTTTCCATGCACGCCGAAACACATGGGGCAACATGAACCAGCTGTTTCAGCCAAGACATTCTGCCTTGTGGCTCAATTGCTTCAAAATCCGGGCCACATTGATTGGGATTTCCCTTGGAAGTGGCCTATCACGGGCTGCGAGAGCAGTACGCGAGAGCTCTAGCGAGGGCAATCGAAATGGCAGCCTGAGTTAAGGCCTAAATGCAGCACAGGATGTATCGATCGTCCAGAGTACGGAGTACAGTCCTGACCTACAGGGGATTAAATTTGCGTGCTTGCGATGAACATGCGACCTGTTCATCTTTTATAATCCATAGGGCTGCCTGATGTTTCCCAGAATCTAGCGAGGCTATCAAAGGATTCAAAGGATTCATCGCCCACTACTTTCATGATGCGCCCAGCCCTAATCCCTCTTGTTTCTCGTGTTTCAGTGCTCTGACCCGATCCTCCTGACGATGCCTTCCAAGATCTACTCACTCGTTGGATTCCAAGATCAGAAACAAAAGCTGGAGAGCTCATCAGATGCCTTCGAACTTGGGAAATCCAAACCCACATTCGCCTCCGAGGTCAGCACCTTCGGAGTGGACACTCAAGAAGGCGATAAGCTGAAGATATTTTGGTCGAGAGCCTTGACCTGCATTATTGCGCCATTGTTTGTGACTGGCTACTACGTCGGACTCTATCTACATTGGATATCCTCATATGATGCTGATGGTCCTGTTCCTCAAGGCCCAATTGGTGGCCGTTGGGCCTATTACATTTGGTCAGTATTTGTTCAAATGCCGAGTGCCTACAAGGCTATGCATAGTGGCTTCACCAAGATGGGCTTGCTTATTTGTCAACAGGTTCGCTGTCAGTGCTCTCGGTATTGGTTTGTCCAAGTATGGATTGGCAGGCGTTGAAGCTTCAATGCTCATGGAGAAGAAGTGGACAACAGACAATGCAATGCAACTGATGACTCATTGCGACAAGGTAAGATCTTCTGTGGACTTTGACTATCTGGATTTCGCCTGACAATGGTTACTATTCAGACTTGGTCAGGACCTGCTGGTTGGATCTCTATGCGAGTGAAACCTTCCAAAACGTGGATTCTTCTCGCTACCCTCAGCATGGCCCCATACTTTGCCTTACCATTGTCGGGCTTCACCCTTCAGCTAAGTACCGGTTATCCATCAAGTGCTTCCCAAGGTTCGACCGCGACGGTTCTTGGTCAGAGACCTGATAGTTTTCTCGATCAAAAAGTTGATGATGTCTTTACACGGTCCTTGAACCACTGGCGGTTTGCTAGTCCTGCAGTACTTACGAGTCGGTCGGCATTCTATCTTCCCGCTGACAATGCATCCAGTCTTGACCGAAGTTGGCTGCAATCATTCCCAAATGAATGGCCTGATGATCACCAAGTCACAACCTTCATCGCTCCTCAATCCCGAGATGTTGTCGAAGGAGAGGCCTGGGGTCTCGAAACCTCATTGAATTGCACCATTGTGTCATCGTTGTCACAATTTGAACTTTTGAGCCAGAGAAACAAAGATGCAACGGCGCCTAGATGCCCACCAATTAACTTCAACAGTTCTGACTTGCTTCCAGAATATGAAGGGCTTCCCGACCTGTGCGACTTCGATGTTTATATCCTTTCACCAATCGATAACGAAGTATACTACATGATCGACCCAACCTTGTATTTATTTCCGATCGGCATGATGGAGATAGGGGTTAAATATGATAAAACTGCTTATGATGAGACCTTCAGCGATCCAAACCCCGTTCTTTTGGAGGCAGCTTTGTGGCAGAATCCTATCACAATGGCGGAGAAGTGTCCTCCTCTAGACCACCTTGTGTCAAATGACCTTGGAGTCTCGATACCAGATTTTCAGAAGAGCTTTGCCCTCAACAATGTCACAAGTCTGCTTGTCGGAGATGATGCTGATCAAAGTCCCAAACAACTCGAGGCAATAGGGTTTCAATGTCGGTCATCATTTCGTACTGGAACTGCCACTGTCAATGGCCGCTCAGGCACATATTCATCCTTCACCGTGCAAGAAGCAGACCCGATTTATTCTGCCACTGCTGTGCCCCTGCCAACGGCTTTGCCACGCATCTTCCGAAGCGAGGTTGCATCTGCCCTAACTCTGTTAGAGATTAATTCGGTCCAGGCCTTCAATGAAGCAATCGACGATATCGGCGTGGATTTCTCAGGTATTGGCATGGGTTCATTGAACCCCATGTCTTACATAGCCTCCAATGCCTCGTGGTTGCAGAACATCTATCGAGCCGCCGAGGCGTACTATGCGCAGCCTCTCTTCTGCGACGAAGACGGCAACGTGAACGTCACTCTGACAAGCACCTGGCAGCAACTACAACTAATCAACTCCACACAATTTCTCACCAGCTTCATCCGTGCCCAAAAAGCGTACGCCTTGGAGATGACAGCACCGACCGCGCGAGAAAGTCAACAGATGGCTTGGACTGGCGCGCTGAGAACTGTATCTCCAACCTTGATCATCGCATCCGGCGATGTACCACCACAGATAGTGATTGCACTCCTGGCATTCTGGGCTCTGGGATGTTCAATCCTAGGCCTAACGTATGGGCTGCGACAGCGATGGAGCGAGACCCTCGATGGCTTCAGCATGTTCCGCTTTGGAAGCGACAACCCACACTTCAATGCCAAGAATGGTGGTCGTGGGGGAGATGGTGGCGGAACAGCAAGACGCTACGCTGATTGCCCGGGCCTGAAAGAGTTACCGGGTCTTATCGGGGATGCAAGACCTGATCGAAGCGTTGGTTACATTACCCTGGTTGAAGAATGGAGAGGTGTCGCGAGTCGCGACAAGAAATATCTCTGACCTCTCTGCAATCGGGCACAAATGTTCTTCGCGGCCACTAAACGCCTGCTTATGATTTACGGATACATGATGGGGTCGATTTATCGGTGATTGGCTTCTGGCACTTCCCACGGAGGTGCAGGTCGAGGTCACTTAGATTGGTAATGAATTATTGATCTATCGAGGACAATCCCCTAAACAGTTGGGGGCTGTGGTTGACTACTCTGCTGTAGTAAGTCTGTTTGCATAAGATCAATCAAAGGGTTCATGTGCACCAGCTTTTCCTACTTCCGGACTTGAACAGACGCCAATTGCGTTGTGTTGCTCCTTCCAAAAATCAGCAAATGCATGACAGTTCTGAACATGAATAAGCATTTTATTGCTATGCCCAGGTACGGATTTGAGCGGATCTGAGATTTGAATATCATTTTCGTCCTCCAGGCCTTAAACACTTGGGTCCAGCAACAACTTTCGCCCACTGACCTTATCCTCAAACATGAGATCGAGGGCCTTCTGCGCCTGATCCAAACCACCCTCCAGCCACTGTGGTCTGGTCGGCTTGATCAACCTGGTCTGCAGGCCCTTCGGCACCAACTCGGAGTAAAACCAGGTTCGGAACTCGCTGTGCTCGGGCCTATCCATCCACAGGCTGTACGGCGCAAAACGCTTCTCTACGCCAGCGGGCAAGGGCTTGTCGGGCGCCAGAACGGAGTAGTAGACTCCGCCGTTGATGGACTCGAGATAGTTGGACAGGACTTCGGTGACGGGGGCGAGGCCGATAGTGTCGAATATGGCGGTGTATGGGCCGTGGGCGGCGATTTCTTGAGTCAGCGTTGAGCCGGATCGAGTGTGGTCGAGGATGGTCGCTGGGCCGAGCGACTGCACGAAGTCCTTGTGCTGGGGCGATGAGGTGGTCACGACTTCATAACCAGCGGCGGCGGCATAGCAGATCGCAAGACCGCCAGCCGAGCTCGACCCGCCGTAGATGAGGACCTTTTCGCCCTTTGATGCAGCAGGTTTGCCGCTGAGATCTGGACGGTCTAGTCCAATGTGGATGGACAAGGCGGTCGCCACAGCAGCGAGGTTGAGGATGGATGAAGCGCCGCTCTCGAGCGCAACTTCCTCGCTGAGTTTTGCTGTTGATGTCTGGGACGCCAGTGCATATTGCTGGTATGCGCCGAAGCGTGGGTCGGCAGCTTTGGGCCCGTCGCGGACGGTGGCTACTCGGTCGCCGGCTTTGAAGTCTTGCACGTTCGGCCCGACTTGCTCTACTACGCCCGCAAACGACATACCCAAAATATTGGGGTAGGGGATTGGGATGAGTCCAAGTCTGAATTATCGTTAGCAATGCTTGCTCATGTAAGGGGATGGTATAGCACGGAATAGGAGAAAGGAGTATATCTCACTTTTGAATCTTGGCTTCAAGTGGGCTAAATCCAATAACACTGACTTTGATCAATAGTTCACCCGGACCCGGAGTTGGGATGGGGAATTCCTCGATCACAAGATCGGTATTGGGCTTCTTGATCCATGCTGCCTGATGGCTCATGTTTGTGTCTATCATTTGGCTGGCTTTCCAAATTGTCTTCTGAAAGGTAAACTGTAGTTGTTACTGTAATTGCTTGTCTTGTTGTTTCTCTTGCGATGAAAAGACTTCTGCCCTACATGTAGGTGCTTCTTCAGGTTTTATAGACATTCAGACAGCTCTCAAACACTTCGTCGTGGTACCTCAGGCCGTCCACCTCCAAGCACACGGCCGTCTCATAGCATGTGAGCTTGTTGTCAGTGAACTGCCCTACCATTAGATAATCTCCACATTTGTCATGCATCGGAGCCAACAGCGACCGAAGTATGGGGCTGCCATTGGCCGAATGACTAAGGCGTCGGCCACTACGACTATGATGCAGGTTGGCATTCTGTATCTAAGAAACGAGGTGGAAGTATACTGGGTAGAGATGTAGTGATGTGGGTACGGACCATAACGACGGTCGCCCTCAGGTACTCAGGCAAGGAAGCATTGACAATAGCCACAGTGCCCATTGGTTGACATCCCCTGTCTTTCAGCCTTACTAGCAAGATGCAAGTAAAGGCTACGCTGCCAAGAGGAGATCGAGCTTTACCTGTCCGGGCTAGCCATGAGATCAAGAAGTTGATTTGTTGAATTTATGAGAAATCATCGCTAAGGCCTCCCAGTAGTGGAGAAGAAATACCTCAGCTTTTGCCCTCTACGTCAATTCGACACCATACTGGCGGAGCTGACCAAGAAAACCTCATGCCGACTCGGTACTCGTAAAGAGATGAGATTAAACGATTCGCTCCTTTGTTCTTCTGTCAATCAAGCACGGTCGACGCGGGCACTCGTAGGACGGACAGCATGGTCAATACTGGACAGCCGAGCCGAGGCTGTGGCCCCTGTAAGGCACGGCACACAAAGGTAGCGTGAGTCAAGTTCTCATAATAGCTACTAGCTAACACGACGATTTCGCAAGTGCGATGAACGTCGTCCGGTGAGGACCGTTGACTTGTGCACCATCCTAGAAGTTACTCACGTTCTGATAGGAATGCTCTCGCTGCCAAAAAGCTGGTCGACCATGTACTGGATACAAGAGCGACTTCGACACCAGATTACGAAATGAGACAATGTACGTGTCACATCGTAACCGTATTCGCAATAATGGTGGATCGATTCAACGTCTGAGACCTCCTTTGCCTGTCCCTTATGAGCCACAAGCAATCGCGCTATTCCTCGATAATTTCATCCTAGATCCCCCAGCATCAAGATCTTCCAGAGGTTTTCTATCTGGTCTCTCGTCACTGCTACGGGACGCGGGACCAGAATCCCTCCTCTCCATCACGGCCGATGCAGTTGGGTTATGTTTCTTTGCAAGGATTGCGGCCAACAGGTCGATGGCAGCACGAGCGGCACGCAGCTATCTTCGATCATTGAATCGGTTGCAAACGGCACTATGTCACAGTAGTGATTCAATCTCTATCGAGACAATGGTATCAGTGTATCTGATGGGACTGTATGAGGTGAGAGCTACCTTTCTCTGAACCTTCCTCGTTGCATCAAAGCCAACGCAACTAAAATACAAAACACGTCAGATCATGATGCCTCCAGAAAAGACTGCACACCCGTGGCTCGCGCATCTCGGTGGCCTCACGGCAATTAGGAAAGCGCGGTACAAAAAGACGAGCAGACCCTTATCTGAAATCGGCATTTTCGCCACTCTAGAGAATTGTCCAGACCCGTCGACGCGGACAGCAGCATACGACACCTCGATCGACGAGTGGTTTATTGACAACTCGACCCACAACCAAAGACTACTGGACAGTATATTCTTCACCCTGCATGGGTCAGACCCTCCTCCATTGACGGAAAAAAGACCGAGCAACGACCCATTCAATGATCTGATTCTACGGACGCAGAACATCTTACAGCCGGAGCCGTCGCTCTTTGAGACTTCCTGCCCAAGAGCAAGAGATAGAGTTGAGAAGCTCGTCGTCGCGGCTCGCTCACAGTTATTGAGCTTTAGAGAATGGCCGTTGAGGATGCCGGACTCGTGGCACCCGAAGATCGTCCAGACCGCTGATCTGGAAGGAACAGATTTATCTCAGGCTGAGATATATCCTGACAGAATTGATGTCTATCCTAGCTGTAAGTCGCTTTTTATTTCTCATCGCAAAGCTCTACTCACAGACAACGACCTAGTGTACATAGCTGCCGTGTGGAACACATATCGCACGACCCTACTGCGGCTATGCGATCTAATCGTCCAATGCGGACAATATCTCGAGACGGCCGGGCAACCATTCCGCGAAACCCAAGAATACCAGTCCCTAAGCGCCGAAGCCAGGAGGACAGCCGAAGATATCTGCGCCTCGGTCGCCTACCACATCAACAACGATTGGGTCGTCCACATCGCCCGGGGATCTAACTTGACAAAGTCCCCGAAAGCTCTCGGCGCCTTGTTCCTGGTCTGGCCACTGTATGGCGGAAGTGTTCTGTCCATCGTACCGGTCGAATACCGCTCTTGGATGAGGCAGAAGCTGCGCACGATAGGGACGTCGATGGGATTCGCGCAGGCGACTGTGCTTGCTGACACGGTGGATTTGTGGAAGAAGACGGACCCGAATAAGACGCTGATCATCACCCAGGGCCATGTTTTCATGTGGAGTGCGGGCATGTTTTGAAACTCCTTACGAGTGATCCGAAGGAGCATATTTTAAGTCGGCACAAAGCCCGCTTGTTGGCAAGGCTGAGACTTTTCGGGGCCTCCAATATTTACCGCGAATCTAAGAGGCCTGCAGCTACACTAGGGAGCCCCGTTGTCTGAGAGAAACCATGAAGAGCATATCATTTTAGGAAGTTCTAGAGCTCTCCAAGTTTTCGCCCTGTCGCATCCAATCAATTCAAATGTCACCTCGTGTTGAATCCCTCGCTTAAATCGCGAACACAACCAAGGATGGCGGTCAGGCCACACTGCTCTCTCCAGACATCCTAAACCTCGCCGTTCCTCAACCACCAAACCTTTACAAGAGCGAGACCTCATCACGAGTCAGAACTAAAAATGGTAGTCACACCAGGCGGATGGAGAGGCACGTTCTCCGACTTTTACGCCCCACAGACGACGAACGCCCGGCTATTCAGCTTCCACAGCGACCGCGACGACGTCGAAGAGCTACCGCTAGAATCTCTATCTTTAGCATCAGCATCCTCGCCGTTGCAGGAGAACAATAGAGCCCCTCGCTGTGTTCCAGCAGCATCGGAAATCCTTGTTCTCGAAGCGACAGGGGAGAAGTTCGACCACGAGAGTTCGGCGAGCAGTCAAGTCACTGCGGAGTTGTTTGATTCTGTCTGTTCCACGTGGCGTATCTCTCCGTTGGTCAAGGAGCGGATCTCCAGGCCTGGTTCACTGCCACGGTTCGAGTATGAGTATGATGAACGCCAGCAGCTTCAGGGTGATGAGAACATGAACGATGGCCAGACGAGTCGTGCTGGGAATGAGAAGCTAAGAATGAAAGCGATCGACATCGGCTTCCAATGGGGACCCGGGCACGGTACTTTTATCGTCGCGTGCGGAAAGTACGACTTCGACACGCGAGCACTCCACATGTTTGTCTCATGGAGGGGAATCTTCTCCTGCTATGGGTTCAGCTCGCCACCAAATCCGCCAGACCAATGCGACCTTTTGAACCTTCCATGCATTGCTACCCTCATGACCCGCCACAGAACCGACCTCGCTACCCACCCTCTCAACTTCGTTGGCCTCCTCATGTCCTGTTGCGAGCGTTATATCGACATCCGGTCCCAGCAGTATAATCTCGCGATGCTCCGGATCGGTACGGCTATGGACGCGCTCTCACCTTCCGAGTTCACTGAATGGTTCCGATCTTGGAATGCGGTGTCCACAGCTGTTTCGAGAGAAAACACGATGTTGTTCGACTGTTACAATGACGTGACGTGGTCGGAGAAGACGTGTCTTGAGCTGACGGGCATCGCGAGACGGTATTTGTCAGTAGTGGAAGCCGTGGAGAGACGGTATGGGCCGCACGGTCGAGATCTAATGCCGCGAGATATTGTGCACAGTGTTGTTTATCGGACGGAGATGCACGGTCACCTGCTCAGGTATGTAGACAAGATGATCACAATGCAATTTAATTTCCAGAGCAACAACTTGGTGCAGAAAGATGCGCAAGTATCGATCCAGATATCTTCGGCGACGAGGGAAGACGGCAGGTCGATGAAGACACTGGCATATCTGACTCTATTTTTCCTGCCCATCACCTTCGTGTGTGCCATCTTTTCAACGACCATTTTCAACTTCGAGAATTGGCACGTCGATAATCGAAATGTGGTGTCGTCTGGCTGGTGGGTTTTTGTCGTAAGTTGTGTGGCGGCCATGATCGGGACCACCAGTGCTTGGTTCGTTCTTATTGTGCGTCAACATGATCAAGGCTGAAAGAAGGACTTCACTGGAGACTATCAACCGTCGGCTCACTTATGTATACCTAATCCAATAACACAACCAACAACACTCCGGACATCGGAGCGCTCAATATCCGGAAACTGTCTGATCATTCTGCATCGGACATGATCGAAGCAATTCCACGACCTTTGGAAAATGATTATTCTCCGCCCAAGTGAGAGCCGTCCATCCAGAATTATCAAGTTGATCCAGCTTGGCCCCACGTTGCAGTAACAGCTGAACCACCTCCCAATGGCCGGCTCCCGCCGCCCAAATTAAGGGTGTTATGCCAGAATGACTTCGGTTGTCCAAATCGACAGACTTTGACGTGAGTAGCACTTTCACCACTTCAATATGTCCATACCTTGCAGCGAAGGATAGTGGGGTGAGACCGTCCGCGGTTTCCTTGATGTTCACGCTGCTGTCAATATCGGAATGAGCCAACAACGCTTCGACTACTTCTTCGTGACCTTCTTCCGCCGCATGTGACAGTGGTGCTTGACCCAGTATGCCTTCTAGGTTTACATCAATGTTTGCACAGTCTAGGAGAATTTTCACAATATCCAAGGACCCTTTTTTCGCTGCCCATGCCAAGGGTGTGCGGCGTTGCACGTCGGCGGCGTTCGGATCTGTACCGCCTGAGCTCAGAAGAGCCTGTACAACGAGTAGATGACCCGCTCCCGCGGCCCAAGAAAGTGGTGTGCGACCGTGTTCATCATCGCTGACGTTCACATCAACTCGTGCTTGCTCAATTAGCAGCTTGACTGCCGCTACATGATTATACATCGCTGCCAGATGTAGCGGAGTCTTGCCAGATTTATCCTTACAATGCAGGACGTCCGGATGTCGGTCTAGAACGAATGCCAAAGCTTTCATGTGGCCACTTTCCGCAGCATACATTGCGAACACCAGTCGGTCATCCCTATCACCATTGGTGGTATAATGATGCACAAACAGCGGCTGTTCCGAATCGATGGATATTCGGGGGTGCGCCAGGAGCATATTGACAATCTCAGTCTCTTGCTCCAAGGCGGCCCATATCAACGAAGTTCTACCTTCCTCATCTGGGACATTGGGATCCAGATCATGCCGCTTCAGCAACTCTTTTATCACTGGTATGTGCTTAAGTTGTACGGCTGTGCTGAGCGCTCCGCTCAAAGCCTTATTCGCTGCCTGTGAAATGACGTCGGTGTGTGCCAATAGTATGCGGATCATACTCGCATCATGAGCTCTGATGGCCATGTCTAGGGGTGTCAGACCCCACGAGAAAGCAAAATACAAGTGGTCAGGGTAGTTGTTCGAAGCTGCCCAGTCTAGGTCGATATCTGGGTGCGTGAGTAACAACTTTACAGTTGCTTCGCTCGCCGCCTGAATGGCTAGGGAGAGTGGAGTAAGTCCGTCGTAGCCTCTGGCATTGACCTTCAGATCAGATCGCGTCATGAGCAGTTGTACCATGTTGCTGTACCCATGCTCTGCCGCGTGAGATAATGGTGTCTTATTGTACTCATTGCGTGAATTCACGTCCACGTCACGTCGACTTACCAGGAGCTTCACTATATCATCTTTAGCGTGCCTCACCGCCAGGAATAGTGGCGTCTCTTGATCTTGATTCTTCGGGTTTGGTGAGACTTGAGCATCAAGCATCTGTTTCATGATTGCCGCCAGCCCAAACCACGCAGCAAGGTGCATGGGAGTCATCCCCATCCCAGTCGGAAGACTGTAATGTTGCACCCAGTAGGAATCGGACATCAAGACTTGACAAGATGCTGAAAGTGCGCTCTCATTTCGGAAAAATGACAATACAGACTGCATAGTCTCATTAAGAGAGACACAGACGTGGTGACCCCAGTTCTTAGCAGCATACTCGTACAATGGGTTCGTTTTCAGTCGACTTGCGTACGCTTTTTGGTTGCTGCAAGTTCCAGTTTTGAAGATATCGAAGGTGAGATAGGTCAGCAATGTATTGCTAATGTCGTTGTGTGCGTCTGGAAACCAGGTGTCCTGGGTTTGTTCCAAGTATTGCTGTGTTGTGTAATGCACCAATCGAATAATACTGCTTTCATCGTCGATCGTCACTAATCCGGCAGATGCAGATTGAATGTCCTCAATATCAGAGAGATTTCGCTCATCAAATTTCGCCTTCCCGATTTCAACACCGAGGGCGTGTCGTAGTTCAGTGGTTGTCAACGGCCTCTTAGCAAACGTGATCCAAGAGAGAGCTTGCATAGCAAGTACACTCAGATCTGGAGCTTGACCACGAATCCTTACCATACACTCGTCGTAGGCATGGTAGTAAGCATCTGACCCCGTCGATAGTTGGTTTAGCGCCGTAACAAGCGCTTTGGGCGATCTTTTCCCAACCAAAGAGGCCAGATGTAGCTGGGCAAGAAGAAACCTACTACAGTGAGCTTGGATTGACATGTCCGAGGCAGGCAACCTACATCCCATCCACAGCTTCGACAATAGTATTTTTGACCTGCCGCTGGAGTTCCTCACTTCGTGATACGAATGATGGTAATATGCGCAGATTGCCATTCAAATATTTCTGCAAGTCGTCTTGACTCGCCTGGATCACTAAGCGTAAGATCCTATCCCCTTGGAAGGACTTCTCAACATCAAGTGAAAATCGAGAAGTGGCAAGGAGGTTTGTACCGCTTGCCTCTTGAAGTCTGAATATCTGCTCAAGAAACTGCTGCCGAACCTGATTGGAAGCGGAGCATTCATCAAGAGCATCGATAATTATAAAGGTCTTGGTATAACAATGCAACACAGTCTGCAAGGCGAGGAAGATCTCATCAAATGAAGGTCGTGTCTCCTGCGGACGATGTTCTTCATAGAGTTCTTTGAGAATCGTTGGAAATGGGTCTAGTCCATGACCGAGCTGCTTTAGTAGACTCGCAAATACGTCAGTGGGATTTTGCTCATGTTGTCGTCGAAAGTTGTAGTATATGTACGCAACTCCGATTTGCATAGTATTCCAACGTTCATTCTGTAAATATCTGACAACCGCTGCTGATAATAGAGTCTTTCCCGCGCCTGGCATACCCTGACAGAAAAGAGTATGCCCACGAGTCTCAAGCCAAAACTGGAACTCATTCGATTCGAGAAACCATTGATTGGTGCCTGGTTGCCGCCTGTTGTAATTGTCATTTTGTTGAGAAATATATTCGATCGGTGTAAGCCATTGCAAGATAGCCTCATACTCTCCATTTTGTTGCGCTTGTAGAAGCTCGCCAACGTCTCTTTGAACATCTGAAATTTTGTCAAGAGTTAGACATCCTCGGTTGAAAAGTTAGACATCCTCGGTTGAAAAGGTAAACCTGGTATGACTTACCGGACAGCATATCAATGACTTGTACCTCAGCCTCGATTCTGGTAGGCGCGATTCGACAAAGGAGGTCCTTTGAATATGCAGCTGCCACCATAGCAGCATAACCTTGCCACTCCTTGTTCTTGTGAGAATCTGCGTAATCGCAGATGCCACGAATGACTAAGCATGGGAAGTTATTCATGAGTCCCCCGGATTCCATCTCGAAGCATAGGACATCATGTTCGTTCGAAATCTGGTCTCTGACAAGGGCATCTTTCATCAATTGATTTGCTGACGCAATTTGACCATAGTGTATCACTATATCATCCTCGTCCTCTGTTCGCTCTGGTCGCAAGACTAAACTCCTGGGATCTTGGCCACAGCCGTTCAAGCAGTCTTTATAATCATTTTGATGGACCATCGTAGATTGATACAGGACATCGTGACCGCGAGGGGGTCGCACATAATTCTTCCTTAATCTGGGTCTCTTCTCTAGGACGGAGTCAATTGCTTCCTTAATCTGGTGACCTTCAAGTTCGTGTGAAGATCTTAACCCGCTGACTGCTGTCCGTAGAACAGCTGGCGGTTGGTTCAAAAAGCCAGTTGTCTGGAAATATCGGTCTTGTATCGTCTTGCCGAAATCATATTGGAAAACGCCACTTTGGCCATGGCGAGGAGTACTGACCACAATGTCGCCTAGGCGAATATCATTTTTCGGTGTAGGTGCACCACCTCCGATTCCAACCATCAATCCGATTCTGATATTGGTGAAAGTATGGAGCATGTCTTTTGCAACGATTGCGGCAGAAGATATGCCGTACTCTCCATCCGGCAGAACAGCAATCACCACGTTATGCTTTCCCATGCGACCCAAGGTATAGTCGTTATTGTCAGCAGCAGCAACATGATCTGGGCCATCATGTTTCTCATCCAAGAAAGCCTGTGCTGCAACATATTCCGTACTGATTGCGCAGATCCAACCTACGGTGTAATCCTTTGGGTCTGACATATGGCGGCCGTGGGTAACTCAAACACACATTGAGTGCAATGATGGGAAATGCGATACCGCCCCTGGAGGCAAGCTCTCAAGCATTCTCTCATCCGCAGCAAGATCAAATATTCATATCAGTATGTCACAAGTGGTCGAAAGGAATAGGATCCGTCGAGCAGGAAAGTCCAATTGGAATAACCCAGGCCGGCCAAAATACAACCACAGGTCTGATTGGAGATGGGCTTGTCAGATCATGAGCGTCAATGGCGATTTGAAAGACATCCATTCATTATCGCTGGTTGGATTATGAAAGATTGTGATTGAGTATTAGAAGGGAATAGGAATGAATAGGCACCATAATCCCCCGCCAGCAGGAGCGAACCACCACGTCATGTGACAGGGCTGGAATCAACCCACAAGAAGCTGAGTGGAGTTAGGTAGGCATGCCTCAACGGCACGGAGCTCTGAGGACTGGTTGGATTGTTCGGTATGGGTGGTTGGAGATAATTCGTCCAAGGCAACGCTCACCAATTCTGGGGTGTAGGTAGCCTACCCCGTGCCCAGATCGTTCTCAGGCACTCGAACTGTGCATCTCTCACAGACGGGAGACGCAGTGCATTCACTGATAGAGAGGATAGGTTGTCAAGAGATCTCCCAGCAAGAGAAACCTGGTCGTTGTACCTTCCCCTACTTGAACCTGAAACGAGCTTGGTGCCTAAGCAGCCCTCCACCTTCCTCAGATCCCGGACCGCGCCTTCCACAGCCTGGGAGCGCTTTCTTGGGGCGCATCTTTCCCCCAACATCTGCCAAAGCACTTTACGTGTCTCGAACGCGCCAAACAGTGCGCTCGACCTGTAAATTGAGCTCCAGCACGGATAGCCGTGTCACAGTCACAGAGCAAACACAGAGATAGAAAGATTTAAAAACCGTTATGTGACTTTATTTCAAAGTACCTAGTTATGTGCATAAGAAGCCGCCACAAGGCTCAATGCTCATTGCAGGTCACGTCACAGCGCTTTCATAGCAGATGCCTGAAAACCCAGTCGCTTCGCCTGGCCAGTGCAAGCGCAAGGCAGAGAGTAATTTGTTTTGTAATCGTCAATTCGTTCAGAGAGGGGGTCGTCAAAAAGAACAACAAACAACAACATTAACGCGAAGAAAAAAAAACCCAAAGAGATGCCCTAGGTATATGCAAGCCGGCCAATTTATTTGGTTGATTTGGACGATTTGTTCGACTCTTTCCGTCGGTGCTTGGTGAGGAGTCCTTTGGTTGGGCTTCGTCGACCTGACTCTTTGTCCTTTTCCTTCTCTCGCTCGCCTTGCCTTTCACTTTCGGATCCCGCATGACCGTCGAGTTGGTCTTTCCCCTGTGATACTGGTCTCGTCGTAGGTGGTGGCGGACCTCGATGATTGTAATTCACAATTTCATCCACGTTTATCACCCATCGCATTTGCCCAGTAACCTGAGTCATCTCCTCCAATTTTCTGGTGATGGCGCTATCATTTGAACTGGCCGTGCGCCGCAAATCTGCAATTGCGGTATCGATTTCGGCTCTGTAGGCTTTGAAATTCGAGGTCAACTTTTTCGTCAGATCTTCCAGCTGAGCAATCGTCTGTCTTTGCTGCTCGGCAATGATCTCCAATTTCTTCTGCTTTTCCAAATCATCGTCTTGTCTTCTCAGCAGTACACTGAAATTGCTCTTAATTTTGTCCAGGCCTTGCTGATGGCGTTCGTAATCGTTTTTTCTACAAGCGACAATCGTGTCGTATTCAGACTCTCTTTGTGATGCCAGGCTTTTGGCCTGACTGGCTTGATCTCTCCAGATCTCTTCGTTGGTGGCCGCCACCTCGGCCTGATTCTCAGCCTTGGAAGTTTTCAACTTTTCCCTGCGCAATTCTTCCCGGAGATCTTCGACCTGCCTTTCCTTTCGGGCTATTTGTCGAATATTGGCTTCGTGCGACTGCTCATAGTTGCTGTTTCTGTCTTGGAGATAAGAATTGCGCGTGGTAAGATTTTCAGTGGCCTTTTCAGCCTCTTCGTGCCGCAATTTGAGTAACTGTTTTTCCCGACGTAGACGATCGATATCAGCCTGTAACCGCTCAATGACTCGTCCCGATTTCCCTGTGCTAGCGTGACCGATGGCTGAAGACCACTGGTTCGATTCAGACGGTGAAGAGGACTCGGATGAGTTCATTACTGTTTGTACGTAATCAGCAAGCGGTCAAATGCGCAAGTCACAGGAAACCTATAGCGTACCTGATCGCATCATCGATGCACTAGCCACTCTTCCCGTAGATGGCCGACCTGGGTCGAACTGGGATGGCTCCTTAAGCACTCCATTGACTTCAGACATGACTGACAAGGCAGGCACATCAGAAGAAGTCGATTTTTTGCCCCCTGATCGTATCTGCGGGTCAGCAATGGCTCGAATATAGTCCACCAATAAAGGCATTATCGGAGGAAGGAGAATTAAGAGTTGCAGATGTTGGGTTGTAAGATGATGGACAATGGCATACCAGTGTCACGATGGAGAGATGAAGACAGTGGCACAGGAGATGTTCTGGAAGGCCGAGGCTTGCTCCTCATGACACGAAGAGATAGGCGTTGAGATTAATTCGAGATCTGGCACGAATGGTGCTCGAGGTTGTGATTACTCGGTACTGTGAAGACGCAGACCGGGGTCGGTAATGGGTAGTTGCCAGGGTGCAAGAATACTGAAAATCGGACGTAGTTGTTGTGCAGGTGCAGATGGTGAGAGATGCAAACCAGAAGACGAGAAAATAAACGTCCAAAGGATTAGAAGAAGCAACCAAGAACCATGTCAACGAAAGTAGCAGGGCCCAGAGCACGAGGCAATGTGGTTTCTCCTTTCACGAGCATTGGGAAATGATGGCATTATTTTGTTTGGGATGGATTGAGAAGACGGGTAACGAGTAATAAGCAGAACCGGGATCATCGGGCCCGCGGCGGGACGTGTCACGCGTTCAGAGCAATCAACTTAATCGGCGGTCGCTGTCAAGGCTCAAGGGAGTCTGTGTGCTCCGGAGGGTAAGGCTTGTCTCCGTAGCCTGCAGGCTGCTGTCCACAGGAGCCTGTAGGCATCTCCCGTGCCTGTCCAGGTGGGTGCCAGTCTCTGTGCAGGTACCCCGTGGCTTCTGTTGGACCTGTAAACTAAGGTTTGCTGGGGCCTTGGGACGCTACTGCCAGGGGCACAGGCCACTAGCCTCTTTTCCCTGCAAATCCCTCAGAGCCAATAATGGGTGACACATCATTTTCTACGACGATACCATGGAAGATCAGACGAACGATGAAAGTGATCAAGGATTCATAATGAAGCTGTGATTACTTTATTACTCAATAGGTAGTCGATCTCTAGTCTATCAAGACTTCAACCACCATGTCTTCCATGTCATGTATGGGAAATTTATGGCTTTCCTGGTCAACGCCATGCTTTTCATATGCAAAACCCTACCAGCAGAAAATCATTCAAATGGTCTAGAAGTCCACATAATCTAGCTCGAGAACATGACAGCTGCAAACACACCCATCACCAAGGCCATTGAGCTTGCTAGCTGGCCAGCTTCACCACTGTTTGGTGCTCCAGTGGTGGCTGCGGCGGTCGGTGCAGAAGAGGAAGTCGCCCGCGAGCTGGATGAGGTGCTCGCGTGTTGGGTGGTTCCAGGTTCTAGGCTGGTGGTGGCAGAGATAGTGGGAGAGCTGGAAAACGATACAAGATTAGTTTTAGAGAACAACGAAACATCATAGGGGGTGATGCGAACATGAAGGTGGTGTTGCGTGGCAGAGCAGTGCCAGTGCCTGCGCTCAGTGTGCCTGTGGAGGTGATGCTAGCAGTTGAGTTACCTGCTGCGGTCGTGGTAGAGTTGGATGTGGTGCCATTGCCAGCATTGATGGTGAATAGACCAGAGTAATTGATCGCGTCTTGGCCTTGTGTGATTTGCAAAGCGTAGTCACTGGGAATCCCATCAGTTCATTGTTGTCATGCTTCCCAGAAGGGAAAATACATACTCATCGGGTTTCAGACTGTCAGACACTTCCCACTCGAAGAAATCTCTCGAGATACCTTCTCCAAGAATTCCCACGGTGGTCAGGTCGTTCGGATCACCCTTTCTAAGAGTGATAGTCACAGCTGATCCATCTCCACCTCCCCACGTAATATTGTAGGTCTCGCCGGTAACTGCGACTGCGGGAACACTCTCAAATGCAAGTCTGGCTTGTGCGAGGGCGCAGGTAATGAGCGATGCGCTCGCGAAAAAGGCCTTGCCGAACAACATTCTGGAAAAAAGGAGTTGTGGGAGTGTGGTGGCACGTGGAGGATGTCAAATGTTTGGGTGGGAGACGCGTCGAGAAAAGGACGAACGAGTGAGTCCTTGTGTTTTTGGAAAGGGTCGGGTTCAGAATTGACGTCGAAGAACGAGAAGCAAGACAATTAGTTAAGAAATGAGAGACCAAGGGACCTTTAAGACCAAAGAGAAGAGCTTCGAGGCATGTCACCACTGGAGTTGGGAGGTGATGGCGAATCTTGACCAGCAACTTGGACTTGGGACTCGGGTGGACATGGACATGGGAATGGAACGTGGAGTTTGTCTAAATCGCTAGGCTGCCCCATCACTCTTGAAAACATTCCAGCACAACCAATGGTTCGCTAAAATGGCCAAGCCATTAGCAACGCCACTAACCCCATCGGTCCGATTCCCAAATCTAAATGCAATTTTTTCATTTCAGCGCCGATCCACCAAAGAAGTCCGCCATAGAACTGGATCACCGTCTGCCTTTGCAACCCCCGTCGATCCTTTTTTCGAGAAAGCCACAGCCCGCAGAAGTCAGGACGCACTACTCGTAGATTCGTCGATCCTCTCACCAGATGATGCCATTTGGATACCATGTCTGTAAATGCATAATGACCTTTCTTTTTTAACACCTCGCAATAATAGTACTTCCATACAGAAAACATCCTGTAGAGCAGTTGGAACGCCGCCATGTTTCTCAGATACTCGCTTTCCCGCCAAAGAAGCGACACGCGTGCCGTAGACGTAACACAACACGCACACACACCTAGTGGTTGAATCCATATGGTCTCACTGCGCCACACGGTTTGCCACGGACCACTGATCCTTGCCACACCACTGGTCCATACGATGGAAATCCATCCCTTGCGTCACTCGACACCTCTGTTCGGCTTGATACCGATATCGAAAGCCCAGACAGCTCTTCCAATGGAACTTCAGTACCCCACGGACTGCGAGCTCTCCAGTTGAGCCCATCATGCAGGATCGGTATCACATGCTTAGGCATTAGATTGGGAATAATGCCTCTGGCAACACCTGCTGCCAGCGTATGTGTTATTGATATCTCCCCTGATATCTGACCGGAAGGGTATCCATCGGGATGCAGTGCTGTCACATTGGCTGGTCCAAATTGAGCATATGTTGCCACCAAGTTCGGTGCCGTTGCCCAGGAGGAAATGTCCTCGGGAGCACTTCCCATGAAAAAGTCGATGACAAAGCTCGACTCGGTCGGAAATCGGTCGACCACAACTGTAATGGAATATTGTTCTTTGAGGCTGTTCACTCTTAGGCCCTGGGCCATATCAAGCGTCACGGTGCCGAATGATTGAGCCAGATTGACGCTTTTCTTCTGCAAGTCTCTCGCTGCCCAAACCCTCGTCGTGTTCAAATTCGGATTATACAACGAGTTCACATAGGTTTGCACATTCCGCTTGAGTTGTTCTGGAGTCATGCTCCAGTCCGGCACTTCTGGGTAGCTGTAACCGAATGTTTTCAATTCGCGAACTTCATCCGATGTCCATAAACGATTGCCATCCTGGTTGGAATGAAAAGGTGCCAGCGCTATTCAGTGTTAGTGCCCATCACTGCCGCATGACTTGTGAAACACTGACCTGATGTTCCCGAGTCAACAGTGCCCGGAAGCTCGTAGTACGAACCATATGTATTCACAGTGGGAATCATGTAGCTTTCAGGGTACACTGCTTGCCACATGGCAAATAGGCGATCGACATTGGCATGATGAAGCCAGAAAGTGGGATCAAAGCCTGAGACCTCGGGAAATTGCATGTGACCGTAGCCTCCAATACTGTTATGGATACTGTTGTGAATGCTCTCGACATTATTCGCCGTGACGAATCGACCTCCCGGCGAACTGCAGGAAAACTCCGTGTAGTTTGTTGTCATTGTAAATAGCTGATACGTCAGAGATAGTATTCTGTATGATACGGATCAGCTTGAATTGGAACACAAGGTGAGTTTCTTACGTTGCAGCATTCGCCTCCAATGCTGCTGTTGCCGCCCCCTGGTCGCTTGACTGTGTAGTCGCTTTCCACCAACGAACAGTCGTCGGCATGTTTGCCAACTGGGACAATTTTAGTCCGAACTTGCAGCAGTTGATCAGAAAAACTTACGGGATTGCTCGGAGGGAAACCATTTCCTGTAGCGTTCGCTTGAAAAATATACTGATATAGGGGATTTTGGATATCCTGAACTCCGAATGGAGTATTTACTTGGATATATGGTTGTGTTGTTGCATCAGGCATTGCTGGATGGATTGCCCAATCCCAATATGGAATACGCAATGTCAACGCCGCGGCGCGATAGCGCTCTCGTTGATTCTCTGGATATGCCTCTGCAATAGCCTGAGCATGCGACCATAAAACTTGCTGGCAAACATCAGTATGCGCGTTGCATAGATCTCGAGCTTGTGCATACCTCAAATAATGCGAGATACGGTCGATGCCATGTCGGAAACGGAGTTGATGCATGCATACAGAATCCTGGGTATGCTCCAGTCCCAGAAACACCATCCCAGGGGATATGAGGATAACCATGTATGCCTGCTATCTGAAAGTAAGAAAGCGGATCCGATTGCTCCACAGCTTGGAAGTCACTCAGGGCGAGCACGTAAAGATCCCAAGCTGCCCCCGAACGCTGAAAGTCCGAAATTTCATATCTGAAGGGTCTGGATCCCGTGGTGCTGTCGACACCACCCGGAGGACCAGTAACATGAAATGCAAGCAGGAGATCGAAAGAGAGCAAAAGTGGCAGGAGCCAAGCTGTCCACGAAGCTCGAAACAGAGCCAACATGGTAGAAGGAATTGCATCACCTTGGCCACCAAAATCAAGGACGATGCCGAAGCGCAAATTGGCTTGATATAATCTTGATTATTTGCTTCAGAAAATCCATAGTCTTCTCTGTTGTGCAAGGAGCGGGTCTGTCCTTCACAAACTCACCGTTGGGCTGGACTCGGAACTGATAGTCGGGCAGGTGCATCCGCTTACGGCGTAATCAATATTGAAGGTGAACGAGAGGGTGTACCTTGATATATCGATGCATGATTCTGGAACTTACACGGAGTTTGTCCTCGAACAGTTTAATCTGGGACTGGCTTTGTGGCAGCAGCACGAGAAATAAATCCAGGTGACGGTATTGAGATCAGGAGAAAAACTCATTTTCCGCAGGCCCAGCTAAGCCATCATCGACCGGGATATAATATGGCAACTGTTGGTCGAAATTGCGAACGGAGGTCCTACACTGACCAGGAGAAAGCGAGAGCTTCAATTCGGAGCACGGTGTCAACGAGATGCCATTCAACAGTTGGGTAAGACGTAGGAAAGAGGACCAGTCATGTCTCAATTGACCCGGTGTCACTCAAACGTCATTAAGAAGACTGTTGGTGAAGGAAATAGAACCACTGAATTCTTGGAGTATGTGGTTACAAGTGTACACCATCGGAGGGAATTAGATATACTAGCAATCCTAATACTACGAGTGATAATAATGAGTGAGGTGTGAGTGGATGAACTACCCTTCCAGTTCACCACCCAGGCATGCCCGGGGTCTGAAGGCCCTAACTAGCTCGCCCGAGGGGCCTACGACGATGAGTAAGGTTCGCTTGACTCGTTAGGCTCCGGAGCTCCCCTGGAAGTTTGTTAAGGCAGCCCCTGGTTCCCGTCCCACCATCACCCATATGTCATACCTCCCAGAATTCCCGCAGCTTCTACTGGCATCCTGCGGCGATCGGCGGCTGCGACTGTATCTGTGCCTGTGCGGGTCCTTGTGGTGCGGCATAAACAGCATCCAAGGGCTCTCCGAATGTTTTGTCAACCGGCCACGAGGTCCTCAGACTGAGACCAATTTATTTCTGGTTGACCTCCTCAAGATTTTTTCTTTCCTTTCCTCCTCTCACACTGTCATACTCAGACTTGTCATTGCTTCAGAAGGGAGACAACGGTACTACCTGCTACCATCGCAGCCACCACCATCATGCCTGAATATGACCCACCGCCGAAGGATCTTACCCGCCTTAATCCGATCCAAAGGTACATGCAGAAAGGCTCACTCGAAAAACAAGATTACGCGTGGTTGTTCATCCTCGTCCTTGCCTACTTCACGGTCCGTCCGTACCTACAAGAGCTAGCAAAGCGCTTTTTCAGTCCCGACACCGTCGAAGGCGAACGTATTCATCAGGAATATATACAGACAAAAGCCAAAGCCAAGATTGGACCAAATGCCATTCGAGGCACAGATCATCAAGAATTGGAGACCATCCCCGAGAGCAAAGAAGATGTCACGACCTCAGGTACTCAAACCACGTCCAAGGGGAAAGCCGTAAATCGCAAGAACAAGGAAAAGTCCCTTCAGGATCAATTATTGGACTGGGACGATGAGCCTGCTAGACCAGCAGAGGAACCCGGAAAAGCGGATGTTGTTTCGTGGCTAGACAAATGGTCCAAAGAAAGCGAGGAATGATTTCTTCCGGGTCCATTTTACTGTTCGAACCCTAACAGCCACAACCATGGGTCATTCGAAGCACAGATCCGGGACCATTTGATGTCCAGTACTACCGTCCAGCTGACGAGACGTGTGCCGGGTCTAGATACTTGGATCGTTATTCAGCACACGCCTCTTCTAGTGATACTCCAGAGAGCAGTTTCCAGTCCAATCAACAGGCGAGTTATACCTGGGTTCCTCGACCCGCGCTCTCGTCACCGCTGAAGATCGTATCATTCCTCTTCAGCTTGTTCGGGATGGCCTGAGAATCGTTTCTACTGGCCTGACATGATTTTGACTTTATCTGTCCGTCTATCTGGATGCCCCAACTCGTTTGAACCTCCGAAATCTTTGTGAAAGAATTGAACGAGATTTTAGACGGCATTAGTGGTAGTACTGTCTGGGCTCGAGTAAGAAATAAAATGATTGATGGCTGGCATATGTCATAGCAATTTTGTGACGAGGCTTACTCGCAGCCTTGTTGACGAAGACTCATAAATGCCTTGCTTCTGGTCTTCATGGGTTCAAGGACTCTCACGATAGCAACTCTCAGAACTTGTTACACACTCCCTGTCCCTGATCATTGCCTTCTCTCTAGATACCAAACATCCTACAATAGGATCGCCCACTGCATCTAACATCTAACCGCACGTGATCATGCCATCTTGATTCGAATTTGATAGGGAACAATTCTGTACATGACTCGTACGATGCCGATTGCTTGGCAATTTTTGGAGAAGATGGAATTCACGTGCCAGGACTTTGATGAAACGTATGCGGCAACTCGATAGAATCACCAGCAGCAATTCACAATTGATAGCCACCTCTTGATTTGGGTTGTATCGTTCGTTTCCTCTATCGCCCTGACTCTCCTTATATCCGGGCCGTCATGGCCATTTCTACCCCTTTAGACCCCTTCTTGAGTGGAGAGACGAGCAAGAAGACGAGGACTCTACTCCGAATCATCATTCTATTCACCATTGCTGCGGCCGCAGTATCAGCCCGTCTATTCAGTGTCATTCGTACGTGGAATCACCACTGATCTATTTCTGAAGATGCTGACCATGTTCATCAGGATTTGAAAGTATAATACACGAGTGTTAGTCACCAGATTCCCCTCTCATTTCGCCGATCCAACATCTGACCTCAAAGCGCAGTTGACCCATGGTTCAATTTCCGTGCCACCAAATACCTGGTTAAGCATGGCTTCTATAGCTTCTGGGACTGGTTCGACGACCGTAGGTTATATCGGCTGTTCGGCCGATGCTCCAACTGACAGATTAATTAGGAACATGGCATCCTCTCGGTCGAGTGACAGGAGGTACCCTCTATCCCGGCCTCATGGTTACGTCCGGCGTCATATACCACATCCTTCGTCTCCTATCACTTCCTGTCGATATCCGGAATATATGCGTACTCCTAGCTCCCGCATGCTCTGGTCTTACGGCCCTCGCAATGTATCTCTTGACATCTGAGATGTCATCTTCGCCATCTGCTGGTCTTTTGGCTGCCGCATTTATGGGCATTACTCCCGGATATATTTCAAGATCAGTGGCCGGCAGTTATGATAACGAAGCCATTGCAATCTTCCTCCTGGTCTTCACCTTCTACCTTTGGATTAAAGCGGTCAAGAATGGTTCAATCATGTGGGGATCCCTGGCTGCCCTCTTCTACGGATACATGGTGTCTGCATGGGGTGGTTATGTCTTCATTACCAACTTGATCCCTCTTCATGCCTTCACGTTGATTCTCATGGGCCGATACAGCTCAAGATTGTATATCAGCTACACGACCTGGTATGCTCTAGGCACGCTTGCCAGCATGCAAGTTCCTTTTGTTGGCTTCCTCCCTATCAGAAGCAGCGATCATATGGCTGCTTTGGGTATTTTCGGGTTGTTGCAATTGGTCGGATTCTTCGCCTTCCTCAGAGACCAGCTTCCCGGCAAACAGTTTCAAACGCTACTTGTCGCATTGGGTGGCGCCATCTTCGCGATCATGTTCGTTGCATTGGTTGCTCTCACAGTTTCAGGAACCATCGCACCTTGGAGTGGCCGATTCTACTCTCTCTGGGACACTGGCTACGCCAAGATCCACATCCCCATTATTGCGTCCGTTTCTGAACATCAACCTACCGCATGGCCTGCTTTCTTTTTCGATCTGAACATGCTCATTTGGCTTTTCCCAGCAGGTGTCTACATGTGTTTCCGCAATCTCAGGGACGAACATGTTTTCGTTGTCATCTATGCCGTTCTGGCAAGCTATTTCGCCGGTGTCATGGTTCGTCTGATGCTGACTCTTACACCCATTGTCTGTGTTTCCGCTGCACTTGCGCTTTCGCATGTCCTCGACACATATCTTTATGCCGGAACCCCTACAGAAAAGCCAGCCGATGGCAGTTCCGTGACATCCAAGGCTGGCAAAGCAACAGCAAATCTATCCCTGCGCTCTGTTCGCAACCCACTCATTGGCATCTATTCACTCGTCTCTAAGTCCTTGATCACTTCCATGACCACCGGGTTTCTCCTTCTATTTGTGGCCCACTGCACATGGGTAACATCCAACGCATATTCATCACCATCCGTGGTATTAGCGTCACGACTCCCAGACGGATCTCAACACATCATCGACGATTATCGAGAAGCCTACTACTGGTTGAGACAGAACACAGCACAAGACGCAAAAATCATGTCATGGTGGGATTACGGATATCAGATTGGTGGCATGGCCGATCGACCAACTTTGGTCGACAACAACACCTGGAACAACACACATATTGCCACCGTGGGCAAAGCCATGAGCTCAAGAGAAGAAGTCAGTTATCCGATTCTTCGCCAACACGATGTGGACTATGTTCTCGTCGTATTCGGCGGACTTCTAGGCTACAGCGGTGACGACATCAACAAGTTCCTGTGGATGGTCAGAATCGCCGAGGGCATCTGGCCCGAGCAAGTCAAGGAACGAGATTTCTTTACCGCCCGAGGCGAATATAGAGTCGACGAAGAAGCGACTCCAACAATGAGAAACTCACTCATGTAAGTCCCCACTAAAAATACTCCTGAAGTGAATCGCCGACATACTAACATCACATGTGTCATCCAGGTACAAAATGTCGTACTACAACTTCGACAAGCTCTTCCCAGCCGGCCAAGCACAAGACCGCGTCCGCGGCTCCTCGCTGCCTGCAGTCGGCCCCGAGCTGAACATTCTGGAAGAAGCATTTACCAGCGAAAACTGGATCATCCGCATCTACAAGGTCAAGGACCTGGACAACGTCGGTCGAGACCACCAGAGCGCCGTCGCGTTCGAGAAGGGCCACAAGAAGAAGCGCAAGGCTGGTGCTAAGAAGGGCGTGCGCGTTCTCCGAGAGGATTAAAAAAAACATGCTATTGTGTGTGATTAGGATTTGATAGTGGTTGACTCAGATTACGTCTTCTCGATGGGCACGAGAAGCATCCTTCGAGATGAATACAACAGACTTTCTTGTGGCATACTAGTATTTGCAACAAGAGCAGAAAAGTACTTTCTTGGTTTTCAATGATTGGCACTTCGTTCGCCCGAGGAGAAAACGGCAGAGTCGATTTCATACTTATGCGATCGGCAGTGCTATAAAAGGGGGAAATCTTTGTCACGAGTAGAAAGAAGAATTGAGAGGGAAAATAGACATAACTTTTACAAAAGCAAACCAGAGACTCGAAATAAAAGAAGTACTCCAACCTCCTTTTTTTCTGCTTCCGATCTTTTCTTAACGCTCCAAGATAGTCCAAATTCAAATGCCTGCCTTCCAATTAATGGTGACGAAACGTGTCTTCTGAGTTCCTTTCATGGTCACGCTTACCCCTTTCTCTGTAAGCCTTGACGTGCTTCTTGGCTCACTGTATGCGCCAGCATCAGTCAGGGAACTAGACCTTCGTGGATGAATGTACACCACAAACACATACTCAGCGTGTCCGCCGAGAATGCCAGCGTTATCGGCTGGGCCGCTCAATCCTCTCATATAGATCAAGTACACGTAGGCGGTTTTGTGTTACCTTTTAGCCCTCATAGCAGTGATTCTGTGGCGAACCGCTGGGGCCGGAAGTCACTTGGCCATGGGGAGTATCGTGGCCAATGTCGCTAGATAAATACTTCCACAAGTCAAACTCATTGAGGAATGGCAGGCTATGATGCAGACTTCAACCAACACTGACATGATCTCAAGCCTGAACCCAGACCAAGGGTTTTTGTGAAGTTTGGAGTCTTGGGCAGCCGGCATGAGATGAAGTGGGCACTCGCCGCTGCGCATAGGACATGTCATACATACATCGCGCCTGGGAGCTTCGATGTCAAACAAACCGCCACAGCCTGTACAGCAAGAAAGAACCTTAGAAACCATCAAGATGGTTACCCTTATGGCAAGGAATAGTCTTGTCAATCTATTTTCTTTGTTCAAAAAAACACCTACCTCATGTGTGTAATAAGTTCCGACCTCTGGTACCCTTCATGCCCAGCTATCAGAGGTAGCGGCGATTTGGAAAATATCACATCGTCGTCAGTGAATTGTTTGCTTGTTAGAACTCAAGATGTCAATGCAGAGTCCGGGGTGCTACCTGCCAGTGTAAGTACACACTCGGATATGTAGTAGGGAGGCAGGAAGGTGTGAGAGAGAACAAAGAAGGTGCCCCTTCATTCGATGCCAAGGCCCCTACCAAGTAATGCTTCTTGCCATCGCACTCCTACTGACCTCACTGAAGTATCTGCGAGTAGGACCAGGAACGTGATCTCATATGGGTATTCACCTTGAAAAATGTACGTAGCAACCAGTCTTGTGGAGTTACGAGTTAATTTGAAGCCACTCCCCGTTCGATGCTGTAGAGAGAGCAGAAGAAGCTCAGTAACGTCATTTCTCCTGGCAGGCCATAGGCAGTACGTCATATTCGCTACCTACTAGCAGGCACCCAGCAGGCATCTATGCTCCTACAGTATGTAAGCGGGAGATTAACGAGTGGCTGTACTTCAATTATCCCCCAGACCACGCCTGAGACCGTCGATGAGGGATACTTGCATACCATACAACCAGAAGAGGCTGTCCTGTCCCACCCATTCTATGCTCGTCTTGAACATCACTCACACCCATTGCCACACCAGCATGATTATCGTACAGCAATAGCAGCCCAGCCGCGCCTAGCAGCATTTGTGGCACGCTTCAAAGCCTGCTCCTCAACATCCGTCCATTTCACGCTAAGCTCGTCCCACTTCTTGATCTTGAATTCCCGTTTGTATTGAGAGAACAGCTGTTGCAGTTTCAGGAAGGGTCGCATGTCGCCCGTGCCGTTGAAGACGATCAGGAGGGTCTTCTCTGGAAGGGAAGTGTACACCTTTGCAAGGCGTGTGAGTGTTTGAGTCATGGCTATTTCGAGGGCTGGGTCTGGAGATGTCGTTTCCGGTGTTTTAGGATCGTATGTGAGATCTTCAGGAGTCAGGTCATCAGGGATAGGGTCTGGTGGTGCGTTCCATCCTCGAATGGCTTCCAGGTCACGCAGCCGGCCCCAGATGAAGTCGACGCCTCCTGCGGGAATTCGATCCACGGATTGTCCTTCTTCATTTGCTGGTTCTTCTTTTGTAGTTGAGTGCACATCCGGCTTGGAATTCTCAATTGTATTATCCTCCTCTCCGTCATTTTCCGTGCCGTTGTTGCCGTCACTGATTTCATCACCATGCGCAGCATGTAGTATGCCATTGACAATATCATCGTCGTCCTCGCAGGCAATTTTGTATGTCGCTTCTTTGCCAAGTCCACGCTCTGGGGTTCCATATTCCACGATGGCAGTCTGGCGTGGGGAACCATCTGCTCTCGCTGCTTTAGAGATACGCCGAAAGATACTCTCACCATTTGCATCCATTGTACCCCACTTGGCGCCCTTCTCACATTTCAGCTTCACCAGATCAAGTACGGCACGAGCGTCTTCGACCGAGTCGTGACCATCAGCACCACCCTTCTGAATCTCTCGCTTTAAGTACTTGTTTGCAAGATATTTCAACGACGAGCGCAGAGGTAGACCACGTGGATGAGGATAGATGATTGATGTGTCGATGATATGTGGGTGTGTGAGTTTGAGAGCATTCAGATCCGATTCCAGCGAATGGCCGAGGAGGATCGAGTTTGAGCCCAACAAGGTGAGGAGTTCTTTCTGTATATCTTGTAGTGTCGTCGTGACGTTCTCGAGTATCTTTTCAGTGATACCCGAAAACTGGGTGAAGTAGTTCTTGATGGGCAGAGACGGCAAAACATACTTGTCAAGTACGGTCCTACCGTACCAATCAATAATTGATATGCGAGCAAGCGAGTACTTGTCGTCGTCGGTCAGAACCATTTCGCAGTCAAGAGCATAGACATTGTACCCCTGTTTGAGCGAATTGAGGTCTCTTAGTGGGTTGAAAGATTTGACTGCAGTGACCGGAACCGGGAATTCGGATCGACTGGCGTTCGTGTCGACCCAGCCTGCAGAGGCAGATTGCAAGGTTTTCTCACGCCTCTCGTCTTCTAGCTGTGCATCTCTCTGATTGTCGAACGTTGCCGGATGAATCGGGTATTCTGCTTCTCGTAGCTCGTCGGCAGTATGGATGAACTCACCGATAGCAGTTCGAGTTGTCTGTGGCTTCTCATGATTTCCTTTTTTGTTCTTGGGCTCTGAATATGGCGAGATGAGCATTGTTTGGAGAGGGGAGTGTATCTGATTTCGCCCAGAGTCCCCTGGAGCCTTGACTTGAAGAAGGTGATCTAAGAGACTAGAAGCAGGGTTTTCTGAGAGAGATGGGCAAGTCCTCGCAGGAGTCTCATCGCTCTGAAGTGTTGGTAGCGTGGTGGCTGCGGATTCGACTTCAGCCAAAGCCACAGGTCCAGACTCGGTTGGTGCTGACTCCCCGATGTGATCATGTTCGCTCCTCATACTTGACTTGAATAGATCAGACTGTTTCAAAGAGTTCTTATCCAGTCCAGGAATCATGAGAACAACAACCTTCTGGATCTGTTTGGCATTGTTGACGGCCAGCCAGGTTGGTGCAACACTATCAGAGAGGATGTAAAGAACAAGTTCTTGAAGAGCCTTCACCTGAACTTGGTCAGGTCTGCCAGGTAGGAATGAGACGCCAGGAGGACCATCATAGTTCTTCTTGGCCTTGCTCGCAGCCTTGTTCGCGGTCTTGCGCTTCTTCCTAGCAGATTTGGATTCTGCAACTGACCATTGGCCATCAAGTTGGTCAGGTGCCTCTGATTGATCATTTTCATGCTCAGATATTTCCATGTCCATCTCACCGGTTGAATGTCTCTCACCGTTTTGGGCTGGGGCAGACGGTGTGTGGCTATTCTTGTGTTGCAGAGGCTGCTCCTCGGGGTATCGAAAGTGTGTTGCAGATAACCCGGCTTGCGCCGCACTCCTCTTGATACCACCGTTCTCCACCATCTTCGTCACTGCAACTCTGATGTGAAAGTAATTCAAACAGTTCCTTCAGATCATTTTCAATCGAGATGAAGGCGACAGAAGTCGTTTGTTCAAGGAAGGGTTGTCACTGAGAAGGCGGACAGGCTTGGCATAAAATGCACAAACTCGATTTGTGATTCACCATAGAAGAGAACAGGCCAAACCACATCGGGGCTAGTGTCTACGACATTCATTTTCAGCCTCGTCAACTTGAAGCCCCAAGACAGCTTCTCCGTTATTCTTCTCCTTTTCAACTCTCACAACAAGCAGCGTCATCCATGCTCAACACGACCAAGCCCATACGTACGATTTTGCATCTCCCTCACCTAATGTAAGTGAGGATATACCGTCTTGAACGACTCCCGTTCCCCAAATGTCGACCACCACTTCCGGATCTTGTCCCCAACCACAAACCCCGGCACCGATTTCTTCACCAAGGTTTCCAAGGGCCCAAAATCACCCACTTCAGTGGCTCCAGCACCCCACATAGCATGCGCCAACCATGGCACGATATTCAGGTCCGCCAACGTCACTTCATTCCCTGCGGCATAAGGCAAGACTATCAGGGAATCCAACTCATCAACGCTTTTCGCAAACACTTGATACCCGTCCCGACTTTGCGCAAAGAACGCCTCATGCCCTGGTCCGATTTCCGTCGATGTGTACAGATCATTGAGCGCTCCGTTCTCTAGTGCTTTGGGACCGTAGAACACGTGCTCGGGATACTGAGCGTGGTTCTGCTCGAGAACCTTCTGACGCGTGCCGATCCAGCCCTTAAACATGCCAGATTGCTTAGCACGGAATTCCTCCCCGTCGCGCGCCGTCAACAGGACCAAGTTCGTGCCAACGGCGTCCGAGTGAACTAGGTCGATCAATTTCTGTGAGATTGCTTGTGTTTCCTCATCTTTGGGTGTGAGTTGGGCGCCCGAGTCGGGGTGCAATCGATCCAGGTAAGTCAGAATCTCGGCGCTTTCGATAATGGGTTTTTTAAGTGATGGCGCTGTGAGTGATGGGATTGTCCCGTTCGGGTTGATGGCAAGGTAGTCCACATCGAAATTGCCGGCGCCGACTATGTGGGATGTCGATGACCTCTTAGCAAATTTGTGCGTTTCATGGACGGTACTTGGGACATACGCAAGTCTAGTTCCTTGACCTCATACTCGTCTGGTTTATATCCTTTCTCTATCAATCCGAGTTGTGGCACCATGGCCCATTGAGAAACTGCAGAAGAGTAAAGGACGAACTGCTTACGCTCCTGGTTAGCAAAGTCTTTCTTTCTGTGCGCGAGTGCTGTCACTTACTTTCTCGCTGGGAGCCATCACGTGCGCGGATTCCTCAATGCTAAATTGTTTGCTGGATACTATTCTCTGATTTCACTACCGTTCCTGCTGCGATTCGGGGTCGGAGGGCAAGAAGTTTTCGATTGTACTTGCTCAAGTTAGGGAAAGCTGGACCGTTGTCTCAACTGCGAAACTCAACATTGAGTCGAGGACAGATGCCTATCTATATGTAGCCTTCACCTTCTCATAGGGACATGACCACGCTTCACGATCCATGCCCGCTTCCCAAGCCATGCGCCATTCAGAGTAGTAATCAAAAACAGTAACACCTATCAACATCACCCCCCAAGGAATAAAAGATTAACCTGGTATCCTAGATCCATCATCAAAAGCAGCCGATTCCACTCGGATTGGGAAACATGTAGCGTAATGGTGTGGATTTAATTAAGTAACGCTGACCACAGGCGAAACAGCCTTGGACGGTTCCCCTGGCTATGCCTGGTTAAGTCGGCAACAGGCTCGTGCAGGGTCTATCATAGGCGGAATGTGGAGACGGTGTTGGTCCTTGCTTATTCATCCCGCGATGTGATGCGATGCCAATTTTTAGGCTTTCTCTGATTCCTGATCATACATGGCACTCACATTGGTCGTCTTTGTACATCGCAATTGTTACCTTAGACATTAGACGGTAATGTGGTCTGATGCGTACTAAAGAAAGAAAGCTCTGCTATGTAAGCGGCGAATAATATGAATACTCTAGTGATCTACACCGTGATACGTGATGGCGGCGGTCTGTGATCTCGTATGCATTGCATATTTGATCTTGTTATGGCAGTTGAACTATCTCTTGATCAAGCCACAGTCTGGATGGATTCTGGGAACAGCAGTCCATACAGGGTCTGTGACTCCCAGCATCCACCCCGTATTCCAGAATTGCTCTGCCATGATTCCTCGTTCTATCTCCCCAAGCCAATCGCCCCCTCCTGGTTTCAAGGACACCGTGCATCATCACCAACCTTTGCCTCCGGCCATGGGCAACAAAGGATTGTAAGCAATCTTCAGCGCCCCTGCTTCGACCTCTGCTTTATGCGCTTCAATGGTCTCGAGGTCCCAATTCACACTGATCATCGAGGACTTCAAGAAGTCGGCTCTGCTCGTTGACAGGTACAGGGCCAGTGCACCAGTGAGATCGACGTGGTCTTTAGCGTACGGCCAGAGCCACTCCGCTAGTATATCTGTCATGACGATACCTGGCATGGTTGTGAATGCTCTGATTTTTGGATAATCTGGTAGATGACGGAGGGTATTCTGTTAGCTGAAGGCCAGCTGCTTGGTAGACTGCCTAGCCCTCCCAGCATTGTCTTGGGACAAATTCACTTACCAAGGCCAATGTATTCAATGTACCGTTGTCCAGCCAACTTACTCAATCCGTACGCACTGTCTCCTGGAATTGCGAAGCCCGCAAGACCTGACGCGATATTGATAAGTGTTCCCTCAGGCTCCTTGGGATTTGGTTGGCTTCGAATCCAGTGGATGACAGTGTTGTGCAAGCCCTTCAAATTGATCTCCTATTCTCGAAATCTCAGCATCGTCGTCCATTCGGCATGGAGGGGACACGCGAGAAGGCATACGTATACACTCCACCAAGTATCAATCGACTCCTCAGCAGCTGGTAGCAAATCTATCACCTTCCCAGCGTTCGCAACCACGACATCAGCAGTTCGACCAAAGCTCTTCTTTACCTCTAAGAAGAGATTCTGGACATCTTTCTCAGAGCCAACGTCAGCGGGTATGGCAAGGATTTTGGTTTTGCCTTGGCTGAGCGAATTTAGTTCTTCTGCCGTCTTCTCAAGAACCTCTCGTCGTCGTCCGGCGATAACGACGCCTTCGGCACCTGCACGGATCCATATTCGTGCTGTGGCCTGGAAGTTGTTAGCCTGATTACAAACATCACAGATCCGCCTCGATCGAAGACTGCAAAGGCCTGATTCGGGTTCATCCATACCGCTCCAATGCCGGAACCTCCGCCAGTGATCACAATGATTTTCCCTTGTTGATTGTTGGCTGGGTTATCAGGGGAGAGCAATGGATAGACATCTCTATGGATCGTCTCCGTCAGCTGTGCCGGACGGGTGTACTGGAGATCATCCACTTCTGTCGACATTGTTGCGTGTGTTTGGTGATGAGGATGATTTCGTTCCTCGAACTGTGTAAAGTCAACTGTCTAGTTGAGAAGATTGTCTTCCAGACTGAAACTGGATCGATCGACAGCATGGCCCGGCTCTTTATATGCTGCCAAAATTCGTCGAACAATGTATCGACTGTATGACAAAATGTCATACTCCGTGAAACCTTTCTTAAATTGGACTGGGGAACGGAGACTTTTCGTGGACTCACGCCCTTGGGTATCACTTGGAACAACTCTAAACGACGTCCGATACCCAGAATCCAGACGTAGGAATGTAATCAATCTTCCAATCTTGGTTAGTTTGTGGCGGATTGTTCCCAACTCACAGCCTCATGCTCGTGTAGTACATTGACCAGTGGAACTGGGCACCACCATCCTCCAAACCTTTTTTCCTGGAGTCTGTGGAGTAGAGCCATGGCAGTCTCCCGATCGTCATTGCTCAAGATCCAAATTAGCACACAATCCTCTCGGCGTTATGGAGCCTCGCAAGACTTGTAACGCAAGGCCTCCAAATGCAGCGAGACCGATTGGTCATCTCGTTCAGCCAGAGTAGAACGAAGGTCAGGCTAGAAGGAAGCTTGGTGGAAGCCATGAGGCTGTCATTGTGGGAGACTTGATTACTAGCGCATGCTCCCTCATTTGGTCTAGCGTGGACCCCAATCCTATCTGCGGTGACAGGGTAGCGAATTCACCAGAGTTCTTGCGCCGTCGTGGGCCTTTCGTGGCTACGGAAGAGAATCCTAATGAGTGTGTTCTCCAAGTGGCAGGAAATAACATTCTAGAACGTGACAGGCCTCGTTCGTATTCAGACGAGCAAGAATAGTCGATACAGGACATATCGACAAGGGAGAATATCCAGGAAATGCTATTTGCGCCCGAATTGGCCACTCCCAAGGCCGCCCTTTGACATGGACACTGAGCTTCAGAAAGCCTAGATGAACAGTATATACACACGTTTACACTCTCAAAGAAGTAAGATCTGCAGCTTTGGTGGAAGAATTCGCTCAAGTTGTGTATGCCATAATTGCACTCCGCCATTATTCCATTCCATACAGGGCGTTAACCGTTTGATAGCATTCGCTAGAAGTCGTGCTGATAACTTATCAGTTCCTTTTTGGCTTTTTTGAATTCCTGCCACCAGCAGCCTTGTAGTTCGCACCACGACGACTGCTTCGTGTGTCTGGGCGTTTGCCGAGTTTCTTTCTCGATTTTCCTGACTTCTTCCCACCCGATGTGGTGTTACTGCTCGCACGATGCCCTTCAAATATCACGCCGTTTGCGCCTGTTCCAGGATGTCTTTTCCTCTTCCCTAGCCCAAGCAGTGCCCTATCTTTCCGGCTTGCCCCGACACCCATTGATAGAGCCTTCTGTTTCATCTTCTTTGCTCGCATCACTCTCAACTTCCGAGGTAGCATAGGCGGAAACCTCTTCTCATTCAACAGCAGTGCCGCTTCAACGCTGTTTTCATCGGCGAATTGCACATAGGCAATGCCTTTGCTCACACGAGTTTCCTGATCTCTTACGACACGGACACTTTCAACTTTGCCAACTTTACCAAAAGAACGCCACAGACCTTCTTCTGGGTCAGCTGGATCTCTACCTCTAGGTCGAGATTGGCCATCTTTGTCATTTTCCTCAGGGGTTTCCTCATCCACAAAGCTGAGGTTACCAACGAAAACACACCGCCGGTGGTCGATTTCGCTAGGATGACCAAGTGAATCGACTCTTAAGTGGCGGTCAAGGACAATAGAACCGTTTAGTTTTTCAGTAACAACGTCTGCGGCGGCCACTGTAGTGAACACGGCATACGCATTGGTGCTTTTTGTGGTAGTATCCATCAGTTCCTTTTTGGCAAATGTTGCTTTCTTAGGACCCGAGCCGCTGACATAAGCTGTCGAGCGGAAACGGAGTGATTCAAGCTTGCCAGGGCGCTTGCCTTCGGCGGGTGTCTTCAAGACAGATCGTAAATGGCGACCCAGAGTTCTCTTGGCAGCCTTTGATTTGATTGCTTCAGTTGATACATTTCCGAGGAAAACAGTTCTTTTGAGCTTGTCTGCGTCGTCCGGCGTAGCTTGTAAGCTCTCATGTTGAGGAATGGTACCATTTGCGGCATCATCAGCAGAATCATCGTCGCTGTCAGAATCTGATGCAGTACTGCCCTCGGCGGCCTTGTCTACCTCGTGGGATTGAGCTTGAAGACCGCCCCGCTCAGCTTGCCGCTGGCGTTCCTCTTTCTCTTCTTCACGTCCTAGACGTCGAAAATAAGATTCCTCGAGATCTTCAGCCCCACTGTTTGCAACTCTCCTTCGCTTACGAGGTCTTTCGGCTTGTGCTCTGTCTTCTAATTCCGCGTTTGATTCGACGTCCGACTCGGAAGCGCTGGTCGAGGATTCATCTTCGTTTTCATTCGAATTGTCATTTCCAGACGAGGATGTCTGGTCGTCGTCCTGAACCTCATTCGACACAGGGAGCTTTGAAAGAGGCTTAGCCGATGTGGGAGCAACTGACACGATCTTCACGGGTCCCGACTAGGAGTTTCAGTCAGCGTTAAGATCGCGTTGTTTTGTTATGGGTAGTGCAAACTTACACTTGTTGCAAACAATGAAGCCAATGCCGGATCAAACTTGTCGCTGGTGGCTGCGACTGGAGCCGCAGGGGAGGGGTCACCCTTGCCCTTGGAGACCTTGGACTTGGCCATGTCGAGTCACTGAGTGTCACTATAAGCGACCAGAAGGTGGAAAAGCAGTGTATCTGTGGTTGAGAATTGCAGTTTCTGTGGATTGGCCTTCACCAGTACCAGCAGGATTGAAGTCCATTGTGCAAAAAAATTAATTGGAGACAAGGATGGAGATAAGCAGAGGTGCATGCGGGTTAACACCGGAGAAACTTCGAAGCGGGAGCAAACATGCCAAGACTGGTCCTTTACCCAGAAGGCAGGAGCCAGCAGAGAAAGGACAATGCCAAATGACATCGAAGCGCAACAGGGCAGGAACGACTAACTGACGGAAAGTCCTCATCCACTTGCACTTGCACATCCTCATCCTCATCCCCATCTCCCTCAACAAGCCTGCGCTCTATCACCTCCACCACGAACAGCAATACTTAAATTGTACTCTTTTTCTTTGTCTTGCACACATTCTGCATCTTCATCCACCCTTCATTTCAACCCAATCATAAACATTCCTCCCCCTACCTCCCATTGAACCCAACTTCCTGCTGCCCCGCGAACTTCTCTCCCAGTCCGCCAGCTCCTCCCTGCTACACCATCTTCATCGATTCTCCAGAGCGAAAACTAGACCGCGTTGCATTTCGAGACACTTCCGACTACCATTAGACCCGATCTCACCTAAATCTACCCTTCTCTCCGAAAACAACCTGGTGCTCTCTGCTACCTCTGTTGTGCGCGCGCCAGAGCTTAACCCACGGGGTGCACCCTCTTCGATCAAACAGAACCATGCCGCTGTGCCTCATCAAGAGTTTTTCCAGACAGACATCTGTAATGTGACGTCCTGACCATTGTGTCCATATATTGCGATCTTAAACATCCTCTCCTGCACCTACACTGTGCTGCAACACGCCCACCTTACCAACTCTAACCCACTCCGTAACATAAGTCCTCTACAAATCACACACCACAAGAGATGGATTCTGCTGCCGACTCTCTGCTTGCTCTTTCCAATACTGCGGCCGCAATTGCTGCTCAAGACGACCCTCCCTCAGACGATGACCGCTCAAGCAGTCTTAGTGAGCTCGATGAAAATCTTGACGATGACAGTGATGGCCTCAACTCAGATCCTATCGTCGCCCTGGATGCTGACTCTGAGGCTGAAACTGAACGTTTACAAATTACTCCCGAAAATTTGGCAAGAAAAAAGCCCTTCGAGATCAGCCCGAGCAAATTGGCTCACAGACAAGATGTGGATATGAGACCAGAGATTGAAAGCCTCACCGAGAGCTCAATTACCTCCCCAATATCCTCCCATGCCGACTCGGATATCGATGGCGTTCTAAGTGATCCTCCCGAGGCCGACGAAGAACCAGACCCTGAGCCACAGGCCGAACCCGAGGTCGAGCAACCAACCTCTCCGAATAAAAGAAAAAGAGACGAGTCCGAATCTGAAGCAGAAGAGGCCCCTCGCTTACAACGGCGGAGGACAGGGTCGGTTGACACTGAACAAGAAAAATCAGAGCCCGAGAGCGACGCAGAGGATTCCCGCAGTCAGCCATCGAGGGAAGCAACTGTTGAGCCCGAACCAGGTCTTGAGGTTGCCGAACCTGATGATGATGAAGCGGAGGAGGAGCCTGGAGAGGAGCAGAAGGAGCCTGAAAAGGCCGATTCGAGTGAGGACTCGAAAGGCAAGACCAGAAGCAGATCCCGGCGAAAAGCCAAAGGCGATATAATTGAGGAGACACATGCCGACGGCGAGGAAGATGAACCCGAAGTCGCCGAAGATAGTGAAGCCGACGACAACGATGTGGACACCACCGCTAAGAGCGAGGAAGAACATGCGAATCGTATGGCAGCTATGGACGCGTTGGTGAGCTTAGAGAAGCATTTTGCAACGCTTCGAGACCGTCTCTATGATGAACGCATTGCTGCCATCAACCACGAGTTGAATCTCCTGGCTGCATCCCAACCTTCGCACCCTGAATTCATTCGACAGGTTGAAGCGGTTCACAGGCATCGTGACGAAAAGTTTGAGGTAGAACAGAAGCTATTGGTCTACAAGGTTGGCGCGTTGAAAAACAAAAGTGTGGCTGAACGCAGCCAAATCCACAGCCAATATTTTCAAACTGTGCGCGACATTCGAGAACGACACCTGGAGAGGCTTAGTGAGCATTTCTATCGAATTCAGAGGGATCGATTCAAGTCGGAGTCGGCTCCTAATTACACGATAAGCTTTCCAGAGCGACGGTCGCAACAAATACTTCAACAAACAGCATACAACAAGGAGGTTTCGATTCTGTCTGGTGTAGCCAAGTACGTTGGCTTCCCTGCTGCCCCGGAATTGACCCCAGCGAAACAAAAGGATTCGGATGAAGACATGCAGAAGATGGGTGTATGTATCTACGATGATGATGATTTTTGATTTCCAGCATTCTAACCTTGATTAGATACCACCAGTTGTACCCCGACCGGCAAGAACTATCCAGCGCCCAGCCCAGACTTCTGGATCAGCACAGATATCCGGACCACAGGCAGAAGAACAGTTCCTCGAACAAACACCATGGGCTAATCCTCAGCATCCAATTCATCGGCTTGCGATCAGTCGTCAGAACTCTAATCGATCACCTCCCAATCATGATGTCTTTTTGACACCAGCGAGCCAACAACACACCATTGAGAGTCTACAACCAACCGGTTCCGCCTCGACCATTGTTGATCCCTCGGCACAGCATTCATCGGTGGCAAACACACCGCACGATGGGCAAAGTAGTGCAACGAAAATCGAACACCAGTCCAACTCCAACAATATCCACAACTACCGGCTCCACACCGTCTCCCCATTGGATACTCGACGTCCCAATCCTAATCCTGTCCACCAGAATTCGTCAATCACGGATCATGTTGGTGACAACCAAGCACAATCCAAAGATGTTATCCGCGACATTGCATCATCACCTCTAAATGCTCGTGCGAACCTCAACATTGTTAATTCACCACCACGGGCGAACTCGACGCGGCCCGAGAAGGGAGGGCGGCTCGGGCATAATGACAGCCCATTCCGCAAGGACACTGCAATTGCGACAGGAATTGGTTCGACTGGAGTAAATATGGGTATGGGCAGGTTCAGCATCCGGTGAAGTTACGAGGATTCACAGTAATTCCAAATGTTGGATTTGATGGTTTCTTTGGAAAGATAATGGATGCAATGACGGAAGCAGCAAGACGATTTTTAGTTTATGGCATGAGCGCAATTGCATGGTAGATACGTCGTCAATATGTACACTATTCCCCCTTTTTTGAAAAGGACAGATGTTGATCAACTGAATGAATGAACACACACTACCTAGATACTTTCTGGTCGTCCATTTCATTCAGTAACCATCCATGGGCGAGTTGAGTAATTCCTTTCCACTAATTCCGGTTGTTCCTCAGCGCATTGGCCCTCCCACTCGCCAGGCACTCACTGGAACAGCAAACGAACGCCGTGAATACCATGCTGAAATCCACCTGCTACCCTCCCTGGAAACATATCGTACATGGGGTTTATTCAGAGAGGATGTTTTCAAAAAGTAATATGTAAGTATTCCGGTATCAAGAAATGTCTTGGTGAGTCAATCAGATGTGGCGTTTCTCATCCGTGCTGCCGAATGAGATTTTGCGTGATGTGTTGTGATGTGATGCTGAGGCGTGTGTATTCATGATGTTGAGGATGTGTTGATCGTGCTTCTAGTATCATCACTCTCTCGACCCGTCCGGCAGACGTTCCTCAGCACACGATGTCCTTGCTCCTATCCCTCCGGTCTTCGTGGTCGATCGATCAGTCGAGACGTGCGCGCGAAAGGAGATCCCAGAACACGAAGCCAAAGAAACGGGGGAAACGCCGCAAGGTCCCTTTGTACGGTCCTTTCTGGGTCCTCTCGTTCTGGATCACGACCTCATCCCGTTCACCTGGCCCTGCGGATTCTTCGGCGCAACCGTCTGGCTCGACTGTGGGGCGTCCGGCACGACGACGTCGTCGAAGGTGTCCTGGCCGACGGCGCGGATTGTGAATGCGACTAGATGGGAGGGTTAGCTATGTTGGTTCATTTCTAGTTGCTTTTGTATCCTCCCGTGAGATTTAGAGAGAGGTGTTGACCAGAGGGTGTGGAGCGTAGAATGGGAAGAGACGTACAGACGCCGAAAGCGAAGAGCATGATTCCTGTGCCTGTGAGGATGTTCTTCACCAGGTATGGTCGGCGGGCACGGATGAGGGCTGCGGATTGTCGGTAGTCGGAGTCGTAGTAGGACGAGCGTTTGAGTCTGCGGGGTTGACAGGTGGTTAGTAATGTAGAGCTCGAGTAAGGACCTTGCCGGGCAGGTGAGAGAGGATGTCGATGGACCGGGCTTGAGTTGGACTTACAGGCCGCGGAGTGGGAGGGTGGTGCGCATTGTGGGAGAGAGGGCAGGAGGGTTGGTGGATGTTGAGGTAGTCGCAGTCGGAAAGTGGCACAGAGAGGCGCGCTCGTAGAGAGATGGTCAGGAAAAGGACGCTGGTGAAGCTATAGACACTGGTGGACTTGAATGAGTGTCGTTGAGAACTTGTTGCATGATGATTCGAATTCGAGGTGAAGTGGAGAGATGCTCGGGATCTGCGTAATTTATTTATGTGTATTGTCCCATACTAGCTTTGTATCTAGGTATTTCACCTGCGGAAAGACCTCCAGCTGGAAAGCTCCATTCATTCCCATTCCCACCTGGGACCTCCGCCAACTGGACATTTACCATTATACACTGGCAATATTGATCTTGAGGCATAGAAGATACCTAGGTGGCTGGCTCTGGCTGGCAAAGTAAACGAATTTCTGTAGACTGGCCCTTCGGCTTCATGGCGCCGTCCCAGTAATTGTCAATCCCAGACAGAAACGAAACACTAAAAATACAGCTGAACAGTTCGACAGCACAACTTGAACCCGTGTCGTCCACCCTTGACGAAAATACAAGCAACGCGCGGGGTGTAAATCATCAAGAGTGAATGTGGTCAAGAACGAGCGGTTCAATGTCGTCTCGGAGATCTTCCATCACATCGTCGACGTCTGCCTGGCAGCAATTCGATTCAAGATGCTGCAAGAGCCCCGACAGCACATTGAAGTCCCGGTCGCACCCTAAACAGATATACGAAATTGGAAGGCTCCCATCTCTGACATAGTGCCTGCAGTTGTAGGCATCGCGCATCCACCAATCGATAAGGCTCTTCTGAACTCCGCTTTGGCAAGCCCCAGACTCCAGATGAATGAACATGGCGCCATTTTCCCGGAACTTTCTATAGCATCCAAAGCATTCAATGGTTTGAGGAAGATGTGTTCGCATGTGCTGTTTGGTGAAACAGGTCAGCGGATACGAATAGGTGAGCACAACCATAACATGTTTTAACCCACCTGCTGGAGATCATTTTCGGTGTTGAACACCCGATCGCATTCCTGGCATTGAGGCAAACGAGGTCTGTGACGAGAAGAGTTGTTCAAATGGGCCTGATATGCTTGAGGAGAGACGAAGAGCCATTCGCACTGTTCACACCATTCGCCACAATGCACAGCAGCGTGTCGGCAATGTTGAACAGCAGCATGTGATGTGTTAAAACTCCGTTGACATTCTTCACAGGTGTATTCCCCATCCTCTTCGTTGATTTTAAGAGCATTGGCGCGAGTTATATTGAGCTTTGGGTTTCACGTAGAGATCCTGTAATGGTACTGTGTGTTATTGAGACTTGACTGATCGAATGAGAATTGGTGATCGTGCCCTGGTAGAAGAAGAAGCACACCCTTGTGTATCCGGATTTCCACGTTGTTCTGTGGCATTCACGCCAAGCGCAAACACTGATATGTATAGGGTATGTTAGGTTAGCTGACATGCTGAAGCTCTGGAAATCACCCAACCTGTGTCGCTTGCCTGGGAGGTGGCCGCTAGGAGTCGCGGAATGCATGTAGCCAAAAGGATGACATCGATAGCAGCCTATCATGAATCGTTTTCACTCGTATTCTGAGGCTTCTATCCTTGCTAACCACCAACCAGTGATGGAACAAACGATCAGCTTGATGTTTTCCGTCCGTGCCGTGAAGTATATATCCGAAGTTGTCAAGACCCTTTGCCTCCAAGTATCTAATTAGGTTGGTACAGGGACTGGAGAACCGGCTTGCCACTACCTAGGTACCTAAGTACTTGGCCGGAGTCGGTGCCCCGGAAGTACGGAAAACGAGGCAAAGGGTAGCCTTGCGGTCCTGATTAACTACATCCTTCCAAGGCTGGTCATCCTTCTTTTTGATTATGGGTGTCCAGATTCGCTGAAGTCATACTTTATGTTGCTGTCTGGTGCGCTTATAATGGCCGCTGATCGATCCCTCAAAACCTGTCCAACAAGTTTTGGGTGATTCATGGCGCCTGAAGATCATGGGTGGCCTCACGGGCAGCCGTCAAGTTTCTCTTCTCATACTGTCAAATCTGACATTCATCTCTGCAAGCATCCGTCCCACGGCTTTTAGCATATAGTATTTTTGTTCATTCAAGGTATCCTGTCAACTTACGAAATGTTCGGTCAGGTTTCACACTTGGTATCTGCTACGTTGACATTGGTACAGCTTCGTCCAGGCTTCTTCAATCCAATCCGGATGAATTGTGCTGACACAGCGGAATTCGCGAGTCTAGGCAATAGGATGGATTGCAACGGGTGTGGTGTATAGACTGTACTTCCATCCTCTCAGCAAGTACCCGGGATCAAAGATTTTCCATGCCACCAATTTGGTTCGCATCTGGTTCGTCCTCCGTGGAGAGTGGGTGCACAAAGTCACAGCTCATCACGAGATGTACGGTCCCGTAAGTCAACATCCTTGAATGACCGAATGGTCTGGCTATACCGGATGGCTGGCTTTTAGCCATCGTTGCAAAGTAAACCGGGCTCATTCAAGATTTCATCAGATTGTGCGTGTTGGCCCAAATGAGCTCTCTTATGTCACGGAAGAGGCTTGGAACGATATTTATAAAACGCGGAAAGGCGAAGAACAATTGAAAAAGGCCTTTCCACAGACACCAAGCTTTCAACATGGATTGATGGATAATCCGTATGATGATCAGCAAGCGGTCTGCCGCAAGATTCTGGCATCAACGATCAATGACCAGGCTGTACGACGGAACGAGAATATCTTGCACAGTAACATCTCAGCGCTGCTAAAGCACCTGCAGCGCAAAGTGAGAGATAATGGGGGCAAAGCTGTTCTCGACATTGCCCACTGTTATGAATGTGTTGCCTTTGATATAATCGGCGATTTGTTCTCGGGGGAAACCTTCGGGTGCCTGTAAGTGCTTTTGACTCCAAATATACCAGCTGGGTGAGACTAAGTCATCTTGGATTGCAGCAAGGATCTGGAGCTTCCACCGTTGCATGGAGAACTCGTCCTGGGTCTCAAGCGACTTGCCATAGGTTGCGCATTTCAAACTAGTGCTTTGACACGATTCCTCTTCTTGAGGCGTGAAGCTCCACCACTTCCAGCAGTAACGGAGACTGAAAGACGCTTGAAACAGAGCAAGAAATCGTCTGAAAAGCGAAATGACAATATGTTAGTGTCTTCTTCCAACGTGGCTCCAGTATCCAGTTGTGGGTATTGAACCTGATTTGCATACAGATTGTCCCACGTGTTTGAGGACGTAAATCGACCAAATGGTATCGACCGAAAGTTAGCTACACGTCTGGCCGCTGATTCCATCATCGGTGGGTTTGATACGATAGCAATTGCCATGGTTGTGAGTACCATAACGTCCACAGATCAACCAACTGTCATTTTCCGTCATCAATCCTTTGCAAATGTCTTATGAACTGACAAAAAGTCCTTAATCGATAGGGAACGACATATTTCTTGGTACAAAATCCGTCTAAATTAGCAACGGTCACAGCTGAGATCCGCTCGAAGCTGAAAAGCAAGAGTGATATCACCCTCGCAAATGTCAATTCATTACGTTATCTCAACGCCGTCTTCACAGAGGGTTTGAGATTATGGCCTCCTGGTCCGGAGACATTGAGGAGAATCACAAATGCTCAAGGAAATATCATAAATGGTGATCTCATACCACCAAAGGTGAGAGATACTGATGCTGCGACCTTGTCCTACTTGGCTAGTTACAGAACCTACCAACAAGTCAATTCTCTAACTTTGGAAACCAGACCTTAGTTGGTGTCTACCATTGGACAGCAGGTCGATATTCCCGAGCTTGGAAGGATGCAGAAGCTTTCGTCCCCGAACGTTGGCTGGAAGAAGGCATGAATGGGAAGTATGCAAACGATCAACGCGGAGTGATCAATTCTTTCCAAGCAGGTCCTCGAAACTGTCCTGGCCAAGCGTATGTTGTCCCATCTTGATATTTCTCGGACGCCACCACCTACTCATGGAACATATATGGCTAACTTGTTTCCGAACATGTAGGTTGGCCAATGCCGAATTCCGTCTGGTCCTCGTAACACTCCTTTGGCAGTATGTCCCAAGATTCTCCCGACTTGCCTTATCGAGCTGACCGTTATTGCCATATAGCTTTGATATTGCTGCCGCAGAACATCAGCTTCCGGATTGGTCTAAGACGAAGATATTCGGTCTCGTCGCCAATAAGCAGCCTCTAATGGTCAAGATCACACCTCGCTCCGAGATTTAATGAAGGACCAAATGGTGCAGGGGGAGTATGGAGGAAAACATTCGAGGTGAAGTTCTTTCACCTTATTTTTGAGAAAACAAACATCGACTTTGTGATCGACTTCACGTTCTTCATCTGAGAGCCACCCACCCATCAAGGGACATTGCAGTGTTGGACGTCTGCAAGTTCTTCAATGAGATCGACTGCCTTTTGATCTCAAACCGCTCAACATCCCTGGGTATATTGAAACAAAATCCTCCAGTGACCACGACCAAGATTAGTATCCCGGACTCGACCTCAAAGTACTGATTCAGGCTTATCAAGCTTTTCCACAATCAAAGGGTAAGGTACTATGTACCAGACAGCATTTTAAACTTTTGGTCTATGTCATGACGTTGCCTGTGCTCCAAACTCTCACCCCTGTTTCCAATCAAATAACACAAAATGCGAAACGCTACCTCTGGAAAACCTCACTGATGTCAATCGCCCCATAACATTTCTTCTGGAACAAACGTACCTCATTCACGACATGAATTGTCATCGCCTGCTGCAGCTCAATTGGTCTAAGGCTCCATCAAACCTTGTCAATGGAGAATTGAAAAAATAATGGTCCACAACTTAGACCCTCAAGCAACAATAAATGTGGATCGAGAGACCCCGATTTTTCTACCTCGGCAGGAATGCTTCTATCTCCGGGTCAATCATGTAGATCAATGAAAGTATATTTTCGGACGCCACTCCTTCGTCATTGTTCTTGGAGAATATATATCTGATATATGTGATCTACACTGTAAAGTCTCTTGCCCATCTTCACGATTTTCTTCCAAAAGAAAAGCAGCCAAATACCTGAGAGTCTCCTTCTACAACACCCCTAACTACATACACACAAAACCCAGTGCCAAAAAATGTCAACCGACTACAAATTCCAAGGATGGCTCGGCATGGACGCCAACTCGGCGAAGGGCGAGATGGTGTGGAAGCAATTCGAACCGAAGCCATTTGACGAGGCCGAGGACATCGACATTCAGATCACACACTGCGGCATTTGCGGGTCGGACCTGCACACGCTGCGCTCCGGCTGGGGTGCGACAAGCTACCCGGTATGCGTGGGTCACGAGATCGTCGGGCACGTCGTGCGCGTTGGCTCAAAGGTCAAGGGCATCAAGGTCGGCGACCGCGTCGGCGTCGGCGCGCAGTCGTACGCGTGTGAGAACCGCAACGGCGACTGCGAGATGTGCGCCGACGACTGGGCGCCGTACTGCCCGCACAACGTCGGCACGTACGCCTCGAAATGGCAGGACGGCAGCAAATCCATGGGCGGTTATGCCGACTACTGGCGTGGACACAGCAGCTGCGTGATCAAGATCCCCGACGAGATCTCCTCGGAACACGCCGCGCCCATGCTGTGCGGCGGTATCACGACGTGTAAGCCACTGTTCGAGCACGGCGCCGGCCCTGGCAAGAGGGTGGGCATCATCGGCATCGGCGGGCTGGGCCACTTCGGCATCCTCGGCGCCAAAGCACTGGGGTGCGAGCAGATCGTGGCGATCTCACGGTCGAGCGCCAAGAAAGAGGACGCACTGAAGATGGGCGCCACGGGCTTCATCGCCACAGACGAGGACAAGGACTGGGTCAGCAAGCACGGCAACTCACTGGACCTGATCGTCTCGACGGTCTCGAGTCCTAAGCTACCCCTTGAGCAATATCTGCGCTTACTGCGTATTCATGGCAAGTTCGTCCAGGTCGGTGCCCCGGAGGACAAGTTGCCTGCTGTCTCGGCATTCAGCCTCATCGGCAGACATGTTTCGATCGCCGGTAGTATGATCGGTTCGCCCAATGACATCAGGAAGATGTTGGACTTGTTTGTCAAGAAGGATATTCGCACTTGGAATAACAACTACTCCATGCAGGATGCGAATAAGGCGTTGCAAGACTTTGAGGCCGGGAAGCCGAGATATCGCTTCGTATTGGTCAACGAGAAACATCTCAAGTAAAAGAGGGCTTCATCGGTCGTGGGAAGGAATGAATGGTAGCGTGGATCTGGCAGTGGCACACGTCAGTAACAAGGATTGGAGTAAAATGGTTTGAGAATATAGTTGAGTTGAGTAGACGACTTACATAATTCGCTGAATGATTTGTCACCCTAGATCGTGTGTGACTATATAACCAAAGTTTCCTGTTACTCCTGCGCTACTTTCTCCGCCATCTTGCCATTATCACTGTCGACAGATTTTTGCCCTCCAACTTCTTGCTCCACCACCTTCTTCTTCCCGTCCATCTTTTTCCACTCCACAGCCAAAACACCGAGAATCATAGCGGCACTAAGCCCGGCAGCCAAGAGGAAAACCCGAGTTAACGCATTGCTGTATGCGTCAATAACTATTGGAAGTTGGTTCTCTGGCACAGAGGTGTGAAGGTCTGTGGCCCCTGTATTGACAATCGTGGTGGCATCAAGGCCACCAATGCCGGACAAGTCGCGGACAAGACGATTTGAGAAAATGGTTTGACCCACGGCGATGAAGATAGAGCCCCCAAGCTGCTGCATGAAGAACATAAGCGCCATGCCCAAGGGGACGTCCGCACGTGACAGGACATTCTGAGCTGGTAACATTGATGTCTGGAACCCAAACCCGATGCCACAACCGTAGAGAACCTGGTAACCGAAGTAGGCGCTCGGACTCGAAGCTGCAGAAAGCGTGGAGAGCATGCCGGCGCCAGTCGAGCAGAGGATTACACTGATAAACATTGCTGGTATGTAGTACCCGATCTTCTGGGTTGCGACCGCGCTGACGATCCCGATGACGATGAAAGTCAGGATCAACGGCAGGGTATACGTGCCAGACTTGGTCGCTGAGAGACTTTTGGCTGCTTGGAACCATATTGTTAGGTAGTAGATGGCGGACATCATGCTTCCGGCGATGAGGAGCATGAAAAACATGCTACCTGCCATAGAACGGTTCAAAACAACTCGCATTGGGGCCATGGCGGTCTCAGGTGTCAGGATTTCCACTATTATGAAGCAGATGAACAGAACAGCGAATGTGACGAGGAGGCCGATGATCTTCGGATTTGACCATGAGTACGTGGTTCCTGCCCATTGAAGAGCCAGAGTTAGGCACACTATCGATGGGATGAAGAAGAATACCCCAATCGGATCAAGCCGTTTGATCTGGTTGAAAATGCTGAGCTTCTCCCTCTTGGGCGCCTCGATGTGCAAGAAAAAGAAGATCACAAGCATCGTGACACCACCAATCGGAAGGTTGATGTAAAAACACCATCGCCAGGAGCTATATTTGTTAGATGTTGCCGTAGAGTTTTAGGAGGTTGGAAAAGATTCAACTCACACATGGTCAGTGAAAGCACCACCGGCGATAGGTCCCAGGACGGACGAGACTCCAAATACCAGGCCGAAAAATGATGTGAACACAGGTCGCTTGCGGAGAGGGACGAGTGGAAGTATGATCATGGTCCCACCAGAATAAACGCCGGCAGACGCCAGACCAGCAATAGCACGTCCGATGATAAAAGATGTGGAATTCGGTGCAGCACCGCATATTGCTGAACCCACCTCAAACAGCGCGACTGAAGCTAGGAAGGTCCATTTCGTGGAGTAGAGCTGATAAACACGTCCAGAGATTAGCATAAAACAGGCAGCGGTTAACATGTAACCACTGCCATACCAACCAATATCCTGTATGGAATCGAACTCATCCGTGATCCGCGGAATGGCGGCTGCGATAATTAGTCGATCCTGTTGAATCACAATTTTGTAAGCTGAGCGTTCCTTGTTTGAAGAAGGTTGATCTGTGAGAGATGGAGTACTGACCAATCCGACAAGGAAAAATGACATATACATGGCAATCATAATAGACAAAAACTTGATCGATTTGGGCTTGTAGTTCTTTTCAGCATCTTCATATTCATCGACTGGGTCGAGAGATTGTGCCTTCTCGGAAGTGGTCATCTCTGTCACATTATCCATACTGGGCGAGGCTGTAGGAGACATTTTAGAGGTTTTGATATATTTGAAAGTTGTGCTCATGTGCCCATGTTATGCTGAGGGCACGCAGTCTTATATGCTGATAGATAGCATCTCATAACAACACATCGCCTACCTAGATAGATAGCCATGACTAGTAGTGATCGTTTTCGGTTGATATTGTGTAGTCATTTTCGGTCTTTCCCAATCCCCGACTCAGGGCTAGGAATCACCTCTGGTCGAGATGAAGCACATGATCCATGGAGCATGAAACGGCATGTCTTCCTCTGTCATGTCTCAGGTCGTTACCATATTCGTCAGGCAGCAGACTTGAGAAAAATGGCAGATTTGATCAGATGTTTTTGGATGTAAGACCAACGTTGGAAGTGGCCGTCGGTATCGGGCTGACTTCGGCTCAACGTGCGTTCCATAGTTCGGACCTTTGATAAAGCCCGAGGCGGCCTGACATCTCAACATCCTCCTTACAACCACGCTTCTCGCATCTAGCAATGACTCTTATGCCCGAAGCGCACTGTTGCCTGATATTGGGTTCTGTGAGATACCATAACTATCCACTGTAAACCTTCCAACATTGAGTATCGCGCGTTCCACCCAAGTCTCTCCGTGCACTCCTGATAGTCTTAGTATCGACTGCACCTCCTTTAGCTTCCCATGAAGCGTGACAGGGGTACTGGGGTGCATCTTTAATAGCCACCGAGTCATAGGCATGGCAACCGCGTCTGGATTAACGGAAAGTCACCCTTCAGATCCGCATGGGTTTCGACCACATGTCAAGCCACACCGGATCCTTGCCTGTGTGCTCTGTCAGCAACGGAAGGTCAAATGCGATCGTCAATTTCCATGTTCCAACTGTGTCAAGTCCCGGGTACAGTGTGTTCCGTCGACACTTACTCAGAGGAAGCGAAAACGAAGATTTGGTGATCGGGAACTGCTGGACCACCTCCACAAGTATGAGGACTTGCTCAGAGCGAATAACATCCCATTTGAACCACTCCATCAAGATTGGGCCCCGAGGCCGGATACATCCAATACACAGCATGCCTGGAATTCTGGTGATGAGATGCCAGAGACCAGAGACACAAGGAACTCCACCCCCTCGACTACTATCAAATCCGATGGAGGATATCAACCAAAGTAAGCGCGGGGGAAAGAAATCTCGCGAGAAGTTGGCTAATTTTATCCAGGAATGTTTGGCATGCCATGAGCCAAGGTGTATGGGGAATTTGCCATGGTCTCCACCTTTGTATAGAGGCTAACCGTTGCATTAGTTCAGAGATCCAGGTGAGGACTCTGATTCCTCCCAAGACGAAGTGCGTGAAGCCATTATGAAGAAGGCGTGGGAACAATCATTTGGAGATGATGAATTATTGCTTTTTGGCTCACGTGTTACAAATGTTGATCTGTCCGCATTACACCCTGATCCCGTCCAGATCTTCAAACTCTGGCAGGTTTATCTTGACAATGTCAATCCATTGCTCAAGGTCACTCATGTTCCCAGCCTGCAAGGTCGCATCATTGAAGCGGTCAGCAACATGAGTACTATAGCTCCAACCATGGAAGCGCTGATGTTTAGCATATACTGTACAGCCGTGGCAAGTCTTGGGTCTGAAGATTGTCAAACTATGTTTTCTGGCCCCCAGGACGATCTTTTGACGAGATATCGCTATGGCTGTCAACAAGCACTATTGAAGTGTGGATTTCTGCGCACAGATGATCGTGATTGTCTAACAGCATTATTTTTATTCCTCGTGAGTATAACTAGAGAAGACTACTGTTCCGTTTGGCTGATCAGGACAGGTGTCCGCCCGGCTTACTACTGTTCCTCAGTCTCTTGCCACTATCCTTGGTTGTGCAGTCCGGATCGCACAGCGTATGGCTCTTTATAGTGAGGCCGCTTTGTCACAACATCCCCCTTTCGAGGCAGAAATGCGCCGGAGACTGTGGTGGGCGCTGGTATTGTTCGATACTCGGGTTTGCGAAACCACAAGTCACCGGATCGTAACACTAGAGCCTACCTGGGATTGCAGGGTTCCTCTCAATGTGAACGACTCTGACCTTCGGCCCGAAATGAAGGAGCTTCCGGCCATGTCACGAATCCAAACAACTACAACCGATGCACTCTTCGCTGTTGTTCGGTGCAAGCTTGGGGATTTTATTCGGCACAATGAGATGCACCTTGATATCACGAACCCTGCTCTAAATCACGTTGTTCGAAACTCTCCACGGGAAGAGGTGGATTTGGGAAAGTTAGAGAGTGAACTTGAGGAGCAATACTTCAAGTACTGCGATGAGGGAAATGCGCTTCACTACATGACCATATGGGCGACCCGGGCAAATATTGCCAAGTTTCAACTCGTGCTACACTGTCTGAAGCATTCCGACCCATCCGTGGCTCGAGAACAGACACATCGCGATATTGCAGCTTCGTATGCGTTGAGAATGCTTCAGTGTGACACGAAGATCATGTCCTCGCCACTCACGAGAGGATTTCTATGGCTGCATAAATTGCACTTTCCATTTCCAGCATATTTGCGCATTGCTCAGGACTTAAGAACACGCCCATTCAACAACCAAAGTCGACAAGCTTGGGAGGTCCTAAGTGAGAATTTCGATGCTTGGGCCTGGTTCCTCGGTGATGTGGGGAGTCCTATATTTCTTGTTTTCGCCAAAATGATTCTATCATCGTGGGAAGCTAGCAAAGCTCCAGAAGAACCCCCAGAAACGTCGGCGGTTCCGAAGATCGTTTCGTCGATCAGAGAGATCCTGGGTCGAAGCAGCGCTCCTGCTGATGGCATTGATGTAGGGCAGTGGACTACTGGAATGGATATCAACACCAACGATTTCTCGACATCGGAGTCTTTGCCAATGAATCTAGTTGATCAGAGCCTGCCTTATCAACTGGCAATGCACGATCGTCATATGTTTGGGCCGGACATGTACTCTGGGATGGCACAACAGTCCATCTTCGGACTGCAGGATCCATTCAGCTGGAATCCACTACGTAGACATCCTGGTTCAAGTTGGGGAGGGTTTTGAGCATCGGGGAGGAAGTAATCACCCCTGACTTCAAGTTGTACGAGTAGAAGCTACGGCGGATCATAAAATCACCACTTACTGTTTCGCCCAAGCCCTCACGTGACAATCGACTGCCTGCGATTCACTACGACCAGCCTGCTCAATCCTGTGTAGACACAAAATCACTCGTCTTTCTCAAGTTCTGCGAACGAAGATCTGGAAAGCAAATTGAGTCAGCGACCGATTCCAGCAATGGCGTCGCCCGAACTCACCGCAGCACTGGAGTCGGTGGAAGATAGTTCGGTGGCAGTCAAGACAAGGACATACACCGACCTACTTTCACGACTGACGACTTCGCCCTCTCGTTCAACTGAACAACATGCTACTAATCTCGTTACATACACTGATTCTCTGTTGACCTCGTCACTTGGAATAATCACGATCCGTCCACTCCTAACAACCCTGATCCAATCTCTCGCCTCCTCTGCCTCAGAGGTCAAAGTCGCAGTTGGCTCCCATCTCGCCGAAGCGCTCCAGTCACAGTTGGCGTCTTTTGAGGAACAAGATGCCGCCGTCCGAGAGATCCTGGCGGGGGGTTATGAGGCGGAAGAGGAATACAGCGCAGCAGCAAAAGCACTACAGGGGATCAATTTGGATTCGACCCAGCGACAGGTCGACGATCGCAAGAAAGTCGAAACATGGATCCGTATTGTGAGGAACTACTTGGAGGATGACGATACTGTGGCGGCGGAGACTGGTCTGAATAAAATCAAGAATGCTGCTGCTGCGGTACCGGTGTTGAAGGACAATCCGGATCTCAGACTTCACTACCAATTGTCACAAGCACGGATTCTGGATTCTCGACGGGATTTCCTGAATGCATCTGCAGAGTATTTGAGTGTCTCTTTCAACAGCATCGCCGACGAGGATGACCGGAGAAGAGCTCTTTCAGCGGCCATAAAGACGGCGATTCTGGCACCTGCCGGCCCACAACGCAGTCGAACGTTGGCGAAGTTGTACAAGGATGAGAGATCCACTGAGACTGAGGAATACGGCATACTGGAGAATATGTTCCTCGACCGGCTACTGTCACCCACGGAAGTCGAAGCATTTGCAGCGACTCTTGCTCCTCACCAGTTGGCCAAAACTGCTGACGGAAGCACAGTGTTGAGCAAAGCAGTCATTGAGCACAACCTGCTCGCAACCAGTCGTTTGTATGAGAACATTACCACAGCTGCACTGGGACAGATTTTGGGTCTCAAGGATGGCAAAGATGAGACAGCAGCGGAGAAAGCTGAAGACTACGCCGCTCGGATGGTGGAACAAGGTCGTCTTCGAGGAGAGATTGATCAAATTGCAGGAGTGATCATTTTCGAGACCGTTCCTGGAGTCGAATTGCGTGGACCCACGAGGGACCTTCGCGAGTGGGATTTAGGCGTGCAAGGGTTGGTTGAAGATGTCGAACGCTATACTGCGGGCATTGCTGAAAGCTTTCCGGTGCGCTCCCTTCCTTGCAATCTACAGTTGCACAGCAAAAGCTAAGTGATACGTGCAGGATCTTACATCGGAGCAGATGGTACATTGATGCTCGGATTAATTTCCTCTTGCGACAGCCACACCAAGATGTCTGTTTAGTCTTACCTGTTCATAAGCTCGGAAAAGAGCAACGCAGGGATGAGGGAACGCAGATGATGTGAGTACGCAATCAGAAGGACACGCAAGTCACTTGATAGTGCTGATGTAAGTCACAGAGCCAGAGCCTTGTCTCAACGTGTCACCAACTGAGATGAAAACCCGCAAAAGATCCCTCATCGGGATGGAATCGGATAATGCGCATGGCATAAGATGACGGAGAGGGTATGATTGCATCCCGAAGCGTCATGGCAAAAATTGAACCGTGTGGAGCAGTTCTCACATTGATAGGGACGTGCACAAGTGGCCGGGCAGAGTTCGGGGTTTGGCTGCAGTGGTGCAGGTTCACCAGAGCGGCCAACGACGGCTATGAATCAGATGAACGAAATGAATTCTCATAGGTCTCTTTAACTGGCAGGCTTCTCCGGAGGATGAGTATTGGCATTAATGCCACTGGCAGCAGAGGCCGAGGGAACCCAGAGCCAGCCGGGCTTAGGCTTAGGCTTAGGCTCAGACCGTCCCCCCACCAAACGAGTCAGAGCCCAGAGCGGGGTACAGTATCAGCAACCCGAGATGCCCATGGGCCATGGGGAACTCCAGTTACTCGTAAGCCACTGAAAAGCTCTCCCGCTTCCTCCAACATTCAATTGCCATTTCCCGAGATTTGCAACCGATCGCGACAGGACAATCCGTCACGCGTGGCCGCTCTGCCAGTGCAAGACCGTTCGTGTCTATTCTTGCCTGCTATTGTGGGCACCAATACCAGTGGTTCCATTGCGTTGCTCGTAGTCGAATTGGTGACTTGCTCTCAATGTTTCCTCGAGAGGATATATAACATGTCTTCACATCCCGCTTGACCTGGAAGTGTCTTCATAAAGATCGAGAATCTCACTTTCTTTCCATCGGTGTTTTCATTATTCAGAGCACACAGTCTTCTTCGTCGCAATCATGTTTCTCACTGCATTTTTGACCCCATATACCCTACTCCTCCTCCCAATCCTCTACTACATTCTTCCATATCTCCGAAATAACAGTTTACGGAAAATCCCTGGTCCTCTACCAGCGGCATTGTCGAATCTATGGCTATTGTACCAGGCTCGACGAGGCCGAAGATACCTCGAAGTCGACAAATTGCACAAGAAACTGGGCAAGGTTGTGAGAATACAGCCCAATCATGTCTCCATCGCCGACGTGGACGCCATTCAGACCATCTATGGACATGGCAATGGATTCTTGAAGAGGTAAGACCATTCGAATTTGCATGTCTTTGCATAACAATGTACTAATCGAAAAACCCCAGTGATTATTATGACGCCTTCGTCTCGATTCGACGAGGCCTCTTCAACACCCGTGACCGAGCTGAACATACTCGCAAACGCAAGGTCGTCTCCCACACCTTCAGCGCCAAATCCATCGGCCAATTCGAGCAATACATCCACGGCAACCTCGAGCTCTTCGCCAGCAAATGGACCGACATGTCCAAGAACCGCAAGAACCCAAAGACCGGCTATGCCAGCCTCGACGCCCTCCACTGGTTCAACTACCTCGCCTTCGACATCATCGGCGACCTGGCATTTGGCGCCCCCTTCGGCATGCTCGAGCACGAACGCGACTTCACCGAGATCCGCAAGACGCCCGACGCAAAGCCACAGACCGCCTCCGCCATCGAGGTGCTCAACCGCCGCGGCGAAGTCTCGGGCACCCTGGGCTGCTACCCACAGCTGAAGCCCTACGCCAAGTATCTCCCGGACAAGTTCTTCAGCCAGGGTGTCGAAGCGGTCGAAAACCTGGCGGGCATCGCTATCGCACGCGTGGCGCAGCGACTCGAGAACCCCAACACGGACCGGGTCGACCTGCTCGCACGCCTGATGGAGGGCAAAGACGCCAACGGCGAGAAACTGGGCCGCGAAGAACTCACCGCCGAGGCCCTGACGCAACTCATCGCCGGCTCCGACACGACGTCCAACACGGCGTGCGCCCTGCTCTACTACGTGCTCCGCACGCCGGGCGTGCTGGCCAAACTCCAAAAGGAACTCGACGACGCCATGCCGGCCGGCGTCCCCTCGTACGACCAAGTCAAGGACCTGCCGTACGTGCAATGGGTGATCAACGAGACGATGCGTATCCACTCGACGTCGTCACTGGGCCTCCCGCGGCTCGTCCCCGGCGCGACGCCGGAGAACCCCAACCCCAAACCCGTCGAGATCCTCGGCCACCGCTTTCCCCCGGGCACCGTGCTCTCGGTCCCCAGCTACACGATCCACCACAGCAAGGAGATCTGGGGGCCCGACGCCGACGAGTTCGTCCCCGAGCGCTGGGACGAGAAGGCCCGCCTCACCCCGGCCCAGAAAGACGCCTTCATCCCCTTCAGCTACGGGCCCCGCGCCTGTGTCGGCAGGAACGTCGCAGAGATGGAGCTCAAGTGTATCGTCGGCACCGTGTTCCGCAACTTTGAGTTTCGGGATGAGCATGACGGCCCCATGGAGACCCGCGAGGGGTTCCTCAGGAAGCCCCTGGCTTTTAATGTCGGTGTCAAGTGTCGTGCGACTTAGATACTTAGATGTCAGGTCGGGGGTTTGTTGTTGTTGTATTGTGGGCACGTGGAAGTGCAAGTGTCTGGATTTCAAGGATGACGAGACCAAAAAAAGTCCAGTGAGGAGTTTTTGATTGTACAGGAAAGATGATGACGACGACGATGATGAGTATGATGTGGGAATGCACATCTGCACGACTCGAGGATAGGTCTCATACAAGGCTGTTACGCAACGAGTGGTTTTTGTCTCGGCACACTGAAGTGGGTGTTGTTTACTTTTCCGAGTTCTTTCTCTCTCGGATTATCAGGGGCGGGTCTGGTTTCCCATCTGCATCATCCACCTATTACTCCTCCACGTGTACGCGGCCAGTTGAGTACTTTTGTGGGTGCGGCCAGCTTCATTTGCTGCGGGGGCAGGCGTTATTTGATATGGCGGTTCGGTACAAAATTTGAATCATGATTAACAAACAACAAAACAGTGATTTAGTTGTTGTCCGAGATTGAGTGCGATTTGTTGTTCGAAGCTTCGAAGATATGCCTTAAATACCCAACGTGAGAAACGATCTTGGTCCACTATTTAGTACAGTAACGTATTGATGTACCTTGGATTGTGGATCGCGATTTCTATATTTTGTTCCGCAACAGGTATGTGGGTAGAAAACGAGCATACTGAGATACCTAGAGCCATATTCTATAAGCAATGCCTAGATCCTTGTGCCTGCGTAGAGCCATTTGGCTCTTCACTCAGGCCTTGCATTTGAACGGATATTCCGCCGGCCTCTGAGACCCGCATTTTCAAAACGCCGATGCTATGCTCAACTATACGATTGATGATACAAAAATGGTCTCGCGATGGGACAAGATAATGTGCATCGAGGGATTTCCCGAAGCGCATCAAAGGGGCTGTCAGTATGAAGGCGCCTGCCCAGCTCTCCCAATCACAGCTTGGCCTTCAGCTGAGATGTCTTCTCACCTGCCTTGCTCTCATCGATAGGAATGACAACCATCACAGTGATATCGTCCACTTTTCCACCGTGCCAAGGATCAAACGGGAAAGCCTGCTGGACCTCCTTCGCGAAGGGTCCATCGCGCTTTTTGTTCATACTAGCCGCTTTTGCTTCACCAGTGATGGCCGCAGCAACGACACTCTGCAATGTTCCTGGCAATTTGTGCTTTTGAGGACCCAGCGACTTGTCTACTAATTCCGGTAGCACCGGAGAAACCGATAGCCCCTGATCGCGATTCCGAAGCCACGCACCGGTTGCTCGCATTTGGTTTGAGACAACGGTTAGAACGTCAGATGAGCTCAGGTTGTCCCAGACGCCATCTGTTGCAAGTACTAGCACGTCGCCGTGTCGAAGCATGTGTTCGGCCAGATCTGCCCGATCAGATTTGTCATTGAGGGGGAGGCCGCCGAATACCATGGCTCGGGCTAAGATTTCTGGAGGGGTGATGCTCAATTGATAAGGTGTATTGAATGCATGGGTCTGGGGATTGGAGTAATGATGAACTGCCCCAAGCCTGAGTAGTAAGAAGCCCGAGTCACCCAAATTCGCTATACGCATTCGACCGTCGCCGTCTGTAACCGCAACACAAGCAGTGGTGCCGCCTGCTCGAATGGTGGGATCCGCGATGGCCTTCTGATAGCCGATTTCTAGTAATTGCTGCGGACCGAGTCGCTCGTCTAACGGCCACTCCAGTGCCGTTTCCGCCATATAACCACAAATACCATGAGAAAAGTCGGCAGGATCAACTCCATGTTCGGTCCAGCCTCCGACCCCATCCGCAATGGCGAATGCGGTCACATTCGAGTCCTTTCCAACCCGTGAAGCAAAGTATGCATCTTGTCCACTGTCTGGTCTGTGAGATCTCTTCTCCTGTAACGTGGAACCGCGTTGAAAGCCTAGCCCGCCGACATTGCTGGGATGAAAATCAAAGGTGCTCGCCTGCGGACGATATTTGTTACCCTTTCCGCTTGATGAAGCAGATATGTGTAACGAGATGTGAGGAATTGCTGAAGCGGCTCGAGGCGGATCTGCGTGCGATGAGGAATGTAGAGGCCGTATACTTGTCTTGGAAGGAACGAGGCCTCTTTGGAAGTTCCGTTGAAGGTCTAACAAAAACACGGTAAGCAAGGGCCGGTTCTTGATGGTTCAAGGAGTTCGCACGTGTATTTACATGGGAGCTTTGGAAGCCCAATGACCGTGAGAATATGATCGGTGCACGAACGGTACCAGTAGTGGTCATGTTGTTGATATTCGTGAAAATGAGAGGTGGAATTGCGGTCGACAAGCAGGGCGATGGGAAATGTTGTCGCGGTTCAAGGAAGAAATACCGGAACTCGAGTGGCAGGCATGATCGGTGGCAATCTGGCAGGTCTATATATAAACATCGACTTGTTTGAAAGGTGTTGAGCAGCTGGATGACAACTTTAGTTCTCCCTGTCCCATATTGGAAAAAGTTGACGATCACAATCTCCGCCGCAGCCTTCCCGTCACGTGGTCGACGAATAAATTCCGTTGTCAATGTGCTCCCTACCACCTAATACCGCTTGTTAGCCCTCAAACGTGGAGTTCATTGCGTAACAGCACTCTCTATGCTGAATTTCTAGCCCCAACAAGGCTCTATTCATTTGATACACACCGGTCCAGGTGTGGTGGGGCACGATACATGTCAATTGGAAGCCTTCTGTGGAAACTCAATAGCACAACAGGAACTATGGGTATATATTTGAGAGAATGCCTCGTCAGAGAATCCAAAATCGCGCCATCGCCCGTCTGTGACTGCCGAACTCATTGTCGTGTGCCCAATAATCAGTAAAGCGCTCATCAACGCAATCCATCGACCGCTCGACACAAGATTAAACAAATCTCAGCTTTCGAAGCCATCTCGAATCTCCAAGAATTTCTGATATCTGGGTCTGGTCCAGCGGCGAGCTTTCTTTCCCCAGATGATCATTGGGACCGTGAGCATCATGAACCCAAATGATAGTACCCCCAAAGCGATAAAGGTATTCTTGATACCACTTGCTTCAAGCCATTTGCTCGCCACGAAGCTGAAGATGCAACCGAGAGTATTGTTGATGACTGCAACTCCTACCATGCCCTCCAATACCATGTCATCATAGGCATCCACGAGATATGCCATGGATAAATCTCCTGCACAACCCCAACCGAAACCGATGAAGGCAAGCCCGACATAAGGGACGGGCCAAGACCACCCATTGTTGCTGCCAATACCAAACAAAAACATACCGGTGGGGAAAATTGCTGCTGCAAGGAACATGAGCCATAGGCGATGCTCTGCTTCCGTTACACCGCCGTTTCTTTTGGCCATCCATAAGACAAACTTATCACTACCCCAACCCCCATAGATACAGCCGATGACGGCACCAATAAGACTCGGGATGCTCATGTTACCGACAGCTGCATCGGTATAGTTCCATGGTGGGCCATACCAGTTATCTTGCTCCACGGTCAGATAAAAGGTGAGGAAAGCATCCTGAGCACCCCATCTGTGTGTTTTGTCAGTCCAATCGAGCTTCCTTTCACCTTGAAGGCGAGATGACTTACTGTATACCAGAATAAATGACAGCAGGAAAGGTGAAAACCCTCAGAGTGTGCAAGAGTCTTCGGCCGTACTGCTTAAAGCCAGTACCACGCAAATTTGCTGCCGGTGTGATGATTGCGATCTGCTGCCAGTATGTTTTGCGTTTCTCCTGTTTCGCGGCCGACTGTTGTTCGAGGCTTGCAGACATATTTCGCTTTGGCTCGACCTTCTCATTATCGGTCTTGTCTCCTACCAAGCTCGATCTGGTCTCGCTATCAGCTCCATCCGTCGTAGGAACACCATCCACAAGATACCTCTCATCTGGGTTGGTACGATGCAAATCTCGACGGAAGGTGGTTTCTTCAAGCCCAAATAGGAAGAGAATGAATGTCGCGCCGTTAATAATGGCTCCGAACCATGCAATCCACCTCCAACCCAGATCCGAGTTTGCGATGTAACTAAATTGTATTAGAGTAATGCAGCTTCAGGGCCCGAGCCACTTACCTGGCGATCAGAGGTCCCAAGAATGTGCCTATACTCGTGGCAAGAATGTATATGCCGAGAACAGATCCTCTTTGATGCTGGAACCACAAATCCATCAAAGAAAGCTGGGCGGTCGCTTCGGCCACAGACTCGGAAGCTCCAACGAAAAGTTGGTTCCACTCGGCATCACCGACTTTCTGAGTCCTTGCAAACCAAATACTGCCTACCACACCAAACAGCAACCCAACAAGGTAGAGGATACGTCTGCCATAGAGATAGACAGCTGGAGACGAGAGTAAGCACCAGTATCCAATTCCGATGAACAAGATTCCAGCGCCGACGTTATAGGAGTCGTAGCTGATGCCTAATTCTAGATTGGCTCCGTACGAGGACGAACCAGCATCGTTGGAAGTCGCTGCTGTCAAACCGGTAATAAAACAGACCAGAAAGCTGTGCCAGACCTTTCGCGGAAGCGACCATTGAAGAGGGTCGTTTGGAGAATCGGTCGGCTGAGGTACCAGCACTAAATCGCCATGTTTCTTCAGGCCAGCATCACTCTGGAGAGGATTTCCATTGGTGTCGTATAGTCGACGGGTACCGGGGAGAGTCTCATCGAAATCCATGTGATTTGGGATGCTGTATAGTATCACGTGTGTGAGGTGCTGTATATCACGCACGTGGGAAATATAGATGTCACGATGACGGATAAGGAGTTGAGAGAAGAACAGGAAAACAATGAATGATTAATGAGGCTAGGATGGCCGTGGTCGCACTTATTATGGATCCAGACAGGATGCCATGTTTTTTGCGCCTCGCCAAATCCCCAGTGGCGGGATGGTCCTTATCGTGGGCGATCAGCTTTCCAAAGGGCAGCAAATGCAATGTTGCATGAGTTTCAAAGAAAGCGTCAGCTCGGAACTAGGATGGTGACTAGCTTCCACGTAAACCCCGCAATAAGATGAAGGATATAATTTGCCGGTGTGGTGCAGGGTTTGGATCTTGCTACGGAGTAGTACCTACGAGTAAGTATTGACTGACAGGCTGGTGGGGTGCACGAGATGATTCTCATCTTAGCAGATACGGTGTTGCTTCTGCTCCCAGTGGCTTCATTATTGAATGGCTCTTTACTGGTCTCCGTGACATTCCAGCACATCACAGTGCCTGTAGGATCACGCGTCTGGAGTGATGTTGGTGTGCGCCGCCAACGAGTAAGTACCCAAGTGGCTTGTACACTAGACCCGAGGCATGCCTAGCTCCCTCGAAACCTTATCAGCGGCAAGACAAGGCCCTTGCTCACCAGCAGGATAAGCGAAAATCGAGATGATCAGCACGTCTGGAGGATGGCCACTGATGGCCAAACGAGGGAAGGTCATGCCGCGTAATTCTCATGACCACCAGAATCCTGCAGGTCGCGGTCCCTACATGCTACTTCGCACAAAGAGTTTGACACCGTCTACCAAATATGATCGTTTCCTGAGCTTCTTACCCCTCGAGCTCGATCTCCCTCCAGATAATCAACTACAGGCGTCAGACTGTTGCTTGAGAGCCTTCAAGGCAGGCCATTTACGAGGAAATATGGTTCGCTCATGGCTCAGGCTTGTAATTAGGCCCCGGGAGGCTTGAAGAATGCTTAATTTTGTCCATGAGGACGCCTGGTGGGCACCAGGAACCCACCGGCAACGCAGCTGCCTAACAGCAATCATGATGACTATCACGCTGGCTCTTGCCTCTCTGAGTGGCTCCTCCTGCCTGCAGCTCCACCATATGTGGTCGATTGATTGGGTGCTCCTATCTCCGTGAGGGCTGGACTTTCCTATGAAGTCCTAGCAGCTCCTGCCCCTCCTATCTTCCTGGCCAACTTGAACTTGAAGCCGAAGTCGTCCAACTCTTACTTGGGTGGCCATCTTTATCTATCACACCTCTTCAGATCAACCCGACCTCCAAGTTTCTTCCTGGAATCGTAACACGAAAACGCAATTCTAATTCTGACCCTACTTACTGTGCTACCGTCTTGCCGCATTCAGCCGCACAAGCAAACCCCCGCTCAACGTCCATACGCGAATGTCAACTTGTCAGATCATGATGGCTCAACATTATCATATCGCTCACCTTTGTGCCCATAAACCCAAGGAATCTAGTAGTCCTTCGACCATTCTGCAACTCGCAAACGGACTGGTCTCAAAGCCCGTCACGTTCCCGGAGTTGGAGAATGGTCGAAACCCGAAAGAATCTGCTGTCATTGACATTGTACACGATGAAGACCTTGCGGACATCCCAAAAGGAATCCAGACACCCAAGAAAGTGATTGTCGTGGGTGCAGGGATTGCTGGCCTTCGCGCCGCATCCATCTTGAAGACCCACGGCGTTGACGTCGTCGTTCTTGAAGCTCGACCAGATCGCATAGGCGGTCGTATCTACACCAGTAGGAGACCAGGCAGTGCACCAAGAGACATTGGTAATTATGGCCTAGGCAATACTAACAATCGCCGTAGGCGTTTGAGATGAAGTCGTTAAAAGCGCTCATTGTCGGCCACGTCCTTTGTGGTTTGTTCTTCCCTATTCCTTCCGCTTAACTCACACCTCTTTTAGGAGCGGCTTGGGCCCACGAAACCTCTCAAAACAAACTAATTCCACTCATTGGTCAGCTCAAGATCGAGCACTACTACGACGATGGTACTCCCTTGTACTTCACCCGAGGTGGCCGACTCGGATCTCAATTCAAGGCCAAGAAGGTCGCCGATGAATTCGCCGACTATTGCGAATACTACTACGAAGAAAATCCAGATGCTGAGGATAAACCGGCTTTGGATTTCATTCAGGAGTGGGTTTTGACCCATCCATTGGTTACGGAAGATGAAAGACTCTGGGCTCCTCAAGTCGCTCGTGAAGTCGAAGCTTGGATTGGCACCAGTCTTGAACAAGCTTCTTCAAAGCATTTGGCCTATTTCGCCATCGAGAGAAATCTCTACATGAAGGGTGGTTACGACACCATTGTCAATTGGACCGCCTCGAATTTGCGCGATCAGGACATTATTCGACTCGGACATGCTGTCAGCAAGATTGAATGGACTGAAAATGAGAATGAGCAATGTGTTGTTCGCACCACGACACAGGATGGTAAAAATCCAACTTTCGTGGCGGATGCCATTGTTTGTACCCTTCCACTCGGTGTGCTTCAGCACAATCTGGTTGAATTCAGTCCTCTGATGCCAGAAGACCTCACTCTAGGCTTGCAGAGGGTTAGCTATGGTGCTCTCGGCAAGATCTTTGTCGAGTTTGAGTCTGTCTTCTGGCCCAAAGACAACGATCAATTCATTTTCTACCCTGAGCCAACAACTGAACCCATCGATGAAAGTTCTATTCTATCTTACATGACCGTCACGAGCAACAACTGGATCATGGGCGGTCAGACCAAGGAGCTCTCTGTTCAAATTGTCGAACCATTGACACAGCGCATTGAGGCTATGACTTCCGACAAGGAAATCTACGCATTTTTCGAGCCGCTGTTCAAGCTCTTCCGTACCGAACCCTACAAGAAACTCCCGCCGGTGGTGAATCTGGAAACGACTCACTGGACGCAGGATCCATACGCAGGGTTTGGTACATATTCTGCCGACAAAGTTGGTGACGAGCCTGAGATATGGCACAATGCTTTGCAATCGAGGCAAAACAGCAAGCTGCAATTCGCCGGAGAGCACTGCACGCAGACTGGAAATGGATGTGTGCATGGAGCGTTCGCATCGGGTGAAACAGCCAGTGTCAACCTCTTAGCAGCTTTGGGTGTCCCTCATAACGGTGGTGACGCCTTCAGCAAACGTCCTTCCAGGAAATCACCTCCTAGAAACTAGGCGGAGTCTTCCCGTCGACTGTGCCCGCGTGCTGTACCTTGAGTTCTGTCGGATGACGAAGCTTGCTCGCTGTACTGGAATATGTCGGTGTCATGCTTCTTAGCTTTCGCTGGACTCTTTCTTTTCTTTCTTTGCATCTTCCCACCACGCTCGCTGATTTCCTGCCCATGCAACATCTCTCATATTTTTCTTACTATCAAGTCGTTACAGGTGTTGCAGCTGGGCACAGTCTAGGATGGCGACCCTATCAGAGAGTGGATTGGTGGATTTTCCTTCTGTTTTTCTTATTCCATAGTCGTTTCGCAGTCTCAAATTCCGTTGAACATTATGTTTCAATGTCTTACTCTACATGATCCTTCACATCTGCAAGTGGCATCAAGTGGAACTCACATCCGTCATATCTCTTTTCTACTATTGTCTCCGCTAGGCGAATGTTCACCTCCGGGAATCCCTCATCTCGCAGACTACTATAGTATGCTGCGACGAGACTCCTTCCAATCTGTGCCACATCATATTCACGACCAGGATCAGGTGACGGCCGGATCACCCACGTAAGTGTCAGTGGTGAGTCTCCCACCTCCAGGCCTGGTTGTACATGTGCACTGATGATACTACTGTCACTTTGTCTCCTCAACACCAATGCTACACCGCCAGCGTTGGCATGGATTCGCGCTCTTTGACTTGCGTATGCCCTGCTGACTTCATCAGCCCCGTGGCCGGGCGGTTCAGTCTCGTACAAAGTGAATGGGACCGTACGACCATCTTTCGCTGCATCCGCCGCGGAAACTGCTAAAACGAGCGTGTGCAAAACTTCAGACATATCCTGCCTCCGATTCTGCGGCCGAATGTAGATGTATTGAAGATACGGCACCGCGAACTTGGCACCTTCCTCGGCCTCCCCTTCTAGCGCTGGGAGTGGGAGGACGGAGAATTGAGCTGCGCCAATCGCCTCACCTTTGTCGTCCCTGATCCCAACGATTCGATATGTCGCTAAGTGCTCTCTCTGTCCCGCATATTGCGCGGCGAGACGGTCGACGATTAAATCAGATCGTTCTCGTTCCTCGCGACGCGGAAACATGCTTACATACATCGAGTCATAGACGGAATCGAAGGCTTCAGAGGAGACGAGCTCGATGGATCCGATGTTAGGTAGCGCTGTCGATTTGAGTCTTTCCGGAGAGAGCCGCGATAGTCGGTCCAGAGATACTGAGGGCGGGAGCTGGGATAGATGGGCTTGTAGTTGAGGCGTGAATTTGAATGAGAATACTGAAGCGGTCGCCATGTTGACTGAAACGAGCCTTAGACGACTGCTTGTATGTGAGTGAGATCAGTCGATCTTTGGAAAGTTTTTCTGTGAGCCGTAGATACGTTCGCTCTTTGTATCAACGCCGTTATTCTCCAGAATAGCTAGGACCGTAGTCTGGAAGACTCGCCCACAGAAATCCTCCGTTTCTCAAAAGCTCTGGAGGAGAATGTCACCCTTACATGGATCTCAACAACCCGGTTGGACGGCAAAATCGAAAGGCCAAAAACATGGAAACCACCAGAGGGGGGTTACCTGGCGCTTTAAGTACTTCTGGCTCCGACAAGACAACCGGCGTACTTGCATACTGTACTCCACCGTACTTGCAGTGGCCAGCCAGACTTGCACTCGTCTTCAAGTTCATGTCTCAAAGTACTTAGTCAGAGAACCTGCCTATCGTGCCTTGCAAAAAGGTTGATGAGCGACATGACGGGTCACTGGGATGAAAGAGACGTGTGCCATACAGAGAGCACCACCGCGCAGAGTTTGGTGGCGTTTCATTTCGATCTTTGGAGACCATTTATGAAGCATTGTTCTGGCTGAAGAACCGGAAGACCTTCTGGAGAAGTTTCCCGAGGGGTCGTTGTAGGACAGTCGGTCACCTACTGAAGCGAGTCGCACCGCATTGGGAAGCTGGTGAAGGACCTTCAGCGCAGAGTATATCAATGATGGGTTTTCCAGGTGAAATTCATAATAAATCTCGTCACCGAGGCCGCTCGGAAATTGTCCGAGGCGTCTTGGAAGGCGTCTCGTAGACTGATGATGAACACATGGAGCACCTATGTTAAGTAGGTATACATACCCTAACGCACAATCCAGGAAAGGTAGGCGTTGGAATTTCGGATTCGGTCAAGCTCAATGTGGAATGATGTACGAATGCTATGAAGATCATTAACGGATGAGACAGCGCTGGCTATCAAGCTATCATGTGCAGCACGATACCCCTGTACAGATTTTATATTGGGCGCGTCCAAGGTGGGTGTTATCTACGGAGTACGAAGTACCTACCTGGCTAGGTAACTAAAATACTACCGTAGGGACAGAGGGTTTCTACCAGGCCCCTTACGCGTAGAGGCCTCTAGTTAGCTCCGGCATGGAGAAGCCGTACAGGGGATCCGCGAAAGTCTAGATTGGCGTGAAGAAGAAAATACTTCAGGGGGCCAAATTGTAACCCTGCCTATCCGTACGGGTGACGGGCAACGGGGGTGAGTGTCACGATCAACTGCCTTAGGTACGGTACGAGGTACCTAACTCGGTTTGTGCTACCCGAGAACGCCCCTGGGCCACTTGGGCCTCGGGCTTCAGGTTAAACTGTACCGAGTATCAGCACTCTTGTTGACGAGGTACCAGGTACCAACCACCTACTCAGTAATGCGCTCACCTTGAGTTTGACTGCTCTTTGAGACATCCAACTACTCGGTACAACTGTAATTCAATATGATTGGCACTCAGGCTCTCCCAACTGATTACGAGTATGTATTTTCAGGCCTGCAACATAACAAAGTCCCTCGTCTCCCTCCTAGACCCTACGGCGTATTGGTCTCCAACTAAGCCCTTTCACCTCGAACCAAGGAATCCATCACCCATGATTGTCACGCTGGCTCGTGCGGATTCCTGATTCTACCATTTTCATCGGGCGCTGGTGGGCGACGCTTGCTTTCTCATCAGGACCGGGGAATCTGCGTTGGGCCATTTCCATCACCCTAATCAATGTGCTTTCCTCTCTTCTCACTCTCGTGTTTTTCAATCCACCTACGTAACCTCAACACCAGTCACCCACCCGTCCCTTGGCCAGCCCGTCCCTCAGCTATTGCCCGCTGGCCCGTCTTTTCTCCTGCTACTGGGTAATTATTCTTGATACGAACTACGAGTCCAGGTCACCATCTGCTATTCCTGTTCCATCAAGCAAACCTGTGGAGCAACTTTAATTCGACTTCTTGCTCTACTCGTACTCATCCTGTGCGCCGTGGGGCAACGCGCTGACGCTTGGCCGTTCCCTGGCCCGGCGAGGCCATGACCGCGCGAGGTCATGTTCGTCCCTTATGATGGCCAGTCTAAACGCTTCGATACCACTGTTGCTTTCTCCGCCCAGAGAAGGTACACTTCACAGAAAATACACAAAGCCAAACGCGACAAAGCCGTCAGGCTAAAGGAGCTTCTCGATAGCCAGAATAACGCCACAGCTACGTCGTCGACATCAGTCTCGTCGGCGGCATCAACGGGTGATGCCCAACATGCATCATCTCCATCCGAATCGCATGGTACACAATCAGTAGATGATGATGATGACCGAACGATGACGATTGTCACCAGTCCAGGTGCCCGCGCTCTTGCTGCCGATCCAAGTCACTCGTCCAGTTCGTTGACATTACGGCAACACCGAGCTTCGATCCATCAGTCTGCAAAGGACAAATCTCAGCCGTCACCACCGAATATGCCTTTCAGTGATATGATATTTGGAGGACTTCGAGTCGACCCATTCTCGACATATCCCATCCAAGCGCAAAGCTACTTTCCGGCCGTCGTCGATTTTTGCAAAGAAGTCGTCTCCCTGGGCCCAGGTTATTTCCAATTTGTGTTCAACAACGAAGTCCTCTTCGAAGCAGTCGTCACCTACATTCTTTGCGTCATGCCGCATCAGTCACGCGAAACCAAAATGGCCATGATGCATCACTATGGATCGACCTTGTCCAAAATCGCCCAAAGCCTTTCATCTAATCAAGCAAGTTCCCGGGATGATGTGATTCTGGCGATTTGCAACTTGGCCGTAATAGCAGTAAGACCAGTCCATAACAAACCTCCATCTATCAGCATACTCACTCCAATTTAGGCATACTCCGGAGATGACAAACGCTTCGAGACTCACTTGAGAGGTATCCATCGTTTAGTCGAAATGCGGGGCGGTGTTGAAGGTCTGGAAAAACAGGATGGATGGGTCAAGACTGCCCTAACAGCGTATGTGAAACACATACTTCTTCCCCTTGGAGGTGTCAACCCTTACTGACTCTCAAGTTAGTGTTGAGGCTTTGGCAACGGTTCATTCGAAGAAAACAATCCAAGCAGCAATTCCACATAGTCCGAGTCTGGCTCCCACACCACCCGAAACTCCAAAGAATGGAGGAGTGCCGGTCTATCCGAGTCATCCATTCCCACCTGATATATGTACCGTCGTCGCCGATATGCCTCAAGGATTTCGCGAACTCGCACTCACGGGTCATCTGTCGATCCAACTAATGAACCGTTTGAACATCACCCGCAGCCAGATTGTCCATCTCATGGCCACAGCCACCAATAGCGATGTCGATCAGGAGTGGCAAGACCTCCTGAGGGCTTCGACGCCGATCGAGCGAATGGCCTGGCTCACAGTTCTGGTATATCACCTGCGAAGCTCGACATTCACAACAAATTGTCGTGAGCTAGCGGACATTGTGCTTGAATGTGGAAGAAATGGGACAAAGTCTCAAGCAGAGTCTGAATGGCTCTTATGGGGTGCATGCCTCATGATTGCAAGTCCAGATGCCGAGAAACAACTGGTCAGAGAACGCGAAAAAGTAGTGCGATTTATCCTAAGCGGATATGCTGATTTCACATTTGAGCATATGGACAACATCGCAAAACGCTTCTTGTGGAGTGAGGGTCTCAGCGCTAGTCTGCGCACTAACATTGCGCACCGTCTACCAGGAAAGTGATTATACATCTCTATGAGTATGATCAAGAAGTTCCTATATGCCAGCAATCCCGATTGAGGATTCCGGGATTCTTCCTCACCGAACAGTGTCGTGCTGCTTGCCGAAAACGAAGCACTCCGGCGTCAGGTACAGCATTTCTTCCCAAGAATCCGATATGATACTTCTGTTCCGGATGCTGTTGTTCTACAACCTTTACAAATCCAGTTTATCTTTCTCTGGCACCCACTAGACAGGCATCTCCCGGTGCTTTCTTCATTGGGCGAATAGACGACTCGGAGCATTGGTAACATCAAGGTCGGCCGTGCTGGAAGGATGGCGAACGGCTGAATTCGCACCGTATTCTATCATCGCGTACTGCGCTCCATGTCTGATACACAGTCAATGGTGTCTCAGTTCCCGGACTACCTTCAAATAGAGGTCTTGGACTCCATGCGAAATGAGACAAAGATTCCGAAACCATTCTTATGACAACCAATATCACCTTTTCGACAACTCTATTCCGAGCTACCATTGAATATTCGAATCCTTGATGGTTTGAATTTCCAGCAACCGTCACATGTCGGCGCCGGGTCTTCCAATGGCAATACTCCAGGGTTTAGTGGAATTGCTGAGATCTGAGTCAGCATTCTTGGAGCTTCTGATCCTTATCAAGCTTCAACATCTTGTACTATGAAGAGTTCAACTTATCATGTTGGCTGCAAGAGGCTGACTCGAGTGAGACCTGAACCTTAAAATCACCACGCCATTATGGCTGTACTGGTTTCGAATCTTGTCAGGAATACTCAAACCACCAGGATGTTAAAACATCGTCAACATGTCATACCTGCTTGGAGAGGGGGTCCAGCTTAGCGACGAGCTGACTTCATTGGGTGTTCGACACCGAAAAATTGCCAAATGTGCAAAATTATTGTCTTGATATGCATCTTCCAAAGTGCAAGCGAAGCGAAGGATTCAACCCGCTTTTCAGCGCCTATTCTACCCCTAACTTTACGGCGAGACCTTCGACACGAGTTTCATGCAGTGATATCTATCGAGAAGTCACAACATTGAAAGCATAGCAATGGGCAACCGCGACTCGAAAGGAGTTCGTGAGGATAGTACATGCCTCACGTTGGATCTGGATGTCAGAACGACACATGAGTCAAGCCGCTCGAGGAGTCGAGAGCGCAGCACGCCTCTGGAATGGCCAGATCTAAAGTTAATCTATAGTCTGACACATTGATCTCTATAGTCGGATCAAGTGTGCGGCGTTAAATTCAGCCCTTCCGGCAATGACAAAGTCTCCGAACTCGTCGCTTTCAAATCACATCCGATTACTATTCGTGGATGTCGACTTCCCAAGCCAGAGCCAGTGACAAATTATTCCGGCTAGGCTATAGTTGGTATCCGCTGTTTCTTGTTCTGACTCCATACCTAGGCACTCAGCAGGTTCGAGGAATGGAGGTCGGAGTCTTTGCTCGTGTTATGTCCACACAGCCTACTGGCAACATCTTTCTGACCTATTGTATCAACGAGGAAACAAATCCGCATCTGGCAAATACCCCCCGAATGAATCAATCTCCATGGAAGCTGAACCTGGGTGGAACTCTATATTCATTCTTCCTTCCTAAACCCGACACTTCGACGGAAAACGGAAACGTTCCGTCTTCTTCCTCGTCCTTCACCCATACCACCAATTGCACCATTGATGATTTTGGGCAATTACGATAATTTTAGTCTCGCTCCTCATACCTGCATTCCGTCTAGTGCAAGACTGTCGTGTTACTCGTCTCTAGATCGACTAGAAACATCTCGGAAACAAGATATGCACGAGTTCCATTGTGAGCCTCGAGATCCCGAAGCGGGTAAAGTACCAACTTGCCTAGGCATCTTCCTACTTATTTACTTAAACTCCGCCTTCAGGGCCACTGGGTGCCACTACACACCATTGCCTTGCTGACCAGGTTACGCTGACACCGCTCGCTTACGTGCCCATACTTTATTAAGAAGTCACTCTCACCACGTGAAGCCCTGTGGGAAAACGTCAACTACCTAGTGATAATATAAAGGGTTCCTGCTCTTGAAGTACTTTCTTGTCTTGTCATAAGGCCATCCATCAGGCTCAGCCGTTTTCAGCCTTGTATAACTGTTGCACGCCCCCCGTATCAAAGATTCAACAACTGTAAGGTGCACACACTAGAAAAATGGGCTCCACATCTCCCGACTTCGAGTCTCGATTATACATCAATGGCGAATTCGTGCCAGCCAAGGGCGCAGAACGACTGACGCTGTACAATCCTTGGGACGAGTCAGTAGTGGCGTCGGACGTGCAAGTCGCCAACACCGAGGATGTCGATATTGCCGTTGCCGCTTCACGAGCAGCGTTCAAGGGACCATGGAAGAAATTCACCGGCGCCCAGCGGTCGGCTGCAATGCTCAAATTCGCCGACCTGGTCGAGAAGAACATCGATACGCTGGCAAGACTGGAATCGCTACCTACCGGCAGACCATTCAGCATGATCAAGCATTTCGATCTGCCACATTTGATCTCCGTGTACAGATACTACGCAGGTTGGGCGGATAAGATCGCCGGAAAGACCTTCCCTGCAGAGAATGGGACTTATAAGATTGTCAAGTATGAGCCGATTGGTGTCGCCGCTGGGATTGCCTCGTGGAACGCCACATTCCTGTATGTCGCCTGGAAGATCGCCCCAGCTTTAGCGGCCGGTGCCACTTTCATCTTCAAGGCTTCAGAAAAGTCTCCTCTGGGCGTACTCGGCATCGCTCCGCTCTATGCGGAAGCAGGCTTCCCACCTGGTGTTGTCCAGTTCTTGACTGGAACCCGAGAGGCAGGTGCGGCTCTGGCCAGCCATCCTGGTATCGACAAAATCAGTTTCACGGGCTCGGTCGCTGCTGGTCGTGCCGTGCAAGCCGCAGCCATCAAATCAAATCTCAAGCGAGTTACACTTGAACTTGGCGGCAAGTCACCCGCACTCGTATTCGACGACGCCCCTCTGGAAGCGGCCGTGGGCGGTGTTGGTCAGGGATTCCTCGTGAACAGCGGACAGATCTGTGTCGCTGCATCGCGTGTTCTCGTCCAAGAAGGTATTGCTGAAAAGTTCAAAGCGGCAGTGAAAGCCCAATTCGAGGCTGTGAGCAAGAATCTTGGTGCCAACCCTCTCGAACCCACAACCACACACGGACCGGTCGTCGACAAAGCTCAGTACGAACGAATCTCCGGATATATTGACATTGGCAAGGCTGACGCCGAGCTCGTGACCGGAGGTAGCAGGAAGGGCGACAAGGGTTATGCCATTGAGCCTACACTCTTCGTAAACCCCAAGGAAGGCAGCCGGATCTGGACGGAGGAGATTTTCGGCCCGGTGATGAGCATCAAGACGTTCAAGACGGAAGAAGAAGCCATTGAGCTCGCCAACGATACTTCCTATGGTCTTGCTAGCAATATCTACACGACTTCTCTAGCAAGAGGTCTTCGTGTCGCGGATGCGCTGGAGACGGGTGGTGTGAGTATCAACAGCCCTTTCATGCCTGAGATCACAAGTCCCTTCGGTGGTAAGAAACAGTCTGGGAATGGGCGAGAGCTCGGCGAGGAAGGTCTGCATGCTTACCTCGAGCCCAAGAGCATCAACATCAAGTAAGTCAAAGCTCCCTTCTCAGCTCGATCTGGACGTGGACAAGATATCCTGGAGTCTCCGAATGCTAACAGGTCAATAGTTTGAATGTTTGAGTTGCAAACACTGTATGGCAATATGCAGCTTGATGTTCACCACCTTGACTAAAATGAAGTACGACTCCATCGCTACCTGTTTCGGAAGCTATGCTGATGGAAGATCATATCCATCCTTCCGTGCTCATAGGCAATCAGGAGAACGACATACGTCGCCCGCATAGATAGGAAACGAATATCAGATAGGCAGATACCTTGGAAATGATCATGCTGGATCTAAAAGTTCTTCCATTCACAGTACTATTATTCGAATTGGCTTCCGCCTGTGAATGCATTTCCCATTGTTCTCATTGCCTGTGAGGCTATTGCTCCATTCCGTATCTCCCCCGGGAGGCTTCTTGAGGTTTGGTGTCGCATAGCAAACACCAGTTCCTGTGATCCAAGCTCAAAGAGCTCAATGAAGAAGCAAACACGCTGCGGCACGATCAGGGACACTCATCGTTCGTTCCAATGTGAAACACACGCGGACGCCGTGAAGGCCTGAATAGAGAAGAACTGGTCGTTTTCATTCACATCGGATTCAATTGTGTCTCAGCCTTGGCATCCTCCCACGTTGCCATCAACCGCCTCTTTCCACTTCAACATCCCATATTCATACCCATACCCAGAGCAATTCTTCATGAATGTCCATCCTTCTCCCTTTATCTCGCTTTGAGCTGGCCTTGGGGCATCGCTTGCCTCAAGATGTCGGACCTGACAACCTGCTTCGTGAGTTCGTTTTATGATTTCAGTCAACCGGGCGTAAGTTTGCTCCCAAGAACCACCGAGAAATGGGTTTGATTACGTCGGAAACTGACCCAGTTCACCTAGATCAACAATTTCATTCGAGATTTCAAGTACGTACACCAATGATGGACGCTACAGAGCCAGCTGAATCCTTTCCGATAGAGACTCCCATGAAGATCCCGATTCCGCACCATTTCTTTCTTACGACCAAGAGACCCGGGTAGGTCCTTCCACTTCTTCGCCTTCTGAGCCACAAACTCTAACACGATCCATAGTCCTTTGTACTCGAGTTCCACGGTGACAGTGAGGACAAAGTCAACGTGGTCTCTCAGCTCTTGTACCGTCTCGACGGATACATCGAATACAATCACAATCGTGTTACAGGATTTGACGAAGGTGTTCCGTGTCTTCCCGTACCAGGAATATTCCTCGACGATGACGAATTCATGGACGAGGAAGTCCAAACGCGAGACCTCATAGAATATGACTCTGGTGGTGAGGCTGGAGAGGCTGGCGAGGAAGAAGTCGTCGAAGCTGCTGGTCTCTTCATCGTCGACTGGAAGCCTCAACATGGGGACATCAACATCCTGCCACGCATGTACGCCAATGAGATCAGTAGGCTTACGGGCACAGATCTTTTTGTGAAGCTGGCGGAGAAGAGGTATGGTCTCATGAATGGCGACGTTCAACTCGCGTTGCAGAAGCTTTCCAATGTCGAGCCTCTACTGGTAAGATCTGCCAAAGACTTCACCAGAGTATCTTCAACTAACACCAACAGGAATCTATCAAACGAAGCATGATGTCCGAATCAATTATGGCTAACAGCAATTTATTGATTTGGCCCGTGGATGTCGATGAGGCTGCGATTGAACTCGTGCGCCTACACCCAGGTCACCCAGGTTTCTCCCGCATCATCGTCAATCAAGCCGATCCAGGTACACTCCAGAGAAAGCTGCTGGGTGAAATCCGTCACCATGTCAGTGGAACAACATATCTTACTCCTCAGAATCTTGAAGGTGTCTCTCCGGTTGAAGAGATTCATGGCTCGAAGATCTGGGACGGACACACTTTCATGAGCTTTGGCAACCCGAGCAGTCTCCAGCCTATAATCACCTCAACCTCCGATCATGGTAGGAAGGAAGATAAACCAGTCGCCAAACCTCAAAACAGCAATGATATTCGAGTCTCCGAATGGTCAAATCAAGTGGTACCCAGTGCCGACCCTAATGTTGCTCCAGAAGCTCCTCCCATTGAAGTGGCAACGCCTGTCCGTCGAAGAGTCCTGTTGGATTCTGATAGCGAGTCCGATGGAGAAGACGGTGCGATCATATCTCGACCCTCGACCCTACAGCCCTTGGTAAAACATTCATTACCTGCTGCTGAGATGTCTAACGAGATAAATGCTCGATCTGATGCTTCACTTATAAGTTTCAGCGAAGTGGGATCTCGCCATGAGTCTCACGGTATTCCATCAATGAACCATGATGGGTCTGTACACTCCTCAAATCATCACCGCCCTCAGAATAAGAAAGCAAAAGAAGAGCATCCTCGCCTGCATTCTACCATGAATCAGAAAGGCAGGAACCCTGGCAGAGGTGGCAATAAACAGCAAGAGACAAAGGCTCAGAGAAAGGAACGCCTTGCTAAAGCCATGGCAGATGCACATGGTGATTTTCCAGCGGCAAGATCTTCCCAATCAAGACCGGTTCCAGTTCTGCCTTCAATGGAAAAATCAAATGAAGCTATCAGCAAGGCAAAGCAGGCTTCACTCATGAAAAAGCCTTCTTTGGCCAAGGATTCATCACAACTCGCAGAGCTCGAACGCAAATTGCGATACGTACAGGCCAAAAAGTTGATTGAGCAGCTCACCCCGTTATTCGAGATCTCTCGACGATTCAGTGGCAGACTTTCTTTCGAGGCGCAATTTGGTCAAGTGCTAATACCGCAGACTCACAAGTTGATTGACCAACCTCTCCATACTCAGGAGAGCTGGACAGCAGTGTTTGGACCCCAAAATCCCACTCCTTCACCATGTACATTTACGAAGATCGTGACCATGAACGGTGCCGATATTGATCGAGCTCTGGAGACGAAACTTCCAACCGGACTTGACGGCTTGAATAAAACCATCAAGGTTTGGAGTGCCTCTCCTGGGCCAGTAGGTGTCACATATCAATTTTCCTGCCATAGTCGCAGCAGCGAGGATTTCGTGATCGCCATTGATCAGACAGGGCAATATCAACTTCACAAAGGAGCAATCACCGCCGGAATGGTCAACGTCCATATACCCAGTCAAGTTTGGGATGCTTCTTTCGTGCTTACCGGTAGTCTGACATGGATCGACCCTCCTGAGATTCTCGTCAACAGTGTCAAAACGTTCCGGGACTCTCTCTATGTTTTACCGGGACGAAGCAAGCTTATCATGGTTTTCCGCCAACCCAGCGATCATGAAATCGAGATTCGCAATCTTGTTGTGAGACGAGTCAGTCTTCATCAGTGCAATCTACCTGGATACGAGGAGATGCAAATGAAGGTTACAGAAGTCAAGAGTCTCCTCTTCAAGAAACACCCTCAAGATAACAATCTATGGCAAGCTTACGAGAAGTCGGACGAGCATAGCAAACTGATGCGCCAAGGTCGGATCCACTATGAACTGTCTATAATCCACAAAGGCATCAACGCAACGCTCATGGAAAACGAGTATCTCGAGATTGGTGAACTGACCAAGACCACACCGGAGTCGCTTTTGGACCAGCTCAGCATCCAATCGATGCTTGATCTAACGGTGAAAATGGTCAGCAAGCTCGATTACATGGGTATGTCCAACATCGGCACCCTCTACCGCATCCAGCAAGAGGCCGAGGAACAACGTCGCAACCTGGGCCAACTCTTAGGCACCGCTGCACCACCAGGATCGGTCTTGCCTACTGCCCAGCCAACGCAAAAGCGCAGCGGCACAAGTCCCAGCCGAGAAACCCCAGTGTCGATGGAGCTGATGCCTCAAGGTGTGCGCGTCAACACCGTCGCCGAGATCTTCACCGGACCTGACGGTATGAAGTACATGCGCGGTCTGGGTGGCGCAAAGATGCCGGTCCCAGATGCTCATGTCGGAAATGACGACGACTCCATTGCTCCAGAGGATAGTGCCACCCAGGTTGGCGCTCAAATCCCTCACATCCCGCCGCCGGCGATGCCTTCCGTTCCTCGTTTCCCTGTCATCGCGCCAGGATTCCCCCCTCTCGTCCCGACTCCAAGCTCTCCCGTTGGCGAAAATCCCACTCCCTCCATCGGCTCTGGCAGCACCGTCAACCCTCAGATCCAATTCTACACTACCACTCCTTCCGTCTCTCAACGCGGGCAGGATTCTCGCGAGACGGGGTTCTGGTGATACGCTTGCCTGCGATATCTCACGTCATTTCGATTCCACGATCGTGGTGTTATGATCAGAACTCCTTGTCTTCAGTCTCCTTCAATAAAAGCGGTTTTTGCGTGGTATGGCATGGCACGGCGTCAATGTGGCATAATAAGCAAATGAGTAAATGGGCGAGCGACGGCGTTTCATGGCAAAGTGTGGGGGACATCTTTCGGATATCTCACAACAACACCCATGGCGTTGAAGGGATGCTGGATGCTTATGATGATGATGATGATCGAATGACCATGATTACGACCATGAATATGAATACGATCAACGAACCAACGAAAACGGCCATATGTGAGCATGGCAGCAGACCAGCGACATGATGTTTGTACGTGTATGTGGTATCATGATTGTCGAGTGTTGACTGGCTTGCCTATATATTTACGTCCACAGAGGTCGCATGCATACATAGGTGGTTAGATAACCACACTCTCGATATTACGTGCCCCCAGAGTCCTCGTCCTCGTGCGCATCATCGATGTGAATAATTCCCCTCCTTTTGCGGCGTGTCTGGTTTTTCCCCACCAGGTCAGGTCAGGTCAGATCAGATCAGATCGTTGACCATAACCTTTCACTCCAGTGGCCGCATGGACACGGTCGAACTGGTTCTTTGTCCTGAATATATCGCACGCAGGTACGTTCCTGCTCAGTCTTGCTCGTTCTCCGCACCTGGTCTTCTGTCCGGGCGTGCTCGTGTAATCAACAAATCAGGTTGAATTCATTTATTCGTTCGTTCGTTCAGTCATGCACTCTTATTTACTTCCTGTCTTTCCTCTCACATATCACACCTCCACCATTGGATAATCCCACCTATGTACTCCAGCGTCCTCGTCCTCGCGCAGTCAATCGAAGGGATTCACCACCCGTACATACAACCTGTCAGTCTCCCTCCTCGGCCGTAGTGAGTCTTCTTCGCGCCATGCAAACTGCCCACGATGGCAGATCCATCTCCCCCTCGCGCGCGCACCGTCATAATCCGCCTCCTCTTCATTCGAAATGATTTGTGAGTCCATGACTCACTCACTCCACGTCTTCTCTCACTGCCATTGTCTTCACCATCGCAGTGTATTCTTTATGAGTCATTGATTGACGTGCCTCTCTCTATGACTGTGGAACCGATCTTTCGTCGTCGGTGTCGTTGTGGGGTGTCACATGTGGCTCATGTTGCACAGTCCAGGTCTGTTTGATCTGGGATAAAGCAAAGAGCCGTGAGTGACAGGCAGTGTGTCAGGATGCATAACAGGCGGACGGACGTTGTGTGACGGCATCATCCCGGCTTCTGACAAATAAATCTTTGCACTGGGAATAACTGGCGCCCTGTTTAGCCGACTTCAAGATGGACAGATAGACGGAGGAGGCAGCAGTTAGTCCTCGTTAGCAACCCGGGCTTGGAGGGATCACTCGTGTCCTAGGTGCAGAGAAAGAAGTACCTCTCTGTCCTCCTACGCCGGTTCGGCGATTGGCACAGGAGTGGCTAACAAGTCTGGGGTCGATTTCCTCGCGGCTCTGGCTTTCTTCATCTCCTTGTGCAGGAAAGAGGTCACTTCAAGATGTGCCGAACGCTCGGCCCAGCCCGCCGGAGTGTGGCCCTGTTGGTCTCTCGCGAGCACGTCCACGCCGTATTCGTGGATGAGGAGGCGAGCAATCTCGATATCGTTCTTGTGCGCTGCAACGTGGAGAGCCGTCATGCCTCGCTCGTTCTGTGCGTTGGGGTCTGCCCCTGCCTCGAGAAGTCGCCTCATGACGGCCACGGACTTGGTCGATGCTGCTTTGTGGAGTGCTGTCTGGCTGGTGTTGGTTCGCTGCATAACGCTTGCATTGTGCTGGAGACATAATTCCACGAGCTCCAGATTGCCAAGAGACGCAGCTATGTGGAGAGCACGCCATCCGTGGTATCCTTTTACTTCGATTGAAGCTCCGTACTGTAACAGTAGTGCGACTATGTCCTTCTTGTTCTCTTGGACGGCGATATGTAGGAGGGGTTGGCCGTCCTCATCGGGTGTGTTGATGACACTTGGATCCTTCCTGAGTAAATCACGAACTTGCTCAATATCACCCGCTTCGATGGCAGTGGCGATGAGATTTGCGCTTCTTGATTCGATGCCCAGTGTCCTCCACTCGACGGCTCGAAGATACTTATGTATATTATAATGGGCGGTATAGAAAGCAACCTCTCGTGGGGTCGAGTTCTTTCTGTCTCGAGCGAATAGTTGCGCTGACTTCAATTCGGGTCGATGCGCCAGAAGTGTCACAACAGTATCCATGCTTCCCGATCGTACCGCAAGATGTAAGGGAATCTGACCTCTGAAGTCATCGGCGAGTACGTTGACATCGCGCTTGAGCAGGAGTTCTACTGATTTCGAATGCCCACCTCGCGCAGCTCGATGTAGCGGCGTCCACATTTCTCTTCCTTTGTGTAATATGCTTCCACCGTTGTCTGCAAGGAATTCAACCAGCTCCACATGTCCCCCGGTGGCTGCGTAATCAAGGGGGCAAAGGTTTTCCTCATCCTTGACATGAACAAACGCACCAGCACTTACCAACTGCTTGGCAATCATGGTATGGCCACGTTTCGCAGCTAGATGTAGGGGAGTGCTGCCTTGCTGGTCGTGAGCTGCGACCAATGCTCCTGCCTCGAGCATGACCTGGACCATATCTAAGTTACCTTGTTCGACCACCTTGTGCAGAGGGGTAGTACCTCGAGAGTCAGGAACATCAAGCTGAGGTCGCCCATACTGGAGAAGGAAGTTGATCATAGAATATTTACCGTATGAAGCAGCCAGATATAGTGGGGTGCAATTTCCGTAGTTTGTGTCCAGAACGTCAGAGCCATGATCAATCAATACCTTGGCTGTTGCTTCATGCCCTTTCAACGCAGCTTCATGGAGAGGTGTACTCCCATGAATATTTCTGGAATTCAGGTAGCCGTGCTCTGGGTGTTTGCTGATAAGCATCACGAGTAGTTCGGTCAGCCCAAATTCAGCACAAAGTGATACACCAGCACCACCGGATTCAGCCCAGGCTAATGCTTTCGTCATCCATTTTCGGAAATCAAGGTTACGAACGTCTCGTGCTCTAGCAATCGTAAAGAGTGTTTGGATGCTTGTTAGTGCCGGGATCGCAAAGTCCTCAATCGCTGCAGCCGTAACATCATATGCATGATATCCCCATTCATTCGCAGCATATTCTAAGAAAGCTAGATCAATCATTGATGCCAGAAAATCAGTACGATTCTGTCGGGGCAGAGTCTTGACTGAGCTGAAACTCAGGTACCTTAGGCAGGCATTGGAGATCACAATGTTCGTGTCCTTGAAGAAGCCATGTTTCTGATCCCGAAGGTATTCTTCCAGAGAGTGATGCACAAGGCGTATGATATTACTTTCCCTGTCAACCTCGACAAGTCCACAACAACAATCCAGAAGAGTTCTGAGAGATGGAATGTTATCGCGATCAAGATCGGGGTCTTCCAATCTTATGGCCATTGCGTGTTGTAATTCTCGCACATCCAATGGCCTTCTCGCATGGGATATCCACATCAATGTCCGAAAAGCAAGTTCACGCCTCGTTGTTGAAAGACCAGATATCCGTTCAATTGTGGATTGAAAAGCGGCCGTCAGACTTGTTGATAGATTGCGTAAAGTTCTCTTTACGTCAGCTTTTGTGATCTGGTCCAGAATAGTTCGAATCTGAAGCGCTGGAAGCAGAAACATGCCATTTGCATTGTTACAAAGGGTTTGTAGAATATGCTCTTTCAGCTCCGGATCCATGGTATACTCCGAATCAGGATGTTCATTTATTGTCTGGTTCAGATATTGACGAAGGTCTGAGGGGTTTGCAACAACATCAAACATGATTGGGTCATGGAATCTGTCAACACTGCTGATAGCATGTGGTCTGGCTGTTGCGAGTAATCTCAACATATCGCCAGTGCCCCTGATGGCGTCTAGGACTTGGAAAAAGCCAGTCCGCTGGCTTTGCACATCCGCTTCATCCAAGGCATCGACAACGATGAAACAACGGTTGTAAGTTGATACAACTCGGCGTAACACCGACAAGAGGTCGTTGAACCATGTTTGATCCTTTACATCATTTCTAGTCCGTTGATAGAAGTCAGCGACTGAGGATGGAACGGTATGAGCAGAAGAGCAGAGTTGGCGTAACAGTGATCTTGCGAAGTTGGAAGGACCTTGGGATTGCTGTTCGGAGTAGTCGTAGTAGTAGAAAGCTATGGCGACGTCCTCAGTGTTGTACTTCGCCCGAAGATGATCTACGGCCCCAGAGCATAAGACGCTCTTCCCTACACCGGGACCACCTATACAGAGAAAGTCATGGTCCGCGGAGCTGCTATCAATCCAATTCGAAAATTCAGGGCTCTCTAAAAACCACTTGCTTGTTCCAGGCGTGCGCTTCAACTGCAAGTCTCGGTGTTTGTGTAACGCTGCAACGGGTGCGAGCCAGTCTAGAATGTCAGAAGTGCGTCTCTCTTGCTCTCTCAACTCTGACAGTCTTGCTGCGTGCGTCAACTCATTGACATTGGCAGCAGTGCTGTTCAGCAGTGGAACCAATGCGATGATTTGTTCCAGCTGGGCGGCACGCTTTGAAGACTCATCTGCAGACAGGCCCATCTGAACTGAGAGCTCGCTAATTTTGTTCGAGGTCTCCAACATCTGCTGCAGACCTTTGGAAGCATCTTCTGAGGTTTTGGAGAGTAGATTGCATCCCTCGATCGTGAAGGCGAACTGGAAAGTTTGAGCAAAACGTCGCAAGTTTTCCGTCATGGACATGACTTCACGCTGCTCGAAAGGCCATTTCAACTTGTCGAGTGCTCGAGCGACCTTGCCCCCATCGGAAGGTTTCAGCTTGTCACCTATGCGTTCGATCCTGGTTCGACAGTCTCGAATGGCAGTCTGAAGGACTGAATTGGTATCAAAGGATCGACCTTTGGCCTTCTCGCTGACGAGAAAATCCCTCAAGCCGCTGAGGACTTCTCCAAGAAGCAGAAGCTCATCATGTAGTTCGCGAATGTTCTTGTCTCGTTCCTTGATTGAATTAACATAGATGGCTATTGTACCACTGACTTGTAGACCAAGTGTAATGAGACCAGCAACACCGCTGGCAACGGAAATACCATCCATGGTTAGTACCTGTGGCCGCAATCACCAGCTCAACACAAGGAGAGCCTTCTGTTCCGTTGGAAGATTGTTGCAGTCCAGGTCGACATTTTCTCCCGGTGTGGAGTCCAGTCAATGAAAATTGAATTGGTTGAGGTCACCAATCGTCCAAGTCCTTCGGTGTCTTGGGACAAAAGGTAGACGTGGACGAGAAGCACCTAGATCCATCTGGTCGTGGTTGTCAGACTGGAGTTGTCGAGACTGATTAGTCGAGTCTACTGCCACTGGTGGCGATGGACTTTCAGCGTCAGCGTTGTCATGAGACCAGGAATCCCAAATGACTAATTCTTGCAGAAACTCGTTGGATCGAGTATCGCTGTGCGTGGCTTCCATAGGGCTGGAGACCAATGCAGAAGCGCTATGGGCTTGGATTTAGGCTTGCTCAGGGGCGGCAAAGGCGGCACAGGGCGGAAGCTTGTCAAGCCTTAGGCTTGAAGTGCCGCCGCTCGGCCCCGGGCAGTCGCCTTAAACTGTGTCACCTCCAAGGTACAGACACCTAATCCAAACCTCAAACATTTTTGGGCCACTAGCGCCCCACGGCGCCCCTGGCTGGCAAAGGCCAGTGCCTAAACCCTCCCCGTATATATCCGTACGTAGGTGCTCCAATTAAAGAACGACCAAGCCGCGAAGGGCATGTGCGAAGCCTCGCGCTGCAGGGAGTATTACCCCACACAGGTACTCAACCCATCACTCCTGCAGGTCCTCCGAAGGAACACGACTCTTGGTTGCCATCTTCCAGCAACCAACACCCTGTCGGCAATCATTTCTCGCTCTTGAACTCTCATGAGAAATTCCGGTAGTTCTAGCTCACCAAACATGCTACAACGGACCTAACATTCCTCGATTCTTGCCGGTCAGTCTCTGCTCAGCACCTGTGACAAGCATGTCCGCAAGGCCCTTGATCTCATTTTGTCCCTGAAGAAGAATGGATGCATTCCCTGCTGCAGGCGTGAATGCCTTTACCAGGATAAGACATCGAATTTGCAGTCTACCAACAGCTCTGATCCTTCTTTGGGCAATTGTCTTGATCTGGGGAGAACGACTGGTCTTTCAGCATCGGATTGACGAGTGTCAATGGCAGCGCTGGGAAACTTGGGTAAGTCGAATGCCTCATCGGACCTACTCATCAATATTGACCAACCCCTTGCCAGCCCACTCAGGCGCAGCCTCATCATGTTCTGCTGGTCGCTGATCCTCAGCTCGTCGATCCTCATACCTACCCAGGTCGCCCATGGCCGCTGTCGACCCTGACCGTTCTCTACACTGATCTCTACCTTCGGCGTTCCTATAAAGCCCTCCAGCAATCCTTGCGCCCCGATGCCACCATATTTTTGGGCGATCTCTTCGATGGCGGCCGAGAATGGGGAACTTCGCAGTACTCCTCGCCGGAAGAGCGCTATAAAAAGTATGGATCAGGATTCTGGTTGAAAGAATACATTCGCTTTTCAAACCTCTTTCTTCGCTCTTGGACCAATGCTGGCGTGGCCGCAAGTAGATCTGAACCTGCAGGCCGTCGAATAATTGCCTCGCTGCCCGGAAATCATGACTTGGGCTTCGCAGCCGGGATCCAACCCGCGGTCAAAGATCGTTTTGACGCGTACTTTGGTCCCTTGAACCGCATCGATGTGATCGGAAACCACTCATTTGTCTCCCTGGATACTGTCTCTCTGAGTGCCATGGATCAGGTCGACCCGGAAACTGGAAGCTCAGGCGCGGGCGATGGGAGTGCGCTGGCAACAGGAACCAGCAAAATCTGGAAGCCGGTGGAGGAGTTTCTCCAAAGTGCCCAGCATACCCGGGCGCATGCAATCCGGCATACTTGTAAAACGCAGTTCAACTGGAACAATCCCGTAGGAGATTCATTGTTCTCCCCTGAATTAAAAGAATTCGGACCCGTCCACTCTTCTACACATCCAATTCTCGACAAAAAGGAAACCCCAGCTCCCCCTCGCCATGAAATCTCTTCAGCGAGCTTCCCAACCATCGTTCTCTCACACGTTCCTCTGTTCCGCTCAGGGACCACATCATGCGGACCCATGCGAGAAAGAGGACCTTCAATACCTCTCCAGGCAGGCTACCAATACCAAAATGTGCTCACGCCATTGATCTCTCAAGATATAGTTAAACATCTACAGCAGGAGGAGGTGGTTCAGATATACTCCGGGGACGACCACGACTACTGCGAGATTGAGCACAGTGAATTCACCGGTAGACCAAAGGAGATTACAGTGAAGAGCATGAGTTGGGCCATGGGCATCCGAGTGCCTGGTGTCCAACTGGTGAGTCTGTGGAATCCAGTTGATTGTGAGGCCGTCATGTCACCCAGTGCTTCCATGGCAGATACCATCACTCCCAGAGACACGGTTCAAAACAAATTGTGCCTCCTCCCGAACCAATTGGGTATCTTTATCCGATACGCCCAGACGTTTGGCTTGATGCTGGTCATTCTGATAATCTTCACCATCCGCCACGATCCAAATGTAGCGACCCAACAGCAATTCTCTTACCAGCGCGAGAAGTCCGAACCTCTTCTCCCCCTCTCAAACAACCACCACCACCATCACCTACACACCTCCTCCACATCCTGCGTCCACAACGAGAACACCCACCGCCTCTCCACCCGCAAGCTAGGCGGCTACGGCCAACTTCCCAGCTCATCACGCACATCCTCCCCCTCGAAACCACCATACCAGGACGACGAGGACGACGGGGACAAAGGGTACCGGGGCCCAACACCGCGACGGAGGACGATATCCTCGTCGTCAAGGCCGTCAAGGCCTCACACACGCCTGCGGTATTTCGGTCGGAATCTATGGCAGTCTGCATGGCCTGTGCTGCTGCTGTACTTCTGGCTGATCTGGCGAAGCTGAGCCTCGTGGTGCTTGGCTATTATTGCTATTGCTATTCGGCATATTCTTGTACAGTATCCCTACCATAGTCTGCTGGGCGAAAGAGGTTGGCTAGCAATTCGGCCTTTTTGAGCCAAAAAAAATGAAACGAATGCATCATACATAACCTTGAAGTTAATTTCGTGATGAGATTCATCTGATGATGGTTGATCATTCGCCAGGTTCAAGTGAAACCGACTCACTTGATTCGTAACTAACTAACTGGGCCATCGCTAAGGATCTGCTATGCTCTGCTCTGCTGTGCTATGAAACACGCACCACACACGCACCTTTTTCGCAACTTTGCTCGTAACAATAGTGATTGATATCTCCGGGGGTTGACTCTAAACTAACTGTACAGAACGCCAAAATTTGATCTGGCGAGAAAACGAGAGAGAACCGACCAAACGCCACCGAGCCATAACGGGCTCTCCCATTCCGAAGAATAAGCACAAGCATCAGCGTTGCAGTACCCCTGGTGGTCTGCCTTCCTTTCGATAGTTGCATTTTACACACAAACGTACACACACTCCATTGGCAGGTTCTTTGACACCTCTAACTGTATGTGTCTCAGTTTTGGGTTTCGTCAGGACAAAGGAAAGGGAGAAAAGTTGTAGATGGCCAGCTTGGCGTCATTAAAGGGGACATGCATGGCCCAGATAAGTATTTGGAATGAATAGTCGAGGACGCATCATAAAGATTTGCAGTATTAATGTCGTTTGGTGGTTTCATTTCTTCGGAGGTTTGACGTCGGTGGGACAGCACTGAGAACTATCGGCACAGTTGTCTCCACACTCCAACAGACATGTTCGACCCTCGCTCCTCAGGCTGCCTGCTTTACTACCATTGGCAACAGTCTTGGGGCTGGCATCGCCATTGCTGGTGCCGTTAGCAACCGCGGTCGATCCAGACGGAGAGTCGGGGCTATCTGGGCTGTAGAACTCAGGCTGGATAGTTGAGCTGTGGATTCCGTAGGCGTGAAGACAGCTCCTGATTTCGCGAGCTAGATGCATATAGCTAGCTGATCCGGAACCCTCGACCTCGCAATCAACCTTGACGTGAAGACTAGCAACCAATTTTGTATCATTCAATTGCCAGACATGGAGATGATGAGCTTCAATCACACGAGGCAATGATTCTATATCAGCCGTGATTTCATCAATCGACATGCCCACAGGGACTGCTTGCAGCAGAATGCGGCTCGCTGCTTTGCACAATGGTATAGCACTGCAAAGGATGATGACCGTGATGACCAACGAAATTGCGGGATCGCAGTAATAGCGACCAGGGAATGTAGTAAGCCAGATGATCAGTGCCGAACCAATCACACCGATGTTACCTAAAGCATCACCCATGACGTGTAGGAAGACGCCTCTCATGTTGAGATCACCGTGAGAGTGTCCATGACCACCGTGGCCGCCATGACCGTGTCCATCGTGGGAATCTTTGGATTGATTGTGGTTGTGATCGTCATGGTCGTAGTGGGTGCTGGCTCTCTTCTTACCAATGCTTCCATATCCGGAGAAACTTTTATGGCCTTGTGTTGGAGAAGAGTGACCGTCGGGCAAGATCTTAGATCGCTCGTTAGGCAGATCATTATCATCCAACAAAGCTTCCGCTTCTGGATCAGACTCGGATTCTTCTTCCACTCGTGCCGCTTGGATAATATCCTGGCGGAATGAAGCAGGGTGAATGTGGATATTGTCAACCGAGCCAAAACCACGACCAAATGATCCGGAAGCCCTTCGTCTATGCCGCCCATGGACCTCGTTATTACTGACGACCGATCTGCGGTGAGATGCATTGGGTGAAGGTGCGGAGATGGTGGTGTTTTCCTCATCTGACCGAGAGAACCGCTTGCCAGAGGAACCGTTAAATCCAGCGACACGAACTTGAGGAAGGATGTCTTCAATGTTGCCACTTTCATCTGCGACTGCTTGTGTGTCTCCGTCTGCATGAACATGGCTATGACCGTGGCCCTCCTCTGCAGATTTTATGCCGTCGCCCTCGCCACCACCGCCGCCGTGACTGTGTCCGTGATCGTGGAAAAGGAACAAGCCGAGGATATTGGAGGCGAGACCAAGACATCCGACTATGAGAACCAACTTTGGGTTGCTAACGACTTGTGGTTCAACGAAACGCTGTATTGCCTCGAGAAAGATGGACAAGCAGAGTGCCACCAAGAAAACGCCGTTGACCAAAGCACCTAGTGTTTCAGCGCGCTGCCAACCATAGGTGTACATCTTGGAGCTGCCAGTATTGGCGACACGGACAGCCCATAATCCGACACAAAGAGACAGGACATCGTTGAGCATGTGGAAGGAATCGGCGACGAGGGCAAGTGAGTGTACTGCATAACCTTTGGTGGAGTTAGTATTTGCAGATCCCAAGGGAAATTGAGGACATGGGCAGCAATGAGACTCACCAATAACCAGCTCGATCAAAAAGAATACTGAATCAATGGCCAGCAAGATAGCGATTCTCTGACTCTTGGAAAGCCCCATGGTGTTGTGGGTGGTGGTTGTGTTTGACTTTGAAGGCGCGCAGCACTCGTTCACAGTAATGGAAGAAGTCGTGGAAAGGAAAAAGGGCGAGGGCCGAGCCCGGTAAGGACTAAAATATGCTGTCTCAGGCCGCTGGACAAGTTCGATGGGATGTTCTCTGATCGATGAGGAGGTTGTGGGATAAGAAGAAGGTGGCCAGGACGATGGCGAGGTGGTGGTGGTGGTGGTGGTGGTGAGGGAATTCAGGGCCGGGATTTCGAGTTGCTGGCGCTGGTTCTGGTGCCAGTGGCGACATAACTGCAGTTCGAGTTCGAGTTGCGGCTGTGGCTGCAGTTGCGGGTCATCCAACTCCATCTCCTGCGAATTTCGGACGCTAGAAGCACTAGCAGCCCTAGCAGCCGCACTGGCCTTGTCACGTGATGTCGGATAAACTGGCAAGTCTGAGGCTTCGGCTTCGGGTGCAACTGCCGACATGCTTAACTAAGGGCCACCCCTGCGGGTGGTAGAAAGATGCAAGCTTCAAGACCAAGTTTTCTGAATTTGGATAGACGATGAGAGTGTTTCCTTCCTGCTATATAAACACCATTTGGGATTTGCTTAAGAAGGCTCTGGCAAAGCTCAATATCGTCTGATCCAAGACAATCAACCACCTGCATTGTTTTCACATGTCTCCCCTCTGAGGTTATGTGGTTACACTCCATTCTGCTTGCTGCCGTATGCCGGATGTTGCATGAAACTATTGTCGAGTGAACCAGCAGCATCAAGCCTCAATCATCAAAGCGCATTGTCCCTGTATGTGTAACCTACGTAGTCAGTCTCACTTGATGCTTGCCCATCCTTCAGGCTTTGCACCTTGTATTTGTCAAGCATCGCCTTTGTTCCTTGCTGGGGCATGGGAAAACTGGTGGACTATCACCACTCTATGAGCAATGTGGTTGAATGAGTAACTCAATCACAGCGATATGCTGTGATCCTCGGCCCAAGTCCTCCTACAGCTGTGCTGCATTATCTGATCAGCACCCACAAAACACTACGGTCGGGAGTTTGGACTCCAAAATAGTCCCAGGATGGTCACTCTCGCCATAAGGATTTGTATTCAAGCTGCACACAGGCAAAACTTACACACAAGTTTTACTGTTCTTTGTGTGAAATCAATTCCTGAGCCTTCAACGGCACATGCTAGTCCTGAGACAGTGGAAGGGCTCAGACTCGGGGGGTTTGGTAAATGGCGACAAAGACATGTGCAAGGCTCGGGCGGATTTTAGTGCATGTATGTGAGAGATCGACCACAAGTGTTATGGAATATTGCTGATCAGCAGCCAAAGTCCTTTCTTTTGTCTTCGAATCGGAATAGATTAGGTACCTGGGATAGGTACTTACTTCGTAGGTGGTTGAGATACAAACTTGGCTCTGGGTGCTCCCGAGATGCCCAGACATGATCCGAGTCCTCCGTACAAGGTACCTAAGTACAGTTAAAAGTGTTTAGGGGTTTGTTTCAACATCCCATCAATCCTTACCTATCCAAGTAAGGGTTTCACAGGTGGTTATCAGGCCATCTCAACACACACCGTAATTCCACGTCTCCAAAATCATTCTGTTTTCTTAGCAATGAACCGAGTCATAGTGCAGCCGTTCGCGCATGGCTTCAGCTGAACATACTTCGACTAGAAAGCTTATCCCTCAGCCGCACAGACATGTAAAGCTCGAGAAAGTCGCTACTTGCGCGGTCTGTCGCCGACCAGCATGTCGACTCCAATCCCACCAGACCTATCTTGCTCACCGGCGTCGTACAACGAAAGAACTCATACTCATCAACAATCCAAAAGCAGAACAGAAGACACCAAATGATCAAGTGTCAGATAAAGCTTACGCGTCTTCATATGCTGTTGCCCGACACATCCCACCAACCACCAATGACCCTCATGGAATCAATTCAGGAAGATTGGATGGATTCCATGACCTCCCAGTTCCTGGTGGGCATCGAACTGAACTCCATCATGCGGTCTACAGTGGTAAGGTTTTCACATGTAGATTCAAGGTGCAGCAAGATGCTGACCAATGCATAGTCTTGAACTTTAAAATTGGCGCTGCCACGGCCTTTCCTCTGCCGGAAGGATTGGCTGTCAACGATATAGGGGGTGCTATGATCATCCCAGTCATGACAGACACTTCATTGTGTCTGAGCGTGATAGCGGCATGGCGAGCAGTCCAATGTCTTGCCGGCCAGCTGTCTTCTGATCTGTCTTACTTGTCATATGAAGCGAAAGCATTACAGTCTCTGCGAAGCCAACTCGTTACTCAAGGCCGAGCAGGAGTCTCTGATGAAGCTGTCATGGCTGCTGCACTTTTATGGGCGACTGCCACGCTTTTTGCTCACCCAGAACCTCTGCGGCGGCACGCCGTTGGGGTCAAGGCTATGGTCACCGCTCGTGGAGGTTTAGACACCCTTGGACACGCAGGGGCCATCAAACAATTGATCCTTTGGGCTGATTTCTTGACCGCCCAATTTCTGGCCGAGGATGTCCTTTTTAGAGACATTGGTGAAGTGGGTGTGATGCCTCCATCACTATCTCAAATCTACAAATCCATAACCTTCCCAAAACCATTCAATCGTTTGCTCCCCGAGACTGTAAAAGCAGCAACCGACCTTCGACTCCTGCTTGTCTCCCACGACCGAGCTTTGAGCACAGGGCGTGTGTCGATACCTGAGTACAAGGTACTGATGGATCTACTCAATAAAGGCACCGTTCATCGACTGGGTCTCGCAAAGCAATACCAAGACCAGCACCCCGTCGACGAGTGTGTCATTACAGCCATGAACCTATTAAGACTCACAGTCCTGTTTCATGCAGGGCCACTTTATGCCATAGTGGTCTCGGTCATCGAGCGACTCCGAGACTTGGCATATCAGGACGACCCAAAGGTTTGGCATAGTCGCATAGACACTCACATCTGGGTGTGTTTCGTGGGCTTGGTGAATCAGTTTGAGACCCATAATCGGTTTCATTTTATTGAAATGATCACGAAAGCCTTGAGCATCAAGTACAAGTCGATGTGGCCAGATGACTGGCAGATGGATGTTCTGTCAATGCTTCGATCTTTCTTGTGGTCGGATGCAATTCTTACTGCCCAGTATCTCGACATGTGCCACATCATCGAGTCACACATCGTCTCACCAGCGAGTACAGCCTGAGTGATCTATTGATCCTGCCCTAGCTGAAACTTGTTTCGTCCGATGGTGGGCCAAGCGACAAACTTGTCGAGATGATTTTCCAAGACTGACCTTTCCGACGCCGCAGAGATTGGTCAGAGGGTGTCTTGACCAAATCCTGCTGCGAGTGATGGATTGATGCTCCCGATCTTACTTGTTGACAGTGGCTACACCCACCAAGGATTGGCCGTCCACACTTTGCTTCTTGCAAGCTGGAAAGCCAGTGGCTGCCCCGCGAGAAAGGAACGAGGATACTAAATACTACGTATTCACCTATCTGCTCTATATAATTGCACCGGAATGGGAGATCATTGTGCACTTGAGTCTGGATGCAACCTCATATTTCGGAGTGGGCACAGAGTTCGTTTATTTGGATGGGCATTCCAATGGTTTCGGAAGCGTTATACGCATGTCGCCCATGGTCATCTGCTCCAGATCGGGTCGTCCTTCGTACTAATTTCTTACGAGCTACTTTCTTGCGGTGTGAGTGCGATATCTCCTCAGGCGCACTCGCTGAGACGCGGCATACACGGCTTAGCCCGTTGTTGTATTGCCAGCTCTTTGGTTCGGTTATAATTCTTGGAACCGAGGTTGGATATTACTTAGCATATCATCAACAAACCAAGTCAATGTTAACCACGCAACTAAAAACCAACCATGAACAGATCGCTGGATTTCTGAGGCACCAGTATCGTTGCAAAGGCGCTCCCACCATGACTTACACATCCACGTAGTCATTCACAATAACACCACCCCAAATTGTATCCAACCTCGTCGGCACTATCCCTGGACAATTCAGGCGACCAATCGACCAACAGCACCTCAACCCTAGATCCGAGATCAAGTCCCAAGATGTCTTCTGCACCTCCCGAACTAAAGTACATTTCTACTACCGTTGACAACGGTATTGCAATCCTGAAGTACAACCGGCCGGAGGCGGGCAATGCACTAAGTAACGGAGTGTTCAAGGTATGCGACGTGGACCATAATGGTACCAACGGTGTTTTGATAACACCTGCTTGAATGAGTGCTGCTCTGTACATATTCTGACGACGTGGGAAGGATCTGCTCGCCTCGACAGAATGGGCTCTTTCCAATGATGAGGTCAGAGTCGTCGTGCAAACGGGGGAGGGGAAATTCTTCACTACAGGTATGTTCAAATTGGCGTAAGGATCCAGTGTCAATCGTGAGCGTCGGATCGAAAGATACTAGGTCTCCATTGCTGTTTACCATGATCAAAAGGCGACCAAGGAGTGAAATATAAGGCTGATTACAGCTTTTAGGCATGGATCTTGAAGCGGCTGTCACGCCAGCTGCCGACAAGCCCACGACGGTCCTTCCTGAGGACAGCATCGTTATTCTTGGGTGAGTACCTTCGTTGTTCTCTTCATACCCGTCCCGGGATGATGAACATCGAAAATTACGGATTTCGAATTCCAAACTCTCCCGCCCATTCTGACCACAACAACACCTTATAGCAAATACCACGAACTCCTAATCAACACCAACAAGATCCTCATCGCCGCCGTCAACGGCCCCGGCATCGGCTACGGCACCAGCAGCATTGCGCTGTTCGACCTCGTCTACGCCGTGCCGGAGGCTTATTTCTTCACGCCGTTCGTCAAATGGGGTCTGTGCGCCGAGGCCTGTTCCAGCGTGACCTTCTCACGCATCATGGGCCGCCAGAAAGCGGCAGCGCTGCTACTCGCCGACGAGCGACTGACGGCCGCAGAACTCGAGCGGGCGGGACTGATCACGAAGATCATCCCCGCCAGGAATTTCATCCCGGATGTCCTGCGGATTGCCCAGAGGATCGCGCGCTTACCGCCTAGGTCGCTCGCTTTCAACAAGGAGCTGATGATGAAACCGCTCAAGCAGGAATTGCTCGGTGCTAATGAGGCAGAACTCGCCGGGCTAAGGTTGCGTGCTGCGGATTCAGAACCAGGCAATGCGATGAAGGCTTTCGTCTTGGACCAGGAAAGGAAGAGGAAGGAGAAGACGGCGAAACATTCTCACCTGTGACATTGAACGGGATTAAATCTCGGACCCTGACACGAGGCCGTTTGTGGATCGAATGTTCATGTGATTTCATATGAGCGAATTTCCATTTTAAGTAGAAGCTCAAGTCTACCACAAAGTACTAGGAATTTAGTAGAGATGTTCCAACAGTGGCAGCATAGAATCGGGCTTCACAAGGTCAGAGACCCAGCGGGGAAAATTTTGAATAAGGAAAATCGCCATGAAACGCAGCGAGGATAGCTTCTGCATCCCTTCTCGTGTGTTAGACACAGTACAGCGGGGAAAATCTATCCATTTTTGAAGTTCTATGGTGCTGGGCCCATGTTTTAAACGCTTGCGGCGATTTTGGGTGACATGGGAGGGCGGCGAACAGAATCAGTGAGATACACTGTCGGTGGACGTATAGGTATTGGCTAGCAAATGTTTTGAAACTCAATTTTGATATGCACTCATCGGGAATATCGATGAATGGGAGACCTTACGGTGTTTTGGGCCGGCCGACACACGAGTCAGGCATGACAGCTTTTAGAAACAATGAGAGGCAAAACGCTGTTTTTCACATCCGATGGAATGAGTGATGTGAAGGTCTGACCCAATGACCAGGCTCCCGAACGTTTTGAGGTGCGGTTAGTAGTCTAAGTGTGCATGTCGCTTTACAGTATGTATACACGTACTGAGTTCTCTATTTGCAGTATGTAAGGCCTGGGCAGGCCTAAGAAAGACAGGGTGAACAGCTGGTTGTGTTGTATCCACGTGCCACACGTTCGGCGATCATGTAATGCCCACAGCCACGTTTATCACTTTTCATTTCCGGAATTGTTATCGCTCTCGATGTGTGCAGAGTCGTTTGCCTTGGTCTCATGCACACCGTGCTGCACGATGCTGTGAGTAGCAAAATCGATCTCAATATCCCTCTGGTAAATGGCAACCTCGTCAGAATCTCCAAAAATTGCCGCCACTTCTTCCAAAGGCAGTCCATTTGTATCGGGGAAGTAGAACCACATGATGACACCGCCGATGCAACCGGGGATGATGAAGCAGAGGTACTGTAAGGATGGGAGACTAGGTCAGTATGCCATGCTTGCAATTTCGTGGAAGGGGAAGACACGGGTTGCTTTTCCGTATCTCATGTGCCACGTTCAGGGGCCGGCACTGGGTGAAGACTTACAAATTTCCACTTGATCGTTTCAAAAGCTAGACGTAGAGTTAGCGACCACACATAAATCTTTTTGAAGGCGCATAAAAATTCGACTTACCAGTGGGCGCCGCCTGCAGCCAGATGATGTTCATGAACGAGATCATTGCGACACCTAGACATACTCCTTTGGCACGGAGATGGGTTGGGAAGATCTCCCCAAGGTAAGAGAACTGAGTTCCATCAAGACATATCCCATAGAAAACCTGGAAGACGAAGAACATAGCAACTGCTGCTTGAAGTGCCGCAGAGTTGTCTGAGGGCACGAACTCAGCAACTAGTGCTGCCTCCACAATCAGTGTTGCCATGCAGCCGAGGACTCCGAAGGCAATGAATTTGTTCCGCGGAAAACGATCAACGACCAGCATAGCCATGGCATTCAAGCCCAGTGCAAATGTCAGCCATGCTGCGGGATAGAGCAGTTGCTTGACTGGAGAGAAGTTGAGAGATTTATAAAGAGAAGGTCCGTAGTTGTTGATAACCAAGACGCCGCTCAGTTGAATGATACCAGTGATACCAACAGCCAGGAACGCCCGTTTTCGATATGATGGTTTTCTCCAGATATGCATCCACGAATTTCCAAGAGTTTTGTCGATGGCGATTTGTTTCTGAATCTGGAAGAATTCGGCCTTGGCAGCCTCGTTGTTTGGATCTGATGGGTCCGAGTGTAGTTTGAACAGAACTGCTTCAGCCTCTGCATCTCTCCCCTGCATAACCAGCCATCTGGGACTCTCTGGCACAAACAGCAAACCGATTAAGAGACATAGAGGCCAAACGCACTGGATAGCCACTGGAGGTCTCCAAGCGTTCAATCCCCCAGTCTTCCAGAAGAAAAACCCAAACCCGACCCAGCCCTGGATGGTGTAACCAAGGACAAGCATGACTGCGTGGACATCGACCAAAGCGCCTCGCATGTGGACCGGTACAATTTCGTTCATGAGGATGGGAACGGCTGCGAGGATCATGAATGCACTGGCTCCAGCAATAAACCGGAACACGATGAACATCTCAATGTTGACAGATCCTGTCATCACCGCTCCTGAGATAATAGCAAGAATTGCGGACTGTTTCAAGTCAGCACGGTGAGCTTCATGATCTGGCATAGACATACCACGGCACATGCCCATTTCCTCCCCCACTTGTCGCACACGGTAGGTAACAGCAATGTTCCAATGACGCCGCCAGTCTGGAATAGACCGTTCATCGTGGATATTAGATCCGTTCCATTGGAGCGGGTAGCGAGATCGAAGTATTCGATGAACGACGGTTGGCCTAGAAATGGTGTCAGTCTTGACTAGAATATGAAAAAGGACAACAACGCAAGCTACCCAGTGTAGTGCCGATAATGGAAGCAGTGTAACCATAGGTTAGCGATCCAAAACCTAGGACTGCCAGAACTGCACAGGTGTGGGCATTGAGCTTCTGCTTCCGCAGGAGACCCTCCTGAGCCTTGCGGTCATGCATGTCGCAGGAATGAGCTTGTGTTGATGTCAGTCACACTGAAGCAAGAGCTTGTCTAAAGAGGAATGGCAAGTTGGTTCGATCTCCATGACCAATATATGGGGGCTGTAGAACTAAATACAAAATAACGATAGGCCCTGTCAGCTTCGTAACTTGTCATCAACTGGAAGAACTCCACGCGTGATCGCCTGCCCATTCATGAGCCAAGGTAGTGACCGGCATCATTTGAAGCGGAGGTACCCCATGAAGCTTCATTTCATAATCCCCGCAAATACCGCTCCCAAGATGTTGGAGAACCGGAGACCTACCAAATAGCAAACTTTGATTGGTAGGATCTTCTGTAACCCATTAATAGTTGTCCTCGGTAGCCTGTGCCTGACTCATAAAGATGAGAGTCAGAATGTCTGATCGTCAATCTCGATCGGAAGCGTGAGCCGCCAGTACCTATCACCAATGTGCTCGCCAATAAGCTACCGATTGTGGGCTGGTGTTAGGGGTTGCCATGATGCTTAGCACCTCACCTAAGTTGGCTAAAGCATAGGTAGTGCTGTAAGTCTTGACAGCATGTTGACTCGTTATTAACTGACCCGAGGGAAAAGGCGACAGTCCGAATTCCAAGTCTCGTCAGCCCCTTAATCTCAAAATTGGCCGGGCCTGACTGCGATGCACAGATTCATCCGAGACCAGGGGTGTCGTCGTAAGCTCTCGTGTGTGACTCGGTGAATTCTTGTCAGCGACTTTCATAACTCATCAATATTGGCATAAGTTTGGCATAAAACCGGTATGACACTTGGTTGGAGCCTTCGTAGCGCTGGTTGAAAAGGTGTTCAGTGAAAGTAGATATTTCCAATTGCAATAACGATGCTGAGTCAGATGGTCATAAGATGATCTGGTATGGCTTGTTAGTTCCCATTGTCAAGAATCCTGGATTGATAGAGCGAGGGAAACAAATGAACAGAAAATTATGTACACACTCCGAACTGCCTCAGGCTCTCCAAAAGCTGCTGATGCCTGCAGACAAGATCTGTGTTCCCATGATCACGATGGGCCTGAGGAGAGAAACGGAGTAGCTGTTCAATAGAGTGATATCGCTTCAAGCCTTGGTAGTCAGGGGACGATAGCGCGCGCCTTCAAAGTATCCATGTACTTCTTTTTGACAGTCCAGTTGCCATATCTGTAAGCACCTTTACTTTCCATGTATTCGGCGACCTTTTTCCAAGGTATCTTGTTGACAAGTTGATTCAAAGCAACGTCATCGAGGTGACCATCCGGGAATAAGAAATCAGAGGTAGACTTCGAGAAGTGGTAGACTGCGTCGAATAGTAATTGGATCTGCCACTGTTAGCACTTGAGTTCTTCTCAAGCATCCAACCTACTCACCTCACGCTTTCCCCATTCTGGTTTTCTCAATCTGGCCTCCCTCGGTTTCGTAAGTGCACGATATCTTCCCCTCAATGTAGACTCGGCCTCATCAAAACCACCCATGTCCTTGATTTGCTTGTAGGATAATCCCTGTGTTTTCAATCGTATCAGAAGATCATCTTTAGAAGTATCTCTCTGAGTACTTCTACCCTTGGCACGTTTATGGAGCACGTCGTGCGTAGGACTCTCTGAATGGCGAACACTCCAGTCGGTATGGTCGTCAAATGGGCTATTCATCTCAGAACCGACATCGTAAAAGTTGTCCATGGATGCATCTAGGGCGGGCTCATGCTGAAGATGTGAAGGGCCAAGCGTGAGATCTGGAACATAATCAAGTGATAAGGTATCCGTACGGAAAGAGTACAATGGCGAAGAGAATTCGAAGGTCTGATTCTCAAGACCAATGTCACTGTACACTGTTGGGAGATTGTCGGTTTCGAGCCCAGTAAGGTATGGTGCAAATGTGTCCCCTATTCTTGAAGGGTCTTCATGGCAAGTTCCAATCCCATCAAGTGCCAGGATAGGATCTGGAACAGAAAACAGGGGTGAAGCGTCCAACGGGTTGGGGGTCATCCATGTATCTCCCATGTGAGAGCTGGTGAGATTGTATGTCGATGCAGGCACGTTCATGGCGGCTGAGTTGTCGAGATCGATACCCAGGAGGTTCGTGGTATCTTGCACATTTGAACATGAAGGCTGGTCATAGAGATCCGTCGGACAATCGAGGAGGTATGGTGAAATCGTTTCTTGAAAAGGTAGGAAGCTCGATTGCTTATAACGAGAGTCCGTTGTCAAGAAGGGGTCATAGATTGGTTGGCACTCATGGCCACCTTCGAGAGCTTGATTGAAGTTGACCGGTGGCTTCGTATCATTCATGTGGACATACAACTCATCAACAGGGACAATATTAGCGCCAGTGTCGAGTTCTTGTGCCGCGGACTCGAAACTGGCCACCGAGGAGGGGTCAAAACGAGGTATGTCTGGGAGGGGGGAAGTTGATAGTGGAGGTAACGCGTAGTAGTGAGTGCGGTCGATATTGGGATCGCCGTACTGGGTCAGCGACGATGGCATCTTGGAAGATTCTCTTGTGAGGGGATTGGTAGGATTTTGCAGGGAGGTTTGTTGGTTGCAGGAGGTCCGAGAGAAGAAGCAGGGTGCGCCACAGGAGTGACATTTGCGCCGTGTGTCAGAAGACAAGCTTGCAGCAGGTTGAGTCGTAGCGCAAGTGAATCTCTCGTTAGCCACAGTCCTCGAGTTGTGACATGGAGTATGACTCTGATCGCAACACGGTAGCTTCTTGCCAGCGCAAGTACCCAGGTACAATTTATCGGGTTCCATCGGTAGTGCTCTCTAGCGGACTGCAAGGCTGTGGATAGTAATGGGACTCGGATATTTCGCTGAGTGCAACCTAAGTTATGTCTGGTTACAAAAGACGGAGTAAGTATAGGTTGTTTTCAAGTCGCAGAAATAAGCATGGCAATCGGAAGCTAGATTAGAATTCATGATTCGTAAAACGATCATCAGACTGTTCGTCATGCAAACACAGATACTCCGCTGCGTCGGATGTGAATTGTAAATAAGTTGGCTGTCCGCGCTTGAGAACAAATGTATTGTTGGGTGATGAGACAACTCCTTCGAGAACTCTTGAGCCATGAAGAAGGTTATCGCAAGGCGCGGAATATCACATGTGTTGCGATTTGTTGCACAGTCATGAATCCATCAGCGGGTTCGCTTCTCTGTAGCCTCGGACGAGTCCTTGCTCGTTGTGACGAAAGTCAAGCGTTCGCACAGGCTCGACAAACCAGCCAAACAATCGCGTTCTTGCGTCCAATCATCAACGATCAGTTGTCCAGATCGCGGCCTGAAGGGGATGAGTTCTGTCCTGTTTGGCTAAGGTTAAGATGGGGAGCAATACTTGACTAGTTTGGGCAAAACATTTGCTAACTTCACAGAGACTCGAAAGACAGCGTACTGTGGATGCATGAGCCCAGCATCTGCCCGTCGCCACGGCGATGGCGACAAACAACATGTCATTGATAACATACAGCGAGCAGTGAACCATTCAAGCACCGGAGACATGGAAATACATGTTGCGGAAACATCCTGGACCACCTGTAAGGTAGTTGGATTTGTCCAAGCCATGAACGAAATGACCAGATCAAGTGCTCAGAATCATCAGAGGAGCGTGTCAGTGGACAGGATCTTGCTGGCAAAAGAACAAGCCAAGAGGGTTGGCTAGATGGCAAACACCAGAGAGCCATTGTGTGACCCAAGGTCGACCTCTCGTCGCAGTCAGGCAGCAGTGCAAAGACGAGTTTGCATGTCCACTTTTTCTGCTATGCCTGGGTCTGAGGGATTGTAGGACAATCGACTTCCCATTGCTTTGTCGACCGAGATTAAGGGATCTGAATGAAGGCTGTTCCTGCAGGATTGTCGATGTTCTTTGGAATTTTTCTATGGCGGTCGTTGAGTTTGGTCTCACGAATCATGACATGGTGGGGAACGGGATGCTGCAGCCGAACTATTCCTGGTAATGATCCAAGGTCGCATCAAGGATACCAAAATAGAGCATGAACTTGGAGCCAGCTTTGGGTGTGCCGAGAAAGACGTGTGCAATTGAAGGAGAATTGTTTCCATTTCGCTGGGCCCAAGCAGGGCTCTGATTCGGCTGGCACTGCATCTGACGTGTTGTTGTTGTTGTCCCACACAAACTCACTGTAGTCTTCAAATCTTCCACGACAAAGGGGTCTGCGATATGATTCCCAGTCTGATTTTCAGATAGTTCAGTAAGACGTGAGACATTCATTTATGCTCACGCGAGGATGCTGGTGATGGTGTTTGCGTGGTCCTCTGCATACGCGGGCAGGGACCAAGTTCATGGTCATCACTGCCGTCGTTTAATGGTCGAGAGCTATCAACAAGTCACATGGATGCCCGGTTTGCCCAATCTGAAGAGGTCAATGTCATCGATGTAAGAAATCCGCGCGAGTGTTAGACACTTTCTAGATCAAACGCGGGCGCGGGCTCGTTGGTGAAAGATCTTGTTCAATTACTCAACCTAGCTTCACTGTAACTTCAGGGGTCTGCGCGCCAAGACTTTCTCTAGGACCGGAACTATTTTGTTCCGCTTGTCACCAGCTTGAATGATCAAACAAAATTGTGTGATTGAGCCTGATTCAACAGTCAAAGTCAACCACTCTGTTTCTCTAGCTAAGCAGATTCAAGATCAGGGCTCTGGTGAGGACAACGCCAGATGAGAACTGAGACGCGCGCCACGGAACCTCATCAAAGCCGACAAACAGATATCCACGATGGAAAGCGTTCTCGGTCTGAGAGAACCTCTGTCAACATTGACATCACGGAAGTTCCGCGAAGCATACAAAAGGAAGGATCTAGTGTTCTCAGAGACATTACTCGCTACTATTAGAAGTCAGAAAGGGGTCCCCTTTCAACTCCGATACTGTCCAGCCCTGGCCAAGAAGCCAGCAACAACGACGACCAAGACACAAAAGGACTCGACAGAAAAGGAGAAACAACCCAAAAAGCCCAAGTTCAATCCATTCGCAAATCCAGCCTCTGAGCTTCTGATCGCGGAAATCCTCAACAAGGGCGAGGCATCACACAACTTGGTTCTCAACAAATATCCCGTCATCCACAACCACTTCATCATTTCCACCAAAGCAAACAAACCTCAAACCGCCGTGCTGGAAGAGGACGACCTGATCATGACCTATGCTTGCCTCCGCGCCTGGACCGAACAGCAAGAGACCGCGACTCAAACCCCCAGAGGAAGGCTGTTCTCCTTCTTCAACTCCGGCGAGCACAGCGGCGCCAGCCAGGCACATCGACACCTGCAATTCCTGCCCGTGGAGGACATGGCGTCCTCGGACGACGAGAAGAACGGCTTCGAGCTCCTCATCGACCGCATGACTGCATCAGCCCATCCGACACTACCACTATATCAAGACAAGTCCCTTCCCATCCTCCACTTCGCAACTCCACTCCAACCGTCCTTGTCCGCAGCAGAGCTGCATTCCAGATACATGCTGCTCCTCCGAGCCGCACTCGCGTCGTCTCGGCACCCGGGCCGAGCATTCTCCAACGACGACAAGGCGATCAACATAGAATCCAACGGCAGCACGGTATTCAGCTACAACCTGGCGATGACGACGGAGAGGATGGCAATCTGCCCGCGCAGGCAGGAGGGCACGAGTATACCGGGCGCCGGGCCCGACAGCTTCGTCGCGATCAACGGGACGATCCTCGGCGGCACGTTGATGGTCAAGGACGAGGGAGAATGGGACGTCCTGACGCAGAGGCAGGAAGACGACTCGTCAGCCATCCTCGACGGACTGCTGTCTTCGCTCGGCTACCCGTTGGTTTCTTGGCCGGCCTCCGAAGAAGTGAGCGCTGCGCTGTAGTTAGTGTGCAAAGGAATGAGGATTTGGGGGACATGGGCCCTGGGTTCCTCTCTGAGAGAGGAAGAGACAAGAACACCATTCCTTCTCACCGACGATGCTCTCGTGATCCAAACCCCCCCCAAAGCTAATGGTGATAGCCCCCACAGCTGACGTCCAGTGGTGTCGACTGTCGAGTGTCGAGTCTGCTGGCGTGAATGTTCAAGCGCTCACGCACACATCTCTCTCACACACACGCATCTCACGCACATCTCAGACGCCGAACAATATGCGGGCATCGACCACAAGCACAGCGACGGCGCGCGAAGCATGACATCCACACGGAAAAGCACACCACCAGAGATGATGAACAATTATGATCGAACTGTGGCAGGCTGAAACCGCTTCAGCTTCACCGTTCAAGAGACGAAACTACTGCAAACCTATTCCGATTCTGGCCCCCGCCTGTTGTATATACACATCGATACAGAGCTGAAGATCTATTGTGTGGGTGTGTGTGCGCACACGGGTCCCATTGACATTGAAGGAACCCACACTAGTTGGTTGGTCTTGTTGCTCCGGGAAAAAAAGCTACGTCCAGATGTCTCTCGCGTGTCTGTCCCTAGACGACAAAAGGTGGGCCAGGGCGCATATGGGATGGTTTACGGAGTCGAAAGATGCGAATTGTTCAACTCGCCTGCCTGTCTGGCAGAGTTCGCCTCGACGGCGGCTTGGCAAGGCAGTTTTCTTCTTGATATCTTTTTGATATGTCGGTCTATCACGAGCTGCAGGGCGATAGTGAATCAAATCAATGGGGCTTGGTCCAAAGTACATGTTTGGGCCCCCGTTCAGCCCTACAGGGCGCGTGTCGGGTTGCTAGTGAAGCCATGTACCGAGTAACTCGAGTATATCTCTGGCAAGCGAGTCGTGGGTTTATCGCCTCCGGCGGTGTCATGCACGAGTAAGTGTCGGCGAGCTGACTCGTGACTACACCGTTGGATTCTGGCGTTCTACGAGTACGAGGTTTCCGGGCCTTGGCATGGCGAAGATAAGAATAGGCGTGAGTTACTGTGTGCTGGTGCAGTGGTGCAGACAATATCAATACGAGTTGGAGGCGAGGCAGCGAGAGACTACTTGTCGGCAAGTCTGGCTTGAATTCTAATTGGCGCGCAGAGACTTGCAGCGACAAAAGAGCACAATGTTCGTAAATGCAGAAAGATCTGTGGCATCTGCGGAAAAGGGATAGATGTCAAGCGAGAGTCGAGAACTGGAGGTGTAGGTGTATCATGGCGAGGAGTTTGCCATCCAACAGAGGCTCGTGGTCTTTTCTTTGATGGTGGTGAGAGATGGTGGCGAGCTGTGATGAAGCAGCGGAAGATGGGCATTGGTAGAAGCTCTGAAGAAAGCACTGATAGGGTGCTGCTTATGGCGGTTAATACGAATACCAAGCTCTTGAATTTCTCTTCTGGGAAGGCTTGAAGATAGGTAAACACTCTCTATGCGTAGGTGATGGTGCCCATGAGAGGTCTCGATGATGGCAGGGGCTATCAAAACAAGTCAAGCGAAGGCAAGACAGCGCAAGCATTCCAAGCCAAGTCAAGTTGGCAGGGTCCAAGTTACTAGTTAGTAGTCGGGCAGAATTGTCAAGCGAATTCGGACGAGGTTGGCCAGGATGTGATGGAGTTGTAGAAATCCTGTTACCCTTTCCAGGTGTGTCGAGTAGTCCAGGCCTTGAAATTCTCGCTTCGAGCGCAAGCCACAAAATTCGGGACCAGGTATATCTCCCAGTGGGATTCGCTGTCAATTGAAAACGAGTGACAGGGAGCAAAGAAAGGGAAAGGAGGGGTCCATAGGGCTGCAGAACGCAAGCATTTGTTCTCGTGAAGGCCATGGTGCTATGCTGGCTAGCTCTCATAAACACGAGCTTTGTTGGGGACTCGGTATTGGGGTCCTGAAAGATATTTTGCCAACCTCGGAAGCCTCCAAGCTCGTGCCCTTTGCAGCGCCCAGATCGCCTATCCCGGAACCATCGTAGATGCTGATACGGATGCTGGTTAAAGTTGAGTCGATTATCTGTGCCAACAAGCAACCAATCCCACAAGTCTGCTGTTTCCATCGGCCCCTGCAAGCTCTGATGAGGGGTCTTGGACTGCATGCACCTCATAACTAAATAGCATGGAAGACTCGGTGTGGTTGGTTTTGGCTCCAAGATGTGCAGGTTTGGCGTGAAAGATCTGCGCAGATCAGCCAGCCATGGATTTATTTGAAGCAAAACATCTTTGCAACAGCCTGAGGGGAGAATACTCCAGAATTCGTGTTACTACGAGATGGAACTCCATAGCTCTGTGCATGATAGAGCCTGCCACCTTTGATTTGGCGATAAGGCCATCGGTGTGAAGACCATGGGAAAAAGAAACGCATCCGGAACGGGCAAATCAAGAAGAAACCAAAACCAATCCAGATGACAGAGTTTGAAACCTGTCATGGGAATTGCCGATGGAAGTTGTCACTCATCTCCCGCGCGTCAATAAATGATTGAGGTGCCTACCAGGGTCTGAGGGGGTCACCCCGCACAGCACAGCGAGACATCTAGGTACTCGTGCCTCGACTAGGTATCCGTCCAGCGGTCTGTGAAGTGGTGAGGTGGAGAATATCGAGCAGCGGTACGCAATGAGAATAGAGGAGGGATGGAAAAGCCTCAGTCGAAGAGCAGTTCAAGGTTCATCATTGGCGGGGTAGGCCAAATGCAGACCGTGAAATTCCATTTGGGGTTGAGCAGCCAGAACTTTGGCACTGACCACATGGCCAGGCTGGAGAAAGGGAACCTGCGGCTAATCCAGGGTTGTCCGGGAATGAAGATAAGTTTTTAGGATGAGTTGCAAGTGGACACTCCGACACAACGGGTTACCAATGGCGAAGGGATGATGAAACTAGGGAATGCCCGTTGATGAGTGATTGCAATGACTTGATTGACGGATGAGACAGCGGCACTGTCAAAAGAGAACAACACATTACCAGAGTTCCCCTGCCAGGAACCAGACATGGTTTCAAGAGAGGAAGCGAGAGATGCCGGATCGTGATAATAGGTCCAGGGATTACATATTGGGCATCTATTCTTTTGCACGGGAATTTGGGGGCGGTGATGGGGTGCTTGCGGATAGGTAAATCAGGTGGTGAACAGCCAACTGACGACTGAATGAAGATATACGAATCGTATTGTAAGCAGCATATTGGAAGGAGCCAACTGGCAAGACCAGAGATGTGACTCGCCTGCAAACACCCGTACTAACCGGAGGCAGGTTCCATGGGGCCAGGAGTCACGGTACATGCTGCCAGGTAGGAGTGGGTTGGTGGCCGTGCCCATCCTATTCCTGCCGCGATCATACGGGGACTGGTGGAAGGTCCTTTTGGAGTTAATCACGACAGAATTTACGAGCAGATCTGATCTGAATGGACCAACATATTTGCATGTCACTTTTCGGATAAGTAGATTCGGAAGCAGCTCGTGGGGAGTTGCCTGTAGGGAGGACGAGTGTGAGAAGATTGATGGAGGGGTGCCATTTTAAGAGCTCGAGCTTGAGTGGAGTACTAACCGACATCGAGATCGGTACTAGTACATCCATCACTGGCAGTGATGGATGGCGCAAGGTTTTGTTCTGGCTTGGGTTCTGGCTGTTCAAGTTGACTGCCTCCCTATGGGAGTTCGGATTCTCGTGGCTTCCCGAGAAGTTATTCGGACTTTGAGTTGTATGATGATCGATACCATTGGTAGTAATGCAGACACTAACATGACTTGCTGGGTGTGCTTGTGGCCAGAACTTGCAACCCCGCAAGGCTTAAGAGCTTGGGCTTCAATAAGCAGGTCAACCATGAGAACTGAATGAGAAGGGAAGTCCCGATAGCGACAATGCCAGTACAGCATACCTTAGGTACCTAGGGACTGGAGATACTCGGGTACCTTCCTGCCCCGCCAGAGTATCAATCCTCGTGACTAAAGGATTCTGGAGTACCGTACCAGCACATGTCACTTGATTCAGGGAACTTGAAGCCGGTCCAAAAGTAGCTCACTGGGTACTCTGTACTCCATCGTGATGTTGACAATGACGAACTCTGATCGTCAGGGGTATTGAATTGTCAATTGAAGCCTACCCACTGCATGGCTGGTGACCTCACTGGCATGATGATGAAAAATAAAAGAGTCGGTGACTCTGGCATCCATTTGCACCAGCCCTGCCTCGGGGCGGTGTTGAACTGAGCCACGATGGCGGTACAATACCAGTTGCAGCCAGTCACAGGCGAGACTAGTGTAATCTGCGCCTCAAGCTGGCCGCCCCGAGCTCTGGCAGCCAGTATGCTTTGGAGTTTTGGTGGAGCCACCCGCCTGACTTTGGACTTTCCACGTTTTTGGGTCCCTGTCTGGTCCTGCCAGACCGCATCTGCACGATGGCGCCAATCGCATCGGCCTCGCCTAACCAAAATTACGGTACGAGGTAATGTGCCAGACTAACACTTGGGAAGCAGGTGTACGAGCGAGGGGAGGGGCCCGCCCTGTTCGAGTTGGCAAAAGGACCTTGACTGCTCACTCGACAGCAGAAACAGGCATGCCCCCCAACCAACACTCGCCTAAACGGGCAGTCTGAGGTGCTTCATGCCCTGTTGATTGGTGAAGGACACTTGCTCATTCAGTGGTCGCTCGTCCCAACACAGCATCTCCAGCCTAATCTCCCCTCTCGTCCCTGGGACCTTGACTGTTCCATCCCAGTCCGACTCGATTCGAATCATTTCTTAGGCACACGGGACGGCCACTGGGATTCCGCGACGCTTCGTCCCCGCAGAGAGATTTGGTCTCAATCGCACCGTGACTGTGACTGTGCCATCACTATTGTCGAATGTCCGCCAAGCGCGTAAACCACGGCACCGGCACTAGCCTGAGTGCCAGTCGATTTCTCTCTCTCCCTCTCCGACCGAAGTCTAGGAGGCTACTCCGTGTTGCGACGTTGTTCTTTATTTGGCCCAAGCAAAGTTATCTCTCACCACCCAAACGAAGGATGTCGTCTCTGCGCGAATTCTTGCCAGTGCCACTGATCATAGACCATCAGATGGACCTGGGCGAGTGCACGGTGCGGTGCCGACGAGTGTCGAGTCCGGTACTATCAAGTTAAGTTCCAGTGAACAATAATAGCATTTCCGAATTCGATTCCTTTGACTCGTCTGGGAAAAGCGACTTTTGGAGTCGCTAGTCATGGATTCATGGGCCATGGGCCATGGTCCATGGCCCGCCATCTGCTTGATTGACTTGTGGGCAGCATGGGTTTAGGCATCCCCGAAATCTAACGGTCTAGCGTGCAGTACTAGCCGTCACCTCTGCACACTTTACTCCGTATTTTTCGTTACAGCCACACCCAAGACAACACGAGCAACCCCTGCTCTGCCCCCTGCTTCTTATCCTGGTCGATAATGCTCACCGTGCCCGTAGGGCTAAGGTGGGCTCCATCTTTCGCTCATCTTGATCAAGACAGGGCCCCTGCTTTTGGTATCGCGCACTGCATCTCGTCGAGAAGGACTATATCTCACTATTTCGCCCCCCCCAGACCTGGTGCTGAGATCAACCTCTTGACAAACCCTCTCACAAAAGGCAATCATCTACCAACATCTTCTTTGACGTCGACTTCAACTCATCTGTTCTACAGAGATCAAAGTTGATCAAAAGTCCCCTCGTTAGTCCCCTCTCCATCTCAACTGTCAACTTCGACTTCACTTCCTCGGCCTCGTCTCCTCCCGCGACCTGCCTTACTGGTTTGAGTATTGATCGGCGTCCTTCAGCAAGCCTCGCTGCTTCCTCTCCGACTCGACAACATCCCGCCAGGACCGTGTCTAGGCCTCGACTCCCGTATTCGCTGGTGTGATCGAACTTCCTCGGGCGGCTCTACAGACCTGGAACCTCGCCGTCAAACCTCAATCATCGGCCAAGCACCCCGCAACGTGTGACTCGGCCTTTTTAAGTCCCCTCTCTTCCTTCTACAGAATTCACCAAGGGACATAGACTCTTACCAAGCTTCATGTCGACTTCCTGAGCTCGCCTTTTCACCAGACACAATGCTCGCACTGGAGCATTCACGCCACCAACAATTCGTCGACCAAGTATACGATCTCGAGCAAAGCATTCAAGCACCATACCCAAGTCTAGCCATGGATTCATATGATGCCGTCGACCCTATGATCTCCTTCCACCCACTTCCATATTCATATTTCGAAAACCCATCAATCTTTGCTACTACAGCACCCATGCAGATCAAGCAAGAAATGCATCAAATGCATGACTTGTCCCGATCGACCATTTCATCAGGTTCGGCAGCCTCAATCCCCAGTGCTTCATCCTCAACAGTGGGGTCCCCCTACTCTGGTCCTTCCCACACCATCGCCAGCCAGGATGGCTTCGACCATCACCACAACATCGCATATGGTCTTGGTGTCATGCCTACCATTGTCAACCACGAATCCTTTGCTCAAGAATTCGGAATGTCCTTGGAGGCGGAACTTCCCATCCACAGCCATGACAAGCTGTCAAATAGCTTTGTTGGTAAGTATGCCGATCTTTCCTCTTCTCAGCTTCGATCGTCGACTATTTCTTTTCCTCTTTCTGCACCTACCCACCGCACTGCATCCTCTCCATACCAAGTTGTGCATTCGACCGAGTCACCCGAGACTTTGACCATCAATACCTCTCTCAATGGGCAGGCTACTGATGCATCACCGGCACTTCCCGCTTCCATTTTCTCCTCTGCCATCCATTCCCCAGCGGAAGCATCTATCTCAACTCCCGTCTTCAAGTCTCCAACAACACCAGCATCAGCGCGATGGACTCACCCAAAGTCTTCCATATCCCCAGCCATCGATGGATCATGTCCATCTTCTGCCCGTAGGATGCCAACCCACCCGTCACATCCCATTGCCATGCATTTTCGTGACTCGCACGTCAATCAGCCCGCCAACGCGCGCTTCCAGTCTCATTTCTTTGCTCAAAGCAGTGGTAACTTCATCCAACCACTTGAAACATCCTGTTCGTCTCTTCTGCTGTTTTCCCTGTTTCCTTTCTCTGTGGTCTTTCTTTCCAATTGCAGTACCAGACATATCACACTTTCATGCATTTGGCGCTGACTATGTTTCTTCCAGATCCTGCTCTGATACACGCTCCTCAACCATTTGGAGAGACATCATATCCCGAGCAAGCACTGTTCCCCCCCAACATGCATTCATATTCAGCACTTTCTCCCTCTGGTTCACCAGCCCTGTCACCTCAACCCTACAACCACTATGCACCAGCACAATTTTCCGAAGCTATGACAAACCCCAACTTTTATCCACAACAAACACAGCTTAGCCGGCGGCCTTCGATCGCTTCCTATGGCTCCCGTTCAAGTCCCGCGTCAGAGTTCGATGATGAGGGGCGAGAGAAGGGTCGATGCCCCCATGCTGACTGCGGCAAAGTCTTCAAAGACTTGAAAGCACATATGTTGACTCACCAATCCGAGCGTCCAGAGAAATGCCCCATCCTGACGTGTGAATACAACCAGAAAGGCTTTGCCCGAAAGTACGACAAGAATCGACATACTTTGACGCATTACAAGGGCACCATGGTCTGCGGCTTCTGCCCAGGCTCGGGGTCTCCCGCGGAGAAAAGCTTCAACAGAGCCGATGTCTTTAAACGACATTTGACCTCTGTGCATGGAGTAGAGCAGACACCTCCCAACAGCCGAAAACGCAGTCCAACTTCCAACAACCGCAAGCTTTCCAGCTATTGCCAAGATGCCACTGGCAAATGCTCGACTTGCTCCCAGACCTTCAACAATGCTCAAGACTTTTATGAGCATCTTGATGACTGTGTCTTACGCGTGGTTCAACAAGAGGAACCCAGCGAGGCAATTAATGCACAACATCTTGCGGCAATGTCCAGCGACAGTCACGTGCAAGAAACCATGGATCTCCATATGATCAAGACTGAGGAGAACCCATCAATGAGCTTCGAAGATGATGACGAGGATGAAGACGACGACGACGACGACGATGAAGAAGATGAGGATCCATCGTTCCATGGTCGTTCTGGTAAAGGATCGATCAAGACTCACAAACATCCTGCTCATGCACGAGCGGTCATTGGCGCTGGTGTACAAAAGGGTAAAGCAGCGAAGAAGAGCATGACTTGGTCCAAAGGAGGTGTTGCTCTGGCCGGAAAAGGCCGCAAGAAGAGAAAGCACTATCCTCCTTCATGGGGCATGTCTGCTGAGAAGATGCGCATGAAGAAACGTGTGCTCTGTGTCTATGATGGAGGTCGTCGATTGTGGAAAGACGACATGATGCTTCACAGTGAGTTTGAAGTTCGCCTACCATTATCTGATGGCAAGAACTACGTCACCGACCTCGACGTGGAGACAATGAAGAGAGCAGTTGCTTTCCACAATTCGAGTGAGGAAGAGAAGGGGCCGTGGCTTGCCAACGCGGAAGAAGATGCACAAGGCTTCGTTGACCTGAATGCATTGATGGCAATTTGAAATGGAATTTTGGGGTGTTTTTCCCCTTTGATGGTGCGTTTTAGCGATTCAACACAATACCATGTCACAAGTTGGAGCAAGTGTTCTCGACATGACTTCCGAGATCTTGCCTTTTGTTTTTCTAATATTCGCTCACACGTGAGCATGGAAGCATTCAAATGAGCACAAATGTGAAATGAAAAAGCTAGGGACAGGCAACCCTTTGTTATGGCTGTGATGACTATTCTTGGATGGACAGACAAATCTCTTCGAGACCAGGCTCATATGGGTGGGATATGTGAGACGGTGATTGGGAGGACACATTGAACGAACAGAGATACCCATGGAGCATCTCCTTGATGGAAGAAACCCTTTGTATATAAATAACTTGCATACCTGAAGTAGTATTGGCGCTGAGCGCTACAATGCAATGGAGGTCACTCAATCACTTTTCATGTTCTGGCGATGACTGATTGTCTCTAAGAAAACATTGACGAAAGTCGGCCTCCTAGGCCCTTACAGCCAGGTACATTGGCGGTGTTGGTCTCGGTAGGAAGGGTTAGTTAGTCCTTGAGTCGGGAAGCCTAAACGCTCCAGTTCCCCAGGCATGCCCAGGCAGCAACGTCCCTATCGGTGATGGGCCTCGGGCCACTCCGTTCACTGTAGTGGAGCAAAGATCATGCCAAGCAATTTCAACAGCCTCAGGCTTCAAGTGCAAGTCGTCGTCTGCCGTCCGAGTCTCTAGGAGACGTCGTTGTGAACTTGGGTCATAATTCATACAATTTTCTCTCGCTTTATTGCGATTCTCGTAATTGCCTGCGCTTAGCTTCAGATACCTGAATTCGTTCTCCCCTTCACTTCGCAACGCGGCCAAGCTCAAAAGTGTCATTCCGCCGTTGGGTTGCCTTCGCTCCACCCCGCGGCCACAGGCCAATTGCCCTTCATGGCGAGTGACGCAGCTTTCCCAGAACAACCTCACTACGGGACAGTCGTGACTGGTAGATTTCATCCATCATGCCTCAATCATCGAAAATGAAGCTGAAACAGAAGATCACAGAGACTCCAAAGTTTGACCTTACTGCCTACATCTCCAACTACAAAGGTATGAGTCTCTGCCAGAGTATTCTGAAGCAGACTGACTGACACTGTCTTGCAGGGCGCACAGTGTTTCGCCGCCTCCACCTAATAGCATCATGCTCCACAGTTTTGGCCGAGGAGGCCGCTCGAATGGCTGTTATTGAGGCAAAGAAAGGCAGTGATGTTCGAAACTACAACCAAGCAGTCGCCTTGTTGAAGAGGGTAACATCAGGCCGAAATCTGGACAGTCTCTTAGATCCTGCCTGGGCCACACAACAAGAGAAGAAGAACAATGGGGAAACAGCTCGCTTAGAGAACGAGTTGAAGGGTTACAAGAACAATCTGATCAAAGAGAGCATCCGAGTATGTCCAGGCATTGCACCCTCCCTCCCACTTGCCTCACTAACATCCCATCCAGATGGGCAATGAAGACTTAGGCACTCATTACTACACCATAGGTGATCTCAACAATGCCCTGAAGGCCTATTCACGCATGCGCGACTACTGTACCACACCCGCTCACATCGCCTCCACCGCATTTCGCATCATTGCAGTCTCAATTGAACAAAAGAGTTGGTTGGCAGTCAGTGCGCAAGTCGCCAAGATTCAGAATCTTCAAATGAAGCCTGATGACAACACAAGAAGTCTACCAAAGACTTGGGCAGCAATAGGTCTCTACCAGATGTCCAGTCGTGAATATCGTGCGGCGGCTTCCAGTTTCCTTAGTTGTGACTCTTCTCTTGGTGACAGTTACAATGATGTGGTGACCAGCAACGATATCGCAGTCTATGGTGGTCTTTGTGCGCTGGCGTCAATGTCTCGTGCCGAATTGCAGACCAAGGTTCTAGAGAACACCAACTTCCGCAATTTCCTTGAACTTGAGCCTCACATTCGTCGTGCCATTGCTTTCTTCTGTGCAAGCAAGTATAGTCAATGTCTGGAGATTCTCGACTCTTACCAAGCGGATTATCTTCTCGATCTTTACTTGCAGCCTCTTCTCCCTGATATCTACAAGAGAATCAGAACCAAGAGCATTATCCAGTACTTTCAACCATTCAGCAAAGTCACCTTGGCAAGCATGGAGAAGATGTTCAGCAATCGCTCTGATAGCAACCAGTCACCTAATGGCTCTACAGCAAAGACAGAATTCATTGATGAGATTGTCGCTCTTATTGAAGGAGGTAAACTGGATGCACGAATTGATCTCGAACATGGAACGCTTGTTGCGGTCGAGCACGACCCTCGTGCTGAAGCCCAGCAAGAAGCATTGGACATGGTTGAAGCATTCACTCGGGAGGCGAGAATGAAGCTCATTCGTTTACAAGCCGTCAATGCTGGGTTGGAGGTCAAGCAGTTGCCGAGGAAGAAGGGCTGGGACACAGATGCCGACTTTACGTCGTACGACGACAACTCTGGAGGCAACCTCTCTGCACAGTCGGCCCCCGTCGGTCCTGGAAACAGAGACCTTCTAGGAAATGGTCCAGGCTACTCTCAACGAAAGGGTGGATAGTGGTCCGTCGAATACTTGAGTCAAATATGTCTACACCTGGTCGACAGATTGATTCATTACGACCCCAGAGCTTCATCACAGTGAAGGATATTCAACTCGTTGAGCCAACAACAGGGAATTGTGTACAAGTACAGAATGCTTCAAAGCACGAACGATGCAGACTGGAGAGAGTACTGCACATCATGCCACGGCAAGGCGCAGGCACTTACTAAAAAAGGCTGAGATCTTGGAGGCAGTCTATTCCTTGCATGATTCAACCAATTCCTGCAACTTTTTCCCCGGAGCTCTTCCGAAGCCCTTCCGAAGCCGCTGTCGGAGATAAAAATTGGGGGACGAGCACAACACGATTAATGGATACTGATCGCAGATTGGGTGGCTGAGGCTACTGTCTTGCGCCACTTCTCTCTCGGTATGCTGAGGAATAGCCCTCACCAACGTTGACAAAAATTTGGAAAGGGGTGGGAAGGCCACGGAAGCGACATGCCACTATCTGACTACCCAGTGATCCAGAGGTGGTAAGCAGAACCCTCACCAGCGATAAGATGATCATTGTCGTTTTTGCAGGGCAGCAAACACCACTGGCCACATAAAAAGTTCCAGTTTCTCATTACACGAGATCAAAAACGAGACGCAAGGGGCTTTGACCGGTCACTGGAAACACAGAGACAGAGCTAGGCAATTGAACCTTACCGCTGGACCCAATTCCACTCCATTCATTCCAATTGCAACCCCCGTCTCAGATTTCGTCCTTTTGTCATCCCAAATACGAATCCCTGTTCCTTGCCTGCTCATAGGGCCGTGTGACTGCAGACCGCCAGTGCCCAGGTGGTGTCAGTCCGGATAGTGACCCTACCTGCCTGCCCGTGAGATCTTTGTTTTTCCCCCCTGTTCCCCCTCGTAGGGCAGTTTCGGCCCCCCCAAAAACTTTGACCAGGTACTACTTACTAGGGTAGATACTATTCTTATTTGGACACCATGAATTCGTGATTATTTAATCCCCTGGCCACAGACGATGCTGGGGCCCAATGTTGTATTGTCTTGTTTTTGCTCTGGGCCACTAGTTGACTAGGCCCAGTAGTTGTATTTTACCCGACAGGGCTGTAGGGCCAATGGATCCGGGTTGCTGGGTTCAACTCTGTAAGTTATCCGTAGACGTTAATACTCAATAGTTATTTCGTTTTTACCAGGGGCAGGGGGCCCTCGTCATCTGTAACGGATCTTTACTGTAGCAGTCCCGAGTAGTTTCTACCAGTAACTACGGATATGTCAATACCTTGAGAACTTGAACAAGGAGGTACCTTGGATGATAAGCCACAGTGGTACCGGTGCTCTGGGTTTCTCCTTCAGTGGCTAACTAACTCGACAACGTGGCTTGACGCCAAACCCAGTGGACAGGTAACCCAAGGCTACTTAATCGATGTATCCGGACTATTACTTAGAGATGGAACATGGCGTCCGTACTCGGCAGACCGAGAAAAGATAAAGAGCAACAACGTAAAGTACATACCCTGGAGGCTGGAGAGGACGTGAATCCCGACTATCGAGAAAACTATCGACACATCGGCCGGGCGCGCAAGATCATACCCTCGTGGATCATACTACATAGGCATGTCGTGGTCTCCCTGACCGCCAGCAGAAGCCTCGTCTAGTTATGTTATCTCTGCCATGGGTTGAATACTAGTATTTACCTCCGGTACCGCGGAGAGTCACTGAAAGGATGTTTTCTCACGTCTAGTGGAGTGGGCTTGTCTACTACTCTGGTAAGTACCTACGAGGATGTACATGAGTAGTATTTTGATCTCCCCAACGGGCCGACCACAGCATTGCCTGCTGAATGAGGATCTTCATCAGCCGGTCAAGACACCTGCGGGCGACTGCAATGACTTCGCCGTTTGAGTGGGTATCGTGTTGTGCTGTGTTGTGTTGAAGGGGGCCTGAGGCTGCCAGGGGGGTAGAATAGTCGTGCTTACGTACATCTCGGCAGTTGGCCTCCCAGACAAAGACATCGAATCAGCAGCGCAGCCAGAGGAGAGAAATGTCGTATCATGTCTGTCACCCATGATGAACGAGCAATCCGTGAGCAGTGTAGAGATTCTATTCGTACAAGGGCCCGAGGTTTTTTATTACCAGCTAAATTGGTTAGGGGACTCACTTGCAGATACCTAACTAAGTTACTAAGGCCTGTCCGAGGGTGTGGTTGGCATTACTTGCATCTGTATTATTGCATGGGTGGCCTGGGCACTGCTTGCTGCTGGGGTATCTAACTAAGCCATGAGGGTAGGCGCCTCGGGCCTCGTATTGGCGACTTAGGGAAGGGCTAGGGCAAGGCCGGCTCCGAGTAGTGCCTTGGATAGTGCGTGATAATGGGCACATACTTGTTTGGGAATGTGTCCATGGGGTCCTAGGAAAAAGCCTTACCATTCACTACTACTGTGTAGGGCACTCTGGGAGAGAGAGCGCGCAGAGTCGATGTGCAGGGTTGCATGTGAGAGAAGTGGACATTACTGGGCTTGTCCTGCGCGACGCTTCGTAGTGTCGTTGGTTGGTACTTAGGGGTTGTCAGAGTGCAACACTCCATGATCGACCCAACAACGTAGTCAATAATACTGACTCGGTTTCTCACAAGTAAACGACCCTTAGAATAGATGGAGACGGACAATGTACTAGCATAGCCTCTCTAACCACTGAAGTATCATGGCAGGAAGTCGTTGCATGATGCATTGCATGGCATTGCCAATTCTCGTGGAGGGGACCAAAAAGTCCGCGAAATGGGATCGATTCTGGAGACCTTGTGTACAACATGTGAACCTGGAGGATTGAGGGCTGGCTGAGAGAACGAGTCATGGGCCCATCACACAATCGACAAGGCTCTGTGACAGAATGATGACAGTCCGCTGTATTCATCGCTTGCGTGAGAAAGCACCAGATTGAGCATGGTATCATACAAAGAAGCGGAGGAGTGATGAAATGATGCAGGGTTAGTCTTCAAAAGAACCTTGTGTATGATCAGAGAGAGTTTGGACTCGTCAATCATGAGGATGAGACGCCATGTGATCAGTCGACCATGGCTTGCGCTCCACGATCCAATCGATCTTGCTTGTCACTGCATTGCTGCGGTTCTAAAATCCCAAGAGTCTAAGAATGCGGTCCTTGAGATTGGACGATTTTGATGCTTTGGTGGTTCTTTGAGGAATTGAGTTCTGACTTCTAGTTAAGCGATGTCGTATTCTTGAGAGAGTTCGTGGAGAGCATTTTCGGTTTGGAGATGCTCGACAGGGTGCTGCGGCACGGCCGTGCTTCGCTTCTGGCATCGAAATGCCTATTTGGGGCAAGCCTGTATTCTTACCCCATGTTAGCCCGTATTCAACGGGCTTGTTTGCTTGTGTCGCGGCCGCCGAGCCGTCTCATTTTATTTTTGTAGGTGGGGTAGTTAGTGGATGGAGAATTGACCTCAGTTTTGAGCAGATGCATATGTCATTGCTGCAGTATCTGATTAGGTACCTACGTAGTGTCCGTACCGTCGTTAGAGAAATCCACGGTAGACCATTCTGGAATGAAGGAGGGGTTCTATGATGAGTGCGTGCATAGCATCTTGGCAGTTTGCAGATTGGGCGTACGCGTAGTTGCCCAAGTCATTGAATTATAGCGATGGTAACTAGAAATGGGCTCGAGATTGAGGCGCGTGTTGGGGAAAGTCGGCTTGGTAATCCATAGCTGGGATTTGAGAAGCTTTGGTACCTCCAGATGACGTTCGATTATTCCTACACTCTGTGAGGTGAAGCAGTGGGCGAAGGAGAGCAACACAAGTGTTATCGAGCGACTACGTGAAGCATAAGGGGGCAACAAAGCCCCCTCGGCGTGTCAAAGATCCCATATCCTCCTGCAGAATGCCTGGGTATTCTAGCGACGCTTTTTGAATCGTGCCCAGTGTCCTTTGATGGACTGTACTGATAGAGCGCGGTGACATCCCTCAACATAGATTTCCCTTTGAGCGCGAGTGCGCTGCCTTAACATCACCCCTGCGTAGTCCTGTTGCTTGATCTCACTTCTCAGGATGGATGTGGGTGTGTCTTTTGGATAAAGGGGTATCTTTCCATATGACTCCCGCGGAAACAGGCTTGAGCAACGATACCTGAACTTGGGTCGCTCACCTTCCTGATGTCGATCTTAGATCCTGGTGATCGATGGAAGATGGTACAACATTTGTCCTAGTCTGAAGGCGTACTGGCACAGATCATTTCCTGCAATATGTTAGTAAGTCAGAGTAGGCACCTCGTGTGTGATTCATCATGGTATACCGTCAGCATCTGGGCGCTTTTCTTGACATTCATTGATTTCCCGAGGCCAAAGCCGTTCTTGGCAAGCTGAATTTTCCTAAGCTGACCATTTTGCACGTTCTGAGAGCTGTCAGCTTCGTTGTATTTGGGTTGGCTCCCTTTGTCAAAGGCTCACCTTCTCTACCGTGTCCTTGACAATATAACGGAAGACTGTGACCGGCTTGGTTTGACCCAACCTCACGACTCGCCCAATGGCTTGACTTTCGACTGAAGGATTCCACTGAGGCTCCAAAATGTGTATGTAATTTGCCACGGACAGATTGTTGAGGCTAAGGGAATGTCAGCTCCTGATCGTTGTTTTTCGTGACAAAACCCACCCAACGGCGCCAACACCCAAAGTCATTAGCAAGACCGTATGTACATCGGAGCTTTGGAATTTTCTGAGAATTGATTTCCTCTGACTGAATGGCACAGAGCCATCGACCCGAAGATGTGAAATGCCCCTATCCTCAAGCATGGCGTCGACAATGTCGAGTGATTTTTTCCAAAACGAGAAGATAATGCTTGCACATTTAGTCATGTGAAACTGATAATGAGTCTTTGTAAGATTACTTACCTTTTGCCCTCTTTTCTGCAAAAGTCGACTTCCTCACACAACGCTATCAATTTCGATGGGAAACTCTGAGCGCCCGCGGTTCTCTGGCCAGGGTCCAAACTCAACACTTGATCGAAACTCTGATGCAAGGAGTGACATATTGGGCACGCTTCCCTGTCCCCACAATCTCTCAGAAATCGATCCAAACACTCGCCGCAGACAGCATGATAGCATGCTGTGACGATTCCCGAAGCATTACCCCCCGACCTGGTGAATGAGACAATGTCACACGAGCAGTAGTGACAAATAGCCTCGCCCTTTTGCTCGAGCAGACTGCCAATCTCGTCTGCTTCTGTCAAATCATGGACTCCATCCTCCTTAAAAAAATCGCCGTTGTTGCAGAATATGCGCATGCGAAGGAGGGCTTCTAAAACAGTCTGATGTGCCTCTTTTGCCTTGTGCCCACTCACTGCAAGATCGATAGCCTCCCTGATACGATGTCCCAGCTGCTGGTATGCCAGCCTTTCGTGTTGAGAAAATCGGACTTCACGGTAGCAGTCTTGCAGGGGAGGCAAGGGCAAGATCCCTCTGTTCCTTCGAAGGCATATCGCACCAAGAAGAAGCCGCAGATTGCCAAAATCCGGCTTCTGGACGTGCTTGGTTAGGTACGTTTGCTGGGTGATGTGTCGTCTGAACTGGGCAGCGTCCCCCAAGACTGGAACTTTGATAAAAGAGACTAATGACCCTAAGTCATCTAGGCTATTCTGGATAGGTGTACCCGTCAGACACCATCGAATATAGCCACGAAGGTCGGAAACTGCCCGATGTTGATGAGTGGCTGCATTTCGAATCATATGCGCTGTACCTGATTAGCAATAGCGCTAGAATGTAGTGAGCAAATGGAGAATCACCTTCATCCAAAACGATACGGTACCACAAGATCTTAAACATTCGGCTTCTTTTGCGTCTAAAATCTGCTGCAACAGTTGCATAGGTTGTCAGTAGCACATCATGGTTCAACAGGTTGGGAAGCGCAATGTTTCGGCTTTGACCATGATATTTATAGATCGATAAAGTGCCAGCCACGGTGTGTCTAACCTTGGATCTCAGTATAGAGCTTGTCGAAGATGGTGAAGATGGTTGATAACCTACTTAGTGATTTCCTCGATCCAATTGTCCATAAGCACTGTCACCGGTCAACAAGCAATCCAAACCTCAATGGCAGTCCCTGCCCAAGGCCTAGATCGCAATTTTGACTCACATGCAGACGGAACCACTATCAGTGTTGAGCGTGCCGCGCTGACGGCCTCCACATTCACGCCTGGTTTTGTAGTCATGGCGAATGCAAAATTATATGCTTGACTCAGCGAGCCAACAATCGCTGAAATCATCATCAACGATTTTCCCAGGCCCATTTCGTCAGCCAGGATTCCGCCCAAGGGATCTTGGGGTGTATTGCATTTTGCTCCTGTTATGAGATGCTGATAGTAGCTTAGAAGGAGTCAGTTTGGCGTGCGTCCCGTCCATTTCTGAAACGCTGTTGTTGACTTACATTTCCTGGGTGGATTCATTCAATTGCTGTTCCCATAAACGCCTAGACGTAAGCAAGCCAAGTGATTCTCTCTTGAGCACGAAATCTAAGCCCTCCCTTTGATATCTGTGATTGTCAGCAAATTCCGCTTTGACCATAGTGAGGAAAACCAACTCGAGCAAAACAGTGTTGACCAGTGAATTCGCGGTTGCCTGTTGTAGATCCTTCTGCTGTGCGAACTGGTCCAGTATATGATCAAATTCGAGGTCAGCTGTAAGATCTGTTGAAGTTGACGCCTGGCCATGAGAGACTTGGACCTGCGACAGAGCCCCTCCATCCTGTCCCTGTAGATCTTCTGCCAGATCTCCGGGCCCTAGTTCGGGATCGAACTCGTGTGCCGGCAACTCTAGGTATTGAGGGTTGACGTAGGAACAGTTCTCACGAATTGAATAAGGGTCTTGTAAGAACAGGCCCCTACGTGACAATTCGAGTGCGAGTCGGTCTCCAGCGTCCGGTCGGCCGTAGATGTTCAGACTGATTTTCGTAACTTTCTTTGGATTCGAACCTTCAAAGGCGTCGGTGAGGGCATGTATCGATATCAATCCTTCCCATGATAGTGGAACAGTTTCTTGCAAGGCTTTGAGTTGATTAAATGTCTTTGTGTTTAATGTCGCGAGTTTTGGACCACTCTGTGCCAATAACTCACACCATGACTCCTCAAAGGAAAGCCTGAGAAGGAACACCCGATCTTCATCAGCAGTAGGACGAGTAGTCGAGATATCCAAAATTGGCAGCCCAGGCTCGTCATCGAAGCGTATTCCCACCTCACAAATCTATACAAGTCAGTCATCTAGGAGAGAAGTACTAGAGTCAAGGTGGATGTTTACTAACCATACCAAAACAGCATTCCGCCTCTCCTAGGGTGTTGGAAGACCGAGTGGAAGATTCCGGGACTGCTACTGTACTACTATGCGCAGCAGATCCAATAGACGATAGGGTCGCGCTTCGTCGTTGCTCCCATGGCGCGGGTACGTTGCTTGGAAGATTTTCACAAGGTTTTTTCGGGAGGCGCTCATTGGAGAGACGGTCATGGTCATGGCATTGAACTTCCATATAAGGCCTCTTCGAAACTTGCGCCGACAGCGACGATTCCATTTCGGAGTTTACATTAGCAATGGGTTTGCTGCGACAGCCTTATCAAGATGTGCGCAGACTAAAGTCACAGCACGGCAGTCCCAGGTTTACTGCTAGCATATCCCCTCTTGCATGATAGACGTTCCTAGCTCTCGTTGGGCCAAGTCGCATTGCGAGAACGCTTCACAAGATTATGAGCCTTGTTGTCGTGGGAGATGGAACCTCTGAAAATGATCTCAGTCGTGGCTATGACATACCTGTGTTCTCAAAAAAGATGGGAATGGATTGGGTGTTTCTAGTTAGGGCGCACTGTGTCGGTGAGCCGGGGCGCAGCTTTTCCCGGATAGTTGGAAGGTAAATACGAGGTACAAGCCCCGGACTAGAGCTGAAACAGCTACCTAACTAGGTATTTTCTCAGCAGCCTCACTTGTCTTTGTCACATCACAACTGGCCTTCACCGGTCAGTGTCTCGACATCCGAAGATCGGGAATTTACACAGCCATTCAAGGTGATCGTAAAGGACTCTTGTACTCGGCACTCTAGATGTTGAAAAGCGCCTGGAACTTGATTAGGTAACCCTCCTCCCTGTAAAAGGCATTGAGCTCAATGGCCCGCCCCCCCCGTTCCAACAAGGCCCTCAATCCATTCGTGCAATCTGTTGGTAGATGCAATCAGCCGCTCTCAAGGCTGACAGGCTTTGCATCAAATTCGTATCTTGACATGAAGACCTTACCACTGGATACATATTTCACACGGACGCATCTCTCAGACACTCCGGTATTCTTTTAGTTGTACCGAGTCATTCACGACCACCATCCCATCGAAGATTCCAAAATGTGAATACTCTTTCTCTACTCATCTCACTACATCATGGCGTCCAGACCTGGCATCTCTGCATCTAGCTTCCAAAATGCCCTTGATAGGTTCAAATCAAAATCAGGTCTTACATCGCAGGAGCTGGCCGACATGGGAACGACAACCTTGCCTCAGCTGCAAAGAGCCTTAGATATGATGCAACAAAAGCAGAAAGCCACACGATCGATGAAGCACCTGAAACGACTTCAACCCTTTTTAGCTGCAATGAAGCAGTACAGCCAGGTAGTGGATGTTTTTGCAAACACCTCTGACTGTGTTGCGTTTATCTGGGTATTTCCCCAAAAAAAAAGACACTGACATTACTTTATGCTAACAAAACGAGGGTCCGATCAAATTTCTACTTACCGTACGCTGAAGACACGATCACAATTCCGGTTCATCAAATGACAAGCTTTACTTAGGTCGCCTTCAATTTCTCCGATGCATTTAATGCGTTACTTGAGGGCTATCTAACGATAGGCGATAACATGCCCCTGCTGGAACAGTATCAGCAGCTCTTCGAGAACAACAAGTACATGCAAACGGCATTAACATCAATATTCGAAGATATACTGGATTTTCATCTCGAGGCGGTCAAGCTCTTCAAACAAAAAGGTACACAATTAAACCTTGATTTCGAATCATTGCAGCTAATGTGGTCATTTAGCCTTGAGGCAACTGTACCATGCTACTTGGCGGACTCTGGGTAAGAATATTGAGGAGATCACCACGTCGTTGCAGCGCCATAAAAGTATCATTGAAACACAGGCGACACTTGTCGAATACGAGCAGTTTCAAGCTTTTCGTGCACAGACAAAGGCAGAGTTTGCAGAATTGCAGATATCAGAGAGAGATCGCAGATATGCTCGTGTACAGGACTGGTTATCCCCCATTGATAGCAGGGCAAGAGACGAAGCCGCCAGTCGTGAGAGATTCCTTGACACGGGGTTATGGCTGTTGCAAGATGACCGCTTTAGACATTGGTTCTTGGCTGATCAATGTATGGATCCATTGCTGTGGTTGTGTGGTATGCCCGGCGCAGGTAAGTAGTGCTCAAGCTTCTACCTGGAGGACTCCTAACCTAATCGACCTGCAGGGAAGACCATTCTCGCTTCACTAGTGTTTGCGGAAGCAAACAGAGTGCCCGATGCGGTGGCTCTGTGCTTTTATTGCAGATATACCGATGAACAGAAGAACGGGTTCCTTGCAGTCGCAAAATCGCTCATCTCCCAGGTTCTGCCAAAGAATGACTCCGTACTCGACTATCTATATGAAGAAGTATCCAAGAGTGGCGAAGCCAGCCTAACGACAATTGCCCTGGCTCAAACTCTCTTGGAGGTTGTGCTAAAATCTTGTAAACTAGTTTACATCGTGCTCGATGGCCTTGACGAGTACGCTCGAGAGGATCGGAAAGAGCTGGTAACCTGGTTTCAGCAACTCATTGCTGGGCTCCCCAGAAACGATCACGGCGCGATACGTTGCCTATTCGTTAGTCAGGACGATGGATATGGGCGGAAAGATTTCTCCATGCTGTCAACCATCAAGATTACACACGCAGACAATAATGCGGACATCAAGCGCTTCTGTGAGCACTGGCATGAGCGGATTGAGGTCAAGTTTGGCAAGCTCCAGGAAAGGCAGCATCATGTTGCGAATGTTGTGAGCGCTAGAGCCCAAGGTATGGTACCTCAATAGTCCTTAGCGAGGCTTCATCTGATAGCAAGCACAGGAATGTTTTTATTTGCAAAGTTGGTCACATGGAATCTCCACGAGCAGGTTTCACGTGCCGACTTTGAAAAGGAGATCGATGAAGAAAGGCTTCCTGACAACATAGATAAAGCGTACGTAAAAGATCAAATTCGCAATAGCGCTGATACACTTCAGGTACGATCGAATACTGGGGCGACTGGTAGCTACGACAGTGCCGCAAACGCGGCGGAATAATATTCGAAAACTTCTCGGATGGCTTGCATGTGCCAGAAGACCTCTCAAGTGGCACGAAATTCAGGGCGCGAATTCTGTCGACCTTGATCATAGCGTCATCTGTCCGAAGCAGCAGTTTACAGAGGATTGTAAGGAACTGTGTCTGTCTCTGGTGGAGATCGCCCCTGATCAGACAGTGACGTTGGTGCACTCGACAACAAGGCCGTATGCCATCATAGGTATTTCCTTTGCTATGTCCGACAGATTCTGACACGTCACAGGTACTTGGTCCATAAAGGATTCTTCCGCATGTCGGAAATTGAATGCGGCATGGCGACACTTTGTGTGGCTTACCTCAATATGCCCGAATTTGAATCCAATAGAGAAGAGGCAGCAGTCAAGGACTCGTACTTGAAAGGGGCTTATTCATTTGCAGACTATGCCATGTGCTTTTGGGCCCTTCACGTGGAAGCTGCCCTGATAAACGCAAATGAGCTGGATGCGAACCTGTTGAAAGAGCTCACCGAAAGCATAGAAATCTTTCTGGACTTGCACTTGATGGACCAGGCCACGCCCGAAGTCGTCCCAAGCAAGGTGTATCAATGCCTGAAGATCTTAGAGCAGCATGATTACTACGACCAGGCTTGTCAGGCCGTAGCAGCTGCTAAGAGCTGGTTACGCCCAAGCAGAAAAAAGCCTCTGACTGATGTTTCCCTCCGATTGCCTCGAGTAATGTACGACATCCGCGCCATAATCGAACCACTGAGCTCATCGCAAGCTCTGTCTGATGAGGAGCGTGGTCTCGTTGTACAGTACTATGGATTTAACCACTACAAGTGTTCACGGATGAACTGCCAGTTCTTCCATCGCGGGTTTCCGACTGACTCACAGCGCGATCAGCACACCTCAAAGCATGATCGCTCGTTCATTTGCATGTCGTTTGGCTGTCCGTACGCAATTATCGGCTTTGCGACCAGCAAGGAACTGGAGAAGCACATGCTGTCTTACCATGGGATCGAAGCGAATCCAGAAGAACTTGAGTTCCCCGATATAGCTTCATTACAACCTTTGCGTAAGAAGCATCCTTCATCTCACAAATGTGACATCTGTTCTAAAACTTTCACCCGAAAACACAACCTAATGGCACATCTCCGCACCCACGCCAATGAGCGTCCCTTTGTTTGTAATGTCTGTAAACAGGGGTTTGCCCGACAACATGATCGAAAACGCCACGAAGCAATCCACGTGGGTGAGAAAGCTTACATCTGTGGAAAAAGGCCACACTTCGTATCAGGTGAGGCCTGGGGATGTGGACGAGGCTTCGCGAGAGCAGATAGTCTGGGCCTTCACTGGCGCTCAGAGCCTGGGCGAATCTGTTTGAAACAAATGCTACAGGAAAAGAAGGCAGCAGAAGAACGGCGGGCCCAGGAATTGCGCGACAAGACAACGCGAAGCGCCTTCTTCGATCAGGATTTCGGAGACAACCAAAATTTCGATCTCGACTTCTCTACGCTGGAGAATTCTGATGTTCTTGAAAATTTTGATTTTGATTCCTTCTTGAACACCACAAATGAAGATACTTTCAACTTCGATACCGGGATAGGCGTATAGGACAGAGGACCGAACAAATTCAACCCAACAAAGGCTCTGATACACTATCTCGTATTGTCTATCCCCCCTGCTAAATTCATTTAGCTGCAGAGGGTTCTTCTCTTACATTTGACTGCCTGTCTGACAGATGTCCACGCCCTTCTTACTGTATCCTATTATCGGCCATGTCTGATAGAGCACCAGAAATGGCAAACATATCTGCAATCCTTTTCCATAGCATGTTACTGCATGCTCACTTTGCAGGATCAGTTGGTGCGCCAAACTCTACAGCCAATGATTGAATACGACGAGCGAGAACTGAAGCCTTAGGGTGAGTGAGTGTTTGCTGTGTACAAGTGTGGCTTAAACTGTGAAAAAGATGTCCCTTCCAACATCGTCTCAATCAGGCCATTGCGGGTCTCCTAGCAAGATGCCGAGCGTCTCGTTCTGTTTTGAAAACAGTTTCCCAAGTGATCTCCATGAATTCCTTGGCGGCTTTGTGCTTCGATCAGATACTTTAGTCGAAGAACATTCGGAAGGACTATCTGAAGCCTTCAATTCGACAACTACTGATTCCGGCTACCTCAGCCGTACCCATTTACTACTCTGTGTTTTTCTACTCTACCTTAAAGCAGCCGGCTCAGATTTTTGGCTCAAGTATTCCAAAATCGTGCTCTGTCGGATGAGGTACCTTGGTACTAAGCGGCAAGCAGCTTCGTCTATTCTTACTCGTCCCTACGGAGTACGAAGTACTCACGAGTAAGGGAGGTAAAAACATGATTTGATTGGACCATCTCCAAGAGCCTTGCTTTGGTCTAACGTGAAAGGGGGGTAGCACCATCATCGACTTCAATTTTTGTTCCTCTGTCAACACGGCGGTGCAGTGAGTCAAAGTACTCGGTTGTGGGGAGGAAAGGGACTGCACAAAGTGCGACGAACCACCTAGGTACGCATAGCGGTATGACATGTGCACAAAGTGGTAGGACATGGGACAAAGTGGATCATCTTACCTCCGGATAGTTCGGGCGTGGCTTCGTAGACCAAGATCCGACAACATACTCGTAATTAGATTGGGTTACCTTCAGCACTCTCAGTCGATCTAACGAGAAATGGTGTAGCATGATCATCGGCCTCAACTTTTGTTGTTCATTTTCCACGGCGGTGCAAGATCATGCTTGGGCAGCGACGGGGTGGCCAGCCTAATCATTGGATCAGCCCGGGTAAAGTGGATAGACCTGGGGACAGAAATAGTATCTAGAAGGAAACTGCACCGCCTGATCATCGAAAAGCGAAGATTTGGGGCCGATGACATTGCTATTCCACTTCAGGGTTAATGTATCGAGGAAGCTGACTCAATGATGCCTCAGCCAGAGGAAAGCAAACCCTGGGGACTGATTCGTCGTACGAGTACAAAGTACGGGCTTGGTTCCAACATACCTACGGAATAGGTAGGGAAATCACCACGCGACGGGATCCTCGAGGTTTTGGCGCCCCTGGATGACCTCGAAAAATGCAACGCACAAACCAAAGGTATGGTACCTGGACATACAATCAGTGGTGCTGAGAGGCTACGATAAACAATTCATCCAACCTAAACTTGATCGTTGCACGAGGTCATGATCGACCAAAGTCTACTCTTCCAGTTTGCAGATCGCACAATTATCATGAGTCAGGACACAATCCAGGTAATAATTGGGAGTTCATTGATATACGTGGTCAGACCCACTTTTCATTCGGCCCGAATTGCTGTGAAAGGGGTATCTCCACAGCTTGTACAGGTGAACCAGGGACGTGTAGCCACCGACGGAGTGCTGGATATTCTTTTCGTCTGACAGTAATTATCTATTACAACCCACCTTGAACTTCGAGGTCTATTCGGACAAAGAGACTTTGGTTCAGCATCGTCATCGTCGCAGAGTCATTCGGTATCGAAGCTGAATCGCCTTTCGAGTTGCTCGTATGAGAATGCCATCATATATCTCGATGTCTCCGATGTGGAAGGGACGAACCTTCAAGCGACTGGATCCGGTTGGCTGAATCAGGATGATCGGAATCGTCGTTTGTCCGCCAACCGGTCCTCGACGGCGACATTTTAGATACACCAAGACACTCACACTATAGTGGACATAGCTCACAGCGAGAGTATATAAACAGGAGTGAGGTCTGTGAGTTCTCCCTCCTGGTTGTTCGAAATCAAACCGTTTTAAAGTAAGACAAGTGAAGGTTTTGCATCTCCAAAATGCCATCTTCCATTTTGCTCCGTGGAGGGACAGTCTTGACTCATGATGAGAATGACCACGTCGTCTCCCTTGTTGACACGGATATACTCATCGACAATGACACCATCTCGAAAATTGGACGACAAATACCAATATCGCCTGACCAGACTGTTGAGGTCATCGACTGCAAGGGCAAGATTGTTTCCCCTGGATTTATCGACACTCACCACCATCTTTGGCAAACACAACTGAAAGGAAGACATGCAGATCATGGCTTGGTTGAATACATGGTCAAAGGTCCGCGATTCCCTTTCTTGCGGTTGCCACGGCCAAGACAAGCTGACCTTTGCAACACTTGCAGGATATATGATGGGTTATACCTACTCCCCAGCTGATACCTATTGGGGACAGCTTTCTGGCTGTCTCGAGGCGATCAACTCAGGAACAACGACTGTGCTAGACCATGCACATATCGCTTACAGTGCTGAGCATGGTAAGTGGAGTACCACCTCGAGCGCCGCCAGTACTTACAAGGAATTTCAGCAAACTCGGCCTTGAATGCAACAATAGATTCTGGGCTCCGGTCGATATTCGCCGGTCAGGTTCCAGTCCGCCTCTCACATTGGGATGAGAAAACTTGCGACATCAATACTGAGTTTTTGCCCGAGTGGTCATTAGATCAGCTTTCCGAGCTTGCATCGAAACACAATCGAGACCCGAAGAGTAGGGTCGAGGTAGGCTTGGGCTTTGATGCTTGGTTTCTTCCAAAGGATCTGGTCCTTGGGGCTTTCCAAAAGCTGAAAGGCAATGGTGTCAGACTGGTCACCTCACATGTAACGAGGAATGCCTTCTTTGGTATGTCTTGTAACACTCTATGTGATTGTGAGCAAGATTTTGGTGGGCTAATCAATATTGTGAATAGGTCTCCAGTCTACTATTCCATTGATGGACTCGTATGGCTTACTCCGTGAGCCGTATTCAGAAGACGCAGGCGACGGCAAGACCCTACCATTTTTGCACCTAAGCCACTGCAATAATATACCAGAGGAGGACCTTAAGAGACTTGTCGCTACAGGGACTCCCGTCTCAAGCACACCAGACACTGAGGCACAGATGGCTCTGGGCCATCCAGTAGCTTTGCACCTGGCTTTCAGATCGGCCACCACGACCTCAAATGCTGGGCTCGGGATCGACTGTCACACCAACAACCCCAGTAGCATCCTGCTCCAAGCTCGAACTCTTCTCAACGTGGCCCGAGCTCAGCACAATGACCTTCTTCTCAAAGAAGACAAATTTCCTGTTGCAGATGTCTTGAGCTCGACGGAAAAAGTCTTCAATCTTGCCACGATCCGAGGAGCCCGAAGTCTGGGAATCCACAACAAGGTCGGCAGTATCCTAGAAGGCAAAAAGGCCGACTTGGTCATCTTCGATGCTGAAAACAGTGTGGGCATGTTGTCTGCGACTGAGTTCGATCCACTCGTGAGTGTCGTTCGCTTCAGCGAAGCTGCGGATATTGAATTCGTCATCGTTGATGGAAAGGTGAGAAAGCGGAACGGGAAATTGGTAGATGTCGAGAGCAGTGTCAACCAGAACGAAGATTCTACCGCCTTGAAATGGTCAGATGTCGCAAAGAAGGTTCGAGAGAGCCAGAAGGAGATACAAGAGAGGATCAAGCTATTGAACACGGATGTAGGGAGAGAGTCACTCCTCAAGGCATTCCACGTCGACGAGACCAGGCTTGTGGATGGTGCAGTTTGATGGCCGTATAAAGTCTGAGGTCTCCTGAGACGTCCTGTGATTCCAGGTCAATGTCGGTTTAGGTATGTACTTCTACATGGCCCCATAATCAAAACCTCAACTTCTTGTATCTGACACCCACAATCATTCAACGTCGTTGAGATAATTCTAGAGACCACTATCACAAATTAATCATCAAGACTGACCTGCTCTAGACCAGTGAAGAATCTAGGTAGTCACTAGGCCAACCCATCGAAAGGAGAGCCAAAAAAAGACCAACGACGACGACACCAGGATTCGAACACAGGACCAGAAACGACAAAAACTCCTGCCGAAGCAGGATAAAACCCCCTGATGGGATTTTGTATTACTTTTATCCACCCTATCATCTTAGGGGTCATACCCCTAAGGCATCCAAGATCAGGAGAAGATTGGTTGAAAGTTCACAACAAACTAACAGTCTTCGGCAAGCTGGTGTGGGTGGCATTGTTCTCAGACCAGCGCCCTGTTAATTGTTGAGGACTTTTCAGTTGATCAAAAATATATACTGGTGATTATTGTTAAGTGAATGTTGGTTGAGGTCTTGGTGAAGACGGGGAAGGCACCAGGGGGACCCGATTTCTTCTAGTAGGGCATGCCACTGTGAAATGCGTTGCGAACGGGCTATCAGAGTCGGACTCAGGAACAATCCCTAACTAACTACAATTCATTATGTGGCGATCAGGCTGAGCGATGATCCCTGCCTCCCTCAGTCTACAAATCTGTGTGAAAACAGCTCTGTGGGATCATTCAATCTTTCAGCCATAAACCCAGCTTCCGGTGAGCACACGGTGGGTGAGCTCAAGAAGTTGGACTAAACTATGCCTTGTACTCAAGGCTCCATTATAATACGCATCTTCAGCTCGTCCGAGATGTTGTCCGCGAGCGCGATTATTCACTTGAACCTTTGTCATAGATTCTCACCTATATCATGGTAAAGTCCCCCATACCTGCCTCCATGCACACGCTGGTCATTTCCACTTTAAGTGGAATTGTAGTGCGGTGTGATCACAAGCTCATGAGACCAGTGTGAGATGTACTGAGGTAGTTGAGCAATTCTCGTGGTGCCTTGCACCGTTCCTACCTACCTCCTATTTAAGCACGCTCCCACATCGGATCATCTTCTTTCCGCAAGCAAAGGCAACGGCACCGATATATGATTCACACTTCCAGAAAAGTGGTCAACAATTCAAGAAAGTTTCCCTGCGAGATGCCTGGCAGGACCTCGGTTAATTCAGGGGTATTACTGGAAGCTGGTACTGCAGAGAGAGTCTTTCTGGTACCGCCTTGACATTGTTTTTTGCGGTTTTTTGCAAGTGGTTCCGTGTTCGATCCTCAGACGGAACAAAGCAAAGAACCCCCTTCACAACTTCGATTTACCCTGTTCCCTACCCTCTCTCAGCTTGACACTGTCGACTCGTCTACCCTCGTCATCTTGCTCTGCCACTTCTAGGGTGGGAAACTCTGCAGGCATGATCCTTCGAGGCTGGGCTCCCGGCACAACGCTGTACTTGCTGAAATCAGTGACGCCCTTCTTACGCAGGAAGTCTTCATCTAGATCCAACAGGCCGTTGACTTCCTCGGCGGGAGAGTTGAGCATGGCTAAAATAGCGTCGGAGAATATCGTGGGCTTGCGGAGGTCCTTCCGCAGCTCTTGGTCTGTCTGGACGGCGTTCTGGGTTGCCGCGGACTCGATTGACTGCCAATTACGTTAGCGTTGACAATATCTCAAGCCCCAGAGTCTAACTTACCGCTGCTGGCCATATACTGGTGATTGCCATGTCTTTCCTCCCTTGTCTGACAAAGTCCATGGCGAGGCCTTTCGTCAAAACACTCATTCCGACTTTGCCCATGGCGTAGGCTGTCTTGCCCCTAAAGAATCTCGAATAGATTGGAGGACTGACGACGATGATTCGACCCTTCCAACCATTTTTGCCAAAATGAGGTAGTGCGGCAGACACAGCCGCATACAGACCTTGAGGATTGATTTGTTGCATCAGCTGAAATCGCTTGACTGGGGTTGTCTCGATGGCACTCCACCAGATGGCACCGGAGTTGTAGATGAGCACGTCCAGGCGGCCGAGGCGTCTGACTGTTTCATTGACCAGTGCCTCTACGGCGTCGGTGTTACGTACGTCAACCTCGAGGGCCAGGGCCGAACCTCCAGCGTCTGTGATCTCTCGGGCGACTGTGTTGATGGTTGACTGAGAAGAATTTGGATCAGGTGGGAATTCTGAAGCGGGGATTTTGGATGCATCGGATGTGGTTTTAGCGGCCACGACGACTTTGACGAGTCAGCGTTCACTCTTGAGCTGTTCCAATGTCATGTCTCGAGTCCAAGGTGTGACATACGGTAGTACCCATGGCGAGCAAGGTCAACAGCTATCCGGTGACCTATGCCTCGCGACCCTCCGACGAGGAGTGCTACTTTCTTGTTGTTGGAACTCATTCTATGCTGTTATCACCTTAAAGGAATATCTCGTCTTCAAAAGCACCACCAGGCGAGGAGTTGTTGCTAAAATGCAAATAGTGGTAGCTTTTGAACGATCTATACACTTTTCCACCCTTCTTTCAGGTGATCAGTAATTCACGTGTGCCGCGGATAGTGTTGACCTGGGATTCGTGTCCACTCGGACTACCACCGAACGTGCCTAGGGAAACCACCTAGATTATCGACAGCTTGAAACTCTAACAGTACGGAGTACTGTGCGACATCATGTTTGAGTCTGAGAATATGTCCTTTCGCACGTAGCGTCGAAGAACAGTTGAAATCTGCCAGGTTAGGTAGCTCGGTAGGTATGGGAGGAATGAATACTAATCATTAAAAGACCGAGCCTCAGAATGGCCTCTGGGGTCGTCACGGCGTAACGTTGTCAACTATAATGCGGAGTGAGTGGCGGCGCCGGGCGGGAGATGATTTTGGTGTCCTTAAGCTAGTGGCTGACGACCATAACTTACCTCGGCTTTACTCACATCACGTCCGACCACTTCTCACCTCCACATCCACTGCAAGACCTATGAAGATGGGTCGAAATAGCTAGTTGGCATCCAGACAATTATTATCTTCAGGAACTGTCGCACTCTTGATCGGGTACAATCAGGGAAGGAGCAAGGCGTCCTATTCAGTGACCATCATTTCCCAAGGGAGGGACTCCTTATCGGCGGTACTCGGTCAGTTCTTTTTATCTTCGTTGGTTGTCGAGTAGTTCACAAAGCTCGACAAGGACCAGTACTCGAACAAAGATGGGGGGCCGGATAGATTGTTACTTTGATTGCAGTGAGTGTTCTTGGTTCCAATTTACTGGAATCCGTCGCCATTCGATTTGGATCTGTGTGTTCCTAACAAGAGTCTGACACTTCACAGCATCACCATACAGTTATTTTGCTTTTCTTTATCTGAGGAAGAACAGAGCATTACTGGCACAATATGACATAGAAGTTGAGTAAGTACAACCTTTGTTATCTTGCTTTCTCCCCTTGCATGGTTTTCGACTTGAGAGGGAGATGGAATAGAATGAGGTGACGGATGGACTCGGTTTATTGGTGTGCGGATGGGATGTACCACCAAGACCGGGATCAAGAATCCCAATGAACACAATGGAGGCAATCGAACCCCATGGTCCGTCACTCTGTCACTAACATTAACCCACCTCCTCAGAATCCACCCAGTGTTCCTGGGCGGCATCAATGTCGGTTCTGGCAACAAACCACCATGGACGCTTCCAGCAAAAGCGAAATACGGAACCTACGACTCGAAACGCGCCGTCAAATACTTTGGTACCGAGCAACTCGTCACACCAGATTTCTTTCCGATCCTCTCTGTCGTACCACAGCGTGCCATGCTTGTCGTGAAAGACCGGCATCCACGCGAGGTATTTGAGAATTGTTTCCTCGACACGTGGCGATGCAGCTTCGTGACGCACGTCAATATCGAGAAGCCCGAGGGACTGGCGAAGCTACTGGGAGCTCATTTTGACGAGAACGAGGTCAAGGAGATCATGCGGTTGATGACCACCAAGGAGTATAAGGACAGGTTGACGCAGAATACCAAGGACGCCTTAGAGCAGGGTGCGTTTGGGGCACCGTGGTTTAAATTGACGAATGCGCAGGGTGTGGTTGAGCCGTTGTTTGGCAGTGATCGGTGGGCTTATATGTGGGATTTCCTCGGGGTGGATTTCGAGGACATCAAGATTGTGGACAAGACGAAAGGAAAAGCAAAGCTCTAACTGCGGATGTCATTTTCGCAGTGAGCCTTGTGGGTAGATGTGATATTTATTGCGATTGGAGGTAATTTCAAGCAGTAAGTATATATGTACATCGGTTGTATCCCTTTTGTTGTTCAATAATGTTCCAAACTGTAAGGTGCGCTTGCAGACTTTTGTTCTTCTCGTGTCTCATATCAGGTATAAAAATACAGATATCCAACCTTCACATGCATATATCCGGGCTCTGATGAGATAAGGTAGCAATTGGTTGAATGGGTACCGCCATAAGCTATAGGCTCGATCCTGGAAATGAGTACATATGTGAGCTCAACTCCCAGTGCAGGATACAGGAGACAGGAAAGTTGAGATGAGTCTCGACCGGACCCTTCCCCACAACCATGCCGACCTGTCTGTGGCGGTGGATGCTTCGGAAGCAGTCAAATGATCGTCGTGGTGTCTACAGCCTTGTCTGAATGATCAACCAATTGCACAATCGAGAGTGCAGGCTAAGGGTTGACTTTGTGTCTTTGTTCAGCGTAGTGAGGAGTTGCTGGCAGAGCAGTCGTTCGGAGGCAGACCAACAACATCAAGCATGAGGAACGCAAATGCAACTCGCGTTCATGCAACAATGTCATTCACGAACCGAGTATGCCATTCGCGTTGTTCGCTTCACCAGATGACTTGGCCCTTTGCAAGCTCAGCACCACACAAGCCAACAACAAGATGCTATTGAACGCTGCCATGATGTAGAAGGGAGCGGATAATGAGACTTTGTCGAACATGAGGCCTCCGAGTTTTGTCAAGATCAAGATAGCAGCACCTCCATAGAGGGAATAGACTCCCGCGAAGGACCCCTTAAGTGCGGAGAGCCTAGTATCATTGCTCCGTGAACTTGGATCATTGAGAAGCGGTTGACTTTCGTCATTCGTCGACTCAACCGGAGACTTCCTTGTATTCTGAATAGCTCCTTCGAGAATCCCTTTACTCAAAGTGCCCAAGCTGCAGACAATTGCTCCAATCTGACTAATACCAATCAAGCTGACAGCCAAAAATGCGACGACTCTCCTGCCAGTGTCTTTGTCATCCGGGTCGAATTGACTTGCAAAGAGTGGGTATCCAGTGATGCCGGCGACTGCGGCGAAGATCAGAGGATACTCTTTTCTTGCAGATTTGGCGCTCCAGTAGCCAAATATTGGTGCGAAGATCAAAGCGACCGTTTCGGCAGCTCCGGTCAATTCCGCGGCAACAACATATGCACGTGGACACCTTCTCTTGATGTCCGGGAGTCCGCTAGGGTTGCCTAGATCTCCTGCAGCCTGGCAGAGATCTGATGACATGAACATGGCGTTGACAAGGAGAGGAACGAATAAGGAGATGCCCACGGATGATGCTCGTGCCACAAATCCACCGATATAGCCGATGGCGATCTCCGAATGCCTGAAACCTATCAGGAGTGCGGTGAGGAAATCGGAGTACATTTCCTTCAGAGCTCCCGAAGTCCGCAACATGAGCGATTTATCATGGGCTTGACTTTTGGATTCATCGCTTTCCAACTCTGTCTGCAGACCTCCAAGACCAAATGAACACCACACCGCCAAGATGAGCGCAATTACTGCGACGATGTAGAAGCTGTATCGGAGTGCGGTTTCCTGGTCGTACCCAGCATACTGAAATTTTGCGGGTAGGGGAAGGAACACCATCAAAGCGATCAAAGCGCCTCCTCCAGTCAGCATTCCGACATGACCAGCAAGGCGGCTTGTGGAGCGTGCAATATCCGAATCGCCGTCCTGGGCCACAAGCTTTATGTTGCGTTGGGGAGATCTTGAAGCATATCTCGCAGGCGTGATGGTCAGCTCCGAAGCAACTGAAGGGCTGAATGAATGACGATTATTGTCCATAGCTTCTGTGGACCTTCCTCGCTCACTCTCCTCTGTTGATTGCGAATTTCCTGCTACAGCAGGAAGAATTGCGGTGACCATAGTAGATGCAGCGGCGCCACCCACACTGAACAGCAATCTCGCCAACAACAGTTGTGGATAGACATCTCGTGCTTGCACAAAGACCACCAGTGACAGACCGATGATCAAATAACCCAGTACGCAGACCTGCCGAGTATTAGCTGCACTATTTAGATCCAGACTTGGCTGAGAGGTCTCACAAGACGTAGTCCGAGGATGCGGTCTGCCAGCAGCCCCCAGAGTGGACATGCCACCAGAGCGAGCAGCTCGTCTGCGAATCCCAATGTCCCTACAGCATCTCCGACGCGGTCTTGTTGTCCAATGAGATCAGTAATAACAAATGAGACAGAAGAGTTCAAGAAGACCAGAAATGCAATGGAGAAAGGACAAACTCCGAACAAGTAAGTTGCCACCTGCAACTTGGTCGCTGTGAACATAGTTTCCGGGCGGTTCAGGATGTTGCAGCTGATTTGATTCGAAGAGATATCATCATCAGATGGTCATTTCCCCTATCTCGACGATGAATGGTACTATCCAAAACAAGAACAAGAGTTGTATTCGATCTTCTCTCTGGGTTGTTTGAAGTTGGAACAGTCGTCCAGATCTGACAGCCCTTGGCGTCTCAAGGACCCGTGCTCCGGACTCGGAATATCTAGTGCACTAATCCCAATATGGCATAGCCCCCCGACACGCGCTCGTCATACAGGCAGGAACGCGCCGCAGCATTATTAGAAAAAGCCATGGCAATTTTGTTGTCTTTGCCAGCTTTGCTCACTTCTTGTTTGCATTGAATGCTCCTCTAACCTCAACTCCACTTTACCTTCCGATCCGCGTGGACGGTCACGGTCGTACGCCCACCGTGGGCCTCACGCGCTCTGCGCTTCCGCTGGGTAGAGCAAGGAGAGGGGTGTTCGAGATAATCATCATGACCGATACCATGTATCCCGACGAAGTTCTCGCAAACTTGGTGCAGGCCGCGACGGTGCTAGCCGACGAACAGAATGCGAGTCCGTCGTCACTAGGCAAGCGGAAACGAGATGATGATGGCCCTCAGACTGCGCGCAGCACCGCCAATTCGCTGGCTGGGGAAGCGCACGAATCTGAAGAAGGTTCTCACCCTCCTCAACTACAGAGTTCTGCGTCCGTTTTGTTTCGGGAGCCTTCGAGTAAGAGTCGGAAGTACAGTAGACCACCTCTCGGGAAGGTCTTCACTTCATTACAACTTGCTCCAGAGAATTTCCTGCGCCTTCAGAATGCCGCCAAGGCCTACATGCTGGATGAAGCGCACCCTGAACGCAGGGATGTGGTTGGGCATAAGAAACATATGGGCGGCGCTGACGTTGCAAAACTGAATCTTTGGCGTGTCGTGGAGGAATTCTTGACAAAACATGGGTTTGGAGCCAAGTTCTTCGGCCCTGGAGTTGGAGCAGGAATTCCCGGAGCGCCTCAAAGAAGCCTTACATGGCCACAAGATAGTCAGTCTATCATCAAATTGATGATGCCGTTGATGAGAAAGATGGTCACAAACGAGCGTCAACGTGTTTATGCAGCGACTAGTAGAAAGGGTGGCTCTGCAATCCCAGGTGAAAAGGCAGATTCCCCCTTTGACGTCGGCGATTCTATCATGTCCACAGAGAATGAAGCGCTCTCTTCGCCACGTCCAACGGAAGCCGCCACCCTGCCAGAGGTCACAAGTACGAATCCAGCTGAGCAACCCACGCAATCTCCGAGTGCAACACAGCAATTGAATACGGCATTCAAACAATCCATTATTCTCTATGTGAATGTAGTCTCCAACACCGGCGGTGCGTTGAGAAGAGAGATCCCTCGCTTCACACTCACTCCAGATTCTGCGCCCAGTCTCGCGGCCTTGATCGCCGAGGTCGAACAGAGATACAAGAGACCACCACCCCAAGATACTTCCATGGAACCTAAAGCGCCAATTATCAAGGTGTGGCTGACTGACGGATTGGTGACGGTTGCAGAAGATGGCGAATGGATGGTAGCACTTTTGAGCGCAGGTGTGGTTGACTGGATGGACGGTGAGATCAGGGTTTTGATTGAGGTTTGATACTCCGATCTGCATGTCACCAATTGGGACAAAAATACCCCAGAAGTGTCACTGATCGGGAAGATCTTGACATGCACGCGCTGCGTATCTTCCGGAAATGGGGTTGTGACTTGAGAGTTCAGCTCCAGGATCGTCAGCCAACGCGAAGCATTCCAAAGAAGATCGAAGATCATAACTGCATGAATTAGGTAGCTCAAATAGCTATCTACGTGCTCCTTGGCGGAGCACTAGAACCAATTACTAGAAAAGCTTCCAAATTCAAGTCTGATCTTGTCGTGCTGCATGTTTCCGTGTTGGCTTGCAGTGCTCGAAAGCGGGTGTACTTTGGACTGTTTGGATATGAGTTCTAGTGCCGGTGCACACGTCTGGTTGTAGATAAGATCTACTGACGCAATCAGACCGATCTTCAGCGGGCTTGGAGGGTTACGAGTGAAGAATACCTAGGTAATTGCATGTGGTGAAGGTACGAGGTACTTGTTTTTGCTAGAGCGATTCAAGCCGTTCGTAGCCAGATCACCCACACACTCCACTTGTATATGCCATTTACCAGGGGATTCATTAGGATTACGAGTATAGCGCCTTTTCCAACGTGTGAGCATCACGATCGTCAGTCTGGAGAGCAATTTGAGAGTGGGACGGCGGCCCCTCCCTTACAGTACGTTAGGTGTACCTAGGTATGTACATTGAAATTTGAACGCAAGGTGCCGATTGCTCCGAGGAGTCGAATAAAGAGGTGGACAGGCTGCTGCGGCCCAGCGTCACATACAAGTATCATCAATATTTAATGGTACGGTTCAACAAAATGATTTCAGTTTGTACCAGTGAGAATAAGAAGAGTCGATATGGCACAGGCCGATGATCCTGTTTAAGCCGGCACACCAAAACGACCGCTTTCCAGCCAGCCAACGGTTCGGTTTTGTGGGACGACTTTCTACCCGTGGCTCCGTGACTCGTCCAAAGGGCAATCATGGTATACCTTGCCAGTCTTACGTAGTGAAGATCCGTGTGTTGATGCAACTGGCCCCCCGGCAGCAACAGCTGGCCCAGCCCGTGTCCGTATCACGACCGTTACGGAGCAATTCTTGACAACAAGCGAATGTCCACTGCCTCGTCGAGCTGGGGCTGGAGCTGGAGCTCAACACCTGCGATTAATCAAACTTGAAGAAGCGAAAAATGTGGGCATAAACCCCAGAATTAACGGGAGTCGAACGTTGCCCATGGTGATCTTTTCCCAACCTCGATGTAGCAAGGGAGGTGGAACTACAGGTAAAGCTAAAGGACGCCAGGTTTTATTCGAGAACCAATTTCATCTCGAGCACCGCCGGGGAGAAGTTTATTTCTCATGATGAACGTCACCAACTCCCCAGCAAACACCCCAGCCGCGCCGGGAACTTGGGATACTTTAGGGCTTGGGGGGAGTGCAATACAATTGGTGGCAACGATTAGCAATTGCTGCAGCAATGATAAAGTCTATTGACCTAAAAGTGCATATGGTGAACCTCCAAAGTGTTTTCCCTTATCTGGCCATCCCTCGCTTCTTGAACCACGGCCTGTCCAGGAACAGGGAGAGAAAGAGGCGAGCTGATCCTGGCAGTGGATTTGCCTCTCACCCGGAGTCTTGGGTGGCAGCCTCAGGGCTTGTCGCGCCGGGCTTGGATCGAGTGACCGACTCGGAGGGCTCATGGTCTCAGAGATAGTCACACGAAAAGCCAAAGGGGCCACAGGTCTCGAGGGCTGACTTTATGGTTGGATAGGGGCGCTTCGTGTTCCTTTGAGCCCTGCCTGACGGTACTTTTAGGCTTGTATGCTGTAATCTGTCGATCAAAAAAGTCAGGCCAAAAGAGATGAAGTGGCATTTGGCATATCGCCCGAGTTGGCAATGATCATTCCACGATAGGAAGAGAGGGACCAGGTTGGATCGGTCTTAGGTAGCTTAGAGTCCTCGCCAAATAAGAACCGATCAACTTGTCAAGCCGGCGCCAGATAGGCGGGAGACACCAGGACCAGAGTGGTGTGATTTTCAACTTACGCTTCCAGGGTCGACGCTGGTTTTTATGAACCAGAACAGGTCGACGGGCATCTTTGAAGCCACAACTGCAGGTTGTCAAAATGGGGGAGCCCGCGGATTCCATTTTGAGAAGCACTGAGCATGAGCAATTGGCGCCGAGCTGGGGTTCGGTGGGTGCCTTGGTGTTAAGGCTTAGGCACGGAGCAGGGCCCTCTCGGGCTGGTGAGCAAACCTCCTTGTTTGGTCGGACCTCGATGGTAGCCTAAGGAATTGGCAAGGGGAGTGTAACTATAACGGGAGCCCGATCTGCAATCGGACTTTGCCTACCGACGATCGCTGCAGACGGGCGGAGACTCAAGCTGTTCAACCAGCAGCTTCACGTCAGGATTAAGACCTGACAGGGATGCTCCCTGTCGAGACACCTCTGCTTGACTGGCCCTTGACGACGTCTTCGCCGGAGCTCTCCTGCAAAGCCCGCTCACCATCAAACTCCACATTCATCATCATCTCAATCAACAACGCCGTGACTCTGGAGCTTGCATTTCAACAACAATGTGCTGTGTTGAGGCTTGCGTTGATGGCGTCTTGCTGTCAAATCAAAGCTCTCTCGCGCACGCCAATCCTGGGATTGTCGTGTGCCACCGTCCCATCGGTTTGTCTGTCTTCCTTTTCTCTGACTTCCTCCTCTTTCCAAAGATAAGTTAGTCGCCCATGGCTTGAAACAGCTCCTGCAATCTGTACGAGTAAACTTTGGGCTCCGATCGACCTAAATCTCGTATCCCCTTTGGAAGCTCCCGCCCTGCCAGTGTGGGTTGTCGCCTGCCGGTTTCTGGTCCTGCGTCCTTCAGTGCTCGCTGCTGTCAATCCTGCAGGTGCCGTTGGCAAGCCTCCTGCGCAGCCTTTGAATACTTTGGGTCCAGACCCAGTACACCGCTGTCCAACCATTACAATCTGAAGCCAAAAGGGTCGATGTTGTCATGAGTCAAGCTTGAAGCACTGCTGTTTCTCTACTTATCTACACATACTCCATACTCATACATACATACCATCTGCTGTCCACACCATTCCTCTTGCGTTTATCCCTCACCGTCGGTACAGGGATGAGACATTGTTTTCATTCAACTCTTTAATATCTCCAATTTACATCTTGTTCTAATCACACTCTCAAAACACACCATGAGGCGAGTTCAAGGTCGCGTGACTCGCGACGATGTCCGATCAGCTGGCCTGAGACGATGGGATGGTCGTTCCCGGACTACCACTGACTGGATCAATATATTCCATGTGAGTACCGCCATCTTTCGTTCGATACCCCTCGGTATGCAAAGAGGTCTAACGTGGTCTCTCTTCAGGAACCCGAGCTATGCTGGCCAACTGGCGATTGCTTCGTCTATCTGCGGGAACCCGGTCAATCGAGTAGAGGACCGGCTTTCCGAGTTCACACTTCTTTCCTCAGAATCAAAGGCTTCGATGCCCTGGTGGACCGTTGTGTGGTCCGGAACTCCATCCACGTCGATTCAGAATGTGTCATGCCAAATTGCCCCGGTTGCGACCCGTCCATATCACTCCAAGAGCTCTATATCCCAGCACCATCTGGTGCAGGCCTAGAAGAAGTCTTCAACCATCACATCACAACCCGAAATTTCTTCGCTTGGTTATACAATCGACCTCTAGCTGGACGGACACTAGGGCAGGCTTTGGTAGATCTGAAAGAGAGGATTGATGTATATCGACCGGAAGGCTTTGATCAAAACAAGCTCGAGGTGATCTCCTTTGCCGAGAATCAAAGATATCTTGACTTCCGGGAGTGTGTTGATCATGCCCTTGCGGCCCTTTACCTAGCCGAACGAATACAGATCGAAGATCTGTGGATTGACTCTTTTGCTCATTGCGTCGGGATGAGCCATCGTGGCTTACGCTCGAGCATCGAGTACGCGGTTCGTACCCTTTCCGTACCTCCTTCTTGAAACCTAACTGGTGCACGGACCTAACGTTCAGTAGGTGGTCAATGCGAAGTCCAAGACCGTCATCAACCGTGCTCGGTTGGAGATGGACTTACGCCTTGACAGAGTCAACAAATCTATTGTCAACTTCTTCGAGAATGACGTCTCGGGGAGCTTCCTCGGACTTCCCCAACCCGCCCGGGATCATCTAGATCGTTTCCGCACGTTCCTCAAGAACTTCTACTCCGAGCAACATGGCGGTTCCTGGCCTCCTGAAGACTTTGAAGTTGAGGCGGTTCAGCAAGCGATATACGGCAGGGTCTTTTCTGACTTCCAGAACCTCTACCAACACCTCGTGGACCCGGAGTCTTCGAACACCCTCGCAGAGAATGACATCTCCAAGTCAGGTGGAGTGTGCGCATTACAAAACATACAGGCGTTTGACACGAAACACAAATATGAACCGCTCGCTCAGCCACTTCCTCTGTTACCCAAGATTGTCGAGCCCGCTAATGCCCCGCGAACCAAGAACCAAAGACGAAAATCTTGGAACCCGATTCAGTGGCGCAAAGCTGAAAAGGAAGCACGCAAAACACAAAACAAGGAAGCACTGATCGCCGCCTCGAACCGAGATTTCCTCCTTATGGAATGTCCGTTGGTAAGAAGCTATACTGACTTTGAGATCAAAACTGTGGACGACGACCTAGAGGGTCTATCAGCAGTTGAAGGGAGGAAAGTCAGGTGGATCCTTGTCTATGCGGTACTCCAAGTCTTCCACTCGATTGCACAACCACCTAAGCAAGTACGCAACGCTGCGAATTTGAGCTACTCTCTTTGCTGCCATGCTCCCGAGCAAATGCCTTGGCAGCAAAACATCCCCCAGAACGTTGGAGCATCAGCGTCGACAATGTATCTAACCCCTGACACCGGCTATTCTCACACCAACACGTCCACCTCCTCGGTCGGTGGAACTGTGAAGCGAGGGAGATCAGACAAGACTCGCCGTCTGACCTTACCTGCAAACTTCCAGGGGTCACTAAAAGCTTCCTTGTCGACCAAGACGGACCCTGGAAAGCGATCTTCTTCATTACGCCGGTTCGTAACTCGCAAGACATTGACCAGTACGGAAGAAATGCCCACGAGATCGACGAAACCTACCAAACCGACGAAAAAGCCGTCTTTCTGTGAGATCTACATTGAAGGTTACGGCAATGGTTTGAACAAGATCGTCGGCAACTCGACAGGGTCCTCCACGACCGATGCAGTTGCCTATACGGCCGAGCCCCAAGAGCTTGGTAGTAGTGACGCCGAGAGGCTCTTGTTCTTCCCTCACGAAATCCAGAGTGAGACGGTACATGAACTGGCCACGAACGAGACACCTGATCGACACTCGCTCGCAGAGGAGGAAGAAGTCGCCGCTGGAGCGTCGTCGACATCCGATGACTCGCCCACCACCCCGCCAGGGATGTCTCGTGAATCGTCTAGTTCGTCGATCAGCAGCACCTGGTCCAAGACTAGTCCCCACAGCGGCGACGAACACGGCCCTGTCACGCCGAGCAGCAGCCGGGGCAGGGCCCGCACATGCACGCTGAAGGAGATTCTGCAGATGAACAGTGTCTCCAAGCGGCCCGTGAGCGTCAGTGAGGAGGCCATGATGGGCATGTCGGACGTCAAGATCGTCGACGTCGATGCCATCCAGATGCCTCTTGTCCACTTCAACACACAGACTTGGGATGTCGTACTGGGAACGAGACCCTCTACCGCGCCCGCCCAGCCGCTGGCGGTGGCTTGATCTTGTTGTGGACCGTGGCTCTCACAACATATATTTTTCCTTTGTTATCTCTCCTTGGCGGTATTGGCTCATGGTGACGACATCAACGCACGTTATGTATAAGGGAAAAAAGGAGGGGACGGGGACAGGGCCAAGGAAAAGGAAATCAATGCGCGAAACGAGCGCGACTTTGGGGCCGAGGGAATCGGAAAAAGGCACCTCAAGATCCCGGCGGCCTCGATCGCTGGGACTTGGATTTTGAACGTGCTTGGTTTGTTGGAAGTGGAAGTGGAAGTGGAAGCGTTGGAAGCGTGTTCACTTGCCTCACACCTCAGCTCTTCCGTAATTATCTAGGCTCCCCATGGGGGTATATCTCGTCGTGTGTGGACCATCGCACAGACGGACACAAAATAAATAATCTCAATGGTATGTTAATGATGTTGAGCTGTCGTGGACTTTGAAATGTGGATTGAGAATCTCGCCCTTCTCGCATATATACTTAAATTGGTGGGGACATACCTGTGTATCGAGGTATGGAACCCACACGGACTGGCTGGAGAGAACGTAAGAGAAGGTATTCACGCAGGGAATCAAGCAAGAATTTCAGTTATACTGCTCGACCATTTGAAGTGCTTCTTTGCATTGGCATTGGCAGTGGCATCTGCGTTTACACTGGACTGTTCTCACAATGATTTTCGAGAGTTGATCTCGGACGACAGTGCGAGTAACGAATGCCTTGCGTGCTTATAATGAGCTAGCTCTGACTGGCACTGGCTGTGACACATGTATTGCTTACTCCTTTGTGCGGTGTCCCTCCTTCATACATGGGAGTATTCCTGCTTGGTTGGTTCCCACTTGACGTTACTGATGATACCTGACATGTGTGGCGTCTGGCTGAGTGCCTTGATGTTCAGCAGCTGAGCTCTTCCTCTTCGTTTCCATTTCCATTTCCATTCCCAATCTTCATAATCGTAGTCGTGTCATGATCTTCATCCTGTATTTTTCGTCGTCGTGTTTCATACGTCATCATCACGATAATATCAAGCGTATCCAGCCAGACCAAATGACACGTGCATTCATATAACCATTCAATACTGGCGACGCCTCTCGGCCCATGCGTGATCCAAATCATCCTGTCGAACCTCATATGCCCAATGGTGGCAAGTCTGATGAATGACCGGGCTGACTTGGATGTCTTCGTCGTCCTGATCGGCATAGACGGACGTGACCCCCATGTCGATGTATTTCTTCAACAATATTCTCTTCCATCGACCCTTTGGACCAACGCACCTTATCCAGCGTTTGATTTGTCTGTCGTCATCATCGCAACGACGTCCCAGGAAAAAGCGGATATACCATTCGAACCAGCCTCGCGGATCAAATTCAAAGTTCAGCCAGCCGGCGGCTTCCCATTCGGTGAGTGTCTGGCCGCACGGGACTTGGAACTTGTTTAGTGTGGGGGTGTAGATGGGTGAAGTCAGGTACTTGGCATGTGGAGAGAGTTCGTGGAGCCAGTCCTTGGGCAGGGTGTGCAAATAGTCGTCTTCCAGGGTGAGGCCGAGTGTGCGTGAGTACCAGGAAGAGAAGTAGCTACCACCGAAGGCTCCTTCGAGGAGTATCTCGAGCGGCGATTTGTTGGGAGTGAAATTGGGATGATCCTCGAAGTACCAGTATCCAGAGGAGGTCAAGGTCGGTTGTGGTGCCGTTGGAGACCATTTGTTCCAGTGGTCGAGTAGATCTGAAAGTGAGGTGGTGCGAGTGAGTGTGAGCGGAGGTGGTAAAGTTGCCTGATCATTTATGGGCTCGATTTTGGATTCGATTTTGATTGTGGGAGGCGTTCTCATCGTCCTCGAGCGGGTTACCTTTGTGCGTCGAAAACTTCCATCATTATTTAATGTGTTTTCGTTGTATGTCTTGATAGGAGCTGCTGCTATTCTGGCAGAGGTTCTCATAGGCAGGATCTGAGCGACCCTGCGCTTCTTAGTTGAGTGAGGAGTGGCGGCGGTGGAGGTGATAGGTTTGGTGGGAGCTCGAGAAGGGTCGGAAGAGGCGAGGCTGAGTTGCTCGAGCAATTGCTGCTTGTGCAGCATGTTTGCCTGCCGCTGAGCTTCGTAGTCGATCATGATGAGAATAGGAGACAAGTGAGGAGAGGGTGAATGTGGACACGATCTAGGGAGATCCCACTCGTGGATCTAGGGGTTGTTTCCCGCACAGAGATAAGTCATGCTCCATCTGGATAGGAGCTCAAGTCATGTCATGTTGGAGTGACGATGGATGGAGTGAGACACGAGGAAGTTGTCGTCAATGGAAAGGTTGACGTCGTCGAAAGTACCTAATGATTGGGACCTGTCTTGAGACCAAGTGGGTAGAAGTAAGCTGGTTGAACCAAGGGCCAAGTGAGGTGAGAGAAAGCGCGTCACGGAGTCGCGTCGAGAAAGTGAGTGACGTATGAATTCTTCAGGGCGTCATGCGCAAAGACCCCAGAGCAACTACAGTAGGAAGCCCCCCAGCCCCTAACCTGAAGTCGACCTAGTTAAGAAGTCGCCTAGAGGCTTACCTAGGTACCTAGGAACGAGGAGGTTGCCAGCCAGCTGGTTGAGTGGCGCCGATTGACCCCCTCGACCCCAATTCACGGTTCTTCTCCGCTTCAGGATTGATCATTTCCAGATTCGCTCGATCTCGAGTAACCTTTTCGGCATGCCTGTCAAGATCGCGCAGAATTCGAACAAGAAATCAGAAGTCAAAAGTTGACATTTTGTGCAGCATTTCCACTCCGGACGCCTGCTCACCTCGTATCCGCCCAAATCATCCACAATTTACCAAGTACAACGACGATTAACCTCTAGTCTCTTCCAAATGTACCCGTCATTAGCTTCTTCGAACCCCCCAAACGGCCAATGTCCCTGCTAGTGATTTAGCCCGGGACCTTGTCTTCTTGTACCTGCATGAGATCTGCCCTCAAAGCGGAGATCTTCAGCTGCTCTCGAGTCTCGAGTCTTGACGTCTATGGTGGTCTTGTTCGATCTCCAGATTCTTGACCCGTACCGACTACGGGAGTCATCTCTGGCTTCATCCACGCCTGTCTTCCCCGTCGTACTATTGTCTCTGCTATCTTAACCGAATCCCACTCCTCTGTCCACAACCAGTCAATCAACATCACCTCCACGTCGCTGTCCACCAAGTGCCAACTGCCAACTACGCTGCCACCATCACTGCCGCCGCCATCTGCGCCCTCGTTATTCCACCTCTCACATCTCGCTAAACACTGATAGTCATTGAATTCCTCCATTGGGACGAGATCTGACGTCTGTCCCATCCACTTTCTGATATGGTCTCTGATCCCGCAGCCACTCGAGAGCCTTCCTCTCCTTCCCTCTCGTCCCTATCTTCCCACCCTCATAATGCCAACAACACCCGTAAAGTCCTGTCATCTGCGTCCCGCCATTCTGGCTCTGGCCTAGACTTTTACGATTACGACGGTCCTGTCACGTACTCCACCGAAGCTTTGTTACACCATTCTCCTCTAGACGTGATGCAGAAACCCTTCCTGAATGGTTTGAATGGTGAGAAAGAGACTGGGCTTCCTCGTCTGCAGGCCAGTGACCATCTCGATCACCAAGATCAGTTGAACCCTGTCCTCGACGATGACCCGGCGTCCTATAATCTGGTCGCGCCGCCTCCAGCAGAAGAACGAGAGCCATTCTCTCTCGAAACCCAGACGACTGCGCTTTTCTCAAAGAGTCATCTTCAGGTCATCTTCGGAGATCCGGCCTTCTTGTTCAAATTTACGTCCTTCCTTGGCCTACACAGACCCAAATCGGTCCCGATCCTCGTCCACTACCTCGATTCCCTCAAATCGATTCGTGCCATTCATTATGCAAATGCGATATGCGAAGGTTTGGATGCGGTCGAGGGTCTGGACTTTACACAAACCCCGGTCAAACTTACAATCAACACTTTTTTGGAGGAGAGGGCTCGCAAGGCATTTGATGTCTTGGTGACAGAAGAACTACCCGCTTTCATCACCCACCAGTACATTCAAATTGTCAGCGCAAGCATCATCGCCAGAGTCACAGGCGCCTTGACGCCCGATCTTCGAGATGATTCAGACGGCTTGGCTGAGGTTTTTTGTCTGACGGATCCATCAAGGCAGGACAATCCGATCGTCTTTGCCTCGGAAGGTGCGTGCAGCTCATCCGCATGGTCTTGTCAAGTTACTAACCCTCGGGCAGAGTTCAATCGTACCACCCAATATGGCATGAACTATATTCTAGGTAGAAATTGTAGGTTTCTGCAGGGTCCCATGACCAATCCTCACAGTGTCCGAAGACTTCGAGACATGATCAAAGCCGGGAAACATCATCAAGAAGTCTTTTTGAACTAGTAAGTGCTTCCAATTCGAGGCTTCCGAAAATGCCCAGCGCTGACGACTGTGTAGTCGACGAGATGGGTCTCCCTTTGTCAACCTCTTGATGATTGCGCCACTGTCTGATAGTCGGGGTGTGGTCCGCTACCATATCGGCGCTCAGGTGGATGTCACTGGCCTGGTCAAGGACTGTACAGAGATGGACTCATTACAAAAGCTGCTGGAGATGCGAGAGCGGGGCGAGGAGCCCGCGCTTCCCGAGAAGCCGAATCCTGACAAGAACGATGAACTTCGAGAGCTGAGTGAGATGCTCAATCAAGGAGAGTTAGGCACCATTCGCAGACACGGAGGAAAGATGCATAAAGAGGTAGCTGAAGAGGACATGGAGAGCGTGGGATCGCATCAACCACGACTGTTGATCAAGGACCCCGAGACGCTGGCTGCTAGTGCTGGCAGTATAAACGGAAGGTTAAGTGGAGTGTACCAAAACGTATGTGCTTTCCAGATTCATCAATGGGTGCTGTCCTATTAACAGTTGGCTCGCAGTATCTACTGGTTCGACCCTACCCATCACTGCGAATCATATTTGCAAGTCCTACGCAACGACTACCGGGAATCCTACAATCACCCTTCATGAAGAAGATTGGGGGTTCGAATCGCGTTCGTGAAGAGTTGGCGGCTGCTTTTGCCGAGGGTCGAGGCGTGACTGCCAAAGTACGGTGGGTTAGTCGCGCTGACGAGCAGGGCAAGAACAAATGGATTCACTGTACACCACTGGTGGGAAATCAAGGCCAAGTCGGCGTTTGGATGGTGGTCATCGTTGACGATGATAATACTCCTGACCGGTACGCCGCTGCGAATGGACGTCCACCGCCCACTGTGGCCACCCCTGAAAGAAGCTGGACCCCGGCGAATGGACATCGAGGCCATGGATCGAGTCGAAATGGATCTATTGACGAGGGTAATCAAGAAGAGCGGGTGTATGCGGGCAGCCTAGGAAGTGTCAGTGGCAGTGTCACGAGTCTCCGAATTGTCTAATTCGTGATTGAGCACATCTATACTTGGGACGCGTCGGGGACAATTGTTGGAGGTTGTCTGGTCATATTTTGGATGGAGTTCTTTCTGATTGATTCCCCATGGTTTGTTGGATGACCATCTATAGGATATGTGGTGGTGTGGATATCTCTGTATTTTCAACTGGGTGCACATGCGAGGAAGTAACTATGGTTTGAGTGTCTTTATCTTGCCTGGAAAGTCCACTATGAGACAAAGGTCTAAGGGTTGTCAATCTTTGCATTTCCGAGTTTCAGGATTCGACCATTGAGGACGGAGGTGGAGTTCCGTTTGGTGCTGTGATCAGACATACACGGTCGGCCTAGGAGCGTAGAGTGTCGAGTTTGAAGAAAATGCAAATCTCCCCGAAGAAGTGTGCATCCTGGTCAACTGTGTTGCAAGCATACGAGTAAGATCTCAAGATCCCTTGAAGACGACTTATGAATGATAACCATCGCCGATCCCAAAATGCCTTCAAGCCACACCCAAGAACTAAGCTTTCACCGGCCTGTTAAAAGTCTATTGATAGGCATGCTTCCGGGTATCAACGCCTGGGCACCCCCTGCCAAAAGGAACGGCGTTGGACCCTTATTTCTGGGCACGGGCTGTTTGTTGACATTTGCGTCCGGCAGCCTGAAAGCTCAGGCTTCTCAACGGTCCATGAACAACGGCCTCATACATCACCTGTCTGGATACTTGCAGTTTTACGAATATGACACCGCTTCAGTAAACCGACAGATTTCCACATGAAACTCGTTGTTCAAATACAAATCCAGGGAGATGCGTGACGCGGGCACATGGTAATCGCAAAAGAAATCCGGAGAAAGCCACACAACTCGTCATCCTAAAAACTCCACTTCTTTCCAACTTGCGTGTCTGTTTCATCCACAGTCATTCAATCTTGCACATAGGGGATGACGGGGACCAAGGCTTCCATAAGCTCATGACAGGAATTGCTTTTTCGTCCTCGCATTTTTTGTTTGGTGTCTTGGAATCTCTTGCTTCTACTACACTCCGAACCTGGCCTGGTCTGCTGTTCCTATGCATCTCCGGCTGTCATTTGCACAGCCTAGCCTGACGACTCTTCTTCAAGGCCACCACTTGAACTCCACAACTCTTCGCTCTTTCATCCTTTGACGAACATTTTTCTCCAACAACTCTTAGCGAGCGGCTTTGCACTTCTAACTTGGTTTTTCTTGGAGCGGGCTCCTGTATTCATCGTCTGGGGACCGGCAGGGAACAGCGCGAATTCGCCAGATAGAGTACTCTGCTTCTCAATAAAGGTGGCGACCAATCAAGCCATATTGACATCCTCAGCTCGCTTTACGAACAAATCACCACTTCGCCGAGCCACTTGTACATTGGTCACATTTCACAGCTTCGCCACCGAACTCATCAGCAGCAGAGCCGTCGAATGAGTCCTCTACGACGTCCACTTCCGTGTATATATCTACACCATGATCCACGGGAAGCGCGCTGTCGTGTTCCTAGCACTGGCAGCCCTTTTTACCATTCTTGTCTACTTCAAATCAGCCACCGCTTCATTGACCGTCAGGTCGTTACGGACCGCTGTCCCACAGGTTGTCGGTCTGGGTGACTACTTTGACCATGAGCAGCAATATGGCCTGGAAGGTTCATTGTCTCATCCACCACCCGACCATCCACACATGTACTCCAACACCTCCCATCCTCAGCCTGATGCCACTGGCTTTGACCCGAGCACCATCAGCATCACGCCAGTGGGCAGACCCGCCCGAGAATTTACGCGCAACCTCATCATGGCGCGCATGAAGGCGGACAACGTGACGTGGCTCGACGACAACAGTCTCGGCCCAGAAATCACCAAGGTGATCTACGTTGCCGACGACCCCAAAGCTCTGCATCACCCTCCAAAGAACAAGGGCCACGAAGTCATGACCTACCTGACGTACATCATAGAGTTTTACGAAAACCTACCGGACGTCAGCATCTTCATGCACAGCCATCAATTCGCTTGGCACAATAACGACCTCCTCAACTTCGACGCCGCCGAGATGATCAAACGCCTCTCCTCGGAACGCGTCCTCCGCAACGGTTACATGAACATGCGTTGCCACTGGATGCCAGGGTGTCCTGAGTGGATCCACCCCGGAGAGGTCGAGCCCGACCAGGAAAAGCTCGAACAATCGATGATCGCCGAGGCGTGGGCAGAGCTTTTCCCCGGAAAGTCCATCCCACAGGTTCTGGCGCAACCGTGCTGCTCACAATTTGCGCTGAGCCGGGACCGCATCCTCTCGATCCCAAAAGAGACATACGACCACTACCGGAGGTGGCTCCTCCGCTCACCCATTCGCGACACCATGTCCGGCCGCATCTTCGAGTACATCTGGCAGGTCATCTTCGCCGACTCGCCCATATTTTGCCCCAACCAGCGCTCCTGCTACTGCGATGGGTTCGGCGTGTGTTTCGAGGACGAGGCCTCCTTCGACAAATGGTTCGAGCTGCGCTTCCACAAACGCGAGGCCGAGGCTCGGTTGGCCGAGTGGGAGGATAAGGCGGCCAAGATCGAGGCGTATCGCGTACATCACGACGGTGGCGGGAGCGGAAGTGAAGACGGCGACAGTAGCTGGAGCCAGGCTCTCGAGGGCGCAAAGAACATTGAGATTCCCGAACCGGGTCAAGACGAAGAGCTTCGCACGACAATCCGAGAACTCGACGCGGATCTCGAATATCGTCGTCTCCTGGCCATGCAGCGGGGCACGGATCCCCGGATCCGCGCTGAGAGTGATGGTAGGCAGTGGAATGAGGGTGATGGTTTTTGATTGCCGCATGAGATGGGCAAACAGTCGTGACAAGCATGTCGACTCTTACCAGAACTACAGTATGCCTCTTATGCTGTCTTGGTTCAGGCTTATATTGAACAACGGGCGTTTCTTTCTTTCTTTTTGGGCTTCATGGCTTGTGGTACCGCCCGGACAGTGGGAAACAGACCTTGATGGATGTACATATAGATTGAAGGCACATAGACGGACTGGATGGGTCACATTAGGGAAGGAAACAGAACGTGCTTTCTTTGCGGAGCATCATGCATTGCCGGAGTATTGGGACCAGAGTGAAGATAGTCTACCTGAGCACATTTCAAGCACTTGGGACAATTAAATGTAGAGTGGCCATACCGTCCTTGCCCGAAAAGACATACAGATCGATCGCGGTCGAGCCAACCTGAGTTTCTGTGTTGCCATGTCGCTGGGATTGAACTCCACCGGCCTTGACAGAAGAAAATCACTTGAGCTTCAATGCTTCGCCGTACCAAGCACCACGGCAAAGCACAACTCTGCATGGACGAAGACCTCCAAAAAGTTGTCGAACCACCTCCTCCGCAGCACGCATTTATTTAAATGAAGGCCAACCCTCTTGAGACTCTCGCACCGCGCCACTTCGATACATACACACACAAAAATGGCAGACGACACACGGGAACCGTCCAGCGCACCCGATACTCCTCCCACTCCCACCACCTCCAACTCCACCCCCAGCGACAGCGACAGCGACAGCACAGCACGGCCGATCCGACGGCCACGGCCGAAGCACGACTTCCCGCAGTCACAGGCGGGCAAGCTGTGGGACGCGTTTGGGAACCCGGCCGAGTCCGCCAACACGTTACCGGGGGGCACGTACAATTCGGCGGGCGGGAAGCCGGCGCCCGTGACGTGGCGGGATGCGTTCAACTTCTCGTACGATGCAAAGGGCCCCGCGTGGTATCAGGTGCCCTGTGCGAGGGACTCGCTGCTGGTGGGCATTGGAGGTGGAGGAGCGGTCGGGGGCCTGAGTTTTATTTTGAAAGGTGGGTTGTGGAAGTTGGGATTTGGATTTGGAATTGCGTGGCAATGGGATTGGGATTGGGATGGGATGCTGGACGTCTTTTGTTTCTTGCATCGGTGTTTACTGTAACTACTGACTGACTGACCGATATGCGGAACAGGTCTTAAATCCCTCGGTCGATCGGCCAATTTCGCCGTGGGCGGATTCGTCGTCACTTCCAGTGCTATGTACTACTGGTGTGATCGGAGGCGCAAAGAGGAGGCTCGAGGCATGGCTGCTGCCGTCGTCGGTATGAAGATGCTACATGAGAAGAAGGCGAAAGAGCAGGCCGCCAAGGAGGCCGCCGAAGCCGCTGCCGCCGCGGCCAGAGCTGAAGCGGAAGCAGAGGCTAAGCGCAATAAGCGGTGGTATAAGGTCTGGTAATACATGTGGGGGTGTATTGCTCGTGTCTGTGGCATTATGTCTGGCGCGACGGAGGCATGCATGTCGAGAAGCATGTCCTGTAATATTGCACTGGGGATTTTCTGGAAAAGAAGCGCATTCGCTAGGGGTATCAAGAAGAAATGCCCAAATGTATAATACCGGCCGATGGAGAGTTTGGCCAGCTCATCCATTTTCGAAGCGGACCCGGACACTTTTCCGGGGTGAATTGTCCATGGCCATCGAATCCTCCTCACTTTCACTGATGACCCTCTTCCTCCTCTCACTTCTCTGCTGCCTGGCTTCCCGAGCCTCTCTGCTTTTCAGATCGTCCAGCTGTCGCTTTCTGTGCTGTGACCGTGACCAGGCAAGGGCAGGGGTTGGTCGAAATCCGATACCATTAATTCCATAGCCATCGTCGGTGGGATCTGTTGGATCGTGGCCTGTGATCTCAGAATCATGCCAGAAATGTTCTGAAATCTCACCTTCTAGAGGGGGTGATTTTGAGCGGGGTGAGACCTTGGACATATCGGTGGAGGAGAAGTTGTCCTTCTGAGGTGGTTTTGGGAGAGTCACACTGTTCTTGATATGAGGTTGAGGTGATGATTGAGCCGGACTATGGTTCTTGGATGGCTCGTCATGGCGGCCCAGTGGATGTGTAGGAAGGTTCATTTCACGTTGAGCAGCAGCTTCTGGGTTTGACCCGATCTCATCTTCTAGATCCAGTGTGCCGAACGTCCTCGAGACTTTGGTTCGGGGACTTTCCACATCGTCGATGCCATCATCCAAATGAAAGGGTCGTGGAAGCCTCTGGGTGTCTAATGGGAGATCTGGACCTCGTTTCCTCTTGGGAGAGGCTGAAGACATATTTGGACGAGGTTCGTTAAGAGAGACATGTGTGGTGGAGAGAATGATATAATTGTTCGATGGTCGAAGAGTCTCATTTCTTGATGGAAGTCACCCCTCCAAGGCTCACACGTGACTGTGGATTCAGGAGGGACTGGGGAGGCCAACATCAGCAACGTCGGCGGCTGTCATCCATCAAATCACTTGCAAGTCATCCCCATCCCCATCCTATCCCATTCATTCCCCCATCTGCCTCGAATCTCGAATCTCGGACCACTCTCAGGTTCGAGTCCCCCTACCTCCATATATCATCCCTTTCGACCCAGCTGGCAATTTGTACGAACATGACCGCTGCTTAACCACAACCCTTCCCGTCTTTCCGCAACTACATCTACAGACACCGTCTATCCGCCGACACCAGTCTCCCTCGGCGATCGACTAGTTAATGGTTACTCAATGTCGCTCGTCTCAAATGTCTCGCAGTGGCTCCGAGGCCAACCATGAACAACAGTTCCCATACCGGCCTCTACCAGTCTGCCAACAGTAGCACTTCCACTCTCCGCCCCCGCGCTACTCGTCTGATCTCATACCTCGACGATGATACCCCCGATGCCACTGCCATATCCACCTCGTCCGCTCCCACTTCGACCTCCACTCCTCCTCGATTCCCCAGCAGAGGCGTCTCTCCTAATGTGACCGCAAAGAAACCAAAATCCCCGGACAAGTCCAAGAATGGTCTGGCGGCAACATCACGATCACAAAGTCCATCGCTGGGAGGGCAAGGCTTGTGGGACTCATGGTCTTCAATTCAAGGTATCGCCTCGAGCCTGTTGGGAAGTGACACCTCTACTTCTGCAAAAGACAAGCCGAACAATTCATTCAAAACCCCACTATGGATGAAGCAAGACAAGTCCTTTGCACCTAAACCGCCTGCTCTGGAATGGGGCCCTTCCAAAGAACCCGGCACCGCAATCCCTGGATCCATCGAGGAGAGAAAGGCCAAGCTCGAAGCGAAGAAAAGGGAGGCTCTACTGCTGGCTTCTGCCGCAGAGGCTCAAGACAGCTCCGGCAGGTTCAAAAGGAGGGATTCCGATGCAGACCTTTCCACTTCAAAGTCAACGGACTCGAACCAAGATGCCCTGGTTTATATGCACAAGATCCAGAAGGGCGATACCCTCCCAGGTGTCATTATAAAGTATAACTGTCAGGCCGAAGCCTTCCGGAAGCTCAATCGATTCTGGCCCAACGATAACATTCAGACGCGTACTCATGTTTTGGTTCCTGTCGATGCATGCTCAGCAAGAGGCCGGAAAGTGGATAGTCCGTATCTATCACCAGATCTCTTCGACTCGGGATTTGCACAGGCTAACAAAGACTCATCTTCAATCAATGGCACGTCTCCCACCCGCACTGCCAACCCTACTATATCCTCCACCCTCACTTCCGAACCCCTTACACTCATCACTTCTTTATCAGAAGAAGTAGAATTCAAGCACGACTCGTGGGTCATGCTTCCGTCATTTAAAGATGCCATCGAGGTCCTCCGCGTCCCTCGTCGTGCCCTCGGATACTTCCCCCGAGCAAGGCGGAAATCAAACACGGCTCTGACTGCAATCTCCGCCACTTCGACGCCGAGAACCTCTTTCGACATGCTGCGTCATCCTCCCACACACGCGGCTCAAACTTCGGCCTCTCTGGGGTCCTCCCCGGTCCGGCGACCAGGGCTTCCAACCCGTATGTCTTCTGCCCGTCAACGCTCCTCGAGTGTCACGAATTCGGGGAATTCCTTCATGGACGCATTACGAGGACCCGGTGGTGTGGGCACCCTAAGTGGTCTACGAACCGAGGTATCCCGTCCTGGTCCTGCTGAAGATCCTTTGAACAAAAAATTTGCCAATTACCTGCCCGATCTCTTACCCCCAGAAGCTATGCCTCGAACTGGGTTCAGTCTCCGACCGTCGGCTCGTTCAACCCCTCGTGCCAGTACAGATTCGGTACGTAGTACTCGCTCCAACAGTGCAAACATGGGTGATGTCGGAGTCGCCATTGAAGGCTGGGTAAGGAAAATGGCAGGTACTAAGAGTCTCCGAGATCGTCATGGCGCTGCGCCCAAAATGGGCGACCTGATTGAATTAGAAACGAATAGTGAAAGCACTCAGCTAAGTACTTCGAGGTCCGATATTGGCCTGGAAGCAAATATTGACCAAGTACGACAATCTGATGACACCCCCACACCAACCACAGCGAAACCTGCCGAGTCTACCTCAACCTCCACGGCCATCGAACAGGAGCTCTTAAATGAACGGTTCCCCATGAGGGGCCGCGTCCAAAATGCCTATGAGACGAAGAAGATGTGACCAAGTCACCTACCTCCGCGGGTAGAAGAGGTTGTCTCGCCTTTTGACAGAACCAAAAGCTGAGGGAACGCCTTGATGGGCGGAAGTTTGGACTTCGTGAATGGCGGTAGCCCATTGTGTGGAAATGTTTGTCTGGAAAGCATGGTCTTACTTTACCGATCAGGAGGGAGCCAGTATTGCCGGTGTGGTTATCTGCACTTTTGGATTATGGAATGGAGGATTTGCATTCGTCCACTTGATCCATGGGTATTTATTCGATTTATATGGAGGAAATCATCACGGAATACGTCAATTTTTACAGCACAGCAGTAATCCAAACTCAAGTTAATTATTGTCATAATGATTCCAAGCGTCTATTGCAGCTGGCGTGAATCGGTTTCGTTCGAGATACCAAATATGTCATGGTAAAGAAGGGGTTTATGGCCTGTTAGGACCTGCCTAACCAGGGTACTCCATGGACATCATCATGGATCATGTATTGGTGTCCAAACTAGCTTCGATGACCTGCATTTCTGCAACGCTTGCGGAATTGACACTCACGGTGATGTGATCGGTCCTCTTTCTCCTCCCGCAGTGGCTGGTCAAATTAACATCGATTTCTTTTGATTTGTAAAACGACACCACAAAGGTTTGCTCCGTCCTCCGTCCACACGGATTCCGAGTCCATGCAAACTACCCCGAAGATCCTAACCTTCATGATCATGGCTGGTCGTGATTTTCTTCGGTGTGCTTCTGTGCTCTCCTGCAACAAACTTGGTGCGGTATTCATGCAATCAATCACCTTTGTTATCGTATGATCTAGTTAGTAGGTGATCTGCTCCATCCTCGCTGCATAGGTTCTGCCAGGTGCATGTCATCTTTACAGGCCAAAAATAGACCCAGGTGACAGTTCGGTCCACCTAGTCAAGATCTATATTCCACACTTGCTTGCACTTGACGTCGTACAGCTGCATCTATCCCCAGGATCATAAGGTGAAGGACACCCTTGGGTTTCGACTTTCGATCAGGTCCCACCCGTACAGCAGCATTTCGGATCCTGTACACCGCACACTCCACAGCGCATCCGATCTTTCACGCTCCGCCAGCACTTGGATCCCTATCTACATCCGACCCTCAATTCCAGGCAGGCATCAACTTCCAACGCGAAACCACAAACACAATGCAACTCGTCAACTACGCCGCATGGATCCCATCCGAGAAAGCACGGTTGGAAGTCGGAACCAGCCCGTTTCCGACACACGTCGCGGCGGATGAGATCGTCATCAAGAACCACGCCGTGGCGGTGAACCCGGTGGACTGGAAGATCCAGGTGTCGGGCGGATTCGGGCTGCGGTACCCGTACATCCTGGGCGACGACGTGGCGGGGGAGGTGGTCGAGGTCGGCGCGGCGGTCAAGGCGGCGGGGACGTTCAAGCCGGGCGACCGCGTGATTGCGCACGCGCTGGGCCTCGGCGCCAATAACCCCCAATACGGCGGGTTCCAACTGTATCCCAAGCTGAAGATCGTGACCGCCGCAAAGATCCCCGACGACATCCCGCCATGGAACGCCGTCGTGCTGCCGCTGAGCGTCTCCACCGCCGCGGCCGGCCTCTACCTCAAGACGAATCTGGGCCTGAAGCTCCCCAGCGTCAAGACCAGCACATCCAGCGACATCGACATCGACAGCAAACCTCCGCCGACGCTGCTCCTGTGGGGCGGCTCCTCCTCGGTCGGCAGCTCCGTGATCCAGCTGGCCGTGGCGTCGGGGTACCGGGTGATCGCGACGGCGTCACCTTCGAACTACGGGTACGTGAAGGCTCTGGGCGCGGCGCTGGTGCTGGACTATCACAACCCGGACATCGAGACGCTGCTGATCGCGGTGCTGCGCGCCGAGGGCTCCGGGCCGCTCGCCGGTGCGTACGACGCCATCGGCAGCGAGGCGACAGTGAGTGTGAGCGCACGCATCGTGCACGCCCTGGGTGGCGGCCGCGTCACCAGCGTCATCTCCATCCCGTCGCAGCCGCCGCATGATGTCACGACGACGCGCATTTCGAGTGCCGCCATCGTCACCCAGGAGGAGGGCCGCGTCGCCCGCAAGGTCTGGGGTGAGTTTGTCCCTGCTGCGTTGAGGACTGGCGTCTTGAAGCCCAGGCCCGACGAATTAATCGTCGGGAGAGGCCTCTATTTCGTGCAGGCCGGCTTGGATAAACAGAGGGAGGGCGTCAGTGCTAGGAAGGTGGTGGTGACACTTTAGACTCGAGCGAGGATGGAGAGATTTGACATACATTGTTTGTCGTCCGAAGGCGACAAGCCTGAAAAAGGTGTCTCGGAATATGCTTCGTTCTCCAGCGCGAGAAGTGTAGGATGCGATGCATTCCTGAGATGTTGAGCGGGGTCGTGTATACAAGTTGACATAGGACAGATCAAGTCAAGAAAAGGATGAGTGAAAGTTTCTGTTGAGAATTGCACCCGAAAAGCATGTTTTCATCTCTATCATGGGGTATCTCTTGATCTGTTTCATGCCATGCGAGCGCCACAACCACATTTTCGATCAATCGCCCTAATCAATATCAACGGTGATGAACATCTCGACAATCCAGTCGGCAACATCTTGCACCGACCACCTCCCCTCCCGCAAACGATTGAAAATACTGTCTTCACCAGCAACATTGCCAACTGCGTCTTCTAGTCCCTTGACACCGATCATGCCCTCACGCTCCCTCCACATGCGCTCTGCTTCTTCGCCTGCCCGTTTCACTTCTGCGTCCTCATCCTCTGCACGATACAAATCGCATTTATCACATTCCTGGCATTTCTGTCCTGGCGTGGGCCTGAAATGCTCGCAAAAGTGTCGGTAGCCCTCGCCACCTTCGGTATTGGAGCCGGCTTTGCCAATGTTCTTGCGACAAAGATAACACATGCTATACCCACAGACACAGGTCAGTTTGTTGCAGCCAGAGGACTTGACGAAAGAAGTTCCGCAGCGGGGACAGGTTCGTTTGATTGCTGCTGTGCGGGCGGCCTCAACTGTAGTCCGTAATGAGAGGATCAAGGGCTCGTGACAGATGTGAGGGTCGTGCCACGATTTGAGGCATTGAAGACAGGACTTTCGGCCACAGGAAAGGCTGCGACAAATAAATCGTGAAGTCCTGTTGCGGAGGGCCAAGTGACCTAGCGCAATGTAAAAGTACGAGGAGAAGAATTTTGGGAACAGTACAAGAAAGGGTATCGTCATAAACAGCAGGGCTGGTAATAATTCAAGGATAAGGATGAGGGCTATGGTGCTGATGTCCTTTGGTCTGCGTACGTGCCATGTGAGTTGTGAGGCAGACTCGGCTTCGTAGCTTGAATCGGCTTCAGCGTATGAACAGAACGGACAACGGGTGAGAGTGATCGCAGAGGTTTGTATGGCATGTTCGGCAAGTCGATCTTCGAAGCGAGCCCATGTTTCTGTAGCAGATTTCTCCCTAGAGATGGATCTCTGGACCAATTCTCGGGGGATGCACCCTTCACAATCGTCGTCACTCGATGGTGCAAGACATTTCAAAGTCCCTCGCTCGACATCCACGGTCTTCGACCACCCTTGACCGAATATCGCTTCGTTCAAGGTCCGTCTTACACAATCCAAACAGATAGTATGATTGTGTTGGGTACAGAATGCAATCTTTTCGAAGGTAGTGTCGTTATAACATATCTGGCATTCGAAGAGCGCGCCTGCATCTTCGGCTTCCTGCAGGTTGATAGCTTCTGCAAGTTCGAGATCAATGGCCTGCTGATCCCGGGGCTTTTGCAATGGTCCCGGCATTGTGAAGACCGTCGACAAGTCTTCATCGAGCTCCTCACTGCCAGTAGCCAGTAGGTGTGGTCCACCAGATTCGGATTTGGTCTTCTCCAGGAGTATTGACGGTGGTTCTGTGATGGCCTTCTTCTTTTTGAAGATGCTCGTTATAGCAATCTTCCATGTTTTGCTGGCAAGGCCTTGTAGAGTCGGTCTCGCATTCGTGTAAGAGTAGTTTACCTCCGCAAGTACTGCATCTATCGCACTTCGGTTCAAACTGTTGAACTCACGGCGGACGGTTCGTTTGACAGCATCGATGTACTTTGCTGTCCTGAATTGTTCGTCCCGTGGTATGGGCTCATCTAAGTCTCTTGACGGAACATTCAATCGACCTCTTGCCCATTCCGTCTTGTATTTGTAGAGTTGTTCGGTACACAACGCCAGCCTGCTATCCCCATCGAATCTAAGGAGTAGTTCACGCAGGACTTCCACTTTCACATCGGGAAAGAAGTCAGCTAGGATCAACAAGTCCTTGTTCAACTGTACGGAGACGTCCTCTTCGACTTGGACAGCAAGAGACTCCCGGGAGCCGGCTCGGAAAGGGTTCTTGCGCAAGACTTCTGTTAGAGCGGAGGAGGGAGAGATAGGGCGAGGATTCGAGTCGGCCTGGAAAGTCGGTCGACTGGTAGGCGAGGTCTTACTAGAGCGGTTGGTCGAGCTCGCTGAGCTCGCTGAGAGCCACATTACGCCCATCAAACACTTTCGACATGGTCGATGGAAGATGAGAGAGAACGTAACCAGGTCTCATATGCCACCCGATGCGAGTAAGGCTGATGAGAAACGAACTCCGAGTGGCCATATGACGAGATGAATACGGAATACGAGTAGTACCGGAAGTGCCAAAATGAAAATCCCGGGAGGCACTTTCCAACCCCACCATCCATGGGCACCACCTACCTAGGTACCTAACTACAGTAGGTTCCTAGTGAACAGTCCCAGCTAGACATCCATCAACAGGGACCGCTTGGCTTTTTTTGAGCAATGCACTTCGACAAGAGTCATCACTTCTGCGGCATGGGCAACAAAAACTGAAATTTCACCCATCTCACTAGTATGAGTTTTCAAAAAGAATTGGGCTCAACCGGGATTTGAACCCGGGACCTGCCACACTTCATGGCTTTCACAACCAAAGGATCGCTCTCCCGAAGCGGCAATCATACGACTAGACCATTGAGCCTGTTGAAATCTTGAACATCTCTGTGTGGATTTTCGAGCAAGAATAACCCATTTTTCCAGGTTCTAAATCTATGTAAGACAGCCAACCTGACCGCTAGGAAAACGCCGCCGCTCGCCAAGACTTGCCTAGTTGCCCATCCTCCAGGCCTTGGACTCATGCAAATACCCACCCAGGTACCTTAGGCCCATTGCTGAAGTCTCTCCAATATGAAGTAATGGGCGTCCATAATAATGGTTATGAGTTGTTGAATACCACGTACACAAGGGAGCACAGGATTATTTAAATAGTATGTTATGCATCGTTTCTTTTGTTTTATAAGGCCGAGATACATTACACCAATATCAGACACACTACTTGTCCGCACCACACAGTGTTTCCACGATCCTGATGAGATTTTACAATTTGGGCTTGGGTCCTCCCCGGAGCTCAGCTCCAGCACCTGCCAACGCAAGCTTGCCAGTTTCCTTGATCTTCGTCTGGAAAATGACGTGGTTGCCCTCCTTCCACATCTCCGTGATGAGCGTCTGGCCAGGATTGACGGTGCCCGCGAATCGGACTTTGATGTTCTTGAACTGACCAAAAGTCTGCAAAATATGCTTGCCCGCAAACCCAAAGCTGGCGAGACCATGCAGGATAGGTACGTCGAAGCCACCAACCTTGGCGAATTCAGGGTCGACATGTAGAGGATTGCGGTCACCTGTGAGTCGGTACAGTACCGCCTGCTCAGGGGTAGTCTTCTCCTCCACCACGGCGTCGGGAGAGCGCTTGGGAGGGGTATAGATCTTTGTGGCAGGACCTCGGTCGGCGCCATTCTTCTGGCCACCAAACCCGCCGGAGCCACGGACGAAGACGGTACTTTCATTGTAGAAGATGTCCTCACCAGTCTTCGCATCCTTGGTTGTAACACCGGTCACAATAAGTCCGGCTTTACCCTTGTCCTGGACCTCGATCAGACGAGAATATGAGAGGGTCTTTGCGAGCGTTGGGATGGGGAATTTTCTGATTTCCAGGTATTGCTCGCCGTGAAGAAGCATCATTGGGCTAAAGTTGGGAAGGATGTCTGCAAACTCAAAGGGTGACTTGGTGGCGAAGGGTGGAAGCACGCCAAATGTTGGCAGCACTTGGAAATTGTCGTCACCCTCGTACACCAAGGGCAGTTGGTTCTTGTTGGCGTTCAGTGCCAGGTTGTACAGGATCACCTCCTTATCGTCCCAGTCGAATGGGCTTGCAATCGACTTGGCCTTCTTGGCCTCCTCAATCTTGGCAAGATAGTCTTCTCCCGAAGTTGCCTTGGATTTCTTTCCTGTGTTCTGGAGATTTGCCATGATGGCTTTTGTGGCGGTCGTGTTGTCGGGGTAATCAGCCCGGCCATCGTCGAAGTCGATGATCTTGGACCATTTCTCCAGAACAGCCTCGGGGGTAAAGTTGGCATTGACGTCAAATCCATGACCACCAGATCTCTGCCATCTGGTACGTGTTTGCCAGCCGCTCCCAACCTCAAACAACAATCCAGTGGCTGGGGCCGGAACCTTGTCGGAGCAGAGCAAGAGTACCAGAGGAGCGACGTAATCGGGTTTGAACGCCTGGACCAATTCTTCGGGTAGAATGGAGCGGGTCATTTGAGTACCGGCATTGGGTGCGATGGTGTTGACAAAAATGTTGTTCTTTTTTCCTTCCAGGGCAAGGGCCAGACCGAAGCCAAGGATACCTGCTTTCTGCAATAGGTCAGTATTCGGGATCTAGGCGTGCAGACTTTTCGAGACTTACCGCGGCGGCATAATTTGCTTGTCCAAAGTTGCCATAGATACCGGTGGTGCTGGTCGTGTTGATGATCCTGCCGTATTTCTGCTTGACCATATAGGGGTAGGCGGCTTTGGAGCATTTATAGGTTCCTCGCAAGTGGACATTCAGGATCGTGTGCCAGAGATCATCGGTCATGTTGGCGAACGCCTTGTCCCTCAGGATACCAGCATTGTTGATGAGGATATCAATCCTACCCCAAGTGTCGATGGCGGTCTTGATGACTGCGTCGCCATCCTCGACCGAAGCTTTGTTGCCGACAGCTTGGCCACCGGCGGCCTTGATTTCGTTGACGACCGTGTCCGGGTTGACGAGATCGTTGACGACGACTTTGGCACCTAGCTTCGCAAATGCCAATGCGTAGATGCGGCCGAGACCGCCACCACCACCCGTGACCAAGACGACCTTGTCGTCGAAACGAATCTCGGGGCCCTGTTCGTTGGTCTTGATCTTCAGCGAGTCTTCGAGTTTGGTGACCATGTCGGCCACACCGGTGGCCTCTTCGTGTTGAGTGAAATCACCGACTTCGGCCCATCGCTTCAGGATAGCACCAGGAGTGTAGGACGAGTCGGCCTTGAGAAGAAGGCCACCTGCGCGCTGCCACCGGAGTTTAGCGATATGACCAGCACCAACTTCAAAGACGGAGCCGGTCTCGGTGGTGTTGGACTTGTGCACGAGAGTCGCGACTAATGGCACGATATACTCGGGTTTCAGTGACTCGACAACCTCTGGAGGCATGACCGTGGCTGTCATACGACTGCCTGCGATGGGAGCGATGACGTTGGCGAGGATATTATATTTGATTCCTTCCTTGGCCAAGGTCTCTGTGAAACCCACCTGGGACATTTTAGCAGCCGAGTAATTTGTCTGACCGAAGCTGCCAAATAAGCCTGCAGCGGAAGTCGTGTTGATGACTCTGCCAAACTTTTGTTTCCTGAAATGTGGCCATGCGGCTCTTGTGGTCTTGAAAGGGCCTGTGATATGAACATCGGTGATAAGGTCCCAGTCGGTATCTTTGATGTTTTTGAAGCTGATGTCGCGAAGGATGCCGGCATTGTTGATGAGGATGTCGATGCGACCGAATGCATCGATAGCGGTTTGGATGATCTTTTCGCCGTTGACGACGTTGTCGTAGTTTGCTACGGCGTTTCCTCCAGCCGCTTTGATTTCTTGGACCACGAGATCTGCGGCCTGGAATCATACGTCAACACTCTGTTCAAATGTGGTAAAGATCGAGGCATGTGACAATTGGTAACTCACCTTTGAGCTTGCGCCTTCACCCTTGAATGAACCACCCAAATCGTTGACGACGACATTTGCACCCCTCGAGGCAAAAAAGAGGGCGTATTGCTTTCCCAGACCAGCTCCAGCACCGGTGACCACGACGGTCTGGCCGTCATACCTCAGAGTTTGAGCCATGATTTATCGAATGTGCATGCGGTTGTCCTCAATGGGGGGGTGGGGGTGGAGGAAGAATGTGAGGAGGCAGAACGAGGAGTAGAAGATGAAGATGTAGATGTAGATGAGAACAACTTGAAGGAGGATGAAAAGAAGCAAGATGCTGATGATGAGAACCGGAAGATATTTACAACATGGGGAAGGGATGTAATCGTGCTGGGAGTAGGAGCATAAGGTTACGAGTCGGTACGCCAGGATTGGCATGAGACGCAGCACGGCAGTCCCTCTCTGAGCTTCCAGAATTGGCTGCTCCCATTTACGGCCGAGGAGGAAACTGAGCTTGTGCCTCGGTATAAAGTCACATGATTGACGGTTAATATCTTGATGTCAGACAAGCATAAGACACTACAGGCTGCAGTACACGTGACGGTCAATCTTGATTGATCATCGAGAGTACTACGAGCAGGCAGCTAGAACCTGTTCTTTATCTGGTCTTTGTTGTTCTGTTTAATCTAAGATGCAATCTCTAACCAACTCAGTGCAACTGTTAAATATGCTGGGCTCAGCTTCAGCTTCAGACTCAGATTTAGATTCTTCAATTGGCAGGTCTGACACCAAGACTCAATTGCCGGATTCGACCCCTTCAGTAGCCACGACATTATCCGATGATTTCTCGTTTGCCTCCCCCAGCATCCGCATTTTCCTCCTCCACATTGTTTTCGGCATGTGGTGGTTTCTACAACTCGAGTTACGGAATCCTCCGTGTTCCTGCCTCGGCGCCTGTGCTAATCATGGTAGGAAGTTCCTCATCCAGGCTCATTGGAAATTGCCCTGGCAACACCATCCAACGCCCTACGCAATCTAGATTCAATGTTGCTCATTGTGCAATTACCGACACTGTGCGAGCCCTTGGTTGTGGAAATCTCTCTCAAGGCTGGGAATGCACAACAAACGACAAGCTACCAGACTTGAACATTCTGCACCCCAAGCGAGGTCGCCGTCGTCGTCGTCGTCGTCGTCGTCGATAGAACTGACCAAGTCAATCAGCAGCAACGGTGTAGCTTCCGTAGAAAGTGGTGCACCCTCGCGGTTTTTGATGCCCAGCGAAACGGTGACCACTCCGTGTATGACTCGGCTAATCTTCTACCCGCGCCCCCCAAGATCAAATTATCGAGGGACGAGATACTCGTCACATTTCTCATAACATAACCGCGACCAAGCCATCTTCCCTTCTCTGCTTTGTTCTTGTTGCGATCAACATTTGAGTGCACTGGAAGACAAGTCCTTAGCAATAAGAAAATTCATCACCCACACCCAGGTCACAAAATGCCTGAAATAAATGACGACAAAGCACAACATGTGATTCCCTTTATCCTACCATTGCTCGCCCAACATCAAGCACAACACGCTGCATCTCCAAACCCCCCACCATTTTTCATTGGACTCAATGGTGTCCAGGGCGCTGGCAAATCCGTTCTGGTCGACATTCTCAAGTCCACCCTGGCAGCAGAACCTCACAACCTGTCTACCGTGGTGTTCTCTCTGGACGATCTATACTTGACGCATGCTGACCAAGTGGCACTCGCACAGGCAAACCCCGATAACGCGTTACTGCAGCACCGGGGTCAGCCGTCCACACATGACGTGCCACTTGCACTTTCCGTCTTCTCTAGCTTGAAGGCCAACAAACCTACCAAAATCCCCCAGTACAATAAGGCTCTATTCTCCGGACAGGGTGACCGGGTACCCGAGTCAGAATGGGCGGAGGTTAATGGTCAAGGGAGTGAACCGGTCAAAGTCGTGCTATTTGAAGGTTGGTCCGTTGGCTTCCGCCCTCTTAGTCAAGACGCCCTTGAGGCAAAGCATGTCAGCGCTTCCCGAGCACTCAACAACTCCACTTCAGATAGTCCCTACGTTGGGCGACTGGCTCACAACAGTCTCAAGAGTGTGCAAACAATCAATGAAGCACTCAAGAATTACGATGACCTGACATCGCAGCTTGACGCCTTTGTCCATATCGATGCTCAAGATCCACTGTCCGTGTACAAGTGGCGACTGGAACAGGAAGCTGGACTTCGAGCCGCCCGTGGTTCAGGCATGACGGACGAACAAGTCAGACATTTTGTTGACGGATATTACCCTGCGTATGAACTCTATACGGAGACCTTGCGCGATGGGGTCTTCAAAGGTATCACAGCAGGTGACGCCTGGAAAGGTCGACAACTCAGGCTTATCGTCGGAGTGGACAGGAAGGTAAGGGACGTGGTAAAGATCTAGCTTCCGCCAGTGTTATTTCTATGCTTAGATGCAGCTAAGGGTCAAGATCCATCCTTGAAATCCTGCATTGAGATTTTCAAAGCGAAGCAAGCCGGAGAAGAGGCAGAAAACACCCTATACCCCGAGAGAATTCGTTGTGCGCAGGAATTTTCATGACGATAGAACCGATTGCCATCGCGATGCAGGTATCTTGACCTCACCGACGAGCTAAGCTTCAATTACATATACACAAAAGATATGAAAGTCGAAAAGGGCACTTCTCAAACACAAGGACAATCACATCAAGAAAATTGCTTGACCTGCTTCCCTCTTCGACAATATAAAACCAAGCCTCAACTGGGATGTCCAATCGAAAAACGTTGACCCGCAGGGGGTCGCCTGAATCTGAGGTGCAGGAAAATGAGACGATTCAGTGTAACTCTACAGTGCTGGCCCCTACACAAGAAAACCATGGTGCACTCCAGATTTGGAATCCGCTGTTCTTGCACTTTGAGATGGCTGCGATCCGGCTCGCTGCACCCACTATGCTAGATCTCGGAGTCGGCTAGCTCTTGGTTGGATTTTCTTCGTGTAACAAGGCTAGGTATCTGGCTTGGCATGTTTCCTCGCTGGTCGATGACATCCGTTGCTTGCCCATGGTCTAGTAGAGCAGGCTGTGGTAGATCTACAACTACCCAGTCACAGACAAACATGTATCTTCACAATCCCGGTACTGGGGTTGGCAGAACTCGATTCGTCAAACAGTGAAGCAAATATTTTGTGTCGCACTCAAAGACATGTCCAATTCCCCAGCACTCGAGACTTCATCCGAGGGCGAAAGTGGGGAGCGAGAGGACAAAAAATTGGAACACGTAGAGCACCGACCATGTATCGACAAGGAGACATCCAGATTCATTGATTCTAATCAAATACAGCAAAAGGCAGAGATGCACTCGCTTCAATACTCCTTTCATAAAATAATCGTGTCAAGTATTCCGTGGCAGGGAATACGGCATGACGCACCACCTATTTCAACAGTGGAGGTACCTATTCCTACTAGACTCGCGTTCGCAGATCTGTCTCTTACTTTTGCTTTTTGTTGTGATTTACATACAACAGCACATGCTGGACAGTGGATCGCAGATGTTAGTTCGCTGCGAGCTGACTGCTTGTGCCTCTGCCTTTAATGATCTGATCGACCAGCCAGTGCTACTGTCGGTACAAGGGGTAAGGGTAACCGAAAAAAAAAAAAAGATCTCGAAGCTACGAAGCACGCCTTCCTACGTACGTCGGTCTTGCGTATTCTACCAGGGTTCCCCTTGAGAAGATCCGGAGTCTAAATCCGGCATTTCGTCCATCCACTATCGATCTTGGGGAGCAAGAACCGGGGTCCTCGACTGTGAAACCCAACGCTAGACAGGGGGTGTTTGTCAAGAATGACAAGGCTCGAGCTCATACTATTATGCCGTTCGACATCCGATCGCAGGATACTAGGAGGGAGAGACGGGAAGAATCGTAGGGCGCGAGTCTTAGCACTCGCTGCCAAAGCTGTCAATGTGTTGCACTGCTGCTACTGCACTGGCCCCGATATATTGATGGGGCACCCAATATCGCGTGCTGGAAAGGTCATGTGCCACAGCCACATTTGTGGTCATTCCAAATGATATCCACTGTTGGCTACCTCCCTAGGTACCTACCTACGTACATTGTTACACCACGATGCCATCCTGTGCGATGCTAGACCAGCATTATCATCTATTATTGGTCTGTCTCATCTGCCAAATGAAGGGGAAACAGACGCGCATGCCAAATACCTAGGAAATCTTGGACGACAAACTCTTGTCTCACAAGTCTGAGCGTCTGCGATCGATTCTTGGCTCGGGATGATCGATCGTCCGGGAAGCCGAGATACAAGTATGCATTTTTATATCCTTGCCTAGTTGGGAAGCATGTTACGGTCACTGATGATTAGCAAGAAAGGACGACAAAGGTCCTTCGCTTCCTTCTCCCTGTGTCGCACTGGTAGAGGAGTGCCGCATGATTACGTTCGCATCGACCACGAATTCCCCGCTTGAAACAAACAGGGCAACTTCAAGTCAAAAGTCTCTGAGAGAGCATATACCTGCCCCGCGGGAAGTATCGGCAAATGCTGGGGCCGGCACAGACAAAAGCACAAACATCTATTCTTGACTCGACTCGGTACTTAGGCATTTAATGACCTCAACTCGATTCATGCTTTCTCGCGCGTCGACACTTAAAACACTACCGAAGTCAAACAACCCACCGACAGTTGACAGCAGCGACACTACACTCAAACTCACATCGACCTTCGGTTCGGCAGATGTGTCTGCGTCTCAACCTACCGACAAAAGTACGTACATAGTTTCGTTCCGTCGCTCGCGACGCAAAAAACTCAAGATGATTTGTTTTTTGTTTCTCCCTTTTAGAAGACAAACTCTTCCTTTTTAGGCAGGGAGGGGGAGCTTTCGGTGACAGTTCGGCGAGTCGTGGAAACATGCAACAACAGCCGGACGCGAGGCAGATACGAGTAGATTAGCGAGAGAAAACCCACGCCGTGGCACTGGGCAGTGGCATGGCACCAGCCCCGAGTGCCCCGACCTGACCCTGCGGCAACAAGCGAGATCCGTGGGTTCGATGCATGCACTAACGACCGTACTATTGTATCGTACGGCGTGGAAAATGTCACACCACCCCATCACGGGCGCAGATTCCGTAGTCGGTACCTAGGTAGTGACAAAAGAACAGTTTCGTGATGATATGTTGAACACCTCTTGTGTATGATATTTGTTCGATTCTAGCAAAGGTACAGAGTGAAAATGGTCTTTTCGAGCGAAACTATGTAGTTTGTAAAGCCATGGACCGGAATTGTTTCTTTGCGTCCTTGTTGTCCCTCCGAGAAGACAAAAAGGACGCTCCTAGCTTCCAACCACCCTTATCAGCACGTAAACCTTGTGCCTCATGTTTATGCCATCCTGAATGCCAAATGCTTGACCTCATTAAAGCTGTGAGCTGCCTGTATGGACATTATGCGATTGCGCTGAAAGAGATTGCCGCCCACGCCAGAAATTCGCAGAATTTTATTCGCTGTCGAAAGAGTCGGCACGTATCATGCTCTCTTGCCATTGATGCCCTTCAAATGGACGTCACTAGTCATCAATTTGTCAGTCGATTGGCCTGGGTGTCAATCGATGCAGAAGGTTTAAAAACACAGGGCATTGAACATCGAGGGTCATCGAGTGCGATCTCCCACATGGACGACCTATGCTTGAACTCCAGAGTCGCTTGGATCGAAACCAGTCGCGTAGACATTGGATGGTAATTTTGGGATCAAGGTACTGTATTGGGAAACGGCTCAAAACGCAATGGGACTCACAAGATAAGCGTGGCATTCGGGGGAATCAGGCCGGGAAAGCCACTATCGGACCCACGATGTCAGTACAATCTCTCAGATTAGGTCGAGCGAGGAGCGTAGAAGTTTCTATAGTTTCTCAAGTCCCCGACCATGCAAGTAGGATTGCTTGAGATGACAAGACTCATTGGAGATGGGCTCCTTGAGTTGAGTCGAGGGGTTCACTAACCTGGCTCCATATGCAAGTTGTCTGCCAGGATGGTCAGCAAACTCGTACAAGATATTTTGGAAATGGAAGCCACGGCGATGTTGTCTCAGCTCCATGGGAGCGTCTGCAACAAAGTGCGACACAACAGGGCTGGTTGAACTCACCCTGGGATGGTCAAGGTACTCTTCTCGCCAAGAGACATCTGGGGCACTCCTTGGTCCCAACCTACAGATGGAACAAGTGAGTCAGTGTGGAATTGGTGAATTCAGAATTCCATCAAGGTCATACCTGGGATGACCCTTCCAGTTCCAATCTGGGTTTTGAAGTCTCCTCGACCCACCGAGCTGTCAAATCTGGGAGAAAAGCAATATTAGTTGAGGATTCGTCGGAGGAGTCTGGTCCGAGACTCTCAGGTTCCAAGAACTAACTGTTTTCCCTTGTTGTTGTTGCTGGATGCCGACAGGTCTTGGAGCCAGCCGGTGTATTCGATGGTGACTTCATCTCCAGGTTTGGGATAGTCTTGGCCGTTGCCCTGTTTGAGCAGCTTCTTGTTGACGGAAGACATTGCGTTGCCGGTGGAACTTGGGCGTTGTAGACAACAGCCGAGGAGAGAAAGCGTGGAGGTTGGGGTAAGCAGCCGGTGACGGTCGTGTGTCGTTGAGAAAGACTTGGGATGGTGGTGTTTGAGATTGATACCCAAGGACTTTGAGGGTGAGAATGAGAATTCACGCAAGAACGACTTTGATTTATGAGGCAGGAGGACTTGGCAAGCGTGGCAGGTGAAGGCGGTGATGATGCCAGTGTAGATTTACTAGTGGGGGAGAAGTTGCGTCAAAAATTCAAGACTCAGCATGAAGATACTAGAAAGGGACAGGCAGTGGTTTTTTCGGATGCAATCCTCGGCTGGCACTGCAGCGACTGACTGAATGACTGTGTGGTGGCACGTAGCATCATCCAAACCATGTCAAGGGGGAATGGACTACCGACTCCCAACTACCAGCTACCAACTAGGAGCAAGCAAGATTACGGAAAACTCAAAACGTATGACAGGACACGGACAAATAAAAAAGCAACGGACGTGGTCGGATCTACCGAAGCAATTTGAGCAAACAATGTCCCTAAGGCACAAATGTCTATTCAGGCATATGTTGCAAAAGGCATCAGAGGGGCATGTCGGTCAGGCTTCAGCAACGCGCGCCTCTCACACCTCATTGCACCGATCTGCCCAGGGAGGGCGGTACAAGTACTCGTACCCAGCAAGCATTGTAGTCAAGGTTTACAGGGTTCGCTCGACCGGGATCAAGGATACAAGATTATTGGCATCAAGCATCCGCTAAAACTGGATGCAATGAGAGCAACCACCAAGTGACCAAAACGATGGAGGGGCACTTAGCCCAACCCTGCCTTTGGAGGGGCAGCCGAGTGTGTACTGTGCAAGTACCATCAACTTCAAGGGTTCCCATCATGACAAGGCTAATGGAAATGACAGGTACTTAAGCCGTAGGGACGGATACTTATGCACAACATCATCGGTTTTCAGCTGCCCACCGCAGTGGGTCGGCCCTCTCAACCAAGCCTGAGGGAGAAAAACTGTCACTGACACTGGCAGTTGAGTTGCCAGACTCTCGTCTCGTCCCTTTCTCTCGGAAACACAGCGTACGAAGCAGCTTGGTGGGGCAGAGACTTTGAGGGGCTGCTTGCCACGAGTTCAACTTCAGTACGTGCAGCGCGTCTCTCTCAGATTAGCCGAACCGCCGCCAGCTGGCGTCGAGTCTACAAATGCACTAATCGATACGAAGAATAGTTGCTAATGGGATGGGGACGGCGTGGCGGTAGTGCTTGCTGCTGCTCGCGCGGTCCTTCTCGGGTGCTACTGGCAGATGCAAATTGTGCGATTGTGCGCTTGTACGGATAGCAACGTTTGATCGAAATCTTGATCTGAGGGGCCCTCTCTCACTACTGGGTGCTCACCTCCACTCCCAACACCGCTCTGGTTGGAGATTCGAGTCCCAACCACGTTGGTCCTGCCTGGCTTGGGCACCACTCACACCGGCGATCCTTGGAGGGATATGTCTGGTAGTGGATATTGTCCGACGTCAGATAGCCCAAGACCAATCCATGGGCTTGGGGCCTGCCATTTGGGAGTCTTGGGGGTTGAGCTCAGAGCGGTCTCTTGAATGGGCAATGAGAAGATCAAGTGGCAGCTCAGAGTCTTTTCCAGGTTAGATCCGGGGCATTTTGCTTCCTCCTGGTCCACCACGGAATGACGGTCCCACACATCTCTTGGTTGCCAGATGACCAGAGGTCTCCTGCACACTCATCGATTGACTGCAGATGCTGCTAGACTGGTTCCGGCTTGGGCATGTCCAGATTTGATGCACTTTGGTCAAGCTTGCATATCGTTCCAACCCGTAGGCGGGTTTGAGACCAGACCTGCACCAGTTTCTGTGCTCCTAACTATGCAGCACGGCGGAGCGGTTTGTGGCCGAGAAACTGAGCTATGCCGATACTGTCCGAGCGCTGTACGAGTACAGACTCTTCTTGTATGGCTGGACAGCACAGCTTTCACGTCTGGCATCTATTGCCCGTTTCCAGAATCGTGAGAAGCGGCGAATGGCACCGAGACACATACTAGGCGGGCACTACTGTCTTGGGAGCAGCCACACACCGCATTCCGCAACTAAGCAGTCCAACCTCGTCCAGTGGGTGAAATCGACACCCATGTGGTTATCCGCTGGCGCAACTAGGGGGTCTCATTCAGCAAGAGCACTTCCGAAGTAGCATTGCGAGGCGTGCAGTTGTTCCTCCTCGACGAGGCGGAAAAAAGCAACACCACTGAAGAAACTCGGTCTGGATATTTGGAGCGGTGAGGTTGCAGAAACATGATTTTTGGTGGTCAAGGTTGACTCACTACAACGACAACTCGTGTCTGTAAGGGTGATGCCGAGGGTCTGTGTCACTTGATCGTCGGAGACTGATGCCGCCATTCAACGTACGAGTGCAATCCTTTTTGACTTTTCCTGCTGGCAGTTGATCCCCTCGAAGATCTACGGTGCCATCAAGTCAGGGATAGCTCCGCCTACGCTAACTTCTCGCTTGGTACCCAGTCAGATTGCAAAACTTGCATGTCTTTACGAACTACCCGATACGAGGTGTCCGCCAGTAAGCTAGATACCCCTGTCCATGCATTCTCTCACTCCAGATTTTCTTCGGATCTGCAGACTCTCACAAGGGTGAACGGCGGTTCACTCCTTACCCTCCACTCTCGCAACCACAATACCAAGTACTATCCACCTGCACCCATGGGAGGATAGCCACCGTTGAGCATGCGTATTGACATCTCAGGGTCATCCGGCTACACCACTCGTTGACATCCTCTTCCTTTCATCCTACGCTTCGTAAATCGTCACAACCCTTTTAATGCAGCATTGTCTGACCTTACGTAGGTAGATATTACTCCATTCTTTATCAGTGCTATGCTGTCATGGGTAGCTACAACTGTCCAGTATCTGACTTTGATCGGTGATACGCCCGCCAGTTTATGCACGTAAATTTCCTGCCAGGTTTCTAGAAATATTTCACCGTAGACCAGTCATTACAACCCAGTCGCTTTTTCTCAACGACCAGCGTCCTCTATCCCATTGGTGGAGCGGCAATATCATGTCAAGCACAGCGGCCCAACATGAACTGGACACTTTCCAGGGTGCTTGCAGCCAACAATGCCCGAACTGTCCCTGATCGCAGATAATGCAACGGCTCATGACTAGACTTCACAAGACTTCCAAAAGGTGTGCTTTTCGACCTCGGCCAACGACATCTGCTCAGATCGCAGGGCCGGGAACCGCTCGTCAGTGCTGTTGCCCGAACCTGTGCTGTGATTGAAAAAGGTCAAAGAACCGATTCCTACCCTTTGGAGGAACGGTAGGCATCGGTGATAGTTCAAGGCAACCTGATCGATTCCGTGGCTGTCGTCGGATAAACAGAACTTGATACCCTTCTTCAGCGCAGCCTCGCATATCTCGGCTTGGGGATATGGCTCGCTCATGCCTTTGCGCAAACTCGCCAGGTTGAGCTCGAGCGTCGCTCCGTATGACGCAACATAGTCCAAGTTGCGCTCGATTCTGTCCCAGACGCCGGGCAGATGCTTGAAACCACCGTCAGGATCATCACTTTTCAGGCGAATGAGGTCGAAATGCCCCACCACCGGGGGTTTCGTCGCCTGCAGCATCGCCAACTGGGCGTCGAAGTAATCCTCGAACAGTCGCTCATCTGTCCCGCCCGCCTTGTCACGGGCTTGCTGGTAAAACGCATGGTCGTAATCGATGGGGATGGTGTGCACATGGTGCACAGACCCCACGAAGAAGTCAAATGCATAACTTTGTATGCTTCTCTCGATCAGCTCGAGAGACTCTGGCCGGATCCAATCACACTCAAAGCCAATGGGAAGTGCGATTCTGCTGCCATACTTTTCCCTCAGCCGAACCGCCTCCTTGAAGTATGCCGCTTCATTCTCCAGTGCTGATGCAAGGGTGGCGCCTGCTTCCTCCTCCTCAGGATATCTGTCTTGATCATGCCGCGGCATATGTTCGGTCAAGGCAAAGGTGTGCATTCCCTTGGAGATCGCCGTGAGGACGATCTCCTCCAACGAATCCCGAGCATGGCCTTCACAGAATTGACCAGAGTGACTATGGTGTGAGAAAGGCATACTGGCTTTGCAAGACGTGTATACCAAGCCCCACGCTATAATTCGAGGTTGACTGAGTGTTTACTGTTGTGCACTGAAATCTTGGAATGACTTCATGGTTGGACCAAAACCTCACTTCCCGGGTAATATTCGGGTGATCTCGGGGTTTTGTATCGCAGCTGTTGCCTCAGCATCTGAAGTACCCATGAGATACCTGAGGGAAGGCCTGTGAGGCAGGCCGCATTCAAACCGTAATTCACCGTCTAGCACTTCAAGCGCCTGTAACTGGCCGTTATTGGTGAAAGGCAGCAGTGACTTGCAAAGGTCATCGGGGAGCGTACCTGCGCGTGCTCTACGGCGGCTTCCGAGTTGCAGCGCCAACTACGGCCCCATGACGATCATGTCTTTTGGCTTGCTCATTACTCGCGCCGAATGATATCGCTCTTGTGATCCAAGACTCTGGCGATTCTACAACGGCGATTCTACAACATTGCGTATCAACAGGTCATGGTCGAATTTGTTATCTGAGTTTCTGCGAGCGTCGTACCGCAGCGGTGAACTCGAATTCCGGTTCGTCAACTCCCCAGAGGATACTTTTTCGGATAGCCAAGTGGGTGACGGTGTCAGGTGGTAATAGTGTTTTCATAAACTCTGAAGACTTCCCGCACATGTTTTATTGTGTGTATGTTGTCAGTTGAGTTTGCAGTCAACAACATTTGCTAGTGTAAACTCAACTCACATTTTAGTCGCGAACCTGTAACCGGATCGATGATGGAAACTTAATCTACTGCCTTGAACAACTGCACAGTGTACTGCTTGTGGCGGACTCCTTTTCTTTTGATGCAGATGGAAGTGGGTCTGTCCATAGTTCCCCTTTTAGAAGACTCGAAGGTACACCGTTAGCTTTACCTCAGAGCAGAGTATGTAGCTTGAACGCGAGCATGATTCTTCATTTTCAATTTCAAGATACGTCCATCAAAGCCGTCCTGCGTCGCAATGTCGATAGCGCGGGAAGCCTTCGTTTTATGATCTCTCTGCGTGGAAGACGAGTTTCGATATGGATATGTCCCGTATAAAGGACTCATCATTGGGTCTCGAAATCTGTAACTCATCTCATTAGCTATTGCGGAAAAGTGGCATCCGTCTCAAATTTACTACATTTACATTCACATTGGAGAAAAAGACAAAAAAGGAGACTATTAGCGACCCCTGTGGGACTCGAACCCACAACCTCAGCTTGCCAACAGGCACGGATTTTTTCTTTTTGGAAGAAAATGAGAGTAGGAGAGCTGTGCGCTACCATTGCGCCAAAAGGCCAACTTAGACACGCCCGGGAGGAAGGCATTCAAGTTTGTACAAATCTGTGAGCATAATTTCGCCCAAATTTCTGGATACAAATTATATGAATAGATCCCAAGATTCACGTGACCACTACCTGATTGAAGTGTGCGGGGCTCCCTCGCCGAGGCCCAATAATCCGTTTCTCATAGCGAATTTATTGAACAAATTGGCGTTTGTCTTTAAGTTTGCTAGGAGCATGTACTCTGGTCTACGGATCAGTATACGAGAAACATTAATACAAAATACACCTTGCATTAAAGTCTATCGCAGAAAAGTATCTGTAGCACTTTGGGTCTGCAATCCTGGGGTACCCAAACCTTGTTGTGACTTAACCAGGGGGCTTGAGATCTACTCTTGCCTATTTCGTTTGCCAACATCCCTGTCTCTGCCTCTTAGTCACGAACGACAACGCTCTCTGTTCTGGCAATCTCAAGCAATGATAGCCTGATAGCCTGAAAGGCTACACAAATCTTCACTGACGAACCTTATTAAAGCTGCAAGTCTAACGCCGTCAACCGAAGACTGCCTGAAAGGAGTCCCTTGTGTTCGAAGTACAATAGTCTATCAGGACAAGCCTCGGGCCGCATGTTTAGGAATTGGTAAAAATCTCGTTACCTGAAGACGGAGCCTCGCGAGCTATCTTCACCCACCAGGCACTATCCTATCGCTCCCCCGAAAACTCTGATGATTACTGCGGCACGGGAAGCCAGCCGACGAGTTAGTAGCACCTGATCCATGGCAGCGGCATTCTCGAGCGGTTATGTTGGCTCACCGCTCCACGTTCGTACAAGCTAGATTGACAAACCGCACTCCATCATGGAGTTATCATGGGGCGAGATGGGTAACCTCTACGAGGTACACCGTGGGGTGAAACGCATGACCATCATAACCAGCATCTCACCCGGATTTCTACCCTTGCAACAACCCCGCAGTCGTTCGGACGAATAATCGACCTGTGGTGGCCCCGAAATATTGCATGAAGATGCCACTTTGTGAGCTCGATCCGCGGGACCACGCCGAGGGGCAGGATGAGATGGGCGTCCGCCATCCCCGTCTTGATTATCCTGTCAAAGCCTAGCGTCTGCATCGGCTCCACCCGAATGTATCTACTCCGTCGCTTGACTCTCTGCCCCCGACTCGGAGCTCACCTGTGGACTATTCACAAGTCTTCCAGGACGTCGTCACATGTGCGAGGCATCTTGTTTGGGGCTCATCATAGTGTGTATTGCAGATACGTCAAAATCAGCTTTTGGATTTGGCAAGTCTGCTGGTCGACCGTGGTGGATGTCGATCCCCATTGGGAGTGTTTCTTGCATCAGAACTCTATTTCGTGCCAGGCAACTATCTATGAAGCTTGCTGGCAAGATTTCCCGGACAAGGCAACTCCGAGGAGAGCCGATGCCGCGCAGGGTCATAAGGTTCCATGGTGTCGACGAACGCCAAATGGGAAGGGCCAGGCTTTGCTTAGAGCGCATACACGAGCTATCCAAGAGAGGTGACTTCAATCTCTCTGATGTGGGATTGGCCAACGACTGTGATCAGGTCGGTGGTGAGTTTTATACACTGGTCTGCGTCTGGAAGTGAAGGTTAACAACAGGAAACTTTCATGGTGAGGAAGACAGAGACGCGTGGACGCTTGCTTTCATGTGACATTGCACCTGCAAGCCAGATATCCGTTGACATTGGAAATACTCAAGTCTTGTGTTATAATGGTACACCCTTTGGAGACGCTACGACATTCTAGCCCAGAATGATGCGGATGTGTCCAGCAGCTCGAATATTGCGCTGATTAAAGTGCGGACAGTCATGCCTGTCTAGCTCAAACCCAAGCCATTGTCCTTCAAACTCAAAAGTTCGAATTGAATGGCTCGAGTATTCGAAACGTCGATCTCAAAAACTGGAGTCTTTACATAGGTGGTTACGCCTAGCTGCCTCGTTCTGGCGAGTGGGCTCCAGAAGTTAGCACGAAAAGATGCGTGTGACCATGGCAACACTATTTGATGAGCATGCTGCATTTTACATCTACTTGGATCTTTGCTTGATTTCTGATATCGATTCAAGATTCTTCAAGATGCATTGCTGCAAAATCTTCTTCGAAGGGCAGCGAAACGAAACAAATGCCAAGTTGAGAAGAAGTTGCTTTTAGAGCGGAAGACAAGATCTGACAAGTCAGGAGGCAAACCTGTGGGTTATGACCTTGGAAGCCCTACTGAGTCACCGACTACCCTGGATATCAGACCAGAGAACCTGCAGACACTGCTGACATTCAGGTCTGTCCGTCCCCCATGGGCCTTTGTGATCTCTGGGTAGCCCCTTAACCTGAAGCTCGTAGTAGTTCTTTCCTGCACGTGAATATATACACACACTACCTTTGTAGGTAGGGCGATCCATCTTGCGCACCCATACTCGTTTTCCCTTTCTTCAATTCCCACCTCTGGAAGACGCCAGCGTATCAACAGTCAGTGGTCAATTACTGCTTCATTATTGCAATTCAACGCTTATGTTGTTGGCCACCCAGTAACATTCACAGTCGACCATTCGAAAGAAACGGCTGGCATCTTCCACTCCGCGAGATTCTTCCTGTTGATTTCTCTCTCGTCTGATCCAGGATGTTTTTGTGCTACTGCAAACCAGAGCTAACACCTCTCCCCTTCCTGGCTAGGGCCGGAATGCTTCAGGAAGCTGAGATAATGTGCAGGAACCGGTTGTATCCACCCGCCAACGCGTGAGCTACCTATGTTCTTTCATCGCTGACGCTAGCGATGTGACAGTAGACTGCTCTGTCATAACAACTCTGTGGGAAAACCACTGTCGTGTGGACGTTTCCATCAGCAACTGACTCATCATAGAGACAGCTGTCAAGAACGTACCCTTTCCACTATACACAGAGTGCCTGACCGCCTAAGAAAAAGAAGAGAGATGCATCTGTGACATGGCCACCCCTCTACAATGGTCTTGAATACAAAGGGGTATGAGTAAGTATTCGTACTTACAGTAGAAAGAATACAGGCCGGACAAGGGCCACACAGTCTCGTTCATTAGCGGCTCCTTCGAGCAATCAGCCACACCTTTCGTGGTTGGATGAGATGGCTCCGAGGTTAAGATGGTTCGAAGGAGACAGCTTGCTCCGTCTGGCACAGCTGGAACCAAGAGGGCATGTACTGTCCGATCGATCGAGAATCCGGCTGTTGAGGAGACTCCGCATCCTCTGTGCGCCGCGCCCCCTGAGATAGCAACAGCTCCCTATCCGTACATATCCCGGTCATAAGATATGTAGCAAAGATGGAAAACGCCTATCCTCGGGGATTCTCCCGAAGATGACCGTTGCAGAAATGCTGATGAATCATTGATTTTTCTGCAGCTCAGATATCAGCTCATGGTCGCTACAGGACTGTGTACGAAGGACGTCCCACAAGCGTTCCCGTCCAGTCGATCAGAGAAGGCGCAATGCTTGGAGTCAGCCACTGCGGGAGCTATGCACAATAGATGAAAACGCTTGCATAGACGTGCACTCTGACGCAGATTTTGACGTCAAGCGAGAATCTGCCATATGGCATCGACACCGGGATGCAGATTCACAGTTTTGTTCTGTCTCTTCCAGTCCATCCCAGACTCAACCTTCCCAAGCCTTCGATAATATACCTACATAAATGCCTCTCAGCTTGTACATAGAACCCAGCAGCTCCCGCACAGACTGGTCATCATCAACCATTACCTGGCCATATGACTCAATTCCTGGATTATTCCAAATCACGGTGGAACCCACCCCAAGGGGGTGGGGGCGCACAGGAAGGATAATGGTGCATAGCCGAAGCATTGTCTACAACTAGGGGCTTTGTTCGGGATGGTACCCAAGTCCCCACCGAAGGGAGAAAGTCTTTTGTCACTGACTCACAGCTAATTTGGTGCGAAGTCAAGCCAACGTGGGATAACCCATCATGCATCGAAAAAACCCACATTTCGGATCTGGTATCCGGACGTGGGACACGGGGTGGAGGGGGCCACAGTCAGAACGGCATGAGGCTGGAGATCGGTGTGGAACAACCTGCAGTATCCGAAGATGCGGTTCATATCTTCGGTTGTCTATTGCATGTATCACGTACGAAGTATACTGCGTCAGCGGGTATCGAGAAAGACTCTTTATGCATGTGGCTTCGGGTGGGATTCCTTGATATGTACATTATTTTTAAGGCTAGAATAATGATAGATGTAATGGATTGAATCGCAGCGCACGGAACGATGAGGTTTGCGATACGAATCAGTCGAGAGCATCCACACTGACAGTTCTTTTATACGACTTTTACGAGGCCGACTTGTTCCTTCCTTGTCGTGCCACCAGTTTTGAACGCCATCAATCCGCCCTCTCTTGTCTCCTTTTAGGATTTGATTTAGGTGATGATCATATATATGTCTTGTGGTTTGAAGAGGTTGTGACGAGTCTAGTTAATATCGAGATCAAGGTTCATTGATCGCAGCGGCCTTGGCGGCCAAATGCTCGCCTTCGGGTGAATGCTCGTCACCGATGGTGGCGTTTTTGGCGTAGATGCCGTCGAGCGAGACGTTCATGGCGCCGGCCTGGACTAGGGCACTGCGGAGGTCGTCCAGCAGGTCCTCACCGTCCTCGATGCCGACGCACAGGCGGATGAGGTCCTCAGGGACGCCGCGCTCCTGGCGGGTCTTGGCATCGATGCTCGCGTGACTCATGCGGCACGGCATGCTGATGAGCGAGTTGACGCAGCCGAAGCTGACGCTGATGGCCCAGATCTTGGCGGACTCAACGATGCGTTCCGACAGCTGGATGTCGCCGGTCTCGAACGACAGAACGGCGCCCGCGCCCCGCGCCATGGAGTTGTGCAGGTCGTACTGAGGGTGGGATTTGAGTCCCGGATAGCGGACCTTGAAGCCCGCTGATTCGAGGAAGCGGGCGATTAGCATCGCGTTCGCTTGCTGTGCGTCCATGCGGACCTTGAGGGTCTTGATTCCTCGCATCAATAGCCAGCAGTCGAAGGGTGCGAGGCCGCAGCCCGAGGCGTTGATGGTGAAGTAGAGTTTGTCACCCAGGGATTCGTCGTTGACCGCGAGGACACCGGCCATGAGGTCGTGGTGGCCTGAGAGGTACTTGGTGCCGGACTCGTAGACGATGTCGGCGCCCAGTTCGAGGGGGTTCTGCAGCAAGGGAGAGAGCATGGTGTTATCCACGCTGACGAGGCATGCAGGGTTGGCAATGTGAGCCATGTTGGCGATGGTGGGGATGTCCACGATCTTGATGAGCGGGTTGGTCGGGGTTTCCAACAGTACCATGGCGGTTTTGGAAGAGACCACTTCTTGAACCTTTTCAGGTGTAGTGGTGTCGACATGGTGGACGATGATGCCACCGTGGGTTGAGAGGTATTTGAGGAGTCGGTTGGTGCCTCCGTAGAGATCGTCGCCGGTGACCACCTCGTCGCCCGGACGCAGCTGGCGTGTAATGACGTCCAGGGCGCCCATGCCGGAGGAGACTACCAATGCTCTTTTTGCTCGCATGATCTTTGCGAGGTGTTTTTCGAGGTGGGTTCGGGTCGGGTTCCCACTGCGGGTGTAGTCATATTCCGACGCACCACCCGTGGAGGAGGACTGTTTGAATGTTGCCGACTGTGGTTGTGTTAGTGTGTGGTCTCTCGATCGAAGCTCTAAGAGCGCTTGCTCACCTGGTATATAGGTACACTGCTGGCGTTGTACTGATCGTTGCCCTCGGAATAGACCAGCTGGGTGGCAATGGCATAGTTGCGACCCCCTCTTGGGCTCGATGGTGCCGGTGAGGGGGGCAAGTCATGACCGTCCAGGTCGATTTGAGAAAAGGCCTTGCTCATTGCACTGAGCTTTGGGTTTTTGAAGGGCGGTGAGGAGGAGGAGGAAGGCCCTGAGTCAGACATGGTGGCGGCGTGAAAATGATGGTGGGGGAACAAGCTCAGAGACTTGCAATGACGATATCAATATGCTCAAGGACATATGAGATGGGGCGGGAGGATAATGATGTTGTGGTCAGTAAGGTGTCTGGGAGAGAATGAGCATCACGAAGAGAGTATCGAAGTAATGGTGGAAGACGTCGAGAAGGTCGAGACTCGTTTGGAGCGGGTGAGGTAAAGGCCGCAAAAGAGTGTGCAATGGCAGTCAAGGGCAAAAGTGTGGAGCAAACATTCTACCGGGGCCAAATGACGTGCTCGGGCATTCCCATTCCCATTCAGAGGACATTTTTACTATGAAGGGTTGCCCAATGCCGGACTGCTTCCCACCACCTATTTCTCCAGCTTTTCCATCTACCGCACCGACCAGGAAGTGCCTGAGGATGATGCTCTGCGGGTTGAATCCTTCGCCCTGACATGTTCACTTTCTTTTGAGGAATCGCAAGTATAGATATATGATAATCAAAGTCGACGTCTTTCATTTTCTTCCTTGATTTTCATTCTGGTATTTGCTAAAAACAATCAATAATGTGGGAATGCTGGACTCAGGGAGAACTCGGAAGTGCTGATCAGAGTCGGAATAATTCCATCTAATTTGCAGACAAATGCCGTGGTGCTTGAAGCTGGCCCGATGTGCCGAGGACGGGGGGATATCTCAAGCCTCCAGGCAACCCTGAAAGTGCACTGTGAATGCTATAGGAACCTATGTCACTGGCGGTGACTGAGCAACTAGAATTATGTATACGACCTATCATCTAGATATGGATGTCTCGTACACCAGTGGAACGTCCCCCACTGACCACCGACGATATCATTATGACATGCACAAATTTCTCTCGCTTAGACCCTCAAATTCGAGAACAATCTTTGACCAGCATCGTCGTTTCAGTCTTGTTCCCCGTTTCCGACTTTCCTGTCTCCGTTCATGGATACCATGATAGGGTTGCCTGCACGGTCGCACTATCTGGCGATTCTACTGCGTGATCCTCTTGTCCACCGCATGGTTAATCCATGGCTACTACCACTGAGCAACTCACAGATCAGCATATTGAAAATGAGGTGCCTAAACCCCACTTCCCAAGTTTCCCCAAGATTTGCGAGGTGTCACGTCGCCGTGCATAGAGTACCTGTATCCTCAAGGGTCACGTCACCGTGTCAGAGGCTTTTGTTTTGACGGAACTCATGGCGATTTGGCTTGTGCACGCGTCCACTGGTGGCCAGTTAGTCTTGACATGAAACGGTGATGGAATGCACTGGTGAAGCAAGGCCGATTCACATCACGTGAGATGCTCATCATTTTCAATCTCATGCCAATACCGAAAGATCTGTTATTTTGTAGTTGTAGTCGATCTCATGAATCCAGACTTCTTCGAGGTCCGGGATGAAAACATGCGAATCCACGAAGCATCTCGTTAAATCCTGCTGAATCAATAATCCCGAGTATGGTGATTGTCAAAGGGTTAGTGTGATCATAGGCGAAGACGGATGCGGCACTGACGGACGATCAATATCCGTAAGTCCTTGCGGCGCTGGGGGTGGCTGATCAAAAATGGCGCCCGCCTACCCCTGAGATGAAACACGCCGGCGAGTCGGGCATTTATCTGGCGGGGCCGCTGATTTTGCATTTTTTCGTCCCTTCCAAGAAGAGAGATGCTTGACTGACATATCCATTCTGATGGACAAGTTGAGCGTTTCAAAGCATACCGTCAGGTACTGTCTAGGTGTGGGGCTCTGAGCTGCACGAACAACACAGTAGTAGTTGAGATGGAAATGTCGGACTGCAAACCTCACCTCTAGATGAATTCAAGAGCCAAAAACGTGCTGACCAGGGATTTTCACCAAAGCCTGGCCTGGCCATTCATGTAGCCTAACCACGCCAAGTCTCCGGGAGGCTGACACGCACTTGGGTCCTGGTCTCTGAGCTTGAGATTGGCTCTGCCCGTAACCTATGTGATGTTGACGTCCTTCTGGATCCATGGTTCAAGCCTGTGTGTCGACCAGAAGAAAAGCAGCAGCCGGCAGTTCCATGAGCAAGGTTTTTCCCAACATCGGCAGTGGCCATGTTTCTTACAGATCGTGTTTCAACCAAAGTCTCAAGGTCCCAAAAAAGACCCAGGGCAGAACTTTATGTTAGATGGATGACGAACACTCGATGGTGTACGAAGTCGATAGAGCTTCAAGACGAGTGAACCCTCTGCCATACCTCGTCCTCTGTCTGTGTTGTGCTCGTAGGATTGCGGCTTAATTGACTCTTTGACCATTCGAGGAGACCATGCCAATGATGGCAGGTGGCCCTCAGCCACCATCGACAGCTAAGGCAAGCCTATTGATGAGCGAGATTGACCTCGAAATTGGTCGAGCACACAAAGCCAGGGCCAATGGGGGCCGAGGGCATCAAGGGCGCTGGCGTGTCACCGAAGACGTGGATTACCGTTATTGTGCGTACGAGCTAGTCCCCTCCGGGCTACGTCTCGATCACGATCCAATCAACCTCGATAGGATGAGGCTTGTTCCTGGCTAAGACCCGTTACCCGGTACCATGTAATTTTGGCGCAACCAGGAACAAGGCGTGCCTGCCGTGCCTGAGAGCGCGCTGAGCAGGGGATTGATTTTAGCAACGACGCTTGTGGCTCGCCTCCCTTTCCCTCCCACCTGCACAGGCACTGGCACTGCTCCTGCACCTGAGACTGCACCAGCACCAGCACCAGCACCACCCTCACTTCGTTACCTGCGTTCAAAGTCGCTCCTTTCTAGTTCCTCGTTCTTGCTCCAGACGACGCCCACTCCAACCACGCTATCCTTCGGACAAATGCTTTCTCTTCCGTATACACCTTCTCTCTCTCCCGCCCTCCAATTCCTCTATCATCACTGAGCCTCGATGATCCCTCAAACGTCGCCACGGTCGCTGTCTCTCCTTCTGCGACCGATAACCTCCTAACTTCGACGTGTCAATTGGTCCTGGAACCGACCTCCTTTCCATTCCATTCGATTCATCCCAACGAATATACCTTTTGGCCAGCACGACTCGTCGCTGCTCGCGTTCACTCATTTGCATATCGACCTTCAGATCTTCTTGATACAACGACCACTATCCTTTAAACCAACTCACTTCTCTTCGGCCTTTGATCCATTACTACGCGCCACTCGCATTACAACCTCGACCTCGACCTCGATTCGTCTTTGTGGTATTGTTCAATTGGCTGGCCCAACCCTTCTCAAGGACGCCCAATCTGGTGCTGAAGTTCTTTGTCGGTGATCTTGTCTCAAAGAAATCATTTCCAAATATATGAGCCTGGATTTGTTTATCACTACCTGTTCCATTTCTGGTCAAGTTTGAAACAAAGAATACCATCTTCCCATCTCTCAGCGGCTGGCCATCAAGTTTCGAAGCCTGTTTCCAGTCACTGCTCGAATCCCACAACCCAGGATCGACGACACGACTTTCCGTGGTTTCAAGTATTCTTGCCATCTTTTAGGGATCCTCGGATCCTAGCCGCTCTTTTGAACATATAACCTCACCCCATACATTCATTACACGAGAAATTTTGCAGTGAGCTCCCTTGAACCAGGCCTCTCATATTCAACAATTGACATCTGGCAGTATTCCCCCGACAATTCTACAGAATCATGAAGATTACATTGATTACACTGTTTTCAGCGGCGGTTGCTGCTTCTCTCGCCGAGGCTGTCCCGGCACACCATCCCAAAAGAGATGTATTGAGAAAGCCCAAATACTATTTCCCGCAAGTGGTCAAGAGACAGGTGACTGGCACCAACTCGACCGATTCCTCCAGCAACGCGGACTCGGGCTTGGGCTCTATCATTTCGACCATCGCAGACGTTATCTCTAACGTAGCCTCCGACATTGCCGGAGACACTTCTACCAAGACAGATGCGACGACGACCGGCACCAAAACCGATTCTGCAACCGTTACTCCCAACCCTGCGGCAACCTCGTCCGTAGCCACCAGTTCCGATATTACACTGGGCCGAGACACGGTGATTACGGATACCGCGACCACTACAGACAAGGCAACGAGCACCAGCACCCAAGATCCGAACGCGGCCCTATCATCCGCTAGTGATGCTGCTTCTTCTATACTGGACGTTGCGAGCTCCATTCAATCCGTTGCATCAACAGCCTCGGATCTGGCCTCGATTTCCTCGGCACTGTCTTCGGCTCAGGCGGCAGCCTCCTCAATTGCCTCAGATGCAAGCAAGGCAGACGAGGCCCTGACCTCGACCGATACAACAACAAGCCTGCCAACGGGTTCGGATATCCTGGACACAACCACCGCCACTCCCTCTGCGAGCGCAACAATCACGCCTCCACCGGACACCACCAGCAATACGGCCTCACAGACCCAGTCTCGCTCAGATGACAATACGGCGTCCGACGACAACAACCCCATTACAACAACACCAACGGCCACACCCACTGACAAGCCAAGTGACCCTATTTCCACAACACCGACAACACCGCCTGTCGACACACCCACGGACAACCCGATCACCACTACGCCGACAACAACGCCGACCGTAGTCACAGACCCTCCGATCACCACAACGCCAACCATAGTCACGGATCCCCCGATCACCACGACGCCGACCACGACGCCAACCGTAGTCACAGACCCTCCGATCACTACTACGCCGACCATAGTCACGGATCCCCCAATCACCACGACTCCAACCACGACACCCACAGGGCCCACCGATTCACCGATCACCACGACACCGACTCCTGACCCAGGCAATAATAACAACGACACCGTGTCAACACCACCTCCTGTTAGCACAACGCCCACGCTGACTCCGGAAACGCTGCCAACTGAGACACCCACCACACCCCCGGCGTTTGCAGGAAACTTGACAAGCACAGACCCGGTCACCACGCTTCCAACCACCTCGGCTCCTCCTACAAACACCATCCAACCGACTGGAACGGATTCCATGACCACTTTGATCCCAGATTCGAGTATCATCACTGCAACTTCGACTGCTCCTACATCCGGATCATCTTCGACCAGCGCAGCTGTCATCCCGACTTCTCTCCCCAGTGTCATTCAACCGGAAGGAGGTATTCCCCCAGCACCGGAGAATTCCACTCTGATCCAACTCGGGTTCACCTATGGTCTCAACTACCAATTCGTGGTGTCTTCTACAACAGCTGTCTCCCAAATCTTCTCTTTCATTCCTCCGGGGGTTGGCGGTGGATTGGACTTGACCCTGGACGATGTTGTGATGCAATATCTTCAACCTTACAATACATTGGACACCGTTGGCTATATCACAACACTTGCAATGGCGTATATACCCGAAAGCAAGGTTGATCTGCTCTCTGTGCTCATCTTGAATCCAAACTCGGGTCTTTTCCACAATGATAACCCTTCGGTCACAACATTGATGAGCATGATTGACCCTTCTATTCCAATATTGGCCGGCTCTACTATGCGCAATGGTGGAACTCCCGTCAACTCTGCAAACAATCCAGCCACCACCTCGGGCGCTGGCTCCGACGATGGTGGAGCCCCAGGCTCCAGTGACACTAGCTCCGGAGTTCGACCATCTTCTGTTGGAATTGCTGTTGGTGCAGTTGCTGGCGCAACAGTCTATGGAGCAGCCATGTTTCTCGTTGCGAGACGATACAAGAAAAAGAAGGCAGGCCACCAAAGATCAAGCAGCCTCCACTCCGGCGCCAGCAGTCGCCCAGGCGAGCAGTCCAATTTAATGATTGCAGGTGGTCGTGGCAGCTACGGTACTAGAACAAATGGTCGAACGTCACGCAATAGCGATCATAGTAACTCAAACCGCAGCGGACGTACCTATATCAGTCCGCCTGTGATGGCTGAGAACAGCCTGGGATGGAACTGATTTCACCAAATATGTGGACCAACCAGATATCCCTGTACAGTGGAATGCCAATTGCTACCGACAGCCGACGCCCGTCTACGACACAGCTTTTTTCTTTTTTTACATACTTTTTCTTTTCACCTATTTATTTGTTCTTGTTACACGGGGGTGATGGGGTACTGATTGGAGGGTTTTGCATATTCCAGAAATATGAAGTATTTGAGATGTTGGAGAGAAAGAGCATGTCCTAGACAAGAGGCAATTGGGCGTGGGGATGTGGGGATGAGGCTGCCGACCGAGTACATGGCCAGGAGAATTGGAAAGGGTGAAGTACGCACAGAAATAGAGGTGTGAATCTCGGATGAAGGTGAAGCCACTTTGTATGACTGAAATGTAAGGGAGCTGTTTGCTGCAAAGCTCAACGTCCCGGGAAAGATTTACATCAAATCCAAGATAGTCCAGAGATATTTAGTGTATTCTTAAGCCTGAGTTTCCAATCCGAAAAAGCACACTTGTACCATTATCACCATCTCATATTACCGAGGTACTTCCTTCCAACTCTTGTGTTCATTTCTGCCGCATGAGGTGTACATGCTCCATACCATTTGTGCATCTCCCCGTCAGGGGAAATTCTTCATCACACCAAGAGGATAAGCAAATAGCAGTGACATCGTCCAGCTGTCAGCGCGACGACCTCAGCAATTGCCCGGCAAAGGTCAACAAATGGCCTCGCATGGTGCCACGGTGGATAAGATCTAGCAAATGCTACTTGCTGCACATCTTCGAGCATCCGTGTCTTTGAATCAAAGGCAGGTCCTCGCGTGCCAGGTCAGTGGTGCTTTGCTGCCTTCATTGTCTGTATGGCTCCTCGACGAATTCTGAAGATGGGGGGTCCTTTCAAAGTACCACGGAGGAGCCCTGTTCAGCGCAGCTTCACTCGATCTTCTCTTGCTTTGGCTGTTGACTGCAGCTCGTCGAGGAGTGAGGAGCAGCCCAGGTGGTTGGCGTTGTCGTGGGCGTCCTCCGGGATCTCATCGATTTCTGGGATTCCGCTGTCCACTTGCCAGTGAAGGTGAAGTATCCTCCCTTATTGATTTGGAAGTGAGACTGGTCGTCATTGAATCCTCATGGCCTTCTTCTGTCTCTTTCTCTTGCTACTCCTCTTCGTCTCCTGCTACAGCCCCAAAATTCTTGAAGTTTTTTGTTCCCTCATCGCAAAGACCTTCAATGTTTGTCCCCCGTCTTGCTACTACAACCGCAGCGGCATCATGAACCGGACCAGAATGAAGATCGCTCAGTATGTCGGTGAGATGAAGATCGCTCAGTATGTCAGTGGACTGCTTGAATCTGGCGAGTACTCGGATTTCACAATCACCTGCCAGTATAAAGTGTTCAAGGTCCATCGAAACATCATCTGTGCAGAATCCACGATGCTCAAGGTCGCTTGTAATAATGCAAATTTCAAGGTAATACCTACTATAAATCCGAGCACGCCTGCACCTGGTTTCGTCTAACCCTCCACAGGAAGCTGCTGAAGCAAAGATCGACTTTCCCGAGCAAAGGCCGCGCATCATGAAGATGGTGTTGCAGTTCATGTACACCGCTGAATACAAACCCTGGACTTTGCCTAAATTTGGCGGAAACGAGTGAGTTGATGACATTGATTCTGCAGTCACCAGCAAAATAGTCTAATATCGACCGATAGGACAGCTGATAATACCAATGATTCCGATGAGATCGATGGGAAGTTGCCAGAGCTTGCTGTCCACATTATGGTCCATCAAGCTGCGGATATGCTGGGAATGGAATCGCTCAAGAAATATGCGGCAGAAAAATACTGGAAGTCCTTCGACTCTATGAGACCAAACAATGATGGAGTCACGGCGCGGGATTTGCAGGTCATGTATGACTTCACGGAACCGTATGATCAAGAATTTCGATATCCCACGACCATATTCCTTTTTGAAATAAGTCAAGAAACACAAAAATGGACCGAAACCAGCGAAGTTATCCGCAAGAACGACCCAGTGCTCTGCAAAGCATTTATGAAATTAAACAAGGATGTCGAGCGGAAGATTATCATCAAGTTGAACGAAGCTTCATGTGAAGCCCAGAGGGAGCTGCGTCGGGTCAGGGAAAATGCACATTTCGAGATCGACAGCTTGAACAGTACGATTGCTTTATTGAAGAAACCAGTGGAGGAAGGTGCCTGGTGATAAGTTGTCAGCAAGGGAATGTTGTTGATGAGCGACAACTGACAATCCCATCCAGAATAATTCTTGTTCTCAATCATCCTGCGACTGCTGGTCGTGCGAGCCTGTGAGCCTGTCATGTATCATGTATCATGATGTCTGCTAGGTACAAGGGCACATGGGCATCCTGGGGGCATCAACCCACATAGCATACTTAGATTCAGGCAGATCTCCAGTACCAATGCCTACCTTAGCCCGATAACTTTGTCGCTTTTGTGATATCTCCCTCACTCCTTGAATTCGAGAGGTGAAACGAGAACTCGACACCTTCGGGAATCTAACAAGTTAGGAGGTGATCTGATTCGCTTTCGACAAGCGGAGTGCCTCGTGGTGAATTCTTCCGCTTTGTGGACGTGCAGGCAGACAGGCAGTGAATTAATTCATCACATAGTTTCTTTCAGCCCACGTTCAAGACCTTTCTTGTTCTTCTTTTCTTTTCATCCTTCGCCTTCCTTCTACCCTCGCCTACACCCATCCACTGAGGCTTCCTTCTTTCCCAAATCCTTCCGCCAACCATGGCAGCCCTCAGTGCGGAAACAGGCCTCAAGCTACTGAAGTCTGGCGAGTACTCTGATCTCACCATCACCTGCAACCAAGTGCAGTTCAAGGTCCATCGAAACATCGTCTGCTCGCAGCCCCCTGTCATCAAAGCGGCCTGCAATGCTGTAAGTTCTACACTATCTTCATCATCCTCGTCACTAACCAGAGTCCTCTTTATTTGTTGTAGAAGGAATCCCAGTCGCAATACGGCATCAGCGAATATCCGCCATCCATCCTCTGTCGAGTCTTCCAGTTCTTGTACACCAACAAATACAGTCCTTTCAAACTCCTTGAATTCATGAAGAAGTGGTAAGCAAATCCATAAACAGTTCAACACATCCCTGAGTCTAGCTAATTTTGTAATCTAGGGGTGTCCAAGATGATGATATCTGGGATCTTCCAAACATTCGAGTTCACAGTCAAGTTTATCGAGTTGCAGATCATTTGGGCATAGAGAGCCTAAAGAAGCGTGCAGCTGCAAACTACTCTAGCTTCTTCACGAAAGATACTGTCTGGTCGAGCGGGCTGGCACGTCCTTTGCAGCTCATGTACAACTGGAGCAGCCCAAGCGAATCCGAACTCCGAGACCCTGTCATGATATTCCTCATTGCGAACCACGAGAAACTGATCTCTCACCCTGACGTCAGCAACATTGTGAGGGCTGAGGATCCCATCGTCTGGAAAATCTGCGAGGGCCTGAAGAAATATGCTGAGACACCCGCCAAGGATGGTCAAAAATCTGCAATTGAAGTTCGCCAGAAGCCAAAGTTGAAGCGCCTTGCCCAGGGACCTGGCTATGACGTTCTGGTGTCGGAACTAATAGGCCGGGACAGTGTAAAAGGAAAGTGAGACTCTGAAGACGAGACGCACTTCTCTCCAGACATTTGTCTTTGGACTATTTACCAAACAAACTTGGATCGATCTCAGACCTGGAGGCTGCCAAAGCTTGGTTGTCGTGGTCTGAACACGAATATGTTGCATTCATGAGCAGCTGCAACTGGAATTCGGCAGCATTCATGGCCCGGCCCTCATGACCGTCAGCGCCCATGTAGGTAGCGACCACGCACCGTGGCCATGAGAGTAGTGGTCACAACAACATTTTTGATGTAAAGCATCATCAATGACGAATCAATTTCGAAAAACTGAGCTCCTAACCTAGATACGTTCTTGTGGCTGATAATCGTGTGAATCATATCATGCAGATTATTCGCAGAGTAGAGATGAAGTTGGCCGTCAGATGTAGTCTGTACGCGAGGCTGTGACCACAGCCTCCGGCAAATCCAGCGCACTATTGCCGAGCCCCAGGGCGCCCAAGCCACCCCCTTTTCACGCCTAGCCTGATTGCAGCCTCGTTATGAAATTCACTTGCAGGGTAGGGTACAACATAGATCACAGATTTTCTTCGACATTGAACCACCACTTGTTGTGAAATGTCAGAGCCTTCTTTACGTTCGTCGCGTTCAGAAATATGCGTAGAAGCTACAGTTTACCTGCAGTGTAAGTCTCCAGAAAGCTTAGTATGGCACGGTAGCCGTCATCATCACCGTGGAGGGTTGGCCTTGACTGGAACATCGCAAGCGACAGACAGAATGCATCCGCAACTGTGCTTGACCCAAAAAATATTCTTGTGCCGGTTGTCGCGATGTTGACGCTCCACCATGGTGTCTGCATCCATTCCACGGTAAGACTCGTTGCAGACCGAGCGTCAAGGTGTAAGGTATGGTCTGGCAGTGAGGATGCTGCACCTGGGCCAGAGCGACCGCCGAGTACCGCCAGAATTCGCTCTTCAGTATTTTCCTACCATCAACTACTCTCATCACCGCGCAAAGATTCTGGATGCGAGCCTCCAAGCATGTGCCGAGGAGGTCCATGTCCGTGGCTATTGTGCTGACTAGAGAGCGGATCATTTCAGGTAGAATCATCTTGGAGGCGGAAGAAACTATGTTAACAAGAACCACAGTGGGATTATACACTTCCATTAATTGCTATCTGCGGCACTATGCTGGCTCTTCATGCGCAAGCCTCAACTTCGGGTCGTTGGAGATCGATCGTTGAGGTCCAGTCCAAAGTAAACGAACCCATACAGTCTCGACAGTTTGCTAGCTGTCAAAGGGATCACGGCCTCCCCACACAACCGATTGCAATGATATGCTCAATCCAAGTCCCCGTTCAGGTTGCACTGACCACAGTCGCTCTCCAGCGCGATGCCATCGTTTTCTTCCCATGCTTCGTCCCAAGTCTGATCCTCTTCAATCCTTGGCACCCGGAACAAGATCTTTCTTCCATGCTTGCAAAGCAGGCCAACGTCATTGAGCTTCGCGACCACGTTCTCCATTTGACTGGTACAGAATGCCTCTTCCAATTTCCTATACACATCGACTGTACCACAGCAGATCTTCCATAACTTCGGATCGCCTTCGCTAAACAACGCAATGACTGCTTCCTGAGCGTCGCAGGATATCATATGTTTTCTGGCGAAGTAAGTGAAGACTCGAATTCTAAGATCATCATCTTGGCGCGTGATGTCGAAGAGAATGTCCAATGCCCATGCGAGTCCAGGCGAGTCACACGCAAGAGCATAGCTGTCTGAAATGTTGTAGGATGCCTTTTGTCTGAGAGTTGGAATGTCGAGCATGTCGGCCAGTTTGAAATCCTGCAGATTGATCTCGAGGATCGTTTGATGGAACGCTGCGTTCGGAGAGTAGTCTTCAGACTCGGAGGCCCCACCGACCACCAATTCATTGAATTCGGGTGTTGTTGCGACAATCAGAGACGTGTATTCTGCACAATGGTCTCGGAAGACGTGTGGGATTCTCAGGTCAGAGTATACGCCCGTGTAAATGAAGTAAATGACACGGCTGACAATGGCAGGGTGATAGTCTGATAGGTCTGAGACTCTGTTGGTCGCTTCCTGCTCTATGTTAGCAAACGCTGAGTTGGTGATATGGGGATTGCTCACCATGAACCCTCCGCTACACAGAGCATCAAAGTATGGAACCACGCCCACAACTCCACGAAGTACTTTGAATTCAACGCCTTGGCACATTATCGTGAAATCCGAATACTTCGTGTTGAAAAGTGCCTCCACTGGGCCTGACCAAGAGTTTTCAGCTGAAGACATTTTGGTAATTTCGGTGAAGAGAATTAGAATCTCCAGTCGACTTTGAGTGAGTTGTTCGAGGATGGAAAGGCTTAGGAGATGATGAAGAGGAAGGAAAGAAGTCAGAATCTCAGCAGTTGATATTGTGCCCAAATGGCAAACGGGCATGCAGATCCAACGCTGCCTCGTCGTGTACTGCCTCTGAACATTGCGCTGCCTTTGGCGTCGCGCTGCCTCATCTTGTGCTGGCTTAGCACGGGTAGCGCACAGGCAGTGAAAGATGTTGTATAAATATGTATAGCGGGTGAAATTCATGGTGGATTTGATTCAGCTTTGAAGAAACGTATGCTGGCAGACCATCGTGACTGGAAAGGGTGCTGACAATGGAAGCTTACCACCACCACACCACGTTAGCTGCACCATTATGAAGGATGACACGGGAAATTCGAAAGGAATTTCTGTAATGGTTCTGTTGATTGATTCTGCTTGATGAGCTGCTGAGCAACCAATTGTGTGATGCACTTGAGACTTCCGAGGCCTTGTTTGTATTTGCTCACACTCGGTCACCTCCAGCACTCTCTCCATTGTCGCGAGCAAGAAGACAATCAATAACGAAAGCCATATGTTGCAACTCCACCATCGGCACCCTCTTGGCCGTCAAAATCTAGTCAATCACAGCAACTGTTTGTTAGCTCTTCTGAAATTGCCACCCAATACCAGAATGATATCCCCTCCCCAACAAGAAACGCCTGCTAAACGACCCATCTATATCAGAGGATCGGTTCTTGACAGTTCTTTTGGCAGGTTGGTTGCAGTCTCAAATACCACTTTGAGCCTTCTGCCATGAATTCGGCGGTGCATGTGAATTTTCGATTATGCTTGCAACGAAAGTTAGCCGCATCGTTGAGACAGTTAGCGAATCTTCGAGCTTGCTGTTCCATCTTCTGGGCATTAGCCGTGTCGGAGAGACTGATCTTCTTGTCCCATTTCTTCTCGATCGCATCCACCTTTGACTTGTGATTCTGCTCAGACCTAGCCAGTTCTTGAGTAGCCATATCCCACCAGCCTCCCGAACTTTCTCTCAGTATTGTCAGAGTCTTCTCATGAATCTTTGTGCGAGGAGAGGCTAAGATGTGCTTCTGCAATAGAAACTCCAGTACAGGAATTCTGAGTCCAGTGTCCCTGTCCGTTACTATCTTGAGCATTGTGCCGAGAGCGTCATGAAAGTAATAATGCCAGAAGTGTTCATTTGTGAACTTGAGAAAGTATTTCGCAGCACATGATCTCAAATCACTGACCAGCATCATGTCTGCGCACGCGTATATCATGACGGAGACTTTCGCATCGCGAGACACAGTAGTCGAGATGTCCTTGTCCAATTGTCCAACCCAATCGTCGTCCTCTATCTTGGGTCCGGCAGGAGTCAATTCTTCCGGGTCCGTACAGACTTCTTGATATATCTCCGGCACTGTGCTTGCCATCAACTTGCCCGTATAGAGGTAGAAGATCACCCGGCCCATGATGGATGGGACTACTTCGGGAAAGTCTATGACCCCAGCTTGTGCCTCCTACTCACAGCGGTCAGTCCTGATCTAGCCTCGCCAACTTCACGTTATGTTTCCTTACCTTGAATCCGCCGCTACATGCTGCTTCAAGCATCGGGGAACGTGGGCAAACAACATTGCGATGAGCTTTGAACTCGATGTCTTGACAGACAATGCGCATGTCGGAGTACTTTTCTTGCTTGAGCATTTCCAGGCCCATATCATATTTGGAGATGCTTAATGAAGCCATGACGTTCAAGTTTGCGAAGCCGACGTCGTTAGTTGTAGGGAAACTTTATTAAGTGAGAAGTAGAAAGTCACTAAGAAACGGAAAAAAATAGAAGCGGGAAGAGAGTGGAGAAGGGGCTAGACGAGAGGAAGGAAGTGACGAGAGGAAGATTGGGAAGGGGAGAACATCAAAGAGAAGACCTATAAAGGAGAGGAGGCGCTTGACAAAAGAAGTAGGGAGGGAAGTAGAGTAAAATCTGCTGGCCAAGCACCAATACTTTGATAGTTGGATTGACCATAAGTGAGTGCTTAATGATGGATTTGTGGCATGCGCACACCACTTGTTATCCGTCACTGAATAGCTGAAGGACTGTCGTCAGAGCATGTGAAGTGAAGGAACCTAATCATTTGTTGCTCTTAGTGGTAGCAGGCTAGCTTGATAAGTCCTCCTCTCTTCACACGTTGTCACAAAACATGCGGCGATCGATGATAGTGCTGATTCTAATCTTTGTCTGACCCGAGCTAGGCCCTAGCCTTCGAAGAGCGAGGCTGTCTTCCAATGGTATCAAAAGAAGTGTGTTTGAGAAATACCATGTGTATCGACAATGCTTTTCGATCGGTCCGAATCAAAGCCCTGAAGTCTCATTGGCTGAATGGTTTCGGAACCTAGTTAGCGGTTGTGGAGGAGCGGATCGCCGAACCTACGCCACGACGACCTCTAGCTGCTGGGTTGGCGACCTTGGGTACGGAGAAAGATGCAAGCTGCTTGGTTGTTGGATGCTCATTGCAAAGGAAATCGACCGATATCACTTCACGTGTAGCAGGATCTCGTTCCACGTTGCAGTATGCGCGGTGTGTATGGCACTCCCTGCAGAAAGTCATCGTGCTTTCAGTAGACAGGAAGGATGCAAGTCCTAAAAATGATGACTTGAGCTCCTTGTGTGTATCTGGATCCACGCGGTCGGGCATCTGTGTGAAGATCGTCAAGACAATCGGCTCGTGGGTTTTAAGGATCTCCACGGTTTTGGTATGTTTCTTGACCTGAGGGTATTCGTCTAAGCAGATTCGAACAACGGCAAGTCGAAGCTCAGTATCATTAGATAGGGTGCTTTCAAACATGATTTTCAAAGGCTGGGCGAAGCCTTCCATTGCACATGCACTTCTTGCTTCTCGCACGAATTTCTCACACGCAACTGTCCTCAGGTTGTTGATACCAAGCATATCTGCGCATTTGTATACGAGTGCGTTGACTGTCATTCTCCCGAAAGGAGCTAGTGAGGCGTCGTCAGTGGCCACTTTAGATCCCTGATCGTTGTTTTTGTCCGGCTTGGAAACAGAGTGTGGAGCCTCGGAATCATCGTAGTCATTTGTGTACATGAAGCGGATGGGACGACCGACGATTTCTCGCTTCTCCTCTGGAAAGTTGATCTGCCGAGTATTTGCCTCCTATTGAAAAATCAGACCTGGAATGATATGAGAAGAGTCGTTTACCTTGAAGGGTCCGGCGAAAGCTGCATCGAGCATAGGCGATGCCGTACACACTACAGCGCTGTGTACTTTGAACTCAACATCCTCGCAGATGATAGTGAAGTCCGAATGTTTCCCGGTGTTCAAAAGGTTGGCCCATCGGTCTGGAGGTATACCTGCCATTGCGAGAGCAGTTGGAAGGGTGAAAATTGAGGTTCAGATTGTTTGAGATGGAATTCTAGAGGCGAAAAGTAAGTGAACAGATATAAGAGAAGAAAGAGGCTGGTGACCGAATTTAGCAGTCTCGGCAGCCTGCTGATGTGAAGCAAACATGTGAAGAAATTTGGTGAGAATGTCTGCACGGTTTGATGCGTACTTCACCGCATGCTGGCTTTGAGCCAAGAAGTTTATCTAGCCTCGTTCTGAGAATCAGGAAAGCAGTGAATCGATGTCCCATTGAAGAAGGCAAATAGGGTTGAATTCTCATAGTCTTTGCTCTTAAACAAAGCATCGCTATCATGTGTAAAGGATAACCTGCCAAATAGGTGGGACAGGCTGGAAAAGCTTCCTTTCTTGAAAAGAACCTAGTAGGAGGTCTGTGAAGAAGAAGCACATGATTGATTATAGCAGGTGTTGTGAATAAAAGATGCGTCAACGCTCCTTGGAATCACCCCACCACTCAACGAGTATCCGTAGTCAGAAGTACTCATTGAGCTGTTCAAAATTTCATCAGCGAGCCGGCCGAAGCGCATCAATATAATAACTCCGTGATCTCTAGAGAAATTTGCAAGATCCTTCTTCCACCCATACAATGAATATCGGCGTGTTATTTGGCCACTGGCGAGAAGGGAATCATTCTTCCACCAAAGACCCGTCTTGGATCCTTCAAAACATGATTGGTTCACGGTGGCTTGTTGCCAGATAGTGGCGGCTGCAATCACAGTAACATGTGCAGTTTTTTTCTTCTTTATTCTTGATGGCAGCTGCTCTTGACGCTCCAGTTGCTTGACGGTGGGTGGTTTCTTGATATTTTCCAAGAGCTGTGCGAAAGGCTCTGTGAATCGAAAGTGGGTGGCACATAGGATTTAGGTGGTGGCTTATGGCTTTATCTTCGACCTGAGGTGCGTATAATTTCTTGCTGCTGCGAAACGCTATTTCTGTGGATGAAAGCGGCGTCGGGACGGCCATTCATATGGTAATATTGGACCTCGGGACTCTCTCAATCCGTCGTGTGGTAGAAGTCCCTCCAGATTGAACACAGCAAGAAGCCGACCAAAATTTCGCTTCGATCGAATGAATGCTGTTGTGGGAGATACGAGTAGGATGCTCTTGGTTGAAGTCATACCTTCATGTGAATGTTCAAGGTGAGAGCTAAGGAAGGAGCAGGGAGCGGCATCCGAGACATCCACAAAATAAGTTCGACTCGAGCCAAAAATAGGTCATCCATATATGAGCCTGTGAGAGAGATGTTGTCCATTGCCACGCTCATAGCACAGTTTGCAAAGCAGGAACCTCCTGGAGCGCGTTATCATCCTCAGCCTCGGATGGAGGAGTGAGCATAGCGGCCTCGGACGTGGTTGTGACTGCAGGATTGATGCAGTTCTCTTCCGATACAGCTGAAGGCTTGAAAGTGTTGACAAACCCTGGTTCTGGAGAGGCCCAGGCATAGTCTACCCACTGAGAACCAATAACTTCTCGGATGCCTTTGGCTAATGTGCGAATGGTTTGTCGACGTGTCAAGGACCATTCGTGGTCGGTGATTGCGTCGGAAGGAGTGATGGTACCAGGAAGGGCGTCCAGATCATCCGCCAGACCATCAAGGACACTTCGCCAGACTCGAATTGTTTCATCGAGCTCTTCAAGTCTGCTGACTCCCATGACATTGACACCAATCTTCTGGCGAGGGACGCTCAATGCGGAGGAGTAAGAATTGTCGTTGGGGCCAAGCGGGCTGCCGAATGTGCCGACTTTTGCGCCTTCTCGAAGCCAATTTTCGAGAGCAAATCTGACAGCAACCACTTCGAGTTTCTCTCCCCGAAATTCGGCCCACTTGCCTGCGTCGATGCAAGCTTGTCTGAGAGCATCAGGAGCAGGATGCCAGTCACCCAGAGCACCGACTGAGGGTCCGTTCCGTCTCAGAATGCCCATGCCGAGCGGGCTGGCATTGGTCACGACATCGACACCGGCATTGACGAGGCGCTCCAAGCCATCTGATAGCAGTCTGGTGTTTTGGAGAGTATAATTTGCATATGACTGAACGATGTCGATGGGCTCTCCGGTTTCGCGGAGAATCATCTCTGCCAAGTCACACAAGACATCGACCGGGTAGCCACAAATACCGACATATTGCAAAGTGCCCTCTTCATCACGAATGCGACGCAATTCTGTGATGGCAGTCAACACTTCCAACGGAGAGACAAACTCGCAATCATGGCAGTAAACCACATCGAGATAATTGGTTTTGAGTCGTTGGCAGCTCCTCTGAACACTCTGGCGGATCCATTCGGGAGAATAATCAAAAGCGTCGCCTGCGATACGGCCAACTTTGGTCAGGATGAAATACTGCTCTCTCGGGTAGTATCTTCGAACTAGGTCGGAATCAAGGGCAGTGCCGAGAATTTCTTCCGCGGGCCCATAATATGGTGAGGTGTCAAAAGCATGAACACCGTTGGCCAAGGCCTTTTGCACCAGTGAAGTCGTGTTCAAGGCATATGGATCAACATTATACTAAGTCAGAAAATCAGAGATGAATTTCAAGTCTCAACATGGAAGATGCCCACCTGATTGCTAAAGGTGGCGGTTCCAAAAATCAGTGGCGGGAGAGATTGCGAAAGGGGTGCTTGGGGTCTAGGCATGTCTGTCAGCGACAGGCGATGGATGGGACAGCACAACAACGGGTGTGAGAGGAAATGGAGGATTTCTCATTGTAGAAGATGGCTACGACATGGCTATCTATATCTATTCAACTACTCGGGAAGCAAGCTGGCGGTCAAGACTCCAGAATCCAGAGTGAGTCGACATTGGTTGGAGTGGACCAGAGGAGGAACACTTTTTCTTGAAATATTGGTGGGGCCGGGGACGGGCGTACCTGCGCACAACCAACGGATGAAGAATGAGCTAGTCCAGGCCATCCGGAAGAACCAGGGGGGAGGTTGCCGTGCCAGTGTGCGAAGCCAAATGCATTTCGAGAGCGGACACAAGAAAACATGTTGTTGGAAAGGTAGCTTTGAGATTACGAAACATGGTTTGGTGAGATGAGATGGCGTATCCTTGGATGCCGGTGTGGAGTGGAGCAAGTTTGTAGATACTGATCCATATCGTTCTCCATGCAGTGAACCTATTTCATGCACTGCATCGCAAACGCACACTCGGGTTCGCTAGCGATAATAGTACGGCAACACAAGATAAGGCAAAAGAAGACACACGGCGATGGCGAAGCAGAATCGAGCATGGCGCCACTCAGATCCATGACGCGATTACATTGGAAGAAATGCGACTAAGGAGGCCTTGATATGCAACCTTTCTGTGTCACTATTCGGCCCGCGGGTTTCCTACGCTTGGACGCTTGGACGCTACGAAAAAAAAGGTCCCGATAATATTGCGACATTCTCAAGTGTTTGGGATCAAACGAACCTCGGAATAAGCCATATTTGAGTTTGCTACTGGCATTTCTCCGTTCGGTTACAGGTTATTCCATACCAAGACTAGTAATGTTTATCAAGGCCAGACTATGAATCACTCTTGACGCCTGATGATTAGACAATCATGGGTAAGAATGCAGAAATTGGGTCGTCGTTGGGTGTGATTTGTATGTGATTATACTGCCTTGCTGCATTTGCAAGGTAACTGATATGAGCCATTGAGCCAATGCAATCATCGCGAGCAATGCTATAATTTCCACCATGTAGAACAAATCACTGGAGTACATGGTCACACAGCCTCGCCCGCACACACATTGGTACAAGCGTTCCATATGCAATGGGACCCCGTTGCCTCCAAATCCTCGAATCGACCCAGAATGAGTTGAGATGTCTGTCTGTCTGATCTTTTCCGCCATAGAGATCATCATTTGAATAAATCTCCGTTGCGAAGTGTGGTCCATGGAGACAAAAGTTCTCATCATCGTCCTCTTCTTCCAGATCAAGGTCTTGACGCCACCCGCCCAATACATGACGCTTCCGCTTGCTCTTCAACCCGTTTCCATGGAATGCCATAAATTCCTGTTATACAACCCAGATGCCATTATGTACTGTTGAACGCCATTCGCTATGCATCGAATATTACCCTTTTTCGTCCAAGATGCCACCGCAGTAAGTCGAGATTTGGGGGATGGTTTTGTCGAGCCCTCGGGCAATTCAATCTGGTCACCGTCCTTTTCCGACGGTTAGCACAGAGTTCATTCCTTGTAAAGCTTGGGCTTCCAACCTTCTTTCAACTCTTTATCCAGTGCTGCCTTGCGCTCTGCCTCACGAACTTCCATTTCTATCCGTTCTCGGGCTCGTAGAATTTTGCTCTGTAGATAGAAGGAACCACCGCCACCCTTTTTCGGTTCGTTGAGGTCGTAGAGCTTTTTGAATCGTTCCATAACATTTTCCATGTTCGCTATACCGCCTTGAGGTGGCTTTACGTTGAGGATTTTGCAAGCTTCGTCCAGAGTCATGCCAGATGCAGCAGCGGTGTTGACGGCACCTGGGTTATTCTTCCCGGCGGCTTTGGCATATTGTGATGATGCCTGGGCTTGTTTGTAGGCTTCTGCGAAAGCTCTACCGAATACACGACCACCGGTTAGGACGATCTGGGCGATGATTCGGTGCGCCTTTTCAGAGTCAGTGGCTGCAGTGGACGGGGGAGTGACAGGTTGACTCGGATCTCCCTGTAGCTTACCATAATGTCTTAAGAATAGGCGCAACCAAGAGAGAGGAAATTGTCGCGACTCAATGAACCCAACGCTCAGATTGCCTGATGGAAAGCGCAGGAAACCTTTTGGAAAAGAAATTGGGAGCAGGATATTGGAAATGGTCATTCCAGCCGGGAGATTTTCGCCTAAACATGCCTTCCATTGAGAAATCACGTGGAAAATCACATGACAGGCTCTAGTCACGTTCAAGTTGCTAATTGTGACGTCGTTGTCTTGTACGAAGTACCTAGGCTTGAGGCTGTAGGCTGGGCCTCCAGTAGTACTACGAAGTATGAGGACTCGTAACTCTTTGCCATTGCTGCGCACATGCCACTGTCCATGTTGAGGCCAGACGCACCCATCCACGTCTTGAACCACAAGACATGTCTGCATCATGCAGATTCATCTTTTAATTCAAACACCTATTCTTTGTGCAACCCGCAACACTGGCACCCTGTACACTCGTCCTGTTCCTTAGCCGCGCTTTACCGTCCTAGACGTCATCATCCTCCTCCTCCTCGTTCCATGACTGAACAGGCATCGTTGTATGGCAGCATTTGGTATAGCACTCCGCAACTCGCAAGATGCCATATCGGATATTAATAAGGCTCTCTAGATACACCCTGGATGTCATCAATGTCCAGACCGAATTCATATGCATCCCCCACCGACCCTTCGAGTTCCCAGCAGGCCTGGGACTCAAACCCTCCCACTTTCGCCGCCTTCTCTCCCACTTCAGCTTCTGGATACTCAGCTACCTCGAAACAGAGATCCACGGTCATAGTCCACAAGAAATCCCCGCTTCTGGTAGCGACTCCTCCTCAGATCACTCGGGCCCTCGCACATTCACATCCGTTCCTGCTACCCTTGAATAAGTTAATGGGGCTTTTGTCTTGGAGCACACAAGATCCATGGGAATCATACCTGTTTGTTGCAGCGTTTTGGGCTGTTACACTTTATGGCGGTGAGATTATTCGATTCGCAAGTCCCATCCTGGTGGTGGTGGCTCTTATATTAGGCATGTATGCAAGACGATACTCTCCACTATCGTCCACATCCAAAACCGGTGATAAACGACCTACCAAAAGCGACAAATCTGAATCACAAAATTCCACCACTCCGCATCATAAAACCCTCGATGAGATTGTGGATACCCTCCAGGAATTCACAGCCCGTTGTAATATACTTCTCGAACCATTCATCAAATTGACCGACTTTCTCTCCACCCAAACCACCCCTACGGCTGCCACCACTCGTCCCGCCTTGACCACCCTTTTCATCCGAGTTCTGCTTGTAACACCCTTCTGGATATTCTTGACCTTACCACCCTTTTATATATTGACTTCGCGAAGAGTCATTCTGACAATTGGCACCGTCATACTGACCTGGCACTCGAGGCCTGCTCGTGTCTCACGGGTGATTCTTTGGCGCTCCGTGTTGATGCGTAAGGCTGCAGGCTTTGTGACCGGACTAGATCTGGACGTATCACCTAACACTGAGGGAGGCTCACTGCTTCGTGCGGCATTGAGATCGAGGAAAAAGTCACAAGCTGGTCTGGCTTCGGAAGTCGCCACGAAACGGCGACCAGATTCATCAGGCGTCCGTTTTACATTCATGGTCTACGAGAACCAGCGTCGCTGGCTAGGTTTGGGATGGACCACTTCACTTTTTGCCTACGAACGCGGTCCGTGGACTGATGAGCAACTTAATACAGCCCCTTCAAAGGATGAATTCGAGTTGCCATCCGTGGAGGGCGGAATGGCCAGATGGAGGTGGGTTGATAATACCGAATGGCGAATAGAGCATGGCGATGCGAAGCAACATAAACGAACTGCAAGTCAGGCCAAAACAGGACCCGCTGGCACTTCAGGTAAAGACGGAGGTGAAGATGGCGGAGGTTGGATTTATTACGACAACAAATGGGACGATGGCAAGAGAGAGGATGGGTGGGGCAGATATACGCGACGAAGAAAATGGTATCGAGATGCAGAACTGGTTGAAGCAACACCAAGTGCTATTCCTAGCCCTGGTGAAACACCAACACAGCTCTCCGATACTGAAGACGTCAAAATCAGAAAGGCAAAAGAATTCGGTAAAGGGGTGGGGATGGAGGAGAAGCCAACACCATCATTACAACAAGTCGAGAAAGCTCTGCCAGAAAAGGCTAAACCAGATGATGATGCGACGAGTATCAACAAACCCAAGAAAACCGGATGGTTCACATCGAAGCGGGAGAGAAGCGACAGCAAGAGCAGCAGTGGGAAGAACACCGGCAAGTTTAGTACAACAAGCCAAAGAAGCCGTGAGGACCCTGAAGACGATGTCCTAGATAAATACCGTGACAATCCAGGGGGTCACCGGTCATTCAGTGTTCAAGAAGATGTTGCCATGAGTCTAGGATAGTCATGATACCAATATTGTATTATCCCGACAACCGGTTCCACGTGAAGACTCGATCCGATCCCTTTTAGTAAAACATTCTATTTTGTCTATATATACGTGATTTTCGATCCTGGAATCAGACATGAACAGAAGTTTGTCCATCTCAACTCATCCTCCTCTCAGGACCTTGCAACCATGAATCGCGATCTACTTCGCAGCCCAGTTTTCACTCCATGCCACTGGATCGCTTGACGCAACGCTACGTAATCCGGACCAGGGTGAGACCACACTTCTCTCTCCACCACGACCAACCCTCAACTTCACAGTGCCTGTTCTGCGTTGCTAGATCCCTGTTCCCCATGATTCCTTACACACGTTTCCCATCATTCCTCTCAACCGTGACCCTCCCGCTTGAAGCCAAGGCAAGGGTCCTTGGGAACATGGGTCTAGCGATCTCAAGCCACTGTGTCGACCTCCAGCAAGACACGAGATCAACAATGGGAAAGCCACGCTGTGGCAGGGCAGGGCACCCCAGTATAAGTGTCTACTTCATTCACAGGCTGCCGTGAACGAAACGCTTATTGCATTTTCCCCAATTCATTCCCTGAACCCTGGAGCAGAGAGGGGTGGCTGACCGGTTGACGTCAAGCCACATATTGTCCTCGTACCTGGGCACGACCTGTTCGTCCAAACCGCCCGTGATGAATGCCTTGTTTGTATGGGCCTACTGGTGTTATGATGTAAGTGCTCTGCTGTACTCTGCTTTACTCAGAGTGAACCGGTAGGTCGATGGTATGCTATAAAGCCGATGGTCAAGCCACACTTTGCACCCCAACGCCTCCCTGTCTCTATCCATCTTCAGGATTTCTACAGCCTCACATCGCACACTTGACACTTTCACTACTCGAAGAAAGCCTATATCATATTTACAAGACACAATATATCACGCAACATGTCGGACGAAGGACAGAAGAAGCAGAGTGGTATGTGCCTCAACCCACGCTTGGACCGGTGCTTCCCAGTGATAGTCTCATCACCTCCTTTTCCCCCCATTCGAAGCAGGAACCATGACTGACATTTTCCCTCGAGGATTCTCAGGCATCCTCAGCGGCGTGACTGACACGGTGGGCAGCACCGTCGGTGGCGTAACTGTACGTTTTTCTTAATCTCCGGCCTATTTCCTCTCAAGAACGCCCTCTAATATTCATCCCGTTGCAGGACACCGTCGGCAACACGGTCAGCGGCGTCGGCCAGGGCGTTGGCAAGACCGTCGGCGGCGCGACTGAAGGCGTAAGTGGTCTTCCTCTTTCCCGTCTTGGTGAAAACGCCTCTCCTCTCTTAACAATTAATGTCTTAGATCGGAAACACGACCAAGGCGGCAGGCAACACCGTCAAGGACGGCACTGACTCCATTGGTGGAAAGAAGCAGACTGGTGATAATCCGCTTGGGTTGTAGTTGATTGTGGAGTATTCCCTGGCTATGATGATCCGGGATCGCTTGTGTGGCTTAGCCTGGCAAACGAGGTTGAATTATGGGTTGACTTACTTGACAAGTAAATCCAAAGACAAATAGTTTGACGGTTCTTGTTTCTCATGGATTGTTGGACTTGGCTGATTAAAGAGAAACTATGCTGTCGGGGCAGTGTGCTACTGCGGGTTAACGGGAGGGATAGCGCTCGATCATAAAGTAGTCTAATTGCAAGTATGTAAAGTCTCCAGTACCTAATACTGTCAATCCGTGCAATCGGCTTTCCAAAATAATCATAAAGCGCAACAATATATTGTTTAACGCAAAGAATCGTGATAAGAGCTACAACATGCCCACGCCAAGATGCGCCTCGCTTCCAAATCAAATACTCGTAATGCTCGACTGAGACCAAACGCACCATGTGTTGTCCATTCGGTAACATATTTAGTTACAAAACATCCCCTGATTCATATCTCCGGTTCATAGTCGTCATACTCCGCCTCGTCAAGGCAGATCAAGCCAAAGAATGCACGATGCTTGCACTTCCTCCTCCTTTTCCCTTCACGATGTGACTTTGTACTGCTAGGTGTTGCACTACTAACACTCCGGCTAGGGGCCTGTGTTATGGTCTCTGATGTGGACGATTCCATCGAGGTGCTCGTATGTGAATGTCGATCATGGCAACCAAAGAAGAAGCCGGGGGTTTCGCAGGTATCAGTTTTGGTAGCTTTGGTTTGGCTCTGAGTCGGCGCTGGTGAAGCTTTATCTGTGGTAGTGGTTGGGTCGTGGCATCCCCACCATCCTGGCTGTTTGCAGGTGGTCGAAGAAGTATGTCGAGAATGTGATGGAGAATTGGAGGTTGTTGGCAGAGATACAGTGGGGGCCAGTGTGGTTGTGGTAATGGTAACATTCACTTCTTTGTTACAACCAAACCATCCGGGTGTAGCACAGCTTGTTGTGGTATAGGTTGTGGTAATGACGGGGATGGAGGACGAAGTCGTGGTTGTCGTCTCATCCAGACATCCCCACCAACCAGGAGTTTTGCAAGTGGTAGTCCTTGTACGAGTGGAGGAGGAAGTGGTGGTTGTGGTGGTTGTGGTCGAGTCGGAACCATTGCTTTCGAAATACTTCCAGTTGAAACAATCGACACATTCATCATCGGGGACACACTTGGGGACGTCTTTGTATTTTCTGATGACGCTATCAATGACCCCACGAATTTTGTGATTGCCGATGCCAACACGCCAACCATAATCGGTTACGGTGTCGTAGACACACTGCATACCTGTATGACATTGAGACTCCATGGCGTAGCCGCCCAAGGTACAAGTGGCTGTAGCACCATTGCAGGTACCCATGAAAACAGGATCGGCTGTATTTCCAAAATGGTAGGTTCCTGTATATTTGGTGCGTGCTCTCTGGGGGTCCGACGATGGTGGTGAAGGAAGACCGAGGCGTTTGGCGGCCAAATCTTCACCCGGAGCCTCGAAAGTGACAGTCGGCAAGCCAAAAGTTAGACCGAGTAAACTGGTGACGGCACCACCGAGCGAATGGCCCACCAACCAAACGTTGGAATCGGTGTAGATCTCGGTGACATTCGTATAGAGATCAACAGCTGCTCTGTAATATCTATTTTCGTTCTTCAGAGCTTGGACAAGACAAGTCTGATTGCAGCTGAAGGTGCTGGAATAACAGTCACAGACCTGCCTCCAGAAGTACTGGCCTCCTTGAGCACAACAGCAACTGAAGAAAAGATTATCGTTCAATTTATCCTGCGTGGTGGTCCCGTCGCCATCGAAAACGGCGGGCGAGGTTCCTTTGAGGCTTATGATGATGGTGTTGTTACCTTGATCGGCAAAAATGTGGCCGCGGAGGCCGTCGCCCTGCCAGCCAAAGCTTGCGGTTTTGTTGTAGCCTTGCGTAACATCTTCCCAGTCACCTTCACCGGGCACTTCGTTGTAGGCGTTTGCAGCCATGATGGCTAGATTGATGACGGTCTCTTTGTCTGTTACGTTTGGGCCATGGACTTCGTCGAGGGTCCAGGCCGATGTATCAAGGATGGCAGGCCTTCCAAAATAGCGGGCATGTTGGAGATGTGAGTCGATGACCAAAGGATCTCTGTCGACAAGACGCTCTATTTGATGAGAGGCCGATCTGGCAGAGAAGTGTGGTGGTTGTTGAAGAAAAGTCTCGGAGTCATCTTCGGAAGCCACGAGGAGGGGTTTATTAGGGCGAAGGTCGAGGCGTTTGTGTAGATGCGGGTCCTGATAGGTACCTCGATGGAAGATATGTCGAAGGGTAAAGTCATGAGAATTGGGTCGATCTGGCAGAGGCAGAGGGTACCAAGGATCGATGGCGGGGGCAAGTGAGGCAGCAGCATGGGGAGCAAGGGCGAGGAAGGAGAGTAGCATGCCAGCGGTGACTCTCCTGGTGGAATGACAGTTACGATCTTGAGGTTTCCGAGTCTTCATGGTGAGTGGTGTGTAGTTGTTGAGATTGGAAGTTATGGGGATGGCGTTGATGCCTGTGGTTGCGGTGGTTGAAACAACGGTCACTCGGTCTGTTGACGTCGTTACGGAGGGAGAAGAGGTCACGACTTACGGAAGCGAAGCGCGCTTAACTTACCAAAGATGGAGGACCTCTAGTAGTTAACTTAGGCTCTAACCAGTTACTGTAGCCTGTAGGTACCGAACTTCCCTAGCATTAGGCACGAGTCGAATGCCCGAGGCGCCCATAGGCCGTGTCCTCAGGCTCCCATTTTATGTTCGGATTCCAGTTGGCCACCCGCGTACTCGTCATTCGAATCACATGCTCAATGCCAAAAGCCAACGGATGACGCGGGTACCAGACATGTTCTCAGTGGTGGTCCTTGTACACGCACGTCCAGTCCATGCACCGCATTCACGTTCATGTCTTCAAGATTGCAACAGTGCTACCAGTGGTACCTCAACATCCACTTCTCCCTCCATCCACCCATCCATCTCTGGGTCTTGTTTCATTCATGATGCAGCCTGTCCTCTTCCAGGCCGACACGATACACCAGCAATGTTGACACTCATGTTTCAGTAAACTCCTTCGCTAATTAAAGGCTCGCCTACACCTCGATAATAATACTCCTCCGGCACTTGACAACTCACAACCACGAGCATAAACATCCACTCGGCAGGTCCGAATTTCCTGAGGCTGTCCAACTAATAATCCAAAAACCATGTCTGCCACTGCCTCTCTCAAGAACAGGCCTACTGCTCTCTCCACAAAGTCCTTTACTCGATACGAACCCTCACCACCCTCCAGCTCCACAAGTCGAGCAAGAGCCAGCACAACCTCATCAGTGTCTTCTCTAAAGTCCCCCAAGAAGGATCCAGCTCATCTGCAAGATGTCTTCCAAAAGCCCATCAATGAGGACAGTGAACCTCCCTCCCCGGATATTGCAAGAGCCCACACCTTACCCGACCAATTCGACGAATTACCTATAGAACTCGCCAGTCTGACTGACAGGTTTGTCGAGTCTCTCAAAGTCAAAGTCTACAACGAACCTCCCACCATCGACCAACTGTCCGATCTGTTCCAAGAATTCTATGCCCGAGCATCCGGTGCTATCGCCATCCATATCTCTGCTCTTAGATCTAAGCTCAACAGAGAGCCTTCTCCTGCTCCCTCTAAATCATCCACCAAGTCCAGATCACTTACCGCAAAACATTCCAGCGACGCTCTGAAACCTCGAGATGCCGTTGGTGCCTCTCAACAGATGCTGACTGCTTCCGAGGTCACGGAGAAACGGAAACAGAGGAAAATGCTCGAGTTCAAGCGTATATTACTAGAGGAGGCCGTCGAAAGGAGGGTATGTGAGAACATCTACGACAAAATATGGAGACACAAGAGCACTCTGGATGAGGTTCGAGATGAGAAACTCCGTTCCAAGACTGCTGCTTTGGCCCTCGTTGGTATCGGTTTGAAAGACCTGGGCATCGAGGTCCACCCTGACCAAGAAAAGTCGGTAGAGGATATACAGGCGTCCTTGATTCCTGCCAGGGAGGGTCTCGCCAAAATGAATGATGAAAAGTATCCCCTGGGAAAGTTGAAGCATCTGACCAAGGCACACCAAGCTATCGTTGACACCCTCTACACCATACACCCTTCCTCTTCCTCAGCGGATGAGATCTTGCCCACTCTCATCTATACACTGATTACCTCTCCCGTTGAAGGGATCAACATTATAAGCAATCTCTACTTCATTCAGCGGTTTCGAGCTGCTCCGAGGATCGACGGTGAGGCTGCCTATTGCCTGACCAACCTCGAAGCCGCCATCAGCTTCTTGGAAAACGTCGATCTAGCGAGTTTACGAGCAGATGAGATGCCTGAGGGACCCAAAAAGCCCGCCAGCCAGGACGGGGAAGAGTCAAATGAGAAACTCGAGGCTTTCCCCTCCCTTCCTGGCACTGCACCGGTTCCTTCAACTCCTACAACAGAAACCTCACCTTCCAACGCCACCGGTGTCAATGCAGTGGCAAGCCCGACTGGTTCCATTCTCAAACCCTTGCCCGAAAAACCAGCGGCCCGGGTGACACGACACCAGCGCACATTATCGGATATATTGTTGCCCATTAGTAATGCCAATGAGGCTGTGCGCTCAACTGCTGAAGAAGGGTTCAAAAACATATCCAGTACGCTGGACAACAGTTTCAAATTTCTGATCGGGAGGCTCAAGGAACGTGGTACAGAGGATGCTAGCGCAGAAGTCGTTCTACCCAAGACTTTGGATGAAGCTCGACAGCTTGTAAATCGACCACTGACGCCGGACGATGATGATAATGCGCTCAGCGAGTCCAGCTCAGTTCATGATGGTCAGAGCACTCCCAGTACAAACCTAACCAAAACAGAAGACAAAATTCTAAGCCTCTTGGGTGGCCGGAAATCGGCTACTGTACGTGAGCGTAGTGTCGACAGTGTGCAAAGCAATAGTAGTGGTCGACGGATCTCTTTCCTCCCAGGGAGTACCGATGGGGCGTCTGCTAACGCGTCATCTTCAAAAACCACCGCAGCTATACCTCAGCCTACCTCCAATAACCCACTAGAATCTGTTAAGAGTTTTGGCGGCAGCCTCAATCCCATCAACCATATCGGCTCTGCGTTTGGAGGGGCTTTCGGTCGATTTGGGAGCCGTGCAGGTGCATCTGCTTCTCCACCCTCAGCCGCCACGCCCTCAATTGTCCTAGACAGGGACAATCGATCACCTTTGGGAGATAAATTTCCCAAGAATATATCGAAGCCGGCCTCTGAGGATGAAGCACGTAACACTCCGATGCGCACTCCTAAGCCAGACGAGTTACCGGCGATCAAAGCTGCCCCGCCAGTCTCCCGCTTCATGTCTATGACTGATGCCAATGAGTTAAAGATCGGGGATGTCCAGGAGTTACTAGGCGATTATCAGCGACTTGCTCGTGTTTTGGGTCAGCTGGTGCAACGAGCACAGGCAGCTGCAGATACAGATGAGAACGTTAGTGAGACGGCTGGCAGTGACCAGGACAAGGATTGAAGATCTTGTCATGCTACACATCTCATGCCATCACCACTGCATCTGGCATACATTCTTACAGGTCCTGGTTATTGGCCACTGGCAATCAGTAACTGGGTCTTTTCCGGTGCAACGAAATGCTTGTTCTCGGATACTTGACAAGATGTCGAATCTTAGTCCTCAACCACACTTCGTAAGCCTGTACATTAAAGGGGGCCGATGTTCATTTCTACAGTCTCCATCCCCTGGATAAGTACCTTGGCTGCATGCACTGCAGCGAAAGTATGGCACGTTATCACAAGATGACGAGAGTTAGGAGAACAAGGAGAAATTTATATACCGGGTAAAGTAGCAGAAGGCTCTCTGAGGCTCCATGTACAGGACGTTGAACCTGAAACCTCTCTTTTGATGTCATAGACCTCAGATGCATGTGGCTGTATAGCCATGTATGAAGCAACACAGATCAGCAACGTCCACTTTCTACCATTCTTACCCACTCGACCGATCAGGATGACAGACCGATCGATGTACCGCCTCCCCAGACACGCCAAAGCAGGTGCACTCATGCTTGACTTTGGTACCCAGGTACTTGCCACTGGCGTGATGATGCGGGAGGTATCTACACTGCATCCTGCACTCCGCAGAACAAAAAAGACATTACAAGCCCATACCCGTAATCGCAAAAGTGTAGTCGCCAGCGAGCCTCCCGTGGTTTCATCTCATCAGGTATCTAACGATACCTAGTATTCCACCTCTGGCAGCAACCCCCCCCCCCCCAACCAGGTCGGTGCTGTGGCATGCATGCCTCTTCACTTGACTGCTTTGACGTTACTCTCGCCCGTTCAATCCTGCTACTGCTAAGCGCCTGTGATAGCAAGGGCCAGAGCGGTGTGCTGATACATGGCATGGAAGGGATTTTGCAAGGGAAGATAACGAACGTACGAGAGATAGATGCTGGTGTGACGAACGGGATTGCCTTTGTGTCGCGTGTGCTCATCATACCTAAGACATGCCCTCGAATTATTCTGGAGTGTTAGCCATGACAGGGTAATTAGATCCCCTGTTCTGCCTTTTGTATCATCCAGGTCTTTGATTAGATACCTAGGTACCTATCTAGATTGGTACAATGGTGTAACATGGATGTTGTATAGGATGTCTCATTCGACTTATATTCTGCGCCGACCATGCAGTAGTGATTACTTCTCGCTTGCTCAGATGTACATGATCAACAATCTATGTATCAAGATGGATTTTGTAACGCCATGCCAACATTTTGTCGGCCTTGTAACCCCCCTGTTTCCGTCATTAATGTTGTCGTCAAGTAATTGAGTATAAGAGATAAAAAGGAGTGGGTGTAATTAGAGTCGAGGTGAATAGTTCACGTAGAATCTTTCGCGATCTCCTACCATAAGAGATGTGCCTATGTCGATAGAGTGAACGAGTGTGTGTTGAGAGCCCTTCAGTCGCGCTGTTCAATCGTGACGCCTTGCCTCGCAAGATGCCATGAACACAAGCCATTCACATATTGACAGCGTGATGGATGGGCATCAAGTCCTGGCCCTACCAGCAATCAACTCTCCACCTCCTTTCTTCAACGCATCCAGTTCCGACTGGACATCCGCCTTCTTGACTGTCACCTTCCTCTCGCGCATCTTAACCAGCATCTCGTATCGGAGCGCGACCTTACGCCTCTCGACCCGTGCACGCAACAGCTTTTGCATGTCATCGCGAAACTTGTCCAGAAACCACATCGCGGTCTCTTCGCGCTCTGCATCGGTTTGCACGCGGAAGAGCTGCGTCTGGTCTTCGGCTCGCATCTTGGTCAGGTTGGTGAGCTTCGCACTCAAACTCATCGCATTGCCATTGCTGTCCAAGGCGGGCTGGGGTGTTGGAAGGCTGGGATCCAGAGTGAAAGGGATACCATCGAGCTCGGCCAAGGTTTTAGTCTTGAGGGTCTCTGCATCGTAGTCGATGTCAATGGCATCATGGGGTCTTTTGGTCCCGGAGGCGGGAAGGGTGGAGGTCACGCTTGGAGGGTTGGTGGATGGTTCGTCGTCGGCCGCTTGGTCTTCTTCCGAGGACGACTCATGATATGAGGAGACTTTGGAGGAGAAAGGAGGGTTGGTGTGAGTACGTGGCTGAGGCTGTAGAATACTAGTCTTGGTATTATTGTTGTCGGCTGCTGGCTGGTCGATAGGTGAGTCAGCACCAAGCGGTTGGCGAACTTTGAAGCGGTTGACAACTTCAGGCAATGGTTCAACAGGTGCATGTTGAAGGAGGTCTGCCTTGCGAGTTGGCAGGGGCGGGCTTTCTGGTTCGTCCGCAATTGACGGTCGTACATGATTCTGCTTTGAGTCATCTATTTTGGGCCGTGGTGATAGTTTTGTTTCAATACCAGGTCGAGGCCTAGATGGTGTATCCTGCCACACGTAAGGTTCTTTGTCGGCGAATTCAACATCTTCTTCGTAACGTTCATTGTGGGCATCGCCATATGCTTGATCTATATACCCAGCATGACCGTGATGTGCATCCAGACTCGGCCCGAATTGTCGTTGTAGACGCTTTTCCTTTTCAACTTGTGCCCTCCAATCCCCGGAAAGAAGTGCGTTGTGGCCTAACGCCAAAGGTTTCTTAACATGATCCTGGCGAGGACGTCCATGACCTTCACGATGCACTGTCTTCGATGGTTCTAGAGGAAACCGCTCGTTGCTCTCGTGGCCGAATTGCAGTGTCAGATCCACATCATCATCCAGAATGCTGGTCGAGTCATCGAAGTGAATGCTTTGGGTGTCGTCAAACGCAGAAATTTCATGCTGGAAGGGATGTCAGTGGGATTGAAATGCTCGGACATCCTCACGGCTACTCACTTGTCTTGAAGTTCTCGTCTTAGCCACGGCACTGGCACTTGAGCCCCGTCCCGTATCGTTTGGATCATTTTGAGGGATTGCCGAGACAGTCTTGCGGAGAGTGTTGGGGATCTGTAATTTCAAACTCTCTGGGTCGTGTGCAAAGATGTGCCGCTTGCCGCTAGCTCCATTATGACTATTACTCCGAGCTCGCGATTCATTCTGGGTACGGCCATGCTTTTGGCGGGATCTGTTTCGTTGCTCTTGCGGTTGAGGTGTAATTGATCGGGTTGTGAGGCTTGCATGAGAATTTGCGGATTCTCGATTTTGTACGAAGTGCTGGACTCCTGGACCAGAGGTAGAGGCAAGAGGCATTGCATTGAGATGGGAAGTGGAGGACGATATATTGATGTGTTTGGAGTTACCTGTGGTCGCTTTTCAATCAGGCGATGAGTTAGATTTATCGAATACATGCTCTTTTACCAGTGAAGAAACGTCGACGCGTTGTAAAACACGAAAGCACGTGTTGCGGGGTCGGATCGCTAATCTGCGGGGCGCTGCTTTAACTCCAACTAGCGAGTACATACTCGGTACAAGGGCGTTGGTAGAGGTACATAGATATGTGGTACATACGACCCAGAGTCCAAGATGGTGACGATGATGTTTTGCAACGACCTCAGGATAGACATAGACAAAATGATTCCAGCGCTTCAAGATGGCTGAAATTATCTCTGTCGGTGGCCTTACGGTCACGAATGACCTTGAAATTCTTGTTAACCAATATCATATCTCATTACGACCAGGTCAAGCAAGCCTCGTTGAACGATAAACATGCTCAATACTTCTTTTAGTTGATGCCGCTCAACATACAGCCTCAAGAGGACCCATTCGCCGACGCAGGCCCTGACAATGAGCCTACCCCGGATTGGGATGCATATCCTGATCCCGAACCTGAGGCCATGCCAGAACCGCTCTGAGATCTCGTAGCTCTCTTTCGACCTCCGTCTTTGTTCTCACCATCTCCAGCCTCGCGATCATCTGCTCCAAAAGCATCCCCATGGCCCCTTCTCTTGGGTCGCTTCCAAGGTGGCTGAATTGGGGATCGTTTAAAGAGCACTTCGTCGTCACTACTGCTCAACTCTGTGTCATTCCTAGGAAGTCGGTAGGGTTCACCCATTCCTTCAAATGGCCGATGACGGCTGCCTGAGAAACCATTGTAGAGATCATATGGATCTGCATTGCTGTTCGGATCCCAGATGGGAAGACCGCCAGGAGGCAATGCGTCACCAGAAGGTTTGCCCACACCATAATCTGCCAATGATCCATTGATACCTGTAAGATTCCAAGCGAATACAGCCACATCCCTGATGGCTGCCATGAGTCCGGTGTCGTCTGGAATTGGTGCTGACGGATATGAGGACGACGCTGTATTTGAGTTGCGACGAATTGACTCTGGCATGACTGGTTCTGGAGCCCACGGGGAGGCAAAGAGACCATCTGGATAGTGAACGGCATCTGTGACACCAAGAGGTGGAGATGTGATTGGATGAGCACGCCGTAGAATCACTACAAGGCCGTCGGACGTACATGAGACCACCGCTTCGATTTCAATGCGTTCCTCTTGAGGTTGTTCGCTTGCAGAGGAATCACGTGAAGTCGCTCGGTCAAAGATCGCATCAGAAGCATTCACTCCCAAGTCAGTACTATTTCCGGAGGATGTTCTATGAGTTGAAGCCGACGGAGCCTGCAGCGAGCTGGTGTTTGAGTTCTCTGGTAAAAGCTGTGGTGGAGCTGCGGCGGAATTGACATTTGTGATACCGACATGGGAGGTTGCGACTGCATCCACCCCTTGTTGTTGGCCACTCGTAGCAAGAGGTGGCTGCTCCGGATTCGCGTGAGGCGTTGACCCATTTGTTGACATGGTCGATCCAGATTGGGTCCCATTCCTTAGGGGAACACCGCCTTCATCGTCCTCATCACTCTCATCATCAGAAAACGCCTCAGAATGAGCTCTACTGGCGTCTTGAGTAGGATTTCGATACCAGAATCTGAGATAAGCGATGGAGTCGTTAGCTTTGGCGCTTTCAAGTGTTTTGACAGCATCCGGCAGGCAATTCTCTGCAATACAATAATAAAAGCTCTTTCCAGCGAGCTGATTTGGTTGCAATCCTAAGATGTCAGATACCCCATTGGTTGCGTACATGACCGTCGAAGTGCGCGTGAACCGATTCAGGAAGAGAGCTGCTCGAGGTTCTAAGAAGTTTGCATCTCCATAAGGATTTTGTGAGAATTTGTTCGAGAGATATGTCAACATGTGATACCTAGGATCACGGGGCGAGGAAGAAAATATGCGCTTTACAGCATCACTTGCGCGTTCGCGTTCTAGAATCAATCAGCGCAAATAGTTTGGCTCAAAGGTGGGCAATTAACTTACGCTTGGCCTTCTCTCCAATACGGTAAACACTGGTACTTGCAACCAGTACGTCGTAAACCACTGTGAAGACGCATTCGCAACCAATCCATGAGCCGTCTTTATGCTTCACCCGACAGTAATTCAAGACCGAAGCCTTGTCAAGACTGACACTCCGTCCGTGGACCTGGCGAGCGAATGGTATCTCATCGGGATGGAAATAGTCCCAACAAGACCTTCCCAGTACCTCATGAGGTACATAGCCGAGAATGTCCTCGATTGAATCGGAGCAATATCGAATCTGAGCATCCTCGGAAAGATCTGAGCCTCAAGTTAGTTTGTGCGACATTTAATGTTGTTTGGATGAGTGGGGAAACCCGACCATGAATGGTGATGAAAACGCTTTCCATGATGGGCAGCAAGTGTTCAAAATGGCATAAAGGCAATGTTAAAAGCCTTCACGCACCGAGCAGCCCTAAAAGACGCTGGCCTCTTTGGAAGCACACTGAAGCGGTCAGAGCTCGCTTTATACAAAACGTCTGGGCGATATCCCAAGCTCCAAATCCACGTCCCATCCACGGCCCACAGGTTGTGGTCTAAACAGGTTACACGAATCGGATAACGAGCGAGTGTGAATAGGAACAAAGCTGTGTGATACGAAGCTCGCTTCGCAGACACCGAGCCGAATTAAGTTAGTCGTGGGATGGGACGCCGCTGGTCTCGGGTAGGTCGTAGAAGTCTATGCAGGTTATGTATTCGTACTTGAGGTGCAGTAACGAGTAGCCTAGCACAGCTGCGTTGATGGACCGTTGGAAGTAAAAGACCAGGGAGTTCGAAGCCCGGGGCGTCTCTCAAACCCAGAGAATAGAAGTGGTTGCTTGGCTCTGAGGGAATATGTACGACTTTCAAAGAGCAAGGCTCGGTGGAGGTAGGATTTGCCACCCAGAAAGATCGAGATGATGTGCAGGGGAGGGGGCGCGTGTTCAGCAGAGGTCCACAGAGATGGTACAAGCACGCCAGCTACTCAGCCGATTGACAATTGCTGATTGCGGAGCTATAGAAGCATATGATAGATTGAACATATCGACATTGAAATAAACAGGACAGAGGTGAGTTAAGTTTTCACTAATGTGCTTCATTGAAGAATGATGGGAAAAAGAGAGTGGAAAAGGTGGGGATGGACTTTGGCGGTTTCCCGTAGGCTCGAAAGCCAAAAGACAAGGCAAGGGCTCGGGGAGTTTGCCAGTCGGAAATATCATCGATTCGTGTAAGTTTCTCCCGGGCGCGCAAGAGTTTTGGATGATGCCATGCACTCGAAGCCAGACCCTGTCCCACACGACACGTTCAAGTACAAAATCCTAATGGTTTAGGTCATTGCCCAAGAGGAGCTGTACGAAGTAGCCGGAGCCTGAGCTCGCATTCCGGAGGGGTCAAGCCGCGTAGACTTGCTCTGGACAAATACTCGTCCATTCCCTTCGCCTTATGCACGCTCTAAGGACATACTTCGTATCTGAGCTTTAGGGATTTGGGGACGGAATCCGATGTTCGAGGTAACGGTGCGCTTGAATAGTTATGGAGCTGTTTGCTGAGTGGTATCCGGCAAGAATCTACAGTAGCACTTAGGTAGATCTGGACTCTGAAGTGTCTCAATGATGCAATATCTGCCTTAATATCTAACTAAATTAGATGAGATAGGCGATAGGAAAAAGGCATGGCAAAGAAAGTCCCTCCAAGCTGTCACTCCCGGTAACAAAGCCACTACGTCAAGCCCCAAATCCTTGTCTCCACCTCATTCACCACCACATCCCCACGCAAACCCGTTTCTAGGCTGTGAAGGATCTCGATTTGTTCTCCTGACACGAGACCCGGATCTCATTATCAGGGAGATTCCAGAGTTCCAGTCCAGGTGTCTGGTCATGCTCGCCGAGCTGTTTCAATTGTTTACTGAAATGTCCACATGTTTACAGTAGAAACAACGACTAACCAACAAGCAATTCCAAAGGAAGAATCAGACATGCGAAATCTCAATTGGTCCACGGTTGATAGAGAGAGCTGCGCTACCTGACTCGTCACATATCACAGGAGGTACACTAGCTGTGACAACTCGTGTATTTGCAGGTGGCAATGTCCAAGCGCTGTGCTCTCGTAACTTCAATGGTCAAGGCTGTGCTGTGTCTCCCAACGGTCGCTTGTGAGATGGGGAACAGTATCCGAACGCCACTTATGAAATGCTGCATGGGGCCAATCCCACTGAGTTGACCGAACTTCCAGCGTAGAATGGGACCGGGTGTTTTCATTTCCTAATTGTTTCAATCGCTTGGAGGAAGTAGTTGCACATATTAGCCACCACATGAATGTGGAAATCAAAGATAGCCTGCCTGGATGCTTCTTCCTCTTTTGTATCAGGAGCGTAGGAACACGAAGAGCAAACGTCCGGCGTGTGATGGAAAAGGCGTACAGGCGTGAATAGAATCTCGTGGCCTGCTGCTCAGGGCGCTGTTGCAAAGAGCGGTGATCAACCTTGTATTTGGCTGGTCCCTCCCTGTCCAAGCTGGGTCGCGGTGGCCGGGGTTGCCTCTCAAGGATCGATAAGCCCAGTTTTTGAGCCGCCGGAAGACTGCTGGGACACTAAAATCATGGCGGTGGAAGGAGCAGTGTGCTAAAACATGATCCAATTGCATGTAACATGCCACACAAAAGGCCGCAATCGACTGCCTGGCGATGGATTAACGGTGTCTGTGTATGCTCCGAGTCTTTGTTTTGCGGAAGGAACAAATCCCAGTCGGTTCTTGTTGCTTTTTACGGAGTACAGATATGCTCTCCACTCGAGGATCGCCGATGACTTGCATGGCTTGCCAAGCAGGCTCAAGCCCCCTCGTATCGCAAGTTCCTTTAACGTCTGGGACTTTCGGACTTCAGGTGCGACGGATCTCGATATGCAACCAGAGAACTCGGTTCGTGCCTACAGTCAAATCTTCGGTGACTGTTTGAGCATCCGAAGTGGCGAGGGCAGTATCAACAAGCTTCAGGATCCATGACAGGCAGCCAAGCACGTTGACCTGGCCAAGTATGGTCTTGCAAACGGTAGTCATGCAAACTCATGAACGGCGTCGCTAGTCTTGCTGTTGAATTCAATTATGCTGGCGTTTACGCGCTTTTGCTACCATGTCTTGGGAATGTTGGATCATTCACTTCTTCTGGTGCTAATGAGAGCTTTGGTCCTGCACGTCCATGATGTGATACATTGGGTCGTTTTAGTCTTTCGAGTAACTGAGCTGACTTTAGTTGCTTGCTGAAGCGATGCTTCAATGGGCGGTAGCGAAAGTAGGCATGAAGGCTGCTGACGAAATCCGAGTTTGGAATTCATGCTGTGCGAGCTCACCGAACTATCCGTGAAGTCATGTAACACAAGGCCACCCTAGTAAATGCAGGGTCTTGGCCCACGAGCTTCTTCCTAACGCTGACCTAGTGTTTCTCAGGTTCCGTGGCGTGTGCCATACTTGCAGTATCATTCTTGAAACTCTCTCACATCGAGTTGAAGGTCCAATTAGTTCTCAGGCTCGGAGGGCAATAGGAATAGCCTTTGTGCTGCTGAACCCTAGAAGCTGCTCTGAGAGACCTTCGTTCGCGGTTTGAACTGCATCAGGAAACTCTTGTGGTTCAGCCTCTGAGTGCATGGCCGAAATTCGTGTTGAGTGAAATCGAAGCTGGATCTTTACTTTGAAGCACTCTCTAAAATTGGCTGCTACATTTTTCTCTATAGATGGATTTCATTAGCTTACGTTTATCCCGAGGATATTGGCAATAGAAAGTTGTTGGATACTGTAGACGGAGTTAGGACATTGGAGGAGAGAACATACCTTGAGAAGCCCCTTAAAGAAGTCAAAGCTGTTTGAATCACTTTGAAGTGTCCACCGTTTTCCGGTCTCACGGTCTTCCCAGCCTAGCTCTTCGGCGATAAGTAGACCATAATCTCTCGTGATGCCCTTGATTCGAGCTCGCTGTCCTCCCTCAGCTTCCAGTGTCACGATCTGATCCATATGAAGCCAATGTTGGTAGTACATATTCTCTAGGTACTCGTCAAAGCCAGTTCCAAGGAAGCGAGTGTAGATGTCGTCGAAGACGGTCAGGATTCGAGCCAATAGCCTTTCCAAGGTAAATGGAGCAACCTCTCTGGGAAGGAATTGAATGAGTTGATTCAAGGATGTCGTAGGTGCCGCGTTTGACGTGTTCAGACCAATCCCACAGACTGCAATATACTCTTTCGAGTTGTAATGACTGTTGACTAAGATACCCCCAATTTTCGTATAGTTCTCATTTCTATCACCTCCATTTTCTTTGGCCTTTACAGGATCGAGCGCAAAGATGTCGTTTGGCCATTTGAGTTTGATTGGCATGTCTTTGTAGAGCTTACCGTCGTACGACTTGATACCATTGACTATTGCCATGGCGGCCAGATATTGGACAAAGACAACAGGCGCAGTCTGCATCAAGGCCATTGGATGACGAATGACGGTGCTGAACATTAAACTGCCTGCAGGCGAGACCCACACATTTGAACCTCTTCCCCGACCAGCGACTTGCACAGTTGCAGTAGCCGTGAAACCTTGAGGTAAATTACGCAGGAGCTTCGTATTCTTTTCCAACAAGGTGTTTGTCGAGGTCACGACTTCCCCATAGAGAAGGTGTGACCCAAAGTTGGTGGCACTGGTTAACGATGCCTGGTAGTGACGCAGATTTGAGTAGAACGCGTGGTGATTGAAGTATGGAGTTGTCTTCGCCTGTGGATACTCCTGGTCATGGACCAATATTGGTTTGATTATCGTGTTATAATCGATGATACGGTCGGAGCTGCCATCCAATTGGTCAGCAGAATCCTTTGTCTCATTTTCCAATGGTAGGGCCTGTGTCAGATCGAGCATGCTCCAGGTCGAGGGCTTGACAATGTGGAAAGTGTCATTCTCGTCCTTGATCAGCTCTTCCCCGTGCTCATCTTTTTGAGTAATGGTTGCCAGTGATAAAATCAAGCTGGCAACATCATTGGGCTCTGACGACGACAAATGCATGCGCGATAGGGAAGGTACATTTTGTTCGTCGCTCACTGTAAGGCCAAGCTTGGTAAGGCAGGCTTTGACAAAATCGGTCCGATGCTTCTCGTCGTTGGCCAAAGCAGCGATAACATCCGAGAAGCCCGGAACTTTAGGCTTTGGTTCGATATTGGCGGCAGCGAACCTAGGCTTCGTCAGCGACCAGTCATCAACTGGCTTGCCCAAGAAGACGAACTCTGGATGTGGGCCAGTCAACAAAGCTGCTCCTTCTCCAACCTTGCAGTACACCACCGCGGCTGCGCCCTCGCCAGGGTCAACTGCTAGGGGGTCTGCATAACTAGCCAGTACCTCGACACCCTTGTCACGATACTTGGGGGCGTCAACGAATACGCCTCCTCCATTGTAGTATGACTTGAAGACATTTGGGACCGTCCCAGCTGAGAGAAAGCTTTTGTCGACGACCAAATCGACTGCACGGGCGCCTTTCTCGCTGTGATAGACGAAACCTGGGAACGCGCAGCCTCGATCAATGCCGGGATAGAACGCGAGTTCACGATCGCCAATGACTTCAAGTAATTTATTGCCCACTTCAAATTCACATTTGGCGCTCCCGTAATAGCCACCAGCACAGAAGCCAATATATTTACCGCCACGTTCGACGAATTGTCGTATACGACGGTTGCCCTCTCCATTTAGCGTGCTACAATACCCTTGGTCGGCACCGCCGGGGAACACGAGGGCAGCACAGCTTGCAGTCCATGGCTCTTTGACCAGCATATCCCCAGTGACGGGAATCACAGCGTAGTGGGGAGCCAGTAGCCTTCGGAGGGTAAACAGGCAATGACGAACTGATTCTACCGTGCTACCAAGTCCTGGAGAAAGCATTAGATTTTCATTTCGGCGCCAAGCATCCTGAGTGAGCGCACCAGAATAGACGAGGATGTTCATGCGTTTTGTAGACATGCTTTAACAGTGGCGTGTGTTGAGATGTTTGAGAGCGGAGAAATTTGGCGGGGACAGCTTGGTGGTTTTTAAGGATCTCAGACAACCGCTGACGTTTGTTGATAGTCAGATACCTTGCAGAGCTGTCCAGAATCCAACAACTTCTACCACTCTCTTACAATAGGTCAGTAGGTACGATGACAGAAGAAGACAAGTCTAGATCGTCTGAAGGAGCCGAAGATGAACTTGATGAATGGTAAGTTTTCCAGACGAATGTCTCTGCTCATACCATGGGTTTGAACTGACGTGCGAGTCCGCAAGGGACCAAAGGATTTTCAGCACAGGTTGTGCAGGTGAGTTCAAGATCAGAGATTGGGGCTCAAGGCTCAAGAGCATGAAGAATCCAGTCTCATGAGTAGATACAGCTGAACAACTTCGAATGAACGATTGTTACTACGATAAAAAGGACTGGCGAGCGTGCAAGAACGAGGTAAGTCAAATGAACCCCAAGAAGGAACCCGATATTTTCCCTCCTCGGCAAGAACAACACTCGCAAGCCACTGGCACGCCGGACTAAATTAAACTCGCGATAGATGGAGATTTTCAGGCAATGCTGGAAGAGGAATGGAAACGATCAGCGAACACAAAGCAGGAAGTTGGATTAGGTACTTCCCAATCACGCCTGCTTGCTACCATCTTTGCCACCAGCTTTGCTATGTCTCAAGCATCCAGGTATCTCCAAGGTACCGCTTCGGCCTAATTAGGTGCCTAACTACCTAACTACCGAGGTAGTTAGGCGGGTAAGGTCAAGGAACCACACCTAATAATTATTTGAGCGAGCAGGGCCAGTACGGATAGTGCCTGCGTCACGAGTTTTGGCGTCGGCCACGCGACTTTGACGCCAAACCCGAACCTGAACTCCAATCTTTTTCTCCCATTGCAGCACATTTGTACCACTACACGCCTCTGTACACACAACTTGAATAGATATACATCTTCGCTCTCTACATTGATCTTGCTTCTTTCACGTTTTGTTTCAGACATGTCTCTCATGTCACGCCTCTCTCGTCCCGCTCGGATATTCTCCTTGACGGCCTCGCTATCGCCTTCATCCACCCAATCTTCGACTGCCCTTTACAACGGCTCTGTTCTGCGGCCTTCAATACCAATTGCCACGGCTGTGAGCCGTGCATACTCCACATCACTGTCACCCAAATCGACAGCTTCTGCGGCCCCGAAAGAGAGCTCGAAGCCAAGCTCGCCTTTACCGTCCCGCTCCAATGGCAACACTTCATCCTCCTCTGCAGCCTCACAACCTGGTATAGAGCAAGAGCAGCAAGTACAGGAGGAAAACACTTCCCATGTGGACTGGACAAAATCTTTCCACGGCCTTTCCGTTGAGCCCTTTTCGAAGGATGCAGCGGACATCCTTCTCGCACCGCTTGAAACAGACGATGTGGAGATCAAACCGGACGGTATCATATATTTGCCAGAAATCAAGTATAGACGGATATTGAACAAGGCATTTGGTCCTGGTGGCTGGGGATTGGCTCCTCGAGGTGAAACAATCGTCACTGAAAAGGCTGTCACACGTGAATATGCTCTGCTTGCACACGGCAGGTAAGTGATGGTGTCGTCCAATACATGCGCAGATGTTAATCAGCAGTAGATTGGTGTCGATAGCACGAGGAGAGCAAGACTACTTCAATAAAGACGGAGTCCCCACGGCGTCTGAAGGCTGCAAATCAAATGCGATGATGAGGTGTTGTAAAGATCTGGGGGTGGCAAGCGAACTTTGGGACCCCAGATTCATTCGAAAATGGAAGGCTGCCAATGCTCGCGAGGTCTTTGTTGAACATCAAGGCACGAAGAGGAAGACCAAGATCTGGCTCCGCAAGGTAAATCTATTCGCATGGAGTTTGGACACCAGCTTACATTGTCTTTCCAGGGCGACCCAGTGTCATACCCCTATGCAGAACTCAAGAAGTGAAGCGATTTGCATCACGCACTCAGTCGACTACATGTCGCGGTCTGAAAAGCAAGGCTATGATATGAGGCCCACGAGACTGTCTTGACAAGCTGTTCTACGCTTTCACAAACCCTCTTTACACTAAAGAGCGGAATGGCTGACATGATACCTTGATCATGTTCACAGCAACATCCTTCACCACTCACATCAGATACTATAGATATCCCAAAGTCAACGTGGACAGGCTTCTCGAGCACATACCCACCCAATGTTGGCGACGACAGGAATCTGATTTATCGAGTGTCTGCCACCGAGGTATGCCGAGGGTTTTTTTGGTGGCATGTGAACGTGGAAGAAGGATTCACCGGACAGGTTCGGTGAACAAATGAGCAGATGCATAGCCGGAGGCTTCCTTTGGGAAGGGTCAGACCATGGAAGAGTCGGTACCTCCGAATCACATACGGAAATTGATGTGGAGGATGGCTATTTAAGCAATCGGGGTCGTTCGTGTCCTACAAAGGATGCCCTCACCCCCAATTGCCTATGAAGGTTGGGTCAAGTGCTCGGTGGACCATGTAGGATATGATGTGTGATTGAACGCGTGCACATCGTATGGCACTGCATGCGATTGCCTTGGACCTACTGTATTCGAGTGCTTACCTAGGTAGGTAGAGTAAGCAACACTTCACACATTCCATCATCGTAGCAGAGGCCGTTTATGTTGTCCGAAGTAGCCGCGACTGCTTGACCAGAGAAAACCGCAGCCCGCGGGCCCCTGGCTGGAGGGCAAGGCCGAAGTTTCGGATGTTTTCCAGTGTACGAGGTACCTTAGGTGCTCCGTCAGGGTTAAGATCCCTCACCACGGTGGAGTGGCTCGGGAGCCCAGACTGGTGCTGGCGCTGGCGCTGGTGCTGCCCCTGGCCCCCTCACCCAGACAATAACAGGCCCCAATGGCCAAAGGTCCAACCGTCAACGCCTATCTGCACCAACCTGAGTCACCTATCAGCCCCGCCCTTTCCCTCTCGAAACGTGCACCAGTCATGGTACGAGGTAGTGGCAACCACAGTAGTGAATCATGCTTTCTCTCCAATCTCCATCCTCCCTCTCCAGACAACTGATCCGATTCTCTAACTCTCCAAGCTCCTTCACCCTTCAGCCCCGCAGTCCGTCGCTTTTACTTGAACATTCAGCTTAGTATATACTTCAGCCAAGCATACCAAGAGGTCCCGTTCGTGTCGCCTGCCAGCGCCCATGCCATTTTCCTTGAAAAGAAGTCCTTGCAGGCCATGAAGACGTCTCCTTCATCTTTCTCTGATCTGATGCAGCTTCATGCTGGCTGAATTGGGCCTGATCCGATCGACCCCGACCCAGTACTTATCTTATTGTCTCCCCAACATCTGCAAAACCCCATCTGTGCCGCTCATTGATCGACTTGTATACATACTCGAAATCTAAGTTCCAGCCCATTCTACCTCAAATGACGAGAGTGGCAGTGCACGCGATCCCCACTGTTCACCAGCTGCCCTCGACTTCTGTGAAAGCCGTCACAGCTCGGTTCTGCCACCCCACACAATCATCTCATGATCATGGCTGCGGCCCTGACCAACACCTCAAGTCCTTCACATCCGCCAGCTCCATCATCACCCGAAGAAGAGGCTGAATTGCGCTTTGGACAAGTCTGGAAGAACGCTGCCACAGCACCCGAGCGGCCAAAACTAGCAAACCAGCCGGAAGGTGGCAGGCGCAAGTCGTCCATCCAGTTCCATACCGCCGACGCCGAGGACACCATAAGAAGAGAAAGTGTTGTCTCCGGTCCTCGTCCTTCCCTGTCGCAGAAGAGAATGTCGTCCCCGCCTCCACCTTCCAACTATCAGAAAGGTATCTCGTTCGATACCTTTGAGAATCGAGATGCATCGACAGAAGCATTTACACTCAACTACAAACACCGCGCATATCACAATAACTCACAGTCTCGGACGTTCTTGTGTGGGACCGATGCAAAAGACTACTCGGAATATGCCCTAGAATGGATGATGGACGAACTTGTTGATGATGGGGATGAAATTGTATGTCTTCGAGTGGTTGAAAAGGACGCCAAATCATCTCTCGATACTGCCTATGAGCGTGGAAAATACCGTCACGAAGCCCAGAAATTGCTCGACAGTGTGATCAAGAAGAACAGCTCGGAAGAAAAGGCCATCAGTATCATCATGGAACTGGCTATCGGTAAAGTGCAAGAGATCTTCCAGCAAATGGTATGCAGAAGCACGTGCATCATGTTTACTAAAACCATATCAGCTGACCTATTGGCAGATCCAACTCTATGAACCTGCAGCACTAGTGGTGGGAACACGAGGTCGAAATTTGGGCGGTATGCAGGGACTACTTCCAGGTTCGGTCTCCAAGTATTGCCTGCAGCACTCCCCTGTCCCGGTCATAGTGGTTCGCCCAACGTCGAAACGAATGAGGAAGAAGAAGAAACGACAACAGGAAACGGGCCGGAGTCTATACAGCAGCATGCTTGAGAAGGCACAAAGCGCTGGCGGCAGTCACCTCTATGAACAAGGCAGCGCGAGTTCTGTTTCGATCCAGGCCACACAGCAGGAGGCCGACGCTGTTGCGAAGGCAATTGGCCCTCCCAAGCGTGGTATCCTAAAGGGGACATATGGGGGCCATTTGGCGAGAGTGACATCTGCCAAAAGCGACATTACTTCTGACGAAGACTCGCCCGAGAGGAATTTTGCATTGCCGATAGGTTACCTAAGTACTGAAAGTGCTCCTAGAGCCGACCTCGCCATGAAAAGTCCCACGATAGCAGCTTTGGTGGAAGACTGGGATGATGAAGTTCCCAGAAGAGCTCCCAAATCTCCAAGGCATGGCCCAAACACCGCAGACAGAGATAACGATGCAGCAATTTCTGATACAGAGGAGACATATCTAGGAGTTTCGCACATTGTGGAGGAAAGGAGACCGTCGGTGCGAGAGACAACACCGTGGTTGGCGAGTATTCTCAGAGACAAGCCACCACCAAAGCGATCTGCGAGCAAAGGTCGATCTCCATCACGATAACATTGGCGGGCTGGTGGTATAATTCCCACCAATGCTCATCAACAACATGTTGTGCATGGCACAAGCTCGCTGATAGAGCTATGAAGATCATCTGAGATTGCATCCTCATTCAAGATACCCCTCTCACGACTCACGAGTCACGAATAGCAGGTGCAGCAGTTTCGAGTGCACTGGACGGTTTGGAAGGCTCCAGGGAAAGGTGTGGTGTGGACGCCTGAGAAGATTGTTTTGGTTTTGAGAATGGTTTACACATATACCTAAGGTGTTATGATTGTGAATGGGCTTACCAGTTACACATTCGTTTTTCATACTACTTCTGAGTAATCTCATCACCCATGCACAAAAAAAGATCCGTATTCCTGTGTTCTCGTTTATATTCCACAAATCACAGATAAGATGGCCTATGATTCCAATATGAAAGTACTTGTCTACGAGGGAGGATTCAGTAGGATGTATCTTGTCTAGTTCAACATCAATGACTTTCCTCGCTCGACTACCTAGGTACCGACCGTAGAGTGTCGCTCCGCACATGACTCAGACATAAAAATGCTAGGTGGATAATGGTACCTAAGGTACGTAGCTCTGGGTTCTCCAGATCGACAAGCGGACGACGGGCATATTATTGACCTAGGAGTACCTCGTAAGTACCTACGAGTAACGCCTATGGACCCAGGTATTTCTGAGGGATCCAGCAGCCTGTAAAGGTGGGGTGATATCTAGCCTAGCGGGCAGCTAGGCGATAATTGTTATCTAGCGGGTGCTCCTACCGGCCCGATGTGCCCCCCGGGCTGGCTGAGGCTACACGTGAATGCATACACGTTCCTCGTCCGAAGGAAGCACGTCACCCCGATTCAGCTTCATCATTTCAACACCCCTTGGCTCACCCGCGACCTGTCACTGTCCTGCTTCAATATACCTAAATTTGGATCCCTCTTCCCTTGCGTGTTTCATTCACTGAGAACATGTCTTGGGCGCGACTCACTCTCTCAGCTCCCCCGTCACACCACCCATCATGCTTCCAACCCACCCCGACGACGATTGCAATGACTGCGTCCCAGCATACTTGAACCACTCGCCGTCTTTTGGAACGAAGGCGTTCTCAACCACTCCCTTCATCGCCACCTTTGCCCTTCTCACCATCCTCGCTTACCGCAAAGTCTTCCCTCTACTGCAGTCTCAATATGGCTCTTCTCACGATGCTTCCAAAACCCTCCCTCGGCCCGCCACCTCAGGGCCCGAGCCCGCCACACAGCAAGTCGCCAGAAGAATCGCGGCCTTGACGTTTTCTTCTACCATTGCACTTTCGGCCGTGTTGACCGAATTGTTGCTCTGCGAAATCTCCAATTCCTTCAATCCCACCGCCCGGAGTATCGCTCTGCAAATCACTGTCGCGAGCCTTCTCGGGCTGCTCGTGGTGGCGATCCCGCTCCTCGGAATCTCTTCTGCGGTCTCAAAATCCGGCTACAAGTTCCATGGTGCCCAGAAAGGTCGCTTGCGCCTAGCGTGGGTTCTGGAGGTGGCTGGCTACACTGCATTCCTCTTCGGTTTCTGGGCCATTGGTGCCATCCTCCCCGAAAGTACCACCATCGCCGAGAGTATCAAAGATCAAAATAGCCTCTTTCAAGCATGTCTGGACAGGTTGGGAATCACGGGCGTTTCCTTGATGGCGTTGCTCTCTGGGTTTGCCTCTGTCAGTGCGATCTGGCAAACCTTTGGGCCCAAGCCTCGGCCAGTCACGGAGGCAGAAATCACACGGAAACAGGCCGGACTAGATGCCACGATTGACATGGTCGCCGAGAAGAAAAGCAAACTGGACCACCTAGGAAGGAAGAATTTGGAAGTGCCAAACCAAGGATTTTGGGGACGAACGGTCGGCTCCTTCCGAGGCAATGCCGACAACCAGGAGAAGCAGACGCTCGAGATGGAACTGAACGGCCTGGAGACCATGGCCTCGTCCCTGGAATCGACCATCAACATCCTCCGCGTGCGACGAAGCGATCAGCTCCGTGCGACCACGAAAACGGGAAGACTATCACTCGGTCTATCCACCATCTTCGCCATCTACTGCGTATATCGCATCTGCATGACGAGCTTCAACGTGACACGGCGCATATTCTCGCGGGGCCCGAGGAGCAACACATCGTCCGAGACGGACCCGGTCACGTACACGATCGCGCTCTTCGCACGTCACATCTACCCGTCGCTGGACCAGGAGTCCTGGGCGCAGCAGATCTCGTTCCTGCTTTCGGGCGCGATGCTGCTTGCATCCTTCTCGGCCGTCACTCAGACATTCCACCTCTTCTCGCGCTTCATGCCCTCGGCTGTCCACGCCACCAAGACTAATTTTGCCCTTCTCATCAGTCAGATCAGCGGAATGTACGTCATCAGCTCCGCGCTGATGCTGCGCGGCATGATGCCCAAGGAGGTCGGGAGCGTCATCAACAGCGCGCTGGGAGCGGGCTTGCTCGAGCCTGCGTGGGTGCAGCGCTGGTTCGAGGGCTTCTTCATCCTCGCCGTCATCGCGACCGCCTTGGGTATTTTTCTCGGTCGCCAGATCTCCGGTATCGCTTCTTGGGAGGACGATGCCGGTTGGGACGGCGCGGCTGAGATGGGGAAGCGTTCGTGACATATGGAACATGGACGCGGATTGTGGTGGAGGTGGGCTTTTGTGGTTTCTTGGGTTCTCGGGCTTCCGAAGAAAGGACCTCGTGCCGTGTAACAATATATGATTCTATAAATGATTCGGATGATGGGGCGGGGCGGGGCGTTTTTGGAAGGTGTACAGTGTGCACCTCCCGTGAGCGAGAGTCGGGCCATAACGAGCCCTTGCGATCTGCTGGGATAGGTCCAGCCGCCAAGGTTGATGAGAGTTTTTTACTGTAACCAGAACAGAGAGATGGAAGAAGTCAAGGAAAAGAAAGCTTACTATAGAGGGTGGATTCATGCTACAATGCTTCTTGTTTTTCGACGGGCTACACGTCAGACGCTATGCTATGTCAGAAAAGATGTTCCCTTTCCCGCTTCACGATCTTTCCCAGGTCAAATCACTCCCTTAGTCTTGGTCTCATTCTTTCTTGCCACGTTTTGAAGACTGCGACACACCAGTACTGGCTGGCGAAAAGCGTTTCCTCAAGGCCTTCAACATCAGCGAGAACCAGTATACGTTCAACGCGCTCAAGACGGTATTTCCCACGAGATACACCAGCAACAGGTTGACTGGGAAGTCCTTCTTGCAAAGTGGCAAGGCTGAGCCTTTAGGGCCAGAGCTTGACTCCAAACCCAGACATTGCGCGTCGTTTGATGCTTTCCATGCGGACCAGGCGTCCAGCGACAAGTTCATGGTCTGGTAGTTTCCCCACAGGAGACGACAGCCGAAGAAGGACAGGACAAGACAGATGCCGTTGATGAGTTGGAGCGTCGAGCCTGTTTGGCCGGCCTTGTCGAGAGCCCAGTGGATGTTCAGGAATGGGGTCGACAGTTCGTAGAGGATGAAGTTGATGCCGTAGAAGTTGGCGAACGGGCGCTTTTTTTGGAGGGAGGGCGTGTTAGTGCAATGGGTTGGGAAATGCGGAACAGGGGAATATGGGGAGGGAGAGAAGGAATTGATCATGTGGCACTTACAAAGCCCATCACGGTGATAATCAGAGCAGACACGGCATGTAAAAGAGCAGATATTCCCTGAATGTCCAGGTATCGGACACAGAGCAGCACGTCCCACAGAAAGTATCCCGCTGCATATGCCTGTATATCGCCGGTGGAAGGAGAATAACCCCATAGCCTATCGTCGCGAGTCATACTGCTTCGAGCAGCCTCTGTAGTCGCGTTCTCGCCATGTCGAACACCGTCTCCGATGATGACCTGCAGAGCCTTGTACGAGACAAAGGTGGCCTGGACAAACGAGACGACTCGCGAATCCCAGTTCAGTTTCGTACGTTTGGGAAAGCGACCATAAATGTTGGGAAGGAGTCTTTCGGAAAGTAGAGGCGACACGATCAGGAACAATCCTTCATAGACGAGAAAGCACGTGAGGACTTGGTGTGCGTGCTGTGGCAGTGTTGCCAAATTGTTGTTGGTACAGAACGTGGTGACTGCTTGCTGGAAGCCTGCCAGTGTGGTTGACAAGGTGCTATCCATTTTCAGGCTGATTTCCAAAACTCGTTGACCCGGTGACTTCAGGGACAACAGATATTGAGGAAGGTCAGTCGGAATGAGAGCTCAGTGCTGGGATCGAATTAAGATCCCTCAAGCTGAAGGACTTTGAGACTGGGAAGTGTATCAAGGCCATGCTCTACCGAGAACGGTTAGTTCGATGACCACTAAGAAATGCCCTAGTCGACGGATCGAATCGATTCATTTTTATTTCCCCACACCACAGTGACACTGGTCTTTATCGTTATCGTTATCGATATCGATTGGTTATCGACATGGTCAATTGAGGGGCTTCAGACGTGAGCACTCACGACGACGACGACGATGACAGAAGGGTTCACTAGGTAGTCGTACTTGATCTGTTCCATGCCCTGCAGTGGTGCACTCAACTGCTGGTCTACTCTTCAAATGCTTGATAGCGCCAATCCGGATTTTGGAATCTGTCAAGACTCCCGAGGAGGCGCAATTTGTAGCCCTTGCATAGCGAGACTGTATTTGAACTGTTCTTGAATGCGTGCAGAACAAGGGAACGAAAGATATTGTGATCAGTAGGTATTCAAGGGAGAGCTGTGTTCTGAAAAGCACACGGGCACGGGTCGTCATAAACAACGAAGACCTGCCTGAGAACGAGGGACCAATGTCATTGCCGGCTGCTGTGTTCGCGATGTTTTCATTTGAGGTGCATGCTCTACCTTGAACCAGCTCTATACAGAGTCTCGAGAATGGCTACTGGCGCGAAGAGATATTGGTGCTCTAGCTGCGGTTGAGATGTTTCCCAGAAATGATATCATGGCCATCTCTTCCGTTGCTTGGTATCTAACAGGTGGACTCGGCGTCATATCACCTTGAGTGCAAAATTCCTCGTCCTCGTGAGAGTATTGGTGATTACTAGATATCTGGTTTCCCCTTTATGGTCAGACATGCTGTGCAGTATCCGTACGTGCCTGGCATTTAACAACAGGGCCCGTCTTTTCCCGGTTCTTCAAGTTGTGTGAGAGTGGTACACACAAATTTCGAGACACACTGGACTCGAGCTTCAATATTTTGTCAGCGCGGGGTATCTCCGCACTGGCAAAAATGCCCGCAGAGCACCCACCTGGGCCCAAGATCCCACAAGGCATTGGACGTCATTTAAAAGACCCGGAGGAAAACGGAATCCATGATTCATGAATTCGTACTCGTACAAAGGTTGATACTAGCTTGAATGGTAAATATATCCATATATATACCTGGGCGTGTGGTTGTAGACCGAGACGTGTAAAGAAAAGCACAGTGTCTTATTTTCTTCGCTGGCGATATCAGGATTTGACCAACGGAACATGGCTCCTCAACTAGCATGGTTGGGACTGGGAAACATGGGTAGGGTAAGATATCTCCCTCACAATTCTGCGATGGTGTCAGGAGTAGTATCAAGCTTCTGACAAATGAACCAGGGCATGTGTAAGAATCTGGTGGAGAAAGGAAACCTATCTCAGCCCCTTATCATCCACAATCGAACAGTCAAGAGAGCAGAGGAGCTGTCGGCCAAGATTGGGCACTCACAAGTAGCTTCATCGATTGGGGATGCTGCCGCACGCGCCGACATCATTTTCTACTGCTTGGGTGATGATCCAGCGGTCCTGTCAACGCTGGACGAGATTCTCAAGGTCAATGTGGAAGGCAAAGTCATCGTTGACTGCAGCACCGTTCATCCAGACACGACAGCACAGGAAGCACGACTCGTCGAGGAGAAAGGGGCAAGCTTCGTTGCATGTCCTGTCTTTGGCGCTCCATCAATGGCCGACGCTGGTCAATTGATATGCGTCCTGTCAGGAAAAGCCGATGCGGTCGACAAGGTGAAGCCGTACTGCAAAGGTGTCATGGGCCGTGAGAACATCGATTTCTCCGGTCAGGAGCCACGTAAGGCCACGTTGTTGAAGGTCCTGGGCAACACCTTCATCCTCAGCATGATCGAAACACTCTCAGAGGGCCATGTCGCAGCCGAAAAGACAGGACTAGGTGTTCAAGAGCTTCACAAGTTCATTGAGATTATGTTTCCCGGCCCATACACCGCATACTCGAACCGCATGATGTCTGGAGACTACTATCAGCGAGAAGAGCCTTTGTTCGCCGTGGACCTCGCCCGAAAAGACGCACGCCATGCCATGGATTTGGTATCAAAGGCTGGTGGACACATGAAGAACGTCGAACTGGCGGATGGATATCTCAAAGTTGTGAAGGAGAATCAAGGAGAGAAGGGTGATATCGCAGGGATTTACGGTGCGAAGAGACTGGAGGCAGATCTACCATTTGGAAATCAGCAAAAATGAGCCAAGGAGGAAAGTACGATGAACAAGCACAGGAATATGTTCTGTCTCCGGGTTGAGGATTGGCAGCGCCCTTCTATCGAATTTCTCGCCGAGAGTTCCCATGTTTTTCAGGGCTTGAGGGCAGCGATACGCCACCGGAAGTGATACACGTCTCATCAACATCGAGGTGACACCGGCGAGAAGGGCTGAGATAGATTAGCAGGCTATGAAAGCAATACCAGATGGCCACTTTCGACCACATATTCAGCTCCACCAAACCTAATGTGATCCTATTCGCGAGACCAAGCTTGCTGAACTTCTCGACAGAGGGGGTAGATCTGCAACATTTCGCTTTTCTACAATTAGTCGTCTTGATCTTGGTATCGCCATTCACTGAGCGCCTCACTTTTCGCGCTTGCGTCTTCCAAATCCTATCACATTCGTCCACGCAATCCCGTTACGACTATAGTTACTCCACCAAGCGCTCCTCCAGAAAAATCTATTTTGAACCATAAAAGATTTTATTTCGATTTGCCATTGCTTGCTGCCTCGCACTAAAACCGAGTCCTGTCAGACATTTATAATCATGGATTCTCAGACAGTGAACTCAGCGCTCGTCCAATCCAACGACGGACCGACAAGGCGGACTAGTCTGAGTCACGGTCATGTGTGCTCTTCACATCTCCCCTTCTCCTTGTATGCCCCGAGCCGCGAGTGCGAGAAAAAGCAAGCACACTACCTATGGCAGGTGGGGTAAAAAGCAAAGACAGGGAAAATCCCAAAAAGCCATGGCAATTAGCACATACTTGTTATGCACTGTACTTCAGCCTCGAACCATGCATGCGGCCTTGATAATGAACCGACATAATCTCCGCGCCTACACCCACGCCCACATCCACACCACGCATCCGCGTCCGCATCCGCATTCTTATTCTTAATCACCCGGTATCACCAGTTGACGTTCATTCACAGATATCCGAAGCCGCACTCGCGCCGTGGGATTGCCGCCGTGGAGATCTGCATGTCCATGTGATCTATATGTGCCCTGCTTCCCAGGAGTCGAGCATTGTCGCCACCCAACGACATGACTTCGGCGACTGTGCTGCCTGTTTGCCGTCTGACCTCGCATGGGTGTGACAGACGGCCCGGAACGCACCAAAGGTCAGTTCAGTCCCCGTCCCAGTCTCCGAGAAGTTTCTAGAATGACATGAGCCTCAGACTGACCCGTCCCTAGCTTCATGCATCCCGTGCTTGCGTGCGAGCGAGCGTACTTTCGGCTTACAGGGCGGACAGACACCCTTGCCATGTCGTGCGGGTGCTCCGTAGTGCATTTTCCCTCCGAAAGCGGGTACAGTTGGTCGGGTGATATCAGCCGGCACGTTCGGGCATCCAAGGCAAAGCCGGGATAGTCACTGTGATTCGACTTTTTTCCCCCTGGTATCTTACACCTCTGGTCTGATGGTGGCGAGTTCGTTCTCCTCGAGGCACATCGCGCAACCTGGTGGGAAGTTTTGCTTCTGATCCGAAGGTCCCTCGGGCGCCAGATCACTGTTCACCTTCTCAAGATGCCTCCGAATGGACTAGTGAGACTCACCTGGGCATAACCGTAATGACTGTGCTGTATCACCGCGTGCTTCCGATCTCTCGAATCCTTGCAGGCTAGGCGAACTGCGCGGTTCATGTCGAGTATTAGTACTAGGATAGGCTGGCTGTGCACTTTTGCTTTGCGTTATTGCACTTGCGTGATGCCCTTGAAGAGCAGGGACCTGTAAAGATTCAGCTGGATGGTCCAAAATTCAAGGCTCACACAACTCTGATCTAGTAGATTGTTAGCTAAAAAGAAATCCGGGGACGGTCAAAAAGCGGCCAGCTTTCCATTTCCATCTCGAGTCACTGAACCTCAGTGGTAGTTGCATATTTGCTCGCTGAACATGTGTGGCGATCAAAGTCTCTGTGTCCGCGAACGAGACAAAGTTTGTCTCTTCGAAGAGCAAAATTGAGAGAAAGGGCAGTGCTGAGAGGAATTTGTTTGGTTAGTGCTGTCATGCCTTGAAAAACTGAAGCGCACCGTAAACCTGTCCGCTGGTGAGGGAATAGGCTGCATGAGAAAAGAGAACTATCAGACAAGCAAAGTCCATTTAGAATAATAGTAACATTGTACGCTCCAAGGATATGCAAGAACAAGCAAAAGTTTTTGAGAAGTGCCGCCTCAAGACATTGAAAGAATTAAAAACAGGTATGAGTGGACACACAAAGTTCACTCATATGGGGAGAAGACACTGTCAAACAACGCGCTGCTTTGACACCATAATGTTGATATCCGAGCCCAAGGGACATAGAAGAAGAAGAATTGTACTCCGAACCAGTCTCTTTTGTGTCTCTTTTGTGTTTGGAATGGGTTGATGGAGAATGATACCCGTAGTAGTAGAGGGGAACGGCTGAGCTAGCGACAAAGCTGTCTCCCTCGCCTTGCTATCTGTTTCAGTTGCAAGTTAATCGCAAAGTCGTTAAAATTGGTATATCGTGCGTCAATGATCACCTGGGGAATAAAGGCCGGTTTCACCTCTCTGTGTGCGCTGAAAAATAAATCAAATCAAATCCTCTTTGTCTATCCCTCTCGCTCGAGTCCGCTTTCAATGCACACAAGTCCTAGTTGCAATCAGGGAAGCGAGAAACGGTAGTTAACATATAGGGCCAGAAGTGGTCGTGAATAGTTCCCAGGGCGACTCCGTGTCGTTTTTGGGGTTCAAATTCTCACTCTTTTTCTTGTGGTTTCTCAGAATGCTTCGTGGACGCTTCCAGAGTCGTCACTTTCTCCAAGGCTCTTGACATCTGAGTCCATCCGATCCCAATCAGAACTGATGTTGTCCAGAATTGGTGGGCTTGGATCTATGAGAGGACTGGTGTTGAGACGCAGTAGTCTTGCAGCAGCACCTTCCGACCGTCGTCGGGCCCTTGACTCGGTGGATTCCCATTTTTCATTGGGATCCCAATCCCAAAGATCTTGCAGACGAATCTGCTCCGGTGTTTCCAGCTGGTCAATGTTCATGTTGTCCGCTTGGTGTTTGACATTGCCCTTGCCCTTGGGAGAAGCTTCTTCTGGTTGCTGGCCCTCTTCGTCGACTGGTTTCTCTGCGCCCCACTTTCCGCGCTTTCGTAACAGAATCTCTAAATCTCGCTTCATACCCAAGGTGTAGCTGTGTGATCTTCCCAGCATCTTGATCCTCCCTTCAAGTACAAACCAATAAATCTCCTCCGTCTCGTCCAGTCTTCCCTGCTTCTCGTACAGTAACGCTAAATTTCGCATACTCTCGAGGCGTCTCGGATGGCTGGCACCTAAGGTGTCTCTGGCATCCTCCAGAGCTTGTTTTAGCATTCCGATGGCCTCATCGGTTCGACCTTGTCGCTCAGCACACCGACTGAGATTGGTCAGTGCTGAGATGGATTGCAGATGCCGTGGTCCTAGGACGGACTTTGATAGTTCGTATACTTCCTTGAGAACTTCCTCGGCCTGCTCGAGCCGTCGTTCGACATTCAGCATGTAACCGTAACAGTACAAGGAGGCAATTGATCGTGGGTCGTCGCGTCCGTGAAGTCGAACAAAGTGATTGTGCGAGTTGAGTATTGCATCACTGGAGATTTCGCCCTTCTTGACTTCGAGATCTGCCACTAATACCATCCATCGGACTAAAACGGTCAGAGGGTTCTCGAGACCTAGGACTCGCTCAGCGACCTTGAAAGCGGACCTCATGATTGCCTTTGTGATTTCACCCTCGTCATGCATGTGCAATATCGAAAGAGTCTGATTAAGGGCAAGGATGACTTTCGGATCCTGGTGTGGGACGAGCATGCGCTCAAACTCGTGGTCGGCATCAGCCAAGCTTCTCTGAGATAACGTATCGTTGCCGCGGTTGAGGTAAATACATGCAGAAAAAGACCGCGCTACCCACTTCCAGGAATGGTCATGGCGTGAAGATCCAGGGACTTGTATCGTGTCCTTGGACACGTTAGGTGTTGGGTTCAGTATACTGCGGGACTGTTGGGGAAGTTCTAAATTGGTAAGACTGATAAAATGATTGTTTGTCGGATCATTGCAATGCGGACAAATCTGCTCGAAATCGCTGCTCTCCGGGGAAGAAGTATCGGAAATCAGTCTCCACGCAGGAATGTCATCGTAACCAGATATTGATTTCAGTGAAGGTGCGTCGACAACCTGTAAGGCCATGTACTCGACGTTTCTCCCAAGGTGTTGGCACGACATGGCGGGGGTCTGGATGTTGTGTAGAGACCCAGCATAGCGAAGATGATCGTCTGTGGCTCCTAGAGAAGGATTTGCGGTTGCAGACGAGTAAGCATACGGAAGTTCGAACGGGGATGAGGACTCGTATTGGCGTTGCAAATTCGGGCCCCACGCGATAGAGCCATTATCCCTCGATGGAGACTGATTAGCGGGACTTTGTTGCGTGGATGGTGTCAATTGTGTTGCAGCCTGAAATGAAGACCAAAATACGGGCGAAGTCCTTTCGTGGGGTGATGTCTCCGAGGTGGGCGATCCACGGTGGGTGGAAGCGGGCCTAGGATTCCCGAGGGTCCCTATCCAAGCGCCCGAAACAGGGTCGGTGCGAGTGGGCGAGGGTGAGGACTTGGCAATTTCCCCCAGCGTGCCTAAGGAGGGTTTGGTTGGGGAACTTGAATGAGCAGCAAGTTCAAGCTCGACATCCACCTCTGGCGTAAATGACCTGACATGAGCATACTGCTGGTCTCGTTCCTGCTCTTCCTGGCTTCTACAGTGGATGTTTTTCAGTGCTGTCGCCAGGAATTCCTCTTCGGACATCTTCCTGCCTTTGATATACTTGTGCAGGTCCTTGAGAGATCGTTTATGGCCATGGATCTCGAAAGTCGTGGCCTGCTTACCACTGTTTAGACGGATGTAGTGGAGAACCGCGCATATTTGATAGTCACGGTCAGAGTAATTCTTTGAAAATCCCCAAGTGGCAAGTCGTGCTTTATACATGCGTTCACTATCAGGATTGGATCAGCAAGGGTCGTTTCGCGCGTTTGCACCGTCGAGGAGTGAAATAGACTCGGCTGCTTGCATTAATAGGATTTAATACATACGTCGCTCTGAAGCCCCGACGCTCTAGTATCCTCTTGACGTCTTTCAATGGTTTCTTTTCGTAGAGCACCCTGATTTCCTCCCTCACCGCCTGCCATTGCGCGGGCGTTGGACCCTCCCGTGCTTCAAAATGAGAGGCTGGGGCTGACGGAGCGGGAGCTTGTGATTGAGTAACATCCCCATAGGACCATCCTTGGGTATTCCCCAGGCTCAGGGCCATTGACTCTTTGTAGCAATGATTCTGTTGTTGCTCATCACTGCCTAAAGTGAAGTTAGGATTATAATAACGGACGACCTGGAGGAGCTACGAAGCGTAACGAGCTTCGGATCCCGGTGAATATGGTCTGACAATCAAATTGCCTAGGACAGGGCGGCCCGTAACGAGTAAAGAAACTCGAAAGTTGAAGAGAGGGGCAAGTCAGGATGGTCCAAGTCACAACTTTGCCAGAGGGTGATCAGCGGGTAGATTTCGTGTGGCCTTGTTAGCCTTTGTAAGACATGCATTCACGGCATCTGGCTCGCTGGGTTGGGGCAATTGCTTCTCTAGCTCGTGATGGAGGGCCATGCAAGGTATTTTCGTTAGCCTGCTCGGGGCCCAATCATGGTGGCGTGGCGTGGATTGGCTGCCTTTCCAGGGAGATTAAGCACAACAGATGGCCTGTGCCCACCGTGCCAACACATAACAATCAATTCAACAATCTTTCTCGAGGAGGTTCGATGTTGAGTTCTCATCGAGGTGTCTGTTCGATAGTTATATATCTACTTGAGAGATGCCCACCGTCATCGGGCGAGGGCGCTGCTGCCACGATGCAATGCACGGGTTCGCACCTGCCTAATGCCCACATCACGTGTGCCACCTTCGATTTCGACCCATTACACAGCCTCTGGGGTACGAAGGTATTCTGGTGCCTGACCTTTGGGGATCTGGAGCTGATGCCCGATGCCCCATGATCGATCTGGAGTCGTTTTGTCCCTGGGAAGAGCGATCTCCTTAACCGGAGAGTTTTGCTGTAGGTCATTTCTTGACGGGTAAGACAGTGGCAAGGTATACACATTGCACGCATTCTACCCCCACTGTCGAACCCAGTCCAGTCTACTCAAGACAAGGCCTGAATCTTGTTCATATTGGAGTTCCATTCGCCATGAGAAGCGCCTACAAAAGAATCAACCGGTCAACCATGAGAACGCTTGTCTATGGCACCAAGTGACAGCCACTCTACTGGACTCTCCCTGGGTTTTCTCCCATGATGCTCATGTCATAACAAAACACTCTGGAATGGATAACACTTGATACAAATTGGCATCTTCTGTTCAGTAGGGGAACAGTCAAACACCCCCGTCCCGGTCTATCATACATCCAGAAGTGAATCCAGATGATGAGCTGGCACTGCCCAACAATCTATATCAACAAGAGTGTCGAAATACACAGACCTTTTCCGGACAAAATTTCGGAGAAGTGAAAGAAGATTATGCTTTAACGCGCACTATAGCCATGGTGCTACAGCGCTTTGCAAATGCGGAAGTGATGTGTGCTGATTAGTGACAAACAGGATCGGGAGTTGTGTTAACTTCGGCACCATGATCCAATGTTGGAAGAGAACACTTTCCATGGTCGGAGCAAGAGCTCTTGTTCATGAGTTTATGCGTGCCGGATCTGAGATCTTAACGGCGATGCTGGATGTCGGCAACTATCGTGTGCAAAGCTAAACGTAGGTTGAGATCATTTGCCGACCTGGTGTGAATGCCAGAATGCTAGACCGATATATGCAAGGTAAGCTCAAGAAGGGCCAACCTCAACTGCGATGTCCACTTCTCCTTGATATGTCATATGGAGTTTGACGTTGAGATCCGCCGCTATAAGCTTCACCCCCTCTACTGGGGCTGATGTATCGATCAGTTGGGTCATCTGCGGGCGCAGTAGATCCCTGACGAGCCATCTCCATATTCGAGGATCTGGTTGGCTTTATATCTCGGTCAAAACTATCAGGATCCGGCTGTCCTGGTTGAGGTTTCCTTGGTGGAAGTCTTTGGCTTTGTTGGTCGTAGGATGAGGATCTTGGGTTCGCTACTTCATATGGTGGAGGCTCTTGGGAAGTGCTATTGATAGGTTGCGGGTGCCCCGTCGGTGGGTAATTTGACATGGGATAATCTTTCGTAAACCCACCTACACCGGGAGCATTTGAAGTGTACTGTGTATTCACTGCAGTATAATGTATATTATATGTGTTAGGTGGCTGCTCTGGCTTAGAAGCAGCGGGATAGTAGCCAGGGCCTGATCTTGGGAAGTCGGCAGACTGCTGTTGTTGCTGATAGTGTTGCTGAAATTGTTGCTGTTGACTATATGCGCCAGCTGGGACACCGCTAGAGATTTGTGGACTGGTCGATTTTATCTGAGCCTGTTGAGACGCTGCTGCGATCTCGTCTTGCGATTTGGATGGGCCTACTCGTAGTCGTCGCTTGGCCGTGGCCGAATTGTGATATCGACAAGGTTGGAGTTTGAACGCCTCTAACAAGAATTAACACCAGCAACCCAGAAGGATTTCATCGAACCCACTGCCACTCATCTCGAGTTCCCAATCGCTCGTATCGTTCATTATGTCTCGAAGGTTGGCCTACAGATGCTTGTGAGTTGATGGGCTATGCTAGAAGGTAGGGATAATCTCACCACACTCAGCCCACTTCGGGCCGTGACAGTGAAGCCCGTCCGATTTTTGTCCTAGACATGGTCAACAGTGGTCCGAGTTGCAACTGAAGGCTCCATACATTTGGATGTTGAGAAGTCTTGACTTTCGGCGTCTTATCGATGTAGGTAAAGAGATAAAAGCCCAATACCTCGACATTGATTCGTTCTCCCGGAACGAAGAAGTGTAGCATAACATCATCATCCGAGCCCGATGAATCACTGTCAACATCGCGCTTCTTCTTCTTATTTTTTGTAGATTGCCTGGACATCGTGCTCTGTGGGCCGGCGTGGACTGAGGGATGGGACTGGAGACAGGAAGCACCGGGGAGGTTCTGTCCTGCGGCGATGGCCTAGCTCGGGAGATGCCTTGATGGATGACTAGGTGGTGATTCGACGGGTAAGGCTATCGAGTGCCGAATAAGCATGCTTGAGGAATCATGCAGACCCAGACTCAAATGGCCAGACAACAAGAGACACCGAGCGCAGGAAGAAGGGACAAGACTCAGTTGGGTAACATGATTGCTGTCGTGACTGTGAGCAGGAGATGTTTGGTAGGCTGGTAGTTGGGCAGCACATGTGGCAGATTAGGTCGAGGGATGTGTTGTCACTCTGGAGGAGCCTCTTTTTGCACTAGCGAAGAAAACGATACGGAATGGAGATGCTGCATAGCGCCAGAGAAGAGACACCCAAACAGATGCCGTGTTGGAATGAACCACATGATATGTTCGCTTTAGAGCGGCTACTCCTACCCCGCGGTAGCTTCGCAGACCACCATGTACGATGTAATGTACGTCGACTCACGATCCCACGTTGCAGGCCTCGCTTGCTTTGACAGGCCTCCGGTGGGTTCGTGAGTTTCCATTGCGACCGGTGTCAGTTCACTGAAGGGAGCCCAGGGTTAGGCGCTGGTTTTGGTGTATCACTGCCATGACACAGACTGCAGGTTCCGTTGTCTAGATCAAGAACGTGGACGTGGGAGTGGGAGGGGCAGTTTAAGCGTGCCGGGAAACGGCTGACGAGCAGCTTTGTGCACTTTCAGTGGCTCGAAGTAGCAACCGGGCACATGGAGCCTATCCCTGCCGAGGCATGAACGTAGGCTGAATTACCGACACGCATTCGAGAGCCTCAGTGATTCTCTGACTGATACTCCGAAGTCGAGTCAAGGTTTGGATTTTGCAGAAACCAGTCAGTTCACGACCTGTTCTTTTCGTCGCCTGTGTTGCCGCAGTATATAAAGTTGCCCCTCCACTGATTCGAAACACAATGCCTGGGGTTGGCCGAGATGAGAGAGCGCCAACGATAATGCTGCTGCCGTGGAAACATTGTCGAAGTTGGAAACAACAACAATTCCAGAGAATCACCCATGCTGAAACAGGACAATGACAAGAGTTGTCACTGGTTCAAAGAGACCTTGCTGTCAATTTAAAGTACGAACTATCGGATCGGGAAGAGCCTCAGACAATTTATTTAACCACAGCTCACCGCTATTTAGTCGTTCCGTTTTGAGATTGAGGGGATGTCGGCTAGCTGGCTTGTAAGCCGAGGATCAGGATCACAGCCATTGAAGCTATAAAGAGTTGAATGCTGATTGTCCCTCGAGCCACAGCAGCGTTTGACTGCCCACTGGCTCCTTCACTACCTCCACCCCCTTGACCCTCGGAACCCCCCGGTTGCGATGATGAAGTGTTGGCCGGTGGTATAAGATTAGCCTGGCTGCTGGGGAGCTGGAAACTTGCATCCTCGGTCAATGGGAGGCTGGTGTCAATGGTGACTACTTGGGTTGTATCATTGAAGGTAAAGTTCGACGAGACGCCAGTCAAATTGGTGTTCTGTGGCGCAACCCCGACGCCAAGGACACTGAATCGCTCAATACTAACGTTGGCAGCATAGCTGTAATCACCCGACATGGAGAACGATCCATTGTTATACGTGAAGTTGATAAAGGTAACCATTGGCTGCTCAATTGAAATGCCGTCATCGAGGTAGAGTGATCCTTTGGCCTGGCCGTCTAAGCCGGGCGCGACGAGAATGTGAAAGGCTTTTGTGCGGAGTTCAGTAGTAGTATTTGCGCTTTCAATTCGAAGTGGCAGAATGTTACCACCCCGTATGTGCAGTGGAATTGTGGTAAAGTCGACATCCGACAGACTAATAGTAGCACCAGAACCCCTGACAGGAGCGAAACCACTGTTCCAGTCATAGAATATGTCATCGGGCAGGTAAATGTCCACGCTCGTACTGTTCTCTTCGGTAACTGGCGACACAAGTAGTCCATCGCCATAGAAGAATTGCGAATCGATGTCGAAGGTCCCCTGATCAGTAAAATAAAGATAGAATAGAGGATTCAGCGCAGGCTTGCCAGTTTGTGTCTGAACATAAAATGCCGTGTACAAATAGTCAAGCAGCCGATATCTGATGTCAATTGCTCTCCTTGCGGCTTCTGCCACAGTTGGCCATCTGTAGGCTTCTTGTCCGATACTTCCGAGCTCGTTGTGGTTGCGATAGAAGCTCTGAAAGGCACCAAGCATCATCCAACGTGCACACAGGTTTTCCGTAGTATTGCCGGAGAAGCCACAGACATCTGAGCCAACCATTGGTGTTTGGAATATGCTGGCAAAATTCAACATGGAGGATACGCTGATCCCATATTGAGCCCAATTCGCCACGTTGTCCCCACACCAATGACCAACATGTCTGCCGGCTCCAAGGAAGGTGCTTCGTGTTATCACCAAAGGTCTCTCTCCTGGACGTCGCTGCAGAAGAGCCTCACGTGAAGCTGAGGACATCATCGTACCATACAAATTATGTGTATCATACTCCACCAGTCCATTGTGATGAACTAGATCTGTGTCCAAGGTTTTGTTCGAAAGTCCACCGGCAGCATTCCTGATTCTGTAGGGTGGATCAATCAATTCTCGACCTGGAAGGCCTATGTGTTTGACAGAAATAGTATCTTGTCGTTTAGCGTTTGATGGTGGCTGAAAATCGGCCGGAAAACCTTCGAGAACAATTGCTGAACCGTTTCTAACTGGCGGAGGTGCTGGTGGAAACTTGTTTTCCTCGGCGAAGCCACTAGGATCTTCACATGGATAGTTGCAGAAGCTATAAAGCACCAATTAGGGCCAGTGAAAACAATGGAAGAGGTTTGCCAGTACTTAGCAGCTTCATTCATGTCGATCCACAATCCAGAGATGTCGACACCACTCTCTGGGTCAAAGAATGAACTAAATTGCTCATTCCAGTATTTTTGAGCATCTGGATGGAAAAAGTCTGGCCAAGCGGTAGCGCCCGGCCACACTACGCCTGCGAAGACGGAACCATTCTTTGCTTTCATGAAAATATCCTTGCCATCATTGAATGCAGGATAGTCTTGGTAAGCTACTGCGGGGTCGACCATCACAATATAATGCTGCTGATGATTATTGAGGTAGGTCACAAGTTCGCGGACCTTCGGAAGAGGGAAACGTTCTGGATCGAGGGTGAACACCTTTCGTGCATCCTGTGGGACATTAGCCATCAATGCCCGTAATTCCTGCCACCTCACCCACCATGTAGTCAATATCAGTCCACATCGTCTTATGGTCAGTTAGCTAGGTTCATGCAACGACATAAAGTGCGTACCTCAAGAGGAATATTCGCTTGGCTGTAGTTGTACACCACTTCTGCAACTTGATAAACGTCACGGTAGCCATACCTACACTGATGGAAGCCAAACGTCCAGTATGCCATCATAGCCGGCTTCCCGACCACTTCAGAAATTTGTCGGGATACGTCGATTGGTGAAGGGCCCGAGACAAAATAGAAGTCAAATACCCCTCCCAAGATATTGTACTGAAGATATTGGCCGTCGGTATCGTTAATCTTAATGTCCATCCCGTTCGAATTCAGTAGTACAACTCCATGGGTGCCATTCTCACCCCGATTGTCAATATAGATCGGATGGTTGCCATAGAGATTTGTACCTTGTGGGATGGCATAGGAGTCTCTAGACCATAGGGTTCTAGTGTAGTTGGATATGTTCAATCTAAAGTGGTCGGAATGCTCGCCAAGGCCATACAAATTTGGGTTATCAGGAAGAGAGGTTCTGAGTCCTAGAAACTGAGATTCGAAAACGATGGGATAGCCCGACGTGTTGAATAGTGTTGCTCCTTGAGGACGTGAGATTGCGAAGCTGAAAGGACTTTCGGTATAAGTAAACTGGATGTTAGAGTCATTGATCGATAGTCCAGTAGTTGCGTTAGGCCTTGGAAGAACAGATTCTGGAATTTGATAGACCGTCTCGTTTTTATCCTGGATAAGCACGTGAATCCGGGATTCTACAGTACACATCAGTATCAACATCATCAATGGGATAATTCGCATTACCTGTCTGATATTCCACGGTAAGAGTCAAGTTCGGTAAATCCAAGCCGAATGCATTACAAGCACGGCCTGCAAGGTATAAATCGGCTGTTAGTCCATTGTTGGTCTGCTGGATGTTGGTTGCGCTGTAACCAGGACATTCACTTTGAGCCATAACGAGGACAAAGCCAAAGAGGCCAAATAGCCCAAGGCTATGGAAGAAACCCATGGTTCACAGTGTTTTCTTCACAGGGTCTGCAATTGAGGGAGATCTGCAACGTCCAGCGTATGCAGATATGATATTTCAAGTCATGTCACCGCCCTCAGAGGTTCTCGCGGGGTATATGCACCCTTCCATGTTGTGTCATTTGTAGCGTAACATTCAAAAGTGTTAAACCCTGGGCATTAGTCTTTCACGTCAGATTGATCAGTTGCACGGTTTGGCATGGAGTTTGACCCCACAAAATGATCGGGTACCTAAGGTAGCATCCAAATGGCTCTGGGCGCCAGATGCTCATTGGCAAGCGGACAGAATCTGGGGAGGCATTCCGCAGATCGACATTACCTATACTGGTGCATCGCATCATGCCATCATCTCTACTCCATGTTGAGGGGTCCCGAAGCCTCGACTGCGGAGGGGTCAGTCAGCTGTTTAGCGAGGAAAGTTTTAGTGGTTAGAAGAAAAGAGAACTGAGCCATTAGATCACCAAGATGCACCTTTCAGAGCTTGTCATAGCAAGACATAAGGCGGCGTCTGAGGGAAACTAATAACAACCAAGGAGTGAAGGTACCATGAGTCTAACATGGATAGATAAATAGTCGAGGCTTTCTACAACTTCAATCGAAATTTGGCGTGTCTAACATGGCGAAATGATGCGCCGTAGTATCATTGCTTGTCATTTGAAAACCCGTCGTTGAAGGCCGCACTTTCATCGTCGCCATCCGTCCATTGGTCTCTATGAATGTTTAAAGAACAACATTGATCAGTGTTAATGGTGACTAACGTGCTGTGATGTACAGAGAGTGACGGGCAGACAAGTTCAGCCCATCAATCCTGCGGAATACCTGGCTGCCATGCGCGACCCACCGAAGCGCTCCTAATACTATTGCAGTGAATTGATCAATCCTGTACGTTCCTTGGCTGGCTTAGTTGCAAACTCAACTATGTCTTTAATTCCTTGATAGACGAATTTATGCATAATCTCAAGATCAAAGTCTGCTGGAGGTGACCACTAAGTGTCTGACTTTGAGTATCAGATTTGAAGTGATGAAGCCTCTGTCATGGCTGACCTCAGCTTCCATTCTGGGCCTCTCGAAAGGTCAGCACATGGGTTTTGATGCGAGGGAGGCAACAATATCATCTATTCATTCAGAATTATTCGCGGGCCTTACAACATGTCGAGCGATTGTATCTGCCTTTATTGCACGAATTGAAGCATACAACCCGCTCATAAATGCCGTTATTACTCTCAACTCGGATGCTCTCAACATAGCAGATTCTCTGGATGAATCGCTTGCTTCAGGGAACACCACTGGGAAATTGTTTTGCATCCCCGTCCTGTTGAAGGACAACTACGACGCGGTGCCCATGGCCACAACAGGTGGTAGTCTCCAGCTTAGTACTTGCTCGCCTCTTCAAGACGGACCTACAGTACTGGCACTCCGTGCTGCCGGAGCCGTCCTACTGGGGAAAACTAATCTCCATGAATTTGCTCTTGAAGGCCTTGGCTTGTCGTCTCTCGGAGGGCAGACTCTCAATCCGTACGACCTCACACGCACTGCCGGAGGGAGCTCCAGTGGTACAGGAGCAGCAATAGCAGCATCGTTCGCGGTCTTCGGTACTGGCACGGATACTGTGAACTCCCTGCGGAGTCCAGCGAGTGCGAACAGTCTCTATAGTTTTCGTCCGACAAGAGGACTGATCTCTAGAGCGGGTATCATACCTGTGTCCCATACGCAAGACACCGCAGGGGCTATTGGTCGAAGTCTGCTAGACATCGCGACTGCATTGACAGTTATGTCAAGCGTCGGGTACGACAGTAGCGACAACGCTACTTCGGAAATTCCATCGTCGGCCATTGGCACTGACTACACGAGCTTCCTGTCACTAAATGACAACCCGACAAACCTCACCGGAATACATATCGGACTCCTGGAAGGCTTCTTCAACCGAACAACAAGCAGTGAAACCACACCGGTGAACAACCTAATGGACGCTGTCATCTCCCAGCTACAAAGACAAGGTGCCACTATCATACCCATCAAAGATACGACCACCTACAACGCCACATCCATCTTATCGGAACTCGATGTGCAGAAGTTCGAATACCGAGAACTTCTTTCAGAATACCTGTCATCCCCCAACCTCCAGGGTACGCATCCTCGCAGCATGCCCGAGATCTACATCAACAGTACCATCACTGACACCACGACACGACCAAACTTCGTCGTCATCCCAGCACAATACCAACACATCCAGCAATCACTCGTCTCCTCGACATCCAACACCAGCTACACCACCATCAAAGCGCGCATCGCCAACCTCACTCAAACGCTACACTCAACGCTGCGCACCCAACGACTCTCCGCCATCATCTACCCGGAGCAAAAAAACCTGGTCGTGCCCATCGGCTCACCGTCCCAGTCCGGCCGCAACGGCATCCTCGCGGCGCTGACGGGGTCCCCGGTCATCACGATCCCGATCGGCTTCTCGCCGGCGAGCGAAACTGCGCCGATTGGAATCCCTGTTGGCATGGAGATCCTCGGCCTCCCCTTCAGCGAGGGCACGCTGCTGCGCATCGCCAAGGGCATCGACGACCGACTGCACGCCCGCCGCAGCCCCGTCACTGCCGGCTTGAATGACTACGACGACGCCGCCGCCGCCGTCCAGCACCCGCCGCACTATTCGAGCGTGCCGACCATCACGCCTCTGAACAACATCCCTGCTGCGTACCCTCTCGGTCGTTTCTGAGCCACAGGCGGAAAATCGCAGAGGTTGCTCATGTATAGATGTCTCGTTTGGCCATGCCAAAGCAGACATGAGCAAAAGTCGAGAGTTGCACCCTCAACGAAAGTAGCTAGCTGTAGACCATCCGTTCACGTCCACCACTTCATCTTGTACCAAGTGGTTTTAATCTCACATAGCATAGGATTGTACTCGACTATGGTAACGTAGTACCAGTTCATGTGTGCTCGCAGTCTCATTCAATAATCTATTGGGCATGGTTCATAAAATTCTCTGTCTGATACTAATCATGTGCCTCATCATATCCTTGGTCTTCGAAATACGCAGAAAAAACAGCAAGTTAGACGCTCAAAAGAAGGGGGAACTGGTGATTGAATACCAACTGGTCATAAATCATATGCTCAAACTGTTGCGGACGGGGTATCTTTGCTAATTGTCTCCTGCTCCTTCTTCTTTCGCAATTCCTCCTCAAGCAGACTCTGCTTCTTGACATACTCGAGCACAATCTCCTCCTCAGTCTTTTGCTGCGACAGTGCCCCAAGACGACGCTTTTCCTCCTCTGACGAGGCGGTGAGAGCACGCTGGAGTTCCGCATCATCATCACCATCATCATTATTGGTGGTTTGAGGCTGGCCATTAGTGGATGGGGTCGCAGCACTTTCCCTGTTCACCAGAGCTGCCTCTCGCTCCGTAAGATCTTTCTTCTTCTGCTCGTTATCTGTGTGTAGGCGTTTGCTTTCGGCAATCGCACGCTCAAACTCCTCATCATAGTCCGTGTCGACTCCAGAATCGCTATCATCCTCCCAATGAGTCTCCTCACGTGGGGGAAGCTGCGGAGGCTGGCCGCCAGTCTTTTGCTTATAGTCTTCAAGACTTTGAGTAAGAACGCGTTCCAACTCCTCATCATGTTCGTGGCTTTCTGCTGGAAGGGTAGACACGACCCCGGATTCTTGACCTTTCTCGGCGTGAGCTTTTTTGTATTCTTGCATGCTGGCTTGTATGGCTGACTGATATGCTTCTTCAGAATGCTTGTCTCCTTTCGAGCTCGCGTTTTGCAGTTCGCGGAGACTTGCTCGGAGAGCTCTTTCAATGACAGCATCCTCATCAGGATTACCCTTACTGGTAGCATTGACTGATGTTTTGATAGCGTGTTCGTAGTCATCCAGTCCGCTATCATGAGAGTGGGACTTGCCAAGAGTCGTAGAAGATCCAATGCTCGAGAATGAACCAGTATGTTTAAGATGATGACTGCTGTCATGGTCGAATGGACAGAATTTGCATCGGCTCTTGATCTTTCCTCCCTTCTTTTTCTCTGCATCTCTGATCTTCTTTTCTCTGCGGAGAAGTTCCTTCTCCTCTTTTTTCAGTTGCTGCTTCCGTTCTGATAACGCCTTTCGCTCGTCCCAGCTCAAGTGTTTAGTATTCTTGAAGCCATGCACAAGTTCAACCGAATTACTATGCGATCTAGTGAGAATATGGCTCTCAATGGCCTCCTTACGTTCGGTTCCATAGAGTTTGCCCCCCTTCTTCGTCTCCAACTTGGTGGATTTCCAAGCTTCGACTATAGTTGCTCTTTCCTCGGGCGTACTGGTTTTCCAGTCTTCGAAACCCTGGGCTGTGCGGGCTGCAATGATGTAATTTTGAACAGAGCTGCCGAAGTGCTTCGAAATTTCAGCATATAGACCTTTGGCAGTATAACCAGGAAGACCCCAGATGCCAGCGCCAGGCTTCAAGATCAAACCACCAAAGCCCTTGGCGGCTCCTTTGATGAACCCGGCGGCACCCTCTTTTCTGGCACCTGCAAGAGGCTGAGTTATGAGACCTGTGATGCCATCATAAAAGCCGTAGCCGAATTCCTTGCCGGCAGCTTTCAATCCCGACTGAAGATCAACAATCTTTTCACTTTTTCGGACAGTATCATCGCCATAGAGCTTGGGAGCATTGTGGAATCCCTTTGCCAATGACAGTGTGAAGTCCATAGGAGATTTGACGCCGGCTGAGACTATCCTTCCGGCGGCTCTTGCTCCACTAATTGCAGTGTCCAATGTTACCTGACTGACTTCGTCAACGGGACAAGGTGACTGCTCTCTTGGGCTTCCACTTCGTGAGCCGGATCGGGAGCCATGCCTTGAATGGCGACGGTGATGAGAATGATGCCTGGTTGAGCCGTCAGAGGACAAGACTGTTGACATTGCAGAAGTCCTCCGTCCACTGGAGGCATCATCGCGGCCATCAATCGAACCAGGGGGCACCTCTGATGTTGGTGATGTTACCAAATTAGCATCTGTAGTTTTGTTCAAGTCTTGCGTAGAACCATGATTTGAGGTTGATACAGGACTGGTGCCACCACTATTCGTCTTTCTCTTCTCATGTATGTCTTTAAGCTCACCACTCGCGGACTTCAATGATTTGAGAATCTCGACTGGAAAGTCGGCAATACCCATTGACAGGTTTCCAATAGTCCCGACAAGAGCGGCAGCTCCACCAGAAATGGGCTCCCAAGGGCCATCCTCGGTTTCATATTCACGTGGTCGATATAGCTTCAGGTCTGAAAAGTCCAGAAGACCTTCCGTTCCGAGCACTGTTGCGGCGAGGGTTGAGAGACGGATATCTGTCCTTTTAACACGCCAGACTGCAACACGAGAGGGCAGCAAAGAACATCTCAGATCTGAGAGATGCAGTTGTTTGTGAAAGGATTGAGCACCGGCTTCGGTGCCGTCCTCCGCTTTGATCTTTGCGCTGAGATCCTTGGCCCGTTCGAGCGATTCAGGCTTCAAAGCCTCTTTGATCGATTCCGCCAGCTTATCGGCTGTTAGGTTCTTGTAGGCGACTGGAACTGGCCCTGCTCCAGCTCTGGCAGTCATGGAGCCCCAGAATGGCTGATCACCAAAGAAAGGAACGACAACTGTAGGACGACCAGCTAGAATACCAGCTGCCGTGGTACCCGCGCCGCCATGATGGACAACACAGGAGACATGTTGGAAAAGCCAGTCATGAGGACAGTTGCCTAACATGAATACTCCTTCAGGGATACCTAGCTGGTCGGCACCTAGGCCTCCCCAGCCCTTGGAGACCAAGGCCCGCTGACCTGTCTTCTTGACGGCTTCGAAAATCATCTTTGTCATCGCATTTGGATCGTCGACGACGATAGAGCCGAACCCAATGTAGACTGGAGGAGGGCCAGCTGCCAGAAATTCGGCTAGCTCTTTCTGTGGGGTATAATCGGTCGAAAGGTTGAGGAAATAGAAGCCTGAGATATCAATGTAGTTGCCCCAATCTGCGGGCTTTGGGATCAGGGCAGGTGACCAACAATAAGTCCAGGGGATACGCAGTCGACTCGCCATACCGGGGGCCCACATAATACTGACTGGTTCAAGGCCGAGGGTCCTCTCTCGAAACTTGTTGATTATGTCTCCCAAACCTTGCCAAGTCAGCATGTCGACGAGGGCATAAGTGACGAAATTTGCCATATTAGGATCGGTATTGGAGGATATAATGTTGGCGAGCGGGTGAGGAAAGGATTGTGTTGGCGACCATGGCATAGTGAACATGAGATGCAGCGGAATGCCCATCTTCTCGGCGATGTGTACATGGGCAAAGCTCGGGGGATTCGCAATGATTGCGTCTGCCACGAATGGTTTCAGAGTAGGATCGACATCAAATGAAGTGGCGCTGTCGAAGCTGCGGATATCCATATTGTCGTCCAATGGTTGAACACCCATGCCATCACCTGCTTCGATACAAGATCGCCAACAGCCGGTGATCATCTCGTAGATACCCTTTCTCCGTTTACCCACATCACCAGCCTTGAGGGAGTCAAAGCCAGGCATCAGCCCTGGATTTTTGACCATAAATGCCATGAGTTCGGCAGGGTCCCCACCGATACTAAAGAACTCCAAACCATTCTCGGTAACGAATTGCTTGAACGTTGGGTGAGTGGCTATGCGGATACGATGTTTGTATCTTGCTTTCAAGACCTGCCCAAGTGCGACAAATGGTTGGACATCACCTCTGCTGCCCACAATCTGAATGACGATGTTCATAGGTGGTGGCGGAAGTCCTTCGGTTTCTCCCAGGCCTTCTGGAATTTCAGGCTCTGCTTTGTTCCTTTGCAATTCCATCTGACGACGCAGAGCAGGCAGGAGGAGGTTTGTAAGCTTCCGATTGTGCTGATTGATCTTGATGTTGACTCTGCCATCGCTCGCAATGCGAGCACCAGTGTCCAGGCCATTCTGGCTGATATCTAGATGACCATAGTCGGAGCCGTTGAATGCTGGAGGTGGGACATCTTCGATATGTGGAGAAACTCCTCCATGATGCCGTACGTGGGAATCTGGGGATGTAGGGGCTATCTTGTCTTTATCTGCGCCATTCTCCTCTTGGTTGGCCGCGGCGACGGCGGTTGCATTTTCCAGTATGATATTTGGAATTGCTGCGGACTCGTCCGCGGGTTTCTGTTCAGAAGACATGATGGAAATGAGGGAGCATCAAACCGTGAGACAGGACATCTAGGAAGAGTGGAATAGAGGGTGATAACGAGGGGGGGCTCGAACGGGGTTGCTCAAGACAGTGATGAAATGGAGGCAAACGACACCATGGACGCGGAATGATGAATGCTGTTTGCTGGATCAACTGTGTAGGAGGAGACCCTGACCTCACTTTTCTTGGGGCATTGAGGGAAGAGGGGGAGGATCAGTAGGCGGAGTAGGGTCGAGATCTTATTGAGAACCTACCAAGTGCTAGCAGTTTGTATCCTTGCGCCTGCCTTTTAGTGTGACGGAGAGAAGATACCTCAGTATCTCTGTACCATGGAGATGGACGGCATGGCATGCATGATGAGATCCAGGGTTGAATTCAAGTTCTGGGACCAGTGGCGTAGAGGTGGAGGGGGTGCAGGCAGGTGCATTGCACTTGTTACCGGTTTAGGCATTAGAAGGCGGTTTTAAGGTGGCTGCCCCTCGATTGACCACTCGGCGAGAGCCACACTGAGCATCACCAAAGGCTGCCAACTCTCCCAATGTCGCTGATTCATCACCTTACGTTGATCTATTTGGGGGCTATGATTTAAGTAACTTCGCCGCGCCCCTCCTCCGTCGTGGGCTGCCTACCAAGATGGGTGATGACTCGACCTAGAAATGACTTCTCGTTACTGCATGCAAGGCTTACCATCAAAACCCACATCTCCTTAGTAGTTTGGCTGACCTAACCAAGACCCATGTTGATCTGGACTGACTGAGGTAATCAATCCCATGACAAAAGGTTCATGGTAGGTACCGAGGAGGTTGAGAATGGCGGGCGCCCATCTGAACTGACTAGACCAGATTCTCCCAGAAGACAGGGGAGAGGGCGACAATTCATTTCCTTGCCTACCTACAGAGGTGGGTATCTAAGCATGAGGTGATTACTGTCCACGATGTTTCCACCCATGTGCAACCTCTTCCATCGTTTCAAAAGTGATCTCTCCGTCTTCTGCGGCCTGAATCCGAGCTACTAGTTTGGCAATGAATTTGTCAATCATGCCCACAATATGGGCTCTCCCGGAGCTTTCAGGATGCCATATCATTCTACAGGGTGGAAGTGCCACATAATCAGTAAAATCGCCTGCTTCAAAGGGAAAGGTGGTAACGAGTGGCACTTACGGGAAGACTGAGCCATATCCTTGTCCCGGTTCCTCGTCCAACCAGCTCTCATTCTCCCAGATCCAGTCAAATCGATCCCACCACATCTTTTCCACCAGATCAACCCCTACGTAGCCTTGCGTATTGGCTGCATATGGGTAGAACCCAAGCTTTCCAGGTCAATACTATCACTTTCGAAACCACGGTGACAGCAAAACTTACTGGTGTCATGTCTTCCGTGTACCATGAGCCAGGAATCTCAACCAGCGATTCATCGGCCTCGGTGGTACCAATTGCTGGCTGCTGTGGAAGTGGTGTGGGAATCATCCAACTGCTAGCATCCTTGCTGTAATCTGGGACATGTGGTGGCTGTTCAGGAAAAGGCCTGGGCAGGAAATATGGCTGCGCATCATGCGCATTCATACTGGAATCATATAGAAAGTCGTGCTCTTGAAGCAGGCGGACGGTTGTTTCGCGGATCTGGTACAATGGCGCCCGATACCCCACGGGCCTCTTACCATTCTGTAGCTTGGTAATGATATCAATGCATTTTTCCAACACATCCTTTTCCTGTTGTACCGTCATGGCATACGCTCCTTCATGGCTATACCCGTGTAGACCAATTTCAGCACCACTTTGTAGGATTTCTTGGGCTTGGACTGGAAACGTCTCCAGGCTGTGTCCGGGGATAAACCACGTCACTTTCTCAGAGATGCCATGTTTCTTGAACAAGCGCAGTAGTCTCCCAACACCAACGTTCGCCGAGAACACCCCTGCAGAGTAGTCCGACAGGGTATTGGCTGGATCATGTCCAGTGCCCAGGTAGCCAGACAGTGCGTCAAAGTCAATAGATAGACAAATCCTCAATCTTCTCCTTCTTGTTTTGGTGGTCGATGTTGCCATGTTTATAGAACTCAGTTTACTGGTTCAAAGCCTTTTAGAAGATCTCGGTCGAACGCTTGGTCTGACAATGTGAGATGTGGGAATAAGTGTTTTATCCTTACGATGGATCCTTGCCATCTGCCTACCTGGGTACCAAAGCTTGGATTCACCACGCTGATGTCCTAATTTCTCCACGTGTCGTGGTTAGTTAAGATGTTTCGGGGAGGACATCTCCGGTTTGTCCCTAAATCGCCTGGAACAGACTGTGGGAGCACCCGCTGAGGGGGGTTCGTGCAGCAAGGCCGCGCCAAGACCTCGACGACCCAACCTCACATATTGGATGACTTAAGACGCTGCCTCTGTCAGATACTTGTGATTTCAAGACTACCCCAAGGCCGCTCGCTGTTCGTTGTGCAAGCTGAGGATCTGGATTTGGTCTTCGTGCATATGGCCATGACTGGAGGGTGCTCACAACACGCTCTTTCAAATCCGTTCTGAAGGATCAGAATGGCTGGTCAGGGAAATCCAGAGCTCTATCGTGTCCTTGCAACCCTGAATAGCTATATTCCTCGTACAAACACGCCAACAAATAGCCATCCTATAGGTCCATCAGGGGCCGATAGCTATGCTACTCCCGTTGCCACCTTGCCGTTCCAATCCACATCTTCAATCCCAGGGCTAGGATTTCTGTCTCAACCAGTGAGCGAGATCAAGCCTATCACACCACCACCAATATCACGATCTCACACTCAGACTTCTGTTCAGCAAGCCCGGCTCCCAGTGGCTCCTGCTCCAATCTCGCGTGACAGATCCACCACTCCAGCAATCCCAGATGCTTCGACCATCACTACCTGGCCAGCGGCATTGAAACATGTCACTAAATATCTGGTCCCAGACGAAAAAGTGTCTGCGCGAATCAAGCATCTCATTACCGAACAGCATAAGCATGAGCGCCAGTGGTGGGCTGGCAGAGAGGCTATCATGGCTCGGCAAGAAGGACGAACCGGCACTTCTCAGCAGGTTGCGGCTTTGCTACAGTCAATTGGTGGTAAAGCAGTACCAGTAGCCCCAAGTGACCCGAAAGCCAATGCAGCAGAACTGGCAGCATACGATAGAAAAGTGTTCGCTGGGCTTGTGGCATTGGCATCAGACTATGACCGACAGCTGAAGAATTTGGGAATCCCCTTCTACTCAATAAAGCACGAGCTGGTGATACTGGAACAAGGGCCGGAAAAGGCTGGGAACTTGAAAGGAAGAATCGACAAAGGCGAATTGAGAGAATTGCAGAAAAGGATGCTTCAGACTCTGGAGGATCTATTTGGGGATTGATACGAGGAAGGGCATGACTTATTCTTCATACTGGCTATCTGACTCGACGTTGACAGTGCGGCCTCCTCCAAGCCCCTTCAAGTCTAACAGCCATTTTGTAGGGACAAGGGGAAACTCTATTGCAGGCAACATCCGACCCTTTCGAGAGATATGAAATATCACTACAATAAGCGAGAGGACACGTCCAGACACCAAGACATGAGGGAATAGTCCCGGCCAGGAGATCGAGGACCGCTCCTGCTACTGCTAATATCTTCAGTGTTGCTGTAATGTTTTCCCGGATCCGAGTCATCAAAGTGCGACTTCCTCAGTGAAAGCACCCACGATGCAGTGAATGGCAGTTGCCTCCACGGCGTGGCAGTCCACCTTCATCTACTAGTCTATCATTTCTTGACTTGACGTCTACCTAGGTACTCTGCCTTCGACCTCTTTTCTCCCTTTCAACCCCTCCCTCTTCCTTTCCTTCAGAAACTCCCCTTGTCATGGACCACCAAACCACTCCAAAGCCTGATCTTGGTCTCCTCGCGGAGCGCGCAGGAAGCCTCTCTGCGGAGCTGAATGGCTTGCAGCTTACCTGCGGCCATGAAAGTACTGCTGAAGATATCCAAGCTGTGTCCAAGGAGCTCATTCTGCTTTCTGATGAACTTTCCGGTCTCGAAAAGGCTGTCAATCGTCATGGGGAGCAATACACCACGGCATTTCATCAAGATCTGGCTGAAATCCTCGCTCATCTGCACGGAATTCTTGATGATGTTTTCGACTGTGCTACGGCAATGAGAAAGTCCGACAGACCAGACTTGAATGCCATTGGTTGGCTTCACAAGAAGAGATATGTGAACAAACTGCAGAAACATCTCGCTGCAAGCAAAACAACCTTGACCGTCATGCGGACCGTTATCCGCCATGGAAAAGCCTATGGCACTCAAAAGTAAGATTCAAGTTCTGTTTCTATCAAGTCCATAACTGATCAATGCAGCTCACCTGGCCGACTAGCAGAATCCTCCCCTCATACCCTTTCCGAAGATTGGGCAATCCTTGAGTCCGTCTTTGCCAGCAGGAACGCCATCACAGACCTACAAAACCTTGCACGGACCACTCCTCAATACAGTTCACCATCATCTCACGAAAGTCCTGGTGAGACCCCTTCCTTTGAACCGGGTGCTCATGGTCGGAAGCTATCCTCAGCAACTGGTGTAGATGTCCCTCTTGTGGCAGACGTCCTTCCAGCGAGCAGACATCAAGAAACCAAACAAAAAGATGATCAGCTCGTACGTAGGTTCTCCAAACGTGGTGTTCGACTTGTTGTGCATAGCTCGATACTAGACTTGAACGCACACGATGTGCCCAATTCCCTCAAGCACAAGTGGATCTCTCATGCTCACGCTCGGGACCCATCGATTGCACAGCTAAGTCAAATCCCAGAAATCGACACGATGCCCAGCAGGCTTGAGCGGCGTGTTACCACTGGAGATGATATCGCCAGTGAGACTCCAGAAGCCAAGTCAAAGAAACGCAGCTTGACTCTGATGAGCACTCCAGGTGCCAGGACCCTGAGCAAAGTGATCAGCCGCCTGTCCAATACCGGTTTGGGTGACGAGAGCAAGAAGGATGATGCTGAGCCAAAGGCTGGCTGGAGCTACCGTCTGACAAAGCCGTTTGTCAAGCCCGAATTGACCACCCCCGATTTCAGCAAGGATCACGAAAGTGCTGCACTGCGTTAGCTCGATCTACCCCGGATACTGCAGGCCAGTTCTGATTATCGATGGAGAGAACAAGACGCGAAAGAATGTACTTCATACCACAATATTATTATTCCTAAAACAGAACCAGCGAACTATAGGATGCGATCTCTGGAAGTCGTCGTTGATCAGGTTGGGGAGTGAGCAGGTATTGATCTTGATTCATAATTCATATGAGAGTTAGATCTTCAGTAGACTATAATCAACTACGAATATGAGGAAGTTTGGAAGGCTGTACCGCAATTCTTCTGAACCCTCCTATTGGAATTCTTCCTCTCATTCAATTGAAAACGCGTTTCGAATCTGTTCATCATTGCAAGCAGGCCGTGAACACAGGATCTCTCATTCTTTCACTTGCCATAACGAGGAAGTTTCAATATTCGAGGCCAAGAGTTGATCACGGAAACCAAGGAGAATTAATATTGTCTATCTTCGTTTGTCGTTTCTCCCAAGCTTGAACCACTTCCGTCAACAGTACTTATGCATCACCAAACGCAGGTCTTCAAGCACTGCTGTCGTCCGTCATGACTCGAAGCAATTTCCTTGCGACGCTGCGTTTGGAATCTGTGAGAATAATGGCGAAGGCACCGAGAGCAGTCGCGGGTGAAAATAGATATGGCTCTTCAAGTGGTGATAGGTTGCATATTACTTGATGTTGGTGTATAAAGGGGCGAAATCAACGGCCCAGTCCCTCCTGGATCAGGATCAGAATGTTCAAGTCCCCCAGCATCGGCAATCCGTTGATCCACATAAATCAAGAAAGATTCCACGCATCCAGCGTTCGATCTGGGGAAGATCGAAAAGCCATATTCCTTCCAGGTGGCAATAAACATAGATACAAGCCACACTCGGGTCGCGGAGCAACCCTTAAAGTGATCACCGTTGTCAGAAAGCGTGGGAATGGAGACCCTCGGCCTTCTCATCCCCGGGCCTCGAAGTTCCAACGGCGCTCGAATGACGCGTCCAACATTCCCGACGAGACACCTGGTCCGCCCGATCTTGAACATAGCGCATCGACTGTCCGGGCTTGATATGGCCGCTTACCATCGCGGCGATGACGGGGAGGAAGAGGGTGACGACGATATGGACGAGTCACCGGGAGTTGAGAGCGAGATATGCTGGGATATCTCCGATGACGGGTCTGAGTGGGAAGACATTGGGCATCTGTTATTAACTCCCGATATTGATCGGTTCAACGCCGATGGGGAGAATGCCGAAGGCGACAAGAGTATTGAGGTCGGACTCGAAAGACAAGAAAAAGGGAAAGGAGGTCGTGCTCCCTCCACAGATGCCCAAGAAAGGCACAGAAACGGCGACGACTGGGAGGTGATCTCACTGGTTCAGGAGATATCAAAAGCGGCAACACACAGTATCGATGACCATCGGCAAGCCACCTACTGTAGCTCTCGCATTGCTAGTGGAAGACGAGTCGTGGTCGCGTCAAAAACAGCGGATTCGGAAAAAAGAATCAGGAATGGTGAGCCGGGTAAATAGATCGCTTTAAAATGGCGAAGTGAGCAAAGTGGCGCATTCCACCACTGATGGCGAAGAGGAATTGTTGGTTGGTTCTTCCGTTCAAGACGAATAGGGAATGCTGGAACAGAACTTGAAATGTTCGTGGTTATCATTTTTGTCTACCGATCGAGATGAGCAATGCCGTCAACTTTTCCCTATACATTTCCTGTTGATGTCGCCCACTTCCAATTACATAGTGGAATGGGTTTGAGCATTTGACAGGTGTAGACTCGACAGGCGGCCCGGCCGACCCCGAACGCTGGGTGCAATGAACATCTGGGTTGGAATTCTCCACTTAACATCGAAGACCGTCAAAAAGGTGGTTGGTACCAGGCTCGACATTTCCAACAGGGCGATTGTCCAAGTCCCATTATCCAGGTGGCAAGCGTGTGCTCGTAGTCGCAGCCAACTCGGAGGACAATTCGAGGCATGTTTCAGTCTCTTTTGCCCACAGTGCTGCCGCTATACCCACCGTAGCCCCCGTAGCCCCCATAGCCCGAAGATCTTACCACGCCGTTGCCCACGTTCCCTCCCAGAATGCCATTTCCGTACACGCCGCTCCTCCCGCTCTTGCGGCGCTCGTAGACAAGCATCGCCATGGCGCCGACACCAGCACTCGCGGCAATTGCGAAGAAGCTGAGCAGCGAGAACCCAACGCTGTGGTTCCTGATCCCCAGCACCGGACGTCCAGCCATGCCAGGCAGGACCGCCCCGTCGACCCAGCCGATGTTGAATGTCAGAACGACGGGTTCATTACGGACGATCTTCGGGCCCTCTGAAGGTGTGCTCGAAGTCGTGTTGGGGAGTGAATACGCTGTCGAGGCGATGAGATGAGACTGGACTACTTCTCCTGGCGTTTCCGACTCGGGCGATATGTGGAAGAGGACATTGATGTTTGTGTGGAGGTGGAGGTGGGAGAGCTGGAGGGTGCCCTGCAGTGCGATTGTGAATGGCGTCCACTGATCTTTATCAGCTCCCGTGCCGTCTACACCGGGTAGCGAGGACGATATCCCTTGTCCGTTCTGAGAAAGAGGGTATGAGGGGACCCGGCATGTCAAAGGGACATCGCTGTGAACGAAGAACTCGAAGAGGTGATAAAGCTCGTCGGGTAAGGAGTCGATGGTGCATGTTTGTGTTTGAGGAGTGTTGTAGAGGAAGGACAGCGGTTGGCTCGTTTCATTGCAGGTAGGGAATGGGATGTATTGGAGATTGCCATGGTTGTCGGTGATCTGTTGTTGTGTGAGTTGTTGCACGTTTCATATATCTCATATTTTATATTTCAGAGCCAGGGAGAAAGGACACGGTCGTCACAAGAATGAGGACGAGTTGGAAATGCAGGTAGGGAGAACGTACATGTTCACCAGTGTCACTATGAAGGTAAGTAATGGCATTATCATCGTCAACTTATTAGAGAGAGCTCACATTGTCCTATTGAGGCAGCTGACAGGGATCAAGTCACCCTTGGTGTATCCCCTTCTATTTGGAGTAGGATCTGACAAGACCTTCTCCTGAGCAGCATTGACAGCAGAAGAAAGTGACAAATAAAAGAAGAGGAGCGCATTGAATGGAATGCATGCGAAACGAAGCATGGCTTAGAGTAAGAATGAAAAATCAAAGAGGCTGACCTGGGATATGAACACCAAAAAGATGAATTTTGGGTGCATGCGATTGTTTACCGTTTGATGCCAGATCAATTGTGGATGGACGGTTTTTTTGGAAAAGGCGTTTCGGTCTGGAGATCGGCCGCTAAAAGACGGGCCGAGCCGTAGCTCACTCTGCGCTTGACGTCACGTCTTGAATGTTTCTAACCGTCGCGGCATTGTGGTTGACGGAAAAATATGGATGGATATAACTTCCGGAGCGAATGAATAGCAGTCGAAACGGTTGATTTCAGGGTTGGGAAATAGAGTCGAGCATGCTGCACATTAATACAGCATCGGCAGCAAAGGCCATTGCTCTGTCAAAGCGATGGCTGAAATATATGCTTACATGATGGCACGCGATCAATGGATTCGCATTCCCACTCTTGCCTATATACACAAATTGAGATACGATGTCACAGGTTGCACAGCTTGTTTTATGTCAAATCTGGGCGCAAAAACTACGTTTGGTGTTTGTGCTCAGGGCTCATGCGCAGGATCACCAACACTCCTGGAGTGACGAACTGTGCAAGAATTATCCAATGCATCAGCGTCAGGTTCAATTTGAATCGGGCACTTAGGCAATTAGATCCACACATTCTTCTATTTTATCCCATTTTGTATCTGGGTTGAAATATTGTTCTTCCTATCCATCATATTGCCTAGACCTTCTTCGACGTGGTCTCCTCGGCATGCGCAGCGAGGGGATGGGTCGGGTTGTCCGATAGACCGGAGGTCTGGTCTTCTTTGCCCTCATTCTTTCCCTTTGAATTGTCGATCTGCGATGAACTAGTTAGCCACTGACACTAGAATCTAACACGGAGCGACTGAGACTCGAGTCAATGGTTGGTATTGAGGAGTAACTCACCTTTCCACTACCTGGTTGAGCGGGATGAGCTTGCTGCTGGGAACCACTCTGGTTCTCAGGCTCTGGGGACTGGCGACCGGCGTTGGGTGCAGACATGTTGAGATGAGTTTCTTTGTGTTGGGTCTGAGTCTGGTGGTGTAGATGTTAGTACTCATATGGTCTTCTGGAAATTGATAGGGCCCAGTCTACTCACAAAGTTGTAATACTGGAGCAGAGTATGAGTAGGTATAGATGAAAGTTCAGGATCGAGACAGAATAAATGTCAAGATGTCCAGGCACTTGATATATTGTCACAGACTGGTTGGCACCCCACCAGACAGCCCACCATCACCTACTATGACGTTTGTGCCTTACGAATGATGCGAGGGTCTGCGAACCACGGTACGAACCCTGTAAACCCTTCCTGGGAAAAACTGTATCACCGATCTTGCATGCAACTGAACGGTTAAGGAAACTTTATGTAGATCAAAAGAAACAAGTAGTTACCCAAAATAGGTGGATTGATTGACTGATAAATATCCCTCTTCCTATGGTCGGTTATACAGCAGGAAGACACGCAAGTAGTAAATGCAAAGCACCCACATTCTCAAACTCACAGCTGAGGCAGTAGTAGATATTGAATCAGTTCCAGAGCGATCAGAAAGATAGATTACACAAGGAGTGTTCAGCGCATAGTAAATGAGTGTAGCTCTTGAGTGAAATCCCAGGCATATATCCCGCAAAGTATACTACAAACATCACTTTGCTCCTCATATATAGCCCAGTGGAATATATTCTTCTTGAACCTGTATCCCAAGCTGTACGGTTCCATTCGTGTTGTCTGCAGTCATTTACCTCCCCTCAGACTGAAGCTGGCAATTCCTACCGCAACAAGACCCTGTGCCTTGCAGTTCGGGCAGCTGCGATATTTGTCCTCGCGAATCTTCAGCTGGACGTAGTTTGGACATTGGCGACCAGCCTGGTATTTACAACCGCCTTTGTCCATCTTGTAGGATTCATAATGGTTGCAGCGTAGGCTGACTAGGCGCTCGAGACACATCTTGAGTGGTTTTCTTTGTGCTGCAATCAAATATTCAGCCTCACGAATAGGCCAGTTGTGAGCGTCCGCAAATACCTTTGTTCGTTCTAGGCTTGTTGCGTCTCTCGCTCCACGGCGACCGAGGATGTGGTTTAAAACGATTCGGTATACTATCCAGTAAGGCCTGGTGCTTCTTGCTTCGGCCCAGTTATCCAGGCTCGTCGCAGGCCTCACAGAAGCGGTCCGTGGGAATCGTAGAGGGCTTGTTCATACTCTGAGGGAATACTCGACTTGAGATAGTGAGGTGAGGGAAAGCAGTCGTCCGCGACAACTGCAAAATGGAGCTTGGGTCAAAAGAAATGGGTGTGGACAAAAGTCACTTTGAAAGGTGACAAGGACAAAGAGTGCGCGGCTTTTGGAGGGCGCACCCAGAGTTTTAACTTTGACTCAGTACTATTATTATTGGGGAGCTGGTGCTCGGGCGGCAAAAACTGCGTGGAAAAAATGACTCGACCTCAGCTTGACTCAGAGAGGGGCCCGAGGGGGACCATGGGGCTGTGATTTCCCCTCAGGCGGGCTCGGGCCTCCGTGCCCTCCAAAGGTGCAAAGCCAGCAACGCCTGAACCCTGTTGTCCACGTCCCAAGCGCCTCATTATTACCTAGGTAATTATTAGCCAACATCCCCATGGGCTTATGCTTAACGCACCCGAGCGCGACCCTCAAGTTCTAGAGCCTTGCCCTAGTTAAAAGTTTACCTAGACTAAGATCGAATCGGAGGTCTTGTCTGCGATGCCTTGGCTTCCAACCTGACTGGCCATTCTTAGGCATATGTCTACCTAAGTAGGGAAGCAACTTGGTCGTGGGCATTTCTATTGTCATCATTGATATAGGACTCTCGTCAATATGAGAGGTCAAAACGAACTAGAATATGCGCGCACAATAAAATACTAGGTATTTGTTTCGATGAGCCATTTGAGCCACACCCGTCCACCCACCCATCCATCCCAAGGACCACCACGGTGCCTCTTTTTGGTTTGTTCCAGCCAAGGCAGGACACACAAGCCTACTAGTTGCGCCTTTGAGAAGCTGTCTCACATCCTCATAAGGGTAATGTGGTCTATTTTTGTTGAGCACCATTACACAGTGAGCTCAGGTGGCACAAAAGTCCAGGCAATCGAAACAGGCCAAATGGATCAGCTGTTATGGTCAAGAGTCAGTCTCGTTCTCGTGGGTAGATTGGGAGAACCCGTGGGATCAAAGCGAGATGCCGTTTCTTGTTGAAGCAATACTACCCTACTAGCAAGTCGTAACACTTTACACCTGGCATCCCAAAAGCTTTTGAGGTCGAACTCCTCTCTCGCAATGGCCAGTTCATCGAGAGCCTCCATGACAGGATCCACCGCGATTGTCCCTTCGGTCGGATGATAGCTGTTGTTATTCACGCGATCGCATCGTACAGCTTGTCGAGATCGAACACGGGGGTTTCAGCCGAGCTGGACATCATCGACTCTCGGGTTTCCGTGGCTAAAGATTGTGCAATTCCATGAATGGAAACCTTATCGCAGCCTCACATCCGCTGAAATGGTCGAAAGAGTGATTTTTCGAACAGAGGGTCCGGCTCTGACACTCCGCTCATTGCATCTCGCTTATCATGAGCCATGGCCCATGAGTTCAAGCGTGGACGCGTCTTGATACTCCTGAGTAGGTACCTCGGCCCCCTAAACTAACCTCAAATTGAGTCTCGATCAGCAAATTTCCCACATGGATGAATTATTCTTTGTCAACCACACTTATTCCTTTACTTATTAATAAGACAACATATCAACTGGTGTGCTCATTGCTATCAACGCAACACTTTTATTATCTTCTAGGTGGGTCTGCACAGTGGCAAGTCACCGGGTCCGCCTGCTCCTCGAACTCGATCAGTTTGGGAAATCGCGCGATTCGAGATCGCCATTCCGCGAAGAATTGGCTGGTCAAGTCTTGTATATACTCAGCACTGAGTTCACTTCTGCAACAATGGCAGGTACCGTGAGTTTTCACCCACCAGAAGTAGCACATTACATGTACACATGCCCTGCCCTGGCAACAGGGTGGCCGAGTAACATGTCGGTGTGGCGGCTCTCCTGGCAGAGCTTGGCCTGCTTTGGCAACTTCCTGGCAGATGCTGCAAACTTCAGCCTCTGGTTCTGTCCCTTCTTCCTGGCTCTCTTCTGGTCCCAAGAAATGGACCCTCCAGTTTTCACACTCATCGAGATGTCGAAGGGTTGGCATCGGACGATCTAGAGGGACTGCCTTGTAAAACAAGAAGCCCTCGGGCACCCAAAAAGTCGGGAGCCCCCGGAAGTACATTCCCCTACCGTCTTCTGATGTGGGTTGGAAGAAGTACAAGAGATGTAACTTCTGCAATTCCCGGCAGCAGTCAGCCAGACTTGCATTGTAGAACGCGGTGCACACTGTTGAAAGCTTACGCGGAGAGGTATGTTGACGTTGGGGTAGGAATATCAACGTATACACCCATGAAAGCTCTTTGAGGACGAATTGCAAGGTGGGAGCCATCGCTATGTACGTCGTTCTGTACCCAGGATCGACACGGGACTGCATGAATCTATGATCTTGATTAAGCTCAATGAGATTCAGCAGCTTTGCAAAAAGGGGAACGCAGTGGCCACAGACCTTGTCAAGCCGGCCTAGACATGCGTTGCGCTGAATCCCAGTGGTATTGTGTCGATCCAGTTCTGGAAAATACATCACCACCGTGCGAAGATTGTTTGCAAACTCGTGGATGATGAGAATCCACGTGATGAGCTGCTTCAACATCCCATGCCTTGCCCAGGCCACCATCGACTCACCGTTGAACGTGCTGTACCGTTCCAAGAGCGCCCTTTGCTGTCTGATACAGCTTATACAGTCCCATCGTCCATGGCAAGAGGGTCTGCTATCATTATGGGTTGATGCTGACCCGCGGCTTTCTGAGGGTTGTCCCCCACGTTCAAGCTCTTGACCCAATGATGGTGTTGACATCTTGAGTATTTTTGCGTTACTTACTGAGAAAATATCGTCGCGGCCAGTGATTTTGTGCTTGTATTCTCATATTTTGTACAAGAGGTTTTGACTCAAGCTGTTTTTGTTTTAGCTTTTATTATTCTCTTGCAAGTGAAATGGTATTGAACATTCAAGCACGTCGAAATGACCCTCCTCTTCATATCAACTGTATTTATACTGCATGCCTACAGCAATGGAGCACCAGCGCTCAGCTTGAGCAGTCATTGTTACCAGTTGACAACAATGAATCGAGCTTGTCAGGTCAAAGGCAAGGCCCGACCCATCCAAACATGCCCTGGACAAAACAAGGAGCACATTGTTCTAACAAAGATGCCTGAGAATCTATGGATCTCCATCGATGATTGGTAGAGACTATCGTGAGTGCTCCCCCAACTTTTGAAGCCCCGTCTCCCTGGGCGTAGGTAGTGACGATTGAGGATGTTGTGGGGGAGGCGGTCGCTGTGCGCTGTTACTGTCTTCGTGCCGGTGGTGGAATGGTTGCCATGACGTGGTATTAATGCCTGGCGTGCAGTTCATCTGATTACGCTGAGAATGCGGAGTTCTGTTGTATACTTCAGAGGTTCCATGACCCAGGATGGCTTCGAACGAGCGAGTGCTGCGAGATGAAGCTCTTCATCGGTCCAGTTGTCATCAATGGCGGCAGCGCAGCGCATGGCTCTTCGGTTCTTCGGGAAGCCAGCTTCAGTCATGGCTAAGAAGCCTTCCAAATGCCCATTCAAAATATTTTCGTGTTATGGTATGTCTAGAGCTGTCCTTTCTCCCCGCCTTACTCAGATTTCGTTCTCATGATCTCTCAGCTAGAATCGTGTCGAAGCCACAGGCTTGCTCAACACCAGAATCCGTATTCTATCAGCCGGGTCGGAACTCTCAACATCAAACAAGGTAGTATATATATGTTGTTCTGGATTGCGCTCCTTCACTCAATAAGTTGAATGTTTTGCGGCATTTCTCCAATCCGCCCTACTCGCTCAACGCAGTGGGTAGTCCTATCCTCAACATCACCGACCAAGGGACGGCTCAGAAGTAACGGACTCCATTACTTGAGGCTGGTATCCGAACTGTCGCAGGGCATCAAAGCCGACGACATGAAATCCCCGTGAATGTCAATGCAAGTGACAGACCGAAAGGAAACACCTTGATGATCTCCACCCAACTACAAGACTCAGGGCAATACCCAGGGAGAAGTAGGTGGAGGAACTCCACGGAGAGTGACAAGCATTCACTTGACAGCTTCCCAATGCCGCCATGATGGGGGTGTCAACGCTTTCAATCCTAAGTTTGCCACAATTACACGAAGCAGAAAGGTACAACGAGCATCGGAAATTGATTGGTTGTTGAATTGCATGATCTAGCGTTCAAGCTGCATTGAAGACTGCATCTCCCCGCTGTGGTAGATACGAGCATAAAGCATTTGAGAGCACCTGGGCACCAAGCCAGTAAACTGTGTGATCAGCAGCCGCTACAGCACAGCTGATGCTTGTCAGCCTCGCCGAGAGATACAGAGACGGCAGGAGGCAGATGCAGTATCGGCTTCATACGCACCTGAAGAAGGGTGACCATGGATGAGTCGCCTGTGATGTCCATCAATACATGATTGTAAGATCTTTTGCCCCCAGGTGCAACAAGCGCCAAGAGGGTCCACATCTCGTTCAAAGAAGCATACCTATTGATATGCAGGTAATTCAAGCACTAACAAGGTAAAGATGCTTGTTGGACCGAGGAAGCGTAGAGAACTTTAAATTCCACGGTACTATTCACGAGATTCTGCACCAAGTAGAGCTTGGGTTGTTATAAGAGGTGCAATTCATTCAAAGAGGAAGAGTACTACGAGGTTGATTTGGAGTTTGATCGCTAATGGCGACAAAACATCTGAATCTACTTGGGTCAAGCTGATTTATTGTGGGAACCTGATTCGCTAAACTAAAACAGAACTGAGAAGTATTGCCCAATGAGTTATTTCAGACCTCGCATAATCTGATCTCAAGGCATTGAAAGGCAAAGCTGGATTGATGAATGTAATCCTTTAAACGCTGCCTGCTGGCAATTGTTGCCCGCTTGCCTGTGCGGCTTCCTTTGCCTCCGTTGTGGCACCCGAGCTGCTCTTTGCACAGTTGGCGCATGCACAATGGCCCGCTGGACAAGGGCAGGACCCTTCTGAACCGCCACATTTGCAAACAGTCTTATCGGTTCCCTTGACAGGCTCGGGCTGGAAGCTTCCTGTATTGTCACTCTTTGCACAGCGAGCACAGCTGCAATGACCTGGAGCACATCCACAAACGCCTTCTGAACCGCCACACTTGCAGACTGTCTTGTCGGTGCCTGGAACAGCCTCTGGTTGATTCTGTTTTCCGGTCTTGAGATCTGCGAGTCTTCTGGCTTCGGAGTGCACATCGGTAACCTGCTTCTCGCCTTGAACGTAGAAATCTCTGACCTTTTGGCCAGTGGGTGTACCCAAAGCTTTCTCAAAATAGCTGGTCAACCCGCCCCATGCACCTAGCGCCTTGTCTGATACGCCGTATTTGGTATCAACAGACTTTGCCTTGTCGGTCGCCTTGTACTTGTTGTCAAAGTTGTTCAGAGCATTGGTGAATTTTGTACTGAAACCATGTTTCGAGTCAAGGGCGATGGCTTTTGAGATGACATTGTCGGAGATAGTATAGCCATGAGCAAGATATTCCGCAACGATTCTTGAACGTGGCTTGTCTTCCTGTGCCACATCGTGGTCTTCGCCTGTGGAAGAGGAGACGGGTGCTCCCGCTTGGCTGGCAACGTCGTCGAGAGTATTTGCGGTCGTGACGTGGACTTGAGACTTGCCCAGCTGGGTGTTATCCAGTAGAAGAGCAGTCTTTGCGGCACTGGACACACGTTAGTGGTTTAATCGGTTAAGTAATTGTGGGTTTGAACTCACGTTTCTTTCTCGAAGGTCACGGTTGCTGACTTTGTTGCGTCAGCTGCACCAGACTCTGGAGTGACCGAGATCGATGTGATCTTGCCACTGAAGGTTATTAGTATCAGTGTTTGTTTTCTGCTTCAAGGACAAAGAAACCTACCAAAAGCTGAAGAAGTCCTTCACTTCCTTCTCGGTCGTCTCGTGGGAGATTCCCTTGACGTGGACGGTGGTCGACATATTGTGTTGACTTGAATGAAGATGAGGAGGTTGGAAGATGGTGATTGAATATTTGAGGAGTAATGAGGAAAAGTCAGGAAGAAAGAAGCGTTTTGGTGAATAGTACTATATAGTGAAACAAAAGTCGCCTGAAGGAAGTCGCGAAACTACCAGTGAGCGCAGGGACGGTCGATCAATGCGATATCACACTACAAATGTCGATACGTCATCCTAGCTCTTTCCTCTCCTCCCCCGCCTGAGAAGTGGAAAAACTCGACCCCTCAGCCATCATCATGTGTGGCTAATGTGGCTAGTGTGCTCCTGCGCCACCCCCTCAACGTCATCATCAAGACTTTTACGAGATACGAGTTCGGGTTAACCGTCTAGTTTTCACATGTCGAGTGCCCGAGTTCAAGTTTCATGGCAACTTGTAGGCAGACATTAATGTCTTCGTTCTAGAATATTCCTGGCTCTAAAGTATCTCTGTCGATGTGCATAGTTGTGGGTATTGTTCGCAAACTACACTCACGATCACCATTGTATGACGTGGTGTGACTGTAACACTGAAACATTGAGCGATCTGACGCGAAAGGTAAATCGTTGCGATGGGGTATCATCCAGATCCAATGAATTCAATAATACACCGTTCAGTCCTTCGCAAACAATATATTATGCTGGTGCCTAGTGCGGCTACGTGCTACGTGCTCTAGGTGTCAGGCCATATCTTATTCGTACGGCGAAATTCCTCTACTAGCAGTTCCAAAGGCATGAGCGCCTCAGAGTACCTTTCACATGTTCTGAAGAGCACAGAGAGAGCAATATCTAAGAACATTGGTGATCATTGGGCTTATCAATTGCGCGATCGACCAAAACTCAGGAAGAAGGTCAATCCTAGGCAAGGCTGAACCATGCAGGATCTGACTAATCGGAACACGATCCGAGAGTACTGAGGGGTGATAATGTCATTCTTGACGACAGCCTTGTCCAGAAGAAGTGATTGTCGTAGGGGAATATACTCTCTGTGCAGAAATCCAACGACAGATAATAGCTCCTATCAACGAAGAGGTGCAGATCCACCATGTTCTCCTTGGACTACATCTTACATCTACAGAGTCAAGTCGTTACCCTGTCTTCTCGGCTTTGTTACACTGATACAAAATACCTAGGTATTAAATGCTAATGCACGCAACAAGCTATGGCCTGTGGAAGCCTATATTAATAGAAAGCATCCCAGAAATCAGAGTTGTGTCTTTCCCCCCAGCCATCGACCATCTTGCTAGGCTCTGATGCTTGGAGGAGCATAATGTTGTCATCTTGAGCATGGTATGTTTTCCACTGAGGCATATCTTGTGACAATTCAGGGTCATTAGGCGTGGAGTATCGAGCGAATGTGGTCCAATATTGGACCATCTGCCTTGCCAGCACCTGCTGCGACCTGCTCAGGGGTGTTGCTTTGCCGCTCGCCCCACAGAAACCTGGAAATATGTAAGGCAATTCCAATGTGTGTGCTGAGCCATATGGAAATGATACTTCCGGCCATGGACAGGGCGTATCAGGGACATCGAACTCATATGCAAACACTTCTGGACAATGCTTCGCCAGCACTCTTGTTGCACGTCGCCCAGCGGTGGAAATAAGCCCTGCATCACCAACCACCGCTGCAAGTGCCCTGCTCGCACTGCCATGAGCTTCAATGGGATACATCTTCAACACTTGAGGAATCGCACTCTGTGGTACTATCACCCCATTCAAGTGCAGTTTATTGAGTAACTCAATGGTCGCACTGACAGTTTCGGGATATGCTTCGGCAGAGACAACTTTTCCTGAGCGCCATTCCATCATTGCCTGAAACCAGGTGAATTCATCTTTATTGACACCGATTATCATAGGTATCCTGTTGAACTCGCCTCTCAAAAACCTGTCTCGCAAATCTTTGACTACAATCACTCCATCCTCCATCAGTCCGAAAGGGAATTTGCCAATGCCGAACTGACCATCCTCTACTTCATTCGCCTCCAATAAGTCTTTGGCTGAGATCAACCTCAACTTCTCTGGTGTCTGTTCTGTACAACCAGCTGCGTGAGCAAGCGAAATTCCCAGACTCTCTAGCTTTTCGATCGTTGGATATGGCATAGTTGGCGGTGCACCTCCACTCTCGATGATTACCTTATGAAACAGCCCGCGAGAGCTCGGGGCTGCAACATGTGCTAGGATACTCGCTCCTCCAGCCGACTCTCCGAATACTGTGATTTTATCTCCGTCCCCACCAAATTGCTCGATGTTCTCACGAATCCATTCAAGAGCCAGTTGCTGGTCCATAATCCCATAATTACCCGCTGGATGGTCTTCAGCGTTGATTGCCGGATGAGAGAAGAACCCGAAAACACCGACACGATAATTGAGCGACACGAACACGACTTGCCCATCGTTGACAAGGCTGACGGGATTGTAATCATTACTAGACCCGCACGCAAAGCCGCCACCGTGAATGAACACCATAACCGGCCTCCTTTGCTCCCGACTATCTTCCGATTCCTGGATTTCTGGCGTGAAAGCGTTCAGATAAAGGCAATCCTCATTGCAGCTGGTAGAACCGAACCCTGGAAAGCACGTTGAGGTCTGAGCACAGATAGGTCCAAAGCTCACTGCCTCAAGAGGCTCCTGCCACGAGGCAGGCGGCACTGGTGGGTGCCATCGTAAGCCACCCACTGGTGGTGCTGCATATGGAATTCCCAGGAACTTTTGCATCCCGTCCTCCAAGAATCCTTGCACGGGTCCATGAGTTGTCTGGACAACCGTCGAACGTCTGAGCGCAGATGAAGTGCTTGCGCACTTAGAGCGACTGTGTGTAGTTGAAGCCATGGAGCCTTCAATTTTCCGGGCTTCCCAGTGGCTTCCCAGGATACCAGTGTCTTTTATTGCTGTTTCAATTGAACCAAAAGCATGGGCTACGGGCAATCTGGATTCCCTGCCTGGCGTCGAGGTCAAGAGCATGACGAGACGTCGTAGCCTTGCGGGGCCCACCGTCCATCTCTGCGGACGGCGTGCGAGAAATGCTTGTGGGAGATAGTGTTTGACTCGTCCCCGCCGGAATGTTTGGTACATTCGGACCACCCGGACCTTGCTCCGATATCCCAAATGCGAACCACGGCCCGTGTGGAGCATCAAACCAATTCTCTCGAGCCTACCCGAGGTTTGTGCATGTATGCACCATAGTCAGCAGATATTTCTGGGGAACAGCTTTGCAAGGCACGCAGGGGCACTCTGTAGATCTCCACATAACAACGTGGATCCCAGTGTCAATTCAGGCATGGCGTGCTCGGTGCCATACACCGATCTTGCATTCGATTATGAGGACTAGTTAGCATATAATTGCATGGTAACGAGTAGTTCAGAAGACGGCCAATTATTTCGAGATTGTCAACAACAGGGTCCTTTGCTAAGGTGTGATAAGTGGTCAATGAAGACCGATTTGAGCATGAACAACGAATGAAGGCAACTATCTCGCTACCAGCTATCAAGATTCAGACTGTAGATATTCGTCCTTTCACAGCTTTCTCAAAGAGATTACAATTTGATCGAAGTGTTCCACGTTTTGCGACCTTTGTTCATAGATCCTCACGTACTATTCATCCTCAAGCTGAACCTGCTTCGAATCGTGCTCCTCTGTGCTCACATCGAGTATATTCTGCTCTGCGATCTCTTTATTTCGTTTGAGAGACGTCTTCCAAGCTGGAACACCTGATGCGAAGTAGTCGTCAATTTGCTCTAATTTCAAACGACCAGTCTCCGGGACGAATAAGATGGCGATGATCAGAATCACAAAGAGAAGTCCAAAGTAGAAGTAGCCCACATTGGTGCCCATATTTCCGTACTCGGGATTGATCATGTAGGGAGTCCAGAATTGTGCGCCAAAGGCGAAGATGGAGTTCATGAAGAGTGACAGGGCCTGACCATGGGTTCGGAGCCGTACAGAATGCATCTCGGCGGAGGCGACCCAGATGGCTGGCGACGCGCAACTGGCAAAGACAAAACACCAGATGCACAAAAAAGCCACCAGGACGTTTTGCGTCACCTTGGCTTGAGTGCCTAAACCAGAACTGACGGCAGAAAAGATCAACATGGAGGCTCCCATGATCGACAACCCGAGCAGGAGGGAGAGCCTGCGGCCGAAGTATTCCGCGGTGAAGCCTGCAAAGAGAGATCCAGCAAATATACATAGATTGATGATGGCTGTGATCAGGAAAGGGTTTGAGATTCCGAGGCCCCCGAGAAACACGGCCGTATATGGGATGATGAAGAAAGTTCCTGCTAAGGCCGGTATCATCAGCAGGAAAGCAGAGATAAGAGTACGACGAATATTCGTCTTGTGGAACATTTCCATCCAGGATGTCGTCGAAGCCATAACCTTCTCGAATTCTAGATAGGTTTGCATTTCTCGAACTTGGGTATCCACAGAGTGAGAGTTCGGTTCCTGGTGGGAGAATCTCCCTAAGGCGATGCGTGCAGTATTCTCTTTGTTCTTGATGAGTAGCCAACGTGGAGACTCCGGAAAGAGCATGATACCAGCGGCCAGTGCGATGGAGAGAGGTATCTGGCATGCGATAGGAGTTTTCCAGGCCCAATTACTTTGAATTCCAGCTGATCCAGCACAGACGCCAGCAGCGAGTGCACTACCGGCACCAAGACCGATTGAGAACAGTCCGAGAAGCATTCCCCGTTTATGTGGTGGCATACACTCCACACCATATACAATGGTACCACTGTAGAGAAACCCAAGACCTGTGCCGCCGATGCATTTGCACACCATGTAATTTAGATAGTTTGAAGATGTACCCAGCATTCCGGCAGCACCGATCAACACCAAAAATGCTCCGAACTGGATGGTTCCACGGCGACCAATGTATGTTCCTGTTACACTGGACAGAGCCGAGCCCACCGCGGTGAATAGCGATGTGAGACTCGTCAAGGACTGCTGCAAAGCCGACAGTCTGCACATCATTACCAGAGAGCCAGAAGGATCAGGAACTTCAGCACAATGTCCAAACGCGGTGTTAAATGGTCCCATCAACAAGACAGTACCACCGTAGTTGTTGTCAAAATTGCCAATGGCTGCACTCAAGGCAATAAATGCAGAGAAGAGGAATACGGTTCTGGTCACCTTTTCCTGGATGTTAATTGAGTCACCATGATCTTGTGGTCGACCACCCACTCGTTCGACGGTGGTGGTTTCGGCCTTCTCAGTCGCAGTGAGGGTTTGTTCAGTCATATTAGCGAGTGTATCGTCGGCTCAGGAAAGCCTGTGAGAGAAGTGATGAATTGTGATTGACTTGTTATAAGACACAAATTGAGGAAATGCTAGTTGATCAGCAGAATGTTTCTGAAATTGCTTCCGGCATGCCGATATCCATGCTCCAGCCTCTATATGTGCACCTGAACTAAAGCACTCAAGCTCTCATGCATAAATTAAGCAACCTGGGGTACTGAAGCACTAGCCATGGATTGGTAAACTTTGCGAGGGCTTGGTCGGAGTCCTTCCGATTCGGCACGATCTCACAGAGATGATTGTGGGAAGTGGGCTGTGATTTCCAATCAACCACCTAAGTTATAGCTGGATATCCGCCTTAGACAAGAGCGAGTGATCGGGGTCCTTTTCGCGACATGTATGTTTCTTTGCATTACGATGGCACCGTTGTGGGACGGTAGTTCCGAGAGGAGCGTGTTCTTCGCCCAAGGAGAATTGTGGCAAGCACATGATGCCGCCCCACCGGGAGCGTGCTAACCTCTTCTGAATACCATCGCGGTCGGGGAATAGACCTTATGGGCCCAGACACGGCTATTCTCAGGCGATGTCCCTTTATGAAGCTCATTCGACTCCATCAAAAGCTCCATGTTCGGAAGTTGTGCGACCAATCAGTTTGGCATCGTCCGTCAACCAGACATCCACGGGACCGTCGTTCCGAGCTTTCCCCACCTGAGACATACCACGGCCGGAAGGGTACAGGGCGGACGCTATGTCCCTGAAGCCAGATGACTACTAGTATCTTTTGTGGTAACCATCTTTCGTGTCAGTTGGAAAAGTACTGAAAAGAAGGCGATTGATTCAACACAATAGCAACAGAATGGTCGCAGAATTGGTAGCACAGGTCGATGGCCTCTCCATGGATGAGCGAGGAGAGCCAAGGCTCGACCGCTCTTATACTCTCAACTTCATGGGAGACTGGGGTGGTGCTAATTTTCATCGCATTTGTGCATGGCTCACACAGGAGTTTTGCGACCGGGCAGGGCCTGGGACACGAACAGGCATTTGGAGCTTGCGTGATGGAGGACTGGATGGATTGAAGCAACTCAATGAGGGAGCCGTGGACCTTGCCATTTGTACGCCCACTGGTCTCTTGAGTAAGATGCTCACTGGCGAGAGTGGCTTTCAAAAGGCTATGCCACATCTTCGTGCGATTGGAGTACTTCCACAAAACGATCGAATGGTGCTAGCCGTTCACCCAAAGTACAATATCAACAGCATTGAAGATCTGCGGACACGGAAGCCAGCAATTAGACTTGTTACCTCGACCAATGATGGGACGAACCCAATTGGATACATTGCAAACGAATATCTCAATGCTCATGGTATCTCGAAAGCTACCATTGAATCTTGGGGTGGAAAAATCTTCACAAGACACAGACCAGAGCAATGCGTGGCCTTGGTTGAATCTGGAGAGGCCGATGCACTGCTTCAAGAAGCCATCATGACGCCATGGTGGCGAGGGCTTGTTGAATCGAACAAGCTTGTCCCACTGGCTGCTGAAGAGCAGGCGTTAGTAAGTCTGCAGAAGTCAGTTGGTCTAGGGAGAAATCATTTGCCAGCTGGGTGGTGGAGCAACTTGCAGCATGATTTGCCAACTCTAGACTTCTCAGATTTTGCCATATTGGTAAGGGACGACATGCCCAAAGAGGTCGCGTATCTCTTGACTTGGTGTCTTGTGGAAACGAGGGATATGCTAGAGGGACAATACAAGCACATAAAACCGGAGAGAAGCCCTCTGTCGTACCCTCTCGACCCCAAGAAGATGGCTCAAACACCTGTGCCTCTTCACGACGGCGCACAGGAATATTATTCAAAGGCCGATTTCTCAAAGAAGCGTCAGCCTTTAGTAAGTTCACCATTCTGATGGTGAGGTAACAGCTTCGAATGTCTCATAGGCAGCATGGGGTGGGTCAATAGCAGCCAGATGAGCAGCGAACCGCGTTCATTAGAGGTAGTCAACCATGCATTGAGATGTGTACGCATCAACTTGTTCCAACATACTAGTCGAAGAACCATAAATATTGAATTCTTCCTCTTGAATTCTTCCTCTTGAATTCTTCCTCTTGAATTCTTAGAATAAGTTGAATTGAGGTAATCCTTTCAAGTCGGCTTGTCAATGAATTTCATGTAATCATGCGATTGGATCCTATATTTCAGGAATGGAATCGTACCGCACGAAAAGCATTTCCACCGAGAGCAAATATATTGGCACATGCTGAAATTGTTCTGGATTAAGGTAGCACTTGGTCCAAAGGAGCCAGGATGGTTTGGCGTAGACATCGCTGCGGCGTGGTCTCATTAATCCGGTGAGCGTACGCGCACTGCTTCGCCTGCAACACTAGCCAGTCAAGGAGACTCGATAGGAAAGTCTAGCCGTCGACTCTGGTGCGCTTGAATCGGCATAGTATGCCAAAATAACGTGTCGCACGAGCGGCATTGGTAGACCACGTAAGGAAGCAGGATGAGAATAATGATTGACGTGGCAATGTTGCAGAGCTGCGCTGTTCTCCGCCTTCAGTTTACAATTTGAGAACGCTCGAAGAGGCTTGGAATGATCTGACTTCTTGAGGTGCCTGCTCGTATCCGCAAGGGAAGGAGCCTCTCCAGATAAGCCTCTTAAGCTCTTTCCTTCACCAATTGTAACCTTGGAAATGGCCTCGGCAAAAGCTTCAGTCAGGGCTACTGGCAAGCCACGTCAGGCATGATGGTGGTGGCGGCTGGATAAGATCGACACTTCCCATTCTCCTTCAACTCCATCCACAAACCAGGATGCCATCATCTGGTTGTGCGCCGGTAGACCCCTGCCTCCAATGAGCTCCTGCTGACTCCATACGAAAGAAGCACGGGTACGCCAGTCCCACGTAGGCAGGGCAAAAAACCAAGCTGTACAGTGAGTGCGCGTGACTGTCTAACGATTAGCTACCCTTTTGCCATCTGGTTCGTTTGCGCAATTTCGTTGACAGTAAAGAATCGCTCCCCGCACTGACAAGGTCGTCCTAAGCTTCTGAAGTCCAAAAGCTCGGAACAATCTCCTCAATTGAGCAATCCAGCACGATCTGTATCTGCTGAACGTGCAGGTGACTCTGTCACTAAGCAAAGATTTGAATCGTCGAATATATACATCTCTCGTGGTTCATATTAGGGTATCCGTGGATTAAGTATCGACTCCTTACATTGCACCGGTGTTCTTGAACTGGCTTCATCGTGCGACTTCCCCGAAGCATCATGGGTCCATCCACATCTCGAGATGCCGATAGCAACACCCTTGCCTTGCTAGGCAAGAAACAGGTCCTCAAGCGACGTTTTGGATTTTGGTCTCTTTTCGGTTTTGCTGTTTGTGAGTTGATCACCTGGGAGACTGTCCTCGCACTGTTCAGCCAAGGCTTCGACAATGGCGGTCCTGCTGGCCTTGTCTACGGATTCATCATTGCATGGTCGTCAACGTTCTCTGTTTACACTGTCGTTTGCGAGTTGGCCTCACTTGCACCGATTGCTGGGGGCCAATATTACTGGGTTTATATGCTGGCGCCACCAAAGTACAAAGTATTCAGCAGCTACATTGTCGGCTGGTTGACCTCCCTGGCCTGGATTGCAACTGTCGCGACAGAGACTATCTTCGCCGGAACAATTTTGCAAGGTCTGATAATCCTCGACTATCCGGATTATGTCGCGGAAAGGTGGCATGGAACACTTCTTGCGTGGATGGTGATCGCCGTCGCCATTTTTATCAATGTGGTGATCCCAGGAATGCTACCTAGATTCGAGATTTTCATTATAGTATTCCATATTGCTGGATTCATTGTTGTCATATCACTGCTATGGGCGTATGCACCTCACAACTCGGCGCATTTTGTTTTCACCACCAGTCTGAATGAAGGTGGATGGCCAACGCAGGGTTTATCATACTGTGTGGGATTTCTAGGGAATGTTGCGACCTTCGTACGTTTTATGAGCTTGGATCCTGCCGAGGCTGAGGCTAACAAGTTCGTCACCCTAGGTTGGCGCAGACGCATCTGTCCATCTTGCTGAAGAAGTCGAAAGGGCAGCAACGAACATTCCTCGAGCCATTCTCTGCAGCATGCTCATCAATGGACTCGTGGGTTTCACAATGATGCTAACGATTTTGTTCTGCTTGGGTGATGTGGAATCGGTACTCGAGACCGCCACGGGCTACCCTTTCATTCAGATCTTCAAAGGTAGGCATGACAGACTGTGTCTCGAGCTATCGGTATTTCATAGCAACTGACGATGACTTTAGATAGTGTCAAGTCTACGGCAGGAGCGACGGCCATGGGTGCCATTGTTCTTGCCCTGACATGGGCATGCGCAACAGGAATCATCACAACCGCATCCAGGATGACTTGGTCATTCGCACGCGATAAGGGTACTCCGTGGTCGACAGTAATCAGCAAGGTTTCCCACCAAAAGCGAATCCCAATTGTTGCCGTGGGAGTTGTCACAACCATCGCAGCTGTGCTCAATCTCATTTACATCGGCTCTTCAACAGCCTTCAACGATGTCATTTCCCTGACCATTACCGGATTCTATTGTTCGTATTTCTTGCCGGCAGCGCTCTTGCTATACCACCGAATCAAGGGGCATATCGCCCCTCATCAGCAGGATACGCCGGGAATTCCAGTCACCGACGAAAGTAGTTCGAACCCGTCGAAAAAACCACTGGACCCGAACCAAAAGGGTGAGAATCCCACAGAAGTGGATTCTGATGGACCTGCAAATACTCCTGCACGTCATGACCGTCGCTTGTCTGTTGCGCAGACAACTTTGGTGTGGGGGCCTTTCCGTGTTCCCGGGCTGTTTGGAACGCTTAACAACGCCTATGCTTGTGTATACATGATTTTCGTGATTTTTTGGAGTGTATGGCCGCCTGATCTGCCCGTAACTTATTCGACGTAAGTTGCACATCCCCCAGAGAGCCCACTATTCGAGACCATGCTTACTCTTGATAAAAGGATGAACTACTCTGTGGTTGTGACTGGCGGAGTGATCATCTTCAGCATCATCTGGTATTACATTCGGGGCCGGAAAGAATACCATGGACCTTTAATTGATGATGAAGTTGCGGCTGTGATGAGAATGGGAAGCGTGGTTGCTGTCTGATGTTCGTCTGATGCACCAAAAGTAGCACAGGTTACCACATGAACCTTTGAACATTTCCTGGTTCCTGGGGCCACTCAAATCCTTTGTACAAGAAGATGTAGCCTGTCACGATATTAATCGTGAGATACCACGCTAGCTCGATATATGCCGAATACCCAGCCAACGTGGTTAATGCCGTCTGTAGAACAAAAGTAGACTGTGAATCTTGTTTTCCTCTTGTGCTTTTACCTTTCTCAAGCTGGGAAAACTTTTGCTGTGCCTTCGACTGAGGCTGGTGTTCGGGAACAGCTAATCGCCACATAAGCCAAGGCACGATAAAGTACCTTGGCTCAACAAGCGGTGCAGTTACCAGGGACAGAGAAGTCGCAAGAAGCCATACCAACACATCGCTCACGCTGACAGTATCGGCACTGTGAAGAATTCGAATAGTCTTCTGGTCGGGTTGAGATTCCGGAGCACCACCAAGAGCGGTCAGAACTAGCCAACCACAGATGTAGTAAACTGGAATGACCGCATATTTGATAATCCAATGTCTTCTCAAGAGAGCGAAGACGTAGAACACATAGTGGCGATTGTCGGCCAAGGTGAATGGATGGACAATGGTGTTGAAGTGAACGATATTAAACATGATCGCCAAAGCTGTAGCGGTGGTGATGAGCTTTGGCAATCGGCGCCGCAAAGCCGCGAGGTCGGAAAATAGAGGTAATATTACCGGCCATGAGAAGAAAATGATCAATGGCCAGATATACAGCATTTGGGTCAGGTGAATGGTTGCGATGTGGTTGCCTTTGTCACCTAGCACTACGCCACCATTCCATGTCACGAATCCGGCGAATGAACCAAGAAGGCATATCTGAGGCCATAGATCAAGTAGGATTCGAGGCAGAATTGGTATAGCCGATTGTACAAGCGAGAGGCTTGTTATCGAAAAGTCTGGCATCGTGGTTAGCTGTTGGTTTTGAGAAAATGGCAAGGAGATAGCAAACCTTGGAAAGATGCTTGAGAAATTGGTGGATCATGGAGTTTTTCAACACCGACTTTCGTCTTAATGGTGGCCACCGCTTGTAATCCACCCAGGTAGACAGCAACCCAGAAGATATTGGTCTGGCGGGCAGAAAGAGACAACAAGCCAGCCACAAGATGGAGTGTCTGGAACAGGAACTTCTTCCAGCCATCAGTAGACAATCCTGCCGTCCAAACTGTCTGAGCGAGGACAACTGTGAAGACGCTGAAGAGATCCGTGTAGAATAAGGCCGAAAAGAAGAATAGTAGTGGAAACAGAATGATGTTGAACTCCCGCTGCAGCACATTGTCCGACACAACTGTTCTCTTGCCTACTGCCACCAGAATATACAAGACGATGAGAACCATGTAGAGCAGTACAGCATTGACGTATCTCCACTCATCAGTGGTCGGCTTCATTGTCGGGTCCATATAACCCCGGAAAGAATTAATGAGGTAAGAAAAGCCATAAAGCCCCGGAGGAGTGGTGATTTTCGGATCCCATTGCGACCATTTTCCATACCAATATGCTTGGACTTGAGGAACATGGAAGACCTCATCGAGATAAGGCGCCGGGACGACCTCGTTAACATATTGTCGCCATTTGCTGTGAACTACATTGATGAACAGGAGAAGCGAAACTCGGAGAAATTCCGGGCTTTTGAAATAAGTGAAATGTGCCATATCTGGAGAGCAGGTGAGGATGAGCTAGAGTGTCGGCCTGGTATTTCGGATGAACATCGGTGTGAAAAACCAAAAGAAACTGTCTTTGTTCGAAATTTATATGCTCGAAATCTGAAACACTCCTGGCTCTAGCCTTGCTTGCTGAATTGTCCCAGATAGAAAAGGGGCGGTTGCTTCAAGTGGATGGCAGAATTTGACATGGATTGACCGTCATTTGAACTGGGTGTGATCACGTGCGGGACTTGGCGCGGCGCGGCGCGATTGAGATTCGGCCTCCAACTCCAAAGCCTGTATCTATCATGTGTTCCATTTCTAACCTCTAGAAATATATCGACCAATGCTACAGCAGAAGCAGTTACATGATCTTGACTGACACGTCCTCTCAAGAGCACCATCGTCGTAATGGGACCGGTGAGTCTGATGCTCGACTTTCGTGACTGACGTCCTTCGCATGCCTGCGCCTTCGCTCTGCTTCCCTTGTGTCGACAGTATTGACTAGATGAACTTTTTGCAGCGAGGATTTACCCTTCCTCCAGCCAACACACAGTCTGCGAAGCAAGCACGCAGCGCCTTCTTCTGTTCACTATGTCAGAAAGGCTACAGTCGGATGAATGAGTTCGAAGCGCATCAGTCATCCTACGATCACCAGCATAAGAAGCGATTGAAAGACATGAAAGAGATGCAGAGACAGGTTCAACCTAAAAAAGAGGAAAAGGGTCCATTGATGCAAATCAAATTGGGCACCACAGTGAAGAGCTCTTCTGGCGGTGGTGGGTTTAAGAAGGGAGGATTCAAGAATGCATTTGCGCCAGCTGGAGACGAAGAAAAGCCTGCGCTTGAAACGGATGATGCCGTGGCTGAGAATACAAAACTCGTCCCAGAGGATCAAGACAGCGACGTGACAGATGACGAGGACTATTACGACCCGCTACAACCGACTGGATGTATGCCTGGTTGTAAGAGCCAAGCGGCTGCCGAACATCAATGATGATTCACATACGATGTTCTACTCCTCCATTCAAAGGCTGTCATCCCACCTGGAGAATTCAAATCAGCATGAGAGGACCTGCATTGGCGATGGCATTGTCTTGTGTGGGAACTGCCGTGGTTCCAGTCAAACCGGTGCCACATACTGCACGGCCTCTTGGCATTTTCCATTAACAGAGTTCGAAGCTCTTGAGATGCTAAAACCTGCAACTCATACCTATCCGAATCCAAGGAAATTTCCAAGGTCGCTCTCGGACTGACGCTGTAAAAACTGCCAGCGACACAAGCACACAAGCCCACGCGGAATTCGACCGCGAAACGCCCTGTGAGGGATGCCTCGTCTCCGAGGGCCGAAACCGAGATGGTGTGACTAGTATCAACATGATGGAGTGTCTCTCAATAGTGCAGCTACTCCGCGTGTTCTGGAGAGAACATAGCGGATGCATGAAGGTTTATTGTGTCGCACTCCCCTCGAATGTCTTCTTTGATAGCCTGGTGAATATGTCTTCTGTACGATACCTAGGTAGATACTGTAGCAACAATGCTTGTTGCTAGCGACAGTTAGTTGAACCTGTTTACACCTATTATTCCGGTGAGATCGCACCATGTAGAATTCAGCATAGAGTGGCCTGTCCTTGCGTGAGGAATTGTCGTCATTTGAAACCGAAAACAGGTCGAGGCTTGGCATCAAGTGTTGTAAAAAGTTTCCAGACTCGAATCCATTTCATCGACATCTGCTATCGACAATCAATTTCTTTGGATTTTGTCTCAACGGCGGAGTCAGGGGAGATCATCCATGAAACTTTCATCTTTTTCGTACTCTAATTGCGCATTGTGTCTCGGTCAACACGCGAGACCGCTTCTTTTTAGAACTGTCGTTGCAAGTCTTTTCAGAGCCAGCAAGCAATTCACTACCCGGACAGCTCCGTACACCATGGCTGTCGATATCGTCGCAATTAACGGCAAGAAATACCGAAGCGTTCGGGAAGGATTGGCGTCAGTACTCGCACCATATGGAGCCGAGAGCGAACCAGTACAGATACTCTCGAAACAGGTCAAAAACAACGATGAAGGCAACCAAGCAGTCTTCTACAATCCTATTCAGCAATTCAATCGGGATCTGACTGTTCTCGCAATTACCATCTATGGGGAAGGTGCTATATTACAGAAATCAGCTCGTAGCAACCAAAAGCCCCACAGAAGCAAGCGAAAGAAGCAGCACGCGGCGACAAGTGGGGTTGCACAGAACAACCAAGAACCAATTTCAGTGCAGGAAAATCATCGAAAGCGTAAAGTCGATGATGCCGAGGACGAAACTATCACCGAGCATGCCACCGACGGTTCAAAAAGACCCAAAGTCGACCAAGTTCCGGACGCAGAGGATGATCTCCCGGTTGCGCAATTAAATGGTGGCGAAGACTCTGTGCTACCCAAAGCAGACGCCAGCGACGGTCAGAATATTGAAGTACCTCTACCAGGGGTGCAGGCACTGAGGCAGACATCACAGCCACTGACTGCCCCTTCACGCCCGACACCCTTCACCATACTCGATGCGTTATCTGCTACTGGACTCCGTGCGCTTCGTTATGCGAAAGAGATCCCATTCGCCACGAATATAGTTGCAAACGACCTGTCTCCTGAAGCTGTGAAAAGCATTGAGCTCAATATTGATCACAACGAAGTCAAGGGAAGGGTCCATTCGAATCTGGCAGATGCTCGGGCTTTTATGTACAGCAAAGTCGGCAATGAGAGCATCAGGCAACAGGAAGGGTACGTACATCGCTTTGACGTTGTTGATCTCGACCCATACGGCACAGCTGCTCCATTTTTCGATGCCAGCCTACAAGCCCTTCAGGATGGTGGCATGCTCTGTGTAACTTGCACGGACGCTGGGGTTTTCGCCTCGGCTGGATACCCTGAAAAAACCTATGCTTTGTATGGCGGAATTCCCACGAGAGGTCCGCATTCCCATGAGACGGGCTTGCGGTTGATTCTCAATGGGATTGCCGTATCAGCAGCAAGATATGGCATTGCCATTGAACCACTGCTCTCGCTCTCCATCGACTACTATGCACGACTATTCGTCCGAATTCATAAAAAGCCACAAGAGGTCAAACTACTTCCAGGAACAACAATGATTGTCTACAGCTGTGGCCATGGTTGTGGATCCTGGACGACACAACCCTATCTGCGCAATCAAAAACAGACAGCTAAAAATGGCGATACGTTTTACAAGTATTCATCTGCACAAGGGCCATCTGCAGCTCCAAATTGCGATCACTGCGGCAGCAAGACCCATATAACAGGACCCATGTGGGCTGGGCCGCTGCATAACTCTCATTTTGTGAAGCGAATGGTTGAAAGAATCCCCAGCCTTGACAAGTCTGTTTACGGCACTACCGATCGTCTCCAAGGAATGTTGTCTATGGCGCTAGAGGAGGACTTTACACCTCAACCAGAACATGTGAATGGAAATGAGAGTCATGTGACTACGCAGAATTCAATCGGGTCTCCAGATGCACGCATCATTCCTCGGATTTCGCCAGCGTTGGTTGATCCCGCCCCATTCTTCATCATGCCAACGTTATTGGCTAAAGTCATACATTGCATGACGCCCCCTGAAGATCTGTTTCGAGGCGCACTTCGAGGCCTTGGCTACCGTGTTACACGATCTCATTGTAAACCAGGAAGTATGAAGACAAACGCTCCTTTCGACGTCATCTGGGAGGTCGTACGAGAGTATATGCGGACCAAGGCTCCGATAAAAGAAGGCGCGGTCAAGAAAGGAACTCCAGGATGGAACATCTTGGCCAGGCTTCGTGGTACAGAAAGGCTGTTGGTATCAGAACTCAAGGACAGTAGCAAAGCACAGATCGAAAGATGTGAGTCGAAAGAGGATCTGAAAACAGTCTTGCAAGGAATGTTGTATCGTCTGGAGAATGAGAAAGAGGAGGATTCTACTGCTCCTAAAGAAACCCCAAACCAGGCGGACGCAATGAGTGGAGACCAAGCAATCGTCGAAAATTCTAACTCCATTTCGAATGGTTCGAAGGAGACTCCGGACGATATCACACCCAGCAAGCTTAAGATCATCTTTGATCAAGCGCTTGGCAAGGATGCAGGCCGTGGCAAACTCGTGAGATACCAGGTAAATCCCCGAGAGAACTGGGGTCCTATGAGTCGAGCAGGAAGGACAACATGATCTGCCAAAATCTCGAATTGAGGAAGGCATGTTCCGTGCTTGAGGTGTACAATATGCCGACTTCGAGTATCGCTATACTGATCTCAAAATATCATGCAAGGCGAGTGGGCAAAGACTGTGGAGATTGAAGAGAGGTGCGTGTCTCACCACGTGGATGACAGCGTTCTTCGTCACTTCTCTCTCTTAGGCAAGATCAAGTTTCATGGCTCACTTCTACTTGAAAGGACAACTATTTCCAAGAAGAAATACTCTGATGGTTCATCGAAATGTCACTCAAGCAGCCTGAGTTAATTGTACATCAGGGTTCAATGAGGGTCACATTCGTTGACCTGAAACAGTCTTCTACAAAGAAACTCTTTTCGTTTGCTTGCAAGTTTTCATATTTTGTCTTTGTTTGCTCTTACTTCTCATCTACCAAGTTCATTCACGCGACACGCACGAACACTACACTTCTTAGGGAGAAACCCCTCTTCCTTTGTGCGAAGCGCTGCGCAAATCAAGTTTGACTGGCGTCTAGTATCTGAGGGTTGCAATATTATTACTCATGGCGGTTCCTAACGGCCGCGTGTTGAGGTCGACAAAGAATGCTTCAACACCAACAGCCGCAAAGACCGATGCAGAAACTGCACATGTAAGGTGTCCCCACTCACGATCAAAACATAAGGCCGCACGCTTATCGTTTCTGATAGGTCAAAACTCGCTATACGAATTTGGTGGTCGAGTTGATGGCAACATGTCTCGATTTGCTTACGAAAGTCAGCGCTGAATCCAGTCCGTTTGCGACCAACACCCCGTCGGATTCTCACATTAGTGCATTCAAGTCGGCATTCAAAAACGTGGGGTTCAGCGAAGGCTACGCAGAGGAAATCATTGGCGGCGCCACGGTGCGAGTTAAGGCACACGATGAGACACGGAAACGCAGAAGACGACTGATCATGTTCGAGAAGCAGGTGCGTCAGGTTGCCGACACGGTGAAGCGCATGGCGAGCGATGTTCCACAGCAAATGCCTGCACAAACATCTCCGGATGGTCGAACAAGGCTGGGGGATGGTGATACTACAGGGAATGCACCTGCAGAGGTTCAGCAGCTTCAACATGACGATGAATTACTCTTCGCTGAGCTTCTGCGCCTGGTCAATGAGAGCAGAATCTGGATCACCAGTGTGCCAAAAGCGATGCATATCGACGATGAAGGTTGCGGCGAGCCACTATATACATCAGAGCATTTAGACGAGCGGCCACCGCCCGGGCCCAAGGACACCACCAGCGGGCCCACCCACTCGACTAGCTGGTACGATGGTCCGCCATCAGCGCAGATCATCATCGAGCCCAAAGCTAAACCGGCAACGCGCAGAGCATTGGCGAGAAACGATAAGGATTCCCAGTCACAGCCTCCGACTCCTGAAGGATTTGGTTGGGACGATCTGCTTCCGGAAATAGTGGATTGAGGCGATTGGAAAGGTACATTCAGAGGGCATTGATAGTTTCTCGGCGTATGCCTAACCCTACAGCTGTTTCAAGGTTGGGAGATCCTCTAGAAGAGTGATAAGATACCCTCCTTTTGAAGCTGTTGGATGTGAAGGAATCTGGCTTGTCCTCTTTGAGTTCTTTGTAATGTGCTTGCAATTCGAACCAAGTCTAATTGAGAAAATGAGCAATCATCCTCTTCCAGAGTGTAACATGGTCTAAAGAGTCCCTTCTGACCTCGAATTCTGATATGGTCATTTTGACCACTTTGGAACCTAGATCTTGGCTCTACTACTGAGAACACTCACTATCAGGTATCGCACGAGACCCATGTTTTGCATATTACAAATACAGAGAGCGGAAACAAGGACTGACTGCCTGAAGCCTACGACACCTTGGAAGGCTAATGACAATATTCGCGAGTGGGTAGCCTCCATCTTCAAGAGTATGACAAAGAAGTTGATATTGCACCGGGTTCGGAGTGAGAAGGCACCGGACTTTGAGGCCCAGATCCGATCTCGTACAGCTGACGGCATGGATGATGCCATCAACTTCACTTTCAAATAATTGGTCCTTTGCGCTTAGAAATTCGCCCACATCGATTACTACGTGAGTAGTCGCCGTGAGTATGATGAAGTGTGCCAATGTAGACTCTATACGAAACTCAGCCTTTCCTATGCCATCATCTTCCAGACTCTAGGTAGGTGTCCAGGTAGATTCACCCTCTGCTTTTCTGTCCGCCGCCCCCCTCTCGCGATTCACCCATACAACGATAAATCCGCAAAACGACCCTCTATTTTTACATCTGAATTTATCTTGACCACCACATGCTGACACGCCGATACTCGCATCGTGCCGCTTGACCTCACGTCCAACACCGTCAGTATCACAACAATGGCTCAAAAACCAGTACTCATCTCCGGCGCCGGGCTGGCATCCCTCCTCTTGGCACAGTCGCTTCTACGATCCAAGATCCCATTCCAGATCTTCGAGCGCGACGCTTCACTCAGCTTCCGCGGGCAGGGATACCGACTCCGGTTGTCGTCCGAGGGACTGGACGCGATCGAGGCAGTCCTCGGCCCTTCTGCATTCCAGCGTTTCTGGGACCGCTGTGGGAAAACAGGCGGGAGCGGGTTCGTCGGCTTCGACGCCATCACGGGGGTGTCTTACGAGGAGAAAACGGAGAGTCTCGGTTCGCGGGACGGAAAGATCGTCGGGATCGCGAGGGGAGAGATGAGGCGGCTGTTCCTTGAGGGTTGCGAAGAGTTCCTGCACTTCAATAAGCATGTCAAGGGCTATGAGCTGACGGAGGACGGGGTTCGGGCCGTGTTCGCGGATGGGTCCAAATCGGTGGAAGGCTCCCTGCTTGTTGCTGGTGACGGGCTCAAGTCCACCATTGCCAAGCAGGTGTCTGGTGGGCGGCTCAAGGTCTATGATCTAGGGGCCAGGGGTATACATGGCCAGGCTCCGACTTCGGCATTCAAATCGCTCGGTGAAGGTGTGTTCAGGGTCGTGGATACGGCAAATCCCGATGGTCGATTGTCCATCATCACCAATGTGCGTCCCAACGATATGGATGACGAGAATGTCGAGTTTGGCTGGACTATGATCGGCATCCCGGGGGTGATCAAGGCACCCAACGACGACTACACGATTGTCGGGAAGGGAGCAGCCGACATTGCAAAATCATTGACGAAAGACTGGAATCCTCGCTTCAAGCCTCTGTTCGACCAGATGAACGAGCACGAAGCGGCGTTCTGGAAAATCACATGTTCAACACCCACTGGTGTTCCTGAGTGGCCCAATGAACCCCGTGTCGGGCTCATTGGCGACGCGGTCCACTCAATGACGCCCGCGGGCGGGATTGGAGCAAATACTGCTGTGAGAGATTCGGCGTTACTTGGCCGGTTGTTGCATGAGGCTGGTGGGTATGCACCAGGTGTGACTGCGGAGTATGAGAAGGAAATGAGAGTCTACGGTAGCGAGGCCGTTAAGTCAAGTTATGGTATGGCAACAAAGGCGTTTAGTGTTCAAATCGATGACTCAACTCCGACCATTTGAGTGCTCAAGACATTGTTATATGTTCAATGATGGTTGACTGTATTTTAGATCTTCCAAGAACTAGACCGCTCGGGATAAGAGATGTTACCGGAGTTTCATCTGGAATTAGGGGACTCAAATGACGAGCAACCCACTTATATGCTTCTCAATATTATCATCTTGCGCGTGTCTGACAACTAGAAGGTGGTCCGTAGAGTCATCACCAAGTCACATAATGTGTACAAAGCATGCTCTGACACCAAAGCACTTGCGCACTAGGCTTAAGCACTTCTTCGGAGGATATTTGTGCTGGAGATCGTCTCCCATTACTGCAAGATGAATCGGATGTCAAGCATAGACAGCAATTCTCGAGCTTTCATTTCAACTGCAATGTCCAAATGCGTGGCATGAAGCACACTGTTAAGACTGAAGTTGTTCATTCATGTCTGCTTGCGTCTGACAGCTTGTTGCTTCGCAAGATGAATGAAACGCCTAGCACTGCACAGCATGCGATGCCACAGGACAGGATCACCACACGAATACATCCAAACATCCTTCGTTGTCTCGTTACGGGTAGACAAAGCGAACAGTATTGGGGGGGTGAGACGAGATTGCATCTGACCGGAATTGGGGACCGGAAGTCTGGGAGGCTCAAAGTATACATGAGCAGTCCAGCTCTGACTAGACGGGTGGGCCTGATCGACTGCGGTTGATATATCAGTGCTGATCATCAGCTTCACCATGACAATAGCACATTTCAAAGTATTCAACTCAAGCAGAGCTGACAACATGACCAAGAGTTTCACTCTATGTCAAAGCTCGTCCCACATCCGCAACTGCTTTTCGCTCTTGGATTGCCGACAATCTTGAATTGACTGCCGATCAACTCGGTCGTGAAGTCGACCGTGCTACCCTTGAGCAATTCTAGCGAAGGGAGATCCATAACGACCTCGGCCTTGCCTTTGTCGTCGGCACCTTCTGATGGCTCAATGGCGAACACCGTGTCTTCTTCTTGATCTATCTTCGAGCTGTCCTCCAGGGACATCAAGTATTGGAAGCCGTGGCAACCACCAGAGGTGACTGTCACGCGGAGGTGGGAGTCTGCAGACGGCGGAGATGAAATCAGTGTGTTTTTCCGTGTAGGTGTGCTCGTGATCTGCTTCAGGCGCTGTACAGATATATTAGTGGGCCGAACATGCGTACATCTCGTGGTCGCAACAACATACCTTTGCCGCTCGCTCTGATATTTCGATAGACATATCAGCGCCATCGTCGTCGGTACGTGGGTTCTGAAGAACCACAGTGGCTCTTACAGCTGATGTATTGGAAAAGCTCCGGGATGATTGAGGTACCGGATTGCGGACAATGTTCACCAGCCTTGGTCTCGTCGATTGAGGAAGTGATTGAGTGGTGATTGCTCGGCAAGCTTGAAAGAAGGTGCTTGGATCGTGCTGTCGTTGGAGCGGCCGAGAAGCTCGGAACAAAAGTCGACAAGGTGTCTGTGACATGTTACTCATCGGGAATATGTGGTAGAGGGTTCGTTCCTATTCCAAATGTTGTATATTACAGTTGAGGGCGGTGTTTAGAATCACGTAGATAGCAAGAAAGTGACGCAGGTGTTGGAGAAATCGAGATAGAATAATGGAGGGCGTTGGCCTCGGTGGCGGATAAACTCCGGCTTCGGCCTTGCTGACAATTCGTTCGTCCTCAACATCCCCGCATCCGCCACCAAAAATTCTGGTGTGAGAATCACAAGTCCATAGAGTCTACCTCGAAAAGATATAGAGGCGTGCATGGGACGAGACAGGGAATCGAAGAGCTATGGACTGAAATTGGCATTGAACTGGAACGACGGGTATAAAATATACCACTTACAAGGTCGGGATACGCACTGACAGAGCGAGCCGGGTCGAAGAATTTCAACACGAGGCTGAGTGGCAAGCAGGGGTTCCAGCGAGGCGAACTTCAGAGCCATGGCCGATATTCAACCAGACCAGTTCTCCAAGTCCGGTGCCGAGGGGCTGGATGCAGCTGACCCTTTATCTCGGTTCCGCAAAGAGTTCTATATACCAACTCTGGCAGACTTGAAACGCCCAACACTGGCCAAAGCATCTGACGAGCTAGCCTCAAAGCCGTCCACTTATCTGTGTGGTAACTCGTTGGGTCTTCAACCCGAAAGAACCGCCGAGCTGATCGATGCATTTCTAACGCAATGGCGAACCAAAGCCGTCACGGGTCATTTCGTCGAGCATTCCGACTCGCCTCTGAGGCCCTTTCTAGATGTGGACGATCATGCTGCACAGCTCATGGCTCCCATCGTGGGAGCTCTTGAATCCGAAGTCGCCGTGATGGGAAGTCTCACTGCTAATCTGCACTTCTTGATGTCCAGCTTCTACCGTCCCAGCAAAAAGGGTGAAGGAAGATACAAGATCTTATTGGAGGGCAAGGCGTTTCCCAGTGATCATGTAATCGCATTCTGCCCTAGTTGGAGCCGAGAGATTTATGCTGACAATCAATACTATCTAGTATGCAATCGAGTCACAGATAAAACATCACGACCTCGATCCAACTGACGCCATGATCTTGCTGGAGCCTGTCAATCCACAATCTCCACTGCTGACAACGGAACAAATCCTGCTTGCGATTGATCAACATTCATCAGAGCTTGCTCTGATCCTCCTCCCAGGAATTCAATTCTACACAGGCCAGTACTTTGACATCCAACGAATCACTGCCCATGCGCATTCTCATAGCATCATCATTGGATGGGACTGTGCTCATGCTGTTGGTAATATTGATCTCCAACTGCACGACTGGGATGTCGACTTTGCCGCTTGGTGTACGTACAAATACCTGAACTCCGGGCCTGGAGCGATGGCCGGCATTTTCGTGAACGAAAGATTCGGAAAAGTCGACATGGAGAGTCCGGACCAGAAGTTTTGGCCACGTCTTTCCGGCTGGTGGGGAGATGATAAAAGCAGTAGATTTCAGATGACGAACCGTGAGTCAGTAGCCTGCCACAAGTTTGTCTATTACTGATTTTGGCCAGGTTTTGTTCCTCGCCCAGGCGCGGCAGGTTATCAACTTTCCAACCCTAGCGCACTCGATCTGTCTGCCGTTGTTGCATCTCTGCAGATATTCAACGAGACCACAATGAAGGATTTGCGGCAAAGATCTATCAGACTGACGAACTATTTAGAACAGCTTCTCCACCAACTGCTGCAGAAACTACCGAGCCAGTTCGAGATTATCACCCCTCAAAGATCCCAGGAGCGAGGTGCTCAAATAAGTCTTCGGTTGGCGGCAGGGTTGCTAGACCACGTTCTTGAAAGCTTGGAAGCCGAGGGTGTCATTATTGATGAGAGAAAACCGGATGTCATAAGGGTTGCACCGGCGCCCTTATACAATAATTTTGTTGATGTGTGGCAATTTTGCCAGGTTTTGGAAAGAGCTCTGGTCAAGGCCATCACGTCGAAAGCAGCCCAATCATAACTTGACCGTTGCTGTTCAACAAGGCCTTTATCAGTCGTCCTCGCTATCGCTGATGTCAGCGTCACGCCAGAGCACGAACTCAAAACGACCTTCTAAGTTTGCCCGAATGAATTCTCGAATGACATCTTGCTCCATCTCAGCGAGGTCATGGTCAGGGTCCTGGGCCATCAAATTTAGATTGAATCCTCTCTGAGTCTGCGGATCAAGTTTCGCAAGGAAATCCATGATGGCTTCCATGGTGAATTCAGTCATGGCGTTCAAGGTGAGGGTTTTCAAATTCTTCAGACCGGCAAGAGGCCCCAGGACTTCTCTTGATACCGCATCTCCACTAGTCCAAAATTCTTCCAAAAGCGGAAGATTGAGAGCCAAATTGATGATGTGGTCTTCTTGAAACTCATCCGAAACATCCCTCAAGGCTAGTTCGCGTAGATTTCTCAGGTTGCAAAGTGCTTCAACCATAATTTGGAGGTCGTCAGGAGTAGTATCCTCGCCATTCCCTTTGAGCCACACGGCTTCCAAGGATTGTTGCTCAGACAGCGCACTGTGGAACAATTGTGCACTAGTATGTCGGACGGTGTAACCTTCTAGTGAAAGCATCGTTAACTTGACGGTCGGAGAGTATAGAACACGGCTGAGGATTGCCGGGCCATCAAACAGCCCTTTGAGTCTCAGATCGCGCAGTTGGCCACAAGAACTCAACCATTCAACCACTTCCAAGAAAACATCATTGTTTGATGATTCGAGCTGAACAGACCCATAGGAGTCGTCGAGCTTTAGAGTTTGTAGCTCGGTGCAAGCCTTGAGAGCATTCAAGTTCGATACTGCCTCTTGATTGAGGCTCCCAAGGTCAAGATGCTGCAGTGACTTGTGACGTCCCAGTGCTTCAAAGGAGAGCTTGCCTATCGTGTTCTGGCTGATGATTTCAAAATATGCCAGCTTATTTGCAGGTAGCTCGTTGAGGAAATTGGCAAACGATTCGTCTGCATCAGGCATCTGCCAATCATGAATGGTCAAATTTCGAAATTGGTCGCAGTGCTTCGCAATCGACTCGCCAGCCCCGTTGGCAAGAGCATCTCCCCTCCACAGCACCAGTGACTGTAGCTTCGGTGAGCGTGCGATCCATCTGGGGAGAAATCCAGGGCTGATGTGTCCAGCGATCTCTTCGAGTAAAGTCGTCTTCGCGGTCACCGCGTCTCCAATAGCACTGACGGTTGCTACAGTGTCCACAGCCAGTCTGTTGTGTTCTTTTTTCGGAAAATGGAAAGGCTTCAGAGCACCGGCAAAAAAAGCCTTCCTGACAGCGCCCAGAAACTTTTGGTCCTCGAGCATCATCAACAGATTCCGAAAATCGAGTGTTTTGATATAGCGGCAGTATGGCTTATAACAATTGTTGTCATCCAAACTGGAAAGAGTGATTGATCGCCAGAGTAGAGTCCACTTGCGAAAGAAGTCGGCTTCTTCAGCCGCTTTGACCGCGAAGTCGACCTGACGCTGATGAATATCCATGTATTCTCTCTGGTCAAAAGCTGGAGAGGTTTGATGCAACCTATGGTAAGCATCAATAATGTCTTCGAGAACATCAAATAAGAGACTCACTGGTACATGGTCCTGAGTGCAGGATCTGCAAAACATTTCGAGCTTCTAGCACATCTGTAGAGAGAGCCAAAATCACCTTCGCTACCGAGTTCCTGGCATATTATGAGCAAGATTTCTTCAGGCAAGGTGCTTCCTTCGTAGGGTGCAGCCATCGTGCATATCCTTGAAAGACCAGTGATTTGAAAGCGGGAACCAAAAAGGAATAGTTTGAAGGAACAGGACTTATCGAACCCAAGAAAATGAGAAATGTGATGGCTCGAGATTGTGATTCGTTGCGAGGTCTGTAAACAAAGCAGTGGAGGGAGACGTCTTCGCGGCGGCTACTTCGAAGAGCCGTGATGACATCATCCACTTTACGCGTTTTTGTCGAACTGAACGCGTGGGCCAGCTCACCTCTTAGCTAGGATATTTACCGCCTAAAGCCCCTAAACAGCAATCAGATCAACAATCACAACGACCACCACCTCCTAACTAATCACTGGGACGCACATTCATACATGGCCTGGAACTCAAGCACAAGCTGTATAGTCTGGCTCCTTCTCGGGCAGACTTCCAAGTATGCCAACCTTTCTGTTCACGGTCCTACCGAGTGGTGTTGGCCATTTCCACGATCTTCTAAGTTGCTTAGCAAAGTTTGATGAAGATGTCTCTCTCGAAGCAACATCTCAATTCGTGAGTGAGCGTGCTCTTCCAACGATTGCCACTAATCGTTGTAGCTGCGTCTTTCCAGTCTTAACATAGCCAAGACCACCCATGCGGCTTTCACCTTGAGTTCAGACTTCTTCCAGAAGTATCACTTCTCGCCTGGACCAAAGAATTCGGCAGGTCAAACCCCGCCACGAGTATGGGCCTGCAAGATGCAAATTCGTGTATGTTGGTGGCTACCTCGTAGAATGAGAGCCCGGCTCACTGTCATCGCAGGCTCTACTATCTATCTTCAAGCGTCGGCTGGCAGAATCACGGGATAAAGACACAGCGCTTGAAACCTGTGAATGCGAGCTTCAGGCGAACGTTGATCAGGCTGAATGTCGTCTCATCTTCAGACTTAATTGTAAACAAGGGGTCGTCAAAACTTATCGACTCTTCTACGAATCTGGGGAGATCTTGCATGCTACATTCGATCGAGTTGGCTCTAACAATTATTGGTCAATATCATCTCGAGCACTCCGAGAGATGGTCGAGTACTTTGGCCCTAAGACTGATCAGCTTGATTGGTACTATCAAGACGGTAAGGTTACATTCACAAGCTATACAGAGAAGATACAGAGTGGCAGGGAGATTCTCAAGCAACCCATGCACACTTCTGTTGCTTTCGAACGAAAGGACTTTGACGGATTTGATGTTCAAGAAGCTCTACATATTGGCACTATGGTCAAAGACTTTCGTGCCATTGTGGCACATGCAGAATCAATGCGTGTTCTCGTAACCGCAAGATACTCACGCGCCAATCGCCCTATGCAGATAAGCTATGAGAACAATGGCCTTGTTGCAGAGTTCACCCTCATGACCAAAGGAACGAACAATGTCCCAAGTACATCACATGCGAGCACACCGGCGCGCCAAATTTCCATGCGCCCTGCATCGCGAGGACCTGAAAGTGCACCAACTCGCGAAGCCTCGGTTGTTCCTGTGGACAGTCGGACAGCAACGTCCTTGGATATGCCACCACCAGCGGCTCGCAACTCATTTCGTGGGACTGCTCAACCATTGCTTACAAAGTCCAATTCGCGGGACAGCGTCCCAGCACCTTCTGCGAGTATAAACCCTGACAGTCTCTTTATCCCAGCTGATGACGATGATCAACAATGGGACGAACCAAATTTCGGAGAGGAAGCTGATATCGTGACTTGGGACAATACAGCCGAGAACGTCTCAGCTTCAAGTTCTGTGCGCAGACTCCGTGATTCAGAGTCACACTCGTTCGTACAGAGGCAAGAGCAAGAGCAACCGGGCAGGTCCTTTCCGCACGAGATTGCGCCCACGCAGCGACTATCGCAAGTTCGTGGGATATTTGATTGACTCCATTCATGTTCCATGAATGCCGTATTTCATTCGCCTCTGTCACAAATGATGAAAGTCGTGGCGCACCCAGCGGCCACTCTGTTGGCCTGAGTGCCCTCTGCTGACTCTGGAATGATGATCTCATTCCAGCGACCGACGACGTTACCTTTACTGTCTAGTGGATCACCACAATTACCGTGCTCTCCCCATCCCCAAGCGATCACTTTACCAGCGGAGGTAATCCCAACACAGTGTTCACTCCCGGTCGCTAGGGTCTGGAGTGGAGGGAATGTCCTTGATGCAAGCTGGCCTCGATCATTCCGGCCAATACTCGTTATCAGAGCTGTCGGCCTGGAAGACAATAGATGAATTGAACTCCATCCCGAAACAAGGAGGTCATTCTCTGCTGCCCTTTTCACATCCTTGGGGTCGAAGAATTTCGAATTTCCCCAGAAGACCGGGTTCTCACCTGATCGCATCAATACGGTATATTCTCGACCAACGACAACTCTCTCAGGTTTCAGATACAAGTCATCACCAAGACGCCTTGGGCTCCACACGGTCTTCTCTTTCTCCAGATCGTGGCCCAGCTGGCCTTTCCGACATCCTCCCCAACCGAAGACCAGGCCTTGAGAAGTGATAAAAACAAGGTGTGCCATACATGCGGCAATATCCAAAATATGTACACCGGGCTCATCAACCTCGAAGACTTTTCTCATCGTGTTGGCTACTTGGATATCCGTCCCTAGGCCAAGTTCCCCTTTTAGGCCTGATCCACAGGTGAGAATGAATTTGTGATTGACGACAAAGAATGAAGCCTCCCAGGTCGCTGCAATATCCGTTACTTTCCAAGTATCGCTACCGAAACAAGCCGTAAGCTCTTCACTCTCTGAGAAATCAACTTCCTCAAATTTCGATTTTTCATCCTCATGACCTTCAATTGGTAAACCAAGCCTCCCATCGCCATTTCTTCCGGCTGCGAACACTTTCCCTTCTTCTGTGAGTATTAGGGTATGGTTCCCACCGGCCACAATCTTCTTCACCTTTCGCTCTCTGTCGATTTGGCTTCCATCAACATTGATTCGGCTTTCTTTCGAGACGAACATGCACTTCTCAGGCTTGGCCACGTCATTGAGATGGCCTATTCCCAATTGACCGGCGCCATTTGACCCAAGTGCATAGATGAGAGGCATTTAGGTAGCTGCTACCAAACTTGATCTGTCCAGGCAAATATTCTGCAGCGATGCTTTATTTTGTCGAAGTGCACCTTGTGATATTTGGCACATTTCTTCAACTCTTATTGGCGACGTTCAGATAGTAGCGAGGCTGTGGAGATCGATTAGTGGCTGGTCACCTTCGACTTATTCTCGTCCAGCCTCGGTGGTTCATGAATTTGAACGGTGTCCGAGCGTAGTAGCGACTGAGCACTTCATGCCCCTATCCACATGTACCTAAGTAACGATAAATCAAGTCTGATGCAATAGACGAAGAAACCTGACCATCATCCACGGGTTTTAGACACGCTAGCAACATTAGCGCCAAATCAAACCCCGCGCCAAGACAGTGGATTTCAGCCTCGTAACAACGCGTACTATCGCGTCACAACTTTTCTCCGCCCACTAAATGAAGCGCTGACTTTCGATTAATACCGAAGACGAATACCCCTTCACTACATGATCAACAACTGCGTCCGATAGAACCGAAAGAATCACAGGAGCTCACATTAGTCTCAATCAATTCAAATCCGATGTTGCAATAACCGAGTATTTGTGATACCCATCCCTCACCAACGCCATCAGAGATGGCATTTCCACAACCGCCGGGTCTTCTGCCGACCGAGGTGGCATTCCTGTGCGAGATGGAACAAGTGACGATCGTGCCGCGGCAACGCCTTGAACGTCTCGACTTATTGGGCGTAAGTAAGTCCACCTCCACCACTATGCAACTTTGTTCTCGGGCCTTGCCTCTGGCGTAACCCGCTCTCAAGGTTGCGGAGAAATTGCACTTATTCGACCTTTTTACACCATGGCGATTCTATGACACAAGAGTGACCTCAAACACAACACTGACAAGCGGAATAAAAGGGCCCAACCAGACCATTGATTCCACCCCAAAGAACGACCCTCCCACTCTGGCTCGCTGTGCTGCTTAAACGGCAACAACGCGCCAACATCGCACCACCGCCCTGGCTCGCGACCGAAAACCTCGAAATCATCTTGAACCTCGAGACTCGCGAGTTCCGCGACTCCTTCTCCCCGGCCCCTCCACCACCAGCACAGGCCCCAGTTCCAACACCACGAGATTTCTCTGGGAAGCCATTTCACGCCTCGGCGCCCTTCATACCGTCATGTACCGTCGACGCACACCCCACCGCCCTGCCGTACCATTGGTTCGAAGTGTCGGAGATGCTGCTAGACGCAGCGAGTGACGATGTCGGCGAACCGGACCGCGTCAGGCAGCTTTTACGGGACATACGGGAGGTGCGGCTGGCGAAGATGCGCAAGGGCGTAAAGGAGTTGACCGGTGACGGAGTGGGAATGATACTCGATGGCGTTGGTGCCATGGAAGTTTCCGAGTCGAGGGGATTCATCACGGGAGTCATGGACGGCCTAAGGAAGATTGATGCCAGTCGGGAACAGGCACGGAGGGATAGGGAGGATGAAGAGAGGGAGAATCGCAGATATAATGACGACGATGGGGATGAGGACGATGAGATGACGTGATGTGACATGACGAGAGATGAAAACACATTGATGACACAAAGTATGGATTTGTTCAAGCCCCCCGCAATGGAAAGGGGTGACGTGAGTGCTTTCATGGCCATTCGTTCGACAGAGTTCAAGCGTCGAATATCATCGGACAGAGAGATAGATCCCATGCGACAGACTCAAACAGAAAGATTCAATCCTCATCGATGGCATTTTTGAAAAGACAGGAGGTAAGAGAAGGTAACATCAAGAAATCAGACTCTGCTGTTGAGTTTCATCCTGATCCTTCTCTTGCAACTTCCTCCTCGCAGCTAAGATCATCTCGTCCCTTCGTTTCTGCAGCATCTTCTGCCGAGCGTCTCTGTTGCTCTGCCATCCTGGGAGAGGGGCGTCTTCTTCCCTTTCCTTGCCCTTGGAATTCACCTTCGTTTGTAGATTGTATCGTGTGATCAGATCGGGTGGCAGCGTGGCAGAGGCAATCGATGTCGCTGTGGTTTCAGCCGTCGTTGAGTCAGACGAGGCTGTTGTGAAGGCTGGCGGCGGCTGAAATGATGGTGGAGCCTAGGCGAATCGGATGTCAGTCGTCATGTTAGAGGCAATGGCGTGTCGGACTGATATCTTCTCAAGTGCAATGCGCAGGCCAAACTCACCGGTTCCAGGCCTCGACCAGAAAGTACTCTCTCCGTAGTCGCGGGCACACTGCCCCTGTTGCGGTGCAGATCCCACATGATATCGCGCCTACTCAGCTGCGGAAACATCTGAGCGATCTGATCAACTTGTGCCGGGGTAAATCGGAAGCCCGCATTCCGTGACGATGAGGCAGCGATATCTGCACCACCTTGTGGGGCGGAAAAGAAGTATCGGTATATGAAGTAGCCCAGTACTGCGACAAAGGCCAAGCTGGGGATAGAGATGGTGGCCTCTTCCTCCATGGCGGAAGACATGATGTGTTGGTGGTTGTCGGAAGTGGTCTTGCGATCAAAGGTGGGTTGCCGATAAGGATACCAGGTGTTGACTAGGGTGGCTTGACTAGCTAGGGCTTGTGGCTGGCTTGGAATGACACCTTTCAAGTGAATGATGTAGAATTCCTAGGTAGAATAGGTCGTGGAGCAGTGGTCGACGTGGACAATGTGAGGGTTGGAAAAGGTAGATGTTCTTGTTCTCTGGATCACGGCATGTTCGATCTGACAGGTACAGTAATTGATTGTCCGATCACTTCAGTACCAAGAGACTAGTGGGTGTCTAACAATTTTACTACTAACTATTATTATCCTAGCAGTGTGCTAATTGCTCCAGGATGCCTCACTGTCGCCTCCCAAAAATGAACTTCAAAATGGCGGCAGCCATCACCTAACAGGGGTCGGTCAACTTGATCCGTCCCTCACTCTTCTTCATCCTGCTCTCCCGCAAAGCGATCAACAGTAGGCTGTCAGATGGTTCTTCAAGCGCATCCGCAATTTGCCAGAATGGAAAATTGATCCCGACTTCCATCCCGGCACTCATGAGTCGGGCTAGAAATGAGCTCAAATTCTCCCACCTCACCATAGCGTCAGCCTCTTTAGCAAGCTCTTCAGCCCTTTCTCCAGCCGAATCTTCAGATAACCCTCTTTCGATAGGGCATTGAATTACCCGCCCAAAAGGCCCCTGATCAGTCCGCCAATTAGCCCTCACAATATATCGCACAATGGCACAACCAGCGGCACGAGTCAAGCGACCAGTGGAAGATCTGGAAAAGCTCGAAGCAGGAGCTTGGACAAGTGCAAGTATTAATTTCTGTGAATATTAGCAGGGGCATGTGCATTGCCGAGAAGCAGTTCAAGACTCGACTGATTTGACGCTATGACTTGTTGTTTTTGCTTACGATTGGGGTGGTCTCTCAAAAGAGGAGGCTTTGGAATAGTCCGATCAGCATGCTTGGGATATCATCAGGAGACAGAGGATGGATACTCGTAAGGTAATGAGATGTTAGTCTGCACAGGTTTCGATGCATTTGATGGTGCCTGTCGTTTGGATATACTAAGTAAAAGAAAATTGTTGAGTGGGCAATTGGATGGGCGGTTGCGTCCGAGGCTCCAGAGCCATTGATGTTCAGATCTCGAGTTGGCAGTACCTGTATAAGACCCCTGTATGCTAATGATATGATATGCATCTTTCACTCAACCTCTGGAGACCAAATAACACTAGGAACCGAGTAGTTCAGGTAGTCGACTCTTATCGAAGCTACCAACGCGGCTGAGGTCTATTTGAAGATATTTAACATTAACCGAAACCGAGCTACCTAGACAGCTGGACGCCTGACTGACTTGGTCCCTCTTGTGAGATCGTATCCTCGAGTATGCTTTAACCCAGAGCTGCATTTGAACTTCAGGCGACCGATGGGACCTACTTTGAAGGCACACCGGATCCCCTTCGTCAGTCCGTCGTCCTTGCGGCTTCGTAGTACTGCCCCTTTTCGAAGCCCTCAGTTAGGACATCCGCCAACCACCTACAACATGAAGGATACCAGGATTCACATACGCTATCACTGCATCAAGAAGAACTGGCAGCAACAGTCATGAACTTGGTTGAAAAGCCATTTGGAGTGGTCCTATTGATTGGTGTACGTCAAGCGAGTTTCTCTTACCTCCTCCCTCTTCCTCTACTCTGACTACTCTCCAGGGCGGTGGCTTCATCGCCCACCACATCATTAACGACATCGTCTCAAAGTGCGGCGTGGCGCGGGCCGAAGACGTGCACATTTACGATCTCAATATCAGCCCGGAGAGAACACACCACAACAATCTCATCCCACTGGAGAACCACCATCAGGGAGACATCTGCGACTCGGACCGACTGGGCCAGGTCCTACACGATGTGCGACCCTCGGTGATATTCGACCTCGTCTCGCCAGCTATGTTCCTGCACGATCTCGCATTCTACATGCGCATCAACGTCGAGGCACGACGCGTGCTACTAGATCTCGCGAGAGAAACATGCACGGTCAAGGCATTCGTGTTCAACTCCTCCGCGGGCGTCATCCACGACTCGTACAGCGACCTGCCCAACGCCGATGAGTCACGTCCCGTGCTCTTCATCCCGCAGCAGCGCGAGCCGTATTCGCACAGCAAGGCCGTTGCGGAGACGATGGTGCTGGCCGCGAACGGCTACGACGCCAACAATACCGGAGCGAACGACACCGCCCAGGGGAAGTGGAAAATGCTCACTGTCGCCATCCGCCAATGCACCCCTTTCGGCGCCAACCACGCCGAGACTACCGTGGGACTGGTCGAAAACGCACGCAAGGGGAAATACCGCTTCCAGATCGGCGACAACACCAACCTGGTGGACTGGACGTATATCGAGAACAGCGCACGGGCATTCTCCCTCGCGGCACAGGCGCTGCTCATGGCCCATGAATCGCCCGATAATGGGCCGGTCCAAGACGAAACAGCCCGCGTCGCAGGCGAAGCATTCCTCGTCTCCAACGACCAGCCCATTGCATTCTGGACGTTTGTTCGCATGGTCGGCGAGGCGGCCGGGCACGGCATCGACATCAAGGAGGTCAAGGTCATTCCGCGCTGGGCCGGCATGACCATGGCATTTGTCGCCGAGTGGTCGACGTGGTTGCTCTCGTGGGGCCGACGTAAATCGGCTTTCACCCGCTTTGGCGTTCGCTACAGCACGATCAACAAGTACTGCTGTATTGATAAAGCTAAGACCCGCTTGAAATATCAGCCATGGATTAGCGTTGAGGAGGGGGTCAGGAGGTCGGTTTTGCCATACCTCACGCCAGGCGATACACGGGAGCATGGTGATTGAATTCACCGTGGCACAGGGGCCTTGGACTTGGACCAAAGCGAGCGCTTTCGCCCCGAAATGACGGTCCACACTGATTAGTATCGTCTGCAATGAATATGAAAGTAGGAGATGTCTTTTCGCTATGCTTTATTATATCGATTTTGGTCTTTCGATTCTTCGCTAGTCGTCAATTCGAGCAAACAACCCACGCATCCAATCAGCGCTATGTCGTCAGAAGCACATCACTCGTCTCAAGCAGTCCAGAGAGCCTTGTGATTGCCAGTATCTCATCAACCACTTTTATCCCACCCGACCCAACTTCTCGGCATCACTCTCCACACCATCACTTCACCACTCCTCAGATCTCCTACCTTGAAGCTCTCCTCTCTCACCTTAGGCTTCTTCCCCTTTTCTTCGCGGCCTTGCTCCCACGCACGAATCTTTTTCTTGGTGCCGTCCCAGTCAATCACTACAGCCACATGATCTGGTTTACCAACATCCATACTGTACTTGGCGTGAAGACCTCCTTTATGACCAGCGAACCTGGCATTGCGGAATGTAACGATATCACCCGGTCGTATTTCATCGAATTGTTGCGTAGATGCATTCCCTAGGTTGGCATATACTAAAGCTCCGTACGCTCTGTTGCCAATGGGACGCAAAGCCGTGGTATGTGGTTTCAAGACTTCAAGAACAAGAGCTTGACCAGAGCCGTCACCGACAGCAGACCCCGCCAGCGCATTTGTGGCTCGGATTATTTGCACACCATATTGTCCTGACGCACTTTCAAGCTGATCACGCCTCGGCGTTGGTGGTGGTCGTTCGTGGCTTTGCTCAAACACAACGTTTGAGGGCTGGGCACTATCAAAGCTTGCATTTATAGTTGTCGAAGAGTAGTCCATGTAGAGTACGAAGACATGTTTGGACAATGTCGCTCTCCCGTTTTGGGTGCCTGATGAAGAGCTCTCTATCTCGTACAGCACGTCATGGCGGCCCTGTAGTGACGGTGGAGGAACTTGTTCCTGGGTCCACCATAGCGAATTCTTGCCAACATCAATATCATGCGCAATAAAACCTTGCTCGCCACTGGTACGTGATTGATCCATTGAACGTCGAGAGATCGTGGCAGATCGTTTAACATCTAGAGTGTGTTCCGGCTGAGGTGCTGCGGGTGGTGGAGGTGGTGCAAAAGAAGACGGAGGGGGATGATGTTCCACGTATGTAGGAGTTGGATGAGAAGGAGCTCTTTCCGCCGGAGGTGGAGGCGGCGGTACAGCGGAAGGCGGCTGACCATCACCGTACAAGTCATCCTCTTCGACTTCTTCCCTAGGAGACTGTAGAACTTGCGAATACTGTCCTCGAGACGACAAATTCGGGGCGGCGTGAGATTGTGATCCGTATCTATAGGGGTCATAGTCTCCATCATCGTCATCATCATTGGCAATCTTTGGGGGAGGTACGGGAGGAGGAGCGACACGAGGAGCGTCCACAGACTTTCTTGACTTGGGAGCTGCCTGAGAGGGTGGAGGTGGTGGTATCTCTCGTGGTGCGGCCACCGCAGGAACAGGTGGTAGAGGAGGTGCCGCGCGAACTGGTGGGCTTTTGGGTGATTTTATGGCATCATCTGTTAGCACTCCATCATCGAGGCTCGAATCCCTATTGTGAGCCTTCAAGGCGTCCTTATGTTTTGCACTAGATGCAATGTCGGTGTCATAGTCCCCGTCATACTCCGTTACCTCGTCGTCCTCATCGCTCTCCTCTGCTGCCGGGATTGCGACGGGCCCTCTGGAGTCACCAGTTGATCGTCGGATTGGTGGCTGGCCGGGTGGTGGAGGAGGTGGTGCCCGAGTTTGAGGAGAAGTGGGACTCATGGGAACTGGAGGCGGAACACGACTAGCTCTTTTTTCGCTATTTGGAGAAGTGATACTATCTTGTGTATCTAACCTGGGCGGTTCTTCTCGTCGAGGTGGTGGTGGAGGCGCGTGGAAGGATGGGCTTGTGGGACTATCGTTTACAGGAGACCTGGCTGCATTTTTGGGTATGGTGTGGTGGTCGTCATCACTTCCTTCGTCATGAGTTCCCTTGTTGACGTGGGTATGGCTCACTGGGACTGGCGGTGCCGCGCGACCTGTAGATAGAGTCAACAAAATGCTCGGGGCCCAGGCCGCAAACATACCTGATGATGGAGACTGTGGCGTTGGTGGCATTGCTCTTGGACCTGCTGGAGGTGGTGGGGGAACAGCCCTAGCATCACGCGGTGGCGCTGGAGGAGGAGCTCGGTCTGTGAACAGTCAGTATCATGTAGTAAGTATGAGAGAGAATACAAGCTTACCCTGGGGAGTTGGCGGAGCAGCGCGGTCAGTTGATCGTCGCTGTAGTGGTTTGGATACATAGTCCTCAGCCTCGCCATGGGTAACAGGGTCGCGGGGTGTAGGCCTTGCAGTTTCGTCCTCATCACTGGCATCATCTGTGGGAGTTGTTTCCTCTCGCTTAGGAACCACGTTGGACATTCCCGGCAACGCCACTCGAAGCGGTGGGACTCTCTCCTGAGAGTCTTCTGGTTGATGATAATCCGAAGTCTGACGACTAGATTCGGCTGAGGCCTTTGGTTTTCGGGATGGTGCTGGAGCGCCCAGTCCTGCCGGAGGACCGAACATGCCCATCATGCCCATACCTCCACTCATCTTGGCCATTCTTTCCCTCAGCTCTCTTCTCCGTCTGACCTCTGGATCTTCTTCCTCTTCGTCCTCGTCCTGCTCTTCTTCATCGTCCTCACCTTCGGCGACAGTGATTGATTTCTGCCTGACAGGTTCTGGCAGAGATCTTTCCGCGACTTTAGGTTTTGGTCGCTCCTCTTCAGTAGACGTCTCCTGGATATCTTCTTCATCACCAGCTCCGGAATCATCGGCATCGTTCGTGTCACTGACTAATTCTCGCGAAGGCTGTGGTTGCGGTGTGACGGTTGCAATGCTACTAGGAGGGTGTGCGCTGGCCTCGTTGATCTCGCCAGATGGGCGACCAACAGTTTCATTGGTCTCTACCTTGGTAAGGGATGAGTCGGCCGCTCCGGTCTGCTCAACCTCTTCTGTGGACTCAATGCGCTTCTTTGGAGGTCTCTTGGGCTTCTCTTTCTTCTCGGTATTTCTCGCCGCCTGTTCTAGTTGCTGCTTTTGCAATGCTGCTATGCGATCTTTCAGACTCTGTGGTTTAGGAAGGTCTTCGTCAGCGGCGTCTTGTTGGTTTGACGACTCTGTGTGTGTATCTCGAGCCTCAGACTCTTGTAGGGCAGGATCTTCTTCTCGCCGGTATATCTTTTGCGGTGGTGGCTCTCGAGGTGGAGGAACGTAGGCATTCCTACTTGGTGGTGGAGCAACAAAAGACTTTTTGACAAAGGTACCACCTGGGCCAGAACCGCCCGGTTTGAAGGGAGTCACTGGAGCCGCGGCAGGCTTGTTGAATGCTGCAATGCGATCCCTGAAAGAGTTTGATGTAGGTTTCTCAGCAACAGGTGGAGGTGCCTTGGACGCCGCTGGTTTGGGAGGGGGTGACTTGGAAACAGAGGGAGCCACAGTGGTTGCGGGAGGCTGTACGATGGGCGCTGGCTTGGTCTGCTCCACAGCCTCGGGCTCCTTGGGAGGGTTTATATGTTCGTCTTCGTCAACTTCGATAGGGTCAGGTTGGGCGGGGAGAATAGGCTGCGGCGGAGTTGGCTCTGGAGCATCCTCTACAGGCTCTGGGACCGGGGCTCGCTTTGGGGCTCGAGCCGGTCGAGAGGGAACAGGTGGTTCGTATTTCTCGACAAAATTTCTAGGGAAAATACCCTCCAACTTGTCGCCTGATGGACCAACATATTCGCCCGTGTACCATTCGGCGTCTTCTTCTTCGGTTACAGTGATGATTTGACCGGTGGAGAAATTAAGGTCGTCAGGTTCATCTGACTTGTAGTCAAAGACGGCTTTGACCTTGAAGGGAGCAGAAGGCATATTGGAGTTGTATAGCAGAGGGTAGGGAGGGTGTAGGAGCAAGGCGGAAGTAGCGTACTCGTAGTGGCAGCTATTGTGGAGGGATGAGGGATCTTACGCAGCAGACCCGACTAGGACGGTGACGCAGCGCTTGCGCCACTTCCGGTCCAGATATGTGCCAAGGTGAGGGTAATACTGGCGAGTTTTCGATCACCTGGACATGAGGACCTGAAAATTATTACATACAGAGGACGACGGTAAAGGGAAGCGAATTGAATTGTGGAAGATGGAAGATCGAGTTTGTGGACAGAAGGGTTGGTTGATTGAACGTGGGGTCGACCAGAACTGCAATCGACTACTACCTAAGCCGTAGGTAGCAGGTACTGTAACTTGCAGCACCATAGGCACACACTTGTAGCTAAATGATGACTTAACGAGCTTAAGCACACCCCATTCCTCGCTAGTACCCGTAGCGAAGGACTTGGGTCAAGTCTGTGGCTTTCCTGGAGTGATTCACGCCTATAACATCTCCACTAGAGCGTCTAAAAATTATAGTGCTGTATCTCCCTTTCAAGAGCACAGTTGGAAGGGAGCAGCACATCGAAATACCTTTTGCGATACGGAGCGCTTGACCCAAATTTCAAACCGCAAGATTTCCCAGTGGTCAGCTATGCAATGGACTCTTCCATCAACCTGGCCAGCTACCTAGGTAGGCATCTTCATTTTGTCAATCCATCCATCGGCCAACAATTCAGTATCGGGTTTCAGATTTTAAGTAACGTCGGGGGCTGTTTCATCGTATTCCCTGTTGGAGTGGTCTTGCTACCTAGTAGTCATATGCCATCCAGTTAATAGGAAAGGTAAATAGGCGTCTACCGAGGCGAAAGGCACCCTGCTAATTTACCCAGGTAGGAATCCAGGGCACGATTAACGTGAACCAGGCTAAAGTTGCACCAGACTCCAATTAATCTTTTGGGGGCCGTCTATTCTCTTTCTTAAGCGTCTTCCCGGACCTTGATAAAACACCTTAGGCAATGACCCCGCATTCTCATTCTTTCACACGACAGCCACACCTGTTTCGTACATCCATGGATATCCGTAGTAGTGGGTTCTCGATAGGTTCTTTCAGGCATCATCTACCTCGCAGCAAAGTCACGATACTCTCCATCATAGTATATACTGATTGATGGTTGATCTTACATAAGACTCTCGAGTAACAAGGAGTGAATAATCACGAATCAAAACCTCACTGTAACTCTTGCGGCTCAAAACAACTCAATATCAATGGCACGTCAGCCATACCATCAAGAAAATGGAATCTCCCAGCACCATGCAACCAGAAAATGATCGTGAACAACGCATTCGAAGCACCGCAGTACGGCATGCACAAGACATCGAATCGCGTAAACGCCTACAAGCACAGATCGCCGACCTGGTCGTTTCAGCTTTTGACCTGCCATCGTCGCCCACTGCTGATCCAGCCTCGCCACTCGCCTCAGACGCCACTCTCTTCAAAAGATGTCTGGCGCTCTTTCGCCCTTCCGACCTGGATGACCTGATCTACGAACGCAACGTGGATGACCGCTGCGGCTACGCACTGTGCCCACGTCCCAATGAGAAGCTGGCCAATGCTGGTCAAAAAGTCTGGAACCAGAAGGGCGGCAAGGATTTTCGGCTTCTTGATAAAGCCGACCTGGAGAAGTTTTGTTCTAAGGCCTGTCGCGAGAGGACGACTTTTGTGAGGGCTCAACTTAGGACTGAGCCGGCCTGGTTGAGACCGGATGTCCAAATCGCTGCTAATGACCTAAAGTTGCTGGACGAAATGAATGGTACGGGAGTTGAGGCTGGCAGTGGAAGTTTGGTGGAATCCCTAAACGTGAGTCTTCCCACTTTGATTCTCTATCGATCCACCTTCTATTATAGCCTACTTGACTGCGAGATGTCCCCAGAAGACTCTATAGGTCTATTCCACTTGACCAGGGCCCCTGAAATCCCGGCATCATCCTTTCTCCTCTTCCACCAAAGCTATAGCTAACATCATTCCAGAAATTGGCACTTGCCCAAGGCACCGACGAGGAGATGGCCGAAAAACTTGAAGCCTTGGCTCTTGAGCGCGGCGAGGCCCAGAGTGAAATCAGTGCGACCAATAATGTATCGATAATTGAAAAGGAGAGCAATCAGATACCCAGTGCCCCTGTTCTGAACCGGGGCCGGGGACTGGTTGAAGGCCATCAGCCTCGAAAAGTTCGCTTTCGAAATCCTTGAATGAGATGTCATGGTGAAGATGTCTACTTCGTACATCAGTCCTGCTCCTGTTCCGGAATTGAGTGCTTAAGATAGCGAAGGAACCTCGATTTTCCTGAACTCTAACAATACCTTGCGTTTTCAGCTTCGGTCCCCGCAAATCCCGTGGCCCAAGATTTCCGACGGCGCTATCGACATTGGCGCACAGCTATACAGAAGGTAACGTGGTAGATGGCTCTGGGGCTTGATATGAAAAGTTGCGTATGCGTCTCCGGGCGAACACCATCAAGAATTGATGTACTTGACAATGCGGACTCATCTTTGATCAATTCATGAACCTGCTTCAAAGAAGATATCTTTTGGACCGAAGCTAACTCAGATGTTCCAGCGCACAGGAAAAACCAGTGATAATGTGTGTCATCATTGGCCAAAAGCAAAATATGCCCGCTCCAGAGGTTGTCTCTCAAACTCCCAAGCTAGCCAATCGCTCCGTGTTGTCGGTAGCAAACCCATGCTGTTCACTTTATAGATACCCAAACCGAGTAATGAACATTGCATAAGGACATAGACAGCCTTGATTCCCAACATCTGTGTGCGTGTGCCTGCGCTCTCGAACTTGGCAAATGCGGTGTTGGTTTGTGTTATAGCTTGGATGGGACCCTTGAACCTGGTATAACTGTCAGAACGCGGCGTCTTGAGCTTTGACATGGATACTCACAGCATGAATACCATCATAATAGAAAATATCTGTAATGAATTTCCAGACATGTAGCCCATAATCGCCTGCATGGGAAGTTGTTTTGCAGGGCCCAGGGCAATCTCCCACGCCTTCTTGATTTTCAACGTCTGAGTTTCTTCTGCGGTCGGTGGTTTCCTGCCACTAGCTTGTGCTTTCTAAACGTTGTGAGTGAGTGATTTTCTTGCAAGTATGAATCCACACAAACCTGCTTGCCTGTGAGGGCCTTGGAGGCCGTGAAGCCAGGAGGATCCGGGATGCTGGAGGCATTCTTGGATTTCGCAGGAAATCCATTATGGAGGTCGACAACCCATTTCGGAGGCGCTGGGTTCATCTTGAAGGCTTTCAATCGTGGATAGGAACGTGGAAAGGCTAGGAATTGCGGGCGATTGAATTGTTGCCTTGTCGATGGAAACGAGGCAGTGGGATGTCCGAGGATGATAGAGGCATTCAAGTGGCACTTGGTAAGATGTGACGGGTGCACGTGTGTTGAAGTCGGCCTGGAAGAAATGATCCTCCGTTGTTCTTGGCGCGCATAGATCAACCTCAGACTCCGTGAACTCGACATCCTCTTCCATCAGGCGGCGGCCAGGTTGCCAATTACGAATATTCCATCTTACATTCTCTGACGACCATCCGAGCAAAGACTCTACCACCTGTGCTCTTGCAGTCCTAATCAAGGCAGAGAGTAACTGGAATGGCCAATATCTAGCATGATACGACGCGACATCTGGTCCAAGTGGTTTCACCCCTGGTAATCCTTTGACCGCTTACGTTCCTGTTGGCCTTGAGAAAGTGCAGAATACTTGAAGCTCAAAGCTTGCAATCTAAGATGGCTTCAGGTCAGGGCGATGCCAAACTCTTCGCAAGGGTAAGTGGCTTTTGCGCTTTCCTATTTCGTGCGCCTGGCAACTTCTCAGTTGTGCTTCTTTGTCCCCATGTCTCATATTCGGTCCTTCCCACCTTTTCGATGGAGACGTTCTTGAATTTCGACCTTCTTATTCCATTCGGTTCGGAAATGAACCTTTCAAATGATCATGGACTATGAGGACACATCGCAGAATGCATTGCTTGATGCAAAGCAAATCTGTCGATGCCAGTGGTGCGAAATCTACATTCTCCATCAATCGTTGGCGGAGGCTGGACTCGCAAATGTTCCTGAACCACCACCGGCTCACACTCTTGAACAGGGAAAAGTTGCCGAGTTACGGCAAGAGCTCGCAGGCACCGGCAAGAAAGATAAAAATCACACCGCGAAGAAAAATGCTCTCAAGAAGATTGTCGCAAATATGACGATGAGTAATAACGATATGATCGCTTTATTTCCCGACATCATTGCTTGCATGCAAATTCCGGTACTGGAAATTAAGAAAATGTAGAATGCCATTTCCCATTTAGTTAATGAAAAGAGCTGACATATCGTTCAGGTCATTCTTATATCTTCAGCATTATGCCCGGACAAAGCCAGATGTGGCCCTGCGAGCACTGCCACTGTTACAAGAGGTTTGATAGCCTTCCTGCTTAGAGCTTTGGCCATGCTAAGTGTCTTAGGATATGGAAGACCCAAATCCACTTATTCGGGCCCTTGCATTACGAACAGTTTCCTACATCCACGTCCGCGAGTTTGTCGAGGGCACTGTGAGTCCCTTGAAACGGCTCATGGGTGATCAAGACCCATACGTTCGCAAAACTGCTGCAATCACTGTCGCAAAGATCTACGATCATGATAAGCGCCTGGTCGAAGGATCTGACTTAATCGAAAGGCTTAATAGGATGCTGAAAGACGACAATCCGACAGTGGTTGCCAGCGCTCTTGCTTCATTGAAAGATATTTGGGAGAGGAATGAGAATATCAGACTCACAATCGACTATGCGAGCGCATCGAAAATCATCTCCATTCTCCCGGACTGCAACGAATGGTCACAGACTTACATTTTAGAGTCCCTGATGTCCTACGTACCGCTGGAATCCGGGGAAGCGCTTTTGTTGGCCGAAAGAATTGCCTCGCGTCTTTCACATTCGAACTCCGCCGTTGTGCTTACTTGCATACGGGTTATCATGTACTTGATGAATTACATTGCAGACACAAAGAAGATTGACGAATTGTCGCGCAAGCTCTCGCCTCCACTCGTCACATTATTGGCGAAGCCGCCCGAAATTCAATATCTAGCATTGAGAAATGCCATTCTCATTTTGCAGCAGCGCCCTGAGGTACTCCAGAACGACATTCGTGTCTTCTTTTGCAAGTACAATGATCCGATCTATGTCAAGGTAACAAAGTTGGAGCTTATATTCATGTTGGCAAATAAAAACAACATCTCTGTGGTTCTGAATGAGCTCAAAGAGTACGCTACCGAAATCGATGTCCAATTCGTCCGGAAAGCCGTCAGGGCAATAGGCAAACTTGCGATCAAGATTGAGCCAGCCGCTCGTCAGTGTATTGACACACTTCTTGAGCTGGTCAATGCTAAGGTCCCGTACATTGTACAAGAAGCCACAGTTGTCATCAAGAACATCTTTCGCAAATACCCCAACCAATACGAATCAGTCATCTCAACCGTGATTGGCCAGATAGATGACCTCGACGAGCCTGAGGCCAAAGCAGCCATTGTTTGGATTATTGGAGAGTACGCTGATCGAATTGAAAATGCCGATTCTCTTCTTCAAGACTATCTAGCAACATTTCACGATGAGCCAATTGAGGTGCAACTCTCTTTACTCACTGCAACAGTCAAACTCTTCCTGCATCGTCCAACAAAAGGCTCCTCTATCGTGCCTCAGGTGCTAAAGTGGTGCACTGAAGAAGTCGACGACCCTGACCTCAGAGACAGAGGCTTCATGTACTGGCGACTCCTCTCCGCGGACCCTGTCGTTGCGAAGAAGGTAGTGATGGGGGTGAAGCCACCTATCTCCGCGGAAAGTGAGAAACTTGACCCTGCGACTCTGGAAGAGTTATGCTTGGGAATAGGGACTCTGGCCACCATCTATCTCAAACCAGTTCAACAAGTGTTCCGAGCAGCACGACCACGTCGACTGCAAGATTCGCCTGCCTTGCAGAAAAAGAAGGAAGAGTTGAACACGGTGCTGGGCTCGCCATTGAACCTGGCCAATCCACTACTCTTGAACACCTCCGTGACGACGCCAGGCGGCACACCTGTGCCCGGACACCAAGCAGCCATTGCTGCAGCAGATGATTATTTCAAGAATCTGAGCCTGAGTGACAACAGCGGTGGCGATATCCTTACTAGTCCAACCGTAGGCATGAATGGCAATCCATATGTCGTGAACCAAAATGCTCCACAACAAGCCTACCACCCCCAAGCAGGCGTGGCACACAACGGGGACCTATTGCTATGAAGAGTCGAACAATGGAGAAGGGATGCTCTGGATGGGGTGGGTCATCATCAGAGCTACTCGGCTGTACAAATTTGTTTATAAAAAATGGTAGTAGCACTCGTTTTGGGCCAACTTGGAAGACTAGAATCCAACAATCGAGAAATGGCGAGAGACGTGTCCTGGAATCCTCCGACGGTAGCCGTGCGTGGAGGTGCACTCTCCTTGCGTTCACATCTTGATACTAGGCATTTGAATTCGAACTTCCAGATACTGTACAATCCAACACCAGTCTAATAAGTACTAGAACTACACTTCATGCATCAGCCGCTTGCCTCAGTGATGATCGCCTGGGCAGTCTTTTTGGCATTGCTGTCCTGAATTGTGCCTCTCGTATCGCCTACAGTTTGCGTCTGAGCAACGGTGTCGTGAGTCGTGGAGGGGACCCCGTCCTGCATGGATTGCTGAGCATTGCGTCGGCGGAGGAATCTAAGTCAGATATCTCCGTTAGCAACAAGATCACCATAACACGAAGATATTAGATTAGGGTTTCGAAAGGACTGGAGAGGAGTTGGAGCTTCTTAGAGATTTGCGGACACCGATAAAAAACAAACATACATGAATATTCCAACCAGTCCTGCCAGGATTGGGACACCGAGACCGACCGTGACGCCGATTATGATTGGGCTTTTGTTGTCCTTGTGTCCTGCTCCGTCGCCGTCGTTGCTTGAGGAGCCTGTCGAATCGTCGTCTCCGTAGCCGAATGGGTCCTCCGGGTCTGAAGAGAGCTGTGCGGTGAATGCCTTGGGTAGACCCGTTGTGCTGGGTATTCGCTTCGCATGCGATCCGAATGGGATGGCTGTGACGATGGTGTTTCGCGTAGATGCTGGGAATGTGGGCTCTTCGTCGCCGTCCTTGATGTCGGTGGTCAGTGACAGCGTGGTCATGTACACAGTCATTGTCTGCAGCGAGACCGGACAGTTCACCATGCCAGCAGACTCACATCTCACGGCGGTGACTGCTACCTCGGTGCTCAGGACGGTCGTCTCTCTCTTGGCTATCTCGCCCCGTGCTGTGATTGTCTGGGATGCGGGCGTCGTGGTCGCAGCTGCAATTGAGAGTGCACATGTCCCAAACGTGGCCGTAAAGATAGCGGTCGATATCTCGAGTTCTGGGCCAAGGGTCAAATCTCCCAGTGCCACAGAAGCACCAGCGATGGCTCCCACGGCAAATTGAAATGTCTGATTGATATTCAGTGCGCAACTCTCGTCTTCTAAATCTCCCGTGACGACGGTCTCTGACTCAAACAAAGTTGCGTAGACAGCTACTTCGACTCCAGTGCTAAAGGAGAGATCTGGACATGTGTCGTTTTCAAAAGCTTCACATACCGTATCGACCGTGGAAGGGGTGTCGAGCGACTGGTCAATATTAAAGCCAACTCGTGCTGAAACTTGCAAGGCTGCCTTCAGAGCAGCGCTCGCCCCTCTGAATTTGACAGGCAGAAACTCGATCAAACCTCCATTGCTATTGACATATTAGTTGCCTGGTGATAAATCCAATCTCGCGCATCTCTTACAAGGCAATATTCGTGACGTTCTCATCGAACATGGGGATTTCAATCACGATCTCATCATCGAATTCGATATGAAACCCACTCTCGAGGTTGATCTCGGCTTCAGCGCTCAACACCAGGTCAACAAAAATGACCGCACCTAACCACAGATCTGAATTCGCACTCAGACCAAATTCGGTGTTTGTATGGAGCAGGTTTTGAGTATATGTAGCTCCAGCAGATAGCTTCGCATTCAGCAATGCATATATGTCAAGTCCATCCAAGCCAATACGTAAAGTGGCCTTGGGATCTGGAATGTCAATGTCCGTGAATTCTACCTTGACATCTGAGAGATCGAAGTCTCCTGATAACAACGCTTGTGTAATGTTTTTGGCAGCATCAATGACTTCGGAAGTAAAGTTTTGAATCTCGCCCTTGATATTCTCGATATAAGCGGTGTGGTTGAACGGATCTTCGAAGGTAAGCGTGACTCGGGCGTCGCCTTTGACGTAGCACTCTTGACAAGTTATTTCGAGGCCGACATTGGTTTTAATGCTTGTGTTCGAGCTAGATTCTCGTTCATTGGGGAGGTCCCTAGATCACTTTAGTCAACTCAATAAGACACGAATGCGTCTAGTCGGAGATAATGATGTGCCTACTCACAATTTCAGTAATGTTAAGTCTTCCCAACTTCTGTCAAGGCTGAGTACACCAGAGTCGTATGACTGAAGGCTTCTTTCATCATCACGTCGGGCGTATAAAGCACTCCTGATGACCTGCTCTCCTTCAGCTTGAGGTCTTGGTGAGCGGCCTGGTTTTCTGGCCACGATATCTGTATATGCTGGAATAGCACATAAAATCGGAGTGAATACCACGGACAGATAACCTAGCGGCAGTAGTCTCATATTTTTGGTATATGCCGCGTATTCAACGATTGTTACAGCACGGGATCGTGAAGCTACTAACATGAGGCACCTCCACTATGCTTTATAACATCTCCAAGAGCCCAGACTGCTCTTGGAGGCTGTCTTGCGGTGTGATGGTATTCTGGAAGGCATAGTCTGTAAGATCTCTGAATCCACCAGCCGCCTCCATTTGCCTTGTCGTAACTTAATCCAGTTTGGAGCCTGTTGGCTTGGGGCGGAAACCTGGAGGAGAGCAACAGCTCTAGCGCTAGCGTATGCAGATATCTTCGTCTACGACGAGACGACTTGGAGCCATCAAGTGCTCAGCCTGATCACAAGTTTGGCGCACTCCTCGCTCTCAGGACACCTTATGTATGTGAACGATATCGGCGGACTTAAGACCTAGAAGGCCTTGCAGACCATGCTCGGAATGATACCACAATCAATGAATGTCAATTCCTCAGATGTCGTGGGATGAACACGCCGGTTCTAGAGACCATAAGCTCATGATTCTCTTTCACGAGGTAGAGATCCAGTGGTTCGCCCGCGAAGGGTTCGAGCAAGGCCGTGGAAGAAACGTGGCTGAAACCGCATAGCGTAGGTTGACCAGCGCAGTCATTTAAATTGGAACAGATGAAGTATCTCCTGCATGACTAAGGTCAAAGAGTACATGGTGCAACGCAAGTAACCTTCATATATGCATGAGCATGGTAGGTGGTCAGGATTGTGGTAGATCTAAGCAGTTAGGGCATCTTGGAGTGTGGGGCACGTCCATGCTGAAATCTTTGGGGGTTAGAAATAGGGGCAAGTTTGGAATCCACTTCCTCGTGTTCGGGTCAAGGACTCGGAAGGACCCTGATTTTCTGAGTCATGTAGCAACGGCATGCATGTTTGAGAGACGTTTTCTCGAACGGCACTATGTACGAATAGACCATTTCAAGCTTGTTATCGAAAGACTCACTGCTTCACTGTAGATGCAAGATGTCGATTGGCGTGGGGTCTGAGCTGGTGTTGGCAGTGTTGGCTTGGGAGGAGAATGCATCATGGTGTTCCCAGTAGATATGGTCAATTTTCAATCCCTGCCCTACCAAACTAAGTGGTCTCTGCCAATTCAACTGTTCATGCAGCTACTCCGTACTTTTGAAGCGCCTTGGAAGTGCAATCAATGCAACGCTCTTTCAGCGAGGCAGATACGCACCACGGTGCTGGTACATAATTCGTACAAGTCCACCACAGCTTCCATGTTTGCACTTTAGACAAGGACATTTATATGGATCAGCTTAGACCCTTTTAAGATCTTCAGTCTCCGAGATTGACAGGCTTGATCAGAAATGTCGGGATGTAAGGACCATCGGGCATTTCACCAGTCATGCAAGATCTGTGGATTGTAGTTGGAACGCTTCTCGCCAAATCCCTCACACGTGAGTTGAATGACCTCCAAGCTTGAGGTGGTTTTGTCGCGATGGCAGGGGCCATGAGCAATTGAGATGTCTTGAAGAGGTACTTCAGAGTTTTGAGATTCTCTTCCAGTGACAGGCATCACATATTCGTACAAGTGGTGCTAACAACTTGAGGAGATCCAGCAGTTGCATGGCGACATGGAACAACATCTGAATGTATTGCCTGACTTACCAGTGGGGTCGGGAAAAATAGCAAGCGCTCAAAGTCTCAATGTGGTATTAATATTGCTTTTGATAAATCATCACCAAACAAACGCCTGTCCATTACTTCGACCCAACTGTTTGATACTGATGAGTATTGCTCATGCCGATCGATAAAACTTGCTTTCAACAAATGGCAGTTTGGCCACCTCCGCTTTCCTCACACTTTTTCTGACCTTAACACCAACTTTAGTGCCTTTCTTATGGAAGCCATTTTTTATATAGCCCATGGCAATGTTTTGGCCACCCAGACTTGGACTAGGACTTCCTGAGGTGATGTGTCCAATTACCTGGTTGTCATGCTCAGTGTCGACAATTTCTGCACCTTCACGAGCTGCGGGACCTTTTTCGATGAGAAAACCTACGCGTCGCTCTTGCATCGTCTTGGGGGACGCGAGTTGCTTATTGATCTTGCGGTGCCCGTTAAAAGGAGGGCTAGGTTCGTCAACACGACGAGACTTTCCAACGATCCAACCCAATGCCGCTTCTGGTGGAGTGATTTTATCACTGATATCATGCCCATACAAGCACATCCCGGCCTCTAGACGTAGTGAATCTCGCGCACCAAGACCCGCCCAGCGGACTGTTGACAAGTCGACAGTCAGTGCCCGTGCGATGGAAATAGCCAGCTCTGATGAATCTCCATTCTCTGGAGGAATCGAGATCTCGAACCCGTCTTCTCCAGTATAACCCGTCCGGCTGATGAGAAGAGATGGGGTGTTCGTGCCACTTTCCGGAAGGGTCAATTGCAACCATCGGCTCGAGCCGAAGTACAAGGTGCTGAGATCAGTGTCGAGGGCATCATCTTCTGTGTCGTTGTAGACGAGAGACTGGAGAATATCTGAAGCTTTAGGGCCTTGTAAGGCCAGCAAAGCATGATGGTCCAGGATATGCCAGTTAATCTTATCCTTGGATGCAGACTTTGATTGCAAAAATTGATCGAGTTCAGCCTCGATGAACGGTAGATCAGTCTCACGACAGCCGGCATTTGTGACAAAATAGAAAGAATCCTTGCCGAGGCGGGTAATGACCGTGTCATCCACGATACCACCTTCCTTGTTAAGCAGTGTTGACAAGCTGGATGAATGTTTTCCAATCTCATCAATTGCAGTAGGAGTGATTGTCATGAGAAACTCTTCGGCTAGTTCTCCTGACAATTTATGCTGTACCATATGAGATACATCGAATAGCGAAGCGTTATCTCGGGTCCAAAGATGAGACTCTCGGTGTGATTGATCCGGATAGTCCAAAGGCATGGAAAAATTGGCGAACGGGACTAGTTTAGCATTCAAGCTTGAATGAAGGTTATATAGGGGTGTCCGTTTCAACGAGCCTGCAGAAGATTCGGATGATGCATATCGATTTTGAAGGAAGTGGTGGGTTTGATTGCGTTGAACTAAGGCGGACGGGGAAGACAGTGTTTTTTGTCTTGTCCGCCGTTGCTGTTGTACTGAAGCTGAACTCGACTTGGTGCCGGTCAAAAGCACACTCAACTCCCTCCGTGGAATGCGCGCCGTTGAGGATGGCTTGCACTGAGTGGCCGCGGCGACCAGCGGCCGCCAACTATGCTGAGGCATGACGCAATAAGTCACGATGGCACTGTCTTCTTTTAGGATCTGATTCTCACTCCTGGAACCCTCAAATTGGAGGCTGGGTTGCAAAGAAAATATAAACCGAGGTGACGGACTGACAATGGTCTCCCTCACGCGAGAGGAGAATGTGGGAACCGTTATCAAGTTGAAGCTCAAGATTGCTTCCAAAGTAAAAGTCGATCAATGGCAGGAAGGGCGTCGGAGAGGTGAGCGCGACTGACGGGTTCGTGAACTAGTTGATCGTCCAATCAAAACGTCGAACTGATCGGATGCCTTGGCGCCAATAATAAGATGGTCACGTGAATCTCATCTCGCCTGCTGGGAGTTGCTCATCACGATCTCTGTTGATCTCTCTTTTCCTCTCGACGATTCTCAGACTTTGCCTCACGCTCGCGAGGGTCTCGAACCTCCTGCACCTGTCTATGACGAAGACTAGATCGACAATCCGAATGAGACACTGTCGACCGTATCGAAGAAAATCCCGCTGAAAATGGCAACTTCGTAGTGGGATTCTCCTAAACCTCAACGACATCCTAAAAATTTGGCTAAGATGTTGAACGTAAAGAATCTTATCGAATTGTTCAATGACATGTTGTGAGTCCTTAAATGTTACAACGAGTAGCTCGATATGCTGCCGGCCGAACAGAAAGCTCTGAACTAAGCGGACTTGGACAAACTCCCAACCTCATGAGAATCGCTAATCAGTCCGTCAATCTTCCCCATTGACTAGCTCAATGAAAAAAAAATCTTGTTGTTATCAAAGGGTATCCTTCATAAAGTTTTGGATAATCATGCTCGATGAATCTGAGCTCATGCCCCAGGCATGCACAGCGCCTGATCTTGCGCGTCTCTGCTACCACCCAATCCGTCACACAAGTTCTTGCTTCAGGTCCTGCGGATGGAAGCCAAAGACGATAAGGACTTTCGTCTCGGCCACACTGCCTTCCTGTGCAGTGACTCAGAAAGTCATCATGACACTGGTGGAGAACTCAATTGCTACAAAGAATGACGAGTGAGACTCGATCACCTTTTCTGGCATGCCATGAAGCCAATCCGAAGCAATGCTCACTTTTCGTGTATACTCGATCGTTGCACGAATTGCGGCAGATTTAAGACCGGTTGGCTGCTTTGATAATACCACTGCTGGTGTTGTTGTCTTGATAAGTGGCCTCCACTTCCCTCTCGAGGCACATTCCTAGCTTCAACTCGATTTCCTTTGCATGATCATACTGACTTTTCCCAAATCAGAATTCTGGGAAGTACCAAGCTGGCACAAATTCTTCCATATGGTCTAGAGGATCAACGTCTACATGATCATTTTCTTTGGAAGATGGATGATTTCTGTATCCACGGGATTTGAGCTCGCTCTTTCGCTCTCTTAAGGTCTTGCGAGCCCATCTACCTGGTTGTACTCAGTCCATTGACTTTCTGTAGAATGTTTTCACGCGTGATTCGTACTACCCCAGGGACCCATTTGAGGGGGAGGACAAAGGAGCCTCTCCACAGTTATAATCAGCTATCATCTGGAGTGCCCTTCTATACTGCACAAGGTCTCTTATTGCGCCTTCTAGTTGATGGTATCTCTGATATCGAGAGACAGGGTCAGCCGAGGGTGGAACGTCAGTACACCAATGCTGACTGAGAAACCCAAGACAGGGGCAAGGTCGGCAGATCTAGTGGATGTCTGATTACATGTGTTCGGAACAAGAAGCACTGTGAAAGTTCTGAAGGATCTATCGTGTGACAGTACGGCAAAGGATTGCAATCCTACGCCCCGTGGCCGCTCCCAACTCGTTACTTTCTAAATAGCGCTTAGTCACGTGGGAGGTGAACGAGCTGCAGTGGAGCTGAAGCGCGCATCCTGCCGCCCCCGAGCTGCATATTCATTCAGCTGGTGGCCACGCGAGGCTGATTCCATGCTCGCAGCTGAAATACTTAAACTTATGATTCATCATGATCGTTCGTTTTTACAAACCACCTGAAGCTCAGAATGGAGCCACTTTACGGCGAAGGCCCTCAGTCAGTGGGAGACCACCCCGACCACCAGAAAGTATCCAAGAAGGCACCTCAAGCGGTCTTAGCCGATTTCTGGGACAAGTTTCACTCAAAGCATCCCGGAAAAGTGACATCTATCTTCCCACGTAGCCTGTACAAGAATGTGCTGCCCTTGGTCAATCCCAGAGGCTCAAGATCTTCGCAAAATGCGGCGGAGAGCTACGAGGCTGCAGCCAAGGAATGTCGCGAGAAGGTGAAGCGCATCGTGAAGGAATGTCGCCGAACAAATGAAAAGTTTATCGATCCCGACTTCGACATCGAACATGACCCCGATAGCAACTGTCTGAATGGTTTAATTCGAGACACCTCCGGCGGGCCTGAAAGCCTGGAGACCACACCAGTGACCTTATGGGAGATGCAATGCACCCTCGACACCATGGTACGAAGCAATATCCTAGGAGAGGGTAGCACAATCCCAGTCGACGTGGCCGAGTTTGCTAAGGCTATTCGAAACGAAAGCACTGACACGAGTCAAGAGGCATATAGTCCCGGTTCCATCCATCGTCTGGACTGGATTTTTGAGTCTCCCCAATTCACTGTCGACGGGTACTCGAGCTCCGACATCAAACAAGGTGCCAATGGCGACTGTTGGTGGCTGGCTGCGATCGCCACCATAGCCCACCGAAAAGACCTCATGGACAAGGTCTGTGTCGCCCGTGATGAAGAAGCTGGTGTCTACGGCTTTGTGTTCCAGAGAGACGGCGAATGGACATCGACTGTTGTCGACGATAATCTATATCTGAGAGTTCCGGACTTCGACTTTACGCAAGACGTGTATGACAGCACAGGCAAAAAAGCAAAACTTCACAGGACACGAGAGCAGACAGGATCTGAAGCACTTTATTTCGCTCGTTGTGAAGATCCCAACGAGACCTGGCTTCCTCTCCTTGAAAAGGCCTATTCCAAAGCACATGGCGACTACCAGGCTGTCTCTGGCGGCTGGCCGGGTGAAGCAGTTGAAGACATGACTGGTGGGGTTACCACAACAATTGCAAGCAATCGTGTTATGAGCAAGGAGAGGCTTTGGCATGAACTTGTCAATGCCGATGGTGAGTTCGTCTTTGCTCTTGGAGCTTTGGGTACTGGTTGGGACACTCAGAAGAGTGGTCTTGCCCTGGGTCATGCTTATTCTATCCTTCAATCAAGAGAAGAGGTAGATGAGAATGGCAAGAAATTTCGACTTGTCCAAGTTCGGTAAGTACCTCATCACGAAATATTCCCGGGTGTAACTGACGATCGGTGAAGGAATCCATGGGGCGAACGCTCTGAAAAGGGACTCGGTGAATGGAATGGCCCATGGTCTGATGGGTCCAAGGAGTGGACCCCTTATTGGCTGAAGAAGATGAACCATACTTTTGGTGACGATGGCGTCTTCTGGATATCCTACCAGGACATGCTGGACACCTTCATGTACATTGAACGTACACGGCTTTTCGATCACAACTGGACCGTGGTGCAACAATGGACAAGTACTAACGTATCATGGGTGACTGGCTACCTTCAAACCAAATTCCAGATCGAAGTCAAGAAGTCAGGTTTGGTGGTTATTGTTCTGACACAGGTACACTCCCAGGGAAGCGTTTCGATACAGTACTTTATGGCTAATCTTTTACTAGCTGGATGTTCGCTATTTCAGGGGGTTCGAAGGGAACTACTCTTTTGAACTACATTTTCTTCTGCAGGAAGTCAATGCACCAACAGGTGAACATATCTGCCGTGTACGACCCGTCCACCCATGGCAGGCTCGCTCCGTTTCATGTGAGGTCGAGCTCGAAGCTGGAACGTACGAGGTACTTCCCAGAATCAGCGCAACACGAAAGCCCGACAGTAGCCCCGTGGAAGACATTGTGAAGGAGTACGCGGAGAAGAATCCACAGAAGCTTCGTCAAATCGGGATGCAGTTCGATCAGGCTCACGCGAAAGGCGGTGTCGTGGATGAAGACGAAGTGCTCGAGAAGAAAAAGGCAGAGGAGAAGCGCAAGAAGGAAGACAAGAAGCAGAAAGCCTTGAGGAAGAAGGCGCTTGCCAAGGCAGCCAAGGCGGTAGAGAAGGCTGCTCATGCTGTCAAGGAGGCTGTCAAGGCTGATGCCAAGGGTGAAGACACGCCGGATGACAAAAGTGATGACGACGACGACGACGACGATGATGATGGTGACGATGAGGAGGAAGAACCCGACGTGAAAGCAGGCAGCGATGATGACGATGACGATGGCGAGGCAGAGGAAAAGCATGAAGAGGATGATTCAGACAGCGATTCCGATAGCGATTCGGAGGACGAGGATGAGGAAGACGATGAAAACAACGATAGCCCAGCATGGAATGCTGTATGTGTGATGGGCCTGCGTGTCTATGCACAGGACCGTGACGTGGCTATCACTCTGACCAAGGCTAAAGAAGGCGATGAGTCTAGTGCCTTGACAGTGGACGGAGTGCCAGCAGGTGCCACTATGTGATTTGAGGTAAAGTTTTGAATAATCTGACATATGCCAATCGCGACTCACTTATTTACGGCAATGTTTATATTTTCCACATCGGTATTATGATTGCAATGGTATCCCATAAGGCAGGCATACTAGGGGTCGGCACAGGCACTCCCTTGGTAGTTTGCGGAACATCACGTGAGCCCCTCCAAGACTGCCATATAAGCGCAAAAGCTCGACCGTATCATAAACCAAGAAAAATTGTCCTCGCGGGTTCGCTTTCTCAAACCTTCTTCTTCTCTCACCACATCTCCGCGCTCAAAGAATCGCATTCAAAGCTCACGCACAGCAAGAGCACTGTCCCTCCTCTCTCGGAGGGATACGTCAATCCTTGCAAACCCCAGCCTGCTTTGGGAGAAAGTCCCCGGACCACCTGAGCCCGGTGGTTTTTTCTTTTCGGAGGAAAAACCCTGGGATTTCTTTTCACTCAGGACTTGCCGAAAGGCGCCGCCATAAACGCACTTTCACAGCGGCTCATCACACGCCTTCCCCTCTTCCCGTTCTTGTCGACCCTTTTTTTCGCCGGCTCTGACCTCCTCGTCGTCTGTATTTCTCGGTCAACTTTGATCCTTTGGTTCGTTCACAGTGTGGCTCCTCTCTTATTTCGAGGCGTGACGTGGCGTCTGGATTGGATGAAGATATGAGTCCGATCCCTTTGGGCCTTCGGGCTAGGTGTCTCTGATGCGGAGAAGATGGGGAGGGGTTGCCCGGACGGGCTTGGTGGCTGTTCTGGGAAAGAGATGGGGAGGGTTTTCCAATGGGAGCGGAAAAGATGGTGTTCTTCATTGGGATTCAAGAGTTTTTTGGTTTGAAGGTTGCGCAATTCGTCACACGTACACAGTTATGCGATTGCCCTTGGTTTCTTTACTTCTCTCGGGAGGTATGGTGACTTGGGTAACTCGATGGGGCTTATTCTTGAGGCGCGGAGCCACAAAATCCTTTTTTGGGTCTGTAGCTTATTGCAAAGCGGCGACTCATGTGTCGCAGATGTCCTGTCATAGGGACCAGACTCGCATCAACACAAATATCGGATATGGGTGGAACACAAAATGATTCACAAGCAGAGGGCCGTTCAAATGATGAGATATCAATCAATAGAGTCAAGCACTTAGACCCCCATGACCTCTAAAATGAGCATGGGGGTCACTGACGAGCAACGATTGAAAAATCCTGATGAACTATCAATGTGCCCATCTGGCCGTTACGAGACATAGCGCTTTCATGATAGTTCGGGTAGAAAGTTATACATCCAACCTAGCTCTTCCCCAGATTTCTACTTCAGCACATTCATGTGCCTTCGTGATTTTAGAACCAACAAACGCCGAGAATGAAATGCAGATCCTCATGAAGCCTTGCCAGCCGGAACGGGCACTTTGACCTTCTGCTTCACACCACCACCGGGAGTAGCACTCCGATTCCCCGACTCCCGCACGAAGAGCACCATGTAGACAGTCAGATCCGAAACCAGTGCAATGGCCGTCCCACACGCCGTACTCCAGACATTGATGCTGACGCCGCCGTAGGGACATCTGGGGAATCCAAGAATCCACTCGATGTACCACGGGAACCATCCGCGTGGATACGTGAAGACTGGGGTCTTTGCGTGCCAGAACTGAATGGCGAAGCGCAGGCCGCTCGTGGATAGCCAGCGAACGATCCCTGCTTTTGTGTCGAAGGAGCCCCGCGATGATGAGACGTTGCTCGCTGGAGAGAACACGTTCCTCGGTCAGCATCTGGACATATATTGCGACAACACAGGAAAGAGGGAAGTTAGGGCGTGTGCTCATGCGAAATGTGCCCGCGCTAATTCCCTTCCCTTCTAAGTCACGGTCTTGCACATACCTTTCCGATCATGCTCCTCCAGCGCCTTGTCATGCTGCCTCCGGATCTTGGCCCACCTTGCGAAATCATCTTGCGCACTGACCGCATTCATCTCACGCTTGAGTCGCACGACCTCTTTCCGCAATCGTGCCTGCTCTTGAATGTCTTTTGAGGACGGCCCGAATGGGAGCCGGCAATAGATCTGCCATAGCTATGGAGAAAGAGGAATGTTAGCATTAGATTGGAAAGCGCAGTCATTGATGTGCGACGGGAGCTGGGTGGCATACCAGGTCATTGATGGGTTTAGAGCCGATGGTTAGGACCAGGTGGCAGGCGAGTTGGATGAGGAAGACGATGATGAGCAGGGAGACCATGGCTTTCGATGGGATGGGTGCTCATCCGTGGCTTGCTTGGCCCTGTTGCGACGGATGGGGAGAGGTCTCGAGAAGGAGTCGTCCTGGGTGGTGGTGTTGTAATTGTGAGCAAGTGTTCTGGCTTGGGCTTTGGAGTTTCCCCTCCACTATGTGGTGATGCCACTTTCACCTTTTTCACACGAAAAACACGAGTCACGGATGACGTAGTTTAGTCCTCGCTACGACTCAGCGGGCCATCAACCCCTTTACCTGCCAGCCTCTTCAGCTTGACTGTGAATCATTGACGAGAGAAAAGAGATTAATATTTGCAAACTATTCCGCTAGATGAGGGATCATGAGAAATGGTACATTCCATTTGCATTTCTCAACATCTTTTGACCAGAAGTTCGAGGTATACATTTCGTCGCATCGCAGTACATGGGTGGTATCTTTTCTCTGCCCGTTGGCTTGTGGACTTAAAACTGCACAATATGATAATGCCTAAGCTCAGTAAAACCCTCCAATCCAGCCCTCAGACGTGACACTGGTCATCTGGATGTTAAAAGAAGCCTACTCGGAGGGTAAGTTCTTTTGTTTGGGTCGCATATCAGATGCTTGATCCAAAAAAAAATAATTTCATTAATTGAAACTGGTGTCCATTTCCCGGTGAAATACGGAATTTGAGGACCTAGTGACCTGCGATGCAAAAGAAATGAATCCTTGGTAAGACTAATATCTCATTAGATGTTTTCATCAATGAAAAACTTATGCCTTGGCTTTTAATCGAGATTAATGTCATGGTGATTGGAAATTGAGGCTTCAGCAAGCGCAACATTCCTCTTTCCCCTTGCCACGCCGACGCTCTTATCCCATGTCTCAACGCTCTGATCCAGACCTACATTCATTCAGTCGGCATTGCGACTCGTTGTGATTATGTCGTTCTGAATCGTGACAGCTGTGCGACCGTACATTCCATGGGCCCTCCCGACCACCGTGGACAGGAGGATGGCGTAGTGTCTTGGAGCGAGTCTTGATGCGAGGTCATAGCGGTGACAATACCGGTCAACTGGTGGGCAGTATGTGCTTACCTAGAGTGAACGTCTCTTGTCGGCGCTTCCAAAATATAGCGGCGCTCGTCAAAGGAAGCAGCCATCTTCGTGCTTTCTATCCAGCTCTGTTGATTTCACATGTTCCAACCTATGTGGATAGTCGATATCCACCTTCCACAATCTGCTCTGCAACACTAAGCGCTAGACGACACCGATGTTCCTGCTTGCATTATTTCCGTAGCTCTTACCGTGAGCCCGTTCGATCTGAATGGAAACGACGTCTGTCTCTCCGAGTTGTGCAGGATGTTTCCATTAAGAGGCTCTGTATCTTTCCACTCCACAAGAGTGATTCTTTACTTTCAGCATAAGAATTCGTCAAAGAGTTCAAACCTCCAGACGCAGTGCTCTGTTCTTTGTCTCACTCAGACACACAGGGTTGGGAGATGGCCTGTAGATTGCCTGGCCCATTATTTCGGATACTGATATTGGATGCATCATATCATCGTGGGGAGTACAACAATAAGCGGTCAGGACGAGCAAAGCCATTAAACCTACCTGTCCGATGAGGTTACCGGCCGGAGGGCCGCTTGGTCGTAGTCGAACAGACATGGATGCACCCTTGGTCTTGCCAGAAACGGTATGACTTTCTCTTTGGGCAATAGGTCTTGCCTTTCGACCGACGGCTCTCGTTGACGCAAGCCACTGGACCTCCGAGTTAGAGTTACGCCTACCCGAGATCTGGCAGATGCACCGCAAGGGGGCTGCAGTTCAAGCCAAGCCAGGTCTAGAGCGTAAAGCTGATAGCAAAACAACTGGCTATACTTGGAATCACACTTTTGGACAGGCTGGCATCGGGTTTTCAACCTGGCGGTTGGTCGGTTCAGTGGCACATCGGCCTGGAATGGATCATTACAGAGTTTCGTGGTATTATTGTCAGAGGTTGAAATGTCAACAGCGGCTCCAGTCATCCTCTCGTATTGCAAATTTTTGATCGTGTGGCGTTGCCTGACTCGCGTTACGAGTAGAGATGCTCTGTGATGATCGCTTGTCCCTGACGTTGTCAAAAGAACCTTGATTTGTTGCAAGACTGACAGACGTCATGGTCCATAAATGGAGCATCGATAGACTGGGGTCTCTGATTGATTGGCCATGACCACTTCCTCAATTTAGAAAGGTATACTCTGCAACGGTTAAAAGTCAGGATGTTTTTGAACGAACTGATGCCCATAGATTTGATGATTTATTCTCAGTAGCTGGGAGATTTCGAAGCCAGTAGAGATCTGGCGACTGTTTGCGACTGAAAGACCACTTACTCACTAATCGACCTCAAAAAGCACTCTCTCTATTCTCAGCCACCCTGCGAAGAGTATTAGGTGCGATGCGATGGGCGCGACAATTGACTAGTCAAAAGAAGCAGGTGCAAATATGGGTTAGGAAACGAAAGTACCTTTCAGCCAAAGTGCTTGCGATTGGAACATGGTTCACTGCATTAGTTTCTTTCTCGCAGGGCGGATAGGAATATCCAGAAAAGAAGCCTCGTATCCCGGTGAAAACATTCGTGCCCACTGAGTTCAAACTGGAGCAGCCAAGAGCTGTCAGAAATGGTCCTAGGTGTGCGGGGACGACTCCCGTTGAGTCCCTCGTCCAGAGCGTAGCACTTGCGCAGCTGTCAAAGATATCGCCGCCCGGTGACCATTGATCACCGGGAATTGTGGGAAAATACCGTAGTGAGGCTTACCGTTGACCTCATAGGGTGAATTCCTCGTTGTGGATGATCAGACTGACACGATGATGCATGGGTGACTTGCCGATGTCGAGCACATCCGAGATTCTCCAAGTGCAAAGGACGACGCTCAGCCGGGACCTCGGGTACCTCGTACGGAGTACAGTCTTCTGAGCAATTCGCTACCTCGTACATCGTATACGGCAGCGTCAAGCCATGCGACCTTTTGACGTTGGGAAGCTAAAAGTCGTAACGGCGGTGATCATGTCGAGTTGACAGATCCGAAAATGGGAGCAAAACTCAAAGCACAAGCACGAAGACAAAGTTCGGACTGTTTATTAAGTTTTGACGGCTGCCAACGCTAAACGGGGCCGGAGGGAACTGGCACACGATTTTCCCACAGTGGATGGTCCTAGGAGCCGATCAGCACCCAGCCGGGGTTTGAAGGCTGGTCTAGGGGCCGCGGGGAGTCTTGGTGCCGTCACCCACGCGAGAATGTAGCTCTGAGCCGCGGCAGACGCCAGCGATTGCCAATTTTGACGACAGCGTGAAGCGAGGGTCAAAGAGTGTGTCTCCTGCTCTCAGCGGACACAAATGCCATACATTGCTGTGCTTGAACAAAGTGTCTGATCGCATCTCGATCTAAGGGTACATGTGTTGGCCACGGCGAACTGCCCCTCGAAAGAAGACGCCTTCACGAGGCTACATTGTGTCTTGGAGGGTCAATCTTAGGCCTAGGCCTCTTCGTAAGTCAACGCGCCGTTCCGCACAGACCACCTGAACTCCCAGTCGGCCTGGGACAGACAGCTGATCTTTCAGATCCTTGTGGACCATATCTGTTGTCCAGAGGCAACTAACATGGTTTCCCATGCCCATTGGACAGCAGTGCTCGTGGAGGCCATCTCAAGCGAGTCCTTTGCGCACGACCGTCACCTGTCAAAGCAAGAAACACCTGCAGCAGCGGATTTAACCGAAACTCACCGCGCGAGCGAAAATCCGCTCCTCTCCAGACGCTGTACAGAGTGTGCATGAGTTCTGCGGGTTTGCTGCTGCCCAAGGAGTAGTTTTTGTCCCAGTGCCATGACGCAGTTGCCAGTCGGTCAAGCTACCTGGGATCATCAACAGACCGTAGGCCACCCTTGCACCAATCGCTGATAGTCTCAACCACACCCTCATCTGCAGCCATCCCTGTTCCAAGGGGAATGATGGATCTCCATTTGTGGCAGATGTCGGAGTCTCTACCTGACATGACCAGATGCTCCATCCTTCGCAAACATTGCAAGTGTTAGTAGTTGATAGTTAAGGCGCGCTCCTAATTTCGACCAATGCCATGGCTCTCAAAGCTGGCTCTATTTGCAATGGATTCAAGACACGCCAATAGATGGCTCGAGAACGTGGTGTTTGTGCCCGCCGATCGGGTGATCTACCACAGTAGTCCGTTCTGCGGTCTCAGTCGTACGGAGTAGAGTTGCCAGATCCTGGAGTTGCCCATTTCAGCACACGAGCACCTGTTTAGGGTCCTGCGGAAATCTAAACACTTGAACCAGATTGCTAGAGGCTGGGAGTTTGGGCGTTCGGCCCTGCCTGGCCTGAGCAGGGGGAAAGTTGTGTTTGATCCCTCCTTTGTATTCGGTACTCGTATTCTGATCTGCTTGGAAGTGGTATTGGTCTGAGTGTAGATTTCCTTCATTCCTCGTCGATGAGTGATGACGCTCCTTGGGAGAGGTTATTGGTTTCAGACATCTGATCAGCGTCTGTTTGTTGCTCTTATAGGCATCGAGTATCTGATGTTGTACACAATAGTAAGCATTTCCCCAGAGTCTGTTTTAGGGCGTGTAGACGAAGTCGTTACCCAAGATTATGGTGTACGGCTTGAGTGACATATCACCGTACGACAATAGATCATTGTACCTAGATCAACCTAGATGTGCTTCAGTCATAACTGAGAGGCCCTCCGCATGAATCACACTTACTACCAGACCATGGTGCTAACATGGTTAAGTCAATCTCGGAACGAGGCAGCTGCAGCTGTAACTCGATGTGACGAGACCACTTGTCAGCCATTAGGCTATTTCCATGCCGGAGTTGCTCCAAAGTCCTTAGAGGCTCCATTAAAAGCCTCCGGTCACCCACCACCTTCAACCTGGCACACTATAGCGAGACTCTGGAGGAGGGTTCAGAACATAGTAAATCCTTGGAAGTCATATCTGGAGTCACAACTAGCGGCCGCAGCCTTTTCTCGATGGAACAATACATTGTCCCTTGTATGAATTCACCATGCTAATGTTTATCCCTACATGCTATGCCCCATGCCCATGCTTACACGTCCCATTGCCTTGATCCATGCTGACCATGAAATTGCCATGTTCGTTGAAAACCCCATTCTGCGCCATACGTATCCAACGTCCTATCCCTCATTTGAGCCATTGGCTGTGTTGCATGCACCTTGAAATACTGCCAGGGAATCACCAAACGAATGAAATCTGTGGGTCTTGCTTCCCACAACAGCATTTCCTGCGCCGTGCACCTTTCAATGACTGGGGTATCTCTAGAGCCTAGTGAGCGATCGTCCCTTTCCTTGTCAGAACGCGTGATCTTCCGGGAATACAGAAGCTGAAAAGAAAGACATCTCTTAAAGGAAATCGTAAATTATGGATCGAGTTATGGGTGCCCCTCTCAATCTCAACTTGATATGCATGGCGTGCCTCTTGGAGACGGACGGTCAAGACTCATGCACAAAGAATCTTGGCCCATGGTGTGGTTGATAGTTCGGCAAGTGTAGACCCACTGTCGCTGAATGGAGCACTGTGATGGTATCGTAATTGCTCCTCACCTTCGTCATCCTCATATGGTCGCTTACGGCTCACCATGTGATGATCAAGGCTGAATAACACTTCGTCACTCGCTTCTGAAAGTGGCGTCAGAACGGACTGTTCAGTTGAAAATGTGCAAGACGACTTGGCCGCCTGCGAGTCGGAGAGGCTGAGTTCCGCTTCTGTAGGCGTTCTTGCCAGTGTGCTTGCAGGTGAAAATTCGGGTTTGGTGGCTTGTCGATAAGTCGAACCACCATACGAGCCACCTTGACGTGTCGACTGCCAGTCCATGCTCGACGGACCGCCATAAGGAGGTAGAGACAAAGACCCATGCCCTCCGTCAGCCCCATGGCCACTGCCATGGCCAGGGTCCATACTTGACTCGCTGTCCCTCCGGTTATTGTCTTTGTAGTGGCCTGGAGAGCGACCCCTTACCACCATTGGCTCGGACTCTTTCGTTGCGATCACAACCCAATGTTCATTTTCGTGACCTCTTCCGATGCTGGCGGATAGCTCTACGACCACCAGAAAGTATTGCTGTTGTGCGCGACGTTTGCCATTGTTAGCGGTTGCTTTTTGGAATTGGATCCTCTCAAAAGTATGGTTGGTTGGAACAGTGTTCGCTGTCCCATTCTCGTATCCAATGTACGCACTCATCATGGTACCTGGCATATGCTGTCCCGCTTGATACAGAGAGTTTGATCCATGGAAGACGCCATTGCCACCAATGTTTGCGTGGGGCGTTGGAGCGATTGGGTGTCTCCCAGGCACAGACTCCGTAGCCTTGTCACGCTTGGGCGTATGCTGAACCAGAGAACGCACCTCGCTCTCACAATTGGGCGCCGATGCCGTCTTCGCCGTAATTGAAACCCCAAATTGGTGGATCATCTCGCGCTGCCCATGCCTGTTCAGATAGTATGGTGTTTCTGTCATCGAACTCTTGAAACTGAAGGAGCATGCGACTGCAAAATAGTTTCGCCGATAGCACGTCCACTTGCAATCTACAAGGAAGAAGCCTTTCTGAATATTGGCTGAGATCTCCGGCATCAGATGTTGATTATGAGCATTGACCACTGGGTGAATGACATGTGTGTCGCCAAATGGTGGACCCTCTTGTGATGTCCTGTTGGTACTTTCATGAAACGAAGACGACATCTGCCCCGGGAACGGATGCTCAGCGACAGTGTATGAATTGCCGATGCTGTTTCGATGGAATGTGCCAGGCGGATACCGAGTTGAGTGATGTTGAAATATATTGGGGCTGATCGATTGCCCAGGTTGATATGAATGAGGCAGTCTTTCCACCATTTGTCTGTTAGGGATGAGTGGTCCAATACCGCTGCCAGTAGAAAAGTGTGTAGTCAAGGGAGGCGACAGAGGGTGATTACTGCTGCGTCATAAATCTCAGCGTTGGTCATAGTAGGAGAATGTATGCAGCAGATTGTCTGGTAAACCTACTATCGGATACGCTCCATACCAGTTGTCGAAGATCCAGTCCAGTGAGCTGCACTCGAAAAATGATCCGCTGAGCCTACATTGTTAGGAAACGGTTTTGGAAGGACCGCATACACACTGGAAGATGATGTCGGCAGGCCGCTTGCACTTCCTGAGCCGCTCGTAGAGTCCGGTGGGCTCAATAGTAACTGTGAGTTTGAGTGGTATCTGTTGCCCTCATCTCATAGGTCAGCAATGTAAGGATTTCAAAGCAATATCATGGGATAAGTATGCGAAACACTGTGAGTGCAACTCCGGGTTCATGTGGTGAACAGAACAGGTTGTTCGTGGAAAAATGGCTCAAGTGAGGTGTTGTCCCTCAGTTTTACAATATATCGAGGGAGGGGCATTCCGCAGAGTGATGCCCAACTTAAGGCCATGGCCTCTTGTTTGTAGCAGCTGAGCACAGAGCAAAGGTCCTCATTGGTTATGTTGACAGGCTGTGTAGACTAGAAAAGGAAAGGAAGATCGGATACTCACGATGGTGTCTCATTCAACAGTGAACTGGCACCGAACTCGATGGCGGTGTTCGCTGGCACTGCTACACCTGGTGCTGAAGAGTCATTCGTCAAGCTGCCATGCGATCTACGGTTTGAGAATGGATAGTCATTGGCAGAGTACGGAGGATTTGAATATGGACGCTCCTGACCAAGGTATTTGGATTCTGAGGAAATTGGAAAGTCGAACGGGGTAGAATGCTGAAGCAATGCTGCACATCGGTATGTTAGCCAGTAGCAGCAAGGATAAAACCAGAATCAAGGGAAGAATTTGATAAAAAGAGAGAAAAGCCTGACACAAGATCATGCATTTCGCCTGGGCAGAGGGGTGGTTCCATCGTGGACAATTGCCATTTGAGCACCAAATCGGCAGGCAGGTATGACAAGCGGGACACCTAGTCAGGGTAGGTAGCTAGCAGCCGCGGCGCGAAATGGATGCACAACCACCGAGAAATTGGCAGTCTATCTGCGCACAGCATATGAATCATAAACTGCCAGACAATGTGCGGTGTATGAGACAGAACATATTTGCTGCAGCCTAACAAGGATTCGAAGTGTGGTGTGCAGATAACAGTGCTCAAGAGCATACGTACTTGGGTCCATGTTGCGGCCAAATGTTGGACCAAGAGCGTGGGCAAGGCTGAGATAACAGCACGCAACTGATTTAGACTTTCTTCAAGCCGGACTGTTCGAACGCCGCTCCAAATGCTTGCGAATTCGCTTGCCTGGCACTCGTACGTTTTGACTGCTGGATCTTCGGCTAGGCAAAGGACGGTCACAATGTGATTGGGAGCCACTGCTCCAAAAAGTAAGACCTCGTTTTATTTGACCAGGGTTTCGACAAGTCCTGCAATAGGACCACCAATAAGCCTTTGGGTCAGGCTGCGACCCCACCAGATGATCGTGCTTGAAAGGCGTTCCTGATGAGGTTAGTAAGAATTATATCACAAGTGAACGCAGGTGATATCTTCGTGCAAAATCAGCCAATATTATGCCTTCCACACTGATAACGAGGATTAGACGTACCTTTGGGGTAGAGGGTGGAATCTGAGTATTGCGACTGTGATATGATCCTCTGCCTAGGTCAGCGATGTTCCGTTCTAGCGAACCACTTTCCTACATCAGGATCGCTGTTGTGCTGAAAACGAGATACACGGTTCAACGCCATTCACTTTCACAGAAAATTCATACTGAATATGATCACGTACCTGAATATCTCTTGTTTGAGTTCTGTTTCAACACACCGTACGAATCACTGTCGAGCCTCGTCAGACCTGGGAGATGTGCTCGAATCCCGGTTCAGACCTTGACTTGGAGCGCTCGTGGTCTGATTTCTGCGCGTATAAGCATACGCTGAAGGCTGCGAAGCATGAAGTGTTGGAACCGATGGAAGAGCGCAACACAAAGTGGTGACCCACTGGCAAGAAGGTTGACGAGAAGGATTTGAAGCAATACAGCGATTTGATTAGAGAAGTAAGATGTCTGCAAACCTGAAGATGGTGATGGGATCAAGAACGGCAGAAAGAGCATTCAAATGCGCGTGAAAACAAAGATTCAAGGACTGAAGCAGGGGTCCCGCATCAGTATTGATGGTTTGCTGGCTCCTTTGGGAACGCTGGGATTACAACTCGGAAAGTCTTGCACGGATGTAGAATTGACTAGCTCAGCCATCACCGTGGTTTCGAGATCTGGCATTTGGCTACCAGTATTCGGTGAGGGCGTGGAAATAGCCAAACGTTGTTGTCAAGGACCATTTGATGGAAGGCTGCATATTGAAAGGCCAATGAATGTCCGGGACAGGATAAGTGAGCCTTGGACCGCCCGACTGTGATGCAGGCGGCCTTCTTCAGCAGCCCTGGTATCAGAACTAAAAATTGCCACAATAATGGCATGGATATCGTATCGTTTCAACTACCCGTGAGGGAATGGGACCTCTGGGCAAAGCGTATCATTTGGAGGGACGCAGGAACAAAGAGATCATCACGCTCGGACCTTTCAGAAGCCTGTTTCAGCTGGCAACCATACCGTCGTAACCGGAGAGCGATGGCCAGAGTCCTCATGGAGATTGAGGTATGGTGCATGTGGCTTAGATGAAGAACACCTTGGATCTTGGGCACAGAAGAACGCCTGTCACAACCATCGCACTTCCAACCACGGCTTTGTTTGGACTGTCCATGACGGAGGGCACTTGACCATTACTGCACGGAAATCTGGAGATTAGCAGAACCCGGACCAGTCTGTGAGCTCATGGGCCAGCTGCACCTCACCATCCAAAATTGAAGCCACAGAACGCTTCTCGAACGAAACTTCATGTCCGAGTCCAGATAGAAATCATGGCCGTGACCCATGTCCTCGAGGGCTGATCAGCAGTCACCTTGCAAAGAGAGCAAGAGCGGCGTTCTCGGGTCCGGGGCCATGCTGGTAGGAGTGGAAGTCGGTGAACAGGGGCCGGCTAGACCGATACAGACCAGAAACAAGGGAGGAATCCGACTGGGTGGGCCACACAGACAGGTAAGAAGGACTGATGCCATACCAGGGGTGTCAGCGAGAAGGGAACGGAACCTACCAAGCACCCCTTTGTTGTTGATAAACTTTGGGAGGGCATTCAAGCTGAGCTTAAGCTGCGAGACATACGCTCGCATTGCTCATGCAGCTCGTCGGAAGTCAAAGCAGTGGGAGCAGCCTGGAACTGGCCATGTCCCAGTGATCGCCGATAGGAAATTCTGAAAGAGCAGCCTAGAACAAAATCCAAACGAGGTGGAGCCGCTCAGAGTGATTGGCCCTGCCAGTGCGAGTGCGAGTGCCCGTGTCAACATGGGCCTGCGGGCCGAAGCCTGGTTGCAACTTGCATGCAAGTATGTTGTGCACAGAGGCGGATGATGGCGGCATGGTGGTTTTGAGATGCCACAATTCATTGGTCTATTTCCCAAGGTAAAGGACTGCGCCAAATCGGAGCAAGTTGGCGTGGATAAACTATGGCAGTCTGGTGGAGGGTGCTGGAAAAATGGAAATTTAGTGGACAGTTGATAGGCAGACTGCCTGATGAAGGCTGTGGTGGGTGATGAGACTGGACTTGGGGATTGCCAACGGATTGTGAGGTGAAGTCGAAGGTCGGAGCCGGTGGGAAACAAATTCGAGTTGAAGGCTGAAGAGTGACTCTTGCAAGATTGAAGTTGGAAGCGGTAGCGGTTACGGTTGCGGTCACGGCCTGAGTCGATGTGAAGGCCCCAGGTCAGGCTGACAGGAACACCTGGAATCTCAATGTGCTAACTACGAGTACCTTCGGTACTCAGTAGCCCAGGCTCAGCTACTGTAACCAGAACTCACGTTGGAACTCAGAGGGACTTGGAGTCTAGTTACCTTGAATGGCAACGGGAGGAAGGTGCCGAGTCAATGCTTATCTTGGAGGGATGAAGGAGGAAGGAGCGAAGGAGGTACCGTTGACCACTGCGCAACCTCATTTTCCGCCTGTCACCTTCCCAGTCTTGAGTACCTACAGGTACTCAGGACTACTACTAGTACATGATCCTCCACATCAACTCATCACAACTTCTCGACCACGACCACGACCTCGACCTCGACCTCGACCATGACTCGTTTTTCCAGGACGCTCCATCAATCATCATTCTTCCTCTCAATCTTGACAACCAACAAGGGTATGTGACTTCCCATCTTCCTGCCTCCAGCATAGGACACCTCGACTACACAACCACGAGGACTAAGTTATACCCGGGCATTTCGGAGGTTTGTTTGGCTCTGGGTAACAAAGGAAACCTCAGTCCTTCTCACCCACTAGCAATGGAGATACCCGCTTATCCTCCTCGTTGTTGATTTGGTCCAAGGCTAATGGTCGTCTTCGGTTTCTGACTACTTGGGCTCTGCCATTTAGAACGCCTGGCGGAAATGCCCTATCATTTTTGTTTCGTTGCGAGGCACGGTTCCTTCTCGCGCTCGGTATTCGACTGATCGCACAATGCACGCTGGACGCTGCTCGCCCCATCGATGCTGACATTGACCCTCACCGCCATTGTTGAGGGGAACCATCCGCCATGTTGGGCGCTTCTTGCTGCTTCATCTACCACTCCCAACTCCCTCACTCTCTAGCTTTCCGCTTCTCGAGGCTGCAATATTTGACAAATCCTGCAACTTTGACAGGTTGCACCGCAACTGCCTGTTTCGCAGCTTGGGCCAACAGTTTGTCTCACCTTTGGAGCTGGTGTGACCCTCGTGTGGTTCTTTGTTGTCTAACAAAGCCCTTCACAGCTTCACATCGACTGGCCCTCTCGTGGCTTCGGTCGATCCTCTGATGACCCCACCCTAGACCCATCCTATTCTTGATTAGGCACTTTGGCAGGGCCTGGCTTTGGCTCTTCCACTTTTGCAGAGCCTCGTTGGATGGAACCGCTGCCCAACAATGGAATGCTGACCACATGCCGGTTGATCTTCCACAGTTTTGCCGTGCTCGCAACCGTGTCCGCCACAACCTGCGGATGCACAGATGCAGGTCCAAGGCATGGCCAAGGCCGTTGTGCAATTCTGGTTCAGACCATCTACGGAAGACTTGGGTCAATGCCTATCGGCAATCAGCATTGCTGGATTAATTTGCCCCTTCGGGATATTTTGATCTGGGCCGACAACGATGTTGACACCTGCATCCGCTATCAATGTTGGATCCTAGCTTCATTGCAGGGCTTTCTGCAGCATGCCCGTCGAAATCCGAAATGCATTTCTCGTGCGAAGTGATGACGTGTTCTGATTCATGATTTTTGTCAAGATTTCAGCATCGAGAGCGCTGCCTAACCTGATAGATGTTCCATGTGTGGGCGCAAGGCGTGCAGCATGAGACCCTTTCAGCCCGGTGTAACTACAGATCTCCAGCATGCTACTCCAAGAGGTGAGTGAAGCTCAAGGGCCTTTGTGGCGCCTCCTCGAGTCATCTCAGACTATTAGACACTCGTGCAGACGTTGTCGGTACCGCGCGAAGGCCCCATGCCCGATCGTCGACAGTATCATACTGCTGTTAGATGGAACTGCGGCTGAGAGGACCAAAACTGCTGTGCAAATAGTGAAGTCGCTTCAAGGCCTATGGAAATAAGCAGGTCACCCCTCCCACGACTCCGAAAAACGCGCGACTTACGTGGTTCTCACATGTCCTAACTTGTAGATCCGAAGGGAAAAGGTCCTGTGGTATGTATGTTTCTCAAAGCCCGGGACATCAGGTTGAACGGGCCCTGAGATCTTCTCCAGAATCTGTCACTATAAACCCATGTATGAACGCCATGGAATGCAATTTTCCCGAGTCATAGAAGTCTTCGGCTTCGATTTCGTACAGTCCGTACCACGCTGGTCTCTTGCTCTGTGGCATTTTACACCTGAGGGGGCCAGATTGGATGGCATTGCGTGCTTGCTTCATCATCCATCAATCAATCACGGTCTACGGAGCTCAATCCCCTCCTAAGTAGTCCTCTTCGCAAATTCTACTCTGAGAATCAAGTGCCTGTAGCCCCAGCCATCCATCTTCTCACAAGCCCTGGCAGCGTCTGACCGATCGACGAAAGATATGAATGCAAAGCCCTTGGCGCGGCCTGTGTCTCTGTCCTTGGCCAGGAATACTCTCGTGACACGGCCGAACCGCTCAAAGAGATCGCGTAGTTCTTGTTCTTCTGCCATTTCGGACACCTATGATGGGGGAAAAGAAATGTTAGTGATCATAGGGCCTTTGCATCAAAAATAGCATCAAAAATAGCATCAAAAATAGCATCAAACCAGCAAAGGGGTGATGTAAAGATAGTGATGTGAGAAGGAAAATCCAACAGGGGAGGAACTCACATTCGTGACACGCAGCGTAGCGAGGTCATCTCTCTCGTACTTTCCGCCCATCCTCTCACCAGCGGCGGACGCACCACCCTTGTTTCCTCTGAGATGAGGCGGGACGTAACTGCTACCGCCGGCACCGAGACCACCGGCAGCATTGGCGCCGTCGTTGTCCTCAGCCATGGGGTCGGCGACCGGGGTCGTGCCGTCGTCTGCAGGGGTCATGGTGTCCTTGAAGGGACATCGCGCGGTGAAATGCTCGCCCTGGCAGATACGGCACTTGACCTTCTTGTCGCGCAGCTGCTCCTTCAGACTCTTCTCTTCCGCCTTGCCGCCACCCGCCTTCGCCTCCTCCGCCTGCACGTTCTTCCAGTCTCTGCTCGGCCGGAAGATGATGTTCTCGCCCACGGATGTCGTGTCGGGCTGTGGTCCCTTGGATTTGCCCTTCTCGAGCCCGAATTTCGCCCAATTGCGTCGCTCCGCCACCACCGGGTCGACTTTTTCTTTGTGCACGGTCGTTCGGGTCTTGCGTGTGGTTTTCACTTTGCGGCCTTGGTCGTCGATTCGGTATGTGATGGTCGTCTTGGTGCCGTCTTTGTTCACTGTCGTCACGGGCGCGGGTAGAGACGAGGGGTCGAGTTGTTCGGAGTCTGAGACATCATCGGCCCAGTCTGGGCGGCTGTTGGCAACAAAATTTTGATTAGCACTCATTTCAGGCAGAGGAGTCTGAAAGCTACACCGCGCTTCCGGAAGAAGAAGTCACTGAGGACTTACCTCGCAGTTTTGGACATTGTGATCTCTTCTCGATATAGTAAAATGGTGGGTGAGCGAGTGATCTCTGCGAATGTGGGTAGCGGGTCAGATCTTGGGAAATGTCAGAAGTACTGGAACTTGAAGTTGAAGCGCACATTCAAAAGAGGCTAGACTACTCTGCGCCAAGGCTAGAACTTTCGAGGGATCTCATTGTAATTACATAACCTTTGCCACAAGTTGGGTACCACTCCCCATAAAACCAGCTATGCAGCTTTTTTAGTCATGAATTCATGCTGGATTGCGATGCTCTTCTAATTCTGTATTCCGATCTGCACGAGACAATCCGGTTTGCCTCCCATGTCAAATTCTGTCCTTAGCCACACATTCGACTCCATGTTAGACGATTACGCTGAGGTATGAGAGTTCACAACGAAGAACAAACCACTTCCCTATACCTAGATAGTATACAGGCGTAGGATCTTGTCGTTTACCTCGTCTGTTTTGGTTTTCCCACTGGGGGGACAGGAAGGTCGAATCGAACCACGATAGTGGCTTTGCAAAGCTCAACACTGCTCATCGACCCTTCCCTGTGACGATGAAATGCTGGAAACACTGCAAAGCCCATTTCTCCAACCCTTCCATTGCGATCCTCGATAGGGCTTCTCTTAGGTCGTAAGAGAGCACCGGTGCTGCCATCAATCACGTTGAACTTCTTGAGATCCTGCGCTGATAATGGCGTCCCAATTCCCAGAGCAGGCGTGCGAAAACCGTATGAGCTTGTTGAGAAATACATGCCTTCTGCAAGCATTGCAGCCTCCAGGATAAATGCTTGACAATCCAATCTAATGTCATCAACTGCCTCATCAGACATTCCTACCAATTCCACGGATTGGAGAATTCGGAGTTGCCAGTCATTCAACGCCTTAAGCTTGTTCCCAGCAGCTGTACTGAACAGATCCAGCACACGTTGCAAGTCCGCTCTCCAGGACTGACAGTCTTCGATTGCTACGCTGAAGTTAGACCATTCACCAAGCAAAGATCACAGCAAGGGTCGATCACTTACCTTTCGCAGGTTCCAGCTTTTGCACACCTGCGGCAATACCACCCAGCACATCGTTCGTCACTGCGTCTAGACCAAATCGCGAGAACTCGTTGTGGAGAAAGCCTGCTCCAAGAGCCCTCATGATGAAAGCGCTCACCATGACATTTCCGAGTGTTGGGAATTGACGAATAGCAGCGATTTCCTCTAGCGAAAAGGCATCTCCCAAGGCGATGGGACCATCAGAACGCGATTGCACATCACCCAGACGCAAAACATTGTTCTCTCCATCCGCCACACTCTTGTACACCCATTTGTCGATGCTGTCACACAAATTCGTATATGTGTTAAGAAGCTCTGTATCAGTTTGGCCCTGGAATGGCTGCGAACGAAAAATGCGCTCTTTGCAATCCTCGAGATTCTTCTCGAGATTATGGTTCAACAGCTTGTGTTCTTGAAGGTGCGATTTAACAAGCTCCAGCTGGTCCTTGAGTGCAACATTCTTTCTTTGATATGCTGCCTCGTTTCCCTCATATATCTTCAACTCCGCTTGGTACGTGTCAATCTCCCCCCGCAGCTTGTTGATTTCGATGCTTCGGTCATCGAGACGATCCTTCGCCCTACAGTATTTGTTTTTCCAATGGTCAATTTCATCCTTCGCTGCTCCCACCATGTTCTTGTTGATCACTTGTTGATCCTTTAATTCAGCTTCGAGATGTTGAACCTTTTTGTAAGCTTCTGCGAATGCTTCCATCCGAGAGTCGGAAGCAGATCCTTCAAAGGTCACGTCTGGCCCATCGTTGTCCGTTTCGTGTCGATGCTTGACAAATTTGTCGCTATGGGTGGCTCGTGTTTTGAGGCGTGATTTCTTTTCTGGTTCTATGGCAGCAAAGTGCGTACTCTTGCGCTGATCGTTGTGGGAATTTTCATCATGATAGCGATAGCCCGTTACTGCTGGATTTAGTGGATCAGGGCTAGACTGAGCTTCTGAGATGTCAGCCTCCGGGTCTTGATGTTGATTGTGGTTTGTATGGTCGATCATGTTCAGATCTGGGTTGTTGAGAGTCCCCTTCTGCTGATGGTCGCTTTGTGATGTCGCTCCTTTGCCGGAGGTCGATCGCCCTGTCAGGTAGTCATACATTCCTCTGACCGCCATGATTTTTCAAAGTGGGATGGAGAAAATACTTTGGACCGGGGAATAGGCAAAAGTGTTTAGAAAAATGAAGGGTGGAAAAGGCAGAAACGAGGTGAAGACTGGTAGAACAAGTGGAAGCTTTGTTGATGGTCAAAGGCAAGAGGCAGTCACTTGAACCTCACTTGGGACTTCATTCACTGACTGACGACCGTACGCGTTGGCCACATGCACTTCACCCACAGCTTGTTGGGTTGCCTGTTGAGAAAGAAAAACTCACTCACTCATTCCTTCACCTCTTCCTTTTCTTCCCTTCAACCCTCTCTCCTTCTATCTCCAACTCTCTCTCTCTCTTTCTCTTTTTCTGCCCTCGTCCTCGTAATTTTCCTGGAGTTCTTCTTAACAACATGGCATCGAGAAGCGATACCAATCACTCGGTACAAACGATGGAGCGTGCTATCCTCGTGGCCATGGACTATGGTACCACCTTCTCTGGCATCATGTGGGCACAGACTGCACGAGTTAGTTGCTTGAACCCTATACCTTATTACATACAGACTAATTTTGTGATAGCCGGATGTCAAGACGACCATCGTGCAATGGCCAGATTCAGATGGTTTACTGGAAGCGCGCACAAGCGACAAAGTTCCCACCGAAATGATTTACGACGAAGATGAACTCAGATGGGGGTTCATGATCAAAGATGATGAAGCTCGCCATCAGTGGTTCAAACTCGACCTCGATCCGACTCACGAAAACGAAGTGTCACGCCTGACCATCAATTTTCCCGATCCAAAGGCACTTCCTCCCCTCTACGACGGTGCTTCTGGTGCTGTTAAACTGTCCACAGACTATCTCAGTTGTTTGAGACAACATACAGTCAATATCCTCAAGCTGAAGCTCGGCGAAGGGGTTGTCAACTCAACACCTATTCGATACATCATCACAGTACCAGCCATCTGGAACGATGCCGCCAAAGCTCGCACTCAGCAATGTGGTATCGATGCTGGTATGGGTCTTGATATTCGAATCATATCAGAGCCCGAAGCTGCGGTCGTGCATGCTCTCGATGTCATGGATCCACACAATCTCAACGTTGGCGACACCTTCGTTCTATGTGATGCTGGTGGAGGCACTGTGGATCTGATATCATACAGTGTGACTCGCCTTGAGCCCAAGCTGGAAATTCGTGAGGCTGTTGCTGGTAGTGGAGATGCATGCGGGAGCATTTTTCTCAATCGCATCTTCCGAAAATATCTGGTATCCCAACTGGAGGATGTTGAGGGAGTCGGTGATGATACCGTCGAAGACGCGATGGCTGATTTCGAGAGCTCAACCAAGCGCAAGTTCACAGGCGAAGAGAAAGATGTGATCATTCGCGTTCCTGGGCTAGCAGACGATGCCGCAAAGAGAATCAAGCGTCAAAAAATGACCATCAACACCTCGGTTCTGAAGGCTCTCTTCGAACCTGTCATTGCCAGCATCACAACTTTGGTAAAGAATCAGCTCAAACAAACTAAGATGGCGAAGGCAGTGATCTTGGTTGGGGGATTCGGCCAGTCTCCTTATCTCCGCAAATGTATTGAACAGATTGTTGGCGATGCAGTTGAGGTTCTGCAGCCACCCCATGGCTGGACTGCTGTTGTACGAGGAGCACTCATCAGAGCTTTGAACGAAGATGTTCCTGGAATTTCCAGAATCACTCTTGCTTCTCGTATCGCTCGCAAAGCATATGGAATACGAATTGCTTCGTCGTTCATCGGAGGAGCCCATGAAAGTCACAGAAAGTAAGTATGAACCTTATGTCTCTATGCTATACTGACAGACATAGGTTTTGGAATCCGTTCTGGGGAAGATACGACGTTACAACTATGAAATGGTTTACTGAGCAGGTATGAGAATCCAGCTGCTTTGGTGTCTTTCATGCTGACGAATTAAGGGCGACGAAATCGACCAAGAGAAACCTCTAGTGGCACACTTCCTAAGCACGCAACTAATCTCAGGCGGGCCACTGAACGAGCATTCCGTTAGGCTCTACAGCTTTTCATCTCGCAGCAACGCCAAGGCCCCCCTCTACCCTTGCGGTGGTGAGTTAGCCACTCTCACGTTGTGACAAGCGCTAATACCCACAGATATGAGTAGGCTGGTGAAACTGACCGCCAACTTGTCCAGCATCTCTACCACGCTGATCCCGACCAAAGTAGGTGCAGATGGCCTGCCTTACTATTATCTGTCCTTTGAGATCAAGGTCAAGTTCTTTTCCGCTCACACTGAGTATTCTTTGTGGTACAAGAACAAGGAGTATGGCAAGGTGAACTCTGAATATGCTTGAGCTTCCCTACAACTTTCGGGAATCAACACAGTTGAGTCGAGCAGGGCAGTGATGGTCAACAACACCGAAGAGGACGATGGTTTCGGCGATAGTTATCGACAGGGATGTGCCGTCTGACATTCACAGGCCGATGTCGTCGGGTTCCTCTATTGAACTTCCGTCGCAGATGAAAACCACTTGTTGAGAGTTAGCAAACAGAAAAGCATGTTTAACTTGGGACAGACCACAAGGTGTCAAGATCCAGGACATCGAGATAGTAGAATCCATACACTTGCTGTCCATGAACATCTTTGCTTGCAACCGTGACTTCCACTGTTGTGTGGACTTCAAGCCGGTAGCCCCACATTGTGGAGGACCATTCTCTGACCAGAAGCGTAGAAACCGGCAGGCCCTGCCACACGCAGGAATTTTCACGCTGCTGTTCCAAATTAAAATCCCTGAACCACGGATGAAGCTACAGAACACGAGACAAAACATGGGACTTCAACCACAATTGATTCACACCAAAATTACTCAAAACTACGATATACAATAGTTCGAGCGAAGCTCTCAGCATTTGGCGATACAAACGACAACAATCTAAGTAGACGACTATAGCTTGCTCTTGGACACGATGAGAGCGTTTCCTTTCCGTAGCTCAGCGACAGCATCGTTGACGAACTCGTCGATGATGACGCGTGCGGGCTTCTTCTCGTTGACCACGGCTGCGGCCTTGCCCATCAGGAATGGACGGGCGTTCTCCATGTCTTCGTCGGAGAGATCGTCACCTTTCTCTTCGAAATCGTGCTCAACCTGATAGGAGATGGGGTGTTAGTGACCATTTACACTTTTTGGGGTGTGGCGGAATAGGGGCATTATTGGGACAGGTCAACACTTACGGGAATGACACCCTTATCAGTCAGAGTCTTGATCTCGGCCTGGCGATTCTCCTCCCAATTGCGGATATATTCGTTGTTTCTGACCCGGAGAGGTCGGCCAGTGAAGATGATAGTCCGGATATTGTCGTCGAAGCCGGCGGTTCGGACGGCTTCTTGGTGAGCCTTTGGTGCACCGGCTTCCTCGGAGAGAACGAATCTCGTTCCGACCCAGACGGCGGAGGCGCCCAACATCAAAGCTGCGGCCAACGACTGTCCGTTGAAGATACCGCCTGCAGCCACCAGCTGAACTGGTTTACCTGTGAATTTGGAGTTGGGTGCATCGGCCAGAATCTTGGCAACTGCTGGGATGAGAATGGTAGTGGGAATATCACCCTATCAGAGCCTTTAGCAAGGGGAAAGGAATAAAAGGGACAAGCAGCTTACAGTGTGGCCACCACCTTCACCACCCTGAGCAACGATGATATCCGCGCCGAGGTCAAGGCACTTCTTCACATGCTTTACGTGACCAATCATGTTCTGCAAGTCAAGTAGTCAATAATCTGCCCCAGTCGATTTCTTGTAGCGTTTGACTTACGGCATATAGAACGCCATGCTTGTGGAGCTTATCAACAATCTCACGAGGAGGCACGCCAACAGCCGAAACTATGACCCAGGTAAGCAAGACGCATTATGTTGAACGTGGCCATGTCTTACCAAACAGCTTGGCCCCAGATTCAATAACGATATCAACCAATACACCGAGCTTCCCCTTGGTGTAATCGTAGCTGACAGGGTCAGTCAAGTGGTAACATTGGGGATTGGAGGTATATGCTCACTTTGTCTTTCTGGCGCTTCCACCGACTTGAGGTAGGAGGAGATCAATACCAAAGGGTGCATTCTTGTCGTTCAGATAGCCCTTGAGTTCGGCAACCTGTTCTCGAAGCATGTCTGGGGTATAGCCAACCTATTCCATGATGTCAGTTACACCATATACCTAACTGAATCACATGTGGATTGTCTTACACCGCCAATAACGCCAATACCGCCGGCATTTGTGACTGCGGCGGCCAACTTGGGACCAGCAGCCACATTCATGCCGGCCAACATGACAGGGTGGTTGATCTTCAAGAGATCTGTGACCGTAGTCCTCAGCTGTTGTGGAGAAGACATGTTGAAGGATAGATTCGCAGGGATTGTCTAGGACAGGGTAGTGGAATGTCGCAGGCAGGAATGGATACGTCGTTGATTGAAGAGGGCGAGATGGGAGTGGATTGGAGAGCGGTGATATAGAAGAAGAGATAGAAATGAAGCCGAGATGGTTGAGACAAAAGTAATCAATAATAAACGACAAGAACAGGAGGAGGATCAGGCCAGTGGGTGAGGACTGAGCGCAGATGTGGTGATGGTGTCGTGGAGACCTCCAAAGTACCGAGGCAGATACTCAGCAAGGAATTGGAGCCGCTCCTTAGCCCGCACTAACGCCCACTTTCTGGGGTTGGCGGCTTCATTTTGAGGAGCACATGGCTCGTACATCGTATGATACCGAGCGGACTGCCGTGACAACCAAAAATGTAAGTACCTAGGTACCTCTTTCTCCCTACCTTCCTCGTAACTTGCTGACGCTGTCAGTTTCCGACGTATTTCTTATCGTCGATTCATAATGAAACCGAGTACGATTTCTCTCACACTCCGAAGATGATTTCAACACCAGATGCCAGTGACTCTCAAAGTGACTCGAGAGGTCTCCAAAGAATTCCTCGGCTGAGATGCCTGATGTGCTGTCGGATTTCTTAGACTCGCGCTAGTGCGCAATTAGTGTCTGCTAACTTTTTTCCCGACTAAAATGGTCAGCTGGAGCACCATCTCGAAATCTCGAGTCCCTCACCACAGAAACTGAAGGTTTTGGTTTGTGTGCCCTTGAAGTGTGGAGTCCCTGGGATACCATCGATGTCCCTGCCTCGATTGTCTCATTCTATCAGTCTCTCCAACTTGTTTTGTCCCAGATACCGTCAGGTGCTCGAGTGCTCTCTCGTAAGACAGACACCACATCTGGGCATCCCCCACAGCCATGGCTTCGCCGTGGCTGGTCTGAAAAGATCTCGTCATGGCAACCAGACTCGTTCGAGGTCACAGTCTCGCAGATCCAGTATAACTCAGACTCGACTTCAGTCAACCATCTCAGATATGGAGGAGAAACCCCCTCAAACCAGATTGCCCAACAAGGCTGTCGTCGCCTTCGGGAGCAACATGACATTCACCAGACGTGTGGAAAATATTGAAGCCGCGTTGAAGCTTATGAAAGAATCGAATCTCCGAGTTACCAAGCTTAGTCATCTCTACGAGACCAAGCCTATGTATCACCACGCCCAAGATCCCTTCCTAAATGGTGTCTGTGAAATAGAAACAGAGCTCAACCCGGTACCTCTTTTGCATGCTTTGCAACATATCGAGAATGAGCTCGGTAGGAAACGCACCATAGCGAATGGCCCAAGGACCATCGACCTTGATATACTGCTTTACAATGACGAGCAAATCAGCCATCCACGACTTGATGTACCCCACAAGCTTATGCTGGAACGAGAGTTCGTTCTCCGTCCTCTCAACGACATCCTACCCGATCATGTTTTGCCACGAGGATTCGCTCCAGAAATACCAGGGCGGACTATCCGTGAACATCTCAATGCCCTGACCCACGATCCATCTATGTCATCCATCGTGATGATCCGGCCCCTACGCCATATACCGCTCCTACGAAGCCAGGATCCAACACGTCGGACCTTGATCATGGCTATATTTAACGCCACACCAGATTCATTCTCTGGAGAAAAAGCTCCAAAAGAGACCGATGCACGGATGATATTTGGAAAATGGTTCGGGGAGGGTGCCGACATCATCGACTTTGGCGGTCAGAGCACGCGCCCTGGCGCCGAGCTTCTGAGCGCAGAGGAGGAGCTCGCCAGGGTACTTCCCTACATCACGCAGTGCAGAGGCATGAACCGACAAGACACCGTCGTCAGTGTCGACACCTTCTATGCCAGGGTTGCGCGCGAATGTATCGAAGCAGGCGCGGACATCATCAACGATGTTTCTGGTGGCCTGCTGGACGATGAGATGTTGCCCACCGTCGCGGAGCTGAACAAGACAATTGTACTCATGCACATGCGCGGTAATCCCAAGACGATGACTTCCCTCACCGAGTACCCGGATGGCGTCGTGAACGGCGTGCGCAGGGAACTTGGGGAGCGCGTCAAGGCCGCACACAAGGCTGGGATTCCGCCGTGGCGCATCATTCTCGATCCAGGAATCGGCTTCGCCAAGACCGAAGCACAGAACCTCGAATTACTGCGCAGCCTTGCAGAGCTGCGGAAACCACCCAGCGACCCCGACGAAGTGGATCTCTCGAAATACCCGTGGCTCATCGGCCCTAGTCGAAAAGGGTTCATCGGCAAGATCACTGGTGTCGAGGAGGCGAAATGGCGCCAGTTCGGCACGGCTGCAGCGGTGACGGCGTGCGTGGCTGGTGGTGCTGAGATCGTCCGAGTACACGATGTCACACAAATGGTTGAGGCTGTCAGACTGGCTGATGGCATTTACCGGAGTCGGGATTCCAGTTTCAACAAGCCAGCCCGTTCGAAGTCTGCAAGCCCATCCAGAGCCTGATCGGCCTTACTCGACATGTCAGGCAGAAAAGCCCTAGTTGTCTGGTTGATGCACGGTTGAGGCTACCTGATTTAGCTTGTATATACAGCAGTCGTGATCAACGACAGTATTAGAGCCTCTTCCAGACAAGACTGATCCTTCATGCTTAATCAACGACCCTCAAAACCAGATGGGCGATCGTATAGAATTTCAACAACTGTACACTGGACATTCATGGGCTGACGTGGGCGGAGGCTATTCTCGGCAACACTGATGCCTCGCGACACAGGGCGAGAAGCGGACAGGGGTACTGCGTTCGTACCGTAACCAATGGCGTGGGGAGTAGCATGAAACATCACTTACCCATGGTAGGGAGGGAAACGCTAGTAGGTGTGTAGGTATGGTGGCCAGAGGTCCCAAGCATCGCCTACAGAACATAATCAATCACTTAACCAATACACGCAAAAGAAACATTCACGCTCCGCGGAAACCAAAAACTCCGAATGTATACGACATACTATCTGTCACGCGTGGGGCAGCTCGTGTCCGGGACAGCACAAGGCTGTGACCGCAGAGCTGCATAATAGCTGTGCCATGTGTCATCGCGTGAACAACATCCCGAGAGGGTAGCACCAACATGACTTCGACGGGTTCACCCAAGAAGTCCATGGTCTCCTCCTACTCCTCCTCCTCATTACCTAGCCAGCCCCTCGGACCCAACCAGACCATACTTCTCGTCATCCCAACATGGTTGAAGAGCCGACCCCCGCCTGTTCCAAATTGCTTCGGTGACCAGCTAAAAGGTAAAAGAAGGGTACCAGGACCTTCATATTGGGTTTTGAATGAACGGCGAGTGACGCGGGCCGGAAGCGGATTCCTATGCCAGATCTGTTCCCCTTGGTATAGTTAGATCCTCTCTCGGCGTGTTTCGGCGGATTTGCCTTGGGTGGGATGGAGAGAAGTTTTCAGCGCTCTTTTCGGGGATTCTTTGGCAGCGTTGGTCGGATATTTTGAGAGTGTCTTGTTTGGGGAGGGGGTGGGCGGATTTCGAGAATGTTGGTACGGGGCGGGCGTGCGGGCGTGACTTTATGATGTAGATATCTAATAGGTAGGGCTTTACACGACCGTTCACTAGCAGTGTCACACATGGTGTCCTTTAGCAAAGTCGCATGCCTCTACCTTCGACGAAACGTCTGGAACATTTGGAAGCAAGAAGATGAAAGGCTCAAGGAGCCCCTTTTCTATTTTTGTTATTCTTCTTTGGAGGTCCGGATTGACCCAACAACGAGCTCTGTGAGAAGCAAGAAACAGGGGAAACAATCCCTGAGATTGGTTAGCACTCAGCTGGGTCATGACCGCGTGATATAACATCACTCCATAGATTCAAAACAGCCTTCCGAGTTCCCCTTCTTTTCCATCAGTAAGCCAGAGATACCTCTCCACCAGATCGAATAGATCATACGCTTCAGCGCAGTGCGTACATCAACCAGATTTTCAAAACACCTCATCCAGGCCGAGACATTGAGAAGCCAGAAAAGAATACCAACAATTCGCTGAACAGAAGTGTGCTTGTCCAGTCGTCCTTACCGAAATATTGGCTAAAAAAGCACATCGCTGCGAGCTTCAATTCGCATGTGCTCAAACAGCCTAACCTTGAGCATACCATCCCGAAAACAAGAAATAATCAAATGATGGCAAATCAATGCCTGCGATCAATCTCCATCCGAGGTTGATGCCTCTCTGGTTTGACTCAGAAGAACCATTTCGCAGGCGGTGGTACATTCATTGCCTGCCCCAGCGCATCCGATATTTGATCCTCTTCCACTGCGCCTCAATCTCACCTTGGGGACAGTCGTCGCGTTGCTGTAGATCACGTAACAGCAAATCGATGTCGCCATTTCGGCCACTGCGGCTAAGCACCTCACATAAGATATCGATAAACCACCAAATTGCCGCATCCTGGAGGCCGAATAATTCCATTCTGCCGACAACACAGTGGCGGAGGTATTGCTCGGCAGAGGATAGCTCTCCCATTTGCCTCTTCAGTTCTCCAAGTCTACCTTGAAGTCGCAATTTTACTGCACTAACCACCCAGCGCTGGTCTCCAATGACTTCCAGGGCTTGCTCGAGGTGGTGTGAGGCTTCAGAGTAATTACCCACTTCTTCGTACGCACGGGACAAGATAGCGCGACAGTTGATAGTGAAGAGATCATGTCTTCCCATAACATCCATAAAGGATGGGAGATAGCGCTCCAAGAGTGCAATGGCTTCCGCAAATTTTCGCTCATCGAGCAAATAAAATGCCCAAAATGAGATGTTAACCAAGACGTTAGGATGATCTTCCTGCCAGACAAGTTTCATTGGCTCATGGGTACGCGCAAAGTTCTCACCATACCTTCGTTTATCGACGTCATTTTCCTGATGAACAGCCAGGGCGTAATGGAATGTTGAGCTGTATATCGGGTTCTGGTTGGTCTCTTCATCGATAACAAGACAGCTGGCTCTCAAGAAGTCTCCCAGTTCAGCGTCTTTGCCCCAGGCACCAAGGACCGTGATCATCCCACTGAGGCAGGGGAAAACGTACTGATTATCAGGCTGTAGTCTTAGTGTCCTCCTTAGCGCGTTCATACCACCTTCTTTGCTAGTTTGCTGTCCCAGTTGATTGCCAAAGGCAAGCCACAACCATGGACCAGCCCATTGACTTACATGCATTTTCGATTCGTCTGCACGACCCAAGCACTGAATAATATCAAAAAGGTCGAAGTTCTGATGCTCACTTGGGCACGACAAACAGACATCTGAAGTAGCTGTCAAGTCGTGAAATGCATACGCCATGACGGGTTGGTGTGCAGTGTGAAAAGTCCATTGTGCCTGCGCCTGAATCTGATATTGCTGTATGTCGTGGCCAGTATGCATCCCAAACTCGGCGAAGTTCACCAAAGACTCTATTGCGGTGTTGCTCGCTCCAAATGATGTCGCAGGCGAGCCGATCATGGGTTCAAATGGCGAATTCGGTACAGAATATCCGAACGAATTCGCTTCATCTGCTTCATCAGTCACCAACCATAGCGGATCTGCAGCTGGACTCAGGCTTATGTCTGAATGATTTTGATGTGACGTCAGAAATTGAAGGGTGTCTGCAGTGTTTTCTGTCCGAGGAAGATGCCAGGTAATGTTGCCTGCCTCGAGGGCTGCCTTTGCCTCCTCGAAGTTGGGCAATCGTAATCGCAACTCGCCTCTCTGTCTATCAACCTCCTTCTTTACGCGGGCCGGGCATACCTCTTCGGTGGAAGCGTTTTTCGGGACTAAAAAGACAGTGTCGAGGCCAAGAATGTTTCGCCGATGATCGGCAACCACCAACATGGCACGGTAGTGATGCCCAAAGGTTCTCTTGTTGTCAAAAGACCATTCTTTGATTTTGGCCTTGACCTGGCGAGGCGTGACTTGAAAGCCACGTTGTTGGTTGAGAAAATCTGTAACAATATTCAATTTCAGGTTTTGCACCAGATATCGCTCGTAGATCTCCGCTTTTTGGTCTTCCCAGTCCTTCCTGGAGGCGCAACGACGAGGTGGAGAGGCCATCGTGGAGTAGAAGCCTAGTACCAGGACAGACCTGTGTGTACCATGCAGAGTTTATAGGGCTTTGAAGCCTTGATTGAGGTTCCACCGAGATACCAAGATGTGCTTTGGAGCCTTGGTCATTTCCTGCCCTATTTACCCCAGGATGGAAAATTGAGAAGATCGTCAAAGAATCATAAATCTGGCAATTCGCAACGCCATGGTGATGGGCAGTCACAGCTCGTCCACTCTCGGAGTAGCTCTAAGAATTGCTTGCCTGGTTGGAAAGACAGGGCTGTTCCCTACCATGAAGGACATCAATGTGCTGAGGTTGACACGGGGGAGGGGTCGGTGGCATAGCGACAGCCTCTTCAGGCAGTCAAGGCAGTCAAGGCAATCATGCGCTGCGTGTCACGACCAGGGGTCAGAGAATATGACCTGTTCGATGCACATTACAGCACAGTTTTGGGCCGCATTCATTTCAAGTCTGAGAACAAAGGACCGGCCTTTGCATCAGCCTAGTACCGGGCGCATTGGACATGGAGCTGATCCGAATTGGGGAGCTGGAGATTTTGGGAGTTGGGCGCAAGGATGGCCGAGTCACAAGCCTAGCTGGCCATTGTGTAACGTGCATTGAATGGCCTATTGGAGAAGGGCCCGAGAGCAAGCAGATCTGGACGGTTACCCATTGATTGTGATTGAACCATTAGGAAGCGGGAGGTGATGAGGGCAAATCGGACCAGGGTTGATCCACGTCCACGAGGCGAGAGCCGGGACGGATGCAGCAAACAAAGGACGGACGTACCATTTGTGGCCACGTCAATCAGCAAAGCCTTTGGTTTGCTAGTTTGCTGGCTTACTGGGTATTTGAAACCTTGTGAAGTACGGAGTATGCAACGTGTTATTGGGAAGGTCGAGGTCGTTTGGCGGCTTTGGGACTTGAAGACTGTCCGCCGGTTCCACTCTGATCGTGGTTGCCAGACTCCGGAGAGGCTTATTAGTGGTACCGAGGCAGGTACTGATGCCCAGCGCCCAGGCTATTATACCATTCCAGGGCAACCACTACCGACACAGGGCTGGCACTCTTTTTCGTCAGAGCAGCAACGCTGCCACCACCAAGTACAGAGTCAGTAGTTTAGAAGGTACGAGGTGTTGACAAAGCGCTATCGACTTACCAAGTTGGGCCTGGGTTTTGCCCACTACAAGATCCGATGAGCCAGAAGCATCAACGGAAAAATGCGATCGTAACACGCTCATCCCTTCCTCGGCCACGTACTGAGCCAGAGGCCGTACGACTGACTCTGTTTCAGTCCTTTCTAGCCTTTGATAGTATCAGTTCTGGCTTTCCAGTACTCGGCGTCAGGCTTCTAGATTCACCTTGGCTAGATTTCTGCACTTGCCCCCAAATCTAGGATGTTAGGTTGGTATTTCCCGTGCTCGGAGATGGTGTGCTGTCCCTTCGCCTACGCCTATGACCATGTACCCTCAGTGGGATCTTTGAAAACTGTACGGCTATATGTGTTCTTCAGGATGCATCAGCATCAGCGACTCCAAAAGTATGGTTCCCTGCTCCCCGGCACTGATGCCCAACGCCGCTGCGGACGACGTCGACTGGAATCTGATTTGCACGGCTAACAGATAGTATCGTAATATTAACTTCATGGGAAGGCTTGATATGTAGAATAGACCGAGATACAATGACCAAGACCAGTCGCTGAGCTTGAGATCGCGAGCTCCGCTGTCCTCACTAAGCCAAAAGAGAGTGTATGTGTGCTTCCAACCTGCTAGTGAACGTCCAAATCCATTTGTCGCTTCACTATATGCGCATGGCTGTTGTCGAGCTCCATGCCAACATCATCCAGTCTGTGTTTCCAAGATGACAGTAACCTCCGGCAGCCATGATCAATGTAGCTCTCAATCCGTGCCCGGAAGAGGTTTGGGTCTCTGAGGTCGAGGGGGAGGCGGCGGTGGTTGTTCATCACCTTTAGATGCCTTAGCTCGGTTATTACGATGGAGGACTCTCTCTGGCACTTCATCATGTCCCAGACTGTAGGGTTGATCTGGAGAAAGAGGTGTCAATGACGAACGGTGAACAGAGAGGATCGGAATTTATACATACCTTGTATGATTGAGTCACACACCCTCGCGGTAGTGGGTGGCATCAACTCGGCTATTGGCTCTGCGGCATCTTAAAGAGATGGTTAGCGACCCATGTTGTGCAACGTGATTAAAGGCGAGTTCGTTGCAGAATCGGAGTGGCATCTACCTGCGCATCTGCTCGCTTTCATTGGTCTGTTCATATGCTCCATGACTTGAAGTATTCACACGTGTTCTCAACACTGCAAATGAATGAGTTGAACAGCAGTAGACAAAGCAGATCAAGGTTCGGTTGGGTCGTCGAAACGAAACTTGAAAGGTTTGCAAGAACTCGAGAGGGGCGAGTCCATTTTTATGGCTGGGACTTGCAATGTCTTCACCCAGCCGCCATGCTCTTCTGGGCCCTAGTACGGCCCTTCGATCCACGGACCAGAAATGGTCTGCATATGTCTCTGATTATGCATCGATGGAGTCGTTGGCAGGCACTTTCAGCATCAGCCGCATTGTCCATCGACAAGGTGATCCATCAAGTATGTTTTCGACGAGTAGGAGAGGGCGCGAGGCCCCTCTTGCGCATACTCACACGTACCGTCGATCCGCAAGCTACGCTGAATGGTTGGGGAGGAACGGAAAGCTGCTGTCATTGCATGATCCCTGCTGAACCAAGCCATAGACTCTCACCACTGAGCAGTATGATTGCTCAGGATCGCGTATGCCCGCAGATAACGGTCGCTCCAACGGCAGTTAGTTATACGACAACGACACTGCAACATCACCTCTTCCACGAGTGGGCCCAGCCAGCATCTCGTTTGAGCAATGAGATATGGTGACATGTCATGGGCCCTGATGGTAGTTGCTGACCGATGCCATCAATGTATCCTTGGCGGTACCATTGAAACCTGAATGAAGAATTGGCCAGTGAGCGGTCGTGCAGCATATTCGGCTATCACATGCGCCGCAGGAGCCTGGTCTATCAACGACATGTGAGAGCTTCACAGTTTCAATCTGCAGGTCTATGGCGACGACGTGCTCGTCCCTGGTGTTCAATGCGGCAGGCAGAGTGTGTTTGTGACCATGTTGGACTCAGCACGTCCTGGGGTCGATGTCAGTGGTGGCAAATCAAGCCAGTTTGCACGAAACCTGTGACCCAGCCACGAAATACTGAGCACGAATTTGAGCGCATCAGCATGTGTTGATCAGCCCTTCTTTGCCTACAACATGGCAAACAGTATAGGCAGAGTCTGGGGACATTTCCATGATTGACGCTGATTGAAAGGCTGATGAATGGCATGTCGTCGTAGACGACATGCAATACCCATGCTTGCAGTATTTGGCTTGGTGACAATCAAGATGTTGCACCTTCTGGCGATGGTCAGACTTGGACCATGCCGTTGGTGTGGCAATACTTGAATAATCTGCCGGCCCAAAGTCAGGGCCGTCGGAGGTCCATTGATGAACATAAAGCATGCAGCGGTGCTTGCTGTGGTTGTCGGTATTGTTGAGGCCCGTTCCAGCAAGCCATACTGTGAAATGAAGCCAGATAACTTGACTTCGGAACCAGTCGAGCTATGGCGAGGTTGAAGAACAAGTTATCTGGACGAAGGAGGCATATTGAGGACAAAATAGAGTTGGGTCGAAGATCTAGGCATAACCGACCCACGGGGTACAGATGACCTTGGCCACTCTTCAATGGTTGATCCTGACATCGGCAGGCTGCAGGCTGCAGCTGGCTGAACTGGAACAACGTTGTTAGCTGGAGGCTAACCAGAGGGGGAAGCCCTGACCAGTGACCACGGGCCTAGCTAGGCGGCAGGTCCAAATACCAAGGGGTGCTCATCGCTTGACACTTAATGCTCGACGGGATGAGCTTGGGTGATGGGGCAGGGAGGGACAAGAAGTCTGATCCCGAGGGCCCATCCCCCTAAGTACTTGCACAAACCCTGTCCAACATGCAGAAACTACTCGGTACTGCACCAGCCTTGATTGAGTACCACGCTTCTGGGGCCATTGAACCATCGGAGCCCCATGCTCTGCAGCACTGGCCAAAGGGCTTCAAGCCCATCGAGCACCATCATATCGTATGTCATACATCACATATCGAGGCAGTAGGTCCTCGAACCCCAGCACAGCACCTCGTCAATCCACAACAAATTGGACGAGGTCGAGAGAGACTTTCGGGTTGCTGCTTCCTGATCGTGGGCTTGTCCTACTTGACTTTCCTGCTTCCAGCTGCCGCCAATCCACCAGCCAACTAACGGGGAAGCCGCCCTCCGTCGGCGCCTAAGCCGCCTGATGGTTTCTACGTGTCCTTCGTTCTATGGACGTGCAAGAGTCGTGCGCCTAAGCCGCATCAGTCTGAGGTCACGACAATATATTGGACCATCAATTGACTCAGGTAACAGGTTTCTGCATCCTGAAGAGTCTTGATGGTGGTTCATAAGACTCCAGGATACGGCCTCCCCTCAAAGATGTACGATACAGGCCAAAGGACATCAAATCGACGAAGACAAGAAGCTTGGGACATTGCGAACCAACTAAGTCTAAATTTGAAAGATTACCCGAAGACTGCTGCTGCACGCCTACGGACCATCAACCGTCACCGACTTTATGTGGCCTCGAGCATAGATTGGCTGCACAATCCTTTCTTGCAAGCAAATCACCTCCATCAACCAATATGAACCTAACTAACAGCACATCTAGACTCATTTGGCCATTCTGCAAATCCACTCCCACAGGGTCCAACTCGATGTCCGCGTCTTGATCTGTTGGTACCTTTGATGCTCTGTCCAGTGTCGAGCGCAGGTCTTTCAGGGTTCAGACCCGTGTCTCCTAGCCAAGCTGCAGGAACATTCATATTCTGACTAGAGTGCTAGGAACAACTTGCCGATCCACATTCTTCTCTGGTGGCTAACTAATGCAAAATCTCCCCGTGTGGTCCCTCCACACCATCAAATCCGAGCCCATCATTACCTGAATCCCCTCTCATCTTACCTGCCTGAACTTCTTCACAAGCTGCCACGTCAGGAAAACTATTCTGCAATTCATGTACATCTGAAACCTCCAGATGCTGCTATACTTTTCCCTATCCATTGCGGCATGCTGCATGCACTTCCCAAGTGATGCTATGATACCACGTAGCAGTTCGCTCTGTGCTGGCCATGCATGAGCATCTGACGGGGTTATGTATTCGACGACATTGGCTACAAGATCGAAGTATCGACATTGTGGCTGTCATGAAATGGTGGATAGGGGCTTAGGCTCAGCATAACTCCACGGGGCTCTGGAACAACAGGGCATGATTGATATGCTGAAGCTTCGTTTTCTGGGCTCTCGCACCTGGGGACGTCGCTCTGTTGTGCGTTATGGTGCCCAACGCTACTGTGAAGCGCTGATCAGGGCAAATCTACAGCAACATGGCTACAAGGACTCGTGCGTCTCGAATGCTAGGCTATAGGTTATTCGTCGCCGTGGCGGCCTGGCTGGCCACAGAGCGTCAAACAGCTGCTCAAACCTCCTTACACCACCTGGTCAGCATATCGCCTATGCCAGTGGTGCCCAATTTCTGCTTAATCGCCCAGGCCATTTCATCAATGGTAATGTCCAATCTGAACATTCGACTGCCTACTCCATCGCTTCCCAGGCCCTCATCACCCAATTTCCCCACTGATGTGCTGTTGCCACCCAATCCACCTACAGGGACGATTGCATCCCATGCCGCCAAATCTTCCCAGGCCCCGCGCGCTGTGTCCTTGCTCCACAGGCGCATTCCTGCGCCTGTAAATGCACCCCCACTACCAAGTGTAGAATATGCCGACCGTTGTAATTTTGACCGGGCAAGAAGCTCGCTATAATGGCTGTATGCAAGTGCGAAATTTACGGTCGTTAGATTGTGGATCGTCTCCAGGCGTGTACCAGCGACTAGCAAGGCCAAATGCAGGGTTGGGAGTTGTGGAAGGAGTGCAAGAAGTGATGGTTGCTTTGATAATGGGACAAATTTTTCATTTTTGTTGAGTGTATTTTCATCGTGTTCGTCACCACCGAGGTTGAGTGTGGCGATAGGGATGTACAACGCTCCAAGGAGGTCAGAGATGGATTTAGTGGTGTAGAAGGTCTTCTTGACGAGCGACTGTATTGATGTCGTGGAAAGGAAATGGTCCTGGTAGTGTACGTGTCAGTTTACTGCCCCTTTGTTCGTTTGTTCGGGGCTTATCTGATCGTCAGCGATGGGTGCTTCCCACAACGTACCTTGATAAACGCATTCCACCTCCCTCGCCACTCGAGCTCACTCATTGACAGGCCCAACGCCTCGGATCCATCAATAGGCAACGACAGGATGGCACACACGGCCTCTTCAAATGCGACCAAGCTCTTCATGGCCGCCACGTGCAACCATCGATGACTAAAGCGACTCTTGACGCGTTTCTCAAGGAGATCCACGACGTCCATGCGCGTACTGCATCCCACAACCGCGATAGGAGCCTTCTTGGCCTGCGCGATGTCGAAGAGGTTATAGAGAAGGGTCTGGCGCGGATGGAATGTGAAGAGATCGAACTCGTCGAGCACGAACACCACACTCTTGGACGTCTTCCTGTCGGCACCCTGGGCCTGGGGGACGCCATCGACCTGCATGGCATCTGGGGCCGCGCTGTCAAATTCCTCCGGGTGCGATAGTAGGCCGAGTAGACTGGTCATCGTGTCGGCGTAGCTGGATACCTCACCTGTCTCGTCCTCCGACACGGCCATTTCGCGCCCCAGCTGCCGCCAGATCTCGCGCAGTGCCAGCTTGTCGTCCGTTTGGAAGAAGCCGTTGAGCCGCACAACGTGGAAGTCGTTGGCGTGCTTGCGCGTCAGGTCTCGTAGCGCGTGTTCCATGAGGGTTGTCTTGCCAGAACCCCGTGAGCCAAGGAGGAGTAGGGAGTTGGACTCGCCAGCGGTGATGGTCGCGCTGAGTAGGGTGTGCAGCGTCGTGTATTCCTTTTCGAGGTGGGCGATGGGGCTGAGGAGGTTGTTGGTCAGGCGGTTTAGGATCTCGGACTTGATCTTGACAACGTGCGGATCGTCTTCCACCGTGCTTGCTAGGGCTTCTTCGTCGTCAACTGTGGTGGCAAATCCGGCAGGGTGTAGCAAGATCTCATCCACGTTGGGCGTGGGGTCGACGAGAAGATCATCATCTGTATCCACGTCGATGGGTGTCGTGGCCCTCTCAGCCTCGTCTTTCTCTGTGTACGTGACCTCCGCTGATTTTCCTTGTTCAATATTCGTCCCCTTCGTTGCTGCACGTGTTCCTCCTTTCTTTTTGCTCGAAGTGGTGGTGATATCTTTGAACCCCAACTGCTCTTCGATCCCCTTGTCCCCTTGATCTCCATCAAAGACGACCGATTTCCGGGGGCCCGTACGTCTTCCTTTCCTCGATGGTGTCAATATGCCTTTGGGTAGGGGCGACTGGGCTGCATGCGAAAGGAGGGCTGGAGACGCTTTCCTAGAACCGGTTTTGGCCTGCCCGCGTCCCTTCGATGTTGGATTGTCCACACTGGCGGCCTCTTCTCCTGCATAGAAGCGCTTGGGAGCACGGCGAGTACGCCCGCTGGATCGTGTCTGTGTGTTTGCAGCATCGACTGCTTGACTCGGTGTCTCGGCCTCCTGTTCTTGATTTGGCGGTACTTCTTCTTGCTCTCGCTCGCAATCGTCAGGCTTTCCGGCTGCGGCGGCCTCAATGGATTCCTCCACCTGTCGTTGCAGTGGCTTCCGTGCAGAACCTCCTCTCTTTCCTCGTGTACTTTGCTCAGCATTGCCAGCATTCCTGGGTAAGGGTGGACTTGACGCTATGTGGGTTGTTGTCGTCTGTGGCTTTTCATGCACATTTGTTCGTGAGGTATCTGCCACCGGCTCATATCCAGGTGTTTCTTCATGATCATGTGTTTTAGTAGAGCCTGTCTCTGTAGCGGTCAAGGTCGTTCGGCTCGTAGCATAGGTGCCAGTTCGTCTCCTCTTGGATGATCGTGGAGAGGGGTCGAATTCGACCATTGCGAGCTTATGGGTTCAAGGTCAAAAAGAAGAAGCGCTCGCTATACATTCACAGTGCATCAGACTCAAACTCAAGAACTAGACTGGCGCGTTGGCCATAGAATCAATCATCAACCTGGTGGAACGACTCGAGTTACATAATTTTTTGGCTGCAGGCACTTAACGCGCTCGACGCGTCGCCAGACTTGCTATTGGAGATTTTGTAGTCCACCGTACTTCAGAGCAACCCACCTCGAGGTACCAACTGTGATGGGAACGATCACTATCTACTAGGTAGAAGAGAACGATGGACCCGGCGAAGGGTTATTCCGTGATATCCATCGAGCGATAAAAGAACAACGAAATCCACTGTACATCGTACAAGATGGCAGCTAGCAAAAACAAATGCGTGCTGGAAGACGATGTCACTAAGGCACTGCTCTAAGGCACCATCGGTGCGTTGGTGGTACTTTGGCGCACTGAACTGGCAATGTTGCAGCTACCTGGGTATTTAGGTACTTAGGTAGGTACCATCAATTGGTGCTGTGTCGTATGCTCTAAGTCGAACATTGACGAGCTTTGATATATCAATCCTCCATCCCCAGACACCGCCTTGCAATGTATGTCTCGAGGACTTGGGAAGGGAGTAGCTCCCCAACACAAGGTCACAGTACTCACACAGTCACTTGTCGACCCTTCGCAATCACAACAATTGCAGAAAAATCCTTTGTTTGAACTTCCTCTGATTCAGGTACATGTCAATCGGAAAATAGTAAATGCGTTGCCTTGCATGCTAGTGCCAGGCTTCTCGTCTCCGATTCACTTTCAACTCGGCAGCTTCCTTGCAATCTCAACAGAGATTTTATTCTGGCTTGGATGATTCTTAAAATCTCGGTGAGATCAATCTCGTTACTCTATCAAAATGGACCTCGTACTTCAAGGCACACGCCAATAAAGACAAAGTGCTCCCCTGGCTTCAAAGCTCAAGCCACGTTCCCGCAGCGTGACATGGCGTGGGCAGAAGGAAAGAATTACGCCGAACATCTGGTTGATGAGCGAACACTGGTTTCGCCGTCCCCAGCATGTGGAAGGACCGGTGGAGTTTGCTCGCTTGGGTTGACCCCGGCGGCGTGGTTTTTGCGGGGGACCATCTTCTTGTTCCGCGCCCAAGGGCTGTTAGGGTGCACCAGTCTCCCCAATCATCAACACGAGGCCCCAACGCCGCGGGCTTTCTTTCGGCTTCAATCTACAATTGGGTTCAGATCATGGCCCTGAATAGGTTAAAGCACTCGACGAGACTTGGGCAAGTGACTGGACGAGTCTCTTGGGGTCTTCCGTCATCAACTCATCTCCTTGAACCACCCCCGCCACTTCCCCAGAAAAGTTCCCAATGGGGCAGTAGAACTCAACCGCTCAATCAACCCATCATCATCTCTCAATCGCAATCCTTGGAAAAGTCTCTTGCTCGTCCACATCAGCCTCGGTCCAGTCTCTCACTCCTGTTCTCTGTCTGCGCTTGCATAACCAACTCTTCATCCTGATGGCATCTGCTACAGCCTTGCGCATTTGAAAAACATGCGACTTGCTTCAGCCATGAGCCTCTCCCTCAGCCTCCACCCCGAAATTCAAGCATGAGTAACTCAAGTACAAGCGATCATGGAGTCGGAGAAGTACCCTCCTCTCCCTCTACCAAACCTCACCCGTCTGAATACCTCGAATTTGTTACTCTCGGTCCTCATCAATCAGCGCCTCGCCTCGAGCCTATCAAAGCCGGTACCGAAGTCGAGAAAGAGGATGCCAACAATCCCATAAATGCCACCTCGTCGAACGATGATCTCTTCCATGGACTCTCCGCAGCCATTCCTGGGTTGCGGCGCCTGTCGATCGAAGCCCGTGCAGCAACAAAGGCAGAGCACGAGATGACCTTTGTGAGGGGATGTCGACTCTATCCCAAAGCTATGCTCTGGTCACTTCTATTGTCCTTGACAATTGTAATGGAAGGCTATGATCTTACGCTCATAAATTCCTTTTATGCCTTCCCCATATTTCGACAATCTTATGGCGTGCCCTTACGTCCTGATGCTCCTCCTGGTCAACGAGACTACCAGATCTCTCCCGCATGGCAATCTGGGCTCACAAATGCTGCCGTGTCCGGAGAAATCCTTGGTCTGATGTTCAATGGATTGCTGACCGATCGCTTCGGTTACCACAAGACTATGGTATTTACGCTTGTGTGGATGTGCCTCTTTGTATTCCTGGCCTTCTTCGCTATCAATATCAATATGCTGCTTGCCGCACAAATCCTCTGCGGTTTACCTTGGTTTGTACCAATGTCCATTTCTGGCGGTAGACGATTAATTAATTTGTTCTCAGGGGTGTTTTTCAGACTCTGTCAACAACATATGCCGCTGAAGTCATGCCGGTCGCCCTCCGTGCCTATCTCACAAGTAGCGTCAATCTATGTTGGTTGATCGGGCAACTGTGTGGCGTTGGAGTAATTCGAGGTCTGGTCAACAACACCTCACAATGGTCCTATCGCATACCCTTCGGCCTGCAATGGGCATTTGCGGTGCCGATTTTGATAGGCGTTACCTTTGCACCCGAAAGTCCTTGGTGGCTTGTACGCCATGGTCGAATTGGCGAGGCTAAGAAGTCACTTCTGAGACTCACGACACAAGATGCCGATCCCGATTTCAATGCAGATGAGACTGTCGCAATGATGCAACACACCAACGAGGTCGAGAAGTATTTGAATGGCGGAGGTGTCTCGTACATGGATTGCTTCAAGGGCAACGACCTCCGTCGGACCGAAATTTGCACCATGGTCTGGTGCACACAAGCCTTATGTGGGAGCTCCCTGACTGGCTATGCAGCATACTTCTATGAGCAAGCAGGTTTCAGTACCGCAGACAGCTTCAACCTTGCTGTTGGTATGTATGCAGCAGCAATCTTTGCTGGAATGTTGGCCTGGCTTGGGATGCGTAAGATTGGCCGACGGACTCTCTACATCTGGGGCCTGGCCGCCTCCTTGGTCATTCTTACAGTCACTGGATGTGTGGGAATTCTGAAAGAGACGAATGGGACATCTTGGGCACTTGGGTCTTTGATCATCATTCTGACGTTTGTCTACGACTTCACTGTGGGGCCCGTCTGCTATGTTCTCGTCGCCGAGATACCCTCCAGTCGACTGCGTGTCAAGACGGTAGTTTTGGCCAGAGTCGCCTACAACATCATTAGCATCGTGACGAATATCATCACCCCCCGGATGCTTAATCCCTCAGCATGGGACTGGAAAGGGAAGTCATGCTTTGTTTTTGTTGGTAGCACGGCATTCTGTCTCGTATGGTGCTGGTTCCGCCTACCCGAGCCCAAAGGGTTGACCTACATGGAGCTTGACATTCTATTTGAGAAGAAGGCCAACGCTAGGAAATTCAAAGCATTTCAAGTCAACCTGGCAAATACAGGATATTTCAGTCTTTCACATCCCAGGTCTGACAGTCTTTGGAGAGGCTGAAATGACTCGGTATCGTCAAGATGCATACCACCCAAGTCCTCCATGGCCATGGGACTAGACTTCAGTCTATCCTTGACCTTGCGATCTAGCCTTGCATAACTCTGAGATTTCATACACAGAGAGTACGATTACACGACCAGAGTTCATATCAAAGACTAAGACATGCGCTTCATGGTTCATGAGACAACCACTTCTCGGAGAATTTGTTCTATTCACCGGTGTAGGGGCGCAGTGTCCCGAGCTTGGGGAATTTGGGAGGCGAAATTAAACATGAAACAGGAGCGAGAAAGCCTATGTCCCACACGGCAAATATTGCTCGATCATAATCAAGCGAAATCCGTGCTCGGCTTGGATTGCTTGCTCAACCTCGTTCACGCGAGATAATGTGACAGGGATTCAGAGGCGGTTTATTTGAAGCGAATCAGTGCCTTTAAGATACGGTTCCACTTTCCGTGAAAGTCTACGCGGCGAGAGGAAGGAAAGTTGAGCCTCCAACCCCGGCAGTTGCGACAGACAATGTTCCAGAAGTTTCATTATGTATCCAACAAAATTCGATGGACACGCATGAAGCCTATGGTTCAAAACGTTGCCATTTTCAAGCAAAAACAAGACTTTCGATGGCCGGGTCGTATCCACCTTCGGGTCACGTTGGGGGTCATCACAGTTTCACCCCTTCGGAATTCTGAGCACGGCGAGACGGGTCCACAAGCTGTCTGTTCGCTATACATACGTAGGCTCATTCTCGGCCACTGAGGCGCCCCATTGGATCGCATATGAGGAGTACGAGGACAGATAGTGAGACAACAGGAAGCAAGCCGTCTCCCCTGAGCAAGGCTGGCGCGTCCAGGAATCAAGTGAGGGACCACGTATCGAGCCGTAGGGGGCGGCTCAGATGGGACGTTCCGAGTGGGATTTCACACGGAACATTTCGAAGTTGACATTGTTACACTATGATGTACTAGTCTCAAGAAAAACCATTCCATCGATCAATAACGTGTCCGGAGAATCACCAAGACATGGCCTATACAACTTACAGTCATTGCATGACTCGAGGAATTGAATGGCGGAGAACAGTAGTTCCACGCCATTGTCCCAACGAGACCAACTCCGAAGCTAGCGCCCTCTACCCGAAATGAGCATACTCAGGTTGAGCCACGACGTACTCCGTCTCAGACACGCAGACGTCAAAGTATCCACTATCCAATGGACTTCTTCCTCGACCTTGTTCATCAATATAGGACGAGACATATGATCGTCAAAAACAAGCACGTCAAGAGCCAACACGCGTATGAGTATCAGGTATGTGAGGATCAGGGGTAGCGTCAAAGATGTGGAGATGGCGGCAGCACTACCGGCACGTCGTCCGCCAACACCAAGCACAAACATTTGACACAGGGAAACCTACTCGACACAACTGATCAAAGAATGATACTCATGAGCATACCCGTGTAAGATGCAACATGAGACGGCACTGGTAGTCGATTAATGCCCACCGATTAGTCTAACTCGATTCGCAGTCTACGGACTCTCATCGGAATGCATTCCGGTGACGAAGCTTCTCCCAGGACATATGCCAGCATCAATCAGGAATCTGCATCAGCACAAGTTTCCCATGTCTCGCCCCGCTTCACCTGGTGCTGAACAGACCTCGGGGATATAGGCTCGCGATTTGCGAGTGTCCACACAATCGAGCAGGATAATACCACCGCAACAGCTGGAAGGTTCTGCTTTGAAACGACCCAGTCATCACATCTTATGCACAGGGATGGGAACAACTCACGGCCAAAAGAGAGGGAAGCGACCAAAGATGAGCAGGTGTGATGATCACTCCACCCAGTGCAGCTGATATCAGACCACTATTGAGTCGAGTCGACCAACTCTCCAACCAACTAGTAGGCATGCAGAGTCTGAACGACAATGATGCATGCATACCTCGTGCTTTGTGTCCCCCCCCTTCTCTCTCTCTCTCTCTCTAAAAAACGAATGAGACATGCGCCGGACGTGATGAGAAGAAAACGAGACCACCGACAAGAGTCTCCCGCTCCCTCGGGCAAAATATGTGCAACCGCGTACATGAATCTTATACTCAAAAGGGCACATAGTTCAATGGCCTACCTCCTGGTACATATATATCAGCCTTCATAATAATGCCTAATAGTATCATTCACACGTTCCAACATCGTTCCACTTCCAGCCAAGCGGTTGAGCATACATAACACACTCGCCAGCCTCATCGGCAAAGCCTTATTTTTATGTCCTGTAGTTCTCTTATCTCTCTATTGATCCAGGGAGCAGAAAACTTGAAGCCATGCATAGTGGTTTTTAAGGTCTAATTATGTAATTGATGTTCATTGCGATTGACTGATGGTGTTTTGTTTCTCTAATGTGTAAATAAAACCGCGAACCCCGACGTAGTAATTCATTTCTCTTGAAGGGGAGTTGGTTTCGAAACAAAAAGCAGGAAGAACGCCTTCCCCAGATTCTATCTATGCACTCGCGTTATGTTCTGCTATGTGAACAGTGGTTTGGGACAACAGAAAAGGAAAGATGGCAGGTTTGCCAACGCGGGTTTATGGGGTTTTCGGGTGGTCATTTGATGGAGACCATGAGTTGGATCTTCACCACCACCACCAGCCCAGAGCTCGAAACAGCGTACTGCCTCCAGTGAAGGCAACCCCATCCCCACAGATTTTTGTCCCATGAATGATGTTCCGTTTATCGAAGGCAATGCAATGCGAACGTAAATGATGAATTCGACAATCAGACCGTAAACCCAACCCAGACGAACTCCCCACAATACCAGTAGAACCCAATATCAATCCCACTGGTTAGTTTCTCGAAAACGAGTGATAACATCACCTGACCGTTCGCTCTTTCCACCCAACATCATCTCGACCTCAACCCCTGTCTCCCCTAATAAGGGATTCCTTTTTGAAGAGAAATAGTTGCCATCGCCTTTCAAGAAGCCGTGATTAAAAGGACAGTCTACCATCCATGAAACGAATGAAAATTTGAAAATCGCCTCGGCCATTCAGTTTGTTTCAGTTGCAATAGTCGCCAGAAACAATTACTAGTGCGTATCGGCAATCATGCTCATACCTCATAATGACGCAAATCAAACACGCCAGATCCATGCAGAATAGTTGATGAAATTGAATGACTCAAAAGAGTTGGTGTCATTCAGTGCTGAATATGTGCAATACTTTTGTTGGGAAACAGTCCAAGCCGTTCATGATACTGTCTTGATAGTGCCTCTCAAGGTGACAAAGTCCGTCATATCGTTCTCAGTGAAGCGGACCTAAAGTTCATGCCAAGAAATATGAGATTATGAGAAACGTGATTGGTAGCGCTGCGTTGCTGGAAGGGGGCTGTCAGATAAACTCTGCAACGGTCGGAAGAGTTTTTTCATGTCCAGTTCAAGTGTAGTGGAAGCATAGTCATCATCGATAAACGCCACACTTCCTGGTTCTTCTCCTCGTTGAGCTCCGTCGGTCCGACTCCATTCGCGTGCTCGCTGCAAATCGTGTAGTACTTGTCCGAGCTTTTGATCTGCGCCGAGTTGCCAATCAGCAATACGACTGGGTTGCAAGATAGCTCGTGCAAGCCAGTAGAAATGAACACCGTCGCGACAGAAACCGACACGTTTTGGACCGGATCGGTAGCCGTCGCCACGCGGGTACTGAAGTGTATAATCCTCATCCCATGCATGTTTCCATCGACCAAGAGCAGCGGTGATAGAGTTGTATGCTTGATTGGTTTGGGCTGTAACAGAGAAGGTCGATGCAGCGTCAAGCGCCTGAGGTGTAGCGGAGCTCGCAAGAAGTGTTTGGCGCTGCAACTGCCAAATCTCAACGATAAGGGCATGGACCATGATAAACTTGGAATAGACATTGGTAGTGCGGGGTTGCATGAGCACCGACACACTATGCAGAGCGCTCACAGCGTGGTGCAACTCTAGTTGTTTCAGTCGTAGAGATCCGCTTTGGTTGATCGTAGCTTGTGCAGTTGGACCACGAAGTCCCAACGCCTGTGCACAGGTCTCTGCATCTCCAGCATCCCAAGCTGCATCATCGCAGGGTAGAGGAAGTTTGATCTCGGCACATGAGAAATGCGGTGCCACATTGAAATAAATACACATTGCGGCATCCCATAAGAAAACCATAAACATCAGTCGAGAGCGCTTTTCCTGTTCGACCCATGAACGCCACTCCCAGCGAGAGGGATCAGCTTCCTCACCCGGTTGAAGACTGTGAAGATAACTATAACCGACTGGATCTTCTGGCCCCACCAGAGTAAGCATATTGAACTGTCGAACCAGATACATGATGCGTCTACTCTCATTGCGAGCAACAGCTCGGTCACCAGGACCACCGTGCCAAACGAACAGGCTTTGGAGGATTTGTAGAGCAAGAAGTTCCTCGAATTCGGTACCGGACGTGGAAAAATGAGCGTGGGATGAACCAAGTTCGAGATTGTGAAGAACGCGCGAGTTTCGTTCCAGAGCTTGTTTGACGCATTGCATCAGCAGACGAACTTGATCTTGAGGTATTCTGTCGGAGTACACTGCTCCACTGCAAATAATGACAAGGACGAGGCCATCGTAGGCATTCAAAAAATCGAAGGTTGGCAAATGGAGCCAGGGGAAATGGCCCTGAAAGTTTGGGAAAAGATCGAGAAAGTGTTGGATAGCGTCGACGGTCAGGCAAGATGTTATGTGGGGATTATTTTGTTGCTCTTGGAGCGATTCCTGTAGCCCACCAGGGAAAACAAACGTTAATAGCGCGTTCACTTTCGCTTGGAACAAATCTCGCTGAGATGCATGCGGGTTCCAAAGAGGGGGTCCAAGCGTACCGTCAGCTCCAAGGCTCGTAGAGGGAATGTAATAACCATTCGATCCACCTTCATGAGATTCATAGTCCTTCTTCACATCATTCTGAGACTGGTCATAGCCTCCAAACATGGGGTTCATGTAACCCTCGTTGCCACCGCCGGGGAACATGTGGTTCCATTCGTCTCCCATGTGGTGTGCACCAGGCATGACATTGCGCTTGTCCTCACCTCCACCGGGCTGCATGCCAAAATGGTCGGGAGGAGTTGAAGTCGAGTGATACATCATTTGGTTGTTTCTAGGGTTGTGCATTGGCCAAGATGGGTTGCCATTTGGGTCCATTCCACCAGGGCCTGAACCAGGTTGAATGGGCTGACCCTGACGCTGTAGATCTGGTTGACCATTGGGCTGAATCGCATAAGCCAAACCAGACTGTGCGGGGCCAGTGGTGGTGGGAGCAGATGTGTTTGACATTGGAGCACTGGTGAATGGAGGGTTTGCCATGACTGCACTCTGAGGAGTTGTGGCACTTGCAGGCGAAGCCGTTGCAGCCTTCGCAGCCTGTTGTTGCGACTTCTTGATATGTGCAGCTGGGTTGGAGAGATGACTGGCTCCAGTCGGGTTACCACGACGGACTGAACACTTTTGGAAATGGCGCTTGAGGATGTCACTTCTGGAGAAAGTGTCATTGCACAGTACACACATGTAGGGACGATCGCCAGTGTCTGGGAATGTGTTAGCAGAGAGTCGGCTTGAAAGGATTATCAGTCTTACGTCGTAGCATGTGTCGCTTCAAATGCTTTGCATGCAGATAAGTCTTTGTGCAATTGGGGCATGGAAATTTGCCATCAGCATCCTTCTGGGGTACAGCACTGCTCTTGGGTGAGCCGTTGACACCATTAGGCATGACCGGCGGACGACCTGGAGCGCTTGGTAGGATGCCTCTTCTACCCTGGGAGCCAACAACATGGGTTCTGGTAGGATCTCGACCAATGTCCGCTTGCATGCTTGGTATCGACTCGGCGCCTGACCAGGGCTGCTGACGATTGTCTTGCTGGCCATAATGTGGAGCCAAGGGATCGAGGTTTGGTCGAGGAGGAGCAGGAGCCAAAGGTTGAGGGTATGATTGTCGTGCTGGCTGTTGACCCGGGTAGGCCTGGTGGTTCTGTGGAGGAGCCTGTTGTTGGGCCTGCTGCTGCTGCTGTTGCTGGGGTGGTAGATGGGGTTGAGGCAGCGCAGAAGTGGGAGGAAGACCCGACATAGGACCTTGAGAGTTCATGTGTGCCTGGTATCTATGGTCGGGAGCTGGAGAGGCCACTGAGGGAGCTGAGGGAGCCGAGGTGTAGCGTGGCAGGTCATTGCGGTATTGTTGAGGGATGTAGTTCTGAGTCGCAGGAGGCAGCTGCGAGTAGTTGATGGGAGGGAGATGCGTGTTACCTTGGTAGGGAGGCATTGCGTAGGCTGAGGCCATGTTAGGGTTGTAAGCGGTTTGAGGAGTTCCAACGTTGGACGAAGTTGTCCTTGAGAGGGATTGCCTAGGGTCCATTACCAGAATGGAGGATGATGAGAGATCCGCTTTGCTTCAAGAGACCATTGGACGCTGAAGCAGGACGAAGGAAGTGAGGAGAGAGATGAGGCTGAGGAGTATGGAAAGTGGAATGACTGGAAAGCGGATCAACGTCGGTTCTTTCAGTAAGGACTGGAAAGGTTCAAGTCTGAATTTTTCTTCGGGGAAAAAAAGGGTCCGTTTGAAAAGAAGACAACTCGAAGTGAAAGTCTGCAGGTACACCAGGAGCCACAGTCAGTAAGCGGTCTAGTCGGACGTGTGTGTTGTCTCTGGCGCAGGTAGTCCGAGTGTTTAACACGCGACAAGGCGGATGCGGGAGGTGATGGTAGAGGATGTGCAGGGTAGATGGTAAGAGTGGAGGCAGGAAGGGGTGGTGGAATACAAAAAGTGGTTGTGCAGAAAACTTGTGACGGTTTGTTGGAGAGAAAGAGTATAGATGAGGGTCGCTGGGTCCCTTAGCCTGTCGGTGACTCGCAGGAAAGAAAGATGGGCTTGCTGGGTCCAGCGAGGTGGGCGTGGGAGGAAGGTGGGAAGATGGTGTTTGGGGGGGGTGAAAGGTGAGTGGATTGATGGCGGACGGACAGTGGGAAGATGGAAGGTGTGGAAGGTGTGGATGGGATGGGGGGACTTGAAAGGGAAGAGGGGCGTTACCAAAGGGGAGGGTATTTTTCTTGCCCGTCGCAGAGGCGGTGGGTGAGGCAAAAAAAGCAGCGTAGCGTAGCCGGGAGAGGTCAGGTCGACTCGACTAACAAGGTTTTTTCTTGGAAGCGTGACGGGAGGCGTGGATTCAAGATTTGTTGTGCACGAGGCGAGTCTGTCTGCCACAACACAGCACACACGCAAGAAAGACGTGAAGGAGCAGGTGACTAGTGCAGTAGTGACGCGTCTACTTTGAACTCGGCGTGCAGGGGGGATGGACCTTGTGCGAAGATGTTGGGAGGAAAGGGTCGTGGAAAGAGAGAGAATGAGAAAGGGAAAAAAGAGAGACGATGAATTCTCTGCTAATACTGGACGTGCACGTAAGAAACGAAGATCAACTCAAGTCGAGTTCAGGTTGGTGCCGACACAGAACTCAGAACTCAGAAATCCGACTCTGATGAGAGGCAGACGGAGAAAGGAAAGGAAGCAGAAAAGGTCCAAGGTTCAAAGTGACAGGGGGCCGTGCCCGAGGCCGTGAGCAGGAGCTGTTGGCTCGCTCGCTGGGAGACGCTGTGCTGTGACGGTGGGAATCCACCAGGACTGTCACCTTCAGCCAGTCAACTGAACAGACCCACTCCTTGTCGATCGGGAGGGCGCTGGTGGCGGCGCCAGGGGGGAGGGCTGCCCGGGATGGCAAGGCCAAGGGCCACGTACCATGCGAACTGCCAGTGCCAATAGGTGCTAACTACAAGCACTTAGTCGCCTGTCGTAGGCACTCTGCTAGGGACCTAGCCATCTCGCCAAAACAGTACGTAGCTCCGTACGAGGTACCGTTTGTGACTTTTGACCTGACCGGATGATTCAGGTATGCATCTCTCAGGCTTGGAGCGTCCTTCCTACTCGTACGATACGCTCATCCTGTCCAGCGTGTGAGTCTGACGCAAGACCCAAATAAAAATCAAAATCAAAATCAAAATCAAAATCCAAAACTCAAATGTCGCCCCCGGAGATGGCGGATGCGAAGGCGACTAGAGTTTGCTGCCATTCAGGCTGTTGACTCGTAGGGCAACAAGGGGAAAACCGACTCCCCCAAGGTACGATTACTACCAGTCATCATGATGTGTCGATTCCTTTCCCGACAAGGAGCCGGCCAAGCATCGCTACGTGACTGCACATGATGCATGCGAATACAATGTCGTTGTTAGTTGAATGACGGATACCTAGGTAGGTCGTGAGTATTATTGTTTTGGTGCCTACGCCTAATCCTACTAGTGTCTTAAACGTGTATAACTGGCAGGAGCCACAATCCACCGGTGAGAAAGACTCTGTTCAAATGGAGGTATTGTTTTTACACGACTCAGTTTCGTGACGGGCAATGTTCACAAACCCGGCTTTCGTGGCGCCTGATTCATATCGAATCGAGTCCCATCAATCTGCAATGGTGCGTCTGACAAGGGGGCCATTGTTCGGCGACTCGTACCAAGATGCAATAATCGCTGGCAATACTCCGTACGCTGGCAAACTCTGAATTGGACCGAGTGCGACGTGTTGCATGGATGGAAACATTATTATGGTTGCGCGCCTCGAGTCCGAACTTTTAGCCGTATCAACGCCGTGGCCCAAAAACGGCTATTGACACAGCGGGCTCAGCTAAGGGCTGCTTCTTAGGGGGCACATCCCGAATCAAAACACTAAAGGACCTGGTGGACAAGGATCAGGGAAGGCAAATCGAAGGGCAGGTGTCATACACTACTACCAAGGACTCGAAGGAGAAACGGAATGGCAAACTGTCTTGGATCAGGCAATCTCTGAGCATGATAACAATTTGCTGACCATGACTTGGTTTGTACAAATCGGATGTTTCTCCAGGTGCACTCGTTCAGATTAGTCTTGACTCTTGAGCTGATTTGCCTTCAACCACTCGTAAAGATATTAATTAGTATTGCTGAGCAAATAGGTACTCATGTCCAGTGTTGGTGCGACCGAGTTAGCTACCTAGGTAGCTTGGGGGTTAGATCACATACTTTGTACCGAGCAAGTTGAATGCCTCGTTTGGCTGCTCGCTTCAGGCGCCACTCGGACATGGCTCGTCCAAGCCTTGAAGCTTGAGGTCTGTTGGCAGCCCGAATTCGGTCACTGCAAATCATACCGTCTCTTAAACTTGCCTTTGACCGTCTCTTGTCGAATCGGTTTCAGCTTGCAGTTTATTCTGTATGAGAGTCCAGGCTGAATGAAATTGCTTTCCAAAGCCACGGAGATCGGTTTGACCTTGGCCTTGGCCTTGGCCCTGAACCAGGACACAGTAATTCTATGAACTACTTAGAACCAACATCCTTGCGATCAAACAGGTCATTGTCCCGGCTGCTCTCCCCCTTTCATCCTGCGTGCCTCAGCTGGTTTCTTGCACAAGGCCACCACGTAACTGGCAACAGCCCGTCATTCGGACGAGTTTTTCTCGAAACACACGATTCAAATTTTCGATGCAACCCCAAACCACGACTCGAATCATCTTCCCACCGACGTCGGAAATTCCCCTCCTGAGCTTGATTGGAACGAGACTAACCCAATACCGATCCAATATCCGCGAATCTTTGCTCAAACAGTCCTCTACTTCCTTCGTATCATCAGCATGACAGGCTGAGCTCTTATTTTCACTCGTGACTGGTCGTTTACTAACCATTCTGGCCCAATGCCCATTCCGTGGCGAGTTGGCCCCTAAGCCTGACGCTACGTGACTGTGCTCAAAACGTTTTGATCGACCTGCAGGCTGTAGCAGCCTGGTCGGAGCCTTGGACTTCCAAGTTCACGAGTTCTTGTGTTCCGGCGCACCTGTTTCCTATTTGTCCATATTTACTCTCGACTGCATCACGGTGGAACCTAGCCATCGCTTGTCAATTGCGGAACCGATTGGCATGGAAATTATGCTATCTTGAAATATGTCTGAAGGAGCATGTTGTTGTTGATAGACATGATGCAGTGGTTGGCTGTGGTTTCGCAATTTCAGATGATGAGATGGCCGTGTCGTGTCTCACGGTAAGGCTGATACAAGGGTCTATTTTGAGGTGCCTCGTACAATTTCAACCAAAGACTTCATGGATTCCGAATTGATCGGATCCCCGGGCTTGCAGTTGTGTACATCACGTAAGATGTCCCCCTTGTGCTCTACATGATCTCTACTGTTCAGCGAGCTTGCAAGAGTCATCGCATTTCTCGTTGCCCTCTCGCGGTCTATCGTTCAGATTTATTGTCCTTCTATTAAAGTATGTCCCTTAGAAGCTGAGATATCCACCCTTATTTGTGCTCCGCTATCCACGTGTTGGAGGCGCACAAGCTGCAAGGCGGGTTTCTTGGAGGGGGTTTGGGTGACAGACCCGCACATGACGTTGCATGAATACGAGGCATGGACCTCCGAGAATCTCAGAGCAGGATATCCGTGGTTGGATTTCAGTAGTTTATTAAAAATATCTGACCTGTATTTACTGGTAGTCTTAGTATTATTGCTTCAACATTATGGTGGCCGGCGTTCAGAGCGGCGTCCCGACCGTCGTTGGGAACGTCCGAGCAGGGACAAGAACTTGTTTCACGCAGTGCATTCGTAAGGGTAGGTCGAGACGAGGCACACCAGGCACAACCAAGCACATCCGGACGCAAATCCTTTTCTTCGAAGTCTCGACACCAAGTGCTTTCATCGAATGAGAGCCGAGTGCGGTGCTAACATCAACGTCATGACATGCCATTTGGCAGGCTGTTAATTTCCAACGACCTGTCAGACAACGGATAAGGCGGCAGTCCTCCACCCTGTCGCCCATCCTTCAAAATCTCTTGTCATGAATAAATCATAACTTCTGAACTCTAAATTGTCAGGAGCACAACCTACTCGTACGTGTACCGAGTACATATCCGTACAAACCATCACATCAAATCAGCTTCCACTCGGCGCGATGACGAATAAGCCAAGAAGCAACTCTTGACTCCCGTCGTTATCGGAATGCTTCCCGTAGTACTGTACGAATAGATGGTTGGTACTGAGATACTTGGTAGGTATAGCTTGCGTTCAAGATGACAACAAAGAGAGTGAGCAACGACGTGACCAACAGGAGAAAATGATGCTCAAAGCTCGGGAAAGGATCTCGGCAGTCCTGAATGGGACAACCAGGTGCGCACTTGGACCAGATTGAAAAATGCAAAGCACAACGGGGCGGGTAGCAAGACCACCCCCCTTGATGCCGCCGGATAAAAATATGTCTCGGGTGGAGATTAACCCGAAAAACAAGCATGCCAGGCTGGGTATCAGAACCTCGGTCACCACTATCTGCAGCTTGAAAGCCCAACCTCAACACTTTCCTCCTGTCGAAGCCACATGCACAAGCCAACTCGTATCTGATTGTCAAACCATCAAAGTTGATCGGCTATCGAGACCTCTTACCATGGGTGAAAGTGGAATGTCTCAGCGAGAGATAAATCTAGATCATGTGATATATAAGATCGCGTGATCGGGGGCTTCTCTTTTCTAGCTGTATTAACCTGAATGGGCAGGTAGCGAACCCGATCCAACTCCGATAAATACCTAGGGATTGAATTTGCCCCCTATCTCTAAAAAACCTGTGCCTGAGGTGAGGGCTCCTTAGGCTCAGAAGTCAGCGGTACGGGTACGGATAGTTATGCTGTGGCTTGAATTTAGGTGTCTAATCCGCCCCCTTCTGGCCTTTAGCTTCGCTCTCGTATTCAGACTCGTCCCTGGCCCGTGACCCATTCCTTCTAGAAGTCGACCGGTTTGCGTGACCATCGCCATCAGATAATGGACCTTTAGCTTTTGACTAAAATCGTGACTTGCACTAAAAACAATTATTAATTGTTTACGGTTAATTCAACTAGTAGATGCCGATCTCATACCGACTTAATCAGGTGCCCCTTGGCACGGCTTGCCAGTGCTGTGAGTGAAGCATCATGATCATTTAATTTCGGATATCTCACCCGGAGTCCAGTGCTTCTCAAGAGTCAAGATGACTACCCACATTGACAGCTTCATGTCTGATTATTGTGCCGAGCACTCAGGCCACCCTGCTGTCAACGGCACCAACATCAGGCATTGACACTCCAAGACATCTTGGATCTACCTTGGTGTAGATTCAGATCCACATCCATAGGAGCGGAAACGTATCAGATCTGGGGATGAACCAGGTACTGATCTCCTACGAGGCTCCTCTATTATTCTTCCCCCCTTTGAAATTTGTATATCTCCAAATGTAGCGTGATCAAGATCAGATGACATGATCTCGACCTCTGGTTGAACAGGCCCGCTTACAACCCACTTGAACCTCGGCAGCCTCGTCCCCAGGATTCGTTCTCACCATCACTGGCACCTACCTAGGTACCACGCAAGGCTAAAGCCAAGATATCACCGTGGGAGGTAACAATTACGGGTTACTGCAACCTGCCCACCTATAGATCAGACTTCAGCCATCGACCACCACATTCAGCATTCTTACGTCACGACTCTCGGATCATCTGGCGATCTTGTCAAGCATCGCAGTACAGCCAATACTAAGTACTCTATCCAAAAGACCAGATCTTAGCTCGACTTTGTGCGAGATCTCGAGATCTCGAGATCTTCGGAGGTAGGTCGATCAAGCTATTATGCTACCTATCAACTATTTTGCGATTCGTCCCACATGTAGCCTCACATTACTCCCAACCAATTCACAGTTATCCGTATATCTCAGTAGGTACCAACGTAGTTTCTCAAGTGCAAAGAGCACAGAATCGCACTCCAGATCATCCCAACATAAGAAAATGTCGAAGAGAAACGAGCCAGAGCATCCTGAAACCAAACATCCAACAACCAAGCGAGCAAAGGAAGTCGATGCTCATACACCATATGACGAACTTGCCGGTCTCTTGTCAGAGCAAAAGGAACCAAAATCGGTTCAGAATGTACTGCACTGGTTTCGCAGCAAGGACCTCCGCATCCACGACAACAAGGGATTACACGCTGCTTCCGAGTTTGCCAAAAGTGCAGACAAGCCTTTGCTCTGTGCTTACCTAAATTGTCCAGCAGAGTTTCGATGGCATGGAACCAGCCCCGCACGGACTGATTTCATATGTGAAAATCTGAGTCTGATGCAGCAGGAGTTGCATGACCTAGATATTCCGCTGGTCTTTCTGGAGGCTCCAGAGCGAGATGAGATTGTGCCGACGGTGAGCAAGTTCATTCGGGAAAATAAGATCTCCCATGTGTTTGGGAACTACGAGTATGAAGTCGATGAGCTCAGACGAGACATCAAATTCCTCCAGGAGGCCAATTCTGAGTCCGACGGCTTTCAAGTTTCCTTACATCACGACCAGACTGTCATGGAACCGGGAACCATGTTGACTGGGGCTGGAACGCCCATGAAAGTCTTCACACCTTACCACAAAGCATGGCTGGCTGAGATTCATTCCGATCCCAGTCTCCTCGACACGGTCCCCGCGCCATCGAAGAACTCGGTATCAGCAAAGAAAGCTCTCAAAACGTATTTTGACAGTCAGGCACCGTCTCCTCCCAAAGAGAAACAATTCAGTAGCGAAAAAGAGAGGACATCTATCCGGAAGCTCTGGCCTGCTGGTCATGAAGCTGCCACGTCTCGACTCCAGGATTTCCTTGAAAACAAAATCGAGGACTACGCGGTAACACGTTCTAATCCGGCCAAGGACTCGACATCTCGTATGTCACCTTACTTCAGTGCTGGGGTCATCTCAATACGTGAAACCCTCACCGCGGTACGCAAAGCCAATCGTGGATCGGCCGACTTCTCGCAATCCCATGGGCGATCTGGCATCGCGGGATGGGTGCGTGAGATCGTGTTCCGGGAATTGTACCGACAAACGACACTGACGACGCCACATACAGCAATGAACATGCCACAGAATCTCAAGTTTGATTTTGTGGAGTGGGAGGACGACGACGAGGGATATGATCGATGGGAACAGGGCACTCTGGGGGTACCTTTCGTAGATGCGGGGATGAGACAGCTCAATGCCGAAGCATGGATGCACAACCGGTTGCGGATGAACGTGTCGAGCTACCTGTATTGCAATTTGTTGGTCGATTACCGTCGTGGCGAGCGATACTTCGCAGAGACACTTATCGATTGGGATCTGAACAACAATACGCAAGGCTGGGAGCCCAGCTATACTGTCTTCAATCCTGTCAGCCAAGCAGAGAGAAATGATCCCAATGGTGACTATATCCGCAAGTGGGTACCAGAGCTGAAGGACGTGAAAGGCAAGGCTGTTTTTGATCCTTACAACCGATTGAGTCGGGAGGAATTCGAGAAACTCGGTTATCCGAAACCATATGTCGATTGGCATGAGACCAAGCAGCGTGCTTTGGACAGGTTTAAAAGCGATATGAAAGACGCGGACCCTTGATGCGGAATATATACTCGTTCTCGGTCGCCGCCGTACTTTTTGATAGCCGCGACCTGAAATCAGGTCTTCTCAACAATTCTTTCGGCGGTGACACTTGATCCCTGAACGAGCAGATCGCCATGTAGTTCCTCGTTTACTTCTCGATCAAATATGATATGTATTCAATTTCAGATCTAATCCATGGAACCCAATACCACATAGACCAAAGTATAGGCAAAACCTACTTAGCTCTGTGCCGGACCATCCCGTTCTCAAGAATATATATTCATCACCAACAAATCTACTTGGCTCGCCCTCGAATAGTCACAAGCCATATTAATAAGCATTCACAGCATGAATTCAGGGTTGTGCCATTGAATGGGCGTTGGTATAAACCCAAACCAGATACTCGTCAGGTTTGTTCTGAACCGCTTCGAGTGGCGTTCTTCATCGGAAAAGGGGCAAATTCATACCAAAGTGCTGCAAATTAGTTGTGCGAACCAACGCACGTCCTGTGCAACTGCGCAGTCCATTCGCCGTTCATAGCACTGGTGTGAATAAGAGTCGCAGCGTTTTGAGTCAGAACGTGCCGGTTTGCACTGCCGTAGTCCTTCGATCTTAAGCACAACTCGGTCACGAGTGGCAGATGAAGCTTCCCCAATTGAGATGTGAAATCACCGTTGACTGACATGATGATATCAATATTCAAGAACATTGATCGAGGCGGAGGAAGGTGCTATCTGAGGCTGCCTGTTCCCAGATGAAGTCTATCTAAACTTGAACAATCACATGCTCAAAGGGCACTCAGGGTGAGTCAAGGCTGTATGAAATCGAGGCGGCCGTTCTCCACCAAAGTGAAATACAGATGAGCAAGCAGTGAATCGAAATCGCTTGACTTCCTCGACTCAATCGGTCATCACTGCCTCTGAGGTACTAGTCCCTGATAGTAGTAACTCGAAGTGATCATGACAGCCTGACTCATTGAAGTGAGGTTGCGCGTCTTGCACAGGCAGTGCCAATTCGATCATTAGTACGCCGCGCGCAGGAAGGACCCTGTGTCGCTCGGCGTTGTCGCTGGTTACCTTCGTGACTTCTTTTCCCTTCCTTTATAAACCATGGCAACCTCAACTCCCTCATCAGAACATCTTCATCACCGACTTACCCGTCTCCAAGCTGAGAGTCAATCGTTATTCCGTCAAGAAGCCTCGCTCGCATCTCAACTTGAGATTATTCGTCAAAAGCTCGCTTTGAGCAACAACGAGATCTTCAAGATGGAATCCATGGTAAACGAGTTTCTCCTCGATCAAGAGGCCCAAGGCCAATCCGACTTCTGGGAGGCACTCAACAAGAACGAATATGTCTTCAGAGGACTCTCCAAATTGATTGACCGTGATCCTACCTTGAAGACCGCCTTTCAAGCCGTCGCCGAAACACGCAGCACCGATACCCATGAAAAGCTCGTTTTGATCGCCCTTCTGACCCAGTTGAGTGGCCAGCCCGCCTCCATCCTCACCGATCTTGCAATGAAGGTCTTGCTTCACAATGCCAACGGCCATGCCCCAGTGCTCACCCAAAATGCCTCGAGTGACGCCGCCAACACTACTGTTGATCTCACAGACGACGACAACACTGCTGCAGCCAGACAATCGTCGATTGTCTCTCTTGAGGACAGTGACATCAAGGCCGAGTACGAAGAAGACTCTCCCACCAGCATGTTTAGGTCTTCACCCATTCCACCCGCATCTGCTCCAGGCCCAGCAAAGAGATCCTTTGAGACATTGATTGCGACCCCTGCCCGACAAATCCTTCAACCACGTGCCATCACTCAGCCTAAATCCCACCTTAGGGATCTCCTTCTTCAACTGCGCGACACCCCTACTCCTCAGCCCGTTGTTCAACCCAATGCCAGTCCAGTCGTGCCTGCTATTGTGGCACCATCTGAACATGAGGGTGGTAGACCAGCAAAGAGACTTAAGCCATTGAAGGATGTCGGTAAGTAACCTCCCTCCAACGTGGGAGAATGAACGTCAAACATTATGACAAGTAAAACTAAACTACCTTCTTCTTCCATTATAGCTATCCCTGCCGCATTCTCCTTGCTGATGAAGAAGCTGGAGGTTGCCCATGCCCAAAACGCACTTTCAATCACCAGTCTCCTGAAGTGCGCTAAGTGTCAACAAATAAAGCGCGACGCCCGTGTCCTGAATTGCTTGCACGTGTACTGCCACCGCTGCACCCAGAAGCTTCGAGTTGAGGCAGAGACCGGCAATTCCAAGAATGGCTTCAAAGCATACTGCGTTGTAGACAACTGCACTGAAATGGTTAGTGGCAAAACTGCAGTCATCGACGCCGAGGTCATGGAACTACTCGTCTGGTATGACAAACAATCTCCCGGTTTGACCACCAGTGCCGCGCAGATCCAAGTTTTGAAAGCCGCACACCACAAGAGACCCGATGAAGCCGTTATCAAGTCGCAGTTGGCCGAAGTCAGAAAGCAGCAGAAGCAACGTGAGGCGACCGGCGAGAACGATACTGTCTGTAACCTGCTCGAGGTGGCCAAGTTGGCAAAGAAGCTTGCTTGAAAGGAACCGGTCGAACCTCAAGTGCCAGATTTGTCAAGGCAAGTCCAGAGACTTGGATGGTAGGCATCTACGAAATCCTTTATCGACCATCCTTTTGCAAATGTGTCACCGAGTACAGCAATGGTCAAATGACCCAAGAACGAAAGACCTGGCACTGGTTGATGCTGCCATTCCCGAATTGCACAGAGCAGAGCATTTACGACAATTTGCTCTTGCTGTATCGGATGTAGTCAGCATCAATGAAAAATGCCAAGGGACAGTTCTTTTCCTGCAGAGATTAGAGTTAATCACAATGGACATTGGCTGAGAGATTTTGAGGGCTGTGGCAGAGATGAAGACTGCGAGGGAAAGCATAGCGATGGGAGGAGAATCTTCTCACAAGCTTCGGTACCCCTTCCTCTTCACATCTCTTCTCGACGTGTCGGTCCAGTTTCGAGTAACATTGGCCTGGAGGGCAATTGGTTGCCATCATGTATTGCACCGCTTATCATACCTTTGAACAGGTCGAGCTAGCTAATTCTTGGGTTTTGGTATTTCGTCCCTGTTTCCTTGATTGTAGCCCGTGTCCGATGGTAAGTCTAGCTCGTAATGTCAGCGAAAGCATCAAATTGTAAGCCGACACTGGACGCTGGGGAGGATTCGAATCCACACCAAACCTCAACATGAACCTGAACATGACCCTGGAGGATTCTTCAGTGAAAAATGTAACCATGCGGTTTGTGATTGTACAGGAGAAGTGCTTCGACCCAACAAAGCAAATGTACGCCTTCTCTCTATCTCGTCTGTATCTTCAATTCCTCGAACCTACACTCTCCTGAAAAGCAGGCTACATCACCCACCCACCACCTACCAGGCTACCAGCCCTGCTTCCTCATCCTGCGAATCTGATCACACTCGGCAACAAAACCCTCGCGAAACAGGGCCCTCCACCTCTGCATCCTCAGGATCTTGACCTTCATACCCTTGCGCACATGAAACCTCTGATTGCGCACGTCCGCCCTGATGTTGTTCTGCGTGCATTTCCGCTCCAGCATCTGGAACGCACGGCCTGGGTCGCCCGACATGACTTTGACCGTGCGGCCCAGCGACGGCTTCAGCCGCAGGTTGATGTCCGCGTACGGGTCGATGTGTTCCTGGTTCAGCGAGGCGACGAAACTGCTGAGACTGAGCTCCGAGTCGCGTGGTGGTGTGAGGCCGCTCGGCGAGCCGCCGCCGAGCGTGTCGTTGAAGGCGTCGAGCGACGACGAGGATGATGATGTCCGTCGCGGGTTGCCCATCAGTGCATCGAGGCGTTCGTTGGCTGGTGTGCCGGCCCGGAGGTCCTTTTTGAACTCTCGTAGCAGTTCTTGGAGCGACTGTCGGCCGTTGTCGTTGCCCTTGGGTTTCTGTGTTGTGGCTGTAAAGGGGGAAGAGGAGGAGGCATGGCGTTGCGATACTCGGATGTGTGTGACTTGTGGTTTTGGCTTGAGGGTGGTGTTGGAGGATAGGATGGGTATGGAGCATCGTGTGGAGCGGTGAATGGCGTGCCGAGTGCACCGTTGGAAGACTTGTGAGACCTCCATGCTGCTGACGCTCAATAGCAGCTAGAAGGTAGTTCTGGGGGTTGTATGCGGACTTGGAGCGTGGATATGAATGTGATGCGAGCAGGTGTCGACAGAAGCTCGTTGTTGGAGAAAATCGAGATCACGTGCTACAAGAAGTGTATCATCCAATTAAAGTGCCGCATCTTCGGCTTCGGATCAATTATCCAGGCGAGCCTGCTGTGTTCCTGACGAGTAACAGGACGACTCCTTATGCGCTGATGTATTTGGCGAGACATTCGCAACGAATACGGCGACTCGTTCAACACCAAGCCGCCTCCCGAACAATGTCATCCTCAGCTACCGTCATCAAGCCCGTCAAGCCCGCCATCACACTCTCATCTCTCGGCCAGATCCATCCCACCACCCTAGCCCCTCTATTGCTAGACCCCGAACAGAGTACCAAATTGGCCGTGATTGACGTGCGAGACTCAGACCATATCGGTGGAAACATCAATGGCAGCACATGGATCCCTATCAACCAGCTGGATGCCCGCATGCCCGAGTTACTAAGGACATTGAAAGACAAAGATAGAGTCATATTTCATTGTATGCTGAGCCAGCAGAGAGGACCAAAGGCTGCTCTGATGTACGCGAGAGCCAAACGAAGTGCCGAAGATAAAGCTGAAGCTGAAGCTGCAAAAACGGCCGCGACACAGTCAGAGGGTTCGGAGGAGAAGCCTAGCGATGGTAATGTGGACGGTATTGACAAGAAGAACAAGAGTGGTACAGACGCGAGTCCGCCGCAGGAAGTGTGTGTTTTGGAAGGCGGCTTCGGGTGGTGGCAGTCACGCTATGGGCCGGATCCACGCCTGACTGCTAATTATGAAGCAGATATATGGGTTTGAAGAAGTACAACACGATATCATGCGCCCCCGAGTTGCCAGTCTCCAAAGCTATATGCCCATCTGCCACAGCTCTAACCAGGGCTCCTACTTGGAATGGATTCAATTCAGGTCAGATTCAGATGCATGAAACTACTCCAACATCAAGCAGTGTTCTGAACCTCCTTCAGAAGCACAACCTACAGTTGCAAAGCAATGAATGTAGCCTATCCCCCCGGAGCCTGTCATCGATGTCCATCAGGCCTGGCCTTGCCACACCGGACTGAAGCCGGCGGTTCAGCCTGGACAAACACAATCAAGTGGTCTGCGTGTATCTGAGCATTGACAGTGGGGAATACCTCGTTCGTCTGGCTTTATGCAATAGGCAGTCAAACCATCCCTACTTGGGGAATGGCATAGCCGTGGTTTCCCATTCTCAGACTGATAGCAACCATTTAAGGAGGCTTCAAACTATGGAACTGTGTATTTCGGCTGTATCCATGACCTTAATGCAGTGTCTATCGTCTTAGGCCATTAAAGTGCACATACGTGTCCATGCTGCTACCCCAGGGCATTTGATAGTCAGCCGGTAGATAGTGACTAGCGCGAGGCTGAACCCTTTTTCCACTGCCAAGCCTTCTTGGTCATCGCAAGGCCGCAGGAGATTCAAGTTCAACTTTCTTCAAGCCCATTCTAGCTCAATCCATACCATTCCCTTAAAGCAAAAGTATATACAAAAGATCCCGCTCGAGAGTCGTTGGGACCGGAAATACAAGTCAATATTCGAAAATGACTGCAGCAAAGAAAACATTTCCCATGTGTGGTGCGACATATGTCGGCCAAGTCGAACATGAATTTATGCACAGCAAAGGACTCGGAATATGTGCTAGTTGTATGACGACTGGAATGCAGAAGCCGTTGAGGCGTTGCAGTGGATGTACCCTGGTTGACTATTGCTCGAGAGAGTATGTATTTATTGACTTGTCAGGCTTCATTGTGGAACATGGTTGACACGTTGCAGGTGCCAGAAGGATCACTGGTCCAGGCACAAAGCTTTCTGCAATTTAGCCCAAGGCAAGGGCTCCAAGAAGGCATATTTATCATCATACGAACATGACGAAGCTCTCCGCGTTATTATCGATACTTATCGCATGAGAGTGGACACCGATCATTCTGCTCGAGAAGAGGATCATGGTATTTACTACCCGGGCAAGTCAATTGATGGGTTGGTATGGGCTAAAGGTGATGGTAAGTTTGTACTGTTGTTGCAGGTTGCTTGATTTCTTCTTTCACTTGTTGTGATGTCGCTGACCCACTGTCCGCAGCGACTGAGGACTTCCAAAAATTCCTCGATCTTGCTGACACGGCAGGCATCCTGCCCAAGTGGTGGACATTCGAGGACAGAATGAATTGTCTTGCCTGGGCGATCAACAAAGACGATCCAGAAAGTATCTTTAAGCCTGTCGACCAGACGGATATTTTCACCAGATATGGTGGGGACACAGCTATCCGTCAGGCTTTCCTAATTCTTGCAGAACTATGTGTAGGCTATGACGGAAAAGGGCCTGCAAAGGATGACACTTGGTTCCGGGAATTCCAGGAGTACCTCGATCTTCATCCACAAGAACGGGCTCGATTGATAGCAGGAACTGTTGATGCTGTGCGGGCCGCTCTGGAAGGTCCAGAAGGCGAAGAGACTGACTTGAAGAAACAAATGAGAGAGGGGGATGTGGATGGTGTCACAAAATCCTTGAAGGAGCTCTAGAGTATGGGACATCACACCAATTTGGCTCAGCCTGGGTTGATATCTAGGGACACCATGCTCTGAGCCTCTCAATTGCATATCTGCCCGTGGATGAGCTCAATGGTGAGGCCTCATCTGATCTCAGATAATCTGAGCTTAACCGTCGTTGCTTTGAACGGCCGAGGAGCTCAAGTCACGGTCAAGACTTAAGCCTCTAGCACATGATCTTGTGCGCCTGTGACACTGCAGGTTAGAGAGGGCGTTGTGCTCACCCCGGGATAACTACTACTCGGAAGAGATCATCGATGTCGATGTCGAATCAACTCGAATTCTGGTCTCCACCAACGATATCATGCATGCTGTTCCTGTCCGATACTGTGTGATGTCTCACATGCAATACACGACCGTCAAGATCATCTTTCATGCCGATATATGTGGCCGCGCTGTCTCGCATGATTCTGCGAGATTCCCAGACCAAAAGTTGTCAGCTGTTGGGAAGGACGATTGGATCACTGTAACGGCCACTTCGGTGCGTTGCATAATAGCCAGTCGGACGGCCTCAGCGCAAAAAACTAATGACTCTGCCCTTTTTCAACATCGTGCAGCCAAATCCGCCTAGCGTACCATTGGTATAACATTTGGAGCAGAGCAGGCATCAGCCGATCACATGATAAATCGAAAGATTAGTAAACAATGATTGAATAGGAGCTATTGAAAGATGACCAGGATTTCCTGCAAAGTCGTTACGTTCGTAACGGAAAGTGCTGGAATTCATGGGTACGACCTCTACGAAAGCATAGTGCTAGATATGGCAGAACGAGCCCTGGCAGGAAACAGTGTCTCATGTAGTCCCCGTGGCAAGGCCTGCTCAAGTTCAGCAAACATTCCGTGAAAAGGAAATAATAGCGCGGTGGAAAGCATTAGCGATTGAATCATCCATTCCACAAAAATTACAAGTAATCCCGACGTACACTGAGAAGCATATTACCTCTCATGACTGTAGCCATAATGCCAATTATCACTGGCGAGATCCTCTCTTATCTTATAATTCTCCTCCGCCACATCAACAGCCCTCATGTCGACATCCACAATCCGCATTCCGACCTCACTATCCTCAAAAGAACCCTGCACAGGACCAACCAGCGGCAACACGACCTGGCTGAGGCCCGTATACCCTTCTTCCACCGGCCCACCCACATTACAGAAGATGACCGCGCAAGTATTTTCGAACGAGCGTGTCACGAGCGCCGCCTTGAGGAACTGCGCATCCACGTCTGGGCCGTAGTTGCGTGCTTCGGGGGTAAGGTCATCCTTGGTCCAAAACGTGGGGATGATGATGATCCGCGCGCCCTGTCGCACGAGGCTGCGAACGCTCTCCGGAAACGCCAGGTCCCAGCAGATGACGATGCCGACGGGACCGAGCGGCGTTTCAATCACGGTATGTGGTTTCGGTGGGCCTTCGTCCGTGGCGTGGGTGTGGTGCTGTGGTGCTGGGCGCGCGGCGGCGGCTTGACGCACAGAGTCAGGTCCAGATGTCAAGACGCTGCGTTCGGGAATCCAAAGATTCGCTTTGGTGTATGAGCCTAGGACCTCGCCAGTGAAGGCGATGAAGGGAGCGATGTTGAGCAGTGCTGGTGGATGGGAGCCGGTGGATGCTGTTGCCGCTGGTCCAGTGCCATTTGATTCTACTGTCGCATTTTCTGAGGTCGGTTCAATTGTGACGATAGTACCTGGGACAATGTTGATTTTGAGCTCTTTGGCTAATTCCTGATACTTAGAGACATATTGATACGCCGTTTTTGCAAGGGTGGCAAAGCCCGGATCTTCCGGTGTCCATCCCGAGAGATGGTATTCTGGCAGCACAGCTAAGGATGCCCCTTGTGCAGCTGCTTCGCGGATGTGAGCTGAAGCTGTTGTAAAATTATGTTCTGCGTCAAGAGGCTGCGTTGGACGTCATTAGTAGATGAATAACAACTAAGTAGATGCACAGCCTAACACAGTGGCTTACCTTGGGGTTTAGTTGAATTAGTGCACATTTGAAGCTGCCGGAGAACGCTTCATAAGAGGTAGCCATCTCTTTCGACAAATCTCCTCTTTCAAGACTCGATTCAAACTACTCCGGTCGAACTAACAAGGAAGTGACGTGAGCAAACTCCTCCTTCATCGCTCAGAGGGGGTTGATTGAGGGGCAAGGCTGAGCGAGGCTGAGAAAGAGAGGAAGCACATTCTTCCGAGCCGAGATTAGATAAGATCAAGTATTGATCAAAGAGAAGACAAGAACTTCTCCTCCGCTAAATCTGGACCCACTAGTATTTTCGAGTGCGATCTAAATTCAACCCACCACAACTGCATCACCAGGGCAAATCGACACCTACACCATCCTTCTGCCACAACGCCACAATGTCTTACGCAAACGGGAACCGACCACCGATAGATGATGATGATGTCGAAGAGGAGGCATTGGTAGCCGATTATCAAGAACAAGTGAACAACTACGAAGATGGCACAGATCTCAATCGAGCAGATTCGCTCACTGGCGGTCCTGCAGATTTGAGAGCTCAACTCGAGGCTGCTGCCGCCCCCTTGGAATACCAAGCCTCCCTAGAGACCAAATTTGCCAGTTACGACAATTATTGTTCTCTCTTTCACTATATTCTCAATTCGGACGGACCAGTCGAAGTGGAACAGCCTTCATATTATTGGGCATGGGATGTCATTGATGGTGGGTTGATGCGAAATAAAACACTGTCAATGACGCTAGGCTAACTGACATATTTCAGAGTTCATTTATCAATTCGAGTCCTTCTGCCGCTACCGAAACCGTGTCGCAAGAACGGCACCAACTGAGGAGGAGGCACAAGTCCTACGAGAGAACCCCAACACCTGGGGCTGCTACTCCGTACTCAACGTCCTCTACTCGTTGATCCAACGCAGTCAAATCAACGAGCAACTCGCGGCACAGAAGCGAAATGAAGACCCTAATGCTGTTGCAGGAGAATATGGTTCCCGTCCACTGTACCGCATGTTGGGATATTTCTCCATTATCGGCTTGTTGCGAGTCCACTGCCTCCTTGGTGACTTCAGCTTGGCCCTCAAGACACTCGATGATATCGAGATGAACAAGAAAGCCATGTTTGCCCGTGTCATGGCCGCTCACCTTAATACCTACTACTACGTGGGCTTCTCATACATGATGCTACGCCGGTACGCCGACGCTGTCCGCATGTTCAGCCATATCTTGGTGTACGTGTCACGAACCAAGAACTTCCAGAAGGGCAATCAGCAATTCGACGCCATTGCCAAGAAGACAGAGCAGATGTATGCTTTGATCGCCATCTGCGTGTCCTTCGCTCCCACCCGTCTTGACGACACCATTCACACCGCCCTGCGTGAGAAATACGGCGAGAAGTTTGCCAAACTCCAACGTGGCGGCCCAGATTCGTTGCCAGTGTACAAGGAATTGTTCCAGAGCGCGTGCCCCAAGTTCATCAACCCCACACCACCCGACTTCGATAACCCAAGCCTGAACATTGACCCTGTAGAGCACCACACCGACATTTTCATGGACGAAGTCAAGAACACTCTCTTCAACCCCACGGTCAAGTCTTACTTGAAGCTCTACACAACTATGGATCTGAAGAAGCTGTCAAGTTTCCTCGATGTGGATCCGGAGAAGTTGCGTAGCTGGTTGCTCGTAAACAAGCAGCGCAGTCGGCAGATTCGCTGGTCCGAAGGTGGTCTTTTGGATGGTGATGTCATCAACGGCAGTGAGTTGGACTATGCCATTGAGGGAGATCTCATCCACATCAGCGAGGCCAAACAAGGTCGCAGATTGGTCGACTGGTATCTCCGCAATCTGGCTCGCAGTTATTGAGGGGGCGAAGTCGCGAATTGCTATATCTCAGGCTGAGAATTCGATGAAAAGACCGATAAGGAGAAATTAGGTCGAACGGATGATGGGGGAGACAAGCCCTGCAGCGTATGTCCATACCTGGCTTTCTTGGTCTACGAGGCTCTTGAAGCAGTTAGGGTGGGCGGGTTGCGACACGGCCATGTCGGATGATGGATTCGGGACCTCGGCACATATGGCGTGGCACTTCATTATGAAGATTAAAACTCACAGTTCACACCATGAGAGTGCATATGCACAAGCTGCATCTTTGGGCACCGCGCACGGTCGGAGAAGATTGATGAGTGAGACGAATGCTATGACAAGGGAGTGACCAAGGAATCAGCTTCGGCGGCGACTTACTCAAGCCTGACGTGGAAAGGGGAAGAGTGAAAGCGCGCATGAGAGACACAGCGCTTCTATCGTGTCCACAGGGTATTAGGATCCACTGGGATGCAAAGTTGACGCCGTGGTAAGCATCTGCATAGAACGCGAAACATGACAAGAACATGATGGCAGGAGAGTGCAATGGACATCGAGCTCAAAGAGAAATAAAAACAATAGAAAACCCAAAACTTCAGAAAGAATTGTATCACTTGACATGGCTGGTCGTTGGGAAGTAGTTGAGTTTGATTCGAACGCAGCCGAGCTCAATCATGGCCAAGGACAATAGTCCCCGTTTACCACAGAGACCCATCCTTTTGTTCAGGGTCATGGAAATATGATAAAAATACCGATTTCAAGTCTGACATTCGGTGTTGCACCTGGATTTCCATCCTCTGTTGATTTCACTGATTTTGCTGCGTCGCAAAAGGGGTGCCTAGAGTCTATGGCAGCTGTCCTTTTGATTAAAGTACACCGAAGCCATCTAGATAGTCTTGATCGTGCAGAGAGACTGGGGAAGAGACAGGAGCAGGTGGTGGCTTCTAATCATCCTGCATCTCATCGTCATCATCATCGTCGTCGTCATCCACACCAGCTCCTGGACGTCCATGCCCATTGACTCTTCCTCTGTCAAGGGGTGGACTATCATCGTCGTCATCATCTCTGTTCCTCGATGTGATCCCGTTCGTGCCAGCGTCCGCTTTCTCATCCTCATCGGCTTCTTCCATCGTGACATCCTGCGCGCTTTGTTGCAGCTCATCTTGTTCTTGTGCCTCGGCCTCTAATCTTGCCGCTTCATCAAATGCCTCGTTCGCACGAGCCAACTCTTCATACTTAACCTCAAATGAAGGATCGAACTGACCCAAGAACTGGGCACGGCGGAACTTCTCAGAATCGTTGGCTTCGCGGAATGAAACCATGACTTGATCCGCGACGTCTTCATCGAGTTGACGAGGTTGGGATTGTGGGGGTGCTTTGCCCAAATTTCCTCTGTCAGCTTTGAATCGTATTCGTTCGACAATTGGGTAATAATAAGCTGCCGGACCTTGTTTGCGGAAACGAGAATGGGAAGGTAGTTTATCTGGATCGACGATAGATATGGCCATAGCTTCATCCTGAACGACTGGTTGTTGTTTGTTATTGGGGTAAATTCGAGCCCTCTCAAAGGGCAGTCTGAGTGTGCCGTCCGCGGATTCTTCAAGTAAACGATTGACCAGGGTGGGGTCATCTTTGTTGGGATTCGAGTCGTCGAATATTTGATGATATCGAGCGCCAGAGTCGTGCTGTTTGGGAACAAAGAGTGTCCAGGTATATGGCTCTGGGCCGGGGTCTTCATATAGGTCTGGTTGCTCGTCAAATGCCTTCTTTTTGATCAGCCACTCGGCCTGTTTCTCCTGATTCTCAGTTCCACCCAATAGAGCGGCGTCCATGCGATCGTCTTTTCTTCCTCGATATGTTGCTAGAGGGGGTTTATCAAATTTTAGTTGATACCAGGAACCACCGAGATCGGTTCCGGCTTCAAGATCGGGTATGATGGGGTAGAATCCTACAGGTTTCAGCCGTGGATTATCTGGGTGAATAGGATTTCTCCATGCGTCCCTCTCTTGTTGGGTGATTGGGTTTGCTTTTGCCTCGGGAGGGTTGTGAGGAATGCTTTCGGGGTATGCAATATTAAAACCTTTTTGAATATGTCTCTTGATATTTTCCTTGTCGTCTTTGGCGACCGGCATAGGCATGGGTTTGGAATCGTTCATCTTTCTCATTTTGGGGTTGCCAGGTCTTATGAGAGCATCTGGGGCTCGAGTCAATTGACCCGAGTTCATGTATTGTGTTTTGCGCAGAAAGGAAACATTGTCCATAGCGCCTTGACTTTTGAGTTGTTCGAGAGTGAGGAGCAGAGCTTGATCGGCTGGTTCGACCACAGGCAGTACATCGGGTGCCATGATAGCGGATTCATCACCGAGGAAGTAGCCAGGAACACCGATCATGTCAATAGACATTCCTCCCTCCGCATCGACTTCGATGTTTGGCTCCTCTCTCTTTGCAAGTGAGGATGCATAGCCGGTAGTGAGATACTGGGCAAGACCACCAGTATCTATGTCGAGCAGCTTCGGCGGCATAGGTGGAGGAGGGAGGTCATTACGGTAACGGACGGAGACGACAAGGTCTTGTTTGAATTGTTTTGAATCGCCCATGCTGGCCATGGTGGCCTCGAAGTGTTAATAGGGTTGTTGAGAGATCTGAGAGAATGTCACGACGAAGACAATATCATTGTCGGGTGGATGTGACGCGTTTCAAAGGAAATCACTGCGGTGATATCGAGAAATTGACAGGTGAAGTGGTGTAGAGGACGAAACACGCGGCGTATGCAATACTCTGGCATGCGCATCACTGACCTCGAATTGTTCTTTGGCCATGCACGCTGGAATCTTTTGGCAGCAAGGATAAGTACCGACTAGGCCTAGTGTCCTGATTAGTGTGTCTAGTGCGGTTAGTGAGGAAAGTCTGGAAGTTGCACAACTGGCAGGTAAGCCGAGAGAATCCCCTGCTACATCACGTGGATAACGCCCATCGGCGGAAGGCACCGCATTATTCACTGCATGTTCAGCCGAACCTTGAGTCTTGAATCATGATCCTGGTCGAACCATTGCTCCATTTCTTTTTCGCCTCGACTATTCACTCTTCCATCGTCGCTGCTGTTATCTTCTTCTACATTTTTGTACTGTATTTTAAATCTAACAGTTCTTCACAACATGGGTTGGTTCTGGGCAGATGCACCAAGGCCTTCGACCGCACCGGCAGCCGTGGTTACACTACCGAGTAACCATCCTCCTCAACAACCTGGTGCCACTCCTCCGGTAGATATACACCCTTCTCAAATATCTTCGCTCATCTTACTAATGATTGCTCTATCACAGCCATCATGTCCTATGCACGTCAAAGACTCATCCACACCCCCAACGGCTTCACCATTTCCTCCACGCCTCGACTCTCCCAACTCAACACCATCATCATGTCCCGTGAAATCAGTCAACCATCCTCTCCGAAACGTCACATCCACCCAACATCCACAATCACAGCCCTCCGCACCACAACAGCAAGAACAACAATCTACCCTCTCCAAACTCAACCCTCTAAACTACATGCCCACGCTCGCGAACGCCCGTGACGCAGATTCACCCCAGAGTATCGCCCTCCCGCTTGAGCGAGAATTATCCTCTATCCCCCGCGGCGATAGCGAAGCCAACTGGGAATACCCATCGCCACAGCAGATGTACAACGCAATGCTGCGCAAAGGCTACACCGACACACCCGCCGATGCTGTGGAGAGCATGGTCGCCGTGCACAACTTCCTGAACGAAGGGGCATGGGCTGAAATCGAGGAGTGGGAGCGGATTTTCGGCCCTGGACTCTCGCACGGCTGGAGTCTCTGCGCCAAAGGTGAGGAAGGCATAGCACTGGAGCGAGCGAAGCGCGAGTTCCTTGCCGCACGGCGCAAGGCCCTCAATCTCCCGGAACCATCGACATCAGTGGACACCCAGCCGAAATTGCTGCGCTTCCTGGGCCGGCCACAGGAACCCACGCCTAAAGCTCGCATCCTCAGCGCGCTAGGGTATGTGATGCCGGAGAAGTTTGGCGGGGAGCCACCGTTCGACCGGCACGACTGGTACGTTGCGCGACGTCGGCCGGACGGCTCTGTCACGGAAGTCCGCTACGTCATCGACTACTACTCCGGCGGCGTTCAGAGCACCGGCGAGCCCGTCTTCTACCTCGACATCCGCCCCGCACTGGATACGCCAACCGCGGCCGTCGAGCGCGCAATGCGCTGGGGTGGGGATGTCTGGCACCGTGCGACGGGCGCCAGTGTGCGCGAGGCCGCGAGGAATCAACCTCCGAAATCAAGTTGAGTTGATTGAAATATCGACTGTGTCATCTCGCGCAGTGAACGGAAGAATCACTGAATCTATCGGCAGCTCCGAGCGACGTCGGTACTTTGCTCGTATACGAAATAGTTGTGTATCAAAAGTGAAATGGGGAAGTGAGCAGGGCGACAAGAAGAAGCAGCGACCAAGAGCAATACACCGTACCGCACGGGACTACGAGATTATATGTACGGGCAAACGACTTTCTGAGACATTGTAACGATGTTCTTCGCCTTTCTACAAGTTTGTATGATTTTCTAATTGTGGACTACCTGACTTTATGTCCGCTGGAGTCAAATGTCCTAGTAGACCCAGGCGAAAGAAACGCCTCTGGCGGCTCTCCTCTCTCGTCCTCTACTCGAGGTTTTCTGTACAAGCATGCCTTTTCTTTGCTGGGGTGTTACGGCTAGTGTTTCCACAATGGGAGAGATATCGGTGTCGAGGCTTTTGTCGACTGGAAGCGCAGCAATATGATGATGTGGCAAACTTGGTCGTGAATGTACCATGGGCCATGAGCCACGAGCCACGGGTTGGGGCCGTGGCTGTATATATGTATGAGCGGCGAGCCGGTTGGTTAGTATTAGTGAGATGCATGGAGCATGATGTGACCATGATCTTTTCATCAATGTAATTGATTAATCCCTTCTCTTCAACCAAACTTCCTCTGCTTTCAAACACAGCAGATGGTGCATGATATCATATGATAAATGGTTATCTCAAAGTCGCTCTTACTTTGGATGTTCCCGAAGGAAATTGAGTGTGTTTATATCGAGCATGGTCCAAAAATTTCGTGTCGTCTGTACAGGTTGCTGTGTGTGCTAGGATTGTTTCACATGGCAATTCCCTGATAATTAGTCGAGCAAGCTATAGTGCCCAGATCAGTCTTTGGAGGATTAGATATGGCGTCGCAATGCTTGGCAATGTGTTGATTTCCCCTTAGTTAATGGTTGTGCCTTGGTCGATGACCTGTTTGCATGTCACAATCAATTGCTCGAGATGCCATATGTTCCTGGGGAGTCATTCCCGATTATGGCCGGATTTTTTGGTGCGTTCCTTTGGTGCATATGGTGTGTTGTGGTCATCGGATGGCGATATTGGCGGCGGCAATATCATGCGATGCCCAATCCCGCCACGGGACGCTCATAGCTGCATTGTAAATTTCTCTCCACTTCTTCGCTTGGAGACCTGGAATATAGAACAGCCCGTAGATCATGAGCTCTACCTCTTCCCATCTGATCAGAAACAATTCACGAACCAGCTCTGCCATGTGGCGGATGAAGAATTCGGCCTCGGGTGAATTGCCTGCACATTCCGTGAAGATGAACAATGCCCAGAGTATGACCTGAAGCTCCATACGACTACAGCCTCTGCGGCTTGATTTCGCCCATTTCTGGAAAGCGCGCTTCTGGTGATGAGTGATGGCTCGCCCAGACCCCGATGATGGAAGAATGCTATGCGGTGCAGTAGTCAAAAGACCCAATCCTGCAAGTCGAATCATGCCTTCGAGCGCAGGTAGCACTGGCTCATTGGTCTTGTCTCGTTCAAAGACCTCTATTTCGTATGGATATGCAACCAAGTCATATTCGAGTTCTGTACCCTTTCGATTCAACACGAAATGACCAGCAGGTGGAAGAGTGCCGGGGTACCTTGCATTGAAGTCACATATGTTACAAAGATCTCGTTGTAAAGAGAAGAGTTCTCGGAGGCGGTCGCTCAAACCTGGAATCTGGGTAAAGCTTGACCCCAGGCGGCTTTGGTCCACCTCTGGTGGTGGTGAGACGACTAGCAGGACCTCTTCTGGAATCGGGTGTCGCTCCCATGGGATAGGTAGTAACGGTAAAGATAACATCGCGGTGGCCAGTTTGACGTTGGTGATTGGGAGCCACTGGACAGACTCTTCAGAAATGTTGGCCATGGACATGATTTTCTTGATTCCTTGGAGATGAACCTTGGCCTCAGCAATATTGCCAACGATAGTAGCTACAGACACCAGTCCGTAGCAAGCATCGACCAAAGACTGATCAGGCGTCTTATTTGCCTCGATCAGCTTCCTGACCGCAACGAGGGTGTGGAACTTGACTTGCTTGTACTCGGGATCTGTGATGAGATCATCGTGGTCTATCTCAGATGGCGTCAGGTCTCCATGTGACCCTCGAAGAATGGCTCGGTGAGCAGCGACTGTACCCATGAAGCCGAGAAATACAGCAGGACTTGCCACTTTCTGTCGCAGAACCATACCTTGTCGAGCAGTCCGCTCGCTAGAGGAAAACTTCTCCATCACGAAGGTCATGGGCAGCAGTACATCGAAACCTGGGCTCACGATCAACAATCGAAGTTTCCCTCAAAGACGTGTGACTTACAATGGCGTAGCAGACTTTCGACACCTTTCTGGGGGAAACCAGCGGCCGGGAGCGATCCAAAAGGGTCAAACTCATGGACAGCAGGCGCAATATTGAAAGGTAGCTTCTTCTGCAGATGCCAGGTAGAGGGAGGCGATGGCTGGGAAGGTTCGAAAACGCTTGAAAACTGGTTGCTGGAGCTTGATTGCGACTCGGTAGAGCTGGGATCACTCAAGGCCGAAGAGTCGGAGTCGCTGGAGGTGCTTCGGGTGGGAACTCGAGAAGCGCGTTTGGGGTGGTCGCGTCCCGTTGGCCTTTTCTTTCCCAAGGCCAACTCCTCCTGCCGCACACGTTGCATAACATGAGAGCGGATGGCATGTCGTTGATTGGCATCGCTGATTTTCCTGTGAGACAGGGAAGCAATATCGTCGGCTTGATTTACGAAGGTGAAATTGACACTCGATGAAGCGGGAGTGGGAGTCGAATTGACCGTGTCTATATAACATGACAGAGGATGTTAGTGGCGTTTTAGATCAATCATGATGGGGCCAAGACGGGGTGGAAGCATGAAGAAAGGGAGGGATTGACAAAGGCCCTGTTGATTTTGGATCACAGGACCAAGTGTAGAGTAGTGCAAGAAGTAATCGCACCAGAACACGGGGAACGAGGCCGCATGATTTTTCTTTCCAATCCATCGTCCAGGCATCAAGAGAAAGAGCCCAGAATAACGTTGCTCCTGCTACTTGGTGGGGATCAGAAGGGAGAACGGAAAGAGCGCCTTGCCAAAGCGAAGTTCAAAGTTGTTGGGAACACGAAGCGAGACTTGGACCAGACTGCCTTGACATGAAAATTGGCTGGTTGAGTGGCTGTGACAAGCTGGAAGCGATGAGGATGGAGATGGTTTATGAACGTCAGTGTGTGAGCTTCATCATCTTGGATACCACCCACATGTTGATGGACGCTGCCAGAGAAAACAGTTAAAGGAAATCTGCAATCATGAGGAGCCGGTCACGATTGAGGCTAGCTTGGTGGCTCACTAGCGTAAGCACCCATGTTCCTATGCTTCGCTAGGCTTGGAAGGAGACTGGGAGGGGGAGTGCCCCCAGGTGCCCGGTGGAGGGGGTTGACTCGTTTGGCTCTGGGTGCGGCTTTCACTTGGACGTTCCGGGCGGTGCAGGCATGGTTGATGCATTCATGGGCCAGGCTTCAAAGTCTAAATCATCGGAATTGACTCGCTGCAAGCTCTCGATTCCCGTCATGTCGCCCTTCTGGATTCCCTTCAGTGGCCGGTGTGCATATGTAGACCTGGCTCTGGCTACCTCTGGCGACCTAGGTACCGACCTAGGTATCCGTATCTCTTGGCTGATTGAGATTGGCATCTCGTGGATCTTCAACGAGTCGCTTGCTTGACGATCGTCATTACAAAGATGTGACTAACCAGGCAGTGGTTCATTTACTATAGGTACTTAGGTAGGTGCCCGATGCCCTCAGCTCGTAAAGGCCATGCCCATTACTTGATCACACATTTCTCCTCTCGCAGATCCATCACTGAATCGTCTGATACTGGTCCATCATACCTGTCAGCATTCAGCAATGCCATTTCTACTGGATGCTGATGAACTCTGGATCGCACGGGCTACCGCTAATTCATGTCAGATCGGGTGACTAACCTCCGAGGCAGCATCTCAATTTAGGAGAGTCAGGGCTTGCAGCAGATACGCGGAGGGTCCTGGTACCTATAGGCTACACCACCTGCGTAGGTAGTCTTTGCTCATGCCCGGGAGCGAGCTATTCAATAATATCCCTTCCTTGAGTTCTGACTGGAGCGTTCTCGGCTCTCAGTCCCTCGGCCTCAGACGGCTGCATATCTTATGCCGTACGAGCCTCCCTCTGCTGCCGGTCAGTTTTTCCGGCCTGCTAGTGTGGGGTCGAAGCTCGTGTTCAGCGAGAGTTGGACCGGCCTTTGACGGACTTCTCGGCACTCCCAGAGCCACTCCGGGCGACGCTAATCGAGGAGTCTACCACCGTGGGAAAACATTCATACTCCGGGAGTCTCCCCGCGAATCCAGGCCTTGACGCCACGCTTGAATATCTGAAAAATGTTGAGATCGGTGTCCTTTCCCTCCCTCCATACAGGAGCCTCGGTTAATCAATTGATCATGAACAACGAATGCACATTGTACAACCTGAATCATAATCCCTGCGCCTCGCTGAAAATCCTGGCAATCACGAAGTAGAGGAAAACCCCTCCAAACGCCATCCAGACTTTTCTGGTTGATAACCAGCCGTGGCCAGCATCACGAGCAGCCTGACCCCCATGGACGACAGCGCCCACTCCTGCGCCACTGCCTCCTAGTATTCGTCGTAGTGCCGCGGTTTCGGGAGAACATTGCACTTCTTCGCCCTCCGGGTCGGCCAGCATTTTCCCAGTCTTGGGATCGATCCGGTGTTGAGTGATCCATGTCCAGTTCTCCTGATCTTCATCTGGAAATTCTGATTTGAACTTGAAACCTCCATCTCCTGCTTTGATGTTTCCCAGGCCCTTGGATGTTGCCTGCACTCCAGGTACAGGCTTCGATGCAGACCCACCACCCGTAGAGTTCCACCATCTTGATCTTGCGGCGTGCCATTTCCGCTCTGCTGGAGTTCCACCCACGCTGCCTGCAGTCATCTCTTCGCTGTTCATGAAGGACATGAGTCCAATCAGAATTGTAGATACGGACCACGCAGGATTGAATGATTTGGGATGGAAGTCGCTGATACTCAAGCACAATCGAGTTGAAGGTTGAAATCGACCGCTCGGAGTATGCATTCGAATAGCGGGCGGCGCAAAAGGGTAATCGGGTGGGAAGACGAGGGAGCCATGATATTGGCCATTTTCATAAGGAGTGTTGGGTGCGCCGGTTAGAATGTAATGCCATTCCAAGATGTTGGATTCTGATGGATGGGCAACAATGTATGGCACGGGACTGGACTGGATATTTTGGTATTCGCGAGTCAGACGCTTGTATGCTGCTTTGGTCGCCATGGTCGCACTGGAAAGGCCGTGTCTATTTCGAGGTGCTGCCTGCAGCGGTTGATGGTGATGAGTTGGAAATTGTTGGCTGTAGAAGAAGTGAATCAACGATGACAGGAGTCGAGGATATATGAAGACAAGATCAATCAACCTTTAATGAAGGAATAATAAGAGAAGATGAACAAGGTAGACTAGAGATATGGATAATGTGTCTTTTATCCGTTGTGTTTGGGAGTCCAGAGTGATTAAAGGTGGGTGATGCCTGAAAGTCTGAGGTGACGAACAATGATTCCGGCCGTTGCGCTGAGGAGGACTTGGAGAGGCCAGTGACATTGACTCGGAGTTCCAGGTGCCGACAAGGGCTGTAAAGCAGCAGCGGTGGTGGACTTTAGGAGCCGCCTTTAGCCTAGCCAGGGACCTACTGCGACTATAACACGCTCCTTGCCCTCCTATCGTAGGGAATGGATGCTAGTCTACACTCTTTGAAGGCATCAGGTACATATGATGTATGGTAAACAACACATCTTTTTTGGAAGCTCAGGAATGTACCATGCACACCGAGTATTCACAGAATATCCAACCGCTAATCTGACTCTCGCGCATCTCAGCGCCAGGATTCCTCGCTCAAAAGTCTAGCAAGCAGGTTTAATGAACAGAGACGCACAGAAATGCACTTGTCTCCCAGAAGTGCTGCAATTGCCGCACTTTACATGCTATGGCATGAACGGTGGACGAGTGTGGAAATTCTCATAGGGCGGCATCATCCTTATTCTGAATACATACTAGTTGGTAGACTTCCTTCACCAAGGTTGAACTCCACAAGAAGCGAGCCAACCAACTGAGCATCACTCGCTTTTTTGAAAGCTCATCGTCGCCGTATCTAGAGCTTCGTCCTCCACCCTTTCCGACCAGGACCTCTCACTGAACCTCACTAGGCCAAATGGCCACCTCGGACCCCGCCTCCGAGGACACCATCTTCAACCTTCTTAAAAAGGCCGATCCCAAGGAGCTTGAACGGCGCCAGCAATTGCTCAATGATCAAAGGCACAAGACCTTCCAACTCAGTCAATTAAGGCTTTCGGAGCTGATAGATCAGAACTCTACCCTACCTACCACCGTATCTTCTGTCACCGTCCTCGGTGCCCCAAACACTCGCCGATCCTTCCTCAACCGCCTGATTAATCCTTTATTAAGTGCCAATCGCGATCGCCCATACACCCAGTCCGAACTTATTCGTGAGATTTCCAGGACGGCGAACAAGCTCAGGAAATTCGGTATGTTTGGCGTCGTGCGGTTTTCATGTCATTTTTTGCTGACTCCTTGCCAGGAATCTATCACGAACCCATCTCAGTCTTCTTCGACAAACCATCCCAAACGGATCCCTCCACAACTCCCACAGATGTGGCCGTATACTACTCAGTCAAGGAACGGAGCCGGATATTTGCAAAGACCGGCACCGATCTAGGCAACGCTGAAGGATCTGCGTACGCCAATGTACAGTGGAGGAATGTATTAGGCGGCGCGGAAACTCTCGATGTCAATGCATCAGTAGGCACCCGGACAAGGTCATCATATTCAGCAACACTGGACACACCAGTTCTCAGCGACCCAGACTTCCGTTTTCAGATCGGAGGTGTGCAAAGTGCAACTCAAAAATTCTTTGCCAGCCACGAGGAGATTCTAAAGGGTGGTTGGACCAAACTACGGTGGCTCACAGCAGGTGGTTCTCTCCATGAGGTGGGATACAATGGCTTTTGGCGACAGGTCACTGGTCTTGCACAGAATGCATCCCCAACGGTGAAGAGCGAAGCAGGAGATTCAGTCAAAAGTAGCATTTCTCATACGTGGACGAGCGATCGAAGAGACAACCCTCTGTTACCCACTCGGGGCTACTACGCCAAAACAGCATCAGAGTTGGCAGGCTGGGGACCTTTGCGTGGGGATGTCGCATTTTTCAAAACAGAGGCGGAAACGCAGACTGCCCTGCCCATCCCCATCCCGTTCGTCAAAGGCGACAGTGGAATTAGCTTCACAACAGGTGTTCGTGCCGGTATATTATATCCTCTCGCACTGGGATCCAATGCGGACCCTGAGTTGTCGCGCATCAACGACCGCTTTCAGCTTGGGGGGCCAACAGATGTTCGTGGATTCAGACTGTCCGGGTTAGGACCTCATGATGGGCAGGACGCTGTTGGAGGAGATGTCTATGCGGCCGGCAGTGCGAATCTGCTCATTCCTCTTCCCAGAGTGGGCAAGGACAAGCCACTCCGTTTCCAGGCGTTCGTGAACGGGGGCCGGCTACTTGCCATCAACAATTCTCAGAAGGAAGGCGGGCTCTCGAGTGATGAGGTCAAACAAGGAGTATCAAACGCAATAACCGAACTTGGAAATGGCCTTCCCAGTATGTCTGCTGGAGTGGGCCTTGTATATGCACATCCGGTGGCAAGATTTGAGCTCAATTTCTCTCTGCCGCTTGTGGTACGGAAGCATGAAGAAGCCAGGAAAGGTGTGTCTTTCGGCATAGGCATCAATTTTCTGTAATTACGAACAACAAAGATTCCCAAATGTACATATTATCAAACCCGTAACTCTATTGTTGACATGGCCATCTCCGTTTGTGCTGGTGGTGGGCAAATCGTAGTCACTCTGACATAAAGCCAGCTGGCCAAATTTGTGTGGTGGAAAGCGATCCTCTTTTTTTGGGAGTCGAACTGTCACCAACACCGCAACCTCCACGAATTTCCCTACTACCAAATATTACAGCCACCACCACGATCGTGAAAAGCAGCCTTCTTGCCACCCTTTGACCCAAGATCACTGAACTTTGCGATCCTTCATTCACTCAGGTCAACTACAGACTCACCACTTCGATACTTGCTCTCGATCCCAACGCCCGCGCCGTCACTTCTCCCCGCAAACCTTAGAGAGGACACACCTCTGTCCCTTGGCCCAGGCGGCCCTCAAACAACCAGAAAGGAAGAATGTCTTACTACAACCAAAATTATGGACAACCTCCCGCGGGAGCTGCATCCAATCTACAATTCTATCCGTCCTCATATTCCAATGTGTCGGGCCACACTACACCGTCACAGGCTTCCTACGGCGGCTACAACTCCGGCAACACAGCTTCTGCGTACTCTGGATATGGCGCAGGCTCCTCAGCGGCATTTGGCGCCGGGCCAGGCCTGCAGGGAGTGAGCGGGCGGATGGGTGAGTCTGGAGGTCTGCGGACCGGGTGGCTCGCCGCGTTTGGCACCGAAGGCTACGATGGTGAGCCTGGACTGATGGAAGAGCTGGGTGTGAATTTCGGTCACATCAAGACCAAGGTGGGCAATTTATCTGATGCTCTGGGGGAAGAACCCAGACTATCCGAGCGAACTATACTGACACAATTATCTCCTCCAGACCATTGCAGTCCTCAATCCCTGGACCCGACCCTCACCGCACATCATGGATGACAGCGACCTGTACGGCGGTTTACTTTTCCTCGTCCTCTACGGGACGTTCCTTGCCCTGTCGGGTAAATTCTTCTACGGATACATCTACGGCATCGCCTTGTTCGGTTCCATGGCTCTACACTGGATGTTCGCACTGATGACACCACCCGCCGACCCCAACGATTCAGACCAGATGGCCCAGGCGCAACGAGACCACCACGGCGACACCTCACGTTCCGGCGGCCATTTCTCAAGCACGCTGACCTACTCCCGCAGCGCGAGCGTCCTCGGCTACTGCTTCCTCCCACTTGTCTTCACCGCCCTCTTCGGCGTGGCGCTGCCGATGGACACGGCGGCCGGGTACGTCACAACTGCTGGTGCGGTGGGATGGTGTACGTTCAGCAGTTCCGGGATGTTCGTCAGCGTTGGGCGTATGAAGGGCATGAGGGGTCTAGTTGCCTACCCGCTGGCTTTGTTCTACGTCGGCTTTGGCATCATGGGTATTTTCTCGTCCCGCGGCAGTGGTACGCTCCAAGGCAAGGTCTTGTGAAGAATGCAGGGTTTCCATTATGTTATGTGTGTGAGAAGAGCGGGTTTTACAAGACTCAACTCAGCGTACCTACTCGGGTGGGTTAGGTCCCTGTCGGAGTGGGCACCGAACCCTTGATGAAGTACCGGTTTCACATAAGCAGCCGCTACTCCAATCATTTATATGGTGTGGTCGCAGCGAAAAGCCATGCATTGTGACTCCGCGGGTTCACGCCGTATATGACTATCTGCTGGACTCCGGAAGACGCTTTTCCTAAAGATATTGGCTTTGTGAAGACGACGAGGTATGGCGGAAACAGAACAGAGCGAAGCTTATTGAGGGGTTCCCAGCACGAGATGGGAGCGATTGTAATAGCCTAGGCGACGAGGAGCCGTGAGATACGAGACCCTGGCTGTTGTCAATCAAGGCTTATCGATCGAAGTCGAGGCTTGGCAGTGACAGTGACAATGACACTCCTCCATTGAACTTGAGTTGAACAAGCTCATTGCTTGGAGCTCGATTGGACTTTGAGATAGAAAAAGAACCTCCTTCCCACCCAGCAAGAGACGATGTGATGAGCACGAGTGGAAAGGTGTGCCACTAGGTGGCCCAAGCACATTAGAGATGGGCCGTGGAAGTCATGAAATAATTTTAAACCGTGGTTGGAAGTCTTTCAGGTACATCGACTGCCCAAGTTGTGTGCTCGTATTGTGTGCTCGTATTGTGTGACACTGACATCACTCGACTTGCTCGTGGCAGTCGTGCATCTCCACCATCAGAGTAGAGAGAGGCATGGCAAACGTCTAGCAAAGTGGTTTCCTAACTACAAGGCTCGGCTATATGTACTCGTAGGACGAGTCTTGTGTTGGAGTGATTCTGTGCCCAGACTTGCCTACACCATCATTGATTAATAGACCATATCATATGGGAGTGTATCTTAGCTAGATACCTAGGTACTTATCGTTTCTTCAACCTGAAGACCCACTCTGGTGAAAAAGTACTGAGTCCCAAGGAACCATCCAGCACCGAAGGGTGGGATATCTTGAGTGAAATCTGAAACGGGCTAACCTGGTGGACCTCTTTCCAATCTTCGAGGGGCTTATGTAATTCAAAACCGAACTTGGCTATCGATATAAAGTTCTACCTCCGGGCAGAGGTGGAGATGTTACAAGTCATGGCGACGGCATCGAATTCAGCCTTTCTTACCGTTTTGGAGCAAGGCCGTTCTACGCCCGTTTCGACACGGACGTCAGTCGTTCAGGTCCTGATCGGCTCTGGATTTCAAGCGGGTGCCTCTTCCTGAGGTGCAGTGCTCATGCAACACCTCTTCCGTTGCTGATGCGAGCATGCTGTAAGTTACGCCAAATGTGGTGTTTCGTCATGGGATCGTCTTCTGGGATCGTGGAAGCATCGAGATGGACGACCAGGGCCACTTGTTCCATCCTGTCCAATGATGATTGCATCTAGAGCTGGACTATGCAGAGCCCCCACTGCAGCTCGGTCCTTGCAGGAATTATACAAACATCACTGGACCGCCCGCGACTGCTCCTTCGTCGTCTACAGCCGAGATACCGGCGTGAGTACCAGGATGAGATGAGCGTCAAGGTTCAGCATCGACCCTCCTTGCTTGCTCGCTCTGCCTTCATTGGGCGTGTCATAATTTTAGGACAATCCCATCTCGTGATGAGATTAGGTTGATGATGAGGCTCGCTCAACCACTGACTGTTGTCCCTAAGGTCGAAACAACGTGCAGGAAAACACTCCGGACGACGACGTCGAGACAGAATTCCTGGTCATATGACTCTGCAATGAACGAGGGGAGTTTGGCGAGAATATAGTGGCAAGAAGGGAGATATGGAAAACTGAGGAAGTCGCAAAGATAAGGATGTAGTGCAGAGAGGCACAGCCATGGAGGAGTCGCATCGAGCTTGGTACAAGACTCTAGCCATTCAGTCGCCCATATTTACCGGAAGTTTGCATTATAAACCGCTGTTATACTGATTGGATGCTGGTTTACACCCCTACGACTTGGAAGGCACATTGCAGACAGCCGAACCGAGTCGTAGCGTCCTTCAGGTTGTGCAGCTAGAGTCTATGAGGCAGCAATCTCTGTGAACCGTTGGATGCTTACCTCGGCATTGCAATCACGCCCAGATGAAATGGAGCATGGATGTGGGGGATAGGGTTGTTGGTTATGTGAGATCCGAGTCGCTGATGTGCATTTCTTGAAGTCTCGGGGGGGCAAGGAATCCACGCCCATCACCCATGAACAAATTCTGTACGGGTGATTATCGACAAAGATCAATGCTTACTTGACGGTTGATCAAGACGAATGGTGGTGAAATGTGGGGGAAAAGACGAGGTTATCGAATGACGGAGGCTGTAGACTGTAGTGCGAGGTGTTCATGTTCCAAGTTGTGGACAAAGGTGGATTAGACTTGATGCTCTGATAGACGATAAGTGGTCCCACCATCCCTAATTCGGTAAGCGGCCCCGAGGTTTATCCTTAGCTCCATAGTCCACCAATCACCGGGGAAGGACCGCCCTTGGAGCAATTTTGGCTAAACTCGTCTTACCACTTCACTCGCTCTCGACGCTGTTCTCTCTGCCATTCTATCCCGCAATTCTTCCTGTACAGTAAAGTCTGCACTGACTTCCCGATCATCCAAGCGTATTGCCGGACGGGCTGAGGTGCTTCCGCTGAGAGGTACCCGAACTGACCGTTCCTTCTGCTGGCGACTTCGGGTGACACACCACACGACACACGAGCATCTGGATTAGCACCCCAATCATACCAATGCGATGGAACTCATTCGGCGTGCCTCCAGCGCCAATCGCCCCAAGAGCGTCCAATGGATAGTCATGTTATACTGCGTGAAGCAGGGCACTTCAACACTCACAGCGAGCCATAAGTGGCATTTGGAAAAGGCCTTCCTTAAGATTAGGTGTTGGCCCGGGGTGCCTCTCAAGCCTGAGTATCACTCTCCCGGTTGCAGTTCCACTGGAATCGGAGGGGCCTTTCCCCGAAACACGGTTATTCCTTCCCTTTGAGCGGCGTCAATGCATGCCATGACTTCCAAGGTTCTTTCCTAGAAGCCGTGATCGTTCTTGCCCCTTCCAGGTACGAGTACTTTCCCTCTGACAGTGGGCCGCCGAAGTTATTCCACCACCAGTTCGAAGACTTATCGTCCATTGTCTTATGGCGGATAACGATTCGCCTCTCTAGCCCATGGTAGGTCTCGTTTGATGTATGGTTGATCTATATTCATTTCTGTTCTATGCTTCTTTAAAACTGGTCAACGCCCGCCTAATTCTCAGCCTTTCCCTCGTTCGTTTTTGACTTTCTTTAATCCCGATTTTCCTCCCTATCGTTTGATTTCTACGGCTCTGTATTCACCCAATATGGGTTCCATGCCGGTTCAGACATCCTTTGATGTTGAAGATGTCCTCTCACAACTTGAAATTTCTGAGAAGGTCGCCCTGCTGTCCGGGATCGACTTCTGGCACACAGCTCCAGTGCACCGACTGGGCGTCCCATCTATTCGACTGTCAGATGGACCAAATGGAGTTCGCGGCACCCGTTTCTTCAATGGCGTTCCAGCTGCCTGTCTACCATGTGGTAGGTTGACACGGACATGAGCTGCTCACTAATGCTGACAATACAAAGGAACTGGACTTGCTGCTACTTGGGATACAGCACTTATCAAGAGAGGTGGCACATTACAAGGTGACGAGGCCATCGCAAAAGGAGCCTCAGTAATCCTTGGTCCAACCACAAATATGCAGAGATCGCCATTGGGTGGTCGTGGCTTTGAGAGTTTCAGTGAAGACCCATATCTTGCTGGAGCCATGAGTGCTGCAACTATCAACGGGATCCAATCAACTGGCGTTGCCGCTACTATCAAGCACTACGTCTGCAACGACCAAGAAGATCAAAGGCAATCGGTCGACAGTATTCTAACAGAGCGTGCTCTTCGAGAGATCTATCTTATGCCGTTCATGATCGCTGAAAAGGATTCAAGACCAGACTGTTATATGACCGCATACAATAAAGTCAATGGTATTCATGCCAGCGAGAATCCTCGACTGATTCAAGATATTCTCCGCAAAGAATGGGGTTTTGATGGACTTGTCATGAGTGACTGGTGCGCAAGATTGAAATCCAACGAGTCTGCAGCCACTAACCAGAGACAGGTTTGGTACATATTCTACCAGCGAAGCCATCAAGGCAGGCCTGGATCTCGAGATGCCTGGACCTTCCTACATTCGGGGCAAACTCATCAACCAAGCCCTTGGTTGCGGGAAGCTCAGCCCAACAGATGTTGATGCAAGAGTTCGTGAAGTCCTGAAGCTAGTCAAGAAAGTTCAGCCTCTAGGCATACCTGAAAATGCGGAAGAAACCACCATTGACAGCCCAGAAACTGCTGCAACCCTTCGCGCCCTTTCATCCAACGGTCTTGTGCTTTTGAAAAATAAGGGCAATGTACTACCATTCAAGAAAGAGAAAACGACCGCCATCATTGGGCCCAACGCTGCTTATGCTGCATTCTGTGGCGGGGGTTCTGCCTCGCTCCAGCCATACTATGCCGTCAGTCCTCTCGAAGGTATTCGTTCCAAGGTACCAGAAGCGAAGTACGAATTAGGTGCACCTGGTTGGAAGTCGGTGCCATTAATGTCGAGGGTCACAAAGACAACCGACGGCCAAATCGGACTTACAATGAAAGTTTTCCTCGAGCCCGCATCTGTCACTAGCCGCAAGGCGGTAGATGAAGTTTTCGTGAACAAGTCCGACATCCTTCTAGTCGACTATAAACATCCACTGGTTAAGACCTATCTATACTGGCTCGAGTTGGATGGTACTTTCACCCCCGAAGAAACTGCTGAGTACGAGTTTAGTCTTGCTTGTGCTGGCAGTGGCAAGATCTTTGTCGATGGCGAGGTCGTTGTCGATAACGAAACCGCTCAAAGACCCGGGAATACCTTCTTCGGCGCCGGTACTGCAGAAGAAATCGGTACCCTCAAACTTGAAAAGGGAGTCACTTACAACATATTGACCAAGTTTGGAACTTTCCCTACGATGTCCTTCACCACCCCAGGCACCACTGGTTTCGGCTCTGGAGGTCTCAGAATAGGTCTTGAGAGAAAGGCGGAGCTCCAGACTGAAATCGAAAGGGCTGTGAAGGTCGCTCAAGAGGTTGACCAAGTCGTACTTTGTGCAGGATTGAACGCAGAGTGGGAAACCGAAGGCCACGACAGAGAAGACATGAACCTTCCTCCGGGAACAAATGAATTGATCCAAGCTGTTATTGCGGCAAATCCGAACACTGCTGTCGTCATTCAGTCTGGAACGCCCGTTTCATTGCCATGGGTTAATCGAGTGCCTGCATTAGTTCACGCATGGTACGGTGGAAATGAGACTGGCAATGCTATTGCTGACGTTGTCTTTGGCGATACTAATCCAAGCGGAAAGTTACCCCTCACTTTCCCAGTCAAGAACGAGGACAACCCAGCCTTCCTGAATTACAAATCTGAGCGCAATCGTGCGATATATGGCGAGGATGTGTACATCGGGTACCGATTCTACGAAAAGACCAATAAAGAGGTGGCCTTCCCTTTCGGACATGGCTTGAGCTATACAACATTCGAATTGACTGATCTATATGTTGACGATAACGGTATCGATGTCACAATATCTGTATCGGTCTCAAATACTGGGAAGGTTGATGGTGCTCAGGTCGTGCAGGCCTATGTAGCTCAGCAGAATCCCAGCCTCAACAGACCCAAGAAGGAACTCAAGGGTTTTTCAAAAGTTTACGTCAAAGCAGGCGAGACTGTCAAAACCGAGATTGTGATCTCCAAGAAGTATGCGACTAGCTTTTGGGACGAGGGAAGAGATGCTTGGGTAATGGAGAGAGATGTCTTTGATGTGCTGGTAGGCGATTCCAGTACTAATACGCCACTAAAAGGCCATTTCCGTGTCTCTCAGTCGGCGTGGTGGAGAGGTTTGTAAGTTCTCAACGGTATAGGCATGCTTGATGATGTTACGACTCATAAACGCATCTTCTGGCGTTTAGCAGCTGAAGCAGGGTTGCATTCCGGCCGCATTTCTGGCCGCATTTCCGATATCATGGTATATACATTGATGCCTTCACTTACTTGAGTATTTGCATTAGCAGCCAATGCAACTTCTGGCTAATTCACCCTAACGTTACCCTGAACATGCAATTCTAGTAACCAGCTTTGGTGATCGCCCCGTTCGAAATCAGTCTCGATGACGAGGCTGAACACGTGACAAGCCCCTGAATATTGCGCGAGAGGGAGTTGAGTAGGAGTGTTCGGATGTTCAGACCAGCGGCTGCTGCCAAAACAAAGTACGGCGAACACTAAATTTCAAGAGTATTCCTACTGATGGAGTTGCAACTCATGAGTACTAAAAACTTTCACGTACTTCAGCTATCCTCGCTTTGGTTACTTCAGCTGCAAAAGATAATAATGAACAGACTGATTATCGCCTTAGTGTAATCGAGCATATGACGCCCTTGCTTCCCCAACGGAAGTGGTTGATTGATTTGCACCGTCCACGGCCAGGCATTGTGGGAAAGGTCGAAGCAAGGAGGTGGGCAGCGAGTGATATTCACCGACCATGGCACTAGGGTCATCCAAGTCACCAGACCCCGTCCGACATTTCGTATCCCTATAGTTCGGCATGCGTGCTATTATCGGTTCGTTTTACACCTCAAGTTGCGCAAGCGAGGAGCAGACCTAACTTTAACGCAAATAGACTGCCGACTTGGTAGAAAACCCGAGTCTAGGACGAATTATCTCGCTGTCTACTTGCGAAGTAGGCTGCACAAATACGAGTCGCTTGCCGGTATCCTGCTCACTAAACGGTTCGAATTCCCGAATGATGAGATACCTTGATCGGCAACATAAGATGACTAGTGGCAGAGCGTGAAGCACTCTGGTTTAGAAAAGGCTGTTCCCCCGCCTTGCGTCCAGAGATTCCTATTGGCTACTGGCAACGACCGAATAGTGAACGACATTGGCAACCATTGATACGCCCAAGGGCGCCACTGAATGTGAGAAACATCATACCACCAGCTAAACATTCCTTGCCCTTGGGCAGGGTCGTGGAAAACGTGTTCCAGAAGAAATGTTCAACACTCGTGTGGGAGGGCCCCATTTCCTGCTTCGAGATTGGTTCGATGCATCATCCCCCCAAAGCATGTTGGCTGTGCTTTCGGGAGTCTCCTAGTTTGAGTCGACGTCAAGCCAGGGTCAACGTCGACTTCGAGTGGGCCAGATTCGCCCCGTTCTCCGGAGTCTTTCTCACAAGCCACTCATGGAACCACACCAGAAACCCGTTCACCCGTCCAGGCTCGCCTAGGGATCTAGATGCTGCGGCTTTCCCAGAGTCGACGGTGTTGAGATCCGACTTGTTTCCGCTCTGGGCTACCGTGATCGAAACTCGGCTTAGGTCAGCTGTTGATAAGGGCTTTTATGTGCATTAGATGCAAACCATAGCCTCCTCGGAGTGGCCGGGGGTGCGAGACGTCAAGGATTGAAAGATGCTGACTGGTCAAGAATCCTTTGATATTCGTACTCGTTCCTTCTTAATAATATTCGATTTCACGAGGTCCACCTCGCCTAGGTTCGCGTGCTGACAAAGGTGTGCGATCCAAATGATTCAAACTTCCACCTGCGAAGGCGACCAAGGACTTGGTCATGCCCGCGGCGGTGCCTTGACATTGACCCCTCTCCGAGTCCACAAACCATCTAAAACTTTAGCTGTCAATCCACTGGAGGTACTCCTAGGCCATGGCACTTTGCATCAATTATCTGTAAAGTTCGACACCAAGGGTGGTGCCAGTCCTTTTGCTGGACTGGAGCTCCTCGCTGATACCCTTGCAACAAGCTTCTTGGCCCCGAGACCCAGTATCGTTCTAGGGCTTGTTACCGCGCCAGGAATCGCCTAAGTGTACGCCTTGTGTGGGATAGGCTGAGAGAATGCGCAGCTGCAGATTTGTGTTCTGCTGAAAGTCTCGAAAGTGGAAGGCACTACTCAGCAGGAGATAAAAAGGCCGGAACACATCAGTATTTAAATATTGACTGAAGCTGGCCCACATTACTGCTGAGAAGTGTGTCAAAGGTTACTTCTCATCGGTGATCACTATTGATCAGCTCAGCCAGCAAACTAGATCACCTCATCAATGCTAAGTAATTTTGTTACAGTTTCGGACCTCAGATTACCGAACTGTATAATTATCTCATCGACCGCCTACCATGCCGAAGCCCTTGGCGGTCCAGATCAAGTTCATGTTTGATCGATCAAATCTTTCTTCACAGAGGGATTATGAGCTCCAAAATTCAGAAGCGAGATCTCACATCGCGAAGATCGTCCATATCCGAAAGCAGAAGACTTCACCACCGCAAAAGAAAGCCCGACCCATTCCAGAGTGAGTACACGGCACAGTAGTGCGCTCGCCTGATCCAATTTATGAGGAGATTCTGTGTAGTAACAACAGTTGCGAGATAGTCGAAAGCACAGTTCCGAGACCGAGACCGACAGTTCCGAATCATCTACTGAGATCACTGTGGCTCAATCGACATATGCACCTTCCCTTCTCAGCACCCACTATCTCGATCCGCTTTTCAATGTTCCTCATCCCAAGGAGCGATCATTCTACAAGGCTATGGATATCTGTCAGTAGCGACCTGATATTTTGTCCCGCTTGCACCACTGACTGCTGTCTCCGAACAGGGTTTCAGTGGATCCTACCCAGCGCCGCGCCCGCCTTCATCATTTTCAATGTAGGGAACATGTTTGCATCTGTGAGTTGTACCACCGCATCCGAGTCGGAGTACAGAGGGTTCGAAAATTTTGACCTTGGTATGCAACAGTACTTTTCGAGTCCGGGCTGTCAAAGTGAAGCTGCACAACACTGCATAGCCGCTCTTGCATATGGCTGTCTTGAACAACATCGGCAGGAGACCATGAGCTGGGAGTATGACTATCGCCAGGAGCAGATGAGACACAATGGAGCCGCGCTTGCCCTTCTCAAGAAAGACATTGCCTCAAATAACTTGACCGGAAATAGCCCCACCACTATCAATACCATTTTCTTACTGAGTTTCCTTGCGGTAAGAAACATGACCACGAGTAAAGATTCAAGGGACGTTTGATTGACAAATATTGAAGCAATTCCGAGGCGATAACCAAGAAAGTGCACTGCATCGCAGAACCCTGAAAGGTCTTCTCGGAACCCTTCAAGGGCCGATTCGGCGCACAGATTTCGACTCACGCTATGGAGAATTATTGCTGCAGTGAGTTCTTGGTCTTCTGGAATCGCCGTCGGTATTGACATTGGTGCGAACAGGTTTAGTTGCTGGATGGACCTCCTTGAAGGGCAAGAAAACGTGTTGCAAATCATGCCAGATGACGACCTGCAATATGAGCTAATTTCTCCATTTGATCGGTCAACAGTCGCTAAAGGGTACGACATCGAGGCGTATTTGCCTAGTGGATTTGAAAAATTGGTGGCTCAGGGATCCATCACCAGAGAAACCCAACGCCTTCTTGCACGATTCGCACACGCTTGCCGGTATGGATTACAGGCGGTACCGCTGGGAGACAATAGTTTTCCGGATTTTGCCATGGCAAGTCCTCACGTGACATGTTCGGAGTCCAGTTTGGAAAAATGCTTGGTGCTGGCCTTGATCTGTTACGCGCACATGAGATGGGCCATTGCGCCCAACTATGTCGCTGGGATATTGTGTCATACGATCTCGAGGACAAAGCTGGCTCAGGCGTTAGCACAGACACCAACTCCCGATGATCAAGTGGAGGGTAATTGCATGGTGTGGATTTGGTGCATCCTGATCGATTCATATCGATTGCAGGGCTCAGTACTTCCTCAGCTTGGTTTGTCGTCCCTGGGTGAGTTCAAATGGCATTTTCCAGAATGGCAGAGTTGGGAGAGGATTGAGGATGAAATCCTGCCACAATTCTTTTGGAGGAGCGAAGACTCAGTGGCCATTAAGAATGCATGGGTCCAGTGAATTCGCAACAATGAATGGTCTTGCAACATTTGCTTCTGGATAAGGGAGTTGTACTCGGGCGTAGGCTATCTGGTGGAAGTCAAGCGCATTTATGGAGCAACAGGTCCTCACTTGGAAGCGATTTCATCCTCCCGGAGCGTGAGAGAGCAGCGTATCGTGGGAAGAAATCTGTTGTGTGGTCAAGTATTCACCTGGACAGAAAATGCCAAAAAAGACCTTCAACACCGTCGCCCGAGGGATTCGAACCTACGGGAAAAAATATGATTGACTGTCTGTCGTCAGTTCTCGCCCTTAGGGCCGATTTCGGGGGTCATTGCTCGTCGGCTCACCCGTACTGAGAGAGTACACCTGCTGATTCATCGATCATACTCTGAGAACCCCGCCAGCCAACCACACATATCAGGACCCTGACTTAGCAGGTCTTAGGATGATACTTTCACACAGGTCTCTGATATGTTGGAAAAAATTCAGCAACTCATGAATATATCCCTTAGGTGAAGTTCGCAAATAGGTTAACTTGAATAGGATTCACTGGCGGTCGCCTTGTGGTTGCCTGCTAGTAGTACGCGCTTTTCCCAAGCACAGGCACTGCACGCGCAGGAGTTTCCGTTTTGGTAGGAAATGATGCCGAATTAGGAAGATCATTTGAAGTTTCATCACCCAGCAGAAGATTTTTAATGCGTTTTGCCAGGGGTTGCGACGCGTTGCGATTCAGTTTGGGAGGCTGTGACAGTTTTTTGTTACGGTTGTGGGCGGCGAGGCGGGTTCTTATAGAACGAGCAGGGTGAATTAGCTAAGTGCTGAGTCAGCGTATGCAGGTAATCATCTTGGTCTGGATTGGCTGGCTCAAATCATCATCCCTCGTACCCCAGAAATGCTTCGTACCATACGTCGTCGTTCCATCGCAGCCGTGTTCCGCCTGAACATAGTTGCTACTCTCACACCTACTCTATACATTTCAAGACGAACAATCTTTGTCACATCGATCATGAGGTAATAGATCCCTGCCAACAAACACTTTAGCAACGGACACATCATTGAGATCGCCATGTCCACCTCAAAAGACCTACCACCACTCACCTTGAGTGACACTCGCTCCTCCATCTCCGCGGTGCCCATGAGTGAAGTCGAACCAAGCCCCGTCGACGAGGAAGAACCACCAGAGTATCCAACCAACCCTTCCGATGTCGAGAAGCAATCCCTCCCGTCCTCGGCATACAACACAACCAACTTCCTCGGTCTCACACCCTCCACCACCCTGAAAGTCCTCTCGAGTCTCCAGAAATACTCGACCATCCCGCCCACCATCTACCTGACCATGCACTACGCCAACACCAGCCTCATACCGCTGATCACCCAGTCTGCGCGGGAATCCGACAAATACCTCCTCCTCACAAGACCATACTACCAGTCCTTCCCACTCGAGCCGCTGCTCATCTTCGCACCCATCATCACCCACGTGGCCAGCGGCCTGGCACTGAGAATCTACCGCAGGCGCGTGAGCGCGCGGAGACACGGCGCGGAGACGCACGGCCAGCGCAAGAACATTCCCTGGCCGAAACTCAGCCTGACCTCCGCGCTGGGCTACGCCATGTATCCCATCTTCGCCCTGCACGTCCTCACCCAACGGATGATCCCCAAGAAGATCGAGGGCAGTTCCGCCGGCGTCGGCCTCCGCTATTTCGCGCACGGCGTCGCCCACGACCCCTGGGTCACCAACGTCGGCTACGCCGTCTTCGTCTCCATGGCGAGCTTCCACTTCGTGACCGGCGCCGCCAAATTCCTCAAGCTGTCCAAGGAGTATATCACCGAGGGTGGATATTCTGGACAGATGAGGAAGAAATGGAGAGGCAGGATCGTCAACGGCATTGCGGCGCTCACCGCTGCCCTTTGGATTGCTGGTGGGCTGGGCGTGGTCGGTCGCTCGGGTAAAGGTGTCGGCTGGGAAGCCACCAACTGGGATAAAATCTACAAGGCCGTCCCGCTGATTGGTGCCACTTTTTAAAGTCGCCCTTTGCATTTATCGCTTGTAGATGTAATAATGGTGGAGCCATTGGATCTGTTGTTATTTTGGGGAAGGGTTATCTACATGTTTACACTAGACAGCGTCACGGTGAGGAAGGATGGAATGCCTTCAACTCCTGTCGGGTTAAGTCGAGGATGGCCCTGTATAAATTCACTTCTGCACAATTGAACAAAGTACTTTGTCTTGAAGACCACGAAACTACGTCTCATTCTTCACACGACCCTAGAATTGTGATGTGATCCGCAGCAGCATAGTGAATGTTCTGCAGCCATATAATTGAGGATAGGGGCGAACCGGATTTGTCACTCGTTAGTAGAAATTCAGAGACCTGTGTTTCAACCTCAAAGCCCATACAAATTCACTCCGATGTCAGGGTATCCTCCAGTACAGGAGAACATGTACCACCACTGTAAAGAGCGATTCTCTGTTCACGATAAAGAGGATGAACTGCGTGTGTGCTCAAGAGTCAAGGAGAGAGAAAGGGTGGCGTGAATGCTTCGGTAGGTAGTCTTAATTGAATGTAACAAGGTCTAGTATTTAGTATAGATTTCGTAAGTTCCCTTTTCACCACCAGTTCACTCTGTTGATGCCAGGGGCTGCCATATAGCCCACGAGATGTCCCATGGACTTCGGAGGTTACTGTGCAATGGATGGATTAGCCATGGTCGTTCCTCAACTCAGCGCTTTGCATGCAGGTATTGCTTTTGATCAGAGAGGGGTAGGGGAGGGAGCCAGTGTCGATTAGCTGACTTACAAGCACAGATTTTGGATGGGGAGCATGAATGGGAACGGAATGGTGTATTTTGGTGGCTTTTCAATCGTGTCGACTGGCGATGGCAGCACAAACGGTGCCATGACTGGTGCGTTGCCTGTTCCATTATGGGCGTTCTTGACTTCGAACCTGATGTGTCTGAGATATGGCAGGCGATACCGAATGGCTTGCAGCCGGTCGACGAAGGCCTGAGCTTCAGTGTGTGAAGACACCAGGAGTGAAAGTCTCTGTACGGAGGCAGGAACGCATTCGACAAAGGCCACTTGCATGGAGGGCCAGGTGAGTGAGAGTTCGCGGATATTCGGGGCCTCCATGAGTAGTACTTCCAGGAACGTTGTAAATGCCGTGTCAGGTGTGAGACTTGAGGATATATAGAGCATGCGCAGGCTTTGACTGTGGCGGTCGTACAGGCTCCCCAGCATCCTAGTTGTGAGAAAGACATGACCAAATTTTGCGTCGGCTCCCTCTTTGATCACTAGGCGCTTCAAAGGCCGGATTCGATTTAGGACATGATGGTCAATAGACTGGACGATTTTGCTTTGGTCTCCAGGACCTGGTCGTATTCGCAGCCCTCTGGGAGGTCCGATGATGGAAAGGCTGTCCAGTGAGTTCAATCCACTCAAAACCTCTGCAGTGTGAAGAGCGCTGGTCTCCGAAAAGCCTGCCAGCTGCAATGAGACTAGCTCTCGACAATTGGTGAGACTAAGTAGCTGGCAATACTCGAAGTCGATTCTTAATCTCTGAAGTTTCGAATACTGTGATGTCACCATTGCCAAAATCCCACTCAGTACTGAATTTGACGGGGCACTTTTCGTGAGGCTGCGTGATGATAGGAGGCCTAGGTCTATAAGATTAGGGAATCTTGAGAGGGCGTTGATGATCCGTCTTTTTTCCACCACGTAAGGATGTTGTTCGGGGACAAGCGAATCCCCTATAGATACTCTAGCAAGGAATGGTTGCATAATATCTGACTCGATCTCTTGCAAGTGAAGGCGGATGTTGGTGATACGTTGCAGCAACTCATCTGGTCTGTTTTTGACAAAACGCACCAACTCCTCTTGAGAGCGACAGATCAGCGGTCTGCGATAAAAAGATTCCCTGGCTTCTTCGTATATTTGTCTGCACACACAAATAAGGCTTAGATGGTCTCGCGATTGCACTGAGAGCATCAACTCATAGATTTGTCGCCGCGTTTCAAGAGGTATGGTGAGAAGAGGAGTTAAAGGCTCGGAGTCCAGCGTGCAGGTAGTTTCAATCTAAATCACGATGAGCTTAATTCGGTTTCCTCAATTGGATCAACCTACATCCACGTCCTCTAACCGGGTCATTCTGATGCAACTTCTGCAAGATAAGTGCACTTGTGTTCTATGAGGAATGACTATCCATCGACGGAAACACACGGTCGGTCCTTGAAGGAGCAAGGTTTGCTTTGTGCGGAATGGGGGAGAACTTCAGTAACTGTTAGGGTAAGGTTGCACAATCGACAATCGACAAGAGGATTCTGACCTTCTCGGTTGCAGAACACCGGAGGATTCGATAGTGGGAGTAAACTGAGAGGGAGTCAAGTATTCAAGCATCTCGCAGCAAGGGACCCAATTCTGCCGCCCCATCTGAGTACGAAGGCCAAATAGATCTGGCCAACAACCATAACCTTTCCGAAGTGAATGACCAATTACGATCGGCGCGTTAGGCACAAGTCAATTGGTCTGTGGAAGCGAAGAGCTGGTAGATGGGAGGGTGGTGTGCTTCCACAGGCAACACCAGACTAGAGAGTGCTTAGAGGGACTTATTGGCGACGATTGTCCAGCTTACCCAGTCCGGAGGCTCTGAGATGAAGTCACCACCACATGTGCCAAACAGGCCGTAAGAGGAAGCTCAAAACAAATGCAAACAGCCAATGTCAGACAAGGAAGATGATGCAAAGAAACGAAAGAACATATACTGGCATGGCAAATTGTGGACCAAGATAAAGCCCGCTGGAGGCCATATTTGGGCTGAACACGAAATATGTAACCCACGAAACGAAGAGGCCGAGACGAGGCTCGATGATAGTAGGAGGCAGAAACCTCGACCAAGTTTACGCGGGTTTTGCAATCCCAGATCGCAAAAAAGGTAATCGAGAGTTAGTTTCGGCAGCAGATTCAGAGCGACCCAGAAGTATGGATGTATCTCGGTTCGGGGAAGGGTGTGCGTCTAAGCGATGCAGGCTTTTTGACACCCCTTGGTGATAAGCTACCAGCTCTCGAGAAATGGCGGTTTTGGAAGAAAGTGGCTGCATGTTTGCGATCCACTGTCGCGTGGTGATGGCTTTACCACATGGCAAAGTACCCTTGAAGGAGCTACCATGAAACTCGATTCGGACAGGAGCATGGCATTAGGAAAATTGGGATGATGTGATCATGCTTGCACTTGCTCATAGCCAGACTCTGATGGCTCGATCAAGATGTGGGTGAATTCGAGCTGGGCCAGAACCTTGAGCCTGCAAGGCGCAAAGGAGCGATAACAAACTCACGGGTTGTGCTGCAGGAACGGCGAATTGGGAAGATGTACGTTGAAGGAGCCAATGCTAAGTGTGTGGTGACGAAAGCATGTGTAGTTGGTGATTCGGTGAGAATCAATGACTCAAACGTAGAAACAAAACTTGACCCAAGCATGTCGGGATCTCAAAAGTGGTGGCTTGGCCACGCAGTGGCAAAAAGTGGAGGAGATTTGTGGAGATCTCGAATAGATCGGTCCAAGGGCCAAAGGTACGGAGTACATGAAAAGATGAAAAGTGTACCAGGGAATGGAACACAGACTATTTGACATCAGACAAGACTGATACGGGCATCTCGGCTGGGATCTGGTCACTACGAGGTATTTAGACGTCAGTGGTGTGTGATCTGGGTTTGAGCAGGATAAAGGAAAATAGAGCCATGGCTTCATATCCAGACTCGGATGGGCAGGCGCGCGCCGTGATGGCAATCAACCAAAGGGATGGAGAGGGCATCAAAGATCTCAAGTCGGTGGCAGATTGTGGGTGACTGGTACTGTCGTTGATACTGATGATCTGGGTTAAACCCAGGTGTGTCAAGAAGAGGCCGATGGAGGTCCAGGCCTTGCGGCGGGAATCCAGGGAGACCAAGTGACAATCCTCTACAAAGCCAAGGAGCCCCTCCCAGCATCCATGGATCCGATGTCATCCCTGACTTCCATGTGGCTGCCACTTTTCTGCAAACAAACACGAAGTCGGTGAAACGATCCTTTCGTAAGGACTACGGATACCGAGTAGAGAGTAGATGTGGAACTAGATCGGGCTGATCTCTCACCATACTCCGTACTACGAGCTACATACAGCATGCCAGACCAACCTCAACTACCAACTGTCCCATCGATTCGTCGCGCGACAACCTCTTTGCATCTATGATCTGTGATCCGTGACCAGTGACCACTCATCACGTCTTGGGAACCATTGACACATTCGGTTTCTTCCACCCATGGTCACATATTTCCATGCATCATCACCACGTTTTTTCGGCTCCCTCGACCCATCCTTGTACTCCTGAGTCCTGACCCAAAGCTCTGGACAAGCAAGACATAGCCTGTGTCGGCACCTGTCATCCTCCATGCTAGATGGACATTTTAAGCGAGAAGGACTCCCCCTTGTCACGCTTGAATTTCCTGGAACGGTAGATTCGTATGAATAATCCTACTTGTGAATAACATCATGCCACTTTCGGTTTATGTAGGTAGTACATCAGGTATCGAAGCTGAAACTAATTTGTCCCTGCGGCCAACCACTGCTACCTCCATGCCTATGGCCACCGACCGTTCCCCGCCAGTTCCAGCCTCCAGGTTGAAGAAACGCTTGCGCTAATACATACATCCAACAATGCTTTTGGAGAGCGAGAGCCGGAACCCCCCCTTGTGTCTGTCCAATCTTTTACACCTTGAGAAGTTTGGCCGCATAGGTCGTGATGGTGTCGATCTGGGGGAAGCTCAGCTCCTCAAGCTTTTGTGCATACGGCGTTGGCACTTCGGCACCTGTCACTCGTCCAGGGGGTGCTTGTAGGTAATCAAAGCCATATTCGCATGCTAGTGCGAGAATCTCGGATGCAACTCCAAATGCTGGGAATCCCGACTCCACAGCGAGTAAATGACCTGTCTTCTTGACTGACTTGATGATAGCCTCCACGTCCATCGGTTTGATAGACCGAAGGTTGATGACTTCTGCGTCCACACCGTACTTCTTCTTCAGAACCTCCGCCGCCTCCAGGGATTGGCCAACACATCGCGAGAGGGTGACAATGGTGAGATCTTTGCCGGGTCGTTCGATCTTGGCCTTGCCGAAAGGAATGACGAAATCACTCTTTTGAGCCTCAGCGCTCATGGGGAAGGATTGGCCGTAAAGGAGCCTGGATGGTATTAGTACCAAGTCTTACGGACTAACAACCCGGTACTCACTCATTCTCTAGCACCACCACCGGGTTGGGGTCCCGAATTGCCGCCTTGAGGAGGCCTTTGGCATCCTCTGCGCTCCAGGGTGCAACGACCTTCAGACCAGGAATGCTACCATACCATGCTGAGTAATCTTGTGAATGCTGTGCTGCCACACCTGCTGCGAAACCATTGGGACCGCGGAACACAATCGGGCATGGTTGAATGCCACCAGACATGTAATGTGTCTTTGCTGCAGAGTTGATGATCTGGTCAATGGCTTGCATGGCGAAGTTGAAGGTCATGAATCTGAGAGGAAGGATGTCAGCAAAGGAGTTTGTAGAGCCGGCAGCGACATGACTACATACTCGCACACAGGATGAAGACCTGCTAATGCGGCACCGACGGCCAACCCGCAGAAACCGGATTCAGTGATGGGGGTATCAATAACTCGCTTAGGACCAAATCGGTCGAGGAGGCCTTTGGTGACCTTGTATGCACCTGCGACATGCTGTAAGTTTCTGCACTCTTTTGACCGAACGATTCCAAACCCCACCATTGTATTGAGCAACCTCTTCTCCTAGAATAAACACCTTGTCGTCTTGCTCAAGTTCTTCGGCAAGAGCTTCATTCAGAGCATCACGGACAGTAAAGGTCTGATTGGACTCGGAGGCGTAGCTCCTTATCGAGGGAAGGGTGGCCGGTGCAGCTCTCCTGAGCGAAGGTCTTATAGAGGATGACACAGCAGATCGCTGTGATAGCAGTCTTGCCGCAGGACGGAATAGTCTTGAGGCGGACATGGTGGATGTAAGATGTTGGGTGGAGGATGAAGTTTTTGAGACCAGGGGAATTATTAAGAGTCCAAGAGACCGTTCAACACGCACTCCTGTGTAGGCCCGTAGTAAGGAATGACCAAGTCCTAGTCGACCAAAAACAATCGGATCGAAGCTGGACACCAAAAGTCAGGACTGTAGCAAAGAGTGGAATTGTAGAGGTGGTGGACTAGTGCCAGGGCAGTGAAAGCTCACAGCGTGTTGGGACGACGAAGCTCGCTGTTGGTGTCCAACAATCCCGATGCTCCTCAATTAATATGGAGCTGCGAGCTAGTCCCAATGGGGAGTCCCGCAGCTCGGAGCGATGAGCTCAAGTTAATCCGATTCGGATCTACGGTAGATAATGAATGCACGGGGCGCGGTCGGAATAACTCCGGAAGTTCATTCTCCAGTGAGGACCCTAAGGGTTTCATGACTCGACGATCTGAGGGCTATCATTGTTTACCAGTCATCGCATTTCAATTGGTGACCACCAGGCCAACAACAACAGCCTTGTGTCATCTGGTGGCCGCTGTCACTTGTTCGCATCCTTACTTACTATGTTCTGATCACCCTTTCGTTTCCTGGGTGTCCCATCGACCCAATTTCTCATTTCACCAGGCCCCAGAGTTCAAGATGCGTCTCGGAATTTGGGCTGCCTTCGCCTTCTTGAGCGTCCCAGCGTTCGCTTCCCAACCAGGTGCATCCAACCCACTCGAAGCACCACTCCGGGATCTCCAATTCGGGCAGCTCAATTTCCTTCATACAACTGATACTCATGGGTGGCATGCTGGACATCTACTCGAACCCTCATTTAGTGCGGATTGGGGGGATTATGTTGATTTCGCAGACAGACTGCGCGAGAGGTTGGAAGCGGAAGGGAAGGATCTGTTGATCGTTGATACGGGCGACCGCATTGAAGGAAATGGTCTCTATGATGCCTCGGAGCCCAAAGGACGTTACACATTTGACATCTTCAGTTCGCAGCACATGGATATCATATGCTCTGGCAATCATGAGCTGTACAAGCAAAACTCCTCTGAAAACGAATTTCTGATCACAGCCCCCGCCTATGCTGACAGTTATCTTGCTTCAAACCTCGACATCGTCGATCCCGAGACTGGGGAGCTTGTACCACTTGCTCCGAGATTCAAATCGTTCACCACAAAGAACCAAGGAATACGTATCATTGCATTCGGTTTTCTCTACAACTTTGATCGGAACTACAATAACACTGTAGTACACAGAGTGGAGAATACTATCAAAGAGCAATGGTTCCAGGACGTGATTCGCCGTCGCGATGTCGATCTATTCGTCGTCACTGGGCACTCCGCCATCCGCTCCGAAGAGTTCAAAGCAATATACACGGCTATTCGATCGGTCCAGTGGGACACTCCCATCCAATTTTTTGGTGGTCATTGGCACGTCAGGGATTATAAGAAGTTCGACAGTAAATCCTATGGACTTGCCAGTGGTCGATTCATGGAAACGATAGGGTTTCAGTCTATTAGTGGTCTGGCGACCAACGTCAGCTCTGCGAGTTCTATATCATTTTCCAGGAGATACATCGACAACAATCTATTTTCCTTGTATCACCATTCTGGACACAACTCGTCTTCATTTCATACCGCTCGAGGTCAACATATCTCCAAATCAATCCAGGAGGCTCGCAAAGGACTCAATCTGGACGAGACGTTCGGCTGTTCAGACCGTGACCTCTGGATGGATCGAGTCAGATACCCAAGCAACGATAGTGTCTTCAGCTGGCTGGACCAACAGGTTTTCCCTGGGGTTGTCAACGACAGCCGTCGTAACGACAAGCCGAGACTGGTACTCACTAACACTGGTGCCATTCGCTTCGATGTCTTCAAAGGCGCCTTCACCAAGGACACCACTTATATCATGTGCCCTTTCACCAGTGGGTTCCACTTCCTCAAGGATGTCCCCTACAATCGGGCAAAACATCTCCTCCAGCTTCTCAACAGCGGTGGAGAAATCTTTGAACAAGTTGACCAGTCTTTGGCCATGTGGAAAATGAAGACCCCTCAACAATTAGGAAGCCATCTTGATCGACATGGTGCCCAGCAAATGGCCAGTCCGCAGGAGCATGAACAGGTTGCCCTATCAAGCCACCGTGACTTGAATCCCGGCTACACAACTGTCGATGATGCCGGCCGGGATGGTGATGACACCATTCACTCCCCTATCTCGTTCTATCGACAGCCCAATTGCATACAATCCTTGATCAACTCCCAGAACATTGATCTGGAAGACGCCACTGTGGATGTGGTGTTCAACGAGTTTATTCAACCTTGGATACTCCTAGCTCTCAAGTTTTTGGGCCTGGATTATTCCGAAAATGATGTGGACAAATACATGCCTGATGATAACATGACTACACTTATTGCAAGATGGGTTAGTGAGAATTGGGGGAGCAAATGTTAAACCACCTTGTGCTCACAATCACTCGAACTTTCTTTTGGGGATGGAGAAAATCCTCCTTCTGGTCGAGTGGCTGTTGTCTTTTTATGTATATCTTGGAATATTTCGTCAGAAGCTAGACACCCAGCGCAAGCTGTTGCCAAAACATACTTGGAAATGCCTGATGCAGTCATATTACACCAAATCAATTCAGATGTTGATCATAAAGCAATGCCCAAGTCCGAACACCCTCGCCTCCTTCCTTGGGCCATCCAGTACTGTCTACTCGACCCTTCCCAATCACCACCTCTTCTGCGACTTTGAAGCCAAGCTCTTCATACTCCTTCTTGCTTTCCTCCAATGCAGTTTCCAGATAGACTGGGACGCTTTCCGCCTTTGCCTTATTCAGAAAAACGTCAAAAACCGCCACGAGCGCTGTAAAACTTTCTTTGGCGTCCTTGTCCGGATCTTTTGCACACATGGCGAGGTGGTAGAAGGGACGTGTCTCATAATCAATATCTTTGTTGAAGTCGGCTGGGTATGGGTCCTCGGATGGTGCACCAGACGACTGACTGGGTGCCGCAGGCTGATCGTAGCTGTGAGGACCCTGATCAGGCACTGACAGATATTTTGCCTTCAGGTCACGAGCCGTTTTACGCCACTCCTGCAATATAGGTCCCGGGTCCCGTCGAGCCTGGGAAGGGGGAATGCCACAGAAGTCCGGTGGCTCCCAAAGAGCGGCCGCTGTAAAATCGCCGGACTCGATGAGGACCACGTTCGAGCGGGCAGCGGCAGTGATTCCCAGCGTGAAGTGCTTGGTCAGCCGCTCTGGGGTAATCACTTCGCTGCGGGATGCAGAGGATGGGGTGCCATCGATCTCGGTAATGAAGGCAGTGGTTAGGGGAGTGGTGATATAGGAGCGGCTGAGCAAGGCAATGAACTTGTCCAGCCAGTCCTTGTCAGGAGTACTGGTGACTCGAGTCTTTGTAGCCATAATGATGGTCTACCAGTGAGGCTGAAAATGGGGATTATGTAGTAGTGCAGGATGTGGGGTGTAGAAGGGATATTGGTAGAGTCAGACCCTTCGAGACACGTAGGTCAGATGGTCGAATTGGCGTGCCAGAGGAATACAAGTACAGGAGAAGAGAGAAGAATGGCAAAAGCATGCAGTGTAGTGGGATGTAAGCAGGAGGGATTAGAGGAACTGAGAGTAAATGCCTTGGACTTACAGCTGCTACTATCACTGCCAGCAGTCGGGCATTACGGGCTGCGTCACACCAGACTGCATGATCAGCGTCCCTGATGATCTCTTTCAACATCTGGAAATGCGGGGCAAACGGCTGTACGCTGCACTGGTACGAGTATGAGCTCCGAGTCCGTTAGCTCCCCAAATGGCTTAGTTTGAAGGTGGAGCTTTCGAGCTTGAACGGGGGAGCATTTAGGCTTCAACCTTTCCCCATCAATCCAACGCGTTGAGCCTGCTCGTAGGTCGCCAGGGTTGAGAAGCCCTCTTTAATCATTGCAAGGGCGAGGGTTCTATACTTCAACAATTCAACTCATCATAGATCTCTGGTGACGTGCTTGCGGACGCTGATCAGACAATATCTTTCAACACGGTCCTCTCTAGGGACGTCTCAATAAATTGTTGAGTGGCACGCACGACAGGACCACCTTCCAACACCAACAGTGAATCATCCGGAACAACTAATCTTACTGTAATATGGCTGCAGATGACAGCAGAAAGACCGTTCTGATCACCGGTTGTGCTGCCGGTGGAATCGGACACTCCCTTGCCTTGGGCTTTCACAAACGAAGCTTCCGAGTTTTTGCAACTGCTCGGTCCCTCACACAGTTGACAAAGCTTGCTGACCAGGGTATCGAGACTCTCGAGCTCGTCGTGGACAACAATGAGTCTATTCTATCCGCCCACAAGACCATTGAGAACTTAACTCATGGTCGTGGATTGGATTTTCTAGGCAAGTCAAATCATCCATCTGGAATAAAGCACAGCTACTGACTGCCATTCTGCCATTAGTAAACAACGCCGGCGTCTCGTATGTAATGCCAGCTCTCGATGTCGACGTGGAAGAAGCCAGAAAAGTCTTCAACGTCAATTTCTTCGCAATAGTGAGGCTCTGCCAAACTTTCGCGCCTCTTGTGATTCAAGCAAAGGGCACAATCGTCATGATTGGCAGTCTTGCTGGCGTCATTCCTTATGTCTTTGGTAGCATTTACAACGCTTCCAAAGCTGCCTTGCACGCATATACTAACACCTTGAGGGTTGAACTCGCACCCTTTGACGTCAAGGTCATCAACATCGTCACGGGTGGTGTCAAGTCTCGCATTGCATCCCACATCACCCGCTATCTCCCAGAGAGCAGCGTCTACGCTCCTCTTGAGTCCAATTATATGAGACGACAGACTCACTCCCAGGAGGGTGCCATGTCCACTGAGGCATATGCCGAGAGTGTTGTCAAGCAGATCCTTCCAGGTTCGGGTCCTTGGCCTTGGCGATGGCTATTTAGAGATGCTCGTAAGAATTGGATTTGGGAAGGCAATAAGAGCTGGCTTGTGTACTATGTCAGTGGCGGTTATACTTGGTCCGGTGTGCTCGACTGGTACATGTCTCTCGTCTTCGGTCTTGCGAAACTGCGAAAAGCCCGACAACAATAATTCGATTCAAGAATCCACCAACTTTCCCAGAGAACGAAGAGGCAGCCTACCCTTTCATGTGCGGAACTTTTGAGGTGCTTGCTGTGAGAACATTCGACTTTTAGAAAACTTCAATGTTACCCTCAACGCCTAAAACTAAGACCTGTCATCTGGGTCAGGCTCCAAGTCGGGAACCACAGAGGAGTATTCGAGCTGTGGCAATCAAGTCTGGATATGTGATTATGGGACGATTCAATGATCCGGTGATTTATTCTCTTGGGAAAGTCCGAACGCTGTCGCAGAATCTTGCGAAACCTCCGATCACTAAGACAGGTGGCCACGATCCTGCCTCTCTACATCCATGGTTTCGGAGCATCGGCCATGTGGAGCAATATTCCTTGGTCTTTTGCTTAAACAAGTATACAGCCCTACAATCCGCTCCATAAAGGTTCCGATGATGTCTGAAGTATTGCGACTTTGAGGCTTATCCTAAAGAGTGGCTTCCTCCCAGGCACGCTTGTTGTTCGTTGATTGATAGGACGACGTGCTCCAAAAGCGGGGCCATCTCGGCCGAAATACTTGTGCATTGAATCCTTTTGGGAAACGCCTCGAAGCAGCGTATTTGCAAGGCCACCAATCCCTCTACACTACATGGCCGCAGGTCAAAGAGACAGGAGACTCTATATAAAGCGGGCTATATCAACGACAAGCGCATTGCTTAACCACTTCACTCGTGTTCAAAAAAGACACAATGCCTTCCTCTTCTCCCGTTGTTCTCGTGACTGGCGCCACTGGAACTCAAGGTGGTGGTGTTGTGCGAGAGCTCCTCAAGCGTGCCAAATCGACCACTCCGCCTACCTCCTTGACCATCCATGCCTACGTCCGTGACCCAACATCTGCGGCGTCGAAGGCTCTTGTCGACTTGGACTCTACAGCAGTCAAACTATTTCAAGGGGATTTCGATGACTTGGATGCCCTCACCAAGGCGGCCAACGGGGCGACAGCAACATTCATTAATGTGACTCCTATATTTACGGATCTCGAGGCAGAGTCACGACATGGCCACAAAATCTTGCAAGCCTCACTCGCCGCTGGTGTCAAGCACGTCATTTACTCTGCGGTCAACCGAGCCGACAAGCGCGAGTCGCTGAAGAACATACAGCCAGGGAGCTGGATCGACACCTACTACAAGAGCAAAGGAGGGATCATCGCCTCCCTCAAAGCCCCACCCTTTCCAACGCCGCCGGACTATACCTACACCTTGATCCTCCCAGCAACATTTCTATCCAATTACCATCCACCCCATCAAGCCATGATGTACCCCAACCTAAGCGCAGAAAACCCGACAATCACCACTGCCATCAACCCAAACCAAGTCTCCTCCCATCTGGATCCCGACGACATCGGCCGCTTCGCGGCGCACGCCATTCTCGCAGCACCCGCCGAGTTCGCCGAGAAATGGGCCAACAAAACCATTCCCCTCGCGAGCATCGACCTGACGCTTCAAGAAGTCATCGACGCCTTGACACGATCCGTCTCGAACCGCAAGACCGTCACCATCAATTGGCTATCACCAGAGGAGGCGCAGGAAAAGGCCGCCACCGACCCGTTCATCGCAAGCCACATCTTCTTGAACGAGAATCCGAATATCGTCGATCTGGAGCAAGTCAGGAGCTATGGGATCCCTCTGGGCGGTGTGGATGAGTATTTCACGAAGAATCGCGAGAAGGTCGAGAAGGGTCTGGGCTTGTCGTAAAATAGTAGCACGGATGGAGATCATTCATGCTCAGTGATGCAATACACCTACATGAACACCTACTCACCATCTAGATCAAATATTAGTACGTCGTGATCTCACTTTGTTCACATACGCTCGTCGCCTCTCAGCGTTGCGCGATGAAGACAAGTCTGCCTGGAACATTGTTTATGTCTGACAGCCTGTAGACGAAGCGGGGGTTCAGTGTATCTGGATAATGCTCAAATTGGCTGAATAAAACCTCGCCACTTCGATGTGATGCAATATGATTACATAGCATGGCTCCACGGTTGAAACGTAGAACAGATGATATGTTACTGCTTGGCAGACCGACCGTCTTCAGAGGGCAAGTATGTCACTTTTGCCTACTTCATGGATTCAACGACAGCGAAAGTCGCGTTTCCGTGCTCTCATACCATACCATACCATTCCAGCTTGCATTCACCAGACGCGATGTTTCTCATTTCGGGTCTCGAATCAGACAGGCCGGTGGCTATATGCGCTTCGGAATTCATTTGGAACCCTATCCAAAGCGCTTGTCCTGGTCTCGCCCGACATTCTTTGACCACACCCTTCGGAACCCATTTGAACGCATGGACACCATCTCGTCGTACTTTTCCTCGTCTTGCACTGCTTGCTGAGTTAACCGGTGAATGTCGGCAGTGACTTTGAACGCGCCATCTCTCCTTGCGGTCACTAGTTCGTCCTTTGCCGTGCTGGGTGGTTTCTCTGAACCCTGCCTCGCTGGGTTACTGTGAACCTTCGCGGGTGACTGCCAGTAGGCTCTGTCGTCTTCTAAGACCTTGGCGACCATGTTGACCATGGTACTGCGCAGGTTGCTTTCGAAAGGTGGAGAGAGATCTGCGAGATCTCGATTTCCCCCCTCAACATTTCCAGATACCTGTAGACTACTGGGTGATGGTATGTTGAGCTGCGAAAAAGCTTGCTGGCAAAACCCTTGGAGGATGTCCCTAAACCCTATGAGGATCTGATTGGCATGAGATTCGATTTCATGATCCACAGTGTCTTCAATGCTGAGGTTGATGTTCATTCTTCCATCCAGTACGATATGCCCCCTGGGATCAAGTGCTGTAGCAGGGTGGAAGAGAATTGCCAGCATTGGCGATAGCATACTGACGTGCTCCAGATTAGTCAACAGTCGCGAATCCGAACCTGCTCCAGTTATTCTTTTCCCCCGGTATGAAAGCATCTTTCTTTGTGATCGAAGGTATGATACTTCGGTGGGTTGGCTAGGAGCACTACCGAATTTGATGCCCGTGGCAGGCAAATCCGGGTTATCGTCGAAGAGCCTAGCTGTGCGGTAGACAGTACTATGAGGGTCAATTTTGTTATGGTAAGAGGACGCATCTTTCCATTCTTGTTGTGTCCCATCAACAGACGTGTCCCATATAGCTATATTCGGATGAGTGGTATTGAGACATATACCTAGGATGAGCGCCTTGTTCTTCTTGTTGAAATTCAGACTATCCGGAATCCAACCCAAGCCATCGATGTTCTCGCCTTTTCCGTGGTTGATCCCAACACCAAGTCTCCTCAGGGTCATAAGTATTCGTTGGCTCCTTTCCTTGATTGTGAGGAATGTTGAGTGTTCGACATCTCCTGTGTCCTCAGCTCTTCGCCGTTTACGATGGTTATGATGCCTCAAACCTTCGGCATATCGATGAAACCATTCTATCTGGCTGACAGGATCACTGTCACTATGCTTTCGCTGTTGTTTGGGATCTCGATTGCGAATAAGACCTGTATGATCGAGTAGAGTATTAGATGGATTAAGGCATGCCAGGATTATCATCGGCTCTAGGCAGCCAAAGAGTGCGCCTAACAATAGAGATTTCGTTACAGAGGGATGGAGTGAAAAGTGGCTCATCGCAAGCCCGAGATTTGTAATCCTGTTGTCCTGGGTATATGCGTCGAGCGTTCGTAATTTGCGAAATGCACTCTCAGCGACCTTAGATCTTGGTGGCTGTGGCATCTCCTGGAATATTTGAATCGGGTCATAGGATATTGCTGCAGCGGACAACATCAAACTTTCTTGTACAAGATCACTCTGATCGATTCCTGGAATGTTGTGCTCAGGAAATACCTTTTCGCGCTGTGAAGTGTAGAGTGCATAATAGTGACCCCCTTTAGCAAAGCCTGCAAGAGCTGCCCTCGCTTGTGCATCAGCTTGGCTAATCCAGGTGATACTGCGCCCTGATATTGGACCTTTATACTCATAGCTCGTGTCCAGATCCGTACAGCTCATGCGCTCTTTTAAACTACTGCCATTCGTGGAGTTTGTCTCAATTTGTCCGCTGTCCACGACGTGGGTCACGTTCTGTAGCATGACTGAAGGTGCTATGTTGCTCGTAACCAAGACGACTCGAACACAGCCTGCTTCCATTGGCACGATATCCGACTCTTGCAGTTGTTCATAGGACAGAACAGCAAGGCGGCTCGACTTTTCAACATTGACAGGTGCTGGCCACATTTTGTGAAGTAATTTTGTCATTTTCGAGATGTCTTTTTTGGTGGGCAGAAAAACCAGGATATCTCCCGGGGTTTTGTTCGCGATTAGATGAGAGACTGTCAATGCTGCTAGTCCGACTACTCCCTCACCTGCCGAACGCCTGAACGCTGGGAAGTTGAACCGTGGATATTTTTCTTCGCTAGCCTGGAGTTTTGTGAAGGCTAATTCTCCTTGGATGAAGTTCTGGGTGTTTTCTTGGTATTCTTCATCCAACACGAGCGGCATGCACTCAGATGGTACATCGGAGTGCTCTGATAGAATATCAGAGAGGTAGTGTCGTTGTACTTCAAAGGCGGGTCCACCTAACTTCAGCTCCGTCACAGTCAACGCAGAGTCGCTTCCGCTATGGTCTCCTAGATACTTGACAAGGCTGGACGCCTCGTGCGCTGCCGACATAAGGATGAGTTTAGGGTACTGATTGCCAGCGGCTTTCCTCTCGCGAATCCCTCTACGGAGGAGTGTGAGGGCCAACTCGGTGTCTCCTTGACTTTCATGAACATCATCAATGATGACATGGGAGAATGCTGAAAGAAAACGATCCGGATCCTCTAAGAAACGTCTCAAAAGAATTGCAGATGTACAGTAGGTGATACTTCCGTTGGCTTTCGGCAGGTCGCTTTCTTCATAAAGATCATACCCAACGGACCCAACCTGCTTCCCACTCCGGTCAGAGATAACTTTAGAAGCTACCAAGTGAACCAAGGAAGGCGTTGGTTGGGAGCATATGATCTTGATCTTCGTTGCAGTTTCATTCAGCAGTGGGCTATCGAGTATAAGTTGGGGAATTTGAGTTGACTTGCCAGACCCGGTGGGGCTCAGAGCAATAGTAGCGTCACAGCAAAGAAGAGCACTCATTATACATTCCGTGTCTTGTTCGTCGAGTTGAAGAGTTCGGGTGCAGTCCTTATTCAACCTGGTCAAGTTAAGCCTGGGGAGCTCAAAGAATGTTTTCTCTCCTTGTGGAAGATGGGGCTCGTCAATAGTCCTCACTTCTCCCCTGTTTTGGTCCGGGGAAATTGCGATGCAACGGGTTCTCAGTCCGGCTGATTGTGCATTGTTGAGTGCTTGGATCGAGAGATAAACATTCGAGGCTGGAATACCCATTGTTATAGGTTTTGGAGACAGCCTTTCGTTTTCTTCGAGGATTTTTGAGGTAGCTTCATGTGCCCAACGACGGACTGGCGCATACGGAGGGTCTATGCCGAGTTTTGCCTTCTCAAGGTCTTCATCTTTCGACATACGGTTGCCCTTAAACCCATCATCCCGCACAGATCTGTGCTGGAAGGTGTTGGGTGGGTGGGTGAGCAGCGACCAGGCGGTGCCTTTCCATCGTCGATTCGTTATGTAATGTCGAACCTGCACATATCGCTGGGTTTCAGCTGCTTTGATGACATCGCCACCTCTCAAGATGTAAGTGCAGGCGGTCCGGGCTCGACCACTGTATGGCTTCCTTAGCCTGCAACGGCGCGGTGGAAACTATGGAGATGGTTAGCCTATTGGAAGCAGGTTCGTATGAGTAACGCACCCGGGTCGACCATAATTGCATCGTACATCCTCAAAATATTGAGGAGATCAGGAGCTATATCGAAAGTGGCATGCTCTGCTCCAATGTTGGTGCTTTACATACGAGAGGTTGGCGACCCAGAGATATTTTACGGTGGAGCATTAAATCATTATGTGCAATTCCACATGGTAAAACTTGCAAGTCAAGAGCCTACATAGGTACAAAAGACAGGCTCCAAGGTGCAATTCATAAAGCTGTTCGACTACCTCTATGAAGTAGGTGATTTTGGGTACTATGAGATCCATGAATTACCATGCCCACATCAACTTGTGGGCCAAAACTCTCTCACCTAGACGCTCATAGAGAAACGCGTTGATCCAACTGTCGTTCGTCCTTGACATCCTTCCAAAAACCGCTCCACCCTTCCAGACGACGACCTGGGGATCCAATTCCCTCGGAGGCCGTCCCACCAGAATGTCCTTGCTGTAGCCTGGGAGTATACCTCGCAGAGAGTCCTCGAGATGCTGCGCTAGGCCCGGAATGATGCTAGTCCCGCCCGTCAGCATAATGCCACTCAAATAGTCCCCAGTCTTGGAGGCCGAGCCTCGTGCTGCATGGGTGATCGACGTGACAACCGCATTAGGGAGCGGGTAGATCGGAAGAACATCGTCACGTCGCTCGATTGAGATGGGCTCTTCTTCTTCTTCTTCGATCCTGGGCTTTTCATTGCCGGGTGGGCCACGGTCCATCATTACATCCTCAGGTTGCGGCGTTCCGTCAATTTGACGAGCAGGAGAACTGGCGGCAGAGGGTTGCGGCGTGGAGTCCATCTCTTTGATATTGGCGAAAGAAGGTCGGCGTGAATCATTGAAGGACTCTTCCTTCGTGCCGTTAGTGACAACACCGTTGGTAACTCCGTTTGTCTTGATGGTCGGTTTGGTGGTCGAAGTAAGGACTTCTTCAGGAGCGATGGCAGTGAGAATCTCAGCCTGAGCTGTTGAGCTTGGATCGTTGGGCTTGTTATCATAAATATCATATGACTTCTCAACGAGCTTCCTACGCGCATCGAGCTTGCCACTGTTGTTCAGTATATGCGGTTTGAACAGACCCATGGGCGCCAGGATGACTTCATCGTAAATTTTGAAGGTGTACTTCCGTGTCTCCTGATCTGGAGCTCGTAAATGAAAATCATAGAGTTGAACAGAGACGTCAGCTTCCGTCATGGTACAGAATTTCTGCTTCAACTCCTCAGCCAGCTGGAAATCATATCTCCGATTCAAGTTAATCTCGGCATACGGGAAATGATTGTAGATGATCATCTTCACAAATGCTTCCGTAATGTCAGCACCGCCGTATTTGATGTTCACCCGTGAATTGTCGATAACCATTCCGTCCTCCACACAAGATATTGACGTCTTCTGTGCACCAATATCAACGACACAGGAGACGGTGAAGCCTGCACCAAAGGACGCAGCTAAGCTTTCCTGAATGAAGCACACTCGGGCGAACCCAAATTCCGTGATGGCCATGTCGAGAAGGCTCGTCACATACGTCCGTTCATAGTAGTCCGGAATGACGATGACACAGCTGTATTGACCCCATTCCTCTCGTGTCTTGATGTTGAGCTCCAGCTGCAGGTTGATGGCGTCTTCAATGATGATTCTGATATCTTCGTACACAAACCGTTTCGATGCATAGTCCTGTTCGTTAATCCAACCATTTTTGATGGGCCAAAACAGCTTGTACCTGGGTTCTGATAATTCAGGGATTCTGAGAGCAGCTTTTCCGGTAATGCATGGTCGTTTATGCGATGTCTCGGTCCATTCGATCCGCATTGTATCGTTGAAGTCGGTGATGGTTTCATATGTATTTCTTCGGTTGTAGCTTGTTACCATATCTCGCGACTGTGGTAAGACTTTCCGTTTATTCATCCTCATTCTGACTTTGAGATCGTTAGACATTCCAGCAAACTTCTTTGCAAATTCGTCACCAAAGCGCTTTTCAGGTTCATGAGGGGGGAGGCCGTTGTTCAATTTGGCTCTCTTTGGTGCAGGTTCTCCATTGTCGAGCTCACTTTCCGACATTTCTGCGCGACGCGCGACAACCATAGGGACGGTCTTGGGCAACGCATCATTTGCCAGGCCAACTCTGAGGTTCTGAGATCCAATGTGGATAACAATGGTTTTGGCGCCGCTGGACGCTTCATCTTCGTTCTCCTCGTCACCTTCTTCCATCTCGATGTCACCATCTGGACCAACTGTCCTTCCTTGTGCTAATGCTCTGTCTCTGTCTTTGGCTTGTTTTATCATTTTATTTCGAGCCTCCTCCTGCTGTGATCGGACTGCCAGGATCTGTTCATCGCGCTTGAGGTAATCTATAATCATCTGGGTCAGTCAAGGACGGCTCAGCGAAGATTGTCGCATAACACACCTGTGTAGTAGTTCTTCTGATTGATGGGTATGATGGTGGGCCATGAAGTCAGATCCATGTTGTTATCTGTTCTCTCTAGGCCTTCCTCCCGTAGGAGTGCCTTTCCACTCTTTTTGCCGACCATTCTGATCGGTTTTCAGGTTTGTGGATAGATTTATCGTTGAAGGGGAGAGCGAGAGTCGAGGTCAGTTGCAGGCTTGATGTTTATATAATGTCATCACAAAGGTGAAAGAAATATCAGTCCATTGAAGGTGATGAGCCACCAGTGGAATGTTCAGTTAGGGTGCGACTGTTGTGCATTTACAAACTGCGGTGGCCCTTACTGTGCTGCGCAACTCTGTGGCGCGTGAAGTTCCACCAGAATTTCTCCGCATCAAATCCGAGGGCAAGGCTTGTCACGCCCACCACAGTCGTGGGCTGACAATTATTCACCCTGCACGCACTGATCATGGCATTGTTCAGCTCCTTCCAACGAGGCAAGGACAAAATATCGTACCTAGGTACCTAGGTACCGTTCTCGCTAACTATGAGTGACAAACCAATTCAACACCAATGAAGGGCGTATTAATCACTTTTCTTTAAGCTGGCGTTTCCATCTCTGGAGCAGACGATACGCTTGAGCCAATCCCATGCAATTGAGCCACTGATCTGGCCGGCATTTTACACCATTCTGCCCAGTATAAATAGTTCAAGGCTGCTCATTTATAATGAATATGTCTCTAATGGGTTTTGTTGTGGACCTTAAGTCAAACAAAAACTCATGCTCGTCTAAAACTCTGCCTGGTCATAGCAAGTTTGAATTGCATCACCCTAATCATAGATGGCAGACTTTGAATTGACCAGTAAAACCTGCTTTTGCACGGGAAAATGGGAGTACACAATCAGCTACACAGTCCAAGGAAATCCCGATGGTCCTCCTTTGATATTCATCCACGGCACACCCTGGTCCTCACGAGTTTGGGTCCCCTTTGCGCGAACGTTCGCATCTTCTTTCAAAATTTATCTTTTCGATAATCCTGGCTTCGGTCAATCGCCCGGTGGTGTTGCAATATCTTCAGTAGACCGCAAGGACCTTGATGCATCACTGGCAGGCCAAGCCGAAGCATTTGCCCTTTTGTTGAAGCGATGGAAGCTCTCCGAGCATCCCCATGTCATTGCTCACGACAGTGGTGGATTGATAGCCCTCCGGGCAAGCCTGAACCATGGTGCGGAGTACGCCAGTTTGTGTTTGGTGGATGTCGTTGCTGTCAGCCCCTTTGGTTCAACATTTTTCAAGCTTGTTGCTGCGAACCACGATGTATTCAACGCCATTCCACAAAAGTTGATGAATGGCTTGACTCGGGCGTATATTCAAGGGGCGGCTTTCAAACCGCTTCCCTCAGGGGTAGAGGATATGCTACTTCTCCCATGGACTTCATGTGGAGTGCAGGGAAAAGCTGGGTTTTTAAGGCAGATGAGACAAGCTGATCAGCGACATGCTGCAGATGTAGAGCCAAGATATGGTGAAATTGGCAAGAAGATGCCTGTGAAGATAATATGGGGCAAGGAAGATGCCTGGATTCCTGTGGATCGAGCCAAAAGGTTAGCGCACAAGATTGGTACCGACCAAATGGTTATTCTTGAGGACGCTGGCCATCTGATACATTATGACCAACCAGCGCGATTGGCCCATGAGCTGGATTTGTGGCTTTCGAAGGTGACTGCAAGTCCTTAGGAGACCGAGGTCATTCATTTCGTGTAGTATTGGCATTCAATTTCAGCTTCAAACACAGGCAAGGAACTCGTAAACATTGAGGGGGCTGATACGCATGAGGGTGATGAGTCAAGACCTCAGTATACTGAGACATACTTGATAGGAACCGCTCTTGATAAAGTGCCAATAATTCCGGGGTATATCATGAATATCGTTATGATTCTGACTGTACAGTTTGCCTATCCACGGTCAATATCTTGCCTTACGTTCTTACTGTGAAGACTTACGAGAGCCAGTCCATACCCTCATTGATGCCTTTTCCATCAATGACAGAGCACGCAACAATACTCCAATTTCTATCCCTCAGTTCACCTAATTTCAACGCCTCCGAGATCTCTCCAGCGCCTTGTGCACCAGGCTACACAACGTCAGCAGTGAACAACCGAGCATTTCACCATCCTTACTTGATCCTGCTTGTTGGCGAATACCAATAGTGCAGCATCTTTGAGCTCATCTTCGTTCAACATTGATCTCAATTCATCTGCTGCGATTTCTAATCGCTCAATATCGGTCGAGTCAATAACAAAAATGACGGCCGCCGTGTTTGCATAATAAGATCGCCAGTATGGCCTTATCGACGTTTGGCCACCAAGATCCCAGACGTCGAAATTTAGATTGCCGTATTGTACCGACCTAAATTTGTTAGTGCTGGGTCCAAAACTGGTAGCTCTTTTGGTAGTGACGTACTCGACATTAAAACCAATTGTTGGTATTGTGGTCACCACTTCTCCGATCTACAATCTCGTCAACATCAGAATCGTCAGGCAACCTTCTTGATACATACCTTCAGACGGTAAAGAAGGGTCGTTTTGCCGGCATTATCCTGATGGCGAAAGTCAGCTTGAGTGGATTGAAGAGAACTAGTGTGCAGACCAATCCCAGGATCAAAATCCTTATATCTTTCTTGCCCCAAACAAGGCCGGAGAATAATTTTGATATTGACCCACCCATCTTTCGTCCGATGGGATGTGTCAGTGATCAGGGAGGTTGTGAGACTTTAGAAGAGTCGGTCACGCGTATTCATGCCTCCCGATGTCAGAGCGCCAACCGAAATTAGAGAGTACAGCGGGAAGAAGTTTGGGATCGAGTCCGAGTTTCTTTGTGGTTCCAGCTCAAGATGTTTCGAGTTATGCTGAGACCAAAGAAACGTGTTAAATTGTGGTGAACAACGTGATGTCGCCTATGGAACGACGCATTCAAGTTCTTCCGAATCCGTGTCAGAATTGTACGGTCGAGCATGGTGGTTGGGTACGGTCGACAAGAGAGACTCACTGGAAGTGCAATGTGCACGTGAGTTTAAGTTTGCTCTGGATTGTGCCAAGGCTTTCACCGCTGGTACTTCCGATTCATGGAAGCTCCAGCTCAATCTTCTAGAAACCAAGGTTGCGCACTTAAAAGTGGATTTGTAGCTTGACACTGAGAGTGTGACTCGAGCAGTCGAAAGGATTCCTCGATCCAAATAATAATGAAGCTTTGCATGATAATGCGCTTTCTGCGCTCCCAGCAATTCATCCTTGCTTTTTGATCATCTTCTGACGTGGCTGCAGTGGACTTTATTTCGACCCACAGGGTCCAATGCAGGGAGAACCAGCCTTGTCAGGGACAAGACCCTTGCTTCGCAATTACCAAAGCTGCGTCACAGTATCCGTATACTAACTTATTCTGAAGTTGTCGTATCCTCATCTGGGTGGCTCAACAGTATCCGTATTCTTATCATGGACATCTTGCGTAGAGTGGGAGATCGATCAGATTCAACTTCACCCGATCGCGAGGTTGGCCGGCCCCCAAACGGCAGATAAGCTAGCTAGTACCTGGCCCCTTGCCGAAACAGCAAACCAATTTCTACCTTCACATCCGAACTCCGATACTTGTTGCCAACTTGCCATTGGAAACCTCTATTGAAGAGGATGGGATTGCAAAGAAACTTCCATGGAAGCCCTAATCTCAAGTCTTAAGCTTCTATGGATTACTCCACGAGACACCCCGTGTCGGAGACTGCATAACTACTTGTGCAACTGTATTCTTCTCTTCTCGGATTTTCAACTAAATCCCAAATCTCCGACTTCCCTTAGATCCACTGGCAGTGACGAAAGTTCCGAAGAACAAAAATTCCTGCTCCTAGGCATTCACTAGCGAGTGATGTACATGATAGGCGAACCTCGCTACCGAGTCATTCGTGGCCCAGTCTTCGTTGCCGCCTCGAAATCTTACCAGTTTCATCCTCGAAAGTGGAACTGGTTCCGAGACGCAACGAGAACGTTACCAAGGCAGGTCCAAAGCATAATCGAATGCTTCAAGGGTGTGCCTTGGAGAGTTTTGCGCGCTTACTCTGGTGACTGGTATACGATCGTTCATTCTAGACCCAGTCTCTGTTTCTTGGTTCGCTTAGCTGATGGAAAATCCTAGCCTCTATTCTTCATTGGCTAGGTTAAAGATATTCTGATGTGGCATCAGATAATCGAAAAATGATGCCCAATCTCCCAGCCTGAGGTTTCGCTTCAAACAAGATTTCGACTCGCGAGGTAGGTGGATGCTCGACGGGCTGGATTCCATTTGGTGTTTGCGAAGGACCAGCCTCTTGTGCGGTCTGACGGCGGTGTCCTTTTCGCTTAAAGGGCTCGCATTCCTCCGGATCATTCTTGCGAAGGAGATCAAGGCGATCAATTGCACAATACAGGCATCTATATATCTTATACAGAAAAATACTGTGCGAAGAAGACTCTGCACGAGTATCAAACTTTGCAACTTTCCAGCACAAACACCCCCTATGTCTGCAGAGTCCATAAGCGAATTGCCTCTTCACTATGGTGAAGTGCACAAAGATGGAAGTCGAACTGAACGCCCATCAGAAGATCAACCTGGCGAGCGTCCAACACAAGGTGAACCATCATCCTTGGTACGAAGGGCTTCTCAGCCTACCACAGTGAACCGTCCAGCGCTGGGGATACCTGACCAGGATATTCCGACCAGGCCCTCTAGGGACGAAGCTCGTACCACTGCTGGCCTCAGTCAGGGCCGGCCTATCATTCAGCACTATGGTGGCAGCCTCGATGCCGGAAGGCCTCCGTATGGCCGCAATGAGTATAGACGCAGTCTCCGTCCACGCAGGAGATATGATGATTACGAGCGCTACAGCGACTATGAAGAGGAATACGAAGAACCATATCGGCCCCGGCGTATCCAACAACGTGCCTACTTTCCTGGAGGGGAAGAGCATGCACCTCGCCGTCGACCATCGCGTGCATCTCGCCAAGGGACTGCGTATTCCCATGACCCTCGAAGAATGAGCCTGGACGAGTACGACGAAGAGCCATATCCGCCTAAGAGGTATCCGTCGGAGAAAAAGCCCGTCGCTACGCACAATACATACGCAGAACAAACAAGAGACGAATGGGATGTAGATGAAGAAGAGCAAGGCATCAATCCAAGAAATGGATCTCCCGGTCGCCATTTGAGATTCCAGGATCTTACACGTGAGGAAAAGAAAGAGATCATGCGACTTCCCTGGACTCAATGGATGGACAGCAATGTCAAAAATCGTGAGTTGTTATACTCCCCACGTTGTTATACTCCCACCGTCGTTATATTCCCACCGTCGTTATATTCCCACCGTCGTTATACTCCCACGTCGTCAAGAACTATCACACTGACGTGCATTAGACTTCATTGCTTCCCTCGGTGAATTCGTTGGGACCCTTCTCTTTCTTTTTTTCGCATTTGCGGGGACTCAGGTTGCGAATATCCCATCTGGAAATTCCGCAGACAATTCAACGTCTGGAGGCGCAACAGGCTTCTCTGCCATCGTTCTCCTCTACATTGCTATCGTCTTCGGCTTCTCGCTTATGGTTAACGTCTGGGTCTTCTTTCGTATATCGGGTGGTCTCTTCAACCCTGCTGTAGGTTGGCCCTGCTACCCTGAATTTTGTCAGTCACTGATCCTATCTGCGTACAAGGTTACTTTAGCAATGTGGATGACTTCAGCGATCCCGGCAGCTCGTGCCGTTTGCCTAGTGGCCGCACAAGTGGCCGGCAGTATTGCGGCATCTGCACTTGTACTTGTTCTATTTCCCACTCCTCTCAATGTTCGAACCACTCTTGCTGGTGGCACCTCGCTCGTTCAGGGTGTCTTTATCGAGGCTCTCCTCACCGCAGAGCTTGTCTTCACAATTCTCATGCTCGCGAAGGAGAAACACAAAGCTACTTTCATCGCACCAGTCGGCATTGGCTTGGCTCTCTTTATCGCTGAACTGGTTGGTGTCTTCTACACTGGAGGGAGTCTCAATCCTGCGCGAAGTTTGGGCCCATGCGTCGTCTCCCGCCGCTTCGACCGTGAGCATTGTACGTATCTTTCCTACCTCATATCCCCTGTCTCCCCATGAACATAAACCAACCGACCAGTATGTCCCAAAAGCTGACCACTCCTCTTGAAAATAGGGATTTACTGGGTAGGGCCTGGTATCGGATCATTAATGGCTGTCCTCTTCTACAAGTTCATTAAGATGCTGGAGTACGAAGTCGCTAATCCCGGACAAGACGCTGAAGATGCCCGGGAAGCAGCACTCGCCGCTCAAGAAAAGAGACCGACGGGAACGACTACTATTGGCGCTGCTATCTAATGACATTGGTATGATTGGACTGAGGTTATGATTGAAGGCCAATTGCCTGAGTTTGCGAGTTGTATAGTGCGTTTGATGCACTCCGAGTGCCCGTCATGTTTGTCGATTTTGGGATTGGTTATTGTGCCTTTGACAGCGTCTCGATGACTAATTATTATGTTACATTATGTACGAGCGACGAGCGAGCATTAATTCACTCCATGATAGACGAGAATAGATACTTATAATAGAGATGTGCATAAGGCTCCCCTCTGACCACAGGAGTGTTAGCCTCGTCATGGTAGGTAAAATATCGGGCGAAAGATCTTGTAATGACTGGAGTTATAGATGCTCGAGCATCGGCATTGTACATTAGGGTTCTGCATGTTCTAGATCTATCCTATCTATCGTAAATCCTCATTTCTACTCTAAAATTCTGATTAAAGACAGACTGATATTTTTGATATTGAATGCTGGTCAAAAATACCTAAATTACATGCTGTTGTGCTTAATGACATCGTTTAACACCGTAGTACCAATTGAATACTGGGCCACCTTCGCAAGGGCGGTTGCCTCTGACCAGAACAGCCTGCTTTCAATGTATCCGTTCTACACACATATACAAACCTCTTCCGTTTGCTTACCTCTGCTTGACTGCTCTCCATATCTAAACTTTTTCCATTCAATCTAACCCCTTGTCCATGTCTTGACCGCTCTGTACGCAATCGGCATCCTGGCGCGAATCAAGAACACAACCCTCCTCCTTCTCACCTCCACAACCCTCTTCACCATCATCTGCCTCATCATTCTGGCGCCCTTTCGTGCTCCCTCTCGGTTAGGCTCCATACTAAACCAGGTCCGACCCTTCAGACCCGTCACATCTGCTGCAACTCCCTGGAGACCTCTTAGTACCTCAGCCATGGGTTTCAAAAAGCCTCCGCAGGCACCACCAAGCTTCACAGCTACGCCTGACTCCGTTCTCGCAGACACCAAGAGTATGTTGGCTAGTTCGAAGAAGGTTACGGACGACATTGTGGTCAGCATTTCTTTGAAAGATGCCTCCTTCAAGAATGTACTTCTACCAATGGCCAACGACGAGAATCAGCAGACTCTCAAGGCCCATATTCTCGGCTTCTACCAATCAGTCTCCACTGATCAAGCTTTGCGAGATGCCTCGACCGAAGCAGAGAAGTTAATGGATGATTTCAGCATCGAAGCCGCTATGCGTGAAGATGTCTTCAAGTTGGTTGATGCAGCACTTAAATCTGGAGAAAACCTAGATCCTGAATCCCAGAGACTTTTGGAAAAGGAACACAAAGGATACGTGCGCAACGGATTGAATATCCCTGCTGGACCTAAACGAGATCGCTTCAAGGAGATCAAGAAACGACTTAGTCAATTGGGAATTGCCTTCTCAAAGAACTTGAACGAAGAAAATGGAGGACTCTGGTTTACCGCTCAGGAACTCGACGGTGTACCTACTGACGTTCTATCTCTACTCAAGAAAGAGGGGGACAAGTACTTCTTGACCTTCAAATATCCTGACCTTTTCCCGACTCTCAAATACGCCACCAACAGCGAGACTCGAAAGAAGGTTTTCATTGCGAATGAGAACAAGTCAAACCAAAACGTTCCGTTGTTTCGGGAAGCGATCTTGCTCCGAGATGAAGCTGCCCGTCTTCTGGGTTACCCTAATCATGCCGCGTTTCGAATCGAGGACAAAATGGCAAAAACGCCAAAGACCGTGGACGATTTCCTTAGTGATCTACGTGGAAAGCTGAGTCAGGGTGGGCTGGACGAGATCGCGACGTTGAAGGAGTTGAAGAAAGATGATGTCAAATCCCGTGGGGAAGAGTACGATGGCAAATACTACTTGTGGGACCACCGATTTTACGATAGGGTAATGGAGGAGAAAGATTACCAGCTTGATCAACAACTCATTGCCGAGTATTTCCCCCTCCAGAACTGTATCAAAGGCATGCTAGAGATTTTCGAGGAAATCTTTGGTCTACAATTTGTGGAGATTGTGGGAGGCGACCGCGATACTATCTCGGCCACAGGCAAAGGCAACGATATTGTTTGGCACGAGGAAGTGCAGGTCTTCAGTGTTTGGGATGATGAAGGAGAAGGCGGCGGATTTGTTGGCTACCTTTATCTTGATCTCTTCCCTCGTGTGGGAAAGTATGGTCATGCAGCAAATTTCAATCTCCAACCTGGTTTCATTCATGAGAATGGAACAAGAAGATATCCGGCTACAGCACTTGTCTGCAATTTTTCGAAACCCACGGCAAAGAAGCCCAGTTTATTGAAGCATGATGAGGTCACCACCCTGTTCCACGAATTGGGTCATGGTATCCACGATCTTGTCTCTCGGACTACCTACTCTCGTTTCCATGGCACCAACACGGTTCGGGATTTTGTTGAAGCCCCCAGCCAAATGCTTGAGAATTGGTGCTGGACACCTTCTCAATTGAAGTCTCTCAGCAAGCATTATTCTACCCTATCATCAGACTATTATGACTCATGGCGAGAACATGCTGGCTCGAATGTCACCAAACCAGAAGAGCATATTCCTGACGATCTTATCCAGAAGCTTATCAAGACCAAGAATCTCAATGGTGCACTGTTCAACTTACGACAACTTCACTTCGGTATTTTTGATATGACTATCCACGAACCAAAAGATCATGCCAGCTTGGAACAGTTGAACATTTCCGAGACTTACAATGCCCTGCGAAAGGATATTAGCAAGATTGATGGTCCAGAGGCCTTAGGAGAGGGGAATGGTTGGGGCAATGGACAAGCCACCTTTGGCCATCTCATGGGCGGCTACGATGCTGGTAAGAAGAAATCTTTCTAACCACCAGATAACCATTTTTACTCAGAGCTCTGACACTAACTTCTTGTCACAGGCTATTACGGCTACCTTAGCTCTCAGGTATATTCGACCGACATGTTCTACTCAGTCTTCAAGAAAGATCCGATGAATCGCACTGAAGGTCGCCGATACCGCCACACGGTTCTCGAGAAGGGTGGAAGCCAGGACGAAATGAAGACTCTCATTGACTTCCTCGGCAGAGAGCCCAAGACGGATGCATTCTACGAAGAATTGGGCATCACCAAATAAGCCACCATGTATTTCTACTCCACGTGGATAGCTATGATCTATGCTGCTCCAAGCCTTGAATCTATTCAACATCGCTGTTTCGCCTTACTTTCTATTCCAAGTGGTGTATTCTAGACGTCATTGGCAACCTATGTTCTGGTCTCTCTCAAGGAGCTCACATTTGGTGAACAATACCGAGCACACGTGCCGCTACTACTTAGAGGTGCTCAGGTTACGCTTGCAAACAGTATAGACATCTCATTCCTCTAGACTGAAGGAAAAAATGATATATCCGAAGAACCTCCAACTTCTAGTGTTACAAAGTGAATGTACAATTTTTTATGAGGGCAACACACCCTCACTGCAACGTCATGAGACTCTCAATCCCCTGAGATCCCTCGTCTGAAACAGCCTCCATGTCTCTGCAAATATAGCCACACAATGGTCTCCGATACAGCATACGATATGACACTAGCACCTCACAATCTCTAGGATATAGTCCATCGGTCCATAGAGTCAACTAATTGTACCTAGCCCGAGCAGGCGTCCGGCCTCCAATTTGAAGTTGACCATAGGAGTTGATGTATGGCACCTCATCGGCTCTCGCGAAAATGGGTCTGTTGGTGAAATCCTCCCTGTCCATGCCGCTGTTCTTCCCCACTTTCTCCAGCTCCTCACGTTTCTTCGTCTTCGGCTTCCCGTTCGCGGACGCGCAGTTTCTCGAAAAGACGTACGCGACGTAGAAGACCGGGCTCCCGGCGCCCTTTACGGGCCCGCTTCCTTTGAGGAATGTAGACATCTGAGCTGGCGTCGCGATGGTCGGTTTGGTCGCGTTGACGGGGAAGGCGGCCGCGTTGATGATGCGTACGAACCCTGCGTTCGTGCTGTTGGCGTTCCCTTGCATATACTGGTTGATCTTTGTGCGAAGATCGTCACACGTGTCGTAGATGGGCACGGGGAGCTTGTCTTCGTGGTCGAGCGTGATCCCAGACACGTCATATTTGTCGTCGGTTTTATCCTTCTCGGCCGCACTGACTTTCTTGGTCGTTGCCCCGTCCGAAGTCTTGGCTTTCTTCGCTCGTGGCATTTTCAAGCCGGCTATCTCGCGTTTCTTGAAGAAGAAACATGCACTGATGAACGTGTCGCTTTGCATCCCGTTGGAGGGTGCGCTCGCGTTCATGAACGCCCTGTACGACGCGGCGCTCACGCCGAGCTTGTTTTGGAACTCTTCAACCTTCATGTCACCATTGTTGATGAATGTTCGGATTTCCCGCAGATTTGATTCGCGTTCCATTCCTGGATTCGGTTTCAGCATTGTGGCCATGGCACTTGAAACAGTGGGGATTCATCAAGTCACAATTCGAATCAGAAAATAAAGGCATGGTGCACATTAGAGAGAGTGAACGCACGATTTCCATCTCTGGAATGTCAATGTCATCCAGATCAATTGGCCTGTCATTAGCATCCGCACTTTTGCGTTTGTTTCCTGCAGAAGTGGTGCTCGTCTGTATCAGGTGAGCACATCGACGAAGAAAGCAAGAGATGTCCACGCAGGGAGCATTAGGAAAGTACCTCAGTCTTTGCAGATCCTTTCACGTGGGTTTGGGATTTGGGTTGATTGAGAACCACGTTGATGTCCCTCTCTCCCCATGGTTCGAGTCTGGGCGTAGGGTAAGGCGTATTGATGGTCTTCGAAAGACCTTGGAGATTTCCGGTGATGGTTTCAAATAAGCCTTGACTGCTGATAGCAGTCAATGGTCGATAGTTTGGAATGGACGTGATTAAAGCTATCTAGAAATCAAATTGTGCTGTGGTAGTTCTTCATGGTGGAGTGGGAGAATGTGAGACGTGTTCTGTGATGTCCCGAGACGCGTCGCAACGCGAAGGAGGGACGCGGTCACGCGATATGACGTCAACTTCCTCTGGCAGAGAAATCGTATGGATTTGCATTTTCCATGAACTGAGCTCCAGATTCTATGATCGATCTTCCAAGTTTGACAAAGATTATGGATATTATGCGGATCACAAGGAATTAGAAAATTCGGAATCTCTGTCCCCTAATAGTGGTCATCATTTCGGTAGGATAAAAAGCGTGCGAGACTACATTGCTTGGGGTGAGGATGTGCTGCAAACATGCACTCGATGACATGGCATAGATATCGAGCTTCACAGACGGGTTAGAGTGACCTCCATCCGTCGTTGACTTTGAGACAGCAGTAGTTGTGAGTACAGACCTTCTCGGCGAATCTCCGCCTGGGACAGTATGCCGATCTTGGGATTCCTCCCGACAATCAAGTTGAGTTACATCTAGACACGCCTAGCATCAGCTGAGCATCGGCTGTGTGGCTATGCTTTCTGCTACATTGAAAGCATCTGAACGTTTGCTGCAGATGAGGCAAGATTACAGGCTGGGTGGGGAGGATACCAGCGAAGCTATTGGACTTCGTTATCAGGCAATACCTTTACGCAATGTGTTTTCTAATCATTCGAGATGACGTGCTGTCCTAGAGCTGAAGAGAACGCATTGTCTCGAGAACTCTTCGCATGGCGTGCTTATTTCGAAGTCCCTTTACAGGCAGGTGTGCGATATTGGAGAGTGGGACGCAATCGTCAGAACATGATGACTGTGAGAGAGAAGACCACAAGCGTAAAGCCCACTGCGAAGTCAACGCAGAGCAATTTCGACGTTATCAGTCAAGACTCTTCAGTGATTAGGGAAGCAAAGCAAATGGAGAAGGAAACTGTTAGGAAGACTCGAACTTGGAGGTTCGTCGCACAAGTAGTTTGGGTCTTTTACTCGTGAGAACTCGTCTTATCGTCACACGGAGCTCGCCATCAGGCTAAGTGAAATTGAAGTATGGACTGATAGCGTCACTCGAATCATCTTGCGACTTGAATGGATTGACAAGAACTGTGCCTCATACCTTCTGGTTTGCCTTTACCAACTCCAGCAGATCACGCAATCTGGTGGGGGAAGACGTGCGAGGTCGGCAACTGTCCAATCACAACTCCCAATCCCATCGAACAGTCATATCAGCTTCCTTATTCAGACGCTACCTCTGGATCACCTAGGCTTTCTCTCTTCTGCGGGGTTTGACAAGCCTATTGCGTATAATGTCGGAATTCGTGAAAATTTCCCAAGCCCTGGGCAAATAGGCTTACAGGATGATGGACGATGGTCTCATGTGCCGAAGATCCGTACTGCAGTTCAGAATATAAGAATGGAGTGCTCCTAACCAGACACTTCTGTATCAGTAGCAATATATTTTCAAATTAGAAACATAAACTGACAGTCCAAGATGGCAACTAGCGTTCAGAGCCCCGCTCCCACTCTTAAAGGTGCCGTTGGCCAATACAAGGAATTGGCCACGGAACGATACGAGAGAGCGAAAGAGTTGGATGCCGACACAAAGTTTGGAGCAGCCTCGTACCCTGAGTAAGGAGCCTTGATGGTCCAACTGGGTTGAGGGTGGTTTGCTGATCAAATCAGGTGGCTTCCCGTGTGGGATAACGAGAAGGGCGAGGTCTATCCTCCTCTCGAGCCGTTCGATCACGTCGAACACGGTAAAGACGCCGACCCGGCCCTACCAAACCTCCTGAAAGAGGGCACAGTCATCAACGACATCACCGCTTCAATCGGCGCCGAGGTCACAGGTGTACAGCTCTCGCAATTGGACAACAAGGGCAAAGACGAATTGGCTCTGCTAGTTGCACAGAAAAAGGTTGTTGCATTCAGAGATCAAGATTTCGCCAATCTCCCCATCGAAAAGGCCTTGGAATTTGGAAGATACTTCGGTAGACTTCATATCCACCCAACAAGGTATAGTTTTACCCTTTGATTAAGCGTCGACTGTATGGCTGACTTCTCATGACAAAGTGGCGCACCAAAGGGCGCGGCTGAGATACATCTCGTCCATCGAGCCGCCGAGGATAAATCAGCATTGGAATTCCTACAAAGCCGTACCAACTCGGTGGCATGGCATTCCGATGTGACATATGAACAACAACCGCCGGGCACCACTTTCCTCATCGCCCTCGATACGCCAAAAGCAGGAGGTGATACCCTCTTCGTCAACCAAGTCAAGGCATATGAACGACTATCACCAGCCTTCCAAGAACGCCTTGCAGGATTAACTGCTGTCCACTCGGGTTACGAACAGGCGACCGCTGCTCGCAACAGAGGGGGCACTGTCCGCAGAAACCCAGTATCGTAAGTTTTGATTAGGGCACATCCACCAACGTCAAAAGAAAATGACTGACTCATTTCCTCAGCTCCATCCATCCCTTGGTTCGGACCCACCCTGCAACTGGTGAGAAGGCCTTGTATATCAACCCACAATTCACCCGATACATCGTCGGCTTCAAGCAGGAGGAAAGCGACTATCTTTTGAAGTTTCTTTATGACCATATTGCTCTCTCTGCTGATATTCAAGCACGCGTGAAGTGGCAGCCGGGGACAGTGGTTGTTTGGGACAACCGCGTGACGGCACATACGGCTCTGGTTGACTGGGACGATGGACAGCGACGCCATATTGCTCGTATCACGCCTCAGGCCGAACGACCATATGAGACTTGATTGAAATCCAAGAATATCTGGGTTCGGTGCTCCTCGCTCGGCAAATATTCAACAAGTGACGCAGAGCTCCTATCGCTGCATTAGCGGCCGTTAAAACACCTTTTTGTAGAAAATGAACAAGTTAAAGATATCATAGATCTGACGGACCGAATTCATATTCTCCCAATCATCACGACCTATACCTTGATCTATGATACCTCGATGATTTTGGTTCTCAATCCACGCCTGACTCCGGACTATGCTCGTGACTATGGGTTTGGGAAGGTAGAGCAGGAACACTGGTGACACAATCAATGGCCCTCCTATCTAGTCACCCTCAAGTCTCGCAACGACCGTGCTCATTTCCTCATCACCGTAAATTCGGAATCCATCCTTTTGGGTAACGCTTGCCAATTGAACGTTCTTTGCATCCAGTTTCTCCTCCATGACCTGTTTGAGTGTCTTTAAAACCAGTGTTTCCGCCTCCTCTAACGTTAGGGATTTGTGGAATTCTGATTGTAGCTCTGCTTGGGCACCTTCGCTACCTGAGCCAATTGCCTTCGCATCGTACCGGTAGAATGTACCTGAGGGTTCGGCGTGGTATCTGTAGTGTGTGTGAGCCACTCTCACTCCCTCGAACTCGTGTTCAGGATGGTGTGTACTCACAATTGTGGGCCATTATCCTCATCCCAACCAGCAATCAGCAGTGCGACACCAAACGGTCTGCTCATTATCGACTCTTCACCTTGAGCACCCTCACCGAATCTCAATGCCAGATCACAGATTGCCTGCGTGCAACTTTCCACACCGAGTTTCTCGTTAAAGTTGAATGCGTGATTCTGTGACTCCACTCGTGCGTGTTCAATCATACTCCGTGCGTCCGCCTGTAAACCTGACATGGCACATCCGATATGTCGGTCGATCTCGACGATCTTCTCAATACTGGAGGACACAAGTAGAGGGGAGGTAACACGTTTCTCGACTCCGAGGAGAACACCGTGTGATGTGGCGACCTGCTTTATGTGAGTTCGTGGATTCGGGGCAGAAAAGGGCATTCATCAACGGGAATTGGACATACACCAATGGCTGTCGATCCGAGTTTGATGGCTTCTAGTGAATATTCGACTTGGAAGAGACGTCCTTCGGGAGAGAAGGTGCTGTAGACGATTAGTGTGGCTCTTCCACCTCTGCAATTCAAACACGTACTTGATTCCTCGATCTGTGAACATCGCCCGTTAGTATGGGGAAGTGAAGACATGGAACTGGGGTAACATTACCATATTCTGAGCGGGCAATAAACATCGTGGCGATAGGTGCAAGGACAGCGCAGCGAGGGACAAGACGTGGGGAGTAGCTTTGATTCCTACCAAGGGGTTCTGGGAGAAATCAACGAATGTCGGCGTGAGGGAGATTTATTATTTGGTACTTGACGTGTCGGCGATGCAATACTAGGCAAGCTTGAGATGCGCAATCCATTTGACGCAGATGTACATATATCTCACCGTAGCAAACTGCCAAGGGATTACGGTAGGCTACTGAACCCATTTTTGGTCCAGGTTAGGGAGGCTGGTTCTGGCTGAGGATTTGAACGCTGCAAACCTGACGTTTAAATCAGGTGGTTTTAAAACAAATTGAATTCAATCCTAGCATTGAGACTGGTCATTCTAGGACTCTTAAGAGCATTATATGGACGGGCCCAGGAGACTTCTAGATCTGCGCGAGTAAGGAAAAGTGTGAGGCTCCCTGCAGACTAGATTCGGGGAAGGCATGGGGAGAGTCCTCACAGCGAGACGCGGTCAGGTGATCCACGAATTCTGAGAAGTACTTGGTGATATGGCTGACGCCTCTAATTGACTAAGGTGAGCTTGGAAATCTTTGTTCGGAGGCTCAAAGAAGGTCAAGATCTGGAAAGCTGGCCCAACATGGGTCAAAACGAGCATCCATCACATTCCTGTCGAGATCCGGTCGAGCTAGAGGTCTCCCATCATTCCTGACAGGAGCTGTGACAAGAATCACGCCATCTTGTTCCATCTGTATCTGGCACTCCCGCACAAGCTTTTGCAAAGCATGCTTGATCTGTTCATGTTTCGACATGCCTTCTTGCTCCGGTAGGACCGATGTAAAAACAATGTTGAGATATATGAGATCCTTCAAGTTGGCTTTTGCACGGGACAATCGCCGTGTCATGGGCTCGAGAGTTTCCTTCACGGAAGTGATCAAGCTTTCTCGTGTGAAAACCGAGACTCGTGGACCGGCTTCTGATGCGGCATTGCCTGGGGTCCGGGCCACAGGGCTTTCTGAGGGCATTTGACGCAGTGTTCCAATTCTCTTAATCTCCAGGCACAGCCCGAGTAATGCCTGTCCCAACTCGTGTCTGTATACGTTATGAAAGAAGTCCCAATAGCCTTCAGGCCGAGGTACGTTTAGTTCGGAAAATTGTGGGTCGAAAAGATCTTGGTAGTTAGTGAGCATAAGGTAGCTCTGAAGAAAGCCCGCCCTTGCTTCTTCTGGGATATCTTCAGCGTTGAATGCAGACGTGAAGCAGGAGTACAAGTACATCAAAGGTCTTCGAATGCTTATATCCAACTCCATACGAGCCATCAACCGAGGAGGGGTTTTGCTTGCCTCGTCGTCCATATACGTAAAGCGTAACGGTGGCGGCAGATTGCATAGCTCTTTCTCCATGAACCTGGTGTGTTCCAAGAGTTCGTCTATGGTAAATGGAGTTGCGCCCTCCAATTTCTTGCATGCAGCAAGCCGGTGTGGGAAAGATTTGGCGAGGACAAATTGGCATAAACCGTCCGTCCAAAGCTCAGTTGGTCGGGATGGTGGCAATGCTTCCATTCCCTCGAGTAATTCGTCATCATTGATATTTCGTGGAGGTTGACATTGATATGGGGGCACCATGCATGGCAACCGGCAAAGCTCAGACAGCATCAGGTCAACTTCGACGATTGTCATCCAAGTTCTCCTTCTCAGCTCTCCTTCATAGATGCTAATCCCGGGTAAAGCGGTTGGGTCTTGGTCCAACCGCATCACAAGAGCATCACGTAAGATCTCTCCGCTGAGACCAAAAAGGTCGACAAGTGGATCGGTCGGGCCAAGCCATCGACACATCAAGGACAGCATTTTCACATGCAGAGCTGGGAGTTGGTATCTCTGTACGCCAGTCAGCCCCTGAGAGAACCCTTCTAAGAACCTCACAGCTCTGCTTTGATGTGTCAGTGAATAATGTGTCGCCTCCTCGCACTCCTTGTGTGTTCCGAACATGGTGGCAATGGCTAGGGCGCCAACAAGCTGTGGGATGAATGCAAACCTGCAAGCATCTGGCCCCAGACCATCAGTGAATAGTATCTTCAACTGGCGACTAAATTCAGGCCAACATAAAATTCGAAAACAGTGCTCCATGTTGTCAAAATATAATAAGGCCAGACGTTCACAAATATGTAATGGTGGGATGTCCAACCGAAGGTGACTGGTAGGTTGACCTTGGTCGATCTGACTAGGCAAAGCTGAACTGTGGGATTTGAGCGTAACTTGCAAACTGCTCAGATCACTTTGGAGATCCAACAGCTCCGGATCACTGCTATGATTTTGCAAACCTCTCATGAATTCGCAAGCATCCGGAAACTATTCCAGTCAGCGCAACGTCTTCGTGGATCAATCGGGCTTGTATGAACATACTAGAGGGTCGGCACTGGTATTGGTGACGGGATTTTGAGTGATAGCTGCTGAAGTGTCTTGTCCATGATCTGTAGAATCGCCAATGATGTTCGACAGGCTCCGTTCTTGGACATCCCGCGAAAGGAGAGCTTTTTCTAACCGGAGCACCCTTTCTTGAAGATCTTCGATCACCCCGGATTTCCCTTGTGGCATTGCGCCCGCGCCAAAGCCGTTGATAACAGGTGAAACGCCATGTGCAAGCTTGTTTGACGGTGAGTGTGACCTCTGTCGCTTTGAAGTTAGACTCGGAAGGTCGACCGTGTCAACTTCAGGTTCTGAGCCTGGTTGATACTGACATCGTCCTGGCCGTCCAATCTTTAGACATTGTTGACAAGGATGTGTGCGATCACATTTGAGCTTCTTCCTTCTGCATTCTAGACAGGAAATCACCGGTCGCGGTCTCTTCGCCGAGTTCGGTGGGTGACCTCCACTGGTGGTGGACATATCACCAATCGCATGCGCGCGTCACATACCAAGGCTCCTCAACGACATGATTCTGGGTTGATTGCAAGTCCTGATCGCACAAGAGCAGTAATCGAGTGCCGCAATCTTGGTACACCTTACCATCCAATGCTTTCGATGCTGATGCACTGAATTGAGACAAGTTGTAAGGTTGGTAGCACGCCTCGGCTTCAAGTCGTCACAAATATCGGGAGAACATTGATCCGTTCTTGGAACATCTTGGACGAAGCAATTGGACATTACATAAGCAAGAGCGCGGACCTTCGTCTCAACCACCGATGCCGACCATTATCAGACCCATTTCTTCAGTCTGATTTTCCTTGTCCAACAACTTGAATGCGAATAACATTCAAGTATCCATTCTCAGGATTAATGCCTTGCCGACCAACGCGGCTCTCACACAAGACTAGTGGGGGAGTTTATCTTGCGACAAACTTCCGGGATAAAGTTTACCTAGCTTTGCAAGTTGTAACCAAGTGACATACCCCGCCACGCGGCCCTGATATTGTCCACATATTTGTTCTTCGCATACATACACGCCAGCGCAGTCCCTCCTTTTCGATGTCTGTGTAATATATATCCGATGATGGACGCCAATGCGCCCAGCCCTATAGAACGTCACACTCATGATCCAAAATCTCAGAGTCTAACTGGCGAAGAGGCCAAGCGAGCCGCGATATTGATACAGAAAACATTCAGAGGTCACCGTGCGCGACGAGAATTGAATGGCTTCGGACTTGATGCGTCGACGAGGTGGTATGAGGTTGGTGTTGAACGCGCAGATGAATGCACATAGTGCTCACGAGTATGGAAGGCTGTGAAAGATGCAAAGTACCGAGACGTTACGACGCCGCACCCTCCACGAAGTCCCGATGCATCTGCGGATGATGGGGAGGAGAATTCCCTTGAACCAAAAACTCCCATATCCCCTGCAAGAGAGCGGTGGAAAATGGTCACAGAGATTGCACGAAGAGCTGGCGCAGACGATACCTCCCTTTCCCTGTCAGATTTCTCCTCCTCAGAAGATGAATCCGGCGATTCTGCCTCGAAGACAAACCCATCAAAAGAGGAGCGAGAGGCTGCGGCCAAGAAGCGAGGCGAAGCCACAGCGTTGAGAAAAAAGACGGCCAAGATGATGGATTTGCAGTACTTTCTCGAGATGGTAGACCACAAACACCGCTACGGTAGTAACTTGCGCAAGTACCACAACTACTGGAAGTCCCAGGATACCAGACAGAACTTCTTTTACTGGTTGGATGAAGGCGATGGCAAAGACGTTGAAGTTCCCGAATGCAGTAGAGCGCGCCTCAATAAGGAGCAAGTGCGGTATCTGTCAAGGGAGGAACGGCTCCAATATCTTGTCCGGATCAATAAAGAAGGACTATTCGTATGGGCAAAGAATGGGGAGCGAGTATGGACGAAAGACGAACTATACAAGGATAGTGTGCAAGGTATTGTACCTGTAACGGACCCGACCCCAAGATTCGAATACAACGTACCACCTCCTGATGGTCGGGGACGGTATTCAGAATCCGACTCCGACTCCAGCTCGGCATCTGGAGACGAAGACAACGATGAAAAAATCGACAACACTGCTGGGGATGAGGGCGAGCGCTATGTGAACGAAGATGTGAGTGTCGTATTGCCTTGCCCAGGTATGACGGATCGTTTGAGACTGATGCAAATCACCTAGTTTCACCGAGCGAGAGGGATCTCGAAGGTTAAGCACGTCAGTCCTGCGGTGCTCTTCAATCACATGATCAGAACATCTCTGAAGAAGGGATATAAGTGGATCTTTGTTGCAGACACGTCTATGAATATCTATATTGGATACAAGCAGTCAGGAGCCTTCCAGCATTCGTCCTTCTTGCATGGGGCACGAATTTTAGCTGCCGGGCTTATCAAAGTCAAAGACGGTCAGTTGCGCAGGTTATCACCGTTGAGTGGTCATGTAAGTGTCACAGAGTCACGATTCTCGTGTATCCCGGAGCACTAATGGCGTGTGGAGAGCCTGCTAACACCCAGTAAATGATGACAGTATCGACCACGAGCTGCCAACTTCCGCACCTTTGTTCATAGCCTTCAGGATGCAGGTGCAGATATGTCTCATGTCTCAATATCGAGGAGCTATGCCGTCTTGGTGGGCTTGGAAAGCTATGTTCGTACTCGACGACGGGTGAAGACGGCCGAGAACTTGGTGGTTAGAGAGAAGGATAAGGTTTTTCATCCAGAGAAGATCAAAGAGGAAGAGGAGGCCAATCGCGACAAATCTCAAAGTGCAGAGAAAGAGCGACTTTGGCTGGCGCAACAACGTGAGGCTGCAGAACGAGAAGCTCGTGAGCAAGAAGCCTCCCAGCGTCAAAGTGGTAAACTATCGCGTTTTCTCCTCAAGTTTAAGACCCGTAAGGACACGTCGATGCCTGCTCTTGGAGATCACAGCATCAAAGGGGATTTGGAAAGAGAGAAGAATAGAACTTCGGGGCCAGAGGATGGAATACCCGCACCTGAAGGCGAACGATGACATGTAAGTACGGCGTTTGTTTTTGGTCTTGGAGCCACTGTCAGGATTGACCTTGATCTGGTAGATCAAATAGACTTAGTCACCTGAAGAGATGAGACTCGTGGATACTGATGCTAGACAGCTCCATGTTGATAATAAATATGTTTCGATTAAGCTACACGACTTCTACCTGGACGGTTATCCTGCTCCGGAGATGCAGCCTATTTGCAAATGCATCATTGCCTTCCTACTAGGTACCTATGTATCTGCCTGGCTACTTCCAAGGTTTTTTGATAGCGGGGGACGAGTCAATCATCCCGGGTACCTGCCTCGTGGGCTGGCGGGCACAAGAAGAGTCCTAGCGCTGTTGCCTTTTTGAGAGGGGTTTTGATGTCGTGCCTTCTCCTTTTGACACGGTGATGACCTTTTCGAATCTCATCAAGTCTCATACCAACCAGGCACGTCCAGTCTGGAGGCAGATCGAAATAAACCCCCTCCTGCAACCCAGCATTATTTCCCACAAGGATAGACCCAGCAATATTCCCAAGAGTGATGTCAAGTCGTCTGCAGTACCTCGTACCGCCACCAAAAGTTGGCAAAACCCCGGCCACTTTAACCGAAAGGACCTTAGCCACAAACGTTAGTGGGAGCTTTTAGTGGGGGCGGCAACCGTTTGAATGGCAATTGCAATGGCAAGCGCACGCGTCGGATGGGCAATTGGTGGTGGGCAAAACGTGCACCATGCCCGCCGATCGCACCAGTCTGCAAATCGCATTCATTCCTGCCCGTCATCCACGCTTACCATCCGCTCGTCTTTTGTGGAGCAACACGCTCGCAAGTTTCGGGCGCCAACTTTAATGTGAAGTTGGCAACTGCCCGGTGTAACTGTGGCTGGGATATCACATCACTGATCAACAATTCCCGCCTTGGTTGAAGAGTTGACCCGTGGTTCTCACATGGCTACGCTGGGTGGCATGAGTACCGTTCCATCAATGACTAACACATTGGAGAAGTGGGAGATGACAACATCGCAACACCCATTAATGATCCTTTCCAGACCAACCAATACAAGGGGAATGGCATTGATGTCAACCAGTCCAGCACTCCCTTCAAGGCCCATGTCAGAAAAGCAAAGCGAGAGGAATTGCAGTGAGAATCGACCAAAATGAAATTCTCTCCTCCCCATGCTGATGGCGGGGCAAGGTTGGAAAACAGGTTCTTGAACAACTTGCGGCGGTGCGTCAAGCCTAAGAAAGGTCTGTGCTTTGAGTCAAGCCACATCACCAAACTCTCGGTTGACCTCTCGTTACCCACGTCAACTCCACTTGGTTCAAACTGTCGACTGCTTACAACCCTGGACCCCTGCTTGGCTTCTTTGATATTTCGTCAGAACGGGGTACCTCTTCGAGCTCCATCATCAGGCCTGATATCTTACAGTGCTCGTGGTGCGCTGTAAAGCATGAGCGTTGATTGTGGAGGCGTCAACACGTGCAGCACAATAGGCCTCTGCTCGATATCATCAACGATGCACGCGTCGCCACTCGGCTTGACACAGATGCAGCTCAGGCTGAAGAACTCTCCAAAGGCCCGAGTTTGCTCTCCTTCTCTGAGGAATACGAGTTCTGATGCACAGATTGCCGACATCATTGGCGCAACTCGGTTTTTCTGGGGGAACCCCCTGTCACTCGCCAGACAACGGGACATGCCTCCCCTTGTTAGGGACATTTCTTGTTTCCCATTCACCTTTACGATTGCCCATGTCTCTTCCGATCTCCGATTGACATTGGCCAACATCAATTCAACCATCCTGGTGACCCCATGTGCTCCTACAATCTCATTTGACGGGTCACTTGGGGTGATGATTGTCTACGTGTGCCACATTGCTTCCCAAGAAAGTTCTAATCGTCTCCTGTGACGCAATGTGCTTTCACTTGCCTTGTGAATCAAGTTGAAAACCCAGCCACATTGAGGCACCAGCTCTCTCCCGCAATGAAGAGCTCCTCAATGACCGAGCAGGTAGATACCCTTGATACTGGCACGGTGACGTCGTGAGATTTTTCTCGAGAGCTACTACTTGACGTGATCTTCCTCCCTCGTGCGACGCGTCCTCTCTTTTTTCTCCTCCAAGTCCATCCTATCCATCAAAATAATACCCCCATTGTATAATAACAACATTGAGAAGACAGTGCTGTTCCTAATAGCCGAACATCCTGGAAAGCAACAACCACATACTTGTATTTTTAACTAGCTGATGACAAGTAACCGACTTTCTTCAGCCTCATACGCATATTATTCTTTCCCTCCCACTCCCAGTCGCGACTCAACTTCTTCCAGAAGATCATCTCCTGAAACAGTCAGAAGCTTCAAAAGCACAATGCCCTCACCAGCAGCAGGCAGATCCGGGAATGCTCCTGAGACTCCTACAAAGACTGGCAAGAGCCCTGGCTCTTCAAGTACTTCTAAGCTTACTGGTCAAGGATCCTCAGGCACACCAGGAAGGAAGCCTCCCAAGCTAGGTGCCTCCAAAGCGACGCCCAAGAAATCCACAGATTCTCCCAAACTACCTCCACGAACTAAGCAAACCGACGATGCCAAGGATGTCTCAGAGAAACCCAGCGACATCGAATCTGAAGCCGATCAGAAGATCGATCTCAAGGACACCGAGGAAGCTGGCGGAAAAGTCAGCCAACCTGGCCACGACACTGGAGCCGAGAGCACCTCTGTCGCCGACACCAGTGAACTATCGGAAGCAGACCCTGAGCCTGTAGCTGATAGTGATGACGACGAAGAAACTCCTGCGAAGGCAGCCAAAGATGAAGGCACCGACGACGAGACGGAAACCGAAGAGCCAGCTGCTGAGACTGAAGATGCGGCTGAAGAAGCTGAAGACGAGGCCGAGGGCAAGGGCTCAGGTGCTCTTGGAGGCGTGAAGTCTGCCGCTGGCGGTGCCACTGGTGGCGCCAAGAAGCTTGCAAGTCGAGCTGGAGGCGCCAAAGACACAGCCACTGGTGCTGCTGGTAAAGCCTCTAAAGGCGATGTCTCGGGTGCCGCTCAAGACACTGCCGAAGATACACAGGAGGGTGCTCAAGACACTGCTGGCGATGTCAAAGACACTGCAGAAGACACCGCAGAGGGCGCGAAGGAGACCGCAGAAGGTGCAGCTGAAGATGTCCCCAAAGACACAGACGACGTACCTGATGCGGAGGACGCCACAAACGGAGTCAAGGATACCGCCAAGGATGCCAAAGACACAGCTGAGGACACCGCCGAAGACGCTAAAGATACCGCCGAAGATGCGACTGACGACGTCAAGGACACTGCTGAAAAGGCAACCAATGGCGTCAAAGACACCGCCGAGGACGCCGCTGACGGCGCTAAAGACACCGCAGAAGACGCAACCGATGGTGTCAAAGATACTGCTGAAGATACCGCCGAAGGTGCCAAGGACACTGCAGAAGATGCAACCGATGAAGTCAAAGACACCGCAGAAGACACGACAGGCCAAGAGCTGCCTGACCTTTCCTCTTTGAAAGGTCTCAAGGTTAGCGAGAACGGTGACATTCTCGACAAAGAAGGTAATGCCATCGGCAAGCTCGAGGAAGGCGACCCAGCCGACCTGGAAGGCTACGAAATCGGTGACGATGGCGAGATCCTTGATGAGGATGGCGACGTCGTTGGCCGAGCCAACATCATTGCAGACAAAGCACAAGATGTCGGTGACCAGGCCAAGGACACTGCCGACGACGCTGTTGAAGACGCAGAAGGTGCGGCCGACGATGTCAAGGACACTGCCGAAGACGCTGTTGAGACATACCTCCCTGATCTCGATGTCCTAGAGGGTCTAGAGGTCCAAGAGGATGGACAGATCCTAGACAAAGAAGGCAATGCCCTCGGCAAAATCACCGAGGGTGACCCAGCTGACTTGGTTGGTATGGCGCTCAATGCTGAAGGCGAAGTTCTCGACGAGGATGGAGATGTCGTTGGCCGCGCTGAGACACTCCCACAAGAAGTCAAGCAAGAAGCCGAAGATGCCGCCGGTGAGCTTCCTGGACTCGATGCTCTCGAAGGTCTAGAGGTTCAGGACGACGGTGCCATCAAAGATGCCTCTGGAAACACTCTGGGGAAAATCACTGAAGGTGATCCCGCCGACCTTGTTGGCAGAACACTCAATGCTGAAGGCGAAGTGCTCGATGAAGACGGTGACGTCATTGGTCGGGCCGAGATCGTGCCTGAAGCTGCAGGTGCTGTCGAAGGTGCAGCTGGAGACGCAGCTGATGATGCCACTCCCGATATTGTTCAACAAGCCACTGACAAGGTCGAAGAAATTGCCGACCAGTTGAAGCCCAACTTGACAATCGTCGAGGGACGCAAGCTGAACAAGAAGGGCAACATCATCGACGATGAAGGCGAGATTCTAGCTAAGCTGGTCGAAGGCGATCCAAAAGAATGTGCGGGTAAAATCCCCAACGAAAATGGAGAAATCCTCGACAAAGATGGCAACGTCATCGGTAAAGTCGAAGTCGTTGAGGGAGAAGCTGCCGATGAAGCCATGAAGGAGCTCAATCCCGAATTGGTTGAACAACTCGAACAAGCACAAGAAGCCGTCGAAGACGCTGAGAAGCAAGCAGCAGAGGAAGCCGAGAAGGCTGGTGACGCTGCCGATGTCGCTGAAGATGCCGCTGAGACCGCCGAAGGTGCTGCCGAGGAAGCCAAGGATGCAGCTGATCAAGCTGGAAAACCTCTGTTCGAGCAACTCGAAGGCCTCAAGGTCAACAAGAAGGGCGAGGTCGTCAATGAAGATGGTGATGCCATTGCCAAGCTCTCTGAAGGGTACAACCTTGAGGACGTGCGAGGCAAGAAAATCAATGAGAAGGGAGAAATCCTGGACAAAGACGGCAATGTCATCGGCAAAGTCGAGTTCCTTCCCGAGGCTGTTGAGGAAGGTCTTGTCGAGGTTGAAGAGGCTGCACCCGAAGGTCCAGACTTCTCTGCCCTTGAAGGACTGAAGGTCAACAAGAAGGGTCTCGTATTGGACGAAGAAGGAGACGAGATCGGTCGTCTCGTTGAAGGCGAGCTCTCTGCCGTCGCTGGCAAGAAAATCAACGACAAAGGTGAAATTCTGGACAAGGATGGAAATGTCATCGGCAAAGTCGAACTGTCACAACAGCAAGGAGAAGAAGAAGGCGAAGATGATGCCGAAGGAGCTGAGGAGGAAGCTGATGATGGTCTACCACCTCTCAGTATCCTTGAAGGCCTCAAAGTCAATAAGTCTGGCAAGATCCTCGACTCTAATGGAAACATCGTCGGCGACCTCGTCGAAGGCGATGCCAAGAAGATCTGGAAGTCGGGTGCCTCCGCCGATGACCAAGGTCAATTCTGGGACAGCAAAGGACATGTCATCGGTAAAGCCAAGACCCTCCCTCAAGAGGACAAAGAGGATGAAGCCCAATTTGCTGGCCTCGAAGGTCTCACAGTCGTCGCTGACGGTTGGGTTGAGGATGAGAGCGGCAATCGCGTTGGCAAAATTGTGGAAGGCGATGCTAAAAAACTTGTCGGGCGCTCTGTTGATGAAGACGGTGATGTCATTGACAAGAAGGGCAATGTTGTCGGCCATGCCGAGCGATATGAAGAGCCCGACGCCGAGCCTGAAGCTGAACCTGAGGAGGTTGACCTTTCTGAGCTCAAGGGTTTGAAGGTAAACAAGCAAGGCAACGTCATCGGACCTGATGGTGTGCCTATCGGTCGCCTTGTTGAAGGAAATGCCAAAGAACTTGCCGGCCGACCTGTTGATGGTCAAGGTCAAGTCTGGAATGACAAGGGTGAAGTTGTTGGCCGTGTTGAGCTCATCCCTGCCGGCGAACGGGAGTCCAAAGCCGAGGGACCTTTTGCCGGTCTAGAAGGTGTTGTTGTCGTCAAAGAAGGTCTTGTCGAAGACCATGAAGGCAACGTCGTCGGTAAAGTGGTCGAAGGTGAGTGGAAGAAACTCATCGGACGTGCTGTTGACGAGGATGGTGATATCATCGACAAGTACGGCAACGTCAAAGGTCACGCCGAGCCGTACGAGATTCCGGAAGAGGAAGTTGTTGAGGCAGATCTCTCCAGCCTTGCTGGCAAGACCGTCAACAAGCAAGGCAAGGTTGTCGATGAGCACGGAACCATCTTCGGTGAAGTCGCTGAAGGCGAGCTGAAGCATCTTGTCGGAAAGAAGGTGGACGGCAAGGGAAACATCTGGAGCAGTGACGGTAAGGTCATTGGCAAGGCTCGTCTCATCGAAGGTGGTGACGATGGCCGTGCTGAAGGACCATTCTCCAACTTTGAGTCTACCACTGTGACCAAGGATGGCCTAGTAACAGATGCCCACGATCAGGTTGTTGGTCGCGTTGTTGAAGGTGATGTGAAGAAACTTGTTGGCCGTAAGGTTGACGATGATGGCGATATCACAGACAAGAATGGAAACGTCATCGGCAAGGCTGAACGGTACGAGCCAGAAGAGAAAGAGCGTGAGGTTTCACCAATGGCTGGACTCCGCATCAACAAGGAAGGAGAGGTCCGTGACAAGAACGGTGATGTTATTGGTAAACTTACCGATGGAAATCTCCTGGCTTGCATTGGAAAGGAAATCAACGATAACGGCTATGTTGTCGACCAAGATGGCAACAAGATCGGTGAATGCACGCTGCTTGAGAACATCCCAGACGAGGAAGAAGTCGAGGAGGCTCCTACCGATGAAGAGCTGAAGAAGGAGGAAGAGAGAGAAATCGCCAAGAAGATTGGTAACATCATCAACCAGACTATCGAGAAGATGGAGCCAATCTGCAAGCAGATCACAGAGGTAAGATCCTACATCCTTCCACATGCATCATGTCCTTGGTGACTAACTATTTCACAGCACATTGAGAAAGCCGACCGCACACCGCGCGAGGAACTCGACGAAGAAAAGCTCGTCAACGATGTCAAGCCTCTGATCGAAGAAGGTGGCCGCATCCTAGGCGAATGCAACGGTGCAATCCGCGGCCTGGACCCCGATGGACACATCGCTGCACAGGCCAAAGCGCGTGCTGCGTCTGGCGAGGCCTCACCAGAAGAGCACCGCGTGGCCGAAGGTCTCAAGGAGCTCACCACCAGTGTTGTCAAGACCATCGACAACGCGAAGAAGCGCCTGGCTGATATGCCTCACGCCAAGAAGAAGTTGAACCCACTCTGGGGCTTGCTCACAGAACCGCTGTTCCAGATCATCGCCGCCGTCGGGCTGTTGCTCGCGGGTGTTCTCGGTCTAGTGGGCAAATTGCTCAACGGCCTTGGACTTGGTGGACTCGTGAACGGGATTCTTGGGGGTCTTGGTGTTGACAAGCTGCTCGGGGGTCTTGGGCTCGGAAGCATCGCGGAGAGTCTCGGCTTGGGTGGAGGGAAGAAGAAGAAATGAAGAATTAATACTTCGTGAGCCTCTTGCTCGAAATTTCGGAGCTCAGGACATGAAGAATAAGTATGGAGATGGTGCGGAATTATTCCTGTGTGATCTGGAACGGGCGTTGAGGAAAGGGACAGAGGGCTTGCGTGGGGAGGAAGAATCTATTGTCGGTGATGGAGATGGGGATGTGGACGACGATCAAAAACTTACTCATGAAGACGAAAATGACGACCAAGACCAGGCTCGCACAGAACGTAATCTCAAACTCTCACGAACCATCTCGCCAACCTTTGTCGTCGCCTATCAACCTCAACTGACACAACCTGTCTGGGACACGGTGGAAAAGGATGGACACCTCGAACTGTTGCCCCCGGAGATCACGATTGATGTCAGGCGAGGTGGCGACGCTGTCGACGTTGGCGATGCATGGTTCATCACTGTATACTACTACATCTCCTTGTCGTTGTTGGGAATTTTGGTGCTGGCTTACTCTCTGGTTTTCACGTCAATCAGTCTTAATAGCATTTCTTAGGCAGTGTTTGATAGCTTTTGCGGGAAAATTCGTCGGAGCTTCGGTATATTCCATAGCTTATTCCATAGTGATCATGAAGAAAAGTTTCATACTCGTCACTTTTTCACATGTTCGTCACGCGACTCATCCCCTTCGTTTTCTTTAGGCTGCTAATTCGCCTATGGGTTTGAAACGCCATCGATAGTATTGGAAGGTATATTGATCAAAGCTTTGCTGATGGTCTCAGCAAGCCACTGGCAGAATCGAGCACCTTGATTGCTCCGTCCATCATCTCCTTCACGATCTCGGCGGCACTCTGGTTTGGTGTATTCACTAATCCGGATACTTGTCCCATGGGCCTAAAGTTAAATGATTTAGCAAGCAAAGAATAACAAAAAAGCGTGATTAAAGAGTCGAATCGCCTTACCTCAAAGTCGACTGGTCCTCGATTTCCTCAGTCAATCCATTCTCTTTCTCTAGCTTCTCAAACTCATGGTAGAGAGGGATGATGCCTTGTGAAGTCAGGTCTTTGATCTCTTGTGCTCGTTCCGTTTCCCAGTGTCGAACATATGGGGTTGCTAGGGCTCTTAACGGTCGACCAGTCCAGATGGTGGATTTGACAGTAGAGTCGAAGTCGGCCTTGATAATGCTATGCGTAGTACAGCTTGAGTTAGGTATCCCTTATGAAGAGTTAGGAATAATGCTTACGCTTGCTTTGCAACCTCTGGCGCTCCGGATTCCTTTGCTGTGACGAATCGAGTGCCAACCCAGACGGCGCCAGCCCCTAGCATGAGAGCGGCCGCAATACCACGACCATCATAGATCCCGCCTGCAGCTACGACTTGGACAGGCTTGCCGGTTAGTGGAGAGGTGTACTTCTTGCAAATATCCGCAACAGCTGGGATTAGTACACTATAATGGTCAGCATATTCCTGCGTGGAAAATAAAGGGGTCATTGCACGGATAGCTCACCTAGTAGCTGTGTCTCCAGTATGCCCTCCAGCTTCTCCACCCTGCGCACAAATGAGATCTGCTCCTGCCTGGCAAGCCTTGTGAGCATGCTTTGGATGACCAATCATGTTCATATATAAGATGCCGTGTTTGTGAAGTTTTTCGATAATGTATTTGGGTGCAACGCCAACCGCCGAGACGAAAACTTTGGCCTTTTCAGCGATGATGATATCGACTAGCTCATCCAGTGTGCCTTTCGTGTAGTCAAGCTGTTACTTTGATGAGTATTTCCATTTACTTGACGGAGGCCAATTTCGAGTGACTTACATTGGTTTTGCGAGCGCTTCCCCCAACTTGTGGGATGAGCAAGTCGACGCCGAACGGCAATGCGGGGTCTCTGAGGCTTTCCTTCGAGACGATGGTTGTTAGAATAACCTTCAGGACGTCTTGCGAACAATGTGTGGTCTCGATGCTCCGTCCCACGACGTTTGCTTACCTTCAATTCTTGTATCATGTCCCGAAGCATTTTGGGGGTATATCCCACCCCACCGATTACGCCGAGTCCACCTGGAAAGTATAAGTACAAGATCAGAGACGAATTCTTAGTTTATGATCATACCAGCGTTCGAGACAGCAGCAGCCAAGGGTGCCCCCGATGTCTGACCCATGCCCGCCAGCAGGATGGGGTGTTGGATGCCCAACAATTGTGTGACAGATGTTGTGATGGACATTTTGTGAGGAGGATCTTTTCCTTCACAGATGAAGAGAATGAGTATAAGGGGCTTGTCGTTGATCTCTTATGTAAAGGTCTGCGGCAGTCGGTGTATAAAAAGCAGGCGGTCTTGCCCCTGGTCATACGACAGTGTCAGAGCGTGGGCTACTTGTCGAGCTGTAAGCACTTGCCGTTAATGGACAGGTGCTTTCTTCAAAGCCAAGGAGCAACAACGACTGACGTTTGCAAAATGCAAAAGAGGAAGTTGCGCATCCCATGAATGTATTATCATGTTTCATTCCTAGGAATCTCCTCCTGTCTTGGATTGGAGATGCTTATGGCTGACTTTGGAGGAGCCGAGCAAGAGGAGTTACTACTCTAGCTACCGAGGTTCGTCTCGGGTGGGGTGATGTCCTTCTGGTTCCGCTGCTCTAACTACGATCGTGCTGTTCAGGGCTGGCGTCAGACAATCCTTTATGATCCTTTTGGGTAGAGGCTGATTCTCCTCTTCTTTGTCGACTTGAGCTGCGTGGTATGCTTATGCTGTCTTGGTTGAGAAACGTGGCGTATGTACTCAGATAGGCTGCACTATTGAAAATGCAGCATCCTTTATCTTGATTCTTGCGGAGCAACATATTAGGGTTCCATCATAAGGTGTCCGCAGGCAGTCTAAAATAGGAAGCCCAGTAAACTCCATCTTTTAACGAGGGCCCTACCTCGTATCTCATGTGCCCGGCCAAACAGCTGCAGCGTGCTTAAGATGGCAGCCTAGAGAATGACATGCCGCTTTAGACGAATCCTGAACACCCTGCCTCAGACAGAGTGGCTCTCGCAGTTCCCTTAAGTTCTAATACACTCATCTCCCACCAGCCTTGATCAGCATGAGTAACCACGTTCGATTGGCCTGTGACAGATGCAGAGCCTCTAAGCTCCGCTGTCCGCGACATGAGGTTTCGGAGCGCAACGCCTGCGACCGCTGTATCCGTGCTGGCACTTCGTGCATCACTAGCAGTGCGCGCCCTCTGGGACGGCCTCGTACGAAACAGCCAATTCGTGGAACGAGCGCGTCCGTAGCTCGAGACCGGGTGGTGTCATCGAATAATACCACGAGCTTCCAGGAACTCTCAACCAGCATCAATTCCGCTACATATGATTTGGGTGGGAATGTCATAAATACCTCACCCGAACTCCCAAACCTCCCAACTTGGCTTGACACGGGCTCTGATTCTGGCCTCAATGTCTTGAATCCGATCAATGGCGACTTCATCAACTACCAGGAACCATCATTAGGTGGCATATTTTCCCCAAGACTGTATACGCCCTACGAAAACACGAATGTGGATCCTGCATTGATGCCCATTAGGAGTGAAAACACCTCTCCGCCACGAACTCCTCAAACCGATGCGATAATCAAATTGTCGCACCTTGGTGCAAGTATTGCCATGCACAAGGCCGAGGCCGAAGCCTATCCATTATGCATTCCGCCCGGTCCTAATCAGCGCCTCTGTGCCGAGACGTCGGACGAGATAGAGAACATCCCCGTGGTTCGGGCACTTCAGATTGCCTCCGAATTCAGTACCATTCTCGAGTGGCTGGCATCAAACCTAGTGTGCTCGTCCTCATCTACCTCAGCAACATCTTCTCCTCCTTCCGAGAAGAGCTATTCGAGTTCCTCGCCAAGTGAGGTGGCATCATCAGCCCAGAATGTCGCCCATCCTTACACCAAACCTATCTTACTCCTAATCCTGTCGAATTACATCCAGATGATCGAACTCTATAATTATATCCTCGGTCGTGTATGTGAGGTGATAGGACAAATTCGAGACACTTCTGACTTCTTCGAGATATCTACCAAGTTTCGTGTCAATGGAATTCCACCAATGAAACCTCAAACGTACGTAAGTTTCATCTTACAGGCCACCGCTGAGGACTTGCAAAGTGTCGAGCGTCTCATGGGCCTACCAGAAGAGCTTCGCATCTCACAGCACCATATCTCTCGCAAAGGGATTTTCAGTGACGTGAAGTCGCGCTCTCTTCTGCGACTCGTGCTTGGTGAGGCTGATTCGGAATGTGGGAAAGACTCAGCGACTTCAGCCGTCACTTTCCTCAGAGAAACATTGCATACCTTGGACACGGAGCTTCGTCGCGTACGATAGCGTCTTGGTCGTATCATTATCACCATGCCGCTGATCATACTTGACCATACAAGCAGTTACAACGTGGTCCTATCCGTTTTGCTAACGATCCAAGCAACTATTGCGAAAATCACGATGGGCTGGGTGTACTTTACGATTCTGTGGGCCATCAGCATTCCAAATGATGAGTGGATACACACAGACGGACGAGTCAGATATTCCATCACCTAAGTAGCAAAAAAGGTATGCGGAACATTCAAAGAACGCGCAAATGTTCGGGGATTAAATGCTGCTCCAATTAGTCGTCACTTTCGGAGGCTTTCATTGGCTGCATCATTTTTCGGATACCTTATTTCGGAAATTTTGACAGGCTGCCTCCTTTGGGAAGCATTCATTCGGAGGCTTTCGAGGGCAACATGACCTATTAAACTTTGGAGGCCCAGTATCTCACCTGCAATAATTCATTTTCTTTCAGCGAAGCTCAAGCCTTGATGGTCAGAAATGGGAACTGGAGACAAGAAAGTCACTATGCGTGCCTGGGCTTATACCAGTCGCGGTGCCCCAGGAGCGGTCCTCAAATTACGTACCGACTTACCCAGACCAACACCCGCCGAACTTCACGCCGACGAGGTTATAGTCAAGGTCTCATACGTGGCCCTTGATCAAGGCCAGAGTGTTATCATACGAGTTTTTCCTCACTTCAACTCAAAGCCATGGTATCCCGGACTCGATTTCTCCGGCATTGTCGAAGCCGTAGGCTCCAACGTCACTCATGTCCAACCCGGCGACCCAGTATTTGGCAGTCCAGACCCGAAAGTTCTTTTAAAGTGGGGTCACAAGTACAACGGAATGCTTGTCGAGCACGCCTTCCTGCCAGCAGCTCAGGTTGTGCGCAAACCTCCTAACATTTCCTTGGCGTCCGCTTCGACGCTAGCAACGAATGGTTGTACGGCCTTCCAGTTCATTGATCTGGTGAACATGAAGCAAGGCGATCGCGTGCTGATTACCGGTGCATCTGGGGGTCTCGGGACATTGATGGTGCAGGTTGTACGATCAGTCGTGGGGAAAGAAGGCACGATCATTGGCACGTGTTCTGCGCCCAACGAAGAGTTGGTGAAGAAATTGGGCGCAGATGAAGTAGGGAGACCTCACTGAAAACGCTGCAGCCAGCAGCATCCGCCGCCTAACTGATCTTGATCGCTAACTGAAATCATTTCTGCCGATAGGTAATTGATTATAGAGCTCATCCGGTATTGAACGAGTACCTGACATCAAAATATTCTACGAACCCGTTTGATTCAATCATTGATATTGCTGGCGCCGATGACCAACTCTACGATAAGAGCCCTGCGTATCTGAAGCCCGATGGGGCTTATCTAATCGGTGGCAAAATGAGCATCACTCACGGTAGCGGCGGCTTCCTTCAGATCTTATCATGGGCTCTCAGATTCTACAGCAAAGCGTTCTTGCCGCGCTTTCTAGGTGGTACTCCTCGGAAAGGATTCTTTCACTCCGCAAACGTCATCCCCGAAGATATTGTGAGAACGGCGGCATTGGTGGAAGCTGGACAGCTTACAGGAACGATCGACACGGAATATGCCATGGAGGACGCTCTTAAGGTGAGATTCCCACTCTCAAGATAGTCAGATGGGATGTTGCTAACCAGTGATGGCAACCTAGGCATTTGAAGGTACAGCGAGAGGTCGAGCAAGAGGCAAATTCATTGTCAATGTGCAAAATCATTCGGATTGAGCTTTGAATAGTTCCGTGTCAATATCAGCATGACACTGGCAGTCGAATCTAATATACCCTTGCACTACGACTCATTAGAAGGCTCTCTCTACAAGGTTATTCGTCCAGCTCCTTGTATTCATGCTTAGACTAGAATAGTCCTACTGCCAAGCCTCAATGTCCTCAGCCTGGAGGTGTATTTCGAGTTTGATTTTGGATGGCAAGTCCCGCAACCTTCAACTCACCTATATGTCAAACGGAGAAATGTACCTAGATTTCACTACAATATAGATGCACAGTATATTGCTATGAAAATTTTGTGAGGGAGCGCTGACTTCGATGTGGTCATTCGGCACCCCTCGAACGGAAGATACGGGGCTCTTCGGTCTGAAACACCCCTATCGGGAACCGAGTGTTTCAGAAACCAAGATGGATTGATGACCTTCCACAATTGTTTTTCTAGCATCTACCGCCTGTCCTTATACTAGAATATAGAATCGGCGATTTAGAGTTTTTGTCTTAAACATCTTTCGAAAATGAAGCTCGATTCAATCTCATTTGGCGTTCTATCCTTGTTCGCTACGTTGGTCGCGGCGAGCATCCCTTTGGCGGAGGACAAATCGACAAACACACCAAGCCAGGCAATTCTCGAGCCTGAAGGTCACAGTACTAGCGACTCAGCATCAACTGAGAGTGAGCAGACACTCGTCTCGTATTTTCCATGGACGCACAACCCCGTCTGCGGAACACAACACGACGAATTCGGCCATCCATTCTGCGTTTACACAAATGCGTCGTTCAGCAACGGGAGAGGAATATCCATTCTGACCACGTCTGCCGTGGCCGAGAAATTCGCAGCTCTCCCACCATTCCAGAATTCGACTGCGCTCTCCTCTCATGGCATCAACACCGTCGACACAGAGACGAAAGACAGGCCGTGGTACACGGCTTCCATCCCGGGAAAAGGGGTGGGCATGCGTGCATCTCGGCCACTTCAGCGTGGCGACTTGATCACGGCGTACACTCCAGTCGTGCTTGCGCACATAGGAGATCAGATGTTTACCGAAGAACGGGAGAAGTTGCTGCGGTTGGCTGTTGAGCAGCTCCCGGCGGCAAGCAGAGATGCGTATCTGGACCTGGCGAAGATTTACGACGAGGCCGATGTTGTGGCTCAGGACGTGCTCAAGGCCAATGGCTTTGACATGGAGATTGGTGGCTTGAAGCACGGTGCGGTGTTTCCAGAAGCTTCACGTTATAACCATGCGTGTGCGCCGAAGTATGTACCTACCCTCTTCCCCACTCGTCCTTGACGGCTAGCATCATATCATTTAAGATTTATAGACTAACGGACGGACGTGTTGTAGCGCACAGTACTTCTTCGCTGCCGACTTACTAACACACTATGTGCACGCCGTGCGACCCATCGAGAAGGACGAGGAAATCACCATCTCGTACGCACCACCCCTCCGCTTGCACGCCGAACGACAGGAATACTTCCAATCGGTATTCCACTTCACGTGCACGTGTCCACGCTGCTCGCCAGAGACACACAACCACGACCGCACCGTCGCAGACGCAGATCAGGCAACGCAAAGCATCGCCGCTTTGCAGTGGGAGCTTTCGCAGTGGACGCCGGACTCGATGGCGAGCGTCAAGAAGGCCGAGGCGCTCTTGAAGTTGTATGAAGCCGAGGGTTTGGAGGGCTTCATGGATCTCGCGTACGGACATGCCGCTCTCACGTATAATGGTGTGGGCAGCATGAGGGGAGCGAAGAAATACGCCGATCTGGCAGTCGAGGCGACGTGGTTGAAATATGGGTTTGATGACAAGGGGAGGAAGAAGGTCGAAGAGTGGCAGGAATTTGCCAATGATCCGAAGGGCCATGCTACATGGAGAGCGAGGAAGACGTACTAGCGCCATGGGAATAGTGATTTTGTCATATCATATTACGAGGAGACCTGTTGAATAACCAGTAAACCTTGACAGCCAACTCATCATGTTCAAGGCGAGCGTAGAGCATTTTCCGAAGCCCTTGCTTTATATGAAGCTTATCCAATACAGCCAACTAGCTGACTATAATCTAGCCTGGGGTTGGGCATTAGCACTTCCCAAGCCCAACTCCTTGATAAAGATATCGGCCGCCTTCTCTCCGACCAAGAATGCTGTATTCCCGGTGTTGGCACCGACATTCTCAGGTGGCACACTCAAATCCGCCAACTTAAGGCCCCTGACACCATAAACATTCAGATTCCCGTCCACGACACCATTCTTCTCCCTGGGCGCCATCTTACACGTACCCAAGGAATGCCACGTCGTGGATAAAATCTCACGGACCTTGCGGTCGATCGCCTTGTCGTCTTCAGCGGAATATTCAATGCGAGAATCATCGTCCATCACGACAGGACCATCTGCCTTCTCGATCACAGCGGCTTTCGACCCGGAGGGAAAGGAAGGGTGGTTGGGCGCCAGCTCACCGCGGAAGATGGGCATGCGGCGCCACATCTCGCGGGACACCTTGTATGCCCAGATGTGTTTCTTGACGTCCACGTCGCCAGGGTCTGTCAGCCAGCCGGTATCGAAGTCGACGGGGTCGGACATTGCAGGTCCGGTGATGTGGATGTGCCCTCGTGAGTATGGGTACGCGGTCCAGTTTGCCATTGACACGTATTCGGCATCGTCCGGGAGGATGGAATGGTCGCCATAGTAGCTTTTGTTTTATTAGTGCCGCGTTTGGAAAGTTGAGGGGAGAGATATTAATTTCATCAGCTTCAACAAGCGGGGTACTCACCAGCAGTACAGTGCAAGAATCATGAGGGGACGGTCTGGTGCGTCTTTGAAATCTCGATCCCAAGCTTTCTTGAATTCAGGTCCCAGAGCCTCGACTTCGGCCTCGGTGGGTCGGAACTTGCCTTGGGCGTCCATCGCGTTCGTGCCAAGAAGTTCATCGGTGTTTTTGATGGCCTCATCCAGGTTGAAACGACCGTCTTGGAAACCATTGATGGTCTCACGGGGCGTCAGATTGGTCCGGTATGACCACAAGGACAGGTGGTGGTCTTGATAGTCGTTTCCGACGCCCGGCAGATCTTCGACAACTTGGACGCCCGCGGCTTGTAGGACCTTGGAGTCGCCCACTCCGGAGCGTTCCAGAATGCCCGGTGTGGCGTTGGCGCCTGCCGAGAGGATCACCAGTTTGCGAGCCTTGATCGTACGTCGCGCCGTATATGCTGTGGCCAGGAACTCCGGATTGGCGAGGTATTTGGGGTTAGTCTGATATTCAACACCGACGGCGCGCTTGTCGTCGTCGAAGAGTACTTTCAACACTTGCTTCTCGACGAGTACATGGAGATTTGGATAGTCTCCGCTCTGAAGCTTGGGATGAAGGTATCTATGGGCCGCATCTTGACGGCGACCAGCTGGATTGACGTAGCGATAATATCTTTCGATGGCATTGTTGGCATCCAGGTTTTGCAGATCCTGCACCTCTGGGTATCCGAGTTTCTTGGCAGCTTCAACGAAGGCGTCTTCTGCACGGTGACAGACATGGGTGCCTTTGGAGACATTGACAGGTCCATCGAAACCATGGCGGTCTTTGTTACCTTTGCCATGGTAAGTCTCGAGCTATGCTGGAATTAGTTGCAGACTAACATGCCAGCCTGTGCATGTTGTACGAACCTTGTTCAGAAACGGGAGCAACTCGTCAGCAGACCACCCAGGAGTCTTCCATGAATCAAAGTCAGATCGTTGTCCACGAGTATAAACCATCCAGTTCATAGCAGATCCTCCGCCCAAGGTTCCACCACTGGGAACGATCGGGCTCCTATTCGCGAGCTGAGGCGATTTCTTCGTCGGCCAGAAGAGTGTGATCTTGCTGCTAGGAAACAGGTTTCGTGGATAAAGTGCTGGGTGTACAACCTCGGGCATGCCATAGTTGTTGGGACCTTGCTCAATGACGAGGATTCTAAGGTTGCGGTCGGCTTCGGCGAGACGGGAAGCGACTACACATCCTGCGAGACCACCTAACGACAGTTTATCAGCATCGGTATCTTAGTGCTTCTCGTATGATTTATTACCTCCAGCAATCTAGTAGGCTTTATTAGTAAGTGGAGATCTCTTTGAACGACCTTTTTGTCAAAGGTAGATTTTATTGGACACTCACAATCACATCCACCTCCTTGATATCCGCTGGTAGCTTCGTGTGTAGAGGCATTATCGATTTCAGTCTTGTGGATCCTTCGAATTTGCTCCTGATCCTAACAAGAAAGAAAGCTGAGCATTCTGGGCTGAGCAGGACGCAAATATATCACCATGAGAACTCAAGACCGAATCTAATGACGAAACAGTTTGGAGTAATCCCCCTCATTTTCGCTTGTGCCGAAGTCTTGATGTTGAGGGACTGTCACATCTCCATAGTCCCCATACTAGCAGTATTGCACAAGATCGACTTGCGGGGGAGGATTGTTGATACCTCGGGCTATCTCCGTGTCAACAATATCTCAATTGATCCGGTGTGAGACATCCCCATAGCCGAGCCGTTCATGGGAGCGTGTGCTGGCACTCCGCTTGATCTTCCTGGGGGCTCGAGAAGCTCGATATCACGAAGCCGTACTCAAGCAGGGCTTTGCACTTCTTCAGCAACCACCGTTAACAGTACTTCGGATATTGATTCCGGTGATGACGCGTGACTTTAGCGAGAGGCGTATATATATGCTTGGATCCTATCGAAGTCTCGACCCCGCAATCGAACAAAGGCAGAGTGGCTAGAATGCTCTTGGAGGCGCAAAGTTGACTGGGGAGGTCGGGTTTTCCAAGGCTCTGTCAGAGTCCACTGCTTTCAGACTCCTCCTACTAGCCATTTATTGACTAGCGTGTCGTTCTCACTGGACAAGAGGTGGATTTTTGGAGGATTTGTTGGGGTTTCCAGAGCTACGGGGAATTTTGCTCCATCATGGATGAATAACTAGATGGAAACGGTATTTGATAGGCGGAGTGTCCACGAACTTGAACGTCATATCACGATTGGATCAAGGACTTACTGATGGTTCTATAACGGCAACGGTCAAAAGGATCTGGTCTGCCTCGAACCTGTTCGTAGACGCGTAGCGCAATGATGTCAGACTATGCCAGCATGCTCATCTCCCGCGCTGCGGAGAATGCCAGGTAGGAATGCTGGCCTGGCCTTGCTGAATCTGTATGAATTCGTCTCACCTTGAATGTAAGCCCAATGGGTTTAGGATTGGCTTTGGGGTGCATGAGTTCGTGTCTCGCAAGCCATATCGCATGTCGGTGAGCACAGGTCAAAATATGGACATATCCGAAACTTTCCCACACAAACTTCCAACTGCCGCTAGATCATGTGGGGTTAGGATCAACCGACGTGGCGTTCTTTTCTCCGAGATATATCAGCAATGCAAGCAGTTCACAGATTGATTTATGAAAATTCCTGGAGCGGACGATAGATCTTGTGTTTGACTCACAAGCACCTTAATTTGACAGAATATCATGCGGATGCCGTGACTTGCTGATAGTTGAGAACATGTCTTGTCCATTCTAAGCCTCATGAGGTTAGGTCATCAGTTAGGTGGCGCAGAGTTAGCTCGATTCCGTACACTTGCCTACCTTTAAGCTGCAGCCTGAGTCATAGATCGGCACGCCTTAGCTGCTTTCCAGAGATGTTATGCTAATGTCAAATATAGGTTTGTCCAAAGACCCCGGTTGGGAATTGAGAGCTTCGCCGTGACTTTTGGACTATCTGTCGGGTCGACGAGGTTCATTTCTGAGAAGCAACCGTGGAGATGCAACTTTCGTTTCACTATCTCTGGGAGGATGATCTGGATACGGTTAGTGTAGAAATTGCGACGATCTTACAGTCGACAATGGAATCGTCTCCATTGCGCACACTTCGTTATGGTGCGATTCCGCCAGACGAGTTCTTGTCTTGGTTGACAAAAGGCGTTCGAGCGGACCTTGAAGAGCAAAAAAAGCATCCAAGGATAAGATGGATCGACTCAAAGATTGGGAGCCCAGATGTTGTTCGCTGGGAGGATATCGTCATCAAAGACGATGACTTGGCCTCATTGGTGGTGGCTAATGGCCCGGCGTCAAAATCCAACAACAGCCGTATCGTGGCTCATGCAGCATTCATGTATCATCCCCCAGAGGATGATGCTGCGAGCATCGAAGTAGGGCATCACGGGACCAATGAGAAACCAAATCCTTTGCCGGCATCAGGCAACCGACAACTACAAGAATATTTCAATGCGAAAGTTGAAAAAGCGTTGAAAGAAGAGTTTGCTGGCATGCATTGCTTCGAGGTTAGAGAGCTCAACGTTCTTGGACCTGATTATTTGCGCAAGGGCATAGCGAGTAGACTTCTTGATTGGATTATACCCAAGGCAGATAAGAAGAACATACCGATTGTCCTTGCCGCGACACCTCATGGCTATCCTCTGTATCTCAAACACGGGTTTGTGGAGATCGAAGGCGAGAATAGAATTGTTGAATGCGACATGTCCGAATGGGGCGGGACAGGTATTCACAGACATGTGCTTATGATCCGACACCCAACGCCGATAAACATGGGTGGCCCCGAGCCATGATAGGACCATCTCACATTGTCAACTACACCCGTGCGCTTCGCCAGGATAGCTATGCGAGTGGAAAATCGAGGCACTTATCATGAATGCTGCACAGTGACCAATGAGCTTCGGTTATTGAGGGGTGCTTGGGCAGGTCATCGCGCTTATTGGCCATGGACAATAGAAATGATGAGCTGTGCCATGTTCAGGTTTCTGTGCTGCATTCCGATCCTGCTGTATCCTTGATCTGAGAGATAAGGAGAAGGGCAGCAGAACTCCTACCCTGGGAATAGCCAGTTACCATTGAAGAGGGAATAACCGGCTCCATTAAACTGACATAGATATGAATGGTTCGTTGAGGAGATGTCGTGTGACAAACTCCAATAAATGCTACTGATGCCAAAGCAAACGCTGAGAAGATCGATGAGATGCCAGACGGCGACAGAACAAAGTGACGGAATCAGCTTGTCCATGGCATCAGTCAGCTGATAATGTTCAAGCGCAAGGCTCCCGTGTCGTGTACGTGCATCCCAACATTTTGCGAACTGGCCTTGTGGAATCATGGCGTCATCTATTCTGCACCTACCTGAAGCTCTGCACTGCATGATGCACATGTCGTTGAAATAAGGTAGCGACCAGTCTTCGCATGTGAGAATGGCCGGCGTAGGGGATAGAGGTATGTGTTGACTGAGTTGCAGGACCAATACCGATACTGGATATCCAAAAGGCAAGGACGAAAGGAGAGCCTGGGCAATTCCTTGTGTGCCTTCGTGAATTGCCGTGTAAATGGCGGATACGCTGTGTTGATACGATATACGGAATACGGTGCTCGCCGAGACTTGGAGGCTCAGCGCCCAACAAGTTTCCTGGCTCTACGGCAACCGCCGTGAGGGTGTCACTCGGTTTGCCATGTACCTCGGAGGTTGACAGCCGGGCGATCCCACTATTATCCCCATCGTTTTCTCGCATATACTCGCTCGGTATCAAATGGGTGAGAAATGTGCCTGGAGAAGTCCTTAAGCCTCTGAGAGCAGGCCTCACACCCAGAGTATTTCGATTACATGCCTAACGCCACCCAGAAATGGTCCAGAATGTGCAAGGCAGTGAGCACCACTTCATCCCACCTTAGGGGCGCCCGGGGTGTCGGAGCAGCGAGGGGTGGAATGACCCTGGCGGCCCTTTCGACCCTTGGATTTTGAAGCCCAAGGGTCCGTCTCACTGGCTTCTAGCGGCCTTCTAGCGCAAGGAACCAAGGGAATCCACGAATGAGCGACACGTAATGTGACTTGGCGTGTACTAGCTTACTTTCTCCCCATTGAAACACGTCGCTAGTGACGTTCACTTCCCCAACAAAAAATATCATCTCGAATGCTCCCGAATGAAAAGATCTTCAAACTCTGGCCTGACCGAGAGTAATGAAAATTGCGATTTGCGGGACAAGGTCGGTCTTTTGTCTTTTGACAGTCCAAAGGTGGTCCGATCAGTTGAATAACCACTCAAGTGTCCACAGATCAGGCTTCTGGCCTTGTCTACTCACCGTTCTTCGGTTGGTCTTCGCCCCGTCTCTTTCCCTTTGAATATCACCGCCCTTGTTGCTTCCCCACAACCGACCTCAACATATCTTAAGCCGTGACCAAGCTTGCCCCTTCATATATACCTGATCCTCAGTCGGCTTTCACATTCTCTTCTTAGTCTTCACTCTTTACTCCCAAGCAATCTCTTCCTTCTGGCATTAGTTGTTTCTCATCTCCAACATGCCTTCCCATCAACCCACTGCAGGTCACTTGGCCGTCAAGCCAGAATATCTATCCTCCCAACCCTCGCCCATGGCAAAGCCATCTGAGCCAAACCGGAATTCGAAATATGACCCCAAGAAAATCCACATCACAGAGACACCCATCACCAAGTCGAATTGGTATAAGCATGTCAACTGGCTGAACGTCACTTTCATTGTCGGCATCCCTTTGACTGGCTGTATCCTCGCTCTCTCAAATCCTCTCCAGCTCAAGACTGCCATCTGGGCTGTTGCCTACTACTTCGCCACCGGTTTGGGAATTACAGCTGGTTACCACAGACTTTGGGCACATACTTCATACTCCGCCACCCTGCCCCTTCGGATATTCCTAGCTGCTGTTGGTGGTGGCGCTGTTGAAGGCTCTATTCGATGGTGGTCGCGAGATCACCGAGCCCACCACAGATATACCGACACCGATAAGGACCCCTACTCGGTTCGAAAGGGCTTGCTCTACTCGCATATCGGCTGGATGGTCATGAAGCAAAACCCAAAGAGAATTGGTCGAACCGACATTTCTGACTTGAACGAGGATCCAGTTGTCATCTGGCAACACAAGCACTACATCAAGGTTGTTTTGTTCATGGGATTGATCTTTCCAACTCTCGTGGCCGGTCTTGGCTGGGGTGACTGGATGGGCGGCTTCATCTATGCTGGCATTCTTCGAATCTTCTTCGTCCAACAAGCCACATTCTGTGTTAACTCTTTGGCCCACTGGCTCGGCGATCAACCATTCGATGATCGCAATTCACCTCGCGATCACGTCATCACCGCACTTGTGACCCTGGGTGAGGGATACCATAACTTCCATCATGAGTTCCCCTCCGACTATCGAAATGCCATTGAGTGGCATCAATATGATCCAACCAAATGGTCTATCTGGACCTGGAAGCAACTTGGTCTCGCCTACGACTTGAAGCAATTCCGCAGCAACGAAATCGAAAAGGGTCGTCTCCAACAACTCCAGAAGAAGCTCGATCAGAAGCGTTCCAAGTTGGATTGGGGTGTTCCTCTGGATCAGCTCCCAGTCATGGAATGGGATGACTACGTGGACCAGGCCAAGAACGGACGTGGTTTGGTTGCAATTGCTGGTATCGTTCACGATGTTACCGACTTCATCAAGGATCACCCCGGTGGCAAGGCCATGATCAGCTCTGCTCTCGGCAAGGATGGTACTGCCATGTTCAATGGCGGTGTCTATCTGCACAGCAATGCTGCTCACAACTTGCTTTCAACCATGAGAGTGGGTGTTATTCGTGGTGGCTGCGAGGTTGAGATCTGGAAGCGATCTCAGAACGAGGCCAAGGGTGAGGTACCCAGAGATAGCTCTGGAGAGCGGATTGTGCGTGCTGGTTACCAAGCTACCAAGGTTATCCAGAACGTACCTACAGCTGGTGCCGCTTGAACGTTGCCTATGTTGCTATGAGATCGAAACTTGACAATTCAGCGAATGTACAGTGTTTGGCGTTTGGACGGAAGGGAGACATGAAGAAGCATGATTATTATTCCCTCGAAAAGGGGAACGGGCGGCATGATATCCCAAGCGCATGTTGCTTATGATTTTGGCCACAGCCGGCCGCATGGCTGCACATTAAGAGATAGCGCAATGATAACAAAATATTCAGTATTAACTCATCACTGTTCTCCTATTATGATGTGCACATTGTACGCCACTCTAGCAGCCCCTTGTTTGCAGCCAAGCCCATTGCGCGTCCATCGGCAATAAGGTATAAAATGGTGGGGTATGGAGGAGGGTACACCGCGAGCATTGTGCATGATAACCCACGCCCCCATGGTGCCAATATTATTGCGACCGCGCCGCTTTTCTTACTTAGGATCCTTTATTGATTTGATTGCAAAGAACATCCAAACGCATCCATGACCTTCCAAGGCTGACTCTACCAGGTACCAACAACCACATTTCGCCTTGCCTGGTCGTGTTGCATAACTTCGATTCTTGTTCATGGTCGCGCACGCTGCCTCGCTAGGCTATCCCATTTCAACAATTCTTTTTGCCTGATGATGTCCTTCAGACGTAACTTGACCACCCAAACTCACCATTGCAGTTGTCGTAATTAGCCACAATCCTAGTCACATCATCCCAGATTAGGGTCCGCTTTTGTTGTTTCCCTGCAATCACTGGCCAAATTCACTCACTCTTCTTTTTCTAAAGAATTATTGCGACGGTTTGAAAGTGAGGTGATCCATCATCACGTTAAATTCAAGCCCGAATTTACCCACCATGTCGTCTTTAAGAGACCTTGGAAACGAGCATTTCAAAGCGGGCAAGTATAAGGAGGCTGAACATCTGTATACACAAGCGTAGGTGCCCTCGCGCGTTGTCCTTTGCCAAAATATCTCAGTAGAGAGAGACAGAGAAAGACAAAGCATTGACAACCGGTCAATGATACAGGATCGCAGAACATTCACGCGCAGACCCCAAAGTCTTTTCCAACCGATCGCTCACGCGCATCAAACTCCAAGACTGGGCAAATGCAGAGTCAGACGCAAGAAAAGCCATTGAGCTCTATGGGCCCAAGGGTAAAGCGGCAGCAATGAAATCACACTACTATCTCGCGCAGTCACTCTTACCACAGCGACACACGGCCGAGGCGCTCGTGCAGGCCAAATACGCGTACTCGCTGTGTCTTGAGAGCAGAGACTCAAGCGCCGAATTGATCAGCCAGTTCATTCTCCGGGCCAAGCAGGCGGCGTGGCAGGCCAGGGAGTCAACGCGGCTCAGGGAGATGAATGAGACGTTGGCGCTGGTGGAGGATCTGTTGGAGCAGCAGCTACGAAGGGATCTCGCGGCTGTGGAGGAGAGATTTCGCAGTGGCGAGCTGGGCGAGACGGGAAGGAATGAGGAGCGCGACGAGTTGGAACAGGAGGCGAAGCAACGGAGGGAGAATATTCGCAGAGCGTTTGAAGATCCTGATAAACCGGATACGGCTGAGCGGGTAAGCATTTTGGCCTCCTTTTTCCTTCTTCCCATTCCAAACAGAATAGAGATACGGGGGGGAGACTGACGATTGTTCAAATTTCGACAGGTTGTCCCGGACTGGCTTATCGATCCCATCACGTTCGAAATCATGCACGACCCTGTCATCACCACTACCGGCGTGTCATTCGAGCGTGTCGGCTTGCTCAAGCACATCAAAGCTGCTGGCTGTGATCCTATTACGCGACTTCCACTCTCCATCGACCAGTTGGTACCCAATGTCGGACTAAAGAACGCGGCTTCGGAATTCTTGGATAAGAACGGCTGGGCTGTCGATTGGTGAAGCTGTGTTTTCCTCCTACGCGCGCACAAAGCGAACCTGTTCTTTTTACATTTCCCACAGACTTCTTTCAAAACCTCAGCGTTTCGGCGTGGTTGATTTAGCTACATCAGCGAAGGCGTTATTCGGTCAGATCTCAAACTACGAGAGATGTTTGGTCAAAAGCGACTATATCATACGTTAGGCTCATCTTTGGAGATGATTGCATATACTGCAGCATCTCAAATGCCTGCCATATTCCCGAATGGGAGACCAGGGAAGAGTGCAGCACGTAATAGTACTAGTTACGTTTGTTCTGGCAAAGATTCAAATGAACTGGGGGCGATACAAGACAGGCCTGTGATTGCACCGTTTTTTCCTAGATATGAAGCATTGCCTACATGCTCAACATTACAACTATCAGTGATCGTTGTTCCAGGATCCCAGGTATATGCACTGTTTTATACCATGAGACGCCAACGATGGTGGGGAAATGAAGCCACCCAAAAGCCTGAGGCTGCCCCTCGCCCTCGGCCCACCAAAAACCTTGACATCACCAGCAGTCGCTCCTTTCCGGCCGGCTTATGGTCGTCATTGGGGCAACTGCATCACACGTTCAGGTTTGTTGACACTCTGACCTTGACGCATCCCAACTGTTCTCCAGTTTCTTCATATTCTCCCTTCAAGTTTACAATTTGAACACTACCCCCTAAGATCCAAAGTCACTGATCCTTCCATCGAAAAGGTAAGTGTCGCTCGCAGTAGACTAACTAATGCCCCGCTCCCCAGAGCTCATACTGCCATGTCAAACGAATTCGAACCCTCCCCACCCCAAGTCCCAGCATTCAATGCCCACGATGAACAATTTCTCACATGCAGGGAGCCGCTGAGCCATGGAGTCACCTCATGAACATCAACTGACAGAAACACCCCGCAGTCTTGTAACCTCAATCATCCACGCACGCAAACATGCCTTCCGCCGCATTCACAACTGCCGCAGACGACAGCAAGAAGTTGCTGGCCAAGCCCTCAAATGAAGAGTTATTGGAGGTGAGTGAGATCGAGCGTCATAGGAGCCCCCGATTGTTACTTTGTCATTCTGCCAGAATGCCAGCCACCCGACGCAGTGCTTGGAAGTCGCAGACAAAGAGCAAGAGCAAGTGCATTAAGCAGGAGGGGCACATCGATATCTGCAAGAGGCAGAATTCCTCTCAATACCCAGACTTGAACCCTCTCATAAATGTACCAAGGACACAGCAGACCAGCAAACTGACCATGCAACCTCTGGATTTAGCTCTACTCCCTCTTCAAAATCGCCAATGGCGAGGATATCTCCAAAGCCACCGCCCCTGGCATGTTCGATCTGAAGGTCAGTGCCATCACAGAATTACCCTCCATAAGTTCAGATGCTGATCCCTTGGGCAAACCAGGGTAAAGCCAAGTACAAGGCATGGCAGAAGGAAGTCGATGCCGGTACTTCAGCTTCGTCTGCCGAGACCCGCTACGTCGAACTCGTCGAGAAGCTCAAGAAGCAGTATGGATTTGATGCAAACAAGAAGCCCGAAGCTGTTGGATCGAGCTAGATGACATGAGTAAAGTCTATGAGAGTTCATGCCCGGGTCCGAGGCTTGATATGAGCATACGATGTCAGATGACTGGAATGCAGAACTAATGCTACATACTATCGAGTTGCAATTATACATTTTAAGGCTGCGAGGTTGCAACCTTGTCGAAGACTCCGCCCACATTTATTGCTGTGAGGCCGAATTTGAAGCACACGTAGCGATCGTGACACAGCAGCATCTCCTATGCAGTAAAGCACTTTGACTCCCATACCCCCCGCATCAGGCAAAGTGACGAGGCCACCTCCGCCCATGCCTATCAGGCGATTCATATGTCCCGTGCGGCGACCACGGCAGTTCAGTGCTACCATATCGCGTTAGAGGCAGGTCATAAGGGATGCGAAGTCCAACAACTGCTGTGGTGGGAGTTGTTCCGACCGACGCTGTGACATTTGCTTGAGAAGGCATGTCTTTGCCGAAGACGGGCACCATACGGACGTCATTGGGATGTGGTGTCGACCCATCGTCTCGACCGCCCCCGGCCGGTTGGCTGTCAAATCCCTCACTGAAGAGTCCAGGCCACACGAGCACGCCGATCTCGAAGCTCTGCACCACCACTTCCTTCTCTTTCTCCCGGAAAGCACCCCATGCCTGCGTCGACAGATTGGCGCTGGTTAGGAGCGCCCAGTCGATATCTGGTGTTGGTTGTTGCAACGTTGGGCGCTCACGGTACTGCACGTAAGTCTTGATGTGTGGTGCTGCTTCGTGTCGTTGCGCTCGAAACGCTGGTGAAGGGCCTTCGGTCCACTGTGATAGAGTATTATGTAGAGTGGTGATTTGTTTGAGATGTGCTGCGCTCTGTGCTTTCGTGTGAATTGAACCACCGGCTGCGTAGCCATCAAGTGATGAGGCTACGTTTGAGGGTGTCGGATAGATGATCGAAACCTGGTCTAAGGATAACTTATGGTTGTCGTTGCGCTTGAATAGTGAATTAAAGAATCTGGTGAGCCAGGTGACAGACAAAGTGGCGATGGAGGAGACTTGACAGACGAGGTGAGGCCGTGTGGTCGATGGTGGCGGCTGTTTTATTTCCCTGAGAATCTTACAAAGTCTCGGATATCCCCAAAGGGTATCTTCTTCTTCGAAGTCTTCCTCCTTGGTCCGAGACGGAACCGACGAAACCAAGGCGCCCTTTATACCATTGAAATTGAACAAACCTAGTTGATCTCGAAGTGCCTTCGTCTTAGAGCCGTAAGCCTTCAAATAGGCCATGAAATCATGCTTAAATCTAGAACCCGATCCGTAGGGCCCGACGTTGCCAGAGTCGTCAATATTGGCTCGAGGGAGTAACGGTGATTGCCAGACGGCTTGGGTCATATTTGACCAATCCTTATTTAACATATTTGCTGTGTGGATGATCACTTGTGCCTGATCATCATGTGTGAAAAGCACAAACATCTTGCTGTGATGGGTGCCAAATGGATCAGGTAGGTAAGCTGTGGCTGCCTCAACGTTTGGCCACCGACGACATGCATCCTCGATTCCGATCCGGTTTCCGTCTTCATTCCTCCAAGACCCGTGTACAACCTTGACTTTCACCAGGTCTCGGACATCAGGATCGAAATGAGTCATCATCCAGTCAACGTCGAAGCAAAAGTTGAAAATCCATGCCTCTTTTATCAAGGGATTTCCAAGGACATCGTGAAGGGATATGGTGTCTCTGTTTTGTGATGATGGTAGGTCACGAATCAACATCAGCTTGAAGGGTGAAGCAATGAAGTTGTGAGTCGGTAGATTCGTGGCTTGCGGCTGCAAGATTCCATTTTGAGTGATCTCCATTGTTGTGCCAGACTCGCGGGAGGGTCGAGGTTGTGTAGGTGATTCACTCGCCGTAGAGACATCATCGTCATCCTCGATCTCAACCGCAACGGGATTTGTCTGTGCAGCAACTGGCCGGGGGCTGTCAGTACCTGAACGCGAGACTCTTGGAGGGGAAATCGATCTCATTGTGAGGGAGTCCAAGAACGCAGCTCGATTCTGCCGAATTGATGAAGGGTGTGTTGACATGTCAGGGCTGGTGTCCCCACGGTGGCCGACCTTTTGCCTCTTGGGCGACCTGCTTGCCATGAATATGAACAGGGAGCAATACTCGCTCCAAGTTAAATCACCGTGAGTTGAGAACGCGAGAAACGCAAACAGGATGGGAATGGAATGAAATCAAGATCATTTTCGGGTCAAGTTCATGGTGAAGTTGGGAAGTCACGCTTGGCACAAGCTGAGGGTCGATGTGAAAACATCTCATAACGTCCTTGACAACCCTATCAACCCTTCTTGTTCTGTGGAAAAATCAGCTTGCATTGGAGAGTTCGCTCCTGAGAGCTTCAATCACAAGTTCGATCTATTAGGAGTGTCTATCGGTTATCATCTTTCTATACATTATCATTTGAATCTCCTACACCGGAAACGCATTTCCATATTTGCCCCGGTTGTCAACACTGAAGATCAAAAGTGCCATCGTGTGCCGCACCAAAAGGCCCAGAAAACCACAAGCCGTCTGCATGATCAATAACTCTCTGGTCAATTGATCTTCTCGCATAGGACCCCTCCAGACAAGCCAGAGATTAATGATGGTCAGATTACTAGTAGCAGAGATCCGGTTTGTCTTGGGCTCCACCGTTACCTGGAGCAGGTGTAACTTCTCCAGTGCGAAGAACACAGCTGTGAGAGGCTTACTGGGTGGCTTCTCAGGTGGCCATGGCGTGATGCTGGGTTCAAGTAAACCAGTCCTTGCATTGAATTTCGGAAGTCGATGGCGTGGACAAGGAATTAACTTGAAGAGCTGCGGACAACTGTAGATAAAGTTGATGATTTGAGGGATCAAAAGGAGAAGTAGAGTTTTGCTAAAGTGTGCCATGATAGCTACCACTGCAAAAGTCATACCTGCAACATAGCAAAAGGTGTCGCCGACAAATACTCTGGCTGGGTATCTGTTGTGGATGTAAAGTGCGGTAGATACCGCAAGGAATGGTAGAAGCAAGTATAGTGTCAGGAGATGAGAGTCTGTCGCAGGATGCGGGTTTTTGGCGTATCCATTATTCAAAACCGGGTTGCCGGGGAATGGGACAAGATAAAGTGACGAGTTTATGATCAGAAGTCCTGCAATGACCATTGATTGTCCGACTTCAATTCCATTAATCCCTGCTAGAATGTTGATTGAATTCGGCGCGAAAATGGATAATGCAGACATATAAAGATAATACAAAAAGGACAAATGGATCAGCCTGGCTTGACCAGGCATATAGGGAACCAGAAAATTCGGTACAACAACCGAGGTGACACCGAAATCGACATAGTAGACGATGAGCAGGGGAAGTGATGCGATTGCTGGGATGAAGAATTTTTGTCGCCACCGAAGATCGAGTATATCATCGGCTATCCCCAGAATAGTGGTCACCTGTAAGGTGTTAAGAGCTGATTGATAGGAAGACAGTTTCGAGTGCGGGAAACGGTGTAAGAAGCGACCTGTATCGACTTCGGTGATGGAGAGTACCACATCGCGGTTGCCGCCGCCAGAAGTTGCAGCAACAATATCTTTGTAAAACGCAAAGGGAATAAACGCCATCAATACAAGGATGTAGACCGACGCTGCAACAGCTCCCATACCTTCTGGACTATCAAGATGTCAATATTTTGCATACTAGTTGGACCTGAATAGACATACAGCTCAACCGGTCTCAATTTGCTCATATCTTTTCCCTTGAGACCGGCTTTTGCAAATGCTGGACCTGACCATCGGATGAAGGCAAAAGTCATGGAGAATGCCAATGTCGAAAATGCTATTGATGCCACCAGCGGGGCACCATCACCTTGAAAGGTATTTGAGATGACTGCGACTGAAGCTCCAGCCACGAGTAGAAGTGTCCATCTCTCTGTGTGGGTCAGGCTTGACGCCATGATCTGGGAATTGTAGGTTGAGTAGATGTCACCGAGGTGCCATTCTAGATATTTTTCACGGAGATGGCAGATTTCATGCAAAATCCCCAGATGCTTGCCCCGAGTATGTATTCAAGTTCTCAAAGCCTTTAAATCAGCCACGTTATGTCCGGTTAAGATACGTCGTCGACGGAAGCCAGACTGTCCTCAAGCGACTCGGAAAAGTCTTGGCAGGGGTCGCCGTCGGATTAACAATGTTCCATCTCAAACACAGCCTTCTCGGTTCAACCAATCATCTTCCACTTGATTAGCCTCCTCCAAACACGTCCTTGACATTCGAATAGTACCTCCCTCAACACAGTTTTTAGGAACCGTTTACACCGCCTGCATTGTATTATCCTCAAGCGCAATGTATGGTTAGACATTGGCCAACAGAAACTCTGTCTCAGGAGGAGTTTTGGCGACTAATAACGGGAGCGGTTAAGCATGGTCATGCTCCAGTAACCGTGATCAACAAAATAACACCAGACTGTGGTCGGGATTTCACCAAACGCCACCAGCCTCGCCATGGCTAAAGCTGCAGAATTTACAACTGGTCACTATGATCGAGTGACCGTCTTACACACAAATTTCAATGCCAGCAGGATTCTGACAGGGTCGATCGACCATCGGATCAAAGTCTGGGATCGAGACCCAAAGACCGGGGAGAGAACATTACTCGACACTTTCACGGCCCATGATTCTGATATTCGCGATGTAAGGACCCTCAAAGCGTTTTCGGGCTCGCCTGTTTCCCACTATCTATCATAAAAAGGTTCATGACACAATTACTCCCTTCAACTAACCTCTTCCCCCCAAAACAGGCCAAATTCCTCCACCCGACACTTGGATCATACATCGCCAGCATCGGAAACGACCTGAAATGCCACATCTGGATGGAGGAGCCCAGTCAAGCACCGAATAATGGACACCGTTTCCGCCGTATCGCGACAATCCTCAGCACGCCACGAGTTCCATTCGTGTCGCTGGACCTCAAGACAGTCGACAACGTGTATACATATCTGGCCCTGATCGACCGACAGGGCCTGCTGAGCATCTACGAGCCTAGTAACCCGGACGACCTGAAGGACTGGACACTCATGGACCAGTTCAACGTCTGCGGTGCACATCCACCGAGCAGGGGTGATGAAACGAGTTTCCAAGTCCGGTTTGATCAGAACCCAACGCCGCTGGCATATATCAACTCGGTCAGTGACGATCGGAGTCAGTTGAACCTCGTGGTGAGCGCATTGAACGAGGTCAAGGTATATCGCTCGACCGTACCTTCACAATTTGGTGGTGGTAGTGGCGGCGAAGCCTTCTCAAGCGACGGGGGTTCAAGCCACAGATTAGTGTTCTACGAGGCGGTGAGGCTGCCACGACACCCAGCTCTGGTGCGGGACGTGGCATGGGCGCCGTTCAGCGTCCGCGGGACCGACCGAATCGCAACGGCTTGCAAAGACGGATCGGTCAGGATCTTCGAGCTCGCTGTATCCGAAGGGCAGGGCTCCTCGACGATAGGAACGACAACCAGTGGTTCAGCGGCGGCGACGGGAGCCAGCAACACGGGGGTGTCACCATCCAATGCATCGACGTTCTCCAACGCACCCGCCTCGATGCGCAGCTACTCATACGCATCGCAGCAGCGCCAACAGCCACAGTCATCACTCACATCCGCCATCACGGGCCGCAGCGGTGCCCAACAGCCCTCACAATCCCAGTCGACATACTCGCCCGCAACATCCACCACCAACACCAACACCACGACGAACACCACCTCCAGCAACGCACACTCGACGACCTCTTCATCCGCCAACAACCCACACGCGCCGGGCACGTCCCACCCGCCCTCTCAAGCACCCTACCCGACCGCCTCGTCCACGTCCCGCACATCCTACCCCTTCGCCTTCACCACCACGCTCGCCAGCACCAGCACCCTGCCCCACGCACACCCGGACGCGTGGTCGCTGAGCTTCGACTCGCAAGGCCAGGTCCTCCTGACGAATGGCGCGGATGGCGTCACCAAGATCTGGCGCAAGAGTGTCCTCGGGGGCCAGTGGTTGGTATTTGCCGGCCAGGAGGTCTTGGATGGTGATGATACTGATAGTAGTGATGATGAGGACGATGCGGAGGGATAGGATGCGAGAGTGGGAATCTTAGATGAAACTGCTTCGAGATCAGGGGTTAGTGTCGATGGCTAAGTCGTTCGCAAGTGGCTAGACCGGTATGTGTGCTTGTGTCTGGAGAGTCACCACGTGGGATTCTATCTATGTCATGGTTACGGGTTGATTATCTTGATTACTTAAAATGACACAACTGTTGCTGTCGTATCATTCCATTAAAGAAGCCCCACGCCTTCGGGGAATAATGGTGTTTTGAATACTCTTCACATACCTACCGAAGGACGAGGTTATATTGCCTCACAAGTTGGCGATTAACAGCACGCAATCCTCATCACTTAGTCTCTCCATTAGACGGAAGAGCATAGAGGGGCATTTGTTGGGTGATGTTGGGACTTGGAAGCGACGTCAAAGATCATTTATTTTGATTTTGATCGTGGATATTTCTTCAGATATCCAAAATTTAAAAGACCTGCCATCAACTCGTAACAAACAAAGTGGTATATCGCATAATACATAAGAAAACCATGCATATCCCGATTCCATATGCCCACATTGCATATTCCCTGGCTTCTAGAGCATTTCATAATCATGATTCATCAAATACCAAACGCCATCCCTCCGCCGATGTCATCTCCCCAATTCTCATTCCTGAACATTTCCTCTGAGTCACTCGGTCCGTGGAGGTATTTGCGATCGAGAAACGCCGACAAAGACTCCCCGTTGACATTTCCAAACTCATCGAGGTCCATTTCTCCATCTTTGCCTAAGAATTCCGAGTAGGGCACGTCCAGCGCATCAAAATTGATCGCAGATTCGTTGACGGGGCTCGGCACACGGACTTCAAGCCTTGGTGTTGAGGGCGGTAGAGGGGCCGGGTTTGGTAGGGCCTTGCCTTTTATTTTCTCTCGGGATTTGTCCCGGCCAAGACGTCCTATGCCGGATTTGACGTTATTCGACGACGTGGAATGTGAAGCGGAGACCGGGCGAGATGAGGCCGTAGATGAGCGGTGGCTGAAGCTTCCGTAGCCCGAGTCTACCGATGAGCTTGTAGAATGCTTGGGTTTTAATTGTGTAACTGGTGCCAGTGCCTGGGGCTGAGCGTAATTTGACGTGTTAAATTGTTGGATGTTGGGAATATTGTCTGCGTTGGTCACTCCGTCGGATGAGATGAGTTGTTCATCTCCAATGGTGGCAACACCCAAACCGGCGTTGAAATCAAAAGTAAAACCTGGCGAGATTACGTGTTCATCTCCATGGCTCCAACTATGGCATTCATCGTCGTACCGATCATTTTCAACATCGGTGTCAATCGGAGTGGGAAATGCCATACCCGATGATGAAAAGTGTTGCTGTGCCGAAGGCTTGGCGGATCTAGGTTTGGATTCTGCTGGAGCTGATCGAGACGGAAGCGGCCTGCTGAAGATGACAGGATGGGCGGGGTAGAGATACTGCTGGTACTGCTGGTCGGCGCCTGCCTGATTCATTGAGCCAGGTCCAGTGACTGGCGAAGGCGGGATCGATGAGTTGGGCGTCAAGGAAATTGAATTGCGTCGAGTAGAGCCTGGAGCAAGAGCCGAGGACGGTGAAATATCAAGCCCTCCGATCGATGGACTATTTGCATTGCCAAGCCTCAGAAGGACATCTGACATCGATGCTCGCAACTGCTCCCGAATAAATTCACGAGCTCCTGGGAGACGAAGCCACGCTTGTTCGGGGGCATCACCGTGTTGATTCAGTCGTGATTCGAAAGCTTCGCTGAGAACATCCATAGCATCCTGAGGCGGATGTACACTTGGGCTCGAGATCGAGGAAGACTGTGCTTTGACATTGTCGGCATAAGGGCTAGCAGGCTGTGGTTGCCCTGGGAATAGAATATTAAAGATAGTATACCAAACTTGTTCAGGGCTGCTTGCTGGCCTCTTCCGTCGAATATCATTGTACTGTGCTTCGTCAAACTTTTCTGGGCAGGGGCATTCAGCCAGAGAACAACCATTGACCTCACGCATGTGGTGCTCCAGTTGTGCTTTAGATTCAAATTTGTTCCAACACCTCAGGCAATGTAATCGACGACAATGAACTCGATACAAGTGCTGTTTCAGGCGAGAGATATCTGGCCAGTATCCGCTGGAACAACCACGGTATTGTTTCTCCTGCATGTTGAGCTCCGAGTATCTCGATTTGTCAAACTTGCAGTACGGGCAGGCGTACAATTTCTCTGGTGAAGAAAGAGCATCCGGGTCTTGTTTCACCTTTTTGGGTGTTCCAGCACCTGCTTCATCTTCATCATCTTCATTAGGACCACCAGATGGTGACCGATTTGGCGATGACTTTTGGTTAGAACCTGTAGAGTTCGAAGGAGAAATTGAAGCTTGACCACCTGCTGCTTTACGCTTCGTCGCATGTGACCGAACGTGATCGGTGTTTGTGAGATCTGGGAACTGAGATCCTACACCCGTTGCTGCTTCCTGCATTTGTCGAACAAGTGCAGTTTGCAACTGTAGCGCAAAGACGTGTTGCTTGATTTCTAGGGCAGATTCTCGTTCTCTTAACGAGGCTCGTTGTTCCCTGAACGAAGCCTCTCGTTCTCGCATATTGATATCCTTTTCGCGGAGAACCATCTCTTGTTCACGGCGACGGAAGTCTATTTCCTTGACGCCTTCTCTCTGCTTGCATGTGACTGAAATCCTGCTTGGGCCAGCATGCTTAGAACCTTGGATTCCGAGAACATCGTTGTATGCCCAAGGGTTCGCCGCAGATATGGTCGCTTGAGGAGACTCCGTGAAACGAGCTTCTTCGATAATACAATCTGGCACGTTCAATCCCCACATAGCAGCAGTATGATCTTGACCGGTATGCCGGCTGCCTTCGCGATTTGGTCGAGTTGTGGAAGGAGTTGTAGATATATCACGTGCCCTTGATACACTCCTGACCCTTTCGATAAGGTCATGTCGACAACTCCAGCCCGCTTGATCACATGATGAGCATACTATCCGGTCACCGTTCTCACAGATCGAACATTGATAGTAAACCTGGCTCAACCGAATAGGACCTTGGCATGAATCACATCTCATTCTGGGTGATGTCTTTGGTGAAGTAGTCACAGGTGACTCCTCCTTTGGGGCTTCGTCAGGGATCTTTGCGTCTGGCTTTGGTGCATCTTCCGCCATGTTCAACGGCTCGTTGTCTTGCGTCCGGGTTGAGTTCTGGAAGGGTGTATATTGAGGCAACTCTGCCGGAAGCTCCGCAATATCATCTGACCGCCTTGGTGGGTTGAGGTATTCGTGTAATCCCTGTTTGGTGCTGAAATCGTCGAGAGTGGGAGGATTTGACGTGTCTTTCTTGACACTGCGACCGAGTTTACTCAGTGAACGTTTGAGGCTTAGCGGTCGACTCAAGCTCAGCTTTTTCAAGACCTCGGAAGCAATAGTCTTTGTGCTCTTGGAGCGAGCCGGAATGACCTCGCCCCGGGCAATTGCATTCTTCCTACGCTCGGCGGCGACCTCGGCGGCCAAGAATGCACGGCGTAGTTGCTCATCTTCTTTCTGTGCCTTGATTTGCTCCTTCTCCTTCTTCTTCAGGGACTTCTTGAGAAGCTTCTGATACTTCCTCTGTTGGCTGAGAGTCTCTACGCGTAAAGGCGGGCACGGGTCTTGCGGTTCGTAGACGATGTCAGGTTCGCATGCTAGAGCAGCGGATGGTCGACCGATCGCCGAGATGGGTGAGTCCCTGTAACGGCTTAAAGAAGCAGCCTCTGCATGTCGGTGTAGAGTTGAGAGAGAGTCGAAGCTTGCAGATCTGTTCAGTGACAGTGGGTTCGGTAGAGGGTCCGAGATAGGGAGATCTTGGAGATGACCGAGGCGATAAGGATAAGGTAAAGTGCGGGTCTTGCGTAAGATGGTGCGATGCAGAGAGTTGGGAGTGTCAAGAGGATGCCATGATTGTTGTGAACGGAGTTTGTTTTGAGTCTGATCAGCGATGAGTAGTTCTTTAATGTCATTGGGAGAATCGTCGTCATGAATGCTGATCCTGGCGCGAATGTCGGGTTGATCCCTCGTGCGGAGTGGGAGTGCAGCCATGATAATAATTGTTAGTGTGCTGTCGAGATTGCGTGACTGTGGCGAGTCGACGACGAGATCAGATCTAGCTCAGCTATAGATCAGTCGGCGTATGGACAGAGAGCAAGATGGAATCAATGACTGAGGCAGCCATGTTTGCTTGAGCCATGAGGATAGGCTGTGTTTTTTTGACCAGCTTGGAGTCTTAAGAACCGCACGAGTGTTCAATTCAAAGCCAGGGTCATCAAGCCCTCAAGCCCGCAAAGCCCGCAAAGCCGTAAGCTAGTAGCCGGGGGTGTCGGTGGTGGTGGATTGCTCTGACGCATCGCTACACACGCTGCCCACGGTGCCTCCTAAATGCCCGTTGACAGGCTTCACAAGCCCATGGGATTGGTTTGTTCAAGCCCGGAAGGTTCCAAGCATGACGGAGTCCAAGCACCAAAAAGACCACCTAGTGAACTTCTGAGAGTTGGGAAGTCAGCCTCCTTAGCCTCGACTTAGGCGGGACTGAAGGGGCCCGGGGGGGCGGCCTGTCCCCCTCAGCCACAGTGAGCATGAGGGAAACCAAAGATCCGAGCGAAGCATTCGGTCTGACCCGCGTAGGCCTTTCGAGATGGCACAGAATAAGTCGAATCTGGAGAGCCACATTCAAATGACGGCTGTCAGATTGTCCATAATACTTTGGCCTTCAGCCACACGAGTCTGCCTTGTCGATTGCTGTCTTACCACAATGAGAACTAATCGAGATCCTTCAGTCTTCAAGCTTCGGGCGATGACTCAAGGAAACGATTGGTTGATATTGTTCACCAACACCATCGAAACGGGCTCTGACGTGCTCGTGTCAATGGAGATTTAGCCTTCATCACGAACACTGTCCATGTTCACGAGAGGCACTAGATTCGAAAACGTGACCCCCCGGAAGGTGCCAGTGTCTGTGTTTTGTTGACTCAGCAATCCGACTGATTAATCCGAGGTAGTTTGCATTATTGCCCACCGATGAAGCGATTGCTTTCCACAAAATAAGTCTATCCCTTCCATTCTCTTGTATTTTTCAAGACGAGAAACATATCCAAATCCTTACACCCCTGCAAGCATTCAGCACCAGCAGCCATTATGGCCATGGACGCAGCCGCCAAACGCTTCTTCGCCTCGCCCTACTTCGCCGTCGTGGGGGCCAGTCAAGACCAATCCAAGTTCGGATATAAGAGTAAGTTCGTGATTTTTTACTTTCCCGAGAACCTCGTATACCCTATTCCCGTATCTCTCAATAGACATGGCAACAACATTCTCACGTTGTTCCTCTCCGGGGAAAACAGTCTTCGCATGGTATCACACACACAGTCTCCCGGTAGTGCCGATCAACCCAACACGACCAACAATCTCGACGCCATCCAAGAGCTACAACACCGTCCCTTCTGTCTCGGCGCTTCCACAATCAGCGGAAACGGCGCTGTCGTTCCTCACACCACCGGCCGTGACGCGCAAAGTGTTGCAGGAAGCCCAGGCCGTGGGAGTCAAGGCCGTGTGGCTGCAGCCCGGCAGCTTTGAGCCGCAGGACCTCGAGTACGCCAAGAACCACTTCGAGAGTGCGGTCGGTGGCTATGAGGATGGTACGGTCGGTGGGGAGGGCTGGTGTGTGCTTGTTGACGGGGAGGACGCCCTGGACGCCGCGGGGAGGAAATGGGGTCGGCAGAAGTTGTAGACTTGAAGTCCACCTCAAAGCAGATGAATTGCTCGGACTGCTTAACCTAATCATCCGGCAGCTAGGTTGTCTCAAAGCGTGAGTACGACTCGGGAAAAGCGATGGCCTATGACTCCGCCGCAACGTTCCCTCAAACTACGAATGACAGTGTATATCATCAAATAGACCAAGATCGTTCAGCATACTACCCACGGCCTCAAGCTGATCGTATTTCCAAAACCTCTGTCCTAACCATGTGTGAGTCCTGCCCATCCTGCAAATTCGCCATACACCTCGAGTCATCTACTCATGAACACTCTTCCGATGCCCGAATCTGATGTTCTCCATCGCATCGCCCTCCTCCACCGTCGCCACGCCACCTTCGACCCTAGCAGACAACAGTTCCTGCTCAGTGATGGTCTTGATAGGGCCCTCAAACCAGTGCCTGCCACCCCATTTCGGGAAGAACCAGCCCACAATGCTGACGAAACTGACGATGCCGATGCAGATCGGGGCATAGTTCAGCGTCTGACTGTCCACGGGATATAACTGTGGCAGGACGAGGGCGGCGACGAGGAAGAGGATCCAAAGGGCTGCGATCACCGCGAGTGGGAGGGAGAACCTCCCCAGGTTCCATTTCGCGGGGACAAAGCTCTTGCGTCCGACGGTCTGTCGGGCAACGATTGGAATGAGATACGAGACGTTGGTGCAGATCGTCGCGGTCGCCGTGATCGCACTGAATGCAACGGTGGAGCCAATCACGGCGGTGGTGATGGCGATGCCGAACGCGCAGACCAAAAGTGCTGCATTTACGGCCATCTTCCTGGACGAAAGCTTCCGGAAGAAGCTGCCGAACGGTAAGACCTGGTCTCGTGCAAGGGCATATGTGACTCTCTGTGCGGAGAGGAAGCAGCTGGCGGTGGCACATGTCGAGTCCACCCATAGCACGATGAGGATAGCCACAGCACCATTCTCACCGATCAGTTGTAGCAAGTACTCTGCCCAGTTGTTGGAGTACGTGGCGGAAATGATACCGTCGAAATCCTGCATGCAGAAAAGCACGATGATCAGGGTGGGAACCGACAGAATCCAGGCGGAAAATGTCGAAAGCCAGATTCCTTTAGCGACAACCGTGGAGGCTTGGTTGGTCTCCTCGGCTAAATGAGCAGACTAGAGATCTATCTGTTAGCAACGTTTCCGAGATGGGAATGACTTAAACAAGGGAACAGTGCAACTTACAGCATCATAGCCATAAAATACCCATGCACCGAATAGAACGGATACAACCCTGTGAGAAGAGGCACAGTCAGAAACGAGCCAGCGTCCCAAAATGATACCTTGTCTAACAACTCACCAACAGTAAGCATCCGAAGCTTGCTTCTCTTCTCCAAGATTGATGCCATTGTAAAATAGGCCAAAAACTCCATGAGCATCGTTGAAATGCTTCTGGGCCGCCTTGGCTGGAAACCAGGTCCAGTACAAAAAGAACAGAGTGAAAAAGATGAAGATGGCGAAGCGAAAGTACAGTTTCAACAGTCTCGGACTGTAGATATTCGGGATCATCGCGATGACAAGGCCAATGCTCGTCAAGAGCCACAGAAACCATCCTTTGTGGAGAACCTCCTCGTCGGGATACTTAATCTGCAGAGCAGACACCAGGAACAGCGTGGCACCTTGCTGAACACCTACTTTGCTGTTAGAGATCGATCTTGGTGCCACATCGAAGACTGACCTGGTACGACCGCTATCCAACCTGCAAAGTTCCACCATCCGGTCATCCAGGAAAGAAACGGACCGTGCTTCTCACCCCCTAAACGATAGCTCCAGAAGTAGATTCCCCCAGTGGTTGGCAACGCAGCGGCCAGCTCGGCCAAGACCAGGCTCACTACGCAGGAGAAACCACCGACCATAGTCCAGTTCGCAAACGCGGCCTTGGGCCCTCCCGTGTACATGATCCAGCCGAAGAGAACAGGAATTCCGGAAATGAAGTTCATGGAGCTGAACGTAGCACTCCATGACTCAAACATGCCAAAAGATCGATGGAACACTTGCTTGTACCCCAGAGTGGCCAGGTGATACTCGTCCTGAGTCAAAATGATGCCTTTGGAGACCTCTTCTTTGGCACTGGCCGAGTCGGAAGCGGTGGGTTTGATATCGGCGTGCGAAGGCACCTTCTCTATCATGGCGGGCTCCATGTTCGCAAGCTGTGCTTGGTAGGTAGGGCTGCAGAGTTGAGCAGGAAGGAATCTGGGTACTCAGTAGCCTCGTTCAGACAGAAGTGTTGGACTTTGTACTCGTCGGCTGAGGTCGGAGATCTGCACATTTTCGATGCCCTGTAATCTCTCCTCCTATCATGGACATGTCCTCCTTCCAGGCGAGGTTTGAGTTGACTTCGCGAGTCAACGAAGGCTTTCATGGCCTGGATTTGTCGAGTGTCCTCGTAGTAGTCGCTGGCCCTTATCATGCAGTGACCTTGGTTAGGGCATTGAGTTTGGACTAGAGATAGTGGCTTGCTTATTCCACGAGTCAATTTGGTGGGGTTTGACTCTCCAGATTTGGGATGGTCGCCACGGTCGAATGGTTTCCTCCCATCGTGATTGATCACCCCTAAAGCTCCAGGGAGCAATTGGTGGGCAACCCGGCATTAAATCACCGGATTTTGCCTGGTCAGCTTCACTAAGGTTACCTTGACGGCTTGGGCGCCCGGGGGAAGCCCAGAAACAGGCCTTAAAACCTCTTGACTAGTTGCTTGTTCTTCGTCTGAAAGCTAAAGGTGCGCTAAGTCATTACCACCTCCAAGACTTCTTGATCATGATAAGGACCGGTGCTTTTGCTGCAACAGGGGAGTCTTTCGAAGGTACCGGGCCTCTAGGTTGTAAGCCATCTTGAGGGTTCGTTCCTCAAATCTCGCAAACTCATCACCCAAGCTCTCGTATCAAACGGTCGTAGGCCGATGACTCTCCGAGGCTTATCTGTTCCATGGGATCGGGTGGACCACGTGGCACTAGATCACCACAAAGGAGAATTGATAGATTGCGATCTTGATACATCGGACACAACGATGAAAACCATATGAGGTTGCTTTGTGGGTACGAGGGCTTCCTGGAGGACAACAGCGCAGCTAGCACTTTTGAATTCCAGGCTGGGTGCCAGCAGCTTTGCTGTGATATACTCCTCTCACTTCCGTGTCTTTCTCCTCGCACCTTCCAACAAGCTGAGTTTGAGATAGCCCGTTGGTGAGCGGAGTATTCAGTTCGTACTTAAGGGTTTATGATGGTAGCTAATGTTTCCCGGCGCAAAGCATGATTTTCCACACGCGTGAATTCCTATCATAAAGATGATGGACAATCGCAAATTTACTAATGTACAAGATAAATTTACAGACCCAAAGTGCCGGGCATTCGTGGATTCCTTGCTCTTCCAGACACTGTGGAATGTCTCTAAGTAATGCCCTATAACGCCTGGCTGAATTGCATGATGCATATGTTCCTGGACGATGAGGATGAGTTGCGATCCAAGTTGCTTATCTTGGGACTGGCGTTCGCAGACTCACCATACGGGAGGTAAGGAGGTTCCCCTCATGTCTCACGAGTCTAGACTCTGGTAGATGTACTTTGCCTCTCGGGAGCAACTAGTGGTTGCTTTGTGACCCTGACGACTTCTTTGCCACTAATGGCACGACTCCGATTAGGCGACAATCAGCGAGAAAGTTGCGAGTTTGTTCCTCACTCTGTAGACCGTTTTTGAAGTCTGGCTAGAGGAGGCAAAATGATGTCTAGTTGTAAATGCGGTAAGAAATGCGAATTATCAGACCGCGCCGGGCGACATCTCAACCGCGCATCTTTCGCAAAGCAGATGCGACCTTATCGAATTTGAGATGGACATGTGGGCGACGTGATTTTATACTCCGCTCTGATTTGGGGTCGACACTGGACTCGGTGGCCGACTCCTGGAACGATTGGAGTTGCTTTGACTGCCACGAGGTCCAACGTTCTTGCTGAGCTTGCATGTGTCTCGTGATTTTGAAGTGCATTTCGGAGGAAGTGCTGGTTGATGAGGTGTTGGATGACACTGACGACGAATGTGGTCTTTGAGTGATAGATGGCCTTTCTGAAGTATACTGGGATGACATGATGAATTTGGAATGCTACAAGGCTGCAATATGGGATGTGGATTGATGTACACTGAATATTATGTTGCAAGGTATGTAGAGCAGCAAGGACAAAAGTCATCACCGAGGGGGACAGCAGTTGTTATATGGACTATTCAACGTTTGCAGCACGATGGCGTGCGAGTCAACGAATGGCACAAAGCCTCAGGTGACGACGTGTACGAGCTGTGCTGTGTGCAATGCTACTGAATATGCGGATACCTGTAGGCTGTAGTCGTACTACCAAGGGGCGCAAGTGGAAGCAAAAGGGGTGCCTAGGTGTTGGCCGGGAGTTCTACGGAGTATACGACGCATTGATCACACCAGGGAGGTGGTGTTTACAAATCTGGTTCTGAAGACGCGTTGGCAGGGATGAAAGATAAGCAGGGGCGCAGCAACGTCAAGGCTTCGTCAACATCGCTCTTGTTCGGTACAAGGTATTCCATTGGGAATCAGAAGCTTGGCCAAAAGAAATGACAATAACGGATGCCCGTGGAGAAACATGCAACTCGTACTGAAGACCTCAGCGGAAGAGAGCATGGTTTCTCAGCGGGAACTTGACCGAGCGACAGTTGGATCAACTATTATACCGAGTATGGCTGGGAAAGTGTGATGAGTCAGGAGAGGGATATTATACGAGGTACATTCTTGTTTGATACATTATCCGTATTGTGACTAAACCTGAGAAGAAAGTGCTTGTACGAGTCATGTGTTTGTTCCTCGGGCTGTTTCCCTTACGCTTCAGATTTGGCTGCCGTAGAGTTGTCCGAGACGGAGGCAGTCCTCATAGTGTTTTGTAGGCGTTGCTGGGTGACGGGCGTCGCCTAAACAGAGAGAGTGGGCTAGGCCGTAGAAAGGAGTGCTAGGGGCCAATGTCCACCGTCTGGTGTCAACAGAATGCCAATTTCTGTATCCTTTCAGGAGCCTCACCGTTTTCACTACTCAGAGTTTCACCTTCACATTCACATTCACACCACAACTCAATTTCGATCAATTTGATCTGCAAGGGAACTTGGAAGTTTATCACACAACATTTGCTGCCAGGGTTAGAAATCATGGTGAGTGACTTCACATTCTCATTCGTCCACTGCCATCGGCCCGCCGAGAATCAGGAGGGCGCAGGAACATCCACGTTGGAGGGCAGGCAAAACGCAGGGAAGGGACGCCCCGACAACCACCAGTACAACCACCACCACCAGGAACTCTCGCAGCCACTGCCCGCGTGATTCTCACCCTTTACCCACGAGTGCGAGTCCGCGCTACAACAAACAAACAACACCTTCATCTCTCATCGCTTCCAAATCTTCCTTCTCTCAACCACATCTTTTTAGCCGCCTCATTCCCACACAATGGCTAACATTCAATCTTCTCAGACTTCTACCAACTACAAAGAAGCCTTCTCTCTGTACGACAAGCGTGGCAGTGGCCGTGTCGCCCTCGAATCTCTCGGTGATCTCCTCCGTGCTTGCGGGCAAAATCCTACTTTGGCAGAGATCAGAGATTTGGAGAAGAACGTCGGCGGTGATTGTAAGTTACGAATCAATGCCCCTGAGAACACACACCTAGACTAACTCAATCTCAGTCGACTTCGACTCATTCAGCAAAGTCCTCAATCGACCAGGTGGTTTCAGAGATCCCGGTGAACCAGAAGAATACTGTCGAGGTTTTCAAGTGTTTGATAAAGACATGACCGGGTTTATCGGCGTGGGTCAACTACGATACATATTGACAAACCTGGGTGAAAAAATGAGCGATGAAGAAGTTGATGAACTCCTCAAGGCCGTCGACACCAGCAGTGGCGAGATCAACTACATGGAGCTCGTCCGCACCATTCTTGCCAACTAAATCGCGTCCCCATTTGACTTGATTTGCGGGTTTTTGGGGCGTTGATTCACGAGGACATGGTTTTATGGGTATGGGATTGCACAGCATTGCATACCAATGATTGATTAGGGCCGGTTGCCTGGGCGTACCCACAGAGGTCTGAGTTGCAGTTGCACTCAAGGTGAAGCATCGTTGGTAGGGACCGGGCTGTGAGAGCCACGTCCGGAGGGTATCTCAAATCCAAATACAGAACAAAAGCCTTCACCTCCCCAATTTCCTATCTCTAGCTCCCTGTTTATGTCGTCTGCTCAGCCCAGGCCGGGACTTCTGGTCGAGTTCCTTTGCTCATCTCGGAGGTTTCGACCAAGGATCCCGGCAAGAGGTACACCGGGCTCGACCCTTGTAGTGCAGTCATCGCATATCCAAGCACCAATCTGCACCTCCCACATCGTAACAGTATTCTCTTTTCAAAGCCGTCTTCACGTTGCACAACGATAGGTCGGCGATCCGGAAGGACATTCAACAAAGCCGAAGGGGTAGACTGACTCAAGGCATCTTCTGTCTCAATGTCGCTGGATACGGAGATGCTGGTAGCGGGAGGGAGGATTAGAGCATTGTCCTGGACAGGTTCGTTTCTTCGAGGGAGGGACTCTAAGGTGTGGGCAGTGGCGAGGACAAGATTGCTGCAAAGGCAATGATAGGTCTTGAATGGTGAGCTTGATGAGTCTTGTAAATCGTCCATTTTGTATTCGTGGATTCTTGAGGTCGGAGTTTGAGATATTGTTGTTGCAGTTTATGTACACGGTTTAAGAATTCGGATGCAGCAGTCCAGATGGTGGGGTGGACTTCAGACGCGCGATTGATACCTGGGTGGCCCCGCTGATCCACGCCTAGAAATGAAGCTGCAAGGGGCATGAAGACTTAAGAGGGGACCCTAAATTGAGGATCCGGCTACGGCACTCCTCCGACGTCACCACTCTCACGCGATTTTATTTCCAAAGACTCATAATTCACGACTCTAATCGAGAGGCGCAACTCAACAGCAATGCTCATAACTCTCTGCAACGACAATCTAAGGTTTCTACGATTGAACCTTGCCTGATGCCGCGATCTTACCTGTCTGCCATAGATGTACAATGCCGCCCTTTCTCCCCCGCAAGAGGTTGAACTCGACGCCACCCACCCCTGCTCGATCAACACCCGCAAAGAAGGCAAGATTAGCAGACGCATTAGACTCCGAGTCGAGGAACATCTCTGGGCTGAAACAAACAAAGCGTTTCTCCCTTGGGAGTGATGATTCAGACTCCTCGTTAAGCGACGTGGATAGTGACGAGTTTGAGAACGTCCCTGCGATTGGGAAAGGGAAGCCTCTCCCGACCCCGTTGGAAGATGACGACGACGAGGATGAAGACATTGAATGGGAGGACGCTGCTGCAAAACAACAACAGAGTGCCTCTTCACGAGCTCCATTAGCAGATGGTCCAATTGAGCTGGTCTTTCGTAAAGATGACATCGAGATTGACTATGGAACCGCTGCAGCTGCTACTACCGGAAAGAAGGGCCCGACCAAGAGAGAGAAAGAGGCTCGAGTCCGAACACACCAGATGCACGTTCAGTTTCTGTTATGGCATAATTCGATCCGCAATAGATGGATATCGGACCAACGGGTTCAGAAAACATTGGTTCAACAATTGCCTGCTCAAATAAGGAAGGAAGTGGGAAAGTGGAAGCGTGCAAGCGGCTTGTCAGCGCCCGAATCTCCTGCAAAAGCACCACAGCCCAAAAACAAGAAGCGCGGAAAACAGAAGAGGCCAGAACCTCGGAATGAGCGTGATTGGGGAAGACCAAGCCAACGCCTTGAAGTGGGAAGAGCGGACATGAGCCATGGAGAACCACTCATACCTCTGATGAAAGTCCTAGCAGCATACTGGAAGAAGAGATTTGCCATTACCGCCCCAGGCTTGAGAAAACGGGGTTACGGCACAAAGCAAGCACTGAAGCAGGTGATCTATTCATTCAGAACCGACGAACACGATCCTGAAGAGCATGGCGAGAGGATCAGAGACATTGGTGAGTTTCGCGAAGCTGCGAAGAAGTGCGAAGGATCGAGAGATCTCGGAGCACAGCTTTTTACGGCCCTTCTGCGGGGTTTGGGTATCGAGTCACGTTTGGTAGCTAGTCTACAGCCCAGTGGCTTCGGTTGGACAAAAGCAGAACAGATGATACCACGTAAAGTGGCCAAGGCGGCCGAGTTTGACTCGTCTTCGGATGATTCGGATGAAGAAGATTCAAAATCAATATCTGAAATCGCAAGATCCAGAGCTTCTTCAAAGTCAGGACCAAAAGGCCAATCTGGAAAAGGTGGAGGGTCAGCCACAGACCCTGTGAACTTGGATCTGGATTCGGTAGACGATAAGGACGATGACTCCCTCATCGATGTGACTCCTTCAATGCCGAGACGACGTCCACAGCAATATGATCGAGACAACCCATTCCCCATATATTGGACCGAAGTGATTTCTCCAATCACAAACAAAGTCTTACCAGTATCGCCTTTAATCCTCAACTCACCAGTCGCCTCCACTCCGGAGGTTTTGTATACCTTTGAGCCTCGTGGGGCTAAAGCAGAAAAGACCAAGACGGTCATTGCCTATGTTGTTGCCTATTCATCTGATGGTACAGCGAAAGATGTCACGGTCAGATATGTAAAGAATAGGATCTGGCCTGGAAAGACCAAAGGGTTTCGTTTTCCTGTCGAAAAGATTCCAATATACAACAAACATGGTAAAGTGAAGCGGTATGCAGACTATGACTGGTTCAAGCGAGCAATGAGTGGCTATGAGCGACCACACCTTATGAGAACAGCTGCAGATGATTTGGAAGATGCAGCTGACCTCGTGCCCCAGCTGCCTCCCAAGAAAGAGGTGAAGGATGATGTCGACACCATCCAGAGTCTTAAGGCCTCGGCCGATTTCGTGTTGGAACGTTTCTTAAGACGAGAAGAAGCCTTGCGACCAGGATCCGAACCGGTAAGAACTTTCGTGTCGGGCAAAGGAGAAAATCTGAAGGAAGAGCCTGTATACCGTCGCAGCGATGTTGAGAGATGCTTGACTGCAGAATCCTGGCATAAAGAAGGTCGTCGACCAAAGGCTGGCGAGGCACCATTAAAGCTAGTACCTGTCCGTGCAGTTACCTTGACAAGAAAACGCGAAGCTGAAGAGCACGAGAGGCAGACAGGACAAAAGCAGATGCAAGGTTTATATTCCTGGGATCAAACCGAATACATCATTCCTCCTGCGATACAAAATGGCATTATTCCAAAGAATTCCTATGGAAATATCGATTGTTTCGTACCAAGCATGGTCCCCAGAGGAGCTGTCCATGTCCCTCTGCGAGGAACAGTCCGGATTTGCAAAAAGCTAGATATCGATTTCGCCGAAGCCGTCACCGGCTTTGAGTTCGGCAACAAGAGAGCCGTTCCAGTCTGTACAGGCGTGGTCATTGCGGAAGAGAACAAGGATTTGCTTATGGATGCCTGGACCAAGTTCAATGAAGAACAGCGGAGGAAAGAAGAGAGTAAAATGGAGAAACTCGTGCTTGATCTCTGGCGCAAGTTTGTCATGGGCTTGAGGATTCGGGAGAAGGTCAACGATATCTATGGTGATGGGACTGCACTGCCATCTCATACACAAGGCATGCGTATGGATCAACCAATCACCCTAGATGATGACGATGAACCAGAAAACAATAGCGTGGTCGGCGGAGGTGCAACGTTTGCCCATGAGGATGACTTTGGTGGCGGGTTTCTCCTCGACGATGATGAAAATCAGCCTGTTCCTGAGGATTTGGAGATGGAGCATCACGAAGATCTGCCCTCAAAAGCTTACTCCAAAGGCAAGGGACGAGCTACCAACGAAGATAGTTATCCGACCCCCTCGTCGGTATCGCCCTTAAAACCAGCCGTGCGACGACAAAGGAAGCCGTTACTTCAAGATAGCGAAAGCGAGGATGAACTCACCGACCTATCTTCCATCCCCGACAGCGACGACATGAATGACGAATCAGACTCTTTCAAACATGACATCGCTGACGCAGATACTACGCCACCTCGATCGTTAGCCAAGAAACCTGCGCGACTCGTTGAGGTTGCAATCCCCAACGGCACGAAGCTTCGAGGCAGAAACAAAGCTGCACCGACACTGCCGCCCAAGGCTGATTCTGAACAAGATCAAATCTCTGACTCTGACTCAATTTCCAATGACGACATGGACACGGAAGACGACTACCAGCCTACAAAGAAGTCTTCCCGAAAAAACAAAGTCAAGTCACCCACCCGAAGGCGGACGAGAGACACGAATGAGAAACAGGGCTTGAATGGTGGCCGTGCACCCAAGGTACGGGCGTCACGTGGCAAGGATGACTATGATCATGACGAGGACGAAGAAGAAGGAGACGAAATCGTCACTCCTCGCCGTCGGCTCAGGAGAGATAGCACCATCGTGACGAGTCCGTATTTTGCATGAATAGCATGAGGAAGCTGATCGATGTACGCAAGGGTTGTCACTGAGGAGTACGGTACCGTGTCTACAACCCTTCTAGTTAAACACTAAGTAGGGGGTAGGGGCTGCTTCCATAGCCTGATGTCCGTGGAATATTGCCTGTACTGTATTGGTCGAGCCATGTTACCTCCTTTGTTTCAGGCGCATCCTTGAATCGTATGAGTATATCTGCGGTGCAACATTCCATGGCATTGACTCAGTGACCTGCCATCAAGCGGAAAGGCCCATGAAATTGTAGAGTCCATACATGAGTTAAAGCCTATCTAGGTCGATACCAATACAAATAAATGGATTGTGGAAACACCATGTGCAGAAAGAATGCAAGAACAATAACATCCATAAAAGTAAACAAGATCAATAGCCAGGATTGGCAATCGATTAGAAATGCGCCGCTCAGTTTAAAATAAGAAGCTCTCGTTATCAACGGAGTCCTCCTCCCCGTAAGACAATCTGGTCTGCACAGCGTGCACTAGATAGTGATTTACTCACTCACACGAATACCACGTTCTTCTTGCCGACGTGTTTTCAAATCAAATTGAGACACCATTTTCGAACACCCGTGTGAAAGATCCATGTCACGCCCCCCTGCTGCACTCGAAAAAAATACTCAATCACAAACTCCCGACCTCCCAGAGTCCCAGGAACGGGCTGCCAATGTCCTGGAACTGGAGGAAGGGGTCTCGCGAGGTATTGCTGCCTCCGCCGTCCAGGACCGACAGGTTGCCCGAGAACGTCCACGGCGAATTCGCCAGCTCCGCAAGGGTTGGGTATTGCATTTGAGATCGTTCAGCCGCCGCCGTGGTAGCTGTTGCGGATGAGCCGGGCGTGTTGGTTGGGGTCGTGTTGTCTTCTTCTCCGGTGGGTTGGTCTTGTGGTTGGTCTTGTGGTTGTGGTGTGGTTGTGGTGTGTTGGTTGTAGAGTGGTGTGGTGGCAGTATTATTGTTATTGCTGTTGATTGCATGGCCTGCATATGGCGGCATCGCTTGTCCGCCGTCAGAAGTGTCGGGTTCTGCGGCTGGGACGTGGAAGATTTGCGTTTCAACTACGGTTTGGCTTTGATCGGGTGTCGTGCGTACGGCCGGGAAAAGGGATTCGTGGAAAAGTTTGGGAGCGTGTGCAGCATGGGCAGAAGGGGATTGATACGCAGCCTTGTGACTGGATGTTGCAATGGTGTAGTCTAGGATCTCCCACATTAGGCTCGTGTTGATGGAGACTGTTCGTCTTTGAGGTTCGCGATCATCGCTGACCGAGCGGCCTGAGGTCACGGAAGATTGTATTAGTGCCTGAAGCTTTTCGTGCTGTTGCCACAGTAGAAGACGTTGTTAGCCCAAGCTCGGGAAGATTAGAGTATTAGAGTGCATCGCCACCCTAATTCTAGGGCACTCTGCCACCTATAGCTCGGTGTATGTTGCGGGGTCCTGTTCCCTAGGGTCTAAGGGAGCTTCGAGTAATCTCTTCACTCGTAGCCTGTCTCATACGGACAAGGGAAATGGAATACCTGCTTCAAAGTGACACGAGTATGGAAAGTGCTTACCATCATTTCGCATACAGGCCATAGCTGAGCCATTTCGGCTAAAAATCGCAAGCATGTTGCTAGCTTAACTTGTGCAGCATCCCTTGCTCGACGAGTCGGTGCACTACAGAAGTACAGATTAATAGTCCCTGCAAGTGCAACACAGTGGCCCATAAAAGGATCAGATACTCGATAGTTCTTCTTTGAGAGAAGATCGACAAATCGTATGATCCACGTCGTATGTATGAGTGCTTGTTCCGAAGAGGTTTTCCAAAACGTGTTGGGAACAAGAAGCGCTGAATGCTGTGGCCTATAGGAGTAGAGAAAAGGGTGGTTGAGCATGCTGTGAATGGCGTGGTAAGTAAATTGAAGAAACAGCCAAGGTGTCCAATAAGTTCGATTCTCAAGGTCTTTATATGACCGATCTGCAAAACGGGCGGAATCGTATCTGTGGAACGTGGGTAGTTTTGTCTCAAGGTCCATCAAATGTGCACCAATCACAGCATAACCTGAGTTGACAGACCAAGGAGGTTCACTCTGTGAGTGAGCACATTGCATCATATAAGTCCGAACTTCTCGCCAGAGGGTGGACAGCTGGACCATATATGCCCAGATTCCTGCATTGGGGCTTTCATTGATTTGAAGGATTTCCTGTGGTGTTGACGGAGGGAATAAGTCAAGAAGTTCCTTTTGCGGGTCCATTCGTGAACCAACATATTTCGGTTGGTTGATATCTCCTAGAAAATTGAGCACAGGACTTTGATGCCCATAGATTTGTATCAGGAAATGGATACTCCAAAACAGCCTCCTCCTGCGTTCAGCATAGATAGATCTCTCACCACTATGAAGCTCGATACCAAGAGACGTACTTTGCGCGAAGGTGGTAGCGAGCCCGAGATAAAGAGAGGTGAAATGTATATCTGTGGCTAATCAAGACATCAATAAATCCCATGGCCACCAACCAATCAAATTTTCCAGACTTACATTGGAAACTAGCCAACGCAAGCATACAGAGGCTCTGTATGGTTGAGAGTTCTACATTGCCTTGAGCGATTCTGGTCATAACACGCTCACGAGCAAGTTGTGCATACTTCCTTGTCAAGATTGTCGATCGCCCCTCGAAGAATACATGGTTGGAATAGTGGAGCGATAAGGACAGCAATGACAGAATCACTTCTTCAGAACACTCCTCTAGATTTGAAAAATCGTCGCGGTCGAATAGCCAAAGGGGCTGCATATGACAGAATTGAAAGAAGACATCAATAACGTCCAAGATAGCATCTTCTGGTGGCAGATCAGGGGAAGAGGTTGCGGGAGATCGAGTCCGTGATAGATTCGATGCCGTCTTAGGGGTCTCTGTAGAAGGGGTTTTCCCTGTTCTTGAGGCATCTCTCGTTCTGCACATCTTGATTAGGTCCAAAAGTCTTCTCAGGTGTCTCAAAGGACCTGTGGGCGTCTTACGGAGTTCTCTCCAACATCAAATCCATTTTCTCCTCTAGTTGGGCAAGCCGGCCTTCCTGAAAGTTGTTAAGCAGATTTATCCTTAGATCGCGAATGGAGTACCAACCAGGTCTCGGGCATTGCTTTGCGAACTTTCCGGTATGGTGGCTCCAATATGATCATCCGCGTATTTGCAAGTTTGGCGAAGACGCGCACAAGATGAGCACACTGGCCTCTCTCCTGGGCATCTCGACTTTTTCTTTCTTATTCAGAGAGTTGCTTTAGTAAGCTCGACATCAAGCGGAATGGTCTGAAGGGCGTCCTCCTCTCACTCACCGACAGTTTGCGCATGCCTGGATCGTACGTTTGTTGACGCGATAACCCCGAGGGTCCGACATCACGTAGAACAATTGCTATCAGATAGGTATGCACCACAAATGGTGTTGCAAGGAGTAATGGACAATACTAGTACGACATGTGGTTCGAAGGAGATCACACCAGAAGGTGGTTGTGACGAAGGGGACTCTTGGAGGAAAATGCAGTGCAAAATCTCACGGTACAAGGGTAAGTAATCACCAACATGTCACTATAGAACGAATTGGGAGATGAAGATGTCTAGCGAGTAACGCCTACCTGGAATAACTAGAGAGGTCTCTTTCAATCTCAATACTCTAGATAGGAGATTCAGAAATTTGAAGACGGAGGAGTGCACGAGGACCCCTCAAGCCCCGGAACTCAACACCGAGTTAATCCTTCGGACATGGCAGGTTTGCCGAGGAGGTACATACTGACACCATTTGCCTTTATCCTGTGCGAGATATCCAACCTCCCTAGGCTGGATATCATACGTATGATCCAACAATACGGACAGCCTCTCGCAGATTTGATGCATGGCGATCCTTTGAACTTTAGAATCCTGCTTGCAGACAATTTCACACCAACATGAGCTCCTAACTCTCCGGACTTCGTTTTGGGATAAACCCTTGGCGATGAAATCTGAAAGAACCATTCTCTCTTCCCTGGAGCACTGATAACGCGATAGATGACGCTAAGTCCTGCGGAGTTGTCTCGAATTCAAGACCAAGATCAAAGGACTCATTGAGCTGTAAGAAAGGGAAAATAGGTCCTATCTGAGATGGTCATCCTTGGAATGCCGGTACGTCAGCCGATCACGTGTAGGCACTGACTGGAGTGCTAGCAGGAGTGCCGGACACTCAGAGAGGCAAGTGATTCTCTCAGATAAGGCTGAGAGGCAATTGTACGTTACTGAATGTCCTTGTCTGAATTAGTGCAGAGGACTCCGAGTCTTAACGGCAGGTCTCCAGGTCGGCCATTCTCGCTTTCGTAAATACGCATTCATTGGATCACATATGATGAAAACTGCGCTGTAAGCATCAGAGAAACTTTGTTCCCTTCCTCGACAACCGCCGTTATCTTTGACTTGTTCTTGACCAGTCGTGATATCATGACAATCTACCGGCCTGGATGATTGCTTTCCCTTACTTGCCACGTGACCGGAACCACCGTCGGCTTTTCCTAAGGCTCCCGGAATGCTCATTGCTCCATCCGGTTCAATTATCCATCCTGATACATACCCAGAAGGCGCTGGTTCCAGTATGACAGAAGGGAAATCGACTCCTAACTTGTGTTCGAATGAAGGGCCGTTGTGATCAATAAAGCTTGGTACAGGTAGCCCTCGTGACCGGCGGAGTACACGATGGGGTGAGATTTCTTGATATGTTCAAGATGTGCCAAAGCATCAACGCATTTCACACAAAAGGGCACTTCGCTTAGTCTCTCTCGAACTCAGTATACTCGATAACATAGTTTCTCCCCCATAGAGCGAGACTGTTACGGTACATTTTGTTCATCAATCATGCTGTCAACGCTTACCCAGTATCTCGGGCCAAAGACCCTCGAGTTGAGAGGAACACTAGATGTTGAGAAGCCGGAGAAGCCGACACCAATGCCATCGTCGTGGTACTGCTCACCCGAGATGTACCAACTGGAACGCCGGTCCATCTTCTCGAAGAGGTGGCTCCTGATTACTCATAAACTGAGGTTCACAAAACCCGGAGATTTCCTACGTTTCGAACAAGCCGGCTATCCCTTTGTGCTCTGTCTCGATAAGGACGGCAAGCTGAATGGGTTCCACAATATCTGCCGTCATCGCGCATTTCCAGTGGTGACGGAAGACGAAGGCAATGCTCGAATCTTCTCCTGCAAGTACCATGGGTGGTCCTACGGCCTGAGCGGAAAATTAGCCAAAGCACCTCGCTTCCACACCGTTCCAGGATTCGAGAAGGAGAAGCAAAGCCTGTTCCCGATACATGTGCACATCGATGCATTAGGGTTTGTCTGGGTCAATCTGGACTCGTCACCCACTCCTGCAGTGGCATGGGACGATGATTTTGAAGGTGTTGATACTCAAGATCGATTCAAGAACTTCGATTTCTCCCAGTACAAATTTGATCATATATGGGGCATGAAGGGGGCGTTCAACTGGAAAACACTTGCTGATAACTATAATGAGTGTTATCATTGCACGGTCGCGCATCCTGATGTGGCACGCCTTGCTGACTTGTCGTATTATTATACCGTCAACAAGGCTGGCCACATACAGCATTTTTCCAGGCCGCAGCAAGGCAAGGAAGACGAGGATATCAAGAACGCAAGCACTTACTACTTCCCCAATGCCTGTATGACTGTTTCGTAAGTATTCAAATACCTTGTGAATTTCATCAGCTCAATATTGTTGATTTGCAGGCCACATTTCTTCTACATGATGCGATGCGTACCGACATCCTCAACCACCGTATCGTTGGAGTACGAAGTTTACCGACATATCGGCTCATCAGACCACGACTTCGAATATATTGACTCTTTCTTCAAGCGTGTGCTGGGTGAGGACAAATACTTATGCGAATCAACTCAGAGAAATCTGAACGCTGGGGTATTTATTAGTGGAGAGTTCCATCCCGAATTGGAGAGTGCACCGTTGTTCTTCCAAAGTCTGGTGAGGCGGTTGGTCACGAAGCATCGCGAAGATGAGTCGGTGGAGGGGCGCGAGATATGGCCATCACGTCGTCAGACTTCAGGTTCTGCAGGTGTTGATAAGGACGCTGCTTTCTGTTCCGGATTGGCTTGCGATACCCCAGCGAAGGCTGCTTGTGAATGGTGAATGAGGTACATTCCGTACATCGCAATCACAGTGTTGTATACTAGTCTGCTTCTCTCATGTCTGCAAATACCACGTCCTTCCGAACAATACAATGATTATCCAGTCAGCCTTACCTTGACGATCGTGACCTGTCCCGCGGTGGGGGCCAAAGGTCGGGATCTGAGAGCTATGAAGCTTTAACTGTGGTTTTCTGGTCAACCAGTGAGGCGCAGTGATAAAAGGGGGCCTTGAAACTGGCAACTCCTAGTCAGATTTGTGAGCCGGGCTACTCACCATGGCCGGCACAGGTACACAGCCTCATTGCATTTCCACAATACTTCATTTCCTCGCTATCTCCCTTTGACTTGATTGCATTTACATTCAACATCGATTACACCGTGGATACACAACTTGAAGATGAGTGAGAATCCTCCTATGAGCCCGACTTTGGCTGTTCATCAAACTCCGCTGGCACTGTCACTGTGTGTGGGTGCCAACCTTCTTTTCCTCTTCGCCAGCCCGTTTGCCTTCTTCGCCTCAACATTTCAGGGCTCTTCGAACAAAGGCTCCTTCGATGACAGGATTCCCTATTATGGCTTCTTATGCTTCTGCAGCTTTGCCGTTGTAAGTCGACATGTTCCAGATTCTCGTGGGAGCATGGTTCGAGAGCGAAGAAGAGAAAGTGGACTCCGCACCTGATCTTTAATCCATCATTGATGTTCTAACGACAGAGTATTACTCATTAGGCTTCGTTTTCCACCGTGATATTTGGCGCAGCCTCGACCACCTTCTACAAACTCGTGAACAATCCCATCATCCGGGGTCAAGAAACATCCCGATATATCAGTCTTCGAAATAGCTTTATTGTTGTCACTATCCTGGCGCTCGTACTGAGTATAGCTGATGCATGTTTGAGTTTCTTCTGGGGCACGGGAGTCGGGCACTTCAGTGGCTTTGCCGTGCCCTGTTTCCTGGCCATCTTAGCAATGTAAGTTGTTTCACTTCCTTCCCACTCCAAGAGAAGACATCGATCTAACAGCATGTTCTCATGTAGACTGGCGGATGTCGCCGTGGCTTTGTCCATTTCGGTAGAATTTGTTCGCGAGAAGCAGGCGTCTATTCAAGCCACGGAATCCGAGGCTGCATTGCATGAAGGCGTTTTGCGACTCTGAAGTTTTGTCATAAGATATGATAGTGGGTGATTAGAAACTTGTTTTATAACGTATCGAATATTTCACCAGATCAAAAACGTAGCTCTGACTCTGTCGGAGCCACATTTGAAGAGTATGCTTACTCTACATAAGCCCTATAGACCTGGAGATCATCTTTGGCAGTGTACTTCACCTCGATGCCGTGTCCAATGAAGTAAATGGTGCCCTCACCGATCTCAAATTCCTGGTCCTGGGCGCCCATCATGCCACTCCCACTCACAACGATAGCAATACTCGGCCCACCAACTTCCTTGACCGTTTCGCCTTCTCCGGCTTTGAGCTCTGTCACAAGCATGTTAAACTCACTCATTGGTGGCTTGAAGACTTCAGTCTTTCCTTTTGTACTCTTCTCACTCTTCTCCCGCTTTAACATTGGTTCTTCGGGGTCATGTTGTTTGAAGGTAAGTGCATTGACGAAGAGGTCAATATCGTCTCGGTCAGCGCGTGGGCAGAAGCCGGTGTTAATGACGTTGTTAGAGCGGGCCATACATTCGATGATATTCCCCGTAAGGTATGCGTGTATGCCGTCTGCTGGAATGTACAGGGCAGAGCCAGCCTCCAAGACGAGGAAGTTCATGCACAAGAGTGCGACGAGATTACCGTTGTCTTCCGATCCGTACATCGATTCGAGTCTCGGAATGAGATCCAGAATGTAAGCTTGACCGCCCAACTCATCACTAGAGGTGCATTTGAGACTCTTGAGTGTTGAACGAGCCTGATCTGGTGATGCTGTGAGAAGACTTCGGCAGATTTGTTTCAACGTATCATCCTGAAAATTGGCTTCTGGAGTATTTGGGGGTACAAAGGTTTTCAAAGGCTCCAGATTCATGAGCCTCTCGATATCCTTGAGTGGTTTGAAGCCTACGAATGCCTCAAACTTCCCAAGAGCCACGGCAATCTCGGGCTTGTGGTTGGTATCGGAGTATTTCTCTGGGTCTTGTTTGTGAAGCTTCTTCGACAGCTCGATATCTGGATGAATCTGCAATGGTAAAGCTTTGGCGATGGAAAGTATTTTGGGAAGAAATGGTAGATCCACGCCGAACTTGTCCAACACTCCTTGACCGATCAATCTCTCTTTGTTCTTGTTGAGAATGTCCTGAAGATTTTCACCCTCCATTGAGTAAGACGGTAATTCCGGATACGTTCCCATCCACATTTCCGCATAGTTTTGATCATCTTCGAGTCTGAAGTCGGGATTTGTCCGCTGACATAGAGTTGCAGCGAGGGACTCCTTCCCTACACGACCCCATGGGTAGTTATTGCAAAAACATTTTAGCTGAATAATGCTTTGAGACATAGCGATTTGAATCTCACGTAAGTTCAATGAGGCGAAAATGGTCGGACAGGTAATGATCACAAATTGAGCAACGAGGTTTGCAAGTTTTCTTGATTTGATGCTTTATTTGGTTCCAATATCAATAGGAGCAGCAATGATTGCATTAAAATCATTATGATGTCAGTCCCACAATTCCTTCGAGAATGCGATAGGGAAGCGGATTTGAAAGCCGGAAGATACATGATGAACACACGTAAGATAGGAAGGATGATGCTGGCTCTCCTCTTGTCTTGTTAAACGTGCTCTGTCTCTTCAAGCTATGTCAGGCACCTATTTCAGTCTTGATATCCCAGCTTTGTCGGTTTCGTTTTGACAGGTGGCGTGCTGGCCAGCACGAGGTGGAGCAAAGATCTCCCAGCTCCATGTGAAACACGTTGATTTTGTGCGAAAGATTAGTTCATTAACTTTCAAAATGATGGCTGATGGTAACAGTAGCCCAGGAGCACTGCACCTACAGATTTGACATGATGGAAGGAGGATCTAGCCATCGGCAGTGGAGGTAAGAGTCTTTATCGAATGGTTGCTCAATTGATCGGAATGGCTCTTTCTTGTTGGCTGAGAGCAGAGATTCAGCACCTGCATACCTAGGAAATTCACTGCGTAGTCTGGGTATTGGTTGATATTGGTGTTGAAGTCTGTCCTTGTAACTTCACTGTCTCAGCCTCGTGATGTCATTTCTTCGGTGAAGCATTAAGCTTGATCTGTATCTTTCAGTATCTGAGTCAGCTTACGACCGGCCACTATCGTCAATTCTGTGTTTGGCTCTCAATAACTTCTATTCATTCTCTGGAAGTCAAGTACATACTGAGAATTCTACCCTGATGTTTTCTTGATTGTTTTGCCAGACCAATAGAACCAGAATCTTTGGCAGTTTCGGATCAATTGTGATGCAGGAGTTACCTTTCAATGAAATATCGCAAAAATGCATGAGATCGTCACCATTCAACTAGGACAACGTAGTAACTACCTTGGAACTCACTTCTGGAACACCCAAGTATGAAGCACTCTTTGATACTTCTACACGCTCAACTGACTCTCAACAAGGAATCATACTTCACTTATTCGGAGCACGAGCAATCTCGCATTGATCATGACGTTCATTTTCGGCCAGGCATAGGGAGCGACAACTCCGAAACCTTCACCCCTCGAGCCATCATATACGATCTCAAGGGTGGCTTTGGTACGCTGCGCAAGTACAATGCCCTCTATGGCCTTCAGGATGAGTCCACACCTATTCAAGGACTATGGTAAGCATTCCCGTGTGGGCTTCAACAAACTCCTGTTGACAGGGACAGGGATGGTGCAACGCTGACACAGACCGAACCAACAATTGAACCCTCAGAGTATCAAAGAAGGCTTGAAGTTGCCCTTCCTACTTCACAAGTCCATGCCTCCGATGTGAGGTATTGGTCCGATTTCAATCGAGTGTTTTTCCATCCGCGATCGATTGTTCAATTGAATGATTACGAATTAAATTCCCAACTCATGCCTTTTGAGAATTGGTCCACTGGAGAAGATCTCTTCCAAAGTTTGGATCAAGAGCTTGACCTTATCGATCGCGACATACGACCATTTGTCGAAGAATGCGACCAAATGCAAGGGTTTCAAATGCTCACTGGGGTGGATGACGCATGGGGAGGATTCTCCTCGAGATATCTCGAAAACCTTCGCGACGAGTATGGTAAGACCAGTATCTGGATCTGGGGAGTTGAGGACCAATCAAGAGTTGTGAGGGTATGTATTTGACATGAACGATATCTGGAAAATACTGAACCAGATCAAAGCAAAAGCAGATATTGCGGGCGTGCAACTCTGCAAGGTCTTTGCGCTCATTGGGGCAACAGGCATCAGCATTGATTCGTTTAGCAGCCCCTCCAACGAACTTACCAAATTATGTCGACCTGGAAAACTCTTCAGACTGGGCAACCACTGCGTTGTTGTCTGCAGGCCTCGAGTCAATCACTTTACCCACAAGGTTCAATGCGACGGCTCGAAAAAGAGGATCCTTAGCTCTCTTCGAGGATATCTTGAACACCAATGGAAAGCAGAATCTATTTGAGCTTCATGCTAGTATCAACCACCCCAACGACAGCTCCAATGACCATGGAAGTGACCAACTAGCGAATGGAAACGGTGCGGCTTCTGCCGACCCAACCTCAAGTCTACTCGATATTGATTATTCTCCGAGTCGAAATTCAGCTGATTCCTTGGCAACAAAAGGCTACCACATCTTTGGTCAGGTAGAAAGTGAGCGTGACACGACAGGGTCTAATACGAGTGCATTAATGCACACCCCAGAAGAGCGTCTCCGCAGAGGACTTGACGATGAGAGTGTGGTTGAAATGTGAGTGAAAAATTTCTCGGTTATTCATCCTCACTCGTCAACCACCAATAACCACGAGCATTGGCAACGCAACCATTAGCTTTGGGTACCTCGTGACTAACCTGTGCGTAGTTTTCAAACCGACCTTCAATACCCAGTACTGGATACGTTTCCGGAGAGGCTCTTCCAGACCACGAGACAAAGCAAGGGTACTTTGAATATTTCAGCCACCCTCGTGTGTACTTCCGGCATGAAAAGTCGAGTCACCAGCCTTAGGGATGCAACTTCTCGATTGGTACCTTTGGATGAACGCGAAAACCTCTACAACGACCTTACAGAACTTGCTACCAACTATAGTATCGGATGGGAAAGTGGATCTGACGATGACGATGACGATGATTGATCATGGTTACCTGGAAAACAATGTAGGAATGCAAACAAGTTCTTGAGCAAAGGTGACGTGAGTTGACTTTGCTTGTGTTATGGCCCTGGAAACTACTGGAACCAAATCTTCCTTGTTTTGTGCGGAGACTGGGAGATCCTCGCTGAACAGATCAATCCGAAGCGAAAAACTTGAGAAGACTTGCCGAGTGACGGTCCACGGATCGTGGGCCGAAGTAACCAAACCACATTCGGTGTTGTAGCCGTGTGAATGGAGAGGAAGCGCCGAGAGAGTTACGCGAACAAACTCGCTTTTCCATGAGTCTGGTCTCCACAGAGTCATCCGGTATGCGACTTACCCAGGGCGGGAGCTGAGAATTCAAGCACCTCAGGCCCCCGGGCGGGGAGCCAGGGATGGGGTGGAATTCCTGAACACGAAAACGCCCGGAAACGCTGGCCCAACTAGTAACAACGTTGAGGCTTGCGCCTATCCGACTTAGTTGATGCCACAATCGGTCGATGAGTTGATGACCAAGGAACTTTCTTTGAGTTGACCCAGGGTCGAGGGATATTTGCGCCACTGAGAGAATGTCCTCATCGGGATTCACGACTAACTTCAATAATGATGCAGTCAACCAACCTATTCATGCAACTTGAATAGACCGAGGACTCCGCTTCGCATGCTACCATGAAGCTAACAGCTTCTTGAGTACGGAACATGCAGTACTCTGACGATTCATATTGAGAGCTTTGGAGCTATTTTCGACGGGCGCAAGTGTTGTTTGCCCACCATAACAAGAGGTGCGCATGACTCCGGATAGGGCAAGCGCCCAGTGTATTCCTGAGATGCAGCAGCACGTTGAGAAAGGACGGGAAGCAAGGATGCAAAATCAGGATTTAGGTACGAGTTTCTGCATGTCTCAGGCAAAGAGCATTAGCTTCAAGAGCTACAGGCACCAATGTGCTAACATTGGATCGATGGATATTCAAGCTTTGCACTAAATCATTGAGGCTTGGGCATCGGTGAATTTTCCCACTTTGTGTGTGTGGAGTACCCAACCTCCAGCTCGTATCCATGTTCGACAATGAGCTTTTTGCTTCGATTCCCTCAGACCATTAGGCTAAGCCTACCACATCCTCTCTCCCAGCTGTCCTTACTGGTGGATCACAGCTGTCCTTTCGATTTGTGTCGCATTTTTATTCAAGCTATTGGGATGGTGACAGTTCTCCTAGCGATGGCGCGAGGCAAACACACAATACTACGATCACGATGACTATCCACATCAGTTCTTCTGAATCGTTGGGGTATGTCTGAGCTCCATTTGCACTATTTTTATTATTCCTGTCCTCGCTAGAGTCACAACTTGAAAGCTTTGGCCACCATCCGGTATGTGTCGCCGGTCATGTTAACGGGAGCGGCAAGCCCGCAATACTCAATAATACGAGCGCTATCAGAGACTTATCGCCAATATTGTTATCGATAATTCTGATGCACGGCCAGAAAATACGAGTCGACCTGTGGCTAAAGCTGCCTTGGACACTCGATGAAGGTGTGCTCGCAGCAGAATGATTTTGCCACCTCATCCTCAATGCAGGTTATGGTTGGTCATGAGCTAACAGGTCTTATTGATCCCTGCTCTACCGGATTTCCCCACTGGGCTTGGTCCTCGTGGGTAAGCTGCTGCAACCTTGAGGAACAGTCTAGCAGCTCCATCCAACCCCACTATGACAGCATCTCGAGGTGCATATTTTCAGGAACAGGCAACGTGCTGTGGAATATTGCATTTCGCCCGATAGTTCCTGCAAGCTTTTGCGGGATGAACCTGCTTGTCATGTTCCACTTACATCTGCATGAGAGGTACAAAATCCCCTCGACCCCTTCGCCTTTCCTGGGTTTGTTTCTGCCAGGCTTCAATACTCCAAATCTTCGCCCTCGTTCTCATTTGACAAGAGCTCCTTCGCTAAGGCTCTCACACACTCGCTCTTATATATAATCAGTCAACATGGTCAAGTCATCTACTGTCCTGTTGGCGTCGGTCAGCTCGGCCGCTGCCCTCGTCATCCGTGGTGAAAGCTCTACCGCTGCCGCCGCTGCACTTCAGGAATGGGAAACTACAACGACGACAAGCCCCGCCGCCGCAAAGACAACAACCACAACAGTCCCCTTTGTCGAATGGTCAACTACAACTACCAGTCCTGCTGCTGCTAAGACCACTACAACGACCACAGTTCCCTTCGTCGAATGGAGCACCACAACAAAGCCCGCTCCAACAACGACGACTGTTGCCACGACATGGGCCGATTGGACCACGACCACAACGACGAAGCCAGTCGTTAAAACCACCACGACTCAGTGGGAGGATTGGACGACCACCACGACGAAGCCAGTCGTTAAAACCACCACGACTCAGTGGGAGGACTGGACGACCACAACGACGAAGCCAGTCGTTAAAACCACCACGACTCAGTGGGAGGACTGGACGACCACAACCACGAAGCCAGTCGTTAAGACCACAACAACGGCCCAATGGTCCGACTGGGTCTCTACTACCACGAAACCAGTCGTTAAGACCACAACCACCGCTCAGTGGCAAGATTGGAGTTCATCAAGCAAGGCTCCAGCACCAGTCGTGTCGACTTGGGAGACCTGGGCTCCAGCACCAGCTCCAAGCTCGGTGAAGCCTGCTCCTGTCGCTTCCACGTGGGAGTCCTGGGCTCCAGCTCCAGCCCCAAGCTCGGTGAAGCCTGCTCCTGTCGCTTCCACGTTCCAGTCATGGGCTCCAGTCCCTGTAGCACCAGCAAGCTCCGCTCCCGCTCCTGTGTTCAATACATGGGGACCTGCTTCAGCCCCTGCTCCTGTAGCCCCAGCAGCGTCATCTGTTTGGCAAAGCTGGGCTCCCGCACCAGCACCAGTTTCATCTGTTGCTCCCCCTCCACCTCCACCAGCCAGCACCACAGTGAAACCAGCTGTGTACACTCCTACCACTGCAGCACCTGCTGTTGCTACCTACACTGGCGCTGCTATCCAGAACAAGCCCGCCATGGCTCTCGTTGGTGGCCTTGCTGCTCTCATTGCTTTGGCATAATTTCCGCCTTCACTTTGTCATCAATGACACGCGCTGCTTATGATAAGTCTCGATCAAAAGTGATACGAGCGTACGATCCTTACGATGAAAATTGACACGCATGGGGTTACAAGCACCGGATTGAATCGGTCCAGGTCTGTCCAATAATGTATATAGAGATGATGCAGGGAGTGTTCATACTATGAATAGTACTCGCCAAACATTAATCGATAGTCACAGCGGTAATAGCTGGGTCAAAAATTGCATGATACCAATATATACCATCTCATATTTTCTTTGGTTTATACAATTTCATTAGGTGTAGTTCTAGGTTGGAAAATTTTTCACGACCACAAATCCTAACTTATGCAGCAGTGTGGAGATGCGACTTTTGGTACCTCTCATTATTTACTTTTATCTTACTTCTGGCGATGGCGCATATAGAATTCTTGATGTCTGGAAATTCCAACAGTCAGTGGACAATCATCAACTGCTCGTAGCCAAAATCCTGTCGCTAGGACATTAATATTGAGACTGTCCACGGTGCTCCAGAGTGTGTCGTTGGCCTCAAATCCTTGGCCTGTCTCCGGTGTTTTCTTTCTCTGCGATGACCAATTTCGTGCTAGTCCTTCACGTCTGGTTCGAGAGCCTTTATTGCGGCCTTATCGTTTGCTTCGAGTTCTTGGTCCTCTCTCATCCCCTCTCTTCTCTGTCACAAAGATCCCTATGTTTTGAGGTCTATCATGAGATCATCTGCCTGGCTCATGTAGCCTGCTGTTCTGTACGAAACCATCATTATTCTCACCCCGTCGCTTTCTCTTCCATGATCTAGTATATTGCCTTCAAGATTCAGCTGTTGGATCTATGTCACGTTACCCGCTCTCGATTGCGAGAATTCTGTTCTTTTCTCCCTTTTCGCCACGAAGAAACTGGTTTTGTTTTTCATATCTCGCCCGCAAAGTTGGCAGGGCTTTCTATTGCCCCTAGAGGCCCGGTTTAATAAGCAAAGGGCTGAGCTGAGTTTGTTCCAACGTTATTCGCTGTCAGAGGAGCACTGGCGGAGCCTCATGAAATTCCTGAGTGGCAATACAACCTCAATCCACTGCAATGACCGATGAGGATGAAGGATCTCTGTGTTTTGCAGGATTCAGTGAATTAGATCCTTTCTCATACCGTTTTATATAGGACACAGAACAGCCTCCATGAGGAGAGAGAAACCCAAGCTACTATATCTGGGCTATCTTCATGTGTCAGAAAGGCATTATACCGATCAATTGGTTGAGAAGAATAACTGCTCACCACTGTGCTTCCTGATACTAGTTATGATTGGGGAGGGCACCCGAGACAATGTGAGTTCCTAGACCTTGAGCTGGAATTGCTAACCACTCTAAGTCTTTTTGGGTAATTTATTATCCTCAGGCTGTAGGCGCTCACTGAGACACGATGCACCTGCATTCAATTATTCTTGGGTATGACTTTGACTTCTACGTCTTTGTCATAAGAGATATGTAAATCGTTCCTACAGACTCAATAAGCAATTTGAGCATATCACGGATCTGAATGGCAATTGGCACACCGATCTTTTGCAACTCAGTCATTGGCAGTCCGCCCCAACTAATGACTTCAAAAGTTGGCATCAGCAGCTTAACACCGCCACAAGTTCTGTCCTCGCCAGAGCACATCTCATTTATCTCTGCTCAGGTCCAAGGGATCATGCTCTCCAAGTAAACCAAGATATTCCCCTCCCCGCTACCTGAGTGAACCAATGTTGCTGGTTTTCTTGCCACACTTCCACTATCGTTCGCTCATGAGCGTTTGCGGCGTGACAACACAGCTTTTGTCGCTCTTCTTCTCTGCCTTTTTTCCTTTTTCGACACCCACACATGAGTGCCTATAGGCACGACGCCAAGGTCGACAGGAGTGTGGATTCACTTTGCACCAGCAATATCGTCGATGATTAATACTCTCGCAGCTTGTCTGGTCACTTCGACTACAACGGTGTAGATGAAGGCTTTTTACACGATCTATACTGTACATCACTCACGAAGACTGAGACCAACATATAAGACCCCGATGCCCCTGATGTATTCTCGTTCTGCTGTATGCTCTCTATCACCACCGTCGATTCTTCAATCACCGAAAACGCTGACTATATTGGTCAGTTGTGACAAGCAGTGGCAGATCACCAACAAAACCCAGGCGTGCGTTTCTACTACCCTCTCGGAACTTTCGAAATCAATGCAGAAGAATCTTGGAATGAAAGGGAGGAGATGTCAGCAAAGCTAAGGGCTTTGAGTGACATGTCATCAACATCCAAATTGAAAGGATGTGTCCACAGCTTCCATCAAATTCCTGGATTATTCTAGGGAACCAACCCCCCAAGCTGCATCATAAAGTGGCAGAGAAGCAAGAAGAGTAAGAAGATTGCAGATAATTAAGTTTCAAGATATCTAGATTATTCGACCCGAGTTCTGGAGACACGAAACAGTCTTTATGTCCGGAAAACTTAATATGCGCCCGACTAAGGTAGCAAACTCTGCCAGTCGCAAATGATGCGCAAACTAATAATCAAGGTCTCCAAGTCTCTCTCCTCATGGAGGCTGTTCTGTGTCCTATATAAAACGGTATGAGAAAGGATCTAATTCACTGAATCCTGCATAACACAGAGATTCTTCATCCTCATCGGTCATTGCAGTGGATTGAGGTTGTATTGCCACTCAGGAATTTCATGAGGCTCCGCCAGTACAGAGAGGGTTAAGGGTTGGCCTTAGAATCGTCAAGCTGTGTGGTTCAATATACGATAATGGAATCTCTAGGATCTTGCCCAAATTGTCATTAGGAGTCTTAGAACAGGAGTTGTTGGCGAAGCTTAAAGCGACTGACAGGTAATTGTAAGACTGCGAGCTCATGGTAGTGATGTCGGCGCCAGAGTGAGATTGGTAGTCAACAGCGAGTACCCTTGGGGCTTCAGCTGGTCTATGCTGACATAGCACATTCACCCAATTCAAACCATTCACTACGACCAAAGAGCTTGCGCTCCTTTCTTCCCAACCCATCGTCTAGTAATTACAAAGCATAAGTGGATTGAAGTGCTAGGAACGAGTATAGACAGTCATTTATTTGGTTGTTTGCGTGGTTCTGAGTGCTTTTGTGGAAATGGGTAAATTGCAAGGAGAAGCAGTGCAATCGTCCGAGATGGCGGGCCCTTAGATCCGTGTGTCATATGGGCGGGATAGTAATATTAACTTGTCTGACACTCTCACAGCACTACAAATGGTCGGGCGAGTAGATCATTCAGGAAACGGTTGAAGGATATCATTGCAAACAACCTTGTAAGTGGTGGGATAAGCACCAACTTCTCGGTGTCCCATTACTCTTGCGCTATCTGGAAGGGTTTTCGCTCTAGTTTTAGCGTGCACATGCCGTTGCTGAAGTCCGGAGGAAGCGGTTGTCTGGAGAAGGTGGAGACATTGTTCCTGCGTTACAATATCGCGGGGCCAGAGAAGTCGCAGAAATTCTTGAGGCCAATTTGTAGCTGGTGGGATCCCGAAGTCCAACGATTAGTCTAATGCGAAGATGATTCAAAAAAGGAGTAATGCCCATCCCTGACATCGCAGCCTCGCCAGGGTCAGTGAGGTCGGGGGGATCGGCAACTACAAGAGGCAACTCAGCCGAGCTTGGCTTAGAGCCTTGGCAGGTACAGCCTTACAGGACCCGCAGTGCGGTAAGCCCTGAGCCAACGGGAACTGGCCACTATGGCCTCCAACTTCTGGACACTTGTCTTAAGTCATGCGCTTCTTGGATGGTCACAAAATATCTAAAGTTCAAGCCCAATGTACATTCCGCTCTCCATTCCTCCCTGAACTCACAAACAATATGGCACCCCCAGGAAAGCGGAAGTTTACCTCTTTGACTCTTCTCCCACTCCTCTTCCTCCTCTTCTTAACCACCGGCGCTCATGCCGCATCCGCCGTCTTAGGCATAGATCTCGGAACCGAATACTTCAAGGCGGCAATTGCAAAGCCCGGAAGCCCCATCGATATCGTTCTGTCGAAGGACTCGAAACGTCGGGAAGCGGCCACACTTGCCTTCAAACCTTCAAGGTCGCAGACTGGCGATAATGATGCGTTTCCAGAAAGATTATATGGCGGAGATGCCGTAGCCCTGGCGGTTCGGTTTCCCACAGACGTGTACCCAAATCTGAAAACACTCCTTGGTCTCGATGCCTCTTCGAAGTTGGTACAAGGCTACCATGCACGCTACCCTGGACTCAACATCGAAACAATTCCAAGATCTGACGGTGGAGAGGGTACGGTTGGTTTCAAGAGCAGTAGCTTTGGGAAAAAGAATGAAGTTTTCATGGTCGAAGAGTTACTGGCGATGCAGTTCAAGAACATAAAAGCCAATGCCGAAGCGCAGGTCGTCAAGGGGACTTATGTCTCAGAGGTTGTCATCACACATCCACCATTCTTCACCGCGGATGAGAAGAGAGCAATCGAATTGGCTGCTGAACTGGCTGGTCTACGAGTTCTCGGCCTCGTCAGTGATGGTCTGGCAGTCGGACTCAACTATGCAACATCTCGTACTTTTGACAGTGTTTCAGAGGGTGGAAACCCCGAGTACCATCTGGTTTACGACGTTGGCGCTGGATCTACAACTGCTACGGTTCTCAAATTCCAAGGTCGAACTATCTCTCTCAAAGGCGTTGGCAGGCGTAACCAAACAATTCAAGAAGTCATTGTTCTTGGTACAGGCTATGACAGAACTCTTGGGGGCGATTCCTTAAATGATCTCATCGTGGCGGATATGGTCGACCAGTTTCTTCAGATCCCCAAGGTCCAAAAGCTGGGAGCAACAGAAGCACAAATCAAATCTCATGGGAAAACCATGGCAAAACTCTGGAAGGATGCTGAACGCATACGTCAGCTCCTCAGTGCAAATGCTGTAGCATCAGCATCTTTTGAAGGTTTGTACGATGAGGACATCAACTTCAGATACGCCGTCACCAGAGAAAGATTTGAGGTCCTCGCAGCTGATTATGTCGCTCGTCTCGAAGCGCCCCTATCTTCTGCCTTGCAATCTGCTGGCCTACAGCTCAATGACCTCAATTCAATCATTCTCCATGGAGGTTTAGTCAGAACCCCGTTTGTTCAGAAGGAACTCGAGAGAATAGCAGGGGACCCTGCTCTCGTCAAATCCAATGTCAACGCTGATGAAGCAGCTGCAATGGGCGCAGGCTTCAAGGCAGCCTCCTTGAGCCCAAGTTTTCGTGTCAAGGACATTCGTTCTACAGACATATCTGGTGCGGCGATCAATATCAAATGGAGCACCGAAAGCAAGGAGAAGTCACAAAAGCTGTTTACTCCTTCCTCCCAAATAGGGAATGAGAAGCAAGTCCCCATCAAGGCTCTGGAGGACATCGAGCTATCCTTCATACAGACTGTGGGAGAAAAGGACATCTCAATTTTAGACGTTCAGGCCACGAACTTGACTAAATCAGCTGCACTATTGAAGGACAAACATGGTTGTACTGCGGCGAACATCAGTACCATATTCAATGTTCGACTCAATCCCCTGGATGGACTTCCTGAAATTGTTTCTGGTAGTGTCAGCTGTGAAACGGATGGTAGTAAAGCGGCAGGCGTTATTGATAATGTCAAAGGTCTGTTTGGATTTGGTTCCAAAAAGGAGGATGATCAAGATGTACTTGCGGATGAATCGACCAATACGGACTCGGTTTTGACCCCTTTACCAGTCTCTGACCCCACCAGTTCAGGCTCAACCATATCAGAAGCCTCGTCTTCTTCGTCTGATTCCTCGGCATCCTCAAGCAAGTCTGCAAAGGCAGTAAAACCAACCCCAACGGTTGTTGCAATCCCTCTTGCACTCAAAGCTGTCCCCATTGGCAGAAGTGCTCCTCCCACGGCGACACTTCCAAAAATTCGACAGCGACTAACTCAATTCGACACTTCTGACCAGAACGCAGTGCTTCGCGCTGAAGCACTAAACACACTCGAAGCCTTTACGTATCGAGCTCGTGATTACTTGGAGGATGAAACATTCATCTCTGCATCTACTGCAAAGGCTAGAACTGAGTTAGAAAAGCAACTTGGCGCTGTCTCCGAGTGGCTTTATGGTGATGGGTCAGATGCCAAACTCCAAGACTTCAAAGATAAGTTGAAGAGCTTGAAAGGTCTCGTAGACCCAGTCCTCAAACGCAAAAGTGAAGCAATCAAACGACCAGATGCGATCAAGGGACTACAGGATGGACTAGAAAATCTGGCCGGCATGATCAAAATGGTGGAAGGAAGTGTGCAGAAAGCAGCTGAGGATGCAGCATCAAGCGCTAGCGAAGCCGCGGCATCTGCAGCCTCGAGTACAACGACTAGCACAACAACCTCTTCTGTTGGGGATGATTTGGACGAAGATCCTTACAGCACCAGCTCGGCGGCCGAGTCATTTGAAAGTGAGGTGCCACCGATTAAACCATACGAATACACAGCAGAGGATCTCTCTGCCTTGACGAGCAAATATGAAGCAGCAAAGGCATGGCTTGAGAAGAAGCTGGCCTCGCAGGACAAGCTAACGCTGACTGACGATCCTGCATTTCTCTCATCTGAACTTGAGACGAAATCTCAAGAGCTGCAAAGAGCAGTTTCGGACATTTTGATGAAAGCCATCAGAATGAATGATCCTCGAAAATCAAAATCGAGTAAGAAGGCCAAGCCAAAGACGACGAAAACTAAGAAGGCAACTTCCTCGTCAACGAGCACGACCACGAGCTCGACATCGAGTATTCGAGATGAGCTATAGATCTTTACGGTAGCTTTGATATGCCTGCAATGAGAATGCGTGAATGATTCCTTACTCTATGCTCAGCGGATTCTTGCATCAATGGCTACAAACCAACGTGAGCCTGGCGATTGTCCATTAGGTACCCGCCCTATATAACGCGACCTTTCATTACCGCAGTAAGCAATTGGCTAACTTGTTTGATAACGAATTAGTAACTAAATTGCTGATACTGCTACCCGTTACATGACTTAATACTGACAGAGTCTTAGTAAATACGCTGAGATGTTCGACAAGTTAGCGTTGACTAGAAGCTTACATATAAGCACTTGACACTGTTGTGGCTAGGACATTACCATTAATCTATCTTCTCCCTTTTTGGTCCATGCTTGCGGTCATCGCAGCTATAAAGTCTCGCGCCTGGTGAGAATACTGTCGATAAATTAACTTCAAACTCCCGACTTCCTACAAATTTACCTCATGTCTCAGCCTGTTCTCCCAGGAACTGCGGCAGTCAGCGCAAAAATTGACCAAGCTACGGCACCGAACGAACAGCAAGGAGAAGTGGTGGCGCCAAACAAACTGCAGAGGCTGGAAGGAGAAAGCAGACGTCAAGAACGCATAGCCTTAGCAAATAATGCTCCCTTGGGTACATCTGAGCGACCTCAACGTCTTCAGAAATTTCAGCAATCCCAGCAACCTCCTCATCAATAACTTGCTCGACAACAACCTTCTCAACAGCTAGCTCAGCAACCTCAAAATCCCAATGAACTCGGCTTCATTGGAGAGTCAAACCGAGAAATGAATTTCTGCGGATCAATGACACCCGGGGAACAATGAGTTGCTCCATCATAACTATCTCCGCGCATCGTTCGGGTGCCCTTATCGAGAGAACCGTTCAACGAAAGCCGAGCTCTGTATGGCTTCATCTTTTATTTCAAACCTCGATACAAACGATAAAACGGCTGAGTTTCCGCACCAGAAATTGAGCAGATGGTGAACTACTTCGGCGGTGTTGTCACGCACCCAGTCTTGTACACCGTCGGAGATTGCGACACAATTAGGACAATTCAAAGAGTCCTTCGGCGTGGCGCTTTTGGCGTCAAGATGGGTCGGGTCACGTAGTTTTGGGAAGCAACGGTAGAGGTGGTGACACTTTCTGGAGAGACTATCAGAGTTCCCTCATTGGGGATATGCTGCATTGAACATGAACGAAGCTGTTAACAAATGTGTCAGGGTCGTCCATTTCAGTCAGCTGGAGCGTCTTCGACTACCGGACCAGGCCCATCTATACAACAAGATCCTTCTGATCTAGCAACCATGGACAGCACTGCTTAGGAAGATCCTTCTTCACGCAGTCCGAGATCTTTCATGAACAACAAAGGGACCGTGTGGCACTCTTTCTTGAACAAAACTTCCTTGTGAGCATTCAGCTCTTCCCAAATGGCGTTGATTGATATCCGGTATGTGAAAACTTTGTTTTCAGTGTTTCAAACAGGCAAGAGACGTGCCTTATTGATCATCTAGAAACAAGGATGAAGGTTGGGATTCAGCCCCTCCCAGCATCGTGACCTGCATAATAGCTCACGATCCATGTTCGCATCTTGGTCAAATCCGATGTTGCTCAACCACGGCCGCCTTTTTGGTTAATTTTCCCCACATTGAGTTCGCATTTGCTATGGGGCCAAACCCCGTAGTACTAACTTGGCCCCATAGTTCTTAGAGAAGAATACTACCATATCGTTGTTCAGAGTATTTGTGTAGAGTACACGCGCCCAATGGCCGGTGCCTAATACAGAGGTTCACTTCGAAAATATGATCCATGTAAACTCTGCTAGCGATAATTTTAGCTTTGAGTACCTCTGTGAACCCATTCCATGGAGAATCTATATGAAAATTATCAAATATTAACATGTTTCTAACTTGGTCATGGCAATCTAAACTTATTACCGACGGCAATTCCACGACTTTAATCCCCCGAACTGTTTGTTTAGGCTTTCTCGCTGCCCAATTCCCATTAATCCACAATCTACCGGAACGCGTATCAGCGTGGAGAGTTATGGACTAGGAAGCTCCATCTCTAGTTTTTAACCTTCATGTTGTATCCCCACTAGGTTTCACTATGGAGGTAGTATATATAACTCAAAAATGTAAATCACGAGCCGATCACTTGAGGGCCATTTAAGTAAGAGCCATTTCCTCAGCCTGCGATTGTTTCTTCCTAGGGTTGTTCTACTTAAGTTTTCCGCCTGTCAATAAGGTAACGTCTCTCCAAAAAGCCTTGAGATTTCCAAATCATGCAACACAAAGCTCTTCTGATGCTGCTTGCGTGCAAGCTGGCAGCAGTTAAAGGAGTTGCTGTTCCTGGGTGGCTCCCTTCTTCTGAGAGCTATTTACAACACGCCCCGACAACTACCACCACTGCTTTCGTCTTAAGACAGAATAGGCGAGCAGATGCTACCGCCAGTCAAAACGGCGGGAAAATCTCATCTGCCGTGTCAGTGCTCGAATCTGCGATATCAGTGCTCCAGTCTGTAGCATTAGGAACGACATCGACACCCATATCTACATCCACGACATTGACGACATTTACGACGTCGACGCCAATATTATTGCCAACATTAGCGCCAACATCTAGTAGCACGTGTGATGGAACCCTTGAAAAGGATAAATCTTATCGAAACTCGTACTACACATGCCGGGGCATCGACCGCCCAGGCGGTGACATTGCCACCTATTACAATGTTGACGACCACTTCACATGCTTACAGAAGTGCAGCGACCACCCCTTTTGCGTTGGAGTGACCTACTATTCAGCTAAGAGCACATGCTTCATCAAATCGAAGCTGAGTCCGCCAGTACCTGCGTCGGACCTTTGGTCCGTCTCCGAGCGACGTGATCCGCTGCCGCAATACTGTCATGCCTCAACTGAAATTGTCAAGGAAGGTCGACGTTACATTGGTTGCATGAATGTTAAGCCAATAGGCGCAAAGGTCTCTCTTCAAGTGCCCGCCGCAAGGACTGCGGATTGTTTAGACATATGCACCCACCAAAAAGACAGTCACGGCTCTCGTTCATGCATCGGCTTTCATCTCGACACCAGCTTCCTATGTTCTTTGTACGCCACTGGTCCTTCTTCCTATGAGGTTTCGAATGCGGACTCCATCGTGGCCTTCGTCGTGGAAATGAATGAGAGTCAAACGGATACCATTCCTGGATGACCTTCTGGATGAACACGTTGACTGACCTGAACAGGGTTCAAGAATAGTGTCTTAGTCTTACAAGGGAACCATGTCACTTCATTGACGGAGAAGCATTCATCAACTTTGGCGGCTAGATGGCTGGACGATGGGGCTAGGACGTGGTCGGTAATACATGACAATGCGCTCCATAGATGAGAAAGGTGTGCACACAAGTGACGTTGCGGGTGTTCAAGTTGGAGAGTATCTTGATGCCAAGACACTAGTAAGCGATCCCGATGAGGCTGACGCTTCGGAGCCAAATCGATCAAACCTAACTTCAACTTTGACGTGACCTCTGCAAAAGAAGAGAGATATCTTCATTGTCACCGTCAGGAAGAGATCGCAAATAGCTCAGGAGAGTATCGACGTATGCATAGATATTACATTGATTCGCTCTCTTGTCTGTTGTTGGCCCTGCACAATGCCATGTATGAGCTCTGAGGATGACTAATGTGTCCTGGAGACGCCCATCTCTGCACTGAAGCAAGTACTAATGAGAAACGCGAACGATGATCTTCAAAACGGCGGTATGATCTCCCGATACCGGCAGGGTAAAATCTACATATATCAATCTTACGATGGAGGCAAAGAGTAATGAGCTGGTCAGGAAACGGAAAGGATCGAAGCACGATAAGACTGGCTGTTTGACATGCAGGTACAGGTAAGAGGGATTCGTATCTACTGCTTTGTAACTCCAGTGTTCGTTATTGATACGTTTGTACAGGCGGAAGAAGTGCCTAGACAACAAATTCCCGATATGTGGAACCTGTCAACGGCTCAATCTCGAATGCATTCGGGAACCTGCTCGTCAAGTTGTGCCCCCTCCAGCATCCGCTTCCAGCACGACGGAAATTTCACTTCCCATTACGAACCTGTCGTTAAATTGGGAGCCTCTACGTGAGCACGGAGGGATCGATTTCCTTACGAGGAGACATATCATGAGGCACTATGTCAATATCTTGACAGGTCTCTTGTCAATATCTCACCAACATAATTCGTTTTTGTCCGGTAAGAATGTAGCCAATAGGTTGTGTACTCCCTGTGCTCACCAATCTTGCAGCTTACCTCCCGATGGCGATGGAATCAAAAGTTCTTTCCGAAGCCCTAGTTGCCTGGTCAGCTGGACATCTTGCTAGCGTTGACCAATCGTACGAAACTACAGCACTTGAAGCCCGGTCGATAGCTCTCAACGCACTTGCAAAAGCAGTGATGTCCCCAGCGGACAGTATCTCTTCCCACGAGACGAATACTGCCGCGTGTTTGGTTCTTCTCACCTCTGAGGTCTGTCAAGGCGACCGAGCGGGCTGGTACAACCATTTAATGGGCGCCAAACATATCATCGAATCCGCCAAATGCACAGGGCTCTCTAGCAAAGCAATTATAACGGGTCCCGAAGTTTTTAAGCAAAGTCCCGAAGGCCAGTGGGTCCTACGCAATTTCGCCTATCATGATGTACTGGCCAGCGTGACTTTGGGACGACCACCGTTGATAAACGCCGAATATCTCGAGGGCATCACAGATGTGGTCGACACTTACCTGGGTGTAGCCTCAGAAGTACTCACTTTCATATCTGAAGCCAGTTCTCATGGCCACGATATGTTATTTGCTGTCAGCAGTCCTGATGAGCCAGTGCCTGAGACCACAAAACAGCAATTTGCAGCTTCTTTGGAGGCATACCTTGAGGTGAAGCAGAAACTGCACGATTGGAGATGTGACGCCTCGGCGAAACCTGAGCTAGCCGCAGTGGCATATGCATATCGTAGCGCTGCCCTGATACATGTTTATCGACGAATTCGTGGCCTGCTTCATCTCAGTCAAAGTATGAATCACACTATTCATTCCGAAGAATACATGAACGGTGTCATAGCCTCCATCAGCGCCGGATTGAAGTTTCAAGCTGGCCAGCTTCTCGCGCATGTCTCGAAGATTCCGCTGAACGATATCCCGGAATCGGCACTCCTCTTTCCGTTGTTTATGGCTGGAGGTGAAGTGGATCCAACTGACATCACTCTACTCGATATGATCCGCAATCGTTTGAGGATGATTTTAGAGAAGCGCAATTTCATCAACGTGCTCTCTGCTCTGGAGATTCTCGAGGAGTTATGGGACCGCAAAACGAAGCACGCTTCTCAGAGCAGTAATCTCGATACTGTTGCCGATTGGGAAGACGTCTTGAAAGCTCAAGGGGGATTACTCTTACTCACTTGAGATGAGTGGAGTTGGACTGAACTATATATACGGCGGGTCCTTGTTATCTTTACAAGTCTATATCCGAACCACCGTTTCCAACAACCCAACTCAAGATTTTGAGCCTTGATCAGATCGCAATTAGCACCCGCTGGAAGACGATATGATGCTCTGATGTTCGATATCCCTAGGAACGTTTCACGCGACACATGACGCTAGAAGGAACCGACTCGAAGGACTATCTGGAATATGATCTCAAGGTACTCAGAAAAATATTCTTGCGACGTCAGACCAACATCAGAAAAAAGACCGTCAACGCTAGAATTGCTCTGCAACCTAATTACTGGGTTAGCTCTGGCTTGCCATGTTCTGCGAATCATCACGCCGAGGCATTCTTCACACTACTGACGATCCATCTTGCAACAATGGCCGCGAAAATATTCCTGAAGCGGCCAGCTGAGGTCATCGAGGATTACTTACCTTTATATGATGATGAATGCGATAAGGACGTAAAGTCTCGATAAAAGGACTCTATGTCGCTGTCCCCTTCCTGTGGTTGTGGTCTTCCACGTGGTATCAAACAAGGACACAACCCAATCCGGGTCCATAATGGCCCATTGACTGACTCTTCCACAATTCCGGAACTATGCAGTGCCCAAACACAAGCAACAAAATTCACTGCGCTGTACGCTGCGCAGCCCCAAGTGGCTGGTGAAGTAACTTCGCGTACTCGAGCCGGAGAATGAAGATTTCCGCTCTTGCTACAAGGGATCCAACCATGGTCAAAAGGCCCAATATATGGGGCCGATGGATAAGAAGAGGAACATGAGAATGAAGACGGAGACGAGAAAGGTGTGGGCACGGTCGATCGACATCGTCGTATTTCCTTTATCTATATCTATATAAATATTAAATGAGTGGGAGCCAAGAGGATGATTCTGAGTCGGACTCTGATGATGAGAAGGAGAAGGAGAAGGAGCACCTTGGAATGAAATTGTGGTGATGATTGATAATTGATATACCTAACTCAAAAATCCTCATGGAGACTGTAGCCTCGTCACAAACAAGATTGGATTGGAAGTGGGTGGACTTTTAGTAGTCGTAACAATGGCACTTAATAACATTGGGGGGCATCTTGGGAACAAGACACTGTAGCGGGAGATATTCTCCCGTGAATCATCCATACCCGCCTTCGCGGGTTTTCTTTTGGGTCTGATGGCTACATAAATAAATGACATATGGCCATCTTCATCTGTCTCTGCATGTTCGACACATACATAATCGCTTACACAGCACGGTGGCAGGTGTTTGTGGCGGATGAGTGCCACGGCGAGTTTGACGCACTTCTCTCGGCGTGATTGCGTTCATGAGCATGTGACCTTGCAAATTGGGTTTGACACCCGCCCCGATTCTTGACGGAACGTTGGGTGTGTTTTCTGTTTCGCAACAGCGTCATAATTCATACTGCTGAGAGAGATTGGGCACGGGGGCTTGGGATGTGTGCAACGGAATGTGCTCAGAAGACATGTGTCCATATCATATCTTGGGGCCTGTTGCTGCCTCTTTCTCTGCCCTTTGACCACGAGTGACACCAGTCCGAGTGTCGGAGAAACCGAGTTTGAACTTTCAGGAGTTCTATGACAAGAACTTTTTTTCAAAAGTAAATTGTACTGCTTCTAAAGCAGACAACAAAAAGTTCATGCTCAGCCAAGATATCGCCGTAATGCTTCATAAATACTGAAAATGATTGCTGAGCTGGGTGCGGCCCGGAATACCGTAATGCCACAACCACGATAAAATCCTCTTAATCCCTGCTCACGCCACAGTTGTCGACCTGTTGCGACAAAGCTCAACTGATTGGCTCCAATTGTGTCGACAGACACAGTCTGCATACGAGATTTGATCGTATCAGCTGGGTAAAACACGAAGTTGTAGGACATGCCTGCTGCTGCCCCAGCCAACATCTGTTGCCAAATTTTCACGTCTGAGATTTGTGAAAGTGAAGAATCAGCTTTCAGAAAGAGCATTTTTACGGCTTCGTAAGAACCGAACCATGCAGCCGAGCCGCCAGTTTCTCGGATCAAAGTGCCCATGTGACCATGCCAGAAACCCAATAGACCGTGATTCCTAAACACGGCCTTGATAAGTTGTAAAGGACCAGGAGCCTTGGGTCGAGTATAACCCAATTGCGATGCCATCTGAGGTGGAGGTAAAACTTGCATCTTACATTTAATCAGCTCGATTGGTGTGAGTAGCAGGGACGTAAAAGCACCGGAGGCTGCACCACAACCAAGGAGGGCCGAGAAAGGCAATTCAACTTTGCCCGCACCTTGATCCCTTTGTCGTCGTAAGGATGGGGTATTGGCAATGACCAACTCTTGGGCAACCCGGTAGCTGAAGAATAAGGATGAAGTTTCCACAGCCGCTCCTATCAAAGGAGCACTGATACCCCGATACAGAGACACCATGGGCCCTTCAGGACTGCGGAATGCAGCAGCAAAGGCATCGAGTGGACCTGCTAATGCTTGAGAGCCAGGTTGATGTGATTGTGACTGCAACCGGACTTTGACAGTATCGAATGGGTATTCCACGAACTTGCCCAGTATACCAGCGGTTGAACCATAGAGGATATCTTTTAACGCCTCAACAGACTGGCTCGAATAAGTTGGTATCTCAGGTGTAGGTGTGGCTGGCTCACTGGCCTCGTGTAGGCCCGCGACGGTGGGGTTGTCGTTTTTGAAGGCCGCCATTTGGAAATGATTGGTATTCTCGGATTGCATGAGGAGGAGGGGAAAAGCTATTGTTATTGTAGGGACATGTTGTGTTATAGCACTGTTAGGACCTCAAACACATGAGGGGCCTTTTTGAAGAAAGTTGAAGCAGCGGTGTCAACCAGAACGAGGGCGAGTGCCACGTCGAGACTCAAAGGTGGTGGTGGCCGCCACCCATGTGAGAGATCCAATCGAGGCTAGAACCAAGATATGAAAAGCGACTACTACTGAGAAGGAGTAGGCATCTGAATGGCTCAGTAAGACCCGCTGGAACAGTTTTGCATGGCTTGAAATACAAATTTTTGCGAAAAAGCTGCATCACCGACATTGCGTGGCCGATGTCGCGAGTCTTTTTTCGACAGACGCTATAGTCCAAATGGGGATTAGGTCGCGAATCAGCCCGACGCTAAGATAAGATAAGCCTAATCAAGGTGCGATCCCTCCATTTTCTGCCACTTTTTTCATGCAGCAGCCAGGACTCGGATAACTCCAGACTGCAACCACGCAGAGTCCAGAACAACTGTGCTCCGATATAGGGTAATCATCATGGAATCGACTTCGTCGCTTGTAGAGCAATCGCCTGTTGAGCCACTGCAACCAGCAAAACAATATGGTCTCCGGGTGAATGGTATGTGCAGACGAATGTTCGACTGACCAGCCACACGTACTGATTTAATTGACAGGCAAAAACTGGCACGCTCCCAAAACAGCATTCCGGCCAACAGCAGGCCAAACCTCTTACGCCAAGAGAAAAGAAGCAGACAAGATCAAGCAGGCAACCAAGGCTCGAGAGGCAGAGCTCAAAGAAGACAAAGAGCAGGAACGCAATCGAAAAATCCAAGCCATCAAGGATCGAAGGAAGGCTAAAGAAGAGAAGGAACGCTATGAAAAGATGGCGGAGAAGATGCACAGAAAATTGGTAGAGCGAAGAAGGCGAAGAGAAAAGAGGAATAAATTGTTGAAGAGCTGAGCTGCCACAATCTGACCTTCAATCACACCTCAATTCGAGGAGTCGTGCTCAAAGATGGATTCTCGACTTTTCTCACAATACTACTCGTCCTCTCATTCAGCTCACTCGCCAAACTCAAAGAGGGCTCGAACGACGCTTGGGTCCTTGAAAGTGCAGAACCTCCATCAAGTTTTCAATCCCGCCCAGTCAGGGTCTTTTCCTGCTGTTGGTGAACGGCGATCCTCGTCACTTTTTTCGAGCGAGATGTCGAGCACCGTGTTTCCCATTTTCAACTTGAGGGTATCAAACCTCATCTCAAGACCTCGGCATTGGTGCACAATTACAGAGGAGAGCTGACGTGCAGCCTCCTCAGTTGGTTTCTGGAGTGTCCACGCAACACTGATGTGAAACGCACTAGAATGGTCTGATATGCGGAGGAGTTCTCCCTGGTCGGCGGACACATCAGCCTCCGCTGGGACAACATAGAGCTGCGTCAGCCTAAACTCCCGAGCTGATGTGTTACATGCATTCAGGAGCACATTCAATTCATCACCTGCAGGCATGCTCAGCCTCAGTACGAGGAAGAATCTGGTGGCATCGTGGTTGGAGACCCAGTCTAATCCGACAACATTTACTGTAAATGTACTTACACGTAATTGTTTCAATCGGGCAATAAGGCTTTCTTCAAAAAGTTTCTTCTGCTCGGTTCTTAGTACGAGTGGAGCAGATAGACTGATGTGGAGTGGCAGCAATGCCCCAAGATCCGATCGCAAAAAATCATGGATCAAGACTTTCTTTGGATGAGCGGTACCCTCTGGATTAATGTTGACTGATACCTGTTTGATAATATCCTCGAGGAGAGCCACATCTATTGGCGAGGGATACCATTCGAGATAGATATGAGTGGGCCAATTACCTACCACGTGTGGGACTTGACGAATGCGGCCCGCATGTAAAGTCGGATCATCAGTGGTAGAGGTTCGAGCAGCAGCAGTGTAGAGCGAGTGAAAAGTGGAGGGCAGAGGTGGTGGCTTTTGAGAATTCCGATCAGGTAGCTCAACCTCAGCCCTTCGTTTTGGAGCAGGATTTATGCTCGACATGTTGTCATGGTCGCTTTCAGAACTTGAGTCGGAATAAGTAACCAACATGTTTGGTGATCCAAAAACATGGCTTTGGTACCTGCCAAGGTGATCGTCGGGGTCTGCCAATATGACTGTCCACGTTTTGAAATGCTTCTTGGAGCGATGTGGCAACGCCAGGGGGCTCAGTCAGAGTGATTGAGCTTTGGAGGCTGATATTCGAAGAGAAGGCTGGTGACGAAGACAATGTCTCAGATAGTGGTTGTACGTGCAGGGATGTTGCCGAGGTGAAGACTATTGATTTGCGCGAAGTAGAGAAACCGGCAGCGGCCGGGAAAACAAGTCCCTGGGGGTCCGCACAGTAATGTTGATAGAACGAGGGATTGCGCGTCCGATTGAGGATTCTCTTGCTTGTGACGAGAATGCACACATCCGTTCTAAGAATAGCTCTCTGGACGTGTACCTTGCTGATGTTGCATTATTGTAGTCTGTGCCTGCCACAATGATATTGTTGTTACTCGTAGGTACCTGTGGTGGTGATGTTATTGTGTGCAATTGCTGGGACAAGGACTTGGATATGACGTCGACTCTCACTAGCCAAGGGCGTGCCTAGTACACCGTTAGGCGGTTGTTATGCCTAATGCCCCTACTCACAAGTGCCTTGGTAGGCAAATCTGGGGGATGCCATCATCAACCAGACCTAAAAGAACCAGGGGGACCAGCAACCATGTTCCCGCTCCGCCTACCGCCCCCCGTACCGAACAATTCATCACCACCACCCAAAATCGAAAATCCACCATGACATCTGTCTCCCCACCCTCAATTGGCAGGGCAGCTTCCACGCCTCTCGCTTCACACCCCAAGCCTGAAGCCCAACTGATTCCATCTTGATTCTCTCTATGGATACCTAGGTACATTTTACATGTGGTCCGTGTTCCAAGTTGATCTGGGATCCTATCTCTTTTGATCTGCCTTCAATCATCGTATATCCGATAAATCTATTCATTTCTCAGTCCCTCGATTCTTTTTCGTCATCTCTTGCACATCATTTACCATAGACTCTCACGTTCTCCTTCAATTAATCACCTAACCACCGGAGATGGAGTCCACCAGTGACAAAGATTGGGTATGTGCATGATTCCTTGATCTCGACTTCCTCCAATCCGTGAGCTCAACTGACATATCCTGCTTCAATAAGGCGACCAAGTATCTTCTCGACCCTCTGAACGCGCCTGAACCTTCCCAAGAAGATGGTCCAGGAAACACTTTCCGGCCTGGTACTACATTTCCTCCAGTAAAGCCATCCACGCCGCAGTCCCCTCCTGGAAGACGACTATCCAAGACCAATCCATATCGAAAAAGCTCTGGTGCTCCCGCGACGTCGGACATTCGACGCAGTGTCTCCCTCAACAGCACCAGCAACAAGGCTGCTTCATACCCCTCTCCACCACCTTCAGCTAATTCTCCCAACGGAAGATATCCTCCCCAATCACCAGTCAACATTAACTCATCCACCTCGCCCCTCTCTCCTTCCCATCGGCAAGAAGCATTTGGTGAGAACAAGACAGGTAGACGAAGGACTAGCTCTCTTGGACAGCGCTACCCCGGCGACATGTCCCATCGACCACTGGATACACTGGTGAAGGAGAAACATACAGCAGATCGTGCTCGACACATGACACGAAAGCATCAAATCCGCCCCGACACAATTGATAGTTTGGATGACAGTGGACTTGGCTCTTATCACCATGGAGGTCCATATGATGCTACACTGTTCGCAAGGAACAACACAACCAATTCCCCTCTGGCTGCGCTGAAAGACTCGAACGAAGAAGCTCTCAGAGCGACACCAAGAGAAAAGATCATCGACAGTGTTCAGCACCATCGTCCGCTTGATGGTGTTGCCGCCTATGCGCCCGGATCATACGACCGCAATGGTCGGTTGTACACCTATGAGGAAGGCGAGAATATGATGATCGATAATAATGCTGCTGGTGGCGCTTACAAGCGTTGGCCTGGTGTTCAGTATCACCCCGACGATATCAAGGGCAAGGGTGAACCGAGCTATAGCATTGAGAAAGCGCTTAAGGAGAGTAAACTTCGCGATGAAAAGGTAGCTCCCGATGGTATCGAAATGAAGACCAACCCGCGGGATCATCGGGGTGGTCACAGTCGTGAACCCAGTGGCGGTGGTGCCATTGCTACTACTGGTTGGGATGATGGTGAAGCTCGCGTCAACAGAAGTAGCAGTATGAGCAAGAGGCTCAGTGGAGGTTTGAAAAAGCGATTTGGTAGTATCAAGAGGGGCACCAAAGATACTGAATAAGCACTGGCAACAACAATACGGATCTGAGCACCATACTGCCTTGTAACTTCTGAGGGCATATTCCAGACAGGCAGGATTTCTTTAATCTTCTCATAACGAATTGGGGGCTGGCTGTGTACAAATCATCTAGATACTATATGACTCATGGAGAAATGTCTCGGAGCTTCCAAAACATACTTCTTCCTGTCAGCCTCTACCAGACAAATTTCTACATGTTTGAGACGAAATAACATTGTGGCATGTACAAAATTCTTCCACCGTAGGGCTGTACAAATGTTACCATCCAGAGTATGTCAAACATGTGTTCGCAAGAGACGAGAACATCATGCTGCAGCACTACCAAAGTCCTCCTTGGCGTCAGGTCGATCCCAGCTCTCTGTCTCTAGACGTCGCACTTGCTGTTCGATCGACTGAATCTTCTCCAGATTCTCCGTTTTGGCTGCCTCCTGGAGATCGTAAATCTCCTTGAATTTTGCCAACATAAATGGTTCCAGCCGACTTTTCTTGCCCACTTTATAATCATAGACCACGACGTCCTCCAAACACCGCGCGGCGGGTCGCTGTTTGCCTTCGGAGAGAATCATGACGTCCAGAACCATCGACTGCGTCGACTCATCCGGCCTCGATCTCAGCTTATGATAGACCGAAATCCGGTCGGGCCAGGTCATGGGAAACTTGAAATCGACGGTGATGCTCTTGAGGATCAGACCGATCCCGCGGTTCGTCAGTAGCTCTTCCCATGCCGTCTTATGCCGGGGGTCGAAGTACTGTCCGATGTTACGCGTCCAGTTACAGCGCCCGCTCTCAGCGAATCGCACGTACATGACGTTGTTGACATGGCCCATCGAATCCTGTTCGCCCCAGACGATGCTCTGCCGGTGGAGGCCTGCCCGTTCTTTGTCCGTCAGGTACCCTTCACTGCCGGCAACGAGATTGCGCCAGTCCGTACCAAGCACGCGGAGGATCTTGCCCGCTTCATCCACGAGAGGCGCCGGCAGCCCGAATGTTATACATTTGCCGATGCGTGTTTTGGTGTCCGAGAGCCATCGAGGCGATACTGGGGTTTTGGGCTCCTCCGTCTTCGGCACCGCCGCAGCGGAATATTGTCGAATTGTCACGGCATCGTTCGTCGTTGAAGTCAACCTTCGGGCTATGTGCCCAATGCGACGCTGTATTATCATGTTTGGTTTACCATAGTACCAAGGTTGAAAAGCTTCCTAATAACTAACATCTTGAAATACGTGATGTTGGAGAATCTCAAGGTTACGTAAGAACGCCAGCCTCGGGCTCTTTGCTCCAGGGTGAAACTCGGACTTTGCTTCCCTACAAGAAACCTCCTTCACTCGTCACGTGAAGCTCCCTGCTTGGCAATGGATGGTCCCTAGGAGCCTGTCGGGATATGAGACGCTGGTTGGTCATGTAGTTGAACATTCATTCTACCATTTTGGTGTGTTCATCAGGCAGCAAACCAATTGCTCGCTTGACGGTGTGAAGAAGCATCGAACGCTGAAATTTTTTCTCGTCCAGGGGTGTCCCATCGTAGCAAATTGAACAACAAGCCAGAACCCCAACAGAAAACCCATTTCAAACCAAAACGTACGTGACAAAGCGACGACTCATAATCCTCCGTGGAAGACATCATTGCAGATATAAAAGACCTACCAAATTCCTCCAGTTCTCTTGCATCAATGTCCACAGCGAACTGACAAACCGGTTCTCGCTATCTTCGCTCCGCATATTTTGCATCGGTGTTGATAAGCACAGAAACAACCTGCCATGCCATGAACCTCAAGATGCAAAGTTGTTTCGGCTTCACGGATCCAGAGACCCAAACTCTTCTGTGCTGAGATCCGCTGCCAACAATACATATAGCTTATATGCCTGTCCATATCAGTTGGTTCGCGTGATGCTGCCCGTTACGGAAATGGATATTGGCGAGTTGAGATCTCACAATCCATCACGGGCACTGTGCCTGACTTGAAAGCCAATCGTCTTGAATATGTGTTGTCCTGAGTCGAACGAGTTAGCTGACTGGGACCAAGTCAGGGACTCGGAATACGCTGACACATGAATTGAATATCTCGAAAGTCATCGAAGTTGGAAAAGGTGTCCCACGTCGAAGGGAATGCTACCGTTCGAAGTGTGAAAAGCTTGAAGTTGCTACATGACCCAGTGAAATGTCGCTTTTGCACCCGCATACCTCATCTCGCGTTTCTGGCCACACTATCTTGAGATCAATTGCCTTCTCCAAGTTCGGCTCTATGCTTTACTGGAGGCAGGACGTTGCATTGGCGGATCTTCGACCCCTGACGAAATTTTCCCTTGTCCTGAATGGCTTGGCTCGGCTTTGACATGTCAATCATGATCACACCGCTTCATGCACTGGCGGCTCTGTGAGGAGACCACAAGATCTTCTCTCGACATAATTGCCAGCCAAAGAGAATCTCATGGTAAGTAAAGGCGCCCATGAATTTGTAAGCTGGTCACTGACTTGGTGGTTAAGGACGACTTGGAGAAGGATTATGCGCCCAGTCTCTCGGATCATGAGGATGGCACTTCAGAAGATGGTGTTGGTGAGGACGATTATGAAGACTCACAAGTGTGGAGGACTTGCAATCGGAGGGAGCAGAGATCAGTGACGAGGAAGTCTTGAAAATGCTCGTGATGACTCTCAAAAGAACCGAGTATAAAGGCCTTACAAGGGCCTAAAACTTCATCTGAGCACGCTGAAGCCGAGAAGCACGCCGTTGCAAAGATGACCGATGAAGAACTCGCTGAGGAGGCTCCCAATCTTGATGACCTCGGACTTTGTGAGCTTCGTCTAGTCGGTAAATATGAATAGGCACCAGCAGATGGGTTAATCGATTTTGGCCTTCTTGAGAAGATCAAGCCAGGAGTGTTCTATCATGCTGCCACTAGATAAGCCTTTTGCCACACGAATATGGTCGACCCGGAAACTAACGAGGTTCTCACGATTGTTCGCAGACATGCAAAGGGAGCACTGAAGGGTTCGACCTTCAGAGTGAACCCGAGGATCTCCATGCCGTTGCGGATCATAATCACCCGGTGGCTCGGTGACTCGAGATGTCTTAAGCCAGATCCTCGGGCGGCTGATGTTGCGATATACCATGGCATCCGAAACCAAAGTCGGGGACAGAGTTATGAGACCCGGCGATGACGTGCCAATGTATTGGGTTTGTGCCGTTGAAATCAATGGTAACCCTAACCCTAACGTTATTCACTTTGAAGGGAAGGGTATTATGCTGAAGTGGTTTGTCCACGCATTCGAATGGGGTACTGTGAACTTCGACATCACCTTGGCCAGAACCCTTCCCGTGGCACTCATGACAAGCGTCGACTTTCGGGTCGGTGCTATTCTCCCGACCACCCAGGTAGAGATGGGGAAATTACTCGCCCCGCAAACATCATTGAAGATCGTCGTGCCTCTCGCATTCAATCACAAGCCATTATTGTCTGCAGTAGAGGTACATATGAGACTCGAGTTATTTCAGCCTTTTCTTATCCATTTTTCAAGACTATTGGAAAAAGACAATTGCCACTCCTCGGCCATACTCCATCGATGACTATCAGCTTATTCGTTATTGACGAGGGTCATACCGGCTGTCGAAAAATCAGCTAGATCCAGAAAGCAATCATTCCAGGTATCAACCAATGGCAACGTGAAGAGATTGAAATTATGGACGCCTTGGAAGCACAAGCAAAAGGGGGTAAGCTCACCTTGACTGGGGACCATATCTTTTTTCGGAATCGAGCTCTCGGAGAACTAATCCCGAACATTCGACCGAGAGATGGCTAGAATCACTTGTCTTCTCGAGTTCAAATCCTGACAAACTCTACTACTATTACAAGCCAGGATGGTGTCGATCTCCTTGAGCCGACCACCCAGGTAGATGTCAAATGAAGCTACTACATCAAGTTGAAGGATATTGAATCATCTATCCCGGGTGATGAGCCCGATACAGCGAATCTTCCAGCAAGCACTACAAGGATATTAGGGAGAAGTGGTCAGGAATACTAAGTTTGAAGGGGCTGATGGCTCTTCCAACAACGATGAGCTGTTAGGTCCTGAGAAGAAGGGCGGGAGATGTATGACAGTGCATCGCCTCCTCTGCCTCACTGCCTTTGACAATCGCAGTCTATCACTTTGTCATGCGTCCAGACCACCATAACGCACAGGAGGTACATAAGTTGACTGAAGTTGGTAATGATTGTGGTTTCGGCTACTATTTCCACTTTACGCGGCCTACATCAAGCATCCCGATGGCTCTGGAGTGTCTGGGCGTGGCCGAGCACCACTTAGGTGAGAGTGCAAAGTTGCGGTATGCTTCCTGGCACATCCACGATGCCGTGTATGTAGATTCCCATCGCCTCAAGGGGGAAAATTGGTCGTATATGTTTGTTAGCCAAACAGGTAGGGCAATGGTTGTTCATTCCTCTACAGCCTGGATATCGAATTCTACGCAGTGTGGTCTGGGACGTCGGGTTCAGAGAGATAGGATATCTACGCAAATTTCAATAGTCCTGAGGATAAGACGATGATACTAGTGTTGAATTCCAGGAGTTCAGTCGTGGGACTAAACTTACAGACGGCTTGCTATAAGATCCTATTCCTCGACATGACCGAGAGAACATCAATGTCATTTTCCAGTCCATCGGCAGAATTCACCGCCTGGGACAGACAAAATAGCAGAAGGTGGGGATCATCACACGACTATACACCTGTGGCGAGTTGCTATGGGGCAAGACTATCAACAAGATAGTCAGTGAGATAGTAGGACTGGCTAACATCAACGAAATGGAAATGACACCGGAGCTGCTGAAACAAACAATGGATACCTACCGAACAGACGATGAGACTCATGTCCAGGAGACAATCGAGCTCACGGGTGACGAAGTCATCGATCGGCGAGGGTTCGAATATATCCGAAAACTCGTGGTATGTCGATCTCATAGTTCTGGGTGGCGGACAAATGAATTGGAGGAGATCGCCCGTGTGTACTCGGAGGAAGCCGAGGCAGCAGCGCCCTTTCGGCGAGACCAAAAGCGTGACTTCCTCACAAACAGTGAGAAACCAAAGTGTCCTGTGGCGCTGTGGCTACCCCCATGACAGAACCAGATTTCATCTTCCATTCTTATTTTGCTTACTTATGAACGAGCGAACATGGGGCGAGCCATGACTGCAAGAGTTCCAGTTCTGGCGTTCCCCTCAACATTGATGGGAAGACAAATTTCGTCGTTCCAACTCAAGCAGGCGCCCGCTTCAAGAGCTGGTGAATCATGCAATCCCATGGGTACAACGGAGAGGAGTATCTCAAATGGGGAGACATCTAGCTAGTAGCACCGGGATCGTCGGTGGAGAAACCAGAACTTCGAATGTTGGTAACCCTTCTTCATCGGAAAGGCTACAAGCAAGTATCTCAGATGGCCCAACGGCTGACCCGTGGGGCTGATACTGACACTGCTCCATTTTGAGCACAGAAACGATCCAAGGGATACTCTTCGGCTCGAGATCAGTCAAGAGGGGTCGTGATAGCGTCATCGATGTTACAAAGTTGTTTGCCATGTATGCCATTCAAAATGGCATGTTGGAGGCCAAAAGCTGGAAAGAGTTAATCACACTGGTCCTCCAACGTCCTTGCAAGCGGTTTGGCTGGAGGAAGCCAGAAGGGGCGGTCTTCTTCACCCTGACCAGAGGAGAACGTCTGGATTTTTTCAAGCCAGCCACTCTGATCAGCAAAATCGTTTCCTTCGCCGCGCTGGTGCTCTGGTCGGAATTTTGGCTATACCCACCTCACATGACCTCCGCCGCGGAGCCACTGCTGATATCAACTCGCTCGCCTTAGTGGATAATCCAGAATGTGTCCGTCGAAATCTCGGACATGCCGAAGACGTACAGGCTTCAGGGCACTGACAGATATGTTGGCCGAGTCAAGGGCGATAGTTGGACAGATCAAGTTGTTCGATACCACAGAAAGATCCATGTAATATGGAATTTGCTCTAATTCCGTTCAAGGAGAGGAAAATAGCGACAGTAGGTATTGATAACTACTGCACCACAAACAAGCTCGACAAAATCAATCGCAATCATCGTTACAAAGGCTCGACAGGCGCTTATGAAGGCACAAAATAATCAGTGGATGAATCATCAACGGCTGAAAATGGACATTCCATCGGATATGTGTTGGTTGGCTGAACAGAATAGAAGTCTAGGAGAGAGCTACACAGCAAAAGCATCCTTATACGTCTTCGCCTGACAAAGGAGGAACATCCCAGTATCTGTTAGCCATGTTTGCGTATATTTGTAGACTCTTATTTCCACAGTATTTATCCTCCAGCAGTGTTTGAGGAATAAAGTGCGCCCAGGGTGTCCAGCCGCCCTGGCACCCTACCATCCATAACTAGGTGTATCTGGTGGGCTCCCGATCCCTAAAGTCCAGGGAAGGCCCCAAGCAATCAACGCTTTGCTGAGTATTCAAGAAGAGATCATACCATCATACCCTTTTGCTGCCACTGAGAAGGAAGGTTTCGCCTGCGATTTGAAGACGGACAGTTTTCGCATACCGGATGATAGCATCGTTGAGTTATAGCTTCTCAGGAAGACCGGTGACGGAGAACATGAACAGAACAATAAAAGCCACATGACATGGTTACGGCGGCACAGTCTTGGTGGTGCGATGACCGGTATTGGCACCTTTGAAGTGTTTGCAGGATATGCTTAGCTCTCTGAGCCTGGTGACGAGGTTCTCGTAGGCAAGGGTCAGAAAAGTCGATAGTATAGTGTCACTTGATTTTGCTTGCTACGCACGGAGGCCTCCTGATGAATATCAATGCAGGTGGTATACTTAGATTCCTGGAGTTCTCCAGCATCAATGATCCTATTTCCCCGATATACTCCCCTCACTTTCGTATCCTCCTCCTGTGATCCTGACATTGAGCGCAAGTCGCAGGGCGAGCTTATTGATTTGGCCTTGATTTGACCCATCTAAGGAGACTATATTAGGGGTATCATTTGATGATACAACAAATTTGACCACACCAAGATCATCGAATGTAAGGTGAACAAGTGGATTCTGTCTATAGTTACCACGATGGCATGACAGAATTCGTGGACCCCGAACCATATTTCCTATCCTGTCGACCGCCGTACTCCACTACTACAGGGTGGAGTATCGGCTAAAAGACGCGGCTGGGTCATCCACAAATTCTGACGTCCGCTGGGTGGCTACTACGTATAACAAGTCCGTACATACAGTTTCGTAGACAGCTAAAGCTGGCATCCACGCGAACGAGTGTACCGCGAAATATGTGGCGGTGGTGATGGAGAAAAGTAGGTCCCTGGAGCTCCACACAATAACGCACGCGGTCGGAATTGGAAGTTTGACCGGTGAAACTTTCTTCCAGCCCGGTCAAGCCCTCCGGACACAGGATGTATCTTGAGTACCTACCTAGGTACATAGAGGCAAGGATTCCGAATCAATTCTATCGTAGCCCAAAATCCCATCTCATAATTAGGCTTTTGCTGAATTGAGATTTTATGGCCCCTGAAATGCCTTTTGCATTCCATCGAAATCTAACAATGTCTTTACCCCTCAAGAGTTCTTTTTGGTATCGCCTTTAACAAATTATACGGTCGCTGAATTGAGATTCTATGGCCCCCGAAATACTTTTTGCATTGCATCGAAATCTAGCTGCATAAGGTATATGTCTTTGCCCTTTAACCACCTTACTTTTGACAAATTACGCAAGTTGGACGGTCGCGGATTTGAGATTCTATGGCCCCTGAAATGCTTTTCGCGATTTCAGTGTTGCTCGGGGACGAACTACCCCGTTGCTAATTGAGATTCTATGGCCCCTGAAATGCTTTTCGCGATTTCAGTGTTGCTCGGGGACGAACTACACCGTTGCTAACTGAGATTCTATGGCCCCTGAAATGGTTTACGCGATTTCAGTGTTGCTCGGGGACGAACTACATCGTTGCTAACTGAGATTCTATGGCCCCTGAAATGCTTTTTGCATTACATTCGGTTCTGACGCTGCAAGGCATAAATGCCTTGGAGCAAACTACCTCGTGGCTAATTGAGATTTTATGGCCCCTGAAATAGTTTTTGCATTCCACTGAAATTCAGCGCGGTAAGGCGTATACCTTTACATTCACGTTCGCAAGCCCAACCACCTGTGCGTACACTACAGCTTCTCATCTTCCCACTGCAGAGCAGTCTTGTGTTATGTAATTCGTTTTTCCCATTCTGCAAGTTCCAGAGACTGCTCACCATGCGAAATCTGAATCGTACCTACCTTCTCAGCATCGAGTGACGAAGCCTACCTTCCAACGAGGTGTTTGAGTCACGTGATCCCCCGACGGCTCCTGCCTTCGTCCACTTCTTCTTATTCATCCTCTTCCTTCTTCTCCTTCTTCTGATGATGGGATCTCTTCTTTTCTTGCATGCCCTCTTCTGTGGCTTATAATTCTTTCTGGCGTGTCATTCTCTCTGACTTCTCTTTCTTTCTAACCTGTCCTTCTCTTCCAACTTCTATCTTTTCCGACCTGCCAGTGTTCTCCTTCTGGTCTGTTCATCGTCTGAAGTGTTTTCACAAGTGGCCTCTACTTTTCTGGCTTGTCCTTCTCCTTGGCATGTCCCTCATATGACCTGTTTGTCTTCTGACACTTTCTCTCTCTTGTTCTGTTACGCTACCTTTGTGTTTTTACGGCTTCTCTGAGTTTTCTGTTATCCTCTGCTCTTACAGTATGGCCGACTCTTCATCTGACTTCGAATTGAGTGACTATGGCGGTGCGGACGACCCTCTCTTTGGCGCGAAGGCTATAGCAGCTATGCAGGCAAATGTAGCTGTCGATCGAGTTGAGTCGAAGAAGAACATCGACAGTCCCCAGGATGCTGCCAATGCCCCAAATACGGCAACAAGCCCCAAGTAGTGGCGTGCCCTATTCAATGCCTTCGCAAATGTGACGTTTAAGATTCAAGACCGCTCCGAGTAAATCCTCAATCCCTCCATTGGGTGATACGTTGTGTCTTGGTAGAGGCGAATGACTCACCCACAGCGCTGCTGCTACAGGAGACGATATTATTGCCTTTCTTCTGTTCACCACCCAGCCACTTGTAATCCAAACATAATGACGGCAAGATTCCTCAAACGATGTTTCAAAGCGCGAAGACCTGTCTGAATGATGCACTCACTTTTGGTTGCAAAAGGTCCAACTTATCAAAGCAGGTCAAGCCGAAAATTGATGCCACCTTACAAAAGTACCTCAACGATGGTGTCACCACCCAAAGACCCCGTCAAAGACGCTCTATGGCTGAGTTGTCAGATGGTGAAGCAGATGTCTACAGCTGTTTTGGCCGTCCCCATGTTGAGTGGCACGAATTCTTGGGATGGCACAGTGGCTGCATGCCTTGCAATAGTGTTGCAGGCAGCGCTCGTAAATGAGCTTTCAAAAGTTGTCAGTGATGAATTGTGCAGACCATGTTGTAGAGGGAGCGCTCCCGAACTTTATCGACCCTGTGGAATTTCCATGACAGAAACTGCTTACGGGTATCACAGTCTTGAGTACTGATCAATGATCTTCGAACTCTGTCATCCCGTGAACCTGGCGAAGTGGAGGTTTTCCTGCTGCTATTCCTATGTATACTGTGGACCCCTCCTTCTCAGCTCTGTTCTTATAAGACGGGGCAATAATATCCACGGCTACATACAACGAAGCTCGGTCAACACAACGTCTCAAATCCAGTTCTATTCATGCCCACACACGGTAAATCTCGATCTCAAGCGGTATGAGCAACATGCAAGACAGACGGGAAGTGTATACTGAAGGTTGTTGGCCGCTTGCTGGAATGCTGTGAGCACAACATATGAGACCCATGTCTACAACCTTACCGATACGCGCTGCTCAAAGCTTACCGTTGCGCATGAAACGATGAAGTGCATACCCCGCCACCGCAAACCTTGTGCCTGGGGAATATATCCTGATAAACTCGAAACACAGAATTGAGGATTGCGCCTGCTATGTTGATGGTCAAGATGCCGACGTATAATTCGGGATAGTGCTGGATGACACACGATTATTTCAATTGTTGTGAAAGGGGTGCGCCAGGATTGTAACCCACTTTGGATCCTACATCTGCACTCGATAAAATCCCACTGCTATCCCAGAACGGTATTAACAATGCCACGGAATAAATAATCGTCGTCCAGAACTGAAGGGAGAGGCCGAAGCGCTCATGGATGAAGAGCCAAAGGACGCAGAAGAAACGGAGATCAAGCTTGTCATCAAGCTAAAGAACGAGAACTCTAGAGTGTTTGGGTGAACGACCTGTACGAACAGCCGATTTATCGCGCTGAGGAGTACGAAGGTAGTGTCAACGTAGATGGTATAGCTGACGTGGAGAATTGTTGTCTTCCAATGACGGAATAAGTCCTTGACAAGATCCACGGCTATATTGCTCTTAGCGGAGCGATAGCACAGTATCATGGGCCGGTCGACTCACTGCTTACAAGTACAATCATCCACCATCCTTTGTTCTTAGACCACTCTTTTTGGGAGTTCAAGGTATGCACGGAAAGCAAGAGCAAGCATTACAAGGCTGGAGACCGTCGTGGTTATAAGACCACCATAAATACGTTAACTAGTGCCTGTATGCGGGGGTTCAAAAATTCATATGACTTACGCAGATTGCTGTCTGTCAAAGGGCAGCGTGGTGGTTGATATGATGCCCAGCAATAGGACCGAGGCGACTATTGTACCCCCAACGTAATTGGCGACGATGCCGAAGCATTACGGCCATGCACCGACGTTCTCTTTGCCAGTCTGATTCTGGTTTAGTGTGCTGGCAACATCGGCTTCAAAGTCAGCATCAATGAGCTCTTGCGGTGGATGCTGCTGCAATTCGGGTTCCTGGTACATAAGATGTGGAATGTATATGTTCAGCAACGCGGCGATCATTAGTGAAACTACCCCACACGACATAGATATCGAGCCATGCGGCTGGGGCAGCTATCGCATCGTACACGATCTTCATGATGCGACACCCAGACTTTCTCCTGCTGGTGCCGTTGATTCAGGACACAGCATGGAGTCCAGTCCAGCCTATAGTGCATATAGTGAGGTCAATAGAATTGCGACAGCGGCAACGAGGATTGAAAGAGGGATTTCGTTGTAGCAGAACGACTTCCCACGCGAATGGATGGTGGCAGCTGTATTGCGGCGCGGAGAACTTTCTAGCATGGAGAGTGCTGCTCACAAGCCTCTGTCATAGAAACCCGGCCGGGGAAGGAATCATCCGAAAGAATGGTAGAGCTACCTGTCGAATGCCAGCCGTGGCAATGACTGCATGCGCGAAGCTTTATATTGGCTGGACATTAGCCTTGCCATCTCTATGCAGAGCAATCACGGTGGCCAAAGCAGCTTGGGAAGCTTCTGATCTTGACCCGTGGCCTTTCAACGACCGGATTGTGCAGGATATGGACGACACAAATCAAGGCATAGAGGCTCAAGCTCTCAGCTGTGGTTCAAGACGTAGCCTAGATCCTCCAGTAGCAATGAAACTTGTTTGAGCATCATCGTTGTCAACCGAAGAGAGGTAGTATAATTCCGGTACGAAAGAAGTACTCCGTCGTGTTCTGATGCACTCAGGTTTTCTTTTGAGGCTTAGTGGGGATGATTGCGGCCCCATACCTCCCTCCAGCCCCTTTCTCGCTCTCCGAAATTTCGTTCAATCTAGCTTCAAACCGACTCTGAAAAGTGTACACCTATCCGTACAGTGGACCTGGTCGTTGTCGGTAGTGTTTGCGTTCTTTTCACCATTCTGATATGAACACGAGTTGTCGATCATTCCCATCTGTGAGAGTTTTAGTCTGAGAAGGGCAGCGGGGTATTCGCGCCAAGCATTCGTATCGCTGCCTTATGTAATCATTCAGATGGCTGCGGAAGGGTTGCCAGTAACCGAAGAAGAGATAGGATGGGGCCAGCAGCGTTACACAGTTTTCAGCCTTGAATGTTTCAGCCTGACTCTATCTGGTGACATGGGCCGAAGGATTGGTGATCGTCTCGTACTAGCTAGCGGACTGCAGGAAATGCCTGCTGCGCCTTCTTTTGCAATTCCCAGGAGGGCTATGCTCGTTCCCTCCCTAATCACGTGGGCCAAGGATTCCATCACCCCGCAGTTGAGCCCGTCGGGCGATGCCAACAGCCTGCGCCTGAGCCTGAGCACCCTCGACAACTGCGGCTGATCTGAACGTATGTTTCAGGCGGGATAGGAGTCTCGAGCTCTTGACTGCTGGCCGTCTCTGGTCTATCTACTCTACGAATTTCTCACTCTCACGTTGAATCTTCCTTGACACTTTCGACCCGGATCTTCCCAGAAGCGGTACTACAGGCGCCCTGCCTGAACCATTTGCAGCCATGAGTTGTAAGTTTCCCTCGAACGATAACATGACTTTTTATACGCTTCCTGTCGCGACCCTATCTTGAGAAATACCCAAATCATGGAAGTCTTCATTTCCGGGCGAAGTGATTATTCCTTGTACCATTGCTGACTATTCAACCTCTAGTCGCGGGCATGTTAAGCAAGCTGCAAGGCCAGCCTGATAGCTACGATAAGAAGTCCCAATATCGATTCGGAAAGACCCTCGGAGCGGGCACCTATGGAATCGTAAGAGAAGCCGAGTACCAAGGGGACAAATGTGCTGTCAAGATCATCCTCAAGAAAAGTGTTAAGGGCAATGAACAAATGGTCTACGATGAATTGAGGATGCTTCAAACACTGAGTCATCCTCACATCGTCAAATTTCAAGATTGGTTCGAGTCAAGGGTGCGCATGAGACGAATCAAGTATGAGGCCTAGCAGTGACTGACACAGATGCAGGACAAATTCTATATCGTCACTCAACTTGCTACTGGTGGGGAGTTGTTCGATCGAATTTGTGACAAGGGCAAGTTCACTGAGAAGGATGCCTCTCAGACAATCAAGCAAGTACTGGAGGCGGTCGACTATCTTCATGCGAAAAATATTGTTCACAGAGGTACTGGTTCTACCCTTCCTACAACGGAAATCGACAGCAATTGACTGGCACAGATCTGAAACCCGAAAATCTATTGTACCTCACGCGCGACCCCGACTCGCAGTTGGTCCTTGCCGACTTCGGCATCGCCAAAACTCTCGATAGCCCAGGTGCTGTACTCACGTCAATGGCCGGCTCATTTGGATATGCCGCTCCAGAAGTCATGCTCAAGCAAGGTCACGGAAAAGCGGTCGATATGTGGTCAATGGGTGTCATCACATACACTTTACTTTGTGGCTACTCTCCATTCCGCTCGGAGAACCTTCCAGATCTCGTGGATGAATGCAAGAGCGGACGAATCATATTCCACGAGAGATATTGGAAAGATGTCAGCAAAGATGCCAAAGAATTCATTCTTACCCTGTTACAGCCGGAACCCAAACGAAGGGCCACCAGCAGAGACGCTCTCAAACATATTTGGCTTACTGGTGAGACTGCTTCAGACCACGATCTCCTACCAGAGATCAGAGCCTATCTTGCAAAGGCAAAATTGAAGCGTGGTATCGAATTGGTCAAACTTGGCAATCGTATCGATGCTCTGAAGATACAGGAGGATATCCCAGAACCTGGTTCACCCGACGAAGGTGACATCCCCTCAAATGCTCAAAACGCCGCAGGCCTTGCTGTGAAAGAGCATATCAGAGGTGTTTCACCAGGTCGAGGACTCACTACCGACGAATCTTCTGAAAAGAGGCGGCTTAGTAGTGCTGCCAAGAGTGCAATATTCAGAGAAGTGGTACTCGCCAAAGTCCGTGAGATGAAAGACAAGGAACAATCCGACAAATTGGTCGCAGAGGTTACGAAAGAGCATGAAAGAAGAAAGAGTTTCTCAGGACCGGCACCCAAGTAGGCTGGAAGTTTCTTGCTACAGAACCGTTGTGTCGCGACAAGAGGTCACTACTCCCATTATTCCAGCGTGGTTGAATTGGTGTATCATTCAGAAAGGGCGTCAACAGTATCCTGATCAGTGAGAGTGTTCCGACGCTGCTTCAGATATGTGTCACTACTCTACTAGCAACTAGTATCATGGATCTTTCAGCAGCGTGTCTTGGTTACCATACCCTTAGCTTTAGCGAATAACGACGATTGATATTAATTGTCTGCCTAGACATTCGACAAGCATCGAGTAGCTCCGTACTCGCGTATAACCGGATGATGAATTCTTCAGCATACGCACTACCAGTGGGCTACCAGTGAGTTCCGATCCCTCGCCTTGTTGCGTGGTCTGCTTTTATTGGTGTAGTGGCTGTACCCCAGGGGGTCGCCTATCCAATGGGCAGTAGTACGGCACTTGATTGTGAAGGTTATCAACTGATCGTCCTCTTACACGGGAGAAATGCCTGTTCTTGTGAGGTATCCGCATAATTACTCCTTCCTAAGCATCTCATCCGTAGTATATCTCTATGTGCTGGTTCTCACAGACCTTCATGAATCGAGTTCTTGGTCGTTAACTCGATCGCCGCATCTCTTCTAACCAGGATTCTATTTCCTAGCTCGACGACTTCAGGGCAGGGTTCTCCGAGGCAATACTTCAGAGGAACTATCCATCATATTGTTCGCCCCTTCGCTCCTCATCCGCACCCACACAAGATCTCTAGAGGCGGACAGCAGAATTGCAATGGAAAGCTTCTTCAAAGACCGCGTCTACGCCATCTCCGGCGGCGCGTCAGGAATCGGACTCGCCACGAGCAAAGCACTTCTCCGCTACGGCGCCAAAGTCTCGATCGCGGACATCCGGATCCCCGAAACGCTGCACAACGAACTATCGCAGATTGTCGCAGCTGTGGACGAGAATATCTCCGCAGATGATATGATACTCCTCCAGACCGTTGACGTCCGCTCACGCGACGACGTCGACACGTGGATCGACGACACGGTCTACAAGTTCGGCGGGCTGGACGGCGCTGCGAACCTGGCGGGCACCATCCCTAAGGACCACAACGTCGGGACGATCGAGACGCAGACGGACGAGGATTGGGACTTCGTGTTTGGGGTTAACGTCTACGGTGTCATGAATTGTCTCCGGGCGCAGATGAAGTATATTGGGAAAGGCGAGGGCGCGAAGAAGGGTGGCAGTGTCGTCAATGCCGGCAGTGGCTTGAGTTTACAGGGGAGGGCGGGCACCAGTGCGTACACGGCGAGTAAGCACGCGGTGCTGGGCTTGACAAGATGTGTTGCGAAGGAGGTCGGTGGTAGGGGTGTCAGGGTCAATTGTATTGCGCCGTGAGTACCATTACGACTTTTTCTTCATCTCGATCCGATTCTTCCTTTCGCTTGCATCGGTATTGCATGAAAAGGGGGTTGGGTAAATTGTGCTTTGATCCTCGCTAACGATATATCAACTCAATAGTGGCTTCACAGAAACCCCGCTGATGAAGCAATCACAGAGCATTGAGGGATCGGGAGAGAAGGAAGATATTTCGACCACGGCCTTGGGGCGGTTCGCTCAGCCTCATGAGATCGCAGACACTATCGTGTACCTCCTAAGTGACAGAGCCAGCTTCGTCACTGGAGCAGTCATCTGTGCCGATGGCGGATGGCACTGTTAGAGCAACCTGGGTATCTAACAGGAATCACTGTTGTTGGATGGTGGGTGGCCCATTGAGGCAGAGCACAGTTCAAGGAGATTTGTTTCGCATCGTTACCTCAATATACACCACTTTCAGGGGCCAGGTGTCCGTGCAATGAAAAATGTCTTCCCGGGGCCGCAGAATCCCAACTCAGACAGACAAGTAATTGAGGCCAAGATATATGCCTTAAGAGGCAAGATATCGGTGCAAACGAAAAACCAGTTTCAGGGCCGTAGATCCTCAATTCAGCAAGCTCGTAATTTGTCAGAGACGAGGTCAAGGTATAGCTTTTGAGTTCCCTACTACCTAAGCGTGTACCTTGTGCCAAGCACGTATACGTGCATACCGGTGAGAGAAGGCATTGAAGCCTCATCACGCGACTTTTAGAAACTACATATCATTAGTCGAGCCTAGGTCTGTAGGCTAGATGTGGCCCAGCGAACGGACATGCTTACTAAACCCTAGTCGAAGACAATGTGACACTTACAGCTATTAAACCCCGTTCCGGTTCTGGATGTTGGGCATTACAACTCAAACCACACAACATTAGATTGTGCTGGCGCGAGTCTGTCCGCATTGAAAATCTCCGCCTGAAGCGAGACGATCACCTTACCGCCACCGCCTCCTTTCTCCGCCGACAGATCAAAAGCCGCATTGAACCGACCTTGCTTCCTGGTGAATACCTCACTCACTTTCTGTGACCCGTCCCTCAGCGCCTTGACACGGACCCTCTGCCCGGAGACACTCGGTGTAACAGTCCCAAAGACCTGGAATTTCCCATCACCAGGCTCCGTCCTCTCGAAGCGCTCATCCAATTTGATCTCACTTGATTCCTTGACCGTGACCGACAGTCTAATGCCCCCAATCTTCAAGGACGAGGAGGTAGGGTACTCGCCATCGCAAAGCGGTTTAGTGTAGTGCCTCGTCGCGTAGCCTTCGACGCGGACGTCGGCGTACGGGACTTTCAAATGGCTGAGCGGCGCGGTGGGGATAACGAGAAGATCGAGGGTTTCTTCGCCCAGGCCCTCGAGCCAGACATGGCTCTTGGGGAAATAGGCGTGGAATCCCTCGGGGACGCCAGAGACGCCGAGGAAGATGCGCGTGCGTTCTTGGAACGGGTTGCGGACGGCGATCGGGAATTCGACGGGGTCGGCGACGAGGGAGGACCCGCTGCCACCGGGACTCGTGTCGAAGTTGAAGATGTTCTCCTGCGCCGCGTTGTTGCTGGCAGAGTACTCGTCGGCTTTGTGGGAGATGACGACTTTCATACACGTGTGCTGCGCAACGGAGGGGCGCCACGGTTTCCACCACATCCAATCTACGGTGTTCGGAGGAATCGTGAGGAAGGTTTGCGAGGATAGTGGCGTCCAGGTGCCGTTGTCTCCGACGCCCGGCGGCGTGATTGAGTACCACGTCACCTTGACGTTGTTCGCGGGAAGGAACCCATAGTTCTGGATGCGCGCCCAGAACCGGTTGACCTCTCCCACGGCGGGTCTGTCGCCGCTAAGGATAGGGAGGCCGGTGGTTGGGTTTGTATAGTCGTATGTGCCGAAGGGGTCGCGGTCGATCCAGATGTCCGGGGTCTCCCAATTGGGACCGTGATCCCAGTCGGTGATGCGGAGGTCGTAGAGGCCGTCGCGGTTCTCCCCTGACGGTTGGCGCCATTCCACTCTCACACGGCACACTCGTGGCCTATCCTCGACGTTGTCGTCGAGTACTTGGATGCGGATGTTGCGCAGGGGATCTTCGGCTGTTTGCCCTGTCGTAAGCAGGACGGCGTTGTCTTGGAGAAGGGTGATGAAGCGAACGCGAAAATTGTTGGCCGAAGGAGCAGTACCCGGTGCTGGACCGGTGGTGACTTTCGTAACCAGGACACCTGCATCCGGGCCACCGAACGTGGATAAACCTGTATCGTAGAGAATAGAAGGTAAATCGGGAGTCTGCCTGACCTCGACAAAGTAGTATAGATCGGCAAAGACCTTGATTTTGATCAAGTGATAGCGGTCGGAAGCTGCGTGATCGATCTCCTCGTCTCCGTGTGCCACCAGCTCGACATCCTTTCGAAAGACACCGCCACCGCTTGTATCGGTATAGTCGGGAATATCGGGGTGAGACAGGATATTCTCAGGCTTGTAAAATTGCTGCTGGTCCATGAAGTACCCAGAAAACATGGGGTGAAGAGTGTGGTTGCCCATAAGGTCAAAGTTCTGCGCACTGGCCTCCCAATCCTCGACACCATCCCCAACGTAGATGTCTTCTTCGTAGCCTGTGGTGCCAACACCGTTTCCACCTTCGACAAGTGAGTGACCAATTTCGTGAGCAATTCGATCCCATGTGGAATTATGGGCAACAGCAATAAGCCCTTTTCCCGAGTCCATACCAACGGTCGGGTGTTTATCAGTGTCGTGTTGCCACCCCCTGATACGGTCCTCTCCTGGAGGTGAAGGAAGGTAGATACACGTGCACATTGTCACAAAGTCATTCGGTTCGATTGGCGTCGCGAGGTCACGCGCATGATCAGCGCATTCCTTCCAAAGCTCCGAGAGGACCAACTCGTCAATGTTCGGATATCCCTTCCCACCAGCGGCACCTTTGAAGTAATGGGTTGACGGCTGCGAAAGCGAAAACAAAGCGACAAAAGTGAACTGAACGTCGAGCTTATTATAGCTGATTTGGCTGTAGTACGTCGAAACAGTGGTGCATTTGGCCGTGGTATTGGAAGCAAAGTTGGCGGGCGCCGTCTTGTCGCTTGGCTGGCATAAGACTACAAGCACTTTGCGCACAATCGGAAAGGATGTAGGCGGACCAGGCCCTCCAAGAATTCGGCCAGCAAGGCTGATAGGTGGTCCATCAGCCTCTTCTTTGATGAGATGTGGTTCAATGACCTTGAAGATACCTCTACTGGTCGCTTTCCCCTCGCTAGACGTGTTCACAACGTGAATGGCACCGGATTTGGCATGATTGTTACTGATGACCACCATCCGGTTTGGTTGGGCTTCGACAACGAGAGCCCTGGCACCAGCAATGGTAACTTCGTTGTCCTCCCGGTTCGAAGCGAATCCATTGCCAACAAGAACAATCATCGAGCCCCCCGTACCTTGACGAGGGTAGAAATCTGTGATGACACATTCGGAAGGCTTGAAGGAGTACTGTTCCTGGGAGCGTCTGAGGGCCTGGCTATCCAAGACGTATGGTGCAATATCTAGACCAGTGTTCTGCAAACGCAGGCGAGGTCCGAAATCATCTCCTTTACCGGCCATAGCTGTTTGAGGAGGGGCACGTTGCGAAAGAGTTTGGATGAAGGAAAAAGGGCCACAATGGCTATTAATAAATAGAGACGCCTTGCGGAGGTCCAGCAGCCCTCCAACACCCTGGTGCTCAACGATTTATCCTTGATTGAACCTCCATTCCGGAGAATACGAGCCCCAATAAGCTCCTGGACTCTTTCATTTCATCCCACACCACAAGCGACATTCATCAGTATCGTAGTATCGTGGGGAGGGCTGCAGAAAAGCCATGATCAGCTGAAAGTAGGGCTGAATCACACCCTGCAGGCTTTCCGAAGTAGCTTTATAAGAGTACACGTGCGAGACACGAGCGACCCGACCATAGCCACTCGGGGTGCGCAGATAAAGCCTTGATACGACCACTTCTCTACCTGACTACCTCGTAAAAGTTTTTATGTTAAATAAGCTTGGCTTCGGTCCACTCCCCAACTTCCTAGGCGAGCGATTATGCACTTAGTTTTCCTGTAGGGCCACGCGAGCTACTAGCTAGAAAACAGAAGAACTCATTATCGTTACGAAGTACCTATACGGCGACCGCCCTTACTAAAAAGAGGAAGGCTGGAGATAATACTTACACCGGTTACAACTAAGTTCATATACGAGTACTAAGAACTTATCACGGGACGCTATACTAGGGAATTACTGCTAATCCTTAACAGCCGACAAATACGTCTTACTACGTACTAGATGCGTAATTTAATTAACATAGTAGGGAGATGAACAGCCTCCATGAGTAGAGACAATAGAGACAATTCGACAATTCCTGAAGTGCATTTCCTACTGCTAAGCCTTCAACAACTTCAGTATAGAGGGACTCTCTTCACTGTACACCACCAAAACAGCAATTGGGAACTTGAAAATAGGTAGGGTTAGCTCCTTAAGTCAAGATATATGTATCTAGAGCAGTATCAACGAGACTACGGGCCCTTTGCTTGCACTTTCCGCCCGCTTCCGCATTTCACTGGGTTTTCAGTCTTTATTCACTCCGAGCGCTCCATTCACTTCCTTTCATGCCAACGACGACCTCTGGACATAGCTGTGCATGGCCTATCGGTCAACTTCTCCGAAGACCAAATCCATAGTGCCGATAATCGCAACGGCATCAGCTAGGAGATGCCCACGGCTGATTTGATCAAAACATCCAAGATGAGCGAAACCCGGGGCCCGTACTTTGCACCGGTATGGCCGCTCAGAGCCATCACTCACTAGGTAAACACCCATTTCGCCTTTGGGGGCCTCGATGGCGCTATAGGTATCGCCGGGAGGGACGGTGTATCCCTTTGTGAACAGAAGAAAGTGGTGGATGAGTGCTTCCATATTCTCCTTCATGGCAGCGCGAGGAGGGGGGGCGATCTTGTAATCCTCAACTTTGACTGGCCCAGGAGGCATTTGGTTGAGACATTGGAAGATTATGCGTAATGATTGACGGAACTCCTCCATTCGGCACAAATACCGGTCATAGCAGTCGCCATTCTGTCCGACAGGGACATCGAACTCGACTTTGTCGTATGCGTCATAAGGCTGGCTTTTTCGGATGTCCCAGGGGACGCCAGAGCCTCTCAGCATGACACCGGAAAAGCCGTAATTTAGTGCATCTGCGGCGGAAACGACACCAATATTCTTGGTCCGTCCAATCCAAATTCGGTTGTCGGTGAGAAGCTCCTCGGTTTCATCGATACGGTCACTGAATTGAGTTGCCCAGGCGTAAATGTCGTCCAACAGACCAAGGGGTAGGTCGGCTTTGACACCACCAGGACGGACATATGCTGCGTGAAGTCGGGCACCGGAAACGCGTTCGTAAAATTCCTAGCATTTTTCGTAAGTGGCTTTGATCAGGTTACGTTCTGGAAAAGGGCATAACAATTGAAACACGTGGTAGGAAAGGGCATATTAATCGGGGTATATGGGAGAACGGGCATACCATGAGTTTCTCTCGTTCTTCGAAGCCCCACAAGAAAGGCGTTAATGCGCCGACATCCATGGCGTGAGATAGAATGGACATCAGGTGGTTCAAGATTCGGGTGATTTCGCCAAACAATACGCGGATATATTTTGCTCTTTCGGGAATGTCAATGTTGAGCAACTTCTCGACGGCCAGAGAGAAACATTGTTCGTTGGTCATCATGGAGACATAATCGAAGCGATCAAAGTATGGTAGAGCTTGAAGATAGGTCTTATATTCAATCAGTTTTTCTGTGCCACGGTGGAGGAGGCCAACATGGGGATCTGCGCGAATAATCTCTTCGCCATTGAGTTCGAGGATGAGACGAAGCACACCATGGGCGGCAGGATGCTGGGGTCCGAAGTTGACGGTATAATGACGGATCTTTCTCGATTCATAGTCGTCACCAAGATTGGTGTCCGGAGCTCTATTGATCAAGCTTCCTTCCTGTTCGATATGCTGGCGTGAAAATGAGGAATCCGTGGAGGTAATGGTTGTACCCAAAGAGCCATGACCTTCTGCATGTTCGGCGCTGCGAGGGGCGCTGATGGAAAGGGCGCGTGAAAGGAGAGGCGACTGTCTGGATACAGCTTGAAAGGAGGGTCGAAGACAAAGTCGCTTTGCTGAATGCCTGCCTGCGGCTCGTGCTAACGAAGCGGCCATTGTCGATAAAGATGGCCTATGGCCCAGGGGTGAAGCTGAAGAGGGTTGTGAGCAAGCAGCTGCCGAGATGGTTGGGCCGGGCTTGAAGTTAAGACGCAGGCATCCGGACGTGGTAGAGAGGGCGAGAAATCAATTACGATGACATTAACCACCGACTGTGAGCTTTCAAAGCAGCTGTTCTGATTGGCCTACAACAGACGACTAGTGTGGACTTAGCTCCACACCAACCACTAACATTCCAGGTACGAGGTACGACAATCCTCATCCCCCACGTATTCGGATCTCTCTTTATTTTCCCTCCCTCATACCAATCCATCATCCACCCATTCAATCACTCGAGTAGCAGCCGTTCTCGATGTCTTCAACGAGCGATGCATGTGTAGGTACCCATCCTAGTTGTCTCCTGGTCTTGGCGCTTGAAACTGGATTATCAGCATCAATTGCCAAGGCCAACCAGCCGAAGTGTGCTGCCACTTCCTCCCCGGTTTTGCTGCCCGTGGGTATGTTGAGCTTCTTCCCAATCGCCTGTGCTATGTCCTTCATTGGAATGCCTTCCTCAGCCACAGCATGAAATATAGACCCAGCGGTTGCCTGCTCGAATGCTAGTAGGAATATCTTGGCCGTGTCTAGGTAATGTATTGCAGGCCAGCGATTCAGTCCCTCCCCAGGATAAGCTGAGACTCCTGTGGATTGAGCAACTTTGACAATTGCCGCAATAAACCCTTTATCGCCGGGACCGTGATTCGTCGGTGGCAGCCGAATGACGGACACGCGCACCCCCTTGGAGACAAAGGACAGCGCTATGTTTTCTGCAACACCACGAATGGCGGTTGGCCGTTCAAGCTCCAGAGCGAAATCTTCGGTACACACTTGACCTAGCGGAAGTGGTAAAGTGCCAGCGGTTATAATGAAGGGACGACCGGTTCCTTCCAATGCGGTCCCAATGGCTTCTATGGCGACTCTGTCCTTCATGCAATTGCCGACATAGTTGGAGAAGTCGTGATCAAAAGCGAGGTGTATCACACCATCTGATGCAACAGCACCCTCTTTGAGACTGTCCGGGTCCTCCAAAGAACCCCGCTGGACTTCGGCACCGGCAGCAAGGAGAGATTCCGCCCCTTTGTCGGAACGCGTTAGACCCAGGACACTGTGACCTGCATTCAGTAACTCCTTGACAACTGCACGGCCAATATAGCCTGTTGCTCCCGTGACGAATACACGCATGCTGCTTAAGTTTGAAGCTATGGACTAGGGCTTGGGTTCCGGTTGCTCAAAGATTGGGTCTTGTACGGAGAGGTTCAAACGTGTGCAGGATACTTTTTGCTTGACTTTATAGCTGAAATAAAAGAGGATCGCGCAACACAGAGAGAATAATACAGTCCTAACTCCAGGGCCACGTTATTACCGGCACAACGCAACGTCTGAAACGGGACTACCTCGCCCAATCATCTTGCAGAGAATACGAGAATGGGAATGGTTGCGACGCCAAAACTAAGGCTGGTACAAGTTCCGGATACATATTCTCTTTTACCGTGGATCTGCATAGTATATTATGATGTCAAGCCTGACAGTGTACGAAGGAACTGACTGAGCTTTTCAAAACGAGCTGAGCCAACGTCTAGCCAGGTTGACAAGCAGGATCGCATAATAGGGTGCTACTTTTGAAATGTACTTTACATTTTGTAACACTAGGCATCTATTACCCCCGACCAGAGTTGCTGCTAGACTAGAATCGCTACATCGAGGTTTGCAAGGCAATTGTTAGATCTTGAGAGTGATCTCATTCTTGATCAAGAGTAGGTAGGTAACTTTATTCGAGGGCTGAACTGGGTAGGCGCTGTTATTGAGGCGCTAGCCTCGCATTAGCAGGATTAGCTCCGCGGCTGACTTGCCTGATCAAGGTCTGCGGGGTTAATTTTTCGAAATGTCCGAGCAAGCCTTCCTGAACTTTTTTCGCAGTCTGGGCTTGCACGTCGACACCAACGCTCACCTAACGAGCAGAGCAACATGGCTCCTGTAGTACCCTCACAGGATAGCCTAGACCGGCGGAAGGTAGGAAGATCTTTCCAAGCACTTCTACGAAACAATATTGACCAATGTTCTCCAGGTAGTCGGCATCAACGCAGAAACCGTCACCAACATCACCGCTACCGATTTCCCAAATCACCACGCAGGTGAAGATCTCGCATGGTCGCTCGAGAAATTCAAAACCAACCTGCGAGTCCAATTCCACCAAAATCAAGAACACGAAGCCACGTTCTCCCTCATCGGCGTCGACGCCTCCTTGGCCAATGCCTTCCGCCGCATCCTTCTCGCCGAAGTGCCCACTCTCGCCATAGAAAAAGTCTACATTGAGAACAACACCTCCGTCATCGCCGACGAAGTTCTCGCACACCGATTGGGTCTCATCCCATTAAAAGGCAGTCTCGAGGGCCTTTCATGGCTGAAATGGTTCATTGGACCCAATCCAGAAATCGGCTTCGAAGGCATGGAACGCTCGGATTACAACACCGTCGTCCTCCACTTGAAAGTCAAGTGCGAGCGCAACCCAGACGCCGACAAGAATGCCACGGAACCGGAGGAGAAATACATTAACAGCAGCGTCTATTCGCGGCACATCAAATGGCAGTCCACGGGCCTGCAGGAGAAATACTTCAAGAATGGACCCATAGAACCCGTCAGTCCAGATATTTTGATCACGAAAATGCGGCCAGGCCAGGAACTCGATATGATCATACATGCACACCTAGGCATCGGCGCCGACCACGCCAAATTCAGCCCCGTCGCTACGGCCACCTACCGCCTCCTCCCGACCATCACAATCACAAAGCCCATCGTCGGGGCCGATGCGAAGAAGTTCCAGAAATGCTTCCCACCAGGCGTGATTGGCCTTGAGCGTCTCACAAACTACGAAGCCGAGAGCCAGCAGGCAGGCTACCGAGGCCACTGGGGTGAGGAGAAAGCCGTCGTACTTGATGCCATGCGCGACACAGTCTCGAGGGAAGTCCTCCGCCACGACGAGTTCAAGGACAAAGTCAAGCTGGGTAGAGTTCAAGACCATTTCATCTTCAATGTGGAGAGTACTGGTCAATTTCCCAGCGACATGCTGTTCCTTGAGAGTGTCAATGTGCTAAAGTACAAGGCGAAGAGGTTACTTCGGGCGTTGGATGCGATGGAGGGCCGATAAAATGTTTTCTGAAAGACCGTGTAACATTTGCCGACGCAAACAGCCCTTGACGATGTGATGCATTAAGAAAATGGCGTTCTCAGCATTGCAACTTCTTCCTATTTCTTCGGCTGGAAGAACTTTAGATACTTCGGATTGCAAAATCAAAAACAGGCGCTATTTCCTCCAGACCATGCATGCTATGCTCCATTTTCACCACCTGCTTTGCACTCCAGTCTGGTTTGATCCCCCTGTATGAATGCATCACTTGAACGACAATCGGAATTTGAACGAGATCTGGAATGCCAGATCAGACACGCCCACCTCCTCGCCATCACTCAACAGATCTCGGAGCTTTTTGGTCAAGTTCGGCCTCGTCTGCTCTTCCAGGCTCTTGGGCGCTTGGACATATAGCGTCTTCGCTTCGGTGCGAATGCTTGGCTTCTTCAATTGCGCTTCCGCTCGCTCTGCCAGACCGGCTAGGAAGTCCTCAAGCGTCATCTCCGGGTCAACTGTAATATTCTGCGCAAGATTACCGCACACAGGACAATCATCCTTCTTCTCGGCCGCGAAAGTGTATGTGTACAGGCCTGCTTCGTTCGAGTCGCCCGTATACATCATGTAGTTTTCAAGAAAGGGTGCACAGGATGTGGCGATCTTCAGCGCCTCGTTGCAGCAGGCGGCGGCGATGATGGCGTTGGTGCTGGCAATGGCTGGGATGATGTTCTTGACCACCCCTTGGGTCATGGAGTATGTGACCCCTGAAATGTTAAACTCTTTCGCTCGGGCAAGAGCTTTGGTGTAGAGCCAAGTAATGTGTTCTGGATCGTCGGTGTCGAGGGTATCATCCTTCCGTTGCTCCTCCCATGCGATAATGTGAGCCCATTCGATGCAATGCTGGGGTTGTCGCGGAATGGTTGCCAGGGTGCAGAGCGGTACAGCCGCCCTGGGTGCATGCATAGATAACTGACATTCGATACATGAGGTGAGAGAAGGGAGAATAACACGTGCCTGGCCTTTGAAACCTTCCGTTCCGCCATCAATCAGAGGTTTGAGAGATTCCGGGTTGTCCATATCGACCATATCGACCAATGTAGCGTTGATCCATCTCCGAGCCTCGATACTGTCAAGTCCACACACAACCAGTTTGAATTGCATATAGTAGTCTTCGTCTTTGTCTTGAATTTTCCCGTTGTATGGTGTGATCTTCACTCCAGGAACACGCTTCTCCACGAACGCGGCTGCCACTTCAGCTTTTGATTTACCAACATCCGCCTGACGAAAAAGGAATTGTCGGTTTAGATTCGAGACATCGATGGTGTCCATGTCAATGACATGAATGTCTTTGAATCCTGATAGTGCGAGGTTCTTCAATATCTCACATCCAAGCCCACCCGCACCAATCACTAATACCCTTGAGGTTTCCAGTGCATCTATGGTCTCTTCACCAGGAACGAATTCTTCTCCTGCATATGGCGATGTTGTTGAAAGTACCTTGTTCAGGTAAGTCCTTGTATATGTCAGTCTACAACTCCCGGGCGTGTTCCTACCCTCAGGTCTTACCATCGATCTTGTGGCTGCGTGGCGCTACCGTTGACCAAAAGAGCCGAGATCGGTATTGACATTGTAGGTGAAGTTAATCGTCTAGCTTCCAGTGATCACAGATTTGTCACACTCATACCATCCCACCAACAATGTCCAGTGTGAATTTGCCCTAGGGAGTCAAGCCAACCCCAAGCCTAACTGATGCAGTACCGAGGAAGCTTCCGGATGCTTGCCTTGCCTGTCCTCGATCTTTCAGAAGGCCCTCAGATCGTGGCCCTTACCTCTGAAAATTAAAATCAAGGACCTTGCGGATTGGAGGCTGTTGATGAATGAGTAACAGTACCTGATCGAGGAAGGTATTGAGTTAAAGTAGCGGGTGACGCCCAGACAGAAGCGGCAATGAGGATTCACCATTTAGGCACTTGTCTTGGCGCCTGTACCTTTGAGATTGCCCAAATGGTGCAATAATGTGTTATGGCTGATCTTCTCTTCCCATTGAGTATCTTCGTTTCTCACGTCATCGTATAAGGACTTCAACCTTGAGTATCCGCTGCCCAACAAAGGTAGGCGGTCCACTCAAATCTCCATCAGGGATACATCAAGGACGACTTCGGACACTCGCCCACACTGCAAGTATCGAAGCATGACTAATTGCAGGATTGGATGATGAAGTTGACTGGTGAATTCTACAAGTCAATTGGCCACAAATGTGCTCATTCTGATTCAATAGCGTACGGAGTACTCCATATCTTGGGTGACATCGACAGATGATTTCGAGGACCCCTTTCTACTACTATTTGATGCGTTGGTCCATTTCGCTATTCCACTCGACGATTCTTATATCGTCTCAAAGCTGCCGAGATTGTTGCGATTTTCATGACCAAGTTGATCATTAGGAGCCCTCTGTTGTACCACGCGCCCACGTCAAATCAATGCTGTCTCAACGTGGCCAGAAAAGTGCCGCACGCCAGGATGTCCCCTGGCGGTTCGCACCTGGAGGAGGCAACCGCTACGATCCTCACAAGAACCCTGCAGGAGTCATATCCTTCGCCCTAGCCGAAAATGTGATTGCCTTGCTGTAATACATTGAAGCAAAGTCACTGACCAATAATAGCACCTTGTTAAGAAAGAACTTGGTGACTATGTGAGAGACAATGTAAGTCGACTTGGCGGCCAAGCTCCGCGTAGCCACTTAACATTGGCCTATGTTCATGCTGTTGCAGGTAGTGATCCCCGATGATGCTTTCACATATGGATTTAGTACCATGGGTGGACCTCTCTTCCCGGATGCTATGGCTCAACATCTCAATCGCTTCTTCAACCCAGTCAAGCCTGTCGAATCAAACCAGGTTATAAGCGCGTCATCTCTGACTGCCATTCATGAAATGGTAGGTAGTGCCCTCGGAGATCCTGGTGATGGGATCTTGGTTAGTCGACCGGTGTACGGGCGCTTCGAGCTGGACTTCGGTAATACCAATGACCTTAACATCGCTTATGCAGACTGCTCTGGAATTGACCCTTTCTCGTTGGAGGTAATTCCAAGATTGCAGTCAGCACTTGACAGCTATGCGTCACCAAGTGGGCGCATCAAAGCCCTGCTTATCGTCAATCCTCACAATCCCCTAGGTGCGGAAGCAATAACACCACTCTTGGGAGAATTAGGCTGATGCGAGATGGACAGGGAGGTGCTATCCAGAGTCTGTGCTTCTCCAATTTTGCCAATTTTGCCAACGGAACTCTATACATCTTCTCAGTGATGAAGTGTATGGAATGTCTGTTTATCCGACCGGAGAGGAGGGTGCACAACCTTTCCGATCGCTCTTATCCTTTGAGACTGCCAAGCTGATAGATCCGCAACGGTTGCATATCCTTTACGGAATGAGCAAGGTAGTGCAGACCATGGCCCTTCAGTGCAGGGAAACTGCTGAATAGAGGAACCAGGATTTTGCGGCGGCTGGTCTTCGTCTTGGTTGCCTGATTACTCAAAATGCACCTCTGCGCAAGGCGATGGCCGATAATGTCAGATTTCATGGGACTTCTGGTCCATCCATCGCTATCGGCACCGCCATCCTTCAGGATCACTCTTTCGTCGAATACTTTATCAAGCTCTCGCAGGAGAGATTGGGTAGTGCTCGCAAGTACACCATTGAGCAATTGGAACAAGCAGGTATTGGGTATGAAAGAAAGGGGTTAGTGCAGAATTCCATCTACACATGCTGAGTTCCCCCGTCCATGGGGACCTATACCAGAGTTCTTACCAATTATCGTCCTCAGAAACGCCGGTTTCTTCCTATTTGTCGATCTGAGCCCCTGGCTCCGCTTGCCTGAGCAATCTGGGTCCAATAATCAGAGCGAGTATGATTTGGCTCAACGGCTACTTGACGCTGGAGTAGGAGTGCATCCGTGCGAAGAGCACTTTGAGAAGCCGGGTCATTTCAGGCTCGTATTCAGCCAGGAAAGACATATCTTAGAAGAAGGACTGAAAAGGTGTGACATCCGGATTCTTGCTTGTACATTGACGCAGCACTAACATCGATAGGCTTGTGACAAGCCTTGGTCCGAAGCCGCAAACGAGAGCGTGAGCATCTTGCGTCGGCTCACAGCAAAGTCTCTGTTCACAAAAGCTCCATAGCGGAATGTGCAACCACATTCCGGGATTGCTGCCGATGCTGTGTAAAGCTCTCAATATTGCTGATAATCTACTTGGGATCCATCTATTTTACTTTCTAAATCTCTCCAATGGAAAATTAACGACATCGCACAAGTATTATTCAGACCGAGTTGCATTTCGATGGTATTATTGCACCCTACTAATGGGCTAATAGGCTGGCACAAATTCTAGATCCTCGACCACTACCGTGTTTGGAGCTGGCAAAGTCCCATTGATTAGCCAATTGTTCATGATCGCCCTCATTTGAGGGTAACCATTATAAACTGGTATGACCATCGCCAGTCCTGGTCAAGAAAACCGAGTTTGGAATCTGCCTATGAAGCCCCAAGGCTTCGGAAATACCAGTTGCAGGATCATGTTCTGCATTCACAATCAATATCGGTGCAAGTTTGTCCCCTGCAGTCGAGTTGAAGTGATGTGGTGGGTTTGTGGCGTTGAAAGGCCATCCGATGCAGGTGGTGGCAAACTGTAACTGCATACTGCTACCTAAAGCATGGGGGAACATGGCGGACCCTAGATTTTGCAAGGCCACATGCTCTTCATAAGTCCTCGACTCGACCGGATTATCCAAGCATCCAATTGCTAGGTTCGCATAGTCCATACTCCCCAAACCAAGTGATAAGGAGGTAGCGTTACCCTCATCGGCTTCCTTGATCCACTCGGAGATGGATGGCCAATTGTCAGGAGATTGGAAATGATTTTCCAGTTCAAATATCAGTTCATAGCCCGTCACTTCGGGTTTGCATTCACCTGCACGTTGACCAGTCGAGTTGGCATCACACCCGGGTGCTGGTATTGGCTTTTGATTGGCTCGAGCGATCAAGGCATCCCAAATGGCGATAGAGTCGTTTGAGCCGTGAAGGGCGCAAGTGGAATCGAAATCGCACCACTCGAAAAACCTGGAGAGCTCATTATCCATCGCCCAATTACCCTGGATGAAAGAATCTAGCTCATCTAAGGACGGATCGACACCTCCATCAAGTACCATACGCCCGATGTTTCCAGGGAAAAGTTCCGCATAACGAGCCCCTAGTTGAGTTCCATACGAAAATCCAAGATAATTGAATTTCTTGTCTCCGACCGCTGCACGCAGAGCGTCAAGATCCTTTGCAGCAGACGCGGTGTCCACAAATCCCATCATTGGCCCGGTCAGATTGAGACATGACTCGCCCAATGCCTTGTTGAAGTCCTGAACTTGTTGCCATTCTTCCTCACTGTTGACAAAATAGGAGGGCGTGGAGGCCCAGAGATCAGCATCGCACTTGACTGGCGTGCTGTAACCTACGCCTCGGGGATCTGGACAGACTATGTCGTAGTGTTTCATGATCTCGTTGAAAGCAATGTCGCCTTCGACGGCAAGGCTTACACACAGCGGAAGCGCAGGCCCGCCAGGCCCACCAGGATTGAAAAAGAGGCTCCCAAGCTTGTTGGTACTGTTTGTCTTTACACGTGACACAGCAAGACGGATCTTGGTTCCATCTGGGTTGTTCCAATCCATAGGGACTTCAAGATGACCGCAGTCGAGAGAGGCTGGATTCTCGGTAGCATTCTCTGCGCAAGGTTGCCAGTCTATGGAGTATTGCGGTGCATCTCTGGGTGTCGGAACTGCGCCAGTAATCGATACTTTCAAGGTAAGGGCAATGATGAAACTGCTGAGAAAGGCCATGACTGCTGTCCGATATTACGATCTCCTGCTCGAGTGTCGAGGAATCAGGCTATTGGACTCAAGATATAGATTATTTGAATCGCCTGATGTACTATGACACTTCAGACTGGCTAAATATAGCCCCAACGCTATGACCTCGAACCATTGTATAGAAATCCTCGAACCATTTGCCGAACCATGTATCATCGAAGCTTAATCCTCAATAGGAAGAGTTCCATCCATACGTGGTATTGCTTGGTTGACATGTCTGAGCGTTCGGCCACGCCGCCACGCAGTCCGAGAACGCCCGTAACTAACTAGTTCGGACAAGGTTGTAATTAAAGTCTTGGCACTTCACGAGGCTACCACTTCACTTCATGGCTACACTCCGAACAACACACCAACCGCACGCTAACCATCATCTCTTCCATAATCCTTTCACCTGTGTACTTCGGGTTCAGATCTTGATCGACCATGGATTTACGCCATGGGGGACCTCTTCAAACCCATCAAAACGACTCGCAAAGTCCAAGATAACATTGAGAAATTTGAGACTCTCTCCTTCCGAGATGTTTCAGCCTCTCGACCTAATAGCGCAAAGTCCAAGATCACGCTCCTCGACCTCAACTCCGAAACCAACGATACTGAAAGTGAATCCTTCAGTCTCCGACCCTCAATTGATTCAGCTGCAACTACTTTATCGGCCAAGTCGGCTTCGGAGACGCACAAACGCCATGAGTCTAAAGTTTTCCTCGACAAATCCTACCTCGATGATTCTTCTAAGAAGACGCTGCCAGACGACGCTCAAGTGATTCTGGATAACCAACCAGATCGCGAAGATCTAGTGGCTGTCTTGCAATATCTTCAGTATGGCATCGAAGGCAAGCACGACTTCAATATACGACTGCCTGGCCCAAAGGCATCTCAGATTCTCAATGTGCTCGTCACTGTCACCATACCAGATCAATGGTTACATCTCCGGGGTAGCAGCCTTGCCAAGCCAGAAGCGCAACTGAGGAAGCTTCTGATTGCACCTCTTGCAAGTATTGCTGGCATAGGAGCTCTGCTGATGCAGATCCGGCGTCTTTCGTCAACCAATCATACTGAGGTTGACTCTGTCTTGGAGGACGCAATCTCAATACTAGCAGCAATACTCGAACGTCAATTCCTATTAGGTCGATTCATGTCCGATGCAAAACAATTCTTCACCAACGAAACTGCACGTCGGGTATTCTGGCAAGAAGTAACTTCTCTCGTGGCCGGTAGCAAAATCCTCACAACAATGGCTCAAGTTTTTGCGCTAGTCAAGCCTCTAGGCGATCGACTTCCCGGATGTCAATGGCTTGGAGACGGCGCAGAGTATTCCAAATGGCTTTCGAGGAATATTTCTGCTGCGGCGATCGACATCAAGCCTGGTGTGAAAACTGTCGATGAACCACTCAACATGTTAGGACAAGTTTTCAAGCGAGGTTTAAGTCTTGGATATCGAGGTTTGATGTTATTCCTACTTGAGGAATAGCACGGACTAATATCATACAGACGCATTTGTCAGCGAGCTCTACACTGCCCTCCTCTTCGGCCAACGTGCCTTGTGGACAACCTTACACTCACTGCTCAAGACTCTTTCGGCTTACGATCAGAAGGCTGTGTTCGATATGATTCTTCGTGATGTTACTAGAAAATCTCTACAAGCAAGTCATGACAAATTGTTTACTCCTAGCGATACTGTCAAGGTTACGGGAATCGCTGCGATGATAAACGGTTTGGTTCAAGCCAATAGTCTTCTGGAGGCACATCTTGTACACTGGCTGACAAGTAACAACGGGGAGTATGCTGGGCTTACACTGGGGGCTCGAAGAGCTGCCATTGCTACACTGGCCCAGAAGCAGGGTATGTGAAAATCATCTTACTGTTTTCCATTTTACTGATACCTTGACAGATAGCTTGGAAATCGTTCTGAAGAAGAGCCTGGCCAGCTTCGGCAACAACATCCAAATCCAGCATGACATAATGCTCCAACAGGAGTGTAAGTAATTTCATTAGCTGGACACCCCTCTGCAGCGATGCATGTGATGGATCCTGTGCTTACTTCATCTATCATTTGTGTAGCACTCACCCAAACGATTTTACTCACAAGTGGGTACCTTCACCGATTGAGCCCTGAAGCACTCAAACAAATATCAGGCTCCGGCGAATTCTTGCACATGGTTTCTGCTCGTCTTTCTGCTTCTGTTCCCCGCGCCCGATTCCTCGGCATGATTGTTGCCACTGCAGTCTCCAGGCTTGTAGACAAAGCTGATAAGGTGATGAACTTTGGAGTTGAAGAAATGGACAGTGAAGAAGCCAATTCTTGGTTTGATCTTGTAAACATTGCTGATACTATTGGTGACCTGAGTGTACTCAAAACTGGAACGGCAGTAGCTTTGCCACAAACTACACAGAAGCGACCAACTACCCAAGTTTCGAAACGGTCATCGAAGGCCGTCCCGCAGAATACCAAAATCATTGCAATTGAAGAGCTTTCTGACGCCGACGGAGAAAATGGAAGCTCAGATGAAGAAGAAGACCCCGACCTCCGCCCATATGTGCGTCCAGACAGTGATCCAGAAGACTCTGACGACGATCCAACCCTTATCAACCGAAAGAAACCATCAGCTCCTGTGTATATAACCTCACTCATCAAGCAGCTCAATACTAGTGACGATCTGTCAATCACTGAACTTGCTCTAAAGACGGCACCCTCTCTAATACGTCGAAAAGCCAATTTTGGCGATGAACTCGGAATGAACCTTCTACCTCTGGCCTCTTCTCTTCTAAACTTGCAAGAGGGAATGTCGTCCAAAGAGTTGCAGCGACTCAAAGTTGAATCCTTGATTGCTTGCCTGGTCTCAAAGCCAGTGGTGATGGGGCCCTGGGTTGCGAGCATGTACTTTGAAGGCGACTTCTCCCTGTCGCAGAGAGCCGCGCTGCTGGCGGCGGTCGGATTGGGGACTCGAGAGCTTGCAGGCTATGATGACAAGTTAACCCAAGATGGCTTTGAGATTGCTGATATTCAACCAACTTTTCCTTCGAACCGTCTACCGCCGAAGTTAGAGAGTCTGTACGCTAGTATCAGCGGCCCTGTCTCCGCGATCTCAAGGGATCTTTCTCACCGCACACTCCAACCCATGGCTCTTGAAGCGGCCGACAAATTGACAGGTCCCAATATCCTCAAGGTCCGCACCTTCTCATCCCGCATGGAGGTGCAGAAGAAAGTGGCTGCAAAAGCCGAGGCCCGCTCCAAACGGATCCCAAAAGATTTACACAAGGTCCTCGCAGATTCACTATACCTCCCATTCTGCTCACGGCTAACACTGGTCTTGACCTCCCTTCCCACTTCGCCCTTCCTGGCGAACTCAACCTTGCTACACCCTTCACTACTGAAGCTCAGCCTGCAGACACTGGCCATCGTCATCTCGACTTTGGGTCCACACGCCCTTCAGTTATCCGCCGTGACCCGGGAGACCCTGATTCTGCTCACACAGCTCCACAGCATCCCGTCACTGGCGCACGATCCCATTATCCTCCCGACCATTCTACAGCTGTTACTCACCGTCTTGGACCTGAACGTCGAGGCTGGGAGCACAGCGGAGGAGAGACTAGTGACGGAGTTTGGGACCATGATCGCCGAGCTCATCTCCTGGTCAGGCAGTCTTGGGGAGAGAGTGTCTATCCCTGAGGTCGATGCGAGCGATAGTGGTGAGATGCCTTGGACGGTGCTCGTGGCAGGTATTCAGGTCAAATGGCAGGAAGTGGGGAGGAAATTTCAGGGCAGGATGCTGGGTTTAGTGGCAGGGACAGATTTTGATTCCTTCTGAATTGGATGCGCTCATGTGTATGATGATTAGATGGCTATGATAAATTAACGACTATGCCTCGCGTTGCTCGCTGGGGAATAATACACATGGCCTGCTCCGAAAGTCAACGCTGTCCTACTTTATCTGACATAGGAAAATTCGACAATCACTTTCATCGACACATTATTAGTTCTGCAGCCTATTATATACAGTGACATACTCAGTGACAGATCAATCGAGACCGGCGAGCGACGAGCGACGAGGCTCGGCGATCCTTACCTACGACAAGAGTGCCTCCCATTCATTGGCTCGGTCTGTTTCCCCAACCAACAAAAGAAAACTGCTCAACACTAGTCGAAGATGGCATCATACACCTTTCTCGATGCGTTTTTCGGGGCGTTCTAGACTGTCACAATTTGCAGTGGTTCGCTTAAGCATGTGAGTGTTTCCAAGCTCCAAGCCTTTGTCAGTCACCTTAGTACTTCAGACAGAGAAGCGGGGTCAAGTAATCGCAGCGGATGAGGGTGCGACTCCGAGGATCTTTGATACGGCTGCACGCGGGCTTTCTCGGAGAGTGGGGGAATTTTTCTGTGATATTAGCAATATCTTCGTCCATTATCGGATTTCCCTTTTTGAGAACCTTGCTGAGTATCAGGAGCTGTAGCTAGCTCGAGCTTGGTTCAAATCTGGCCTTGTCTTTTTTCAGTTGTTGCTTTTATTCTTCCTCTTCCTTCTGACGTATAAGCATTCCCAGCTTCTCGAGCTGTCCAGTTTTTTCACTGGGTTTCATTTAGCATACTTCTGTTGTTGGAACCATAATCTATTTGCGCGCAATATTTCTCAAGCCTTTGGGTCGTCGGAATTATCGGATATCAAGATGGGTAGGCCAGGTAAGATGGAGTCGTACCTTCTGACATTGCCCGCTCCTGCTGAATATTTCTCTCTCGGAAAGATGAGAAGGATCTCGCTGCTTCGGTGGTCCCTGAGTATGCGCAGCCTTGGGACAAGGAGATCGAACGGCGAGTTGTGCGCAAGATTGACCTTGCGCTGATACCTTTGATGTGGGTCGGGTACGGGTTGGTCTACTATGATAAGGTAGGCGGTTTTACTATTGCTAATGGCCGGATTCATTGACGCAATCTCTCTCTCCGTAGGCAATTCTTGGAGGAGCGGCCGTGTTTGGGATGACGGCAGACCTCAAATTGAGAGTCGTCGTGGATCCAACGACCACGCCGCCGAAAGTCTCCACCACTCGTCTCAGCTGGGCGACGTCGCTCTTCTACTTCGGCATGCTTACTGGAGTTGGACCTCTGACATACTTGTTTCAACGACTGCACCTTGGACGGACCGTGGGCGCTGTAATCGTGATTTGGGGTGCCGTCGCAATGGCAACAGCTGGGGTGACGACTTATAAAGGATTGTTCGCGCAGCGGTTCTTCCTGGGCTTCGCGGAGAGTATTGTACCTACTGCTTTCATGGTCATCATCTCTGGTTACTACACTCAAGCGGAACAGACCTGGCGTCAGTGCCTCTGGTACTCTGCGACCGGTGGTTGGACCATCATCGGCGCTGGAATCAACTATGGCTTTGCCCATATTACGGGTGGGGATCTTAAGAAGTGGCAATACCTTTACCTGATGGCCGGCGCACTGACGGTGTTGTATGGGTTCGTGTTCTTCTTTTTCCCGAACTCGCCAGCACAGGCGTGGTGGTTCACTGAGGAGGAGAAAAGGGTGGCGATTGAGCGGTTGAGAATGGGTCAAATGGGTGTTAGATGCCAAAAGATCAAGTGGCCGCAGATAAAGGAGGCACTCCTTGATGTTAAAGTATGGCTGATAGCCACCATGATGGGTGCAGCATATTCGGTCAACGGAGCAGTCTCAGGCTTTGGACCTCTGATTGTATCGACGTTTGGCTGGTCTGCTTATGACGCCTTGCTGTGGCAGATGCCTTTGGGCGGCGTTTGCTTTATTGGGATCATCCTTGCGGGTTATCTCAGTTTGAAAGTGCAAAACATCCGCCTCATCATGATCATTGCCTGCTGCCTCCCAGTTATTGCTGGTTGTGCCATGATCTGGAAGAGTAGCTGGCATCAACATGCTGCCACTCCAATTGCTGGATACACTATCATTGGCTTCTTCGCTCCAGTGACCAGTCTCATCGTCAGTATGGGCATGGCTAATGTTGCTGGAAACACCAAGAAGAGTTTCATGGCAGCGGCTATTTTCTACATGTACAACGTGGGTAACATTGTTGGCCCACAATGGGTGCGCTCGGAGCAGATAGGGTCACATTATCCCCGGCTCTGGCAAGGGGTGATTGGATGCTATGCGTTGGTGATTGCTATTGCGATCACGCTGTATGTTATGCTCGGTGCAGAAAACCGGAAAAGAGATCGATTGAGTCTGGATGAGAAAGAGGCAGAAAGAGTTGCCTTTGATGATTTGACGGACAAACAGAACCAGTACTTTAGGTATGCCTATTGAGGTTGCAGATGTTGGATGTTGAGGTATCCTCCCGAAGCTATTAGAACGATAACAATATCATAATCGGATACATGTGGATTGGGAATCATTCCAAGCTGAAGCATTTCCCCTGGCTTTACCATACACATCTCTACGCCCAACACTACATGGTCCACCGTACTTCTACAGTGGAGGATGAGGCGCGAGTAGAAAGGAGAGTCTTTGCCAAGGCGCCTGACCTATAACGGTTTCAATGGAGCCGCTCCAAAGCTGCCATGTTCAAGTCGTCTCGAAACTTTTTCCCTGGAGCGTCCTTCATCTTCAGGTGTTACTTATTTCTCTGGTCACTCCTTGTAAAAGTACCTTTGTTCTTTTGGTGATCTCAAGTCGTCTCCATACCTCCAGTATCGTGTCTTTAATTAATTCTTCAGACTTTTCACCCTCAACATGTAAGTTCTACACATCTTGCTGAAAAGAAGAAGTATTGACAATCTGCGAGGTCTGCCCTTCGCCTTTGCGCCTCGCGCCTTCTGCCTTCACGCTCATCCACCTTCATCTTGCCATCTCGAGCATACTCCTCTTTCATCACCGCCTCTACGCCCCGATTTACACAGCGCAGCTCAATCTTCCTGTCCACGCGCAGATGGGCTAGTGCGGATGCACAGGAAAGCGCTGCTGCTTCTAACGTCGCTACGCAATCAGTCTCAGCTGAGGAGAACGCTCCCCCGGCTGTGGCCGAAAGTGCCAACCTGACAGAAGCCACCGAAGAGAGTCTACCGGCCGCCGAAGTCGATGAACAGATCCTTCCCAAGGAATCCCAAGCTTTCAATGAAGCACCAGAACCATCTTTCAAGACACGGGATTCCGAGGAGAGAAAGGCGACGGTTTACATTGGCAACCTATTCTTCGACATTACGGAATCGGAACTAGTCAAAGAGTTCACTCAATTTGGTACTGTTGCACGATGCAAGATCATTCGGGATACCCGAGGGTTGAGCAAAGGGTGAGTTCATCTGTCGTCCGCTAGTCTTCCGAATGCCAACTCACCAATCAATAGATTTGCATATCTTGAATTTGCCACGGTCGACTCGGCCGACTCAGCCATCAGAACCATGAACATGCAACTGTTTGAAGGCCGCCGCATGACGGTCCAGTATGCCTCCCGGGATATGTCTGCAGCCCCATCTGAAACTCGCAAACACACTCCCATCAACGCACCATCCAGCACGTTGTTCATTGGAAACATGTCGTTTGAAATGACGGACCGTGACCTCGGCAACCTCTTCCGCGGGATCAGGAATGTCCTCGACGTCCGAGTGGCGATTGATCGAAGAACCGGGCAGCCTCGAGGCTTCGCGCATGCCGACTTTGTGGACGTGAAAAGTGCCATGGAAGCTATTAAGGTGTTGCAAGAGAAGGAAACATATGGTCGAAAGTTGAGAGTTGACTACTCTTATAGTTCAAGCCAGGCACCCAGAAATCGATCGGATTCAAGATCACATCCAACCGAAACCCCGAGGGGAAGATCTGACTCCTGAGAGATTTTGTTTTGGTGACAGCCATCATTTGGAGAAGCCCTGGCTCGTGGCATAATCGTTCAATTGCACAGATCACCATTGGGAATCCTTTCCGCTGGGGCCTCTGAGCCTGGAGCCCCTCAAGTCGAGGAAAGATGACAATGGAGATAATGGAGCTGGGGCAGGTTTCCGGACGGCGGAAAAGAGAATGCACCCTCGATGGGAATGCTTCCAGTGCTACAATAGACTTACACACTTTCATGTACATCATTATTTGATTAATCGCTCCGACGATTGGCTGTTTCGCTCGACAGCTACGCTGGAATTGCTTGTGATGGCAAGGGGAATGAGCGCAAACCTGGTGGACATTGCCTTCGTTGAGGGATATCAGATTGAAAACAGGGAGGAGAACTGTCTCTCTCTCTCTCTCTTCACAAAGCGCAAAGCGGGCCTGATCATGTATACAAGGGGCATTTTGATTTGGAGTCAGACGAATGAATGTATGCCTTGGTTGTGGCATCAGCGGATCTGGCAATCACTAGTTAGAGATGTCATGACATACGTAGCAGATACCCGGAAAACATCTCCATTCTGAAGATTGAAAAGTAACGTCGATAGGGGAGCCTTGTAGCCTTGTAGTCGTCACCGTACTTTCACAAGCCCTACGAAGACGATCGTGCAATTAATTGTTCGGACCAGGAGTCAGAACTCGACATGATGGCGTTCGGGTGAAAGTGGATGTGGACGTGGATGTGGATGGGGACGAACCTCGGCACCAATTCCACAACTGCCGCCCAGTGGTATGCTGACTTATTAGTTATCACCCGCCGATTGAATAGCCACCGACGGGGTACCGAGTACACTTTCTTGCCATTTACTAGACCATTACTATCACCATCGATAATTCTTTATTCTCTCGACAAGTCCCTCTGTTATTACCTGTGTCTATTCCATCTCCTTGAGCGCATTTACCATGTCTTTCTTGGGAGGCGCAGAGTGCTCTACCGCGGGGAATCCCCTCACTCAATTTACAAAACATGTACAGAATGACAATACCCTTCAAAGAGACCGACTGGTGGGGAGAGGCCCTGGCGGTCTCGAGGAGAGTATGAGATCACGTATGGCAAGTCCGGGTTCAGACCAGGTATGCACATCTCGGTGGTGACTCCCTCGACGGACTGCGGACAAAGACTAATTCAATTCCAATTCAGATGATGAACGACTTCATGCAACCCGGTCAACTACCACAGCCATTCGCCATGGACCAAATGAGACAAGATCTGCCCAACCTCCAGGGTGTCACTCGACGATCGCCGTCTCCCGGATGGGCAGCGGAATTCGATCCTGGTGAACAGGCAAGAATGGAGGCTGCCTTTGCCAACGCCCAGATGAAAAATCAACAACACCACCAGGTTCCCCCTTCCTTTTCTCCTCAAGATTTTGCCCACTTCCAACAAGCCTCTGCCGCACAGCGAAATGGAAGCCCCATGGTGCAGACCCCTACTATGATGAATGGCTACCAGAGACCAATGGGTATGGGATACATGGGTGGTGGCATGGGCATGAACGTGGGCATGAATATGGGAATGAACTACGGATCGTTCAACAGTATGCAACAACAACCTGTCACGCAGCAGCAATCCACCGACAAAGGAAAAGGCCGTATGGTCGAATTAGATGACGCCAATTGGGAGGCACAATTCAAACAATTGGAACTGCAACAAGACACTCTCTCGGAAGAAGCAAACAAGGCCATGGAGAAAGAACTCGAGGACATTGACCGGTGAGTGCACTCCTTTGACGATCCGCCTTTTTGATATGGCACCAAAGCTAACTACTTCCCCAATCGCAGACAAATGGCCGAGGAGGTGAGCGAGTACGACAACACCTTCTCAAACGAAGACTTCGCCGCCTGGGACAATTTCGACTCCAACATGAGTCTAAACACGCACAATCCCTTCGAACGAGAACCAATGCTCGGGGATTACATGTTCGAATCTCAAAACCCCTACTTGGAGAACAGCTCAGCCTCGAGATCTGCCTTTGAACAAGGGAAAGAAATCCTCGAGTCACATGGCAATCTCTCCTTGGCTGCCTTAGCGTTTGAGGCCGCAGTCCAACAAGATCCTAACCACGTCGAAGCCTGGGTCCTACTTGGCTCCGCCCAGGCACAAAACGAGAAAGAGTCACCGGCTATCCGAGCGCTGGAAAAAGCTTTACAACTCGATCCCAATAACCTTGACGCACTAATGGGATTGGCAGTCTCGTACACCAATGAAGGATATGACAGCACTGCCTACAGAACCCTTGAGCGATGGATTAGCGTCAAATATCCTGCGATTCACCCTCCACAAAATCTTTCGGACGCATCTGAAATTGGCTTTACCGACCGTGCCATTCTGCATGAACGTGTGGCCGATCTCTTTATTAAAGCAGCACAATTATCACCTTCTGGAGAACATATGGACCCCGACGTACAGGTCGGCTTGGGTGTTTTATTTTACGGCAATGAAGAATTTGAGAAAGCGGTGGATTGCTTCAAGGCTGCTCTCGCCTCAACTGAGGAAGGATTGGTCAATAGAGAGTCTCAGTTGCACCTTTTGTGGAACCGACTAGGAGCTACCTTGGCCAACTCTGGTCGATCAGAAGACGCCATCGACGCTTACTGCAAAGCTCTTGAAGTCAACCCCAACTTTGTGCGCGCTCGATACAACCTGGGAGTGTCTTGTATCAATATCGGATGCTACCCTGAAGCGGCAGGCCATCTTATGGGAGCCCTGTATTTACATCGTGTCGTCGGCGAACAGGGTATGGACAAGGCTCGAGAGATTGTGAGTGATGGATCGGGAAATGGAGCTGGCATTGGGGATGCTGAACTGGAGCGAATGATTCAGCAAAATGAGAGCTCCAATTTGTACGACACACTTCGACGAGCCTTCACCGGCATGGGCCGACGAGACCTGACCGAAAGAGTTGGCACCGGGATGAATTTGGACCAATTCAGAGGCGAGTTTGACTTCTAAAGCACTATCCAGTGACCTTGGACCGACTGTTAGAGATTGGGTGACAGATGACCTGGATTTGGCATGATTGACTGTGTTTTGAGTGGCTGAATTGGGATAATAGTATGGACCAATACCTGAAAAATGTATGTATGAGTTCTAGATGACCTGAAATGGAACAAGGACAAAATAGAAGGGACAATTTGGTGACACCTTTGTCACCTCCAAAGCCCCTACCAAGGAGTGGGTACATCATCAACCTGAACCTGACCTTTTTTTGTTTCTTCACGGTAGTCTCCTCACCAATGAGCCTCGCTCAAAGCGCTCAGCAATGCTTCAGGACGAAATAATGAGGATGCCACGCGCTGGCTAGGGATCACCAAATTCAACTGTCGGCCGCGCTCGAAGCACCCTTCTGTCGATGCCGTTCTACACAAATGCCAAGACGCGCGTCATTACCTCTAAAGCGGCGTGTCGAGCTGCAAGTGACAATGGCAGGTGCAACTTGCAGTGCGGGCATGGCGGCTTTAACTCCTCCATCTCGACTACGGAGTCGAAGAACAACTTCAACACTACGGTCAAAGCTCACCTCACTTACTTCGCCTGTCATCCCCGCGCGTGTTGCTAGTCTACTCACTCCTGTTCTGTCTGCGTTCGCCCCGATCTCTGCGCAGCTCCACATCCAAAACACCGCTGCCTGCGGGCACTGGGAATAAGCAATGGACGACCATGGAGATTTCGACAGCGTTTCATGGCAAAGAGAAGATCCCCAGCAAGCTGAATCGTCCGCACCTTTTTCTCACCAGTCCAACCTACCAAGTAGGCCTGCTGGCACGCGGCGAAGTGACAGCATATCCAGTGAACCACAGGCCGGAGAGCAAGCAGATGGTGTCGATCTCGCTGGAATTGGCCGTGATGGCAGTCTTGAAGTCACAGTTGATTCCCCTTTGAAAGAGAATGACGGAACCAAGGACGCCTATGTCTCTTATCTTGTTACCACACATGTAAGCTTCTTGACCGTGCCTCGGGACGTTCTAGTGGTCTAATAATGCCTTTAGACAGACTTCAAATCATTTCAGAAATCGGACTTTTCGGTTCGACGTCGTTTCACGGATTTTGTCTTTCTCAGACAAACGTTACACAAAGACTATCAAGCTTGCGCCATTCCTCCATTGCCTGAGAAGAATAACATGGCCTATGTGAGAGGAGATCGCTTCAGTAATGAATTCACACAGCGCCGTGCCTGGTCTCTCCACCGCTTCATCAAAAGATGCTCATTGCATCCCGTCCTGCGCAGAGCCCCAATCCTGATTTTGTTCCTCGAGACAGCCGATTGGAATGCACAGATGCGATTGAGGCCGTCTCGGAGCAACACCGTAGGAGAGACTGCTGCCAATCCAGCTGCACCCAGTGGTTTCTTTGATAATGTCGCAGACACCATGCTGAATGCATTTTCCAAAGTTCACAAGCCTGATAAGAGATTCATCGAAGTTACTGAGAGAGCAAATAAACTTGACGAAGATCTTTCTCATGTGGAAAAGATCATCGCGCGAGTTGCAAGACGCGAAGGTGATCTAGAAACCGATTATGCCGATCTTGCCAACAACATGAGAAAGCTCACACCCCTGGAACCCGCGATTGAAGCACAATTACAAACCTTTGCTGGCTGTGTTGAAGAGTCTTCTCGCGGCTGGAAGGGACTGAAAGACCACACAGACCAGAACTATCTTGGCAGCTTACGAGACATGGAGGCCTATATTGGCTCAGTCAAATCATTATTGAAGACGAGGGAGCAGAAACAACTCGATTTTGAAGGTCTCACGGAGTATCTCTCTAAGGCAACTGCTGAACGAGATATGTTGGCATCAAGTAACCCATATTCACATGGATCGGCTTTGAATCCGGCCAATTTTATCCGGAACAAGGTTGAAGATATCAGAGGAGTTGATCATGAAACAGCACGAAGAGAACGAGCACGAAAACTTGAGCTCAAGATTGCCGAGCTGAATCGTGAAGTCGACAGTGCCAAAGGCACCAGTGAGATGTTTGATGAGCAGGTTGTACGTGAGGTATCTGATTTCGAGAGAATCAAAGGTATTGAATTCCGAGACAGTCTGGGAGCGCTTGCCTCACAACATATGGAATTTTATCAGTCCGTGATTTCTACATGGGAACGGTTCCTTGTCGATATGGACGCCGATAATCAGGTGCATAAGGATAAAGGCCGGGCGTCAACCTGAAGAAGCTGAACAGGCTCTGGTGGCGGTCGACTTGTGACCAGTTGTTTGGTCGGCGCTTGTGAAAGGATATGCCCGTGTCATGCTCCATGAGCCTTGGGATCGTCATTGAGCGATCGTAATTTAACAATAATGAATTAAGAGCCGCGTGGTTCGCGACAAAATCACTTCCATCCCTTCATCCGCTTCAGGACCGACTCACTCCATCCTCGTGACATCATGCTCTTTAATAGATACCAGGCATGATCCTCCAACGCACAATCTTCTTGTACCTCTCCCAGTCATCACCATACTTCTCACTGCAAGCCGCATCGTCTCTGCGCTCTCTATGAATCAGCAGTGTGGCAAACCACACAACGTAGCAATAGGTAAAAATCATGCCCCAGCCCTTTGCTGCTCCCTGGACGACCCACCTGCCGTCTAAAGTCTGGATTGCCTCGGGATCTGCTGGCCCAGCAGCTGATGTGGGAAGGAGAAGATAGCCGGCCATTGCTGTAGGAACGCTGAACGGCCACCCCTGCATCCAGTCGCCCAAGTAGTTCATGTGGCGCGACATGCCCCACCAGCCGCCTGTCAGCAGCTTCGTGCCGCGTTTGGTGTGGATGTACGACAGGTCGATAACACTCGGATGCTCAGGCTCGGTCCGGAAGCGAAGCTTTTGCGCATTTGACGCGCGGAAAATGTACAAGCCGATGGCGAAAATGGCACAAAGACCAACAACGCACGCGTAGCTGAGCTGGACGGGATGGACTGCGAGATAGCGACATTGCGTGGAGTACAGAAAGGGCACCAGGACAATATCACCAAAAGTTAGCATAAAGCCCAGGCCATCGGTCGTGATGTCCATCATGCGGAGGAGGCCATCTTCGAAGTACTGGCCCTCCAGGATATAGTAGGACTGCGCGGCGGTGGTGAGGAGGATGCTATTGCTGACGAAGCCATGGGTACGGTATTGCTTGGCGATGAAAGCGAGGTCGAGGAGAAGCCAACCGGTGAGGCCAGGACGCATTGCCAGGAATGATTTCAGATCGATTTCACCAATCAATGGGAGGGTGAATCGCGGGTTCAGTTCACGCCCAATGTAGAAATCATAGACGACGTTACCCGTTTGGCCACCGATAGCCAGCTCGCGGAGGTTCTCTTTCTGGAGCTTCACGCCGAAGCTGCAAAGGTACACGTACAGAGAGATCAGCCAGGAGAGGATGATGCTGCACGTGAGAAGTTGTAGATAATTGTCGGTTATGAAGGTCCAGACCACAAAGTTTGCGCCTTGAAAGTAAGTACCCATCGCACATATGATCAAGTGGACCATGGTGGACGAGAAGGCTGTTCAGGGCTCGTCAATCTCGTTGACTTTTCTCAAACACAGTTGATCGGGGCCTTACCGTTGAATCGATACTCAAGAGGACGGCCAGACTCGCGCAGTTTTGTGCCCAAAACAGCCTGGGCTGGAAGGGCAGCGAACAGTACCATGCTAAACATGTAGTAGGCGACGAGCCAACCAGCAACCTCTATGCTCGCAAATCCCCAGACTCCCTCTTCGGGCCAGGGAATTTCTGATCTGAGCCTCTCCCAGGTCAGCAGACTAGGGCTCAGAAGACTAGGGGCTGGACATCCTGTCTTGTCATTGCAGGCGAAATAGAAGAGGGTGAACAGCAGGGGCAACCCAACCATAATGGCAGCTGCACCGAGACTGTGAGAGTAAGTATTGGGAATTCGCTAATTCGTATGTGGTATCGACTTACGGACCCCCAAATTCATATTTGACCTTTGATGAGACCATGGCGTCGATCTTTACCGTCTGAGACGGCAGGCAGCGCCGGCTGGGAATCACTTATTACCCACAAAATAGCTCCCTCGGTTTGAAGGTAGACAGATAATGATGACAACAGTCTAATGCACTTCTTAGATTTCGAAATGAAGCACTTGGCAAAATAACTCTCCACAACATCGCATGATTCGGGATCGAGGAATCCGAGAATCCACATGTGCTAGATGTTAGGGACCGCATCATATGAACTCGATAGCGAGGTGGTATGCCAGCGTCGTTTCATGTTATGACATGACAGATTTTCCCTCCGATGAAAGCATCAAAGTCTGAATACTTAGAGCTGGAAACTGCCATCTCTGTGAGAAGGGTGCTGAACTGGCATACCAGAGCCCGGATTGGACAAGGCTACCTAGGTACCTAGAATGCCTGCCAAGCCAAAGCGCGTCGCGACGCGGTAACTTTGGAACATGCAGCCACTATCCACTTTCTTGTCTGAAGTGCACCAAGTAGAACGAGTCAGGCTCATTACAGCTGACACACAAACTAGATAATGGCAATCAGCAAAAAATATGCTGGGCTTCCAGACCTGGTAGGCAACTCGCACATCAAGTCTCTCCATGTAAACTGACCTGACTGGTTCCTAGGATCCCGCTCCAGAAGTCTACGAAACCCCAGATCTAGCCGATGATGTCTCTACTGTCCAGGTCAGCATCTCTTTTCTCTTGTTCTTCTACCTCAACCACCAATCCACAGGACCGAAACCATGATTCTGAACTCTTGAGCAACAACAGACAGGTACCGTGCGAACCATATCTCCCACTCCTTCCAATCACGATTCTGGTGACCCAGGTCTGGATAGACAACCTGTCGATCGAGAAGGTGCCAGGCGCAGATTTGGTGCTTCCAGGGTCGATGCCAGGGATGTGGACTTTTCAGACGCCATTGGTGCCTCCCACCGCTCATATCGAACCCGTACTTCGCGGCGGCGGCGTATGATCAAGAATGACAAAGGCGAAGATGAAGTCGTCTACATGAGTGACAGCGAAGACGAAACCTTGGGCAGGAAATTGGCTCGCTTAAAGAGGGAGGCAGAAGAAGTGAGACTGCAGTTACAAAAGTTGGACCAGGAGAAGGACTCCGATGCCGAGTTCAAGGACAGCGTTGAAGAGCAACAGCAACCGCAGCGTCCCGACCAAGACGAGAATGTCACTCCTGACAACGTGGACGAGTTGAGTAAAATTCTTGACGGTCTCACGGTTAAGGCTGGCTTAAAAGGTTTAGGAACGGCAGAGGAGGATTTCATCTCAAAACTCGACTCCAATGCACGACAGCGACAGCAACAACGAGCCCACGATGCCAGTATCATCTCTCACCCGACGGGAGGTCAAGCAGCCTCATTGAACGGTGCATTGTCTCCCGTAAGTGCCGTGGCTGCATTTTCGGACAGACTTACTGCCCTCGAGGCCGCACTCGGCGTTGGGTCGACCAGCGCTGAAAGCTCTCAAACAACGTCGATCCTTCCCACTCTGAACAATCTCTCATCTCAGATAACCACCCTTTTCGGCGCCCTGAACCCTCCAACCACAAATACTGCGTCTTCAGGTCCGCATACAACTCCCCTCCTCGACTCCGTGTCAAGTCGATTGAAAGCCTTAGCCAACGAGTCCAAGGCTCTAGAACAAAGTCGCAAAGCCGCACTGGAATCTCTCGCGAGACTCCATGAGACTCGGATGCACCATCTAGTTGCAGCAAACATCCACACCGGCAGACACTCTGGCCGAGGCGTTCCAAACACCTCAGTAGGACCAGACGGTGGTGTTTTTAAAGTGATACAAACGCGTATCGAGCCAAAAGACTTCTTTCCTACCACTGACAATGGCCGTCCTGATTATGATTATATGTCCCGTCCCGACGATGAATCTCTTCAAATCACATCACGAGTCTTCCTCGAGGAGCAAGCCACAAAAGTCACCGCGCTATACCAACTACTCCCGTCGATACAGAACCTCCAGCCACTGCTCCCAGTTGTGCTGGAACGATTGCGGACGTTGAGCGTGATCCATGCAGGTGCAGCAGAAGCCAAGAACGGACTCGATGATGTGGAGAAAAGACAGCTCGAGATGCAGGCTGAAATCAAACAATGGCGGGAAGCGGTCGAAGTTGTGGAGAAGGGTCTGGCTGAGTTGGAGGAGTCTATGAAGGGTAACACTAAGGTCGTAGGGGATATGGTGGGTGACCTAGAGGGAAGGATTGGGACCTTAAGCAGCAGGAGATAACGAGCCATTATCCATATTCTGGGACTGTCTACTCAGTCGAATCCTGCACTATAGATGGCTCCAGATGGTGCTAGCCGAGCTAGATTGGGCTGTTCTTCCCAGATCAGCATCCTCCAGCATGTTGCACCTCAATACCTACAACTCATTAAGAAGGTCTCATACCTCCCTCGGCTCTTTTCAGGATATACAACTTGGTCTCTAAGCTCCAATGCAACCACCAGCCTCTCGTCCAACTGAAATCTTTGCCCAGCGAGCTACCGAAGATCGTCTCCATACCATAGCCCTCCCTCAACACATCATGCAGGACACCATACACCCACTTACCCACATGGCCATACATGCTGCCAACCAAACGACTCAAGCCATCATCCTCCCTTGTTGCCCTCTCCTTCCCATTGGTATTTTTCCCACCAAAAACCAACAGCCCCCTCCCCACATCGGGCGCCATAATGCTCGGCTTCCCCAGTCCCGGCACCTTATCCACGACATCCCAGGCGCCAATGACGCGCCTGGGGTCCTCGACGACGACATAATCAAACTGTGCCCAGAACGCGGGCATCAGGAACTCGGTCGCATTGTCGGATTTGTCGTAGATCCAGCGGGCGCGCGTCTTGGGCGCGATCGTCCGTTTCCGTCCGTCCGGAGATCCCGGCAGCACGAACAGCGCGCGGTCGTGTAGTGCCGAGGACGGCGTGTCGAGAAAGTGCGTCACACCGGTTTGCAGGGCCAGGTTCGTCAAGTGAACCCGGATTTGTGGTTGGTGTCGGTACTTTAAGCTGATGGCGTGCAGGGACGAGATGGCGGCGCCGCCTGGGTAGGTTTGCGCGGAGAGGGGGAGGAGTAGGCCGTGCGACATGTACGTGCTGATTAGGGTGGTGGTCAGGAGGATGTAGGTTATTAGTCGATGGGTTATCGAGCGGTTCATTCGGATGGTGGCGTGGCTGGCGATCAGAGCGAGAGAAGCGGTGAGCGGTGGAATGATGGGGAAGAGGAACCGGGTTTCCTTGTGGGGGAGGAGGGAGTAGATGGCTGTGTAGATGAAGGGAGGGGTAAGGAGGTCCAGCAGGGAGAGTGGCACGCCGCTGTAGCTGGCCACGAAGCCCCACGGGATCAAGAGGAGAAGGAGGGGGTTGATCAGTAGTCGTGGCAGTGCTGATGTGAAGTACCAATGCCATGGTGATGTGCCCCAGGCAGAGGCACCCAGACTGCCCTTTGACGGGAGCACGTTCGAGATAAACCCTGCCAGCTCAGGCCACAAGAGTGTGTGTGATTGCCAAAAGAACGTGTCGATGCTGACTGTCAGCACGAGGCCGACGACGGCGGCGGCGAAAATCGCAGGGATGAATGTCGTCCGGACAAGTGTGATGCCATTCGCAAGGCTGCCAGATTTGAAAAGAATATACAGGCAGTGTGCTCCTAGGAGAAGGCCTAACTCGGAACGGAATATCACCGTCGGTAATGTTAACAGATATAGGGCAAGTTTCGTTTGTTTGACCTTCGACCTCTTGGATGCAGGGTCTGGCAGGAAGAATCGAAGTGCAAAAGTGCCTGGGTGGAGAGAAAGGGAAGAAGACAGTGGTCAGCTTGAAGAGAAAAGAACGATATGATTACAGGCAGGCTATACGTACTCGTTCCGAAAGCAAACATATTCGGAAGTGTGCGAGACGAATAAAAGAGGATATGGAACTGGCTGGCCTGCAGCCACATGTTCCATTCTGCTGCAACCTTCCCATAAGCTCGGCGCACACCTGTCGTGTAGCTGATGAGTGCTGCTGCATTGAAAAGTCCCAGAAGAGCCCGCACTATGAAACCATTAGCACCAATATCGGAATTGATCTTCTCCAAGAGCTCACCCAGGAATTGCTGCTGCTCGCCATTCAAAGCCCAACACCATACAAACGGCCTCGCCAAAGCAGCCAGCACCAGAGAGCCGACGAAACTCCTCGGTACAGCACCAGCAAATGTCATGTGATCATAATGAGCTTTGAGGCGAAGATAGTAGTTGTTGGTCGGCACGCCGTAGGTGAGGATGTCATGTGTGGCTTGCATATTGAATGATTCTTCCACCTTGGTGTACGGGGCGACATAGAGATGGAGGAGAATGAAGGCGGGGAAAATAAAGTAGCTGAGATGCCACATCTCGAGCTTCTGTGCCATGATGCCAGCACATGAGTCTCTACGCGATGGAACGGACGAGAAAGTGTGGTCAACTGGCAGAAGGATAAGAAACGGCAGCTGACCGAAATGCAAAAAAGGGGGATATTTATGCGTCACGTGGTTACAATCTCAGCCTTGGAGGTCAGGCTTCAACTCGGGGGTTTTAGCTGTACCACTGCCTGTATGAATATGTGCTCTACGAGATAAGTTGGTCAAGTATGAAACTCTGCCCTAAGCAGCTAACCCGTCAAGTCCCATTTCTCCTCCAAGGGCTTTCCATTAACCTCAAAAGGTTCAATTGCAATGGTGGTGGCAACAAATCGAGCAGGTTCTGTCTTTGAGGCATTTCTCCATCGATGGTTGGTACCGCGCTGGATGATGTGATCCTGTCCCGTTCGATTTAGATTGCACACTGTATATTCCACTAGAGATAGACTTACACCAGGTTTTAATGTGACTGTATCGCCACTATCGAGAACGTGTTCAATCTCGCCGAGTACAACTACACTGTAGTCGATGGAGACGGTTTGATGCATGAAACTGGCACCGCCGGGTTGGAGATCAACTATGATGAAGTTGACACCATTCGGCGTGACGATCGTTGAAGAATTCCAACTTGTCGGTTTGTCAGGTTCGGTATATGCCTTGATGTCTACGCCGTCTGCTAGCTCGTACGGCAAGGCGACGGAGTAAGATCGAGCGTAGCCCCCTTGGCCAGGAACCGGAAAGAACTTCTGTGGGGTAGATTCGAGGTGCACACTCTTGCCATCAGCATTGTGCTTGGTGATGAAACGACGAACTGGTGGGAGATTGGTTACTGATTCCACTGTTTCAGCCATGATTTTCAGTGAATGATAAGGGAAGATATAAAAGGCTGAAGACCAATCTGTTGGACGAGGGTTCTGTGATGAGATTGAAGCGGCTGAACAAGCCGATCAAGGGCAGCAACAACATTATATAGCACAGATCTTAGGATGGGGAACGTGCAACGCCATCCCGTGGAGCCTGATATCAGGGAGTCTGGGTCGCAAGACGACATTAATAATTGATAGGCAAGGTATCAACAAATCCCTATACGGTGATTAGGCCGTCCCGCATGCGGGTATTCGGCAGGGGGGAGACCAGCAATATTGAAAGCCCGCGGTCAAAGCCGATACAGTACCCTGCTCGCCTGATCTTCGTCCGGGGTCTGCTCAGCTATATAAGCCAAGACTTGACCAGACGAGCGATTCATTGGCATCCAGATACGAGGAATGCGAGGTGTGGCTAGGCTGAAGAAGGACTCCGTAAGCATCTTCAACGTTGAACACAGCCTTTGGCATTGAAGGAAGCTGATTACAGAGATAAAGACCGAAGGAGTTAGTCGTCGAGGTCAGTAGATTGGAGAAACTGGATAGTACATTTGCTTCGAACGGGGTGAAGGCGCTGTTCCGCGTTTCATCGTACGCTGGATGCCCGATGAAGGATCAAAGGCTCTCATCAGAGAAGCTCCAGCTGACTAATACTCCAGCAAGGCTAGGCTATTATGGAGTAGCTGATTACTAGTGGCGACTTATCGCAGTTAGTGCCTGGTAGCGGCGGGGAAGTCACTACCGAACACAAAAGGTCAGATCTGGCTTTATTTGGTCTTTGCAACTATCCAAACGTCTACCTCGTACTGCTGATGCAGCTGAAGGACAAGTAACATATCTGATCTTGACTTCCTCTACCACCGCCGATGACAATCTTCCTCCAACTACACTGATTACATCCCTTATCCTACACAACTCACCGCTTCGACCCCCACCCCTCCCTTCTTCGTATTTCGCCTTCAACGCTTTTACACTTTCTCGAAATAGCCAGGTCCTCCCACCTCAAAATGCTGTCTCTATTCGGATTCGGCCCTTTCATTTACGGTAAGCAACCCGTCGTGGTGGTCTTCAGATCCCAAGGCGCCGTCCGCTAACGTTTTGCGACCCTTGCGCAGCCACCTGTCTGTTCCTCAACGCAGTTGCCATCTTGTCTGAGGATCGATTCCTCGCTCGAAGTACGTTTCGCGGAATACCACCTTTACCGCCCGTTACACATATGGGAAGAGGATAGAAGGAACTAATTTATCTGTGCACAGTCGGCTGGGGGAAGAGCTCTCTCAATGATCCCTCTGGCGCTCCGGCATTCGGAACGCCTGGTCAGGATCCTGAGAGTTTTCGCAACAAGGGTATCCATTTGATTTCCAGTATCAGGACTTTATGTCGAGGTGCGTGCCATCCACAGAGAGCAATTGGCTCGCGCGCCATCTCTCAGCGCCCCATGGATCAGGATGGGCTGACCAGATCTATTACAGTGCCCCTTATAGGAGTCAACCTGATGATTGTTATTTATGAACTTATTCTGGGCTAGCATGGAGTAGCACCTAGGCGGAAAACCTATACCTACACCTATATGACAGGACACTGTAGCCCACGACCATACGACGTAGGCACCAAGCACGACTTATGCCACGCATTCACAGTTCTCAACGTCACTGTCACTGCAAAGAAAGAAATGTGAGTTTTGAGACCGGAGTTTTCTTGTGAAGCTCTCCAGCTATCTTGTCACTCAAGACCACGGGATCCTCAAGACTCGTTCCAGTCATTGCTATTCGACTAAGCATGAACCCTTCGAGGGGTTGAAATTCATGGAAACCATTCTTCACCCATCAACCTGTGTACAGATGAAACGAGGAGAAGAAAGTGGTCTTCATAAAAGCCACCTCAATTGGTCAGCTAGTCTTCACTATCATCAGTGAGGACGAACCTCTACTTGCAAGCCACGGTTATATGTGGAGTCGTCTGGGCCGGGCAGGATCTCTCTTGCACATCCTACAAAGATAGACAGGGTTACATCGAATGTTGGAACGATCAACGAGGGGAAATGAACGCGGTCTGCCGTTGCCAGATTGAAGAAGTTTCCTCGGTAGTGTGTATGCTCCAGTCCAACAAGCAAGCCCCCACCGACAAATACGCAACGATGAATCTCTATATTACTACGTTCTTTTCTGTTTGATTTACATTCCCCCTAAGTAGATGTCATATTGAGCATGATAATGGCCGTGAGCTTGAAAAGTCATCCAGCTAAGCCAAGGAATCGAACCACACGTTGTTAAACCGTCTACCAGTGATTTCGAGCAAGGCGACAATATCCATATAATCCTACCTAAAATATTGGGGAGAGACATATATGTGTGATTGCATCGATATGCTATGATATCCAACTGACGTAGGCTTTCTGGATTGGACTGTGCCCAGGAACCTGCCAACTGTAGCAGGATGAGTCCCCAGTAGGTAAAAACCCACCACGATCTCATCTGCTCCTGTCCAGTCTTATCCTTTCCTATCCTATCCTATATACGTACGCACGCTGTCCCAATGCGGCCGACGGATCCGAGTCCCAAATTCCCCAACCATCAGTTGAGAATCGAAACGCCTTGGGACACTTCATTAGATGCTAACGCTCCTCCTGGGTTTTCTGTAATTAAGGTCGTAAGTTTTTTCCCCGGGGCCACACTCGGGCCATCCTGTTTTTGACCCTTCCCACGAACAAGAAAGTGGCTGAGACGCTGAATCCCTTAACGCTGCGAAAAGCGGTCGTTCTCGTTAAAGTCATCCTTATATCACAAAACACATTGTGTTTTACGGTGTAAATCTCGCAATGAAAATTCACCCCGTCCTTTGCGTGTCCATAAAGTATTTTCGAGCAAATAGAGAGGAATGTATCCAATGATCGATAGGTGGCCAATGTCGCCCAGTTATATCGCTGGACAAAGTCATGGTATTTGCTCTGGTCAACTGATTATACGTGCAATTGTACATGGCAAGAACATTTCTGAAGAGACATTTCGGCGAAGGATCATGTCAATTTGCCAAATGATTTCTTTCTGATACTGAATCGGTTCTTTTTCTCTTTCTCCTTTTGTGTTTCGCTTTCGTTGGGGTTTATTGAGGGGACTGAGTCGCTAGGTGGCTCGGAGACGTTCTCATCCGAAGGATTAGACCGTGGTTTGTCTTTCTTCGTCAAGGATCCGAATCGAAGACTCTTGGATCGCTTGAACCGGTCGAGACCAGAAGGACTTGAACTGGTAGGAGAGTAGGTCTCGGCTCGTTCTAATGCATTGCGGCGATCTTCATCGGCCTTGGAAGCTTTGCTCGCCTCGAGAGCTGCCCGAAGCTCAGCCTCTTGCCTTTTGTGAGCGTCCTGAAGTTTGTTGGCCAAATCCTTCCGTCGTTGTTTTTCATTTTCGACTCTTTCCTTCTCCGCCTGCTTCTCGAATTGCTTTTCTGCTGCTTTCCTGGCCTTCTCTTCTTCCTTTCTGACCTTTTCTTCTTTGGCCTTTTCTTTCTTGCTCTGGACGATAGGGCTAGTGGGTCTGATTGCCGCAAGGTGTGGCGATGACGGCGTTTCAACATGGCCATTGGTCTTCAGCTGAGGAGCAGTGGCTGCATGATCGAGAGCTGCATATTGAGCAGCCTCGCCGGGCATTGTCAAGGACGTAATTGGACTTATCGTTGGAACACGGTTCATTTCATTCGAGTGCTTGGGCATGACACCCAAGCCATTAGTGACATCCTGAGACATTCGCGCTTTGCCCTCGTTCCTTTGTTCCTGTCGAATTGCTTCGATGGTAGTCTCCTGGTAGAACAGGACGTATGCACAGGCGAGGCCAGCTTGATCGCCGAAAAAGTTCAGGACGAAACTTCTGTCCACGGGTTCTACCATTTCGTCGTCGAACAAGAGCCATCCCCGGTCCTGGGTTTTGATGACTGCAACATAATGACCGTGGTAAGGTCCGCCACCGATATGCACAACAATGGCATAGAGCTCGTATAAGCGATCGGGATCTTCTGCGTCATCGGTGGTATTGAACAACCTAAGGTGATAGGGATAGACAACCTTGTGGAACAACTTTTGAAGGCGTTGCAAATCCTCGGTATATTTGAATCTCTTGAGGTGGAGAGCCAAGATCTTAGGAAGGCGCTTGATCTTCATCCTTTTCTCTGCTTCTTGAAGACCGCCGCAGTTGTCACAATGGAATTTGTTGCGTTCACACAACATCTCTTCTTCTGAAAACCTGCGCAAGCAGGCAGTGACAGACGAGTGCTGTTCCAAATCAACCGACAGATCGAGAAATGGTTCATCACGTTGGGACACATTCTCACATGTCAGACATCTGGTTTCTGATGTGAGAGTACCCTCGAACAAATCGGATAGCCACTTGTTGGGTGAAGCTGTGGGCACTGGTAGAACTGACGGAAAAGAAACTGTTCCGGATTCGACTTTGGCAATGTCGGTATCTTCAGACTCTGACGAAGCCGCATCAGCCTTCTGCTGAGCTATGAGCTTCCTGTCCTGGGTCTCGACACTCTCGAGCACAGTATTGAGGAGAAGATTGAGAAATTCGTGGGCATCTTGATGCATGGCAGATCGAAACATTTCATTCCCTTTTCGTAAAGTTTCCAGGAATCTGCTAGGACTGATGACACCACTTCTTGACTGATTCACGACAACCGCTTCGAAAAGATCTTTGAGGGAGGTGAAAAGATCCTCGGGCATCTCGTAGTCGGCCGAATTCTCATAGCTCATGTTCAGTATAGGCCCGGTAATCAAGGCCTGTTTCTTCTTATACTCTGGTGAGTCTTTGTCCTCTGGTTTCTGTTGCTGATTGGGCGGTGTTCCTGCATTGCGCGCAGAGCTGGGCCCCTGGGGCTTTTTGGCATTTCCATTTGCTTGGGAGGTCGGCGGGACTCGCGCAGGAGCGTTTGCCTGAGCTTGAGCGACGGACTCTGGATTGGAGCGGCGGGGATACGAGAGGACATTGTCTCGAAAGGGAACAGAATAATATAAACATTGTAAAATGGAATTACAATAGCTGCGACGAGTCAGTTTAGCAACGAGCGGCACGGTGGGAACGCAGCACTGACCAAGTATTTCCAAACTGCACGAGAGAATTGATTAGTAAATTAATGGCGAGGAGGGGGGCGACGTACATTTTCCATTCCAAAGAACTTGTCACTTCCATCATTTCGAATAGGCCCAGCGTTCATGAGCATACGCTCTAGAGGGGTAGGTACTGGCGCATTGGGATTCTTTGCGGGCGTTGTGCCCAGCGCCGGCGTCGCAGCATGCTACCAAAGAGAAATGTTAGGATTGACCGAGCAAGCTTGGTCCCAGTGGCGACACTGGGATTGAGGAACGTACCTGGCTCTTACGTTTCCCAAAGAAGGAACTCATGGTTCATGCACTTCATCTGCAACGAGCCGAGGACATTTGTGGCAGCAGTCAGAACTGAGAGTGGTACAACCCCGAAAGGCAGAAGAGAGAAGCAGGCGAGGGTGAGGCGGGTGGGCGGGTCAGCGTGCGAGATAGATGGACTGAGGTGAAGAGAGATAGTAGAGTGGTATGTATGGTAGGAACGGTAGTGTGGGCGAGGGAGCGTAACAACGGTAGTTGAATGGAGTTGAGCAGAACAGAAATGCACACTGCAGCTTTGAAATCCACCAGGCACCTGCAAGATGAGGATGGTGGACTTTGACTCGTGGCCACGGGCGTGCTTCTCGAAAGGCTAGGGTGAAGACGAAATCCGGGCTGACTGGCTCGCTCTGTAGGCACAATCGTTGAATGTAGCGGGGGTCGCAGGTGGCATGCAGGTGCCAGGTGCAGTGAGCAAACCAGAAGCCAGGAACCTGGAAGCTAACTTCGCCCCAGTAGACACTTAGGATTCGGCAAGGATGGGGGCGTTGGGGCTATTCCAGCAGCCTAACAGAATCGGGTCTACCTGAGTCGTCGTCGTAGTGCGAGGTACTGAGTACGAGGTACTTTCTTTGTAGTAGCCGGGAGACGGGTCTTCCCCCACCACTGTAGTGACAGCCATTGACACCGACACAGCCTAAAGCCATGCTTCCATTTTCTTCGTTCTAGTGCCTGCTGATCACCGACCAGAGCCTAGGGCTCGAAGGCCGAGTTGTCAGGCATTTAAGTACATAATTAGTAGTCAGATACAAAGCAGTCTTCATCAAAGTGGCGTGTTGCTCTGAGGCCCTTAGTCGTAATCGGCGATCAGCAAGTAGCCACCAGCCAGCGACGACCTGAACGAACGCGACCCAGCACTAAAAGCTACAAGCGCGGCAACCCAAGTGCCTGGGGACTGGAGTGCAGTGCCGTGGCCGAGGGGCCTGCAGGAGTAAACGTTCTAGCGTAGCCCCGAGTTGACGTTGGAGGATCGCTTGGGCGCGGAGCTGTCGATGGCCGCGTGCCTAACAGGTGCAGTTACGGCGCCACTCGGGCTAATTGAGGGCCTTTTGCCTCCTCAGTGGGTTGTTGCCAGTTGGTGACCTCCGCCTCTGCAGTTCCATGGTTTGGAGAAGGCCGAGGGCCATCAGTCCCCCTACAAGCACCATCCTGGCCCAGTCAAGAAGGAGGAAGTCGGGGATCCCTCCAAACAGGTTTCTCTCTGTGACTTCCCGTGTCTTGGGCTCCAGGGCGGCTGCTGATTCTTGTCAGGATCAGCACTTGAAAGGGAGGGACACAAGTTGACTGGTTTTGCCTAAATTATGCAAAGGGAGAAGGCTTGCATCAGTATTGACGGAGTTTGACTCCATTGTTCGGTGATTACACTTGGGACTTCAAAGAATTTACCTCCTCCGGCCTTCAATATCTGTCCCAATATTGGGGCTCCCCCGCGGAATTCTAATTCATGGCTGTGAGCCCGTGACGAAACCCTCAAGGTCCACGTGGCTGACTGGGACCTGCTCAGATGACTCTGCAAGATCGGATGCCCCTCCGAGGCCCCCAAAACTCAAGAATTCCAAACCCAGTGCTTTTCATCGCATCGCTGGGCTTTGTCGGCATGTGGCCGAATTCCGGGGCTCGGTAGGCCTTGCTAAACCTTCCCTGGTCAAATTGTTATAAGTGAACATGCATTCTTCTTTTTCAGGCTGGCCATCTAGAATGTGAATTTCCATCTCCCGTATGGCTCAGATTGGGTTATTCTAGGCGCAACCCGTCCGAGTGCGCATTTGCCGACCAGGTCAGTGATTAATGGTGGGTACCGAGTACTTCGAATTTTGAGAATTGCTTCTACCACGCTAAACATCATCTTGCAACTGGCAGTGACATTGGTGATTCATTCTCCTGGAGGCTGGTGCCGCTCAGACTCAACAAGGCCAACTGGATATCCACGACCCCACTCGTGGTGTCAGGTGTATCGAACTATCATAATAAGAAGCACGTCTTTATCATTCCACAACATATGCAAGAGATTATTTCCGCATTTCATACAGCTGCTCGTCACTGGGTATTTGGTATCATTTCGTACTGCGCCGTTGTCTTCAATACTCCCCACTCGCTCAAAGCTTCCTTGACGTTTTGATGACCTATGGCAGGCAATTTCTGAACAATCAATCTCTCAGTCGCAGAATCTCCATGAGAAATTCTTCGAAGCTAAGTGTCACATAGCCATCTCGATCATCATCGTACTTCTTGAAAACATCTGTCATACGCTTGAGACTGATGCAGGCTTGCACAAACAAGTCAAAACTCATCCCCTGGCCTTGCACCGGGCTTCGATCGTTGAACGTGTTGTAGAGCACACCGACAAACTGTTGTGACAATCGATAACCGAATGCCGTCATGGCCTTTGAAAATTCGAGCAACGAGATGCGACCACTCCCGTCCTCATCAAATCGTTCGAACAGTGTCCGCCATGCCGCCAGGAACTGCCATAGATTTTCAAATTCTTCAAACGTGATGGTAGGACCTTGCGCTTGATTCGGCGGTGACGATGTAAACATGCGCATTAGTGATATTATGGTCCGCGAGTCGAACGGTGTGAAATCTGCGTTGACCAATGCTGAACCCAATTCCGCCGTCGTAAGAGACCCTGTACCTGAAGCATTCGCCGCACGGAACAGACGAAACAGGTCGACCGAGTCTGGGTCTGTAGGGGCTGTATTGCGTGGAGGGTAGCTCTGCTGTTCATTGGAACCCCTTCGATCGAAGCCATAGTTGGCTGCATTGGGGGGAGGAGACTGCAGGCGGTTGTACTGGTTATCAGCATACCCTTGACCCGCGTTATGTGGTCGCTGCTGCTGGTACGTCTGGACCGGAGGGGGTCTGTAGGAGTTCTGGGATTGTGAAGGCGGTGGTGGTTGTGACTGTGCAGGTGGGCCTATGCCTCGGCCAGCTGGGGAAGGTCGACGGCCAGCACTGCCTGGAGACCCAGGGCGTGGTTGATGGCCATAACGCTGACCTGGAGGTGCGTTGGGAGAAGTCTGTCTTCGATTTCCCTGAAGCTGACTCAAAGCTTGAGCGGCTTGCTCGGGCTCTGCATGGCTGTATGAGAGTCTCAAGTCAACGGAAGATCTGGCAGGAAGATTCCAGAGAGGGTGAGGGGCACCTACGCAGGCAGCGCATCTGGGTTGAAGGCTCTATTGTACGCCATGGTCTGAATGTAGGTGGGAGGGTCTAGGATTCCAAGCGGGTTAAGGAGCGAAACGTTTAGTAGAATTGGTCATTCCATGTAGGCTTTCATTGCAGGAACAATACGAGTATCACATTATGCGAAAATGTCTTGTTTGTCGTTCAAAGGCAAGGCTTGGGTTCCAGTGAATCTTGGGGTCTGTGCCAATGCCAGGGACAGCAATGCTAATACCCACCTTGGGGCAGAGCACCTAACCTGATGTTCCTCGTATAGTTGGCCTGGGGCTCGCTGCGGGCAAACTGTTAGGCGCTAACTTGCTCTCGTTGGCATCACCTTAGGTACCTAGGTACCTAGGGAGCTTGTGCCTGATGAAACCAACAAGTTCCAACTTCCAAGTGCCTAACAAATACCCGAGTCCATTATATTTATTATTACCCAGCCTACTTAAGTAGGCACCTCGACGCGGTACTCGTCTGCGAGGCTGACGTGGCTTCCACCATTGTGCTCCCCAACCTGCAAACAGGCATCCATATTCCGAGATCACTGTTCGCCGTGGTTGAACTCACAACGTCATAGTTGACACGAGGCGTTCTCAAAGATCTAGGCATGATCACCATCAAAGCCTGATCAACCAACTCACATGATACATTTAAGCCTCGAATCTCAGCCTCAAACGTCTCCTTGGTACGACGTGTTGACGTCCAGAAGTTACTGGCATGTCGATAGACCGGTGCACACCTCCAGCAGTTGACCTCCCGCTACTCCCATCGAAGGCAAGCTACCTTACACCAATAGTCAATCCAAGCCACCTGGTAACTGTTGTATCCGCACCATTTGGCAGGAGAAGGCGATGTGTGTTCTCGGGTCTGCTTCCACTACATCCTGCGAGTGACAATGCAGTCAAAAAGCGGCCTAAGTACAAACGTTAGGTCTCGGAACGGCGTGCAGGCGGAGACCAGGCCAGGTCACCAGTCAAAAGCTCTCGTCAGATCGGCGGATGTGTGTCCTGCATCATCCGACACATGGGTGGCTGGCTACTGAAACAACGCAATCCTTTGCGTCTTGCCCAGGATGACATATATGTACCTAGGCTTGAGTACCAATACTCCTCTATTCTGAAGTATCAAAAGTACCTCTGTTTACCAATGAACGGCGTTCTACACTCCCTTTGAGTTTGAACAGCTCACCGGCATGATTTGAAGTTTCTCGTGGCAGCTCAACCGTTTACTCGTTCCAAGACATGGCTTCATCTGTGTCAGATGACTTTTGGCTCTTTGGATACGGGTAAGTCGATGCTCAAACAAGCACTCCTTCCAATAAAACTCGAGCCCTCAGTTGCTTAACGCCGAGTCTCCCTTCTTTAGGAGCTTGATCTGGAAACCACCTCCGCATTTCGGTATTGTTGAGAAATTCCCTAGACACTGTCGTGTGTCATGAGTTCACCAGTGTCTAGATCAAAGAATCCCCGGATATATCCAAGGATATGTGAGACGCTTTTGGCAGGTACAAACCCCTGGGATTAAAGTTACTAAGAGGCACTTGCTGATCACCGCGTTCTCCAGGCTAGGTGAGATCGAACAGATGAGAACGTCGGTGCTTCGTGTTGAGATATTTTCCAGTGAGGACCATCGTGGAACTCCCCAATCACCTGGCAGAGTGGTCACGTTGATTCAGAGATCATTTTGGGAAACGCTCAGGGATCCTGTACGACATCAACTGCAGATCCGTGTCAAATTGAATCCACGCTCAACTAATCCTTCTTAGCAACGTTCGACCGAGGGCGATCGCGTGTGGGGCGTTGCGTATCATATCATTCCCGACAAAGTCGCCGAAGTTAGAGATTATCTTGATATCCGTGAAATGTAAGTTTTCACATACCATCGGAGGTCGCCACCGCTATTATACAGGACGGCTTCCCCATACATAGCCACAGGAGTAGCAAGCCACCTATCAATGACTCCGAAAGGCAGTCTCGCCTTTGGGACCTTCCTCAAGAATTTCATGACTGACAGCACTTGGCAGCAACGGCTACAGCATTCAGTACACTCCTTTTCATCCTGCAGACCAATCACATCCGGACATCAAATGCCTAGTCTATATCGGCATGCCAGATAATCCGCAATTTCTGGGCCCTCTCACCCCAGAAGACATTGCTCAAACCATCAATCTTAGCATAGGTCCCAGCGGTGAGAACAGGGAGTATCTGCTTCACCTGCAAGACGCCCTCGGAGCTTTGAGTACTCATAGTCACGATGAACACATCGCCGATCTAGCACGGAGAGTGCGCGCAATGGAGCCTCCTTCACGCCTCAACACCCCCTTGCCGACGGACAATATCTTGAAGAAAATCAACAGCACCGAGGAACAAGAAGAGATTGAGAAGGATGAATAACTAGATTATAGAGGCCACCAGCGATACAATCTTTTTTCCTCTCAAGACACAATGCCTTTCAACTGCTCCCAAGACGATCTTCAACTGTTTAGATGCTGGCAGGAATGGATATCCACCTGAATCAAAAAGTGTACCAAGAAGCTCTGCGCAATCACTGACGGTAAGGTCCCTGTTGGTTGTAAGGATCGTTGCCATTTTGCGGTTGTCCACCTCCATACTGTCCTCCTGGCTGTTGGTACTGTTGTTGATGTTGCTGCTGGTGTGGATTGTACTGCCCATAAGGGGATGAGTATCCTGCGCCTCGACCGTAACCGACAGAAGGGGAATTGCGCGCCTGAGGGCCTGGTGGCGGAAAATTGTTGCCATTTCCGGATGTAAATCCTCCTCTTCCTGCGCCACGACCACTTCCTGTGTTGCGATTGTCTTGAGCATGATCTACGCGGATCGACCGGCCGTCAAAGCTGCGTCTTGATCAGTACCAAAAATGTTCCTGTTGAATGGCTCACCTCACACTGAGTTGTTCATTCCCGCCAAAGCAGCGTCTGCTTCCGTCCTGGTCGCAAACCGTACAAAGCCAAACCCTCGACTCCTGTTTGTGTCTCGATCTTTGACCACAACCTGGAATTCGTTAACCAGAAGATCGACACGTGGATTGCGAAAGATAATACAGCCTCTTCTACCTTTCCAAAGGATGCAAACCCCTCGTATAGTGTCTCATCCGTGGTGTGCCACGCAAGTCCCCTATGACAAACCTGTTAATTGCGCAATCGATCGACACCGAGGGATCTGAAAGGCCTACCCGACGAAAAGTTTTGCCATGATTTAGGTCAAGTGGTGAGTGGATTGGTCCAGGTGCACACTTTAATGAATGCTCATACACGATAGTCAAACCCCAATGTTGACTGAACGATCCCAAGGCTCAGCGCATGAAGTTTGGTGAAGCCGAAGAGCGAAATCGGTCCAGTCCAATGTGAAAGGCAACGGAGTTCTAATTGGACCAGGCCTTGCAGTGGTTATTGCGGATTATTACTTAGGTCGCTTGCAATGAGTCCAATCAACAACTCGGTCTCAATACCAGGATCTTCGAACCTGGGACGCCTGTTGAGGGTAATGGAAAATCTAGGATGATCGATCAGTTTGCCATTGCAAAGTGGAAGCGAAACCGTTCAAGGGAAACAGCCCTTATCATACGAGATCTACAAATGATTCTTTGCGGATTCGTGGCCTTGTGAGTAGCACCTTCACAGTTTCCGGCAGAAGCCAAGATCGATGTCGATGGCTGACAATGGAATAATGAGCAGGGTCAGGAGCAGGCAAGATGTTGTTACCGAGAAACACGAAATCTGATGCGGCGTACAGCCCCAAATCCTCCGAAATCTACGGGCAAAGTGACGGCTGTGGAGCCAAGCAGTCTCCCTTTTGGAAGAGGTTGCAGTGTCCTCCGGTATCTCGTGACGTTGTGATGTCAGGGAGCATCGAGAGGACCCAACCAACGACAGGCACCCTGAAGTTCGGAATGTCACTGGAACACTGGCTTCTGATTCCACGCCGGGGAGGTCTAGTGGGGGTTAACAGAAAGTCTCCCACCCTCATGGCACAGTCTGCCGGTAATTGTGGTGGACAAGACCCATGATCCTAGACAATACGATCTGGGGCGTCTCCATGCACCTCCACACGTTTGCATCTCAGCCTCATGATACAGTGAGCGATTGTGTCAATCACCACGGAAGCCTCAAATGAATTCTCATATTTTATGCGAAGCAAAGAGGGGTACATCCGAGTTGACTTGCACCATAGGATCCCTCACCCACGTGGGCGAGTGCTCGCGGGCAAAAAACCCAAAGGACCCCTCCGAGCCGTGCATGGCTAAGCAGGTGTCAGTCGCGGGATCAGAGTCAGCAGTACAATAATGGCGCCATTATGTAGGCGAACCGACCTGGCCAACTTTGCTGGGATCGGGCTGGGAGTTCAAACCTCAACTAGTCGCTAGACCGCTGGTCCTTCTTGAACTGCTCTTGTTCAGATTTGAGCCTTTGCGGAACAAGCTCTGGCCATCAAGAGAACAGAGTGTCATAGCGGCGGCGAATGAAGAGGTTCCATGGCGTTATCAGTCGATCGGACTGGTCTTCTCAAAACTTTCGAAGAGCCCCACACCACACACTGAGAACAGAACCGAGGACTAGAAATTCACAAGAACAGTCTCTCCTTTGGAGGGAGGATGAGCTCGGGCTGTGAATGGAACAGGGGTGGAGCCTAGCCATGAGTGGGCGGTTGCTTCTGAAATGGGATAGGAAGTTTGGTAGAAAATCATCACTGACTCTTGGTGCAACAGACCCATTCGAGTGAAGTCCTGCTCAGAAGACATGCGGGAACCCGAGGCTAAAATTCCATGCCTCTCAGCCATTTGCCATTTGCAGGATTAATGGTGTGTTCACGGCGCTGGATTGGGTCGAACGCGACTCATGGGTGTGTGGCTGTTGCGAAAGCCGGCTGGGGCCCAGTCTTCACACTAGAGGCATTCAGGCATGGAGCGGCTTGATTTGAATGATTTCGATTGGAGTCTTGAACGGGCTTTTCGTGTTTCAAAGCTTGGCTGGCCAGACTGGAGACTCAATGATGGCCCGTATCTCATTGTTGCTTCAACATCACTAACTGGTACCTACGAGGTGCAGTATCAGAGTCTGGAGTTTGAGTAATGGTCTTGCTTGGGAGGGCCGAATCAGACAGCCAACTTGCTCTTGTATAGCGTTCTTCTTCATTCATCCCCACGTGAAACGTAAACAGCACCACAACAGCCTATTACTCTCTCGCACGCCCTCTGATCGACGACGTTTCAAAGTCGGATGTCTACGTTGCTTAAAGCCGTAAGCCGCAAGGGGTCTTGGAAACCCACTACTGGGCTCTTATCGATGGCGTCTCCCTATACCGCTTAGACTTGCGCCGTATGAGAAACACCCAACTTGCAGGAAGACCACTCGAAACCGGTGGTTGACCATGTACTTGTTGAGTCGTTATCACTTTACATTGCAGACCTGACCACCTAGATATCTGGGACCTTGGTTAACCAACAGGCTACTCGGAGCGTTGAGATCATATCCACCATCATTGTGTATCATCGAACTGTCACATCCCGAGACTCACCGACTTAACAGCCAATTTTGATTTGTAACGAGTATTGTCTCTTCTTGAATGTTAGAGTCGGTCTGGTGGCTTTGTCTAGGCCTGGAATGTCTTGGACCCGATAACTAAATAAATCGGGTTGACTCGACTTCTAGCTAGCCACGGTGATCATTGTCCATCAAGCAGTCTCCGAGCTCGAGGTGACCAGCATGGTCGGCCTCAAGCTTCGATGAGCACGAGCTGCAGGAATGACTTGCAGGACCCGCCCCGGCGTTTGCTCCATGTACCGAGCTCGGCGGTTATGCAACCCAAAACCCGTGCCCCAGACGTACTTCATATCATGGTAGACGATCGCAATCTCTCGCTCTGTCAAATTACCTTCGGCCTCCTCCTGCCAGGTATAAAGCCCAGATATCCAGCATTGCATCTGAGTTCAATGAGGTGTGCCTTCCTTAATCCGCGCGACGCAGCGTCTAACATGGCCGTCCCTTCCCTCATTTCAGATCCGGCTGCGTTTTACAACGCGAGAAACCGCTTTCCTGTCACCAGTGAAAGCACTTTTGATTGCTCGTCCCAGCAGGATCTCACTTGTGATGCAGGATTTTGGAAATATGAGACTGTTCACCAGAAACTGACCAATGTTACCCAATCACTTGGCAGTTTCCCGGTCCAACGAGCTTGTGCGGCGATGGTTAGTTGATTCGACTTCTCAGTGGGAACTCCCCAAGGCGAATGGACCAGGTCCCCAACGTGAGCAAACTCACATTACGAGACCTCCACAGCATCTGGCTGCTGGCATTAAGGATGAGGCTAAGAGACGGTCTTCTTCCCATGAACATGAGCAATTCTTTGTTGCCACGAAACAGTCAAGATTAAATGGTCGAAGTACCCATTCCGCACAGATCGACCCGGCGAGTGTCCGCCACAGTCCGTCCACAACACCACAGGATGATCGCCGAGAAGTAAATAGTACCGACGCCCAACAAGAGCAAGGCTACCCTGATCCCAGCGACAAATATGCCCGGCGTCAGAGGAACAAGACCAAGAGCAACAGATATGAATTGAAAGAGTCAAAGTCCAAATCGCACGAGAAGATATCCAGTAAGAGGACTCGCCGCCAAAAACCATCAGCCACATTGAAGGAGGATTTTCATGCACCTAATGTCCACGTAAAGAGACTTACCCTCAAGCCAAGCCTTGGGGCTGGCATATTTGGAAAAGGGAAAGCGTCTCTACCAACTCAAATGCAAGGGCTACCAGATCTCACCTTCTCTGAGATGAGGTTTCTCAGCAGGCAAGACGACCACAATGTCAAGCGTCAGATACTGCATTCTGACAATAACGCACTGAAACGTGCGAAGTCAACACCAAACGAAGAGATTTCGCGTTTCTTCTCTCATACAGAGGAGAATGAGGCAAGGTTCAATTCCAAGGATTTACAGCTTGACAAATGCGCGACTGGTTCTCTACCGAGAGACCTCTCGACCAAAGCAGTGACCCCTGCTCTCGCTACTACCGCCGACGCGATGAGCTGGTCAATTTCGTCTCCGCGCCACAGTCACTCCCTGAGGGAAGAGCGACGACAATCAACTTCCATCCCAGCGTCGTCTCTGCACTTGAATCAGTGCTACAGGCGTGTCAGTCATGGCAGCGCACCTAGAACTCCCGAAGTTCACCCAATGAGTTCGGCCAGCAATTGCATCCTCAGACAACATACTGACCATGTTCTTATGTCGGATGTCAGAAATCCATCGCAGCCGAACCTGCAATATCTGTCCCTCGATGACTTGAAACGGCTGGCGATGAGACCGACCAGACAGGAGACTACGACTGCAGGATTAAGATTGGACAGTGATTACATGTACCATCATGAGCTGAGCGAAAACGGGGTCGATCTATATCGTCGAGTATCGGAAGGTGATGAATTCTATCCCGTGGGTAGCGTGGGGCGGGGCGGGGCGAATAATGATGCCTCTCAGGCATTTCCCCCTCGTTCAGCCTCGTTAATGAAAGATCAATCTGATCCATTTCGACACCCACTGCCGGCTAGTCACGGAACTCACCTCGAATTTCCTGCGTCAAGGCCCCATCATCCTGAGACCACAATGACCGATGCAAGAATATCTGCATCACGGTTGATGGTACAGATGGATGCACATTCACCAACATTGCAATCCGCCGACAAAGCGTTACACTCTTCAGGACACGACAACTATGTAGCGGAGGGCTATGCTGATGGTTTTCATGATGAGCCAACCTGTCCATCTAGTCTTGAACAAGACCTGGAGGCCTTGGATCAGTTTGATATCGAGCTATTAGGATTTGGTTGTTACGGAGGTGTAGTCTCAAACGGCATGATCAACGATAGAGAACTGACTGTCAGGGACGCCAACCCGGTGGAAGATGCTCTCTTCAATGCTTCCGCCTCAGGAGATGTGGGAGATGCAAATGTGGAGAACGCGTACAACAATGTTGGTGGTACAGCGATTCAGAGTCGGTATCTCGAGAGAACTCCGTCGAGGCGTCCTCTGGATGACTTGCCAGAGTCAAATCCGTTGTGTAATACGTTTGGTTTAATCTCTCGTACTCTGAGAGAGCCCAGCGAGCAGGTCTTCACAGGTTTATCAAGACCCCACATGTTGTATTGATGGTCACGAGCACTTGATGTGCCTTGCTACCAATCCTTAGGCAATATGACTCGATGGTTGATACATAGCAACTCCAGAACCCCGCCATTATCGAATGAAAGCATGTTCTGCGAGTCACTTTGATACTTCCATGCATAGAGGGATTTAAAACTTGATACTGTTCTCCTCATCCGTATGGCCGGCCTGGCCCTGTTACCACAAGAATCAGCTCCTCGGAGATGGAATAGGCTTGGCTCCCTGCCGCAAAGCATAATTGGTTTCTAATCATGTCCCCCATAAGGACTACTGACCTTTCATAGCTTCGAGTTGAGTAATCGAATGAACAAAGCAGCCATCATGCGGAATCGGAACGCGATCCCATATTGGAGACAAGGTTACAACCACAAGTATGCCCTTCGAATAAACGACTTTATGAGATTGTTGCCAACTTAGCGGCACTTCAACGTCATACATACTGGGAACCCTCGGAATTGAAGGGATGTAGTGATCATTTTTGATGCTAATCGAAATGGATACAGGAATTAGTCTCGGGAATCAATGAACGAGCAAAAAGCTGAGCCTGCCAAATGGTAAACTTGGACCACTTTAAAACAGCGATAACCATTGTGATATGTAAAGCGGCCAACAGAGGAACGACGATCGTATCCGCATCACAGAGTCACGAGGCTGCCCCGGCCCAGATTCGGAGCTGACAGATAGATACGAATCAGAGCTGACAGATACATAAATACGGAGTATATCTTCGACCACTTCTCATCCAAAGCTTTTTTTTCAGGTATCCAATACATTCGGCTTCCCCCATCGAAATGCTCTCTGATGCTATCATACGCACGAGGTTCATTGAATCCTGGCACAACATACCCAGTAGAATTCGAGACTCCACTTGTGGTTAACCACTACAAACAATGAAAAAGATAATCAGGTATATGCAAGATCAAGGTATGCTTTATCTCATCTCTCAATCGTTATCAACCAAGGTGCCCGCTTGATGCAGCATGATGGCAAAGACTATGCCGCGAGATATCGCCATGAGACCTTCGCACTTCGCTCCGACCCCTGATTGATCAGCCTGGTCTGAACCAGGCTGAGTGTGTCCGGGCGACTGCAAGCAATGTGGCTCCACTTCCACAACATCATCGACTTTTCAATCCACCTCCGTTTTCCACGACGTGTAAAGTTGAGTACTTAGTTAATCTTGGCTAATTCAATTGCCCGTGCAGCCCTGGAGGCCTCTGAGCAGAAACACTCTGGAGTGGCATATCTCTCGTCACGAGACAAAGAGCCTCAGCAACGAGAACGCCACCGTCGTCAAACGGAGCATACGTCGCATCATCAATCACGCGCCGGGAACCCGAGCAGTGCGACGCACAGCTTTCCCACCCATGTCTCCGGTGGGGGAGGCTATACAGGTGCCAGCAACGGTGGGCCTTCACCCAAGCGGACTCCATCACCTCTGCCCGATAAAATCCAGCGCGAAATCAGCCGCCATCAATACGCACAGGACAACATTCTACAGTCGTACGAGCTGTACATTCCGGAGCAAGACGCCTCTCATGCTCATGCATCGCAAGCGCAGGACAAGAAATTCTGGATCATCTTCATCCACGGAGGGTATTTCCGCGACGACAGCGTCACGGCCGCGAGCTTCCACCCTGCACTGTCGATCCTGACCAAGGCGCCGAAGCTGCATCTCCAGCACCTGATCAAACCGAGCGAGGACCAGGAGAACATCATCCCCTACGTCGGCGGGTACGCGAGCATCAACTACCGGCTCAGTCCGCGCCTGACCAAGTCGCCCCAAGACCCGGACACCACGCCGGCGTATGAGCTCCGCGACGCGGCCTGGCCGGACCACATCCACGACGTGCTCACGGCCATCGCCCACCTGCAGCGCAAGCATGGCTTCGGCCAGAGATACCTCTTGGTCGGGCACAGCGTCGGCGCCACGATGGCGCTGCTCAGCACCCTGGCGTCCGGCAAGACACTCACGAACACTGCAGGTGCGAAGCCGCCGCGGATGCTCCCGACCATCGTACCCCCCATGGCCGCCCTCGGCGTCTCCGGCATCTACGACTTCGGCCTCCTGCACGACTCCTTCCCGGAGTACGCCGACCTGACCCACAACGCCATCCGCGATCCACGCGACGTCGCCCTCGCGAGCCCTGCACGCTACTCCCCCGCCGAGTACCGCGACACATGGGCGCAGCGGGACACGCAGAAGCGCGTCCTGATCCTAGCGCACTCGCGCGACGACGACCTGGTCGACTGGAAGCAGGTCGAAGCCATGGCCGCGGTTTTTGCGTCCGAGTCCGACTCACCGTCAAAGTCCAAGTCCCAGTCCCCCAGGCCAGGAGGTCGAGTTGCTGCACCCGGTGCTGACAGTTTTGCCGTGCAGGTGGTGGAGATGAAAGGCAAGCATGACGAGATCTGGGGCCTGGGGACCGAGTTGGCCAGAGTCATTCGCATGGGGATCGGTGCTTTGAGGCGGCTTGACCGTCTTTGACTGATTGGTTGCTCTCAGGCCCTGTTCGGGGGTATGCTCTTTGATGACGCTCTGAAAACAGGTCTTTACAGAATGATGGAGCAACTGTTGGGATGTTGTTGGAACTATGGGGCGCTCCGACTTCGCCGCTCGGTATATCTTTTCTTGGGGATGGCGTGTCTGTCGCTCTCAAGTGTACTGGTTCGACATGCAACAATTGACGAGAAGAGGATCAGGATCTAAGTATTTAATGGATAGATTGAGGGCTATTCAATTGGAAGGTAGTGAGTTAGGATTTTTTGGTACGACTTATAAATGTTTGTCGCGCCCATACCGTATTACCCAGTTATGAGCACTGATAAAGTGGGTATCTTGAAGACCTCGAGATCTTGGTTGGTAGAGGCATATCATGGCTTCCGACTCTCAATGACAAAACAAGGAGTGTATGAATATCATTTCGTAAATGCCCGCGCTCGCGGTCACCCTCTGTACCTATGAGCCATGCAGACAAGCCAAGACCCGGACTCCACAAGTACTAAAATCGGTAGCAAGTATATCAAGTATTCTTCAAACAACTCACGCTATGCAGTGCGACCATTGGTATCAAAAGCAAACATAGTGATATCCTCTCCCCCAGATCAAGTCAAAGTGTCGCAAATCGGAATAAATTTCGAGGTCGTCACAGGTCGTTATCAATTGCGGGGCTCCATCAGCTGGGCATGGACCAACCAGCGGCCCACCCCATCAAGCCATGGCCTATTTCACTATTAAGAAGTTTCTCACGTCTTGACTTTTTTCGCGTCTCCCTCTCTGTCCTGCATGTCAATGCTGGTTTTCCTCTTTTCCCCATTGGACTCGGAAGAGCCATCTCGACCGTTGAACCCCATCCCTGTCCTAGCATCTGCAGGTGTTGGAAAGACTAGTGGGCTTGGAAGAACCGCCGAATTATTTCGTCCGGAGTCATACCACTCGCTGAAGAAGTTGCTCGGACTGGGTAACAGATCAGTATTCATATACCGACTCGGTAAAGCTGATATGGGAGTTTCAATATTATTTCGGTTGTCACCATAGGCGTCCCGGTTTTGGTTTGAGGTGGGAGGAGGAGGTCGAGCAAAAGGATTTGGAGGTCCAGATGCGCCAGCTGACATGACTGCGGAGGCGCTGGGAGAGGGAGGCGGCAGGACAATATGATCTCCGCCTCTTGCGGGATTCGCAGAGGGGCCTGCTGACTGTGCCGGCGATCCACTGGGAGAATCATCCTCAGCTTCTGCGGGGATCTGAAGGTTCAGTTTAGGCCGAGCCCCAGATTTGGAACCAGATGTGTTTGTGCGCTGCGGAGGAGCAAATTCGGGGACAGTTGTCTGTGGCCGACTACTGGGTTGCGAGGATGGACGTGGGACTGAATTGGCGGTAATATTCCGTGGTGGAGGTTTGATGTCAGCCAGATCGTCTTCTCGCTTGGGGGGCTTCGGAGGATCAGGTGCTCCAAAGAAATGTTGTGCCAGGACGGAGCCTCCTTCGTCGATTGGAGTAAAGATACTTCGAGATTTGGAGGAGAGGTGTTTCGGTTGTGGTGGGCTATTCTGCTCCGGTGGTCTCAGTGATTGATTTTCGGGGCGAGGAGAGGTGCGCGGTTGTGGCTGGGCTGGTGGCTGCAATGTAGGCTGAGATATCGTGGGAGGCGGGGGAGGAGGTTGGGACGCTCGTCGCTGTTCATGTAGATATTGCTGATGGGCCTGTTGCATCTGCTGATGTGATTGAGTTGGCGGTGGAGGAGTGGGTTGCGGATGTTGATGTTGCTGGGCTGGAAACGGCTGATACTGGGGTTGAGGCGAAGGATGAGGGGGACCGATAGCGGGTGCTTGAGGATTGTATATGGGTGGGTTCGGTACGTAGGCAAATCCATTCTGGGGGGGAGGTGGGGTGGGATGAGGTTGTTGCAGAGGAACCAGGTTGGAACTTGTCCGTCGAACCATATTCTGTGAAGGTGGCCTGGAGATCATGTGGGGAGGTTGAGGTGTGGGATGACGAGGAAACATGCCATTGGGCATGGGAGGAGAGACGGAAGCCATGGGCTGCTGGATATGGGCAAAAGAATTGTGGTGTTGCATGTGAGGCATGGCGTGCTGAGGTGGGAGCGAGCCCTCGCGGGGAGGGCCAGCATCGTCCTCATCATCTTCGTCGTCGTCATCATCGCCACCCTTGTTCTTGAAGTCCCCAGGTCCCTTGTGTTCATGTGGTTGCCCGTACTAATTGAGTGGTTAGCATCTCATGGTGGCAGTTGGGATAGTCTACCACGTACATATTGATAGCGTCTTAGGGTCTCATTGATGTCGCCGGATGAGAACTCGTAGAGTTTCTTGTTGTGGCCAAAGATGATGACTGCAACATCAACGGAACAAAGAACGGAAAGTTCGTACGCCTTTTTGAAGAGGCCGCCTTTGCGCTTGAGGAAAGTCCTAAAAAGAGGTCAGCATGTGAAGCGCGCGACGCCGAAAGAGCCGCAGTCACATACACCGAACGATTCCGATCATCTTTGATGGCTCTAATCTCAATCTTCCTCCGGCCCATGGTTATCAGATATATATTGTCTCAGCGCATGTGCTACCGAACGGTCGAGGCAGGTCGCAAGTTCTGCTGGCGAGGTGGTAAGTCTTGGAGAAGGTTGATAGTAGGTAAGAGGCTGCGAAACGCCGGGATGAGCAAGCAGTCAACCAGGCCAGGAGCGGATCAAGTGAAACCGAGAGAATATGAGGGGTGGTGTAGGATTGAGGTCTATGGCCGAAGGGTCGACCTAAGGCGGAAAGACAATTCCCTTTGTGAAGAATGGCAGTGAAATGAGTGGACCAATATAGACAATGGGATGCGAGTGTGAGAGCAACAACAAAGAGCTGGATTAGGACTGGCAGACAACGATGTTTGCGAGACGAGCAGGTCGAAACAAGCACTATGATGATTCAGGCGAACCCTTCTTGACGATCGAGATAGCACAGTATCGGTATTTGGATGGCGGGATGTGTGATGGGTGGATGGTGGATAATGAAAGATGGGAGTGCTAAAGATAGAAAGAGAGGTGAGGGAAGAGGCGTTGGAAAGGTTAAGAGGACAAGACTCGAGGCTAGGAGGGAAGTCAGGCCAGACCCAGAGCAGAGAACTCGGAGATGCACTTACGGACAGTGACCTACTGGGGGACGGGGCACGGGCCCAAGGCCACTAACCACCGACTCCCGAGCAGTTGGGCTAGGCGTGAGGGGCGTGATTTTAAGCATTGACCCTCGCCTGAGGCATGAGGGCCACCAGCGAGCGAGCACGCCTATGGTAGTCGGTGCGAGCTAACGGCAATCCGCCTTAACTGGACTTGGAAGCCAGCAGCGAGAAGCAAAAGCAACAACAATACAAAGTAACAATAGCATCAGTAGATACCTGTACATGCACAACCTAGGATACCCGTATCATGCATCAAAGACTCCCGACTGCGAAAGACATCTTACCAGCCTACACAACCAATAGCAACGGATGGCCACCGATGGAGGAGATGAGGATAGAATCGAGATACGCAAGCATGGTAGGCGCAGTCCAGATTTCTTCACCGGAACCCCGACAGCACTCGTACTTTGAAGGCTGGGACAAGTAGACATCAGTTAAAGTCCCGGCTACCGAGATATCAGGCCTTTGTAGAATTTTGAATTTTGGCGTTGATGCTGACATGCCTGGGGCTGACTGGGGGTGGATGGGTTGCTAGTGAAAGACGCTTCCCTCAGAGGCCGAGTCCTTATGGTCTTCATCCGGAGCAATGTCTGAATGAGTGCAAGCTGATAGTGGCCAAATCTTGAAACAGCCATGTGGCATATCAGTTTCATAGGGGAAAGTTCACACGGCTGGGATATGTTACTGTATCTAGCTCTCCTCGACTTCTTCCCAACTGACATTCAAGCCCGTTTCCATTCTCATCTACGAAATTCAGATAGCATGGTCCCAAGGCTGTGAGAGACAAGTTGATGTACCGAGTATCTAAGCGCCCTTGGTTGAGTGCGTGCAGGTCAATCTGCCAATCATACCATGTGGCTGGAGAGCCTGACAGATGTCCACACCAGCGTTTCATCTTTACCCTGAGGCTCCGGCCCAGCACCTTGATTTGGTCTTCATCCCACTTCAAGTGCAAGTCGGTGGTCACCGCACGCATTGGCACGCCACCAGGAAGTACTAGCCGAGCTCCACCATTTGCGGCTCGCCCCAGCTTCAGGCTCAATAAGCGCTCTATTTTTAGCCACATCATTTGGACCTCCATCTCGGACCGAGTACCAACTACCATGTTCCATGCTTCCAACCTCATATCAACCCAAGAACTAAATCTTCTGAACATACATCCAATGGGTTCATACTGTCGTAACCAGTATTCATGGACCTCTAGCCGTACTCTATCTCCGACCATGAAAGATCTTACCCTGCCCTGCATTACAAGGTAGTGGTAAGCAGATGGCAGACCAAGCCTTGATGAGCCTCCCACTAACCCCACCCCCCCCCCCAAAGAACACCGAGTTCATAGACCAAATGAGCTTTGAAGCGAGTCCCAAGTCGTAAGCATCTGCGTTCTCATACAAAGCTAGACTCGGGTTGTTGAAATCGTCGTAAAGCATGACAGAGTGCGGAGAATCCGCCTATGTGGCGTCGACTACGAGGTCACTCAGTCACTCACTCGCCCAGCCCCGCCGTTTCCAATCGACGTGGACACTGTGAGCATACGCTGTCTCCCTAATCGCATCTTTTCCTGTGACTACCCGTGCGCGCATGATGAGGATCGAATCAGGCCGGCCAGCTAATGTCTATACACGACGTCTAACAATGCCAACGCCATACGGATATATTTGTCCGTACTGCAGTGGAAGATCCTACCAAGCGACGTCCATCATCCCCGTCCTATCAGGCCCGCACGGAGTTCCATGTCGCCGAACGACCTGGAGGCTGGGCCGCTTGCCCTTTCAAGCATGCGTTCTCCCCGCGAAGCGAAGAGGAAGCGAGAACGTAGAAGCGATCCTTGGGGCCGTATGATGTACGTCCTCCAATATGAGGAATCTCGGGGTCGGAAATGCTGAATTGGCCCCATAACGAGCACCCTATTCAGGTAGGTAGGTATGTGATTTGAAATGATGTCGACGATTCTTACGAGTTCTGCTGCCGCGTATGGATTGTCCTAGGTCACTCCACTCCGCTCATGTCGTCGATGCCTCATACCATCTGAGCGGAGTGATACTGGGGAGCGAGCCCTGCCCTCGTTCAGACTTGCTCGAACAGTGCGTATCATCCATGCTGTGCTGTACCTACTCGATTCATACACTCGCCAGATAACATCGGCTATCACCAGGCCAAGCCAGATGTGTCTAAAGATACATTATCTATACACACCTAAAGTCCTGCAACCAAGCGATTCGACCCAAAAACCGAAGCGGACGGCCCCAGGCATACAGTTCGAACCCCGCTGGCGGCATAAATATCCTTCGATGCTCGCCTCAAGCATGTTGGCCTCTGTCTACATTAGATGGGCGTAGGCAAGCAAGTGATTGATGCAATGCAATGCACACAGCCTCCTCCTCCTCCCACCAGCGGCCTCGAATATCGTCCATCCACTCCCAGTCAGATCATCCCTACATCCATGCTCCTGGCTGTATGTTTAGTCCCGCGCCTCTATTGGGTATCTACTGTACCAGTGTAAAAGTAGAAACTAGAAAATGAATGTAAAAAAGAGTGGACAAATTCTGACAGTCAAATGAAAGAAAGCTACTTACTCCAGTCATTGTGTGCACATCAACAGGCACCTGCCGACCTACAAGGGTAGGAACGCATCTCGATGTGGGAAAGCATCTTGACGTTCGACATGGACAGGTCAAGAAAAATGGAAGAGAATGATCAAATCGCTCCGTGATTCAATTCTAGACTGTTTGCTTACGCGGTCTTCTCACACGAGCCAGCTTCAGCTGGACACGTACACATCCATGTCCGTAAGAAAAAAACATCTTGTATACCAGTGGTTCCTTCTTCCCAACAATAAAAATCCATGTGTGACAAAGCGTCCTCTTCTCCTACAGCCATAGTTGAAGAGTTCAATCGCGCACACCAGTGCCTACACGTCCGGCCAAAAACCAACAAACAAGGTTATTAAATATGTATGTAGGTGTGCCCTTCATTGCCTATCCATAAACAAACGCTTTGCCGTGCCGAGGATTGCAAAAACCTGAATGTGAAACGGAATGTAATGTTACCATTTACCTCTCCCTGATTAGCATGCCGCCCTGCAGCCGCAAAAAGAACACATGATGGCGAGAAAGTGTAGCAGGACCATTCAACCCTCTTGCCTAGAGGACAAAAATGCGTGCGAAAAAGCGCTGAGGTGGTATCTTGCAGGGAAATACGCAGCCCAAAAAGCACACACATGAAAAGCAAACGCCTCGCTCCCTAACATTCCTTGTGCTATTACGGTAAATTCAGAAGTCGTTGACATGCTTGCTCTCCTCGTACAGCAATAGACACAAGAATCGAAATTGATGAAGTTGTATTTGAGGGTTGAGAGATGATCATTTCCGTCATCTTCTGGCACCGTCCATGTTGCCAGTGAGTTCAGCAACGCGAGCCTTGATTCGTGCAACGCGGGATTCGATGGCTATCACCTTGTCAGTAAGTTCAAAAGAAGGAAATGTATGATCACTCACTCTCTTCTCCGCTTGTATCACCATCATCGGTTCTCGTCTCCGTCCGGCTGCGTGTTGTTGGCTCTTCTTGTCGAGCTGCTCTCTCTGCCGCATTTTTGCGAATTTGTGCCCATCGATCCTGAGGATTGATTTGTTGCTGTACTTCCGTTGCTTCCTCATCTTCCTCTTCAATCCTGGAATTCTCTGATTTTTGATACGATCGTCCGGAATGGATACTGATTGGATGTTGTGGAAGCTCTTCAGCTGGAGTCAAAAAGGCACTTCTTGGAGGGGTATCTGGAGCAACAAAGGCCGGCTGATCAAGCAACGGGCCTTGGTCAAATGTCGAAAACTCGCGATCGGCGTGTTCCCGTTCGTTTGTATCAACTCTCGACAATTGATCGTACTCTTCCTCTCTATGTGTTCGAGGAGGTGCTGGTGCTTGTCGTGTTGGCTCTCGATGCAGATCTAGATCTTCATCCTCCTCCGGAATAGGTGCAGAATCATGAGGTGTTGAAGCGGCCATGGGTGGGGTCTGAGGTGGCTCAGGTTTCTGCGCACCAGTAGGAACTGTTGCGAGGCGGTGGAAGTGTGCTGGTGATAAAGGAGGAGACGTTGGATTTGCCGATGGGTCTGCGGGCTCGCCTTCCAGTGCACGTCTTGCGGCAAGGATAGCTACATCATCTTCTTCCTCTTTAACACCTGCAGGCGCCACCAATTCTGGTACTTTGACTTCTTGTGGCTTGGATCTTCCAAACAGTCTTCGAATTCCACTTCTTTGCTGGGCCTGTGGTGGCCCAGGCTGCTTTCCTCGATTTTTCTTTTCATCGGGTGAGGTCCGCTTGCCGTCAGTAGATTTGCGGAGTTTGGTCGGCGGGGGTCTGACAACCTTTGGTTCTGACAGGTCTGGTGTCTCTGGGGGCAGAGGAACCTCATTCGCCTCATGTATGGCATGTGCGTCAGCAGGCTCTGTTGGCACAAGAGGTAGAGGTGCTGACTCAGGAAGTGGATGAACGGCGGGTCGTTCCGCCGATTGACTTCTTTCAGGTAGATGGCGTTTTGACCTGTTCTCTGGTGGTGATGGAAGATCCTTGTTTCGGCTCACAACAGAGAGTGTTGATGCAGACCGGTTGAGTCCTACACCATTTGACGGCAGTGTGAGTAATTCCCGTGAACCTTTGCCAGCTAGTGTATCACCCAAATACTTAGCTCGGATGGCTTTCTTGTCATATTGACTGGCCCACTGTAAGGCTGGAGAAGCCTCGTCTTTGATAAGAGGACCGACAGTGAAGACGCTGTTGGTCCGGGAAGCCGGAATTGTGTTTGGCTGCCTGCCACGACGTGTTGCCAGTGCAGAATCCTGTTCTCTATCCTCGGCAGCCTTCCTTTTCGAAAGTTCAGCAGCGGCCTGTTGGATCTTAGCATGCTGATCTGGCGCCAGTGTCGCACGGTTGTTGGTTCCCAACTGAGGCTCAGGAGATAGGGGACTTTTCTTCGTCCCCGATCTGCGACGAGTCAGGCGACCACGTTTGGTCGTAAAGCCGAGGAATGTCTTCTTCTCGGCGATATAAGCACCCGCAGCTGGTTCAGGGGCGGCGCCTTTCACTTGCTCCTCCATGACCATCCATTGTCCATCGTGAATTATAGTCTCGATCAAAGCACATCGACCGAAGACCGCCTTTCGACTCGTAGGTTCTTCGGAGGCAAGACTACTTATCCAAACCCACCAAAATGAATCATCGACGCTAACCCTAGTGATGCTTGCAAGTTCACCCGGATCCAGATTCTGTTGCATGTCCAAGTTTCTTCGGTGTGACTGAGAGCTCTGTCCTCTGGGCAGGCTGGAGTTGATTGGCGGTAGAATCTTATCGGGCGGAAGGAGCATCGGTACATGAGTTCTATTGCCGTTCTCATCTGTAAAGCCAGAGGAAAGGAAATCCGCCCATGAGGGAGTAGTTGGTCGAGCAAGGTCCTGATAGCCTCCGTGAGACGCCGGATGGGTTTTGTTCGTGACAATGCGCTTGCGCCCCAGTAGACCGTCCCCATCTTCATCATCGTCCACCGAGCTTCCAAACCCAATGTCTTCGAATCTGGACCACGACGGGTCTGTGAGGCTGGTGGAGGTGTTCGCGTTGGAGACATGCGACTGGTTTGCAGACGAGATTGCTTTCAGCACACGTCGACATTCATCAGTGAGAGCGCCAACTGGGTCCTCATAACTTGCGAATTGCTGCAGACTATGATCATCGTCCCGGTAGTGGAAGTTCTTCGCTCTTCGGAGCAAGGCGTAAGGTGTCGGGGATACAACATCTACGATCATCACCACTTTGGTGGTGTCATTTGTTAGCAGACCATTCCTTGGCGGGTAGCTGGTGGAATCAAGCAATTGTTGCAAGGATCTGGGAAGTGTGAGTATGCCAGAATTCTTTCCACTGCTGGACAAGGACCGTAGATAGGCGAAGAAAAGATGTGAAGCAGCATCAGCAGCACTAGAAGAGTTAGTCATTTGCGATCAAAGGACGATGCGGTGTATGTTATACCTGGCCCATGATTTATAGCCGGACTCGAATCCTTTACCACTGTCGTATTGTTCAAATGCCCACCAGCCGGCGTACCTGGAGAGTTTGTGACCTCCAAGCCCATTGACTTTTCCATGCGCTGCCACAGCTGCGAGTAAGTCAAAGAAGTCTTGGATGATTTGCACACGAGTGGGAGAATCTGCGCTGATGGGGACGAAAGTGCTAAAGGCATCGCGGGCCAAGTTAGAGTCTAGAGGAGAGGTTAGACTGCTCGGTTGCGACTGAAGGAACGAGACGAGTTCATCATACCCTTTTCCCCGACTCTGAAACCCTCATAGACTTCCCAGGTCACAACGCCTCCAGGGAGTCGCGCCCAACACCATTTCATCACACTGATCAAGACCTATGTGGAGTTAGAACCGGGTTCAATGATTTCTTAGGAACCTGTGCCATACCATCACCTCGGTCATGCGGAGTTCATTCTCCAAGAGGATACCCGCCAGCCGAGATCGATCTTGGGGAGGGAGGAAGAAGTTGCGTATGAACGTGCGCGCCGCGGACGGATCTGAGGAAGGTCGAAATGGTAATAGGAGAAACGGGACATCGAGGGCTAGGATTGTGTTAGATGTGTCGAGTGAGCCGGCCTTCTGGTGACAACTGACCTCGAGATTTCAATTCGGCGGTACACAGATGAAGTAGTTCTACCACCTCTTCGGGATCAACCCTCGTGCGTAGCCATGCATCAGACCATTGTGGTTTCTTATGAGCATCTCCGTTGGTGGCCGGTAGAGAAGACTTCTTGCCACCAGCGTCCTTGTTCTTGAATACCTTTGAGAAGAACGGCATTGTCTAGTCGGTTCTCAAGAGCGGGAGTGCATGCGAGGAAAGGCGCTTTTCATCTGTTCGACCAGCTTGAGATTTTTGTTTTCAATAGATCGAGGTGTGACGCAGACGGGACGTGGGCCGGAGGAAGCAACGGGTCAGCGAGGCACAGCAGCAGTAGCAGTAGGCAAGGTGCAGATGCGGTCTCAGGGGTTCGTCGGCGACGGATTCGATAGGATCGAGGGATACAGGGCTGCTTGGCGAAAGAATAGATTTGAATTTGAGAAGTTGCGTTGCGGATCAGTAAGCGGGTCGAGACAGCAATAAACGAGAAGTACTAAAAAGGGTCCAACTTTTGTTCGGGAGGACGAAAGGTAGGCAAGTAGGTACGGAGTAGTCGCTGTAGGCAAGGGAAGAAAAGTGGTGAAGGAACGGATACGGTGTGTTGGACAGCACACGCAATCAAAGAGAGTGACCAGGCTGGACGTGCAAACGGTGACGGCAATTGCGCCTGAATCTGCACCTGGTCCCTGAAGCGAAAAAGTGAGAGAATGACTCGGTTAGAGGTCAGAGCGAAGGGGAAAAAATAGAAAAAGGACGAATGGTAATGAGCAGGCCTTCAAACGACAACAAAACAGGAAACGTGATTGAAGCAGGAGTGAAGGAAGCGCGACGTGTCGTGCCGTGAGCCCATGAATTCATTTGCCCAACTTGAGCCCTGATAAAATCCCGAGTCTGAGTTCAAGCCTCCAGGCCTCGGGAGTCGGGAGATGGCTGGGACCACTGCCACAGTGCCAATGCAGTGTGCCAGTGATTAGGCTCTTCATCAAGTTCAGGGACAATGCCAGTGGGTCTCAAGTGTCCCTCATCCCTCTGGGCGAGTGCCACCACCTAAACCTGAGGCTTGGTGGGGCTGCTTTTCCGGCTCCCCAGACACCAATGGCACGGTCTGGTCGGCGGTGGACGTCCTTGTGGCTTCTAGCTCAACGCCTAAAACACACTTGTCATGGCCTGGACAGGCTAGGCTCTTCCCTTGCTGGCAAAGCTATTTGTGTCTAGCACCCAAACCGGGAGCCAGCAAAGTGCCGCTGTGCAGTGACTTCAAATCCGAGTCAAAAAATGGTGCAGATCACGCATCTCCCACTCCACTTCGCACTCAATCAAGATTCGATAGTAGAAGCCCCCAAACGTAAGCGATTTGGTGGGTTTTCGAGGAGCACAAATTCAAGTCGTCAGTACTCGGTATCATTGGCACCGTTGGTAAATTCGAGGCTTTGAGAACTCTCCTCGGGCCACGAATCCACGACTCATATCTCATCACTACGTCAATGACGAGCATTTGGTCTGAGACTCAGTCAGGTCGGAAGGGGTTCCAGCCACAATACGGTTACGGATTTGACTTTGGCTGATCGCCACAGGTTCGAGGTGGGACTGCACGCGGCTACTAAGATTTGACGGGTCGAGTACGAGGTATGGTGTCACTGATGATAAGATTGGCCAGGATCATCAGACTGGAGGCAAATGTGACAGAACATGTGGCCTGCCTCTCACAAACGAGCATTGCTCGGAGCACGAGGGGGATTACTTATACTTCTTCCTCCCTGCCACATGACTGGGCGTGGCTGCTTGCTTTACGCTGATAGGAATGCAACGGGGATCATCCGAGTGCCACAAGGCTATCCCCATTTACTGTACCACATTTTCAGCCTTGCATTGTTCAGAAGTCCCGAACCTAATCTTAACCCTCACAACGAGTGTGCACAGACTACTTGGTATTTCTACATACCTCGCACAGCCTTCCTTGTAGTTTATCCCGACTTCCGACGGCCAGCCTGCAGAGAAGTAGTAGCTGTCTTATGACTGAGGATGATTGACTCCTCCCCGAATCCAGATGTCAACTTGAATGGCACAAAAATCATGACGTAATATGACCCGTGCAGCACCTTGCATCCCTTGGTACTTTCAACAAGCACAACCCATTTTACACGACCGAATCCGTTTAGCGATCCTGCTTCCGCTTGTTACACATGAAATTTCCTCCACGAACTGCTCTTTCCTGCAAGCTCCTGATTGGACCGGCAGCCAAAAATCACAAGTCTTTCTCAACAAGTAGCGTCAAGATGGTCAAAAGTGAGAAAGATGTCATCGAGTGCGATGTCCAGTACTAGTTATACTGCAACCATCCATCTAATTTGGGTGTAGGGATTTCAACCGGACTGTTAACATGACAGCTGCTGAGTTGGAGAAGTGGCTAAAAGGAGACGACTCCCAGAAATCCGGTTGGTCCAAAAATGATGGCTCAGGAGAAAGTATCGGCCATGAAAGGTGAGCAAGAGCGCCTTTGTGTAAAGAATGTGGTGCTGCAAATTTACCACTCGCAAGTTCAGACTGACAGCCTATGGTAGTGGAAGGAAGATCATTGAGATCTTGAAGAAGAATCCCAAAAAAGACCCATCCAAGTATGACCAGGATGACGTTGCCCACATGAGAAGGGTGGCTGCGTATAATAAGCGCCATCTCGCGCAAGAAGGCAAAGCGAAAGAAGATACTCAAAGTAATTCATATCGCAGCCTGAAGAATTGGGGTCATGATGCTCAAAAGTCGTGAAGTCGTGAGGGTAACCTTGATGAAGTAGACGTACATATTAAGATTGATATACTCTTCAAAAACGGGCCAATAGCCACCAGACCCAGAACTCTCCGAACATCAGCCTTTGTTTCCTGAAAATTAGAATGGGAGTATGTTGGGATTAATATGGTTCAATACGCTGTGCAAGATTCCATGCGATGGATCCCCACAGAAGTTGTGCTCTGAAAATAACCGGATGTGTCTCACGGGCTTAGAGAATTTTTTTGGCAGTGTAAGGCCCGCGAAGGGTAGCGTGCCGTAAGATGTGGTTTACATAGCACTCCAGAAATTGAGAGTTGTAAGCGCCATCGTTCGTGGTATTGAGCTTTATTGTCCAGGGAGGACAGATTAGAATGGTTATTGGGGGTTCGTAATCTTCTGTCCTCCACATCACGCTCTTGAGGGCTTCACTGCTCTGGAGGAAAGATAAAGTCCTTTACCATGACTGATCCAGCATATTCAGGATTGAGCATAACACAATTCAGAAAATATGCCAGACCTTCCCGCCTTTTCTCCAAGAACTTGGGACGGAACTTGTACAAAGCACTCTTGGGAGGCAGTGGAGGAAGCGAGGAGCTGGTTGACTGAGGAAATGCTTTGACCAATTTGGATCGCAGCTCATCAAACTCCGAGTAACGCTTCCTGATGATCATTGGGCCTCCGTCGAGAGTTTGCACTCTGCAATTATAGACCACGTAGGCGCCAATACCTGTTGGGCTCCCTCGAACAATGACATAATCATCAATGACGATGGATTTGGCCCATAAGCCACTTCGACTTGGAGCGTGAGACAGTGTGTGGTCTTCAAGAATAATGGCGGGCAGGTGGTCGTTGGATGATTCATTGGTATATGAAGGACCTCTGCTGTGGTGCCAGTATGGTGGTGAAGTCGGGGTTGGCTGGGACTTTTGTGTCAGGAGCTCGGCCTCGGTGCTCTGAGGATCTGGACCAGCATGGTTGGTGGTGGAGTGGTCCATGCATGTGATTCAGATCTAGCTAGAAGTGGAGTACTCGTAGATGTTGGGTTTTGGAAGCCATGAGGCAAAGTACGAGTAATCGGTGAAACACGAGGAGTGCAGTGGTTTTGTGTTGTATTCCCCGCCTCTCGAGTGGATGGAAGTTGCAAGTCAAGAAGAAGTTTCTGACCCAGAAGAAGGTGTTGGCAGTGGCACAAGTCCCAATGGGAAATTTCTCGGCTGCAGAGGGCACTAGTCCATGTCCGGCTCTACACAAAGAATTGAGTGTCCGTACACACGGAGTTCTTGGGTTGCTTGTAGCCAGCGAAACTCCGCAGATGACTATTTCCTGTGGAACTTGGACACGTACGGGATACAGTTGTTTCTCTTGTCTCTATGATGGATTCATGCGAGCAGCACCTGATCAGACTTCTGAACCAAACTGACCATCACTCTACTGTACGAGTACTCGTACTAGGAGGTGCCGTGGTGAGATTTGAGGCCTCTGCAGCTAACAGCAAGCTAACGCCTAAAACACCAAGCGCGATCAAGGGACAGGGATCTGGTAGGGGCATTGGGCCTCTGGGCAGATAATGATTGGGTGATCCAGGCCCTAGCGCGGCTCCCCAGAGAAAATGGGTTCCGAGCCTCTCTTTTTTGGAGTTGCTTTGACATGATTCTTTCGACTGACACTCACCAACAAAATGCACGCCTGAGACATTTCAACCACCTTCATGCGTACTGGACTGTGCAAAACCCTCGACGACTCTGTGCCACCCGTCAAGTCTTGCAGCAACTCGTCCTCATCATTGGACTGTTTAGGAATAGCAATGGGATCGTCCCAGTTCCCGGGGCCTTTGTTGGTGCGTGGCGGGACGCCATCTCGCCTAGAGCGCCCTCGCGCAAGGGTCTTGTTCTCGTACTTCTTGGTGCATACCAGCGGACTCTCCCTTCCAACCCTGCCTCCTCCTCCACCACCCTCTCCATCTTTGCTGTCCTATTTCGTTCTCACTGGTACTACTACGACTATTGGTACTATATATCCTCTTTCTGTCCTTCATCTGCCTGCGTCTTCTTCTGCTTCGACTCTGACTGACATTCAGCCTTGAGCAACCTCGCAACCTCTCTTTCGTTTAGCAGCAACCAGTCTTGCTTTATACACATTTAATTGCTTTCTTTCCCCATCAATCTGCGTTTAATCTGCTATCAACCATCCAGCAACACATCTAGCAACCCGACTTGACTGTTCCCACAATCCAACATGCAATTGTTACTTCTTACCACCATATTGGCTGCTTTTGCCACATCAGCACTTTCCCAAGAGATTGACCCTAACTCAGTACCACTCGACACGAGAAGTATGTGCCAATTCCCCCTTTTATCGCCCACTTGATTTCCCTGGACTGACCATCCTCTTAGAGATTTGGTGTACATCGCAGATCGCTCAGTGCCCATTGATCTGTTTACAGGAAGCTGGCAACTCGGCTGGCACATATTCAAACACCTGTGATCCTGCCTCCCTAGCCTTCAGCTGCATCTGTTCCAACGGCCTTGCTCCCAATACCTCGGAGTATTCGCAAACGATACCATACTACAAGTGCACTCAGCACAACAGTAATTGCCAGGCGGCATGTGGTTCGGATAATACCTGTGCTGCTGCGTGCATTGCTGATCACCCTTGCGGTGCATCCAATCCTACAAGAGTCAATACAAGCACAATCTCAACAATGTCTGCCACCACAACCGGGGGAGTCGCAGCCTCTACTGCATCTGATGGAGTCATCTACACAGGCTTTGGCACTGATAGTGGTGCCACTGCCACGGCTGCATCTGACTCGGCAAATGCTGCAGCACGGCTGATTGTCAATTTTGGGGAACTCTATGGTCTGGCCGTGGTTGCAGCTGGCATTTTTGCTGGTTTCACCATCATGCTCTAGATCCGAGGACCAAAAGTCTCGAGGTTCCATAACGACTATTCTGGAGAATCGCGTCTCCAAAAAGGTTCATTGAGCGAGGTTATTTAATTGCAAGCATTTGGGGCGATGGCGCTGGTTGGATAACATATCTTAACACGCACGTGTGATTTCTCTGTGTCCGATGAGTCACTAATAAGAATTAATGGACACGTTAATAATATTGAAATAATTATGACTGGAAACCTTGGAAGATAATTTGCGGTCACAATGATCTCAGTTCATTTTCGTACTACGAGTACATTTCTGTTTGCATGTTGTGTAGCTGAGTCAGCCACCGTTGCTGGGCCAACGCGTCGATGTTTTTTGGCACGTGTTGGCTGCGCTGGAATTGGCAGTTACCGCAAACTGCACGCAGAAGCGTTCGGCCTCAAGTCTCATACACCAGCCCAAGCAAGCATCGCGTCAATTATCACCCAACAACGAGTCGACCATGATCCCGCACTACAATATCAATACCTCACAATAATCTCTAGACTCTAGACGCTAGAATGGCAACTTATGCGTCACCCACTCCTGCTGCATTCTCATCCCACTTCAGTCACTCCCGCCAATCATCCCATCGACCAATCACTCGGACAGCTGCTGCTCGAATGCAACCTATTCCCTATATCGCGCCTTCCGATCGAGATTCTCAGGTTGGAAGAAATCTAACTGGAGACAGTTCCGATGATGAAGACCTTGCTCCAATTAAGCTGAGTGCAGAAGCCCAGGCAATTCTAGGCGAGGACAACTCTCAACCAGAGGCAGAAAAAGAGAACATCGATCCCCTGCCACCAAGGACGAAGCCTGGGTTTGGGAGAAGCACTCCCGTTGAGAATTGGAGGACTATAAGTCCCCAATTCCAGCAAGATGGGAGTCCTGCTCCACGCGTCGTTCGAGTAACAGCTGGCAACCGGCCTGGACCACCAACCATACTTGGAAGAGACGGCTCATTTATGTACAAAATTCATGACAAGTCAACTGCCCAAGTGCGCCAGCAAGCAACCGATTCACAAACACCGGCACCCAGGATCAGACGCATCCGCGTCAGTGATTCGAGACGTTTGTCTCGGTCCCCACCAGCTGAGAAATCTCCGAGCTCTTCAAGGCAGGACATAGAAGAAACGAGGCCTGAAAGCTCCCCTCGGACTTCGATCGAACAACAACCAGATGCTCAGAGTAGTCCAGAGGAGGATGGCCCGGCAGTCCCTTCAACAATCATGCGCTCAAAACGCATAGATGAGAACGGTGCCCAAAGTACAATGCGTGTCAGGAGGATTGGAGGCGCTTTGCTCAACAGACCTGTCCGCCGAGGTATGGTCCGCCGCCAGAGTGAAGAAGAGGATGCTGAAATCGACCATCAATCCATGGCAAGATCTACGACCCCCGAAAGAGAAGCTGGTCGAAGGGCTCCAGAGCCATTGGCCGATTACCCGGACGATCTCCTGGCCTTGCAGGGGAGTCCCAAGCAAATCAAAGTTGGAAGAGTTTCTCCCAAAGCACTGTCGCCAAAGTCCTCGGAGCGGCAAAAGTCACAACCACCCTCGAGGCCATCCTCAATCCAGAGGCCACATCCAACACCAGTTGCGATTGAGTCACAGTCTTCCTCCAAATCGTCCAGTTCGCGTAGAGACCCCATCTTCAAGGTTCCACCACTACCTCCATTACCAGCCTCGCATGACCAAGAAAATGAACCACCCCCAACTTTTCGTCGACCAAAACAGGCAGTCTCACTCCTTGATGTGCACGAAGATAAACCTGCATCAGAACCAAGAGCAGATGATCCCGCGCCAGTCAGTATCTCGCCATCTCGTCAACCATTGGCATCGAGATCGAACAACACACCTCACAGACCCGCCCCACCTCCACCACCCAAAATGTCAATACTAGAAACAGCTACGTCAAATGCAGGCACGCGGAACAAAAAGTCGGTCCACTATGTTTTGAACGGCAAAACTTATAGACGACTAGATTGTATAGGCAGAGGAGGATCCTCCAGGGTGTTCAGGATCATGGCAGAAAACTACAAGATTTTTGCCTTGAAAAGAGTCAACTTGGAAGATGCCGACATGGCTGCAATAGCCGGGTACAAAGGAGAGATCGACCTATTGAAAAAGCTGGAAAACGTGGATCGTGTCATTCGATTGTACGACTACGAGGTGAATGAAGAGAAAGGGGTTCTTAATGTTATGATGGAGTTGGGAGAGTCGGATTTCAATAAGATGTTAAATGAGCAGCTCAAAAGCGAGAGCGCAAAACTTGACATCACTTTCACACGGCACTATTGGAAAGAGATGCTGGAGTGTGTCCAGGCCGTACATGAACATGACATTGTCCACTCGGATTTGAAACCCGCCAATTTCCTCCTGGTCAAGGGTCAGCTCAAACTCATCGACTTCGGCATTGCCAACGCCATCCAGGATAACACGGTCAATATCCACCGCGAAAACCAAATCGGAACCCCGAACTACATGTCCCCCGAGTCCCTGGTATGCCACACACCAGCAGCAGGCTCCGCACCTGGAACAAAGCTTCTGAAATTGGGTAAACCCAGCGACGTGTGGTCACTTGGCTGCATTCTATACCAGCTGACATACGGCCAGCCCCCATTCGCGCACATCACGAAACAATTCGAGCGCATCATGAGCATCCCGAATCCGAAAGTGGAGATTCAGTTCCCCTCGACGGGCGTGGGCGGCGCTGTCGTGCCCTTTGGCCTGATAAAGACCCTGCGACGCTGTCTAACGCGTGAACAGAGTCTCCGGCCCACTATCAGAGAGCTCCTCAGCGACGCCGATCCGTTCCTGAACCCCGTTGCCATCAGCCCCGACATGCTGGGTCGCGTCATCGGTAACGTCGTCAGCTACTGTCGTAGACGAGAAGAAACGATGCGGAAGAATGGTGAGTTGACATATACCGAGGACGGCGCGACGTGCCTGCCCAAGGACGAGGATATGAAGAATTGGCCCTGGGCTTTCTACGAAAAATTGAAGCAGGCGCAGGAGGAGGGAACGGCTTGGTGAGCTTCACGCCAAGATCCGTCCCTGGAGAAAGAGAAGTATTGGGCGAATGCTTCAGTGATGCCCTTTTGAATGAAACCGCCTTTGGGGGTGGGAATAATGCTTTTGTGATAAAACTGGCCAGCGGCGTTGGAAAGAGAAATGTCACCCTGCATGGGTCGGCAAGTCATGCAGATTTTGTCTTTGGATCGGCGTGAGCGTTCGCGTTTCTTATTTTGGGAGGATGATACCCGAACTAATCATGCTCTGTCGTTGTAATTGGATTGTGAATGCGATACATTGAGTGATTGAAGTAGTATGATCTTAGGTATCTATACTTCGTACCTAATATACCCATGACACAACCCACACAAAAACAATCTCTTGTACAGGAGTGATCAAGGCTAAATAAAACAAGAGACGTCCCGACGGCTTACGCCCACTCGCAATAATAACAAGTCCTCACGCCCCTCGAACAGGCAGGCCGCCCTTCGTGTAGACAGCATCAATCATCTCCATGACCCTGACGCTTTCATCCAGCGTCACCCAAGGACCAAGATAGTCGTCGCCGTCGCGAACTTTCCGCGCAAACCCCTCCAGCTGGTACCGCCACGTCGTCCACCAGTTTTCGCCGACTTTCGTACCCGTCCTGGCTTCCTCTCGCTCCCACAGCGGCCCGCCCTGGTACAGCTTGGTCTGGAACTTTTTTCCACGACTGAGGATTTGGCCCGTGCCGGCATCTCGGGTCACTGGGGTGATGGCGATATTGTGCGATATCCACGGGCCGATGAAGTTGTCGACTCTGATCTCGGCTTTTTCGGTCTGGATGGTGAGCGTCGGCAGCTCCCAGACTCGGGGGATGATGCCGAATAACGGTGGCGCGTAGATGTCGGTTCCGACTGTGGCGCGGATCTGAGCTGGCGCGCCGGACGTGCCAGCGGCGTTGGTATAATGGCGTGGATCCTTCAATAAGATGGTTGCTTCCATCTGCTCGTCCACCAGAGGATCCTGCGGGTTTACTCGAAATTTGGAATCCAGGACCTCGAACTCGAAATTCGGATCTGAATTGTCACGCACCCCGAAGTAGGCAATCGCTGAGAATACATAGGTCAAGTCCATGCAGCTTCCGCCGGCAAGGTCATATCTGAAGCGTATGTCCCCGCCTCGTGTGAACATCCCAGCAAACATTGCATACCTTGCATCGATAGACAGCACAGCGCCATGTTCTCCACTCAGAAGTAGTGACTTGATATATCCGGCAACTGGATGGAACCGCCAGTGGAAAGCTTCCAAGGCGACTTTCCCCGATTCTATCGCGGCAGCACGGACTTCCTTTGCTTGCAAGGCGTTCGAGGTGATTGGTTTCTCGATCAGAACGTGCTTGCCCTTCCGAAGTGCTGCAAGCGTGAGTTCATGGTGCATGCTGTTGGGCACGGGGATGTATATGGCGTCAACATCGGGGTCGTCGAACAACTCTTGATACGACCCATAAGCTTTGCAGGTCCCTGTCAATATGACCTTGTTTCGCTGGATGTATTCCTCAGCTTTAGCTACAGTACGTGAGGCGATTGCCGTCACAAAAGAGGATGTGTGCGTAGAAACTGGCTCGATCAGCGCAAGGTAGTTGATTCGAGCTGTAGAGACGATGCCGATCCGTAGTGGCTTCGAGCCATCGCCCGTGGGTCCAGTGGCGGACTCCAGTCTTGACAACTTCTCTGCGCAGACCGCTGATCGAACGGAGGAGATGTTGTTCCACCAGTTGTGGTATATGTACATAAGCTGGATTTGTAATGTAAAACATCAGTCGTTCCGGTTCAATAGCAAGGAGCGAAGGAACGACTCAATCGCTCTGAATGCACACCCAGTCGAATCCAGAGATTAAGAGGTTACGCCGAGACAACGTGAAAGAGCTGACTTCTACGTGGCATGCCGCTCCAATCGAGTTGCGGATCTCAGGGATTTGGGGGGACCAGGAGATTATCTCACCGTTGGCGCCCACATAACTCGCGAATCTTCTTCTCCTGAGACTGTTCAAAAGTGTCGAAGTTCAAGTTGATCTTGGAGCACTCCGAGGCCTACCCGGGGATACCTGCGGGTCTATGTACTTTTCACAGGCCGGACGTCCCAATAAGGCGGCCGGCACAATGATTTTTAGTTGGTCAGAGCAACAGGGCTGTCTGTATGGTTGTGATGCCGAGGCTATCTGTCAGGTCCTAATCCCTCCTACTTCTTGTCCCAGTATCATTCCTGCCGGGACTTGTTTCGTACGGAGGCTGTCTTTTTGTGGGAGTCACAGTGGAGGTTTTCATGGACCTAGGTAGTGTTCGAGAAGGATGAGCGGATTTGACCACGCCAGCCTCCCACCTCCACTACTCAAGAGTCAAAGGCACCCAATTGGTGGAGCACGGCCTTGAGATGACTGTTTCGTGCTATCGAAACGAGTACGAATCCGAGCCGCCTTATCTATGGTCCCCTTGGCACATTGTGCCTCCTTTCGGAAATAAGCTGACCATGAGCGATCCGCGGAAGACTCTTGTAGAAGTACACATTATTTATGGTAGATAAAAGTCTAGGTCTCAGAGTGTTACAGACGCTTTTCGCAATACATGATGAGCCGAGATGAACCACCTTCCCGAGGCACATGGATCATGCCTTGTCCAAAGATTGCGCCAAACACATTTCATAATATCTGCCTTTGAGTTTCTGCAGCTCGGCATGCGTGCCCATCTCTGCGATCCTACCATTGGCAAACACAAATATCGTGTCTGCGTTTCGAATGGTGGATAGACGATGCGCCACTGCAATCGTCGTTCGGTTCACCGCAGCCTCGTCTAGAGCCGCCTGTACTAATCGTTCCGACTGTGTATCCAACGCCGACGTTGCTTCGTCGAGTAATAGGAGTCGTGGGTTTCGTATTAGCGCGCGTGCGATCGCGATGCGCTGTCGTTGACCCCCAGAAAATTGCATTCCCCGCGACCCACAAGGCGTGTCGAATCCTTCCGGAAGGGACACGACGAAATCTAATGCATTGGCTTTCCGGCAGGCTTCTTTGAGCTCTTCCTCCGGTGGTTCATAGTCAAGTCCGAGTGAGACATTGTCCCGTACTGACCCCTGGTAAAGTGTTGGTTCTTGCTGTACCAAGGACATCTGGCTACGGTATAGCCGAGGGGACATCTTGGTGATAACCTTGCCATCCACGCAGATGCGACCACTTATTGGATCGTAAAAGCGTTCAAGAAGTGCTATCAGCGTCGACTTGCCACAGCCTGATGCTCCCACGTAGGCCACAAATGCGCCTGGCTTGACTGCCATGGATATACCTCGCAATACCCTGGCTGTGTCTCTCTGACGGTAGCGGAACTCAACGTCTTCAAGGTCGATCTGACCATCTCCTTCCGGTCCATCATTCTTGTTGTTTTCGTCCTCTTTAATCACGGGTTTCAACGTGCGTAGCCAGAGAACGTAATTGGCTGCTGCCTTTGCTTTCGTCAAACTCGTTGAATAACCAAAGAATTGTCCAGCAGCTTGACCGGCAAAGAGGACTCCAACAAATATGACGTAGAACTGCGTTGTTGAATATTCTCCTGTTGACAGCAGACGACTACCGTACCAGAAGCCCAAAGCCATTGCAAGAAACTCAATAGACTGTGACAGGGAGAACCAGAACATAGTCCAGATTAAGGCTTTGGTGGATCGAAGAACGATGCTGCCCAGCAAGCCTGCATATTCCTCTAAGATCTGTGACTCGAGGGTCAGTGAGGCCACTGTTCGGATTGAAGCGACAGCTTCACTGGCCAATCCGGCACTATCTGAAAAGTTCTCGGAATTCTTCTCCTGAAGCTTGACCTCAAGGCGAATTCGCAGATATCCTGCAATGAGGATTGGTAGTAAGGCACCGAAGATGACCACTAATGACAACTTCCAACCATATGCAAGTGCCAAAATGCTGGAAGATACAACGTTGACGAGGACAATGAAAATAAGGAGAACGTTTGCACTAACAAGCTCCTGGATATCCGTCGGCACGGCGGATAATTTGGAAGTCAGCGCTCCAGAAGTGTTCATGGGAATGTCGAAAAATTCCACATCTTGCTCCAACATGCGCTCGAACAGTTCGGCTCGATACCTGTGCGTAACAGTCTGTCCAATGATATTGCATAGCCAGCCGATGACGAAGTAGGCAACCAGGTTCGCTAGAGCGACAACGAAGAACATCAGTGAGAAAAAATTGGCCCGATCAACGGCTTCTTGTCCGGTAACCTGGAATATGGTCAAGAGGCGTGCAAAGAGGATTGCTTGGGCGGGGAAAGTTCCACCTCCAATCAGGCAAGCGATTGTTGACAGAGCAAAACACCAGTATAAATTCTTCTGTTCCCGGAACATGATCCAAATGCAGCGAATAAGCGAGTAATCGAGCGTTCCGATGCGCTTTTTCTGAGCTTCAACATCTCCTGCCAGCGATGTCACGCCAGTCGCGGTCCTCTGCAGTGCAAGACGTTCCCCAGTTGACTCGACTGCAGCCTTCTCGCTCAAATCTTGCGCATTTTCCTCTGCCTCATCAGCTCCCAAATCTTGTGCTCGTACAAGAGAAGCGTAGTGACCGTTCAGGTCGATCAGTTCCTCGTGAGTGCCTTGCTCGACAATTTTTCCTTGTGACATGACAGCAATGTTGTCAGCAGTTTTGACAGTTGCCAGTTTGTGGGCGATGACCAATGTTGTCCGATCCTTGGAAACGCGATTGAGAGCATCTTGCACCACCTTTTCAGCCTTTGGATCGAGTGCACTAGTTGCCTCGTCGAGTAATAATATCTTGGGGTTCGAGATGATACTGCGAGCAATAGCAATACGCTGACGCTGGCCACCACTAAGGGTACCAGCCCGCTCTCCAACTTCGGTATCGTAGCCCTGTGGAAGCTCCACAATGAATTCATCTGCGTTGCTTGCCTTGCAGGCCTCACGGACAAGCTCCATCTGCTGCTCTCGTGGCAAGTCTCGCTGGTCGTCCACTAAACCTTTGACAACGTTCTCGAAAACGGTACCACGGAATAAGATGGGCTCCTGCTGGACTAGTCGGATCCTGCTTCGAAGCCATTTGACATTATATTCAGGAAGGTCAATGTCGTCGAGGATAATGCGACCGGATTCTGGAACGTACCATCTTTCCAGCAGACCCACTAGAGTGCTTTTGCCAGAACCAGATGCCCCTACCAGCGCTGTCGTCTTGCTAGCAGGAATCGAGATACTGAAATCGCGGAGTACTTGAGCTGTTGGACGAGATGGATAAGCGAAGTTGAGATTCTTGATTTCAATGTTGCCGTCGCAAGTTCTGGGCTGTTTTCCCGAGGGGTCCAGTGGATCCAAGAGTGACGATTTATCAATGATGGTGAAAAGCTCGGCGGCGGCAGACGCGGCATTGGTGAAGGAAGTGATTTGTGGAGCGAGTGTAGAGATAGACGTCGCAGCAATGGTAACAGAGAGCACCACAGTGAAAACTTTACCCACATCCTGGACCTCACCGCTCAGATACATCCGGTACCCCTGCCAGAATGACAAGGCGATGGCGGAGTAGACACAAAAATATTCTGTTGAGAATAGAACACCATAGTTGGGAGATTTCTTATTCCCTTCCTTATGTGCCTGTTCCAAAAACACATTATACTTACGTGCCATCTTCTCCTTCGCCCAAAACGCGTTTACTGTACGGATTGATGATAGCACCTCTTCTGCAAGTACAGCAGCTCGGGAATATATGCGAATGATTCGGGCTTCTTGCTTCGCATCGATCCCGACGCATATTCCAGTGACAAGGAATATGGCAGGTATGACAGACATTGTGATCAAGGCTAACTTCCACTGGACGCTAAGTGCGACAATGAAGGAAGCAAAAAACATAGCAAGAGCTTGAACGGCGAAGGTGAGCTTTTCCGCAATCCCACCTTGAATCCTGGTGCTGTTGGTGGTGACTTGAGTCGCGATTGCTCCATTGCCTTGCTTGTCGAAATGCCATATTTCTTGCCTCAGCGTGCGCGCGAGAAATACTTCGCGGAGCTTTCTTGTTGTTCGAATTGAGGAGATTGTGATTGTAGCGGTCGCAATGTAAGTGACGAAAAATTTTCCGACAAATAGGTAAATGAACCACAGAACGAAGGAATCCACATCATCCCTAAACTGGGCAGGGCTTGTGGCACCAACGCTGAATTGATTGAACTTGTTGGTGAAACTTCCGAAGATCAATGTCATAAGCGGTAGTGAACTTCCACTAGCTATAGCACAGAAGGCAGCAATTCCATTTAGCATCCAGTCGTATTTATCACAGTACTGGAAGATACGGAGGTAGTCCTTCATGCTACCCTCCTTTCCTTTCTCTGGAAGCTTCTCGGAAACGGTTTGGTCCCCATCCTGGCTGGAGCTTGTTTTCTCCAGGTCTTGGGTCATTGAGAAATTAGCAAGTGATCAATATTGAGTCGAGAAACAGCTATTGGAGAGTGTGACAGGGTTGTCAATGGAGGACTCGACTGAACGGTTGTACGTTGAGGTGAAGATATACGTAAGTGCAAAGATGCGGTTGAGAAAACCATGCGACATGTCAATCATATTGGCAAGACAGGCAGCATTACGGAACTTCCGACCGAATAGACCGAAGTGAAAAGCCCAGGCAGAACCATGCGAATTTACACCAGAGTTAAAACAAAATACGAGCAGCGATAGGCGCAAAATACGATGATTCCATCGCGTGGAGAGATCAAACTCCTTGAACTCGATGCTTGTTCCAGATGGTGTCCACTTCAAGCGAGGCGACGTCAATGATTTTGGCTTGGCATGGATTCCGCGGCCGCCGCGGGTCCCGAGGCATTTGAACAAGAGGTACTCCAGGAAGCCGAGAAAGGAGAGTAATTTGGTTCTTGTCAAGCATCATTGTCCGAGTCCGCGATACTGACACCGTACGCGAGGGAAGCATTGGCACCATTGGCAGTCCGTCACAAGATCTCCCACTGTGAGTGATGACGGAGAGGATGTCCGACCCAGCCCTGTCCGATACCGAAAATTCTTCCCTGAGAGTACCTGCTGTAAGTCATCACACGCCCCAGAGCAACAGGAAGGGCTAATTCGATTCTGCAAGTGCGATAGTTGCCGAGCTCGGAAGGTACGGGCGGTTGTGATTTCCCTGCGTGAGCTCGATTTAACATTACAATACTAGATTAAATGTGATCGAAAAGCACCATGTTCTAGTTGCAAAGCGAGTCAGGTGGTTTGTCGGACTACTAAGAGAAATCCCGAAAAGAAGCAACGTATCCTTGTCTCAGGGCGATAGTAAGTGACTCTTGTCTGTGGTCATCCTCTGCTTTGCCTTGATATTGATCGCCAGGGTAGTGAGCGAGAAATCGAAAATGTCAACGAACGACTTGCAAGCCTCGAGAAAATCTTGAAGTTGTTCGTAGGTAACAACAAGACAGCGGCGTTACATGCCTCACCACCGACCGTTGCGGATTCATTGTCAACACCTACGGACAGTCAGACGGCTGAACCAGATGTGGGTTACGAGGGGGATTCCAGTTTCAATGCTCACTCCAAGTTGGCTGTGATGTCTTTTGAGAGTGGCCTCAATAACTATCCTTATTCAAGCTCAATACAGGACGTATCCGCCGCGGTCGCCACCCTAAGGGGATTTCTGACCAAGAGTCTCAGTGATCAAAATGATAGTCCTGCTTCTGGTCCGCAAGTTCTACAAGAAATCATCCACTATCCGCAATTATCGAGCCTACAGTTACCTCCAATGGATATTGTCCTTCGCTTACTGAGGCACATCAAAGGCACGCTTAGCTGAATCTTATCGGCTTCAGTTGGCTAACAGCAATTAGTCCACGGGCACAGATTCTTGTACGAATGCCCTATGCTAAACTTACAAGAGATCAATGCGCTTTGCCAGGACTTATTTTTCCCTGCCGAACCTTGCACTATCGCCACATTCATCACAACTCATACAGCACTCTACTACCTTTTCAGAGATTTGCCATTGAAAGATATGGAAGTACTTAATCTGAACAGCTCAGAAGTCAAGTCTCTGGTCGAAATGTGTGTCAAAAATGCACAAGTTGCATTCAGGAATCTAAGGCTTGTTATGGATCCAACATATGAGAATCTTCAAGCATTGATGATAGGTGTGAGTATCTATTCGTCCCAATATTTTACCAGGATGTAGCTGACAGTGTCGACGTATAGGCTATTTCTGCAATGGATTTATCACGGCCAGCCTTTGGATGGTCTCTGATCTCCGCTGCTTGCAGGTTGTGCCAGGATGCCGGTTATCATCGCCTTCCATCGTACTCGGTTGCTCCCGATGCAGACACGACCAAGAAAAGACTACTATTCTGGTTCATATACACCACAGATCGCAATATGGCCCTCAACTTTGGAAGAGCACCTAACTTGCAGAGCTATGATATCAGTGTGGAACGACCGAAAATCCCCGAGGAGATGCCTAGCGCGTGGGGTACGATGTACTACATGTGGATGGACTATGCTGATATTCAAGGTGATATCTATGAGCAACTCTATTCTGCTCGAGCACAGTCCGAGCCCATCGAAGACAAGGTTCGCCATGCACGTCGCCTTGCGAAGCGTATGCATGAGCTGCGCAAGGAATTTGGGTTCGTCGACATCTCAAGAGTGCCCTACGGAGAAGAATTCCAACAAGCGCTTTTATCAACGGAGATCACAATACTCTCAGCACTGACGCTAATCTACCGGGCGATCCCCCCACCAGCGTCATCCACTGGTGAAGCCCAGCATCCCCTCAAGCCCAATGCGGAAGCTCTTTCAACAGCACGCCAAGCTTTGACGACCAGTCTAACAGCCTGGGAAACGTTACGAGATCGTCCTGGGGAAGAATGGCGCTCATTTATTCTCTGGGGTCTACTGTGGTGTCCCTTCATTCCCTTTCTTGTGGTGTTTGGTAATTCGATAGTCGAACGCAACCGCCAAGACCTGGAACTACTCGAAAACATCGTCATAGCCCTCCAAGCCGCCCAACCGAGGAGTGACATGGTGGACAAGCTCGAGAAGGCTTGCAAGATTTTTAGTCAAATTTCCAGGATATACCTCGATCAAACAGAGGGATCCGCCCAGCAGCAACAACACCATCAAAAGAATTCTCGGCATTTTGATTCCGCTCTGGTCCCGTCCGTAGGTGCAGGTACCATGTCCACCATGTCAGCAACGAATACATCCAACGTAACGATGCAACAACCAGAGGTGCAGATCACAGACACCGTTCTGTCGGATTTTCCTCTGTCGCAACAGAATTGGGACAGCATGTTCAATGAATGGGACCTTGGCCTTGGAGCAGAAAATGCACGAGAGATTTCGTCGTATTTCGAGCAACTTACGGGAGCAGGACCCATACCCAATATGTTTGGCATGCCGAATCCGGAACCATTTGGATAGCATTTCGATCGTACATCTTCCATCCCAACTTGACCGGACTTCCCCATAGAAAATCACACAAATCTTGTGCCTTACGGATCACCGGCCTTCGGACCCAACGTGTCCCAAAGTGGCCACCGACCAGCAACTCTCTGAATCAGGGTGATTTAGCCACCTTTGGGTTTGCCTATCCCGAGAAACTCAACCTCAACCGAGGCTTGATACCCAAGGTAGCCCGAGATGCTTACCCTGCTAGACCGTCCTCTTCCGGCCGATCCATCATGTGATCAGAAAGTGGGATCCAGAGACGGTGTCTCCGCCGAGTCGTCAATATCATGATAGGGCAAATATCACACCGAGGGCTGATAACAGGGCCTCATGGTGCTGGCAGCGGCCCGGTTGGATAAAATCGCCGCTTCCGGGGACTGGACCTCCGGTGTGCAATCCTTTCCGGACCTAAAAATGAACCTGAAGCGTGGAGACGATGGTGAATCCAGAAGTCGACATGATGCCTGATACAGCACGACCTTAGGTTCACAAGGTATTGATTGCATGTGTAAGCAGCTCAAAAAATACTGGCCATGTCATGAATTTTTTGGGTATCTATACACAAATAGTTTGCCGCACAAGCAAGACGTCCATGAGTGAAGAGTCAGCTAGATCTGTACAGGTGGTATCTGTCCAAGAAGTGCCAAGCACGGCCAGATTATATAAATTGATTTTTTCGCCTTTGAAAATGCTCACTCCCTCCCGCTTTCCATAATATGCAAGAATGCAATATGCAATACCCCCACAAAACGCAACCTTCCTTCAAAACTCATGATTCGCTTTTTGCGTTCGCTTCGGCGTCAAGAGTATTGCGCCTGGCCCGCCTGGCTTCCTTCTCCTCGAGGCGAACGCGCTCCTGCTCGGCGATACCGGTGCGAGCTTTCTCATGCTGGGAGCTCAGCTCCTTCTTGGTGATGAACAAACTAATCAAAATGCCAAGGGCGGAAAAGGCGGTGTAGAAGATCCACAGGGTCTTGAGACTCTCGGTGTAGGCGACATTGACGGCATGTTTCTGGTCCGGGGGCAGAGATCTGACATAGTCGGCCGATGCGCCGAAACTGGAGTTCGCCAGTCGCTGCGCCACGTCTGCGGGGAGGAAACGGGCGAGGTACGCTTGCTTGCCGCTGAGTTGGTTGTTGAGGACTACGCCGCCGAGGACGACGGACATGGAGGTCCAGATGTTGCGAGTGAAGCCAAATGTGGCGGTCGCTACGGCAATATCGTGGCCCTTGACATGGCTTTGCAGCGCGATCAAGGGGCTTTGGAAGTTCGGACCGACTCCGATACCTGCAATGATCTGATAGATGATGATTTTGGCCCAGTTCGGGCTGGGATCGAAGTCGATAAAGAGCCCGGAGCCAAGTGTCATCATTGCCAGCCCGAACCAAATTGGCTCACGGTAGCGGCCGGTCTTCTTAATCACGACTCCGACCACGGCTGAGGCGAATGACAGACTGAGTACCGTTGGGAAGAGATAGACTCCGCTGAGGAGTGGACTGGCCGAAAGAACGGTCTGGAAGTAGATTGGGAGGAAGTAGCTGCTAGCGATGAAGACGAAACCATGAACGGCGCAGACTCCCAGCGAAGCCAGATTTGACCTGTCGTTGAATATTCGGAGTGGTATAACGGGGTATTTGGCGAACTTGGCTTCGTTGATGAAGAATAAGACAATGGTGAAAAGGCCCAATATAATAAGACAGAGGGTGTAGGCACTATCCCAGGGATGGGTAATACCCCCAGATTCCATTCCGAAGAGAAACATGGTTACTCCACCCACAATCAGAATCACACCAACCCAATCAATCGCCTTGATTCCTGCGACGAATGGGGTCCTTGGTGTTTCCAATTTCAGGAAGAATATTAGTAAGATCAAAGACAATCCATCCAAAGGTAGGTTCACGTAGAAGCACCAGCGCCATGACACGCCTTCAGTGAAACCGCCACCAATGACTGGGCCAACCCCGGAAGCAATGGCCCAAACGCCGCCTAGGATACCATAATATTTTGGTCTGTCCCTCATGCTGAAGAGGTCAGCAATGCAAATGTTGACGAGGATGACGAGGCCCCCGCCTCCTACGCCTTGAATGACCCGTCCACCGATCAGGAGGCCTATGGAATTGGAAATACCTGCAATCAAACTGCCAGCCATGAAAATGACGTTGGCCAGAATGATCATAGGTTTGCGACCCCATATGTCAGACAACTTGCCCCACAGAGGTACACTGGCTGCATTGGCGAGGAGATAAGAGCTGCCAACCCAGGTGTAGTCTGCGGCGGATGCATTGAAATGTTGAGCGATTGTGGGGAGGGCGGTGGTGATGATGGTGACGTCCAAAGCGGCCAGAAAGAGCGCCATTCCGAGCGAGAACATGATGATTACAATCCTGGCCTTTGAGAATCCATCTGCTCTTGACACAGTCTTCTCGAGTGGAGCTCCTGATTGTTGCTCGATGGGCACATCATTATCTGCTGGTGAGGTTGGAGATGTTGGCTCGCCTTCGTGGCTTGATCTTTTGTCAAGCGATTCGTGACTCTGGAGTGAAGAAGGTTCCGTTTGTGTCTCGGTGCCTGCTAAGGGGATCTGTGTTCGCAGGCCCTCGGTCCCTGCCTCATAGTGTTTCTCTGAAGTTTCTGCCATGAGGACGAATGGAGAAGACTCGACCTAGAGGCACCAAATAGGTGATGAATAGATGACAGACCAAAATCCAGCACGGACAATGTATTCAAGGTAGTTGATGTATGTCCAGAGGCGGTTGATGATATATTCGCGTTCGAGGATTTCCAATTAAGCTGGCAATAAGGCTGTGTTATGACGGTATGGAGAATGCCGTGAATGGTCCGTTTATTCTTGTATAGTTACCGATAGAGGCAAGTGGATACACAACTGGAGGTTCTCGTGGCTGCAATTCTTCTCGAATGCGTCCTTGGTGGAAATAAGTCGTCACTATTAATAATGTCGCCGCACTCGAATCCTCCAAAGAGACGATGCGCGAGCCACACAACGCAAATATGACAGGGAAAAGTGTCGGTGTCCTCACGCAGACTGAATAGTGAATATTGTGAAGGAATAACCTCACAAGAAAAACCAACTTCCAAGATTTGCTGAAAATGAAGTGTTTAGTATGAAGTCAACACAAGCACTGAAGAAAATGGAACAAGCGTTCTTAGCACACTAAAGTATGTTCATGACCCCCTTGAATAACAATGAAGACTCGTACTGAACTCGGCATGAAAAGCACAAGTCCGAGCCGACTACGAGGTATGATGGCCCATCATCGTCCTAAAGACCGTGTGGCAGGCAGGGGCACTCGGTCGGTCCAGCGTTTGCCCCAGCGAGAATGAAAGGAAAAAATCGATGACGAATTTGACTAATGAAATTGAAGGCAACCGCGGTTGACTCCGGCACCAGTATCCGTTAGGCAGGTACCTACTCGTACCTTTTTCTCCAGGACACCTCCACGATTGACTCCAGGTGACTCCAGGCACCAGAGAGCTTGCCGACGCCTGAGGGCGAAGGGCGCAGATGCACATGCAGAGGAGCGACAATTGACTATGTAACACGTACTCGTATCAGGGAATTGACAAGATATAAACACTAAAATAGTGAGCCTCTCAGAGACATGACATAACGCCCAAATGTAGCGCCCTCAGGTCACATCCATGTACTCAGTTCAGGCATCAATGTCCGTTGAGGGTCGTGGCCGCACAGAAACATGTTCTTCATTCGGCCCCGAATCGAACTTCGGACACGAAGAAACGTGGAATTAGGACATAAAACCTTTCGAGTGAGACTGGTGCTGTGGTTTTGGCCGACTTCGGACAGCGTTGAGTCATTCACCATGGTTGTCTCTTTCGCAATTATCGGCATCAATCAGGTGAAGAATACGAAAAGTGTTTGATGGAATTCAGGATGTTTTATGCCCATGTTTTATTTCTGAAATCTTGATCTGTTATACAACAACTTAGACCGGGTGTCTTGATATGCTCTCCTCGGCGATCTTCGAGTCAAAAGACGACTCGTCTCTATGTAGATATGCATAGTGCAAAGACACTGCCATAGCAATTGAAGTACATGTGGATGTATGGTCATCATGCAGAGACCGAGAAACTATACACCTCGCCATGTTAGAGACCGACAACATTCCTTTGCAAGCCGCCATCGCGACGCCCCCGAGTCATTATTCAATCAATCTACACAAGTGAAGATTTAATCCATGCTGACATCTGACAAAAATCCACACCCCTACATCGCAGGTGTCGGCCTGAAACCATGTTATTCGTACAGAATATCGATTTTAATTCAGAGACTCGCCACAATTCAGGCATTTCAATTTCATCCTCCAGACTTTCGGTTGAAATCGTGATGCGTTCTTGCTGGCCGGTGTAGGTACCAGTTGACTGACTGTTGCATGGTGGACCTCACCTCCGATGGTTTCAATCTCCGCTTGTAACTTGCCTGCCCATGGGACCTTCTTCCCAGGGGTCAGCTTTGTTTTCTTGCTGGCTGAGATCGCTGGAGATGCGGAATGGGCGTCCTTGTCTTTGATCTCACCACTTAACGAAACCAACGGTCTGACCAAGTTACCAAGTGTTTCGCCAACCTTCTCGCCCAAGGTCTTCTCTTCCTCTCTTTCATGCGTCAACGTGCCGGTCAAGAACTTGTCCCAGGCTCTCTCCTCCAGATCTTTGTAGAGGCAAGCTTGGTGATTCCATGTTCCACAGCCTTTCTGAGGCTTGTGACATTGATACATGTCGACACTGGGGTTATCATAACCGCCGCATATACAAAACTTTCGCAGCTTGCTCAGCGCATTTTTACCGTCTCTCGCCTTCTTCAAATCCAGTGTCTGCCTCCAATAGCGCTCTTGAAGTATAGTTTTATTTGAATCATCGTTCTCATCCCAAAAGCTGACTTCAGCATGAGTTGCAATGGTTTGGGCTTCGATGATGTCCACATGATTACTGAGAACTAGCTCTCGTTTGCCGTGGTATGGCTGTCTGCCACCTGGTAGCTCATCCGGCCAGTAAAGCCAGAACACTTTGACGTAGACTTTCTCTTGACTCTCGGCTCTGAATTCGGATATCAAACCAACCCAGAAGTTTTCTTGATCATACTGTAGTCTTTCGTCCTCGGTGGCATCGGACGCCGGAGCAGGTGGGATGGGATTATGACGATTTACGTAAACAATCTGACCAGACGTGTAGATGACGACAAAAGGATCCTTGACTGTATATTGAGATTCTATGGTCAGAAAAGAGTCACGGTTTGACGCGTATGTACCAGATGATACTCACATTTGGCATTCTTAAACCTGGAGAGGTCAGACCATTTCTTCCCCGGGCGAACTGCGTAATCTATGGTCAAGTGCGGAGCGAGAGCTGGCGCATCTGCCTTTTCGATCATGACATCGTCATTCAGTATCTTCTTGTTACGTCGCTGCGGCAGAGCAGGACATTGGATGATGAAATCAGGGCCACTGTCGGCCTCGATGGTCTCTGGCGCATTGGGTGGCTGGCCACTGGAGTTGAACTTGTCATGTTTATTCGACTCTTCTTCCATCTCAGTAGCGTTCCGTTTCCTCCCTGCCATTTGAGCAGGCTCAGTGGGATCTTCAATGTCACTGTCGCGTGGCGTCAAGGGCAAGTTCGAGGGGTAGGATTCGGACGTGGCAACCGTTGACGCCATTGATGGGATTCACAGCTCAATGCAAGTGACCCAATACAGAGGCTGATTGATCAATCAGAGCTGCGAAAGTGAGTGGTGTGGGCTTGAATGGCCGAGTCCTTGGGTAATGGAGGCGCGTCGCCGAGCAGAAGGAGTTTACTTGACGCAGTACGTCAAGTGGTCGCGCAAAGTAGAGGGAAGTAACCGCGATGAAGAGAAGTCGCGTCGATATGACAGCTACCGACGGCAAGAGGGAGGTACGATGGTGTGAGGAGTGCAAATATCGGGTGGTTGGTGGAAGCAACGTTGTGAATAAAGTTGGCGTGGCCGGCAATTTGGAAGGTAGAATAATCAGTGTGTTTGGCCACTGATGATGGAGGAGGACAATTACACACGGGTGCGACAGCGCTTAGGCATGCAAATGCTGATGAGGTAGCCTCGGGCTCATCAGGCGTAAGACGACCTTGGCTTGGGCTTGGGCAGCTCAGATTTGGGCTTGGAGATTAACTCCAGGATATACATGGTCCCCTTAGGTAAGTACCTCAAGCTACCTAAGGTACTAGGTACCCTGTAGGTATCATCCCGTGAAATGTGATCTTCCACGTATCTGATACCTACTTCGTGCCTAGGTAGGTAGTTAAATTGTCCTCTCACTTGATCGGAGAAGCAACATGTACCTGTCTCGTACGTGCCTGGAAATCCATGTGTCATTCCAGGTCCGTATCCACGTTTACTTTTATTGGTAACTCATACACCATGTTGCTGCGTTCTCGAGGTGTATCACTCTACTCACACTCTCGTGGTCCAAGCTCTCGGGTCTGGCCGATGACGGCCCGCACTTGTCTTTGCCTTCAAGTTCAAGTTGCCATGGATTGTCCCTAGCATACTCCACTGGTTTTCGAGGGTTTGTTCGTAAAAGTTTCGTAAAAGTGTGGAGTTTCAAGGTCGTAGAGCTTGATATTGGCGGGGATAGGTACGGAGTATGTTTTCAGAGGAAACGGTGATGGGAGACAAGTCTTCAATATGTCGTGTAATGGCGCCCTCTCCCTGACTACTCATTTCTGCCGGTGTGAGGATCTCATTTCATCGCTGCCATGGTATGGGTGATCTAGATTCATTTAATACTGGAATGACGATTGTGAAGCAATTCAGTATTCCACCATAACTTGAGTGAGGCCCAAAGTATCTACCTAGGTAGGGTAGTAGTACCACAGGTACTGTATTATTATCGCCACCGTCTGCGCATCGTTCCTGCTGGGTATCTTTGAATTAACACGTTAACTCCTGGGCGTTGCGAATGCCTCCTGCCTATTCCTTTCACCGCGGGACACTATGTAGCAACTTTCAACCATCACTTGAAGATCTTCTTGAGCTTGTCCAGGATGGAGGGCTTCTTCTCGTGCACATGTTGCTCGTTGCCTGCGCCTCCGCGACCAACGTGGTGGGACTCTTCCTTGACAATGCGAGTGGCTGTCTCGGGAACGATTTCGGTATCGTGAGGTGTGCCTCCCGCTGCTACTCCATCTTTGTCGATGTTGCCAGCTCCTCCACGTCCTGCCGAATAGGGCCCGTCGCCTTGGTTGCCGGTTGGGCCTTCACGTACGATTTCGCCGTCAGTGTATGGGGTATCGTCAGGTCCGATGTTGGCGGCACCTGAGACAAATTAGGGTTGAATATGGAGAGATGGTGGGGAGAAATTCTTACCGCCACGGCCATGAGAAACGTTGGCAGCCATTGTCGTTTGTTCGCCTGTAGAGAGGTTAGGTTCCACTGAACCATCATGCGTGTGTGCCATTTTGAGCGCGAGATGGAAAAGACGGTCTTCGAGTATTCACACTGGGAAACTCGAAGATTGAGGACAGAAGTGAAAGACACCGAACCTTCAGAGAGACAAGGCTGGAAAGAGCAGCAGTATCCGAGATTGATGAACCGCTTACCTGAGAAGTGGGAACTGAAGAGTGGATATTGTCGTAGGTCTTCACTGGGGTAAGCAGTGTGGTTGATGAGACGATGATAGGTGAGTTGCAGTTGTTTGCTCAGTTGTCACCAGAGGGGATAGGCGAGAGATAACGAAGAAGGAAGAGTGATACAGGCCGGGGGCTTTTAGTACTAAGGTCATGCGTTTTCCACGCGAGCGATACGGGAGTCATTGACCAAACCAGGAGGCCGCCATGATCAAAAGGAAAGTCCGGATGCTAATCGTGACTCGAATTAGTTCAGCGGGTGGCATGAGGTCTGCTGCTCTGGTGACGCGAGCCAAGATCTGCTGGACGACTGAAGCTCTTTCAAATCTAATCCAAGGAGCTTGATTCTTGCCAGTGTTGCTTCGGGGATCCCAGGCGGGGGGTGCCAGCTTCACCAGGACTGCAATCTTGAGGACCACGTTTTGATGCTTATCACGCAATTCCGACATCTCGTCAATGTCTTGTGTGATTGCGACTCGCGTTGACATCCCACCTCATATTCGCGCGTGGTCAATAGGCACTATTTCAAGCCACAACCATCATATAGCTAGGCACAGGTATCGCACAACGTGAAATGCCTCGCTCACTGGCAGTGAATAGCTTTCGTTGATCAAAGGTACTCGGTATTCGGCCATTCAAAGATTGTGCCTTATCTATCAAATTATTAGTCCTCATTTTAGTTTTCAATACGTCACTCGGTCGCCAACTGACACGCTAGGGACTTGACTGGCCCATTGGGGCTCTTGTGGGATGAGATTTCCGGCGGATCCAACTCAAAAGCCATGCACGTTTACTAGTACTCGGTAGAGTGGATAGATAAATATGGATACCAGTTTTGCGTGGTTACTTTGCGACAGAATCTGCCATTCCCTAAACATGTACAAATTGATCTTCTGGAACCTGCCATCCCCTAGGAGTATATCACGACGTCGCCATCTTCCAGCCATTCTGTTCTCTTCAAGCCTTTGCCGTCTTCTTGTCGTCGCCGCCTCCAGTCGTCGGCAGACCCATAAAGATCTTGAACGAGTCGTATATCATCCATTGCAGACCGGTCAATGTTCCAATCATCACCTAAAGTCACCTCGCATTAGTATCCAACCGTTCGGAGGAGTTTCAACCGGTAAGAAACTTACAATTCTGACAGGCAGACCATTCCAGAGGCCACCGAAACCAATCTTGGCATAGATACGGCTCACTGCGGCCCCAAAGCCTTCACCGGCACCACGATCTGCATTCAACTTGCTGACCATGACATCGGCAGGGTGTGACACAATAGCACAGAGAATACCAGCCATATAACCACCAACGAAGGCTACTCCGGTTTGTGCTCCCTTGTTGTAGTCTGACTTTTGTCCAGGAAGATAGTCGTAGATCGCGGCGACAATGGTTTCAAACGAGGCAAATTTCATCATGGTATATGGAATCTGGCGACCCCAGAGTGGGTAAAGACCTTTGTATAGACTGTGTATGGTCAGCAAAACCACGTCACCACTTCCAGTGTCCGCACCACTCACCCTGCAACTCCCTCTTTCGCGGTGATCGAATTGATTCCTTGGAGGGTTCCGGTGAAGGTTGGCGGGATCGTGGTTTGCATTCTGACCTTGACTGCTTCGAAGGGACAGAGACCAACATCGGCAATAAATTCGGCCGAGGCCGAAGCGGTCAAGAAGATGGCTGTCTTGTACTTGGCGGCGTTCTCTTCACCTGCAAGTCCACTGTAGAGATGTTTGAAGTATTCGTAGAATCCGTACTTTCCAGCACCTTGAACAGAGTATCCAACAAAGGTTGGGCCCCAACCGGTGAAGATACCGCGAACACCCTCGGCTTTGCCAATCTTTTTCCAAGCTTCCCAATTACCCTTGTAGAGGTTCGAATCGACTTGACGACGACACTTGACCAAGTCAAGTGGGGTGACAGCTGTATGTGTTGTGCCCTGATCCGATGTCAATACCAGGACGATTCAGTAGACTTTCTGCCGACCACTTACGCAGGCAAGGATACCGCCGACTGTGCATGCTGCATAGTATTTACCCGAGTATAGCTCGATACCACCAGCTTTGGCTTGAGCTTTCTGACTGGCTTTGTTGTACTCCTTCTGAGCAGCTTCACTCAGCTCAACCGCTTTCTCCTTTGCCGTCTCGGCCGCACTCCATGCTGAAAAGATAGGCCGCTGCTTTGGGTGTTCGACTGGCCTAGCGCTTGGCCTGTAGAAGGGCGAGGTGGGGTGCATTGCCTCGTGCAGGGCAGCTGAATTGGGGAAGAGGCCAACCATGGTGCTACTCCAGAGAGATTCAATGAGCTTCCACTGTTAGATAGTTCACAGGGCAATTACCCACGTTTCCCTTGTATTGTAAGGAGTGCGCAGTCGGGAGCAAGTGAGTCCGAGGAGACCAGGTGACAATGAGTGACGATTCAACTCACGATATGAAGTTGATCACACTTGGTAGCAGATAAAAGGTCACGAAAACAGCCTTATGGATAAGCAGGGTGATAGGTTCAAGCTACGAATAGCTGATAGCAGAGTCACTTTGGCCACTGCCAGGGAAGTACGAAGGGCTACGAGTATGTAGGTAGGGAAGGTCAAATCAAGGCAAGGGCATGCGAGTTGGGAGGACTGCGTACTCGGAGATAGCATTCCACCCTCCACCTTGCTCTCTTACCTCGTCTCAATTTGCTTCATCCATCGTCATTGCGGCTGGATTGGAGCGGGGATAATGTTTTGGGGGTGCCAGCTTCAAAGTACGAGCCTACGAGGTACTTGATTTCTGTGACGTTGCAGCTTACTCGAGCTCCTCCACACTCTAACCACCTATCGTATTCACAGCGGATACATCAAAGCTTGGAAGTGGGCTTGGTGGGTTCAAAGGCCTGCGCTAACTATTAGTGCCCGTACCACCACTGGAACAGGTGCCCACTGTCCTGATCTTCGGCGCTGGAGCGCCTGGAGATCATGTTTTGATAGCTGCAATACTCGGTTTAGGCATTAGTTCTATCATATTTGGTGCCTATATGCCATTCCTCAGCCACCTGAGGTGAATCGTGCCTTCACCCACCTGGCCCGGGAACGGATAAACCTCCATCTCTTCCGTGGAGCCTGAGTGCGGCATGATCCAAACTACACCAAACGCATGTTTTCCCTTTTTTTGACCTTCACATGTGAAGCCTTTGTCCTCTTTGCTCAAGGCGAGCTTGTTCACCACAACATCCCAATACCTAATGACAGCCAGATCATCTACTCCACGTCTCCAGGATCCACCAGTTCCTGCCGAAGCTGATTTTCCCATGATGAATTCAGTCCTCGAACAAGGTGTTCCATTGGGAGGAACCATCGTCCCACAGCACAATGGAATGCCCCCCTTGGATGATCAGAATGCCACGACTTCAAAGCTGAACGAGTGGGCAAACAAATATCGTGGTGCAACCGTCGCCGACTTGGATCTTCCTCCTGCACTTTCTACCTCACCCGCTACCCCGCTCTCTTCAGCGCTGCTGTCAGCGTCTTCCCATGATTATTCCCACTTAACAGTTGTGTCGGACAACACTCGATCCCTGCTCGGTTACCTCTCTGTCTCTCATCTGAAAGAGTTGTTCGAGTCAAGAAAACTCGATCCTTCAGACCCTGTCTCTAAGGCTATGGTCAAGTTCCAGCGTGGGGGTGGCAAGCAATATCAAGTCATTACCATGGAAACAGAGCTGTGGGAGCTTGAGGGATTTTTTGAGAACCTTGGACCGTTTGCTACTGGTGCCAGTCAAGATTTTGCTGTGGTCACCGATGGCGGTCGCAAGTTTGTTCTTGGTGTCGTCACGCGAAGTGATTTGAACGAGTTCGTGAAGAGAAGACCAGCCTGAGTGCCGTCCACCCACGCCTGATACTCGTGAGACTTTAGGCCAAAGCCACGCGAGCGATTGCAAAGTGGTTAGACAATGAAGAGCGTCCTCCCACGCCCCCCAAAACCACGAGTAGTTGAATCAACAATATCGATTTCGCTTCCACTCAGACATCCCAAAAGCCCAAATGATCGGGCTGAGGAGGTGAAAAGCACCTTCAAAGTCTTCTCCGATCGATTCAATTGCTTCCGGAACACATTCACCAACTCAACGATGTGGGACTCTCTCCCCCTCTCGAAATCCTCAAGGCCATCAAGGATGCATAGTGTCAGCGGTGGAAGAAGCTCCAGCGCCTTGGCGAAGAGCTCAAGAGCTTTTGTCCAACTAGTCGCGTTGAGCCCATTGAAATCTGCATTCGGATCGATGCTGCTTTGATTTTGAAGCGTCGGTATTTGAGTGAGAATCTGGTATGTCATTGAATAAACCAGACCCACAAGAGGGTCAGCATCTGCGGAAGACGATCCTTGTTCCGGTGCTGCACTTTGTCTGCAGAAGAAAGACAACACCGGGGCATTTAAGGAATCAGCTGAGAGGACGATTCGGTAGGCTACCAAGGATATTTCGGGTATGAGATGTGTGATTGTAGGGTATTCGAGGTAAAGCAGACTGGACCTGGAAGATTGCAGCCATGATCCTATCGCGACTGTGACTCTTTCGTGCGTTGAGATGGGAAGCACATCTTCAGGCTCATCCAAGATCCTAGCTCCTCTCGTGACATAAACTAGTAATTTCTCCATCCGAGCCTGCAACTGAGACACATTTACCGCAACGTTTGAACGAGAAAATATCTGGCTTTGTGGAGGGGCACTGTTTTGTGGTGACGTGCTCTTTGTTGCTGAGTCCCTAGCCATATCAAGTTGCCTTTGTCCAGCGTAAACGAGTTGGTTTGTGCTGTCACTGTTTGCATTAGCGTGAGTGATCTGTTTGAGATTCGCTCGCAGAAAGTCCCATCCTGTCTCTGCGACCTTGCGATATGACGCCTGAGTGCTATTCATCTGGGTGCCCACCGCTGCCAAGATTTGTCTTCTGGTTTCTTCGTGCTGCAATCTGCTTTGTTCCTCAAAGCGCTGAACATGCGCTGCGAACTGTTCTGACATTGACTGGGCAATCACTCTCATGGTTCCACTCAGTCCGGCCCTTTCGTCGAGTAACTCTTGCCTCAAATCCTCAATTGAAAGCCGGGTGTACCTGCCTTCCGCCGATGCTGCGAGGGAGGCCGTGCGACCTACCACTGCAGACATTCGTTGTATATTCTGTAGTCCAGTAGCGAATTGTTTATGGAAGCCGTCGTGTAGACTGTTGCGGAACTTCTCTCTACTTTTCGATGTGTACCATATTGCAACGTCTCCAAGAAGTAGGAAAACAGCCGTGTAAAATTTGGCCACTGCTTGCTGGACGATTTCACTCGGGAACAATTTGGACTCTGTCTCGACGATCGTGGCTGCTTCATTCACAACTTCCATTATGTTTGCCAGTTCTTCGATTGTATCGGTGTGTTGGACTGAAGTCTACAACGGACCAACATTCAGCAAAGGCTCAAACCGGGAAGCGATCTCAGCTGCGAAAATCCGGAAACTTACATTGACCAAGACTGAACATGCCCAGTAGATGACTGAGGTGTACTGATTGCCTTTCGGTATGACGCTGAAGAGGGTCGAATGCGCCTTGAACTTGCCCATGATCTTATGGAAAGTCGCTTGCACCTTGCCTCCGCCGAGTCGCTTCTTGCTCTCCCATTTGGACTTTGCGGCCAGAACCGCGGTTTCGAACTCATGGAATGTCCAAACTTTGTTAGGGTCATCAGGAGATAGACGCTGCAACGCTTCCGCCAGCTGTTTACTTTCGTTTCCCAGGAATTGAAATTCGAGACTAGAAAGCAGCTTCGTGTTCAGCCCACAGCACGAATCGGTCCGTGCCGAATATCATCAAGGTGAACTCACCTTGCAGCAGAAGCACCCGAAAAGTATGCCTGAAGCTGGCGCTTTTCTTGCTCATGGCGTTGCTGTTTGTCATCTTCAATCGCTGACATTAAAACCGTTGGATCGGGCATTCCACTGTTGTGTGCGATGAACTCTTGTATGGCATCGTCGGGGGGCCGTAACATCAAATCGTGAGCCTGCGAGGATGACATGTTGAATCTTTGAACCCCGCCAATGATTCGGCTGGCTTTACTTAGGTGAGTTGTTCACTCGTAAGTGTATGTGACTGTTGAAGACCCTAGGGCCACGAATCTGAGTATTGAGACCGAATGGCATCCTCCATATCCCATTCCCGACGTTGGGTATCTGAATATTGGCACAGTTCGCTAGCCCCCTCAAGCCGTGTTTGGCCCCCACGATCGAACAGTGTTGAGAGGAGATCTCGCAAACCTACCGCAAATAAGCATGGGGCAATCATGCTCAGAGCGGGAAATTCTCACTTTCAGGCGCGCCGTTCATCCAGTGTTTCATGGTTAAGAAGGTCGAGGTCCACTAACCACTGGCAGCGTCATCCGCCGCTGTCTCACTGGACACCCACTGGATAAGGACTCGATACACTTGCAAATCGACTAGTGCGGGAAAGAACTGGTTACCAGCAGGGGTCAGGAAGCTTTAGGACAACAACACATTTGTCTTCCTCCTTCGCTCGCTCTTCGTTTCGATTGCCTGCTTTTGATACCTACATATCGCATATGCTTACCTGGTAGCATCACCGTAACTCTTTCACGAGAGGGCTAGACATTACAAACTCTTGCACTTCGCCTTAGCCATTCCCTGAACGGGTGGCCGCCATTCACATCTATCATTGGTACTCCAAAGGCTGTCGCCCTTTCGCTCTTCTAATGGCCACGCCCCCAGCCTCGGCTGGTCAAAATGACGCGCACATCGTTGAGGCATCTGGCGGAAGTCAGGTCACTTCTCTCAACAACCACGACACATCTAGACCGTCAGCGCTCCGGGACCGAGATCGTCTCTCACGCAAAAAAGCTAAGCAGAAGCAGTTTCAACGAGCCTTGGCATCGATGCTAGAGAGCTTTCCTGGCATCTTTGAAGAATCTGACGCCGATGTATCCGACCTTGACGACGACCACTTCTTTACTGATCCGGCTGTCGTGGAGGAGAAATCTCCCGAATCTCAAAGCGACAGGGGTAGTGCATCTCCACCACTTCGTGAACGGCAAAGGGTTCGATACCGAAGAGGTGACCGTGCCAGGCGTTCACCCAGTTCCCGTAGCAGAGATTCGTTAGACGAGATTCTAAAGCCTCTTGAACCGGGGAGAGATCACAAGAGTGTCTCCAATGAGACAGAGCTAGGGCCTATTCAGTATGAGTCAGAACTGTGGAACTACGCTCGCACAACAGACAAGGATTACGATATACCCACCCTTATTCATACGGCGAGAACACCAGCACCTCTCAAAGTTTCGAAAATCGGTGTCCACGCAAAAGCCACGGAAACCGGCGATACGAATTGTATCTTCAAGGCCGTGAACATGTACGCGGCTCCAAAAGGGTCGGTTGCACGACCGTGGTACCCGGACAGACCAAACGAATACCTCGATAATCAATACTCGTACGGTCGGCCCGAAGAACCTGCCGCGGTCACCGCAAGTGTGGGTAGTTATATACTGATTTACTCTGAGACTATCATGCGTGCGATTCGAAGCTGCGTCAAGGTGTACCCAGGTCTCTCCTGGGCGGTCGAGTTTATGAGCGTGCCAGCGCCGTATACACTATTAGTCCACTACCGAGATGATTTGAAAGCTTGGAATGATAAACTCTCCGATGAAGTCGCTTCTCCTATAACTGAGCAGAACAATGACAATCTGGGCGCCACCAAAGCAAGCTTACCACCCAAGGAACACATCCCTCTTTTGCTAGACTTCGTCTTCACCCCTGAGTTCACGGCCATATACGATCATGAAATGTCATTGAGGAGCAAGCCTGTACCTACGTGTACGTACTCGATGGCTTGGCTCTTGTTCTGTCCGGGTACCATGATTTACGCTTGGAGCGACAAAAGTTTGGATGCTTACATGGTTGACTCTTACGAACTGGATGGACTCTATGCGGGGGAGGTAGTGCTTGATCGCCGGAGAGAAAGAACCAAGACCAATCAAGGACTCGCCGACGTGGTCAAACCACCTAACGGCATCAGAGGTGAAATCCCTGAGTTCAGTACAACCCCAAAGTCACTGAAGCTCAAGCTTCATTATGTCGAATATGACGGAACTCGACTCGGAAGACGTCCAAAGACTGTTACCATCAGACCGTTCGAAGGCGAGCGCGAGATCAGCTCTCTAGCTGCCTACCCTGTACAGTACGCGCCAGATCAAGGACTGAGAGACCAGCTGATTGCACGGGGGCAAAAGTATCTCAAGCTATGCCAACGGCATTATATGTCCTATCATGGTGATACTATTGGAGCTCTCCGCCAGCCATCACGCAAGGTAATTGTCTTACAAATATATCGATTTGGCAGATTCCACTGACTAGCTTCATCAGTTGACTGGACGGGTCATGATCGATTCCACTATGTATTACAACGATCCTGAAACCTCAGGAATATTACGACTCAAAATGCCAACCGCAGATGGGATTACCATGTCAGAGACTGACAGCGATAGTAACCTCAGCAGTGGTGCTTCTGATTACGCCCGTCGGCGCAAACGAAGGGTTTACGCGCGGCGCCTGAAGGAATTGAAGAAAACTAACACGCAACCTGCCGGAGCCGTTGATTATGACATGATTGAGCCACATGAAGCGAAATTGAAGCCGGAGCATTTTATGCTGCTCCCAGCTCAGATCTGGGGATTCGTACTGAGGGAACGCCGCTGGTGTAGGTTGCTATACTTGCGCAAATAAATCCTGCTGACCAAAACTATAGATCTACTGCATATTGACGGGCTGACGGAGCCTCAGTTCCAAGAGAACATCATCAATGATCTTGTCCTCAAGGACGAAGCCAGAATCCTTATCGAGGCTCTCTCAAGCACCAATGACCAAACCAATGAGGGGTTCAATCACTGGAGCGCGGACATTGTCCAGAACAAAGGAGAAGGTCGCATATTCCTTTTGCATGGCAAACCAGGTGTTGGTAAGCTCTTCCAGAGATGGGACATTATCTCTTCTTACCTCAACATCGTAACTTACACTGATACAGGCAAAACATCAACCGCAGAATGTGTGGCGGAAGCTAACCGAGCACCCCTGCTTGCCATCACATGTGGCGATTTAGGCACTCACCCCAACGAAGTAGAACGCTCACTAATGAGGTGGTTTCGACTGGCGACCATGTGGAAAGCAGTCCTTCTTCTAGATGAGGCAGATGTATACCTTGAGTCGCGCATGAGCGGCGACTTGGCCCGAAACAGTTTGGTCTCGATTTTCCTCCGTGCGCTGGAGTACTATCAAGGTGTCCTCTTCCTGACCACCAACCGGGTCGGAACCTTCGACGAAGCAATGCTCTCACGCATTCACGTCGTCCTCCACTATGCAGACTTCGAGGATATCGAGCGAGAAAAGATTTGGAATACGTCCTTCCGAAAGCTCGGCGAGGAACGACCAGAAGTCCAAATCGGCCGTGGTGTTATGGACTATGTCATGGAGAACCAACGCGTGCTCGATCTAAAGTGGAACGGCCGCGAGATCAGGAATGCATTCAATACTATTGTTGCACTTGCCGAGTTCGATGCAGAGAAGAAGCGGAGAGCAGGATCGTCCAACGTACAGATCTCGATCGAGAGGAGTCACCTGGTCCAGGTGGTAAAGATGAGTGAGGGCTTCAAAACATACATGAAGAGTACACGAGGTTTAGATGAATCTGCACTTGCAAAGGCGCTTAAGATTCGGGATGATGCTGTGGTGCAAATGAATCAAAGTCAGATGGGATATTCAAGGGAAGGCAGAGTTACTATTATTGATAGAGGAAGAGAGTGAGGCCGTGCTTGGCTTGAACGACTGATCATACGCCTATCTTAATTTATTGTCTTTGCAAATCTGCTTCTTCTCTTCCCAGCTTTTCGGCATACTTTACGGACAGTGCGGTCTTGAAATTGTTACTCTTTCTGTCTAGGCAGACGTGAAGGGGTGCCTGGGATAGTTACCTGCTTTTCGAGGTCCTTGGAACACCCCCGGCCCTTCGGCCCCATATTTGAACGGCACAGTTGATTACTCCGTACTCGTCCCGGTTTCATGATCTGGCCCCATTGTAGGTCGCATGTAAAGAGGTGAGTAGGCAGCAAGATGTCATTCCCTAGGCCGTACCCCACCCACTATGGTCGGTTCATCAAGGTGAACGGCTAAAACACTTCGTCCCCGAAAGTCCTAAATAGTAGCCCTCCTAACCAGCCTTGCGATCAATCTATCGCAGGACCCAAAGTCCTGCATCCATATCACAGGCCGTGTTCTCGATTCGCTCCTTCTCTTTGTGCTGAATTGCTGCTGCGGATTCCGTTGAAGATTGTACATGATGGCAGCTCCCGAGCCCTTCACCTTCGTGGAAGAGATCAACGACGCTCCCCATGAGAGCTTTCGTGACTATGTCGAGATTCTCTCGGCCAAAGTCGCTGACACAGACGTCCAATTCAACGCTCGACTTCGACAGCAATACCCCGAGATGATTGTGACCACTGTTCCCAGCAGCAATCTCAACTTGATTTACTTTGCCGATCTGGGTTATGCTCACTACGAGACAGATTCGGAACACGACACTCTTCTCCGATGGAGAGGTTACGTGCCGCCAGACACACGACACGGAGGGGAGGGATATCTCGGCGAGGTGATAAGTTATGCCAAGTATAAGTATAATTTTGGAGAAGAATATTTCATCCTCTACTATGTCAAACTGGGCTATTCGATACTGCAGTATATTCTCAAAGAGCCTCGGGGTGAGGACGAGAATCAGAACACGCGCTCCAGCGAGACAGATAAGTTGCTCAGGGCTGCTGGCGCGGTCTTGTACAAGCAGCAACCTGGTATATTCGTTTTCGATCGCATGTGGAGAAAGGATACTGCGCTTTTGGAGGAGGTTCAGAAGTCAACCTGGGACAAAGTCATCCTGGATGAAAAGATGAAAGAAAGCCTCGTGCAAGTGAGCGAGAAGTTTTTCGATAGTAAGTGACGAGTGCCTTGAAGACTGCATGGCAGGAATTAGCTGACCCCATTCTAGGCAAAGAAATATATGAAGATCTAGGAGTAGCATGGAAGCGAGGAATTCTCTTTCACGGGCCTCCAGGAAACGGCAAGACAATCTCTATCAAAGGTAGTACCCCTTAAGAGTAGTCCTGTCAGTTTGAAGCCTCGCTCACCTATAAAGCTCTGATGCGAACCCTGTCCTTGAGAGATGCCCCGATTCCGACTCTGTACGTCAAATCTGCTCCCGACACTTACTACATTGGCGCCGTTTTCAGTTTCGCTCGATACATGGCACCCTGCCTCCTCGTCTTGGAAGACGTCGAGACAATCGTAACAACAAGAACACGATCGTACTTCTTCAATGAAGTCGACGGCCTCGGGAACAACAACGGCATACTGACCGTCGCCTCGACCAACTTCCTCGACCAGCTGGATCCTGGCCTGAGCAAACGTCCCAGCCGCTTCGACAGGAAATACCTTTTCCCTCTTCCGAACTTTCACGAACGAGAGCTGTATACCGAGTTCTGGCGTGCAAAGTTGATGAAGATGAAAAGGAAAATCACCTTTCCCAAAAAGCTTTTGCCGGCCATGGCTCGCATTACCGACAAGTTTTCGTTTGCGTATATGCAGGAGGCTTTTGTAGCTTCTTTACTTGACATTGCCAGGCGGGATACCGACGACCCAGAGCAATTGGTGCAGCGAACAAGAGCCATAGGCTTCCGCGACGTGGACGACGACGAAGGAGAAGAAGAGGAAGACCCTGACGATCTCGACAACTACCTCCTTTGGCGTGTATTCAAAGCGCAAGTAAAGATCCTCCGCGAAAACATGGACGCTGAAGGTGAGGGCGAGGGTCAAGGAGGAAGCGAGTCTCCAACGCCAATCGATGATCACGTTGCCAAACCGGCCGGCCCAAACTCCATGGGCGCGGAACCCATCTGTCTCGACGTACCAAGCGGCGTGTACGGCGAAAGCAATCCGTTCGGACCAATGGTTTCCGAAGGGGCAAGCGATGTTGACAGAGAATGGCAAGCGAAACAGTACCTGAGCCGATGGGACAAATATCCACAGCGAAATCCCGCGGCGACGGAGTTCAGGGGCCTCAATTTTGGAATGGCATGGATGAGGCACTGATCTGATTTGCCCCCAAGGGCCAGTGTCAAACCAAGTATGACTTATAGGATACAATGACCATGATGTAAACACAGATGCGACAGTTGGAAACTCAACGATTAGATGCTGGCGAATATGTTTGTGCAAGCCATCAGGTTTCCGTTACGTTTATGCTAGAGAACGATCCTGGGGTTTTGGATTTTCAGTCATACGCCTCGCCTCCCCTTACTGGCCTGGACAGCTTCCACTTTGCTGTAGTGTTTCTTGAAGCGCACGATTATGTCCAGATATGAATACCTACCTAGGTCTGTAGATGACAGATTAATGGTCGATGGGAGATTGTGGCCGATTAAAGGGTCGTTGGGCAAAACAAGAGAAGAGGAAGTATAGAAAGACAGGTAAGCTGAGGATAGCGCGCTAGACACATCTACGACTCTAGACACAAATCGGAGCACGAAGAACAGACATGAAGGTATGTATGTAGCAAGAACCAAGTCCGTGATTCCATGACCGGGAGGTGGTTCCCCTTCCGATAAAGATAATTACAGTAGGCCAACTCCTGATAATCAAACTCCTTTCACGCCGCGCTAGATTTATTTCTGGAAGGTGGAGGACCCAGAGTGACCACATGAATATTGTCAAACAAAAAGTACATGCCCCTGGATGGTAAGGGCTGTACATGAGGTGCGAGTCGTCGTTCTGTTTACCCTGCTTGTAGGGGAGGAAGCTAGCTTCGGGCTTCTTGATACAGAGGATTAATAATGCTTATCCTATGAGAATCTGGGCAGATGCTTGTCCAGACATCCTATCAATCCACGCCAGCGTAGAGATCGACAACGATATTGATCGCTCTGTGGAGTCATTGTCAGCACTTTTTATACCAGATCGAAACAAAAGAAAACTTACGCAACAAGGATTTCTGCTCCAATGAGGACAATAACTTAGCTGGTCAGCAATTTGAATGATTTAAGAAGTCGAGAAGGTTGAGCATACCAATCCATTCCAATACTTCACCGTGTCTTCGACTTCCTTGTTCTCGGAGCACCGCTAATAAATCTAAAGTCGAAATCAGCGGTCATATCTGGGATGTCGTTGAGAAGATGTCCTACCAGCGATAACATCTAGCCTTTCCGTCAAGAGGCCGACTCGTTGTTCAATCTCGAGGTAGCTTCGGACGGCTGCATAGACAGGTTCGAGATGCGGTTCGGACCACATCAATTCAGGACTATCGAGTACGCTACCCTGCAGATGTATATTGATTCTGAGGATGAAAAGCTCTCCGATCTGCATGTTGAGTTGTCTTCTCGTGAGATTGACACTCCCTGTCTGTGCTATCAGTGCTGGGAGAGGACTCGTGGTTTCGATCGTTTCGCCGACCAGATCTTCGAACAAGCTTGTTTTTACACTCTGGGATAGTGCGTGACTAATCGCGATCTTGGTCATATGATTCCTCGGTTCTCTCAAGCTGATGAAATCATTGTATATCCGGGCTTGATACTCCTTGGTGTAATAGAAATTGAAGTTCTCGGTTTGCACGCTCTCGGTGGGTAAGGGGGCTTCTATGAATTTGGCCATATCGTTCAAGAAGCGCTGTTCCTGCTGCAAAGTCATGCCCCAAATAACTACTGTACCGTAGTCAAAGACAAACACCTCGGGAATGTGTACTGTTGTGGAGAGTTCAGAATTTGTTCGCTGGTGCATGTCATCACTTTCTGGATGTCTTAAGTCAGTGGATGAGTGCGAGGTGGTGATGGCAAGCTCGGGATCCTCGGTAGATAATGTTGGTGGGCCGATCTCATCCTGCAGGTCGATGAGATCGTCTCTTCTCTGTTTCTTGTTGTCTTCGACCTCGACTGCACTGTCTGAATAGCGCCTTTCTCCCGGGCTTATCCTGGGGCTTGCCATGACTCTGGCTAGGCGCTCTTGAATTGGACTTGTACTTCTGCCATCGGCTTTGTGCTTGTCATGTTTCTTAATGAAGTCATAATCATAAGGACTGTAAATGCACTCATCGAATAGCTTTGGATTGGCGCCTCTCGTTCTAGCTCGAGATTTCAAGAACTTCATGATGCCTTCCAATCGATAACCCTGGGCCATACAATACGCAGTAACACGGGGCAGTCGGTCCCTGTCTGCCTTTCCGAGCCTTGCGGCGTCTCTTCTCGCAGTGGGGTCTTTGATGCGAGTGAATTGAGAGTAGACATCTCTGCCGCTTTCTTCGTCAATGTCTTCATCGTCCAGTTCCGGATTGGGAAGGATTTTGAGCTTCTCAGTGGTCTTTGTTGTTCTCTGGGCGCCGGCACGAGGGGCAGCGGTGAAAGGTTGAGTGGTGGGAAGGGGAGCACCGTGGCTGTTTCTTCGGCGCAACTTTGAGTTCAGAGCACTAAGCATGGGTTGTTGTTCGCGAGGAGGGAGAGTAGCGCCGCCTAAGGCGGCCGAAGGACTTTGCATAGGTCTAAGAGAACCTGAAGATGTTGCTCCGGACTGGGTGCTGACGGACGTAAGGGGGTTGAAGGTGACGGTCCTTTGTTGACGTATGCTGGGTCGTGATGGGGATGCAGCATCAGAATTATGCTGAGGAAGGAGCGGAGCGGACTCGTTGATTACGGCAGCCATGATTTCAAGTTGAGAAGAGCTGCGGGTGAAATGGATGATGAGTTGCAGGATCTGCGTAGGTTGTCATCTATGAGGATGTCTTGACAAACTCGATGTTGGGCGCAGGATAAAAGAGGTGCCTTTGTAAGTTCGAGTTGGGACTTTACTGCCACTGGCAGGCACTAGTAACCTAAGACTACCAAACTGGAAGCGGGAACTTGCATCATCGGTCGGTGGTGCTGCTCCGCTAGAACTTTGGAGATTCGAGCCTGCAGTTGAGTGGCTGTTAGCACGTGTTTTTTTCCCAGCAGGTTTCGACCTTGGGCTTCAAGTTGAGTTTGCAGAAATGCCAAGATTTATTGCACCTGAAGATGTGAGGGTCCACCGTAGGATGGGGTGTAGTAGTGCGGCGGAGGAAAGTGCAGATGCCGCAAAGTCCAAGGCAAGTCTTGCCGGATTCGCATCCGGCAACTGAACCACTACCAACACTCCCCTCATGCACCACCATCCCAATGCAAAATAACCCTTGCAGCCCAATATCTCTTTGCCTCTGCCTGGATCCAACTAGAAGATCATAACCAGTCACTCCTCACCCACTGCAAGTAACATACCCATACGCTCAACCCGCCCAATCCGTTCTCTCAGGCCTTGTCACGGCCATGAAATAATCCCGGGAGCACGTGCTTCCGCCTTTGTCACGCAAATGCGGTGACTATATCAAACTACCAGTGTTCCCGAAGTCTTTCGCTGGGTGAGGAACACTGGCATTACCTGATGGAGGGCCAGGTCAGTCTTAGCTTCCTTGTCCTTCTTTTCCATCACCTCAATCCTAACTGTTCTCCCAGATCGTCTCAGCGATTGAAATCGCCTACGACCCCGCCGCCGACCCAGCCCTCAAGCGGCAAGCCTTCGATTATGTTAACCAATTGAGACAAGAGCCTTCCGCATGGCAACCATGCCTCTCTCTTTCTACCCAATTGCCACGTCAGGCTCCCGTCATTCGAATCTTCGCTTTAGAAACTGTCAACAACGCTTTGCAGGCCGGCCTGGTGGACGAACAGGGTCTCAAGGTTGTCAAAGAACAATTATTATCATACCTACAACAATGCTATGGCTCCGCCACTCAATCTCAAGATGAGACTCCCGACTCCGGTATCATTGTCAACAAGCTTGCCCAGACAATCACCTACCTGTTCTCCGCCACTTATGGATCGGGCTGGGAGACATGCTTTGATGATCTCTTAGCCCTCACCGCCTCCCCCTCTGGCTCCAAAGACAACTATGCCGGTGTAGTCTTCTATCTGACCGTTCTGAATTCCGTCCACGACGAAATAGGAGACCAACTGCTCTCAAGATCCAGAGCTGAGCAGGATCGCGCCAATACCTTGAAAGATTTGATCCGAGTCCGAGATGTTCAAAAGATTGCTCAGTCTTGGCAAGATATCCTGGCCCAGTGGAGAACTTCAAATGATGCCATCGCAGAACTTTGCTTAAAGGCCGTGGGTAAATGGGTAAGCTGGGTTGATATCTCATTTGTTGTAAATCAACAGATGCTAGAACTATTGTTCCAGCAATTAGAGCGGGCTCAAAAAATGAACCTTCGTGATGGAGAGGAACAGGCTCGAGACGCCGCTATCGATGTCTTCACGGAGACTGTAGCCAAGAAGATGCCTGCTGCGGATAAAGTCAATATGATTGGCTTTCTCAATCTCGAGATCGTTGTCGCCCAACTTGTGGCATGTCCACCTCTCAGTGACAGTCGAGCATCAAATTATGATGTCGACCTTGCCGAAACCGTTGCAAAGCTTGTCAATACGACGGTCGTGGACATTGCCAAAGTCCTAGAGTCTGAAAACCAGAATTCGCCAACTTGGGCCAAAGCTGAACAGTTGTTGGCGTCCTTTCTCCCACATCTACTTCGATTCTTCTCTGATATTTTCGATGAAGTCTGTTCCACTGTCCTTGCCGCGATGAACGATGTCCTTTCATTTCTTCGCCGAACAGGAGGACAAGGGGAGGCTGCTTCCGCACAGCGCGGGGCTATGCTCCTACCTATCCTGAAAGCAATCTTTGCAAAAATGCGGTACGATGACACTGCAGACTGGGGTCAAGAAGACGACCAGACCGATGAAGCAGAATTCCAAGATTTGCGCAAGAGACTAGCAAGTCTTCAGGCTGTCATTTCCGGTGCTGATGAACCGCTTTATATTGAAGCTATCTCCTCGCTAGTACACGAGACATTCGCAAGGCTGAGAACGGAAAGATCTCAGTTAAACTGGCGAGATCTTGACCTGGCGTTGCACGAAGTATATCTGATGGGTGAGTTGGCTGTCAAGGGAGGCGGACTATACCAAAAGAATAAATCAAACTCTGCTGCTGCGGAGAAGCTCATAATAATGATGCTAGAGATGGTGCAGTCTGGTAAGACAGACCACACTCATAGCGAGAGAGCGCTAACACATAACAGATACTGGTTCATTCCCACATCCAGCCATTCAACTACAATATATGGAGATCTGTGTCAGGTTCAGCAATTTCTTTGAGAAAAACAGCGATCATGTGCAGCCAGTTCTGCAGAATTTTCTCCAACTTGCACATCACTCGAACCTAAAAGTCAAGGTTCGTGCATGGTACCTGACCCAGCGCCTCATCCGACAGTTGCGAATGCAGATAGGAGGAGCAGCTGAAGCCGTTGTCCAAAGTCTGCAGGACCTCCTTGTCATTCGTGCCGAGTTACCTAGTGAGGCTGATGGGGATGATATGTCCTCCGATGGCGACTCAGGCACCGATTCCACATTCACTAGCCAGCTCTACCTGTTTGAGGCCGTTGGCTGCATCTGTGGAGCAAGCGGTGTTTCTACAGAGAAACAAGTTCAGTATGTCCAGGCTATTATGCAGCCCTTGTTCATCGACATCCAGCGTAATCTTGAGCCAGCACGTTCTGGTAATGAGCTTGCAATTCTCCAAGTCCATCACGGAATAATGGCTCTAGGAACCATCGCCCGGGGCTTCTCTGATTCTGTACCCGGTGCTGCAGGGGCGGGCAGCGGAACGGAAACATCCCTTCCCACCAGACAAGCATTTGCTCAGGTTTCTGAGGTCGCGCTGGTCGCACTGTCGTCCTTGAAATCATCCTTCCAGATCAGAACTGCGGCACGCTTTGCCTTTTCTCGCCTCATTGGGCTGGTTGGGGCGCAAATGATGCAACAACTCTCGCAATGGGTCGATGGCTTACTCACGGAAACCTCTTCGCGCGATGAAATGGCGTTGTTTCTACGACTACTTGATCAAGTCATCTTTGGTTTTAAATTGGAGATTCAAACTTTCTTGGACAGCCTCTTTTCAGGTCTTATTCAGCGCGTGTTCACCGGAATATCCACTGTCACTTCAGGCACTGATGACGAGATCGAGCTGGCAGAGCTGAAGAGAGAATACCTGAATTTCCTGTTGGTGATTCTGGGAAATGATTTGGGTGGAGTCCTCATCAGCACCACTAATCAACCAATCTTCGAGTCTGTGATCAGCTCGATCGAACACCTTGCAAGAGATGTTGAAGATTTTCCAACCGCGAAGATGGCATTTTTGCTCCTCGCGAAAATGTGCACGGTTTGGGGAGGACCTGATGTAGGATTACCTCAGGGCCAAGTTGCCACAGATGTTGCTACTCCTCAACCAGTGCTTCCTGGTTTCGACCAATTTATGATCACCCGCTTTTCTCCAATCTGCTGGGCACTCCCAACCAACCCATCTTTCAATAGTAAGGATGCACAAGCGCGACAGGCACTGTCAGAGGCTGCAGGGCTGCAGAAGACCATCTATGTCAAGACAGGCCAACAATATCTAAAGTGGCTGCAGGAGAATGAATTAAGGACGATGGGAATGAATGAAACGATGATCAATGATTATTTGCAAAAGTTGGCAACGATGGAGCTGAAGAATTTCAAGTCTTTTTTCCCTAAGTTCATTGCACAAGGGGGACAAATGTGAAGATGAAAAGCATGATCTCGAGTGGGACGGCAATGGGTTGCATATGATACCAAAGACTTCACATGATCTGTGCTTCGCAAGAGGCATTTCATGAATGGCGTGACATTACAAGCATAATAACACCTAGACTGAATAAATCAGATTCACCTTCATATCTCAAATCCTAGGCCGATGGAATTCATTTGCCGCTCGCCAACTTGACAAGCTGAGGTGCAAGATGCTGGCACCTCCAACATGATAATGAAGTTTGAGTCCCTCAGCCTTGCCAAGAGTTCGTCGCTAAACCTGCCATTTTAGATCGCACATTTACAAACAACACCAAACTTTTACCACTGCACCCTCCAAATCGTTAGACACTTTCGAATCAATTGCGCGTTCCAGGTCACGTTCAAAGTCAAGATGGCCAGTGAGTAGATCCGAAGAACTTCACGGCCTGTCAAATGCTGACTTTGCACAGAATCAAAGAACTCGTCTCAGCACAACCAGTCGAAGAAGGCTCACCGAAACGGGTACGAGAATCTCCCCAGCAGGAGTTTACGCTCTCACTGGACGAACAACTAATGCTTTGTCAAAAATTACAGTATCAAGAAGCCAAAGACTCACAGATATCCATCTCTCAAGGGTACCGACCCCAAATTCCGAAGAAACCACAGACATGCGTTGCACGGAACGATGAAGGCTCTTAAGGAGGTGAAGGAGGGCAAGAGAGATGCGGCATAGACGAGTCAATCATGGAAACAGTTCAACGACAAACCCCTCTTATCTTACGATACCTAAACTCGATGGAGTGGTCCACCTGGCGATGGCGAACGTCACATTTTGACGTGTGCGCATACTCATAATGAACACTGCAATTACTTCAAATCCTCCTCGTTAGCACTCTCAAGCACGACGAGTGGAGGAACTTCGATGTTCAAAATCGAGGCAATCCCGAAAAAGAAAGACAATGAAATGTGTCCTGCGCAGTGTTCCCGAAGTTCTGTGAGCCCCGAGTCACACATCACCTTATTGAGACCCCTCCCACCATTTCCCCCAGGTCTTACCCACCATGGCATTAGTGTGTACAGCATCGTATTACATTCTCCAATGTACGATGTCTGAAGGAAAATTTTCATCGTGCCTATATCAAGCTATTGACCTCCCAATTACCAAACACTTACCTTCTGATCACTGTGAGGGTCGGTGTATGGACGGGAGGCAACATCTACCACTGCAATATCAGATCCACCCACCCTCATGCGCATCACGCGAGCAAGTGGGCATCATCACATCCTGTGATGTGGTGCATCAACGTGAGGCATCAATATGCCATTCCAAAACTCCCTGGCCCACTATTGATTGAGACTCAGCAGTCTGTGAAGAGAAAAGTCCACCTCAGGTGAGTAAGGTATGACACGGAATGTACCTCTCAGCAGGTGAATTTCGTAGCCTTTTTTTTCTTGCTAGGTAGGGAATTATTGCAGATACCAAGAATGCGTTGACCTGAACGGGTAGTCGCTCTCTGTTTTCAATCGGTTTCTCTTCCAGGACCTCATCTCCGTCGTGGCTTCCGCTTGAACACCTCTTCATGATTGTTACGAGAGGATTTAGTCAACCCCACATCTTGCTGCTAACGAGTCACGACTATTACCATGCAAGGATCGGTTACACCCTCTTCGGGATTTGTGGAATAAGGAGTTCCTGCTTGGCGCAGAGGGCTCGACAACGCCCCCCTAACGCCTCTCGCTTCTCCGGTGTTGGTGTGACAATCACGCGACATAGCGACGTCTGGTACGCGTATTTGGCAGTGAACTGCCTGTTCATCGACTGAGATGTGTATGAGATATTGCACATTTCTTAGGCTCTTGTTCAACAGATGTGCACTGTCTGTATCCAGTGAAAACAGACTCGGACGTCAGGGCGGTGGATTGAAAACTGGACCATCATGTGGTGCCTGTCACTTGCGAGTCTAACAAGCTATAGCGTTTTGTGCATAGTGGACAGCAAGGTCCGTCTATGCACGCCATCTTCATACTACAAATACGACTGTATGACAACAGGCTGCTCCCAGGCCTGAGTACTATTCGCCCCCACAAGGCTGTTTCACAAAGAATCTGTGGCTGGGTAAGCTGTTGAGTGAAGCGGTGATTAGAATGACTTTGAGCCCAACCTTGTCCACATGTTCCTCTTCAAGCCAAAGGTGGTCTTCGAGGCACCAAGAGATCCATCCTCGTGAGGTGCGCAGGGGCTTAAAGGATTCTCGGACCTGCTCGGACGTTCATCTGGCTCTTGTTTGCGGTTGTTCGCCATATCCGTTTACGTATCTGAACTGTGCAATCACCACAAACCTGCCTGGTCTTCGCTGCAGCACTTGGAGGCTGCACTACTGCAAATCTTAAACATAAGCGAGCTATGTTGGGCTCGTCAGTCAACATGAATAATTTTCTGGCCGCATTCTATGCGTTTCTGCCGTTCTGGAATAGCACCAGACAAGGTATGAGACATGGCGGGCATGAATGTGCATCCGCGTCAAACACAAGCCTTTTACCGAGTCACCCACTAAGCGCTCCTGCGCTAGGGGGATTGACCAATTCCGGCTTAGCCAAAACCCGGGGTTGAGCCTTTCAGGCTTTCAACGAAATTTCGGGGCGTCGTTTGCGTTAGGGAATATCAGACGAAAATCAGAGCACACCATGGTCAAGATCCCTTACAAAAAGTTTACTTTGACATGACGGAATCCCCCAACTGCATACCTAATTGACGGTGTTTGTCCGAACGACAAGCAAGTCTTAGACTTTGACCCTGGCAGATTCGATGAGCTCTTCACGGAAAGGCTCAAGTCTGACAGTATCTCTGGCCGGTGAGGGGAATACCGGATTCGATGATGTCCAGAGTCAGAGAACGGATACGAGCATTTCGAGAACATATTCACCTCCAGTATTCGATGTATTCGTCGTTGTTGAATACCTCCAAGCGATTCACTGCTTCGAATAGAGTGAAAAGGCTCTCATCATAAAGAAGACTAGCATCTCAGTGAAGCAAGCTTGGTACCATGGTCGTAATGTTACTGCAAGCACTGCAGCTGGTCTGTCTGCTTCCCGATGGCGATGTCAACGACGCTTATCATGAGCCATGACCAGCATCCAGCCATGTGGCGTGTCTGCCCTACCCGTGCGTGAACATGGCATGGGTGACATTTGAACTCGTCAATCATGAGTCCTTGGCGCTCCGACAAATCTCGTACTAATTTTCACCGACATGGTTGTTTATGTCAACGCAGAAGCCTAGAACTTGTCTGCTCATATCCTCGAGGGCCGAACGATTTCAGTCTGGCATGACTCGATTCGAGCCAGCTATACCAGAGACCACCACTCCTCTTGAACAGCATCAGTCTGGAGCACAAAGTTCTGCGATCCCAAAAACGTACAGGCTTAGGACCGCTGACCTAATTTCAGCATCTGACGAACTTTAAAGACAAAATGCTTTGTCTCGTTTGTCGGTCTCTAACCAGAAAGGTGTCAGTCAACGAAGACCAGGGTGTGGAGCTCCCCACTTGGTACCTGCACCAGTCCTGTAGGTGGCTTCGTGTGTTCTCCGATTATTCTATCCCCCTCGTACTACAAGACTCAATCCTTGACTCCCGCAAGCGGACCTGGCCGCCTGACAGGACACTTTATTTTTCTGGGCTGAACAACGTTGATGTTCAGAGATCTTCAACACATAATCAGGAACAGGAAATGATGTTCTGTTACTCTGAAAACCATTCCGGTCGTTCCACTACTACTACTATTTGGAGGACAGCAGATGCTCTCAATCATCATGACGACAGTAGACATATGAGCGACCTAGCAAGGTATCTAGGTACCTCTCTCAAAGCCGAACGGGTAGTTAATGAGTCTTTGTATGTACCTTACATCGAGTACCTGAGTGTGTCCGCTGAGTTCTTACAAAGTCGCACTTGGCCCAAAGTTTAAAGCCATATCAAGCATTCAATACCTCGTACCTGGCAACCCTAGTAGTCGTCAAATACCGCGTACTAGTGTTCGTCGGGTTTCCAAATGTTATGGAGCATTGACTGACAATGGCCCACTTTTGCGATCATGGTGCCCAACCTATCTGCCCCGGCTAAATGCAACGGCAATCATTGGCGTTCTTGACCACCGGGTTGATCATTGTCCTTACGGAAATCTGAGGAGCTCCGTGTGCAACAATTTTGGCTGAACAACAATAATAACCTCGTCTGAACAACAATAATAACCTCGTCTGCACGTCAATCATCATTGTACGAGGTAAAGGCTGGTCCCTATCCACATGAAACACTGCACCCCTGGTTCTGTTCATCAACTCCCCCGTCGCCAAAATGTCTTGGGTGCCCCAGATGGCAAAATGTTTTAGATGCAAAATCTTCGATCTCAGCGTTTCAGATTGGAACCATTCTGGGCGATTTGCAGCTAGGCCAACCCGACACCTTTGCTCCGCACTGGCGTTGAGAAGTTTCAACTCCGCGAGTCTTCTCTCGGAATCTGTCACAAGACGAGAATAGAGTTGGGCCCTAGGGTTTGTTTCTTATTCGTAGTTCTGAACCACATCAATACGAGGTATGTAGTAGGGACACCTTCCAACGGCACTTGAAGGTCATAGCCTGAGTATCAATGAAGTTGCAAGGCACACAACTGCCAGCCTACTGCCAAGTGAAGACGAGCCGGTTGTTCCACGGTCCTTTCCCCCTGCTGCATTCGCCATCATTCGATTACCGCTTCTTCCTGCTGACTTGCATACTCTGAAACGAAATGCTCCTGCACACAGAGAAATGCCGTTCTACAGGGTACAATGCCAAAATATGAGGTAATTGTGCTAAGGTCCGTCGCAGGCGCATATTCTTTCCTCAAACGTCTCGTACCCTCGTTCCTGTCCTCTTCTCCCCGATGAGACACTAGGTGGTGATTGACACGCCCCATGCGGTACTTCTGAAAAGATGGCACTGTCCAGTGGCCGAGCCCACACCAGCAGATTCAGGCTGTGATTCCTGTCCATACCAAGTATGGACGTCAATACCACCTTGAGCAGGGCCTGGTTTCGAGTTGGTGCCTCCCATGACATGGGCCCAGACGAGTGACCGAGCGATAATCGACACCAATCTGCTCGGCTCTCGGCAGGCATACTGCACTGCCTACTACGACGTAATGACCTTTTCGTCCTACTGGGAGGAAGTGCTAACAAACACAATAGTACCAATGGCTCGGCGCGGATTGGCCGGAGTGCAGTTCCTTGCAACAGAACTACGCAAGTACTGGCATCCCAGTCAGTATATATCCAATCCTCTATCTTCAGTGCTGGATATGGTGATCCCAAGACCAACGTGGCGAGGCAACAATGATATTCAGGAGGAAGGCCAGAACGAGCAGAGGGTCGGCGAGCAGGTTCCGTTAGTCTCTAGGCTTCCAGAATACTGTTGATCGTATTTGTCCTATGTCTTCTATAAGACCAATAGTGCCCTGACCACTGTTACCGTCGACTTAAGGGTACGATACTTGTTGAGCATGTGTTATAGCTATCCATTGAGAGGCATCCTGTTAGAGTTCTCCTCAAGGCTCAAAATCGTAGACACTAATATCTTCTAGTACAGATGTACGACCGTTTTCTCCAGCCTGACTCCTGCTATTCATGCCTGACCACTGACCAGTAGTGACTGAAGGCAGTCCCCATATCACATATGTGCGGAGTAGATCAGCCCGAAACCGAGATTCGTCCTCGTTCACATCATCACCAAACTAAAACCCACGTTGAATGCTTGACCAACAATAGTAAGGGAGTCGAGCGCAAGAATGAAGAGCAACCAATGTAACCCCAATGCGAATGTTAGGACCCTCCTCGACGGATAGTCAGCCAGCCAGCCAGCCCACTAGCTGCGAGACAATCCCTACCTGTTTTGGCTGAATAAAAGCAGAAGCAGATCCACTGCTACTACTGGACATCCAGCGTACTCGGTATTCTCGCAAATCTGCAGGGATTGGTCCGTGGATTCATTTAACAAAGACATTATTGTTGCTGTGGGTCGTGCGAACTTTCTGGGAAGTAAGCTGCGGATACATAGTGGCACGCCTGAACAAGGGGACTGGGGGTTTCTGGATGCTGTTCAGAGACCGAGCGTGTGGAGTATTCCTAGGGTACACAGGTACATACGTGCCCAAGTCCTCTGGAGCCGTAATACATCCCAGGTCGGGGAGGGAGGGTAACGGTGGTAATGTAGTCAGGATTGGGTACCAGGTACCTCGTAGGAGGGACGAGGATCAGGGCAGTCTTTCCCGGTACCAAGACCACGGTACCTTCCGTGCGATTCGTACGGACCACCACGGTAACAGGAACTCATTAGGGGGTGAGGTTCATAGCGTTCGTTTCATTCGGAAAGACTGTCTATATCCAGCACATGAATCGTGAGTGTGTGGAACGAACAAATCACGAACTGAGGACGACATCATTCAAACACCAAATACCTGCAATTTTCTTCCTTCGAGGGTTCGAATTGCGCCCCAGAGCAGTTGCGAGGCCTTGGCCGCGAACCGCGAGAATGCTGGCCCTGTTGCTTTTGCCAATTGATGAGACGATCGAGTGAACACAACATCGTGTTCGGTGACTCCACGGCTGCTTGTAGCATGTCACAGACAGAGACGTCCAGAGTGAGTGCTGAACTTAACTCTGCAATGAAAGTTAAAGTCTCACATCATCCTGTGATACTTTCCCCATATTTAACCTTATTGCCCACTACCTCGGATTGATGTTCACAGAGAGATGGCCTCTACCGAGGGACTCGTACCCAACTATCTGAGACATAAGGGGTGTGCTAGGAATGATCAGAAGTGATTGAATGATTAAAATTTGTAAAGGCGGTTTAAAGTAAGACTTCTGGTTCGAAGGAAATCGCATAGACACAATACCCCCTACATACAACTGCAGCTCTTTATCTTCCATGGAAGGCCATGTTGGGCATTTCCCATGTTAGCTCTCATGCTCTGGTTCACTCTCATTGGATTATGTAGGTCGACTTTTGTATTCGTCAAAGTACATATCACTCCTCGCGAGTCTCCTGCTCCTTCATCCTTGGTGGCGGTGTTTGTCACCGGTAAAATATATCACATAGAGGCATACTGGGGCCAGCGGGCCCTCGGTATATTTGCCTCCAATTTTCGACAAGTGGGTATAAACACATATATCCTTTTCCCAGAGTTTTTGTACAAGCTCGTAATCAGGACTGCTCAGAAATGACTCATCTGAGGCTCTTGCCCTCGTTTAGAGTTCCACTGTTAATATCCGCTTTTTCCCCCGCTGTGAAGCAACACTCTTTCTTATATCGACAATCAACTTGACAGATAAATGATCGCTTCGCAAAAGTCGCTCGAGCAAGTGGAATTGATTCGCTAAAAAATTTCCAAAAATGGATGTTGGTAGAGTGTGTGGCCAAGCTGGCAATGTCGCAGCTTTCGGGTATTCCTCCTTGAGTGGTCCAAATATGCAGATTTCTTTCCTGCAATGGGTCGTCTTGTACAATAAAATGTTGTCCGATGCACAGTGTAAAGCACCAAGTAATCCTCCTCTTCATTTACGATTCATGACACGTAAGAACGCTGAAATTCAAAAGATGGCTGGTTGGGACGTTGAATAGTCTCCACTCGGGGCCGTGTCGCTAGCGTCCGAAGCGTATAGACTTCACCGGGTGTTGATTTTGGTACTTCGGAGTCCAAAATTTGTCTGGCGTGTTTCCAGACGAAGGTGTGGTTGGCTCATTATGTTGGGTTTTCCTCATCAAGGTAGCTTATTCATGGGATAGCTTGTCGAGTTGAAGTTCCCAGGTCCTGCATGTGAAGACGTCGGATCCCAGTCACGAGTCCGAGCTGGGGTCTGTGGGTATGAGAAACTTGATTGAGGATTGGTATAGGCACGAGCTGGAGTGAAATAGTCCTGTTTGGAATCCAGCTGGCCTGGGGTATATGGAGATCGTGCAAGCGGGCTTGTCAAAACTCGATCTGGAGATTTTATATTCAGTCCTGGATTGTTCCCTGACAGTAGTTCGTACGTACGAGGGTCGTCGGAGAACCGTCTGGCATCCGCCGAGACAAATTCGTTCTTACGTTGGAATCTGGAGCTGAAGAATTCTCTCCATCCAGTAATCATGGACCAGCGACCGAAAAGTATACAGCACCAAAACCCACTAAGCTGTAATTTTGGTCAGCGAATTTGCAATAACGGTAAAATTGGGCTGAACTCACTCCGAGGATGATTAGTACGGCCAGGACAACACCCTCAGGTTGTACGAGTGCCGAGGTAAGATCGAGACACTTGTTTTTATCTCCTTTTGACTCGAACAAGCATGTAAGCCAAGGAGCTGCTCGCTTCAGAAGGTCGGCATTGACCTGGGTACTGTTGTCCATGGAGACAAAAACCACCGAGAAGAAGACAACTTCTCCGATGATAAGAAGCACGATGGTGGCACCACGCCATTGTAGCTGTACGATTTTCTTGACTCTGCGGTAAGCCTGCCTTGCAGACATGGTCCTCACGCTTCCGGAATATGTTGGGGTTGCGCTCGAGTTCGTTGTCGTTTTATCGTCATGGAGAAGGCTCCTGATGTATACATGGATACAGTATCCGATGGTGATAAATTGGAGAACCAATGCCAGTGCAGCAAATGCCAAAAGAGGGCCCCAGAAGTCTTGCAGAGCGTTTTTGTGGTTGATGTGGCATACATCGCCGAAACGGAATGAAACACCAGTCAGGCTCAGCATCACAGCCAGGATGATCACCGGTACAAGCCATCCGAATGCTAGACTCGTGTAGAAGAATTTGTCACCAGGCACGACTTCCCAGCAGATTTGTAGGTGAAGCGCCAGTGCTCGGCAAAAGACCCAAATGACCACTGCCAATCCTCCAAACAGTAAGAATGCACCGCTGATTGCACATGAACCACTTGATTTCATGTCATTTGGCGTGATTTCGTTGAAACATTGGTCTGGCTTTGCAGCTAGAGGAACAACGAAGGCAAGCTAAGTGAAAATGATGTCAGTTAAGAATTGGGCGACGGGTCTGGCCATTCATACCTCCATAAATACCACACCGAGGGTGACACAAACACTCAGGTAGTGTCTGCGAGTATACTTGACAGGAAGGATCATGAATGATAACAACAGATAGACAGACAAGATGAAGGCCGCAAGGTTAACCCAATTGGCGATCTCGGTCCTCTGTTCGAAGCCTGGCCACATTTAGTACAGCCAGGTGAGTATTTAGGTGAAAGGAAGACCTACCATCTGCATATGTCCAATTTGTGGTCGGGCAAGGTAAACAACAGGTAGTGTTTCCAAGTGCGGCTACAGGCATACAAAACCGTCCAGAGATGACTATGGAAGTTAGTATATTGATGGCCAATGCTCTTGTTTGCTACACGGATACTTACAGCCACCAGTTTCTGGGAATAGGGTTTCTTGAAGGAATGGAGCAAAGCAGACCCCGCGAAACTCGGAAGTCGACGACATTGTGAGATACCAATTCAAGGCTGTGTGCCGGACGCAATATCGCTATAGCCTCATGACGATGATCGCAGTATTCGAGCGGAAGTATACTAGAAGAGCAATGATTCTAGTCGAGTCGCGTGACAATGAGGGATACAGGTACTTCGGGAGTTGAGGGTGTGAGGAGACTAATGTAATGGAGGGTGGGTGGCACAAGTTGGGATATGAAGGATGGGGTGGTCGCGGTCAGATGTATAGTCCCACGAGGGTTGTAAGACCCAGGTCTTGGGAGGGCTTTGAGGCACTAAAAAGGGTAGACTTCTGGTGTCCCGAAGAAATGATGGTGTCAGAGCTGACCCATGAGAGAAGTCGAGGGGAGGAAGTCGAGAGTGACAAGGACATGGGTTGACAACACGGAGGGTTTGGCGGGGTGGATATGAGATGCATTTGGGATTGTGGATTCTGGACTGGTCGGAGGTCGCACGGGTTTTTTGGGACCTGCAGCTGACTCGGACAATTGTCGACAGATTAGATCCATGTCTTAAGTCTAAGCAAAATATCTACTGGAACGCCCCGTACAACGGTGTAAGGATGGTATCATTGTGAGTGGCCCTGAGTGGAGAGTGGTGGGTTGTGGCAATACGAGGGTGGGAAGGATATTGCCAGGCACACCGCACCTCTGAGGAATAACTGGCATAGTATCCAGACCAAGTTCAACGAATCGGCGGCGGGCATTCCAGTGCTCAAAAAAGCAGGAGGCTCGATGGCGATTCATGAAGGTTGAACGAGCAGGCATCATTCGGCGAAAAATGGTGGCGCGATTCACCATGTCTGCATCAATCAGCTCCTGGTTTTCCTGCCATGTTTTCTTCGCCAATAAAGGAACCGAATAGAATTGCCTTGGGTGCCTCAGCGTCCAGGGGAATGAATGAACGAATGGAAGGCATGAAAATGCAACATGGTGGACTGAGAAGAACACACCGCGAGCAAATTGCAAGCAGAAGCCGCAAAATCAGTGTAGGATTGGATAGCGGAATGCGACCTCTTGTCGACGCGTTCTTAGGCCCAGGAAAGAAAAGACCGGGGTTCGGGACAGGGGCCATGTATCGCCAACGCCAGGGGCGGTCCCCTCACAGCCCATGAAGAAGTAGCTACGGGCAAGGGTTACTCTTTTAAGGGCAACGGTCGTGCAAAACCCCTGGAACCAAGAGCGGCTCTTTTTAGTGTCCGGACCAGGATGGGTTTAAATATTCGTCTGACATGAGGTTTTTCCATCGCCTCCGAATCATGCGTTGACCCAACTGAGATGCCACGACGAGAAGGCTTCTTGTAGGTGATACACCAAGGATAAAGGACATGCATGCCACCTTTTTACGAGGCACAACGGAGTCATCTCCTTCGAACCGAGCTCCGGTACTCGGTCTGTCGAGAAGGATATGCTGAGTGTAGGTTGTGGGTTGATGCAAGATGCTGTCCTTCTCAGATGTTTTGAGACAGGCACATACCTGGTAGCCAGCACTTGGTACTTGGTGCGGGTGCCTTGACTGCATAACCCAAGAAGCGTGCAAAAAGGTCAAGAAGCTAGATTCAGAAGACCAGTCCAATGATGATGTTGGGGATGCCCAGGAAGGGAATTGCAGAAGTTCAGTCAGCCACGGGCCACGACTAATAAGCAGTGATCCTTACCTCTCGCGGGGATACTGGCAGGAGGAGACCCCAAATGCAGGAGGAAAGGTGAAGAGGCATGGCTGCCAGTCGTGTTGCCAAGCCGGGCATAGCCGAGTGTACTTTGCACTACTACGAAGTGTGTCTTTGACCTCATCAGCTTCAGGCTGCCAAAAAGGTCGTGCCGTCCCCGCCTTTCCATGGTCTCTCAACCGTGTCTGTACTCTAACCTCTATCCATATCGACTAATAGCAGTCGTCATCTTTTGAAAACCACCTCATGAGCAGCTTGTCGCGTGTTTGTCGCGAAATTGCTCCTTGAAACGCCCCCGTGAAGGCATCTCAACATGACAGTGCGAGGTACGAAGTTCGTGAGTAATGATTATCCATCACTTCGGACATTCGCCGACACTGTGGCGGGCAGAATTCCTACGGGTAGGCTTTCTCTCTCGGCCATCACTGTTACTGTGAATCAGTCAGGTACGAGTACGAGTTCCAAAAACGTTTGTTCCTCTGTGGTAGCATCGATTTAAGTATGTTCATACACTCGACACAGTGATTTTGTGTGAGGTTTACCGTCAATCTTCATGGTGTGATCCAGGGTGAGCCCCCCCTCTTTCCACGATACAGGTCTCCTGCACCACCAAGCCTTAATTAAACGCGCACAAATGCAAGACCTTGGCGCACAATAGCACACCATCAACCAATTATTAAGACTTCTTTTCAAGTGTCAACATGGTTTCATCTGTGTGATGGCTTCCCACAGCTTAGTGATCGAGATTTTGACATGAGAATCTGAGCCTGCCATTCAGCGTCTACCCTGATGGCTGTCAACTCTCACGCGGCGATCTGTCAACCTGATCGATTGTGCCTCCCATCAGTGTGCCTAGCATACTCGTATTTCTTGGGTCTCGCAAAACATTTCCTTCTCAGAGCGAATGGCGACACTCCAGATTTCTGCCGGCTGCACCTGTGCAATCTGTTTCCTCTCGTAAACCCATGAGTTCCAGGGTGACTCGTACTCGTACCGCAGAGCTACAACACGAAGACATTCGTAGGGCTGATCAACTTAACCACTTCCAAGTTGCACCTTGCCAGGATCTTCTGGATACCGATTTGGCCTGAGCTCGAACACTCCCTACTCAGGTGCCTACTTATCCCGACCCTTGGCACGTGGAATACAGGGATCCAGTCTTGAATAAAGCGCCTTCACTCCGTACCCCAAGTTGAACATGGCGATCCCCCCATGGTGGAAGGTTTGGAAGGTGCACTGAAATGCTCGCGTTAATCTCGCTCTTTTCGGATGGTTACTCCAAAATATTACTGGCTGACCATTATAAGACATTTATGACATTTATGAGTTGAATTTTTTCATTGGTCAACCGGTTCTATCTGGCTCTTCTACCCTAGACACTAGGTGCATCCAGCCTTGCCCAATCAATTCTGATAATCCCAACTTTGTGTTGGTATTGGCTGTGATAATAATCCGGCCAATTTGATGGCCCATTGTGTCTGTTAGGTGCCTGTTACAGGAATCCTCCCACCGCTCCGGATCTGGATTGGCATTCGCTGGATCGAGCTTCGAATGTGCCTGCGTGCATTTGGATGGAATTGTGTGTTACTGCGTTTGTCTGACCACTTTCCAGAGTCTGACGAACCAACGAGCTTCTCCACGCCCAGCAAGGAAGCTCTTCAAGAGTCCTGGAACATTATGCCCAGCCTCGCTTCGCCTTGGTGACCTCAAGGTCAACGCTGTCCACATGACCAATATATCGGGGCCAGAAGATAAGTGTCATGGGCGGAGATTCCGTAGGTGGCTTGTGTCCTGCCACAATTCATAGAACCCCTGCCATGGCTCGACAGATCCGACCCGAGACAGTATAACGTTGGACGTACCGTTCCGAGAGATTACTTTTTGGCATGATTTAGTATGCGAGGAATGGTCATTGGGCTGAATCATCTCAATGCCATGTCATGTGTCTTTTTGTATCAGCTGAATGCTGAGTGACTAACTCAGGCGGTGTTGAGAACGCGGTCCTTCATTGGAGTGTCAGTGTATTTCAATAAGGACCATTATGCACTCGGCACAAACCACGAATTGTTCCAGGCTCGCTTCGAAGAGCTCATTGTTCACTCCAATACCACCAGGATGCTCGACTGGGGAGAGAGGATTCTTGACCACATATTCCACATAGCAATTGACATAAATTTGCTGAAGCGCAATTCGCATTGAGCCAGACTTGATGTCTGTGAGCATGACGAATTTTGTGTTCGTTGGTGTTTCGTAGTAGTGCAGCTTGTACTGTGAGGTGCGGTAGGAGAGGAAACTGCAAGACGAAATTGGGATCAGTTGGTCTGAACTCGCTCGTGCTTTCAGACAGGAAGGGAGCGGTCAACAAACCTATCGTCCTCTCCACCCAACTTTCGAACCATGTTCCGCAAGGAAAAGACAGTCCCGAAGATGAGCTTTGCATCGTCTTCGGCGCTCAGTATTGATCGTGCCTGTGGACCTCCATTGACGATGGCCTGCGAAGAGGGCCTTGAACCCCTTCCAGCGGTAGGGTTTGCAGGAGGAAGCCAACGCTTGTTATAGATGCATTCGGCTGGAGAATCAGTACACCGAGTCCATGATTACAGCCAAGAAGATTGCATCTCACCGTGCCTGTCGAAAATGTAGAAGGAGTAAACGACCATCTTAGTGACAGCGGTGCTTTTGTATATGATAATTTAGGGCGCATTCATCATGATGCCTTCTGTGACCAAGACAGCCCCAACAAGTGCTAGGAGGGCTGGTACCCTAGTAGATCGCGGTGCTCGTAGAGGTGTCGATGGAATTTCGGGTTATTATAAACAAAGAGCACCTGTTTTCAAACTCAAAAGCTGAGGTACGAGGGTCGCTGACTTATCGAGGATGAGGGGTCGCTGTCAATAGTTGCAATCAATAATGGGCAAGTGCGTCCCACGTGTAGTTAGGCTCGTAACGCAACTGCCTCTTGGTCGGGTTTTACGTGATTTCCACTCTGGCTACCAGAACGTCTCCAGCACCGATATATCGAGAAATAGGAAAAGACTACAATTGTTCGTCGATCTAATTACATTTCTACCTACAAAACCCGCATTTACACGATCAGGGCTGCCCTATCGCCCTGTGGTGCGGCGCACAGGAAACACTCTAGATCACAAATGCGGAGCGCAGGTGCGGCGGGATTCATATCCTAGCCTCACTACCAACAGGCCTAAAGCTGAAGACTCTGACGTCCCTCGTGTCCCTCCCTCCTTCGAGCCTTTGATCCCATGGACACTCCAGACTTTTGAGCCTCACCAATTCTGGAATTCAATGTCGACTTTGCAATGGACATTGTCGCGTCCCCTACGTCCACGGAGGCGGAAGAAGCTTCAGCTCGCCGCTTTCCACCTATAATCGCTCGGCGACCTGTTGGTGGACGCCCACAATCACATGCTGACTACCCTGCCGCTCCGGACCAACCTTCCACCTTTACAAAACCCCCCGTCGTCAAACACCTGTATGTCTCTCTCGCCAGTCCTCGTCAGTTGACTCGTGCTCATTCTCCAGGTCAACCCCAGAGTACTCCAGTCCGCTTCGTCATCACCGTCGCAGTCCCTCCGCCCCCAAATATGTCAAGGTCCAGCTCCCTGAAACCCACATCTCGTCTATCTCGATGACCCAGCTCTAACTTAGGACAGGAATCACTCAATGCTCGATCTGAGTATGTGACCAGCCATGATGACGGTGTTGCAGAACACCGAATCAATCAATATGTTATCAAACAAGAGATTGGGCGGGGTTCTTTTGGCGCCGTGCATCTCGCAGTTGACCAATTTGGCACTGAATATGTTAGTGTTTCGCACAGCTCATTGTGATTTCCCTGGGTTAATATCAGTTCAGGCCGTCAAAGAGTTCTCAAAAGCACGACTGCGAAAACGTGCCCAATCACATATCCTTCGGAAACCCTTGAATCAGCGCCGACGAGGTGCCCTGCAGGGTTTCAATTCTCCTCTCCATCGGACAACCCCCGAAGAGCAAAGTCAAAAGATCAACTCGATTGATCTTATCAAAGAAGAAATTGCCATCATGAAGAAACTCAATCATCCGAATCTGGTATCACTGATCGAAGTTTTGGATGATCCAACAGAAGACTCCCTCTATATGGTGATGGAAATGTGCAAGAAAGGCGTGGTCATGCGGGTCGGTCTTGAAGAGAGAGCAGATCCATATCCTGACCACGTCTGTCGTTATTGGTTTCGAGACCTAATCTTGGGCATTGAATATCTACACGCTCAAGGTGTGGTTCATCGAGACATCAAACCAGACAACTGTTTAGTCACAGACGATGACGTCCTCAAAGTCGTTGACTTCGGGGTATCAGAAATGTTCTCCAAGGATTCTGAGATGCAGACTGCCAAATCTGCGGGCAGTCCCGCCTTCCTTCCCCCCGAGCTCTGTGTTGCTCGCCATGGTGATGTTTCCGGTCGAGCTGCTGATATATGGTCTATGGGTGTGACCTTGTACTGTCTCAAGTACGGCAAAATCCCCTTTGAAAAGACGGGCATTTTCGAGCTCTACGAAGCAATCAAATCCGATATTCCAGATTTGGAGAGCGAAAACGACCAAGATTTCAGAGACCTGATGACCAGGCTGTTAGAGAAAGATCCTGCGCAACGAATCAAAATGCCAGAGCTGAGAGTAAGATAAGAATTATCCACTATATCCTTGAGTGGTACGAATAGCTGATCATGGCGGGCTCTAGAATCACCCTTGGGTTACGCAGCGAGGTGCAGATAAACTATTGTCAGAAGAAGAAAACACCTCCGATCTTGTCGAGCCGCCTACTGCCATCGAAATGAATGCCGCAATCACCAATAACATAGGTAACTTGATGACTGTGGTAAGAACAGATATTTAATGTTCGTTGAGCGGAGCTATCAGTTGACGAGTTTGCAGATGAAAGCCGTCAACAAATTCAAAGGGCTACTGGACAAGAACAAACCACCACCACTGAAATCGATTCTAGGAGAGGGTGCAGATGCCCATTTCTCTCACCCACCTGCAAGTATACCCCCGCAGGACCACATTTCCCTTCCTCCCAAATCTCACAGCTTTACGTTTGGAGCCGGCGACGCGCAGGTTGATGGTGGGAAAGAGAACCTCCGTCGTGACTTGCAGAAATTACACATTCAACCCGTACCAACATTAAGTATTGATGATACGACAATCGCTGGGCCAGCACGGTCTGCCACTTTCAACAGCGAAACAAGCACCGACTCTGACGATGCCATGTCCAAGTTGCGCAATGTTGCAGACACAGATCTGCTAGATCCTTCAAAGCTACCCCCCTTTCGCTCTAATCAGCGACATGCAGTTACGGTGGATGAGATTGGGAATCGTGGGCACGCCCGCGATCCTTTGGAGGAACAATTATTCCTCTACATCGGACCATCGACATTTTCAGGCACCAGCTCGAATACTGAATATGACAATGGCTTTATGCCTGATGACGACAGTGGCCCTATAGTCAGTGAAAGCCCCGGCGCAGCCGACATGGACATTTACGAGACCGCCTACCGTGACGAGATTGAACGAATCATGGCTCGGGCCAAAGAGCAGAACAAGGAACCGAATGTCTACCTTACACGCCGTGTAGATGCTAAACTGATGTCAATCAGCGGTCTCGCGGGTAAGTGGGCTGCAATGGGCGAAGAAGCAAAGAATCAGTTCAAAGATTATACACAATTCTCGACGCGTAAAGCACGAGTGACTGAAGTCAGTCGAGCACTTCGGCAAGCAGCCCGCGAAGAGTATGAGAAACGAAAACAAGAGCGCCGAGAATGGATTGCCACAGAAAAGATACGACGGGCTGAAGGACAAGACCCAGCCAAAGCAGCACCGTCGCCTCGGCCATCACTGAGTGAAGTAGATTCAGGCAACAGTCTTCCGCTATCACCTGGTGCAAGATCTCCATCAGTCTGGAAAGGTAAGGCTGTAGATAAGGGAAGACAGGCAAAAACATCGATTCGAGGACTCGTGGATACGCTCAAGAGTCGCACCAGATCGAAAGACGAGGAAGGCTAATTTCAGGCATCTGATGAGTCTGGACACGGCCGAGTTCCAGGGAGGGATGCCGGGCAGCTTGGCTTCCGGACCTACCTAATAATCGCGGAGTGCACAGGCGATAGATGCCTGTGGAAGATGGCTCACATCTCCAACTATTGCAGCTTCGGATGGTCACCAGCAACCGTCCTACCAAGGATATATTTTCATGGGAACAATCTTAGTGTTATCTGGGAATTGCTGACGTGGCTGACACGCATTGGTACTGTAGAACAAGCAGCGAGTGCAGTGAGCGAGGCATACCAGCCTAGGTAGCTGTCCCTGAGATGAAACACGGAATCACTGCACCACGGTGAACGCGAGGGGCAAAAATCTACGCGAGGAACGACCTTTGATAATGATGGAAGTTGAATAGAAGCCGATGTGGCATGAAGGGATGGAAGCGTGGATGTCAGAGTACTGGCCTGGAGAGACCAAAAAAGGGAACTTGAAGACGATGGATCTGCACTGAAGCCCGGGTGGTCGTGGTCTTGGCAATTTTGAGCAGGCCATTCACTTTTTGAAGGTGCAGCCAAAGTCAGTCCTTGCCTTCCTCTCACATGTCTCAGCCTGTTCCAGGTCCAGAACTGCAACTGGCAAATTAGAAGAGCCTCTCTTTTCAACCTTGTCCACGCTTTTGCAAGTCGTGCTCTTCTCTTTGCTCAGTCTGTCTTTTGGGAGGTGCGCCATAGGAACAAAGACATACTTTCCTTTTTTTTTTTTGCATATCTGTGCTTTCCAAGTTGCGTGGCGTGGCGGAAAATGAAATGAGGCTGTTGAACCACCAACCTTCACTCTCAACAGTCTGACTAGATCAATCGTCACTTTCGCTCACCATTCAAAATACCAGGTGACTGGAGCGCAGCAGCCTGGAGTGCTAAGAGCGATTATTGCATCTCTTCCGACTTCTTTTTGGCTTTGAGAGAAGTGGGTGCCCCTCGTTTGCCAGCTCGAACGGCAACGTGATAAATCTACTGTGTCATCCACACCATCTCTCACCCAGGGTTTAATTCATCAAAACAGCTGTCATTCTTCAGCTGTCCCATCTCGAGATCAATCGTCAGTCTCTATTTGCAATTGGCTCGTCTTCAGATAATCGGATGGATCCTTGACCCGTGTTCTGATGATCCCCTAAAGCGATCAGGGTTTTCACCGCCTCAGACATACACCCCCATTAGAGCTTCAAGGACTTGTCAACCATCAATTACTGCTTGAAACTGTCATTCCCATGGGTCGCTTGGACAGAATGGCCTCGCCAGAGGGATCTGTAGATGAGCAAATAAATGCCCACATCAAACGAGAAAGCTCGGCGGCAGACGACCAGATCAACAACTCGACTACCGCAGGTGCAGCCCCAATCAAGCACGAAAATTCTGCAAGCCCCTCGCATCACACTGCTCTTACAACTGTCCGACCCAAACCCTCACGGTCCTCATCTACCTCGACCACTTCATCCAAGCATGCCTTAGCTACGGATAAAGACACGTCGAATGCCAAGAAAGCCAATGGTCACACCTCGCCTGTCAAACCCGAGCCCGAAGAGCCCGCAAAGCCTGCAAAGCCCACAAAGACGTCCCGTGCTGCCTCTTCCAAGCTGCCTCCACGCATCGCTCCCCTCTTTACTGATCTACCCGATGTCTATAGCGAAGCGACTGCCACCTTTACCGTTATCGATGCCTGCACCTACCAAAATAAGTACCTTGGTTTTAGTGACCATGCCCTGGATTGTGACTGTTCGGAAGAATGGGGTCAGTTCTCTAATCACGTTGTGCGAAGCCTGTAGCTAATTGATACAGATCCTGTCGGTAAGCGCAACCTTGCCTGTGGCGATGATTCCGACTGCATCAATCGAGCATGTAAGATGGAATGCGCCAACGACTGCGGTTGCGGCACATCGTGTGAAAATCAGAGGTTCTTACGCCGTTTGTACGCCGATGTTTCCGTGATCAAGACCGAGAAGAAAGGATATGGCCTACGTGTTAACACAGATTTGCGGCCACATGACTTCATCTTTGAGTATATCGGTGAAACCATCCCCGAAGCGACCTTCAGGAAGCGTATGGTGCAGTATGATGAGGAAGGGATCAAGCACTTTTATTTCATGTCCCTCAGCAAAGGTGAATTCGTTGATGCTACCAAACGAGGCAACCTGGGCCGATTTTGCAATCACTCCTGCAACCCCAATTGCTATGTCGACAAATGGGTGGTCGGTGACAAGCTGCGTATGGGTATTTTTGCAGAACGTTACATCAAGGCAGGGGAGGAGTTGGTTTTCAACTACAATGTTGACCGCTATGGCGCAAACCCACAGCCATGCTACTGCGGCGAATCCAACTGTACCGGTTTCATCGGAGGCAAAACTCAGACCGAGCGAGGCACCAAGCTCTCAGCTGCAACTATTGAAGCTCTTGGCATTGAGGACGAAGACTCTTGGGATACTGTTGTTCCCAAACGTCCACGCAAGAAGAAGACCGGCGAAGACGATGAAGACTACGTCGATAGTATCGAGGCCAAGTCTCTTGATGTGGCTGGCATCACTAAAGTGATGGCTGCGTTGATGCAATGCAAAGAAAAGTGGATTGCAGTAAAACTACTGCAACGAATACAGCGTTGTGAGGATGATCAAATCTGGCAAGGGGTGGTCAGGTTCCACGGTTACCAAATCTTGAACTCGCAACTCTCTGCATGGAGAGAGGATGAGAACATTATACTTCAAATTCTTGAAATCCTGGACCGATTACCCCGCCTCACCAGGAATAAGATTGTGGACGCCAAAATCGATCAAACTTTGCAGCCACTCGTGGAGCATGCAGATAAGAGAGTGGCCACACAGGCAACCATATTGTTGGAACAGTGGTCAAAACTCGAAGTGGCGTACCGAATACCACGCAAAAAGCGAGAGGCCGCATCAAACGCGACCAGAACAGAAGTGGTCCATTTCGAGAGACGGGACTCTGCTCAACAAAGGAAGAAATCGCGCTCCCGGTCGCGCACACCCCCCCGGGGTCCTGCAGGTGTTGCTGTTCCATCTGGTCCAAGATCATTGCAAAAACCAAACAACTTCCTGGGACCCCGGCCGCCCTTTCATCGAGCACCACCTCCACTTCCTCGAGGTTGGTTTGCGGCTCAAGATCAAGGAAGAACTTATTTTTACTCAGCAGGTGGTCAAACAACATGGGTCCGACCCACGCAACCGGCTGATCAACCTCCACCACAGCCAAAGCAACCTTCGGAACAAGCCGTTCTTAAGAGTATTATCGACAATATTGTCACTTCGAGAGAGAAGGAAACCAAATCATCAACTCCAGAAACTCCAGAAAATCCCAAAGCAAAGAAGGAAGAAAAATGGAGGTCATATGACGAAGAAAAACAGAAGAAGTTATATGAGAATACTGTAAGTTCTCCTCTTGAGGAAACCAATATGATGTTCTGGTTGACTGATAAAATACTTCGTTCTAGCTGTTTCCACACATATCCCACGTCATGAACAAATACAAAAACAAAATTCCTAAGGAGGATCTGAAACGATTTGCCAAAGAAATTGCAAAGAAACTTGTCGCATCAGACTTTAAGGCTGGACGGGTTAAAGATCCCACGAAAATCGACGAGCGCCAGCAGAAGAAAGTCAAAGAATTTTGTAAACAGTTCTTTGACAAGGCTTATCACAAACACAAGAAGCATGAACAAGATAGAGTAGCGAAAAAGGCACATAAAAGTGCGAGGGCGACCGGCGAAACTGTGACTGCGAGCAGCACAGTTGTGTCACCCTTGGGCTCGCCAACTCGAGACGATGAAGGTGAGAATGTTGAAATGTCAGATGCAGAAGACATGGATGCCACAGCTATTCGTCTCTCCGAGTCTCCGTCCTCTGCACAAACCCCGTCCGAGCGCAATGGTACACTAAAACGGAAACGCGAGGGTCAAGAGACTGAAAACATGAGCAGTACTCAAGGTAAGGGGGAACCTGATCCAACTGCATCGCCCGCAAAGCGCATGAATTCAAGCATGGAGATTGACACACCGCCACCACCCCCTCCTCCAGCACCACCCATCGAAACACCACCAGATAGCACACCACGTGACGGATATGTCGATACGGACATTGAAATGCATGCCATGGAATTGCCAGAGGACCAAACAGACATTCATGCCGACACAAATTTTAGGGAAAAGAGTATGGCAGATGTCTTAGCACAAGCCCAACAAGAAGACACGGATGACGATCTGGATATGGACGAGAGCATTGGTGGATTAGAGCATGACTCTATGGATGCGCAGTCGGTATCCATTCGATGATCATTATATGGGAGGATTCATCGGGTTCAACATTTGGGAGATCTGTACATTGGCAGAGGGCCACAGCTGCTGAACACTTTGACTCACAAGCTCTCACTAACGTTCTACTCATATCGCGAAATTGAGAGATGGGCAGCATGAGTTGACTAGGAGATCGCTGTTAATGGGGAGAGATTCAGCATGGCATAAGGTCACCACTGAGCAGCCAGGCGTTGGAACGGATTAGTGGACCAGGCTTAACACATAATTGGGTGTGGAATCTGTGAACGGCTCTTGGACTTTCACCGACAATATCATACCTATGTTTAGCTGCTATCTTTACCTCTACCACCATAGCTTACCTATTGTAATTCTATCATAGCGTGATTGGGAACTTCAATGATACTTACCTAGGTAGCTGTCGTGCATGTGAAGACGTTGATTTGAGAATTCCAAACGGCGAGAACAGCTTACCTAATTGGAGGCATTTGAGCTCTGCCAAGAATTCGTGTTTCGGCGCGTGTAGCGACGCGTCCCCCGTTCCCATAGGATCTCCACTTCAACCGTTCTTTGTAGACTCGATATCAACTTCTTGTTCTACAATTCTCACCAACAACATAAAGCCAAAATGATTCGGTCAGAAGGTCGCTTCGATCAGAAACGGAAAAGAACCGACCACAGGAAAACCCAGTTCGCGACTGCGACATACAAAGACCATGATTATCCCAATAGATTATCCTTCTACGACATCCTACCTACCCAAGAAATCAGCCTTGAAGAGTTTGAGACCTGGGCAATCGACCGCTTGAGAAGTGATACTACAACATACCCCTGACTGTATCCTCGTGTGCTGACTTCCTCCAGTTCTTGCAGAAATCGAATCATGTTCATTCCGCAACAAGTCGCCTCAGGAAACCGCGGCCCATCTCGAGCCACTACTGAAGAAGTATCTCCCACTATCGTCCAATTCGGCTGCCGCAGGGGGCGTTGTGGATGAGCGGCTCAAAAGTGAACGACGAAAGGACCACTATTCCCATTATATCCTACGCCTTGCGTTCTCAGGCACTGAAGACCTACGACGGCGATTCTCACGTGTCGAGACGATGCTTTTCAAGTTGAGATTTCAAGCAGATGATGGAAGAGAGCGAAGAGCCTTCGTGGACAGTCTGAATCTTAATTGGGAACAGGTCCAGGAAGAGGAGAAGAGAGATCTTGGTGAACTGTTACTTTCTGCAACACCTGGCCTGCGCCGACTTGAGGACGAGAATTGGTTCAAGGTGGATTGGACGAGAGTTCCGGAACTCGTCGAACATCGAACCGTGTTGATCAAGAAAGGCAAAGCATACGTCCCGCTACGGGAGCAAACAAGCATGGTATTAACCGAATTCACAAACCGCCTAGAGAAGGGCCTGGAATTGACATCCAGAGCCCTTCCACGACTTGACGAAGATGATCGGTTGTCTCCTATTCTTACGCACCTTTCCAAGAACTTCGCCACCCCCGATGCTGGATTCTCAGAATCGGACTCGTCTCTTGCCGGGGCCCCCATAAACGCTGCCAACATTGATCCTCTCTCACAACACTTCCCACTCTGTATGAAGCATCTTCACACGACATTACGGAAGAACAATCACCTCAAACACTTCGGCAGATTACAGTATACACTGTTCTTGAAAGGTATCGGTCTCACATTAGAAGACTGCTTACTCTTTTGGCGGCAGAGTTTCAAAACCAAAACCGACGATGAATTCAACAAAGAATACCGCTACAACGTCAGACACGTTTATGGCGATGTGGGGGGCGATGCCAACCGACGAGGGAAGGGGTATACACCATACTCATGTCAAAAAATCCTAATGGAACATCCACCTGGAACCGGTGAAGCACACGGGTGCCCATATCGACATTTCAGCGTGGACAATCTGACCAGCATGTTACAGGCAACCGGCGTGCATGATCGAGACGTATTGCGAGGAGTGAAGGAAGATGTGGAGAAGAAGAGGTTCCACATTGCTTGCAATCGTGTCTTTGAATGGGCACACAAGGCCGAAATTAAAAAAGTCAAAGATGAGAACATTTGGGGTCCTGCGGAATTGGATACTATCGTTCACCCAAACACATATTTCAAGCGATCTTATCTGCTCAAAAATCTGGGAAACCAACCGAAGCAGGATATACGGATGGAAGAATGATTATCAGCGTTGCCATAAGATGCAGGGTATTGGGATGGGCGAGCGGTGTTTGGAGTATCATGGAAAGGGTCCTCAACAACGAGAGTATGGTCTGCCGATAACGAGCTCCTTTGTGGACAACAATAATGAAACTGTCACTTCACCTCACTATATTAAGGAACCGTCACCACGACCTTCCGCTGGCTCTGTTGTCTTCCATATACGTGTGTGCCTCGCCCATGTCCTGCAGCTTGAAAGTCTTATCGAGAAAACTTTCGACAGGATAAATGCCCTTCTCAACTTTTTCCAGCACTTCCGCAAGCAGGCCCTCCATGCTTTCCAAGCCATCATCCTCGCTTCCGATCCCAGCATTGGTCATGGTATAGAAGCTCAAATTTCTGGTTGGAGGAATCATGACTGGACTGAAGCCCTCAGCATCCCAGCCCAGATTCAACACTCCCGCAATAATCATGGTTCCAAATCTCGCTGAGAAACCCAGACTTCGTAAGATCTGATTCGGGCCCACAAGCTCCAAGATGACATCGACATCCCTGGGGAATAGCTTTGGAATCTCTGCCTCCAGATCACCCTCCAGCAAGACATGGTCCGCACCGACTTTCTTCAGCTGTGCAGTCTTGTCCTTGTTCCGCGTCGTGGCAACAACAGTTGCACCGCGCTCCTTCGCAAGCATGATCGCCTACACACCCACACTCGAGGATCCACCATGCACCAAGACCGTACTTCCCTCAGGCCTCCGCTCCAACCCGCCCGCGAGCACGATACACCCATACGCAGTGACCATGCTCATGGGCACCGCGGCCACAACGCTCCAATCCAGCCTCCGCTCCACATCCTCCGGCGATGACACAGCGTGAACTCGGCGTAGCTCCCATCATGCGCCTTGCCACCACCGTAGATAAAACCGGCGACGGATTCGCCAATGCGAAACCCAGACTCGGCGCCCGCCTCCTCGACGACGCCGACGAACTCTTCTCCCAGCACCTTCGGCGGGTCGACGTGGTATTCGGCCTGGAAGATGTTGAATTCCGGAAGGGCCGGGGGCAGGTTTGCGCGTGAGCGTAGCTCGGCGCGGTTCAACCCTAGTGCTTTCACGCGCACCAGTGTCCACTCTGAAGACGGGACCGTGGGCCGAGGGTAGGCTGTGGTGTAGCTGAAGCAGGCTGAGGGTGGGGATGCGCCTGGCGAGGTCAGTTCCGCGGCTGCCATCGTGCCGGAGGGGTGGTTGGTCCAGGATGGCATTGTTGAGGTGGATGTTCCTCAATATCACGTCGGCTTTACTGCTCGTTGAGATGTTGATGGATACTAATGCGATACTTGAAAGCTGATTTTTTCATTAGTCGGCGTTACTCGAGACACAGGCTTGGAGTCCAAGTAATCAAGCACTGTCACTCACTCTCGCTGCTATCGATATCGCTGTACCTTTGAATACTGCAATTCCCACGAAGTCTCTTTACCAGATGCACTTCTCATCACTTCTAGTGTAGTGCTCTATGGTGGATACATGATCCTGCCAACACATGCATGAACCATAACCCGCCGCGCGAATACCGGGTGTGATGCATGCATGCATGCCTCTCGCTTAGGAAGGATTTGGAGAAACTGGTGATCTAGTTCATTCAACCGAGCAATTGGTACGCGAACACCTAGATCACTGGGTATTTGGTTACAGAATATGGCTGCGAACTCGCAATTCGAGGAGTCATCAGTGCGCCTGATTCAGAAGTCGGTCGCACGAGGCTGAGATGCCCTGAAGCGTTTTTCTGCTCAGTCCACGTTCCGAACTTTCCTTGTGAACATGAACAGTCTAGACATCGTATGTGCGATTTCAAGCTATGAAACATCCTTCAGCACACTCTCGATAGCCTCATCAAACGACTTGGTCGGCAGATCCAACAGGGTATTCCCAAACTCCTTCCTCTCCTCCCACTGACTTCCCAACAAGACCGTCCCAAAAGTCAACCTCCCAAGCGCACTATTATCACCTCCTCTGACCGTGTTCTTAGCCTCCTCCAACCACTCGTCGTACTTAACATGCTCAACAGTCCACCCGTTGTCCTCCCCACCGGTCTTGGCCTTGACGCGATCCCAGATCTCCTTCTGACTGGTGCGGAAATCCTGGACCAGCAACAACCGATTGCGGGACTGGTCCTCCCTCTCCAAAGCCCTCACGACGGCCAACCCCACCGTATCCAACGTCGTAGCCACCCACTGGACTTCACCACCATCAACGAGCACGACCCTTTTCTGATCCCAGTGGAAATTGAAAAACCCACTCATGACCCCCATCTCGAAGAAGACGTTACACACGATGGCCGTCCACGACAGGCCGTCCTTCTCCTTGCTGACCAGGTAGTCGCGCACGTCGTGCTTGATGCGGAACATGGGCCGTAGCTCGACGAGCCAGTCCGGCAGCTCGTCCAGCCCGAACTCGGTCGGGAAGTAGCGTACCACCTTGGCCGTCACGGCCGCGTCGATGAACCGGTACTGCAGGTGCATCCCCGTCATGGAGATGGCGCTGATCACCGCGTCTTGCCCCGTGAATGCCGCCACGAGCTCCGCCTCCGGGTAGTCGTCGGCGATCTGGTGGATCTTGACGGATTTGGGGAATGTGTTGGTCGATGACGACGACGACGACGATGTCGATTTTCGCGTCAGCACCGTCACTTGGAATTGCGAGCCGGACGCCTCCAGGTGCTTTAGGATCAGGCTGCCCAGGTTGCCGGCCCCGCCGATGACGAGGATCTTGGTGAGTGTCATCTTCGCACCCGGGTATCTTCTTCTCGCTTTCCCTCTGGGCCGTGAATACGCTGGTCGAGAATGTTGTGGGTACGACTTACGATAGATTTGTTGGAGTGTTTGCGGTGGATTTTATGTTCCGCTAGAATATCGAGTTCAGCGCACTTTCGTCACGGAGACGCGTACAGAGAGAAGGCGGGGCACGGTCACAATTTATACGAACCATCTCGGTAGCTAGAGATGATGACATTTGTGCACCGGTCGAAATCATGTATTGTGGTCGTTGACCTGCTTTGCCGGGATTCAGAGTGGTGCAATAGGACCACCCCACCTTGGGGAAATATCTGTACCCCACATCACCTTTTCCGATGCTTGCAGATATGAGTGTCTTGAATAAGGATCTACTGGCTTCTGTGATAGCTCTGCTGCTCGAGGTGGTATGAATACCGGAGCATCTACGGTGAGCTACGGCCCTCATGGATGTAACTTCTCCTTGAAGGATGGAAGTCACGAAACTAGGGAGCAGGGTTCAGGTCATGGACCAGAGATATGGGAAAGATGTGTGTGGCGAAACGGGATTCAAAAATAGCGTTTTGACATAGATTGTTATTGTTCACATGTAAAAGACACGGTCCAGATATAACAGGAAGCGAGATGCGAGAGGCAGATGAATCTATAGAGTCTGTCGGTGGTCAAGTCGAGTTAGCCGTTGATGCTGTCGATCTCCATGAGGTCATCATCGCTGTCATCGTCGATGACAATGGGGTTGTTCCCTGAATTATCGAGATCCATTTCATCCGAATCGTCCAGGATGAGTGGTTTGCCAATGGTACCTTCAACCTCTACCACCTCCTGCTTCGCCTTCTCCTGCTTCGCCTTCTCCCGATTTATCATCTGCTGCTTTAAGCTAAGTTCTTGTGGGATCGCAGGGCCCGCGAGACGCTCTGCAGTCCATTCGGGGTCCAGGCCGAAGATCTCATCCTCATTAGGGTCGTCGTTTGGCCCCCTAGCAAAGCCAGTGATTGAGAAATCCTCTGAAATACGATGTGTGGTCGTATCAGCTGCCTCGGCGGCAAGGAGGAGGTCCTCGAGGCCGATGTTGCGCGACCCAGATTGGGCAAGATGAAGGTTCCTAGTATCATCCTCCTCCATTTCATGCCCATCAGTTGGGAGCCTGGGGTTGCTGAGATGGAATGCCATCTTCTCGACTCCCAAGACACGACCAGTGCTCTCATCGACACGTGCGATTCGCCAAGGCTCTGGCCAGCGCTTTGCTAACTGCAGCAGCTCGACTCTTGAATCAAAGAGCGCGGGACGCTGTGGGTCTTTATGTGCATCTACATACCTGTGGAACAATATCGAATACATCTCGTCGCGTGTATCGTAATCCTCGTCAAAATCTTCGGAGGGGCATGTATCATCAACATTCCAGAGCGCCAGTCGCACGTCCGCATCAGGATCCCCGTCAGCGCTTAGTTTCGCTATTCTCTTGACCTCGACGGCAAGAGGCTCCAGGTCGCTATATCGTGTGGTTTTGGCCGCATCGAAAAATTCGGCAATGTCCTTTAGTCTCCATTCGCACTCGTAAAGCTCCTCAGACCACTCGCGTGCCTCCATAGAAGCTTCGCGTGCATCAGCTGGGTCTATATATGTAGTATCGATACCATACATAAGATGCACGAGCCCGGTCCAGACATTGGCGATGTCGCTACTCATAGCCTCCAGATCTGGATTGTATATTGATTGTGGGCTGTTGTCCCAGGCATGACGGTTTGGAAGTTCAAGGTCCTTGAGCTTCCGAACCTTCAATGAAGCGTCCAAGCCATGAGCTGTAGTCTCCTCCCAAATGGCCGGGTTGATAGGTCTCACATGGCCCAGATCGCCAGTGTAAAAATTCGGCAGTTTGGATCCATCCTCGTAATGAAGCCAGACGTTGTTCATGTGGTTATCAAGCTTTGTAAGGCCGCCTTGAGAATGGTGCAGAAATAGCAGAGTCTGAAGGCGTTGATCCAGTAAGCGCCATAGGAGAACTTCTGGCATGTGCCGGTCTTTTTGTAGCTCGAAGTAGCAGCTCATTTCCCACAGAGTCCCTCCGTTGCAAAATTTGGAGTACATCACTGTGGATTTTAGCCTCTCGTGATCTTTATGATATATATTCAAGACATTGTAGTCCTGTGAGAAGTTCAGTGATGGAATCAGAGGGTGGTGACGCTGGAACTGTACCTCAGGGATTTTCGAATCGACATTTTCTCGATCAGTTGGATGGGTGTTCTTTCTTACCTGTAAACTTCCGTCAGCGATTGAACGTGTGAGTGTAACATCGCCTTCTCTACCTGGGGCGAGTCTTCGCACGTAGAGATGACCTGTGTGCTCCGGAAAGAAGATCCCGTACTTGTATGCGGTTGTCGCCATTTTTGTATATGATGATTCCTTCGTAATTAAGCTTGTGTATCAAGGTTAGTTCTGGTTGAGAGATATTAGATGCTGCGTTGATTGTTATCAAACAAAGGTTTCTGATTGTTTTCGAGAATAAGATTGCACTGATATGATGCCAAATTGTGCGAAGAGAGACAGAGTTGAGAACTTAAATATCCCATGCTCGGTGGTCTTCCAAGACAGTCAAGGTCGTGTGGAACAATGATTTATCGCCTGGGAAGCCCTATAAGACTAGAGCCAGTCTCAAAGATAAAGACAGAACGCACAAGAAACATTGAACTTTGGAAAAGCAAGACAAAGATCAAGAATGAAATGTAGTGCACAAAAAGGTGGCATGGAGAACAATGAAGACCTTCTCCCAACTCAGCCTTCTGAGCCAAGACATTGTAATACCTGTTATCTAGTATGGTCAGATTGCACCACCCCTCAACACTTGTGGCCTACCCCATCCGAGGAGCCCTGTCAGCTTTTGGTCTTGGTTTCGTGGGCTCATTTGCTCTACATATTGTGCTGCCGAAACATGCGTCCGGCTACCGGTTGTCCTCAGCATTGTCTTGAAGTAAATCAAAATCAGGATCAAAAGGAACCTGTATATGGTCATGCGGGATGGCATCGTGATTCTCGCCGAGGGTAAGGCCTGGAGTCCGACCTTTCTTTTTCTTTTTCTTGGTATTGCTTACTACGTGACTTAATTCCTCATCCGCCAGCTGAAAGTCCATTCCATCGGCGGATGTACCAGCCATCGCGATCTTGGTTTCACGATAGATGACTGAGGAACTAGCTTCCGTAGGGGCATAAGGGATTCGAATGGTTGACTGTTCCATAAGCCCAAGATCGGTACCGAACACCCATCTGTCCTCCATAGCAATGTTATTCATATGCTCCTGGCTTTGGAGCTTCGGTTGGGTCATGGGTGCAAGGACAGATATTGTGACTCGAACGTCCGAGTGAAAGGGCTGATAAGGCGCATTCGTTTCGATTTCGGCAGAAGCCAATGGATGTGGCATTCTCTGGTTGGTGTCCTTGTTAGTTCGGGCTCTCCAGAAGCCTGAGAGGTGCGGTTCATTGGCATCTGCATCATCGTCCTGCAGTCCCATACCCTGGTTGGCTTCTACAGATAGACCGTCCGCCATTAGATCACTGGTGCGGGGAAATTTGGTGGCCACTGCCTTGCGAGCATCGAAGACTGAAACTGTGTCCCGGTGACGATTTTCTCTTGGTTTGGTCATTCGAACATAATAGACCTTAATGGCTCCCGTGTCAAGAACTGAAAGAACAGGCTTTGCATCGCGTCGTTGCCACAGCAGCGTGCCGGGTCGAGCGCTGGCCTTCAAATGAAGCCTACTTTGATTTGCATGCCTGATCGAGGTGACTGTTTCTGAAGCTGCTCCCAGGGACTTACTAAGCCCGGCTGCAACAGCGCGTCCGCTTTTGATACCGGTTGTGGATGCGAGTCCGATCCCAGTGGCACCAATGCCAGAAATTCCTCCGCCCATGCTAGGGGCCCTTCCACGTAGGTTAGCCAGCATTGGTTGGGTACGTCCGGCAATGCTCATGGCCGAGGCAAAGAAGCCCGCAGGCGGTAGGGGTTCTGGTTCTTGTTTGTTGATCTGTGATGGGTCAACGGGCACAGAAGCCGGTCTATGTTTCTTGGCTCGTGGTGGAGGCCATTGGAAAGCTGTAGCAGGGAGATCGAAAATATGTACGGTTTTGTTCTTTGTAAGAAGTGCAAATCGGTGCCCAGTACATCCATCCCAGGCAATATCGATGATTGTGGAAGGGCTTAGTCGCTCGTAGCGTGCAATCTGTCGCACGCGTCCACTTTCAACAACGTCAGAAACTGGTTGAGAAGTCTTGACGTGTTTGATTTGCATAAGATCCCAGATATACTGGATATCACCTTTGCGATTCGCAGTCATGAGTCCGAGAGCAGTTGGCAGAAATGACAGGAAACTACATCCCCCTGGTGGCTGGAATGTGATCATTGGTGTGAAATCAACATTCTTCCGCCCTTGGGCATCTTGGAGAAGCTTCAGGTCGAGGATAGTAACGATTTCAGGTTCATTGGTGATGATCCGGGTATCTCCAGCATGAGTCGGTGGGAATTGGCCCAAGCCTAGGGGTGGAGAATGGATGGGTGGACTCGAAGAGCTGGATGCGGGCTGGCCTGGACTAGACGAGTCCTTTCTCCAATAACTTTGCCAGGTCTGCATTCCTTTTTCACTGATCCATTTTGCGCTTCTGACAGCTTCCTGGGCGAAACCTTTGGCGACTTTACTCAAAAAAGTATCAGCATCAGGTGAGTCAACTTCACAATTGAGCAGGGGTCGCGATGGGGCGGTTCCGGCACTGATATGCGAGTTCTTATTATGAAGCACTAAATCACCCAGGAGTGCTCCTACCGATGGTCGGGAAGGAGTGCTTGCAGGACAGTAGGCAAGCCAGCGTCCACTCAAGCTGACAATAGGAAGGTCGTCCATCTCAGGACCGCGACCGATATCAGCAGGCGAGACATCGGCATCTGGACCACGATTGTGGGAGGAGTCTCTCCGCTGAACCTGGGGTTGGATGGTTGTCCAATACTTGCCTAGACATTCAAAGACAGCCGAATCTCTGGCTCGTCGAACGGTGAAAATGAAAAGCTCACCACTGACACCGGAAGTAATGGTGACAAAATTGCCGCTTGCATCGACTGTCAGGTTGGCGGCAACGGCAGTTGCAGAATGACCTCCTGGATGAACGGACATCTGCGAGGGTACTCTCAGGAGTTCGACTACCTGCGAGGCTCTGGATAGAGAATACACTACGACCCTGGTTTCATGAAGCCCGTCCGCTGTCACGGCGGAATATGCTCGATCACGCGGTCGTGGATTATCCTTTTCAGGTTCAGCAATTCCATGGACAGTAAGTGCAATCAATGGACGGTAATCGGCGAAGGGATCATGTCCAGAAGTCCATGTGAGGAACTTGGCATCGACGATGGTGCCTTGGATACCGTGCAGAGCACCCATCTGTTCTAGCCTATCACCATTGTAGCTGAGTACTGTTAAGCCTCCTTCCAAGGCCAGCAAAGCAGCATCCCGCGCCTCCAAACGATTTCCAGGGACCGGACAGAGCCTGAGGACGACAGGATCCTGCAGTCTTAGCTGAGCAGTGGCACTCTGAAGACCAAGGTCAACATCGTGCGCCGCATAGAAATGTTTCTGAGGCAGGTGTGGGAGAGCTGGAGGAGAGCCGTATGCCCCAGTACTATAACTGTAGGGAGAGGTGGATATCCGTGGATTGGAAGGCAGTGGGGGGACACCGCTGCCATAGCTAACGGGTCTCGCTTTCCTCAGAGGAGGAGAGACGGGAGGACTCCTGAGATTCAGATGGCCTCGGGTGCTAAAACCAGGTTCAATGGTTGGCGAGCCAGCAATATTCAGGCCTGGGATAGGATCAACGGGAGGACTCCTGCCATAAGAATTGGCTCTGCTCCAAACATCAATGGGAGGGGTGGCTTCGTCCGAGACCTTTTGGGAGGAGTTCAGATCATTCAGAGCATCTAAGCTGGAGTTCTTGTTGTTGTTGGGAAAGCCACGCAGCTGGTTGAGGATGGAGGGATTCTGGTTACCCATCTGGTCGGCAGATTGGAAGTTATCTTCATTGTCAGGTTTGGACAAGGATTGTTTGGCAGCATTCTTTGTCTTCCGCTTCCCAGCTCTTGAGGAGGGGTCTTGGTCGGCCACTATTATTGACTGCAGATTGGAACTGAGTGGTGAGGAGTCTGGTTTCTTGTGGTCGGAGGGCGACTTGCTGTAAGCTGGCATTCAAATTATGCGGGCAAGTTGACTGCAAATAAGAGAAGGATTCAGCAGATCAGTGGCGGAACCAAGTAGGAAAGAAGTGAAAGGCCCCTGTCCTGGGGTTGCTACAGTCTGATGTGGTGGTGGTGGAGGTGATGGTGGTGATGGTGGCTTCAGGGAGAGGCGCGGGGTTGATGGAGTAAGTCGACGTTCGTGGAGCCTGAAGGACGCGTGCAGTTGGAGATCTATTGAGCGATCAACAGGTGGCAGTGATGGTTGGCCAGTATACAATCGTGAATCGCCAGCCTGATCATCGGTCTGTAGCGTAGTATCTCCAACAAGGAAAGCGGTATCAGTCAGTAGTTGATTCGAAAGGCCTGTGGGAGAGATGGCAGCAGTTTGCAGTTTATGTACTTGGGTATGGATAATGAGTAAATTGGAGAGGACGATGGGGGGGATGGCTCGGGGTGTCGGTGGTCGGAGAGAACAGGCACGACAACTAAGAGAACCAAAGGCCTGTGGTTGGACAGAAGAGTGCCCCCCTTGCCCCTCAACTCTGGGAGTCGCGCTGCCAACTTGAACCTGGCAGATAGCCCGAGGCGCCCAGTCTTTAGGCGGTCGCTGTCCGTATCTGGGCTCCCTCTGTTTGTCTTGTCACTAACGTTATCTCCAGCCCCTCCCAGCTATTATTGAGTCACGCTGAACGCGGAACTGCAGTGCAGTGCAGGTGCACATGACAGCCTTACCCAGCTCGTTCCCCGCGCCTCGCACCCTCCCCCTTGTTGTTGCTTTCTTCAAGTTCATGTTCTGTTCGCAGCTGCATCGACCAGATGTCACCGGTGGGCGTTCCAACAAGTGCCGTGTCCTCGCTACTCCGTTCACTTGACCACCTAATGAGAGAACTGCCTCTGCGACTTCCAAGGTTTGTTCCCTTCTACGGCAGGTTTGGTGCAATGTACCAATACATGACTCAGAACATCTCAAAGCACTACAGTATTCAAGCCAGGTGTAGATTGCTTCTAGCACGCCTCTCTCTTGTTTGCCATTATGAACTTTGACTAGCCTCTGATTTGACTCACCAAGCAAGCCCCTCGACTTACTGCATCACCAGGCAAGGAATACAAGTGTTCTCGAACATTCCAGCAGTCAATCGTCCTGTGAATCTGCCTGCCGAACACTGCAAGCAGTCCCTGCGCCAGAACCCCACCGTCAGGTGTTGCACATAGTCGGTGGTAACGTGCCATTCACAACCGACAATATGCAACTCGCGCACAGTCAATTCGCCACGTCGAGCGGATTAATCTTTCAGACATCTGCTCAATCTTATACGATTATCCCGGTGTCATGCATGCTTCGTCACGTTCATCCTGGATTCTTCCTGAATATCGACTGCATCGTTCCTTGGTGCGCAGAGTTGTCCTTGTCGAGATCTAAGCTGAAATGCCTCCACTCTGCTAAATGCAATGCAGGTTGAAGATATAGTCCTTTGGCACAAGACCGTACAACGTCGCTGTTGCCTGACGATACACCGCACCGCTCCCTGTCGCGTTGAAATCCTGCCGCGCTTCTATTTCGTCTTCTTGGCCGCGGCCGCCCTGGCTTTTGCCGCCTTCTTCTTATTACTCTTGATCATAACGAGTGCCAGGAATGTGCCGACCACCGATGAGCCGAGAAGTGTAAGAATCACTGGTATTCGAATTGCCCACACACGATGAGGAAATAGACTTTGCAGTGGGTGGTCATCGTCGACGAATGGCTGCACGCGTGGTCAGAATCTCCTTGCAGCGGCCTCGGGAGGTTCCATACCATCAGAAGAGTCCATAGAGTGTAGTATAAGAAGACTGTAGTGGCTGCTACCAGCATAGCCATGCCAACGATTTTATCCAGCTGTGCCAATGAGTTAGCATCTGGAACAACAATATTTATTGCGGAGTCATAATGCTGTACCATTTTGAAGAACAATGAAGACTTCACAATCAATCTTCTCGTTGGAGAATTGTAGAGCAAGAGATTATTTTGTACACTCGTCGCGACCGTGAACAAGTTGAATTGGACACGAATCCCAAATGGCATGTCAACCGCAACTCGCGCTCCTTCCTAAACTGTTCCTGCCAGGTGGACTAATCCGCAATAAGATAGGCGCCTTGGCATATAATTCTGACCTCTATCCGCTAGAGCTGCCTTGTGTTCAAGAACTCTTCCCTTTCATGGCGAATATACGCCTCTGTGAATAGACACTGGTAGCACCTTTATCGCAAGACCGGCCCAGTGTCTGATGTTTCCTGCTTGATGTCTTCTTTTTACTAGAATTGAGCCTTGTTCAATTGCTCAGATTTCTCGCTCCGGATGTCAAACATCTCGACACGACAACTGAATCACCCAAGTTTGCCCGGAACCCCACTCATTCTCTTCTTCGGACAATCTTGAACCTGATTCCTTTGGACTCTGGAGGTGGCAAACCTATCACACAATCTCGCGCTACGTCTACATCCCTCTCTCTAACCACATCATCATCGAGTTCGAGTTCGAATCTTCTTAACACGCAGGCCGTGGCCAAGTGCATTTGTACGTATGCAAGACTGTACACTATCAGCATGGCTTTTCACAGATGGAGATGTATCCCTACTTTGAACCAATGCAGGCCCTGCTGCCTCTGGAGAATGGGGCATAGTACTTCTCTAGGTGGATAGTTGTCCCAGAACCCTGGAGCCATCTCTCGGGTCGAAACTCGTTCGGCTCATACCAGATTTCCTTATCCGCGTGCAATGTGCAAATGCTCATGCTTACGGGGGTTCCCGGCGGGATTGCCCAGTCATGGTAGTAAAGATACTCATCTGGTTCTTGAAATGCGAGTCTCTCAGTAAACAGGCTGCCGATCCGGAGGCTTTCTTTGAGACATGCCTTGAAAACAGGAAGTCTTTCGATCTCGGATGAGCCTGCCAATTTGTTGGGGTCAGGCATGATCTGATCAAGCTCCTCTCTGACCTTGATCAACCATTCTCGATTGGCATGCAAGTGGTAAGCAAGGTTAGAAAGTGCGACGCCAGTCGTCACTCCGCCGGCAAACACCATGCCATACGCCTCTTCGGTAAGTCTCCATTTTGTCTTATCCTCTGGTGGAAGAACCCGACTGTCGAGGATGTCATGAAAAATGGTTCGGCGCTCTTTTTCTACACACTCAACATCAACATCTCCAGTTGAGCTTGTAAGTCCACCATCTTTCACTCCAGCCTTTTCCCGCTCTTCGAATATTGCATCTATCTTGCTTCGAACAGTATCTTTCATAATCAAAAGCTGCTCAACGTCTGGAAAGATGTAACGAAGAAGCCACTTGGGAAGATTCTCCCGCTTTCGGACTATCCAGCCCCAGCTACGGAGAAAAGGGCTGTTGGAGAACATGTCTCTGAAGAATGCTTGCCACTCAGGGGAAAAATTGGGATCTGAAAGACACCCATAACGTTCTCCAAAACAATAATCGGTGATGACGTCCAAGGTTAATGCTCCAAACGCATCGGTTGCGTGAAGCACGCGCCTCTCAGTCATGCATTTTTCAATCCCAGCAGAGAGTAACTCTACCTTTTCAATGATGGAAGGCTCCAGTTGCACTACCGACCGTTTGGAAAAGAACCTGGTGAGTGCTCCCTTGCGGTGCTTATGTCTGGTCCGATCTCTAGTCAATTGGATAAGGCCACTGGCATCACCGCCTTCCACGGCCTCTCGATTGTACTTGTCTCGTCGGCCTCCAGCGAATAATACGTCGAACCATTCCGGGTCTGTGACGTCTAGTTCGTCGGGCGCCCGGCGGATGATGGGCCCATATTGCTCATGAAGCTTTTCAATGTTCCAACTATTTCGCCCATGGTATGGACCCGCAAACCAGTCCTGCCATATTTCGTACCAATATGTAGCAGCAGCTAGCTTGGGACCTGGGAAATGTCGAAGAGGGTGGAAATAAAGCCGATATACAATCAGGTAAATTCCATGACACAGCCAGTATGCCAACGAAAGAAGCACAAAGATCCAGAAAAGCCCGATATTCATCGTGGGCACCGAAGATTCTCCCACAAGGTACACTAATCGGAATGTTCAGACTCACTGAAGATTCAGACGGGAGTTGGATGTGTTCATCATCCAAGAAGTCAAACAAAGAGCATTTGCACTCGCTGCTCATGGCACCATACCAACCTCTCTGGGATGCACCATTACGTTAATAATCTGGCCCTTTTCAGGCCCGGCCACTTTTACCAACATGAACATACACCTGCTCCCAGATTCAGGCTGATGTGTTCATACACTCCGCTGACTGCTATTGTGGACTACAGAATTCACGACGTCTTACTTGCAAGCCAGGCCGGCGACTGTCTCATGCCGAAGATCTTCCAGGATTTCTCGGCGGACGTTACCCAGCTACTATGCTACGATTACCTACGGGTCCACTGACTTCGGCACCGCTTCAAAACAGGAAGGCCAATTGCCCCACCACAAAACCCTGAGTTCAGTACACCTGACCCAAACACCTTGAAATGACAGTCATCATGCCGTTCGTATTGTTTCGTACGAATTCAGTATCTTTCCGAAACTCGATGTTTAGCCTGTATCGACCTCATACCTTCGAACTCCACTCTCGAGGAATGCACCACGTTGCTCTTTCGCGATGTCGTGCTCCGAAGTGCCTTCTCTAAAAGAGCAATACGGTGCATTATCTGCCGCTATCCGAATGGACACTGGCACATAGCTGCAGTAGGATGCAATCTCAGACAGAGGTGACAGCGATTCAGTCTGGCGATCCGGTGCATCACTGCTCATAGGAAAATCACATACCCAAATACGATATGAGGAGCTTGGCGAGTTAATGGTGTCCCCCTTCATGATATGGTTTCGACGCTCAACAGGGCAGGGGAAAACACAATCGAGAAAGATGAAGCCTGATCACACTCAATCACAAATGCAACCCATTGACGTCGATGACGTTGAGTCTGCTGAGACCCATCAAGAGCCTGTCCTGGTTTCATCCGAGAGGCAGGAAGAATCTGAATCTGGAAAGCCGTCGAAAAACTCCAAAGACTCGAGTTGGAAAGTCTACTTGCGAGTATGGGGTTACGCTACATCCATTGATCATGCAATTCGAATATGTGGTATCATCGCTGCACTTGCCAACGGTGCTGCATTGCCACTGATGACACTGGTGTTTGGTGATATGGTTGACAAGTTCAATGCTTGGGGAACTGGAGAAGTCACACCTGATGATCTAATGAAAGCCATCTCCCGGAATTCATTATGGTTTACGTATCTCTTCATTGCTATTCTGGCACTCTCCTTCCTCATGAATAGTTGTTTTCGCCTGACTGCAATACGTTCGACAAAAGCTTTGCGACGAGATTTTGTGCAATCTCTCATTAGGCAGGATGTCACCTACTTTGATTCTTGCTTGCCGGGGACCGTCGCGACCCTGATATCTAACAATGCCGATCTCATTGAAAATGGACTGGGCGAAAGGGTTGGACTTGCCTTCGAAGGGGTGGGCCAGCTTCTTGTATCTTTCATTGTTGCTTTTGCACGGCAGTGGAAGTTGACTTTTGTTGTTGCTACCATGTTGCCATTGACTATTCTAATCATTGGCGTGGCGATAACGTTAATGACGAAAGTCGATGTCAAAGTGCTCGACGTCTACAGCAAAGCAGGCGGCATCGCTGAGGAAGGTCTATCGACGATGCCCATCATAACTGCTTTCGGAGCTTCGAACAAACTCCAAGTAAAGTATGATGATATTCTTCAAGTCGCCAAGAATCTCGGAGCGAAGAAAGGCCCCATCATGGGAGTTCAAATGAGTGCTCAATGGTCAGTGACATTTGTTGCCTACGCCATAGCCTGGTTCTATGGTGTGCAACTTGTTGCCCGAGGAGAGGTCTCAACTGGTGGTCGTGTCATTACCGTGCTCACCTCGGTTCTGATAGGTATCATATCATTGACTCTCATAGTCCCAGCGATAGGAGAAGTTGCAAAGGCCTCCGCGGCTGCTCAAGGTCTGTTCGAAGTCATTGACAGGAAATCGGAAATTGACCCTCTTGATCCCCGTGGAGAAAAGCCAACCACAGTGCTGGGCCAGCTGAGGCTGGATAACGTCTCGTTCGCATACCCTTCGCGCCCATCTGTCAAAGTTATTGATAACCTGACCCTTGATTTCGAGGCTGGCAAGACCACGGCAGTCGTAGGTCCATCTGGAAGTGGTAAATCAACCATTGTTGCTTTAATATCTCGCTGGTTCGATCCCTCCCAAGGATCTGTCCTTCTTGATGGTAAAAATATCAAAGACTTGAACATACAATGGCTCCGCAGCCAAGCAGGATTTGTCCAGCAGGAATCTGTCCTTTTCAATGACACCATACTACACAACATCTCTCATGGCCTTTTTGGAACTCCAGCTGATGATGCATCAGACCAGGAGAAGTTCAACCTAGTGAAGGATGCTTGTAAACAAGCATTCGCAAATGATTTCGTGGAAGAGCTCCCAGAGAAATTCAACACCTTCGTTGGGGATCGAGGGAATCTCCTGAGTGGTGGCCAAAAGCAGAGAATTGCTATCGCACGAAGCATAATTCGTGATCCTCATATTTTACTGCTTGACGAAGCAACATCAGCACTAGACCCCACAGCCGAGGCCATCGTTCAAGAAGCCATAAACAACGTGGCCAAAGCTCGGACCACCATCATGATTACCCACAAGGTTTCCACCGTTCAAAAAGCCGACAAGATCATCGTGCTTAGCAAAGGCCGACTGATGGAGCAAGGAACGCATCAACAACTCCTAGCGAAGAAAGGTGTTTACTATGAACTAGTCGCTGCTCAGACACTAGAAAAGCAACAAGAAGTCGAGGATGCACTGGACCTTCCCGAGGTTGTTGAGACTTCCTCGCTGTCGTCCTATAGCTTCAAGGAAACTAAAAAAGAAGTCACGGAGGTCAGTGGAACAAGGATTCAGGCTGTAGACAGCACAGCAAAAGTGAAGCGTTGGAGAAGCTTTACCCTCTTGATGAAGCAACAACGGCACCTCTGGCCTCTTTTCTTAGGAGGGCTTATAGGCTCCATTGGATCCGGCAGTGTCTTCCCAGTGCAGGCGACAATCTTCAGCAGAGCCATTCTCATCTTTCAATTTGATTTACCCGACGAAAAGCACCGCCTGGAGAGTAGAGGTAACTTCTGGGGTTTGATGTTCCTTGCACTAGCTCTAGGAGTGCTCGTCTTCTATGCTGCTCTTGGGACTTTCTTTACAACCCTTGCGTTTCAAGTGTCCAGTTTCTATCGCAGTAAGTATTTTTGTGCAATGATTGGTCAAGATATCGGCTATTTCGAGCAAAATTCACCCAGTGCCAGCATAAGTCGTCTTTCAACGGACCCACAGCGAGTCCAAGACTTGATTTCACCGAATCTCGGCTTCATTTTGTTGAGCCTCGTCAATGTCTTTGCTTCGTGTACTCTTGCATTGGCTGTTGGCTGGAAAATTGCCGTCGTTGCCATTTTCGGCTGCTTGCCACCGCTCTTTTTTGCCGGCTTCGTTCGTATGCGCATCGACCTGACCAGTCAAGAACGCTTGACAAAGATATATCTGGAAAGCGCTCGTTTCGCTGCTGAGGCTGTTGCATCAATCAGAACTGTCTCAAGCTTGACACTTGAGATGAAGGTTGTGGCAAAGTACAACGAGTTGCTGGACACTCGGTCAACTCAGTCCCTTGTGCAGACGACCATTAGCAATACTCTCTTCGCAGTCACCGAAAGTCTATACCTCGCTATTCTGGCCCTGGTGTTCTGGTGGGGCGGCAAACTCTTGTCCCAGAGAGAATATGATGTACAACAATTTTTCATGGTATTCATTGCTGTCATCTTTGGTGGACAAGCTGCCGGATTTATGTTTGGCTCGACGCTGCAAACTACGAAGGCGCTGAACGCGACAAGAGACATCATGAGCTTGTTGCAGTCACGCCCCCCTATCAACACAGCGAAAAGCGTCGTTCACCATACAGGCACCTCCACAGAAGAGCAGTCACCTCCCATTGCCAACAGCAACATAGCAGTTGAATTCCGCGACGTCAATTTTAGCTATCCCAGCCGCCCTTCCTTCCCAGTCCTGCAGAACCTCAACCTTACCATCCACAAAGGTGAATCAATAGGCATCGCCGGCGCTTCCGGCAGCGGCAAATCGACCCTCATCGCGTTGATCGAGCGATTCTACGACGCCGGATCTGGCTCCATCCTCATCAACGACATCTCCATCAAAGACCTAGACGTACATTCCCACCGCGCAAGAACAGGACTCGTGTCCCAAGAAACAACACTCTACCAAGGAACCATTCAGGAGAACATCCTCCTGGGAATCCCCACCTCCCAACTCCCCACCATCTCAGAAGAGCACATCGTCCAGGCCTGCCGCGACGCCAACATCCACGACTTCATCCAGTCCCTCCCAGAAGGCTACGCCACACAGGTCGGCACGCGAGGCGTGTCCCTCTCGGGCGGCCAGCGACAACGTCTCGCCATCGCACGTGCCCTGATCCGCAACCCGACACTACTCCTCCTGGACGAGGCCACCAGTGCACTGGACAGTGAGAATGAGCGGCTCGTGCAGCAGGCCATCGAGGCCATTGCCTTCAGGCACAGTCGCGATGGGGATGTCCCCGACGACGACGGATCAGGTGAAGTAGGCCGCCGCGCGACAGGGAAACGAACCACCATCGCCGTGGCGCACCGTCTGAGCACTATCCAGCGATGCGACAGGATTTTCGTGCTGGCGCGCGGCACCGTCGTTGAGCACGGCACCCATGCCGAGTTGTATGCTCGCCGCGGCAGGTACTATCGCATGGTCCTGGCGCAGAGCTTGGATCGTGAAGTAGAGGTCTGAGATTGACTTGTGACGCTGAGACTATGGTGGTTGGTGAGCTGGTGATATTGGGTCTGTTGGTTGGTGTATTAAAGGCTGAGATTTCTAGGCAAGACAGTTAAAGTTGGGCAGATTGGCCTCATGTTGTGGAGCACCAGATAAATTTCAAAAGTTTATTCTAGATATTTACCAGCATAGACAAACGTCCGCGTGGCACACAAATCTCAAGGTACGAGTAGCATTTCAAGTTTTGACTGAGCATCAGAAGTTAAGAATCTTAGATTGCGGTCTATCATGACAAACAAAACCATCTATCGCAATAAATGAGACCTCAATGGTTGATTTTCCGCTGCCCTCCCCAAGCAGCATCTGTCTCACACCCTCCGTCTGGGCCCATAGAAACTCACTTCACAACCTTCCCAAACCTTTCCTTGACTCGCGCCAAGATGACAGCACCTAGATTCTCAATACTACCACCATTCAGCATTTCCAATGTGCTGACCGCGACCTCGAACTTGCGTTGAATCCAGTTCCGGACCTCGATGGTGACGAGACTATCGACCCCAAGAGCCATCAGGCTCCGGCCGAGCTCCATGTCGACTCCGTCCGTCGAGCGCATCATGCTCTCGTAGATGAAGGTCGCGAGCTGTAGCGTGATTAGGGTGAGTGTTGCTGGATCATCAAGGAGTGTCAGTGGTGAGGACGAGGTTCGCAGGCTACTCATGAAGAGTGATAGTGCATCGGAGGAGCCCGTTGTCGCTGAAGGGTTGTTGGTGCTTGAGTCGGCGAGGCGTGCGGCTTCTATGTTGCGATAGATGTCAACGCGGCGGTCGTGTTTCCATAATACATGGTTTGAGGGGTCTGTCATTGGCTTGGTCGCGCGAATGCCTAGTGCTAGCTGTGATTGTGAGGTATATCCGGGGTTGACGCCACTAGAAGGCGTTTTGGTGGCATGCTGTTGCAACAGAGATAGATGGAGGGCTTCAAAGAGTTCTTCCTCTGATTGGAAGGGCATGCCCGCAGTCCGAAAATAATCCTCGACGCTTTTGTTCTCACTGACATAACCGACACCAGACATGGCGCCGATGTTGAGCACGCTCGCAGGTAAACCGAGTGATTGACGATACTGTACGAATCCGTCCTGGAACGTGTTACCTGCCGCATAGTTTGCCTGGTGTGCAATGCCAAATGTTCCACTAATAGAGCCGAACATGACGAAGAAGTCGAGCGTGACATTCTGTTGGATCATGGCGTTGTGCAGATTCCATGTGCCAGCGACTTTGGGGTTGAGAGCCATAAGAAAGTCGGAATGTTTCATGCTGAGGAATGGCCTGTCTTGCAGAACCATTGCAAGGTGCAGCACACCAGCAATCGGGTGCTCGGCTGACGTGAGGACATTAAGCACGTCTGCCTCTTGGGCTATGTCTCCGGAGAAGGCTTGCACAGTGCAACCTTGGACCGTTAATTCACGAAAGAACTCCTTGTGAGGACCAGCAGAGCCAGCAGAGCGTGAAAGGTAGATGAAGTGACGGGCCCCATTTTCGGCCATGTATGTTGAGACTGCTCGACCTAGACCACCGACACCACCGACTACAAGGTATGCGACATCGCCTCGGAACTGGAGTTTCGGTGGTGCGATCGGTCCTTGCAAGGTGTCATGGTTTGTAGGTAGTTTGAATATGACAGAAGAGAACTTGTCATCCTTCTGGAGAACCTGTAGTGCATCTTGAAATTCTTCACAGCTGAAAATGTGGCGCGCGGAGATTGGCTGTATAGGCTCCCGACTGTAGAGAAGGAGAACCTCCTCAAGGAGCCTAATGAGTATTAGAAAGGGTGACTACGGTCTATAGAAGGGAGCTCACTTAGAATGGAAATCCTCCGCATCAGACAGATCTGCTCTGGAGATACTCTTGTTGCCAGCTAAAAGTTCCATATCCAGCTTTATATTGCGGTTCGCCTCTGGTGGACCAAGCTGGATGACCTACCACACCTTTATTAGCAATGTTACCCATTCAAAACTGCATAGTCACTCTCACCTTTCCTCCATTCGCCAATGATCTCAGAGAGACCTCCAGATGGTCAGCTGCCGAGATGTTTAGCACGATATCGACACCTCGATCGCGTGTGGCGGTTTTGATTTCTTTTGCCAATAATAGATTGGTAGATTTGAAAACGCGATCGCTTGTGAAACCAGTAATCTTTTGAAGATGGCTTGCTTCCTCATCATTGTCCACAGTACAGTAAACCTGGAGGGACATTGTTAGCAGACTGTTTCACGACAGAGGAAGGCATGAAGTCACCTCAGCTCCAATAGATTGCGACACTTTAATTGCTGCTGCACCTATATCAGAGTATGCAGAGTGGATCAAAACACTGTGCTCTGAATTGATACCCGCTAGGTGGGTCAGAGCGTAAACAACCGTAGCAAAGGGGATAGCAAGCGTGACGAATTCCTCTGCGTCAAGATCATCGGGAACTTTTGTGACGCTTGACGCAGCGGCGATAAGACTGGTGGAAATGCCATGCTTGCCTAGTCCCATGACACGATCGCCCACTTGAAGACCGCTGACACCAGTTCCGATTTCCGTAATCACACCAGAATATCCGCAAACAAGGGCATTGGCATTTGGAGCGATTGAGTTCTGTTAGGTGAATCGTTAGTACTCTTCTGGCTTTTGCGAATGTAGATATACTTACTTGAGAACCAATTGTGACGAAATCGGAGACAATCATCACCTCACTAGTTCCCAACACTTCGAGCGGCCGTGATTGCCAGCTTCCGACAGCAAATGTTCCTTTTCTGGAAACCTGGAAGGTTTTGGAAAACGAGTCGGTGTCCTGAGTCAAGGTAAGTTCGTCCGTAACACTCGCCCAGTGGTACCTTCCTACGTGGACAATGCCATTTTTGACCACAAACTCATGATCAGGATTCACAGAATTAGCAGTGTCTAGGAATTTCTTGAATACCCTGGATATCGCATGGGCGGACAGGTTAGTCAGACAGTCCGCTTCAAGGGTGGCAAATGATAGTGGCATCTCTGCACGAACGCTGCGCGCGAGTCCTAAAGTTAGGCTGTAATCTGGGTTGGTTGATTCGATCTGAGAGGGTCCCATGATCCACAGTAATCGTGCAGAATTGAGATGCGCGACGATCTGCTGGAAGTTCTCAAAGTCATTGCGTGAGATTTGGCTGAAGAAGGGGACGTCCAGTTCAACAAGAGATATGATGTCTTGGTAGGGCGCGAGTGGACTCCCGAATTCGCATATCTCAACACCGAAACCCAGATCTGTAAGGGCATCGATCAACGTATTCGCTGGATCACTGTTGAGTTGTTCTTGTCGAAGCAGCAGCGTTATCGTAGGGTAATCTTGCATACTCTGCTGGGGCCTAGCGATGATATTTGCACCAACAGAGGCATCAACGACTGGGTCATCACGAACCACAGCCTCGACACCAGAGAAACCGGCGGCCAAGAGCTCTTTATTCCACCGGTCAATGGAGATGATGGGCTCAGTAACTCGTCCATCTGCCTCACCAAGCCACCAGCCAGGCAATGGGCCCATGATTATGTTTATCATCTTGGCAGCTGCAGGTGTGAGCTCCTGGAGGAAAAATCGACCTCGAGGATGAAGCAATTTTCTCACATTCTTTAGCGTGTTGTTGAGGTAATCAGTAGCATGGATGACATTCGAAGCAACGATTAAGTCGTAGGTACCAGCTTCAAATCCTTGAGATATGGGATCTTTGCTGATGTCCAAAATCTTGAACTCCAAGGCTGGAAACTCAGCGAATCGCTCTCGTGCGGCGGAGAAAAAACCGGAGGATATGTCGGTGAATGTGTAATTTGAGTACATCGGCTCGCCCGCGATGGAGGTGAGCGACTTGAGAGCAACAAGTGTTGTTCCACCAGTTCCAGCACCTATCTCAAGAACTCGTAAATTTGGATTGGTATGCCCCAGGGAGACGAAGAAATCTGTTGACTCGATTCTGTCTCCTGTAATGCCATAAAGCTTAGTAAGACCATCATCTCGTAAGTAAATGTCGAGGACTTCAGTGGAACCGTCGAAGATACCTTCACAATTATCCAGAAGACGAGTTATAAGTTCTGCCACATTGACGAATTGTGTACATTTCAACACATCCTGTAGGCGGATGATGTGTGCAAGACGCTCTTCCGCACTGAGAGCGAGGACGTCCTGACTGTTTTGAACGATCCTGTTTTTCCCCAGTTGACCTTCCTCCACATGATCGTCTATCCATTTCCGGAATTTCACAAATTGCCAAGCAGAATCCGGCACGCTTCTCAGACGTTGTTGCATTTCAAATGTACAAAGAAGGCCGTATTCTTCAATGGCACGAATTTCCTCTGGATCTTTGTCATGAGAAATCATAAGATCTTCTATCCGGACAAAATCAATATCTGGTCGCCAACTTAGACGAGCGGCAGCAATTGAATCCTCATTGGCAAGATGTGCTGTCTGCTCAAATGCTGAGAGTTGGCAATCTTTTATGGAGAGCAGAAGCTGATCGTGAGCAAAGAGACACATTTCTCCTTGAATGTCTCCAGATTTCGTGACAGACGTTGCCCTTGCCTCTGCATGGAGCTGATGGGTAGGTTTGGCAGGTCTTATGTACAGTAAGTCAATATTCGTAGGAAGAGGAATCTTCTTCAAATTTCGAGGAAGTCCTTCAGCAGCTGCCATTCCAAGAAGTTGTAAGCACTGATCTATCGTTGTTGGATGTACTGGATATGGCGAACTGGTAGTAGGTGGATTTGCCAGCTGAGCCAGCGCTGATTGGTGACCAGGCAACGCGGTCAAATTTTCCAGACCTTGAAAATTTGGACCATAATGCAAGCCTATTGTGCGGAAGAATTCATATGGAGCTGTTACCCGCCGAGGTAGAGGCCTGGTGTTTGGAAGAGATTCAACCATCGGGCTTTCCGCGCCACCACCTCTCACCTGTCCATGACAATGTTTCATCCAAGCTTGCCCGTTGTGTGAAACTATACTGAAGTCATACCAATCGTTGTTGGCATAGGTGCCATGCGATTTTCGCAAGGAAGTGAACAATTCAATCGTGCTATCTTGTACAATCAGTGCTGTTTGAATAAGTAGATTTCGAATCGTGAAATCTTCGCGGCTGGAGATCTGGCGGGCTGCTTCTCCTGCCATCGCGATGTACCCAGCACAAGGGAAGACGACATCGTCCAGAACCTTGTGGTCTCGAAGCCATGTAGTGTCCTTCAGGAGTAAAAGATTCCTCCAAGTCGGCTCGAAGTCGTTACCTTCCAAGATTCGAGAGCCCAGTAGCTCGTGGGGAGGAAACTGACGGAGCCTCCTGTGGTAATATTAGTGTAGGTCAGACATATTTAGATACGAGCCGGCTTCTTACCACTCTCTCAAAACTCTGTTCTCGGCCCAGTGCGATGCTTCATGATCCCATGGATAACTTGGTAGATCGGTCAAGATACGGCCTCCCGTAGTCAACAGCCCGAGATTCAATGGTATCGTCTGGAGGTATAACTGGCCACACATGTCCAGAATACTGGATGTCTCATTTTTACCTCTGACGATTGACGAGGAATAGCTGAGCTTGATCTTTGAAGATGATATTTTGAATATCTGGCGTAGTGGACCGGCCAGGGCAGAATGTGGACCAATCTCCAGGAATAATTGATTTGATCCTTGACTCTCGATCATCGATTTGACCGCAGGAAAAAACTTTACCGGGGATTCAAGGTTCCGTCGCCAATAGTCAGCGCCGAGCTTGTCCCCGTCTAGAGCTTTGCCAGTAACACTGGAGAAGAACGCGGTTGTGGAAGATTTTGCTGTGACAAAAGCCTCGATATATTTCTCATATATTGGTCCGATGTCTGCCATGTGGTGGGAATGATATGCCATGCCATCGGTCTTCAGTCGTCGAGCGAAGACAGCGGCATCATCATACCTCAACTGCTCAAGCACACTATCAATCACATTGACATCGCCCGAAAGTGTGACAGACTGAGGACTATTCTCGCAAGCGATAGTAACACCTTCTTCAAGATACAGAGTCGCTTCCGCACGACCGATACCGACTGCGGCCATCGCACCTTTTCTTGAGCACAATTTGGTGGTGAGGCCACGATAAAAAGCGATCACAATCGCCTCCTCAGCTGTAACTGCTCCTGAAGCATAAGCTGCCGCAATTTCACCACTTGAATGGCCTGTCACAGCGGATGGAGTAACGCCTAAGGATAGCAGTAGGTTCACCAAGCCGATCTGGATCGCAGTGCATAGTGGTTGAGCAAATTCTGCCTTGTCCAGTCTACTCCTCAGCCCTTCGTTCAATAGCTCAGCTGAAAGATCCCATGATGGAGGATCCGGGAGCTGCTTGAGCACACTGTTTAGATAGACCAAGTCTTCTCGAAAGGCGGGAAAATCTTCTATGAGGCTTTTCCCCATCGTGGCCCATTGTGCTCCCTGACCAGTGAAAACAAAGTTGACCTTGGGTGCTTGCTTCACTCTTTCTGAGCTGATGATCTCGCCAACATGAGATCTAGTACTGATGGCATACGCCCTATGGGAGAGGTGATCCCTTCCATTGCTGAGCGTGTGTGCTAAATGCTTAAAAGACTCTGGGTGAGATGTGCCATAGGTGAGGACATCAGCAGCTCTCCTCTTCAGTGAATCTCCAGTCGAAGCCGAGAACACCAAGAGGTGTGACCTTGTAGCATCTGATCCATCGGCAGATTCGGTGGAGACACTAAGCCGCTGGTAAGAGTCTGCGGACTCAAGAATTGCGTGAGCGTTGGCGCCTGTGAGACCAAAGGAGTTGATACTGATCCGCTTGGGGCGATCATTGGGCCAAGGTGTTGCCTCCAGAGGCACGATGAGGCGTGCTCTTTGAAAGGGGATGTCGGGATTGGGTGTTACGAAGTTGACTTGGGGTGGGATTTGGTTCTTCTCCAATGCCAAGACCGCTTTGATGATGCTAGTGACTCCCGAGGCTCCTTCCCCGTGGCCGACATTCGGTTTGATACCTCCAATATACGTGTCCTGGGAGTCGCCAAACACGTTTGCGATTGCCTCAAGTTCAAGAGGATCACCCTTAGTTGTTCCTGTCCCATGTACCTCGACATATGGAGTCTCTGAAGGGCTTCCAAGCCCGCCAGCTTCATAAGCTCGTCGGATCAATCGTTCATGCGCTTTTGGGTTGGGATTGCTCAAACCTACGCTCCTTCCGTCTCCATTTACTGCTGAGGATCGGACAATTGCACGTATGGGATCTTTGTGTCGCAGTGCATCGTCCAAACGCTTGATCAAAATGGCATTTATTGCCTCTCCACGAGCATACCCATTGGCAGACGCGTCGAAGGTTCGGCACTCGCCAGTGGGTGACAAAACACCAGCTTCACACTGCGCGATTGTGCCAGTGGGCGTCAATATCAGATTGGTGCCCGCCACGATCGCTGCATCACACTCTCCATTGCGGAGAGCTTGCGAAGCCTATTGCATCTTTAGCTGTGGAATTGACTCACAAGCATGGGTCAATGCTTACCTCGTGAAGACAGATCATCGAAGACGCACATGCTGCTTTAATGGTCATGCTATCATTCACAGATTAGCATCTTGGCAGGTACGAAGAAGCCCATGTTCCAATCACCTTGGACCTTGCAGGTCGTATTCGTATGATATCCTGTTTGAGATAGCAAAGTCTCCAGCTCCGGCGGTATTGAGTATTCCCCCGGTCTGCTGAGGGTCCTTGGCCAGAAAATCCAACCAGTCCTATACAATCAGTACCTGGTGTTGGTGGTAGTCGGATGAGAACCATCAACTTACATCACCCCATGTGCCTACGAATACACCAGTATTACTGCCACGCCAGTCATGCTGGCCAGCATTTTCCATACACTCCCAGACGACTTCGAGCAACATGCGTTGCTGAGGGTCCAGCTTTTCGACTTCAGCTTTGCTCATGCTGAATAGTGACGTGTCTAGTACATCAAAAGCATCGGACTCATCGAGAAAATGACCATGGCGTACACTGACGCTCCCTGGCCGATTTGAAGCGTTGTAAAATCCATCGACATTGTATCGAGACATTGGTATTGGTCCTCTCGTCGTTTTCTTGTTGATGATAAGGTCCCATAATGCTTCTGGAGTGTGTATTTTTCCAGGGAGTCTCAAAGCCATGCCCACGATGGCTATGGGCTCAAGTGACGGTGTTGGATGACCGTTCTGCTGGCTTCCATTGGTAGATGCATGACCATTAGTATACCGATTAGCCTCAGTAACGGCATTGCCGTTTGAGATACTGCCCATAGTCGACGGATAGGTCTTGATACTGAGTGGTTTTCTTGTTTGTAACCTTAATGGCCTATTCACAATAACATGGCCAAAAGTTTAAGATAGAATGTAAAGGTTAGCGATATGCCCTGACTTGGTACCAGAGCGATAGGCAGCTTCAGCACGACACAGCAAAGAAAGCTCTCCACTATAGGAACTTCAAAGCATACCGCATATTCATTGTGTATACCATTTCATGTAGTTGAAGGCACCAATCAGAGCACCGATCACCGTCTAGGAAGGTCTAGAGCAAGATTCCAGTACTTGAGCCCGAGGCGTGACAGTATGACACCCGTAATGTACGGTACGGTATCTCACCGTAACGCCACTTCCAAGTTGATTTTTGATACCTGGCTAGCCTGTACATCAGACTTTAAGAGCGATACCGGACAACTTTGAAACCGGTCACTAACTGTGCATGGCGTCTTCATGCACTGCATGTTGTATCGGAGGATCGAGATGCAGAACATCCTTGCGAGCGCTTTACACCAGATGAATGGCATAGCCGTGATATGCCCCCTTGTGAGCAGATTGCCTGAGGTTGCATCGTTGAGTTCGATATAGTCAATAGGCTAAGCCACAGTCCCGAATATCTCACTCAACGCCCTAAACATCAATCTGCCGAAGATATCGCAGGGGAGGCTCCGCTCGACTCGACAAGGGCTTGCTAGCCATGTGCAATAATATTTTGTTCGCTCCTGTTTACCAACTCGGCAGATGGCGTGATACTGCGGCGTTGGAAGTTATGGAGCCTCAGAGGGTCATGGGTACGATAGAAGGCAATAATGAGTCTATTTACCCGGAGACAGCCCAGAGATGTATTGATATCTACATAGGCGCCTAGACTAGAATAGCATGTGGGGATCTTCAGTCAGCACCCAGACCCCATCAAAATGTAATCAGGTGGGAACGCCTCGGGCCATCACATAGGCACGAGGAATAGCCTAAGGGACCGAAGACGCCCGAATCCGAACTAATTGAAATATCCACTGTACGAACCTGAGGAGCCCCATATTTTGATAAGGCTGAGGATTTGAGGGGCCGCCAGAGCGCGAGGTTTTCCCCACACTGATCGGTCTGGGTCCTCTCCGCGCTTTTGTTTTCATCACGGTCTCCGTAATCGTGTCATATCTTAGCAAACGCACAAGTGGCATACGCTCTACAGGTCTCCTGAGACGTTGATAACAGGTATTTACCGACTATTGCCCGTCACCCCTTGAACCCAGTAAATAGCACCCAGTGAATAGCGTGGTTATATCTCCCCCGAATTACTCGTGGGGACATTGTCTTCTGAGTGGCTGGGGTTCATTCTCCACATCACAGATAGGTGGCGTAGATAGACCTCGTATGCACTTGAAATAGTCCAGACGAAGGAATGACGCATTCTCATGCATACTTGGACTGACTACCTGGAACAGCTAATCATTCGTCGACCGCTTTAGTCTAAACTCTCTCTCCACTCCCGATGCCAGATCTACGCTTCCATGCAGCGGGCCTGACAATTTCATCTCATGCCACTGTGATAATCAATCAATTATCATGTGCTATTAGCCTAAACAGTGATTTCTTCACGATCATCAACCATTGTCGGCACATCTTGACGTACCGGCATGTTGATTGACGCAGGCAAAGCTTCATGCTCTCCATCTCGCTTGAATTGCCCTTTGACTGCTTGCCATACGAAGTCACTCTGCAACTTCATGAACGCTGGCATTGTGGATCCGTGTAGCACATAGATGTGCTCCTTTCCGGGCGCAATAAATTGTCGTTTTGGACCATGGAGTGACTGGAATACTTCCGTCTGTCGCTCTGGTGGAGAGATCTGATCTAGCTCTGGTGTGAGGAAGAATATCGGCGTTGGATTGACCTGTCGGACCATGGCCAATGGAACCGGCTCGAACAGGAACATTCGGTGATAAGACTGGATTGTCGTGCCATATGGGTTGTGCGTTAGTGTGGCATCGAAATCTTCGCCGTTCAGGATCTCCCTCCTGTGGTTTTCCGAAGGCTCGACTTGCTCCACGACATCCTCCTTGGTCACGTCCTGATTGACTTCTTGACCTTCATTAGCGTTTACGTGAGAATTGAACGGGATCTCCGCCAAGGACTCCATCAGCGGAAGAATGTACGGCGGGTTTCCATGGATGACTTGAGATTCTCGATCCTTCATCAATTTGGTCTTCAGTCTCCGAGAGTCCGCCGCCTTGACAGGTACAAACTCGAAGATTGGTGCAATTGCGATCACTCCTGCGATACGCCGATCAATGGCTGCCGCAGATAAAGCGATTCCTGCAGAGAGTGAGATGCCCCAAAAGAAGATTGCTTTGGAGTCGACGATTGGCAGTCGACTTAGATAGATGAAAGCGTCTGAGTAATCCTCTGTCTGCTTGAAAGGATTGATATCGTTGCGGGGAAATCCCCCGCTGGTCCCCGTATTTCGGGGATCATAGACAAGGGCTGTGATACCAGCCTTTTGAAATTCTTCAGGTACTCCAGGAGGGAAGTTATCAAGCACCACATTGTACTGCCTGACCGTCAATCCCCCGCCCTGGAAGGGAATGGAGTGATACTCACACCAGGGGTCAATATAACTGCAGGGCCTCTTTGAGATGCCGAGTACAATTTCCCACGTAGCCATACACGATCAAGGCCCTGGAACTTGATATTCTGGAACGTGTCCATCTTAGAATAGTAAGACGTGGTGAAAGCTGCTGAATGCTGATCTGGAACAGTCGCTGAGAGGACGAGTATTCTTCTACCAGACAGCGAACGTTTCGGGGTCAAATTGCTCCCTCCGTGGACTGAAGGCCTGACTTTCTCCATTGCGAAACATGTTCATTCTTTGTACCAGGTTGCATTTTTAGCACCTTTGGGCATCCATGATGGTGGAGCGACCTACCGTTGCCTTCTTCAAATCATCCCTACAACGAGGATCCACCACCGATCTGAGAATAGCTAGCACGATCAGCAGGTACCCACGTAGGATTAAGATGCCAGGAACAAGCACTTCTACCAATGTTGTGGCGATGCAACACTAGTTGGTTAGCAAAAAAGATCACGCCTAAGAGATTACCGATGGAAGGGACACCTGAAACAAACATCAAATAGACGATACTTCTGTAATAGTAAATACCAGTTGAATAGTTTAGGCTAAATCGCCCGCAATTCTATACCCATCATTATTCAAAGAAGTGTACTCGCGTGTGGGGCGCCCAGGGGAGCCACCGCGAACTTTAAGCATTAAGGATCTCCCGGAGCGTGGAGTGAACTGTGTGGGATTGGAGGGATGACAAAATCATCCCGGCGAAGACTCCGGCGTTAGCCCAAGTGGGCAGGTATATTTTCAAGAGAAGCACAGCTGAAAACATGTGCTGCAAACTGTACAAGATAGGTCGTTGTTTCTGTCAAGTTTGTAGTTGTCGCACTTACCTGTACATGGCAGTGTTGGGGAGGCGCCCCCCTCCCCTGCTCAAGTTACAATCTGTTTGAGCGGTCTGTACGTCACCCACCCAGGTCTTTGATCTCCTTGTATTGCAACTAACTGGAAGCGATTTGCATCCAAACGATGGGTAGCTCGAATTCTGACAGGTGGAGATATAAGTTCCCGCCAGGTTTGATAGTGTTGACTCTCAATGGTCCCAAAGGAGCTACGGTTCGATGAATGAGCCTGAGATGTGCCGAGGATTTCCAAGAAACCCCTGCTCGATCATGAGATTGAAGATTCCGAAAGTCAACCCAGCAGTAAAAGATTTTTTCATGCTTTTCAAGATAAGAGCCTGAAAACGAGATGCCAGGGGTACCCTGTACTACTAGACATGTACGTTGCTCGTATCTCACAGATATTTCCACCGAAATTGGAGCCGTAGAGTAATCTCATTATCCGGGATGGAAGTCGGCGTCAATGAGCGCCGTAAATATTCTGATATTGCAGCTTCAATAAGTTGACAGAGCCCAATACTGTCATTTCATTTTGAGCATGACAATGGAGCTAGCAAAGATACTCGATATCAAATTTACCCGAAGGTAAGAATGTCAACAATCGTGAGGCCCCGGAACGTTTCGATCCACATGGAATTTTGCCGATGAGCATTGTAGGACGGCCCCAGTTTGGGAGGTGTGATGATGGTCAGTGTGAAGGCCAGCAACGGGTCTTGACAGGACTTGATATCTCAGCCGTGCCGGAAATATCTCACAGAGGTATCGGGAAGGCCGATGATCTCATGATTGTTGAGTCTGACCACTGCCATGAGCTATCTCACAGCGGAGCTTCTCGCATGGGCCCCAGAAGAATGGAAGGGAAATTCCAGGCCCCAACAAGCAGGCCATGAATGAAACGGTGTCACTTGCCTAGACGAATAGTACAGAACCCAAGATTGTAGGGAGTGCCAGCAGAATAGCTTTGACAGTAGGCTAAGATCTTTTGTCGCTTCAATTGAGCTGTCTCCTGAAGACATGTAACAGCATCATAAACTTCCCTAGCATTCATTTTCAACATCACTCTGGTGTCTTCAACGACCAGAAAGTCACTGATATGTCTCCAGTCCATCCAGAGCCTATTGCAATTGTCGGATTTGGTTTCCGGCTGCCTGGCGGTGCCACCAATGCAGAGGGATTATGGGAGATCCTCGCTGAAGGCCGGCAATGTTGGACAGATGTCCCAGAGAGCCGGTATAACTGGAAAGGGTTTCATCATGCGAACCCGGATGCAAAAGGCACTCACAACGCAAGAGGAGGTTTCTTCTTAGAGCAGAATATTGCTGATTTTGATGCGCAATTTTTTGGCATGTCAGCGACAGAGTCGGCGGCAGTAGATCCTCAACAGAGACTACTGCTGGAAGTGTCATATGAGGCATTGGAAAATGCTGGATTACCACTCGAACACCTTCGAGGTTCTCAGACTGGGGTATACGTCGCCCTTGTAAGTCGTGATTATGATCGTCAAATATATAAAGACCCGATGCAGATACCAAAGCACCACTTGACGGGCTGTGGTGATGCTACTGCTTGTGGTCGGATATCATATGTCTTCGATTTCAAAGGCCCGTGTATGAGTCTCGATACCGGTTGCTCGGGTGGCATGGTGGGAGTACACCTCGCCTGCCAGGCGCTCCAACTAGGTGAGAGTAGCCTGGCGTTGGTCGGAGGCACCAACCTGTTACTAGGGCCGGATATGACGATGGCAATGAGCAACTTGCAGTGAGTGATGGATGGCAGGACTTGTGACAATATGTACTGCATGTACTGACTGATTATAGCATGGTGAACGATAATGGAAGATGCTATCCATTCGATAGTCGTGGAGCCGGATACGGCAGAGCGGAAGGGGTGGCGGTTGTGGTCCTCAAAAGGCTGAGCGATGCGCTAAAAGACGGAGACTCCGTCCGAGCAATCATACGGGGCTCGGGAATCGGTCAAGATGGCAAGACAAACGGAATCCTGCTCCCAAGTTCTCAAGCTCAGCGAGATCTGGCAGCGTCTTTGTACAAGAAGAGCGGCATAGATCCACAAAAAGTCGCCTATGTCGAAGCGCATGGGACCGGCACACAGGCAGGCGACGCTGCAGAGGTTAATTCAATCAAGGAGGTATTCATAGGAGACCAGTCAACACGAAACATCCCCCTCCTACTCGGCTCGATCAAGGCGAATCTCGGGCATTCAGAAAGTGCAAGTGGTTTGGCTGGAATACTCAAAGCAACACTCTCGCTAGAGAAGGCTTTGATCCCACCCGTGGCTCAGCTAGTGATTCAAAAAGAAGATGTCACCAAAGCCATCCGTGATTCTGCGGTTCATATACCAACAAAATTGGAGCATTGGCCCCACAGCGGAGTCCGCTATGCCTCTGTAAACAGCTTTGGGTTTGGAGGTAGCAATGCGCATGTCATACTAGAATCAGCACCAGAGTTCGACGTGCCTTCTGCTACATCCCCTCATTCCGACTGGAAGACATCAACAAGCAATGGCATTAACAGAGTTGAGACAAACTGCTCTTCACCAGAGAGGCTACCATCAGGTTCAATGTGTCAGCATGAGCTCTTTGTTGTTTCCGCGCGTTCCAAGCCATCTCTGGAACAGATGACGGCCGATTTAAAGCTTTGGCTTGAAAGACAAGAGTTAACACCAAGTCTGATACAAAACCTCGCCTATACACTAAATAAACGCCGCTCGAGGTTCAACTGGCGCTCGAGCTTTGTCGCCTCTACCCAATCAGGGCTATGGGAGGCTTTAGGTGCAGCTCGCCATATCAGGTGCTCCAACACTTTGAATGTGGTATTCTTGTTCACAGGTCAAGGTGCGCAGTATGCAACCATGGGTCGAGAATTACTTGGCTTCTCCAACACTTTTGCCAACTCCTTGCGGAAGTCTCAAAGAATTTTGAGAGAGTTGGGTGCTTCTTGGAATCTGCTTGATGAGTTATCCAAGCCAGAAAAGTCATCAAGAGTGAACTCGAGCGAGCTATCGCAACCAACGACAACCGCCATTCAGGTGGCGCTAGTTGACCTCCTCAAAGACTTAGGTGTGCAGCCAAGAGCGGTAATAGGGCATTCAAGTGGAGAAGTTGGTGCGGCTTATGCAGCTGGAGCCCTCACTCAATATGATGCTTTAAACATAAGCTATCACAAGGGTTTTGTGGCTGACTGGTGCCGGCAAGTCGTCAAAACAAAGGGTGCAATGCTTGCAGTGGGCCTAGGTGAGCGACAGATCTCGCAGTATCTTGAACAGGTTCACTGCGGTACTGCATCCGTTGCATGTGTGAATAGTCCGTCTAGTGTGACCGTATCAGGGGACGAATCGGCAGTCTTCGAGCTTCAGAAACTTCTCAACGACGACTCAGTGTTCAACAGACTGTTGAAAGTCGACATAGCATACCACTCGCATCATATGAAAGCTGTGTGTGGCACATTCGGAGATGCTATTTCAGCGGTGAAAAACCAGGATGTCACAAGTGGGACGTCGTTCTTCTCGTCGGTGACTGGTAAAAGCAAAACAACCAATTTCGGGCCTTCGTATTGGGTTGATAATCTGGTATCAAAGGTCCGCTTTTCTGATGCGCTTGAAAATCTGGTGGAGACGTACCGTGGATCTGGATCCCCACCTTTGCACTTTGTTGAGGTTGGACCACATTCAGCCTTGCAGGGCCCGATACGTCAGATCCTCACTTCCTTTGAGGCGGAGTCAGTCAAGTGGTCGTATTCATGCACACTTGTCAGGACGAAAGACGCTCATCAGGCGGTCCTTGAAGCCTTAGGAAATCTTTGGGAGCAAGGTATCAGTGTTAACATGGACAAGGTGATTGCTTTGCGACCAGAAAGCTCGAGCGCCAGACGCAGGCCTTTGACTGATCTTCCCCCATATCCGTGGGAGCACTCTTCCACACACTGGTTCGAGTCTCGTCTCAGCAAGGACTATCGCTTGCGTCAGCATAGACCACACGATCTGCTAGGTCTCAGGCTGACAGGGACCACAACAATAGAACCGGTGTTCCGACACATTCTGAATGTGGATGATCAGCCATGGTTGCAACAGCATATTATTGATGGCTTTGCACTTTACCCAGGATCTGCGTTTCTAGTTCATGCCATAGAGGGTCTCAAACAAATCTCACAGGACCGTGGGCAAGTAGCCATCCAAGAATATTGCTTTAAGGATGTTTCTTTCAACAAGGCACTCGTGGTGCCCAGTTCTCCTGCAAGTGTTGAAATCTTGGTAAGCTTAAAACCAAGCAGGATGAGGAACGAACGGCTCAGCATGACATGGCTTGACTTCCGTGTCACTTCACAATCCCAAGAAGGCGTATGGAATGAACACTGCCAAGGTTTTATCAGAGCTGGCTTTGGTACAGGGGATGAGTCGCCCCTCATCGTCACGGACCAGATCGAGAAAGCCCATCAAGCGTGTGAGTTGAACATGCCGGCGGCTCATTTGTATGAGGACCTCCGCCACAATGGCATTGATTATGGAGAAGATTTCTCGATTATCAAAAGACTGAAAATCGGTCATCAGCTCGCAGTTGCCCATGTCGAAATTCCAGATATCCGTAGGTGCATGCCTGGCGGCGAGATTGAGCCACACGTCATCCACCCTGCACTTTTCGACGCTTTCATGCACGTGGCCATTCCAATCTATCATCGGCATTGCACCCGAGGGCCAGTTATGTTGACTCACATTGGGGAAGCTTCCGTTTCAGCAAGTATCGTCAACAATCCTGGTGCAGAATTGGCTGTTGTTTGCAAATTGACTCAAGCAGAACGACGTTTTGGAGCAGTGAATGTGAGTATTGCCCAGAGTGATGAAAGGGGAGTTTGGCATGAAGTTTGCAGCTTGACCCAGGAGGAATTTCGAAGCATTGGCGAAGGAGGGAATCAAAAATCCAGTCCAGCATCGGTATTCCAATCGTACAATTTGGAGTGGTGTCCCCTCGCCCACTGGCCGTCACAATCACGATTGAAGCCCACGCAGAGGATCGAAATTTCGCAAATAAGTGGAAGTCGTTTTGCGACAACACTGGCTTTTGACCTTGCTAATCATCTTCCCAATGAATGCCAGGGAACCGTCGTGCAGTATAGACCGGAGTTAATGAACGTCGACTCCTTACAAGTTGTCATCAACGAATGGTCATCGGCCTCTCGTGACGATCACATCAACCAGTCCAGGGTCCAAGAAACTGCAAGACAGCTCGCCCAGTTCAAATCGGTACTTTTGGTGAGTATTGCACCAATCAAGCCGGCTGTTCCGATTGTGACAGCAGTAAACCCCGTAACACGACGAGAAGGGCAGAAATTGGTAACGTTGGAATACCAAGATATCTCCAGCGATGAACACAAGCTTATCCATTTGCTTGAGGAAATTATTACAACATCGTTTGCAGTTGGTCATCAGTCGGCAGGAAGTGGTGCTGACTATCGGTATTGTGATGGAACGCTCATGGCACTTAAACTTGTCCCACACGAACCTACTGCTGCTCGACTCAAGTCGATTGAGGTTGAAGAACCTGTTAAAGGCATTGCTGCGTATCACCAACCCCATCGATCCATAAAACTTGATTTCACAACACCCGGACTTCTGACCAGTGCGTGTTTCATTGAGGACGAGAAACCTCAGACAGCCGCGAACACTGAGCATGTACTAGTCAAGGTTCATGCTCACGCAATCAACCAGACTGATGTTGCCATCGCATTGGGAAGGGCATTGCCATCCGAAGCAATGGTGGGTGAGTTTTCTGGTGTTGTAGTTGGGGTTGGCTCAGGCGCCGTGGACAAATTCAGCATTGGTGACAGAGTTTGTGGCTGGGGTTCATCGCCATACACGAACATTGCCAGTGTCAACTTCAATTTTCTGCATCGCATTGCCGATGATGTTTCTTTTGCAGAAGGGGCCACAATACCTCTGGCATTCCAGACCGCGTACCACGCTCTGATCGATCTCGCGCACATGGAAAGCTCTCAGAGAATTCTTATTCATGGTGCTGCCGGAGCCGTCGGACAGGCAGCAATACTGCTTGCGCGACATATCGGAGCTGAGATATATGTCACTGTCGGAGATGAAAAGAAGATGCAGATGCTGATGAACACAGTTCACATCGATCCAAACCACATTTTCTCAAGTCGAAGTGCGGTGTTTGCGCATAAAATACGCGAGCTGACTGGTGGGACGGGTGTTGACATTGTCCTGAATTGTTGTTCGACCGATCTGATTGATGCTAGTCTATCTTGCGTCTCCGAGTTTGGGACTTTCATTAATCTTCCTAAATCTGGTGCGGAGTTGTCGGCATCAAGCTTAAGAAACAACATCTCGGTTGTCTCCGTCGACATGGACGCACTCAGGAATCGACACCCTGCTAAAACGCAGACCAAATTTCAGAAAGTTATGGCACTGTATAACGAAGGCTTTTTGGGGCCGCTTCGGTACACTTGTCTTCCGATGGAAGAGTTCGTGCAAGGTTTCAAGCTCGTTCAAACCCAAAATGGTGTCGGCAAGGTAGTTCTGAGTGCAGATGATACTACACGTGTAAGGCAGGTACTCGAAAGGCCAGATCTTGATGCTGAGGCAACTTATGTCGTGCACGGACCCCACTCTGTGACCAGCAAGAACATCGTCCAATATCTGAAAGAGCATGGGGGTGCACACGTGTTCCATATTTCCAACACAGGTGAGATAGAGCGACATTCTTCGTCTGGAGTTCAGAAGTTAGTCGACTCCAAAGATGAATGTTCTAGCATTAAATCGGTGGTTCGAGACTCTCTCGCCAACATGCCGCCAATTAAAGGGTTGTTTGACTTGAGAGTATGCGATGAGGTGATTCAAGGGTTTTCCTTGTTTGATGTGCAGCTAACAACCTTGCAGATTGAATCGTCACTGGTTGAAACCACGAAGAATGGTGGAAACCCTCTCAAGCAGTCTGATGCGATCACAACAGGAGTACTCACGGATATCCTACAGGATCAGCAACTTGATTTCTTGATCACTATCTCTCCTATGGCAGTCCTTGCGGAGAGTGGGAATGTGAATAGGACAAGCATTGGCACGAAAATCGGGAGAGTGACTCAACATCATATGCGTTTGTTCTTACCGGACCCCGCAATAATTCAAGGTCCTTTTCCAGCTGAAGGTCTGCTAGGACGCGATGATAATGGTAAGACCAATGAGGCATGTGTGACTGCGCTATGGGATTACGGCATAAGCCGTATGGCCAACAAGGAGGCTACACTCGATCTCTTTTTTGTTGATCATACTCAGCTCGAACGTTTTGCAAGCGAGACAGGCTTGAGACAACACTTTCCCTTCTTCAATGACTTGGTGAGCGTTAGTGTCTCCCACAAAGGTCAATCAGAACACAACGTGGAAAGTGTTGGCCAAAAGCTGAAGAAGACAAGCGATGAGCATCAGGTCCATAAAATCATACTCGATGAAGTGTGTCGGCAACTGGTTGATTTTTGTGCATTGGAAGTCGAAGATATGACAGCAGAGGCTGCGATTGCCGATATTGGGTTGGACTCGCTCCTCGCGATAGAGTTCAAAAACTCGATAGTCAAGACCTTGGGCGCACAGATGCAGACGACCGAAATCCTCGATGCACCTACTTTGAACGATCTCACCAAGTTGATAGCTCAGAGGTCGAAGTTTGTGACCGATACTTCGAAAGTCGAGGGAGTTATCGCAAATGGCCATGGAGTGGATAGACACGAAGCACTCTCCGACTTCAACAATGTGGATACCAGCGATTTGAAGCTACCTCTACTGCAGATCCCTCCACTCAAAAGCCTTATAGACAGGCACCTTACCTACGTCAGGGCTTTCGCGTCTGAAGAAGAATTCCAGGTAACGAAAGGGATAGCTGATCGATTCCAGCAACCCAGCGGTCCTGGATCTCGATTATATGACCGCCTGCTCGCTGTGAAGGATGCTAATCCCGAGGACTGGTATCACGATCTCTATCTCAAAAGTCAATACTTGGCACGAAAAGGGGCACTTGCGCCATACATGCTTTTCTTCTTCAGCCATCCTTTAAGCTTGGTACAACATAGCCAGTCCACACGGGCGGCGTTGATCACGTCGACGTTGATACGGTACAAGAATGCGTTGGAAAATGGTAAGATAAAGCCAAGATATTTGCATGAGCAGCAGCTATGCATGGACCTGTACAAAAATCTTTTCAACACATGTCGTAAGCCTCAACTCGGGCTTGATAGTTTCGAGAAGTACAATGGCGTTGAGTATTTCGTTGTCTTGAGACAAGGTCATGGATACAAGGTGGATTTTAGGGGAATTGAGGAGAACCTCGACCATGAGACCCTCGAAGCAACATTTGCAGGGATCCTTAAACAAGAGCCAATTGACATCGATTGGACAGGGATACTGACTGCAGACCACCGTGTCTCGTGGGCAAGGAATTACCAGACTTTCGTCAAAACCAGTCTTCAGAATGCCAGATACATCGAGACAATGGAAAGAGCCGCGTTCATCATCTGTCTTGACGATGCGCAGCCTGAAACTCCTGAGAAACGAGCCCGTCAGATCCATTTCGGAAATGGCTTTAATCGATGGTTTGACAAGTCAATGCAATTCGTGGTCTGCTCAAACGGAATCTCCGGGATCGTAGCTGACCACACGGGGCTTGATGCTCCAACAGTGCAGGAGCTAAACATGCTGATAGCAGACGCAATCAGTAAGTATGATCCAAGTGGGAACAGTTTGGCAGGCAGAAGCCTTGAAGCAGAGAAGTTGGCACACAATGGTTTTGTTGGAATCGATGAGGAGATCCAAAGGATTAGGGTCAACTTCGAAAATGCAATCGGTACACAGCATCACTTTTTCCCAGAGTCATTGCCATGGGGCTCATCACTGGTCAAGTCGTATAAATTGCCTCCGAATAGCATATTTCAGCTTGTGGTTCAAATAGCTGCCTTTCGCTATTTCGGCTATATCCCTGCGACCTGGGAGACTGTTCTCCAGTCAACTTTTCATAAAGGCCGGGTGGAAATCAATCAAATTGTCTCGCAGCAAGTGGCCACCTTTGTCAAGGCAGCTGTAGACAGTGAAGTACCTGTCGCTACCTGCAGACAGCTTCTGACTGAAGCGGCCAGGACACACTCTGGTACTGTTCTATCATGTACAAGGGCTGGTGGTTCGGATCGATTCCTGACGATACTGAGAGACATGGTAGAAGAAGGCGAGGAAGAGCCTGAGCTGTACAGAGACCCTGTGTACAAGCGTTCAAGACCACGAAAACTTATGAGCAGTTGCTTCAAAACACACATGGCGGAAAATGGCTGTTTCATGAAGGATGGCAATGCCATTTGGTTACATTTTGAGGTTGAGGAGGACCGGTAAGTTGATTCGAGTAACCCATTGTGTCAACACTAACTCGGAATACAGAGTCAAATTCTGTGGCGTTGGAAGAATTGGAGAAACTGAAAAGTTTAGTAGTGAGCTGGCCAGAGCAGCGGAACAAATGAGAAGGATACTTGAAACATGAAGGAATGGAAGAGTCAGAGGAGTTTCAAATCGCTTGTAGAGAAAGGAAGCTGTGAGTGATAAAAAAGAAAATAGCACGTGACTCACCGCTCCTCGCTCAACCACTTTCGTTAACCCCTAGGTAGTTAGTTAGTCCTCTAACATTGCCCGGGGACGCCCGTGAGGCCGCCGAATTGTGAATGCCTATAGGCGGTTCAGTAGTTTCATCGTATCTTGTGAACATCCCTGAGGGGTCCCCTCTGTAGGCGGTAAGAGTCTGACATGGGCAATTTTTTCCCCATTCTCCAACTGTGAACCTCACATCAATCTGCACATTTCGTGTAGACCACTGGGAGATTGCAGAATAGTCAGTTCCTTTTTTACGCATCTTTATTCGCGACTAGAGGAATATGGTTTGGTAGGAACCTCGCTGGATGCTGATGCTGGATAGGACTTCAAACTTGCTGTCGCTCGCGATACCTGTTCAATTACCATGGTGGGAGCCATGACTCCGATCTCCAACAGAGCGCTCTCCAGGTCTCTACTCCTTCAAAGTCGCTTGTTGAACCAACGTTGTAGTCGATCGTTTTCCTCGGGTAAACATATTTCAGCACTGGACAAAATCTTCCGAGTCTCAGAAGAAGTTCAAGATGCTCTTGCAACAGGGAAGCCTGTCGTTGCTCTTGAGACAACAATTTACACCCACGGTTGGTCGGCAAAGAGCCTCCTTGTCACCTAAGGCTCATGCTTATCAGGCTATCCCTACCCCGAAAACGTCGCTCTCTCATCCCACCTCGAGTCTCTTGTTCGCGTCAATGGCGGCGTTCCTGCCACAATTGGCGTTCTCAATGGGGTCGCACAAGTTGGAATGGGTCCCGAGCAATTGATTGAGCTCGTCAAAACAGCTGGGCAGAAAACTACCTGGAAGCTTTCGAGGAGGGATCTCGGGTTCATCGGTGGTCTGGGCCTCCGGGGACAGAGACTGAACGGTGGTACCACGATTGCCGGGACCATGATTTTAGCACATCTTGCTGGAATCAAAATTTTCGCGACTGGCGGCCTCGGTGGCGTTCACCGTGGAGGTGAAAACTCAATGGATATCTCAGCAGACTTGACAGAGCTTGGACGCACTCCAGTCACGGTCATTAGTTCTGGCTGTAAGAGTTTTCTCGACATTGCTCGCACCTTGGAGTTTCTTGAAACGCAAGGAGTGGGTGTAGGCACGTTCGCAGATGGACGCAGAGGGGATGTGGAGTTTCCTGCGTTCTTCTGTAGAGACAGCGGGGTCAAAAGCCCCCAGACCATTCGTGATGAAGTGGACGCAGCCGCTATCGTTTATGCTCAGTCGGCTCTGGGACTACAGTCCGGCTTCCTCTTTGCAAACCCAGTTCCGGAGGATTCTGCCATGGTCAAGGAGGAGATAGATAGCATTATCTCCGCAGCCGTGGCCGAGTCCCAGGAGAAAGGTATCAGTGGCAACGCTAACACTCCTTACATTCTCAAAAGGATACGAGAATTGAGCGAAGGTAGGAGCATCAAGGCTAATACTGCATTGGTCGAAGGCAATGTTATTCGCGGAACAAAAGTTGCCGTGGAATTGGCAAAATTGGAACGAGGAAATGGTGTTGCACCACCGCGGTGAGCCATGTTAGAACGTCACATTTAGATATGTTGCTCATGTTGACTTGATCTAGACATGAAAGCATCATCGTGCCTCGATCTAAGCCACTTGCCTTGCCAGCTTCCCCAAACCCCTCGCATACGGGTAAACCGAGTCAGACACAGGCTGGAGCAGTTGATGTGCTAGTTGCGGGATCCCTTGCAAGCGACACAATTTGTGACTATCAGCCCCTGGACGATGATCCAACAAAAAGTTCACCCATCTTGAGTACTTCCAATCCCGCCCAAATAGCCCAGGCAGCAGGCGGCGTGGGGCACAATGTTGCTCTAGCAGCTCATTTTGCTGGTGCCAAGGTCAGTCTTGCCAGCGTTGTAGCCGATGATCTTGCAGGAAACACTCTTATCGAATATATGGCCAAGAGTGGTCTACCAACCAGACATATATTGCAGATTCCTACCGCATCTGGAGCCAGAACCGCCCAATATATGGCAGTTAATGATAGGAACAAAGACCTTGTCGTGGCGATGGCCGATATGTCAATTCTGGTGAGATCAGAGTTGGAATCCCTTGAATACTGGACGAGCCTACTGGCCGAAAGCAAACCAGAGTGGGTTGTTGTGGATGCCAACTGGTCCCCGTCAATCCTATCTTCAATTTTGACTGCTGCACAATTAAACAAGGCAAATATTGCTTTTGAGCCTGTCTCTGTCGCCAAAGCAGCTCGGCTCTTTCATAAGGACAACACTGCAATTACGAGACGGAAAGTGGTACCTGAGCATATCGTCAATCTCGCGGCTCCTAACCAATTCGAATTGACCGCGCTCTTCAATGCTGCTCGCGAAGCATCAATGTTCGAATCAGAAGAGTGGTGGACACTGATCGACAGCTATGGGCTCTCAGCTTCGACTTCGCGCGCTAGGCTCACCGCTGTCGCAGGGCGCGATTTGGTCGAAGAAGGAATTCCACAACAGTGCATTCAACTTCTTCCATTCATCCCAAACATGGTCATCAAGCTTGGACGTAAGGGTTGTCTTGTGGCGAACTTACTGAAAGAGGATGATGCAAAACTAAGGAATCCGGATTACGCGCCTTATATCGTCGCGAGAAGTCATGCTGAGGACAGACGTATTGGAGGTGTTTACATGCGCCTTTTCAGACCTTCTCATGAGGTGCAGCAATCAGAAATCGTCTCTGTCAATGGCATTGGCGACACAATGCTGGGAGTGATAGTGGCCGGACTTGTTCAACGTCACACACTCGAGACAGTTGTGCCTATTGCACAAGACGCCGCTGTGCTTACTCTGAAATCAGCTCAACCTGTCTCGCCGGAGGTACGAAGCATTCAGGCAAGACTGACTGGCAGATCATAAAGTTTCATTTTTGACCGAGACGATTGTATGCAGTGTAAGTCAAGGCGTGTAAACCGAGAAATTTTGGGGCAACCAATCTGGGGATCAGGATGCTTGGAGCCTCGGCTTACTCATGATCCGGCACTTGCCGCCTCATAAACCTCATGCTATCACCTCAATACCACCAAGAAACGTCAACACATATATGCTCATTTCAGTTCATGGTCAGTATGGGCTGCGGCTCTGGGGCAGCCAGCGGACGACTCACAGACCTTCTTGGTCTCATCATCAGTGTTCTCGCAACCTCAGCAATCGCATTTAATGCTTGTTCTAACAACGCCACAGCCCTACAGAAGCCTGACCGCCTTGCCCAAACCTTGAGCTATCCGGGATCGGAGGAGCGAGTGAATATTTACGAGCGTCAACAGTATTCATGCCTAAATCCTTCAACGCAGCAGTTCTGCGATCCGAATTATTGCTTCTTGATGCAGAGTAACGCCGATGGGTCATGGGGAACTTGCTGTCCCGCTGGATCGTCTCTGATCTTGTATGGAGGAGGTGAGGACCACTGGTCTTCACAGAATTGTTGTCCATCAGGAGCGTCTGTCGAACAATGCAAAATCGAGGACATTTCAGTCCCACCAATGCGACCTTTACAGTGCGGCAATGGAGGAATTATCTCGGGATGGACTTGTGTTTACGAGTCTGGATCTGGTTCTACAAGTATGATTGGATCTGGAGCAGGCAAAGCTTCAGTGGCCATGGCAATCACCGGCATCTTATGGCTTGTGCAATGGAATTGAGCGATCGCGCGGATGAGATCAGGCTGACGATATGGTTTGGAATTGCATTTGCCTCGCACAGAGGGCAACGCTTCAATGATCGACGGAGTAGTGATACAGCGACCCTAATGATAATGAGGAGATTGTGCTAGAAGTGATTGTGCATCGGATGATTTCTATTGTCAATGAGGATTTGGTAATTCACTATGAGACTAGTCGATCCGTTTTCAGACATTCTCCCTTCCTCATTCAGTGCATGCTTGGACTTTCTCGGCCCAGCAAAAAAAGCGTTAGGGTTAGAGCTCTCGATTTGGTTGGCCGGCGGGCTGGAATAGCCGAACTTGGAGTTAAGGCTTCCTAATTGGGGTGTTCCTGGCCCAGCAAAGAAACGTGTCACATTTTCTTATTTCGCACCCTCAGCTCGTCCAGAACTTTCTAAGCGGCGACATATTATCTCCAATATGGATCACATCTGTAAAAGCAGCCAGCCGTAGTCTGGACTCTGGGTTGCTCCTGGCATTGCACGTCCAGTTCAATCCCCTGGTCAGGACGGAGTACGCCAGGTCGCAATAATAATCTCACAACAGGCCAGCTCGACACCTACACCATAGTCCACACGTCTTGTCCTCTGTGTGTCATATTTCCCACCGAGACTCACTTCACAACCTATTTCTGCGTGGTAAACGTGATTTCGACCTTCCCAACAACTATCCTATTCCCACCTTCATCATGGCTGATCGATTCCCTTCCATCGAAGACATTGATGCCGGTAAGACTCGAGGCGGAGATCTGTCAATACTTATGGCAGATGCTAATATACGTGACAAGGTGAAACCGATGTTCGACCCGACTCAACCGCACAAGGAAGTTTCCTGGAACGAGAACGAGCACTTCTTGGAGAAGATGCGGATTTATTTGCAGCCAACGACAAGCCCGGCGCTGCAACAGTTGAGGATGGAGACGATGAAGATTTACTAGGAGGAGGTGACGATTTTGTTTCCGCACCCCAGGCTTCTGGCAGCGTGGGACAGAATGACTTTGACACCTTCGAGAGCTCATTTCCTGCTATTGACTCGCGGAATGATGTACGTTCGCAAGACTTCTTGCCTCGCTCATTTTCCACAGTTGATACCACAAGGTCTAACTTTTTGCAGAACGTCGGCCCTGGCGGCACCATCACCAATTCCTCCCAGCCCTTCCAAGGCTCTGGCTACACCAACTACAACGCACCATCCAACGAAGAAGACACAGAGCCCATCCGCCAATGGCGCGAGAAGCGCAATCAAGACATCAGTCGGCGTGATGAAGCCTCGCAGAAGAAGAAACAAGAAGTGGTCTCCACTGCACAGAAAGATATCGACTCGTTCTACGAGTCCTACAACCGCAAGGTCGACAAGCAGAAAGCCCAAACCGCCAAGGAATCAGAAGAGTTTCTGGCGAAGAGAGAAGACACAACCGCTGGAGGTACGTCTTGGGAGAGAATTGCCAAGTTGGTGGATTTGTCAGGCAAGGGTCAACAAGGTGGTGGCGACGGCAGCTCGAAGAAGAAGATGCGTGAAATCTTACTGAGCCTGAAAGGCGACAAGGACGCACCTGGAGCCGGCGGGATTTGAAGCGAGTCAATCTGTTGTGGATGATATGGGGACTCGAAACGGTAATTGTAGTTTGTACACAATTTCTTGGGCAACGAGAGCGGACGAAGGCCATGTGGGAATGACAGGTCCATAAAAAAGGCCCAGTTGACCATCAAAGTGCCAGTACGTGTGCTTCTCGTGGCTGGAAAACCTAGGTATTACATGGGGCGTTCTTCATGTCGTGGGCTTTCATATCGTGGTCAAACAAGGCCAAAATACGTGCGAGAGCAAAGTCAATAACAAATCTACAAGCACAAACACGCACGGAATCACGATCACGATCACGGAAAGCGTTCTTGTTTTTAATAACTTTTCTTTCATTGTGCTGATTTTGGAACGCCTAACTGATGCAGTTGACTCCCTCCCCACCCCCATTGCTCCCTTGGAGACTTTTGAAAACGACGAAAGCAACACAGGCACCTTGCTGTGCTGTGGCGACGGCGACGAGCAAGCTCAATGCTTGCGGCCCTTGCGACCGCGGCGACCAGTAGGGTCCCGGGTTGACTTGGCCGGCTTGGCGGCGGCGGCGATGTTGCCCTCATCGGGGACTTTCTCTTCGTTGTCGTTGGTGCTCGTTGCACCAGCATTGGCTTCGGCGGCAGCAGAGGCGAACGTGGTTGCAGAGGGGCCCACGCCGCATGCTTCAGGGAAGCGAACCTTGAGCCAGGCTTGGAGCCCGGTGTAGTCTTGGCCTTTGGCCACGATCCATGCCATTTCCACGTGGCCGCGTGCCATGTTCTGGAGATGCTTTGCAACTCCTTTGAAGACGTCCTTGTGGACGGACTCGGTCATGTTATCGGCATCAGTGTCGATCTTAAGGACTCCCTTCAGAAAGGTCGTCAATTGTTGTTTGATTTTCTCCTCTGCAAGGGAGAGAGTTGGGGAGGAGGTTAATGGAGACATTGCAGACGGATTGTTGATGGAGGGAGTTGTGGTTGAGGGAGCGTGCGTGTGATTGTGAAGATCTTCAATAAGATCGGTGGGGTACGTTCGGTTGTGTTGAGATGAGGAAGGTTCAAGTTCTGGACTTGCAAGATCAGGCAAGACTGGTTTGGTGGTTGGAATCGAAGATCGAGAACGAAGATCTGGGAGAGGAGGGACCGTCACAAATTCAGATTTGGATTTAGGTTTCCATGAACCTGAGAGTAGTTCGTTCAGACGCCTGATGACAATTGCCTCATTCAGGTCGTCCTGTACGTTGCCAGACTTTGAAGTGAAGTGCAAACCACTCTTGACCATACTTGGTGATTTTCGGGTAACATGCTTTAAACTGACCTTCTGCTGGACTGGTTCAGGAAGCTCATAAGGCTTCGAAACCTCATCAAGAATCTCAAAGAATCGAGCTGTAGTAACGACGTCTTGCGCTAGGGGGCCGTCAGACAACACCATGTGGATGTCCTTCAGGTCCTTGATGTGTGACTGGATGTCAAGCAACAGTTGATCTTGTTCCTCTGCATTGCTTTCAGGATACAGATTGAAATCACGCTTCAGCTTTCCATTAAAAATTCTGATAGCATGTCGCAGTTGACTTCCATAGACGTTGGTCGCAAAGCAACGGGGGTCAAGAAGATTGATGTTGTCTGCAACCTCCTGAGCCTGCAGCGCATATGTATCCGCGACAGAGAGTGCACCTGGCGTACCCTCTTTGAGGAAACCCTGGGCCATTCCTTGAAGAATATCGGTCAGGGACGTTGATGGACCTGGATCAGCTGTCAATGCCTGTTTGCCCTTTGGCTTGAACTTCCCATCCATTTGTTCTCTTCGAGACTCTTCAACTTCTGACGGCATAGGAAACGTTGCAATGAATTTGTCCTTGTTCTCCAGTTGTACTTGTGACCTGCATGCATGTCGGAAGTTGCAAAGATATCGTGGATCATCGCACATGTGGTAGAAGCGACCCATCACATCCCCAAGCCTATCCAGGTTTCTTGCGTTGTTGGTTCTATCAGTATTGATGAGAACACTTGCCATGAATGCTTCAAGGACCTTGAGATTTTGATAGCCCTGGATTTGACAATTCGCACCGAAAGAGAAGGTGCAGGCCATGCCAACAATGTCCATTGCCATAATTGGGGCATCATGTTTTTCCCACGTGCCTATCTCACTGGTCAAAATGAAAAAGAGATCTATCATAGCTTGTCCGATAAAGTTGAACGTAAGAAACCAATCTCTGCTGCCAGACATTGCTTGTTGAGTCAAGACGCTCTTGAGGATTTTGAGGTTGTTCTTAGCACCCTCAAAGTCGATTCGAATTTGATGTGTTAGACGTTGAGCAATCACAAGAGCGGTTTGACCGGGGCAGATACCGCGGCTCTGATACTCGACGATCAAATCAAGACATTGCTGTGCAGGAGGGAATGGGATGCTCATGTTTGCTTGGTAGAAATCCATTTCCCAATTCCAAGGTTCAAATACGAATTGTGGTTCGGCGTGATTTTCTGCATAGACTCGGAACATCTCCCATGGCCCATCGTCAACATACATTCGATAGTGTAGAGCCAGGCAGTCTCGGAACAGTGCCGCATCATTCAGATTTCCATCAGGGTCAAATAGTCGCTGAAGATGCTTGAAATCATGTTCGCTTGTTGCTCCGCCGGCATGCTTGTCTGTCGATGCTGAAGCACGATTTGTAGCTGGTGCTCTCTTCTTGCCCACATGGGTGGCAACGAATTTGGACATCTGTGTTTCGACCTTTGAGAACGCGTCCAAGAGAGCTTGTGGTGGGTTGTTCTCCAGACGAATTTGGTCTTGAACAACACTCAGGATGGCCATGTATTTCTCTGGTTGCTTTTGAGCGCCCGTAATGACAATCTTAGTCAACTTGCCCGAAAGTTCCAACAGGCTGGAGCCTTTTCTTGCCTCTAAAGTGAGGGCTTTGAGTGAGCGTTCAGCCATCAATATGTGCATAGCCTCTCCAATCACAATGTCTGACAGTGGTGGGATACGAGATTTCAAGACAGCTCGTGTCTTGATGGTTGAAAGCGCCTTCATCACCTTTTCATCAGATTCATGGGCCATCTTCTTTATCACCTTCTTCATGTCTTCCTTAGCCTGTGCTTCCGTCTTCTGGCATTCGCGGTTGGCTTCCATCGTTTCTTTGTCCATGTTGAGTTCGGTGTCAGCAACTGTGGATTGAGGATCTTTGCCCTGCATTTTGAGACGTAGGTTCATCATGACTTCGACAACGTTGTTACAAGTTCGGGTTTGACCGTCGGCAGTAGTGACATCAACTGTAAATCCTTTAGCGTTTGGTTTTGCTAGCATGTCCTCCAGTGCTTGAAAAGACTTTTGAAGGACTGGGGACATAGGCCCATTCAATTCAAGGACACTGCGTAGATCAGTGATAGCGGTTTGGACGTCGTGAGGATCTGAGGCACTGAAAAAACCTTTCATAACAGTCAAGGCTTGAGAAAAGGCATCAGCGTTAGAGGAAGCCAATGTCTTAGAGAGAACGTTTGAAAGACTGGCAGGATTTGTTTGTTGTTGTTGTATGTGTGGTAATGTCGGCTCGGCGTCCAGTATCATCTGCCTGAATTCATTGTTCTTCTTCTCGGCGTCCGCCATTTCTGAATTAGCCTGGTCTAGCTTTACGCGGGCATCGGCGGGAGACACTCTGCCAGCGTTCACGTCGTGGCGGATCTTGTCTAGCCTTGCCCGGATCCTTCTGACGATATGTTCATTCTCCTTCGCAGCTTCCAGGATCGCACTATTCCGAGGGTCGAGCAAGAAGTCTTTGGTAGCAAGTATATCCAACGTCGATTGGTCCAAAGGACTACCCTTATCGCTCTTTCCTGGATGTGGCCCATCAAGAGCAGGACGAGTGGCCTTATCCAAGATGGCAGTTTTGCGATTCCTCAAGGCAAACTCTTCCTCATCATCCTTCTTGACACGCACCAACTCAACATCTCGCTGTTTCCGCAGAGCTTTTTGCATTCTCTGAGATTTCTCCGCCATTATCCTCGCATGATAATACTTGATGGTGTCCATTTCCATCCAGGAAACACCTTTCGTCTTTGCACGCTTGCACACTTCATGCTTGCACGGAAAGGCGCGGCCATGGGAACTCCCCACGCATCCATTATCAGTATCAGCATCTAAGCAGCAGGTTCCATGTCCTGTGAACTTGAAATCACCACTGAGTTGCGGCTTGAACAGGTTATCCAGTGCGGTTGCATGCTCATCGAGCAAGGCTCGTTGTGTTTGGTGTCGTGAGGACTTCTGCTCAAGCTCAGTCTTCTCCTTCTCAAGCTTTGCTCTTTCGTTGAGGAGTTCATTATAAGTGCGGATGTCTTCATCAGCCCAGCCATCAACATTGTGGCCATCCGCAGCCTTCAGCGGGCTCCCGCTTTCGGCAGCGGAGATTAGATCAGAGAACAGATCATGCTGTATATCAAAGGCACCCAGTTTTAGACTCTTACCCTTCGTCTTGCCCATGTCTGGGTATCGACGTTGCGGATCGCCGTGTGAACCCGAAATTGACGGAGTATAGATGAATATGCTTGACTGGCGGGATCGCTAATGGTGGAATTGAATGGCTAGATACGAAGCTATGATGGCTTCAATACCTGCAAAGCAAAACAATACCAGCAGAATCCACGCCAGATAGTAGTTTGGCGTGCTAAAATGCTCCAAACCCGTCAAGGGAGGATGTCTCTGCAAGGTTCGGAGCTAGTTGGTCTGCTTGTAAACTCGTTACACCTGCCGCCCCGACGAGTCAAACGCCGAAAGACAGCTGTTTCCACTCCCACAATCTCGACTTCAGGGTTGAAAGAGATGAGTATACATGGCTCAGGTGTATGTGACTGCATTGTTCCCTGGAGCTATACTGGGTCACAAGTCCAATCCTCGGGAAAGTCCAGGTAGCGTGATGTCGACAGTGAGTTGAGTGCACAGGTCTGACACGTCAAGAATGGCTTTCGGTGGTTTGCTTGGTTGATTGTTGGTTGGGTAGAAAGAGGATCAAAGGATGATTACATTCTTTACATTTTACAATTAATCCTGATGTCCAGGATGGTCAACCGATGAATACAAGGCTGTTCTGCTTTTAGAAAAAGAAGTCAAGATCTGAGGCTGGAACAGGCGTCGTCCTGAGATCCGGAATTGGCGTTCTGCAGAGTTTCTTGGCCCGGGTCCGGGGGATCTATATTCCGAGCTCATCCACGTCTATTTTTGTGAAACTCGTTTACTCGCATTATTGCACGCCGGAGAACTTCATTTAGTATTGCTTGATCATGGCAATTCTCGGATCGAAATAGTAAACCTAGAAAAAAATTCTAGCATGGCGACAGAGAACGTCGGGTCGCAAAATGAAGACAGCATCTCAGATAGCATCCGAGACATCCTCAATGCCGCACAACACCACGATATTCAGACCCTCGATAGGTTGATAAACGAGACTTCGTTCCCAGATTGCAAGGCAGTGGACGTCCAAGATCCCACGACAGGCTTTTCGCCATTGCATGCTACAGTCTACGGCAGCCAACCTCAGGTGAATGGAACAGGGCCAAACATACTGTCTAGTGAGGAACGAGCGATTGAACTCGTGAAGTTTCTGTTCGAGAATGGAGCTATCTGGAATCAATTGGACGCCAACGATGAGACTCCTGGTTGTCTTGCTTATCGACTGGGTTTAGAAGCCCTCTACCAACTCATAGTCGATGCTGGAGTTCGCGCTGAAATGTTACTCGGTCGTTTAGAAGAGTATGCGAAACTAGATGAGGGAGAAGAGGGCGACAGTCACCAGATTGAAAGTGCCACTCCTGACGACATTTCTCCTGAGCATCCAGACGTTGACAGTTCTACGTATCTGGCATCCGCATTGTCCAGGAGCGGCAGCATGCTACTAGATGAACAGCAAAACGGGGTGATGATGGCGTGGGAGAGCGATATCATGAAGAAATCTGCAGATGCACTTTTACCTCGACCTGGACTTCGCATTCTCAATATTGGGTTTGGAATGGGCATTATCGACACACATATCCAAAATCACTCAAACAAGCCTGCAAGCCACCACATTGTGGAAGCACACCCAGACGTGCTCAATGAGATACAGAGCACGGGCTGGATGGACAAGCCAGGCGTGGTCGTTCATAGGGGCAAGTGGCAAGATGTACTCCCTGGACTTGTAGCAGAGGGAGTCGAGTTCGATTCGATCTACTTCGACACTTTTGCAGAATCATACGGCGAATTCCGTGAATTTGTCTCTGAACAGGTTATCGGTCTTCTGGATCAGGACGGACGGTGGTCTTTCTTCAATGGTATGGGTGCTGATCGACAGATTAGCTACGATGTATATCAAAAAGTTGTCGAGTTGGATCTTTTCGAATCCGCTTTCGACGTTGAGTGGGAGACAGTCCAGCTTCCAAAGCTCGATGCCGAATGGGAAGGTGTACGGCGAAAATATTGGAATGTCGAGAGTTACCGGCTTCCAATATGTAAGTTTATGGATTGAGAACACATCATTTTTGCTACTGCACCTTCGAATGCTGGTCTGCAAGTGTTCGCATAGTGCTCATCTTCTTATCGAAGCAAAACTCGGCATTCCACTTTCGGCGTTCCGCTTCTCAAAGCAGCATGCCGTGTCATTCGCCAATTGCGAAGCTGAGAAGACATATTCAGAACCAATATCCAACTTACTCGATGGAAAGTGTCAATCAATCCCGTTCGTCCCCCCTCTCTGTCTCTCGGGCTATTGCCACCGAGATACATTCGGTGCCTATTGCCCCGCATCCGTCGCTCGCCAACCCCTGGAGTTATCTCGTTACTCCACACTCTCCACGTTTTTGACACGATGGGCGGCATCATTCGTAGGATCGTGTTCTCAAACAAGGTGGGCGGCTCCGCGTGTCCGAAGAGGAGACCTCGGAATGACGACTGCGGAACTTTGGGATGTTGATATAAATACTGGGGTATTCAATCGATGGCCGTCGAGCAAACTTTTGCAATTACTGTATCATACTCCAACCAAACCCAAGGCATCACCAGAGTTTGTCAAACACAGCAACAAAGTCCAGTAACAGCTATCGAGCAGAGAGAATGGCATACAAGAGGACAGCCATTGTGACTGGCTCTAGCCGAGGCATGTAAGTTGAATTATTTTCTAGGTTGCTCGTGGGAGAATAACTCACGCCTGTTCCAGTGGCGAGGCTATCGTCAGAAGGCTAGCTCAGGAAGGCTACGCAGTGACAGTCAACGACGTCTCCGCGAACAAGGCCGGAATCGACAAGCTCGTCGATGAGCTAAACTCCAAGCATGGAGCTGGAAGTGCCATCGGAGTTGTTGCCGACGTCACATCGTCATCAGAAGTGCAGAATTTGATCAAGGAATCCGTCGAGAAGCTTGGAGATCTCACCGTCTTCGTTGCAAATGCCGGTATCGCACAGGTGGCCCCGGCGCTGGACATCTCGGATGAGGATGTGATGAAGATGTTCAATGTCAACTTCATGGGTGTCTGGCTCTCATATACGCACGCTGCACGCCAAATGATCAAGCAGGGGCCTGTTCCGGAAGGAACCAGTGGCTACAAGATCCTAGGGGCAGCCTCAATCGTTGCCTTCAAACCTTTTCCTTTGTTGGCACATTACAGCGCATCTAAATGGGCAGTGCGAGGCCTCACACAGGTATTCGCAATGGAAATGGCCAAGCACAAGATCAACGTCAATGCCTACGCTCCAGGAATTGTTGGAACTGCGATGTGGGATCTCATCGACGAGAAACTGGGCGAAATCGAAGGCCGCGAGAAGGGCTCTTCTGTCAAGAAATACAGCTCGGAATTGACAGCACTGGGTAGAGTCAGTGTGCCTGAAGATGTGGGAAACCCTGTGGGTGGTTTCTTATGCTCCAAAGATGCAGAGTTTATCACAGGTCAAACAATCGTTATTGATGGCGGTATCATCTTCACGTGATAGACTATATTAAAGAAAATAGAAATGCCACATGCGTCGCCATCTGCTTTAAGTTGTTTCTTCTTGTGTATTGAAGTGAAAATGACCCTTCCGGATGTTTCGCTCCTCGTCTCTACGCAGGCTGCCCCTCTCCCGCCTTTGGTGGATAGCTCTTGCCATCGACTTCGCGCGTGGGCGTGCAAGTGCACCTCTCGCCCTCTGGGATGGAGTCCATGACAGAAGGGATATGATTGCCACAACCCCACCAGGTTGATTTCTCTGAAACAACTCGCGTCAGTCATGGGAATGGGAATGTCTGCGCTAACCAACGTAGTGGTATAGGGGAAGCGCCTCGAGCAACAAAGAGGCGACAGTAACCACTCCAAGATCACAGGCTACTCACGGCAGTTAGAACAAGTTCTTTTCATGCACATTGTTGTGTCTTCTGAATGATCTTTGAGTTGAGATGGATTCTGCCGGGGTCAAAGGAGGGCAAACTTGGCGATACTTGCACGAAGCTTTGTTGATGAGTGAGAGTGGACTTTCCGGAGAGCGAGATGATCGCTTTGATGTACTTAAATTTAAAAGCAATATAGGTGCTACAGTATCCTGGATCTAGTTGATGGCAGCAGTAAATGAGTGGTATTGGATGGAAGAAGACATGATTAGTAGCTGTGATATATAACTCCGCACGATCCTCGGGGTGTGTAATTGATGCCCGAGGTCCCCGAAGGTCCCTTGAGAGAACGCAGAGTTTCGTGAAGTAAATTCATACTCGAGCCACCAATTCAACGATTTACGAAAGCATTTGCTGGTACCAGCTCACGATACAGGCTAGACGCTGATATGGTCTACTTGAGAAAGATCATCGGACTCGTGATCACGATGCATATTCAGTTCAACTTCACGTTTCGCTGCGCAAATTGGGCTCGGCTTCGGAAAAACTTAGCGTACGTTTGGGGTTTCTTGGCAGTGCAACGTGACCGACCTGGCATCCAAAACGCTCAGCCCTTTCTCCCAGACTCAGGCTACCAAAGTAACATCACGACAACAACTGAATCAGAGCTCTCCCAAGACCTTTGATTGATTCTCAGATTGTTCTTCACATATTCACTGTCACACCCTTCGTGTTACCTGTATATACAAGAGTCGACAGAAGTGGCCTGTGTTCTACTTTTGCGCTTCGCCGTAACATTGTCTGTTTGCTACAATCTGGCCATAGCTCGTAGCGTAGCCTTCTGCTGTCTGCCGGACTGTTAATTCATCCAAAGTTGGATCCTGCGGCGGCAGCGTGGCACTCACTTGAGCTGTGATCGGACGAAACATCTAGACTTCTCTCGGCGTTGGCAAAAAGAGAAAAACAACAACATGTCATTCACGGACGAAGCTCTCAAAGCCAAGCTCTCCACCCTAAATGAGACGCAGGATAGCATCGTGTCGGTCTCACAATGGATCATGTTCCATAAGTATGGCATGCCCCTAAACTCATCCTCTTCAATTTGGTGAGAGCAGATACTCACATTCATCATAGACGACACGCGGACCGCATTGCCAGCTACTGGTTGACCCGACTTCGTGATGCGCCACCCCCGAAGCGACTAAACTTTATCTACTTGGTCAATGACATCGTGCAAAATGCACGAGCACGCAAACGCGCCGAATTCCCGGATGCTTTTGCAGCGTTGATGCCCGAAGCCATCCAAACCGCCTACAGATCCAGTCCGCCCGAGATCCAAACCAAGATCCGGCGCGTCGTTGAAGTCTGGCGGAATCGGAATGTCTTCGAAACCCCCATCCTGGAGGCAATCGAGGCCCGAACCGATGAAGTCGACAAGTCAAAGGGCTCTTCAGGGAAGAAGACCCTCATGGGTCAGTCTCTCTTCACCTCCACGTCGTCGACCGGCATGCCGAAAGAAATAGAAAGCCTCGCACCGCTCCAGATCGCCGTCACCAAGGAGACCATATCCGCCCGTCCGGCCATCGACACGGCTCAGGCCGAATACATCAAACTGAACGACCCGGCTGCTGCACTGCCAAGTCCTCCAGTTCACGCAGCCCGCTTATCCAGCCTCATCAAATCGCTCGCTGCTGCGGAGTCATCAGTCTCAGCAAGCATCAAAGCGCGAAAGGCCTTGGTCGCCGACCTCGAACGGATACTGGAAATCAACAAGGCGGCGCTCGCGAAGGACGAACAAACATATCTCGAACTCGACAGCCGCAAAACCAGCACGGACGCAAAGAAAAGAGAAGTCGAGGACGCCATTATCCGCGGTCTCTCGTCCGTCGAAGGCCCCGCAGACACCACTCTGCCCGGCATCAGCGCGATCGGCGACGACATCCTCTCTCCGGGGCTCGACCACAGCGCAGCAGCAGGCGACGGCGGCTTTGGCCGACCTGAGATCGAAGAACTCACGCCCGAACGAGACCTAGACGGGGACGAGCAGGGCTTCATGGGCTATAACCCCTCGGAGCCACTGGCCGCGACACCGACACACCAGGCGCCAATCCCCAACAACCCGGCCGTCGCGGCCGTTCTCGCCGGCTTCGGCAGCCCCTCCGCTCCGCAACCAAGTGACTACAGTCCGACCCAGGGCATCAGCGGCTACGGCAGCAACGTCTCGCGCGTGCGCTCGTTCAGCGGGAGCGGAGGGGGCATCAACGGGCTGAGTGCGAAGAGACGCAAGCTCAGCCACGGCGAGGACGAGATGGTGCCTGATCTGGGCGAGATGGGCATGGAGGGTTTTGGCCAGGCGTCTTCTTTTGCGGTGGGCGACTACGGCGGCGGCGGCAGCAACAGCCATGGAGATTTCCTGCAGAGCCTTGATGAGGATGTCGACGAGTTGTTGAGGCAGGAAGGTGGTGGTAGATGATGCGGTTGATTCGAGTTGAACTGCCAGTGAGATTTTCTTTCAGTCGGAATGGAAGATAACTAGCAACGAGGCAGCCAAGGATCGGATTCATCGAAGCATGTTGCACAATCTTACTGGAGCGGTGGAATCGCGCGATGAGCCTGTGTCGGAAAGTACACAGATGGTCAGAGTGTGGTATGGAATTCCGAAAAAGAAAAAATGACCTGGAGACCAGACGGCGAGCGGAAGAATGCCAGAAGAAATACGACGAAGTTTGTGGAGTTGTAACAATAACACCTCGACATTGAAACCACCTTCAGTGGTTCCATTTGGTAGCGTTGAGCGATCTGTTCTATTAGGTAGCTACAAAATTGCTTTCATTCATTACATGCTAATGTTCCATGATGGGCTGATGTTGACTGACTAATGCTTCATAGACCAATTGTCTATCGAGAAGAATTGTCCGTTTGTGGTTGTGCCTCAGAGTATTTGGACATCTAAAACAGTAGATCTTACAACCTCATGCTCACCCTGACAACTCCCCAAGCAGAAATACTAATCTATCACCACTAGTATGAAGGCAAACCCGAGATCTGGAGGAGGAATATTTTGTCCTCATCAGAACTCCTGTATCGTATGCGTTTGATTCGCATAGGGCAGCTTTCGAAGCGGTCAACAAGTGATGGTCTTTCAGTGATGGAATTGAATGGGTTTTCTCCTGTCACGAACCTGCTGATGTGATCGAGCCTCGTTCGATAGTTGAATCCCAAAATGCGACGGTGCATGAAGCATGTCGACTTCTTCTCGATGATCGGATGTGGATAGAGCGAGACGAGTGTGAGACGAGTCCGATTTGAAGGTTGAACGCGTTTGAGTCCCATTGGAGAAGCTCAGCCTACTGGTCTTCGGAAAGGATGTGCTTCAGTATTCAGCACCCACTCATCGAGATTTACCACGGACGGCTCGCTGAAAATGAGATAGAAGTACTTGAGTGTCTCGGCGAGCCAAAAGCTCTCCATTCGATCGCTCTTCTCAGTAATCGGTTTCCGCACGTCGTGGACTGCAGCATGAGCAATGGGAGTCCGTGTCTGGACATCAATTGCCTTAAACATCTTCCATGCGACCGCTGGCAAGGCAGGATCGCCGGTGATTCGGTACAGGATGAAGATAGATTCAATAGCTTCCGGTCGCAGTATATATCGGTTGTCAGTGTGGTCAGTAAAGCCAGGGAAGATGGGCTTCTTCTTGGCAACGTATTTGCCGCGCTCGACGCCAGACATGTTCTCGGTCTCTTTATTCGAAGAGGTTCTCTGCGCAATGGCTTCATACCATTTGTCATCATTCCACTCACATTTCCCTAGATTTGGCTCATCGATACCCAAATGGCATGCCGACAGGAAGAAAGTTTCTGGCATCAATCCGGAGGGCATGGCATTGTAGGCCCAGATGCAACCTTCGACCAATCGCCTTGCAGTGCGCAAATCTTCAGGACGAGAAAATATTTGGGCACCGATAGCTACCATACCACCAACGAAGCAGGTCAAATGTTGGCCCTGTGGTTCGAGGTTCGAGGTTGGAGTATTGTTGACAGACGCTAATTGGGCATTTCCGCTAAACAAAACGTCTTCACCTTGAGGGAGCATGGGACGAAAGAACAGGTATCGTTTCGCTGCTTCGATGGCGTCCTCATACATCTTTTTGTACTTTCCGTCACGACCTCCAAGAAGCATATATTGCTTGGGCAGATATTCGTAAGTCGAATCGGCCATACCGCCAAAGGTAAAATGGTTGTAATCAAAGGTCAACGCCTTTGCATTCACAATGGTGGGCCACAATCCGGGAATGTTGGTTTGATCCTGGTGCAGTTGCATCAATTCAGCTATTCTGGTAACCAGATCGAAGTATTTGGGGTCGCCTGTAAGTTGGCTCAACCTTGTGAACTCCAAAGTCAGACTCCCAAGCTCAGCGAGTAGCGTAGACTCGCTAGGTTCAATTGGAAGACCTTGTGCGCTCTGCTTCCAGCTCCAACGCGCCATGGGCATGTGGTTTGGAGTATCGAATGCAGAGTATAAAATCTCGCCCAGCTCAGTAGCCTTGTCAAGCAGGACTTTGTCCTGTCCTGAAGATAGATCATACGCGGCAAGAAGCCCACCCATGTATCGTATAGTAGTCTCAAATACATTCAAAGTCTCCTCCTCATTCGTAGTAAAATCTACGTGTTTGACCGCATTGACACATAAGTCAAAGTCGGCTTTCAGATCCATGATCCACAAAGTATCCATCGTGTCAACCAAGGTGGCACCCCATCCACCAAAACTCGACCGGTATGCGCCGCTGATGGGAGCAACCTCGTCACGTGTCCATGCATGTTTCTTGTATCCATTCCAAGAATGTAGGAAAGCATCTTTCACTGCAGCTTGTCGCTTCTCTCGGATGGCTTTGGCATCGATGGACTCGGGGTGTGATGCGAAATCATACTGTATTCTTGGGATCTGAGTAAGAGGGCCAGTGGGTAGGGCACGATAGGATTTTACTGGGTAGCGCTCTTGATGTTTCACCCAGTGGACTTCTACACGAGGCAAGGCATACGATGAAGGTTCTTTGGGATAGAGGAATTGGTAATACAGAATACATGAGACGAAGAAGGCCGGTATGAGCCAAAGGCGGCGAATACGTATCATTGTAATCGACAACTGAGGAGGTCCCAGCCCCAACTTATTGTGATGAAAGACATTCGAGACTGAGGCATCGCAGCATCCAAGGGCAGTCTCGCTATCCCGGGAAGATGAACCGCAGTCGGTATGCCTGCCCCATTTTTGGCCCCCCATGAAACCAAACTGTTTGGCGTTCACTTGGGGAGTGTTGATGCAGGTACCAAATCCATTAGTATACGCTATCGTGGTTAGCTCCAGCTTTAGCTTATCCCCGCATACGCTAGCCTGACTGCAGAACACCATTCGTCACTTGCTCACTATGCACATTCTCATTCCCAGATACAGGTACGGGTGACAAGTTATAACTCGAGCGGTCCAAGCTCGCTTCGTCCCAACATCGACATTTCCTGCCGCATGCTCTGCTCCGAGTCTGTCATGCTATCATTATGGCGATAACTGGGTGAGTCACTTGAGCTCTTCTACCCTTACTTACAGCTAATCTGTCTCGAGGCTGTTCTTCCTCCCAATTCTCCCAAACCAGTCTTCACCTTCATCCGTCTTGATATCTCACATATCTCGAGCATTTCCGGCTCAACCACTCCCACCCTTCTTTCTCGATCACCGACTATTCATCGATACTTCTTCCCTCCTCCCAAATGCCGACACGACTCTCCGTAGATTTACGAGCATCCTGACTCTTTCTCACACCCCCACCAAGACCTACATCGCTACATCCCCGCCCAAAGACATCAAGAAAGACAACGATGTCCCCATTACACCCACCATGATCACCATCCCCTCCTCCAGCCTCGAGTCGTTCACTCAGCTGGTAGGCACCAAGCTACAGCCACAGTGGGCCCACCGACAATCGCTGATCTTGGAAAATGGCACATCGCTATCCTTGGGTGATAACGAGTGGACCGTCCGTCTCGGTGATTTGAAGATTCCCAGCCGTCCAAATCAAGCAGGCAGTGTCATTCGGGCTTTGGTGTTTGAGATTTCTTACAACAACAGTCCAGACGAAGACAGTTCCAGCGGGGATTCAATCGTGCAGAAGGACGATGAGGTTCTGGTCCGGAGTTTTCTCGACTCATTACTGGAAGGCACTGGTGTGCGCATCGATGGCTCGACAAACAGCCGATCTTTATTCCGCAAGACTGGGACTACCGCTGCCGAGCAGCCGGGCCCTCATCCGACGGCTGACTGCCCTCTTGCGACCCTCTACATGGACATGCTGAGAGGTTCCCGTGGGTAAGACCATGGTGGGCCTCCTTATTCAATAACACCAGTGCTACGCAGACGTCTGGGTATGCGGACTAGCTCAATGGTGAATCTTTGCACTATCTTCTGCTGTCGTGGAAAGAAACATCAAGCTATACCCATCAACACGGCTACCATCGGCATGCCTTCAAACATGGCAGTCAAACACCTATGGTGGACAAACCAGCCAGTACCCACACATGGTGTTGAAGCTCCGAGCATCTGGACGATAACTCAGAGCCACCAACACGAAAAGATGGAGAACCACGTCCCCGAGCACGATCTGTGATCCCAAATCTATGCTTTTGTTATGACACCAAAGCTCCCCATGAGGCAAGCGGCGGACCATCAAGGACGATGCACGAGATTCGGTGCTCGGAAACTTCTGCAGAGGCAAACAATCGGGCAGGAACGAGGCACGACAGAATCACAAGAGACGGGAAATTTAGGCGACACCATTGGCATATACGACTTTTATGGATCAAATATTGCCATCGACAGGCCCATCGAAAATTTACTTAAAAATGTTATAGGTTGGTGCAGCAGATAGACACCTGGGAGAGCTAGGTACGGTATTTACATACATGACATGACATCTATCCATCATCAGAACCAGGTTGCCTAGTTAGGAACGTGGACTCGGTCAACATAATAAAATAATTAGAAGACAAGTCTCTTTAGTTCCAAACCATCGGATAGATAGTAGCAGATCCAACAAAAGACGCGCTTTAGATGTCA